ATACACCCATACACATTTTGATGCTCTTCACCTTTTAAACACAATAACATTGACAAGTTACTAACGAATAAAATGATACCTCTGTGAAAAGAATCACAATTCTATTGATATTTAGTCAAAACCCGGATTCTTACTTTTTATTAAAATTATATAGGTTCAATACAATCTTGTACTGCTTAGGCTAGGATGTACAACCCAGTAAATATACACCCATACCGAGTCAACCTTGGTGAATAAATAAGATAAAATCCTGAAATATATAAAGACTCTGGGAGTTTCCATAAATTATAGATATTATACAGAGATTAAGGAATATAGTAAATAACTTAACTAGTATACTAATAAACATAAATTTACCACACATCCACTCTGGAAAGTATGCGGAGAATCTTCAATATTTATATGAAATAAAAAGCATTCTGTAAACGTCTATCAAATGTAAAGATGCAAAAACTATGAGACTTGCTTTATAACAAAATAATATAGGTTAAATTTGAATTATTTTTTGAAAATCAAAATTGATGAGTCATATAATATAAATGAAGAAACTAAAACTTGTGTTTCTAAAACATATACAATACTCTTCTCCCATTTTTAAACAACTGATTCAAGAGTAAAGCTATTAGAAACGCTGACCTTTAGGAATACCTTTCTAAAGTTGTCTTACTTTTATACACACGAGGAGTTTTCTAATATCTAATTCTCGATTTCCCAAAATTGTGTATCTTTATTAGCTGTAACCACTGGATTATTTCCTGATGAAGTATGTGATGATCTTTCTTTATCAATTTAAATTACTGCCTATTACATCTGTAGTCTAATGATGTCTTTCTTTATTCTCAACTACGGTAAGGCTTCCCATAATCTCATTAGGAGAATTTTTTATATTCGGTTATGAGGGGTTTCCTGATATTAACACAAGAGTAAAAGTGTATTACTGGGATGCTCAACCTTAATATAGGATGTGACCAATTGAGCTGACAATATCATTCGGATATAAACAAGAGAATCCCGCCTCTCCATTATAGCATCTTTCTTTACTTTACTGGGACCATGTCAATTTTAAAATATATAATAAATACCATAGTAAAACTTCACTGAAATTTGTAGATGATTGGATACAATTTATCTGGAATAATAATACTATCCAGATAACGTTTCAACGAAAGAAAAGTCAAAAATATGGGTGCGCCGAAGAAATGGTAAATTATATTCTTATTTGTTTAGAGAGATAAAAGCTTTTGATCGGTGAAATTGACTAAGGAAAGTTCAATGATCTTTCTTTCAACACCTTATTCTTCAATTGTCAATTAAATATGACAGTGGTTCTGAATCATTAATATTATTATGGACTTAATTTGCATGATCATTTCGTATATCTATAATCATCAAAGTAGCTCACTTGAGGGATTTAATACTCCTCGATTCAATAAAAACTATTGTACCTACAAAGAGAGGATAAATCAACGATTAATACCATATCATCTACCCATTCACAAAGGGAAGGAACTGATCTAAAGAACTGTTATCACTGAGTCGATGAAAAATTTAAATATATATATAATTTTAGCTAGGCACTAGACCAATCCCTAAATTATACCTGTTGGTGCTAGTATAATATAAACTGGTCATGATTATCAGAAAATAGGGGAGAAAGCAAGACATCTCTTTCAACCTCCATGCAATTTTAATTTGGTAGCTATTCAATAAAAACCATAAAAAGTCACTGGTCAGAATTTCAGAGTTAAACTAAAATTTAAACGAAACATTAATATTGATTTATGAGAAAAAAATTATGATTTATTATATTTGCTGAGTCTTACACATTATTCTCTTACATGTATCACATACGTGTCAAGTTAGGACAAAAATCAAAACAAAGGAAAAGAGTACGTACGCCCGAATGGCATCAAGTATGGTTATGAACCATGGCAGCTATACGTCTAATCTCGGTTGTAGTGTGCGAAATGTTCAGCGCTAAATTCATCATTCTATCCTAAGGTGCCAACTCACAGCACTACATGAAAAATGAAACAGTCATAACAACTAGTGCTATGACTCGAAGATGACCTACACCGATTAATTTAAAATCATTATACCTCGACCGCCAAGAATAACACGATTATGTTTATGTTTATATTTTTGTTTTGCATGTTTACTATGCACTACGGAAAACTTTTTTTCTCGTAAAGTTGAACACTTCATTTCTTCTATGAGATCAAACCATTGGTAGATCTATCGAAATGAGGGTTGAACCTTATTTTACAAGCAAAGTAGAAGTGTAAAAATTGCACACCATTGATTTGTACTCACTGGAAAATGTTTCCTCGCTTGGTGTTCATGTTTCTTAAGATTGAGGCTTTAGAAAACTTAGTTAATCGTTCTATTTTCGAGAAAATATTAGTGCGGAGTTATACCCGTAAACGTAACTAAAATTTAATGAAACGCATACACAATGTTTCGCGATTCGTGTTGTATGTGCGTCATGCATAAACATACTTGAAGTGATATCAACGGCTCCAAAAAGCTATCTACACTTTTAAGTCTTGCATTAGCTTTCTAATTACACTATTGGACATATCTTGTAGTAATAATTTGTTGACTCTATTCCTTAACCATCTGTTCAGGGTAATGTATTCCGCCTATAACAAAACGAAAAAAAAACAACAACGTATGCCTGCATCTCAAGAAGCTGCATATTTTTGCCACGCATAAGCCCACCTCAGTGCGTCAAGATCCGAAAAATTGAGCACAAGACGAGGAATCTATGAGGCGAACTAACCCGTATACATAAAGATATAAAAGGTAGGAGACGGCCGAATGGTTGTAGAATTATAAAGGCTAACTAACTACGTTCCTACCCCACTTTCGTTAAATAAAACCAACTTCTTCATTCATTTATAGTAGGTACTATGTTGTCTTCCGTTGTTTACTCATTACTCGCTACCGCTTTGCTCGGTAAGGCTGTAGAAGCCACTCAAGTCGCCGCCTACTGGGGACAAAACTCTGGTGGTGACCAAGGTAGATTACAAGAATACTGTGACTCCAACACTGCTGATATTATCATCTTGTCATTCTTGAACGACTTCCCAGAAGACTTGAATGTCAACTTCTCCAACCAATGTGGTGCTACTTTCCCAAGTGGTTTATTGCACTGTTCTGCCATTGGTGAAGATATCACTTACTGTCAAAAGCAAGGTAAGAAGGTTGTCTTGTCTCTTGGTGGCCATGAAGGTAAGTACGGTGTTTCTGAAGGTAGCTCTCAAGACCTCGCAACCACCTTGTGGAACAAGTTTGGTGCTGGTTCTGACAGCGAAAGACCATTCGATGGTGCTGTTGTCGATGGTTTCGACTTGGATTTGGAACACGGTGACCACTCTGGTCTTGTCACCTTGAGTAACTCCTTGCGTGCCAAGTACTCTGAAGATGCTTCCAAGAAGTACCTTTTGACTGCTTCTCCTCAATGTGTTTTCCCAGACGCTAATGTTGGTGACGCTCTTGCTAAAGCTGACATTGACTACACCTTTGTTCAATTCTACAACAACGATTGTGCCTTGGACCAACAATTCAACTGGAACTCATGGTCTAACTTTGTTAACACCACCTCTCCAAACAAGAACAACAAGATCTTTGTTGGTTTGCCAGGCTCCCCAGCTTCTGCTGGTTCTGGTTACGTCAGCACTGACGTTGTTGAAAAGACTGTCGATGCTATCAGATGTGACCCTAACTTTGGTGGTATTTCTCTTTGGGATGCCTCTTCTGCTTGGGCCAACACTGTTGGCGGTAAGAGTTACGCCGCTCAAATTAAGAATATTTTGAGCTCTGCCAAGGCTTGTACTGCTCCAGATTCACCACACAAGGCTGACCCAGTTCCAGTTCCAGCTAAGTCTTCTTCCGCTACCCCATTATACTCTAACTCTACTACCTCTGCTGCCCCAGCCGCCACTACTGCCCCAACTACCATTACTGCTACTGATATCCAAACTACCGTGATCACTATCACCTCTTGTAGCGACCACAAGTGTACCAAGGTCCCAGTTACCACTGGTTTGACCACTGTCACTGAAAATGAAACTATCTACACTACTTACTGTCCATTGTCTACTGATTCCATCGTTACTGAAACTGATGCTTCTACCACAGTTGTTACCATTACTTCTTGTGAAGACAACAAGTGTACCGAGGTCCCAGTCACCACTGGTTTGACCACTATTACTGAAAATGAAACCATTTACACCACTTACTGTCCAATTGAAACTGGCGCTACTTCTTCCGTCGCTCCATCTTCTTCTTCTGTTGTTGCTCCATCTTCTTCCTCTATTGTTGCTCCACCTTCTTCCTCTATTGTTGCTCCATCTTCTATTGAATCTGTTGCCTCTTCCGTTGAAGTTGCTCCAACTACTTTCCCAGTCGCTTACACCACTGTGTCCACCAGCACTTTGTATAACACCGTTACAATTGCTCCAAACAACAGTACCAACAACGGTACCCAACCACAGGTTAGCAGTAACTCTGAAGGTATGGCCGTCTCTATCCAAAGCTCTATTGCCTTGGTTATGTTGAGCATTCTTGCCGCCATGTTCTAAATTTAAAATTCTGTCTATAAGTATATAAAATTACATTTTTAATTCAGGAAATTATTAAGGGTAAAAATTTTTGAGAGATACGCGATGCATCCATCCCAACTACTAATATGTACAAAATAAGCTAGGAATTATGTAGTGTAGAATTAAAAAGAACTAGAAATATTCAGGTGCACCAAATGTTTTCATTTCAATAAATATAGATCCAATTTCGAAGTGTCAATCTACGCCACTGAATCAAGCACACACTACCGAGATTCATTTCTAGGAATATGGAGGTGGCATAACTACGGTATAGAATGTGGTATATAGTAAAATATATTCTTAAAATATATTCTTCCAATAACGCTTCAAGAGTGTCGCACACCAAATTTAGTCTCTCTCGCATTTTAGCGTGATGCATTCTTTCTATTTCTTCACATTATTTTTCGTTAGGATTGAATTGTGCCTTATTTTTAGTTGATTGTACATTGTTCAGTTACTTTTATTTCTGATTGTGATCTAATTGAATAGTATTGTTATAATATTGATCTATTACTCAGTTGTAACGTACTACATTGTTCACACGATTTATTATGCTGAACATCAGTGTTGTGTGTAAATTTAAAATTCTCACCTCGACCTGAATTTGTTTGGTTGGTACCACTAGAGTAGCTGTTCAAAGCCAGACAATGATCTATTGGATTATAATTAGGATTCTTCAAATACTGATTATGCTATTCTATATACAGATTTTCCAATTGTACTCAATATATTGTTGTGGTATTGTGGAGATCTTTCCTTAAGTCGTTGTAAACTCGCAATCAAATGTTCAAAGGTCCGTGAATAATCTTCGTAATCAAGATTTATACTTTTCCGAAAGTGTTCTAATTATTCTACATTTGATATTCGTCTCTTCCCTGGTTGAGAAAACCTCTGTGTACAAAAGTATTTGAACTCTATTGACGTATGCTAAACTTCACAGACCTCTACATTTTTCAATTCTGACATTGACTACATAACTTGGCAGACTATCTGTTGAATGATTTATTACTGTTGTAGGAGTACGAGCATTTGACCAATGTCAGGGAGAATGCTTTTCCGACGATGATTGGATGAATCCAGAATTTTAGACGGGGAGAAGAGAGAAGGATACATAAACTAGAATATGAAGAGTTAGATGGAGATTAGTAGTTACAAATTGTAATTGCATTTGGATTGGGTGGTTATGACCACTTGGATTGTTGCTAACTGCAACGTCACTCAATTGTGCTACATGGGTACTTGAGCTGTTACCATCTACATGCTCCTCCACATTTTGTAAATCGACGTTGTTCGTTTCGACACTCTCTTGACCACGATTTGGTTGTTGTTGAGAACGTAAAAGTTAAATTGCATCCCAATTGCTGAAATTTCACTTCAGAAAAGAAGACACCGATGATACATTCGTTAAACAACTCTCAATCCAAAGTCCTTCAAATATTTTAGTTAATTTCCTTTGGTAGTTAGGAATATGGAATTGGTACCTTTTTGAAGTGTACCTTTTCTAAGATTATCGAATAATGACATGTTTATTTTATTGACTTGCACTTTCTATTAATGACACACTAAGCAAAACTTGTTCCAACTCCTTTTCACTTATTTCAACTAGTACATTGTAAAAAACCGATTTAAATGCTCCAAATAAAGGCTCCAATAGCAGTACTCAATAACAAGCTATCACTAACTCTGAGGGTATGTTCTAATTTGCCAAAACTCTATTTCTTTGGTTATGCGCATGCTTGCAGCCATTTTTTAATTTTAACTTTAGATCAATTCAAAATATAAATATAAAATATTTTTACTTAATCAAATCAATGACATATTAATTTCAAGTATAATATTAGAAGAACTAATATTTCTAAAAGTCGTTTGATTCATTCCGGAAGTAAAGTTCTAAATATATTTTCGCACCCTAATAGTCATGAGAATCTTGGCTCTTGAAAATGTTGCAATGCCAAGAACTGCGAAAACTAACTAGACCACCATAACGATGAAATTGACATTGATACCTTAGTAGTTACTTAAAGCAGTGAAAGCTCTTGGCATTAAGTTATTCTGCTATAAAGGAAAGTAATGATATCTACCATGAGTGTTAATATTATAATTTCAATAGACACATATTAGAATGAAATCATCTACAGTACTTGTACATCTTTCTAATACGCTCTTGTTTGTAAATGCAATTCATACTCAATTGAAGCCAAGAAAAGACGGAACTATATCTGACTGTCATTTCCATGGCAGCTCGCAGTTCTGCATAGACTCTAATGGTGTAGAAGGTTCAATTATACCACCACCAACTTCTGAGGACAGTGCCCCACAATCATATTCGGGATGTCATGTTCATGGTTCCGATACATTTTGTTTGACCGAAAATGGAGATGAAGTCCAATTTATGGTTGAAAGCACTGATACTCAAACCTCTACATCTTCAACTCCAACCACAGCAGGGAAGAAGAATTGTCATTTCCATGCTGGAGTTGAACACTGTGTAGAAGATGGCCACAATGAACATAATGATGTCGAAGGTGCTTGTGAAAGAACAGACCGGGAGTATAACATTCATTTAAGAATTGGATTACTATTTGCAATTTTGGTCACTAGTGGTATAGGAGTATTCTCTCCTCTTTTGTTAAATAAAGTTCTCAATATCGATTCCAATCATATCATACTCATCATATTCAGTCAATTTGGCACAGGCGTTATTATCTCGACTGCTTTTGTTCATCTTATGACCCATGCTAATTTGATGTGGTCTAATTCTTGCATTAAAGGTAACTCTTACGAATCTACAGGAAGTGCAATTACAATGGCCGGTATATTCATTTCTTTTCTATTTGATTATCTTATCCATTCAACAAAAATGTGGAGAGACAATAAATCACAAATTGATAGTCATGACGAGGAGTCTAAAAACTTTAAAAATTCACCTGAATCAAGTATTGACAATCTTCCAAGAGAAAATGATTCTCCTGACAACATTTCCGTTTTCCTTCTTGAAGCTGGTATTATTTTCCATTCTATTTTAATTGGAATTACATTGGTTGTAGCAGGCGACTCTTTCTTTATAACCCTTTTCATTGTAATCTTATTCCATCAAATGTTTGAAGGATTGGCTTTGGGTTCAAGATTAACCAAATTAGTCAATATTTCTTTCCTATGGAAATCTACAATGGCAATATTATTCAGTATCATCACACCTATTGGTATGGCTATTGGAATTGGTGTTTTACATAAATTCAATGGGAATGACTCTAGTACATTGATTGCCTTGGGAACCTTGGATTCATTTTCAGCAGGTATCTTGGTATATACTGGTCTTGTTAACATGCTTGCAGAAGATTGGAAGTATGGAAACTTATCCAACACAAAACCTTGGAGAGTAGGAGTAGCACTTTTGTCATTGGTTAGTGGAATGATTTTGATGTCCGTTTTAGGTAAATGGGCATGAGCGCAAGATATGGAAATAAAAATAATAAGCAACTTTTTAAAATGTAGGCGGCGAATAAAATTAACAATTTGAAGTTAATCTATTCTTTGGGAATTTATAACCAGCTAACTCCCAAGTAGTAAGGTTATTATTCATGTAGGCATTCAAATGCTTCTGAATGTAGTCATATGTCTTATAATCTGGAGGATCACAAGTAACGTTGATCTCATCTTCCGGTTGGTAGACTCTAACGTAATCGATTCGAAATGTTAATGGGAACAGAAGGGCGGTCCAATCAATATAAGCCCAACTATTCGATATACCAAAGTTCATAATAAGGGACAATGGTTCTTTTGGTATTCTTCTCCATCCAATGTTCCCGTTGGGAGCTAAACTATATGCACCCATAGTGAATGTTGGATCCTCCCCAACGTACCAAGTAATATATCCATCCTTGTCATCATTGAGGTATTCGTATCCATATGTTTGGAATTGCTGACCGGGACCAAATTGGTACCAGGATGTATTCAAGGTTGTCGTACCTGAAATAGCTTGTTGAAACGGCCCACCTGTATAAGTATTCATGGTTGTTACAGACTTGTTATAGATCTCCACAAAGTCGTAGTCAGGCATATACCAAATATCATATGGAGCAACTTGTAATGACTGTGATGCAACACCAAGATGGATTTTCAGATCTATTTCCGCTTCAATTGCATCGATTTCAGGAGCTCCTCTTGCAAGACCAGGGGTAGGGTGATCTTCTCCTTTACATACACAAATATTTAATTTCTGGCCAGGTAAATATGAAATTCCATCTGGAGAAGATTGGTTGGGGGTGATACCAGCATCACACGAGTCATATGTATATGGCCACACACCTTCTGTAGTAGCCATGTAACCCGGTCTTCCCAAATTCCCCATCGACCATAACCCTGGCCATAACCCAGAAATGTTACCATAATTTGGTAGTCTAGCAGATATTTGAAGAAGACCTTGAGTAAAACAAAATTTATTCCATGATTGAAGCATTCCAGAACGGTAAAACAAATTGTGGTTTTTGAAAGCATCCATACGAAGGTTTAAAGTCCCATTTCCAGTAGTAACAGCATCAGGATCGTACCATTCAAGATCCCTTGTAGCTGCATAATTCAAATCAGGAGCGGTAAAGAATTGATCGTCACCTTCATAGAAAGTTCGACCCTCAGTGTTAAATTCATCGGAGAAGACCAACTTCCAATTATTACCATCTTTGTTTTTATGCCAAAAGAACTGTTCTGGAGTATCTGGGTCAACAAGATTCGATCGAATAGCACTGAGAATCGGGTATTGGTATTGCGTCAAGACTTCATATACTTCGGGCTTGGCATGATCTGCAAGGCCCGAATATGTAAACACTGGTAATAAGACGAAAACTCCCAACGCCGCCAAGAATAATACAATGATCCCAATGAGACCGCCCAAGGACTTCCTGTCCATGTTTTTCAAATCATGTTTGAATCTATTTTTATCGTACAACGCGTCTTCGATGGGGTCTGGGTTGTGCAAGTAGTCATCAGGTTCCTTTTCATCTATGGTGAGTGGGAAATTCGATACTGGGTATCCTCCGAACGGACTTGTTCCATCTTCATACACCAAGAATGGATTGCTCTGCGACGAGGAATCTTTGTTTGTTTGAGCGTATGGAGAATTTGAAAAGGTTAAATCTCCCGTACTACCCCCATCTCCACGAGCATTTAGAAGATGGACAGCACTAGGTGAGGTGTTGTTTATATATCTATTATTGTCTTCTTCTTGCATGTTCTCGGACTGGGACGAAGAATGTTGTTGATTCGAACTCAACTCTAACGAAGAAGTTGAGTAAAAATCATTTGGTGTTAAGAATGGATTATCTGGTGGAACAGAGTCATCTCTTTGTGGGGGACCATTTGCAGTCAAATCTCTTTAAGCCATGACTTCTATTCAGTTGTACAAACAAAAAAGTGATTAAAAGAGAGAGAAAAATTTATTTGTTTATTACTTTATAGATGTATAAATATTTGAATTCATCATTCATTCACGTTGGAGAAAGTTAAGAAAAATAAAAAGTCTTGTCCAAATAACACCCTGATAATAATCACAATAAAAAAATGCGTACTCCACAAAATTACTCGTTTTTTTAATGCAACTCGAAACGCCGCATGCGTTGTGCTCGAGATTAATTTTTCTTATCCCAACCAAGCCATGCGCAAACTACACGGACTGGACGATGTTCATAACCGTGCCCTTACATTGAATATGTTCCATATAACTATATTGAACAATCGGGATTGAATGAAGCCCTGAAACTGCCCAATGAAATTTAGTTGTGCACAGCCTTGAATTTGTTTTCGTGGGAATCGTATGAGACAAGAAACTTTTGGGAGGTGATCACAAAGACAGAATTAGGAAATAATACAAAGAAGGAAGAAAGGTTAAAAAACGGTTTTCTTAAAAATAATACAATACTTCAAGATTAATGTTTGCAACAAATTAAACTATTTAAATGAAATTAAAGGGTGATTTATTTTTCCTTGACAGATAAAATTTGTTCAACTGTGTCAATAACAGATTTTTCCAATGAAATGAATTTAAATCCTAGAATTTTTTTCGTCAATTCATTGTTTATAGCAGCCAAAACTTTAGTATGTTCATCAGAAGTTCCTGGGTTCCCAATTGGAAGCTTACCCTTCAAAGTAGGAAAGTTTTCATTAATAATGTCAAGTAAACCTTGAGAAGAAAATCTCTTATCTGAAAGTATTAATCTTTTCGAGTCAGCTTCTTTATTTTCAAATGCAACAATATGAGCTGCTGCTACATCTCTTACATCAATAAAACCGGCAGCATGAGCAGGAACTGGGTCAGTAGACTTCAACTTAATCAAACGGTGTAATATTTCTACTGAAGCATTCATTGTTTCCTTTACTTCTGAATCAAACGCTTGTGGACCGAAAATACAAGCTGGATTGATAGTACAAAAGTTGAATGAAGGCTTTTTGGTTTCTATAATCTCCCAGGCAGCCTTTTCAGCAAAAGTTTTAGAACCAAGATATCCAGTCAATAAATTTTCCTTTGACTGTTCCCAAGTAATATCATTCCATGAAGATTCATCGAATGTAGCGGTATTATCTCTTTCTTTAGACCTAGTAAAGATTGAAGCATATGATGAAGTTAAAACGAAACTTGTTACTTGAGGAGCAAATTCAATAACAGCATTTAAGGCATTTTTAGTCCCTTCAACTGCAGGAATCAAGAAGTCTTTTTCTGGATCAGTCACGTTGAATGATAAAGGAGAAGCTGTATGTAACACAATAGTAATTTCTGGATGGCTTTTCAACACGTCATTAAAAGCGCCTTTAGTCTGAATGTCAGAAATAATGACGTATTCGAAATCTTCCGAATTGAGGTTCTTCTTCAATGCTTCCCCCTTTTCAGTAGATCTCACAGAACCAATGACTTTGTAACCTTTGGTAAGCAATTGTTTGATAAGATGTTGAGCAACGAACCCGGTTGCTCCTGAAAGAAAGACAGTAATTGCAGACATTTTGTAACAGTTTTCTATGTGACTGAAAGATTAAAATTTAACTGGCTAATATAGTACATATTATAATCATTCGGGGATGGGGATTTATGCCTTCAATTTATACTCGGGGTGAATGGTCAAATCAATACCCGAATTAAATATAAAAAGACGGAGTTTACCTGATTTAGATATCTCCGCTTAAATTGACAGCTTGTTTAAAAATAGTTCGAAAGTTGGAATTCTTTTTATTGACACATTCAAGTGGCTTACATACAATTATCCTGGTGGACACATTTGTTGAATTGTACAAAGACTGATACCGTTCTGATCTGATGGTTACCATTCTCTAAAAGTTCTAAAACTTTATACACGATCTTATAAACAATTTCCCTAGCTTTAATTTAACACTATGCTTCATAGTTTCTGCACAAGGTTTTATACTCGTGTCTTTGATGACATCACTCTGTTCACTTCTTTTCTTTGGGTATTCAAATCCCTTCCCATACGGTGACAGACACACGTCAGGGGGCACATGCATCTCCATGTTAACTCCGTAGACGTCTGTTTTGAGAGATATTTAACTCTTCATCCTGTATATAAAAATATTCAGATGTCAAATAACATGGCGGCGGAGGTGGCTTATCTATTTCCGTGTTCTAAACACGGAACTGGAAGTGGATTTGAATACCTAATGAAAATATGAGATGAATGGAAGGATTATATCTCGTACACTAATATAAATATTGGTGTAGAAACGAGGAAGTATAGTTGTAAATAGGGATATTGTTTATAAGATTTCTCTCCCTTCTATCATCAATTCGTTTTCTTCTGAGTTTTAGTCACATATTTATCGAGCCCTATATCAGAGTTAGGGTTGAATTATACAGGTTTATGTACTATCTATAGGGAAATTCAAGTATTAGATTTCGAAACAGTAATTTTAGCTTATTACGTTAATAAAAATGTTGCTGCGGGATGTATAGAGTAAATTTTATGCAGATTGTCTACTATGAAGAGAAAAGCGAACTAAATTTATTTTTTATTTTGTTGACATCGTACCTAGATACTACCATTTACTGTTAAAACTTGTTCAACACTATCAACAACACACTTCTTAAAATCAATAAATTCGAAGTTAAGGATCTTTCTTGTAACTTCATTATCAAAGGTACACAGGCTATCATTGACTTCCTCTTTAGTAGTTGGGGTTCCAACAGGAAACTTGCCTTTCAATGTTGGAAAGTTCTCGTTCAATATATCAAGAATTCCTTGGGATGAAAATTTGCCGCTAGAAAGTAATAACCTCTTGGAGGCGGCTTCCTTGTTTTCAAAAGCAACAATATGAGCAGCTGCAACATCTCTGACATCGATGTAACTCGAAGCTAATTGTGGAACTTCGTCACCTTCCCTCAACTTGATAATGTTGTTGATGACTTCAGCAGAGGTGTTCAAAGTGTCCTTAACTTCAGAATTGAAGGCTTGTGGACCGAAAACGTAGATTGGGTTGACAGTTGTCAATGTGAAATTTGGCTTTTTAGTCTCTACAATTTCCCAAGCAGCCTTTTCAGCAAATGCCTTTGAACCAGCATAACCAGTTAAAATGTTTTCCTTTGCTTGCTCCCAAGTTGTCTCATTCCATGAAGATTCATCAAAAGTCGCGGAACTATCATTTAACTTAGACATTGTAAAAATTGCAGCACATGATGAAGTAACGACCACATTTGTAACTTGAGGTGCATATTCAATAACTGCATTCAAGGCATTCTTAGTACCTTCAACTGCTGGGATTAAAAAGTCCTTTTCTGGATCAGTGACGTTAAATGACACAGGAGACGCAGTGTGCAAGACAATGGTAATTTCAGGGTGGTTCTTGAAAACTTCATTGAAGGCACCTTCAACTTGAATGTCACGAACAATGACGTATTGAAATTTGTCTGAGTTCAAGTTCTTCTTTAAGGCATCACCCTTTTCAGTAGATCTGACAGTTCCAATGACGCTGTATCCCTTAGCAATCAATTGCTTGATAAGATGTTGAGCGATGAAACCAGTTGCTCCGGAGACGAAAACAGTAGTTGCGGCCATTTTTCAATAAAAAGACTATTTATTTTCAATGTTATTTCCTTGTGAAAGTGAATATTCGAATTCTGAAGGAATTATTTAGTGGTAAATGAAGTGTCGGTTAGGTTAATTTATATATACCCTACTTAAGTTCCGGTACGGACTTATGCAAGTCCCAAAGTTCCGAAAATCAGTTCCATCATCTCTCTCGGTATTACGAAAAAAAAAAAACCTAAATAGGAATACACTCGTGAAAATACCAATACACGTTTGTTAATATTCCGAAGCAATATTAGCGGCATATACATGGCTCATATTAGCAAGTATTCAATTGGGTATTAAGTTCTAGATTTATCTAAATCTAGAATTATCCAAAAGGATCAAACTAACGTTTTGAACTACACATGTAATGATTCTTTTTTTTTTGAACTTTCATGTATTTACCCCATACTACGTCCCAAGTGAATTCTAGACGCATGCTAAGCCACATATATGTTATGTTATAAAAATTTTATACTATATTTAAATTTTGCCTTTGACCGCTAAAACTTGTTCTACGCTATCAATTATACACTTCTTTAAATCAATAAACTCAAATCCAAGGATCTTTCTAGTAGCATCGTTATTAAAACGAGCCAACTTGTCAGTGTCTTCCTTGGAAGTTCCTGGTTTTCCAACTGGAAGTTTGCCCTTCAATGTAGAAAAGTTTTCGTTTAATACCTCAAGAATTCCTTGAGAAGAAAAAGTCGAACTAGAAAGTAGCAATCTCTTAGAGGCGGCTTGCTTATTTTCGAAGGCAACAATGTGAGCAGCAGCCACATCTCTTACGTCAACAAAACTAGCTGCAAGGGCTGGGACATCGTCAGTACTTTTCAATTTAATTATATTGTTGATAATTTCAGCAGAAGCATTTAAAGTATCCTTGACTTCAGAATTGAATGCTTGTGGACCAAAGACATACATTGGATTAACTGTAGTCAAGGTGAAATGTGGCTTCTTTGTTTCCATGATATCCCAAGCGGCCTTTTCAGCAAAGGTTTTCGAACCAATATATGCAGTTAAAGCGTTTTCCTTAGCTTGTTCCCAAGTGATTTCATTCCATGAAGATTCATCAAATGTAACGGAAGCATCTTTCTCTTTAGATAAAGTATAAATTGAGGCACAAGACGAGGTGACCACGACATTGGTGACTTGAGGAGCAAATTCAATGACTGCGTTCAAGGCATTCTTGGTACCATCAACAGCTGGGATCAACAAGTCCTTTTCAAAATCTGTAACGACGAATGATAAAGGTGATGCAGTATGTAAGACGATGGTAATCTCTGGATGGTTCTTGAAGACTTCATTGAAGGCACCTTCAACTTGAATGTCACGAACAATGGCATATTGGAATTTATCAGAATTCAAGTTCTTCTTCAAGGCATCACCCTTTTCAGCAGTTCTAACTGATCCAATGACATTGTAACCCTTAGCAATCAATTGCTTGATGATATGTTGAGCAATGAATCCATTTGCACCCGAGACAAAAACAGTAGATGTAGCCATTATTAATTAAAGAATTTTTTTGATGTTCAATATTATTTTCTTTACGAATGGTGTTATTGAAAAATGGAAGTTGGGTTCCATTTATATATATCTATATATGTCTTTAAAGTTCTAAACCTTTCCGTACGGAACTTAGCAACTTTCGAGTGGTCTTCTAATTTTCGCCTTCTAGGTCTGGAAAAAAAAAAGATATCCCAAATAGGAATAGCTCCGAACCCGGATGATAAGCATGGAACATTCTTTCTCCAAAAAAATAAGAATTTCTGCAAGTTGACACGTTGTACAGGGACCCTTCCTTTAAGGAATATGGTTATATGATTTCAGAGTACGACGACTTCTTAGAGTCGTTGTGAGGTATTTCCACGTCAGTAGATTCCCAATTTAACATCCGGAACCCTGATAAATGGAAATACACTCCCTTTTTCTCATCTCTTATTTTTTTTTTACATAGCTACATGTTATAATAATATCACAATATTTATCATTAACACATATTTACAATTTAAATACTACCGTTGACGGCTAAAACTTGTTCAACACTATCAACGATACACTTCTTGAAATCAATAAACTTGAATCCAAGGACTTTTCTGGTGAAATCGTTGTTAATAGTAGCCAACTTGTCGGTATCTTCCTTGGAAGTACCTGGCTTTCCAACAGGAAGCTTACCCTTCAAAGCAGGGAAGTTTTCGTTCAAGATGTCAAGAACACCTTGGGAAGAGAATCTGTCGGTATGGAGAATCAATCTCTTGCAAGCAGCCTCCCTGTTCTCGAAAGCAACAATATGCGCAGCGGCAACGTCTCTGACGTCGACGAAACCCGCAGAGTGGGCTGGGATTTCATCGCCTTCTCTCAACTTAAGAATGGAGTTGATAACTTCAGCAGAGGTGTTCAAAGTGTCCTTAACTTCGGAATCGAAAGCTTGTGGACCGAAAACGTAGATTGGGTTAACAGTGGTCAAAGTGAAATGTGGCTTCTTGGTTTCCATGATTTCCCAGGCTGCCTTTTCAGCAAAGGACTTTGAACCAATGTAACCAGTCAATGCATTTGCCTTGGAGTCTTCCCAAGTCATTGGGTTCCACGAAGATTCATCGAAAGTGACAGAATTGTCATATTCCTTTCCCCAATCGGCAATGGCAGCGTATGAAGAAGTGACCACGACATTGGTGACTTGAGGAGCGTATTCAATAACAGCGTTCAAGGCGTTCTTGGTACCTTCAACGGCAGGAATCAACAAGTCCTTTTCTGGGTCAGTGACATTGAATGTGAATGGAGAAGCAGTGTGCAAGACAATGGAAATTTCTGGGTGGTTCTTGAAAACTTCATTGAAGGCACCTTCAACTTGGATGTCACGAACAATAGCATATTGGAACTTGTCGGAGTTCAAGTTCTTCTTCAAAGCATCACCCTTTTCAGTAGATCTGACAGTTCCAATGACATTGTAACCCTTAGCAATCAATTTCTTGATGAGGTGTTGAGCAATGAAACCAGTTGCACCTGACACAAAAACAGTAGTAGAAGACATCTAGTATGAGTTTATATTTGTTATTTATATAATTGAGTATTCAATTGATAAATAGTGGGGGATAAGAAGGACTTTGTAGCTAGCTTTTATACCCTCTTACCATTACTAAGTTGAGTCTCGGCCGGGGCACGTCATACTACCTGATGTCACAAAAAGAGAAACGGATCTGTCCCAAATAGGAAGAGATCCGAGCACCGGAAGTTAAATGGAAAAACTAAACTTCCGAGAGCAAATGAACTTCCGGTGTGTTAAGAGTTTGTGCATAATGCAAAACGTTGTATTTACACCCACGCTCCTGAGAACTTTGCATCCAAATCTAAAATAGGAAATTAGCGTTAAGAGTTGTACCAAGGTATTACTAATGGTGACTATTGTAAGATCTCACTAACTGGGCTATACCTGGCGAATGTAAGGATGTAATAGGGCAGTTTGTCACTAACATGAATGTTGTTACAGGTGTCTGACAATTCTAGATTAGCCAAACACAGGATTTAGCATAAGTGTTGAGGTTCATCTAAAATAAGAGCCCCTATGTCAAGGGGAATCCTATATAACTCGTGCATGCTCTTTCTGTGGGGCGAATGATTTTTTGCACGATGCTTCAAGTCTGATTTGGTTTTGATTCCAATTGTCTTTGACTGATCCGATGTTTATATGTTTTCTGAAGGCGTAGTAGCATCTGGATCTCTATCAATAGAGATTTCAGTTGTATTCTTCGCTTGAGAGCACTTCTATGGACTCCTTCTACTAAGTATTCAGTGTCTATAATTTCATTTCTATCGTATCTATATAGTATATTTAAAGCTTTCCGTTAACGGTTAAAACTTGTTGAACGGTGTCAACAACGGATTGCTTCAAGCCAATGAATTCAAAGCCAAGAATCTTCTTGGTGGCTTCGTTGTTAACAGTGGCCATTTTGTCAGTAATTTCCTTGGAAGTACCTGGCTTACCAACTGGAAGCTTACCCTTCAAGTAGGAGAAGTTTTCGTTCAAGATATCAAGGAGAAGTTGGGAGTTGAATCTCTTGTTACAGAGTAACAATCTCTTGGAGGCAGCTTCCTTCTTTTCAAAAGCAATGATGTGAGCCGCAGCAACATCTCTAACATCAATGAATCCACCAGTGGTTTCTGGGATAGCATCATTGGCAGTCAACTTGGCAACACTGTTGATCATTTCAGCAGAGGTGTTCAAAGTGTCCTTAACTTCAGAATCGAAAGCTTGTGGACCGAAAACATAGTTTGGGTTAACAGTGGACAAAGTGAAGTGTGGCTTCTTGGTTTCCATAATTTCCCAGGCTGCCTTTTCAGCAAAGGTCTTAGAACCAACGTAACCAGCCAAGTTGTTTTGCTTGGCTTGTTCCCAAGTGATTTCGTTCCATGAAGATTCGTCGAAAGTGACAGAACTGTCTCTTTCCTTGGCGATCGTCAACACAGCAGCGTAAGAAGAAGTGACAACAACATTGGTGACTTGAGGAGCGTATTCAATAACGGCATTCAAGGCGTTCTTGGTACCTTCAACAGCAGGGATCAACAAGTCCTTTTCTGGGTTAGTGACATTGAATGTGAATGGAGAAGCAGTGTGCAAGACAATGGTAATCTCTGGGTGGTTCTTGAAAACTTCGTTGAAAGCACCTTCAACTTGGATGTCACGAACAATAGCATATTGGAACTTGTCGGAGTTCAAGTTCTTCTTCAAAGCATCACCCTTTTCAGTAGATCTAACTGATCCAATGACGCTGTATCCCTTAGCAATCAATTGCTTGATGAGGTGTTGAGCAATGAAACCAGTTGCACCTGAGACGAAGACAGTTGTAGACATTATGATGTATTTAAATTTATTGTTTTAAACAAAGTTAATTGAATGGATAGCAAAAATTATATATAATCGCAAATAAGTGTGGTTCTTAAATACTTTTGAACGCTTATATCAATTACTAATACATCGGTGCTTAACTTATATTTTCCCGATGATGAGATGCTGCAAGTAGTGGCCGTGCCGATTTCCATCACCTTCCATTTTTTAATATTCGATTTCTAGAAGTGAACATGTCACCCAAATAGGAAAAAACTCCGAATTTCTGCGGCTTAATAGAAACCCTTCCAAAAAAAAGAAATAAATAGTTGTGTCAACGTTGGGCTGCATAACTGCTATTACGTGTGTGTGCTTCTCCTATTAGTGGCAACTACAACAGTGTCATTTTCCATCTTAAAACTTACCTCAAGGGTTGTTTTCTTAAGATCAAACTACGCAAGTGAGAAGGTTTTGCCAATTGAAAAGTACCACCCTGTTAGTTCCTTGGCATTCAATTTCTTTTTTTTTCTTTTCGTTTTTTAGCTTTATATATAGAACGAGACATAGCCTAGAATCAATGGTTAGACGAAGCAACTCATCCATAGATAGATATATATCCAAAATCATGTCATTAAGTCTTCGGGATACATGCAGTGATACGAACTCATTCAATGGCGAATACCTCAACTTGAGAATATCCTCTGTCTTTGTAATTCTCGTAGCTTCAGCGTTGGGGGCTTTTCTTCCCCTTATTGCAGCATACAATCCTTACCTTCAATTCCCCGGATGGTGTTTCTTTATTACAAGGTACGTTGGCTCTGGAGTCATTGTAGCTACCGGGTTCATACATCTTCTTGCCGAAGCGCAGCAGGCGCTTAGTGATCCATGTCTTGGAGGGGTGTTGTCAGAGTATCCATGGGCAGAAGGAATTGCGTTAATGGGGGTGTTTTTAATGTTTTTTTTCGATATTGTAGCACATAAGAAAGTTGCAGAAAGATCTAGAGCTAAAGAGACAGAAGATGATAATTATTCAATAGAAGAATGTGAAGTTAAACAGTTCAATAAAGTGGTTCAGAACAGTGACAACCTGGACCTGACGTCACTGGTTGGCGGAGAATTTACAGAGAAGAATATGTATGAACAAATTCTAAATGCCTTTGTACTAGAATTTGGTATAGTATTCCATTCAGTGTTTGTTGGACTTTCACTTGCAATTGCTGGGAATGAATTTATTTCATTATATATAGCAATTGCATTCCATCAGATGCTTGAAGGGCTCGGTCTAGGCACTCGGTTTGCCATGACTAAATGGCCCCAAGATAGACAATGGGTCCCTTGGGTTTTGGCATTGTGCTATAGTTTAACTACACCAGTTGCTATTGCAGTGGGGCTCGGAATTAGACATACATACCCACCAGGGTCTAGAACTGCTTTGATAACCACAGGGGTCTTTGATGCGCTATGTGGAGGTGTTTTAATATATAATAGTCTTGTAGAACTCATGGCTTATGATTTCATGTATTCTTCACAGTTTAAAGATGATGTATCCATGAAAAGAATGTTTGCTGCTTACATATGTTTACTGTTGGGTGCAGCTGCTATGGCATTAATAGGTAAATGGGCTTAAATAATAATTAAGTCTTTTATATTATCACTAAATACTAATTACAACTTGTCAAAGTCAACCAAAACAGATCTGTATCTAACATCACCTTGGTCCAACTTCTCCAAAGCTGTAGCAACACCTTCTTTACTGATTGGAATCTTTTCAATCCATGGTCTGACATCCTTTTCAGCGGCAAGCTTAAGCATAGCCAAGGCTTCTTCTCTACCACCAAGTAAAGATTGGCCAACCTTTGCTTCATTAGTGGCCATATCAAATGGCTGGATTTCAACCTTTTCATCTACAGGAGGAAGTCCAACAGAAACAAAAGAGGCACCCACTTTCAAGGAGGCCAAGAATGGCTTTAATTCAAGTTGAGAAAAGTTTGCAGCACAATTCAAAATGAAGTCAAATCCATCATAATGATCCTTGTCGAAATCTGGAGTTTCCTTAGTTGAAATAAATGAAGAAGCACCCAATTTAAGAGCGTCTTCCTTCTTGGAGGTACCTCTGGAAAAGGCGATGACTTCAGCGCCCAAGGCCTTGGCGAATTGCACAGCCAAGTGACCCAAACCACCGATACCAACAATACCAACGGTCTTGCCAGTAGCATCCTTACCCAAGTTTCTCACAAGTGGAGAGTAAACTGTGAGACCAGCACACAATAATGGAGAAGCTTCAGCAGATGTAATCTCTTCAGGAACTGGGAAAACAAAGTGTTCATGACTGATAGCGTGAGAGGCGTATCCACCTTGGGTGATGTAACCACCAGACTTCTTGTCTGGGGCATTGTATGTGTCAATTTTTTCCTTACAGTATTGTGGGTTGTTGCTGGCACATCTGTTACAGTCCAAACAAGAGTTGGACATGGCACCGATACCTGCTCTATCACCAACCTTGACGTTCTTGACCTTGTCACCAACCATGACAACTTCACCTACAATTTCATGACCTGCAACCAAGTCCTTTCTTTGTAAATCACCCCAATCACCCTTTACAGTATGAAGGTCACTGGCACAAACACCACATGTTTCAATCTTGATTACAACATCTTCTGGTAGAACCTTCTTTGGCTCATATTCAACAACACTTGGTTTGTTCCAATTTTCTGGCTTGTCGACACCGACACCTTTAAATTTATCTGGGATTGATCCTGGCATTATTATCTATAATCTGATTTTTTATCTATACTACAGTTACTACATTCTACAATATCAGGAGTCGAAACTTATTTACTTTATATTAAATGCATTCAGCAATTGTAAATTGGTGTTCCAAAATGATTGCTAATGTTCGCGATTCTAGATGAAGTTATAGCAACTTTAACCCATTTGGTCCGAATTCCGCACCAAGTATTGTATCATAGCACATTAAACATGTCGTATATTGGGGGTATTTCAAGACTCCCATTCCCCATCATGCCATAAAATTCAATTTTCCTTGCTATTGTCTATTTTTGGAAGTACTGAGCTAAAACTTAATTTTAGTTTTCTTCTACAATTGTTGCACATAAATATATGCATATATTAAAGTTAAATACACTTCCATACTTACTATCTTTAGTAAAAAAAGCTGCAGTTTCACATACAAACCCTTTCTTTCAAAATGGGCCAATGTTAGTAAATTTTCGTTAACAAGTTGTGTAGACGTTTAGTGGAAAGATTGTTACTATTTCATTTAATTCATTCCCTCTTATCGTTCTCTAGTACTTTACTCATCGTCTTCAATATCAGTCTCCAAGTCGCACATCGATCTGCAATTTGGACAATAAAATTGTGGATAACTTTTTATAATGATAGGTCTAATACATTTGTAGTGCCAAGAATGTGAACAAGGACTGATAAATAATGCTTGACAAGGTTCGAGTTTTAAGAGACAAATTGCACATTCAGAGAGATCGTCAGAAGCAAGGGCTCCACCTAATGGGTTCAATTTCAAATCTTGACCGAGTTGGTCATTGGGATTTATAGCCAAATTTTTCAATTTCTTGTGAATTTCCAAATTAAACTGATTTACTTTACGTTGCCAACTCTTGTTGAATTCACAGCGCATCTTAACACATCGATAGACTTCTTCAGTTCCCCCTCGATAATCCATCCCCAATTGAATTATATCTCCGTCGATTAGTGGCATCAACGTCAGTTCTTGTGAAGCCGGGGATAACCGGATATGATTAAGAAAAGTTCCTGATGAAGATTTACAATCCTTGAGAAACCATTGTCCATCATCATTACATTGGAACAATGCATGTGTACGGGAAACCACTTTAGATTTGAATACAATGGGTGATGATGACCCTTGTGGAGCATGTGCTGCAGATTTATTTTTTTCAGTATATCTTCCAATAGAAATTTCATTCTTTGGCTTCATTTTTCGTATTATTGGAGCAAAATAAAGCCCAGAAGTTGAAGAAGAATGGTCAATTAAAGGAGTCAATCTCACTGAAAAGAACCCATCCTTGTCGATACCGTTCGATTCAATAGCAGCAGTTGTCGATGCTGCAACTACATCTGGTGCAAGTACAGCTCCACCACCGGTAGACAGCGCTTCCTCCACTGCACTAAGAACACTGCTTCGTGGTTCCGTTTGGGTTGGGGTGACTCCAGGTAACTCTTCATCCAGGTCACTGCTGCTATTATTACCAGAAATTCCGGATGTGATGCGAAGACCACTAACTCCGTTAGGGCCATGTTGTACGTTGTTTTCATTAGGGTCATTAGATACATTAGGGGCGGCATTTGAATATGAATTCAAATTTGCAATCGTGGGACTATTCGACATAAAATTATGAGGCGAGTCCTGTGGGATAGGAGGACTACTTCTTTCATTATGCGTAGCATGTTCGTCTACTGAATTGCTACCCAAATTGTTATTGCTATTGTTGTTATTGTTGGCTGGGTTAGTTCTTATTGAATTTGTAAATGAACTTAGGAAGTTTAAGCCAAATGACGATCTTCTTACCACTGTAGGGGGGCTTTGACTTGAATTGTTAGCCGTGCCCTGGTCTCCATTGGAGGTTGTTGCAGCTGTTCCGTTTTTCGGGATGTTGATGAATTTACTACCCAGTATGTCTGCCTTGCTGCTGTTATTGCTACTCAGAAGTAAACTTCCAGACCGGTGGACCACAGGAGGCGTGTTTCTGCCACTTCCTGGCTGAGAAACTGGTGGTGAGTTTTTGGGGAAATTATTCTCAGGCTCTCCGATTGACATGATTTCTATATCTCTCTGAAATATATATTGTCAAAGGTAATATCCTATTCTAAACTAGTCACCTCTATAACAAAACAATACAAATGTTTATGTAAAATTCACAAAAAAAAAATAATATTGAGTATGTGTTAGTGTGCTCCTGATGTTTACGAACAAAATGTGATCAAAGAAAAAACTGTCGTATTACCTCAAGCGAAAACTACCGAATGTTGCAAGAGTTCTATAGACGTCTGATATATCCTAAACTGGGAGTTAAACGATTCTACCAACCTAAGAGTCGCACGGAATCTTGTAGAACTATTATATCGTTGTTATGATCTCATATCCCTATTGAGTAAATCGCCGTCAAACACTAACAAAAGTCAGCCAGCATGCAGCTTTGTGTGATTGACATGTATACAGGAAAGCCCCCTCATTCTCTCACTTTTCTTAAACTCCTATTAATATTACCCCTTTCCTACAAAGGTTAATATTTGTACATGATAAGATTGTACGTAAAACAAGTTATAGAGTTAGACTCCTTATGAATTACAGAGTATAAAATCGCTCAAAATAAAAAAAAAAATAAAAATAAAACATAAAATATGTTGAAACTTTGCAGTCTATTGCTGTTTGTGAGATAACCAAGTATGTGTGTTTCAAGTTAAAGCAAAGTTTAAAAAGTGTGGTGGATTGTATTCACTTCTAATTTACGCGGGACATTATGTAAGTGGTAAACCCATTGTATTAGAAATTGGACTATCGAATGGATATCTGTTTGTTTTTTTTTTCTTCTCTGTACTCTATGATGTATGAGTACACACTCTCTCTTTCTCTATTGTCTACATTGGGAATGGCAATAACTATTAAATTAATAGTACTAATTAATACATTTATTACATCTTCATTTATTTAATCTCCTTTTGGGTGCAAAATCGTAATGTTTCTCTTCCACTTAATAATTACTCTTTTCACTAACAAGACGTAACAATAATTGTTGCAACTGAGTTTTACCCTTTGGACTCTTCCAAATGAAATGATCACTATTTTCAGCAACTACCCATTCGATAGAATTATCACTAAGTTTAGTTAATTCCCGTTGCCATTTACCCCAGTTCAAGGAATTCTTCACCATAAAATCTGATGAAATGACACTCAAAGGAATGTCATGAATGTCAGTTCCAGATATCTCATTGTAAGATAAAATAGAAGAAGTAATTTGTTCTTGTAAACGTGCTCTAATGTATTTGGACGACCAATACATGTCCTTTCCAAAGATCCGGCTATTGGAAGAATGTTTACGTGGATGGAAGATCCAATGAAGGTTGGTAACAACCCCTAAAGGTGACACAACACCCTTAAGCCAAAGTTTGAATCCAGTTCTAGTACTCATGATTTCAAGAATATTCTTAAACACTCGAGGGTTTTCATTTTTACGGTTGTTGCCACTGAAGGGATCCTTTTTAAGTAAATCCTGATGCCAACTGTCAACCAAAAGCATTGAATGGATTTTCCCCGGGTTTCTAGAAGCAAACATTCTAGAATACAATCCACCAATGTCAAACCCAACTAAACTAAATGGACCTTCAATTTTCTCATGACGTAATGCTTCAATTAAATATTCAGTGGCAATTCCAATAGATACTGGTGAAGGTGCACTATCTGAGAACCCATAACCAGGACGGTCCCAAATACAATATCTATCAATTTTATTCAAATGGAAAAGTTCTTCGACCCATTCTTGGAATTCTTCACTTGAAGTCAATTGACCTCCTTCAATAAGAATTATAGGTTGTTTTGGGTCTTTTGGTTCCTTTGGATCTTTATTATTATCAGCTGCTGGGCTGGTGACATCTCCAAAGCATGCCAAATGGACCTTAAATTCATCATTATTCACAGAAACCATCTTACCCCAAGGCTTTTCATGAGAATCAAAGGCCAGAATCCAAAGAGTTAAACTAATATTCCATACAAGGATGACTACTACTAATTTAACAATAGTCTTGATAAAAATGACAAATAATTCAGTGACAGTTCTTCTAGTTTCTTGACGACCTGTATATTTAATTTCTTGATATATTTTACCTTGTTCAACCCAATAATCAACCATTGAATTGAAAATAAAGTTACCAAAGGTCCACAAGACTGTAAAGATACCAATCAATCCAAATTGATCACGCATGTATGGAATGGTGAACACAATAATGAAATCAAAGGCAATCAAGCCGGCGCTAACATATCCAAGAATACGTTCATAATAGGATGGGATACTAAAACACCAAAGTGTAAGGACATTACTCAATCCACAAAGAGTAATTAACATAAGTTCTAAAAATGATTTCCCCCGATTATTCAAACCTGGAATTGCAATGAAATCAGATAGAAGAAATGCGAAAAATAAGACACTATTTATCAAGAGAACACCAATTGTAACCACCCTTAATGCTCGAACCTTGTACAAATTCATAGGAGAAACTAAGGGGTCATCTGGAGAAAGATGTTGGTGTTCAATCAACAGTTGTCTTTCAGAGTTTGAAGCCGTTTCAATGACATCTTCCTCATCACGAGGCCTCTGCAGAGCCATCGAGGATTCTTCCTGGGAAATTGATTGATATTCACTCATCCACTGAACAAGTTAATCTTAGTGAGAACTTTTAAAGGGTAACTAATAATTAGAATTATTAGATAGTTTATTTTTGCAATCAATTATAATTAATGAGTGACAGAGCAACATATAATTATAGCAATCTCGTATATGCAGGAAATATGACGTTTTTTCTTTTTTCAATTTAGAATTTTAGATTAAGAAATAAGGTAAATGGTGTAAAACCAATCATTTGAACAATATCTCAGAGTTGATAGAAAGAGAATTCATTAGAGTTATCAAAGAGGAAAATAAAAATTGTGTGGTAGCTAATAACTCATTTGCACATTGATAGTTACGTTTTTTTTTATTTTTTATCATCATTTTATTTTGATCACATGACTTAGTCGATAAGCCTGCAAATAACTCAAATAGTAGATTTCGTCTTACTAAAGAGGAGAGCATACATTATATTGTAATATACTAAATACACCTCCTATATATACTTGAATTAAACCTTTTTAGAAACTCGCTATCTGTACCACTACCAATTACCATATATTTGTGATATGGTTGATATAGCAAGTATACCAAATACATCTGTGGACCGTGATGTTGTATATTATCATGTTGTTATCAAATTACCATTAAGGGCAACCACAGTATTGAAAAGATATTCAGATTTCCTGATATTAATCCAGAAGCTTAGTAAAGACCTTGGGATCAATATTAAAGACTTTCCATATCAAATTCCCGGGAAAAGTCTGAAATGGTTTACATCTAAAGATGTGATTATACAGGAAAGGAAGGAGGGATTTATCAAGTTTTTAAATGAAATAATACAAGACAAAGATCTTCAGAATCATCCATTGATACATTCATTCTTGGAACTCCCAGTGAATTTTGAATTCACTGCATCTGTTTTCAATAATCCTCAGAATGGTACAACTAGTAAAAACATTCATGATTTACAAATATCTGATGTGCGACAATTGGATACTATCAAATGGTTAGAGTTATCCAGAAAGTTCAAATTCCATATTCAAGACCTTATTGAGTCATATGAATCAAAAGGTGCTTCTATACTGCTGAAAGTCAGTACTCGAGAAAAGATTAACAAGATAGTACGACCCAATTTATTGAAATTGGAAGAGGCATTGAACTATAATATACAGAGAAAACAAATAGACCAATTGGAGCGTAATAAAAGACAGAGCATAATGAAGGAAATCCATTTTGAACTAACTAGGTTGACTCAAATGTTAGAATCTTCTAGTACCTCTAAAAGAGACGATTTGTTCAATAATAACAATAATAGCACAAGACGTATCTTTGGTGGTAATAACTTACAGAATAATGACACGGCACAAGAAACAAACGATACATTACCACTAAATAACACAGAATTGCTACAACAACAAGTCCAAGTGCACAAACTTCAAGATCAAGAATTGGAACAACTACGGAAAATAATTCAAAGACAAAAGCAAATTGGAGAGGTCATTAACATTGAAGTTGAAGAACAAAATGAACTTTTGGATCAATTCAATGAAGATGTAGAGAAATCTGCTGATAAATTACGAAATGCTAGAGGTAGAGCTCGTAAGATAGGCTAAAAATAATTAAATCTATTCATCCAAATTAATATATCTACCATTAAGTTCTTGACTTAATCTATTTAATAAATCTATATTTTCAGATAATCCAGTAGAAACCAAATCTTGAGGAGAAATATGAATATTTGTAGCTTCAATCAACTTTCTCAATGATTCAATTGAATTCAAATTTCTTCTTTGGAATGATCCCGAGGTACGTTCTTCAAGATTCCAAAATCCTTCAACATTATTATATAAGGTCGCCAAACCATATCTTCTTGGTGGGTATGCTCTACCACAATTTTCTAGATTGAAGATACTTGGGAAATATTGGTAATAGAAAAAAATTGCAACTGTAGAACCAATGATTGAACCACCAATGACATCTCTGAGGAAATGACGATTATCACTAATTCTAGTGCAAGCAACAAAACATGCAAGTAATAACGGGAGAATAACCAATATTACATGTGATGAAATCCCTCGTCTATCAAATACTTGAAGTTTCCCACATATATTTAAACTTACAAGAACCATAGCACAGAAGACTGTCAGCAGATGACCACTAGGGAACGAACGGAATCCATCCATTAGTAATGGCAAGTCATCATTTGTGCAAATCTCTATGGTTGCCAATTGTCCAAATGGTAGTACCGAGACACTCGGTAAGCATCGAGATATTAGATCGGGGCGGGGTAAGCCACATATGTTTTTCAAAAGTATGGTAATTGTTAATTGAGTGACTTGACTCCCACATAATGACAATAATCCGCAAAATATATCCCAAAGTCTCCTTTGGAGACTTAAAGATTTCCGGAAAGCACTAAGACTTACAATTATTATAATTGGGATTCCAAGAGATATTAATACAAGTATTGGAATGGGAATAGCAGTCAGTTCTTCGCCTTTGTAAGAATTCATCAATGAAATATCATCCAACAGGAACTCATGGAACCTTGGTGTAATATTTGACCCAAAGAGCAACATCAACACCTAAACCGTTCCATATAAAACCCAATCTATCATATAGGAGTACGTTGATAATGCTGATAATTGGTACCTTCCTACATTGATAGGATGATCTAACATGACCGAGTGGTTTGTCTCTTGTGCTTTTTTGGCTGCAAAAAAGAATAAGAGAAGTGATCACTACGAAGGGGAGGGTTCTTAAGATAGGTTTTCAGATGAAATTGATAGATTAAATCAAAACACAATACTACTTCTACCCAGATGAATAACTCTATACTTGGACCGATTGTTTGCTTCTTAAGGTTATACCTTATATTCTTTATATTTGTGACATTCTTAGAGCCTCTTAAAGTATGAATCCACGCCCGCAGAAAATAAATTCCGGGTAACTGTCTTCATACAAACAATTTTTTTTTTTTTTCATTCATATTTTTACAGCACAAATAAAATTTGTTACCAAAATTTTTTAACATTATTTTTACAACACTACTTCTTTTCTAAATTCTCTATAACAAGTTTATGGTATGTTTTTATAATCCTAGATGCATTTAATGATGATAAAACTTCGCCTTTTTCGATTTCCATGAGAAGACAAAAAGTTACACCAAGATCTACGCTGATAAATGCAAAACAAATTTCAATTTATGTTTTTACTTTAAAATTCATTTTACTAACAAACTTAGTGATCATTTTATAATATTACTTATTTAATAAAATACATAAACAGATATCAAGATACTTTGTAGACGAAATAGTAGAAGAAAAGAGACCTTTTAATTAATGTTGTATATATTAAGGGGATAGTAAATCAGAAATGTACGTTGATCTAATGAACAGTATAAATACAAAGAAATACTGGAATATATATATTAAATTATAAGAAATGGGTCTTTTATATAAAATTACTATGAATTACTTAAAAACATAAGTTTTATCAACTTAATTAATGTTAACAATACAATAGTTATTCTCAAAATGTGTATGGCTTACAAGAAATTTTTTAAATCCTATAACAATGGTAGTTTGTAATTGGATTCTCAATCAAAAAAATTACGGTTATTCAAGCCTTGAATGAATCCCAATGTTTTCTAGGTTGATCTTGCAATTAAAACCTATGAGACTCTGCTTAAATGCTCATTTTGGTCATTCTTCTAATAAATAATCTCTAACTTATATATGACTAAGTAGATGATGCTTCATCATACAGTAGGGAATTCTTTTGTTTTAAACAATTGTGGGTGTTCCCCTCTTAAAACATCACCCCAACGTCTAATCCCATCTTCAATTTGCTGTTCGTTTAAAAGACTTAAAGATAAACGAACACAATTTCTTCCCCATTCTCTACCATCTCCAACAACTTCAAATGAATCTCCCAGTGCCAAGGTGATATTATAATCTTGTTTAAGCTTGCGAACAATCAGTCTATGATCAATGTCAGCATTAATATCAACCCAAAAGAAGTATCCACCATCACCTCCAAATAATTTGGTGCTTTCAGGTAAATATTTCTTAATACAAGCAATCAACTTGATGGAACGAGATTTATAAACAGTTTTAAATTTAGAAATAATCTCATCTAATTTACCTGTAGTAATAAATTCTTTAATTACAAAAGTGGAAAGTTGCCCTGGAGTACCTCCAGACTTGTTTGCACCTGATGTGGCAAGTTGTTGGACCAAATTTGGGGTGGCAGACTCTTGCCATCCAACCCTTAATCCAGGAGCCACAAGTTTAGAAAATGTAGCGTTGGAAATAGAATTACCGTATTTAGTGTAGGATGGGAGTGAGTCACGATCCAAATAAACCACTCGGGGCACAGGTGTAGACTCGATATTCTTATAATCAAGTAACTCGTACACATCGTCACTAGCCACCAATACGTCGTACTTTCTGGCAAGTTCAAGAAGCTTTAGCCGTGTCTTGACGGAATAGGTAAGTCCTCCAGGGTTGGAGAATGTTGGAACAATATAAATAATGAAACGGTACTTCTTGGCTTCACCTCTACCACAAGGATCCAGTGAGACATTGATATCTTTACCATTGGGTAATTCCAAGCCTTCACTGTATTTGATCAAATCTTGTTCAAGAGTTTCCAAATCAATTTCGTACTCTTGTCCTGGGGTTTCATTGATGGCGGTGAGTTTACCCTCGTATCCAGCATCTATAAATGCACCATTGATAAGATAGTAACAAGGTGAAACAATAAATGCCCTCTTGGTAATCCCCAGACCAACATCTGTAAAAGATGCTAAAATGTTAGCAAATCCATAAGATGCTCCTCCAGTCAAATTAATACAATTTGGGTCAGTTCCAGACCTACCAAAGGACTTATCGTTCCATCCTGCAATGGCTGCACGTGTATCGTGGTTACCAGGATCGGTACCATATGAAAGTGGATGTTGGTTCAAAGGATCAGTCTCATACGATTTGTAATCAGTGTGGAGAAGAACCTTTTCATAAGCACTAGCAATCTCCTTGGCAGGAAGAAGTGAATGAGTTGGATGTCCCTTGAGGAAATTAATTTCTGGAGTAGACATGTTCTAGATTTTTATAGAAAATATTGGTCTATATCTATGCAAATTGGTGGGAAACAAGATACCTTAAATAATACTTTTAACAAAAGGTCAACTACGTAATTCCGCACTGTAATATCCACATTTGAATTTTTGCGGAATTTAACAAGGGTTTAGCTCGGCATTACAATACAATGCAACTCCTCAACAATTACATGCCTTGTCCTCTATATATATATATATGTGTGTGTGTGTGTGTGTGTGTCCATTCTACTAATTAGTCACAGTGATCCCTTATGGATCTAACAAATCCAGTACTACTCTCTGACTCTGACACCATCTTTTTTATCTTTCTTCATTACCCAGAGCCACAACCTCAACTCCAACACCCAAACACCAGAGAGCGGAAAAAAAATAAAAATAATTAAAAATAATAAAATGCTTCTTGGTGCACATGACTATGCTCCCGTGATGCGTCCCCGTGATCTCAAACCAATCAAATTTTTACATTTTCCTCATAATTTTGTCAATGGTTTACATATACTGATTAGAAAACTACAGTCAATTAAAATAGACTATTAGATACTAAAAGACTTTAAAATGGCTTTCCATACACCAGAACCAGTCGATGTTGTTAAATACGCCCTTTTCGGTGGTATCGTCAGAGCCGTGCAGTTGAGCATCTGTGGTAAAGATGGTAACCCATTAAGATATAAGCCAATGGGTTATGTGTATTCCATTGGTTTGTGTGTAGCACTTTTCTCTGGAGCTCACCACTTGGTTAAGAGAAACGAAGACTTGTTGGAAAGAAGATTGGTAGCATTGCAAGAACAAAGAGCACAAAGAATCGCCTTATTCGGTGAACAAAGACCAGAATTGCCAGAATTCCAAGGTATCAAGAGAGGTAAGTTCTTTGAATTCATGGACCAATACTCAAAGAAGAGCCAATAGAGAAGCCTGGAGTAAAGGTTGGAAAGAGGAGCGTGGCGTGTACCTTCTGGCCAGATATTTACCCCTTTTCTTGACTATCTGGCTGGTTTATACGGAGATTATTTGACGAATACTGCATGTCCTATTATATTATTATTTAGGTTGGAAGGCGTAGTCCTTAATATACATTAGAAACGAAATGTTGTGTAAGCTTTAAATATGTTTTTGAGTTGCTTTTTTCTTATTTGTTTGTATTTTTACAATTTATGGAATACACCATCTATACATCTATCCCATTATTTATAACTCCTCTCCTGATAACTCTTCATCATCTTCACTTTCACTACCAGAATCACTCATATCACTCCCACTATCGCTCTCACTCCCGCTTCCACTGCCAGCCCCACTACCGCCTTCCAAATCTTCTTCTTCTTGGCCAACTTGATATGTTCCATCTTCTTCGTCTTCACTGTCATCCAATTCGCCATCTTCTTGTTCTCCCCCTTCAGCTCCATTGGATTGATCATCCTTCTTGGTGTTGGTCTTTTCTCTCAATTCATCATCAAATGAATTATCATTGATTCTTTGTCCTCTAATAAAAGAGTCTAAAATCAGATAGTGTTGATGATCAATCATTCCAAATTCAAGTGTTTCCTCACCAGATTCCTTTTGAAGATTGACAATAGTAATGAGTAAACTAAAAGTTAATCTTGTAATGTTTGTATATGAAATATGTTTGACATCAGACATTTCAAAAATAAGAACCGGTTTCTTGAATCCAAAGATAAGATATGGTTTCCTATTGAATTCATTCCCAGCTATAAACACCAAGGATCCTTCTTTCGATCCCTTGTATGCCTCCACAACAACAAGACTGTTCAGATTAGAGGCTGGATCTTGTGAAATAGCAACACCTGAATCGGTATTTAACGTAAGTTTGTTCCTACTATTAAAAGATGTTGATGGGAAATAATTTACAAGTTTAATTCCACATAATTGAAATTGACGTTGAAGAAAGTCTACTATGGCTTCATTCATAGGTTGAACCCCATCTTTCCCTTCTTCATCTTCTTCATCACTACTCTCATTTTCTGGTGGTGGAGGGATTTTCCCAGTTTCTATCAATTGGGTTTTAACCAAGTCAAAATTTAATTGACATATAATTGGATCATTCTTCTTTGGGTCTAATGAAGCTTCTTCATTAAGCCAAAGACACAAGAGTCCAACCTTTTTCTTGGAATTCATGGAATTACCTAGAATTGGTAACAACAAGCATAACCTCACCAGCTCTTCAAAGTTTGAAATGGTATATTCTGGGATTAACGTAGTTGGATGAACTATCAGGAGCACTGGTTGTGGTGGATTATTTGGAGATGTGTGCAAATGGAATACCAAATTCAATTTCTTCCTAATTGGAGATTGGAATGACATTTGAGTTAATTGGAAAATCGTATCCATGGGAGATATTGGTTCTGTAATCTTTGGATTGAATTCCAATTTATTTATATTAGAGTCTTCTATCTTTTGTTTTTTGGTTGGAGGTTCAACTCCATCTTGTGGTCCTACTAGATGGGTATACAAGTTGAAGAATGTTTGTTCAGATTGGGGGAACTTTTTGATAACTTGAGAAATCTCATGTTGAAGTTCCTCTGGTAAAGTGCTAGTCCAGGACATCTCCGTAAGGCTGAAAAAAAAAATGTATATATGTATACAGTAATGTAGTCAGTTGGTAAAAGATTTATGTTGTTTGTTTACAAGAGAGAAAAAAATATCAACAGAGAAACGGTAGATAATACATGGGAGGGGTGGGAAAAAAACAAATATAATCTAGACAAAGATAGGGTAAAGAGAAAGGATTATGAGTGTAGATTCGCGGAGTGATAATGAGAACTTGTTAGCGGAGAACGCATGTGTGTTAGGGATGGTGCCCCTGTTGGTACAGGACCTATATTACTGGGAAACCACGTTAGAAATGTTGTATCAAGTTATCAAGGTCAACATAAATGATTCAGAACTTGATTCAGAACTTAAAACATACTGGGAATCATTTTATCAATCATTGAATGAACAAGTGGAAGAGTTATCTGTTGTAGAAAAGGAAAAACTGATGAGCAAGGATATGTTGGCTATAGATGAGAATAAAAGTATTATGTTGACTTTCCTACTAGGAACTATATTTATTAAAGCATTGGAAATCTTATCGAGACAAGACTCTATTGTTGTAAAAGTTCATTCCAATCAGTCGCACGAGGAGAAATTAGTGTTGGTACAAGAATACATGAGAGGAATATTCCCTCAAGAAATCCCAATTTCTATCACTGTATTACATCTGGAGAATTATGAACCTAATGAAAAGGATTTAGAATCATTTCAAAAACAAAAGGAACTCAAATTGATAGAATTAAAGAAATTGGTGGAAACTATAGAACAACAAGTTCCCAAATTAATTTTACTGAGAGATAAATTATTTTCCAAATTGGAATTAAATTTAAAAGAGCCTCCATCTCATGTACACGAAGACGAATTAGAAGATAATGAACAGGAACAACCTCATGAAGAAAATAAAAGAGAATACATAGTTGATTTAAAATCATGGTATTGTAGTTGCAACACATATCAACTTCAACATACCGGTGTTCCTGGTAGTCATCCAGAACATGAACAGCAATACGAACCGAATTCACCAAATCCAAATCAATATCCAATCTCATTGACCCAACTATTATCTACCCAGCCATACCCTACTACTCTATCCAATCTCCTACAAGCAAGCAATGTACCTACCAAGCATGCTTCTTTACTTCCTCTATGTGCACACCTCCTTGCGGTCCTCATAGGCGCATGGAACCAACCAACAATAACAAAACGTCATAATCAAACATTGCTGCTACATGGCCGAGATCCAGTCCAAGACCACTCGAACTCCTCTCTATATACTGTCAAGTAGCCCATATATAAATATATCTCCACCTACACTGCCCCACTAATACACACCTCTCTACAATCTATTCTATTTGTACTCTCTCTACAATCTTTTCTTCTTAGAGCATATTTTTATTTTCTACTCATTAATTTTTTTTTTATTCGCCAATTTTTTTCCTGCTGCCAGGCAGTTTAAAATTTTCCAAAGAAAATCAAAAAAAAAAATTCGAGTGTTGGATTGGATCAATTTTCCAATTAATCGTTGGTCACAAACTACAACGAGGTTTCTACCCTGTACCACACTTTTTTTAAAAAATTTGCTGCAATTAGCACGTACGCACTGCAAAGAAACGAACGCCGTGCACATCCCCGTCATATTCTGTTACTCCATAGTGTTAGCAGTTAGCATAGAAAGAAAATAGACCCAACTTCAAACGGCAAAAAAAAAAGTTTGTCGTCCAAATTGAGCGGTGGTTTTTTATATCAACATTACACCGCACACTGACCCCGTCTTGTCAATCAGTACTTGAGCGTTGCGTCCCTGAAACAGCTCGCCCTTGTCCTACGTCGAAAAAGAGAGCGTCCCACCAGCCCGTGAGACTCCCAGACCCGTTAATTCGCACTCTCTGACCCCCTTGAAGAAAGCACCCCCCCGAACGCTTTTCCTTCCAACTTTGATGAGTATCCATAGGTAAGCCACACAACATCACATAGAAGAGAGTATTACCACAGCATGGCTCCATCCACAAACACAGCTACGGGTCCGCACCGTTTCCGGTCCAGTGCTGCCAGTTTTTCACCAGCTCAACCAGCGAATATTCAGATCCAACAACAGCAACAACAGCAACAGCAACAACAGCTTCATCCAGCACAACAACATCCTGGACAACTTCCGGGACAGCATCCAGGCCAACATCCGGGCCAACACCCTGGACAACAACATCATCTCCATCAAGCACAACAACAAGCTGCAGCCCAACAACAAATGTACCAACAGTACATGTATGGAGGAGCTCCTCCACCAATGTCAATGAACCCATACTACCCATACATGCCCATGGCTGGCCAAGCACCATATATACCTATGCCAACGGCCGCATACACCCAATTCATGTACCAGCCGTACAGCTATGTTCCTCCGTACCAAGCACATCCGTACCAGGGAGGATCTAGTCCTAATATCCATCACAAGAGTAGTCACGGTGGTGGCTATAGAAATAATCATAATAATAACTACAACAACAATCACCATAAAAGTGGACGAACATCGAAGAACATGTCGGCAGAATCAAAGGATAATGATAAGTTGAGGTCAGAGACGTCGACTGTGTCTAATTCCACGGCAGCCACACCTTCAGCCAGCATTCCCTCGACACCAACCCCACAAGCGGCTACACCTACCACGCCTGCTACCAAGGTAACCACACCAAAGGAGGAAGACATCAAAAAGACAGGAGAAGAAGATGTGAAGAAAGAAGAAGTAAAAGAAGAAGTAAAGGTTGAAGAAAAGAACGTAGAGGTGACAAAGACAGAAGATACTCCATCCATAGAAAAATCTGTTGATAGTCCCAAGGAAACCAACCCTAATAACATATCAGTGGCTGATGATACAATTCTTACCACCGAGGATATCCCTAACCAAGCCATGAAATACCCTGTATACTTTAATTGTACTTCCAGTGAATATGCCAAAGAATGGAAAGATACTAAAGATCAAAGGGTTCAACTTCAAAAGCAAAGAAATGAACAACTCGAGACAAGTGTTTTCCATGATAAGACGCCCAAAATAATAATTAATAAAGCACCAACCTCCAAAATTATAGATTATAACAACAACTCTGGAACAAACACCGTCGCCACCACTACCACCACAGATGCCGAACTTAATGACACAACCACCAAGGCGAAATCACCTATTGCAAAGACCATTCCCACATCAAAGAATTGGGCTGCTGTATTACAAACGTCCAATCCTGTGAGTAATAAAAAGAGTGCAAATGGTTCTTCCAACACGAAAGGGACCAACTCGCAAAAGGGTGCATCCACCACTAATACTACTACTCCTGCTGCTACTACTACTACTACTACTACTGCTACTACTGCTTCCTCTACTACTGCCACTACTACTTCCACTGCCACTACCACTACCTCTCAAGATAAGAGCCATTCACTTGGAGCCGAATCACCTCAACCATTGGGGATTATTCTTCTTAAATTGATGTATGACCCTATTTATTCCACACTCACTTCGAACCGTGACATTCCGATTTTCCGTATCAAACCAAGAGGGTTGACCAACACTGGGAATATATGTTATATGAATGCTGTCTTACAAACATTACTTTACTGTGAACCTTTCAATCGACTTTTGAAATTGATTGAATTGAAATCGATTGGATCAATGGTTAATAGTACTACACCTTTATTGGATATCACCACTACATTCTTGGAAGAATTTTCTAAATCATCTTCAAAGGCATTATCACCAGAAAAATTTTATTTCAATTTAATTAAATTAAATAAATTTAATCATTTGAAATGGGGACAACAAGAAGATGCAGAAGAATTTTTAGGATATTTCTTGGATGGATTACATGAAGAATTTATTTCATCCATGAAAAGTTTAACTATTCCTCAAGTTGATTATTCAATTCAACAGATGAATGATGTGAATTATAAATTGAATGTTAAGAACACCATGAAGATCATTCAAAAGTCTAAGAATGGATCATCTAATGAAGAAAGTAATAATAATCAAGAACAAGAAGAAGAAGAAAATGATGACGATGGATGGTCTGAGGTTGGAACTGGTAAAAAGGTTACAGCCAAGAGAACTGTTGAAATTGAACCATCACCAGTAACCATGTTATTTGGAGGACAATTCCGATCTGTATTAACTGTACCAAAGAGTAAAGAATCACAATCCATAACATTAGATCCTTTCCAATGCATTCAATTGGATATTTCAGACTCAAGAATCACCACCATTGAAGAAGGTTTGAAAGTATTCAATGAACCAGAAAATATCTCATACAAATCTTCATCCAATAAAGAAGTTATTGCTAAAAAGCAAACATTTATTGATCAATTACCAAATGTTATGTTAATTCATTTGAAAAGATTTGCATATCAACAAGAAGAAAATAATGGAATTAATGAAAAATATGATGATGAATACACTAATAATATAAATAGTACCACTACTAATAATAATGAAAAGGAAATGATGAATGGAGGAGGACATCCACATCTTGGAGGAGTTGAAAAAATAAGGAAAAAGGTGAAATATTCACATTCATTGACCATACCACTGGAATGCATTTCTTCCGTTGCCCGGAAACAAGCCACATCGAAAACTTATAGGCTTTTGGGAGTTGTTTACCATCATGGAAGTAGTGCAGAAGGTGGCCATTACACTTGTGATGTGTTGAGAAGATCATCAGTATTTGATGAAGAAGAAGAATTGATTGGGAAGAAATATGATAATGAATGGATAAGAATAGATGATACACAAGTATCAACCATTGATAAGGTTGATGTACTCAATGGAGAAGAAGGTACCAAGACTGCTTATATTTTGATGTATCAAAAGGTTTAGTTTGCATAGTATTTGTTACTTTTACAGTAGGAAATAAACAACATAAGAGACGATAATGTAGAAAGGATAATGTACTAAAGATAATCTGAAGCAAGAAGTTTAAAAGTATAATATATATATATTTAGAAATTTACAAATAACTTAATAAAACCCATGGGGATCGCCACCTGATAGAGCTTAACTTCTTGTTGAGCAGATACGAGCACGAGGTGTAATTGTGTTACAAAATATATTCGATGCAACATGAGTTGAGCACAATACGCGAGGCGGAAAAACAATCCACTTTGGGACAAAAGAACACAAAAATGAATGTGACCAATTGGAAAAAAAAAAGAAATTTTTCGTATTCAAAAAAAAAAACAACATCAACCAAATTAGCCAAATGAAAACACAGCCTCGATTCTTGTCGGTAAAAATCGGCACATTTTGTTAAATGGTAAGAGGTAAAAATCTCGTTAAAACAAGAATTGTAATAATTCCGAGAAAGATTACATTAATTTCTACAGTAAAATTGTATTACCAGATTTAAATTAAATTACTATTATTAGTTATATAACTTAGAAAAGAGCAGCGGCAACAGCAGCGACACCAGCGAAGGCACCAGCAGCACCAACCTTACCAGCAGCGTTAGCGGTGGTAACTTCAGGCTTAACAGTCTTTGGAGTTTCGGAGGTAACGTAAGTGGTTGGGATGGTACATGGACCGGTGATGGTCAAGGTGGTGGCTTCGGTGACGGTGATGGTCTTGTTGTTGACAACAACGGAAGTTGGTTCTGGACAGTAGGTGGTGAAGTCGGTGACAACGACGTCAGTGGTGACGGTGACGTTACCAGCGGCAACAACGGAAGCAATAGCTAATGGGGCGGCGATCTTGGAGAATTGCATTGTAGTGTATTAAAGCGAGTGACTATAGGTAAAGAAAAAAGAATATAAATAAAAATCGTTGAAGGGGGCCAGTGGTCTGCTTTTATAGCGTGAGAATTTTGCCCTGTGGTTAAAAAATGGAAAAAAAAAATACGAAAATGGAACAAGCGGCGTTCCGAATGCACGAAAAAAAACTAAGCCAGAAAAAAAAAAACAATAACGAAAGATTGCTGAAATCTTAAATCGTTCCGAATTGGAAAAACAACCCGCGGAACTCAGTTTCACGAGTTGACGATATACCTTCAGCTTTGAAGAGAATTCGATTCAGTTTTCCTTCCAAAGAAACCAATCGACTGGGTCCTTAACGACTTACATTGCTATCTTTCTAATTCTTGATAAGTTTCCATTCACTAACGTGCGATTGTTCACTGTAATTGATTATGTATACTCACTACGATACACGGACATGTCTGTGGGGATTCGTCTGTACCTGTATATAATTGTATGCGACTTCCAAATATGGCGACCTTATTTCTGCTTCTAGCTTCTGAAGTTTGATGACAATTGTTTTAATGCAGGATAGAGATGCATCATATTATGCATTCTACAGGAGAATGTTACTATCTTTAGAATTAGGGGATTCGCCTTCAATTTCAGAATTACAATCTTAAATTAACTATCATTGCTTACTAGTCTACATTTCGATAACAAGAGAAGATTTAACTAGATACTTTAGGATATGAACTACTAGTATTTCCTAGTGGCTTGTAGATATCTTTATTTTATTTTTAATTCCGAGCTTTCTACAGTAGGAAAAATGACCATTTGGTAGACTAGGTGAAACTCTTGTAACGAACTCACGGATTTAAAATATTACAATTATCAATTTCTTTTTTTTTTTTCCTCCCTTTCGTGTAGTCGACTGAAATATTTTATTTTCTCCTTTTTTTTTTTTATTATTTTTATTATTATTATTGTTTGTATAATTAGAAGAATTAGTATTCTCACTTCCCTGATAACAAATATGACAATGGAACATAAGATTGCCACCAAATGTATATCACCCGCTATATTAGGGGCTGAAATAATTGTTTAGCCGTGTAAAAAAAATTTGGAGTTACTCTGTTTTGGAATTTGTTCTTGGAGATCCTTTCTTTTGCTTTGTAGATACGATACTCCCCCACTTTGTATTATTTTTTGCCATACTCTGTAGGCCGCTATTTAGTATTGACCATCAAATTGGTGGCTCATCGTAATTGATAAGTATTAATGCCGAGTCTCGCTACACAATTAATTTATCGAATTGGTGGTAATTATGTTGCATCACGTGTAAATTCTTTATGGCTCCATACCAGCATTCCGTTCTATATCATACTACTAAAAATATGTCTTCAATACTATCTTATTGTTCTAATTAATTAATCTAGAAGTTCCCTCTCTAATCCATTTATCTCCCTTGAAGGGGATGACCCCTGTTTCTGTAGGGGTAGAAAATATTACAGTAATACTGAGGGCTAAATTTAGATTTCCTTTCCTTCTCTATAGGCGACCTTCAATTCATGAATTAGATAATTATCAAAGTCCCAAATTCCTTCCTTTGCATAGATATCATCCTTTAAAAATGATATGATTTCACTTTCATTGTTAGCTCTCAAATGAAGTGATGACCCGATTAATTTCCCGTCCTTATTAAGTATGGCTCCACCACTAGTCATTGTCTTCCCAGCAACGGCAGGAAGTCCATCTAAATGTTGACCTCTAAACTTTAATCTATCTACATTTGGTTTGTCGTAAATTACAACCAACCATTCTTTCAATTCTTTCTTTGCGGTCAGCATTAATCTTGTTGTTAATCTCATACCCAGTTCATAAAGAGTGCAGAAGGTATGAAAATCCCAATTACTTCATGATTAAGTTTCATATTTTTTAATCCCCTCATTCTTAGCCAGCCAATCTGCATACAGCTAAAGTGTAATATTAAGTAAAAGTTGTCAAGTAGAGATCTGTTGTAATTGAAGCCTAGGCTCAATTATAAAAATAGATACAAAAAAGTTTCTTATCAGAGTATATCATGTTAATAATATTAGTCCACTATGGTATAAAAAATATTATTGATAATCGTTTATTCTCTACTTCTACTTTGCATCCTTCTCTACTTCACATACTCAAAAATTCTCTCAATAAAACTGATCTCCAGACAAGTTCAACTCAGAGAATAAATGAATAATATTCAATGAATTATTATTATTATTATAATTGAAGACGAAATCAAAAATTAAAAGACCCACACTTCACGCCTAGCGAAAAGTTGGCAGTCTCCCTTGCAGCGCTGTGCAATGCAAACAAAAGAAACTGGCTATAAGACTTCTTGATCTCCTATAGCATCTCAAGGTAAGTATGAAGAAAAAAAAATTTCATAAAACGAAGTTTTATGGCGATCTGTCCGTCCTTTTATAGTTGTGATACACGTCCGGGTAAATTTTTAATAGGTGTCTGGATGTATTTTTTTTTTTTAATACAACGGGTATTAAAATTCTTGTTGCAAAAAAGTCTCTCAATCAAAAGTACATGAGAGTAATATGTTCTTCTATAATCGTATAATATTGACTAGATACAAAGAAATATCAATCAGGTAACAGAGCTATCTCTTAATGTAGACATTGTGATCTATTTTTTTTTTACTTTCCCAATCTTAATTATTGTTGCAAATAGCTTGTGTAACTTGAAATATAATATTTTTTACTTGTTATAAGTTTTATTCTTCTAACATATATACACCCACACATAACTAAATACTTAAAGAAATAATAGATATACATGGAAAATGTCTTCCTTGAAATAGATTATTAATAGTTCTATTATTCTCCTATACACCGTAATCTATATAGTTTCCCACTCACCAACTCTAGGCTCTGAACATCCAATGTTACGGATTATGACATATTTCAGATCAGTAGATTTCGTATGGAACGCACTTAAGCATCCAATCCCACTACCGTGGCCACTGTTTAGGTTGAACGTACCACTTGTAACATACCCAATCAAGTTTTCAATACAAGCAGATTTCTTTAAATCCTCTTCTGAATTAATATCACCCACAACTTTGAAAATTCTTGCATTATCAGTAGGATGTCCTTTATTCTTCATCGAGATCTTAACCTGTACTATTGGAAGAATTGGTACACTATCTTTCAAGGTAATGTCTACTTCACCATTCAATAATTGATTATGTTTCTTCTTCTCGTATCTTTCTATAGGAATAACCATTGGCTCTCCTCTTTCTTTCTTTTCAAGATCTAAGATTTTGGCTTGTTCAATTAATTGTAAAAGGTCATCCAATGTTTCAAAAGATTGGTGTAATTCTTCATTGAAAGATGCATAATTCTCAGATGTTTTTGGGAGTTCCTTACCAGGATTTTGTAATTGCCAATATTTTAAACCCATGCTTAAAAGTTGAAGAAATCTCCAATCACTCCCATGGAAGTTCCCATGTTCCATTCCTAATTTATGATAGTCGAGCTTATGACTAGCAGGAATCTTATTGTATTTCTTTTCATTTTCCAATATTTTAAATTCATTTTCCAAATAACCATCTCTAAGAAATGGGAAATCAGTTGGAAATGTTGCTCGATTATTTTCCAAGTTTATTTGATGCATTTGTTGTAAACCTCCTAGTTTAACATTGGTTACTTTAGTCAATTGAATCCATACAGGAAGCACCCAGTACCAAGGTAATGTGACACACCAATTATTTGAAGTTTTAGTTAATTTAGTGATCAATATAGGTATTTGAGGCTGACTTTCATCAATAATTGGAGTTTTAGATTCGGAAAACTTTTTGGAAAGCTTTTTAATTGACAATTGATCTTTATAAGTATCATTTCTCTTTTCATTATCCAATAATGTTTCAATGGCATTTGGGTCTACTCTAGTTCTTGATGGTTGATTTTGTAAGCCAATAATAAGATCGTTAAAGTTAATCGAAGAGTTCAATGGTGGAGGATTGGTAGGACCAGTCCAAAGTCTTGGATCTTGAACATTGAAACTGAAAGTAGTTCCTGATGGAATACCACTGTCTTTAAAGGATGAAAAGTTCAACCAATTCTGACATACTTCATTTGATTTATCAAGGTGAAAGATTTTAGTTATGGATCTTAAAGATTCTGGACCTGTAAGCTCTATACTACCAAGAGAGTACCGGCAATCATGCACTGACCCACCAAATTTTCCACTCAATTTAGAAACATATTCGTAGTACTCAGTGTACATGGATGGATAAACTCGGATCAATATTTTGACATCATGGCAATACACTAACCCTTTTCCAATAACTTTGCCATCTTTATAAAGCCAATCATCGTACAGACATGCTCCATTCAAATACTTTGAAGGGATTGTTTGGAACTTTGTTATTTCCTTTAAAAGTTCCCCACGATGATCCAAATCTGTCACAGTGACAATCATGTAATCATAATATGAAGTGTCGTAGACGATGGTACCGTTTTTGGACGCTCTATTAATGGACTTGAAGCATTTTTGGGTGGGTCTTAATGGAATTTGATAACCAAATTTTTTTATCAAATGTGCTCTCTTGGCATGCCAGATGTGGGTTGGTAACCATACAAAATCCTTTTGTCTTTTGGTATATTTCAAGTTTCCTCGAGGTGCTGGAGCTAATCCACCCACTCCAGTGTTGTCATAAGAACCCATGGTATTATTTAACTTCTTCATTCCATTGATTACTTCTTGGTTTCGGTTCAAATCTTTAATTTGTCGTTGTAAGGCATTCAATTTCAGTCTCAAGTTGAGCTCTCTCATTTCTACTCCCGGCACAGACAGTAACAATTTCACCCTAGAAGCTAATCTTAAGAGTTTGGATTTCATTTTCAACCGGTATAATTCCTTCCCTCTAAGATGTTTTGGCTTGGGAGGAACTCCATTGGCAGAGTTTTGCATTTCTTTAATGGCTCTATTTCTCAATCTTTTAGGAATTCTCTTGACATTATGCGACGCAGTTCTTCTTCTAAGTGACCGTGGTAAGCTCTGAAAACAACGGTTAGATAGCGCATATTTAGATTTCAACTTTGCAAGTTCAAGCGATCTAATTTCAAACTCTCTTGATGCTAAAAAGTCTGGCACTGAGAGTTTACCCTCCTTATAGTTTGGGTCTGCAAACTCCGTTCGGATGGTTCTAGAACTATAGAGCTTTGCCTTCTTGTTATTGATATCTTGTTTAGGAGGCATTAATGAACATCTATACTACTGATTATACCGAATTCAAGCATCCTTTATTGTCTTGATAGATAAATTTCTACATCGCGTACAGACGCTGCAAAGGAAAAAAAGAAGCAAAAAAAAAAAATAAATAAAAAGAAGGACAGGCCAAAGTAAAGAGAAAAGTATAGCCTACAGTAGTGAGATAATAGTATGGTTTTTGTGGTAATTTATAGTACATATATAGACGAGTCTTGGTAGTCTCAATCTACCTCATTATGAGTACAATGCAAGCCAAAAAAAAATAATCACATCAAGACAAGAAAAAAGTGATTTTTGTTTGTTTCAAAATTAGCTTTGCATGGTGGGGAGTTTCAAATCTGTTTTGAAATATATAAGGTGGGGGATAACAACTTGAAGTTATATCTCCCCCGTGCTAGCTTCTCTTCTAGTAGTAAGTAACACTGTATAATGTAGGCAAGTGAGTGTGTTGCTTTTGCCATTCGGTTAAGATCTTCATCATTTGATCTTCAAGGATATATTGCGACGTATCCTCTTCATTACCATCCTTCTCATGCGCCTTACGCTTGAACGCATGAATCATATTGACTAATTTCAAGATTCCTCGACCACCAATAATGGCATTTTCATTATCATCCTTAATATCGATATTGATCACATGTACGGTTCTACGGACTTCGTTTTCCGGAGTATTGTTCCCCACCATTCGCACCATCAAATCATCCAACACGGAATCGAAACATCTTTCTTCACAAGTGATAACCAAGTCAAATTTCCCAGCATATGCATTCTCGTGCCATTTTTCTGGTGCTCGCTTTATATGTCTATTTCTATCAATCATATGGATCAACCCATTGGATTCGTACATCTTGCGACACTCCTGAGTTGTCAAGTCCTGGTATATATCTTCATAAGGTGTCCCAAACTCGTACACATTGGGTTTATCTATCAGAGGACCGGGTAATCTCACCGCAGATCCAGTACCGAATGATTTCACATCATATCCAGCATCTCGAAGTTGTTTATGCGATTCCATAGAACGGTTATTATTGGAAGCACAAACAGTACATATTTTCAAACTATCGTCAATCATCCCTTTCTATCTCTTCCCAATCCAATATATTATATATATATTATATATAATCCTTACCTTTCTGTTTAATCACTCTTTAGAACTTTTACATATACTTCAAAACTATACCCCCACACGACCTGTCCCACTTTCCCACACAGTCACGTGTCGCGGCTCTTACAATGTACTACAGTAGTAAAAGTAATAGTAATAGATATATATGTAACTATACAATTTCTGCAGATGTAGACCTTACCAGAAATCCATCATCTATTTCCACAGTTACTGGTTCCTCATTATTTTCTGATTTTTCAACTGTGACTGATTCCTCCTGAGTAATGTTCTCAATTTCTTCTCCTATATCAATGTAATCATTATCGATTTCTTCATCTATTGGAACAAAGTCCTCGTCCTGCGAGCTCAAGTCCCCTCTAGTAATATTTACAAACTCAGACATCTTACGCTTAGGTTTCAGGTCTCCTGAAACCAGGGTATTATGGAAATTCACAATCTTATTACCCATGGTTGTACAATTCTCCTTGAAATCGTAATAATCTTTTATATCCATTAATAAAATTCCAACCATCATTGAAGGATCCATTTCTTGGATATCAAGATACAGATACCTGGTTGTATGATATGTAGAGTAATCATCTGGTTGACAATATTGTGGGTAATGTGGATCCAAATAAAGAAATTTAGATCCTTGATATCCAAAGAAATAATAACTAGATGATGGTTTACCACCAGCAATACCAACCGATTGATTCAATGAAAGAAGTTGAAATAAAGAGGCATAATAATATGAATTAATTTTTTCAATTCCCAATCGAATTGGTAACAATACTAGTAATGGCTTTTGAGTATCACTATTGAAATTTGATTTAATCACATCATCATACAAGTCTGAACTTTCACTGATAATAACGTCAATTTGAGGGATAGAGACATTTGGAGTATTTGGTTCCAATTTCAACTTGTTACAAAGACGTTTGATCGACAATGACGCAGCATTAGGACCAAACCATTCACCTGGTTTAACTTGTAGAGGCAGTTCAGTAGCAACCTTGATGAAATTATGAATAGAAAATGGAGCTGAAGTGGAATCACGAAATAAATCAATCAATAGATTGTGCTTCTTGAGAGAAGTTTGGTTCAGATTTGACATGTCATCATAAGTGAAATCTCGTCCCAAAAGGATTTTTTGGTAAGTATTAGCAAGCAATGATTGTGAAGTTCTAATCATACACCCCCAACCAACATCAGTAGAAAAACTCTCATTATCAGTGAGACTGTGAATATTGTAGATTGTTGAAGTAAGGTTTCGATTGAAGATCATTGATTGTACAAACGAAAGCGGTTGAGGACCATCTACGGCCTTGGGGATTGGTTCAAACCCAGTACGATAGGTAAGCCAGATACGTGACCTAATATCAGATTCAACTTGACTGTAATCAAACAGAGGTGATGATAGAAGGTTGGTCTTGTTATTTTCTAAATTTTGTGCTTGTTGGTCCACATCTATTTTATGATCGGGCACCTGGGGTTGCTCCTTATCTACGTAGCGCCTTCCTAAAATCACAATCGGGGATTTCTGTACATATGGTTGCTTTTCAATTAGATTGTGCCATAATTGAGACAATTTTAATGGGAGGTTATCTTCTTCCAGTACCTCGGACATGATTGTTAACGAACTAGAAGAGAGTAAATAATTGATGGCAGCGTGTACCACGGTAGTTATTAAATTGAAACACCCTTTTTGTATGATAACACGCACAGACTGCACACACACACCCACGCAACTTGAATATCACTCGGCATCGCTGATGGCGATAAAGTAAAGGCACATATTCTTAATAGAGTCTTATTCGATTAGAAAGATAATAGATATGTCGAAAAGAAAGGGACCTGCCAAGGGTTCATTTGGAAGATTCCGTAATAAGAATGGGAAGAAAAAGAAGACTGGGAATGGCGGGCGTGCACCATCGACAGATCAAAGGTCTTCACATGGTGGCAATGATCATGCTGAACTATACGATTTACAATATGGCGAACTTCCGGACGTGGGGAATTCACGTCTGAAGCCGATGTCCATGAAGAGTATGCTGAAGAGACCTGGGCTGACCCGTCATACCATGATGGAAGAGGTTGGATATACCAGTAGGCACGTGGAGAGCACTATTAGACAGCCCTTGAGAAATAAGCCAGTTTTATTTGTAAAGGCCAAGGAAATATACGATCCTAACAAGTCTTTAAGAGAAGAAAAGAAGAGGAAGGAAGATGAAGAGAATAATAAGAATGAAAGTAGACCAGTTGATGATATGGAAGAGGTGGAAAGTTTATCTGAAGAAGAAGAGGAAGTAGAAGTTGGAAAGGAAGAAGAAGAAGAAGAAGAACAAGAAGAAGAAGAAGAAGACACAATCCCTAAGGAACACCAAGAGTTGTTGGATTATTTGAATTCACCATCACTTAATGAGGTACGTCCAAGTAAGCCACGTATTGACATATTGAGTGATTCAGATGAAGAAGGTGAAGAAGTGGATGAAGAAGAGGATGATGAGGAAGTGATTGAGATGATACAAGAAGAAGATGATGAGGAAGTGATTGAGATGATACAAGAAGAAGAAGAAGAAGAATTAGAAGAAGTGCAAGATCAGAAAGAACATCCCATTGGAGAAGAAAAGATTAATACAGAACATTCTCATGATGAACATGCTGAAGTAGATGTCCAAGAACATAATAAATCTGAAGATATGGATGTCGATTCTTCTCCATTTATTATCGATGAAGTTGGTGATCCAGAACTTGTTAAATTAACTAAACCTTTAACGTCACTTCTTGTCACAGAAAATGACAGTAGCTCGACTAGAAGTCCTTCAATAAAATCAGATTCTAATCCAGGATTAGAGTACAATCCAGTTTTAACAATCGGGAAAGTATCACTTCAAACGTCCAAGAAGAATGGATACACAACTACAGAGCTTATGTCTGTTGACCTGCTTAATAAAGTTGCCAAGCCAGGATTCGTAGATGAGGAAAACCTCTTTGCCGAATCTGAAGAGTCTGACTTTTTAGATGATGATAGAGGAGGATACAAGGATTATATCTCACAGATCATGAGAGATATGGCCAATGATAGTGATGAGTATGAAAGTGATACCAATTTTGATATTATGGCAGAATCATCTGATGAAGAAGAAGAAGATAATCAAGACAATGATGATTTGGAAGATGATGACGACGAAGAAACCGATCCTAAAGATGTTGAATATGGATTCCTTCCTGAAGATTTTGAATTTGATATCTCTGAAATATCAGTCTCTAATGTTAGGTTGGGGATCAAAAACCAATACTACACTAGGTGTTTGGGTCTTACCGGCTCTCAAGACGAACTGATGTGGATAGATCAAGATGAATTACATGATTATGTGATTCTGAAGGGAGTTAAAGAACATAGATTACAAAGTTTTATGAGGTACATTACTACTGGATTAATTGATGATGAGCCATTTGAACAACCAAATTACTCCGATGTGTACATATCAGAAACGTCAGAAGAAGAAGAAGTTCAAGAAGATGAAGAACTTGCGTCTATGGTTGAATTTGCCAAGTCTCAGAAACAAACCAAGATGATGGACATTCCTACAACTGAAACTCTTAAAACTACTGGAAAGGGTAAGAAGAAGAAGTTGAAATTGGACAAGTTTTCTCTCACAGCTGAAACTCTTGAATCATTACAAGAACAGCATCAAATCCGTAGACAATCAAAGAAGAACAAGAAGGATAAAAAGGAGGCCGATAAACTTGAGAAAGCTTTCAAGAAACACGATCTTCTTATTCTCTATCCATTTTCTATGCACATTACAGAGATTAGAGAAGAGCTCGAAGCCTTCTTACATGATATTTCAAGAGATACATTAAGTTTCCCACCATTAGACCCCCATGGGAACAAGACTGTCAGTAAAATGGCCCGTTTCTACAACATGAAAACCACTACTCATGGTTCTGGACTTAAGTCGTTTATTAAAGCATCCAAATATAGAAGAACATTCCATAACCTTCCAGATTACGGCAACATGGCTTATGTTATGAAACAAAGACCAATTTTCCATAGAGCAGATATCAAGAGAACCAAACTGGAGATCACTGCCACCGATGGTAACCTCAAGAAGGACAAGGCCAGAGGCCGTAATAAGCCAACTTCCAATGCATCAGTACAAGAAGGTGATATTGTTGGAAGTAAAGCACCAGAAATTGCCGCTGACAACGTTGGTAGACTTTTGCTTGAAAAGCTTGGTTGGGTCCGTGGAGAAGGTTTGGGTATACTGGGTAACAAGGGTATCAGTGAACCTATCACAGCCGTCGTAAAGAAATCCAAGGAAGGGTTGAAAGAGAGTAGAAAATAGATAGAATTTAATATAATACCAGCCTAACCATTAATTATTATATACGTCTTTGTATTTACTTTCTTCCTTTCTTTCCAACTTTTGGAGGAGGAGCAGCATGTCCAGTCTTTTTCACATGTTGGAATAATTTATTTCTAGATGTGAAAAGTTCTTCACAGACAGAACAAACCTCAGATCCTTTTGGTGCTGAAATCTTAGCTTCCTTTTCCTTTTTACCCTTCTTTTTCGTTGGCGCAACAGGCTGTGGTGTTGCAACAGAAGATACATCAGAAGTGCTGTCTTCGAGTGGCGTGGAGGCTCTGGTTTTCTTCTTCTTCTTACTCTTCTTAGGACCTATGTCCCAATCATCGTCATCATCTCCTGTTTCCAACTTGATTCCTTGAGATAAATCCGCAGCCAATTTGGCCAATTCTTCGTCAACTTCATCCTCTTCCTCAACTTCAAAAGTGGGTTTCTTGGTCTTATTCTTATTCTTATTTTTTTTCTTATTCTTCTTCGAATGAATAGTTGTCACTTCCAATTCTTCATCACTCTCTATTTCGTCATCAACTTCAAGATCAGAATAACCTCCCACTATCACATCATCATCCTTTCTATCATTTTCTATCACATCATTCAATACATTAACCTCATTTACCTCCCCTTCCACCACCTCCACTTCTTCTTCTTCTTCCTCTTCTTCTTCATTTCCTTCCAGGAATTCACTACTTGCAGTTTCAAAGTCATCCAAATCAATATCATCCTTATCTATACCCAATTCAATTCCCTCTTGTCTCATTTCCCACTTCATACGATTTAAAATCTTGCGATGCTTGTTTGACAGTTCATGTGATTCCAATTGTTTCTCAGACTTGAAAAACTTATTACATATAATACATTCAAACACATTCTCATCTCCAGAACTTTCCTCCTCCTTTTCAAACTCACTATCTGAACTTATCTTATATTCTTCATTCAACATCACTTCAAGTTCATCCAATTCCTTTTCACTGAGCTTTTGCCAGTCTTGAATCTCAAAGTTTTGAAGTTTGGCAAGATTTTCCAAGTTTTCTATTCTACTTTGTTCAATTTGTTCAGAAATTTCTTGCTGTTGTTTCTTCTTCTTTTCAAGTTCAAATTGCTTCATACCTTGTTTCACTCTAGGATCACGCTTCTTGATAAATGCAACATAGTTTCTTAAAGTTTCATTATATTCCCTTCTAGCAATATCTCTAAGTTTCTTATTTTCCTTTTCCATAAGTCTTCTAGTTTTCCTATCTGGAGCCGTAGAGTAACGGTATTCATCTTTCCACAGGAATGACTTTGTCGTTTGGAACGAGGCCCATCCAGAATAGAATTGGCGCACATCCGTTGTATAATCACTCTTACTATTACCAAATCTTGGGAAAAGAAGCATGGATGGATCAACTACATTTGCTTGTGGTGAATCATCATAAAACTTTTTATAATCTAACCCTCCATCCAGTTGTTGTTGTTGCTTACCATGTGTAACTTCTTCAGAGGCTAATTTTTCAAATAATCTCCCCACTACACTATAAAATCCGGCCATACTATCATCAAGACGGACGTATAATGATGGATCAAAATATCTTAAAAGTTCATCGGTAGAAGTTCCTGCAACCATTGGATCATAATAATCTTCACTTGTACCTCCATCGTACCCATCATCATCTCTAAGAATCAGCAGCTTATGTGAGTCATACCATGCTCTTTCTTGTGGATCAGAAAGAACTTCGTAAGCAGCTCTAACCAAGGCAAATCTGGCAGTGGCTCCTTCTACATCATCTCGATTTTTATCTGGATGAAGTTGAAGAGCCTTCTTTCTATACGCCTTTTTAAGCTCCACATCCGTCGCACTAGACTCTACTTGCAATAACTCATAATAATCCGTCTTCATAATGAAGATATATCGATCTTTAACAAGTGGGAAAAAGTGGTGATATCTCTACCATTTCCTGTTTAAAATTTCCATACTAAGTTTTTGTGCAGTAACAAAATTATAAGAAACTCTCTCTATCTACAACCATACCAAATATATCCAACTAAAACAGCACTCATTATTCTCTGTTATTCTCTTTTACTATATTTAGTTATTATTATTATTATTATTATTATTATTAGTATTATTAGTATTATTATTATTATTATTATTATTATTATTATTATTATTATTATTATTATTAGTATTAATATTAATTTTGATATATATTAATTTTATTTTAGCCCGTTCCTTTTTACCAACCTTTTGAATGATAGTCATCCGCATCAACATCTTCAATATACACCTTTTCTATATTGATGTTCTTAACAATCTTTTCTGGTAATGGTATTTTACCTAATTTGTAGTCGATTTTTATCGAGTCTTTCAAAGACTCACTTAGCTCTGAGGACAAATATGGTCCTGTCTTAGTTATCTTTGGTGATTGAGTTGTTGTTTTCTTTGGGATTGAATGTAAAATTTCCATTGCACTATTAGGTGAAGTTCCTTCAACAAGTACCGTTTGTTTTATTTGTTGTTTATTTACATTTGTTTTGTTCTCCTTATTAGAACCAGAATCAACTCCAGTTGGACTTGATTTAGATTCACCAGATCCACTGTCAGATCCTAACAGAGGCAGTTTATCATCATCATTATCAGCTGTTCGTTTAGTAAACAACCCATTCATGAAACTTCTTCGAGTCGGGATTTCTCCAGCTCTAGATGAATGGAATAATCCAGAAATATTTTTGGAACTTTTCAGAAGAAGATTATTGATTGATAATGATGATGATCCACCATTAATTGAATTTGAATATTTATTCAAACTTGATGATAAAGTTTCAGGTACATTATCAAAGGATCCAGTCCCACCTTCTTCTTCTTGAATCATATTTACAGTAGAATTCGAATTGACTGATAATGATCTCAAACTGGGTTGCTTAACTACATTGAAATCGGAAATTCCAACTATAGGTTCCATTTCATTTTCATTCCCTCCACCCAGTCTTCCAACAGAATTCAGTCCAATATTAATAAGTGAATTATGTCTTTTACTGAAGAGTATTGATGGTCTTTCTCCATTATTTGCTCGCATAACATCCAGAGTTGATGCTCTTTTTAATAATGAAGGTTTCCCATAGTCACCATCTGCCATTTTATTTAAAAACAAACCAGATAATAAAGATCTTGGTTGAGAATATGATCCACTTCCAACACTATTAGATTTGTCCTTAATATCGCTTTTCCCATTTGTAATTGGTATGTTATGACTAGGTATATCTACAACTCTTTTATTGAATACCAATTCTTCTTGTTTCTTCGTTTGTATGGTATCTTGTTCATCTTCAGATGATACAGATAACCATTCACTTTCATTATCATTATCATTTTCAGAGATATCTGTAGATGAACAAGATTCTCTACGACTCAGGATCCCATTTTGTTTCCTACTTCTCTCTTCATTCCCTTGGAATAATGAATCACTTCTGGTGCGACCTTCATCTTCCGTTGAGGTAGTAGGATGTCCTGGTGTTAAATCACTCGGAGATTTCCCAGATTTCTGTGGAGGTGATGGAGAATTCGCTATATAAAACACTTTTGTATTCTTTTCATGATTTCTCTGTAAAAGATGAGTAGTAAATTGTGATATAGATGATGAATTATTTGGGGAAAACCCACGAACAAATGAAGTTGTAGATCGTTTTAAAGGTTCTTCTCCCCGTACTACAGATTCTTTACCCTCTTCTTTTTCTTCTTGTACTTCTTCTTGTACTTCTTCTTGTTCTTGTTCTTCTTCACTTGAATCATAATAATCATCCTCTTCTACAGCATCTTCTTCTTCCGAAATGTCGGAAATATCAGAAATTTCAGTAGTCTCAGGTGAACCAGCACTGCCATTTAAACTTTTGGAACTATGCAGAAATAATGTAGTTTTAGAAGTATCCAGAAATAAGGAAGTTCGCTTCGATAAATACTGGCTCTCCGCTGGTACACCATCTGACAACATGGTGTCTGATTTTAATATACTTGTAAAAGATTTCTCAACCATTAATTCCGGCTTATTGGTATTTAGTAATCTCCACGTTCGATAGTTGAGACGTTTATATGAATTCGAGGTGGTATTTCCTTCTAATAACTCCAAATGAGGATTACTAGTAACTTTCCATAAATTTATCAATACTTCGTTTAACGCCCTACTGTTTGTCTTGGGCTCGTATCCAAATCGAAGTTCTAAAGTTTCCATAATGTGGTGGCAACTTTTCCCATATACAATCTATAGGTGAAATGATCGACCCTAGATATTTCTATTTGAATATGTTTTTTTTATTTCTCCTTCTGTTACAAATCTTTAGTACTCTCAGTTCTATTTGATTTGTTGGCCCCTAACAATTTTTATTTTTTTTTTATGTCCTAATAAATTACTTTTTTTTTTGGTGCCTCAATACAAACTCCTGCGTGAACCCGCCTGGTCTGTTTAGTTCAAGCTTTCAATAGACCTAGCTTAAGTTGAGTATACCTCGTTGAACAAGAAAAAAGTGTACGAAAAACCGCCGATATAACCGAAATTGAATCAGGCTTTTTTTCTCTCGTGGTGATTGAAAAAAAAAAAAAAAAAATAATAATAATAATAACCTTGAAAAAAAATATATGAAGATAATGAAAAGTGCGACCAACAACACTTGTCTACCAACTGTGGGGCGATTGTAAATATATACAAGTAGAGATCCTTCTACCAGGTCAGTTGGAGTATGCAATACCTATAACTCTTATAGTTTGCCCTATTTTGTAGCCGGAGTTTTTGACTGTTTTTTTCAAAAAAAGAAAGAAGGACCACTTTATTCTCTTAATGAGACTCTCACCAGTTAAATGTTAAGCCGTACCCTTTAAAGTCAAACGTGACATAAATTATTTTGATGACCAAAACATTTTTGTGTCATTTTGTCCGATTAGATAGGAGAAAGACATTGCCATCAATATAATGGGCGAAAGGAGGGAGCAATAAAAAATAATTATACAAGGGGGCAATATTAATACATATGTAATTGAAAGAATAATATAGATATATATATATATATATAAATATGTAAAGTAGATAAATTGGAATTTTTATTATGAAGATGGTATTGGCCTTTACTTTTACCATTTTTGAAACAAAAGTGTGGTAAACTTCTCCCCTCCCCCACTTTAAGCTTGTACTGTATGTAGACACTATTTTATTTGGGAGCCTTTGACATATTGCAATCTCAAAAAATTGACTTACAATGAAAAGGTTATAAATCTGAGAAGATAGAATGAATTGCTAGGTGGGTGAAATTTCCACAATTACAACCTTTAAGTATATACTAATTCATATTCTTATATCATTCTGGTAAGGATATTTCTTGTTAGTTAATTTTCGACTTAATAGAAATATTCCAACGTTAATAACACACATAGCAATTCTTACATCACATGCTTGATCACTTAGGCGAATCAGTTTCGAAAGCAAAAAAAAAAAAAAAAAAAAAAAAAAATAATTACTAGTTCTAAAAAAGGGCTCCCCCCTTCTCCACGCACGGGGTTTGTAAAGTTATTGGGTAGCCTAACCCATTAAAAAACTAACCAAGAAAACAAACACATAACATAACATGTAATCCATTATATAGATGAATGTAGTAACACCAGAGAATGTTCTTCAAATCATGATTTCAATTTCCATTCTCTGAATTAATTAAAAATAATTTTTTTTTTCAGGTCGGGGTTAGCAATAGTGTAATATAGCAATCTTAGTGACGAAGAAAAGTGTGGGTGTATAAAAGGGGAGACAACCATTACTTTAAATACAAACTTGAATAAGGCATTTCTTTTTGATATTATTTAATTCAATTCAATATTTCAAACATGTCTAAAACAACTAAATATATTCTTGGAGGTTTGACCCTTGTTGGTGCCTCACTTTATGTTTATGAACAACAAGTAAATCAAGTTGCTCTTAAACGGAAGGAACAACACCAAGGTGTTTTATCATCATTTGGTTCTAATTCTAAAGATCAAACTGATCTTAGAGCTGTTGGTGCTGAAAAGGGTTATAAGATTGGTGAATCTTTGGAAAACTTGAAGCAAAAGGCTAACAAGCAAGCTGAATCTTATGATATTCCAGAAAGAGTTAACTCTACTTTATCAACCATTGAACAAAAACGTTCTGAATTGGCTGCTGCTGTAGCTGAAAAGGCTGAAGATGTATCCAAGTTTGCCGCTGAACATGCCGACAAACACGATTCTCAAAGCCAATACTTGCATGATGAAGCTCATAAGAATGATCCAGGTTTCTTCAAGAAGTTGCTTAACAAGACTTCTGATAAGGTTGATGAAGCTGAACATTCCATTGTTTCTGGTAAGAACCAATTGGTCCATGGTGTTGATCAATCCTTAGATGATGGTAAGAACTTTTTATTGAAACTTGGTGACAAATATATCGATGCTGTGAACCATGCTGGTCTTGGTGCTGAAGGTGCAGTAGCTGAAGCTAAAGACTCTGCCGATGAAGCTAGTGCTAGAGCCAAGAGCAAGCTTGATACCAAGGCTCAAGAACTCGAAGCTGAAAAGAACTCTTGGTTTAGATGGGCTAGCAATAGAAGGGAGGAAGCCAAGGCTAAATGTAAGGAAAGATCTGAAAAGCGTGGATGGTTTGGTAGAAAAAGCAGTGCTGATGAAGCCCGTGACACCGCTGCTGCCAACTATGAGAAGGCCAAGAAGGATTTGGATACCCTTAGAGCCAACGCTGTGTCTGGCGGTAAGTCTTGGTTGAGTTGGGGTAAGGCTCAAACTGAAGACTTGAATGAACAAACCAAGGCTCAATTGGCTGAAGCTGAAAAGCAAGTTAACCAATCTTTGGCAGCATTGAAGGGATATGGCCAAGATTTGATTGATTCAATCGACAAGAAATTCCCAGCTGAACGTTCTTTGACTGAAGAAGAATTGGCTCAAAGATCTTACAACTCTTTACGTGGATGGGGTGACTCAGCCGCTGACTTTGCTGAAGATGAATTAAGAACAATTGATTCTTACTCCAGAAAGCACCCACACCAAGCTAACTGGGCCGATGACGTGTTTAACAAGTCTGAAAAGTTGTCCAAGTATGCTTACGAAAGAGCTCAACAAAAGTACAATGAATTAACTAAGGAAGTGGAAAAGTCTCAAAAGAAGGCTCAAGGATGGTTCTCCAGTCAATCCAAGGAATTGGAAAAGACTCAAGATGACGTATCTGCTGAAGTAAACAGACAATTGGATGATGCTAAGGTTCAATTGGAAAAGGCCAAGTATAACTTTAGTAATTGGGCCAGTAAGAGTGGTTCCCAATTGGCTGATGCCACTGAAGATGCCATTGATGCCACCAAGAGGGGCTTGAAGGTTGGTCACGAACACGCTCAAAGGGGTTTAAGTCAAACCCAAGAATGGGTTAATGAGAAGAAGTAATTCTTTACTTTTTTATGAATAAAAATATTATAACAATCGGATAATCTTTTCACTTATTGTAGAGTTTGAAAGTAGGAGTTTTAAATGAAAAAAGCTTTTGTATCAAAAAAAATTTGGCTGCGAAAAATTATGTAATAAGGGACTTGTCAAAATGAGTAAGTAACTAAAATGGGAAGGTAACCATGGAAAGAATTGAATTAATGAATTATGATAGTGTAAGCAGGCTAGGTCAGAGAGATGAGGACCTGAATATTCTCATATCAATTTCATTTCATAGTGTTTTTTATGTCATTTTGTTTGTCTAAATTAACATATATAGTTGGTAGAGAGATAGGTAATTCACAAAATGATTAATACCAGTTAAGAGAACTTAAATAGAATACCAAATTTGGAATGGAATAGAATGAAGGACTCTTTTACATTTGTACCCTATCTGATATAGTAATATTTATAGAAATCTCACATTGCCTCTCTCGAGTTCCATTCATCTTTCTGTGTCAAGCGCCACAGATATTAAACTCTCTGTAATGTAAATCTATAAAATTGGGGCAAATTCATCTTTATTTGAAAGTATCAGCTTATGTATTTACAACTTTCTAATATTCAATTTTGCACATTTTGTAACAACAACTTGCATAGCAAGGTTTATCCAACTGCTAAATCAATTAGGTCATATTCAAGAAAAGTTTGGACCAAATTCAAAAATTGGTTCTTCAATTTATGGCTGACTAAGAAACTCTGCAACCACATTTTGATACACAATTGTCATCAAATTCCTATCCTAAACTTCATCATACTACTGAAATCGAAATGACGGGAAAAATAGAGGTAATTGAAAATATTGAAAGCATTGAAGAAGTTTGGGCAGTTAAGCATGAACTTTATTCTTCAGATTTGAGTGGTCAGCTTGAAAAGATTATGACACCTAATCTTGATTGTAACGTGAACAAGCAAATTATTGTTCCTGAAATTGTATTCAACTTGAAATATGAGGAGAATAAATCAAGTGATCCATCAGATTTCAGTCCTGGAGCCCTCAATTCTGGTGAAGATTCTGCTATTACTTCTAACGATGAACAAGATACAATGATAAAGGTAAAAGTAGATGAATCTTCTAAAATGTTTCAATTGGATAAAAAACCTATCTCTAGTATTAAGGTAGAAAATCTTCCTATAGAAAGAGAATTACAATTTAATCTGTTTAAAATTTCAGAAAGTAAGGCCCTAATTCTTATCAATGCAATGAATTCTACAACTCTTTTGCAACAACTTACACCTTCGAGTATGGGGTGTGCACTCTATAAGGCTCAAGAAAAGAGATATCATCAGAAACCAGAGAAAAAGGTATTGTTTCGTTACCATGAAAAGAGCATTGATAAGCCATTCAAAAGAACGAGTCGGAGACCAATCGAGAAAAAATTTACAATAAATGTCTTGGATACTTTAGTTAAATAGAAGTTTGAAATCAATACCCAACTACACAAATGTAAAGTCCCAATAGATCCACGTAGACTACACATAGTGTAAATTCAACCATCTTTTATCATCTATATCTGATAGTTATAATCAAAAAAAGTTTTTTGCAACCTTTATTAGTGTTTGACTTCATCACGTGATCGATTATGAATGTGTATGTATTTTATATTTTTCCACTTTATAACGTGATAACAAGGTATATATAATCGTTTTATGGAGGGATGTTGAAAGCAAAAAATGGTCCATCATGGATGGTGAGATATGTATCGCACTCTTCTAAACATCGAGTTCCTCGTCTTGCTATAAACTCAGAACTTCCTAAGGATTTGACCACTATACCTACTCATGAATTATTTGTTAAATCTGGATTCTTTTCACATCCACGTCCTGGTTTAGTAAATTGGATGCCCGTAGGGTTGAATGTATTACGTAAGGTCGAGCAAGTTATCAGGGACCGAATGGTTGAAGTTGGTGGTGAAGAGGTGAATTTATCTTCATTATCTTCAGCAAGTTTATGGGAGAAGACTGGTAGATGGAACAATACCGAATTGTTTAAATTAAGAGATTCTAGCGGAGATCCATATTGTCTTGCAGCTACTTGTGAAGAAGAAATCACTAATTTGGTTAGTCAACAACTTAAATCTTATAAAGATCTCCCACAATTATATTTCCAAATCAACAAGAAATATCGAGATGAGAAAAGACCAAGATCTGGTCTACTTAGGGGTCGAGAATTTATAATGAAGGATGCCTATTCCTTTGATATAGATGAAACAAGGGCCATGGAAACTTATGATAAACTTGTTGGAGCATACTATCGGATATTTGAAGATTTGAAAGTTCCATTTGTTAAAGCAGATGCCGATACTGGAGATATTGGAGGATCTCTTTCACATGAATGGCATTATTTACATTCATCTGCTGGAGAAGATACTTTATTTACTTGTGATGAATGTGGGAATAGTTCTAATTTAGAGAAAACTTTATCCTACTCAGAAAAACTTGAAGATCATTTAGAAGTTGAAGTTGAATATTTCCTTACTAAGGATACTTCAACATTAATTTGTGCTTATTATCCAAGAGGGAGAACTTTAGAAACAAATTTATTGAAATTACATATTCCAGATATTGATTTGAATTTAAATTCATCTGTTATTAAGCAAGAAGAACTTTTTAAAGAATTTAAAGATGAAGAATTAATGATGTCGAAAAAGGTAATTAGAGTTATGGATGCTAGATTAAACCAAACTTCAAACTTGCCAGATTTCCCGGTGCCCTTCATCAATCGATCTTTTATTACCACGATGTTTGATACCCCAATTGTTGCCGCTACAGAGGGAGAAATCTGTGGAGTTTGCGAAGATGGGAAACTTTCAGTTCATAAATCTATTGAAGTTGGTCATACATTTTTCTTGGGTGACAAGTATACCAAGCCATTAAACTTGACGGTTGAAGTCCCACCACCAGCTGATGCAACGAGTAAAAAAATGATTAAACAGAATGTAGTCATGGGATGTTATGGGATTGGTGTTAGTAGAATTATTGCCGCTATGGGGGAGATCTTGAAAGATTCCCAAGGGTTCAGATGGCCTAAAAGTATTGCACCATGGACCATGACCGTTGTTGAAGCAAGAGGATTTGAATCAATTGAAAATGCTGATTCTTGTGTATACAATGTCCTTGACAAATTGGAAACAGAATTAGAAGGATTCAATTATAAAGTTGATGAGAGATCAGGGGTTGGATTAGGAAAGAAAATCAAAGAATCAAATATGTTGGGAATACCACTTAGTTTGATTGTAGGGAAGAAATTCCCCCTTGTGGAGATTGAAGTTAGAGGTAAAAGATTCACCAAAGAACCAGTTTGGAGAAAATTATATCAAGAGAAGAAGGAAGAATTCCAATGGGAAGTTAATGAAGAGAAGCATATAGTTCACATTGATGCAGTAGGTGAAGTTGTCAAGACATTACTTGAAGATATGTGATATAAAAATAAATGTAAATAGAATAAATATCCTTTTCACCTACAGTAAAACTTACACTTTCCATTGGTAATATAATTAATAGATTTACTACACACATTCAGGGAATTCCATCCCTTCCATATTCTTTTCTTAAAATTGTTTTAACTCATACTTAAGAACTAGCTCAAGCTGAAAATTTGCCGGTTATCTTGGCGAAAACGTGCAAGATAATGACAGAGAAAATGAAACCAACAGCAAGGAAAAGAACAACCAATGGGTCGACTCTCAAACCTTGGGCTTCATCGGTGAACAACTTCATCATGGTAGCAGATGAACCACCGGCACCAGCAGCTCTAGTAGATAATGGCATGGCATTAGCAGATTGGGCCTTCTTGTCGGCATTAGCCTTTCTCTTGGCTGCGCTTCTTAAGCCACCTGGAGCTTGTACTGAAGATGACTGGCTTTGTTAGTAGCTACTCCATATATAGAGAGATATATATATTGTAGATTTATGGTGGGTGGGTGGGTTTGATGGGAAAAGTACTCACGCGATAAAAGACACGTATTCTATGTGGGTTGCAAGAAATAGATCTTAATGTTAAGATTTACCCCGTCATCAAAAGTGACGTTTAGTAGTAGTGAATGAACAGCTCTACCAGCCACCAGGACCTCCACTCCCAACCACACTCCATCTATACACCTTCCAGCCTTCTATATCATCGAATACATACCATGATGTGTAATTAATGGAAGAATATATTAAAGATGTTATCGGTACGGCAATAGAAAAAACAAAAAACTGGACGATTTCTATGGTAATTTTCCATTCGCGGGTCCTGCATGTAGAATCCTCCGATTTTTGTAATAATAAATATTTATTTAATGAATTATTTTATTTTATTTTTTGTTTTTGCCAAAAATTGTTTGTCCATAGCAGTGAATTTGGTGGTGAGTGGCGGCGATTGTCGCAAAAATGATTTAGCGATTCGAACCAATTGAACCAATTGTATGATAGCCAGTGTGTAGATGAAGACAAGTAGACGCTAATATATATTCATGCTAGGGGAGAGATACTTCTCAAACTTGTATATATACTCGGTCTACCTTCAGAATCCATCTATTAAATAGAACTGGTATTTCTTTTTATAGCTTCACTTATTCGTGTAGATTCATCCTCCACTATAGCGCGTGTGCGCCCGAGGGGCTTTTTACTTCCTCGAAAAGATTACAAATTTCGCACGCAGTACGAAATTTCGCGGTAATTTGGTTATGGTCTTTAGGGGGCACACCACACATAAATCATTCATGCATCCACATCGACCCCTTACCACTTTCAAACAATTCTTATTTTCAATTATTATAGATCTATTGTGGTAAACACACCAAATATATGTCACCACACTGTACACACCCCCTTTCATATTTCTTTTTTAAAGTCTCCCCCCCACTTTCTCATTTGCTTCTCCGTGGGTCTTTTCTTTTTTGTTTCTACTCTCCTTCTCATTTCCCCTGCCAATTTTGATTTTTTTTCCACGATTTTTTTTTTTTTTTTTTGACACTTGCAATCTTTTAATCTTTTCGTGCGCTTTTTGAACTACGGTAGAGTTTCTTTCTTTTCCCTGTGCATCCAGCCATATTTATCAATCTAGGTCTCTTCCATCAACACTAGAGAATCCCAGAGCTGATTGTGATCTCACCTACTGCACCAACCGCCCCACAGCCCGTCACAGTCTTTGCATCGACACACAACAATCCCTTGCTGTGCCAAACAGAAAGAAAGAGAAAAAAGTTTCTATTTCCCTTTTTGATTTTTTCTTTTAAAAGAACCAACGTTGTATCTTGGGTTATCCTACTGATCAATCTGCTTATAGAACTAGTGAAAGTGCACCCTTTACAATGGACTTGAGAAACCTTTCCTCGACTCCAAATCAATTGGATTCGATGCAACGTCGCCCGTCTCTTTCCTCACTTTCTTCAACTTCAGGTTATGCCTCTTCAACATATGGTAATACCACTCCACAACTTTCTAATCAAAGAATAAACCAAGCTCGTAATTTTGCTGGATTAACTACAAATTCTTCTAGCACCAATCTTCAAGGTTCTTGGTTTAACGCAGGAACTCCCCCTGGTGGATCTACTGTTCAAACTCAAGTGGTTAATAATGTTGCTCCATGGGTGGAACAACAACAAGCTCAACAACAAGCAGGTGTTGGAGCCTTGGGAAAGCCAGAAAAGCTGGGCAGCAAGAGACTGAGTTCCAATGGACCAGGTGGACGTGTTAATAACAATGGGAACCATAACAACAATACTAATATTGAACAATCATCGATGGTCAATGGATCTTCCAATGATAATGAAGGAATCAATAGACATGAAGAAGATGAAGAAGATGAAGATGTTGATGGTGAAGATAGAGAACTTGATGATGATGATGAACTTATCCCAACTGCAATTGTAATTAAAAACATTCCATTTGCCATCAAAAAGGAACAATTATTGGATGTTATGACCAAATTAAATCTCCCACTTCCTTATGCATTCAATTATCATTTCGATAATGGTGTCTTTAGAGGATTGGCATTTGCAAACTTTACTCTGACTAATGAAACTTCACTGGTTGTTAATTTACTTAATGGTAGAGAAATTGGCGGTAGAAAATTAAGAGTTGAATACAAAAAAATGCTTCCATTACAAGAAAGAGAAAGAATTGAACGGGAAAAGAGAGAAAAAAGAGGACAATTGGAAGAACAACATCGTTCTACATCTAATGCCTCCTTAGCTTCATTAATGTCAACTGCTTCTACCACTGCTGCCACCAAGAACTTGAGTGTAAGTGGTAGTGGGACCCAAAACACTCTGCAAACTGAAAGACTTTTTGTTGCATTCCCACTGCAAGTACAACTGGCCCTGCCACTCCCACTTATTCCTGCAGAAGTCAACTTTAATGATCCTGATGTATTGGATTTATACACTCAACTTGTACTTTATCGTGATGATTCTACCAAGTCTGTATTTGAATTGGCTTTCCCTCTGACTTTAACCATTGGTCAGAGAAAAATTCTTCTGATTTTAGCTTCCTTTTTAAATTTATTGGAATTATATGATAATGGGATTATCATTATTAGAAGAAAGCCAGGTCAAGCTCCACTTGCTAGACTGACCTTGGTAATTTCTCCTCATCCTCCATCTCATTCATCTTCTATGATGAATTTGAATCAATTGAATACCAATGGAGGTGCTACCCCTGTACCAACTGCTGGATCTGGTCAACCTGAATTATTAAGATCTCATTCACAATCTGCCATTCCTATTTCTACTAGACCAATGACTCAAAGTTCCACTCCAATTCAACTGCAATTCCCTCAATATCAACAATCATCTACTGCAAATCAATCGATTAGTAGTACTGGAGGAGGGAATTCTGGAAGATCAATGTATGCTCCACAAGCCACTACATCATCTTATTACCAACCACCTCCCCCACCACCACAACAACAGCAACAACAACCAAACCAACAACAGGGGGGAACTACCCAACATGGTCAATCTTATCAACAAGGTCCACCACCACCATCGGTAGCTCAAGGTTCATCACAAACAAACACTCCTGCTATGGGATCAAGTGCTGCAGCCTTGTTAAGATCTTCAAATAATAGATCATATGTTGATGTTCGTGCCACTCCTCCATTACAGAATTCATTTATTCATCATGGAACGGAATCACCAACTCCTCAACATCATCATTTCTTTTCTAATGGGATCCAATTACAAAGTGGTCAAGTTTCTCAACCTGGAACTCCATTGACTGGAAGTGATATCAATTCAAGATTTGCACCATTTGGTCAACATTCCAACTTGACCGGTAGTTATACGTCTTTATCAACCACTCAACCTCAAGGACAAAACCAATCGGGTGGTCAACCAACACCACAACCTTCAACTCAACCACCATCGCAACCGCAACAACAACAACAACAACAACCGCAACCTTCACACCAACATCACCATCAACACCATTCACACCAACAACCACCAACACAACAAGCTCCACATTATGTCTCCTCTGAAGATTATCAAGAAGGAATTCAACAAAAATTTGGAGGCTTGAATTTGGGTAACACTTACGATGCAGCCAACACCAGTGGCAGTGGATCCAATAACGGCATCTGGGGACCAAAATGATACGAATATGAAGATGTACGCTCTTATGCTAATGATTATGTGTTATGATTATGATATATGTTTTCCTTTCTTACAAAATGCTGGACACAGCTATATAGAGTATATTGTAATGAACACTGTTTAGAGAAGATGTAGGAAAAGTCAAGATTAAAAGAGAAAAGAAGATACAAGAGAAAAGATAAGATAAAAGATAAAAGATATAATATAATATCATAAAATAAGAATTTACCAACCCCTATCAAGTTTATTAATAATATCATTATCAATCTATCAGATAATATGTGTCCCCCTTTTGTCACCTGTCAATCAATAGAGGGGGAAAAAAAGAAAAAAGAAAAAAAAAAAAAGAATACACTTTGTAAGAAACGCACGTGACGTTGTCCAATCGTCCAACTTGTAGAGATGAAACACTGCATACAGTACCGAAGGCGAGAGCGTGAGTTGAAGAAAAAAAGTAAAAAAAAACTCAACATAGAGAACAACCCCCGCCACTCCACAACCAAGAATCTCCGTAGTTCACTTCACGAGGACCACGAAAAGACACGAGGGTTTCTGGATATAGCTTGCACTTGCCACTGCCGAGCACCACACGCACACACACACACACGAGATTGTACCAAAACTTGGCCAATAGCCCGATAATATCAATCGCTTTGTGAACAGATTGCACACACAACACTGATCTAATTTACGACTTTAGGGAATTCCATTATAAGCGTAGATACAACCTAGACAGGAAGTAAAAACAATAAGCGAAGAATACTTGTGTTGAACCAAAGAACACAGTATCCAAACCAGCCGGGGCCACACGTGACATCAAGTACAAAGAACTATAGAAAGTAAGCATATTGAACCCTGAAGTCATTTCGGTCAATTTTTTTTTTTTGAATTATAATCTTATTCTTATTATTATTATTACCGTTTAAATATGGGACAAATTCTTTCCCAACCAGTCACTGAGAAACACTCAGAAGAAGGTGGCGATAGCCGTTTGGCGTATGGTCTTTCATGTATGCAAGGGTGGAGAATTAACATGGAGGATGCTCATGCCACAATTTTACTGTTGGCTGAAGATGCTAAACATTCAGAAGATGATGATGAAGAATCAAGAGATTTATCCAGTTCTGAAAGCAATGGGTCTGTTGATAAGACTGCCTTTTTCGGTGTTTATGATGGTCATGGAGGTGAAAAGGCTGCTATTTTCACCGGGAAGAGACTTCATGGAATTATTCGTTCCACTGATGCTTACAAGAAGAAGGATTATGTTCAAGCTTTGAAAGATGGGTTTTTAAGCTGTGATCAAGCCATCTTACGTGACTACGATATGCGTGACGATGACAGTGGATGTGCTGCTACATCTACCATCATAACCGAAAAAACCATTTATTGTGGTAATGCTGGGGACTCAAGAACTATCATGTCGATCAATGGGTTAGCCAAGGCGTTATCATACGACCACAAGCCTTCCAATGAAGGTGAAAAGGCTCGGATCTGTTCCGCAGGCGGCTACGTCGACATGGGCCGTGTGAACGGTAATTTGGCATTATCTAGAGGTATTGGTGATTTTGAATTTAAAAAGAATGCTGATTTACCAGCGGAAGAACAAATTGTTACCTGTTACCCTGATGTATTACAACATACTTTGGATTATTCCAAGGATGAATTTGTTGTTTTGGCATGTGATGGGATTTGGGATTGTTTAACTTCTCAACAATGTGTTGAATGTGTTAGACGTGGTATCAAGGAAAGAACCTCATTGACCAAGATTTGTGAAGAGATTATGGAATTATGTTGTGCTCCAACCAGTGATGGATCTGGAATTGGATGTGATAACATGTCTATTGTCATTGTTGCATTATTGGATGAATCCAAGGGAGAAACCTTGGAACAATGGTATGATAAGATCATTGCTAGAATTGAATTAGCTGAACTGGATCCTAATTTGAAGGGTTATGGACATGTTTCACCTCCATATGATAACATATACAAAGACTTGTATGGTGAACATTATTCCATTGGACAACAATCCGATGATGTTCCATTTACTTCAAGATCTAATTTGTATGGAGCCAGTGGAGCTAGTGCCTCATCTAGATTGAGAAATGGTACTGTTGAAGAACAAGATGAAGATGAAGAATCTAAAGAAGAAGATGAAGATGATGCACAGAAACAACTTGGCAATTTAGCCAATGATGGGGCCATTTCCTTACAGAAATTACTTGCCAGCAATGCTATAACGAATGAAAATGGTGTGATCTATTTGGATACTTCCTCAGCCCAATCGTTATTGGCACACTTTGGAATGTCTGGTGAAGGCGCAGAAGAAGAAGATGGGTTTGATGGAAACAGACATATCGAAGAAGAGGAAGAAGTAGAAGAAGAAGACGAACAAGAAGGAGGAGAAGAGAAGAAATAGAGTGTGCATTTTTTATAATAACTTACTCGAGAAAGAGAGAGAGAAATGAATTAGAGTGTTATATTTCACCCCCTTTACTCATTTTTTTTTTTTAATTGTCTGATTTTCCCTACCCTTTGCTTGAGAAAGGCACGTTTCCACACGTCCCACTATATGATTTTTTATGACTATTGCCCATTACGTTTGATTATTTTGCTGTTGCTATTTTTTTTGATATATATATATATATATATTTATATTTATAAGTATAATGTATATAACCCGCTTAGATTGTCTTGTAGAACAAAATTGTTTAGTTGAAAGGTTTTGCCTGTATATAGGATACTCCGAAACAGTGTGAGATTTTGAGCGTGAGCGAGAGTGCGCGTTGTGCGCGTTGTGTAACAAAAGCAGAGGATGGAGAGAGGGCTATTTACAAGATGTAGAGTAGAATTTGCAAGATATATCTCATATAACATTGAGCACTGATTTGTGTTCAGATAGAGATGCGACCAAGTATACTTGATCAGTTGCGCATCTCTGATAACAAGGTGTTTCCCGACATTCTTTTGTCTGGAAATGAAGGGAGCACTGGATCTGAAGAGCGAACGTTAAGACGAGGCACTGGAGTTCGAACGTATTCGGTACGGGCACTTTTCAAGGAACAAGAGAGCAATGGTAAGATAGAAGAACCTAGACGTGTGTCTATACCACGAAATAAGGAGTCCATATTGAATGTGCCGCGAGTGATAGTCAATAAATCTACGCGACATTTCAATGTGAAGATTAGATATACCCCGACAAAGCAACAACAACAACGTCATCAATATGAGACAAGTAGACGACATGAAAAGAGGATAATATCTTCTGGAGACTCGTACCTCAAACGGTCGGGGAAAAGAGGACGTCCGAGAAAATATCCCCGAGTGGGGGAAGATACAATCATGACCGGGAACGTCTATACAAAGTCATTGGATACTTATGACAATGATCTGTACATGTACGACACAGTAGTGGAAGAAGCAACCACCACAGCAACACCACAGCCACATGACCCTTATGAAGAACTCCCATATAAGGGGATAATCGGATTTCCCGATTGTATCATCAATGAAACCGATCCAACGCGACAAGATCGTGAAATATTCCAAAAGCTTCTAATTGAGGGAGAAACCTTAAGAAAGGAAACATTACATGCAAATAAAAATAATAATTATAATAATAAGAATAATAACAACAATGAGACTAATGAGGAGGAGAATAGAGGAGAAACGACCCCAGCACCTTCATATTACTTAAGATCCAAGATCAAAAAAATTCAATTCAGAGAGTTTGAGATTGATACTTGGTACACAGCACCATACCCTGAAGAATATTCCCAATCTGAAGTGTTATACATATGTGAATATTGTCTCAAGTATATGAATTCTCCAACTTCATATGCGCGACATCAATTAAAGAATTGTAACCTTTCAAATAATCATCCACCAGGGTTAGAAATTTATCGAGATGAGACTCAAAATGTTTCAATTTGGGAAGTTGATGGACGCAAGAATATCAATTATTGTCAGAATTTATGTCTTCTTGCCAAATTATTTCTCAATTCCAAGACTCTTTATTATGATGTTGAACCATTTACATTTTATGTACTAACTGAAATTGATCCAATGGATTCTTCAAAGTATCATTTTGTGGGATATTTTTCAAAGGAGAAACTTAATAATTCAGATTACAACGTTTCATGTATATTGACTTTACCAATCTATCAAAGGAAAGGGTATGGGAACTTTTTGATTGACTTTAGTTACCTTTTAAGTAGACGAGAGTTTAAATATGGTACACCCGAAAAGCCCTTGAGTGATTTAGGATTGGTTAGTTATAGGAATTATTGGAAGAATACTATAGCTTTCACATTGAAGAAGTTATTTCAAAAGTTCCAAGATAAATTCTCTGTTTCAATTGATAGTTTAAGTAAATTAACTGGGATGATTCCATCAGATGTGGTAGTTGGATTGGAACAATTAGAATCATTGGTTAAGAAGGACAAAGAGTATGCTATATTGATGAATGTTAAAGTGATTGACGAGGTGATATGTAAATGGGAGAATAAAGGATACGTCACCGTTGATGAATCGAAGTTATTATGGAAACCAATGTTATTTGGACCTTCTGGTGGGATCAATTCTGCCCCAGCCCTCTTGCAAGGAACTACTGTTGTAAATAATGGGATTAATAGCATATCAAATATTGTTAATTTCCTAAGAGATGATATTAACAATCCTTATAGTTTTGAAGATGAAGCATATAAGGAGATTGAATGTTATGTTGAGATGGAAGATGGGGCAAACGAGGAAGCTGGAGCTAGAAATATTGACGGATATCACGTTTGTAGACCAGGAGGTGGATCGATCAACGTTTCCAAACCATTACAATTTATTGATGATAGAGATAAAGAGTATATGGATGTTAATGGTATTGAAAACATCGAAGGGGATGTGACCAATGAGATTGATGATGGGGAAGACGAATTAGATTTGGATGTGGAAGTCGATCTGGAAGAAGATGGCGAAGAGGTTGTAATACTGGAAGAAGAGGAGGAAGAAGAGGAGGAAGAGGAAGAAGATGACATTGAAGTGGATGAAGAATTATTATTAAATGCTGAAGATTCTTCCGATTATTCTGATGCAGTAGAATACACAGATGAAGAAAGCAAACGAAATGGTCTGGTACCTACTCGGATAGCAAGAAACGGTCGTAGAGAAACGACCCTTACAACAAGCACTCGACAGCGTAGGCGAAGATAATGTACATTATGTATAGTATTTCAATATAGATGTATAATAGTATTATGAATTAAATTGTAATTCACTATATAGTTATCACCAATTAAATGAGTTCATGAGCAGTTGTCTAGTTCCTCTTATAAGACTTCTTTCTCTGTATTTCTATTTCTTTTTTCCTTCTACTTCCTCTTCACTACCTTGTCTATCTGGTTCTAAAATATAACTATATAGTTTATTCTATTTGATCAATCTTGAAGAAATCACACGTGTTTTTGTAAACCGTATCAACAAAGTCTTCGATTTCCTTATCTTCTTGCAATCCATGGAGAGAACTCATGATCTGGGCGATTTGACCAACAAACACAGGTTCGTTTCTTGACAGAATGATCGGGGCATAAAATGGTCCATCTGGAGATCTAAAGATCGAAGTGGAATTGTCTTTAATTAAAGATTGTGCAATTTCATCATATGGTTGAACATTACTACTTTTAACTATTGGTAAGGGGAGATGAGTAGAAAATGTGATTCCTCCATTTCTTTGTTTCTTAGGTCTTGTATCCTGGGCAGTATAAGTCTCCACTGCCTGCTTAAGTTCATCTAATTCTTGTTGAATCTTTTCATCAAATTGTGGATAGAATTTATTTGGATAATTAGTAAGATATTTCTTACCAGCTGGGTTATTTTTCCTAATTTCACAATATGGGGCATCCGTTTCAATCATAAGTTTTGATATTGGGATCTTAGAGGCTACTTCAATGTTTTCATCGGTTCTAAGAGAACATCCATTGATACCAACCATAAATCCAAGCGATAAGAGCTTATTTAATTCATCTTCAGTTCCGGTGAATGAATGAACAACACCACGAAGACCTTTTTCAACATAAGGTTTAATAATATCAATGAAATCGTCACATGCAGCTCTCATGTGTAAGAAATATGGTAAATCGAGTCCTAACGAATCGAAAAGGTTCAATTGAGCTTTGAACATGGCAATTTGTTGAACTTTAGAAGAATAATGTAATCGATCATAATCTAAACCAATTTCACCATATGCCTTTATATATCCCTTTGAATACCCTTCATGTGCTATTTCTGAAAGTTCCGATAATTTGGATTGATAACCTGATATTAAATCATCTGTATAACGACATTGATCTTCATCTTCTTCAGTAGGTTGGATTTCCTTTTGGATATAAAATTCTTGAGCCACCGAGCAAGGATGGACTCCTACTGTGGTATGATAATGTTTATCGTCACATAAAAGAAGATGTTTCTTACTATCTTCTATCGATGAAGATGTAATGAGCATATTCTTCACATTAAATAATACTGCTCTTTCAGTTACCAGTTGTATGTGACTACCATGCTTTGGAGTGAGTGAACTTGATCCATAATACTTCCCCAAAAACATAGAGTCGGTTACATTGAGACCGATATCAAAGTATCTAGGCTTCCATATAGATGTGAGTTTGGTCATTATATATATATATATGTATATTAAAGAGACTAGTTTTAAAATACAGAGATAGTTAATTTTTTTTTCCTAATCCTATCATGAGAACTGAGAAGCAAAATTTACATCCATTAACTTATCAAGAAGAACACCTACACTTCATATGTCAGACGTAGATAATCTACTCAATGCCGAGCAACTGGCATTAGCTAAGGATCAAGAAATAGAAAGAATATTGGGTTGCTGCCAATGGGATTACTTTGATCTTTTAGAAATAGATCCAAATGAACAAGATATACCATTAAAAGTAAAGAAAACTTTTAGAAGGAAAACCTTGTTGGTACATCCGGATAAGGTATCCAATAAGAAGGCGCCGGTAGCCTTTGATAGGATCAAGCGAGCAGAAAGAGTGCTTTCGGTCAACCCGGAAACAACTTCAGAATCAGACAAGCCATTACTAGTAGAACGGGAAAGATTATTGGCAATTTATAAAGATGCATCTACAAGAGCAGATCAAAAGAATAAGAAACAAATTGTGAAATTAGTAGAAGAGATTTTGAATGATGAAATCAAGCTGGAACAAATAGAAAAAGATTTTGAACGAAGACAAGAGGCAAATAAAATTGAAGAATTGAATAAAATTCGTAAGGAAAGAGAATTAAAGAAGAAACTTGAATCCAAATGGGAAGATGATCGAGATGTAAGAGTTCTGAATTGGAGAAAGTATACTTCTAAGGTAGAAAAGAAAAATACCAAGAGCAAGAAAGTTAAGAAGAAGGTATTGGCGTAGGTTTTACTAAAGACTGAACCCATTCTGATAAATTAATCAACGATATCCCACAACTTAACGGAATTACTGTAAATCTAAAAAGAATAACTAGAGATGACCACTTTGTATATTCCCTATTTAGTGTCATATAGACTTATATTAAGCTAGTTCTTTACTTCTCCCCACCCTTGTATTCAATACTTCTCTCTACTATTTTGCAACTATGTCGCGAATATGTGATATCAAAAATTTTACTACAGGTGAAACACTAGATATTAGGAACATCAACTCTACATACATAAAATGGGTACCACTATCTCTATCCAACAAACAGTCACCCTCAGTTTGGCATGTTTTGCATCGGGAGTCTTCCTTGGTAAATACCTCTTTGGGGGACCTGTTTGTGAATATGAATATGAAGAAGAACTGGAAGAAGAGGAATCTGATGATGAAGGATTAGAAATTGATTCTAGCTCCTTGAATGAAATACCTGGTGAATGTAAGATGGTCTTGGTTGTTCGTCAAGATTTGAAGATGGGTAAGGGTAAGGCTGCCGCACAATGTCTGCATGCCACTTTGGCACTCTACAAGAAGATCAGTAACCCTAATTCGGAAGCTTACAACCCAAACATGTTAAACAGATGGGAGTATGGGAATGGACAAGCTAAGGTTACTCTTCAAGTTCCAAACCAAGAAGAGATGGATATTCTTTTTGCTCAGGCCATTTCTATGGGTGTAAATGCTCATATTATTCATGATGCTGGTAGAACACAAATTGCTGCTGGAAGTGCAACTGTGCTAGGCTTGGGTCCAGCTCCAAAATCCGTTTTAGATCAAATTACTGGATCATTGAAGTTATATTAAATAACTATTTTAGTGACATGGAGATCCTATAGAGTAGACTATGAAAATATTGAAGAATGTAAATATATACTGATTAATACATATTAAATGTGACTTGCTTAGAAAGAGGAATCATTCTGATTGCTCATTTGTGATAAGTTTATATTCTCTTTAAGATTCACTACACTTTGATTTCTTTAATATCCTATTATATCTATCTTAGCCTTCGTCTTTCCATTGATAATGGATTTACCGCTGAACTAGCACGTCTCTTTTTCCTCCTTACACCTCCTAATGAATCATCTACGTCCAAGAGAACATCGTCATCGTCCTCTTCTTCATCGCTATCAATCATCACATCTTCAACATCATAGAAATCATCAACATCGTCCAAACCGATCAGGGATTGTCTTCTATTATCTCTTGATGCTCTGTGACCGTTACGAAGCTTTTCCAAATGGTCAATTCTTGACCAGATCTCACCCTCTGTACGTTGAGGAAGAAGAATAGAGAGCTCAGCAAATGATAACTCTCTATTTCTTCTATTAATTAATAATTCATCTTCTTCCATGGACCATGGGATTTTAAATACTGTACCATTAGATTTGGTAGCCTTGGTACCCTTTTTGGGGGTCGAATATTTTGTTGTTGACGAGGAATTGGTTGAATTGTTTGAGTTTGATGCGGTTGGTTTCTCAAGCTTATATTCTTCAACTTTCTTCTCCCCATTATATGGTATAACCACGGATCCTGAACGTGAATAGTAACCAGATGTACTGCCACTACGACCGCCGCCAGCAGGGCCACTTATACTTCCACCAAGTCCTACGACACTCCCATTACGTAAAGAACTTATTGGGTTCAGGTGACTGGCAATTCCTGGTGGTCCACTTATACTTGGATTGGGGGAAGGACCAGATATACTCCCACCACCACCACCAAAAAGTACTGGGAGGTGTGCAAGAGCATTATTGTTCAGTTGATGATGTGGGATATTCATCGATTTTGAAGGAAGTGATGAAACGGAAGCTCTTGTTGAAGACGAAATTGAAGTACGATCATCTTTTACAATTTGAATGATGGAATTATGATGAAGATGATGTTGAAGTGGACCAGAAATTCCTCCAACACTATTACCATTTCCTCCACTAACTCCTCCGTGTCCCCCACCTACACCAACACCGGAATTCGCACCGACACTCCCAGATCTGTGTGTGCCACCGTGTCCCCCTCCTGACCCATTTACACCATCATGATTGCTACCACTTGAAGTACTAGAAGAGTTACTAGACCCAATGGTTGATCTCCTTCGGTTCAGATGATGAGCATGAGGATGTGGCTGATTATGCGGCAAGTTCATCGTGGGATCAATCGAGATATCGGCATAATAGCCTCCTCCAGCAGTAGGAACCCCTTGTGGAGGTTGTGGAGGGTCAAGAGATTCCGGCGAGTCATAACCACCAACCCCACTACCACCAGGAGTAGTAGCCTGTGTGACGTGTGGAGTTGAAGGGTTATAAGTCCCACCAGGAGTCGATAAGTTAGACGGGGTGTTCAGTAAAGCGTTGAGGCCTGCTAACGCGCTACTGACATTGTTATCATATCCAGTGAAAGTGAGCCCAGTAGAAAGTGCGAATGGACCATTCCTCCCAGGAGTAGACTCCAGCAGTTGCACCAGTTGTTGTTGTCTCTTCTTCTTGGGTGGAGATTCTCCACCTCCTTCAGCCTTAGTCACCTTTGGGGAACCGGACGTACCCGTACTAGCGGTACCGGCGGTATTGTTGGCTATTGATTTAGGTGGATTCTTTAAATTACCCAGCTTCAACCGCCGCCATCGAAATTGGCACGCGTTGGGCGTTCTATTGACGAAATGGCTCGCAATCTCTTTCCAACCAAGCTTCTGTTGGTCTTTCAAATGCATTAAAAGAATATCATCCTCCGCATCCCACGAAGTTGGGGTTCGGGAAAAGTTCTTCGCTCCTCCGATGTCTTCCATGGCTCAATTTGCGGATTTAAGAGTACTGAATTTGCGTTGTTACGCTCAACTATACACTCAATTTTTGTATGTGTCCAAATCTGGGCTGGTTAGACCGAGCGACCAATCCGTCGAAGATCATCGATTTCGACGAAGTCACCTGACACAGTCACGTGCGGAGCCTATATCTCATTGTAAGGGTGGGGGATTTATTAAGAGTGGTGGCGGAATTCGAAATTATTTTTATGTGCGGCTCTCCGCCAAATATGCCCAAGTTTTATATGCATATGATCTAAAGAACTCATGAGTTTGAGTTAAATATATTGTACAGATTATAAGTAGTATAAGTGAATAGTTGGGTACAGAAATGGCATAGTCTCATGAAGAAGTAGTTCTATATATTTCCTTTCCTTTTTTGCTTCTATATCTCGGAAATTTAGTAAATTGCTTTTGCAACCATTGTAAATAAACAAGGGTCCGATAAATAGTTTGTTCCGCCCTTTCATGATATATATATATATATATATATACAGAATATTCTATGGATATTGAAACAACTAATAGTTAGTTATATTGTATTATTATTCATTTTTCTTGATCCTACTCATTTTACTTTTACTAAACTTTATATTTAAATTTCTATTCTTGACCAACCTTTTCAATCCAGATTTGTTCAGCTTCAACAATTGTATTGTTATTGGCCTTCATTTTGTTCATGGTTTCAATATATTCATCGTATTCGTCACTATCGAATACAATACCACCACCAGCCTGTAAATAGGCTACACCTTCTTTGTATACCATTGTTCTTAAGGCAATACAAGTGTCCATAGTCTTACCATCATATGACCAATGGCCAACAGCACCAGCGTATACACCACGCTTTTCTTGCTCAAGTTCTCCAATCAATTCCATGGCTCTGACTTTTGGAGCTCCACTGACAGTTCCAGCAGGGAAAATAGATCTGAAAGCATCGAATCTAGTTTTATCTTCTCTTAAGGTACCACTTACTTCAGATACCAAGTGCATAACATGAGAAAATCTTTCGATAGTTAATAAACGGTCAACTTTATTTGAAAGTGGTTCACAAACACGATTGACATCGTTACGAGCCAAATCAACCAACATGATATGTTCAGCTCTGTCCTTAAGCGATGATCTTAAAATTTGAGCGTTTTGTTCGTCTTCTTCGTATGTCTTACCTCTTTGGATTGTTCCAGCAATTGGATGGGTAACAACTTTACCCTTATCGTCACTCTTAACTAAAAGTTCTGGAGATGCACCAATGATTTGGAAATCAATTAAATCAATATAGAAAAGATAAGGTGATGGGTTAACGGTTCTTAAATGTCTATAAATATTGAATGGGTGGAGACTAGTTGGTCTAGCCACTCTTTGAGATGGAACCGCTTGAATTATATCACCTTTAAGAATGTGTTCTTTCAATGTTTTAACGTGGGTTTCATAACCTTCTTGACCAATATTTGAGGTGAAAGTTTGGTTTGGTTTGATTGGAGGTTGCTTAGGGTTAATATCATCAGAATGTGGAGCCTTCAAAATAGCTTCAACTTCTTGAATTTCCTTCTCAGCCTTTTTAAACTTCAATGAAATTTCTTCAGCAGTAGTCACACCAGTTTCAATTTCAATGTTATTAATGATTTGAATTCTTTGGTATACATTATCAAAGGCAACAATCAAGTCACACATCATCAAAACGGCTTCAGGTAAGTGTAAAGTATCTTTCAAAGGCTTCTTGGTCTTTGGTTCGAAATATTTGACACAATCATACGAAACGTAACCGACAGCACCTCCACTGAGCTTTGGAATACCAGGAAGTTGTGCTTGGTTATACTTTGCCAATTCGCTTTCCAATACTGTAATTGGATCAACATTTGCATATTCTCCAAATCTTTCTGGGTCATCACCAGTTTGGATGATTTTCTTTGGGTTGATCCCAATAAATGTATATCTTTCTACTGTGTCACCATTATGGGCAGATTCCAAAATGAAAGAGGCAGATCTATTTGGGTCGTTCAAACGCGCAAGCTTCAAGTAAGCTTGGTGCACGTTAAGTTCATCTGCAGACGAATATTTATAAATTGGATACAAGTTTGGTTTCTCTTCATTTTTGGTTTCATAAGACTTTACAATCGTCTTTAATGACTCAAGAGAAGGTTGAATATCGGACTGAAAATCGTTAGTAAATCTGTGAAAATCAGCAATATAATTAGAGAAATGTATTACATATCTCTTTTCATTTTACATACAAACATCTTTTATAGAACTATATCTGATCTTTATTCTTGTTTCTTCCTCTAAATTTTTCTGTGAGTAAATATTTAACGATATTTTTCTCAAATTTCTCTAAGAGTGAGTCAATGGAAAATGTGAAAAATGTTTAAAAAATACGAGTAGTCAATAATGCGAAATATATAGATAGTAGTCATTACATATATACAAGGTGATTCCTATTATTTGAATGTCTATAAATATCGTTTATTTGGTATATAAATAATCTTGCCAGAGATGAAAGAGTCTATACTTAGTATTCTTTGCCAATGACATTTTCTTATTCAGCGAGAACACATCTTCCCTCAACTGAATCTATGTACAAAATTTTGTTACAATTAATAATTGTTCCAATTGTGTCAATTTTGCTTGATTGAGTTAATATTTCCAACTCTAATCCCATTTCAACACATAAGGCTTTCGATAAATTCCAATCTTCTATCTGTGGTCCAATTTTGGTAACGATACAAGTGTATTTATGATTTTCCCTTTGTTCCTTTTTACTCTCCAATTCTTTCAATTTCCAGTACCTTTTCTCAATACTTCCAAATAAATCTCTGAAATCCTTCATTATTTCAAGTGTTGCCACTTCTTCCTCCAAGACATTCCAATGTAGTGGTTCTTTGGGATATCCATTTCTTATCAAATAACTAAATTTCAGAACTTCTTCCATATAATTCATCGATTCGTTCGATTTCAAAGATTGTAAATGACTCAAGATTTGGTATTGATTTAATAATGATTCATAACAATTGTTTCCATTGATAACATCAACATATCCAGAATTCAATCCTTCTCTCAATAATGGACGGATTATCTCCGGTGACACTTCAATTTTCCTTTTAACAAGGAAATTGTTGCTACACACTCTCCCAATTATTGGAATGTTCCCATGTGAATCTCTTGACATAAGAACTTGGAAATACGAATTTGCTCGGAAAGCAGGTAATAATACATTATTGTGATGAATTAAAACAGTATCTGTTTCAATGACTTCCAGATCATCTTCAAATGTTTTTTCTGTTGGTACGTTTTTCTTGAACATCGTTTCCAAGTTGAGTTCTTCTACCTCTTCCTCTACTCCTTCATTCTTCTTTAAACAATCATCTTCGATAACATCTTGATTATGGGTAAAGGCAGGGATTTCATTCTTAAAACAATATAATGATGTCATATCCCCACAGAACAGAGTCACCTCTCTTACCAAATTTTTGGAAAGTGTTGATTCATTTTCAATATCTGATACCCCTTTCAACTCTAAACTTGTCAAATCACATGGCTTACTTGAATCAAACAATGCTGCGTTATGAATGTTTCTTACTTTATTGTAAGTTTTCAAGACATTACTAATAAATCGAATGTTATGTATATCTATGTCGTTAAAGTCTGATGAATTGAAATCTTCTCTTTTCTTGAAAAGTCGAAATTTAGAGCTTTTGGTACCTTTTAAAATTCTTTCAAGTTCTTCCAGTGGGACAATTTTTATTTGACACTTCGAAATATCATCAAAATTAATTTGAATTTCATTTTCCATATCCTCAAATGGATCATTCTTATAAGGACTATAAAGAAAGGATATTGTCATACAGGATAATTGATCTTTTATATCAGTTATACCTTTTTTCCCGTTGGTTGATATATCACCAACAGAAATAAAATCATTATTAATTATCTTAGATTTGAATGCATGTTTGGAAAGGTAATTTGAATTAAAGAGATTTAAATTACCTCTCAATTGAATATCTGATCTGAAATTTGTAGAAATACTCTCAAACAATCTGCTGTTTGGGGATAACCTGGTGGCAATATCTTGAACATGAACATTAATCCAATGCTTATGATCATTGGTTCTTGACATTGATATTGCCAACGAAGACGTTCCAGAAGGATCACCATCTCTAATAAGTCCATACAAGATATTTTCAGGTAAAAGTTTTCTTCTTAAATGGGGGAATTTATCATTTTGATTAGATGAATAATTCAGAATTTGTTGAGATTCTAAAGGATTTAAATCATTAGTGGAAGATACTGATAATTGATTTAATATGGGAGATCCCATTATATTCGCAGATAGAACAATATCTGAAGCTTTCTCCCGTTCACCTCTAGGATCGTATACATTCCATTCGTTTAAAATCTTGAAAACACTCGTTGGAGAAATATCTTGAACTTCAATAGGTCCAACCAATATTTTCTCAAGTAATCGTTCTAATTCATGATGTGGATAAATCACGTATAATTTCATCAAGTTGATCAATTGAATATATTGAGATCCCTCCCAAACGGTAAACCAAATGGTAAGATCTTCTGAAGATTTGCGAGTACTTTCATTTGATTGCATATCTTGCAATTGTTTAACAAAATTTTTCAATTCTTCAGTATATGTCATATCTTTATCAAATCTAGTTTGTACTTCCTTTATCGATTCATGATTTTTAATCGATTGGGTTAAATAAACTTTCAATGGAGGCATGGTGTTTGAACACCCATCTACAAGTGATACGTTCGATACTCGATTGGCGGGTAACATTGTAGGAACCATCCATTGGTTAGGATTATTGGACATATGCATATGACAAGCCATCATTAATGCGCAAGTTTTAAAGTAACTAGACTCGATCTCTTGAGATTTCCATGGAGGAAGTTTGAACGACCTTATCATGCTTGAAATCAATAGAGGCATGACTGTATTTGAATTAGCATGATGAGCAAATGCAGTGTCAAACTGAAACTCATCTTCAAGGAAGTTTTGTAATGCTATTGATTCATTTATGAAATATCTCAATATTGAGACAAGTCTTTTTCGTTCATTGGGGATGATACTTTTTATCCATTGGGAATAGAATACTCTGGGGAATGATATAGTTATATCCTGTGCATTTACTTTCAATAACTGGTTATCAATAGTTAGTACAGTAAATTTATTATTGGATTCATCAAATTTGGCATTGGATTCCTCAACCACTATTCCAAATGTAGCTCTAATATGTGTATTATGATTGGCTGTAGTGTCGATGAATTCCACTAGAGTACCCGGTATTGGAGCCGTCTGTCTACTCTCTTGTTCTATATCCGAGACTCGAGGATTTGTAGTTACTGAATGTTTTTGAATTATCTTCTCCAGATCAAATTTGTCATATGTATTGTTGTTGATCTCAAGATATGAAAAATCTATAAATTTCAGCAAAGTACCAAATTGTACTTTGTTGAATATCTCTTCCACTGGGGTTTGTTGAGAGGGCTCAACATTATCGACGGTCGAACCAAAGAATCGAGTTCGTTTACCAGTCACACGAACTATCGTAGAAGCTCGGATTCGAGTGTTATATCGTAGTGTTTGTTTTATCATGAGGCATTAGATATATAGAGTCTTAAACTGGAAAGGAATGTGAATCTTAATTTAAGTACAGACAAAGTGTATGGCCATAGATTTGGGTAAATGTGTATCCTTTGTGCTTCTCTATACTCTTCTATCTTTCTCATTCTCTTCTCATAGTAGATTTTTTTTGTACTGCGCGAATATTCATATTCGAACAAATTCGAATCTACAACTCAGACTCTTTGATGTCTTCTCCTACTCTAATTTGCCTACAGCTTTCTTTTAAAGACTAGGTTGTTATTCTTTTCCAACTTTCTATTTGTATTTACGATATTTCTCTCTACTCTTAAATCATCTTGGAATCTTATTTTTTTCTGTTTTGCTATACATTATTCTTAAACCCATCTTTGTACAACTACTGCATTCTTCAATTTAGCAGCTTCAACAGTGGTGGCATCCAGTTCCTCAATTGGCTTTACGGGGAATGCATGGGATAAAATAAACAGTCTACCTGGAGTAGAATCTGGGTGTGATCTGACAAAATCATACACAACTGAGATTGAATCTGTAGAGTTAAACTTATGAGATGCTCTTTTACCGTTTGCAAATCTAATTTGAACCGGAGAGTCACCAACTTCTTCTGGGGGTGTAGGATTAGTTGCAGCCGGTGCGACAACCGGTTCGGGTTCGGAAACAACCAGGGTAGCTTCACCTGGAACAGGGGACCCCAATCTTTGACCCAGTCCGTGGAATCCACCAAGTTTACGTTTTGGAGGAGTCCAGTCCTCATCAGTTTTCTTGTATACACTAACATCAACATCTTGTCCAAATTCAACATCCAAAAGAGACATTGGCACTCTACCACGGTTCAATTCTTGCAATACGGCAGCATTATTAGGGTCATCATATCTATGTAATGGGCCATCTGCCACGGTAAACCCTTGTTTCCAAAAAATGATTTCTCTACTAACCTTAGCAGGAGTCTTCTTGGCCGCAGCTTCTTCTGGATCTTTGACTTCTTGAGAAGGTTCAACTCCATCACCAAGCTTGAATCCAGTACCGGAAAACTTTGGTTGGTGGTCTCCTTCATCTTCATCTTCATCCAATTGAGCTGATGGACGATCATCTGGTTGATCCATTTGTTCCTTAGCTCTTTGGAAGATTTGTTCTACGAGTGACTTCTCCTGGTTATTTGGGCCCTTCTTCTTATTTGGATCTTCTACTTGTAATCCTGACTTCTCTCCTCCAGTGAAAAAATTGGTATTAGTCTTATCATCTTCATCGTCGTCTCCATCATTTAAATCTCTAAAGGTTCTTACTCCACTAACTCCACCGCCAGTTCTATTGCAAATTAGTTAGTAATCTCCTCAAACACGAAATAGATTGAATGTTTTTTTTTTCAGTATTCTTGAGTAATATCTGATTATCAATCCACATCCTACTCTTTATACATACCTTGTTTGTTTCTTTGTACTCAGTGGCTGTTGAGTTGTTGGAGTAGGGTTCGCATAATAATCTTCAATTGCATCTATCAAATTATCATTGTTTCTTGCAAGAAATTGTTCAGCAAGATGTCTTGGAGCACTCGTTACAGAGACGAATTGATCAATAAGTTCTCCTTGTTCAGACATTATTAGATTCCAATTATTAATTGATATATAAAGAAATTAATAGGATCTATCTTTTGTAAGGAGACGTGAGCCCTAAGATTCATATAGAGGCAAAATATTTGTGCAACACACTACTTTGACGTAAATTGGAACCCTAAACCACCACCCCCACATTGATTTGAATCGCTACTTGTACAATTATATTCTTAATTCCTATATTTATTTCACTTCAATTTAAACAATAATTGTACTTTATTTTATCTAACTTACATAAAGACAAAACCGGCACCAAGGACCATGGAGATAGCACCCCACATAACCTTGGTGAAGGAGTTGAGACCAGCTTGTTGGACACCAGCGTTCTTCTTGGAAGAAGAAGAAGTACCAGAGGATTGAGATCCACTGGAAGACTTGGAGCCGGAAGAGCCAGTAGTAGTGGCATCAGAACCAGTGGTTTGAACGTGACCAGACACAGTTCCCAAACCAGAAGTACCAGCAGACTTCAAGATGGCGTTACAAGAGGAAGCAGTGGCAGCTTGTTGAAGAGTAGCAGATCCACTGAAGTCACAGTTCAGGGCACCACCACCGTTTTCGTTGTAGTACAAGTTCAAAACGAAGTCCAATCTGGCCTTGTTAGAACATGGAGAGTAAGAACCGTAGTCACCAGTGGTACCGTTACCGGTAATACCTTCACAAGAGACTTGGTCACAAACGTAAGCAAACAAGTCTTGGTAATCGTCACTAGAAATCTTAGAGTTGACAATACAGTCCAAAGAGCTTTGCATACAATCACAGATTTCTTGGTCTGGGGTAGGTGGCAAGTTGGTAGAAGCAGCCCAGCCGGAACCTCCAGTTGGACAGGAAGTAACAGAGGCACTGACGGAGGCAGTGGAGGTAGCCAAAGATGGAGAAATCTTGGCCAATTGAGACTTCAAGTTGGTGTAATCAGCTAAAGTGGAAACAGACTTACCATCAACAGTAACCAAACCGTAGTCATTTTCTTCTTGGAAGTACATGTAGACAATACCACCAGACCAGATGTTAAGCATGTCAGGACCGTAGATGGTACCAACTTCTTGGAATTGTCTTGGGGTAACCTTGTTACAACCGTATTCGGAGAAGAAAAGAGGAATACCAGCGTTTTGGTATTGCTTACTGATGGTGGAGTAACCGGACAAAGTGTAAGAAGAAGAACCACACCATTCGTACATGTTAATACCAAAGAAATCAGCTCTGTCTTCTTCGGAACCACAAGCAAAGTAGTCAACGAGATCAACTCTAATATCAGTGTCATCGTTAGCAGAATAACCAACTGGAATACTACGGTAACCCTTAGCCTTGATGTAAGCCTTGGTGTCTCTAACAGCGGCCTTAACAAAGGCAGAAGCATCAGTGTTGGTCTTGTCGTTGGTAACTTCATTACCAGCGAAGAAACCAAGAATGTTGGTGTAGTTGTGGAAAAGATCAACGACACTAGTGTAACGGTCATAAAGATCCAAGTTCCATTCTGGAGAGTCTCTGTTGATAGAAAGATCTGGTTCAGAAAGATCAGCAATAACATAAATACCAGCATCTTGAAGAAGGTTCATACAAGTAGTGTGATCTTGAGAAGTGTTAAGAGCGTAAACACGAATAACATTGGTGTCAAGAGCAGCTAAGAGTGGGACATCTCTCTTACAAGCTTCACCATCAGCAAGTGGATCAACAAAGGATTCATCAGCAGTAAGGTTGGTTGGGTTTTGTTGATAAGCGACACCCTTAATAAGGAATTGAGTACCGTTGTTAGAGTAGAAGAACTTGTTTCCGGAGATTTCAATAGCTGGAAGATCAGCAGCAGAAGCTGAAGAAATGAACCCTGCAGCGGCAATGGCAGTGCTCAAAAGTGATTTAAACAACATATTTCTTGAATTTCTTGGTAGTGGTATGAGCGTGGGTTTTTCTTGACAGTCAGAACAATGAATGTGTCAAAAGCGAACGTTTGTCTAAGAATTTAAAGGTCTGGGTTCTTTGGGTTACGAGCAAGGGCGAACACAGCAAACAAGACAATTATTTTAAATTAGGAAGTACCAAACCACAAACAAAAAGCTAAAGAGACAGTTTAATAGTGAAAGTTCTTATGGTTAACTTTTTTTAGTATACACATAAAAATTGGCGACTGGGTTACCCGGTTATTTTCCTTTTTCGAAGTTTTTTTTTATTATTGACGAATAACCGGAAAACAGAAATAAACATGGGAAAAACGAGGCAAAGTAGCGGTTCACGCTGGGTGTGCGGATGCAAGTTGCGTGATAAATCAAATCATTCGACCCAATTGGGAATTTACAAAACAAAAACTAACAGATTGACACAAGCGCGGTCTTTTGAAATTTCCAAGAATAGATCTAATTAGGGGGTTTTGTTGGTGGGAAAAGAAAAATAAAAGTAAGAAAAAAAAGAAAGAAATACCAGCATTGCCTCGGGGATAGAATTGAATTTGGATAGACTATTAAGGGATATTGTCCGATTTTAGTTACGAGGAATAAATAATCCTAAAAAACACGGTATACGATTTTCAATATGTCCGTCAACACGGTTCGTATTTATCATAGATTGTAGATTGTAGATTGTAGATTTTATAGATGACGAGATGTAACCCAATATAAAGTCACAAGATGGGGTACATAACAAACAACGTAAGCGAAAGAATTACTACATTTTTAACTAATAATGATAATACTGACATTATCAGATATTAGTGGGTCAAGAGAATAACACTGTCAGTTTAATACTTATATATATATATAAAAGGTATTCCCATTTACTGATGAACGTGGGGTGATTGGGACTGCCAAGGCTAAAGAATTAATTATATTGAGCCTAAAATTTTAATATTTGAGATAAATTCGGAAAGTTCATCGGTGAGAAAAATAATAAAGGGTTGCCAAAGAGAAAAGCAAGCAAATTTGCAGCATTAGAGAAAATTGAGTTTAGTTGTAGGTATGATCTTTTTCTTTTTTGCAAGTTCTAGATATATATAGTTAGAGGATTCAACATGATTGACAATTATTATTATTATTAACATTATATACATATTCCCAAATACTTTGTTGCGTTTACTCCGGGATCTTTACTAAATTTTCTTTTTTCCCTATATTCTTCCATTACGTAAATTTTGAGATTCAACATCTCTGCCCCGCACGACTTCGCCGTCATGAAGTCCGTAATTCAAATAAATCGTTGACAAGAAACAAATTGAATCCTCTTAAACTAGTATTCCCTATAGTATATACGATGTCTTATTCCGACGAGAAACTCATGGAGGACGTGACCGAGTCCGAGTCCGGATATATCGAAGTCTACATCCGTTTTAACAAGGATTTTGAAAAAGATTATTGTTTCCAACTTAAGACCAGTGAAACTTTCAAAGATCTTAATAAGATCTTTACCAGTTTACCAATTGCTCTTAGACCTAACCTTTTCTGTGCATCTGTACCTATTGGATACGAGATCTCAACATCTCCTGGTTATCTTACTGAAGATGGTTCTCTCCTCTTTGATTATGATACTGAAACTCCAAGATATGTCAAGAGTGTCTCTCTTAGTGATAAAGTAGCTGATAAAGTTTGGCCTGGTCAATTAATCTTACCTAAATGGGAAACCAATTACTTCAACTTGTACTCTGTTGTTGCTGCCTTACTTGTATGGCTTTATACTGACTTACCAGATTTCATTTCTCCAACCCCAGGAATTTGTATGACCAACCAAGTTAGTAGATACGCTGCTAAATTAGCTTTACATTTCGGTCAAGATAAACTTGCTAGTGCCTTACTTAGTGAAATCATTGAACCAGTTTCAATTACTGCTCAATGTGTATTCTTTGTCTGTCATATTTTGAAGCTTGTATTTATCTTTTTAGTTTTATGGTCTGGAGCCTTTAACCCAATTTCAATGCGTATTCCATTTATTTCAGCCCCAGTGAAGGATATCAAGGAAGTCACCAAGGAAGATTTGATGGCCTTAGGATGGACTGGATCTAAGAGAGCTAGTCCTGAAGAATATAAGGATTTCTACAGAGATTATAAGATTAAGGAACATGGAGGATTGGTCGAAGCCCACAAGGCTGGTGTTTTCGAAACTTTACAAAGACTTGGTGTATTTTTGGGAGATGGTGAAGGTTTCAATACCCCACTTGATAACAAGACTACCATGAAGGGTTTATTAGAAGAAGATAATGAGAAATTTACCATGAATTATGAATATCTTGCCCATTTAGGACAATTCTTTGAACTGTATTGTGAGGGAGAAAACATCAGAATTAATGATTTAATCAAACAATTCAGAAGATATGGTGTTTTACATTCATCTGCCACAATCAGAAAGATTGTTGATCAAAGAAAGGCACTTGGTGATGCTAAAATTTAAAGTAGAGGAGAATTCGAATGAGAAAGAGAAATGTGAACAAGAAATATCCTGAGGTTTTTATATATATATACATTCACAATTGGAAATAGAAAATATTTCAATACCAAAGGGGGAAAAAAAAAGACTTTTAAAATAACAAATAATAACGCCCATTGAAATTTCTTTATGAATGAAAACGAAAAAAGGAGATCTTTATAATAATTAATATTGTAAACACGATTGAAAACTGTAGAACAAATAAAAAAATAAACTTGAAGAGTCAAGATATATAGCCACCGCCGCAATTATCATTCCATAGTAAACGCATACTATATCATGCGGCACACAATTCAAAATCTATACGATCGTTTGGCCAATGTATTTTTGAGTTCCATTTATCCACGCAGGGTCACATTTGGGAAGGTCCGTTAACGGGGGGTATGTGTGCAGGCCCGCCATGCCAAAAAAAAAAAAAAACTGATGAAAATAAAAAATTGAATGAAATTAAATAGTTTTTCAGCGGTCCAGAGTCAGTGTGACTCATTGCACGTGTTGCACTGTTCACGTGTCTTTGCATAACGACGTAATCTTTTTTTTCAAAAATGGGGTGGCGGGCATGGGAAATTTTCGATAAATTACATGCGTAGAGATGAGATTAAGTATCAAAAGCTAACGGTAAACTAGATATATAGGTGCAAGCCACAGTAAAGTAACCCTATGTAAACAATAATTGTAAAATAGTATGTTAGGAACACATTTTTGCGAATTTTAATTGCTTTCCCCTAAATGTCGGGGAAAAAATGCATTGTCGTATAAATCGGCTTTTTGTTGAGACAGACGCACCTGCACCCGCATTTGAAAATGATACCTGTGAAAAGTAAGCGGCCCATTTGATTTTTCACATATTGGACACGAGGAAACGTGTGTATAAATAGAGGGGATCCACATGCCAATTTGAAAATTTATTATATCTTTTTTCTATATAGCTACTGTTAGTTTATTCTTTATTTACAGTTACTAGACAAATCATATAATTACAAACATGGTTGCTTCATCCATTTTAGGTTTCCCACGTATCGGTGGTCAAAGAGAGTTGAAGAAGACTACTGAGTCTTACTGGCAAGGTAAGGTTGACGTTGCTACTTTGCTTGCTCAAGGTAAGGAATTACGTGAAACCAACTGGAAGCTCCAAAAGGCTGCTGGTGTTGAAATCATCCCATCTAACGATTTCTCCTACTATGATCAAGTTCTTGATCTTTCCTTGTTGTTCAACGTTATCCCAACTCGTTACACCAAATACAACTTGGCCCCAATTGATATTTTGTTCGCCATGGGTCGTGGTTTGCAAAGAAAGGCTACTGACTCTACCCCAGCTGTTGATGTCACTGCCCTTGAAATGGTTAAGTGGTTTGACTCTAACTACCATTATGTTAGACCAACCTTTTCCCACTCCACTGAATTCAAGTTGAACACTGAAGCCGGTCTTAAGCCAGTTGATGAATACTTGGAAGCTAAGGCTCTTGGTATTGAAACCAGACCAGTTATCTTGGGTCCAATCTCTTACCTTTACCTTGGTAAGGCTGACAAGGACTCTCTTGACCTTGAACCAATCTCCCTTTTGGAAAAGATTTTGCCAGTTTACGAAGAAATCCTCTCCAAGTTGAAGGAAGCTGGTGCTACTCAAGTTCAAATCGATGAACCAATTCTTGTTCTCGATCTTCCTGAATCCGTCCAAAACAAGTACAAGGCCACTTACGACCAACTTACTGCCAACGCTGCTTTGCCAGAACTTGTCTTGACCACCTACTTCGGTGATGTCAGACCAAACTTGGCTGCCATTAAGGACCTTTCTGTTTCTGGTTTCCACTTTGACTTTGTTAGAGTTCCAGAACAATTCGATGATGTTGTCGAAATCTTGAACGACAAGCAAACTCTTTCTGTTGGTATCGTTGACGGTAGAAACATTTGGAAGACTAACTTTGCCAAGGCTTCTGAATTCGTTCAAAAGGCTATTGCCAAGCTTGGCCAAGACAGAGTTATTGTCTCCACCTCCTCTTCTTTGTTGCACACTCCAGTTGACCTTGCCAACGAAAAGAAGTTGGATGCCACCGTTAAGGACTGGTTCTCTTTCGCTACCCAAAAGCTTGACGAAGTTGTTGTTATTGCCAAGAACGTTTCTGGTGCTGATGTTTCCAAGGAACTCGAAGCTAACGCTGCTTCTATCAAGTCTAGACAAGAATCTCACATCACTAACGACCCTGCTGTTCAAGAAAGATTGACCACCATCAATGAATCCTTGGCCACCAGAAAGTCTAACTTCGAACAAAGATTGCCATCTCAACAAGAAAAGTACAACTTGCCATTGTTCCCAACCACCACCATTGGTTCTTTCCCTCAAACCAAGGATATCAGAATCAACAGAAACAAGTTTGCCAAGGGTGAATTGTCTGCTGCTGATTACGAAGCCTTCATCAACAAGGAAATCGAAACTGTTGTTAGATTCCAAGAAGAAATTGGTTTGGATGTCTTGGTCCATGGTGAACCAGAAAGAAATGATATGGTTCAATACTTCGGTGAACAATTGACTGGTTTCGCTTTCACCACTAACGGTTGGGTCCAATCTTACGGTTCTAGATACGTTAGACCACCTATCGTTGTCGGTGATGTTTCCAGACCAAAGGCTATGACCGTCAAGGAATCTGTCTACGCTCAATCCATCACTTCTAAGCCAATGAAGGGTATGTTGACCGGTCCAGTTACTTGTTTGAGATGGTCTTTCCCAAGAGATGATGTCTCCCAAAGAGTCCAAGCCTTGCAATTAGGTTTGGCCTTGAGAGATGAAGTCAATGACTTGGAAGCCGCCGGTATCACCGTCATTCAAGTTGATGAACCAGCTATCAGAGAAGGTTTGCCATTGAGAGCTGGTAAGGAAAGATCCGACTACTTGAACTGGGCTGCTCAATCTTTCAGAGTTGCTACTTCTGGTGTCGAAGACTCCACTCAAATCCACTCCCATTTCTGTTACTCTGATTTGGATCCAAACCATATCAAGGCTTTGGATGCTGATGTCGTCTCTATTGAATTCTCTAAGAAGGATGACCCTAACTACATCCAAGAATTCTCTAACTACCCTAACCACATTGGTTTGGGTTTGTTCGATATCCACTCCCCAAGAATTCCTTCCAAGGAAGAATTCATCACCAGAATTGAAGAAATCTTGAAGGTCTACCCAGCCAACAAGTTCTGGGTTAACCCAGATTGTGGTTTGAAGACCAGAGGCTGGCCTGAAGTTAAGGAATCCTTAACTAACATGGTTGACGCTGCTAAGCACTTCCGTGGTAAGTACTAGGTTTCTTCATGACGGTTGCATTATTCAATTCTTCTATTGTTGATGCTGTTATCTCTTACTAGGATTACATTTATTCAACATTAATGTAATTATATATATATCTATCTTTTTGTCTTGTTTTTGGTAAAGTTCTTTTACTTTATCATGCTTTTTTTTATTATTTGTTTGCAGATTCTTCAAAGAATTGTGCATGGGGGTTTAAAAATGAGTTGTTTGTTTATTGGGATTTCAACATCGGTTATTATATAAAAAAATATATATCTTATATTTTATTTTAAAAATTTTCCTGTAGTTCAATACTAAAAGTACATCTTTCTAGTTTTTAGTATTTTTATTACTAAAGTATTTGATATATATCTATTTTAATTCTCATCATCTGTAACCATATTCCGTATTTCCCAGAAATAATCTTTGTTATATTGACGATGATCTGTTCTCAAGTCATATCCTTCTCCATCACCAAACCAATGCCTCGTCTTCTTAAACCATTTAGCTTCCTCCTTGTAGAATCGATCAATAGTTTTATCATCCAATGTGAATTCAGGAAAGTGATCATGGGAATACTGTGTTTCACCTTCATCTAGGGTATCGGAGGATGATTCAGTAGATGTAGATGTGGTTCTTTGCGTGAATGCAGACGTGGTACTGACACCTCTATGGTTCAATTTGGAAGGTTGTCGTTTTATCATTGATGATAATTTTAAATTGGATTTACTAGCACTTCTAGAATTAGGAAGGTTCATTCTCCTTTGATGTCCTAAATCATGTGGCAAATCTGGGACATCATCAAAAATATCTTCTTCATCTTCATTAACATTTATCCATTTCATCGCATCAGGATCATATTTCATCGATCCAACAATCTTAGTACCTGCCTGTTGTTCAGATCCATCCTTTCTATAATCTTTATGGGAAATTAAATGTGGTTTGGTTGTTTTTAACGATTTAATAGATTCAAACTTGTGTAAATCAATATAGTTCCCCTCCCATTGCTGTTTCACGGAGTTATACTTCATATTTTTATTGTTGTTTTGGAGCAAATGCGAAGGTATGGATGACTCCCCACCTTCATTCAAGCACCTTACCAATCCGAGTTTTGTTGGTCCCGTTTTAGTTGGAACATGCTTCCGAGTCTTCCGTTTATTCTTTAATTGGGTATTAGTTATTTCCATATATTTCTCCAAAAGTATTACCTTTTTTCTTTCCATTTCCAAATCTGATTTTGCCAGATAAGTTTCATCATTAACTTTTAATTCTTCAATGGAGTCTAGATCTTCATTTCGATCAGGTTTCCGAAGTTGAGAACTGGAATAAAATGATGGGATTCTGTTAAGTTTTCTTATGATATCGTTGTTTTTATTGTTGAAGAAGGGGTGCTCACTTTCTTCACGAGGGGTATTGACATCTATCATTGAGCGGTACTTTTTCATGGATGATTTTGGTTGAGTAGCTTCAAATTGAGGCATGGAAAGCTTGGAATTAATTCGCCCTTCTGCATGCGTAGCACCTTTTGGAATACGTATTGGGGAATTGAGTTCGAAACCATCTTCAAAGTCTTCGAAATCATCCCTCGTATATTCGTAGTTTATGGTTCTTTCATTTTCTAGCGCATCCATATCCAATGGATTGAGCTTACCTGACTTTGCAGCAGTAAAATCTTTCAAGCGTAATGTATTTATCTTCTCGTCTTCGTGAATTTTCATGTTGCCAAATTCCTTTGTTCTCTTTAATAATTCTTCTTCTTCACGTTCAGCATTTAGTTCCAACTCCTTTTTCTTCAATTCAAGTAAAGTATTGGCTTTACTAGGCTTTGGACCAAACCCACCACTACTATATACTCCACTCTCTTCAACCCCAAATATGTTATCGATATCTTGATTGTCAGCATCGTTGAACTCTGAAGTAACATCTGTATCACTAGTTAAATTGTTGTCTTCGCTATACTCAGACAAAGTTTTACTTCTCCTTGTTTTTGGCGAGGATGTTGACAATGTTCCAGGCGATAGATCTTCAAAGCCATCAAAGAAGCTTTCTTCCCTTTCATTGAGTTCAAGCTTTGGCCTCAATGTAGGGGTTGTCGTATTTTTCAAGTTGAACTGAACAGATTGGTTGTTCAATTTACTCTCTGACACAGGTGTTTCATTCTCAAATGATTTCATTTTGGGAGGTTGGAGAGATGCCCTTAAAGTAGCTAAATCATCACCATTAACTGTGATAGTTTTAAAGTTATCTTCTACTCCATAAAACTCATCATTAAAATCATTTGATTTCTTTGTATTCCGTGGGTGATTGAGTTTCATTGTTACCAGATCATTGGCTTCAACGTCATCTTGTAGTATATCTTCATCTATATCATTGTCTTGAAACCTGGCTAGCAATTCCTGCTTACTTGATAATCGAGAGCCCTCTTTACCCATTGGTTTCTGATCAAATGAGTATTTCGGTTTCATCTTCTGATTTATTGCTATGCTTTGATCTTGAGGATCTCCATACATTTACTTCAAATTTTGTAAACAAACAAATTCACGTGACCAAGATTTTATACCTTATTTTTTTCACATGATGCTTTATGTCTCAAAAAACAGTCCTCATAGTTCTTGGTTCAGGTTTTTCTCGTAGAACAGATTGAGGCGCATTAATTCCCGTATCATTGTTATTTTGGCCATTCGGTTGGAATAAATGAGGTACAATTGAATGTGAAATCCAAGGTTTCGTGATTTCATTTATTTTATTGGAGCTGATAATTGGTATAACCACAATGGCTGCAAAAATTGCCATCAACATGAAAAACAAGATTGAGTACTTTGTGATGATCCGCTTTCTCCTTCTCATTTCTCTTTTAGACCTTATATGAGATTGAAACTTGTGTCTTGGGCCTAACCAAAATAGCATACAAGAATGCCACTTGTCAATGTAAGGGATCATCAAAATTGGTACCATACTAAATAACAAACAATGACCAAGAATGAAATCGTAAGCGAAAAGACTCATTTCGAAAGTCTTTACAATAAACTCTCTTAGGAATTGGCTTATTGCCATCCATCCAAGTCCACTGAATATCCAGTTTCCTGACCACCAAGCTCTATTCGTATAATCTTCTTTCAACTCCTTGGAAAGTATTATCGCAGATACAAACAGTAAAAATGACCGTTGAAAAGATAAGACGCATATTATTCCACATAGAGTTCTGGTTAAATTTCCACCCTCTAAAATAAAGAAAACAATGAAGGTTAATATTGTGAATAATATTGCTACAGTATGTGCAATGGCTGCCATGACACTAGAAACATGTCTACAACAGCAAGATGTGAGCGGCCCGACACTTAAAGAGATGGGAAGCAACACAATTAACACAATTGTATTTAGTACCCATGGAATGATAGATACAATTACTAGCCGCAAAAGGATATTCACTTCAGAAGGCTTCGAAACCCCATTCTGCGAGTTGATGAACATAAATGGGATTAAAAGGAAGGTGGAGTTTGTGAATGGAAGCAATACCTCATCGATAAAAAGGTTCCAACGGGAAGGTCGGTTAACATTACAATCCTTTTCATCAACTATATCCGCAGACAAAGATTTCCTTTTATATCCAGTAAATTTAGACCTTCGTGCCCTTGTAAACCCAATCCAAGAATTACGGTGCGTTTTGGAGTTACCTCTCGATAACCACCTGAGAAAATCTCTGTAATCTAGGACGAATTCTCCCCATGCAAATTGGTGTGGGTTGAAGATGAAAGGTGCAGAAGTAAGTGATATGACCGATATCCAGAACCAAAGTAGAGATGGTTGCCACATACAGACTGTACCAAAAAGTACAACGAAGAATACCACCAGCCCTGAATAAATTGATGTTGTTGCATACCTGGAGTATAATACCGAAAAAGAAATTCGTGATGTTGCAAATCCTCTACCGGTTGCGATGTATCTTGCACCACTGAATGTAATATTATCTCTCAATGATTTTGCGTAAACTTTACAGACAAAAACTTCAAAGAATGGAGCCAACGAAATGATATGTAAACAAACTCGAGATAGCGCCTTTATGGGGCCCTTTTCAATTGACTCTTGGAATACCAATGGAAGAAACGAGAGTGCAAAACATATCACAACCGAGAAAACGTACCGATTAACCCAATCAAGTACAGGCTTTAAATTATAGCATCCCAATGGCTCTTCTATATCAGTGATATTTCTATGTTTATCCCACATACAGAATATGGATTCGTGAGATAATGAGCCCAAATTGACTAAAATCAACATGAATAATTCCACCGACAACATGATGAAGAGGTTATTTAGATGAAAACCAGGGTGGGCATAGTAAAATGATAAGAATCTATCAATTGGGAGTTGTGTTCCAAGGTAATAATGCTCACGGGAGAGAATTTGTTCACCCATACCAGCCCCAATCTTTGTTGTAAAATTAAGAATAGTTCCGAATCCCAAATCTCTTCCTTTTCCACATTGATAATAGTCACAATGTTTAATTTTACCCCCTCTAGTAATAGCAGTGATTCCAGCATATATATCTTCATTTAAATGAAGGCCCTTCTGACCTTTCGAGATGCCTCCACGAGTTGCCATAAAGATTCCATTGATGAAGTCGGGATGTCCATAATGTAGCTTCCCACCTATTTTTGCTAGAGTTCGAGCAAAAAGTGTTCCAAAAGTTTGTTCCTTTCCTGCTGCTATGTCTCCCAATACCCCAATGTTTTCAGAGAATATATACTCCCTTGCCCCTAATATCGCCACTCTATTCTCGTTGCTGTAAAGATATTGCGGATTATATTGATCTGAACAATCAAGTTCATATTCTTCGAATTCTGCAAGGACAGATTTTATCTTCAAACATTCTTCAATATAATTATCCTGATTAGCATCTATTACTTGAATATACTCCCCTCTATAGAATATAAGGGCACAATTTTGATTATCCGACTTCCCATCACCTAATATGGGGTTACCTGCAAGCTTTATGCTGTAAATCTTGTTATACTCTCCATTTTCACCCTTCAATGACACGTCCAATAGAGTCGAGTAGTAAGAAACAGTTCCATCTTCATCTATGATTTCATCGATACAGGCCACCTTAACGTCAGGGTAGGTTGCAAACAATAAATCTGCATCCCGTCTCTCATCTTCAGAAAACTTCAGAAACCTTTGCATTGCAATTACCAAATGGAACTTTCTGTTTGCCAAGTTATCAAATAAGTTTCCATTCTCGATAGATTGAACCATTTCTATAGTCTCCGAATAATGTAACAACTTGATCGCCTTTTGATAATTCATAAACCCCGAAACTGTTCTATATAACGTCTGGGTCCTCAAGCTAGCCCAAATTCGAGTCCTTAATGTACTTTCTGGTGAAGAACTTTTGAAACCAACACAATAGTATGGTAGATCATCAATTCTATCATTCAATAAAATATCTCCCAAGTCCGGTAAGCTATTATTGAAATGCTGATCACCATTGAGAATGATATTGTCATCTTTCGTTACAGAAGATAATATTTTAGTATCTTTGACATAGTTTTCCCAATCTACGGGGTTTAACGTTTTAAGATATTCTAGAAGGGAAACCTTTGAACGCTTATCTTCCTTTAATATTTCTTTTAAACTGAGAATAATCTTTTCTGAATAATGAGGAATTAATACCGTGAAGGTGGGCATGGCTATAGTAGGAATAGGTTCGGGAATCGGGGTGGAGAGCGATTGTGCAAAAAATGAGATTCTCCTTTCAGCTTCAAGTCCAGGAATAAAGAAATCAGACATAGTATTTGTACTATCATCCTGATGAACAAAGAATGATGGCGCTCTTATAACAGAGCCGCCAAACAGGTCTGTTTGAAACTTTTGGTACACGAGTTTCTTCACTTGATCTATAGTTAAGATATGCTCTCTATACATTGAGAGAATGATACCATTCCAAATCTGAGAAACGAATAAAGTTGGATTATTGATTTTTTTAGTAGTAAACAATATTTTTGTTGCCAATCTTTCAGGTAACCGATTGTATATGTTTCTCCAAGGAGTAAATATTGAAACACCTAGCGAAAATGATAAACCAATAGACAAAATACAGTTGCAAATAACATACCACAAATAAGTATCAAGAAAGAAAAGAACAAAATCTGCAAGATACATTAATAACAATGTTATTCTTGCTTGTTGGTTGCATAAAATACTTCCAAATACCTTATCTCCATAACATCGACTCATTTTCATTGTTGATAAAATTCTAATTGGATCTTTTAAGGATAGAATTAGAAAAAAGTACGATTCCACAAATTTGGCTGCAAATATCGAAAACCACAATCCAACAGATATGAATCTGCTTGATTTGCTCAATTTTGGAAATGAGGCGTTGAATACTTTGTTGTTATAATCACTTCGCCAATAAAATAATTTATTGCTAGGAACGATAGAGAGATAAAGTGTAGTTATCACTGATATTGGAAATTGGACCATTGAAATAATGAAGGCATGTCTCGAATAAGCATCCAAAGGAATAAAGCTCAAAATATACACCGAAGGAGATACATTCACCAGAAATAGAAATATTAAAAGCAATAACCTGGGAAGCTGCAGCCGAGCACCTGGCCATTTTCGAGGTACGAAAATCCATTCCAAAACTGTTGCAAGAATCTGAATCATACAAGCGATTGAACTGCCAAAAGAAACAACAGTCCACCGTACCTGAGGTGGAGGTTTATTATCTAACACTTGGATATAATCTTTTGTGTATATAGACAGGGAGTTGAATGAAATATAATACCAATATACAGAAGCATGGATTATCCATACTCGGTTGAAATTGGTAATGAGATGCAACCAAGTTCTATGCTCTTTGAAAGTTTTATAAAATGCCTTTTTCCATTGAATATCTTGAAAATATTGAAATCTTTGGCCTGGTGGAAGATCCATCAATCGAGTACCATCTAAAAGTTTAATTCTTTGAAGACCCTGTGGATACCAAAATAATTGATTCATATCATCATACCCAACCACATCTGGATGATCTTTTCCTCGGAGTCTTTTCGCAATTTGTGTAGCCATATATGCATATATAGGAGTGATTACTTGTTCAAGAAAGCTTGTTTGTATGCCCTTTTTGCCTTCTTTTCCACCCTCATCATGTAAATAATCTAATGCACACTTATAAATAAAACAAATACACTCGGGAAGAAATCTTACATTACTAGCCTCCCCCCATATAAGTAGATATAGGGCCACCTGAGTAACATAATCTTTTTCAGATAATGAGACCATTTTCTTTTTCCAACTAACTTCGTGAGAATCATTGTTAGCAATATCGTTCAATTCAGATTCACTTTTCTTCTTGGGTACATAATATTGAGTAGCAAAATACCACTTTCTATAGTTTGAATGTTCTCCACCAATATAATCGGCATGCAAAGACAATAGAGCTTGACTGCAATGCATTCTACTTGAGCGAGAATCGAGTTGTATCATAAAGAAATCAAGCATATTTCTAACATTATCCTGCTGAAAAGCGAAAACGTGACCGAGTTCTTCAAATATTGATTGTATCTCTGTGTACTCTACCAAAGCGCCATTTAGTACACACCATGAAGGGTACTGTTCAGAATCTTCTTCTGTGAACAATCCATCTTCTCCAGCTCCATTAATATATTTTTCAAAGAGGGTGTAGTCACTGTAGCCTGTATGAGGATAACTTGTCATGAGAATTTATGTAAAAAGATGTTACAAATTAGAATTCATAAGATTACTGGTTCTAATTTTTAAGAGTTATTTGGCTGCAAAAAATAAAAACAAAAGACTACTTTCACTCATTTGAGGAAAACAAAAAAAATAAACAGATGCCTTCAGCCAGATTCGAACTGACGATCTCCTCATTACTAGTGAGGTGCCTTACCAACTTGGCCATAAAGGCTGTTTTTGAAAAATAATTGGTTGTGGTTTAATCACCGAAGCTATAGCAATATTTGGGCCCCGGGTTCGAACCCCACTGGCGACAAAAACGTTTTATTCAAAAAAAAAAGAGGTTTGCATTACAAGTTGCCACCTGTGTAAAAAGGGGTAGGAGTTGAGACTATTCAATTATTCGATACCATCTACAAGCTGTCCTGAATCTCAATCTACACATGTTTTATTCTTAAAAATTAAAAAAAGAATCCACGGAACACCCCCGTACTGAATTCAATTTATATTATTTCAAGATGTTAGAATTCTCATCATGCGAAATACATCAGTAAATACCAACGCTCATCTACTGCTTTTTTTTGAACTCACCCCAGATATAAGAATGATCGTGATATACTTTTCTTGTATGACGTCAAAATGTTGCATTCAATTGTTTTTCTCATTCAAAACACGTATTAGTTATTGGTAAACGCACACCTACATCACATGTTTCCCAATACACGACCAAATCGTCGAAAAAATTACACAAATAAATCAAATGACACAAATGCTTGTGTTACACAATATCTTCTTTCTTCTCTATCAACATAGCACAAAGAGGATACTAAGTATAGTTGCAAAAAAGCTACTTAGACTTATATTCAACCGTTGAACCGACCAGACCTAACGACTAGACTTGTACCGACACATTTGGGTATTTGTTGTCAATTATCGAAAGCACACGTCACTCACGTATAACTCGCCACTTTCCCCTTGTAATTTTTTTTTGGTTACCAAATAAAAAGAACAACAATAATAAACAATACAATCAAATAACTCGAATTACTAGTGAAATATTGTCAACGTACCCCATTTAAAGATGATGAGCCTTTCCAATGAAGATTTGCAATATCGCAAGGGAGACCCTACAATCTCCCCCGATGATGCTACCACAGCAGCAGCAGTAGCAGCAGCTCTGTCAGCAGCTGCCGCGGCAGTTGCTGGGATTCCTCAAGTGCAACTTAAAGATGAAGATGCTCATCACTTAGCACAACATCACCAAGTTTCTCACCATCATGATCCTCATCATGCTATGGTCCAACACCAACAACATCTCCACCAACAGCAACTTCAACAACATCTCCCACTTCATACCCATCAACAACAGCAACAACTTCAACAACAACATCATATGCATCATATCCCACATCAAGTACAACAGCAACATCACCATCACCTCGAAATGTTGGCCCAAGCCAATGAAGAAGATATTTTAGAAGCCGCCAATCGTAAAGTTGCTCCTCGTTCTAGTGATTTATTCAGAGTTGGACCAGGATTTTCTGAAACAAGACATCATCAAGATATCTATTGTAAGAAAAATGATATGGATGTAAACCCAATTCTTGAAGCAAGAATTGATAGAGGTTTTGAAACTGGTGAAAATGGTACTTGGATCGGATATAAAAGAAATTATTTTACTTTGGTTGCATCATTTCTGTTGGAAAATTTTGATTTCAATCGCTTTATTCAAAATAAGTTTTATACTTATGAGAAGGCATCAAAAGATGGTGAATCAATTGAGAAAAAAGTTGAAATTAGTTATTTTGCAATTAGATTAGTTGCTAAATGTTCTGACGATGAAGTTGCAATTTCTCTTGTTCAACATACTGCTAAAAGAGATAAGGGACCACAATTCCCACCTCCAATCTATCCTGCAGTACCAGGAGATATGCCAGATCATGAAACAGTTCGTGCTTCATGTAATAAGAGAAATGGTAATAAAATTGAAAACATGAATAAAGTATTTTACTTTGATCGTGCAGAATATTATCATAATACTAATCTTGACACAATTAAAGATGATTCAGTATTGAAAAACTATCCAAGTGATAGTATTGCTAGAGTTGCTAGATTTGAACGGATTCAATTTACTTCATCAATTCGTTTAAAGTCAACTTCAGTAAACAGTCGTTACTTTACATTACACGTTGAATTACTTGGAATTATTGAAGATGAAGATGCTCAAATCCAACCTATTTTATTATCATCTATTGAAACTCCTCCATTGATTATTCGTGGTCGTTCACCATCGAATTACCACAAAGACCGTACTTCTGGATATCGTCCTCATATCCATCCTCATTAGCGCGAGGATTTTGGATTCTTATATGTACTTTTAGCTTTGTTTTGTATTTTTAGTCTATATATAAAAACTTTTTCTTATAAAAAAAAAAAAAATTAATAACATATATGCTACCATATTAATACGAAGAAATAACGTCAATGCATTGACACTATTGATGATATCTTCCAATTCAATTTTAATACAAATTAGATCGTGTGGTCATTTTTCCGTGAGCCGCGCACAAGATGCTTTATGTTCAGGAGTGGAGGTTTTACCATCATTCCTCGATTTTTTCCCCATACTTTTTTTTTTCCTACTAACAAATCATTTTATAGTAGTGGAATCATTGGATTATTACCAAGGGTATATTTTGGATTAGAATAGAAGGGTAATATCCAATCTATCCATATACACCGAGTCTTATCGTTCTTTAAAAAGAAAAACAAAAGTGTTTTCTTTCCTACAAGGCAAAAAGACTTTTCCCACTAGCAAAAAGAAAAAGAAGGCAAGAAGTAAAAAACCTAAACAAATAGAAACAAAGTTCTACATCATTGATATAATTCTACTCGTATACAAAAATAAAGGTACCTCATACACAGCACATAAGAGACCATGTCAGGAAATACCGTTAATTATGACTCGTCCATACCGACAGGACCGAAAGTTGTTAAAATAACGGCGAAAACTAATTTCGATGATCACTCAACTCCAGTGGAACATGTCAAAATCATCGATAAACAATCTGTAGAGTATGTGATTCGTTCTGGTATTTCTGGAGGAATAGCTGGAAGTGCAGCAAAAACACTTATTGCGCCACTTGACCGGATCAAGATTTTATTCCAAACATCAAATCCAGATTTCCTTAAATATAGAGGGACATTTTCTGGATTATTTAGAGCTGGAGGACAGATTTGGGCAAACGATGGAGTTTATGGACTTTTCCAGGGTCATTCTGTTACCTTGATCAGAATTTTCCCCTATGCTGCAATTAAGTTTGTTGCTTATGAACAAATCAGAACTCTTCTCATTCCAAATGATAACTATGAAACTGCAGTAAGACGATTTATGGCCGGGTCTTTGTCGGGACTTGCTAGTGTTTTCTTTACCTATCCATTGGATTTAATAAGAGTTAGAATGGCCTTTGAAACCAATAATTTGCATCATAGTATTCATGATCATCAAGCATTTATGAAAAATCATAGAGGAAGATTGATCAATACTGTTACTTGTGTCTTTAAAGAAAAACCACCTCATCGAATAAATGATCCTCTGTGGCTAAAAATGATGAGAGAAAAGTTACCTGCTTCAATAGTTTCAATTTCAAACTTCTATAGAGGCTTTGCACCTACAATTCTTGGAATGATTCCATATGCTGGAGTTTCATTTTATACTCATGATTTAATCCATGATATTTTAAGATCCAAATATTTTGCACAATATACGTTACAAGCACCTGGACGTGAAGCTAACAAAGTGGTGAAGAAAGGGTATAATAATAAAGAAGAAGTCAACTCAAGGGATTCTAGAATCCCCTTGAAGGCATACGCACAACTTATTGCTGGAGGGTTGGCCGGAATGTGTTCACAAACGGCCGCATATCCATTTGAAGTCATTAGAAGAAGAATGCAAGTTGGAGGCGCCATAAATAATGGACAATTCTTATCATTCAGACATACAGCTAAACTTATATTTAAAGAAAGTGGTACTCGAGGATTCTTTGTTGGGTTAACCGTTGGATATATTAAGGTTATCCCTATGGTGGCATGTTCATTTTATGTTTATGAACGATGTAAAATGTATTTTGGAATCTAAACCAAAATTTATTGTTTGTTGAAGATTATCAACGACTAGATTATTTATTTATTTAATATAAAGACACGGAAATAAGGTAGAGAGTCCCTTTATTGTAAGCATATGTATATATATACAAGAGTATGTTTTGAAATTTTTATTCATTTAGAAGAACCAAAACCACTTTTTTCTATTATTTGGTCTAACTCCAAACTTTGCACTAGAAGCGGTGACATCTGTCAACTTTTGAGCGCCAGTGGTAATGGTTTCCTTAGCAAGCGAAGCAGTGGCAGAGAGCTTATCAGTACCAATCTTAAACCCCCAACGTCTCAAGATTTTTACAACTCCAGGAGTAATTGCTGCGGTAATTGGAAGTCTAATGAAAATTAAAGACTTGTGAATACCATAGGCAATTGCAAATTCAGTCCAAGAGAATTGAGAAATAATAGTTTGAATCAATGAAACATTCTTCAGGTTCAGGTCGGGATTGTTTGCATTTTCAATCTCTTCATTGATACGATCAATTTCTTGCTTCTTTTTCAATTCCTCATCAGAAACTCCATAGCCAAAAGTTTGCTTTAACTTGTTTTCATACAATTCAATCTTTTCCTTACCAGATGCATGTACCAATACGTAACAAATAGGCAAGTCGATCATGGAAAGAGCAAGATAAACCCCCAATGCAGAGTATCCATATTCTTTCATCAATGCCTTAATACCAGTGGGCTTTTTTCCAGCCTTGGTAGTGGTCGATTGGAATCTGAAAAAGCCGGTGCTTCGGAAAACTCTACCAGAAAACCGGGCTGAGTTCATAGAATGTATTCTACTTAATGGATTAAATCTGAACATGTTTGGTTAAACTTGGTAATTATGGGTGTAATCACAAATGTTTAATGATTGCCACTGAAAGAGTTGCACTTTTGTTAAAATCGTTGGTAAGTATTAAAATTCGCACTGGAAAATAAAAGAAACACAACCAAAAGATAGCCAATGGTTTCTACTGAGTAATTGTATTACAATTTAACTATCAATTTGTCCTCTATTATAGTCCATATATATATGTACATCTATCTAAAGTGAGAATAATATTCTTCTTCCTTAAATCTCTTGGCAACTCTGTCTAATACTTCCTGAGAGTAAACATCCTCCAATTTTTCACCACCATTCAAAACTCTATCTTCATGTGATTTTTGCTCTTCCTTGGTCATAACTACACAATTTTGGAAGGAAATTTCCTTAGAAGGATCCCATCTAGATAATGTAAGTCTTGTAGAAAAGTTAGAAATTGGTGACTTACCCCTGAAGATTTCTTCTAAAATGTATGGAATTTCATTCAAAGCAATTGGAACTCTTTGATCAACTTTACCGATTCTAGATTGTTGTCCAGCCAATGATTGAAGGAAGTTATCATACATTTTATATCTATTCTTACCTTCCACTGGTTCCACTGGATACCCAGCTATGGTGGTAAGAACGTGGGTGGCAATGGCCAATCCAAACATACCAGGCATAGTTCCAAGAACTGGTAAAATTCTTACTCTAAAGTTTTGAAGGGCAGCCAATTGTTCAACTCCACCCTTGGCAATTTCTTCTTGTGAAACTGGTAAAAGTTGAGCCTTGCGAGGGTCTGGCTTCTCTGCGGAAAAGACTACTGGTATGTTGCTAGTTATACCTCTTTTCTTTAATCTTAAACGAACTGATTTGGATAAGGCATCTTCTTCAGTCTTGGAAATATCTGATACATTGACTCTGGTTGGATCCGATTTACAAGCAGCACCACCCGATGAAATCACTGGGATATTGTTACGGTGACAGAACTCAAGAAGGTCCACTTTAGTGTCAATATTATCAATACAATCGATAACATATGTTGGATTCATATCATCTCCCAAAAGTAATCTTTCAGCCGATTTAATGTTCCATAACTCATTATAACATTGCATGTCAACCCAAGGAGCAATTTGTAAAAGATGGTTCTTCAAACATTCCACCTTTGGGGTACCTACATCCTTGAGATTTGCAACAGCATGACGATTAAGGGATGATAAACTCACTTGATCAAAATCAATGATTCTGATCTTTTCCACACCTGATCTGACAAGCATGGTGGTGACCCATGACCCAACACCACCAACACCAACCACAACTATACGCTGCTTTCTAACCTTATCCATTCCTTCTTCGGATAAAAATGCATAGTTTCTAGCAAGTTGTTCTCTGATAAGTTCTTCTGAATGTTCCTTTTTAGTGGTGATGGTGCTTGTAGTTGGCAGTGACTCCAGAGTGTTAAAGAGATCACCAGCGAGGTATCTGTGTACAACCTCTACGGTCCCGGCAGTAATGAGAGCCGTGGCTGCCACCACAAGCCATAACTTAGAGTGACAAGGCATATTGTTAGGGTTGTAGAATGATAAGATGGTACATCTCTGTTTTTTTCTGCCCTTTATGTTGCAAACACATACGAAAATTTTTATCTACAGACAGGAAATGGAATGGTTGCGAAATACTATATATTATTAATGTTAATTACGATCAAGAGAGTAATGGGAACCTATGCTATATTCATAGTAGTCTCTATTCTCTAGCCAAGAAAAATGAAGAAATAATCGCTTCTATCAGAAGTCTCCGGGAAAAGTTTCTTGGTGGTGTATACCAATCATTTCATTGATTGTTGGCCACTCCCCAACTTCTATTATCTTGTCTTTTACTATAAGAAGATCTCCATATTTCCCCTGATCAATTCACTTACAAATTCTTTGCATATTCTTTATCTTTATATTATCTATTTCATTTCATTAATTTCTATTAATCCACTTACAATTTGGATGAGTTTCTACCAACAGTACACTTGATCAACCCATTTGGATCTGGAGATGGGTAGTACAAGTCATCATTACCCTTGATACCCTTCCATTCCAAGTTGAACAAGATGAAATGCTTGTTTGGCAAGACATAGGTGACGGTCTTGACAGCTGGTTCAGCGTCCAAAATGGCATGGGACATGTTGTACATAGTAGCTTGGACGGATGGAGAGTTTTCGAGAGCAAACAATTCCAAAGTAGTCTTTCTAGCCAATTCATAGGTGGAGTCGAAAAGACCCCTGTCAGCAGCAGCGGCAATTCCAGCAAGACCACCAATCTTCTTAGAGTCAAAAGTCCAGGATCCATCGACATCAGTAGACAAGATTCTGTCGGTGGTTGGCTTTAAAATGGTGTAGTCACATTCGTGGAATCCGTAGAACATAGATCCAGTAGACTTCAAAACAGTAAGATCCTTGATGGAGGAAGTAAGAACCAAGTTATCGGTCTTCTTGTCGTAGTTCAAGTAGGTTCTCTTAGTTTCTGGACCTTCGTGCTTGAAGGAGTGTGCGTGCAACTTTCCTTGAACTTCGTATTTGGTCCACTTGGATTGAATAATCTTGATTTCAATACCTTCCACGTGGGAGTACTTCTTGGTAAAATGTTGAGCCAAATGTCCAGCAAAACGCTCAATTGGCCAAACATTGGTGTTCTTGGCTTCTACGAGAATGGTGTTCTTAACAGTGTCGGTTGGAACAATAGATGAGTTGTCGGCCTTGGTGTATGAGTCGTCAAAGCCACCTCTGAGGAGAACTTCCACGTTAGCTTCGAGAACTTCTTGAACTTTTGGATCAGAAGCATCCTTTCTAACCTTAAGGAACTTAACGTTGGATTTACCGTATGAAGATGAGACTAATTGAGACATTGTTTGAATATATTATTTGTTTGTTTGAATACAATACAAAGAAAAGGGAGATTTATTATTTTACGTGCAGAGTACCGTCCTTTATAGTTTTGTTGATCTTATCTCTTATCGGAGCATCCCGAAATATGAGAAAATCGGGGATCTCCGATTGCTGAATTCACACCGCGCCATTTGCATTATTTAAAACCGGTTCACCGTTTATTTCCGTAGTTTTTCTACAGAAAATCAAATAATTGATGTTAGATTTATTAACCTCTCGCTACAGACACTCGAATATATCACTTCTACAATCCTTATGACCCTTGATACTTTGATAGAATAGTTGGTAACTTCGACGCAATTGTACAAATAAGGGTAAAAATATATAAGTTAAAAAATAATACACATGCAGGGAGTTGATTGTTTGTACCGAGTTAACTCAATTAATAAATCATCGTACCCAAACAAAATTTAAGACGTGATGAGAAATATTTGTTCGGTATACCGGACATATTGTTGTAAAGCCCGACCGTATTATAAATTACCCCTTAAAATATCGTTCGACTATTTTCTTAGCATACCAGACCATAATCCTACTTATCATTATCGTCTTCACGAACAATTGGTTGGATAGGAAAGTTTTTTTTTTTTGCCTTTCGTATATTTTATTTTTTTATGATTAGTGAGACATCTACTTTTCTGTTTTACATTACTACAAAGAACTCTTACATTTAGGTATTATATTTTTCATATATACTTGTAAATTACGAAGTCTGGGTAAATTTCTCTTCATCAAACCCAGTTGGTCTAGGTGGAAGTGTAGGTCCCACATTCGACTTTGGGATTATTTCAGCCACAGCGGATGCAACAGATCCATTATATTCGTCCAAAGCAATTGAATCCAACAAGTCAGTTGATTCTAGTGCTTGCAATGAAGATGCAGGTTCCTTCAAGGTAACTTGTTCATCTTCAATCTTTTTTGTATCTGCTATCTTTTCATTTATTTCCTTTATGTCATCTTCTTCGCTAGCAAACCGTAAACTCTTTCTCTTCTTACTCTTACTTGTAGAGCTGGTAGTGGAAGTAACGTCATTAGTAGTGGATGTTCTGCTCACGCCAGTAGTTGATGCGGTATCTTCGATGTTTGTAGTAGTAGGACTAATGTTGATACTGTTAGAAGCAGTTTCACTGCCACTACCATTGAACACTAATTCAGCAGTTCTAATCCATCTTCTTCTTCTAGTGTATTTACCAAATGAGTCTTCTGTAGTTGGTTTCTTCCAAACATTATCATAATAAATATATCCATCATCGGTTGAAGGATTGGCAGTAGTTCTTGACCGTTTATTATTGGAAAGCGTTATAGCACCATCATTGGTCAAATCCAATCTCCAAGTTTTATCAACCCAACGCCAATTAGCTCCGTTAGCAACTAATTGCAGAGATTGTTGATGACCAAATGAATAATTAGAGTTTTCTGCATTAGGAAGTTGGAAACTTTCAATTGATGAAGATTCATTTAAAAATTCATCAGTCCATGGTGTTCTTTCATAGGAAAGTAGATTCGAAGTCCAACCAATTCCTAACCATCTACGTTGATTTTCATAGATGGCATATGTGAATCTCACTGGTTTACCATCATTGCCAGCAAGACCACCACTACTATTACCAGAAGAAGATTTGGAAGTATTACCGGTGGCATTCTTTTGAACCTTGGCAAATGCTGCTGCAAATAAGGAATGGTTTTTAGCAGTCAGGAAGTCTAATCCAGTAAGATAAAAACATAATAATCTAACAAATTTAATTTTCCAAAGCATTTTTCTAGTCACTCTCAGATAAGCAGAATGATAAGATAAAATATGAAGACCAGTAGCAAGTAAAATGATTCTAGGTTTAATCACAAAGAAGGATATAATCAAATAAATTGGGGTTAAAAACACAGTGGTGAATAACAATCTCTTGATATCGTATGCATTGAGCGAAAGGGATGTAATTGGTGCTAAAAGCATGTCAGCTTTGATACAAGTAGTCGTCAATGCTTGGACAACGTCATCCAAAGTTGGATGGAGGTTTGTTTCTTCCACGATTTTTTGATTCAAAACTGCGTAAAGAGTGATGATCCCCACTATTATAAGATGACCTGCCCATGTGACAAGCTTCTCGAAGTAAAGTACTGTGAATCCATAGATACAAATCACAATCAAGTTCACCCAATAATCATCATTTGTCCAAGTGAAAATCAGAAGAAGCTTGTTTAAGATCAAAAGGTATGGGTAGGATTTGATTAATGACTTCGCTACAATTGGAGGGGTCGACGAGAGTAATGGGGAAGTTTGTGGGGCGGTACTGCTTCCAGAGGTGGGGGGATTGGTGGTGGACGTACTTGGGTTGGTGGTAGATGAAGTTGACGATGATTGTTCGGGATCAATGGTTCTGTGATTGCTTACTTTATCAGAAGAAGATTTTCGAACGGCATTTCCGGTAAAATTGCTACCGCCACTAGAAATCGTTGAAGAGAATTGGGCTCTTATTTCCTTATTATCTGTCTTCTCAGAGGGTCCCAAGCCTGATTGAGAAAATGATTGAGGTGTGGTTGGATTTGAATCAAGTACCTTTGCAGACATATTGAACAGAAGGTGGGGAGAGCACAAGTAATAGAACTGGGGTTTATTTCTTTATCCTAAGTTTTTAAATGGTAGAACAAACAATCAAGACTCCAATAGATGAATTCCACACTGAGAAGATATCAATGGGTTTAGTTGGACTCTAATTTCCAAAATGCAATCAATATATCAATTCCTAAATGACCTTTTTATTAAAAAAAAAAGGGAAACTAAATTGAGTCTCCTTACATGTGAGAATCTGTAGAGGATCTGGAGAAAAGTGCATAGTTGGAATAGCGGAGTACTGATGACACAAAGAAAATGTAAAATATGTGAGAATTCAAATGAAGGAGGGGGGGTAACCAAAATAGAGAGAGAGTAGCTAAGAAGAGTTATATTGAAGATTGTATTAAGTAGAAGATGTTTGAGTAAGTTGGGTGTGTATAGGTTGATGCATTGATAATCATGATTTATGGGTAACCTAGTTACAGATATTTTAGTGTACTTAAAGATCTTGTAGTAAATGGATGTATGCGTGCATGTGTGGCATTGTGCGCGCACACATGTTAGGCAGATATGTAGATATGATTTACATAGAATATTCAGAAGGAATAAGAACAGAAACTAGTTGAAGCAATAAAAGCGTGAAGAGGTAATGGATTTTTCAAGTTTATTGGGCAAGGAGATTCAGAAGAAGAGGGCTAATGGAGGTTCTGATAGAAAGGGAGGAAAGAAGAAAAAGAAATCAAAGGATAAAGAAATCATACCTGAAAGCATAGTGAGAGATGATGATGAGAATACTTCAATTATAGCAAAACCTAGTAGTAAGGAAGAGCCTAGTCGTCATAATTCACAAGATACAACCGTTGAGTATACCCCAGAAGAAGAAACTCTCGCGAAAACCCTCTCCATAGAAGATATAAATTCTAAATTGAAGAAGTTTGGAGAATTAGATAATGAACCAAATATTTCTAATGTTATGAAAATACGTAAATTAGGCATTCTTCTTAGAAAAGAAAGGAAAGATGCTGAATATAAAGCACAATTGGAGAAGGAAGATGCAGTTGCTATGGATATTAATGTAGAAGACATGGGACAAGAACAATTTAAGGATAAGATATATACACAACTTCGTAGGTATATTAAGTATCTTATAAAATGTTGGGAATGTCAAGCAGATACTGAAGAACAAAAGAAATTACTTTTAGAAACTAAACGAGATTTGGTGAAGTTATTATATAGACTTCGTAAGCAATCTTTGACTGCAAACATGTTCACATCATTAACTACAGTGATTCATTATTTACAAATAGGTGATTTCCGTAAGGCAAATGAAACATATTTGAAATTAAGTATAGGAAATGCAGCTTGGCCCATTGGTGTGAGAAGTGTGGGGATTCATGAAAGAGCAGCTGACCTGAAAATCACTGGTGATAATAAAAAAGAGGCTGCAAATATTATGATTGATGATAAAACTAGACGTTGGATTACTGCCATAAAAAGATTAATTAGTTTCTGTGAAAGAGCTAATAGTAAAAGTAGCTAGGTTGATAGATATTATAGAGAGTATTGGAGAAGATAATTGGAATGAATATTCTATTCATGTACTATATAATAAATATATTTGAGATTTAATTAATATAATTATGTTGCAAATTATAATATAGATGATTTTTTACATAGGAAAAAAAAATAACATATAAAGAAAAGGTAATGATACCCAAACAAACACCTACTAATCTAAATGAGCTTAACTACAAATAGGATATATATTCTAGATCCAATGGGTAGTTTACTTTACTTGGTAGTTTCACCTATCTATTTATCATATTAATTTGGACAGCGCGCACGTGATCTAAACAGGGCTAAGCCCTCGATAAATGAGTGCCAAAAAAGAAAAAAACCACCAAAAAAAAAAAAATACATCGAAAAAAATCTTTGTCGCACTCCCACAGAGATAATATTATAGAAATATTTCAGTTGACTATTTGGACTTTTCACCATATCACTATAACTACAAACATGGCTGTATGTATCGATATAATGGTGGAATTGAGAGGAGATGTAGACAGAAGGTAGCCTTCTGCGCATGCACCCCTGTAGAGGTGAATGAAGGAGATTGGTATCATAATCGAAACCTTTCCCTTTGGAGAAGGTTTCTTCTGCCCAATTTTTTCGGAAATGGGCAATTACAATATTGAGGATGTATTCAATTCACCGAATTAAACCATATTAAAGGTCATTTTACTAACAATATAGCGTGAAATTAAGGACATTAAGGAATTCGTCGAATTGGCTAGAAGATCTGACATCAAGTCTGCTGTTGTCAAGGTCAACAAGAAGATCAACGCTAACGGTAAGAAGTTCAAGCAAACCAAGTTCAAGGTCAGAGGTTCCAGATACCAATACACCTTGGTTGTCAACGACGCTGCCAAGGCCAAGAAGTTGCAACAATCCTTGCCACCAACTTTGGAAATCAAGAACTTGTAAATTTAATGATTTATTTTCGGTTAACGGTTTCTATAGTATAATAAAATTTTGAACAAAGATTTAGAAGAATATTGAAATTGTAGAGAGTATTATCAAGAGATATGAGTTATGATACTTTATTGTTATTCTTATTTAAAGAGATTTTTGTATATGCAATTCTTATTTATAAAACATCTTCCATTTCTATGTCATCGTCGTTATCTTCATCACTCTTTTCTTCTTCTTCATCATTGGCAATTAATCCTAATCTTGCAGCCCTTTCAGCATCTCTTAACCGCTTATATTCTGGCTTAAGATTATATTTGGATGTATATGGTCCCTTCTTAATTAAATTAGCAATGGATTCAAGAGATTCCTTTAAATAAGATTCTGGTTGTCTTGTTCTTTCCTTTAATCCCTTCATTGACCAATATTCATATTCTTCAAAGAGACGGAATAAAAGATCCAAAAGATCCTTCTTTGGCATTCTAATGGCTCTTCCTTCATTCTTACCTTTACTATGATTGGATTTAAGGAATACTGAAGTGTTATTACCACGAATAGATGGTCCAGCATTCGATTGAATCACCCCCGGTATTTCGTCTAATAAGGTAACCTTTGGTCTGGCCTTGGCAGGTTGCATATTATTTCTCTTATTCAAGATTTCTGAATACTTACTATCACGTTTAGATGGGATGATTTGACAATCATGACAGATTTTACCAACTAATGCCGTTTTCTTTGGAATTGTTTTAACAAATGGTATGAATTTTCTTGGTGCATCTTTCCCATCTTTATTCTTTTGTACTCTATAAAATTTGAATGGTTTAGAAGCTTCCTTTTTTTTATCAATTGGTTGTAAACTTGGTTGTTCTGGCATTTCTGCCATTTCAGTTAATTCTTGTTTAAATTTTGTTAAGTTTTCTTCACTAAAGACATATGAATTCCGAACTTGAGTATTCAACATGGAGATATCATATTCATGAGGAATATCACTATTGGCACTATTTTCATTAAGTACTAATTTAACTTGAAGTTTACTATTAGGAGTAGTTGATTGCTTAATTTTAACAGTCCCCAATTGTTGCCCGCCATATTCATCTACATTTGACCATTTTTCTGCAAGATAACGTGGGAGTTTTACAAGCCAAACTTTTTGAGCTCCATTTTGTAAATTTAAATCAAGTGATTCATTCTCTTCAAGATAATCTTCAGGATCGGATAAGATTGAATGATCAGGTTCTCCTGAATTATTATCACCTTCATTTTTTATTGGCGCACCTGATGGTGAAGCAGTACCATTAGTTGCACCGTTACCACCGTTTGCTACAGACGCCGACTTCTTAACAGGAGAGGTCTTATTAAAACTCATCCCAAACAGTCAAGCAAAAATAAAGATAATATCTTTACTACTAGTTCAATAATTTTAAATATTTGTAAAACTATACAAAGAGTTTACATAATCTATACACAACCTTTTTGGAATTATGTACAGGAAACACACCTTTTTATAGATGATTAGAACTTATACCTTACACTTGTTCTTATTTATATAGAAATACTGATAATATGTCAGTAATAAGAAACCCTCTTGTTATCACTAGACCAATTTATTCTTCACAAGAAAAATGTGGATATTGTGATGGGAAGAAAAAGGATCCATTTGCACTTGAATCACAAAATGATAAGGATACTGAAGAGGATTGGATAGCTCAATCAACATCTATAGGCGTCTCAGTAGAGTTGATGACTGCTGAGCACTACGACCTGTTTATAAACCAAGGTTTCAGGAGATCGGGAACTTATTTATACAAACCAGATCCAATTCGTGGATGTTGTCGATTGTATACGATCCGAACAAATTATCAGCATTTAAATATCATCAAGAAGCATAGACAAGTAATCAATAGGTTTATAAGGGCCATAAGTCCAGAAGAAATTGTACTGGAACAGTCATCTTCAACCAAGAAAAATGGTGCATTCCGTCTAGAATCCTTACTTGAGGCAGAACAAAATTGTGATAAATCAATTTTCTACACTAGATACGAACCATCACATTTCTCAAAGGAGAAATTTGAATTGTATAAGAAATATCAAATTGCTGTACATAATGATGATCCTGATGAAATCACCAAGGAATCTTTCAAGCGATTTCTTTGTGATTCTCCATTCCCAGAACCAGAAATAGAAGGAACAAAACCACAATGGGATAAATTGAATAATTGGGTTAAAAATTGGAATCCAAATGAATCATCATCAACTTCCACCAAAAGAATTGGACCTACTCATGAATGTTACTATTATAAACAAAAACTCATTGCTATCTCTGTATTGGATTTCTTACCTTCAGGATTGTCTTCAATTTATTTCATATGGGATCCAGATTATGCACATTTATCATTAGGTACTCTTTCAGGACTCCGAGAAATCTTGATGTGTAAAGAATTAAACCTTGGATATTATTATTTAGGGTTTTATATTGAAGATTGTGAAAAGATGGTTTATAAACGGAGATTTGGAGGTGAAATACTTGATCTTGCCAATGAAACGTATATACCATTTGAAACATTTGATAAATTTGCTCTGGGGAATGGAAGATATATATGTTTTGGGAAAGATACAGAAAGAGAACCAGAAATTTTGAAGTTAGGACATCCATCAAATTTAAATGAATCAAGTCAACTTAAATTACCTTTACAAAATATTGCATCAGATATTTATAAATTTGGTTCTACAAGTTACAAATTAGCCAATGAAAGCTTAGAACAAGCACAAAAGAGATTCAAGTTGAAGAAACAAAAGCAAGAACATTTTATAATCCCTCCAATGGTACCTGGATTGATCCCATATTGGCAACTTCTTTCACTTTCTAATGAAATTGACCATATGAATGTAAATATATTTCAAATGATGTACAGTAATATGATTGAAGATGAGTTCAAAGAACTTGATGGAGATAAGAAATCAATCATTCTAGATTGTGTTCGACTTTTCGGTATCGAACAAGTTTCGAAAGCTATAATTCTCGTATAAAGATAAAGTCTATAAATAGAAGTCTACACTAGCAAAAATAAAATAAAAACAACTGAAAAATAAATTAATAGACAATCAGTACACCTCAAGTCACGCGACGTAGTTGTGTACACCAATGAACATGTGGGTACCCCTCTACCGTGGATCAAAACCTCAAAGACATGATCAAAGTTGATGTATGCATGATCTCAATATGTAGCGAAAAATAAAGTCTCCCCACATTCCCCCCACACAAAATGCAAAATGAATAGTGGGTGTGCGAAGTATGAACAATGCCAACCAACCCCCTTTTCGAAAGGGTGAGTATAAATATTCGGGCAATTTTCCCCAACTTGATACATTTACCATAAAACATTATAAAAATATTATCTTAACTTTAAACTACAATCAAACAATGACTAGAACGAATAAATGGACAGTTCATGAAGCTGCATCGCAACCAAAATGGTTCACCCACCATGGCCACCCAAACTGTGACCCAACAAAGGTAAAGAAAGAAGGTGCAGGCCGTGGGAATTGGGGTCGTCCAGGAGACGAACTTACTGATGAAGAAATGGGTAACCGTTTTGGTAAATCCAAAAGACGCAATTCCAATCATGTTCACCAAGAGAATGAATTGCGAATGTTAGATGAACAACTCAATAAAGACCTTGAGTGATAAAATACTACATGACACCTAAAATAACGATTACGATATAACGAAATAAATGATCAAAAATTATACGATATATATAAAATTAGTAAAGGTCTTCTCTATTCTACTTTGAAAGCTGTTCTCTTGACTTTTCCGCTTCTCTAAGTTTAGTTTCAATATCTGCCTTCCAACCTTTTCTTCTTTGTCTTTCTTCAAAAGCTGCCTTGTTTCCCAAAACACGGTTAACAATAAATTCGGTATTAATAGAGTCATATTCATGTGGACCTATAGACTTGAAAAGTTTTTCTTGTTTGGCAGCTTCATATGGGTCATTACCATTTGAGTCTGTAATAGATGGTAACCCATGATAAATTGCCTTGGTGGTACCTGGGAGAGTAGCCAAGTATGATGGTTCTGGGACATATGGTGCACCCAAAACAACACCATCGACGTAGCGACATTGTAAAACACACAATGAACGTTCAAACAAGTTCATAATTGGGTAATTGAGTCCCTTTTCTGTATTAACAGTGTGATCATCATGAATCCCAACAATCACAGCTGCTCCAATCTTCTTAGCTTCCTCCTTCACCAATCTCAACGCTTCAATATGTCCTGGATGGAATAAATCAAATCCTCCATCTATATAGAAAATTCCATTTTCTTTGTAAGTTTTGGCTTGTTCCAATGATGGTGCTATAAGCTCTTTCAATGGGGATTTAGTAGAGTAAACATAAACTCCAGAACCTGCCTTCAATCCAGTTGCATCAGTGGCATATTGTTGGAATTTTTCTAAATGAGATTCACTCAGTAATAATAAATGTTCTTGTGGAATTTTAACACTATCAAAGGACTTAATATGATGAGTAGTAGTCATTAAGAGCATACGACCAACCAAATCGGTTGTCAGAATGTTTGGTGTACGTTTGACAACCACAAATAATCCCAAATCTTTTACAGTTTGGTAACAATCTTCTCCATTAGCATCAGTGGTGATATCATCTCCATGGACAACATACTTACATCCATACTCCTCCATAACCTTTGGATCAGTTACATATGGTGCACTGGCAATTGCTTGGGTAGACCATTTACAGGCTTCAACTGCAGCCATACGTTCGGCCAACTTCATGACTACAGGTCCCTTGTTGAAAAGGATCTCCTCATCTGAGTGAACCCCAACATAAAGTTCTTTTCCAAGTTGTCTTGCTTGAAGCATTGCACCAGCATGTCCTGTCACGTTGTTAGTAAACGGCTTAATTCTATACACACACATTCATAAAGTACATACCATGATGGGCAAAGTCAAAGCACCCGTCTATCCAGATCTTGCACTCTTCAATACCTTCTGGTCTTTCAAACATGGTTCTATCTATCTATAAGTAGTATTTCTTGATCAGAGTCAACACGTTTGTTTTTTGGTTATCTTTCCCTTTTTTTACCTTTCAAATGTTGCGCGCGCGCGTGCGCTTGTAGTGTGCATTTCCACGCAGCACAAACAACATAATCTACACGTGCACAGCTAGTAAATTGATAACAGACTTTCAAATAAAGACTATTCTTATGCATTATTTCTCTATATAAAACCATGTTCTTGTGGTCCAGTCATGTCATTATTTTGATTTTTCTTTTTATAAACAGGTTTTGCAACTGGTTGAGGCTCAGAAAATGTTGTGCGACCATTTCCTATGTAGGTTGGAACTAGTCCATTCGATCTAGAGTTTACAGTTTTATCCATAAAACTAAAGATAGATGCTGCATTTCTGGTCAGACAACCATTAAGCCAACTTGTAAAACAACCTATCAACGGAGGAAAAGTGATTAAAAGATCAAAGCCTATTTGGCCCTCCATTTGTATCACAAGTTTACTAGGAAGATTCAATTCTTCAGTTGCTATATGTATAAGTCTAGCATGTATCACATACATCAATAGTGGACCAAACACAGGAATCAAACTAACTATTGGTGCAAGTCCTAACCCACAATCCAAGCCAACTCCACAAGATCCTAGAAAACACCTATCATGCATCCATGCTTGTTTTTGAATCCTTTTCCATGAATTTTGTTCCCTCTTGGTGGCTAAATCAGCAGGCAATCGAACTTTCTTACCATTTTCATCTTCAAATGGATTCTTATTAAAATGTTCTCCAGCATAATCATTAAAATAATCTTGTGCTATTCCAAACCCGGGAATATTTTCAAGTTGTTCTTGTAATTGTGCCATGATTTAATGGGTTAAAATTAATTTTGCATTCTGAGCAAAAAGAGACTGCAAAATAATAAGGTTACAAATATATATTTCACCCAATTGGATGAATCTGAGTTATTTATATGACCTCGTTTCCATTTTTTTTGACACTTTTTAGGAAACTCCGGAACCCCTTACATGCAGTCATACAGCAATATTCATACACTCCATATAGATATAATGAATCTACTTGATTAATTCTTCAAGTTCCTTTGCCAGAATAGGCATACATGTCCCCTGTGTATCTTTACCACATATTTTACAATTTGGTTTCTTTTTGTATGTATCCAAAAAACATTTTTGACAAAAAATATGTCCACAATTAATTTTAACTGGCTTTGTATAGTCCTTCTTGCAAATTACACATCTATAAGGTATCGTTGATGATGTATCAGTTGTACTCTTCTTTTGTTGAACATTTTGCCATTCTTTAACAATAGCTTTCTTTTGAAATGATTCATCTCTTACATGGAGGAATTTACAAGTATCTCCATAACCACAATATCCTGTTTGTAAGTAATCTTTACATACATCAGGTTGGAAATCAGTAATTGTAGTAGTTTTTATATTAGCTGGAATGGCCTTGAGTGGTCCTGTTACTTCAGTTGGCTTTTTCTCTTCAACAGACTCAAGCTGTACGGGCCCAGACCCATTTTCTTCAATCTTTGACTCAAGTTTATCTTTTCTAGGTTTTTTCAATCCATGGAACCCTCCTTTGCCACTGATGGGTTTAACTTCTTTACCATCAAGAGAAGGTTGAATTTCGGTGTCTGAATGGTCAGAGTCAGAAACTTCAAATTTACGTTTTTCTACTGGACGAATAGTGTCCTTTTTAACCACACGTTTCTTAAACATAGTAGAATATATATACAGAAAAATATAGAGAATTAATCTCTTACTAATGATGTATATAAGAAAGAAAAAGAAAACTGCCTTAGTGAATTTATTTCTACATACTAAAATTGTACTGTATCTTCATCACCATAAATTTGATATTCTTATCTGCACCACCGAGCGTTTCTTTTCTATACCCATTTTAAAACCGAAAAGCCGATCATACCATTTATTTTATTTTATGTCTTTTAAATATCGGTAATTTTTAATTATATTTAGTATGTGGAGAAATACTTTCAAGCTTCGTTCACAGTATTCAATTGGATTGAAATCATTGAGAAGAAGTCTTGCTACCAATACCCCAGAAAATCAGTCTTATTTTGGCATTTTCCTGAAGACATTCCCTCATGGAGGACCTCCAAAGGAATCTTTCATAATCAATTTGAAGCAACTTCGTAAGGAATATAGAGTATTACAAAGTGAACACCACCCCGATGTCTCCATCTCACAAGATGACTTTTCATCAATTGTAAATAAAGCGTACACCACTCTTAAAAACCCATATACTCGAGTGGCCTACATTATTGAAAAGAATCACCCAGGCCATTTGGATATAACCAAAGATGAAGTGGCTAAAGATCTTATCAAACAATTCCAAGGCAAGTCCACCGAGGTTGCTCTAGCATACAAGACCATGCTTATGTCTGTACTTGATGCACACGAAGCTCTTGAACTTGCTGAACTGGAAAAGGACTTGGATGAGTTATCAGTGGAAAATGATGAAAGATTGGAGCAAAGTGAAACTAAGATTAATGATTTATTAGCAACCAAGGAAATTCCATGGGATGACGTTGTTATGGAGGCAATCAAGATCAAATATTGGGTCAACATACAAAATGGTATAAAAGACTGGGAACAGGGGAAACCCGTTCATTTGACCCACTAGTCTGTCATTATTATGAACTCATGAACCATATCATTTACTTCTCACATTTCACATACAGCAATTTTGGTCGTTATCTTTCCCAATTTCAGCTATTCATAAAGATATAATGATGTATATATATAAACATATTCAAATTCTCAACTCATCATGTATACTTTTAAAAATAATATCTACATTCTTCAATTGCCTTGCGGGTGGGTCGGATGTGGTTTATATTACATTTCAATAGCTAGTGTACCAGGTGAATGGGTTCCAATAAAATTTCCTGGTCAACTAAGTTACTCTCTCTCTCATTATTCTTATTATTCTTCTTATTCTTATTATTCTTATTATATTAATTTACTAAGTAGCAACGAAAAGCTCTATGATCCCATGTTCGTCCAAACCTCCCTAAAAACAAAATTTGTTTTTCTACTCATATACCATCCACCAATACATTGAACTACTATACCACCTCATTTAATCTATTTCTAATTACCTTCACTTGCCATTGTTTTGTCATCATCATCTTCTTCATCATCATCTGCAACTTCTTCCATATCACTATTGCTATTGGATTCTTCATCACCCAGAGGAAGACCAAATTCACAAGTTTCATATTCTTCCTTTTCAAGATCGGTTTGAGGGTAAAGTCTTAACCATTTCATTCTTGGTCCACTGGCACTTAATTCATTAATTTTAAATCCGAAAAGTTTTAAACCAAAATCTTGAGAATTTACCTTATTAGTTCTTATTCTACATTGATTTTCAATTTCAGGGAACATCTTAACAAGTAATCCTGGGAATGTAGTTCCAAAAAAGGCACCATCTATGTTAAGGTAACGGGACAGCAGGGGGAGATAAATGTCATTACAACAAGGACAATAAAGCCTCACGGTTTCGTGACCTGGTATATCGGTGGATCCAACCGGGATTAAATGCATGCCATCACAATAATATCTGGGACATGAACCAAATTCATTTCTTTCAAATTTGGTGGCCATTGCAGTTAAACCTGGCTTGGAAATGATATATCTTGAATGAATAAGTCCATACAAGAGATCGGCAGAATGGGCCAAAAGGGCCTTATTGGGCAACTCGGCCTTACCAGCTTTCTTGGCTATTCCCGATGCAGTGGTGGCAGTGGTGGTTGCAGCAACATTGCTGTTGCTGTTATTATTACTATTATTATTACTATTTGGTGTTGATGCATTGTGTATGGTGGTGGTGTTATTGTTGTTGTTATCCTCGGAAGTTTCAACCTCATAGTCCAAGATCGTGTAAAGAGCTTCTCTATAGTAAGGGACTTGCAGTGATAACCCTGTAAGGTTGAAATCATCTTCAATGAAATCTTGTGCCACTGGGACAAAGTAATCATGACCAAAGAGTTCACAGAACTGTTGGATCCATGGGATGTAGTCGTCTTCTGGGTCGCTGGACATTGGATACGTATGCTATTCAGGCTGTTGTCAACTAAAGCGATTCACAGTATGATAAAGTTGGAACAACTGTGTATATATTATTTGTGTCTGCTCATCTATTTTGAATTCAATATCAAGGAGACTTTGTGTAATCTTGGTCGTTTTTATTTGAGGGATGAAAATGAGAGAACAACAGAAAAGCTACCAATAAAGAGTAAGGATATGTATTGATTATATATTTAGAAAATTCTTAAGGCAAGTGTTACGAGTGAGGTGGAAACTACTATTAGTTTACTGTAAACATACAAAATAATTATCTTTTTATCTATATTTTTCCATGGATTACATATGTACTATTTGTTGATCTGCTCCATAAACAGACTCTGTTTCAAATTCTCTTTTCTCACAAATTGTGCCAGACACACAGTTGACCAAAATGGCGGGATTGATAGACATATACTTTGTAGCTATGTAGATCAATTGGATTTTTGAACGATAAATCTTTTTTTTTTAAAACTATCACACTTCCATAATATGCTTGATCTTCATCCGTATACATTGTTGGTAGTTGTCTTCACGGTCTTATGTGTAAAGCAATTTGTTTCATACGTGGGTAAACCTAAAATCCAATCGTTTGTATGGCAAGGTTATACCAAATATGTAGCACCAAAACTTGGAAATTCCAAGTTGGTTGAAATTTCTAAAAAGAGAACACAATTGAAAGATGTTCTTAGACAAAGAAATGCCATCAGTGCCCAGGATGAGTATGCAAAGTGGACAAAACTCAACCGTCAACACGACAAAATTGAGGCTGAAATCACTGAAATGTCTAAATCTCTTGGAAGTGAAGAGGCTCAAGTGAATAAATTGGTTGGATATGCTATCACTGCCATTGTTACATTACCACTTTGGTTCTTCAGAGTTTGGTTCAGAAAGTCCGTATTGTTCTATCTTCCACCTGGCGCCCTTCCTTACCCAGTGGAGTGGGTTCTTGCATTGCCATTTGTGGTAACTGGAGGCATTGGGTTGACCATATGGATGTTTGCTGTGAACAATGTTCTTTCTTCTCTTATTTTCCTTTTGACTTTCCCATTCGAAGCTAGAGTTCCAAAGCCAGAATTGAAGACTGAAGTAGAGAAGAAGAAGAAGAATTAATCAATAATATCATTAATAATACCAAAAAGTTGCATTCAAATTATTTGGTCCCTATACCAATAGAATTTGTAGATTATTCCCATATGATAAGCATTTCCTTTTTGTAGTTTAGAGAATAGGAACTATAAATATAGTGAAGTGGATACACAATTCTTAGCACTTTCCCAACTTTGTACATCTACTCGAGGAATTCCTTCGACTGATAGGTGGGACTCCTCTTCCACCAGATATCTCAACTCTAAATCTCACTTTCTCTTCTCTATATGTTTATTCTTCTTACATATCTATTAATTCCTGGTGTCTAACTCTCATTATCTTCATCAATTCAGGAAATTCTCCCTCATAAACCTTTTTATTCCCGCGTTTAGCCATGCTTTTGTATGATCCATGTGCTTTTAAGAGCAACCTCTTGATAAAGGCAGACTTACATTTGAATATCCATTCGTCATCTTGTAATCCAGCTCCTTGAAAGTACCATGAATCAATGCAAGTCGTCCAGCACATCATATCCATTGAATAACAAAAAACATCACCTGGTCCTTCAAACATAACATATGGTGTTCCTGTTTCCGGATCAACTTCAAATGCCCGAATATTCGGTATGGATGCATAAGATATATCCCCACCATTTCTCTTATTGTTAGTACTCCCTTCAATGGTAGTCTCGCCATTCCAAATAGATGCAAGTGGAACTCCCCTAAGAGATCCCCGAATTGGTTCATACACTTGGCTGGGAAGTTTCCATCCATATATCAACCCATCGCTTGTGACACAAGTGAAATATTCACCACTTTGGCGTATCACAACTGCATTGGCCCCCAATTCAATGCTAGGACTGGCAATTGTTCCCGTGTCAGCACGGATAAATTGAAGTGTTCCCGAAAATGAGATCAATCCATAGTATCGAAGTACTCCCCTTAATACTATTGGAACAGAATGTTGAATCTTAAATGGGAAGTACAAGGAATACTGCCTCATTTCATCACTTCTGTCATTACTAACAATAACCATAGTAGGGTCTTGGAAATCAATCCGATCATTATGAATGTAATCAAGAAATTCGTCATCTTCTGAATTCCAAGACGGACAATTTCTGATTTCAATTGTAGTTGTTACAGGTTTTTTGTCCCCTCCTTCAATGTTAATGGTTTGCGAGGTTACTCCATTAACTAATACTGAAAACACCAAATCTTCATCAGAAGTATCATATGTACTTGCAATATTCATATCTATTGGGATATCAGCAGCAGTGGAAGTCTTACCAATGGTGGCGTTAATAACATTGGGGTGATGGAATAGAACTTCAGGGATATTAGAGACAAGTTTGAAGTATGAAGGGTATCGTTCCTCCATAACCTGTCTCTTAAGCTTGTTACGATGTTTCCGAAGAGTCGATTCGGAAACTAGAGCTCCGTTATTGGATTCACCCCCAACATTATCTTCCATAATACCCATATCTTCATTATCGTTATCATTATCTTCATTATTTTCGTCAAGTGGTTGATGCAAAGAGTTTGGCACATTTCTGGACTTAAGTCCCTGTACAGTGGTTTGTAACCCTATTCTAGGAAGTATATACGACGTTCTTGACAACTTAGAGGTCATTTGGAATCTTCTCATACTACTAGACAATCCCAGAGACGAAGAAGATGTCGAAGTTAATGAGACTGGTGCGGATGAAGGTCGAGCTGATGACACCAAAAGTGGTGCAACTCTCTTTTTCCCATCTTTGGTAACGGTGACATTTTGAGTTAATTTTGTAAGTTGATTTGGTTTATTACTACTTGTACCGTTAATTGGTTTTGCAATTGCAGCAGCAGCAGTAGGAGTAGGACCCACAATATTGGTGGTAATCTCTGGTACTCTTACTTTACCCTTCCTTTCTTGTATTAATACTTCTTCCACTTTCTGATCTTCCTCAACTTCTCTTGCAATTGCCTTTTCTTCAAGTTCCAATTGCTGTATATTCTCTGCAAATACAGTTGACTCTCGATCTGTTCCATATCGATTCAATTGTAAATCATTTATATCCTCGGCCACAACATATCCCAATTCTTCTTTGGCAAAGTCCACACAGGTTATAGAACCATCAAGACAACTGACAAATAAGGTTTTGCCATCAGGAGTCCAGCATATATCTGTGATTGAATCTTTCACAATGTCAGACGCTACTAAGAGTGGCTTACTAGCAGCAGTACTCCATATAACCAATGCAAGGTCCTGTCCACCAGTGGCCAATATAGTGGCAAAGTTATCCTTAGAGCCCTTTTTATTTTGGAAAAGTCTAGGTGCAAATGAACATACTTCACAAGGTGCTTCATGGCCAATGAGTGATATATCCGTGACCCACAGTCCTCTATTTATGATAGCCACAGAGGTGACTGGTCCATTGGTGGCATTGGGAACTGCAATATGTTGACCATCTGGGGACCATGACATACGACGGAAATATGAAGTTAATGGAGATTTTTTGAATGGTTCCACAACTGTATGTTCCATCTGGAATTCGTGTTCTCCACTCAGTGGATGTTTCCTATAATAACGGAAGATTCTAACAGATCTATCATCTGATGCCGTGGCAAAGAATTTATTTGCTGGATCAAAAACAATCCCCTTCACCATAGACTGATGTATATCATACCTTTTAATTCTTTCGAATGTATTTCCACTCCATATTATAATCAGTCTATCAAGACCAACGGTAACCAAAAGAGCCCCATCGGGAGACCATGCAATGTCTTGGACATCATTATCATGCGCCACAAGTCTCTTCCTCACAGTCCAATGCTCCAAGTCTGCTTCTGTATCTCCAAACTGTTTTGGTCTATTTCCTTGTTCTTCATCCTTTTCCCATATCAATACAATTTTATCATCTGAACCAGTGGCAAGAAATCGTCCATTGGGAGAAAACTTTACACATGTAACTGCACCGTTATGCCTACTCATTGTACAGAGTGCTCTACACTCAGCTACAAGTTTCTTGGGCACACTTTTCTCCGGTTGATTTGGTTTCTTTCTTTTGTTTGTGGAGGTCAGGGACGTAGTTTCATCAACGTATTGAAGTGCCAGTTTAGGATCCCAAATTTTAACATTCCCATCTAACCCCCCAGATGCAAGCCTTGTTCCATCAGGACTAATTGCAATTGTATAACATCCCACTTGTTTGTTATCCGCTTGAAATCGTTAGTACTAGAAAACAAAAAAAAGAAACGCACATTCTGAAAAAAATCAGAACACCTCTAAAATACTCACCTTTGTGACCAAACCAGGGCAACTTAAGGATATGCATTTCTAAACAATTGTCCTATAAGTATATGGTTATGGGGATATATAAAACAAGTACTCGTCTTCATTCTAATATTTACATATACATAGATCTACCCATCCATATTGGTACTGGCACGACATGCTCAAGGTTGCAAAAACCACAAGAGACCAAAAAGCCCTACATTAATACGACATCTTAATTATATAACACAAGTTTTGCATATATCATATAGTATTATATTATAGTTTAGATAAATAGAACTAATCTAGTCTTACCAGAGAGCAATTAATTACAACAACCTCGTGCATAATGGTTATTTTTTTTTTCACTTTTGAGTACGAGTTCGACCTTTTCACTTAAAGACCAAATTCAAGTTCAACAGCCTTACCAAACTTTTCCAATCCTACAGTCAATGCATCCAATGGAACAGCAGCGTAAGTACCTCTAAAGAAAATGTGGTTAGGACTAGTAGCAGTTGGCACTTCAGGTTGCTTAGGAGTGGTTTCTCCTTGGGACTTGAACCAGGAACCTGGAATCATCAAACATCCTTGTTCCAAACCTCTTTCATAAAGGGCAGCTTCAACCTTGAGTGGGTCTCTACCGAACTCTTCAAACTTAGGGTGCTTAGAAGCATCGAAACCAGTGGTGAAGAACATACCGGCAACTGGTGGGACGTACTCAGTAATTTCCTTAGGGAAGAACTTGGCGATGGCATCGATGGCAACATCTCTCTTGTGAGTGTATTCAGAACGTAAGCCAATCAACCAATCCAAGTAGCCACTTTGACCCCATCTTTGGAGCAAACCATTGGTCAAGGATTGAGTGAAACCAGAAGGACATTGAATGGAAACTTCATGAAGTCTAGTGTATCTTTCCAATAAGTTCTTTTGACCGACAATCCACCCGAATCTGAGACCTGGAGCTAAAACCTTGGAGAAAGAGTCAAGACGAATGACTCTACCTTCGATATCAATAGAAAGGAAAGAAGGAACCATAGCCTTGAGGAATTCTTCATGGGAATGGACAGCCTTCTTGCTTCTAGCAGAGACATCAGAAGTATATGTTTCCATTTGCAAGAAGTAGTAAGGTTCATCTTCAATGATTAAGATGTCATGCTTGACGGCAATTTCATAGATTTCCTTTCTTCTTTCAGCAGAAAGAGAAGAACCAGTTGGGTTTTGACCAGTACAAATTGTGTAAATAAACTTTGGCTTAGCTCCAACCCATTGATCCAATTGAGTGGCCAAAAGCTTTGGAACAATACCTTCGCTATCCATTTGGACTGGGATGGTGTTAACACCTTGGGCATGAGCAGTTTCCAATGCAGAACTGAAACTGTATTCTTCAACAAGAATGGAATCTCCACGAGAACAGAAAGTTCTTAAAGTGGCGTCCCATGATTGGGTGTTACCAACGGAGGAAATCAAGTCCCAATCGCTGTAAGGAAGCTTATGAACCATTTCAGTATGTTCCTTCAAGAAGTTGAGAATTTCTGGTTGACCTTCAGTATGTCCATATTGAAGAGCACGAGAAAGTTCAACGTCAGAGATATCCTTTGAGTTGAATTCCTTTCTCTTGTGAACTTCTACAACAGTCTTGTCATCCTTGGTGATTTGAGCACCAATACCGTTAGCGAAAGGAGCAGTAGGAACGTCAGCAGAAATTGAGTCAAATGGGAAATAATCGGCCAATGGTAATCCACCACCCAAGAAAGTCATACCTGGAAGGTTATAGTACTTGAAGGCAGACTTCAATGGTGAGTTCTTTCTGGAACGAGCTTCCACAGAGAGATGATGGCTTAAATCCTTGGCTTCTGGCTTGGTCATGTTAAAACGGAAAGTTGAAAGAATTGATATTTCAGTTAAACTATGAAAACAGTAATTCTGAAAAAGAACTGCGGGTCCGACTCTCTATATATTTAGTGACAGATCGGCTTGTAGCTCAAAATGGCAGGACCCACCAAAAATTAAAAAAAAAAAGAAAAAAAAAAAGCAAGAAAAAAAAAAAAAAAGAAAGAGTCACTGCGGTGCTTCTAGATGAGTAATCAAGATAAAGGGTACTGTTCTGTGGCAGTTGCATAGGTACATATGCAGCTCTGAGGAGGGGCATTAAACGACTATCAGAACTTCGACGCAAACTATGAATAGAGTTGTAGATCTTCGTGCCAAGATAATAGTCTCAGACGTCATACTTTAATTTTGGGTGGAAAAAGTTCTCCACACTTACTCACGGGATATTAATACCGTGTTTATAAATGCCGTTTGGGCGCGTTGTATTCGTTATCACAAATTTGCTCTCCTAAAACCTTATCTGGGCCTGCACAAAAGTGCCTACATTTTCCGCAGCCTATCCAATTATGGAAACTCAACACCACTTTGATTGTCCCATGTACATATGGCACGGCCGATACAGGAAATAAAGACTTCTTTTACATACGATACTTATATATACAATGATATATTATTAGTTGTTACCTACTCTATGAATTACCTTTCATATACCTATAGAACCTTATCGTAATTGCAGAAATGCATCCAATAGCACCGAAGCAGGTGGCTCATCATTTCTATTTTTTTCAAAAACATTCCAAAATCGTAATGTTTCATCTCCAGCTCCAGTGACAATAGTTTCACCATCTGGTGACAATGACAAGTACAACACTCGATATGTATGTCCTGTTAACAGTGCAATTTGCTGCATTGAAGGATATTTCCATACAACCACTTGATTTCTAGAATATCCATGTGTGGAAACAAGTTCATTAGAATTCTTGGACCATGCCAAGTTACACACCTGTGAGCCTGTATTCACATTATGTAGAAGGTTCCCGGTCAATGTATTCCAAGTCTTGATGGTTTTATCGGCAGTTCCACCTCCCGATGCAAGGATGCCTCTTTGATGTGGGGACCAAGCAATTGCCTTCACTGCAGCAGTATGATCGGTGAATTGATGTAATGGTTCCGGATTGAGTCCATCCCAAATATATAATTTATTATCATTACCACCAGATGCCAATTTGTTTTCTTCTACATTCCATTTTAATCCACAAACTTCTTGCTTATGATGTTCAAATCGATTGACAAAATGGTCAGCTATCCGAACATCACGGTTCAAAATCGAACGATCTCTTGACCCACTGGATAGTATATGTTCATTCCATGCCAATGAACTCACCCGAAGATTATGTCCTGACATAGTTCTCACACATTTAATCTTTGTAGCATCCCATATTTCCACCAAACCTTTCAGTGTACCTATAGCTAGATGGGTTCCAGAACCTATCCAATTTAAACTAGTCACCTTGTCTTTATTTGATAAATTACACAATCTGTCCACAGATTGTGTTGCCCCATCCCATAAATATACACTATCCCCTAACCCAACTGCCAAGATATCTTGAGACCCCCAATCAACAAGATTAAGATAAAAGTCATCCGATAACTCAGGAGCATCCAAGACTCGATATGGTACTTTAGATATATTTCGAGGTTTCTTTTGTGGGGAAAGTAATAATTTTTGTGAATCTTGACGTACTGGTGATAGGGAATACAATTCACTTTGGAGATCACGAGAAATGGGTCTACCTTTGCTGGGTGATTGGAATGTGAACAAGTTAGTTGATTGTCTGGGAGTACTGGTGATACTATTAGAGTCTGCTGCAGCGGCAGCGGCAGCTGCAGACGCTACAGCTGCTTGATTTATTCTGGTTGAGCGTGGCGGGGTAGATCCTGTAGAATGTATAGAATGTAATTCTCCTGTAGATCTGCTTCCTATCCCACCGGTTATATTTATGCCTGATCCTCCGGCACCACCAATACCACTTCCTCCAGTATGCAAGTTACCACTACTACTCGCACTGCTCAGACTATTACCCCCACCAGCACTATTTCCAGGGAGTCTAGTACTATTATTACCGTTGTTCGAAGGGTTGTTTGTGGTGACATTATTGTTATTATTATGATTAATTTTGGACCCACTAGAACTATTCTGTAGACTTGCAGCTGCCATGGGGACATTATCACCAAATAATTCTGCCTTCAAAATAGTTGAAAATGTCTTATTGGCCTCTTCTTCTTTCCGAAGATCTATATCATTATCTGTTCCATTTGTCCTCGTGCGAAGATCTGGATATATGTCTTGATTGGTGAGACTGAAAGCTGCCTGGAGATCGACCCCGGTCCTATTTGGAATGTATCTATCCAGAAATATGGCACTTGTTTTATTTCGTCTTCGTGGGGATGTTGACGTCATCATCGGTCCCTCAGAAAGACGTGGAGGCTCAAGACTTCTAGTAGATCGAGAGGGGGATCTCGGCGTTTCAAATGAACGTCTAAAATTACTTTTCGACTTGTCTGACATTATTTATTTGATGAATCTTTGTGTATGGGTTTATTATTTATTACTGGGAATTTAAAAATGTCCCTTGTTTCTAGGAATAAAGAAACAATTTGCAATTCAGCACGCTGGTAATCTCCAATCAATCTCAAAAATTCGGAGAATAACCAATATGTGTGAGTGCGGAACTGTATTCCTCCTTTGTTTATTGAGATGGGATGATCTATATTTGGTATTTTAAACTTTATCCACACTGAGGTTTATAATCTCCATATATTCATTTTTGTAAAATGTGGTAGCTGGTACACGACCTTTTTTTTTAATAGTATGCTAAAACGGATTTAGATAGTGGGTGGAGGGGTGGCCAGTTAAGGGTAGTGGTAATTCTTGATTTATGACTTTATATGGGAAATAAATCTCCTTTCGTATATTTAAGCCATATTATATGAAGATGGAGTTATATAAACCTTCACTTGCATTAATAATTTAGTTTAATATCAACCTAGATCGATAATGTGGTGAAAATATTTGTGTTTTCATTTGCTCACACTTCCTTGAAGAAAATCATTACTATGTTTTTTTTTTTTTTTTCCTCGTTCGCAGATTTAATTCTTTTTTTTTTTAATGCGCACTTTTTCAGAATTTGCAGTGTTTATAGAGAGTAGCAAAATTAATAATCAATATAGAGGTATAAGAAAACCAAACTAAATAAATTCCCATTAATTGACAGATAGTTAATTATTGTACAAAACCACCTACAATAAAACTTTAAATTTCAACATAGTTTTATTATCCTTCTACAATTTCAAATTCTCTCTCTTTCCATAGTAAATCTCTTTACTATTAATATTCTCTTGTTTGGTAAAGTACCCACAGCCTGCATACACTCCAACCAATAAACGCTCGCGAAAACGCATTACACTGTTAACGTCTATGAGTAGAAAAAAGAAGAATCATAAATAAAAAACCTGTTAGTAGAGTTTCATATCGTTTCGTTTTAATTGTCCTTGTAGATATGTTCCGTTTCATTTCCCAGTCCGTCGCCAGACGCGGACCAGCACAAGTCCTTTCAAGACCATACTCCTCCATAATCTCGGTCCACAGAGACACTCCAAAGGATAGCCAATCCACCCCATTTGAATTTTCCAAGGAAAACTTGGATAGAGCAAAGGAAGTCATTGCCAAATACCCAGCACAATACAAGAAGGGTGCTGTCATGCCTCTTTTGGACTTGGGCCAACGTCAACTTGGGTTCACCTCCATTTCAGTTATGAACTATGTGGCCAAACTTTTGGATATGCCTCCAATGAGAGTGTATGAAGTTGCTACTTTCTACACCATGTACAACAGAAAGCCAATGGGTAAATACAACATTCAAGTGTGTACCACCACCCCATGTCAACTTTGTGGTTCTGACGATATCATGAAGGCTGTTACCGAAACTTTGGGTGTCAAGCCAGGTCAAACCACTGCTGATGAACTCTTTACTTTCCAAGAAGTTGAATGTTTGGGTGCTTGTGTCAACGCTCCAATGTTGGCTGTTAACGATGATTTCCACGAAGATTTGACTGCTGAAAAGACTACCCAACTTTTGAATGATCTTAAGGCCGGTAAGGACGTTACCCCAGGTCCAGTTTCTGGAAGAGTTTCATGTGAACCACATTCTGGTGCTAAGGTCTTGTTGGGTGAAGAACCAACTGACTTGAGAAAGTTCACCAGATCTGATTTATAAATCAATTCATTCCCATATTCACATTAACCCCTTCACTCCTTGTTGATTTCCAAGAAGAAAGCAAATAAAGAGATCAATCCATAAATTAACACCATGATTCTGCATAAGCTGGTCAACCGGAACTTTCCGGGTTCCACTACTTAGATATTGTACATTTACAAAAATACGTATACTAGCGATAAGATGTAGAGATTTAGATTTATTTATTTATTCCCTGTACAAGGAATTGAGTAAACAAATAGAAAGAATCGGTTTTTTTTTTTATTCTATTGTTCTCCTGAATTGGTGAGAAATTTGATCTATTTTGATATCAAATATGCCTCATCTATCAAAATCCAAGTACTATAACATTTCTACATCTTTTATTGTGCTACTAGCAGTTTTATTATTTTTGTCCGTATAGGGTTTCCTGTTTTTGTGTAATGCCGCTTTTTTTCGGTATAGCGCACGTCAAAAAGAAACATTGACTTCGGTTCACGTGCAGAGTCACCATAAAGGCGGTCCACACACTACCTACATGCCGATTAGTCACACAGTTATACCTTAAAGACGACAATTTCACATATATATATATTATCAATACACTTAGCTATATCTATATCTATCTATATATTGTACTATATACAGCATTAGACGTTGCACTATTTTCCAAAAGAGGGAGTAAAAATTTATTTTCAGTGAAACAAAAATTGTGTGTGTGAGATTTCCCCGTGAGATAGCATAACATCAGTGCCCCACCCCTTTCAGATTACCCGAAATAATTTTATCATCGGATTGTCTTTTTTTCCTACTGTTTTATTTGTAACCAACTAGACGTGCTAACTTATATCAATATGGGCAAATCTTATTCTCTTGAGACGGAGCTTGTATTCTCCAAGTCTTCAGACCAATACAATGCATCGGTTCCGCCTTTGTATCAATCTGCAACATTTAAGCAACCATCACTTTCTAATATGGGTGAATACGATTATACTCGTTCTGGGAACCCTACAAGAACATATCTTCAAAACCAGCTTGCCAAGATCATGAAGGCAAACCATGCATTTGCCGTGACCAGTGGTATGGGATGTTTAGACGTGATTACCCGTCTTTTGAAGCCTGGTGATGAAGTCATTGCTGGTGATGATTTATATGGTGGAACCCACAGATTACTTACATATCTTAACAATAAGGGAGACCTTAAGGTACATCATCATGATACCACCAACACTGAGCTTATCAAGTCAAAGATTACCCCAGATATTAAGATGATCTTTTTGGAATCTCCTACTAACCCATTAATTAAAGTATGTGATGTCAAATCTATTGCTGATTATGCTCATTCTGTTAGTGAAGATATCATTGTTGTGTTTGATAACACTATGATGTCACCTATTCTCATGACCCCATTAGACCTTGGGGTTGATATTCAATATGAATCCGCCACCAAATACCTTAATGGTCATCATGATATTATGGCTGGTGCCATTGCCATCAGAAAGCCCGAATTAGCCGAAAGAGTCTACTTTGTTATAAATTCTACTGGTTGTGGACTTTCACCATTTGATTCATGGCTTTTGTGTCGTGGATTAAGAACTTTGGCCATTAGAGTTGAAAGACAACAACAAAATTGTAATAAGATTGCCGAATTTTTACAAAATATTGGATTTAAAGTTAGATATCCTGGCTTAAAATCTCATCCACAACATGAATTACATTCTTCCATGTGTCGTGGTGCAGGTGCCGTATTATCTTTTGAAACAGGATGTATTAGAACTTCAGAAAGAATTGTTGAAAACACTGATATTTTTGGCATTGCTGTATCATTTGGATGTGTAAACTCACTCATTTCCATGCCATGTAAGATGTCTCATGCTTCTATTGACGCTAAAACTAGAGAAGAAAGAGATTTCCCAGAAGATTTAATCCGTTTATGTATTGGGATTGAAAACGCTGATGATCTTATCGATGACTTAACCAAGGCTTTATTAAAGGGAGGTGCTTGTAAAGTCAATGAAAAGGATGAATTGTTTAATGCTGTTGGAGTTCAAGCAAAATTATAATTCTAAATAAAGTATAATAAAATAAAATAAACAAAAATTAGAATGAGAATGGAAATGGAGGATTTGTAGAAATTGAGTAGTGATTGTAGAGTGTGGACAATTTAAAAAATTTTGTTAAATACTAAAAATACAGTACATAATTCATCAAATTACTTTCAAATGAATCACATATATCACATTACAGGATACGATTAGACTTTTAAATATACACTTTTACTTTTTAATATGTTAGTACCAACTCATTTCCTGTATTTAGATTTGTAAACAAAAATTATCGCCACTTGCGCGTGGATATACGCGTTTTGCTCTTTTTTTGTTATTACAAAAAATCGCCATCAAAAAAGTCACGTCTATAATAATTTAGTTCTCTTTTGATATCAACTACTACTACTACTAATAATAATAAGATGGCTTCAGAATTTGGACTCACTTCAGGTGCCTTGAAGGGTATCCTTTCCAAGACCGAAAGTCATTTATATGTCAACAAACCCATTGTAGCCCAAGTTTCAAATGTGAAGATGATTGAACAAAAGGATGAAAATGGTCAATCTTCCGTAAGATATCGTGTTTTACTTAATGATGGTGCATACTCGTTACACGGCCTCATACCAAACGAATGTGTTCCTTACTGTGAATCCAATGGGTTCAAGAAAACTTCCATCATCAGTATCAACAAGTACGAATTGGTCACATCTCAGAAACATATTATGGTGATTCAAGATCTTGAAATCAAACAATCAACCAGTCCAAAAGTCAGTGCTAATTTGATTTCTGTAGATCAATACTATGAAAAGCACCCAGAAGAAGATACATTGAGCCTTGCCTCTAAGCTTCAACAACAAAATGGAACTCCTCAACCTCAACAACCAGTTAAATCCGCGTCTCCATTCCCAGACAATGGTAGCAGCAACAACAATAACAGCTACAACAACTCTTCTACGCCCGCCAACAAACCGGCCAATAAGAGCTCCTTCCAACAACGTCACATCAACGCCATCGAACAGTTGTCTCCTTACCAGAATCAATGGACTATTAAAGCCAGAGTGTCATACAAGGGTGACATTAGAAAATGGTCAAATGCTAGAGGTGAAGGTAAACTTTTCAACGTTAACTTTCTTGATGAATCTGACGAAATACGTGCCACGGCTTTCAACGAATTGGCTGATAAATTTTCTCAAGAATTAGAAGAAGGGAAAGTCTACTATGTTTCCAAGGCTAGAATTCAACAAGCTAAACCTCAATTCTCTCATTTGAGTCATCCTTATGAATTATCCCTTGACAGAGATACTGTAATTGAAGAATGCTTTGATGTAAGTGACGTACCAAAGATCAATTTTAACTTTGCCAAATTGAATCAAATCCAAAACTTTGAACCAAATGCCATCACCGATGTCATTGGTGTTCTTAAGGAAGTTCAACCAGTCTACCAAATCACTGCTAAATCTACTGGGAAACCATTTGACAGACGTAATGTTACCATTGTCGATGATTCTAATTTTGCCATTGTAGTTGGGTTATGGAATAACACTGCTGTTGATTTCAACACTAGTGAAGGTTCCGTAGTTGCATTCAAAGGTTGTAAAGTGCAAGATTTCGGCGGTAGATCTTTGACTTTGACCCATGCTGGTACCATGATTGCTAACCCAGATACCCCTGAAGCATACCAATTGAAGGGTTGGTATGACAACCTGGGAAAGAATGAACAATATCAAACCTTGAAGACAGAAGGTCCAAGTGGTGCTTCAAGTAGATTAACCAACAGAAAGACTATCCATCAAGCACAAGAAGAAAACTTAGGTATGAATGAAAAGCCGGATTATTTCAACCTTAAATCAACCATCAACTTTCTCAAGGTTGAAAACTTTTGTTATCCTTCTTGTAACAATATTGTGCAACCAAACTCACAGGGCCCACAAAGAGAACCAACTACCTGTAACCGTAAGGTTGTTGAAACTGGTGATGGCTGGAGATGTGAAAAATGTGACCTCAATTTCCCAGAACCTGAATACAGGTATATCTTGAATAGTTCAGTGATGGATGCCTCTGGTCAATTATGGATGACTTTGTTCGATGAACAAGCTCGTAAATTGTTTGGAATCTCTGCTGGTGAACTTCTCAAGTTGAAAGAAAAGAGTGAAGTTGGCGAATCTACCGAATTCACTCAATTGGTGAATAGTGTAACCATGAAGGAGTTCAACTTTAGAATAAAGGCTAGACAAGACTCATATAATGGTGTGAGCAGAATAAGATACCAAGCTCTTGATATAGCAGAAGTTGACTACAATGCTGAATGTGAACATTTATGTAACGAGCTTGATGCAATGCTTAAATGATTATAATGTTGGCGGATTCAATTTGTTTTATATAAAAGGTTTTATAGGGACCTCTTCCTTTTTCTATATAGTTTTAAATGATTAATACTGTTATTAAATTTAAGCATGTACCAATTCTAATACAGTTTTGTGTTGAATTCTATAAGACCATTCGCTTGTAACCAAAACTTTTTAAGAACATCATTAGCCTCTCTCATACCTCTGGTTAGTAATAATTTACTCGAGAAAACTCTATAGAGTGATTCCTCCAATTTACGACCACTCGACACAAATTCTTCGTAGGCAATTTGTAACCACAATTTGCAAAACTGCTGATATTTAGCAATAAGGTTACGGAAAACTTGATAAAAATAATCCAAATTAGACCTTGGGGCATCTAAAAATGCACCCAAAAGATTGAAAACAAATATAGGTCCTAATTGGGTGTTGGCCATTAAATTTCGAATCCTTTCTTGATCTTCAGCTGTTCCCTTTTTCAACGTAAGTAATGTTAGCCAAAATTTCAGTGAAGCCTTTATTACAAATTGTTCCTTTGCCTTGATTCCCTCCAAGGCAAAGTTGAGGATAACTGATTCAAAAACTGGTAGATGTATCACTAATGATGGTTTTTTTTCCAAAACTGTGGCAAACAATGATATGGTAGACTGAACCATATCAGGGTCGGTTTTTATAAAGTCGAGCTTCAGGGTGAATATATTGTTTATCACTTCAGCTATAACTTCTTGATTCAATTCCTTAAACTTCACAATAATAAGACTTTCCAAAAGACTATAGATGTAAGACACTGAAGTAGCATCACTTTTATCCATCTTGAGAACCATATATTTAAGAATAGTTTCGAGTGGGAATACGAAGGGACCATGAATAGCTTCTCCAAGACCAGTCTTTAATATCAAGCAACATTTTTCAGTGACAAGCAGGTCTCCAGACATCAGATTTTCGCTTAACAGAAATTTATTAACAATGGTCAAGATTAATTGTTTTATTTGAAGAGGATCTTCTTTCCAGAACGAGTCAACAGAATCTTTTTGTTCTGTACTATAAAAATCGTCGATCTCATCAGGAACCTGACATGCCTTACCAACCTCGTGTACACACGTGAGTAACGATAATAAATAGTCAGACCGTTCTTCTTCATTGGAAAATTCTTGAGCACTACCACCAGTACCATCTAATACCTCCAGACTTCTATCATGTATTGCTAGCAACATTTTCCTGAGAATTTCTCCAAATTTAGGTCCATCTCTTACACAATGTGCAATAGAAGTATACGCATTAAACAATCTTTGTCTAATAAGGTTATCTGTAGAGGGAGATCTCAACATTTGTACTAATAGAACTTCAAGGTTTGGTAAGAAGGAAGTTAAATTTTCTCTGCATTCCTGACAGATTTTCAAGATTGTTCGAGATGCATGCAATGAAAGAGACTGATCACCTTGTAATAATATGCCGAAAAGTAGATCAAATACATTTCCAAGATGCTGAGATCCATGATTTGATTTGAAATAAAATTGGATAGATGAAAGGAAATTGATCACTGTGGCATAGACAGTACTGAAAAGTCCAGAATGTGGACAATTTTGAATAACTTGAATTAAACCAGCCTCGAATAATGGGTTTATATATGTCAATAAGGCGGTAGATTGAGATTCTAAATATGCACAATCATCAGTTATCTTGTACAATAAGTACAATGTACTTTCGAGATCTATAACTTTGTTTTCAGAAGAGCCATTCAGTTTGATGGCTTGTAAGTCGTTGACTATACTTGAAGTCAAATTATAATAGAATGGTTCCTTAAGTAAGGAGTATGCAACAATGAAAAGATCAGAGACATTGCTCCTATAATAGAAAAATTCAGATTTATTAGAATTTAAAATTTGGATATCTGGCAAATGAATTTTGGCCCAATAGATGGAACATACCTTTTCAAATAATTCGTTGCGTTTGTTTTCGAATTCTTGTTTAAGATCGATGTTATTTTCGTATAATGCATTGAAAACATCCTCATCATCGATGTAGACGTTAGCAAGGTCCTCCCAAAAGGAGAGTATTTGATCCAGAACAGTTTCATCTTCAATAGCAATACCAGGGAAGTTTGACATCGATGTCAAAACATTAAAGATGTGCTGTGTGTCTGGAGTAGTCAAGGTCTTAGCGAAATGTAAAATATCAGTACGGAGTAGAGCAACCATAAGATTAACCAATGTATTTATTTCATCGCAATTCTCATCAGAATCAACCATAAGTATTTGAAGGTAACGTTCGCCGAGCTTCTCGGGAGAAAATATAACCAGACTAAGAAACATCCTCAGTTGATGGTTTAACATGTGGGGGTTGATTTCCAAAATTTCAATGGCTACAGATATAGCTTTATTTATGATTGAAATTCCCTCAGGAGTATCTGTGACCAGCTCAAAGTGATGGAAGAGAAACTGTATTACAATTGTATTTTCTCTGTATCGAACCTGTGACTTATCTTCTGCGAGTGCGATATAAGATACCCATGACATCAAGCATTCAAGAGAGTTTATATCAATTTGATGACTAATTTGTGGTTGTGACAACAAGTACTGGAATATTAAGCTTGTTATAGTAAAAGAATCTTGGAATACAAACCCATGAATCTCAATTGGACATTCAGTTTTACATATTTCTTCCACCATGACAGTTGAACTTAAAAGAAGAAGTGATATTCTATCATGATCCATAGATGAAATGATCTGATATAATTCTTCAGTAGAAGTTCCCGAAGTGAAAACATTGGGGTTTCCAACTAAAGAATGTAATAAGAGATGAAGTGGTGCATTGAAAGACCCTTCATTTAATGGACTTCTTATGAATAAAAGAGCCAAGTTGGAAATTAACTTTCTGACAATAATCATGCTGTCATGCAAATTTCCCAGATTAACTATCGATAGAATGTGCTGCACCATTATCAGCGCAAGTGTACGTATCTCATTATTTCGCGTCTCTGAATCTTTTGATTTATCTAAATTGTTTATCACCACTGTATACGTTAGAGCACCAAAAAATCGACAATTCTTGGAGTTGCTTTGAAGTAGAAGCATGGCCAATTCCCCTCCATCTTGAGATTTTTGAAGCTTCTGTAATCCTTGTTGTATAGATCCGATCTCTTGCGGATTACTAGATGAATAAAGTGTTTCAATAGACTATATGTTAGTATGGAACCAAGAGATTTAGCACCTACCCGTTAATATATATCCATCGTATATGTACTAACTTTGTTCGTATTTGAACTCTGTTGGGGCCAGGGTATGAAAAAAAAATAAGCAGCTTTCAAATGGCACTACTATTTTCTTAATTTTTTTTTCTCATTCTACTCACTTGAACAACCTGATCTATGCTCCAGTCAGTCATGATCCTACTATCCCTCCTTTCAAGCTATCTAAAGAATATCAAAAAAGCAGAAAAAAATATCACTCTAGTTCTTTCATTTATGACGTTATTTCATCTCTCACATACTTAAAACACATATCTGGGTTTTGAAGCCGTTCCTGTATATATCCGTCTTGCTGGTTCACTGGCGTGGTAAAATATATCCGCAAACAGCGCTTAAACTCTTTTAATCAAACCAGATTATTATTATAGAACTCTACAAGTCATTATGAGTACCAGAAAAGTCTCGAGGGCACAGTGTGCAAACTGCACATGTTCCCCAGGTTTGCTTTCCCGTAACAATAGAAGATCCAGTTGGTTACATAAGCAGATAAATATCAAAAGAACCAACAGTGGCAACATTTCGCCAAGAGGTGCTTCTCGTCAGGGGTCTGTATTCACTATCGATGCAGCTTCATTATGTTTACCTGAAGTTAAGGAGGTCAACACATCTCAAAGATTGGTGAAGCTTAGAAATGCCATGGCTGAACATAATTTGGGAGTTTATATCATTCCAAGTGAAGATCAACATCAAAGTGAATATGTTTCATCTGCTGATCAAAGAAGAAGTTTTATTTCTGGATTCCAAGGAAGTGCCGGTGTTGCTGTGGTCACCCGTGATGTCATGTGTATGAATGACACCCCTGAAGGTGCTGCTGCATTATCTACCGACGGTCGTTATTTCAATCAAGCCACCAATGAATTAGATTTCAATTGGATTTTACTTAAACAAGGTGCTAAGGATGAACCTACATGGGAAGAATGGGCTGTTTTACAAGCCATCCAACTTTCATTGGACTCTGGTTCTGAAATTAGTATTGGTGTTGATCCTAAATTAATTACATTGACTACTTTTGAAAAATTCGATAAAATTATTAGAGATAAATTATCATTAACTAAATATTCCAAGGCTGAAGTATCTTTTATTCCAGTTCAAGAAAACTTGGTTGATAAAATTTGGTCACAATTTGAAGAATTACCACCTTTACCAGCTAATATCATTAAACCTCTTGATATTAAGTTCCATGGTAATGATGTGTCTAACAAAATCGCTAGTGTTGTTGAAGAATTAAACTCTAAAAATGCAAGTGGTTTGATCATATCTGCCCTTGATGAAATTGCTTGGTTATTAAACCTCAGAGGTTCCGATATTGAATTCAATCCTGTCTTTTACTCTTATTTGATCCTTACCAATGAAGGTGAAGTCACTCTTTACGCTGATCATACCAGATTTGATACTACTGTTTCGAAACTCTTACGAGATAATAATATCAAGGTTGAACCTTATAATTCATTCTGGAAGGGGTTAAAGGAAATTTCGAGTCGATTTAAGGACCAAAAGAAAAAACTTTTACTTCCTAAAACTGTATCTTGGGAAATTGTCAGAAATGTGAAATGTTCTTATGAACAAGGTAGATCTACTGTGGAAGACTTGAAGAGTATCAAGAATCAAGTTGAGTTGGAAGGTGCCAAGTCTGCCCATTTGAAGGATGGTAGAGCTCTTATTAAGTTTTTCAGTTGGTTGGAAAATGAATTAATTAATAATAATGAATTAATCGATGAAATTGAAGCAGATGATAAACTTACCGAGTTCCGTAAACAAGAAAAGAACTTCGTTGGATTATCATTTACCACCATCAGTTCGACTGGTGCTAATGCTGCCGTTATCCATTACAAGCCTATCAAGGGAGATTGTGCAGTTATAAATCCTGATAAAATCTATTTAAATGATTCAGGGTCTCAATTCTTGGAAGGAACTACTGATACAACAAGAACTGTACACTTCGGTACTCCTACTAGTGAACAAATTAAGAACTATACTTTAGTATTAAAGGGTAATATTTCTCTTGGTGCACTCAAATTTCCAGAAAACACTACCGGAGCTCTAATTGACTCCATTGCAAGACAACATTTGTGGTCTGAATATTTGGATTATGGCCATGGTACTTCCCATGGTATTGGTTCATACTTGAATGTACATGAAGGTCCTATTGGTATTGGACCACGTCCAAATGCTGCTACCTCATTCTTGAAACCTGGTCACTTGTTATCCAATGAACCAGGTTATTATGAAAATGGTGAATATGGTATCAGAATTGAAAATGTCATGTTTGTTAAGGAAACCGGAAGAAGTTATGGTGGCCGTAACTTTTTAGAATTTGAAACTGTTACTCGTGTTCCATTGTGCAAGAAGTTGATTGACGTTAATTTGTTGACTCCACAAGAACGTAAATGGATTAATGAATATCATGCTACTATCTGGAAGGAAATAGCTCCAACTTTAGAAAGTAACAGTATTGAATTACGCTGGTTGAAGAGAGAAACCACTCCATTATAATTTTGAAGCTTTTTTTAGAAATGAATATACATATACAAAAATGAATTATTTTGTAGAAGAGATAGAAAAAAAATACAAGTTGGAACAAAAAATTGCATCCTAATGTTTATTTACATAAATCATATTCAAAGTATTGATTAGTAACTATGGTATATTTGTATGACTAAATGCATATTATCCTTTATGGGTCACGTGCTCTTGGTGCAGCTTTTCGTCCAATCAAATGTGATTTATGGCTGCTTACCGTAAAGTCTGGGGGGTCGTGCGCAAAAAACCAGAAAAAACAAAGAAATATCTCTATGGGTGACCCTGTGCAGTTTTTAAAACTAATTTGCTGACATACTCTTTTCTATAGTTAATAATAACATTAACTATTCTTTTATAACTTACCAATACATTTTGCTATGATCAGAATAGCCCCAATTAATAGAGCTACATCTATTTACCGAGCTTCTGTTTTCCCAAGCTTGGTAAGATGCAAATCTGGGGAATCTAACGGAAAACGGTATATGAGAACAATCCCTATTACTACACCAAAGGCTGATTTCAGCTCTTTGAACTATAGTATTGATGTACCATCCCCTTCACTGGGAACTGGATCGAAATGGGCCAAGCATTCGTTATCAAATCCTGTAGAAATACCTAAACGTGAAGAAAAGGAATCATTCATCAATATCGATATTATTCCTCCCAAGAGAAGATCTAGAGCCGATAGATTCAAGAATAAAGCTGGATCTGTTGAAGCTAAGGACACTACAAAAGGTACTAGTGAAGTCTCAACGACCACTCCTACCACGGCTACAAATGAAACAACTTCCACTTCTCCACCAACCGCCACTGCCGCAGCTGCCGCCGCCACTACCACAACTACATCTACTGCCAAGCCAGTAACAACTAAAAAGAGAAGAGCACTTAGACCCAGAAAGGCTCTTATTACACTTACTCCAAGTGCAATCTCACATTTAAAGGCACTCTTGGATCAACCAGAGCCTCAACTCATTAGAATTGGTGTGAGAAATAGAGGTTGTTCTGGATTGACATACAATCTTGAGTACGTAAATGAAGCAGGAAAGTTTGATGAACTCATTGAACAAGATGGTGTTAAGGTTTTGATTGATTCAAAGGCTCTCTTTTCCATTGTTGGTTCTCAAATGGACTGGTTGGATGATAAATTGTCATCTAGATTCATCTTCAAGAACCCAAACTCCAAGGGAACTTGTGGATGTGGGGAATCATTTATGGTTTAAGATGGCAACTCATTTGGAACTGTGCTATATCTTAACCCCGCATTCTTTACCTAATACTTACTGCCTATGCCTTTGCATTGATTGCCTTTGCAACTCTACGAATTTACGACTTTTTCATAACATATATAGAAATCTACATTATTTATTTAGTGTTTTGTCTGCTACGATTAGACTTGATTAGATGTAGACTTCATTTTACAGGATCATGTAACCATGTCCGATTCTCGGACAATTTTTTTTTTTCTAATTATCTTGAGGTTTGACATTTTTTTGTGTGAGGTTGAGAAAAAAAAGGTTGCAAAATCTGCAACCTCTCTTTGTGGACAACCAAAGTTGATAGGAGTTTGTGGTTCTAACACTAGAAAGCGTATAATTACAGATCAATCTCCCCCCCTTCCTAAAAATCTTTTCTCTTCTTTTCTTCTTTTTCCTTTTTATCTTTATCTGAACACCTCTCGTTTTAATTCCTTACATACTCCCATTAAAATGAAGTTCTCCTTACCAATCCTTCTTTCTCTTCTTTCCGTTGTTATGGCCGACCAAGCCCCAAAAAACAATGACAACTCTAAAGGTGTCATTGCCATTGCGGACTTCCCTCGTGGTAACGTTATCTTTTATGTCAAAAAGGGTAATCAAGTCAAGGTTCATGTTGATATGACTGATTTGCCAACTTCTGGTGGACCATTCCAATATCATATCCATGAGAATCCAGTTCCAGCTGACAACAACTGTGAAGCTGTTGGTCTTCACTTCAACCCTTTTTCTGCACCACCAGATTGCGATGGTCAACCTGACGACAGCTGGTGCCAAGTTGGTGACTTATCAGGAAAACATGGTTGGATTGATGCTACTTGCTTTGAAACCAAGTATTATGATCCTTATTTGTCGTTGGAAGTTGGGAACCCTGCTTATATTGTTGGGAAGTCTGTTACTTTCCACTTTGCTAATTTAACTAAATTTGCCTGTGCAACCATTGAATTAGTAAGTGATACAAGACGTGCCCTGTTGTTTGATTATTTACTGTCAAGAGGTGATTTAGAACTTCAAACTCTTGGTACTGATCAAGAACAAGAAGATGATACTGATTATGAAGTTAAATCACCTCCGGGTTCAACTCCAACTTCAACTACAACTTCATCTGTACCAGCTTTAAAATCGCAAGTATTGCAACAAAATCCAACTGGAGGTTTGAAACTTAATCCTTCTGAAATTGAATATCTCAATAGAACTAATTCATCTGCAACCTCAAGTAACATTTATGATGGAACTGATATCAATGAAGGGAATAATATTACCAATGCTTCATATGCATCTGTTGTTTCCACTGATTGTGAAAACAATGCTGCATTTGTTGAATCTTCCATCTTCACTTTTGGTGCAGCTTTGATTGCTGGATTACTTATGTAATAACAACTTTTACTCATTAGATTGGTCATTTAAATTCCTAATCTACCCAATTCAATCCAACTGATTACAAAAGAGGAAAAATAAATCTTTTAACTGGAATTTGGGAATGTTGTGCTAATAATAAATTAAATTTAAAAAAATAATACATGTAGTTACTAGTAGGCATGTTAGATTTTCATATATGTAAAGAAGCACGTGGCAGGACTATTGGATTTTTCTGCATTCAAAGTATGTAGCATTAATATCATCTGGAAGAGAACAAAAGTATTCGAGTTTTTGCATTTGTTTAAAAAGTTCAATTGAGTTATATCCAAGTTTTAAGCAAGTTTTGCCTCCTGAGGCATTGCTCGTACAAATGATACTTTCTTGTTGTTCGCGGTCACCGTCGATCACATAGAGGTTACTAGGGCGTTCTCTGACAAATTCATTGACAGACCGGTTGATTTCATCACGACCAGAGATCTGTTTAATTCTAATATCGCTCGGATCATCAGCAATTTGGCTCAAAGTAGTGGAAATGTCTGAGCCTGGTGTGATGTTCAAGCTGTTGTGCGAGCGTTGTTCGATTTGCAACAGTTGTGGTTGAGCCACGACAGGCTTCGTAGTAGATGAAAACCAACCCATTATATCTACTGTTTTGAAATTGGGTTTAATACAAGGCAATGATTTGTGGAGTTTTTCCTTCCAAATTATATCTCAGAAGTTTCTATCATGTGATATGAGTGGGTGTACGGATGGAAATTTTGCCTGGGCACGTCGTACTAACTTTGCAGCTATATATAGTTATAGCAAATGTAAATGAAAGCGGTAATAGAAGTACCAGATTCAAAGGTACCGCTTTCAGTATGCGCATAGTTCAATGGTGGGAGTAATCATAAACACAATTGAAAACATTCGTTGAATCTTATTAAATTTTGATTGTAATCACGATATCCTAAATAGGACATGGTCAGTTCATGTTTGCGGAATGTTTTCTTGTACTCCAATTCGTTCTCTTCAGTGGAGCTTATTTTAGAAAGAATCTTATCCTCCAATTCTGACATCCATCTATAATTTGGATCGCATTTGATGGTTGTATCTGTTCTTCCTTCCATTGAAAGTATGGTGGAAAGAACTTTCGATTCCACCCGAGGTTCATAGGGTTTGCTGCTCGTTCCTTTAATGAAATTCTGGTTTTCTGGAGTGTCATTGAATACAACTGAGTTTTGTACAAATTCAAGAGTATTAACTGCTCTACGAACCAATTGTTCGGGACTTATTGACTCATCGGTTGGTAGGAAGATTTGTCGCTTTAACGAAAACTTCTCTGTGGTGAATTTTCGACGAAGCAATTGACTATAATTCTTTAAATCGTGTGCATCTGTTTGATATACTCGAAGACGATAAAATCGCTTATATAAGGAAAGTAGTTGTTGTTTATACGTTAAACCTTGAAGGGATTCCATAGATACTGTTACAGATTTATTTGCCACAAGAACTGCCCTCTTGGCTACAGTATAGCCTCTAAAAGAACTCATGCCTAACAAAAACTCTTGATATCACTTCTATTGCATTGAAAATAGAATAGAATAGGGTAATGCTAATGAGAAGAAAAAAATAGATTTAGAGATATCCATATATGATCACGTGAGTCAAGATCGATAAAGTAGAAGAGTATTTCTCCTTCTAAAGTAGGGATATTTTTTATCTAAGATATAGAAAAGACTTAAATTCGTATCATTTTGAGTAATAAATTTTGATGTGGGGAGTGATAAAAGTCCAAAGTATGCTTGCTTCTTATAACTTATATTAGAAATACGAATATAAGCTGCTTCTCTCTATTGGGTGCAAAAACAATATTTTTTTCTTCATTAAACTCTACAATGATATCGGTAAATAGTATGTATTTGTTCTTTAGTCGTAAGGTGTAGTAAGTTACTATAAATGAGAATATTCAATCGGCATCACACCCGCAAACTCCTGCAGAATCTGGGAGCAGAGCCAGCCCCCCTCCAAGCATAGGAAATGGTGGGACGTTGTGACCACAATCACCTTGAAGCGCACATGAATGGTCATTTCCATCATTGTCAATAACATGAATGTTATTATCATCGTCAATCCACATTTTACCGTCTCTCCAGGGGCACCCTTTGTTCAGAAGTTCTAATGGCAAATTCTCCTTGTGAGAGAAAATTGGTCCAGCACTAGCAGCACCATAATAGCCTGCGCATTGTTTACCATCGATGAGTAAATTTGTAATTGGACAACAAACTGTCGTACCAACAGCAGCACACGAGCCACATGTCTCTGACACCTCAATACGGATCGCAGAGACTATTGGAAGAATTGTAGTAAGAAAGGAGATTGTGAATTTCATTGAGTGAATGTTGGCTAGTGATTTGATAATGAGTTTTCAGATGAAGAAGAGGTCGACACATGGTCTCTTATATACTATTTTAAATGCTTTACATACCGCAACTTTCAATTCTGAAAATGTGAGTCTTCTTTATAACTTGCTATATTACATATACCCCAGGTTAGGGCTCAAGGACTCAAGTAATATCTGGCCAAAATCTCTTCATACATTTTTGTCGAGGCTCCGCATGGTTTTGTGCACTGTATCTTCGTATCTTTACCCCACAATCGAATCAAAACTATTCAATAAGAATTAATAATTGGTTTGAGAGAATAGGACTTTGGTAATACTTGTGCAAAGTTAGTTATCACATACTCTTTGTAATATGGAAACATTTTACTATAAATTCATTGTTGTAATTATTGTATGAATTACATCTATATACGACAACTTCTTCTTTAAACAAATTTCCAGTGGTTAGAAGCCTCTTATTGATCTCGGCTAAGCCTCTTGTATTCTCTATTCTCTTTTTCGAATTCATGCAACTTTTCGAAGGTACTTCATTCTAACCATAAAAATAACACTAGCAATGTAAGATAAGTGAGTGTCAGAAATGCTAGCTGCAATATGACATAATTGGATACTTTGAGATAAGTAATCTTCAACTATCCTAGTGAAGTTTTAGTTAGAATGTTTCACTATACGAACGTTCATATTCATACTATAAGAACATTAAGTAGTGGCTTCTTTTAACATAGAAGAAATGTTAAATATGCTATACAAAATATGAAACATTGGTTTTGTGTATCGCTTTTTTTTAAATTATTAGCAGCCAAAAAACAATTTGAAACTTTGATATGGTAATAGCCATCTACACATAAGCTGAGATGAGTTCCAATCAAACATTACACTGTACCAGAGATGATTCAACGTCATTCACGATCTCTTATGAATGTTTTAGCTCTCAGAATATTGATTCAAATTCGTTTTTTATTCCAAATCCAGCATTCAAAGTATGTTACAAAATCGAAATCAATAGCACCCTCAAACTCTCATATAAGACATCTAGCTAACATATACAGATATCAGTGAATATATTAGTAAATGGAACAAACTTACATGGTCTTCTTGCAGAATCAATTGCAAATAGTTTTGAAACAAGTTTGTTTTGGTCTCAATTGGAGTACCTTGTTAAGGTTTCTTTAGACAACAAATTCAGTTTTGAAACATCATTAGAATGTCAAATATTTCATCCAATTATAAACGAGTTAGTGGAATTGGGGGATAGAGTGAAACTATTAGATATCATGGTTGTGGATTTTTCTTTCTACACTAAAGGTGATAATTTAGAATTGAACCAGTTAATTGAAGCAATGGAGTACTCATTTATTTCTCTTTTCATCAATCTAGAATATAAATATCCCTTAATTTTTTCAAATTATGGTAGAAAGTTTTTTAAAGAAAATTATAGTTGGGTAGTTCGTAGTGTTCATGAAATGATAGTCACACCAGACATCACAAATACAATTGCCGAAAATACATTCAAATTTATAATGATACAAAATATTACCGCTATGTACAATCAAATTCTCTCAAAGCACCATACAATTTACATGTTAGCTCCACCAAGAAAGGAAGTGAAAAAAGAAATAAATTCAGGTATCATTCGAAGAAAGAAGTTAAATAAGAAACCAAATGTATTATCATTTTTTCAAGTATCATCTATTGAAAAATCATTAGAAGATCTTTGTCTAGATTTTTGCAACCAACTATGATTTAACAAAGAAAATAAAAAAAAAACACGAACAAAAAAGAACTTACAATTATTAATTTTGTGCTACAACTTTTAATCACGTGTCAGCTGATTCAAAATTGATTATCGCACCTCAATTGGGAAAAGGTAAACAAGAAAATAGATCAAAGGAATCTGTACATTCTCATTGATACAATACAAAACGTTAGTTATTCCGACTTACGTTATTATTTCATATATTTTTTCCATCCACCCGTATACATACATCTACTACCACGTAGAAACAAGATAATAATTATCTGTTTCCTTTTCCAAAATTTTTATTTTCAAACTGTCATCCAAGGCTACACAAATACTAAATGTCATTCTTTCAAAACTTTAATGCACATTCATTAAGGTCAACTAGAGGCTTCAAGTTGAAACAAACCTCACCAATATCTAGTCCGCAGCCAGTATCGAACTCGACGTTCCCTGCAACACCTATACCCAACCAATATTCTCTGGATGGACCCATTCAAACGATTAACTTGTCACATGCTGGATCAAACGGAAACAATGCTCAACCAGTCTCTTCACATAAAGATATCAGAAGTTACGCTGAACAAACATTAGGTTCTGATAATGCCTTGATCCAAGCGGTGAAGCTTCCTCTAGATGAAGATGTCAATGAATGGCTTGCAGTACATGTGGTTGATTTCTACAATCAAATAAATATGTTATATGGAGCTATTACTGAGTTTTGCTCACCGGTAACATGTCCTCGTATGATTGCCACTGAAGAATATGAATATTTGTGGCAGGAGACGAACGGTCCGGGAGGCTCGGGTGCTTCAAGATCGGCTCTGCCCAAACGCCCGGTATCTCTCCCTGCTTGTGAATATATTGAGAATTTAATGAACTGGATCCAAAACTTTTTCGATAATGATAATACTTTCCCCTCCAAAATTGGAGCTCCATTCCCACTGCAATTCCAAGCCTTGGTTAAAACCATTTTCAAAAGATTATTTAGAATCTATGCTCATATCTATTGTCATCATTTCCATGAGATCTCTGAATTGGGATTACAAAGTCATTTGAACACAAGTTTGAAACATTATGTTTTGTTTGCCAATGAATTTTCTTTAATTAGTTCAAAAGATTATGGTCCATTAGAAGACTTGGTTGATCAAATGCTAAAGAAATAAATATTAGATAGTGTTATAATGATTTTTTACGATAACAAATCGAATGTAAACCCGTGATGTTAATATTTTCTATTTCTATACATTTCTATCTACATTTTTTTTATCCTCTAACATAATGCAACTTCAGCCATCAAACAAAGATGATCAGAAGGATATTGACCAATTCTTGGCTGTCCAGAAGGTTCAGGACCCATTTCTTCAGGTAATGGCAATTGAAGAAGTTTCAAAAGTTTGACCCCATGCTCCGATTCAATGTCTTGAACAGAGTCAATCCGTTCGCTATAATCATCCACTTGATTCCAAGAAGAAATGATAAATATATAATCCAAAAGACCTCTCCAGGTGTGTGCCCAGTTCGAGAAAAATGGTTCTTTCCTGTCATTATCTATACCAGCATTTTTAGGATCAACCAAATGGTATCCGGCAGAATATAATGAAATGGCCCGCATATCCAAGGAATTGTGTAATGCTTCCATATCTTCAACTTTTTGTCTTTGTTCATCGGTGAATTCAAAAGTATCCGGTACAGGGTCTGTTGGTTGATTTTTACCATATTTCTCAACGTTCCCACCTTCTTCTTCCTCAGCTGGAGTGGAGTCATCATTATCCTCATCATCGACAATGCCTCTACTACTGGAATATTGATACGAAAGAGAACAACCAAGTACAAGGGGACCTCTACCCTTATACTTGACTGGCTTTGATGTGATGGATAAATATGGCGTATCAAAAGGTTGGGAGTTGAAATCGCCAGCGAAAAATGAATACCAAGAAGATCCTTCACCATTTAAAGTGTTCAAAGTATCACGGAATTCTTTAAATTTTTTAAGAATCACATAGGTTTGTCTCGTTCTTTCATATGTTCCAAATGGATGCCAGAACAAGTGTGTCGTCCCGACAATAAGTCCATTCCGAAGTTTAGGATACTTCGATCTCATTTGAGGAGTGAAATCCAAACAGGCAAGTAGACCAATGTTTTGAGTCACACAACTTGGTGACAACTTACCCAGCTTCTCTTTGTCGTACTGTATGTGCGCCAAGTGATGGTTATTCACAAATATGGTTCTACGGTATACCAATGCTAACCCATGGTTCTTAGTGCCAGCTCTATGATATTTGGAATCATACCCAAGCTTGTCAAACTCCAGTTTCCAAAAGGAGTTATATTGAACGAAATCGACCTCTTGAAGACATAAAATGTCAGGGTTATAATGACAAATCTCCGAAAGTAACACCTGTGATCTTGTACTCCATTTTAACGCATTCCCACTGGTGGGGAAAAGCTTTCTTCTAATTAATGCTTGTGCAAGCATGTTGTACGACATGATCCTAATAGCTGGACCATCTTCAACCTGTTGATGCTCTTGCACAACTAAAACATCTCTAGTCTTATACCGTAACTCAGCAGGAGTTTCTACTTGGTCTGGATTGATTCCCTGGGCTATAAGTTCCTGTTTCTTCTGTTCTTTTTTAAGCTGACGAAGTCTTCTTTGTTCTTCAATGTACTCTGGCGTTATCGTTGCCGGGTTAACTGCCTTCTTTTTCTTCCCCTTCGAAGATTTTTTCTCATTAACCACAACCGCTGGTTTAGAAGTTTCTAATTCTGACATCTTGGGGAAAAATTCAATTCAAATCAAGAGAAGTAGATATAGGTAGTAGATATTTAATATGGGTGTATCTCTCTCTCTCTCTCTCTTTCTAGATCATTGTCTGTGTGCAGTATTTTTAACTATGAGCATATCTCTCTAAATAAAGAGTGACAACATTTTCTATTTTTATTTGAAAACTGATCTAGTGGTTAAACAAGAAAGTATGAGTTCCGGGATTTATAAGAAGCTTGACTCTCTTCAATTCGAAGCGTTATCGAAAATAAGGAAGATTGTCTCGGCGTTAGATATCTCTGTGATTGAAGAAGAATATTCATTTGAAGTGCAACGTCAGAATTTGGCTCATGAAGTATTCATTGCTATATCCGAGTTCAAGAACTTGCTTGAGACTGCCAGGGTCATGGAGGAAGAGCAGGATTCCCCGTCGGTGCAGTACCAGGTGTATTGTGACAAGCTCTTGGATTTGAAACTTCGACTTCGTCAGGCTCAGATTCAATCGACAGAAGCAGCAAATGAAATCATTCATAGACAAAGATTAGCACAGTTTTGTGCAGACCCCATTACCACGAATACCAAGACTGAAGATGAAATAAGAAACGAGCTCTTTGGGAAAAGACTGGCGACAGGAGTAAACTCATCGTTGACCGCTCAAAATCAATTGTTGAATAAGAATAAATCAATCACTGCCTCTTTACAGGCAACCCGTCAAATGATGTCCACATCCATCATGCACACCGAGCTTAACATTGACACCATAGACCAACAACTGAAGGACTTGTCGCAACTCAACGACAAGTTCACAGACTTCAATGAAGTGTTGAACAAGTCCCGTGCCATCGTTAAGTTTATTCAGAAGCAGGACCGAAGTGACAAGAACAGAATCTACATGAGTCTTGGATTCTTGGCCCTTGTGAGTTTCTGGGTAGTTTGGAGGCGAATCCTCAAGGTTCCGGTATACTTTATGTTGTGGTCATTCTTCAAAATATTCCGGATCTTCAATTGGATGGTGGGGAGCACCGCCACTTCGAATAACATGGTTGACGTTTCACCAATTGCATCTGTAGTGGTATCTGCGACCACTACTGCTACTAGCATTGCTAGTTTGGCTGCTGCAAGTGTACTGAGCGTTTCCACCGCTATGACATCTGCTCCGGAATCAGATGGAATAGTCATGGATAAAGAATATACAATGGACATTGAAGTCGACCAAGTCCATCTGACATGGGAAGAAATAGTTTCAGAAGAGATAAAGAAGATTGAACTAGTGGAGCCCAACTCTATCGAGAATGAGAATGAGCATGAACATAATCAAGAAGTTGATAACAGGATTGTAGATGAGTTGTAGTATAACTCAAGTTGGAATTGTTTTGTGACCTTCGACAAGAGTTGTGGCTATCTCACCGAGCAGAAAATTCCAGATCTCGTTTAAATTCGAAGTTAAGTGAGCTGCTTCGCTGGAACTCTGTGGGCCTCTGGCGTCTTCCTTTAATGGGGAATATGAGATTACGGGGTTTTCACCTCGCAGATGAGCTAGACATCACGAAGTGATTCTCCTCAAGTAGGGGTCCAGCGGAGCGTCCCTATATTCCCCCGTCGGGCGAGGAGGACAAATACTCTTTCCACTCCTACAGTTACCTACACCTCACATCATTTCATGATCGTTAATAAGTATATAGTGCTATAATCCATATCCCTCTTTAAATCTTTTCAACCTTAACGTTGGCACCGTCCTTGTCAGCACTCTCCAAGGCAGCAGCAACAATGGCCAAGTGATGGAAGGCATGTTCTGGCTTAACAACAACATCATCCTTGTTACCTGAGACAACAGCAGCGGCAAAGTTTTCGAATTCAGCAACAAAAGTGTCAATTTCATCAACTTCAATGACCTTTGGACCAGAAGAAGTTTGACCACTGGCTCCAGTTTGGTAAGTGATGGTTGGCTTGCTTAAGCTTGGAGAAAAATCATAGATGGCAGAACCATTGGTACCAAAGATGGTGAACTTGAGAGACTTCTCAGTGGCTCCAAAGGCTGATCCATAAGTGAAGGTACCAATGGCACCGTCATCTAATTTCATGGTTGAGAATAAAACATCAACATCACCACTTTCCTTACGTAATTGCTTGGTCAAGGCAGAGACAGTGGAAACTTCACCCAAGACATCGGTGAGAAGAGCCAATTGATGGACACCACCATCTGAGAGATACCCACCAATGTGTTCTGGGTTGACTCTCCAAGAGGTGTTGATGTACTTGTTGTCGTCATTGAATGGACCAGTGGACAGATAAGTGAAGGAAACAACGTCACCAATTTGGGGCAAGATTTCATTCTTCAAAATCTTGATGGCAGATCTGAAAGACCAGTTTTCCAACACACCTATTGGGAGAGAAGACTCTCTGGACAACTTGACGATTTCTCTGGCTTGGTCCATGTTGGCAGCAATTGGCTTTTCCATAACCATTGGCTTGTTGTTCTTGATGGCCAACTTAACGGCGTCCAAATTGTATTGCACTGGGAGCAAGGCGTCGATGAAGTCGATGTCCTTGGCCTCGAAGATGGAGTCCAATGAGTCGTACACAGACTCGGCAGGGATGTTTGCCTTGGTAGCGAACACTTCAGCCTTGGCCTTTGTTCTGTTGAAACAAGCGGTTGGGGTCACATTGGAAAGCTTATTAATGGTTGGAAGATGGGTATCGGTGGCAAAGATACCAGTTCCGATAATACCGACGTTAAGGTTAGACATTTGTAGTGTGTGTTGTAGAGTGTAGAGAATAAATATGTCAATTATGAACTTTCGGAAAAATCGACCCTGTATTTATATTCATAGTACTCAATATCAGGAAACCCCAATTAACCGGTTCGGGAAGATTATCCGATGCGCGTTATGTACCTGAGCCTCTTTAAAAGTGGAATCATAGAAATGGAGGTAGTTTGTATTTAATACCCACGATTTTTGATGTTGGTGAGTTAGAATGTAGAGAGTGGTGCAATAGTTCCCAATAGATATGCATATCTATTATTCTATAATCATCTTACTTGGTAGAACGATCGCTTGTTGACCTTATAATCTTTTAGCTGTCCTACGCTGTTGTATGTCCGCCTTTCCTGAAAAAATGAAACCCCACAAAGGCAACAACCAAAAAAAAAAAAAAAAATGAATGAAAAATGGAGGTTACAGTGGGGGAGAACGAAATGATTACTAAAAGGGTCAGTGGGGGATGCTGAAATCATCGAATTAGAGTAGGAATGAACGTGAAGGGAGGGAGGCGTGGTAAATGTCTAAGAACAGCCAGATAAGTTGTTCTATATTCACTTGAATTTAACTTGCAACCACTAGATGACTCTCATCGCTCGACGAACGTTTTAGAACTCCTCTTTTTTTTTTAGACAAACCTCTCTTAAAGAGTGTTTTTTTTTCTCCCTCGGAAAATTCAACTGTTGCGAAACGGCGAAATGGGTCCATGGCTCATAAGCGCCAACGGGGCTAAAATAGTCAATACTAAGAGTGCCGTTGTACGTCTCCTCATTTGAATGGTAAAAAAACTTAAAGTGCCTGACCGGCAACGATCTTTCTGAATGCACTAGGATTTGTCAGCGTAAAATATTTCAAAACACCGTATTCTATTTTTAACAGCAGTTGAGAGGTAGCAGGAAAGAGGAGGAGGTAGATGTACTTGGGGCAGGAAGACAATACCCAAATTTCAGGGATGTGAAATATTAGTAAAACTCGGTGGAGTAAAGAAAAAATCTGAAAGTTCAAAACGAATCGGACGTCAGGGAGCCGTTGCGTGACATTGTTGTTACGTGAATGTAGTATGACATTTATAAATCCGTTAGAATTTGTGCATTAAATACGCTTGTACTGGATATACCACATCGATTATCCGGGATTGAAAGATATTTACTATTTGTATAAATGGGATTTAAAACTGGTGGTGGTCCCTTGGCTGTTAAATTTTGCAACATTGGTTGTCAAACTGAGTTCTCCTGTACACTGGTTTTGTGTGGTTTTGTGCCAATGAGACATTTTTAACCCACAAATTTTCCCGAGAGGGGTTAGGACGGCATTCATTTACTATTCATTACATTTACGAGAGATGGAAGTAACACCTGTAAAGCTAGCTCATGAGGAGGACCAGTCTCCTGTAGCGAGGAGTGGGGCTCACGAGCCAGAGCCGGAGGAAGAAGTGTCCGATTATGAACCAATTGTTCCTGAAAATGGACCAACACATGAACTTTATGTGGCAGCCAATGTAGACTCAAAGATGAAGGAGTTCGTAGAAGACGGAGAATCGGACGAGGACGAATACGATCCGGAGATAGCATACTCCGGGAAGGCTATAGAGAGCAAAGCGAGAGGCCAAGAAACTGGAGAACATCACGATAGAACATCAACCTCTACTGATGTAGTAGAATCACCAGATGTAGTCAACGAACTTGAAAAGGCGATTGAAAGCCCAAAAGCCGGAATTGACAACAATAACAACAACTCTGAATCGGAAAATGAGTCGGATTATGATCCAGAATCTTCCATACGTAATCATCTGATTATTAAGCCTAGTGAGCCTGTCAAGACTACGCCTTCCACTGTGCCCAAACTCCCACCTAAACCTCCAGTAAGTCTTGCTAGTACAGACCCTACAGGAGTCCAGAATCAACTGCTCAAAGAAGCATATCAAGCGGTGATGCAGAGCGATGTAGTGAAAGATCCCAACTTTATAAAATTACTGCAAAGTGAACAAATGAAAATCATTCAGGAACAATTAAAGTTGAGCAATGTAAATTTGCCCATGAATAGTAGCACTGCTGACATGAACTATGACCAAGTTTATTCGTTTAACAAGCCGTTCAAGTATGTCAAGGATCCAATCGCACTCATCCCAGTGAATAAATGGTGTCGTCGTCCTAACATCACTAAACCCATGACCCTGGAAGAAGAGGCTGCCTATGACAAGTTTCTCAAGCAAGAAGCTTACTACGGTAATTTACAAACTTGGGATGAGTTCCCAGATAAGCTGAGATTGTTTGTGGGGAACTTGCCCACCAATACTATCACCAAGGAAGATTTATTCCGGATCTTCAGTCAATACGGCGATCTCATCCAAATCACAATCAAGGCTGGGTACGGCTTCATTCAGTTCAGAACCATGGAAGGTTGTATGGATTGCATCAAGGGAGAGACAGATGTTCCGTTGCACAATAAGATTTTAAGATTTGACGCATCAAGACCACACAAGGCAAAGCAACCGCTTTCACAACCACAACCTCAACTTTCCCAACAGGGTCGAGGTAGAGAACGAACTGCCAGTGAGGTGGAGGAAGAAGACAATGGAAACGATAGCAATGGTGACTCAGTACATTCTTCAAAGAAACAAAAGCAGCTGGACGTCGCAGAGGCTGTAGAAAAAGAAGGAGAAGAAGAAGAAGAAGAAGAACCTGAGTGTTATATTTATATCACCAAGGAATCATCTCCGTCATTGGTGAAAGTTGTACAGGACGAATTCTCAAACTCATCAATACGATTTGAAGTTGAGGATGTTTCCGATACTGATCTTGCGGATGTACTTAGTGATGCAGCCTATTCTGGGATTTTGGGAACCTGTGTGATTAAAGAAACGAATGTGGATGTTCAAACGTTTGAAAGTACCTCGGATGGAGGGGTCAAATTTGATGAATATGCGGACATAGATGCGAGTGCCGCTGTTGAAATCATTGAGAAGTTCAAATCGAAGCTGGGAGAACAAGAGGAAGAAGAAGAGGATGAGGAGGAAAATTCGCCGTACTCGGGATCTAATTCACATTCCCGTACAAACTCCCCAGCGATCTCTTTACCGGCGGTTCCAAAACGTAGACCGATGGAAATTGGCCATGAAAATGAAGGAAGTTACCGTCAAAAACCACGGTTCAATAACAAACAGGGAGGTCACTCGCAAGATTCTCATAGGTATGGTGGACTGACTCAACGTTATGGACATCAATATGGAACACCTCCACCACATCCTGGGTTTGCACCACAAGCTCCACCTCCTGGTTATGGACCAGTATCTGTGCCTACTGCTCAATATGGAACCCCTCTTCAGCCACAAGGATTCAATAATATGAACCCTATCCAGGCCGTGGGTCAACCGTATGTGGGCCAGGCACCACCACCAAATTATGGTGTCCCAATGCCACCTCAGTCTCAATACAATACTCAATTTGTACAAGGGCCTCCACAGCAAAATGGTCTTCTTTCTAGTCTACAGAATATGGATCCCGCTTCTATGCAAAATATGATCAACCTATTGCAAAAGCAGCAACAACAACAACAATTTCAACAACAGCAAATCCGCCAACCAGTTCAACAACAACAACCAATTGCTTACCCTTTCTCTCAATCTGGCGCCCCAATGAACTATGGTGTGGTTCCTCCCCAACAACAACAACAACAACAACCAAACTCTCAACTCAATTCTCTTTTATCTCAGTTGCAAAGTAATACCCCAAATTACAATGGTCAACCCCAACAACAAATGTCAGAAGGTGGCCAACAAACACAAGACCTAATGGAAACATTGGCCAGATTAGGTGGCCAGAGGTAGACCTTCTTAGTAGGATACGAATGATTGTGATTGACTGTAACCTAAAGCGTTTTCCCTCCCTAACTTTCTTTCTAAATATTAACCACTGTATTGCAACCCGATATCCATAATAGAATAGTAGAATATACTAGGAATCTCTTGGTAACGAACTATGATAGTGTAAACCATTGCCGTAGAACTAAATAGAGCTCGACGTTGAGGGTGGCGTTGATAATTGGTCGAGATTCCATTATTGATTGATGAATAGCAATTGTCTTGGATGTCTAAACTAATCCCCTTGAATTATCTGAGTCTATAGACCTTATCTCTATCAATTCAATCATTTGCAAAAGCAATCAATTCTACAATGTAATTTACTAGTACTTATTATTAGTCTTATATATCTCTAAACAGTTGTTCAGTCAACAATATCAACTGTGTCGATCTCTTGGGTATGTTTCTTTTCTTTCTCATCGTTAATAGCCATGTTTTCATTATATTGATCTTGAAGCTGCTTGAAGTCATTTTCATCTTCCAAGTAAGCGTTAATGCCAATAACTCCACATTCGTCAAAAAGTTGGAGGATATTTTCAGCCTCTTCAATCTTCAATTCTGCGAAAACCTTATTCACTTCGTCCAAGGATCCAGTTTGTACAGCCTTTTGCATTTCCACTGGTATTTGAGTGGTAAAGATTTCATATTCCTTAGTATCTGGCTCTGGAATATTTACCAGTAACTCAGTATCGTCATCCAATGCCTTCAATTGAATCAATGCTTCTTCTTCTCCTTCATTTTCCTTAGCATGTTCGGCAGAAATGATCTCACATCTAGTTTTAATATGATTGAATGTATTTTCGACATCTTGCATGAACCCTTGTTTGGCAGGAGAGTTTTCAGAAACCTTGGAACAAAACAATTTAATTGCCTTGATGGTTTGATCAGAAGATGGGTTTGGTCCAGCTAATTGGGCAATGTATTGTAAAAGCAAGGATTGATGGATGATTTGCTTGGTTGCTGCAACGTTCCCAGCTAATTGAAGGTCAAAGGCGCTCATCAAGAGTGCATCCTTTTGTTGTTCAGTACAAATTTTAGTATTTTTCATTAAAAATTCAGCACTTTGTTGAATATTTGTAGGTGGGATTTGAGCGAAAAGTTTAGTTTGTGGATGGATTTCTAAATCATTAAGGATTTCTGCATCCGTTGGTTGAGATGATTTCGAAGTACTGGAAGAAGCAGGCTTATTAATCACTTCAGTGGTGGTGGTGACTTCCTTGGTAGTAGTAGGACGTTGTTCCTCTTCTTGTTGAGTGTCCTTGTTCATAAAACTAACATCAAATCCAGTATGGATATCATCACTACTAATAAGATTAGCCTTTTGATTCAAAAGATCATCCAATTTGATTGCCAGCTTGGAAAGAACATCATCAATCTTCTTTCTATGCTCTAAAATGTATCCCTTCAAAGCATGTCCATCCTTGCTGGCATCCTCATGATCTTCTTTAATTTGAATGAATAAATCCTCAATCATCTCGTTGTAACATGGGGTGTTTTCAATCTCTTCTGGGTCAAATTGTAAGTCTTTAAGACCTTTACGGAGTTCATCTCCCTTTTCTTGCTTCAATTTCTCATAGTTAAACTTCTCCTTTGGATCGAATTTCGAGTTGATCGCTGACAAGATTTTCTCATTGTTTAAAAGTTCTTCATCACTTAAATCTTCTAAGATATAGTCAACTCTGGTATTCAACTTTGCATACATGGTCAATTGCACTAAAATCGACTTGATCTCAATGTTTCTTTGTTGACGCTTTTCATGGATATCTCTTTGCTTCCATTTGATGAATGATGTTTTATCGACATTTGGATGAACTTCGATATCTGAATCATCAGAGAGTTCGATCTTGTCCCACTTTGAGTAGTCAATAGGCATTTTAGGGTAATTCTAGTAAGAATGGGTAGAATATAACTAGAACTAAAAGTTTGGGTACACCTTATTCTTCAAGTGTGAGTTCTTCATCTTGTGTCACAAATATCAACATTCTGAAATATTCTGGAACCTTCTCTGCATATAGTGGGAAAACATTCATTGTACCCTAAAGATACAAAATAGTACTCTATTAAATCATACTTCATTCTCGTTAAAGTTATAATTTTTCTTGTTCTTAAACTACTAGTTTATTTCTTCTTCGCTAAGATGTGAGTTTCCTCTATATATATACAAGGTGTATAAAATATGTTGTCAGTAAAAAAAACAAATATATTTAATTTTGTGTAGCGCATACAAGACCTTGAGACGATAACTCTACAACTGTCATGAATTCTTTCAAAAATAGAATTCATATATTAGTGGAGTTTATCAATACTGCTGGCACACTGGTGGTGTCAAAACTATAAAAAATCTTAAGGAATTGATATAAAGTATGTACCATTTATTTTTAATCTGGATAACTTATTTTGTTAATAATTTGAAGAAAATGGGTGCAAAATGTTCAAAGGGTTTTATTTTAAAGTTGAGGCGGTTTATCACGCCAAGGCTAGAAATTAGTTAATGGAGGTGAAATATATGCAATTGGGTCTGAAATTCTTTGAAACCACCACTCTCATGTGTGTAGTGGAATACTGTAATGTTACTTTATTGGGTGGCTGCAAATGGACTTTTAAAGAGTGATAATAAGCCAGAATCTCTCACAAAGATTTATATAGTATCAGATACTATATGGATAAGTTTAACAGATCCTAATGAAACAGAATCCCACATGTATTCCAATAACTTCACTACTACACTTCTTTTCAGAAGTAGAATCTCATACCATCTACATACACGTGGTCAAGCCCTGTACATAGATTTTGGAGAAATTATCCAATATTATAATCGTCTCCCATTAGACTTGTACGTTCAATTAAATTACAACCATGCATATATCTGGAATGGAAATCTATATTCTTATTTTGTTCAACAATATTTAAATATATACTTACATAGCAGGTCTCAAACCAACGAAGTAAGCCAAAGAAGTGTCGGTGGCTTCGAAAGTGATGGTAGTACCCTTAGCAAAGTAAAATACGTCACCTGGAGAAGCAGAAACCTTCTTTCCAGTTTCATCAGAGATGAAGAATTCACCAGAAACTTCGACAATAATTTTCATTTCATCATAATCGTAGTAGTAGACCAATGGTTCACCCTTGTCTTGTCTGTAGAAACCGGAGGACATTTGTTGTTCCTTTGGGGCATCGGAAGTGAATACATCTCCCAAGTAGGAGTTGTTACCTGGGGATGGAATTGAAGGTGGTCTGACGGCCTTACCTTCAACGACTGGCTTGTATTGCATTGGCATTTTTAAAGTGGGTTATTTATAAATTTAGATGGGTAGTAGTTAAGAAACTAAGAGTGTTTGATAATGAAAAGAGAAAAGATTTGTCTATTTCGAGTGCCCAAGACCTTATTTATATATAAAGTTTCATCTATTTACTATCTCCATAAGCTACCTTTTGCATTTCGCTTGGGATGATAACTTTTTTTCCCAATTGGTGCAAAAAATGAGAAATGGCTTATCGCAGCCTAATCGGGAAAAGAAATCCATATCGCACCCGCAAATCCAATCTTGATGAGATTTGATAGAACTTGGAAGGATTAGCCGCCAGATACCAACCAATCTACCATCACTATCATTGGCGAGAACTAGTAAATAACTACTTTACCAAACAATTAGTAATAAATATTAACTGGATTGATTGGTAAAACAAAATTCTGATCAAATAGGCACAAGTACCCCAAGTTCATATAATTCCGCACTACTGTGTTGTCCCCAGTCCAATTTTCAATAGTGGGGAAATATATATTTGGTGTATGTGAAATTTTTCACATAAAAAGATATATCCTCTTCGTATTCCGTATAGAATGATTAATTAAATGTGATCAATTATTTTCTGGACAACAGTTATTGTACGTACACTTCACCTGGACATCATCTGGACATCATCTGGACATCAACTTACCTATAGATCGACCACACTCCTATGCTGAAAATTTTACAATTGTCTTATTACCTTCCAGTTTATTAAGTTCCTAATCCCAGTTTACATCTATAAATATTAGTGTTACAGTCAATACAACACTACTCTTCATCCTCTCTAAAGGCACCCTCAGTATTCAATAATCCATCCTTAGCAACAAGATACCAAGTTGCTGCAATCAGAACAGTTGTAACACTACAAAGTCCAATGGAGCATGCGTAACTCACGTGATACGAAGGACCAAACTTTGGTTGATAGATTTGAGGTCCAATGATCCCCATGAATTGACAAATTCCGTTTGTGATACCAATTGCAAGTGCAGATGAACTTGTACCCTTAACGATTCTCATTCTATCAGGCCAAAGAACCGGGAAAAGAGAATTCGAAATTGAAGTGGCAATGATCAACATAATATATTTGGCAATGTTACTGTTAACTGTAAGCAAAACGATGTAACAAACAATTTGAACAACAGACATCACAAATGCAGTTGGAAACGCTTTGATATATCTACGATGAAGAAGACCCCCAAGAATATTTAATAAAATAAATCCCACAATGGAAGGTGGCATTGTCATCAATTGAGTGGTTGCAGTTTTCGTAAATCCCAAGTCATACACAATGGATGGAAGTACAAATGAGATACCCCAGCCTCCAACACCTTGGAAGAACCAAACCAGACAGTAAGTGTAGAATGTTGGTTGCTTTAATAATTCTTTTACTTGATCCCAACTGAATGAATGATCAGACTTGGTAGGAGCTGATTTTGGAAGTTCATTGAGTAATATTTGTTTTTCACCTTCTGAAAGAAAGGTTGAATCTTCAATATAATTTGGAAGAAAGAAAAATGTGTATACTCCAAATAAAATGGTAGGTATACCTTCAAAGATAAATACCCATTGCCAGCCACTAAGGTTAGCTTTTTGATCGAGGAATGAAATACCATAAGCAAGCAATCCGGAAACAGCACCAGAAAGCATCCCCACGGAATAGAAAGAAGCTACTCTTTGTGGGAGTTCCCTTGGCTTAATCCAAAACCCAAGATGATAGAGTACCGAAGTATAGAACCCAGCTTCAGCTAAGCCCAAGAAAAACCGGACAGCAACCAATCCCGAGAAATTACGAGCAGCAGCTTGTAACATGGAAAGAGCACCCCACGTCACCATAATTCTCGATTGCCAAACACTTGGACCAAATGTCTTCAATAACACCGTTGATAATGGTTCAAAGAATAAGTATGGATAATAAAAGGCAGATAAACACCATGCCCATTGTTCCGAGTTTAAGTTGAGTTCTTTCTTGATACCATGTCCTGCCTCAAGATTCACAATGGCAACATTGGAGACATTACCCTTATTGATCTGGGTAAACAAATAAACAATAGCATACAAGTAAAGGATTCGACGGTCTACTTTACGGAGAATTTTCTTGTATTCCTGTTTTTGGTTCTGAATCTCGACATCAGAGTCCGAATATTCAGTGTCATTATAGGTCACCTTTTCTTGCAATTTACTATCTTCTGTATCCAGTTTCATATTGAATATCACCTTTTCAGATCTGAAATTGATCTAGAGGAAAAACTTCTGGGAATCTGATAAGTTATATTAATAACCTTTTTAATTATGAACCAAATTGTTTTTTTTTTTTATTTGTACGTTTTGCAGCAATTGTTTCGGATGACAAAATATGAAGTTAAACTATGGACGCTTCTTATTGGACACTTCACCCGACCCGATGGTGTTTGACTCCGCCGAGCCTTCCAATATTAGCGCATTGAGCCACACTTTGCTGGAATGTAAGCTCACGGAACCAACTGGCATCGTGCATGATGACTGATTGAGTTATTTACGACGACCGCCACAGTATTTTGTGGACGCGAAATGTCATATCCCCACTTCGCACGTGAGCAATGCAACCATTTTCACTAACAATACGGAATTAGTATTTTTTTTTTTTTTTTCGTACTTTTTTTATTTAAACTCTAAGTTGGGCTTCCACATTTTCAACTTATTGATTGTAATAATAATAAGCAAGAAATACTATCAAATATGACCGTTGATTCAAATAAATGGACCGCACCACCAGAAACTAAATATCCACTCGATTGGGCCGACTTGAATGTTATCGATTTGAGTAAGTTTGATGATGCTGAAGGACGGTTGCAGTTGGTTGAAGATCTTCGTCGGGCTGTTCAAGATGATGGATTCTGGGCAGTGATAGGCAGTGGGATCTCACAAGATGAAATTAATGATCAATTCGCTTTGGGGAAGGAATTTTTTGATAATTACTCTCTTGAAGATAAACTGAGCCAAAAAGTGGATTTTGCAGCTGGAAATTATTTTGGTTACAAGCCTTATCACGACCAAACAGTTTTTGGAACCGATGTGAGAGATAACATCGAGACTCTTAATATTGCCAAGTTTACTAAAGGTGGAGAATTTGAACATTTATACAAACAAACATTTATTCACGATGAAAGAGAAAAGCTTGAATTTATATCTAGAAGAGCATGGGAAGTGGTTAGAAAGCTTCTTGTATTGTTTGCTTTAATTTTGGAGCTTGATGAAAACTATTTTGTAGATAGACACTTATATGATGAACCAAGTGATGATCATCTTCGTTTCATCAAATATCACCCTAGGAGTGAAGAAGACGATCTTAAAGTGGACAATGTATGGAATAGGGGACACACTGACTTTGGAAGTTTGACCTTGTTATATAACCAAGTTGTAGCTGGACTACAAATTCAGCTTTCTGATGGCCTGTGGAAATATGTCAAGCCAGTAACTGGTGGTATAATCTGTAACATTGGTGATACTCTTTCATTTTGGAGTGGTGGATACTTCAAATCTACTGTGCATAGAGTTCTCAGACCTCCTCCCGACCAAGTAAATTTGCCAAGAATTGGAACCTTTTACTTTGTACGCCCATCTAGTCAGATCGAAGTTGCCGATTCACCATTATTGAAGAGATTGGGATTATATCGTAAGGTAGAGCCAATGAACGGAACAGACTATGTTAGACACAGAGTCAAGAATTATCATGATCATACTGATTATGGCAGAAAGACCAACGATACATTCAAACACGGAGAGTTTGAAATTAAAGATGGATATTGAGTTCAAAGATGTATATAACATTAAGCAGAAATAAAATATATGCCAAATGAATTTATTACTCAATATTTCACCTCTAGAGGGAATAATCTGAACAATCTTTTTTTTTTGTTCTTAATTCGATGTTTGTTATCCTATAATATATCTATATAATTGTTGGTCATATTGGCTATATAACCTTCTCCTGTATATCCATTTCATAGTTATCAATTGTCCTGACGTATAATTTGCAACCAAAGGGTGTAAAGTTTTTTTTTTTTTGCATTTATTCTCTTTCAAACATAGACATAGACATTTTTATAAATAAAGATGAAAGTATTACTTGAATTGAAGATAGTTACTCAATCAAGATACAATTTATTTAATTTAAGATATACGAACGAAGAAACATGTAATCAGTATGGGATTATTTTTTTTTTTTCAACGATCATTGTGTATTTATCATATAAAAATGGGAATGACACCTGCATATAGCGGAAAAAGTTAATGTTTTGTGTAAGCGTATAGAAAACTGGAATTCGCGAAAATAACAGGACCGTCCTTATTAGCTCAGTTGGTAGAGCGTTCGGCTTTTAAGGATTAAAATCGGCAAAAAGTCGACCGAAATGTCCAGGGTTCGAGCCCCTGATGAGGAGTCCACTCTTCTTTTTTTTGAATCTCGAATGTGATACTTAATGAGTGACAACCTAACATGTTTTACATGTGTGTAAAACTAGGAAGAAATGCTGTTAGATAATGTTCTTTCTCTCATTCTTCTATTATAGTTGGTTAATAGTTTTTTTATTTTCTCTATGTTCAGTGAAAAATTAAACCTCCAAATGATTTTTATGTATGTCGCTTTTCTTCGAATAGCATTATTGTTCTATTCAACATGTAGAAGTACCAAGCTACAGCGATTTGCACATTTATAACAAATATATTTAAAGACCTGTACTGAGAAGGCTCATGATAATTTATATATTTTAGTTTCTATAATGCTACACTAGTATTATGTATCTGCAACCAATTCCAAACAAGTATCTACACATTCATCAATATTTCCCTTTTTGATGTATACCAAATCTTGAAGTATACCCTTATCCAAGTTGGGGAACATTTGAACAAGGGTATCAAATGTCTCTCTAGTAACTGGAGTATCTTCTGTTTGTGGTTGTGGTTGAATGTGTGTTGAATCTGGAACTGCAGGTTCTTGTACCGCAAGTGGAGGGGATGTGGATGCAGGTTGGGGAGATGGGGAAAGGAAGTTGGAGATGGATTTTCCAAACATCTCAGCGCTATTCAATAGCACAGATGATGGAGCCATACTTTGTTGACCATTCCGAGGGGAGGTTGCACCCGAATGAACATGTTGTGGTTGAGGTTGATGAAGTTTTTGCACTTCAGAATTGGAGGAAACAATAGAAGTCGAGGCTTCTGCACGCTCTCTCTCTAATTGCTTTTCATGCGCTTCCCAAGCTTCCATATGGGCATCATATTCTTCCTCACTGATAGTAAGATCATTGAAACTCAATTCTTGAACAAATCCTAGAGCACCTTGTAAGGATGAGATATAGTAACTGGTTTCGCCATGTGATACCCACTCTTCAGCTCTATACGACTCAATGTAATGCATATTACTCACAAGATGCTTTGTTTTGGCCTTTATTAACACAAGAATCAACAACGGTACAAATGCATCGGCATTCGTTTCCTGTTTACTTACCTTAAGGAAACTAACAATGATCTTGCACAGGTTCAAAACGCAAATAATTTTATCTCTAGGAGCTCTATAGTTATTGATTTTATTCAACTCAACAATGGCATATTCCATAAAATTGAGTCCACTCTTCTTATCAGACGTCTTGGTCAAGGTATTCAAGTCAATATCTAAATGGGAGCCATTGACCCAACTGAATTTCTCCACTTGAGTTATAAATTTTTGGTCTAGTTTCAATTCCTTGTAAATGGAGCGATTCTTACTCTCATCATCAAGTTGTTTAGCAATAGCAGGTGGGAAACAATATTCGTGCAATCTATTCATGATAAGTTTTTCAAGACCTTCACGAGAATTCTCTAAATCGATTTCATCCATCGATGCAAATGGCTCGTATAAGGTGAATTTCTCATACATAAAGATCTTGAAGTCACGTATTATCTTAACCTTTTGCTTCGGAGAGAAAGTATGTGCTTGTTTAGAAAATGAAACAAGAAATGATCGGATGTACCGGACGATTGGATCAGCACTTTTTTTCTTCAATTGCAACAAAAAAGTTTGAAAGTCAAATGGTTTATGTGATTGTTGATGTTGTTCATCCGAGTTAACCTGTAAAGTAAGTTTTTTCAGCGCTACAATCTCGTCTTGGGTTTCAGCAACTGTTGGTGTGGATTCAGAGTGCGGAGATAATGCAAATTCATCATCGTTGGAATTGTCATTCACTTCATTATAATCTTGCAATGTTTCATCTTCATTTTCTTCTTCCTTGTCATTTCCCTCCACATCGTCTCCAGTGAGATTTAAGAGTGCATCGTCGATTTTACTTCTAGCACTCTCAGTATCCATCGGAAGTGGTTGAGGTTTTTCCAGCATTTCTACAAGTTCAGTCTCAGCCTCATCGACGGTTTCCGGTACTATGTGATTATCCTTTTCCATCTTTTCACTGATTTCTTGAGATTTCCCAACTTTCTCATTGTTTCCATCTAAGGAATTCTTCAATTGTACCTCACCATCCTTTTCTTTAACATCTTCTTCTTTCTCATTCTCATTCTCTTTCTCTGTATCCTTATCTTCAATTTCGTTGTTTTCTTCTTTCTCTTCTATTAATTGGGTTGGATGGTTCACAACCAGACCTTGATCAACTTGCAAATCATCTTCTGGAACCTTCTCTTTTTCAACCTCAACTTCTTCCTTTTGTTCCGGTTCCTTCTTATTGATATCAAACTTATCAAAAAGTCCTATTAACTCACTCTTACTGCTAATCTTTTTCGAATCTCCACTACCCATGGTAGCCAAAGTGGGGGACACACTGCTCACCGGAACAGGATCCATGAGTCCAAACTTGGGAGACGTTGTGGTTTCAGTAGCTGGTGGAGTCTTGGTAAGTATACTTCTCAAAAAGGGGCTATTAGTACCACTCCCGCTCCCACTACCGGTACCACTCACAACTCCACCAGTGGTGGTTACAAGGGCAGAAACCCCCTCATCACCTGATCCAGGCCGTGAACTGCTAGCAGTTATGCCTGAAGTGGTGTTCTCATTAGTGGTGGACGTGGTGGCGGTCGATTTGGAAATATTGAATGATGGATAAGTATGGGCCATATTGCAACAATTGTGTATTATCCATAAACCCTTCCGCGCACTGTTTAGTTTTCTCTCCGTATGTAAATTATCCACTATTAAAAAGGAAAGTACTAGAATAAACTAATTTAATTAACTCAATTTAATTAATGCAATTGTAAATTAAACTGTTTCACAATTTGTATTCATTCGTATCTATTCCCAATTATAAAGATCGTCTACGTATTTTTATTATTGCCATGTTGAATAAAAAACTATAAATCTCTACTATATACAGGAACCGCATATAAAGATAAGAACTAACTTATACTTAATTAAATGGAGTTGCTGAGATTTCCACTTTTTTAGTATCAAGGTAAATTTTAACATATCTTGGATTTTTCACTTGGGGACGAGGTGATCTTCTTTTTATAGAAATTGTGACTTTCGAGCCGTTAATTTTAACAAGTGGTTTGTTGATTTGTTTAGCAGGATGGGGTGGTGGAGGTGGAGGTGGTAGTGGCGGACGAGTTGAAGGGGCAGTAGCAGTAGTAGTTGTAATTCCGTTGGTACTTGTTGTAGACCTTGAAGGGCTACTGTGCCTAGAATTGAGATTATTAGATGAGAATATACCCGATTTCCTTTCAATCGTAGACTTTGGAACTACTTCTGACTTTACTGGTGAATCAGATGGGAAGTCAAATATACTCAGTTTCTTTTGCTTTTTAACCAGATGAAGTTTAATTTTAGGAAGTTTAATGGTAACCTTGTTACGATTGTGAGGATCAAAGGTAACTTTAGATTCTCCAGAAACTACCTTCTCCTTCTTTATCAGTTCAATTGGAGACACCAGTGGTGCCTTTGAAGATCTGGAATTCTTTGATGGTTTCAGATGATCATCTCTATTTTCCCTTTTTTCAATTCCTTCGATAGTGTTCTTTGAAGTACCACTAGAAGGTGGTTTCGATAATGGTTTAATTTTAACCTTTAATTTTGGTTCTGAAGTTGTAGCCTTTGTTGGCGATGATGAAGATACCACTGTTGCTCCCGATGATGTTCGAGTGGGCGATGATGAAGCAGTAGAAATTGGCACACCAGCAACATCAGCCGATGTAGATGTAGAAGTAGCAGTCGCACCCGTACCTTTAGTTGGTGGTACAGCAGCGGTGGAAGGGGCTGCAAGTGGTGGTAGTCTGACTCGAAGACTGGTAGATTTTTGTTCTTCAGTCTTTCTGTTTGGTAATTGAATTTTATTTCTTCCTTCACGTCTAATAACAATTTTACCACTTCCTAAATTACGAAGAACAAACTTCTTTTTCAATTCTTCAAAGGAAACAGAAGGAATTGGAATCAGAAGTTTAAATGAGTCAATTTCCCGATATAATATCTGACACAAGGTAAATATGTTTCTTCTTTCGTAAATACTAAGTAATGAAGTATGAAGCAAGTCCCAGAGGATTTGTCTCAAACCAAGTCCTATAGCATAATCCCTTCTCAAGAGCTCAATAGCTCCACTCAAAGTTGCCCGGGCAAACGCATCTCTTCTGGAACTAATTTCTGTATTGGGTCCCCCATCTTCCACTACAACAGTGGTTGTAGTGTTACCAGGGCCAGAAGCTGATCCAGCACCACTGGCATTTTCCAAAAGTTTTTCCAAGGAATTAAATTCCGGGTCATCAAGTGTGGATGGAGTTCCATGAATAGCAGCAATACAAATTGACTCACGGAAAATTTCAATAAGTTTGTTTCGAAAGTATGGAACGTTAGCCCCAATAAGAGCAGTTTTCAAAAAATATTGCAAAACACTCTTTGTTTTCAACCCACCAAGGATGAGCAACCCACGGAATGCTTCGACTCGAACATCGTATGGGTATTTCTCCAAAGTATAATATAACAAATCTTCAAACAGGAATTCAACTAGTCCATATACTGCTAATCTAATTCTTTGTCTTAAACAACATACAGAAACGATCGACTGATAAGATGGTATCCACTCATCAAGTTTTTGAATACAATTGATTTCAGTAACTACTTCCTTCAAGAACTTTGTTTCTTGGTTATTTGTTGATTGTTGTTGACCTGGAAGTTTCCCCAAGGATGCAGGCGACAAAAGACTTGTCGTTAATGATGATAAAAGATCACAAACATAAAAGCAATCTTGGAAATCATTATTTGAATTATCATTAAACTTCACCAAGTTCAACAACAAGTTCTTAATTAAATAAGTGACTTTGCCTTCTTCATCTCGAACATTGCATAGCATTTGCGGAATTGCACGTTGTAAGAAAAACGCATTAAAATCATTGAAATCATTACTTAAAGGTATCAGACTTCCAGCAAAGCAATACAACTTCTTAAATATTTTGATGAGGTATCGTACCCCTATGTAATTGTTCTCCGCTTTTGAAACATCAGCCAACGCCTTAGCAGCCGCAATTCGAATACCATAATAGTATCTGGTATCCATAACTGTACGACTCAAAACAGTACAATATGTGGTGGTTGGTTTTTCTCTATCTCCAAAATATCTAATGGCTTCATATTGTGCTTCCACATCTCGATCGTATTGTAATTGGGACCCGAACATATAATCTGGTTGTTGGACATTAATTTTCGCTATCCATTCGAAATCTGCATCCACACGGATCCATTCAAATGCATCATTATAGATATCATCTTCATCTCGCTTTGACCATTCACTGAACCCCCATTCTTCCATTTCTTGAGGACTCTGGAGTATGTCACCAAGTTGACTAAATGTACTTGGTGCTGGAGGAGCTATCTCTTTTGGTGTTTGATTGGCCGCGGGAGCCCCTTCACCTTTAGTAGCATTTGATGTACCATTTGATTTTTCATTGGCTTCCTCACGATTCCTCTTCATTCTCTTGAATTTTGTATTATATTGAATGTCTAACTTGACATTTCCCTCCTTGAGGTCTACAATATGTTCATAAGGAACACCATCTGCCTCGTGAATACGGATGGTCATTGGACCAGAAAATACTGGTTGTATCATGAAGGAGGGTTCATCTTCCAAGTACCCAACAGAATCGCCGATAAAAGTATCTGAACGGGGATGAAGTTGTTTTGTTTCCTGTTGTTGAACTTGTCTGATGCTCATCTCAATGAGTGACCTTTTCTTATTAAATTTCTGTGAAATATTGAAAATGGGAACTCCGGCTCCGAATACCCATTGTTTGAAAAATTGATCTAACTTGTTACGATTAACCTTTTCACACACATATTGGAAGTGTTGAGTGGAGAGAGTTCCATTAGGTAAATCCCCAGACATCGCTTGAAGGAAAATCTTTGGTAATACACGTGAAAGACCAAATGATTTATCAGTTTTTGTCATCCGTTTATCCAAAATAAATAAAACCACTGGAGATTTAAGTCTTAAGAATTGTAAATCAAGAATTGAAATAGGGAACCGGAAAAATTGGAGTGCTAAAGGAGATCTCCCAATGTCGGTTTCAACGATTTCATTCATTTTCGTTTTGATTTTAAACCTATATTCGTTATTACCCATCAATACACGAATAAATTGAAGGGCCATATATGAAGCAATCCCAGTTGTACACCATAAATCGTTGGGTGTCTGAGGGACAACGTTGATACCCGACCATTGCACCGTTAAACATTCCAATAATGTTTCTGTAGACAGCAACATCGGTTCGATCAAGTTTTCTGGGTACAACAACTTGTCACTACACACAGAAAGACCTGCAAAGTCGTGCGTTTTAGCTGTTGAATTCTCAACAAAAACCATGGCATACAGACTGAATGGGAAAGATCCAAATTCCTTCAGGAAAAAATCTTTTGCCTTGTTTAAGAAAATACAACTATTCAAAGCATCGTTAGAAGAGTTGGGAAGGCAATATACAGTGAGCGGTATGTCACCATTTTCCTTTTCTAAGTCATCACCATCACCTTCAAATTCTTCCTTTTCGTTTTCTTCGTCTTGTTTGGAACTTGGGATCGATACAGTTTGGAAACATCCCACAGCCCAACCAACATGATGTGCACATATGGGGTTAAATACAGACCACATCACCACCTTCTTAGATAAATCTATAGGATGTGGGGTTTCCTTTATATTGTTGAAATCCCCAGTACAAACAACAAGATCAAGGTTCTCTTCCTCTTCTTCTTCATCATCATCATCCACTTCCTCTTCCTCCTCTTCCTCATCATCTCGTCTACTGTCGTTTTCATCTACATCGTCATAATTGAGCCCTCGACGATCTTGTTGTCTCTTTCTCTTTTGTGGACTTTTAGAACGAATGGCCTCTTTAGTACCAATAATTCTTGGGAACCCAACGTCTTTCACAGTACGCGGTATGCTCAATTCAAGGGACCATGTATTACGCTCCCACAGGTTGTCAATACATGGAACCCATGATGATGTGGAAACTCCATATTCAGAGTTGGTGGTGTACGCATGCCACAGCTTTTTGTCTTGATTTTGATTAACGAAGGCAATCCCATTTTTAGGATTTACCAAGCTATAGGTCACTTTAATGGTAACGGGAGCATATGTGTCCTGAGAGAATGTGTTTTTAGTACGCATTGCAAGTGGTGTGAATGCAGCAGCGTTAGCTGTACCAGGCATACCTGGAGTGGAATGTAAGTTTTGATTATTAGCATCGATCAATTCGAGTTTAAAACTATCAGGTAAGATAACTGTGAGTTCTTCAGAATTACCATTAGCCAATTCACGAGGTGGCTCCCTAGGATCAAAATTGAGTTCCCCAAAAATATAGCTGAGTTTCTGTTTAAGTAAATGATGTTGATGAATGTCCAATGAATCGGAATATAGGTCAAAAAGATTGATTTTCGATTGGCGTCTGTCATCCACGCCATCATCCTCTCCAATATCGCTACTACTATTTATATGCAATAGATCTTGGTAGACAAAGTTTGCCTTTTTACCATTTACCAAAACACCTGTTATGGACATCTCTCTACAGTCGAATTTGATGGTCTTCCTCATGTTGATTGTCGGCACAATGGTGATCTCCGTGAACCCTTCAACCTTGTTTTTAGATAGATCCACATCCAACGCCACCCGTTGATGCAGCACCTTGAGATGTTGAGTCAGTAGATTCACATTCTTTGAAGGCTTTGAATGTGACCTGGGCGTGTGGGTTGGGTGAGAAAGTTCTGATTTAAGCATCTAGAAAATTCTTCTTTGAAATTAATTGATATAGTTTATCGTGGATACAAAGACCCCTCTAACCAAAGATCTTCTTGAACCTTGTTCTTGATGATTATCACTTGATTAAATGGATTCACCTATTTAGATTTTGAAATGTTGATATTCCTTTAAGTTGGTTATATGCAGGTAATCATTGAAATGTTGTAACATCCACACACCCAAGGAGTGAGGAGAAACAAATAGAGATACAAATACATATTATGAATTAATATAAATGAATATGTTTATAGTGGATATCATTGTATTGTAGTAGGATCCATTAGAATCCATTTAAGAGAAAGAAAACAGGTTGACAAACAGTAAAAAAGTTCACAAAGCGAAAACCAAAAAATAAAAAGCAAGACTATACTGCAACGGACTGTAGTAATGGTGATGTTTGTTGATTTAGCTGCCTCTATTGTAGCGACAAAGATCAAGAGTACATGATTTAAAGTGAGTTCTATTAAGTTTTGTCTATAAATAAAATATGTACATGGGGTTGGGTCGTGTTTCTTTTTTAGATAATTTTGCAGAGATTTTGTTTAAGTTGAAAGTCAACTTTGTATGACGGGTTTGTAGAGAGTCCCAAAGTTGGGAGGATAACTTCAGTTTCCTTTCCAGGAGTGTTGATGAAAATAATTGGATCGTGATAAACTTTTCTATTCTTCCAATCGAAAAAGTCAAAATGTTGATGAACAACTGCTTTATGCTTCAGTTTGTCATAGGCCTCGATTTCGATATACGTTGGATCTACACTTTCAGTACCTGACTCTTTGCTGATCTTCAACCAATATCTCAAGTCGAAAAGAACCCATGTATTCATTTCAACCCCGCGTAAAGAATTATCCTCGTATGCATGCCACGGAGATCTATGCAACCGTATCACCACTTGTCGAGTGATTCCGTCCATTACAATGTCAAACACAAGTTTAAGATTGGTGAACTTCAATTTGGTGGAGATTTGTGACGAATGTTGGAGCTCATTAAATACCTTCCTGATTCTAGGAAGTGCTCCTCTTTCAAGCTTGGCATATTTCCAATGGTAATAAACAACTGCCAGAATAGGTTGAATATTTGAAAACAAATATCTACTCAATACCAAGTCACTATTGTTTTCAAATTCATCAAATGGAATGACAAACTTCATTGTTGCCTGCTTTCTATTTATCAGGAGAAGGTCCATATTTTGTAACCGACGTACCCTATCAATGATAGCATCATCAATTTCTTCGATTTTCTTGTAAGTCTTTTCAAGATTTGATTTTGATAACACTTCAAGCGAGGGATCTTGTTTAGATTTCTCTGGTACCACATTATTAATTACATGACGGATTAAGTTCCGGGTTGTTACGTCATGATCTGAATTTGTGGTATCTTCAAACCAGGGGACATTATTTTCTTTACAAGTCAGAACAAGTTGCAGTTTATCAAACGAAAGAAGTGGTCTGACTACGACTAATGGTTGCTCCAAAGGCGTCTCTACGGCTTGTGGGAGTATATTGATTGGTTTTAAACCTCGTAGTCCAAGAAGAGTGGAGTTCATTTTCAATCTCTGTAAATAAGTTTCCACTTGGTCATTGAAATGGTGAGCAACAAATATGTTATTAATGGGCACATCACTATTAGATGAAGATTGTGATATATCCCTAAAAACTTCGTACCTTTTATCTCTTGCAACTTCTTCAAAGTTTGTGATTTTGGATGGATCTACAGAGTCTCCATAGTCCAATCTATGAATAGAATGACGAACGCCCCACGCCTTCATTATATCTTGTACTTTGAGAGCTTCAAATCCCGATTCTTTACGGTACCCGTGATCTATCGTAACCGCTATTAAATTCAAATCTGGTTGATAGAGTCGTTTATGTTGTGATAAAAGATATGCAAGACACATGGAGTCTACACCTCCTGAAAGTGCCACCATCAGGGGTGGCACACCCTTGGGGAAATATTTCAGAAGAATTGATGCAAATTGCTTAGACGTTATGACCATCTTCCTAAATACTGAAGTTCCCGTTATTGATAGAATAATCGTAGAAGACAATAGCATAAACTGTAAGGAATATAGCATCGATGTACGCAATTGGATTCAAACCGTTGATCACGTGACGGTGAGCTATATAGAGATATGCTCATATATAGATGATTCTAATAACAACAAGAACAATAAAAATAATAAGGAAAGATATTGATTGCTTGTATATGTACATGCACATACATTTAGATAATATTTATAAGGACTACGATAGTTCAAACCTCACTCAATTTATGCGGCATATCATTTGACTTCGCAAATATTTATTTCTATCTCTAACATTTATAATTATTAGTCATATCATTCTATTTTCTACATTGCTTCAATAGAGTTTGCCCCCTATACTCCTACTACTAAGAACGGCAAATTAAAATAATAAGATTCAAATATGTCTTACTGTGAAACACCAGCTTCGAATCAGTCACTACGCACACAAATTTTGGTTGTGTAATCAACAGTTGACACAAAATGAAAACTATTCTCAAACTTCAAAAAAATTTGACAGTTTTCAACAATTAGTCACTTTTTGAAATTCAAATAAAAGGTTGTTGCATTTAACACGATAGTTTCTTTAATTTTCTAGATAAAGTAACTATGTCTGAAGAACGTTTCAGCTTCCCTCGTGAAGAGGAGAAGATCATCGAGAAGTGGGACGAGTTGGACGCTTTCCAAAGATCCGTCCAATTGACCGAAGGTCTCCCACCATTTTCCTTTTTCGATGGTCCCCCATTTGCTACCGGTACTCCTCATTATGGTCACATCTTGGCCTCCACCGTGAAAGATATCATCCCAAGATATGCCACCATGACTGGTCACCACGTTGAAAGACGTTTTGGTTGGGACACTCATGGTTTACCAGTTGAGTATGAAATTGACAAGAAGTTGGGTATCACTGGTAAGGCTGATGTCATGGCCATGGGTATCGACAAGTACAACGCCGAGTGTCGTGCCATTGTCATGAGATACGCTGATGACTGGCGTAAGACCATCCGTAGACTTGGTAGATGGATTGATATGGACAACGATTACAAGACCTTGTACCCAGAATTCATGGAATCTGTCTGGTGGGCTTTCAAGGAGTTATTCAAGAAGGATGCTGTCTACAAGGGTTTGCGTGTCATGCCATACTCAACTGGTTTGACCACTCCTCTTTCCAACTTTGAGGCCCAACAAAATTATAAGGATGTCAATGACCCAGCTGTCACCATTGGTTTCCCACTTGTAGATGATGAAAACACCTGGTTGGTTGCTTGGACCACCACCCCATGGACCTTGCCTTCTAACGTTGCTCTTGCCGTTAACCCAGCCCTTGAGTACGTGAAGATTTTTGACGAAGAAAAGCAAAGACACTACATTTTGCTTGAAGCCTTGTTGAAGACTTTGTATAAGAAGCCTGCTGCTGCCAAGTACAAGGTTGTCGAAAAGATTCAAGGTAAGGATTTGGAAGGCCTTAAGTACATTCCTCTCTTCAACTACTTTGAAAAGGAATTTGAAGGTCATGGTTTCAGAGTTATCTGTGCCGACTACGTTACCGCCGATTCTGGTACTGGTGTTGTCCATCAAGCTCCAGCTTTTGGTGAAGAGGATTTCCAAGTTGCCACCAAGGCTGGTGTTATCTCTGAAAAGAGAACTCCACCAAACCCAGTTGATGACCAAGGTAAGTTCACTTCTCAAGTTCCAGACTATGAAGGTGTCTATGTTAAGGATGCTGACAAGCTCATTATCAAGAGATTGACAGAAGAAGGCAGACTTCTTGTCGCAACCCAAATCAAGCATTCGTACCCATTCTGTTGGAGATCCGACACTCCTTTGTTATACCGTACTGTTCCAGCTTGGTTCGTTCGTGTTGCTGACGTTGTTCCTGACATGTTGGACAACATTGACAAGACTCACTGGGTTCCAGGTCACGTCAAGGAAAAGAGATTCTCCAACTGGATTGCTAACGCTAGAGATTGGAATGTTTCCAGAAACAGATACTGGGGTACTCCAATTCCTTTGTGGGCCAGTGATGACTTTGAAGAAATTGTCTGTGTTGGTTCTATCCAAGAATTGAGAGAATTGTCTGGCCGTGACGACATCACTGACATCCATCGTGACAGCATTGATGATATCACCATTCCTTCCAAGCAAGGTAAGGGTCAATTAAAGAGAATTGAAGAAGTCTTTGATTGTTGGTTTGAATCTGGTTCTATGCCTTACGCTTCCAAGCATTACCCATTCGAAAACAAGGATACTTTCAAGGATGCTTTCCCAGCTAACTTTATTTCTGAAGGTTTGGATCAAACCAGAGGTTGGTTCTACACCTTAACTGTATTGGGTACCCACTTGTTTAAGACTGCTCCTTACAAGAATGTCATTGTCAGTGGTATTGTTTTGGCTGCTGATGGTAAGAAGATGTCCAAGAGATTGAAGAACTACCCAGATCCAACTATTGTTCTTGACAAGTATGGTGCTGATGCTTTGAGATTGTACTTGATCAACTCTCCAGTCTTACGTGCCGAAACTTTGAAGTTCAGAGAAGAAGGTGTCAAGGAAGTTGTTTCCACAGTCTTGTTGCCATGGTACAACTCTTTCAACTTCTTGAAGGATTCTATCGATTTATTCAAGAAGGATAACGGTGTTGACTTCCAATACGACTCCAAGCTTATCTCCGAAAATGTCTTCGACAGATGGGTATTGGCTTCTCTTCAATCCTTGATTAAGTTCATTCACCAAGAAATGCAAGGTTACCGTTTGTACACTGTTGTTCCAAGATTGTTGTCTTTCATTTCTGGCTTGACTAACTGGTACATTCGTTTGAACCGTACTCGTCTTAAGGGTTCTGCCAGTGGTGTTGAAGATACCAAGAAGGGTCTTAACACTTTGACCGAAGCTTTGTTCACCTTAAATAGAGCTATGGCTCCATTCACTCCATACTTGGCTGATAACTTATACCAAAGAATGAAGTCTTACTTTTCTGTTGCTGAATTGGAAAAGTACTGTGTCAACCCAGCAGTCAAGGATATTGGTTCCATTCATTTCTTGTCTTACCCAACTGTAAGAGAAGAATTGTTTGACGATGCCATCGAAGTTGCAGTTGGTAGAATGCAAAAGGTTATTGACTTGGGTCGTAACATCAGAGAAAGCAAGACTATCTCCTTGAAGAACCCATTGAAGGAATTGGTCATCTTGCACTCTGACCCTGACTACTTGAAGGATGTTGAATCCTTGAAGACTTATATCATTGATGAATTGAACGTCAGAAACTTGGTCATCACTTCTGATGAAGCTGCATACGGTGTTGAATACACTGCTGTTGCTGACTGGCCAGTTTTGGGTAAGAAGTTGAAGGGTGATGCCAAGAGAGTCAAGGCTGCTTTGCCAAAGGTTTCTTCTGAAGACGTCCAAGCCTTCGCCAAGTCTGGTAAGATCACTGTTGATGGCATTGACTTGATTGCCGAAGATTTACAAGTTCAACGTGGTTTACCAGCTGACAAGGCTGCCTCTGGTATGGAAACCAGATCTGAAAGAGATGTTTTGATCATTTTGGATGTCAAGCTTTACCCAGAATTGCAAAACGAAGGTTATGCTAGAGAATTGATCAACCGTATCCAAAGATTGCGTAAGGCTTCTGGATTGAACACCACTGACGAAGTTAGAGTTCAATACGATTTGATTAATGACACCATTGACTTTGAAAAGGTCATCAAAGATAATGAAGCTGTCTTGCTCAAGTCTACTAAGAGGGCTTTGACCAAGTTCACTGATGTGGATGCCAGCTCCGTCATTGCTGACGAAGAGCAATCCATTAACGACACAAAGTTCAAGTTGAGATTATTGAAGCTTGAATAAGCACAACGAAATTAGAAAATTTATACAAGTATATATGTGCAAATAATTTGGAAAATTATATTACAACTGTAGATTCAGGACTCTAAAATAATTCTATTCTATCTTTTCTAATTTACAAACTCCCAAGAACTTAAACCAGCCCCTCCAATGACAGCAATAGTCTTCTTATCCAATACGGTTGTATCGCTGCAGCCAGTATCAGCGATAGTGGTGTACTTAGCGGATACACAGCTTAACGATGTATCCAGTACAAGCCAAGTTCTTATTATCTGATCCACGGATGTGACAAGGACATGTGTATCATTTAATTTATTCACTGAGGTAATTGTCGATGAAGCAGCCCTTTCTTGGAATGCATTAGTTTCGAACGAAATTTGATCAGAAGTAACGATCAATGACGAGACAATAAGTGAGTTATCATCACCACCGGTTACAATTACCACCTTTTCTTCGGTGTGGCTCAATATAAGTGTGGCCTTAATACCAGATTGGTGAAGTTGTTGCTTAATGAGAACTTTACCCAAGGCAGCCTTTTCATCTTGTTTGGTAACATCCCAAATGGCTAGATGACCATCCGTAGCTCCGATCATAAGTAAGACTCTATCGCCACATTGGAGGAAGTGAACGTTCAACAAGCAACATGTAGTATAATGTCCATCAATAACAAGTTTGAAATTTTTAGTTTCTATATCAAAATGCCAAATCTTTATGTTTGAATCAGAATAAACAGTACAAATGACAAAACCAACAAGTTTACCATTTTCATCAAATCGAGGGTAAGTGTCAAAGTCCATGATTCTCAAATCTGGATTACTTGAACTTGGTTTAAGTTTAGCAAAATCCATAATTGTAGGGGTCAAATCCTTACTTTCAGTTATCTTCCAAATATAGAACTCTTCATTTGCAGCCGAACTTGCGGCATACTCTCGACTCAAAAATTTAACTTTTTGAAGTCCGGAAACGTGTCCATTCAAAGACCAGAAAGTTTCTATATTACCATTTGAGTGAATCTTTCCTAATCTCACAGTAGTGTCTTCTGAAGCAGTCAATATTAATTTCGAATTGGACTCGGAAAATTCGGAAATTGTAACATCTCTGATTTCTCTTCCATGAGTTCCGGTATGTATAATGCTATTGCTGAATCTATTCTTGAACAGCTTGATATTAACAGCAGATTTGTTGATGTAAAGGAATTTGTAATCTAAGACTGAGTTAGCTGGGTATCTGACGAAGTCCCACTGTCTATGAGAGCCACCACAAAGTTCATTATGGAGTTCCAATTGTTTAGATTCGTTCCAGAGGTAAAAATATGATGACTTAAATCCATATAAGATTAAGTCATTATCTTGAATGAAACCACCTTCGACAAAACCCCTGGATATTTTATTCTTATGGGTTATTTCGAGCTCGAAATTCGAATTAAGCTTCAAGTACATATAAATACCATCCCTCACAGTCATAAGAAATTCAATGTATCCATCAACTGAAGAGATTACACTGATGGATGTTATGGTGTCACCACTAGAGATTTTTTTAAAAATCTTACCTAAATGAATTTTTTCATCGCCACTTGATAAATCGTAAACAGCAACACTAACGTATCTTGATCCCAAAATAATCCATTGATTAACAGGGTCAACAATCATACAAGTAGTGGTGAAACTCAGTTGTTCTGGTTGTACTAAAAGAGTGGTATTTTGCAATGAAAGACCATTTGAACTTGACGTAAAAGTTCTGAGAACAAGAGGAGATTTAGGATTTGGACAGTCGGTTAACACATAGTACTGGTTTTGACGAACATCAGAACTAATTAAAATGTTAGCAACTTTATTTCCATTAAGATGTTCGTCAAGGAGCCATTGTGACGCCACGGTTCCATCCTTAGAAAATGACATAAGAAGAAGGTCACCATTACGGGCAGAAATGACAAGGCTATTTATGTCATTAAATCCTTTCAAAAGTCCAAAATCTTTTAATTTATGATCATCTTCATATTCATATTTAGACCATTTACCTTGAGATTGATTCAAGATAAAGATTTGTCCATTAGAGGTTAAAACCACAAATAAACCCAAATTTGTCAATTCAAAGTATTGCTTAACAGTTTCCTTCTTGATAAAGGTGGATCCAGTTTGTTCAGAGATTTCATCCAATGTATGTTTTACAGTGGCAATGTGGTTCAAGTCATGAAGAATGACACGACCGTCAGCTCCACCGGTGACACAGAGTTGAAGGGATACATCATCTATATCTCCAGACCAAACATGTTTACCTAAATGACAATCCATTACATCAAGAACCTCCAACTGATCAGAACCGGGAATATATTGCCATAAACGGGCGGTGCAATCTTCCCCAGTACTGAATATCTTGATTCCAGCAGCAGTGGAAGAATCTCTATAAAACTCAAGGTTCCAGATTCTCGAGCCATGTCCCCAACCAGAAGCAAGAAGTTTACCAGTTGAGAAATCATAGATCTTTACTGATCTATCATCAGAACAAGAAATGATGTATTCAGCTGAATCGTTGATTTTAACACCAAAAATGGAACCTTCATGTTCGGTCAAGTTATACAAGATCTTTCTTGTATTCAAGTCCCAAATCAATACCCCACTCATCACTGTACCAGCTGCTACAAGCACACGATTATCTTTTGTGATTCTAATGGAACCACTATATAAAATAGATTTCTCATTACAATGGATTTTTTCTAAGATCTCAAAGCTGGTACAATCGACCTTATAAACCATGTTATGGGCAGTCAAGATTAACAAGGTATTTGAGTCAAGGAATGTTCCACAGACAACCCATTCATTGATAGCCTTCTCAACTACTGGACCAACACTCAAGTTGTCCTGTGTAGTTTCTATATTGAGCACCGCAAAAGAACGTCCTCCTGCGATGAAGAGCTTGTCAGCCGAATCGGAAACTGCTATGGAATGGATCTTGTTTCTACCAAATAATTGCTGATTATAGATCAAATTGTAGTTTTGAGTGGAGTCAAAGATCTTTAAAATAGGTCCATACCCGGCAATGACCCATTTCTGGTACACTTTCAAGGCGGTCACAGGACCATAGTGCAGGAGTGCCTTGAGTCTCTGTTCCAGAACCGACGAGAGCTCGTTAAACACCATAGTAGTAGATATGCTGAGTTAGGTAAGAGATGAGCTTATGAGTTTACAAGCTGTAAATTTTCCATTTCCCGCACCACCAAAAAAATAAAAAAATTGGATCAAAAAAAAAAATACATCCATAGTACATTTCAAGTGGGAACTAGATAAGTAGTCTCTATTACAATGAATTTAAGAGAGTTGACTTTCTGATATTCCCCACCACCTAAATCTTTGTGTTCTTATTATTCTTTTATTATTCTCGTTATCATATATATGTATTTTTCTCCCTACTTTAAAAGATCTCCCTTGTTGACCACAAAGCTATCAATGACAGCCATGGCAGCATACAATCTATTTTCTGCTTCTTCGAAAACTAAAGATCTCTTTTCATCATAAAACACATCATCGGCAACCTCTTCTTGATGTCTTGGTAAGCAATGCATGAACTTCCAGTTTTCAGCGGCCTTTCCAGACTTGATCATATTGGCATCAATTCTGTAACCTGCAAATTGTTTAAGTTTAGATTCCTTTTCAGCTTCTTCACCCATAGAAATCCAAGTATCAGTTACAACGATGTTAGCATTGATGAGGGCATCTTGTGGGTTGTTGAAGATCTCGAATGTAGCATTATTAGACTCAGCGATTTCCTTTGCACTATCACTGATCTTTTGATCGAATTCAATACCTTTTGGAATTGAAATTGCAACTGAAATTCCAGATCTAAGAGCTGCAATAGCCAAATCATTAATAACATTGTTAGAGTCACCTATCCATGCAAGTTTTAAGCCCAGAGTCTTATTGCCAAATGCTTCTTTGATAGTAAGAAGATCAGCAATTGCTTGCAAAGGATGGAACTTATCACATAAGGAATTAATAATTGGGACTGAAGAGTGTGTACATAACTCAACAATTTCTTGATGCTTTGCCACACGAGCAAAGATACAGGAGGTCATAGAAGAAACAACTTTGGTAGTATCGTAAAAGGATTCATTAACACCAAGTTGAATATCATCTTTTCCTAAAAACATTGGCTGAGCCCCAAAATAAGATGCAGCACCTTCAGTGGAAATTCTAGTACGAGTTGATCTTTTGGAAAAAACAAGTGCTACTAATTTCCCTAAAAGTTTTTGGTGTTGTTCGATGGGTGCTGGGTTACCAGAGCGGACTTGAGCCTTGAAGCCAGCGGCTTTAGTAACCAAAGCCGCAAGTTCTTCATTGGTTAATTCCAACATATTCACCAAGTGACGAGGTTTCAGTTTCACCATGGTGGTGGAAAAATGAGCAACAGAAGGACTAATCGTCTTCAAAGTGGTTCCAACAGATTGAAAATTCATCACGTATAATTATATATAATATTTGTTTGTTTGTAGAGGAAAAATTGTAGTATCTCTTGAAAGAAAACTGGAATATATATATACCAATTATGATAAAAATCCACATGAGTCACTCAATGCGGTAATTCTATTCGTTTAGCGCGGTGTCGAATCGCAGGACGAAAGTTACGCAAGTCTTAAGTAAATTGTGGCCTGCACATTTTTTCCCTCACTATACTATTAAATTTGTTTCAAATTCCTTTATCATATTCAATTTCTTTTCCTTATTCATTTCAAATTTATTCTTTATAGCTTCTATTTCTTCAATATTGGATTGTTTTAAATCTTTTAATTCAAATATTTTATGTTGAAGATTTTCCTTTTGTTCTTCAATTGAGAGAATCTCTTTCAATTTGAAATGCTGGTTTTGTTCATCCTCTGAATTATCTCCACTATTTTCTTCCGTAGAATCTACAGGAAGATCCAAATCGTAGATATCTTCTGGAGGGTTTATATTGGTGAGATATGGATTCATTGGTTCATAATTATTAAAGTCTAAAATTCCATTATCATTGTTTGGTTCCTGTCCTGCACCCAAGTCTGCGCTAGAACTACTAATATTATTACTATGAGCTTCATCTTCATCATCATTCATTTTGACATCAATGGATTCTTCTTCTACTAGACTTACGGTAGATTCACGAGTTCTTTTCAATTTTCTGAATCCTCCAATTCCAGAATTCCAACTACTTTCAATGCTCTTCCCTGAACTTTCTTGAGTTGTTGAATCATCTTGTATTATTTGCTTTAATTGTCCTTCTTCCTCTTCTTCATTAAGAAACCCCGATTCCCTTTTCACTTTATTTTTCTTGTTTAGTACTTTCTTCTTTTTGAATACCGGTCTTTTGACCTCTCGAGGTTCATCTATATCCAAGTCAAGATCCATATTAACCTTCTCTTTGACAAAAAGATATATATATAATAAAGTCTATTCACAAAATGTATCTCGCATTTTCGAACTATTTTGATGGTCTGCTATAAACTCACTTTTTTTTTTTTTTACAAACAGACTCTTTCATATTTATGATGCCAATCCTGTACATTGCAATTTTTTTTTCCACCATTATATCAAAAGTAGAGAAGAAACAAGTGATTTGAAAACATCATCATACTAAATCAATAAGTCTATCAGTACCATAAAATGTCTCTCTCGGAAAAGGCTGAGAGCTTGCATCAAAAGATGTTGGAGTTCCCAACATCAAAGTTATTTGGACAGGATGAACTTCAAGAACTTCTCAACATTCCAAATCCAATGGAATTGGTGAAAACAGCCCAAGAACTTGTGTCTAATAATCTTATCAAATTAATGAAGCAAGGTGATGAGTTGAAATTTCAAGCCATATCAACCTCGGAAGCCTCCAAGATTTCTTCCATGTCTAACGATGAAGCCATGATTTATTCCCATATTGAAGCTTCTGGAAGAGAAGGTATCTGGACTAAGACCATCAAGGCAAAGACAAACTTACATCAACATATTGTTGTTCGTTGTTTGAAATCTCTTGAAAACCAACGTTATATCAAGTCGATCAAATCGGTTAAACATCCAACAAGAAAGATCTATATGTTGTATAATTTACAACCATCTATTGAAGTCACTGGTGGTCCTTGGTTTACTGATAGTGAACTTGACACGGAGTTTATTGACTCCTTATTGACTGTCATATGGAGATTTGTTGCCTCCAAGAGTTTCCCTACCGCATTCCAACCGCCATCATCAAGTAATAACATGGTTCAAGCATCTTTCCCTTCAAATCACACTGGATTCATTAATTTGGATGATATCATGGAATTTATTACTTCCAACAAAATTACAAACATAGAATTGGCCACCAATGATATTAGATCTCTTTGTGAAGTGCTTATCTACGATGATAAGCTTGAACAAGTCAATGGTACCATGGATACTTATAAGGCATCTTGGCAAAGTGTGCTAGAAGCCGGGTATGGCCGAGCTTACCTTGAAGATGAGGTAGTGAAAACAAAGTACAAACTGTTGATTGATGGTTCATCGTTCTCTATATTTGACTGTCATTCCGAGATACAACCGTCTGAAGAACAAGATCCAGATATTGTTTATCTTGATTCATGGAGTCATGAATAATTTAAAACAAAAATTAATTATTAATTAATAACACATAGCATAGATTTAATACATATACGAAAAGATTAAAAAGATTACACATATTTAAGAGTAATTTAAATAGGCAGCCATAGCCTTAAAGTTCATTTCAAATCAAAGAAAACGAAAGAATGAAAAGTATTTCAAAACTCAGATAATTATTTATTCTGTTTACTAAACTATTTACGAATAAAAGGAGAAAAACAAATATCCTGCTAAATGTAGGTCCACCTATGTCTAGCTGGCCATAGTTCCCATATAAAATGACATATATCTATATATATATATATATGACAACTAAACTCAAATATTTCCCATTCGCACTTCTCAATTTTGGTTGCAAAAAATGCGAACAGAATTCAATGAAAGGGATCATTGGCTCGTCTTTATATGGTCTACAAGCAGCATGTGAAGTACTAAGATCTAGTAAATTGTAAACTATTGCAGCGGTATATTCCGAATGACCAATACCATAACCCATGGGAACAACAGGTTGAAGTTCCAACAAACCGGGGTCATAATCAAGACCAGTATTGTATTGTCGAGAAATTTTAGCACAAACAACTTCAACATCATTGGAATCATTCTCCAGTTCCCTTTCACCCGACATATCCAAATTTAGATACTATTTATGTAATAACTTGTCGAACAAGTGGAGTACTAATGAGTGAATCAAGAGAATATGTGACATCAATTTAACGCATTAAAAGATGATATGCAATGGAATTGGTGTTTTAAACATGTGGTATACGATGTATGCATAAAATACCATAGTAAAAGATAATACCAATATACAAGAAGTTATTTCAGTTGAATTACATACTGCGAAGTAGCAGTACCACTATCAAATTTTCACGGTGGATGGGACTCTTTATGATCCAATGATTTAGTCAAAAATATGTATAAAAAATGTAATACTTCGATTTAGTATGGAGAGGTAGAAAAGATTTCAACGATTATCCAAATCTAGCTTCCAGTAAAATTTGATATGAATAAGACCCCGGTATGTCCGGGTATGTAGTTACTCATGTGTACCCTATATTCGAAGAATTTGAGTATGGATCGTATGATTGCAAAAATATAACTAGCGGCTAAAATTGGACATCAATACGTATCTACAAACATCTCGCGAGGGGTACTATTTTACTAAAGGGTGGAATATGAGATATATTCAATGTAGGATGTTTCTTAATGATTTACAGGCTGACGATATTATGATCTACAGAGGTTGTGGAAATGGTTAAAGCGAATATTGTCCACAGCTGTTGCAGCAAATATATATCCCCAGATTTAATTTAATGAAACTTGTAAAGAACAAAGTCAACCTGTATAAATAGAAGTTGTGCTTTAATAAAATCCGAAGTTATATTATAAATGGGTGATGTAGGTCGATGATGATGTACACAGCTATACTGTATGATTATCCTGTCTATAACAGGTGAAAAAAAATCATACAAATTTAGATCTTTATTGTAGCTTCTGATCACGTGACTATACTATAAATGGGTATATCTAATTGATTACGAACAACAAGAATAATATTCTACATATTCATTGACCAAAATCCCTCTTTAAATGTCTGATTCAATTCAACTAAATAAACGGCTGAATCCCAAAACTCCAATTGGATCGCCTGTTTTGTCAGGTGGGAACAGGAAGGTTCTGGCAGGTAGAAAGGCCCTTCAACAATTTTATCATCTTCAAGAACCTTCCAATCAATCAGAACCTATTACGGAAGAGATAGAACCTTCAGATTTACTTAAAAGCTTAAGTGATCCAACAAAATTTGCTAAATATACACAAACAAGCTCTATAGAGGATATACTCAAATTGCGGAACTCTATCACACATACGCTCAACACACATGATTCTGAAAAGAAATCAATTATTTATGATAATTATTATGAGCTTATTAAACTCAGTCAAGTCCTTCAAGGGCTTTCGAGTGCCAAAACTACCGTCGATAATAGCACCACGAATGGTCTCCTGAGTTTAGGAATTTTCACAGAACGAAAATCTACTCCTTCACAGGAAATTAGTGATGAATACCTTGATTCGGTGTTTAATTCACTTACAACATTTGTAACAGATCGTGTATCAAAGTTTAATACAGATTTCGAAACTATCGTTCAGCTGTCAAAGCAGGACCTTGATGATAACGATGCTTCGAGTCTTAAGGCGCTTAATAACGATGACGATGATGAGGTTGCATTGGATATAAATACAGAGAAGTTGGAACATGAAATAAATTCCTTATTACAAGGAGTAGGTTCAATTCCTAAAGAGGATCAACAGCAACTCAAATCACAAATGAAAGAAATGGTTGCCACTTTGGGCCCCAAGAATAAGTTACTAGCAAATCAACTTTCGAGGATATCCGATCAACTTACTATAAACTAATTACATTATCATATCCTGATAATTATGTACTCTATATAAATATACATATTATATCAAATCATCAACCTTATGATTCTTGAATTTTTTCCCAGATCTATCAACGTTTCTAAATTCAAATCTAGACCCAATAATACTGAATCCAATGCAATCTTCTTCTTCTTCTTCTTCTTCTTCTTCTGTGGCACATTCTTTACTCTGCTGATTGCTTTCTTGTATTTCTTCTCCTCTAATGATTACATCGAACGCAAATATACTTCCTCTTTTAGGGATCACTCTCAATCCACCAACTTGTTCTGAAGCGCTGAATTCTTGCTGTGATTCAGTCCATTCTTTTGCGTCTGAATTTCTCGGTACACATAATATAAACAGATACTGAGTATCCCAGACAACTATTCCTCTCGTGCCGATCAACTGACTATTTCTAGAGCTCGTTACTGTTAATAGACACCCGGTGTAATCGGCCGTGGTAAGTCGTGGGAGTAAATGAGTTAAAGATGGTAAGTTTTTCATTTGAGGCAGAAATAATAGATTTCTCATATAGTCTTGCCACAAGTTATTCAAGCTAACAAACTCGTCAAAGCAAGGAATTTCATAATGAGAGAGCATCTTTGATATTGGGAAAGGTTTCACTTTTTCTTTATTTTGATGTTGATGATGTTTGATTTTTTTCATTAACTTCTTTTGTTTATCTAAAGTAGATTTAATATATGATTTCAATTCTAATCGAGTTGATTTCTTTCTTGTCTTGGCATGGTCATCTACATTATCCGTGGTGATTTCCCGATGTAACAATGCCTTTGGTTTGTCTGTTGTTGAGGTTACAGCTCCTGTAGGAATGAGGATGAGATGGGGTTTTTGTTCTCCAGTAACTGAGTATCTAGAAGTTAAAACTTCTTGCACTTTGGCTTCAGAAGTGTAACTTCGGGATAGTATATGTCTTTCTAACGGATTTTTCCTGTTCATATTGTACAATAGTGTCTATACTTTTAAATTTGTAAATGTATGTTATATGTTATATATTTTTTTCTGGGTCTCTCATATTGAGGCCGATATGATTACTGGAAAGGAAAAAAAAATAAAGGGTAGATTGACTAAAATTGTTGGGAGAAAAAGCCACTAATTGTGATGATAAGTATATTAAGAAACTCAAGGGGTCTTCTCCCGAGAACCCCGGGTAGATATAGACTAGGAATACGACTGTTTGGAAATATTGACCCTCCTTTTAAAGATGATTTAACACCAATGGATGATGATTTATTCAATTTACAGGACTTTCAACAATATAAAGAATCCCCAGATGTTCTTAAACGAATGGAAAGATTGCTTACTCCTGTAGATACAGCCAATGTGATTCCAGAGGAGCAACACACGTCAACTGCAGAAACGCTTGAGCTGTCCGCAACCTTAAAACAACCCGTGGTATTTGTTTCTAAACTATCAAATCCATATACAAATCTTGCCCTAGAAGACTATATTTATAACAAGATCCCTAAACCAGACGACCAGAATAACCCATACACTCGTCTCATGTTTTATATCAATTCACCGTGTGTGGTGATTGGAAAGAATCAAAACCCATGGAAAGAAGTTAATCTTCCATTATTGAACTCGTTACATATCCCTCTCGTTCGTCGTAGATCAGGGGGTGGTACTGTTGTTCATGATGCAGGTAATGTCAACTTTTCATTCATGACTTCGAAACAAAAGTTTGATAGATTTACATTTGCTGAACTTGTGGTAAATGCAGTAAATTCAGCAGAAAACAATTCTCCTGTGCTTAAAGTGAACGAACGTGGAGACATTGTAACTGAAGAGGATTCTTTTAAAGTCAGTGGCTCTGCCTACAAGATTTCCAGGGGTAAATCATACCATCATGGTACCATGTTATTAAATCTGCGTCTAGATATATTGGGCAAATTGCTTCATAGAGATGTACTGAAATTGGGATCTGTAGATGCAATGGCTTCCATAAGTTCAGTACGGTCTCCTGTAACAAATATTGAGATCTCTAGTGAGGAATTCATTGATCTGGTATCACAAGCATTTGGAAAAAAATATGCAGAATCCGTTCAACTAACCGAGATGGAAACAAAGGAGGAAAATGATCATAATGAAATGTTCAACTTGTCCGACTTTGTATTAGCTGGAACTGACGAAACAGTGGAAACTACTATTCACACAAAGACTGTTATCATAGATGATACTACTGAGATTCCACAAGAAGTGGTCGAAGAGGCACAAAAATTAAAAGAATGGTCATGGTGTTTTGGATCAACTCCAAAATTCTCCCATGAGCTTTCTCATGAATCTCTCAACTTTAAGATCAAGTTCTATATTGATAAACATGCTGTATTGGATGATTTTGAATTATCATTCTTGGGAGAGCTGCCTTTATCTGAGGAGGTTATCACCGAAAGCTTTGCATTCCTTAAGCAAGTAATTGAAGAAGGTAGAAATAAACCAGTGGAAGAACGGTTAAAGTATACCGGTAGCTCAGTAGCTGGATTTGTGACTAATGATATGATCAGTGATTGGATCGGAGAGTGTATTGATGGGACCATATAAATTGTACATAGTATCCCTAGTCATACAATAGATCATAATAAACTTTTCTTTACTGCTTACATCGATGGTAGTACATATATAGTGTTCATACATCTTCTTACTATTACATGTCTATTTAAATTACTATTTCAATTATACCACCTCTCTATTTTGCAGGTCCTTTCAACCCATGGTTACCTTTGTAATCAACAACCTTTGGAGCCGTCCAGTTCTTCAATACTTCATCCTTGTCATCGAGATTGTACACTTCAATGGCCAATGGTCTACAACAGTCGATCATTTTCAGGTCATCACCTTCACTTTCTCCCCACCCCCATTGTGACAAATCTCCACCTGGACAGGCACTAATGGCAACCAAAAGATCTTGTTCGGCGAATAATTCGAAATAATCTTCAGTGGTTGCTGGACAAGCTTCCATAAAATATTGATCGTGTTCATTTAATCCAGTCACTTGGAACACATTTAAGACATCATGGACATCAAATTCGGTCAAACCATAAGGCATGACAGCACGAGTCAAGTTGGAATGACAATGTAAATCATTATCTTCTCCTGAAATCAACTTATCCACATATGGGTCACATCTAGTTCCCAATGTGTCATGGACTCTTCCACCCCATTCGTCATGACGAGCCAGTAAAGTATCGGCGGTAATGGTTACCAAAGGTCTCAAATATGGAAGATTCGACCATAAACGGTCAAATGTAGATACATGGGCAGAATGCAACTGTCTGGTTCTTGCAGCCCAAAAACGTTCTCGAGGATTATGTAAGTTCCAAATATTTAAATCACAGACTTGAGGACCTTTTGGAGTGGTAATACGGAAAACACTACCCATTGGGATCTTCACTGCAATAGCCGACCTTGGCTCACATGTGTGAGTTTCTAAAAGAGTCTTTGAAGCATCGGCGATCTTGGTGTATAATTCTTTGTCAGCATAAAGTGGGGAACCTGGATGAGGGTAGTACGCAGGTTTTGGCTTAGGTACACCATAGGTAGTTTTGGTAGCTGATTGTGAGGATGATGCTGCTGCTTCGGTCATAGTCTTTGGACGAATAGTGAAGAATTATAGTATGAAGAATAATGTTTTTTTAGTAAACTTGAAGAAATTGGGGCTGTTCTTATCTAGTGGAGCCTTATACAAGATTTTGTGTAATGAACGGAATTTTGGGCGTGTAATGCCGTCAGCTCAATGTGGTAGTAGGAATCACAATTCCGCTCAACGTTTCCAAGAATTGAAAACGGAAAAAGCAGGCGCGATATCATTCATAAAATAGAAAGTAGTATATTAATATGAAAGTTTTGGAGTTGGATAAATATCTGCAATTTGAAATCATACTCTGAATTAGGCGCGGAATTTAAATGTCTTTGCGCCAAAATTGATGTAATTTTGACTCTTTTTCTCTATAATATCCATAGAAGGGGTACTTCATATCGATAAAGTAAATACTCTGTCACTCCAAATGCTTTTTCCCGATCTATCCATATACCCCTCGTTGGGCTTTGAGAATTAAATGGTATGAATATTAAATATAGTAAACATTAAAAAACCTCTCCACAATTTCATATGCAACTCCATTCTCGAAAAATACCCGGTAACGGATCAAAAGTGCGGAAACCGGAACTGGGGAGTGGTCTTCTCCCAACGACATGTTGAGCTGAATATTGCCCACACAAGACGCGAAACCCCTCGTGACTAGAAATATGAAATATATTTCATTGCACAGAAACATATGCGACCGGGTATATCGCGGATCCCAAGGGAGGGGTATAAGGATTATTCTTGTCCATACAGACTCTTTTTCCCAATTGTGGGGTAAGCCTATCCGGATACATAAGTAGAACCAAATGTACCATTTTAACGTTAGAATAGTTTTATTTAGATATAAACAACAATATATATATATACATATATATACATATATCAATTAGCATCATGTTACGAATCTCAGCAGTTAGAAGCTTCAGTTCCTCGACAAGATGTCTCACAAATTACGGATTTGTTGGTCTTGGTCAGATGGGTCAACATATGGCAAGACACATTTTCGAGAAACTTGAACCTCATGATAAGTTGTATGTGTACGATACATCCTCAGAAGCTGCTACCCAGTTTGTAGCTGAAAATGTCAAGAGCTTGCCTGGTAATACCAATCTCCTCGTTAAAGTCGATTCTCTTGAAGATCTTGTCCATAAGGTAGATGCACCATTGGATTTTGTTGTCTCAATGGTTCCCGAAGGGAAGCATGTTAAGGGGGTGATCAAAACTCTTGTGGAGGCAACCAAATCAAAGCAACTGCTGAAACCTCATCCTACAATCTTTATAGATTCTTCAACTATTGATATTCCAACATCCAAGGAAGTTCATGAATACGTAAAAGCCACTGTCCCTCACTGCGATTTCATTGATGCCCCAGTTTCAGGTGGGGTAAATGGAGCTAGAAGAGGTACTCTTTCATTTATGCTTTCTAGGGCAACACATGATGATATTTCACCCTCTCTTACTCATCTTTTGAACAAAATGGGGATTAACATCTTCCCATGTGGTGCCACTCATGGAACTGGTTTGGCTGCAAAACTTGCCAATAATTATTTATTAGCAGTAACAAACTTGGCTGTTGCGGATTCATTTCAACTTGCCAAATCATTTGGTTTGGATCTCAATGCTTACGCAAAATTGGTTTCTGTGTCTACTGGTAAATCGTGGGCATCTGTAGATAACTGCCCCATCCCCGGTGTATATCCTCCTGAAAACCAATTGCCTGCTGATGTAGATTATAATGGAGGGTTCATTACCAAGCTTACTCGTAAAGATTTGGTACTTGCAACCCAATGCGCTGCTGCAAATAATCGTCCTTTATTCCTTGGAGACATTAGTAAGTATTGGTATGATAAGGCTTGTGAATCCCAAGAGATTGCCAACAAAGACTTGGCAGTATTGTACAAGTGGTTAGGTGAGCTTAATAGTACAAAAATTAACTAAATCCCTTTTATAGAAACTTAAAAGAAAAATCACCTCACCTCGATATTTGCTAGCTACATGTAAGTCAATGTGATAAATTCTATATTAGATCTTTTCATTTCAACTACTCTATAATATAGCCAAGATTAAGGCCCTCTACTTGGTTTGTCATTTTGGATTCGGTTGTTGTCATTTCACGTTGTTCCTCAGTACTTGTGTCATCACTTTCAGATGAAATTTGAAGTCTAGGATCATCGACAACACCAAAACTCTTTTGTCTTAGCTTTGAAATGGTGGAGTGTTCATCTTGGTCGATTTCTTCTTCTTGATAGTGTTTCTTTATTCTTGGGTTACGCAACAGCAATAAATTCCCATTTATGTGATATAAATCATCACTTGTATTTAAGTTCATCAGAGTGGCGTTTTGACGGGTTGCATTATTCAAAAACGAAATTATAGATGAGTTTCGACTTTTAACCCCAGAATTTGCCCCGACATCTAATGATGTAGTTGATTCATTAAGAAGTGGGATACCTTCAATTGGGGTTTGTATTGATTTTTCAAAAGATGAAGAGGCAAGTGATGAAACTGATGACTTTCTCGAGTTAGAGTTTAGTTTGGGGCTCAATTGATCCCTGGTTGGTTCATATGTATCCACAATATCTTGTTCGTCATCTTGCGATCGAGGCTCAATCAAAGGCGCTGATGCTGGTTCTGACTCCGTTGGACTAGGAGGTATAACAAGTACATTTTGGGGGTTTCCACGACTTCTACCCCTTCTCGAGTAGTCCTCGTCACCAACTAGTTTCGAATCATCATCCTCTTCATCGTCCTCTTCTTCGCCTTCTTCTGGTCCTATTGCTTGGCGACCTAATGTGTCCTCCTCTTCGTACTCCGGAGGTGGGTTTAGGATCAAATGATCAATTGGAGGTCCTGCAACATCATCAAATGCTGGAGGGTTAATTGACGGTTTGCGAACAAATTGCACAGACCTTTGAATTGGTGATCCTACGGGAGACTCGAATGGAACTGCTTGTAGAGATCTCAAAACTGGCTCACAATCCTCCTCCTTGGGTTTATACAAATTAGCTTCAAGATGCATATCGCGATCTCTCTCCATTGGTACATCATTACAGTCAGGGGAATGTAAATGATGAAACTCGTGACCAGACGGCAGAAGTTCTCTTACGGGTGGAATTCTTGCAGATATGTTACGTTGTGGGGAGAAAGTATTAGTTTCCATCACTGCATCCAAAGAATTGCTTGCATTGTTCAAATTTCCAAGAATTGAACATCCATCCACTGGAATCACACCTGGAGATAACGGTGGGGATGAAGGAGAGTACAATGGGAGACAAGTCTGTTGATTTTGCAGTTCATAGACTGGGAGTAAAGTATTATCGTGTGTGTGTAAATGAGACAAAATTCGAATGGGAGAATCAATCAGAATCTCATAATGTTTCCTCTTCTCTGGATTATTAGGATCAATTCTTGATATCCGAAGACAAATTTTCATCCAATGATGTGCCTGTATGTTTGTAAAAGAAGTATCTGGATGGATTTCATGGTGGAATTTCTCCTTTAAAACTTGAGGGACATAGACTTGGAATTCCAATTCTCTAGGAAGAACTTCTTCTTCATCAGCATCAGGTTCCTCATTTTCATCGTCTTCTTGACATCCACCACTTTTTGATAAAAGGGACTTACCCTTTTTAGCCTTATGTTCTAATAACAAATATTTCTTTCCTGGTTCTGTTCTATGAACCTTTTTATTGTGGCAATAATATTCCAAGTTTTCTGAAAGGTATACTCTGATTCTATGAAGTGCAACCTTCCCCCAAAGAGGAACAAATCTAAAGCCCAATGGGATGTATGAGTTCAAAATAACTGACTTACTTCCAATAATGATATCATATTGTAATTGGTCTTCCCAATCTCTAGTAATGACAATAGGTTCATTTTCTTCAAGGTTATTCAGTGCAAGGATACGAACAATGTTTACTGGATGTCGAACAGTAACGTTCAGCTTAAATGTACCCGGTCTTACAATGTTTGCTTCAAGGTAATAGCTACATTCACCAAATGTAACTTTACATGATTCCGGGGTGGATGGATGGATAGCATGTTCAAAATTATAAATATAATCTCCAGGAATGAACAAGTCTTTAGAATTGGAATCATCAGATATGATTGAAGTAAGATCAGTTCTAGATCCTGTTGGATTAAGGTTAAGGGTATTACTTCTTGAACGAGAGGGTGAAGGTGATGGAGATCTGGTTGCTCTTTTGATGATGGTTGCAGCAGCAGGAGAAAGTGAAATTGTTCGCGAGAAGAAATCTCCAATTCCAGACCCGATAGATTCTGATTGACCTAATGCTGTTGATTGCAACTGTTGCTGCAGCATTGCACGCATTGGTAATGGAGAGATTGAACGTATCTGTGTTTCTGCAAGCAGTAGGTTTGAGATTTCGGCACCATCATTAATGCTACTATTGGTACAGGAACGTGGGAGTTCCTGGAAATGGTCAGCACCACAATTCAATCCTTGGATTGGGTTCCCCTGAGTGTAAAAGGGCCACGTATGCAGCGTCACATCGTTGACCTCAGCGTATTGGTTCTTCTTTGGTGGAATTCCCTCCGGCCAGTCGGTTCTCTGCACCCCTTTGAAAGTAAGACTGATACTTTTCAACTTCGTTGGTTTCAACACTCGCAAGTAAAGACATCCACGGAGAAGTGTTGGCGGTCTATCAGCATACTCCACGGCATCAAAACCCTCAATGAAGAGGTTCTTCTCCGCGGGGATAATGTACAACTGGAAAGATGAATTTGAAGCTAAGGGTTTATCAGGTAACGCGGGGATTAACGTTGAATTTTCATCGTGGATCTCTTCATCGGGTAGAACCAACAGGTCAGGAGCGAAAAGCGGTGAGTTAGGTTGCATTGGAAGCTTAAGAATTAAAAAAAAAAAAGAAAGAAATGGGAATAAGCAACTGTGTGAAGTTCAAGGGGGGTGTTCTCCTACCACTCTCTGCAACTTCTCACGAATTTGCACACAGTCAAGTCAAAGTAAATGTATCTCCTTCTCAGATGTAGATCGGTGGAAGTAAAAATTTCTAGGTTGAAAAGTCTATTCCATCATTGAATAATCGGGCCGGATGTCCCACATGCCATGTCTGGCACATTAAAGGGATTATGAATCGTGGGTTATGCACGTCCTTCACGTGATGCGATAAATGCCGTTTCTTCGTGATATAATGCACGATAAAAGTTGGAGAAAGTCTAGGGGAAAAAGGGGAAAAAAACAAGATCTTCGATGAGATTAGGCTACGACATTTTCAAGAAAATTGGTATATTAAACGAGGTTTAGAATGAGGACAAATAAGATTTTACACGAGTTACAAATTTTCTTGGGGGTAAGATTCCAACAATGTTTGAATTCTAGAGATGGTACTGTTGTCAATTGAGTGAATTTGAGTGAATTTAAGCGCGGAAAAGCTGATAAGAGAGAGAGAGAAAAAAAAAAGAAAAAAGAAAGAACGCAAAAGTACAAAAATAAAATAAAATAAAATAAAATAGAACACATACAGAGAATCGATGATGTGTATGTGCACGCACTGTCGTGTGGTTGTGAGACATATGTATGGGGAAAGGGAGACGGTTCAGTAGGTTTGAGAAAGCTCAGGCGTGAAGTTTAAAAGGTTATTATCTGGTTAGCAATTATCTGTACCCACTTTATGACGACAGTTTGTTGCCGCACAGAAAAAGAAAAATTAAAACATAAAGTAAGACCACTGGGAATACGAGAATATGACTTAGTTTGATATTCGAAGTTCAATTTAAGACGTTGAAATCGATTTTATTCTAAAAACAAAAAAAAATGGAATCGATTGGAAGGATAATAATGGAAAAGGGAAAGAAAAGAAATTTAAGGTTAGTTTTAAATGGTTCGATAGAATAATGGATAATGGTTTTTCATGTTGATGAAATTTCATTCACAAGTAGGTTGAAGTTTTTGGTTGTGAAAAAAAAAAAGATGAAAAATACTAAATAGAACACATATGGGGATGGCTTGTGTATATTTGCATCACGTGGTTTTTTTTTTGTCAGCTTCCCTTTAAAAAAAATATATGTATATCACGTGATTAGTGTCACATTTGAAGTAGATGAGACAGTATTGATGGAAGAGATGAATAAGATAACTGAAAAATAGATGGTATCCAGTAGATAGAGATGATTACAATACGTCAAGTGATAAAGGCATGCGGTGGGCGTAGTATGAGCACTATGACTCGAACCGTAGGGGCTAGAAATCGGAAAATACCCGTGAAAACTGATGATGAAACGAAACTTCCTCATACCCATCCTAACGATTTCTTGGGGATTCATACGAGTTATGGATGGTATTTCATTCCTAAAGAGTTTTATGCGTTTGACTGGACTATCCCTATGCTTGAGCAAAGATTAAAGGAGGCATGTAAAGATATTGACTCGACCAAATTGACGGCCTCAGATCGTAGTAGACTTCAAGAAGAAGTAGTTGATGTATGGTCTAAAACTGCTGATCTTAATGATAAACCAATACATACAAAAAAATCCAAGAAGGACATCGAACAACAACGGAAAGACAGAGAATATAGGGCGCAACTTAAAGAGAATCCTAAGTCATTTTCAGAAGGGATAATGGATGAGGATGGGCATCCATTGACACTGTCAAACTCTATGGCGACCAAGGAGAAATCCACCAACTCACTCAATTTTACAGATGCATGGAATTACTTCTACGCCATTAAAAGTAATGAAGCTGATGATTTGGAGAATAAGAAGGTACTTCAAAAGCGATTAGCACTTGAATGGAATCTGAAATCTTTGGCTGAAAAGCAAAAATATAGAGAAGCATATGCACTGTTAATTTCCGAAGGTAAAGACATACACCGGGGGGAAATCGTTTCGGTGAATGCTAAAAAGAAGGCAAAACGGTCATTGGATTTGAGTCATATCCCTGAAGTGTCACAAGAATTGATTGATATTCATCTTCCCGAGATAACGATGGCAGACACGAAAAAATATTACATACTGTTAAGAAGTTCACTGATCGAAGTGGAACCAGGGGTAAGAAAACCCACGGCTATATCGCGTGAATGGGTGGCGTTTGATGAGGAAACTAAACAAAAGTATCGAGTCAGGTATGCCAAACTACGTGCCGCTGGGTATACTATTTTCAGAGGAAATATCGTTCCTTTGAAGAAGGAGTAAGAAGAATCATAGATTTTGTATATAGATTGTCCAACTGTAAATATTAAATTAGAAATAAGTATACTTGAACCACAAGTAGAAATCAAGCGGGGTGTTTTTTTTCTTGAATAGACTAAGTCGTGACTATTACTGGTCCATCATCTTCATCCAATTCATTTTCATTTTGTAACGCCATCAAATCAAGGCCGAAATTATCCTTGTGTAATTGTATAATCTTCTTCCAACGTTCTATAATTAACCCTTGCATTTTCAATTTCCCACAACATCCACTGTTCCAATCCCAGGTTCCAAATATGGCCAAGTAATTTTCCATTGATTCGGTATAATGCTTCAAATCCAACAGACACTGCATCTGAGTGTCATCCACTAGATATTCCCTTGGGAGTTTCTCTAGTTGTGACGTCAATACTTCAAGAAAATTAAAACAAAGTGACTTGGATGTGTTAATCAAAGACTCGCACATCAGAAGAAGTCTAAGCATTTGAAGCCATTGAACCATGGAACAATAATTCCCAAACACAATATAATTTATAAACGAAATTTGGAACTCTCCTAAAAACAATTCCAGATCAGAATAGATGGAGTTGAAGTACCAAGTCTTATCGAGGTAATTGGCAGTGATATCTTGTACATTTGAATCCCCTTCCTTATTTATCTTGAAATTGATTGGAGTATAATTTATTTGAGGTTGTAGACTCAAGTCAGATAATGATTTGGATAGTGTAGGAGTTTCTTGCTCTTTCTTATTGATTCCCTTGGTGAGAGCATCACGGAGAATATCATTTTCTTGCCTTGAAGCAACAATTGTATTCATATCCTTTGGGATCATCTCAATAATATCCTCATCTACGTAGCTTATTAGTTTATCTTGCCATACGTTTGAGTCGTCAATATAATTGATCATGAAGGAATATGACTCCCCCAAGGTGGAAAGTGCCTTTGTACAATTCAATTGTTCTGTATCAACATCATCTATTCGAGCAAATCGTTCAAGTTGAGGATCCCATGATATCACTATCACGTCACCCTCCTTACAGTCAAACCAGAACCCGTTCCGAACTGCTGAAGTAAGCGCCTCTTCTGTATCATTGGGACTTGAATAATGGAACAAATGATATCCATCAGGGATCCCCTTTATTCCCTTGAGCTTGTCGTTTGCATTGAAAAACAGCATATCTAACCCCATGAGCCACTCCCCCTGTTTGGTTGGAACTCCATCTAGCAATATCGTTGTTAGTGGAGGTCTAGACATATCTATATCAGCCATATATTGGAGGCAAACCTGGTAGAGTCCATCCGTACTTGGGACGCCGCACTGATAAGATGAGAAATAAAATAAAACATAAAAAAAAAAAAAAAAAGGATTCAAATGAAACTACACACCAATACCTTTAGATCCCTATTATGTCATTAAGTTTATTATATATTGTTAAATAGAATCGAAAGTCATACTCAATTATCTGGATCATTGAGGTCTTTATATTTTCTTAAAAATAAAGAGAAATACATCCTTTATTGGGTTAATTGGATAGTCATTCTTGAAGATAGTCGTAGACATAGGTCCCTTATTAGTAAACAACAAGGGGTATCAACTTATCGTACTCAACCACTTGAAAGGAGGTTGTTTTCAGTTTTTTTTACGCATTCTTTGATGTGTAATATTCACAACCGATCTTATAATATATAATAACCAATTTTTCAACTTCAGCAAGCATATGATGGTGCCATTGTATATGTACATATGAAAAGGTAAAGTGTCGAGTTTCTACGTAATAAACTCTAAACTATGTCCATCTCTTTCATAATCTGTAAGTCTTTGCTCCACATCATCAGTTCGTCCAACTAGCTCATCTTTTAAAGTGGAAAATTTCAGGTTTATGAGTTGGGCAAGAACAAATCTATCGACAAAACCTGTCATCAATGGGTCTGTACCGGCCATTGAGTCACTACCAGAGCCACTACCGGCACGCATCACGATACAGTGATTGAGGTGCAATTTCTCAAACATTTCAAGTAAAGATATGAGTGGAGTAAGTTCACTGATATAAAAATGACTCTTTTCCACTGTGTCCAAGAAACAAACTTGAATATCTTCAAATTGTTGGAAATAATGAAGTTCATCAGATATCACTGATGTAGGGAGTTTCTCGGATATACTGAATCGGAATGGGTTCAGAGGAGTTGTTATAGCTTGGATCAGTCTTTGTAATACTTCCTTGGAGATGTAACCAAGACTAACTGGATTCCTTATACTTCCAATCAAGGGGTATCCCTCGTGAGTATCACTATGTATGAAATCTTCAATTTCCTCCCTTGTATATTTTTGAATAAGCTGAATGCATCTAGTACGTTCCAAAGGTATTTGAATTCTCAGAGTGGTAACATCAGGAAGTAAGTTTTTGACCGTTGATGTTGCATTGGTAAATTCACATAATCCAGAGCCTTTACCCTCATTTATCTTACTAGAGACCAACTGGCCAGCGCCCCTATTAAACTCATATTTGAGCCATGTATCATAAATATTATCAGTGCATATCCAATCATTGACAAACTTCAGTACCATAACTGCACACATGATGGGGAGAACATAACTTACAGCACCAGTAAGTTCAAAAATGATCACCACAACACACATGGTAAGCTTTGTAATCCCAGACATGAATGAAGCAGCACCAACCACTGCATAAGAAGATGGAGATACTAAACATGTTTTCTTAGTACATTCTGCTAGAGAGCCAATATGGAGCAGATCTTGAATCGATTGCGAGATTAACCCAACTAACCTCCCTGCAGTTGCACCAAGGGCAAGTGAAGGCATCAAGACACCTCCTGGAAGATGGACTCCGTAAGTATACGTTGAAAGTAGAAACCCTTGGACAAAAATGTAGAAAAGTTTCAAGATTGACATACCGTTGGATGAGTTACAAATGAATGTTGTTGATTGGGAAGTGGTATCATCATCCTTTGGTTCAGGACAATCAGTAAAGAGGATCTTCACGTATGCATGAAGTGGTAAACGAGTGATTTCCATGGGGAAATTCAATATAATCGTGACAGCTAGTAAAAGGAATACTTCCAAATAATTGCCATATTTATGAAGATCCACCCGGAACAATTGACATAAACGGCGTTGAACTGATATTCTAATCCCCTTGACTCTATAGAGAGTGTTCAATTTAATGAATAAATATCCATATACACCTCCTAATGCTCCCAATAATGTGTATGGTACAAATTCGATGAAGACCCAACTAAAATTACCAAATTCCACTTGAAATAAATCTCTTTCAAGAAAGTTTTCTCCATCAGTAAAGATTTTAAAACTGGTCAAGACAACCACGGCAATGGTGGCACTCACAAATGAGTTCCACATGATTTTTGTGGGCATATAAAAACTTTGAGCGGATTCCACCATGAAGAGAACCCCACCAATGGGGGCATTAAACGCTACTGAGATCCCAGTGGACGCGGCAGCACTCAAGAGTTCTCTGCGTAGGAAGGAGTTGGCGGAGTCTCCATCAATGTCACCGACTTGGAAGACATAATTGTAGACAATGTTCAAGATACAACAAGCAACATGTACCAAAGGACCTTCTTTACCCAACCAAAGACCTGAACTCACTACAAGAATCAACCCAGTGATCTTGTAAAATAAGGTACGAAGACCTAAATACTGAGAAAGATCATAATTAAGTCCCAGAATAATCACTTTAATCTCCAGAATTCCTGACAGTTTGATCTGTGGAGCACGATAAGTGACAAAGCATGCAGCACCCGTTATCACCACGGCAAAGATTGTATAAATGGGGAGGTTCACAAAAAAGGTCAGAGCAGCCCCGGTAGAGCCAAAGAGAATTCTAGACCAATCATGCCAATCTTCAGCTGGACAAGTGGAATATGGAGATAATAGCGACCACTTATCAATTTTACTAAAACAATAACCTTTTTTAAGATCATTCATCCACACCGAGGCGAGGTCTATGACTGTAGTAATGTACCCAACCAAAAGCGACAGAATAACTAGAACAGTCCACTTACGGGTAACTGTCAGAACACTTGGATGTGCAGTCACTGACTTACTCCAATCAATGAACCCATTAACAGGAACTATGGTATCCCGTGGAGGTTCAGGCATTGTAGCCTGATGAGAGTCAGCGCGTGCGTACGTTAGTACGGGTATCTCTCCACTTAGCTCGACCTTAACCGACATGCAAAAAAAATTGAGTATTATATGAAATTGTATATCAATTAGTGAGACATGTATTTTGGATTTGAACTAGAACCGGTATGTACGTTTTCATAAAACCTGTCCAATTTGACTGCATAGAGATCTCCATCAAAATTTTGAGAATTTTGGATTTTGTAAAATTTACAGTCGCAATTCTAAACAAATTGAAAACAAAACTCAGTATTTACTTTAGACTAGAAGAAAAAATAGAACCCTCCCCAGTCGACCCTGCCGCGTGATACACATAGATACATCATTTACAAAGAATGTCGTTCTTAAGTACTGCTTCCAATACGTCTCAAGCAAATCTACTGGCTCTGAATGGGCAAGAGCTCATCAATGATATCACCCTTAACAATCCTCCAGACGATTCGATATCCGATTTATCATTTTCTCCACAACAAGATCTTTTGGCAGTGGCCAGTTGGGACAAGAAAGTGCGTATCTACGAGGTCGACCCAAACACGGGGAACAACCAAGGCCGTGCCTTATACGAACATGAAGCCCCTGTATTATCGGCCAGATGGTCACTGGATGGACAAAGAGTCGTCAGTGGGGGTGCAGACAAACAAGTAAAGCTTTTCGATTTGGCTCTGCAGCAGCTGCAAACCATTGGTGCCCATGACGCTGCTGTCCGTGCAGTCAGATACGTTGAATGTGGTCCCACCAACACCCCTGTGGTTGCATCTGGATCATGGGATAAAACTTTGAAATATTGGGATATGAGAGCCCAACAACCAATCTCAGTAGTCAATTTGCCTGAGAGGGTCTACAGTATGGATAGTGCGCAGAAACTCCTTGTTGTTGCCTGTGCAGACCGTCATCTCTCCATAATAGATTTAAATAACCCTCAACAAATCTTTAAAAATAACATGTCACCATTGAAATGGCAAACTAGATCCGTCAGTTGTCATCCACAGGGTGATTGCTACGCCGTTGGGTCCATTGAAGGTCGTTGTGCCATCCAATACGTTGACGATCAACAAAATAAGGGTTTTTCATTTAGATGTCATAGAAAGACCGGAGCTGGTCAAACTGGAAACATTAGAACCAACAGTACTGACTCTCAAATCTTTGCCGTCAACTCCATCAATTTCCATCCAGTCTATGGTACTTTCAGCACTGCAGGTTCAGATGGTACCTTTTGTTTCTGGGATAAGGATGCGAGACAACGTCTTAAGGGGTTCCCACAAGTCAACTCTACGATTTCTGCTTCATGTTTCAACAAGAACGGTAGTATTTTCGCATATGCTATGAGTTATGACTGGTCTCAGGGATACATGGGTAATAGACCCGATCTTCCAAATGTGATTAAATTACATGGAACAAAGGACGATGAAACAAAGCAAAAGAAGAAAAGATAAACAGAGACGAATTTAAAGAAAAATGAGAGTAATATCATCTATACTTTACAATTGTAAAGGCTGCTCTCCTACATACTTGAGATAAGAGTGTTAATTTTTTTTTTTTTTGGTTTTTTCTGGTTTGCAAAATGGAGGTGATGTATGATATAATGTGTATAGAAAGAGATGACAGTTGTACATAAAAATGTGCAAGGAATAATCTTGAGAATTACAAATACAGAATACGAAAATTAATTAATGTAGAGGGGGGTTGATTGAGTGGTTAAAGTATTTCCATTATTGATTGGTATGAACAAAAGTGTCAGGAGGTATAGATTTACTATAAGGTTTGCAAATTCTTGAAACAATAACAGATCCTACCACTTGATTTATGATGATTGATGCTAAAATTAAGCTTCAGATATGTAAAGTATACCGTCTTTTTCTGTTAGGAATGATAACCCAGATCTCAAATAGTGGTAATATTTCGTGTCCACTAGAGAGTTAGAATATATTCATATAGGAATAACATAGTAGTGAAATGGTTGCAAATTTTATACACAACTGCGTTAATCCAATTTTTTAGACCTGTAAAGAAAGACAAATGAACTATAAAGCACAGTCTTTTTTTTTTCAACTAAATCGCTGATCTACTACTCAATACCAAATAAGATGGATGTGTATCAATAAATTGAAAGAGAAACTATATTTCCTACATGACAGCGATCAAAATTGACCGGATAACTCATTCATTTTTTTTTCCTTTCCAGTCCTATATGAAAGATTTCGAAACAATGTACTACTAGTTCAAAATATCTATCTACTAAGGTTGCAGATTTTAAATGAGTTGAGTTAGTCAATTGTATGGGTTCACAAACTTCAAACACAGTTCTTCCTCTAGTTGTGGCCAAACGAAAAGTATTCAAAGAAAGTTTACAATGATATTTTTATCATAATTTCTGGTGCCTATTGACTTCTTTTTTCTCATTGTTTCAGAACTACACAAGAGTTGAATACTTGATTATATACTACTATTTTGCAAACAGTACTACTGAAATATCATTCATCTAGTACTTGTTTGTGTCAATAGGTATAAAGACACGTGCGATTTAAAATAATTATAATTTAAAGATAAACTTCAGTATATGAATTAGATCTTAAAATTCGTTAATACACAAGAATAGAATAATAATATACATGTACATGAGATTTCCGATATAAGAAAAAAAAAACCCCATATTCATCTACAGGATAATATAACCTGTAATGGTAGTATTCTGGAGAGAACGTGTTAATATCCGGAATTGCTTCCCTGCATGAAAGTGAAAATTCGCTTGTCGCAAAGTTGGAGAAAAATCTCGCGAACGAATGGGAAAAAGAAAAAGTAATCAGCATAAAACTTTGAAATCATTAATATACCAAACTTTCCAACATATAAATCAACTTGAAATGGCTGGACCAACGAAAACTTATCCACGTCGTGAACTCTCTAGTGAGCCGTTTGGGGACCAGTTAGACGTGGTAGAAAAGAAGCTTATTGAGCTGCAAAACGTGCCACTTGTGTACATGAATAGCCGGAGAAAGCCAATCATAAAACATTTTTCAAACGAGGTACCAGTTTTTCATGGCATTCCATCCGGTCAACCACCGGTCCAACGGACTCCGATGGTGGCCCAGCCACTGTGGGCATCTACGCCGCGTCTGAACTTCGACCCGTTTGCGCCTGAGTTTCATGTTGGTAGTACACCAAACATTTGGGGCAATAATGGACAGCAAAAAACCGCTGCTAGTGTGTGGGGATGAAATACTTCGAAAACAACACAATGCATAATTCAAGAGAGAATTATTTTTTTTTAGAAAAGGACGATACCAACTTCTACAGAGTATACAGGATGGATAGTTGGGTGTTTGGCTAGGTAAAGCTAATGTGAGATATGTTATAGTATGTATATTAAGACGATGATAGGGGGAGTGAATTTTAAAATATTAAACGGAAAAAAAAAAAAAAAGATGGGAAAATTTTGAGAGGTTATAAGATATGTGAAAGGAGAAAGAGGATATTAAAAAGTAACAGGGTACACATCAGGACAGTGTGTACGAGAATGAGAAAGGAAGATAATAAAAACGTGTATTAGTAGGTTTAGACACCCAATATTTGGAGGTAAAAAGGAAAATTAGTTAGATATATAAACTATTACACAATGTGCTGGAGATTATAATTGGCTGTAAAAAATAAAAGCTAAAAAAAAAGCTTTTTGCAACAGGGTAGTAAAAAACACGGTAAAATGATGTAGAGTAATGTAAGTAGAGGCCAGTGCTACTTGGCGAGGGTTACCGAGCTAAAAAATACTTTGAAAAACTTGGGGTTAAAGATGAACCATTATTATTGAAGGGGTAGGGAGAGGGGATAAATTTTTTAGAATTGGAGGATGCTTCCTTTGTTATCGTCAGATAGCCTTACGTTACAAGGGGAAGTTTGTGTCATGATAATTTATGGATCTACTTGTGTTAGAGGTGATCTACTTCAGCCACAATAAAGATGGTTATTTCCCCAGAATTCTCTGATAAGCTGGACTCTCTTTCGGGACCCTGGTCCTTCTAGTTATTTTTTTACCACACTTACAAAGGACCACACGCTTTCATGATCGTTATCGGCCCACGGCGCTCATTCTGCTTTTTTTTTTTTTTTTTCTGCCCTCAAGCATCTATGCACACGGTACCACAATTTCCGCGCTTGTCGGTGCGCCCAACTTGCTTCCCCATTCGGCAGTCAACGGTGGACCCCCTCCCTCAAATTAGTGTTGAAAAGGGTTCTTGAATGGTACACTTGTTTTGACCATTTTTGAACATAGACCACTGTGTGTTTTTCTAGTTTGCTGAACTTTTATAGCTGTCTGTCGTGAGAGGAAATTCGTATTTGAATTTCAAATCCTTAGATTGTTTCGAGCCGACAGCATTCAAGGGTAACTTCTAAAACAAGTTTTTTTACCAATCTCTCTGTATCTCCTCGAGATTTTAAAAAAATTCATCGCAGCTGATCGTTTGTGGTTTATTGCATCGTCAGACAAGTAAAGGGAGACACATCCGGTTACACCTGGCCCATCTAAATAGTATACTAGGTGCCAGCCACTTCTCCGGTGACTTCATTCACCCTTAATATTTGTTTGTTATTGAACTAAGGGGAATAATATCCTTTTTTTTTTTTTTTCGTGGGTCACCTCATTGTTAACAAACTGTTTCATACTACCACGTCGTCCATTGAAGGTTACTTGTATACGTTTTTATGAGCCATCAAAACACCCCTCATTTACATAATAAGAAGACCCCGGGCTCGTTGGCCCCGGAGAACGGAAAGCCATTATTGGATTCTAATTCATGTGTGTCGGATTCTCAGGCCACCAACACCAAACAACTTTTGAATGCATACGTGTATGATTTTCTCATCAAGAGTAGATTGCCACAAACGGCAAAGATTTTTGTTAATGAAGCCGAAGTACCCTCAATTCAAAACCAATCTGGTGCATCATCCAAGATCAATTCACCTCAAGGAGCACCACCAACACCCAACAGTTACCAACGAATTCAAAAAGACAATAATTTACCTAATCTTTCAATGGCAATGGATGATCCACAAGGGTTCTTGTTTGAATGGTGGCAAGTATTCTGGGATGTTTACAATGCCCGGAATCAAAAGGGTGGCTCACCATTGGCTTCACAGTACTACCAACTTCAACTCATGAAGCAACGTCAACAACAGGATATGCAAGGGTTGAATGTTCCAATGATGACTGGTCAGCCTCAGAGTGCCGAACAACAGCACCATCAGAGAATGATGATGCAAATGATGATGAAGCAACAGCAACAACAGCAGCAACAACAACAACAACAACAACACCAACAACAACAAGGAATCCCAATGCAGCAGCAACAGCTTTCTCAACAACAGTTACAACAGCAATTGCAGCAACAACAGCAACTCTCTCAACTATCCCAACTTCCACAACAACAGCAACAACAACAACAACATCATCATCCACAACAACATCCACAGCACCCACAACACCCACAACACCCTCAACAACATCCACAGCACCCACAGCTCCCAATGGATCAACAGAACATGCACATGTCACCAAATGGAAATAATATGAACATGCAACAACAAATGTTTCTTGTTCAGCAACAACAGCAACAGCAACAATCTCAGAATCGAATTCAACAGCTTGCTCAATCTCAAATGAATAATTTAAGACAACAAGCTGCTGCTCAACAAAAGAGCAACTCTGATCATTCTTCTCCGGTGACAAATCCAAGAATGTTTCCTCAAATGGCGGGTCCAGGCCAACAGGGCCAAGGACAAGTTCCACAAGGTCCACATGGTCCACCAGGTGCTCCTGGTTCTGCTTCTAGTGCGGGTGTAGGTGGTCCTGGTGGGTCTATTGGTCCCCCTGGGCATGGAAGTCCTCAAAGCTTTCCACCTAATGGTGCGTACAATCAACTGCAAGCTTCGCAACCTGTCCAACCAACGCAGCCACATCAACAGCCGGCCTTGAGAGCAAATAGCGTTGGTAAAAGTATGCCAGGGACACCAGCTAATGGAGGAGCCATTGTTGGAAACGGTAATAATAACCGTAATATGAATGCCTTACAGGATTATCAAATGCAATTGATGTTGTTGGAGAAACAAAACAAGAAGAGACTTGATATCGCACGTAGTAAAGGAGCTGAACCTAATTCTTTGGGTGGAATAAATTCAGGAATGTTACCCCCAGGGGCAGGACCGCAAGTAAAGGTTTCCCCAGTACCTACATCAAACTCTCCCGTGATAAATAATAAGCCTTCGCCCGGTGCAGCTGCAAATAAACGTAAAAAGGAACCACCAAAGAGGAACCGGAAATCAAGTGTCACTGCAGCAACACCATCTGCGAGTGAATCCACGTCAAATGGCTCTGTACAGGCGGGTGCTCCTTCAATCAAGAAGGATTATTCTGCTCCTTTGACACCAGCATCAGAAACCCCATTAGACTCAGCACAAGGAAATAAGAGGAAGAAGAAGAATATTGGAGCATCCGAATCGCCTAAAAAGACAAGTAAGCCTAATCCAAAGGCTGCCAGTGGGTCTGGAACCACTGGTGGTCCTAAAGAGACTGACACAAATGATCCTAAACTCAAGGAGGAAGATGCTGGTGCAAATGCTGGACTTCAGCAACCATCTTCGCTTCCATCTGCTGTTTCTGGTAACTTCTCCGGCTCTCTTGAAAGTGGTTCTGATCAAATATTCAATGTGGAGATGCTTTCAGGGAACAGTATTGGTAATGAATCTGGAATGTTTGGATCTAACGGTAACAGTGGCCGTATAGATGACATTGATTTTGATTTCAATCTGTTTTTAGATGGAGGTGCAGACAATGGACTCAATGATGGTATTGGTGGGTTTAATTGGGGACACGATGGGGAATAAAAGGAATATATATTAGTAATTGTATTATGTTAAATACAGTAGTTCAACTGTATGTAATTTTGATTTTTTTTTAATTGAATTAGTCGAGTAGACTTATTATATTCTTAATGTAGTAGGAGAGATGCTACATGAGTTACACTTCAATTGGTTATCTTATATTAATATTTATTGATCCTTCTTCACTTGATCCACTTCTTGTTTGAACCAAACTTTGGTGTTATTCCAAACTGAATAGAGAATAACTGTCAAAATTGATACCAATAAGGCAGAAGATTTTTCAGTTGAAGGGAAAACATTCCAACACCATTCATGAGCAATCCAAACAAGAATACAAATGGCAAAATTCCATCCAGTCAGGAAAAGTAAAAATGGAAGTTGCCAAGCATACCAAGAGAGAAATTGGTAATGTAATGACCTAGCAAAGAGAACACCTATGACATTTGAGCATGAAAGAGTCAACATGATCAAGTTTGGTCCAATATCATGGTCAAGGAAAAGATTGTTGGCACTTACAGTACTGCTGAATGGTCTGAAAAGGGCATCTTTGATCAACTGTATAATTGACTTCCCAGTGACTTTAGGGGAGATAAATCTTGTGAAAAGGAAGATGAGGATAACTAAAACATTCCCAGCCAAAAGGATATGAGCAAAAGTATCAGATTTAAAAGTATCCTCGGAGATGAATCTCCAATTAACAGTCCATTTGTATAAGAATTTTCTCAGGAAATCAAAAGCTTGGGTAAAATAATTATATCTAATCATTTGAGCATCTTCATCGTTAAAAAGTGGGAGAATGAACTTCCATCCAATGGTGACTTGAACAAATGGGAACACAAGCAACACTGTGAACAATTTGAGGAGGTTTTCACCACAGAGGAAATATGCAACGACAAGGAACCCTGGAAGGTATAAAAGTGCATTCATCTTGACACTGATAGCTAAACTGAACAAGTCAGCTGCAACTAAACAGAGAACGTACAGGACGGTGGAACTGGTGGTAGAGCGCCAATACGATGCTTGTTGTAAAAGAAGGATAACCCCAGCCATACAAATAGTGGCAAAGCAGTCATTAAACAATCTAAGAACATAGATTGAGTAGATTCTTTTGCTAGCAAGTAGAAGATACAAAGTCCATGGTTGCACTGAAGCGGCGGTGGTGTACACAATGGCTGCCAACAAGTTGGTGAGAGCTAAAAGATATCCAAAAATCAACTGTGCTGAGCCCAAATCCTTACCACCTTTAGTAATAGAATACAATGTCTGGTAAACTTGTACAAAGCCTGCAGGGTACACGATTGGTCCTGAGTCCCCAAAGATTTGCGAGTAATCCAACTCTCCTTCATTGATCAATTCAATTTGTTGCATATAAGTGGAAAAATCTATCTCCGTATATGCCACTTTATGAACAATCACTTTGCAGATAGCAGACGTCAATACAACAACAAGTGGGGCAATCACCTTCACTGCTTGTGGGTCGACTACTAGGGCAATAGCACCATTGTAAATATCCATCAGAACATTCTTCAAGTTGAACTCTGGGAGTTCGGGTTCAGCGACGGTCGTAGGGTCGGTGGTTGTGGTTTCCTTATCGGAGAGCGGAGCCTTCTCCTCCTTGCTACTCATTATATATCTTTTACAGTTCTTGAATTAACTGTGATAGTAGAAAAATAATTATACCCCAAAAAAATAAATTAAAATAAAATCGAATGGCTTGGTAGTGTCGTTTAAGATACAATCAAAATCTTTGATTTGAGATATGAGATGAACATCCTACATGGACTAATCAAAAAAAAAATATAAAAATATAACATAATAGACTCCTATTTACTCAAGAGTCCCTGGATTCTCTTGGTTTGACCAGGGAGGGGTGCTAACTACCTAAAAATCAGTCACTCTGCCGTTAAACGACCAGTCGCTTCCATGGCGCAATGGGTCCTGTTTAGGGCCACCTCTTTCTCCAGTTTTTGGGTTCACGTCACCTTCAAACTCAGGAATAATCTTGAAAAATTCAGGGGACGTGGCTACACTTTCCTTCTCTATCCCACGGTTGTATTCTTCTATAGCTGCTTGAGAGCTAGCAATTTTTTGTAACTTTTCGAATTCCTCTTGTTCTTCCTTTGGAAGGCGCGGAGGTCCAGCAGTTTCCGCACCTAATTTAAAGCTGTAGTTACGAGCTGGTACTAAGACTCTGGTTACTGCAGACTGACTTGTAGCAACACTGGTCTTGAGTGCTAATGGGCCACGTAAACGAAAAACTGAAAGCTGCATATTTATGGTTCACAAGAATAAATTAATACGTAAATTATTGTTCATTTCAATAACTCACTTTATATGAATGAGTGACTCTCTCACTTCAGTGGTCTCTCTGTTAGTTTGCATATAACCAGAAAAAAGTTCCAATATGTAACATGAATCTACAATCCATCCCATTTAAACTTACTGTTTGTCTAACAACGAAATAAACCCTATCGTAGGTGTGGGGCACGTGTGGCTACTGGTTACCTTTCTCTTGTACACCTATGGATTTTGACCCTTTGAGTTTATTTACTCCATCTCCTTCACAGGAACCTACGGAACTACCACCGCCCACTACCTTGAAGGCATCTTCGATCACCAATGATTCGCCCAAAGTCAAGGTATGTAATATCTTGGACTCTCTAGATCTCCCTGATGAAGACCACCTAGAGCCAATCCATTTTCTTGATCTTCCCTTACTTCAATTAAATCCTCCTTCAAATGTTCTTGTGATGTTTTTGAAATTATTGGCCCCAGACCAAGTTTGTAATTTCACTCCTCAGAACAACGTGAGTAACTCTTCTGATCCGGAAACTATAGATCCTTCTATTGGACTTGTGGATAGAGGTGTTTCTGAAGATTTAATGGTGAAATGTCTCCCATGGCTTGAGAAAAATTGTCCTAGATTCAATACTGTGAAGAAACTATCGTATGTTCCAACCTTGGCGCCTACCCTTAAACGAAGTCATGAAACAAACTATAATGCATGGTTAACAAGAGTTATATCATTACCTGAGTGTACAGATGAAACTCTTCAATTGGCCTCTCTTAGGATGTCTGAAAATTGCGGTAGAACTGCTCAACCAGAAATTATCAGGAAAATTATTGTGCCAAATTTAAGTAAACATGGCCGTGAATCTGTAAGTCTTAAGGAACCTTCTCTTACTGCTGATAATCTTGGATTGAAGACTTGGGGGTCTGCGTTAATTCTTGCCACTAGACTTTTGAACTATCCTCTTGTGGGTAGTCATGATTCGCATCCACTTTTGAAATCCCCAGTCCTTGAACTTGGAGCTGGTACTGGACTTGTGGGGATTGTTAGTACTTTAATGGGATATCAAACAACCCTAACAGATCTTCCAGAAATTGTTCCTAACCTAGAAACAAACGTTCAACTCAACAAGTTGAACGCACAAGTGGAGGAACTTGACTGGACTAAACCACAATCTTTTGTATCAAAAAACGGTTCTAGAAATTTTAAAACCATTATCTTATCGGATCCAATCTACCTGTCACAACATCCTTATTGGGTAGTGGATATGATCGATCTCTTCTTGGATGAAAGTGACGATGCACGGGTACTTATCCAAATCCCGCTTCGAGGAAAATATGAAGCAGAAAGAAAACTACTCTGGGACTTGGTTGAACCAGGGTTTGAAGTTTGTGAAGAACATATCGAAGAAGGTGTTGATGATTTTGGTGAAATGAATTATTGTTTCAAGAAATTGAAGAGAAGAAGGTAATTTAAAAAAAAATCCTGTCATCATACACTACGCCCTATTTTGCATTCATACCAACATTGGGGAATTGTCATTTCCTATATCACCTTGTAATTACTCAATGTCAACTCTCTATGTCATATTAATATTATATCTTAATCTAGAAGTAGTTCTTCAACTTTCTTAATCTTTCCACGGCATCCTCCAATACCAGATCATCCTTACAAACGGCGAATCTTAAACATTTTTCAAGCAGATTTCCAGCTCTATGAGGAGGATAAACGAATTCAGTTGGTGGGATTCCAACTACACCAATTTCCTTAATAAGCCAATATGCTAACTTGAAATCTTCAGTACCACGGCCCAAAATATCAGCAGGGAATTCATAATCTTCAGCAATCTTCAATTTCAGCAAATTTACCAACAAGAAGTATCCACCATCAGCCTTGGTGTATGGTAATCCAAGTTCTTCAAATACCTTGGTGAAAATTTCGTACTTCTTAAGGTATTGTTGTCTTGTAAGTTCGAAATATCCATTTTTTTCAGCTTCTCCAAAGGCTTCACTAACAGCTTGTTGCAATGGGGCCGGAGTAGAGAAACAAATTCTAGTATGGGCAGCAGTGACATATTTTATCAATTCAGCTGGTCCTTGTACCCAACCAATTCTCCAACCAGTGGCAGCAAAGGATTTCCCAGCTGATCCAACGGTCAAGGTTCTATCCTTTAATTCTGGTAAGCTAGAAAGGGTTGCAGGTCTAGTGAATTTTGGAGAATAATACAAATTCTCATAAACTTCATCACTAACAAGGATCAAGTTATTATCAATACAAAGTTGACCAATTCTATGAAGTTCCTTTTCGTTGAACACTTTCCCAATTGGGTTGTGTGGAGTATTGATGACAATAAGTTTTGTCTTTGGGGTGATTGCAGCCTCTAAACCAGCCCAATCAACTTCCCAATCATCACCAGTGACGTTTTCCTTATCCAATTTTTGTGGATATTTCAATTGAACATATTTCACAGTAGCTCCAGTCATTTCAACATTTGGAATGTATTGATCAAAGAAAGGTTCAAACACAATGACTTCATCACCGGCAGTTAAAAACCCAAAGAAAATCAGAAACAATCCTTCATTGGCACCAGTGGTGATTTGAATTTCTTCCTTTGGGACGGGTCTGCCCAAATCCTTAGTATACACTTTAGAAAGCAGTTCCAATAAGTTGGGGTTACCTCTGGCGTGGGCGTATTGGTTGTACTGAGGAGTGGTGATAGTGTGGTTTACAGCCTTGAGTGCAAAGTCTGGTGGGTTATAAGAGAAGAATCCTTGACCCAAATTGACAATTGGACGTCCTAATTCTTGTTGGGCAGCCGCGGCTGTTTCATTGATCAAGGACCAAACATCCTTTTGGGACTTCCCCTGGGAGAAGTATGGGTTATGGAGCGAGGCGGGATTGGATGATTTGGATGACATTGTTCTTCTTACGACTCTAAACATGCACTGGTTGGAATATGAAAAAAAAGGTATAAATGTGTCAATTGAGTGGATGAACGGATGCTTATATTTGCAATCATGAGTAATCTCGGGAAATTGTGGCGGCACGTGAAATTGAATCGGAATTGATAAACAAGCTACACAAAAATGGAGCCGATTGCGGGATCTTTAATCCGCAAAGCCCGCCACACATAGACACACACCTCAACCAGTTACGAGGTGCATATAGACGGAGTCAATCCAACTACACATTTGTGACACTTTAAAGTTGAGACAGGTAGTTAGATAAAAATATTTGACTTATTAACTAGATATATGGAAATATCTTGAATGATGGTTGTGTACATTATATTCTAGTGAAGGTGTTACAATAAAGATTTCATATATGTTTTGGTTCTGCTTAATTTATTTTTTTTTTTTTTTGCAGTTTTGAGATAACAATTACAATCCGTTTATTCAGTTTGTACTGGTCCTGCCTTGGTAAATATAAGCTAACTCCCATTTTTATACTGTTATCTATCTCCGTATATGTGTAGGTTAATCCCAATTCTAACTATTGTCCTTTTTTTAGGCGTCTTATCCTTCTTATTTCTTTTTTTTTTTTGTCTATTTTTCTAAACTATTTTGACACATATTTGTAACATTTTCAAGCAAAATATCAAATATGTTTATAAATTTACTTTAAAATTAAATTTATATCATCATGATCTATTATACTTATTCACTTCTCTACTTTCCTAAACACCAATCTCTCCCCTTTCCAACCTGAATAGAACATAAATATCCTTCTAACCACCAGTTGATGCATCCAGCAACAACAATTCCTAAACTATCACTAATTCCAACGCACCCCATAGAAAACTCTCTTTCCAGCTTTATAACCTCTTCACTAACTGACATAAACGTATTACCATACAGGAACCCGCCCAAAAGACCTTCATAAAATATCAAGATTAATAATAACCAAATTCGATGGAATGGGAATTGGAATACTGATTGTGAAAGTGTAACCACCACATTAATAAATTGTAATATCGAGAGTAGATACAAGTTCTTAATCCGTACGTAGGCAATCGATGACCGGGATACAAACACCCCCAATTGATACAAGAACCCATATACAACATAAATGTCTCTATAACTCAGAAAAAGCCACGAAGGGAGCTCATCCAAGGGGAAAAGAAGGGTAGGTGAAATTCCCTGGTTGATAACATATTCAGATATATACACAGAACACAATGGGATCATGTATGGAACAAAAAGAGGTTTGATTTTGGCAATAGTTTCATTAAAATGACTCTTGAGACTACCTTTTTGAAATTTACTTGGATGAACAATTTGTTCTGAGACATGAACTTCATCTTCATCATCCTGGTCTGTATGTTGATCTAAACCTTCTTCATCGTGTAATTCCAAATATTCTCCTAAAACCGGTTTAGGAAGTAGCCAGAAAAATCCAAATATGAATCCAAAGGGGAGGATTGCAAACAGCAATAAAACAGTCAGAACATTTAAATTTATAACATTTGTTAAAAGCATAAACACAAAGCTTCCGGCCAAGCCTGCACCACCAGTCCCCGTGGCAAAGCCGGCAATTGAATGAGTTTCCAAGTAGAAATGAGTGAGTTGAAGGAATGTAATTTCTCCCAATCCCGATGATAATGAAGCCATACCAATACCAAAGAGTTTCCATCCTAGTATTGGGGACTCACTTATCACCACCATTCCAAGCGAAGAAAGAGCAACTAACGTCCAGATTCGTACGTGATATGGGATAAGATGGATATAAAATGGCGCAGACACTTTCACAAGAAATGCCGGAAGTATATCAGACAAAAGTACAGCAGCCTTGGGCGTACTAGATCCAACCAAATCAACCGCAGCAGAAAGAATCACCACATAAAGAATGTTATTTAAAAGACCAAATAAGAAGAAGGCAACAAAGATTCGAGACTTTGATGACGAAACAACTACAGCCATTCTATTCAATGACGTTTGGATTAATAGTTTGAATAAATAATATATGGTAGAACTGTGTGTTTCTTTTCTAGTAAAAATATTTATTTTTTTTGAAGTTTCTACTGATAACGAGAATTGTAACGTGTATTCGTAAATTGATGCGATTTAAGCACACCATAATATTTTATATAGTGAGAGAAGGACTTTATATCAATTGGTTTTTTTGATTGTAGTAGTTGTTGTCCTACTACATACTTTTGGATTCTTCCATTTCTTGTACAAGTTCTCTGAATACCGTTTCGGTGTCAAGACCATTCCCTTTCAAAAAAGGGTAGCCTTGGCCAGCCAAATAGAATGCAAAACTTGAATCATTTGCGTCCTTTAATGCACTTTTGTATGCAGAGTAAGAGTATCCATATGCTGGTAATTCATCCAGACCATTGTAGGAATTCATAATTTTTTCAATAAAGGGAGTACGTAAACATCTTGCCAGTTTCCCAGAAACTAAACTAGTCATAATTGTTGGAAGAGGAGTACCTGATTCAATTTGAGTTGAAAAAAATCCATTCGAAAGTGACTCTTTTGTATCTAAAAATGCAGTTCCAAGTTGAACTCCATCTACTCCTAAATCCAAATAGGTATTAATATCCTTACCAGACATGATTCCTCCAGCAGCAACTACAAATGTACCAGAAGGAACCAGCTCGAGAACTAATTTAGTGAGGAGATAAGTGGATAATTTCTCATCAAAGAGTTCTTGAGATACAAGAAAGTTACCCCGATGACCTCCAGCTTCATATCCTTGACAAACTACACCAAAAACTCCCAATTCTACAGCTGCAAGTGCTTCCTCCACCGACGTAACACTAACCAAAACCTGAGTGCCTGCACCTTGCAAATGTGTTACGGTGTTCTTTGAAGGAAGACCGAAATGGAAACTAACTACTTTAGGTTGAAATTCAGAGAGTAAATCCAATACTTGAGCATATTCTTTAGGGTGATTTTGTTCAATTTCCTGGAATGAAACATTAGAAATAGGGAACTCAATATTATTTAAATCAACTTTAGTATTATCCCCAAATCCCTTAGAAAATAATTTCTTCCAATTTGAAGTTTCCACTTGGGTTGGAACGGTTGCTTGAATCGATCTATCATGACAAAAGAAATTCAAATTTACATTACGTCTTAACTCTTCAGGTAATAGATCTGCAAATGATTTAAGATGTTCAGTCAATTTCCCAGTTCCATTTCTAAGATCAAAGCCTGCCAATGGGAGTGACCCTAAGCCACCTTGACGAATGACTGCTGCTGCAAGTTTTGCAGTGCTAACTCCCGCCATTGGCGATTGGAATATGGGGTATCTCAAACCTAATCTTTCCATGATGTGCTACTATCTATTAGTGAGAACTATTTTTTTGTGTTGCAAATTGATGCGATTAGGAAAATGTGGTATATATTCTCTAGAGAATAAAATAAATGATAAGCCGTCTCGTTATACATACATATATGTACCTTTGATACATTTTCGCGCTGACTAAGCGTATAGAGTCATGGGTTCAATCTGGTGAGGTCCACCGGAACTTTTTATTTAAAGATCGCGTCTTGCATAGATGGTCTTCCGGTGCTGCTTTCTTCTTATTTTTTTTTTTTGTTTGTCAACAACCTCAACATGAGTATAATATCTTTAGAAACTCTCACAGAAACAGATATATCCGACCAAAGTTTTTCCGGCTTAAGTAGCTTGAATGTTAGTGATGATGAAGGTAGTTCAGCTTCAAGTTACGGGTCGGAAGTGCACATAACCCACACGCACCTGCATGTGGGTGTGCGCTCAGTGTATTACAATTACGAAAAATACTTTATAGTATTCCTTGCAGGAATGGCAGGATTTTGGTCAACCATATCTTCACCAATTTACCTTCCAGTTCTTCCAATTCTTCAAAAGCAATTCAATGTTTCTACAGAGCAGGTTAACGTGACCATGGTTGTATACTCCATTTTCCAAGGTCTTGCACCTGTTCTTTTCTCGAATTTGGCTGATCAATTTGGTCGCAGAATCCTCATATTATCCTGTCTATTAATCTATATGGGTGCAAATGTTGGTCTAGCATTAAACAATTCATTTGGAGTATTAATTTTTTTCAGATGTCTTCAAGCATTTGGAATTTCTCTGACTGTGTCGATATCTTCCGGCATTGCCAGTGATATCACTACCAGGGCAGAAAGAGGGTCATTCATTGGTATTTCGACCGGTTTGTCTCTTCTTGGTCAAGCATTTGGGGCATTTATTGGTGGATTAATTGAAAATTCATTAGGTTGGAGAGCTATATTTTGGTTCTTGGTAATAAGTTCTGGAATAACCTTCTTTGTAATCTTCATTTTCCTTCCTGAAACAAGTAGATTTATTGTTGGAAATGGTTCTAGTTTACCAATGGAAAGAAAATTTGTTTTAGTGGCCCCCATTCTTCTTTTACCATGTTTAAGTAAAAGAAGAACTACTGAAAACAAATCTATAGAGGAAAAAAAGCCATTTACATTTTTATGCCCGTTTCGTATCCTAGTTAAGAAGGCTGTCTATTTGACATTGCTTCCTTCCTCAATCAGTTATGCCACATGGCTTATGATGCTTACAACCCTTTCCACTTCCCTTTCCTCTACTTATGGATACAAAACCCTTGATATTGGATTGTCATATATCCCAAGTGGGTTAGGTGGACTTTTGGGTTCTGTAACAAGTGGGAAACTATTGGATTTGCTGTACAAACGCGAATATAAAAAATACACCTATACAAAGGACCATGCTTCAACGGAGCATCCAGCTAAACGGTTCAATATCTTCAAGGCAAGGTTAAGTGTTTGTATTTTCCCCACTATTCTTTCTGTGGTTGGCGTATTACTTTTCAGCTGGTCAATCCAATACCATCGTAACGTTGCCATACCGTTAGTTGGCTCATTTCTTGTCAGTTATGCAGCCATGAACTTCATGACCATCTCCACCACTCTTCTCGTGGATTTGTTCCCAGCACAATCTTCTGCCTCCAGTTCTTGTGTTAATATCACACGATGTTGGTGTGCAGCCATTCTAATTGCGGCCTTGAGTAAAATGGTTGACTCTATGGGTATTGGTGGATGTTATACCTTAATGAGTGGACTACTCATGGTAACATCTCTCACCATTCCTTACATTTTGTACAAATCAGATACATGGCTTGAAGATGAATTATAGAGCATATATATATAGTTATAGAAAGAGAGATAGAGAGAGAGGGAATGCAAAAAAACCTCTCTCCAACTCCAAGTGGATGCATCTTCTCCACATATCCAATTCCTGTTTAACATTTTATTTAATTCTTTATTTTGCAGCCATTTTCCTCGTAAGAGAGAAACGTTCCTCTTTTATTCTGCGAATAAAATAGTGTCTCTATCTCATTTACTCCACTGGTGTGAGTATTTACACAAGGTTATTATACATCATATACTTATTTACCAACCATCAGTACCATTGAATCCAATAAATCCAGAAAGTAAAAAATATTTGTAGTAATTCTTCTTTGCAATCAAGTTTGCCCAATTCCATGCTGAGGTTAAACGTCCATCAATACAACTTCCGGCATTGAAATAATCTGAACCTCCACTACCGTTAAATGCATGTCTGAAGAAATCAGTCAAGATCTCTAACTTCAAATTCTCAGCACTTCCAAATTCACTATCAATAGCTTCAGAAACATATTGGTCTTTAATCATTTCATCTATCATCATCAAACACTTATCCACAGGGATCAAGATCCGTGGCACTTGAATATATTTATCTAAGAAGTTCAAGGCACTAGGAACTGCAGTATCGGCAATGTGGACGGATGAAGAGCCAATGAAACTCACGGGCGTCTTTCGTTGTACTTCATGGATAATCTTGTACATAAATCTTTGTGTTTGAGGTGCTGCTTTGACTCTTTGAAGACCTTGACCGGTATCCATAAGTTTATAATTGATTTTGGAAAGAAGATCTTCATCAGCAACTTTCCAGAGCTTAATAAAATCTCTCATAATGATGGACCACATGGTCAATGATTGATGACAGAAATAATATTGAGTCTCGTGAGTATGAGATAATCTAGCACCTTCTCTACCAATTTTAATCCCCAAAGAATGAGGACCAGAAGAATCTTCAGGACTGAAATTGGATTCTAATTGTTTCAAAATTCTCTTGATTGGAGATTTATTGAAATTAATGTATGAATGGAAATCTCCAATTGAATAAAGAAGTTGTCTAATTTCTTCTTTAGAGAGTCTGGAGGAATGATACTTACTAGCCAAACGTTCAATAGCCATTTCTTTACTTTTTTTTTGCTTGTTTAAGATAGATCTAGATTTACCTTCAGGGCTAATTTCAGCCGTAGCAGTCAAAATAAGATCTGATGCGAATAATTTCTCCAACAATTGAGGTTCCTTATCAAGTAAAAAGGTCTCTATGGTCTTAATCGGCTTATATAAGTCAAATTCTAGTTGTTCTTTGATTTCTGGAAATCTTGAGTCCATGATCATAAAACAAAGCTTCCCAAAGGAATCTCGAAGTTTCTCTGGATTCATGATCTTGTATCTCCGGCCAATCTCAAAGATATCCTTGTACCACTCAGCATTATCAACAAAGTTTTTCTCTTCAATAAATTTTTGACCCGTTTTAAAATCTTGTGCCACAACTAATCCGGCAAGAATTGAACAGATTTCCTTCAATTCTGCCACAATTCTTTTCGATTTAGACTTGTATGAGATAATGTCAATTTTATCAGTATATTCAGAGACGTTCAAGGCGGCTTCAAGAAGACGTAAGAGTCTTCTTTCTTCGTATGTAAGTCTCATTGGGATGTATGCAATGGATGAACGTAACGATTCCAAAAGAAGTTTATCTACAGAAGCACCAGACACAGCGTTGCTTGATGATGACAGGTAGTCGAGCTCATCACCTTCAAGAATTTGCAGCAGCAGTAACCCGGTAGATTGTTGCTGTTGTTGTTGTTTCTGTTTTTCTTGATCTGCTCGCTCATTGGTCAACACTCTCGTCTTGTGATTCTTTCTCTTACCAGAACGATGGATAACGTCCCAACAGACTCTACAGAACTTTTCATCACATGGCTCACACAATAACTCATAAGGCATATCAGTACATTCAACACAATTATGATCATTATCTTGAGATTCTCCTTCAAATCCACAACAAACATCCTCTTGTTCATTGTCCATATCCAGGTCAGAAGAGTCTGAATACTCCCCTGGACCATTTTCTTTCGAGAGCAAATCCTTCAAAGTCTTTTTGTCCATGATGTATGGTCTATATAGGCACTAGCGGAAAATGGGTGGTATTAGATGATGCTCCCTGTAGTCTAAAATTCTAGGTGCATAGAATGAGAGACCGCGACTTACTGATTATTGATACTCATTAGCTATGCCCACATGCACACCGAATGAACCAAAGATTACAAAAGTAGAGATATATGTATAATGTAGGACAAGCTAGAGGTGAAATATTGATAATTGGGTAGATATGGATAGAGTTATAGATTTATAAATCTAAAGAAATTTGATTTATTATTGATTATGTTGAAAGTTGAGCCTCGGCTGATGAACTAATTCCAAAGAGGGCCAATTTTCTGATCTGGATAGATTCGATATCATAGAAACGTGTTCATAAACTTGAGTTTTGTTCACCACCCCTGTTGTTCAACTCTATCGATTGTCTCTATATCAAAGCAGACCATTAAAGGGATTATATGGACTGTCTACAAGAAAATTTGGAACATTAAATAGAAAAAGTCACCCACCTTCGGATAAACACGTACACAAAATCTAAAAGAATCTACATCCATTTTCAATCCGAATGGTAACAATTATATGTATATATATGTATATATATTCTGTATTAATTAAAGAACTCCACCCCTGGTGAATAGGCTAATGTATTGTATTGCTCGTCGAGCGTCTAGTTAAGGTAGAAGTAAGCACCAACAGCAGCGGCCAAGACAACAGCAGCGATTAATGGGACTGGGACACCGGCATCTTGGCTGTTGGATTCGGTAGATTGAGTCTTCTTTGGAACACCACCTTCCAACTTACCGATCAACAAACCTTCCAAGATTTCCTTGGCGTCATCAGAGTGTCCAATGTCGTCAAAAGCTTCAGTAGAATCAGTACCAGCACAGTCAATGACAACTTCTTCACCACCTGGGTGCTCATCAAGATAGGTGGAAACGTCGTAGACATTTCCGTCGTACACGACCCAGAGGTCCAGGGCGGTGTTGTGCTTGGAGACTTCTTCGAATGTGTAGACCTTTTCAGTGGACATGTTTGTTTATATTACAATTATTAAGATGAAGAGTGTGTAGTCACTATCTTGATCGATCCTAGTATTTTTTTTTTATAGCTCCTGCCTGTACTCACCAATCACACCGACGATTTGGTAAGCACACGGCTCGCGCAGGACAATTTTCCTTATTTTGGCATTTGTGTCCTTATCACATGTTGGGCCCTCAATAAAATTTCATCGTACGGTACGATAAAGGATGTAAGAATAAATCTGATCCCTGTAGTTGTAGATGTGTGTTTTCTATATATGACCTTACGATAATGTATATATATCTATATATGTGTATATAGGTATCTGTTCAAGACCACCACGAGTACGTGCCTTGAATGTTAATGTTTTGAAGATGTTTACTCCAGCAATGGTTGTATGCCCTGTCTATTCTTTTTTTTCTTTGTGGGTTTAGAGGGCGGCTAAACGAGAAGTGTCATCATGAGACATGTGAGAATAACAAGATGTATTCATGTGAATGATTTCAACTTGTCCATGATATATGAGTCGATGTCAGTGTCTAGAACTCGTACGGAACTGATATTCTAAAAGAATATTCATAGGTTGTGGTTTCACCAACGTTTGTTCTTAAAATTTTTGCAGCATTAGATTTTTAAAGAAAAGTTCCTTTTTGTTTAAGCACTTCACTGGACTAAATCTATCTCTACAATACTCTTATAGAACCGATTTTTAATATACCTTTCATAAATATATATGTCTCCTACATCAATTTGCTTATTTTCATGTTATTCTTCTTTCTATACTATACAATGCTGGATAAATCAAAATCAATGCCCTTGGCCTTAAGCTTATCAGCCTTGGTCTTCTTGGATTGTTCATGCTTCTTGGAAAGTCTTTCCCATTGAATCTTTGACTTTGGAGAGTCGTGCTTAACCTTGGAGATCTTGGCCCATGGAACAGCCTTATATGTGGTGGCACTACCCTTGAACAAGTCATCGTGAACGTCTTCCTTTGGAACAACGTGACACTTCAACAAGTGTCCAAACAAAAGATAGTTGTTCATGGTTTCAGCAGCAATCACAGCAACAGCGTGTTCGGCAAATTCAATGAATCCATAATGCTTAGACTTACCAGTCTTCTTGTTACGAGATAACCTTAATCTGGTGATATCACCGAATTGGGCAAAATATTTGTTCATTTCAACTTCATGGAATCCATGTGGAATACGTCCGAGATAAATAACTCCTCTAGATTTATTTTGCTTGGAAGTGGTAACGGTTTGCTTAGCCTTGGTGACCTTGTGTGTTATTTGTGGTATGGTGGTGGCATCAGCGGTTTCTTGCTGTGGTGCTTCTTCGCCTTCGATTTCAACTTCTACAGAGCTTTCATCAGAAACATCTTCATCTTCAGAATCTTCACTTAAATCTTCATCGGAACCTGCTTCTTCTGCAGAAAGTTCTTCATCACTGGAGGAAGGTAATTGCAAGTCAGCTTCGATTTCTTCAACCGACTTTTCGCTAGCCTTCTCTGGCTTAGCTTGCTTACCAGCCTGCTTAGTAGCTTTGTTTTGCTTAGCCATTTTATGTCTGTGATACAATTATTCAGAATAATGCTAAACAAGTATGATCTTTAACTTCTTTCAAGATGAGCTTCACAGGCGATGAGTGTGCGAAAAAAAAATAAAATTAAATCCAAAAATAATAAAAAAAACAAACAAAAATATCACAAAGACGTACACAGGAGTTAAATTCTATACAATACAGCAGCCGATTAGCAAATTGTGAGAGTCTATTGCTTAGTAAATATGATGAAGTATACCCTGCCATAAAAAGTTATTCCTAGTATACTATCAGTCTACTACTAAGTATCCTATTTTCTATATCTATATTTTATTATTATTATTATTATTATTATTATTATTATTATTATTATTATTATTTAGGAGAAGAAAAACTCACTGTCTATAACTTTTTTCACATCTAAATTACCTCTTGTAGGAGTATTTGTGATTTTGATTGGTACTAAAATTGGCATAAAAGTTTTAAGTTTAATTTCACTTTTTGTAAAGTCTTTCATAGTTGAAGTTTCTGAATATTTAATCATTTTTTTACCCCATGGGAAATAATATTCCGGTTTATAAGTATTCAAAAGAGTTTTATATTCACTTTGTGACCCATTTCCCGTTAGTAGTTCACGTGCTTCTTGAAACATAGCTCGATTATAAAACACCCTCTTTGTATACTTCATATCTTTGAAATATAATTGACGAAGTTTCATCAACCTGGAACAAAACTCTTCATTTTCATCAATTTTAACGTAAACTAAATGAACGGAATGTCTTGTAGTATATTCCAAATCCAGTTTTAAATTCCCCAAAATATCAAAACTATGTAATCGAACAAATTCCTTTCTAATTATTTCATTCAATTCATTCACATCTTTGGGATGTGTCCAAAATGAATCATGCACTGATTGGAACGTAAGTCCTTGTGTATACGCTTCTTGACACGTCATTTGCATATGAATAGAATCAATCGAATGAATGAAATTTGGTGCAATACCGTTAATTTGCTTTTGAATATTGATTCTACCAAGTTCATTTGAGTCGTTTATTTTCATCAGTAGTGTTGATGCCGTCAAAACTTTATGCTTTAAATGTTTATACTGTTGAATCACGGGGAACCCTGATATAGACGTCCATTTCATAGGATTATACGTCTTTGCACCAAAGAAATCGGGATAAGTTGCATTTGATTGTCCCATGTTATATACTATAGCGTCCCAATCAATGGATGTCACTACAGTATAACAATTTAACATTAACCAATCTTGAATTCTTTTAGCACTGGCAAAAAGCGAATCCATGGATTTAATGGTTGAAACTGCCAAATACTCAGAAACTTGCCCGAGATTTTCATTTAAACGTTTGGCAAGACTTGGAGTTATCGACTTGGATTGTCCATGGATTTTCCCATTGTCCAAGATATCTTGCAATTTATTTTTAATTTGTCTATGTGCGCCAGTTCTTGTCACCCCATAAACACTGGTCATCACTGTTTGCTTTAATACTTTCCGGGTCAACAACGGTAATGCAATTGCGGGTATGGAATCTTCCAGAGTTTGGTGTACATCCAGTGCAACTTTAACTCTAACATCTTCAAGTACTGAAGAATAAACATCTCCCCTCTCACCATCCAGATGAGGGATCAAATTGACTGCCTTCCCGATGTCTGGATCCGCACCCAAGGCAGCATAATGTTGTAACCCATTACATGAGCCATCTTGATGTATCGGGATACGACATTTATATTCTTCCAATTTACCTCCTTCGCCGACATATTTCGATATTGAATCCATTTCTTGACAAAGTGAAAGTGTTTGCCATGGTTTATCTCCGTCCAACCACCACTTCTTACCGTGTAAAGGATTTTTAGCAGAATCTAGAATTAAATCCCAATTGGAATCAATGAATTCGATACGATTATGATAATTTAATTTATCCTTACCATAAACTCCAGCCAATTGATATTTTAACCAATTTAATCCAGACTTACCTAAGGGTTTCGAATACCAAAACATTAATAATGATCTGACAAGATCGTCCTGGTAAAACGATAAAGTGGATGTCAATGGGTAAACCCTTCCTCTGAAATCAAAACCATGAGGAAAATACATCATATCTCCATTTTGTGCAAATGCAGTTGCCAATGCATGTGTGTACTCATATTCATGTCTTAAACTTCGTTTATTGTAATATTCTTCCATCAATCTTTTTTCCTTTTGTTTATGCTTAGAATTAACCAAGAAATATTCACGATCGTTTTGAAATGATTCACGTTTTGGTCTAGTTGTTTGTAATAGTTTAATTTCTTTCAGCTTTTTGGGTTTAATTTCAGGAATTTTTAAAAACCCACTACGGATTTTCATCACTTGACTTAATATCTGTAACATTTTGGGATTGATTGCCCATGCGGTTGATCCTAAATTATTTAAGGATTGATATAAAGAAGTCAATTGACCAGTCATATGTGCTTGTTTCAAGTATTCAAGGTATGTTCCTCGTTCTTCTCCCAAGACAATAGGTCTGATTTGATTGAAGTATCCACCTTCAATCGGTGAAACCCATGGAATTGGTGGAGTTAACATTGGAAGGTAAACTTCTCTACGACAGAAACTGTCATATTTCAATTTGAATTCATCTGATAATGAATCATGACATTTAATGACTCCAATTTTATGATTGGTATAATAACCATCTTTTTCATATGGAATGTTTTCAAGATAGAATGGTTTGCCATCGAGATGTGGGAAATTTGCACTTGCATTAAATATATTGATCAAACTAATCGAAAGAATCATACCATCTTCAATGGAAAATTGGTTTAAAAGAATTTCATTATTTGAACAATATTTAACAACAAGTCTTCTGAGACTACGTGATAGCTGATTACTAGTTTCAGTCACCAGACTTTTCCCATCTTTTGAGTACACAGTTGCAGATATTATGGTTGACATAACAACATATGCCACAGACTCCAATGGTACATTATTCAATATGAATAGATTTTTATAAATAACTTGTTCATCTGACAGAAGTTCAACTTCATCCAGAGAGCATCTTACAACCAATTCTTCGAGCTTTACTTGAAATGCCTTATACCAATGATGAATCATGTTAGAATTTGAAGATTGGAATGAGAAGTTGGCCCCCATAGAAGATTTTGGTTTAATTTCTGGAATTAAATCCTGACAATTCTGTTCTACAACCAATTGCTTTTCCAGATTGAATTCAAGATATTTTAAAAGGAAAGCTTCCCGTTCAAAATCCAGATCTAATGAATCGTATAATTGATACATTGGACTACTCCGATCTTTTGTATGAGGACTTCGTACTTGTATATATCGACATAAATCCTTGACACTCATAAATTCTGATTTATTATGAAACTTGGAGGTGGGGTTACTCTTGGTTGGGGTAACAATATCTTCTATAACTTTTGGTTCCTCCATACTTTCTTCATTCTTTCCATAATTGAACACTTTCCTTACCTTCCCATCGTCAAATGGGTCCAATAAGTGGGCTAAATGTATATATTCCAAACCAATAGCTTTAAATATATCGATAGAATAATCAACAATTGAATCCTTTAAAGAAATCAATGTGGAATTTTCCCATGTCAATAAGAACGATAAAAGAATATTCTTCTTCAAAATTAACATTTCCTTTGATTTATTATCCAATTTGAACGCCTTAATCATATCTTGATTTGCTAATATTACCTCCCATATTGATTTTAATTCTCTTATATGTAAATGAGGATTCTTGGATGTCACAATGTGTTGGAAAAGAGTTGCAAGGCATTGGAAATAAATGGAATCTATAGCATGTGTATGGTCCATCACCTGAATGCCTGGTTGACCCTGGAACTTCTGTAATGTTCGTTTTACCAGGGGTATATCATTATAAACCACAGCCTGTAGAAAGAAGTTGATTTGTAAAGCATTCTTATTATTTGGTTTAGATCTCTTTAATGATTGTGCAACTGTAAATGGTGACAAGTCCAATACATTTCTATTGATACTATTAAAATAAGGTTGACTAGATGAAAAAAGCCTCAATCCTCTCAATCTTCTGTTCATACGAGATTTGGGGAAAAAAAAATAAAGGGGTGTCCCAACTAAAGAGTGGTAAATGGTGTTCCCAGAAGCTTTTGATATCACGGCCCACAAAAAAAATACTCAAGCTCTACAGTTAAAGGAAAAACAAAACTTGTGATATAAAGTTATCTCATTAAAAAATATATCTAGTTTAAAGGCTCATTAATTATTTATAGATGTTTGAATATTGAAAGTAACTGCAGGAAACAGAGTAATTTCTGCGGTTACCAAGGCTTCAATGCCAAAGCTTTGTAGTATCCCTCTGATCAAACCACAGGGGAACCATAGAAACGTGCGTGCCCGCGCAATTGAGTCTGGAACCCCCTTGGCACTATTCATTGAGCTGATAAGTCGACAATTATTGTCTACAAGAACAAATATACCTCTATGATTTGTTCTCAAATTATCCATTTGCTTCCCATATAAACATCTCCAAACATCCCTACACACAAATTTCATGATATCCAATATGTTGGATATCTTGGGCGATGAAGCAGGCGCCTTATGCAATAAGAGTTCGGAAAGGCGTATCCCAACCTGAAAGCCATAATTCTCATTCCTCAAGGTAACATCATCACTATTTATAAAGTTTTGGTCAAGTATGTTGATGGTTCGTGTTGGATCAGGGATCTCCACAGGATCTCCTTTTTGGTGTGAGATTGATATAGACGTCGAAACCATCTCCATAAGCAAATAGTCCAAGCATCGAGCATTTACCTTTCCAGGCACGTCTAAAGTGTCCATATTCTACGCACTACAAACCTTTAAGATGTATTTGAACTGGGTGTATCTTTTCACCGTGTCTCACATTTTTATCTTCTTGTTAATCATACTAACCGATGTATGCAGGCAACTGTAATCTTACCCAGTCTAACAACTCTCAAGCAAAAAAAAAAAAAAAAACATTTTAAACTTCGATACTTTAGAAATTATCAATGGAATACTACTTTTGCGTCCCTTCAGAATTAATTACTTAAGACCATTCAATATGGCGTAGTTTCTACTCACTGAGTACTTCTTATGTAAAATGATTTACTAAATATTTCAATTCCTGTACCTGAGAAAGCTTACATAATAGCCTTCTTAGACGAATCCCTTCATTAGTCTCTTTTTTTTTGACTAGAGATTAATCGATCCACGTTCTACAATTAATGGTCTTTATCCTAGACCGCATCTTGCATTTGACACCTATTCTTCTCTCCTGCACTAATTAATCTTTTGTATTCGCTCATTCACATTTATATGTCTTTCTACACTGGTGGAAATCCTTGTTTGGTCAATAACCAGCACCACTGTGCACACTCAACATGGGCGCCTGTGCTCTCAACCGGTGCGCATCTAGACAAAATGTATCTAGTTCTTATTTTTTTTTTTTGTTTTTCCAGTTTGTGGCCCCCCTTCGACTCTAAGTCGCCACCAAATCTCTTTTTTTTTTTATTTCTTTCTTTTTCTTTTTTTTTTTTTTTTTTTTCTTAGTACTAGCCGTTTTTAAAACGTACAGGATTGCCAGCTATATTTTTTTTTTTGTTTTTTTGAAAACATTTTTTTTTTTTTCTTCCAAACTCCACTACCTAGCTGGTTTGTGTTCGCACTTTTTACGTCTTGGATTCTTATTTTTTTTTTAAATTAAAACGTCGAAAAGAAAAGCCGGTTTATAAACAAACCATCGACACATTATTTTATTCAGACGACAACTCTTCTGTCTAGAACTTACCGTAGCGTACACGAACGCGCCCAGCGAAAAGAACAAAGTGAGATACCCACACCCACAGAGAGCGTGCCGCCAACACTGACACCCTCCTGCTCCTTTGTCACACACTTACCATAACCCCCAATACGGTTTTTCAAGTTTTCATTATTGGTTATACAACGATATTATTCACGTCTTTACTCGAGCCCTATTGAGTAGACATATATCCCGTAACGCCACATTGTGCCATCACATCATCTACACGTACTTTGTGCTTCATTAGTATCACCGGGACCATTATTTATTCACTCCAACACCTTTCATCCTATTTCATTCATTAGCATTAGACTTTCATCTTGTCTTGTCATAATCATACACATTTTGCATCTGTCATGTCTACTGAAAACACCATAGGATTTGCAGCCCCACATAGTGGCAATTTCATCTTGGGAGAACCCCATATTTCGATGGCGTCCCTGTTGGCCCTTGGTCATAAATCTGCGCCACCTCATCTTCACCATTCCACGTCAAACCCATTATTGAACCTGCAACAACAGCAACAATCCCAGGCTCCTCAACAAGCTTCCCAGCAAGGTCCACCTCCACCTCAGCAACTCCAGCATCAACTGCAACAACAACAGCAGCAGCATCAGCATCAACAGCAACTCCAGCATCAGCAACAGCATCAACAACAACAGCAGCATCTTCAACACCACCTGGTACAATCTTCGGTGCCTCAACCATCCCAGAGCCATCAACAAGTGCATCCACTCCCACATTCTGTACCTGGGGAAAAGTTTTCACTCCGGTTGTCTAACTTGCCTGTAGATCTTTCTAAAAGAGAGGCTACGCTCATGTTTGCCCTTGTCATGGATGATATCTTAAATATTGAGTTTGAAGATCGTCAATTAATTGCCTATTTCAAGACTTTGAACACATGCATCACCACTGGGAAGCTTTTGGATGGTAAATATCTCTTTGGACCTGAAGTCTCACCAGTGAAAGTTGAATACGATAGTGTGGTGAATAGTATTAATCAACCATTCAACTCGTTGAGATTATCTACCGGGGCCAACATTTCACCACCTCAGATAAATACAAATACTGCTGCACCTGCTTCTGGCCCTGCTTCTTCTTCTACTGGTCCTGGTGATTACCAAAAGAGACAATCTATTGGTAATCAAAGATCAAGATTTTTGTTCAGTGATCCATTTTCTGGTTCAACCACCCCAACATCTGCTGGTGGAGCCAATACTGGTAGAATTGATCTTTCAGACTTGACTGGTAAATCTCTTTTGTTGATGGAATCCCAAAATGATGCTAGAGAATATGACCAATTAGTTAGAGATCCATGGAAGAGTGCAACCACCAACAGTGGAGCCACCAATGCTAACGGGGTACCAATTGGATCAGCGCCACAAACACCATCTGCTGGATCCCAATCAACTCCATTTGAATGGGGCAACACTTCTACTGCAGGCTCCAATGCCGCAGGTGCATCGGGAGTCCCATCTGCTACTGCCGCCGGCTCATCTTCAGACAGAAGAAGAACCTCATCTGCGTTCTTTAACAATACTGTTAACAACTTACCACCTTCAAGTTCGCATAATTCATTACCATCTCAAGGTCAACATCATTCTATGTTGGGTTCTTCATCAGGCCAACCGCTTCAACAATTGTCAATTCCTCACGGTCACTCGATTCAAGGCTCTACGCCTACCACCACTGGCCCGTTAGCAACACAAATCGCATTATCTAGTTCCCAGTCATCCCAACCATCGCATTTATCTTCAGCACCACGCCAAACGTCTCAATCCCCAACTGAACAATCACCACCCCAAGTGGATTTGCAACAACAATCTCAGCAACAACAGCAACAACAGCAACAGCAGCAGCAACAACAACAACAACAACAGCAACAAGCTCTGTCGCAACAAACACAACAACAATCCCAACAACTCTCTCCTCAAGAACAAGCACAATCGCAAACTTCAGGTCAAACTGGAAGACTGAAAGAGGTTCCAGATTTATCTTTGCTTGCCAGAGTTCCCCCACCTGCAAATCCAGCGGATCAAAATCCTCCTTGTAATACTTTATATGTTGGTAATTTACCACCTGATGCCACAGAAGTTGAACTTCGAGCTTTATTCTCTCCACAGAAGGGATTCCGTAGATTGTCATTCCGTACCAAGACTCAATCTCAATCCAACCCTAACGCAAACAGTCATAACCATGGACCTATGTGTTTTGTTGAATTTGAAGACGTAGCACATGCTACTAGAGCATTGGCAGAATTATACGGTAGAGCATTACCTAGACCAGGAGGAAGTAATGGAAAGGGAGGAATTAGATTATCATTTTCCAAGAATCCTTTAGGAGTTAGAGGTCCTGGAAACCCAAGAAGAACTTCTGCTAGTCAAGTCTTAAATGGTGGATCTAGTTCCACCAACTCTTCATCATCTACAGTTGCAAATTCCAACAATGGGATTGGGAATTATGGTTACTCGGGTTATCATAAGGGATCTTAGGTGAGTGACATCGAATGTTGTTCATAATGATTAATGACTGATCATAAATTTGATTCTTCACATTGATCTGTGAAGGTTATGATCTTTGGCTTATATGTTTTAATTGTTTTCATACTGTACTATTTACTGGCGCTTATATCAAGTATCTATGTATTTTTCTGTTATATATCTATTGTATATTTTTTATGGTCAAGCGATTAGAATTATTGCTTAATAAAATGGTACCACTTGTATTATATTTTCAAAATGTTTATGATCTGTAGGTAATTTAGGTCAAAGTTGGTCATGATTCAAAATTGTACGCGTTTGGTTGCAAATATTTTGGAAAAGTGGTACTTTTTTGAGTCTTTTTTTTACTGCCAAACAAGGGGGGTTTTTCTTCTGTTGACTTAATTAAATTGAGAGTTTTAGATGAGTAAAGGAAAAGGAAATAGAAAAAAGGGTGTAGAAGGTATCAATAAGTCGAAGGAGAAGAAAGATACAAAATATATAAAGATTGAATCGGAAAAAGTACCAACATTTTCTCAATTGATTAGAAATGTTGAGTATTCACCAAAAAGTATCGAATCTATTGACGAGCAAATACAATTCCTACAACGCTTTAAATTAAAGTAATATTAACCCAGATCATTATAATGTCTTTTCGACATGATCTAGAGCTTAACTTTTAACTGCAAACCCCGCCTATTGAAACCTTAGCTAAAACAACAAAACTGAACAAAAAACAAACAAGCAACGAGATATCCACCAAACCAAATAAACAAATATAAAAAACCACAACAAGTTCCCAGTCACCTAAAATACCATTTCCCTTCATAAGCTACTACTTCACTTTATATTTTGAAGCACTTCAATTAATTCCTTGGGATCTGAATAACATTGACATAGCCATTTCGATGCCAAAACTTCTTGAGGAGATAATCTCAAAGCTGGTTTTGGATTTAATAGCTTCAATATAAAACTTCGCGAGTCATATGTAAGTTTCTTGAAAAGTGACAACGCTGGGTTTTCATTTGCTAACGTCTTATGAATAATTGGTGACTCAAATGATTTGATTAAGTTCCCAAACAGAATATCATTTTTAGGATAATTTGCCTCAAATTTCGCATAACTACTATTTTCAACCAGTGCAGTAGTCCAAGGAATTAACATGAGTGAGATATTCAAGTAAACCATACCCAATGACCAATAATCAAGTGCTTTATAATTAAGGGTTTCAATAGTCTTCATGGTTGTTTCTTCACATAAATTGCATTCAATTTCAAATAATTCAGGCGCTTTGAAACTGTTGGTTCCACAATAAATTTCTCTGGTATTCGTTGAAAGTTGTTCTTTATAATCATCATTGCTTAAATTTAAACTATAACCAAAATCAGCAATTTTAATTAACCCAGTATCATCAATTAAGAAATTTTCTGGTTTAAGATCACGATGAACAATATTTTTCCCATGAAGATATATTATCCCTTTCAAGATTTGCTTAAATATCGAATCTTTCAAATTATTTGATATTATAACTTTATTTTTTCTCAAAACACTCAAATAATTGAGTAAATCTCCATTAGGATAATATGGGAAAACTAGAATCCATGCACTCAACTCAGCTTCCTCTTCAGCAACGCTATCATTATCCTTACTAATATCACGTATGAGATCACAAACTTGAACGATGTTTTTATGCAGACATGCCTTTATGTTTTCATATTCTGCCCGTACGTCAATGTTATACGAAGTAGGACTTTGGTCGCTGGATTGTTTCCAAAATTTAAGTACTAATGGTTCTTTCAGTTTGGAAATACCTTTATATATAATCCCATTTTTACCTTCAAAAATAGGTTTTGAAAATTTTGTGTATGATGTTTCCTTATCGGAACTGTCATAAACAGTCCCTACTACACTTCCTGTTGGAGATCTTGAAGATGAAGTAGATGACGTTCTGCCACAGCTCTTTGCTGGTAGTTTACGTTCCTCCAGAGGAAGTAGTGGAGAAACAGGAGGTCTTCCTTGTTTCTCCAAAGGCATTGAAATTCTTAAAGGTGCTAAAGTTGGCAGCATGAAGAATCAACTATAGTTGAAGAAAGTCTGAATTTTCAATAATTCTTGTAATAAGTTGGTGCTTTAAATCTATACAAGTATAGTTGCAAGCATAGGATTAGTACGGATATGTACAATCTACTGTTATTTCTTTTTTTTTCTGTTCGCTAGGAACTGGTGATGGCTATTGCTTGTTAATAACAAATGAACCTCTTCCAGTAATTCAGTTATAAAATATTTTTCAGTATATGTGTTTTCGTATGAAAGCAATCACTTTACAACCTGATTTATGCCTTGACAACTGCAAACCTTCTCTACCCATTCAAGAATAGAAATGGAAATGAAGATGAGAATAGTAAAATGAAATAACCTAAGCAGATACCAAACGGTTATTTTAACTATACTGAGTACTGCGATTGACTAGGGTATTTTGAACTTCAATAGACTTCAATGTAGAAGACCCTGTATTTGAAATTTAGATAGTTAGATTTCAAAATAGACTCCTACTACTACATTATTAATATAATGGATCAATTTACTTCACAACCATATGAAGGAAATGTTGCATTGTGCGATGATAGCCGATTAATTACCCGGCTTTTTTTCGGCCAAATTGCGGCAATTAAGATGTGGGGATTTTTGATCCTGAGGCGTCAAAAAATAAGGTTTCGTGGGTTGATGTTATCAGACAATGAGAGGACCATTAAGGAGGGGTGTTATCTAGCGGAATTATTTAAGGGAATGTTTTTAAATATTGTTTAACGTGAACTTTAGAAAAAGATGTGTGCTCTGGTGAATTGTAAGTACGAGAAGAAGGAAAATACACCGAGAGGGGAAATGAAATTGTAACGCACTACTAGTGAAAGATTAGGAGCGTGAGCTCAAGCAGAAAATGCCCTGTGGGGTTTTTTAGTTTGTTGGTTTACCACTACATTCACAATAAATTTTTATTTTTAGCATTATCATGGATACCAAAATCTGCTTTAAGTAAGGCGTAATATGCAAAATTGATATCTTCATGCTAGTGTATCAATTGAAATAACAGAATGTTTTCATTGGTAAAAACTTAAAAAGCAATCCAATTTCGATGTATGACACTCATTCAATCACTCACTAGGCTTAGATTACCTGAAACCCCGTGACCACTTTTACTGCATACAATCCCTAGATGATGAGAGACTAAGACCTACGCACATCGCATGTTGGTGCCAAGATATGCATTTTAACATATACCCACAACCAGCACTGGTGTAATTTGGAAAGTAGGTTGAAAGAATTAAAGGTTTCCTATTGGTTATTTGGAGTGAATAGAAGTTATTCAATAAGGTCTAGAAATCAGTGACAAGTCGCAGGTTCCAAGTGAAACTCATGAGAGGATTTTTTTATGCATATAATAATGTATGTGCAGGTGTGTGTACTGTTTTGAAGTAAATGCGCCGTTTTCTATTGTTGCATTCAGGAACCCTGGCTGTGGGTTTTTATTCCTGCCAGATTGTTACGATTTTTCCAAATTTCCATACATCAATAGTGTGACCTAAATTCTTGTATTTATTTTTCTTGTTCAAAATTAAGTGCTAGTGTGTGACACACTTGCTGTTTTGTACATTTAAAGGATTTATTAAATATCGAACCAGATTGCTCCTGTTGTAAACTATTCCTCATTCCATCAAACTATTTACTCAATCTAACAATGTTTAAGGGTATTTTCACTTTAGTGCCATTGATATTCTTACTTGGATCTGCTCTCTTACTTTTTCTTGTCAATTTGAATGGAACAACCACCTCATCAATTTTCAAGGATATTTACTGGTCTCAAACAGAAACTGGGGATCTCACTGGTAGTAACTTTAGAACCACTAGATGGACCTCATATGGAATTTGTGATGTTGATCTGAATGGCCATAGTATCAATTGTACAAAGCACAAAGCTGCCTATCCCTATTCACCACAAGATAATTTCGGTACCCTGAATGAATTACCAAATGATTTTAAAACAAGTAGAGATACCTACTTTTATTTATCAAGAGTAGCATATGCTTTATTCTTGGTGGGGTTGGCATTTACTGTATTTGCTATAATCCCATTATTTTTATCCATCTGTTGTGCTGGGGGGTTATTCACCAACATATGCGCCTTCCTTGTATTTTTAGCATTTTTCTTTACATTGGCTGCGGCATGTTTGATTACTGCTGTACATGTATTGGGAAGAAACACCTTTTCAGATGACAATTTTAGTTCTAAATTGGGTAAAACCTTGTTTGGACTTACTTGGGCTTCTGTTGCAACCCTTCTTATTTCATTTATTTTTACATGTTTAATTGGAAGAAGTGGTCGCAAATCCCGAGGTGAATGGCATGAACAAGATAATGAACTGTTGAAACGCCATTCAAATGATTCTGAAACTTCATATCAACGTTACGATACGGAACCAACTCCTCTGAGAGGAATTCATTTTTTCAAAATTGGAAGAACTAAAAATGTTGAGTAGTAAAGTTAATCAGTGAAGTAGTTCTGTTTGTTTTATTATTATATTTCTATGTATTTAATTTAATTGTTTCTAAGATATTGGGAACTCCCCTCCGAATATTTGATTTGAGATTTAATACATACCGTGGGGAATTTTATTAAGAACTTGTGTAGATAAAGAAGAGAACGAGGCTTGGTATGAAGAAATTAATCGAGACAGAGACACACAGACAGACACACACACAGAAAAAAAAATATTCTGCATCGGTTGTATGTTTAACCCTTCAATCTACAAAGGCTTTGATAAAAGCCTGTTTTTATAAATTCAATGCCATAGCCTTCTACTCATAGCCTCTCGCGGATAAATTATCTTCACCTTCCTCTTGCATTGACTGAGTTCCAATTTTAGAATCTACTCCTGATCTGTATAGCATATCTTTATCTTTGATTTGGATCGATACTTGGACAAATTGGTTACCCTTATACTCTGTGAAATGTGTAGTTATGGATTCACATTTAGTAGACTCTACTTCATCACTGCCTCAGTTGATGATCTTCATAAAATGACCCCTCCTTATGCACAGAAGGTAACAACGATTCCTCTGCAGGACGCACAAGCCAACTTTAATTAAAGAGGCTGCATTTTTAGGAGCGTTTTGTAGAGAATGAGCTGAGTCGACTAATTCTGGGCATTTTATATCTGATTAAAGTATAAAAGACCCATATGATATCTTCTGAACCGATCTAAAATATGATATCTTATTCAATTAGAAAACCACCGATTAAAAATGTCACAATCTCGAAGATTTCTTGTTTTGGCTCCAGTAATCCTACTTGTAGCTTCCTTTTGTCTCCTTTTAGTCGTGAACTTGAATGGGTTTACCTCTGCTCTCCGAAGATTATATTGGTCTCAAGCTGATACTTCAAATATTAGAGGGGCACCATTTGCAGTTACCCGATGGACCAGTTATGGGTTGTGTGGCGTGGACTTTTCAGGGAGAAATAATGGGTGTACAAGAAGACAATTTGCATTCCCTTATTCACCCTCTTACAATTTTGCTAATGCTGATAATCTACCTGAAGATTTTGTTCGGAATAGAAATAGGTATAGGTCATTATCCAGGGCTGCGTATGGACTTTTTTTAGCTGGGGTTATTGCAACCGCAGTATCTGTATTACTGTTGATTTCTGCAGTCTTTAGACAATCTATGGCTTTGGTTACCACTGGATTTGTCAGTAACCTAATTGCCTTATTGGTCACCATTGTAGCAGCAGTTTTAATCAGTTTCGCTCACTTCTCTGGAGTTAACACCTTCAGAACTGAGTTTGGTGTGGCCAGTGACATCGGAACTAAATTGTTTGGAGTTACATACGCGGCGGTGGCTGGGTTATTACTAGCGTTCATTTTTCAATTAGTTATCATGTGCATTTATCCTAGAAAGAAATATGTTGTTGGGCCGGCACCAGTTCCCGGTCCTTCTAGAAATTATGATCCTAACTTGTACAATGACCAATCAAACAATACCACCTGGAATAAATCGTACATGAATGGACAACAACCATTTCAATCAATGAAAGATGTTAAACATGGTCCCAACAATTGGTCTGGTAATCATTAAGTAGACTATTACATAGTGCTAGTGTTATTAATGTTATACGTCGATTTTGGAGATTATTTGGTAGGTATCTTGTAGTGGAGTTCAATATTGCAGTGCATTACATACTTGAAGTGCGAGGAGCTACCCCTAATAGAAATCACATTTAATTTAGTTCAATGACATTGGAAATCTGCTATCATCAAGACTAAAGTCAAGAATACACGTGATTCTATAATCCATTGTTGATCTTTATAACCTTTATTTTTTTCAAAAAAATATTTGGGATGAACTTAATCTAACCATTATTAAATAGTATCTGTACATCCACCAATCACATGGACTGCATCAAAACTGACACTATAGATTCGAATCTCCCTTCAAGATAAGGTTTTGTAGCTGTTTTGAAAACAATTGGCTTCAACCTTCAAGTTTTCATAAAGTCTATTCATCTATCTTGAGAATAAAATATTTTGAGCCTTGACAAATAGTAGTATGAAATGAGTTACAGTATTTAAAGCCCCTTGTTATTTAGAATCTTTCATTTCAGCAATTGAACTTAATGCAGAACTCTAAATATACTATCCTTAAGAAAAGAAGTGAATATTATTTTTTTAATATGCCGTAGAATATTCCACGTATAATCGCTTACTCTCCAAACTTTAAATTAAACATACGAACTCTCACACGGCGTTCACAATCAGGAAATCAAGGAGGGGTTGTACTTCAGGTGTGGAAGATGTTGCATATGTGCAATTCATCAGCTCTTGGTATTGAAGCTCAACAGTATATAACCACATCTTTTGAATGGCCCAAGGCGACTCGATAAATATCAGAACTACTAAGTAACTCCTTCAGAATAATGACAAATACCCAAAGATTAACCATCCTTGGCCCAACTTTTTTGGTTCTAGTTTCATTCTGTTTCCTACTAATTGTTAATTTGAATGGGACTAGAGGGTTACCTCAATTGTATTGGTCGGAGGTGGAGACAATTACTATTCGAGGAGCAATATATGAGACAACCAGATGGACTTCATATGGTATATGTGGAGTAGATTTCAATGGTGGAAATGTGAACTGTACTACAAAGGTAATTGCATTTCCATACTCACCATATTACTCTTTTCTTGATAAGTCTACTTTACCTTCGGAAATCTTTAAAAATAGAGACTTATACCTGTCACTTTCTAAAGCTGCATTTGGTTTATTTTTATCTGGATTGATTTTAGTTTTTGTGACATTAATATTATTGGTATGCTTCTGTTTCATATTAGAGTCTCTGTCGATTCTAATATTAGGGGTTATCAATAACTTAATATCATTCATAATAGTAACAACGGCTACAATTTTGATAAGTGTGCCACATTTCATGGGAGTTCATGCTTTTGAAAATTATTCTCGTTATCGTATTCCTGCCCATATTGGAGCAAAGTTGTTTGGAATAACATTTGCAGCGGTGGCTACGCTATTGTTGGCACTTGTGTGGCACATATGGGCATTCTTGATCATTCGAAGATATAGAAGTTTCATTCATCAAAACAATCAAAATGGATTTGATGATCGGTTATATAGCCCGGATGAAAACACTTCTTGGGATCAAATGTACTCACAAACAGCAAGAAACAATTCTTCATCAACAAAGAAATATTCTACCGTTCGTACTGAAAGTATTGCAGATGAAATTACTACTGATAGGTATACAATTGAACCCAAATGTAAAGAAGTGTATGTCCCTGAACCTCGAGCTGAAACAAAAGATCACAATACTAGTGAAGAAAAACTTTAATTCTGAATCCTTAAATAAATTATCTCAAGTGTATCAAATTGAATAAATGAATTAACAAAAAAAGAATAGAGTAGGGTAAATGTAATATTTGGTACTGAGAATGCAAATTATTGCAACCATTTCTTGGCCCTCACCTGGGTCACGTGCCGCCGTTATGCGCTGTATGATCGATCCGAAATATCCTGATCGCGCCATGTCATAGCCCCCCGCTCCCGCCCATCACACATTATACCCGCAGAATGGAAATGTGTAAGCTTTTGGAACACCTCAATTCTGTTGCATATATATATATAGACCGAGTCCGTTCAGTTACTATTGCATTTTAGAGAATCCTTCTACTGAGCAAGAATGGAGAAGATTAAAGACGGAGCTTCGGGTCTTGGCATTACGGTAGTCGATGGGGCTACTGGGTTGGGCCATACAGTTAAAAGCGGTATGCACGGATTTGGAACAACTGTTCAACGAGGAGTTAGTGGAGTCTCTGAGCATACTGTATCATTTAAAGATTCAATCAGTAATATCCACCATAAGAAAGAATATGATGTAGTGGATGAATTGGTTGAACAATATGAACATGATATTAAGTCGTCTATAGCGGGCATGAAGTACATGTCACAGCAAATAGAAAGCATTGGTACAAAGCATTGGCCACATTATTTCAAATCTAACTTGAAAGTATGTGAATTACTACAAAATTTAATGGGTCAAAACTCTTTAATGTTCAAAGATATTGAAAAATATTATGCTCAATTTACTCATTGGCAAGCTGAACAATTGATACCTCTGGTACATCCAAAGGACAAGCAATTCTTGGTTGATAGTATAAATTATGAGCTTTTGAACTACCAGGCAATGTTAATTCGTGTTCGAGACACGGTTGTATCTGATTGGGTTGCCTTTAGTGTAGATAAGTTGGGTAAAATTAAGGAGATGTCAAATCGATTGAAAGAAATTTTAAAACTTATAAAGTTAAGAAAAAAGAAGAAGAATGAATTAATGAAACTTGAACTGCAAATATCGAAACTCATGAAGAAAACTTCACCTTTGGACGCTAAAGAACAAGCCAAATTGAATACACTGGATATGAAATTGAAACCAGCAACTGCAATTTTCCAAAAGTTGGATGAAAAGGTTAAAACCATTCTTCCACATACATTATCATTTTTAGATGAGTTTATAGAGATTATATCTAAGAGCATCATATGTGAAAATCTGAGGATCTTTGACTTGATTAAATCAAACTTGAATGATTATTCTGTGTTCCATGGATTTCTTCTGAATCTCGAGGTAACCCAAGGCAACTTCTATGATGAGCTAGTGGAACAATGGGAGAAATCATTTGACCCCGTTAGACTTCGTTTAGAATCGAGTATATCTTCCATCAGTGAAAAACGACCAGATTTGATTGACCAAGAAGTTGATCCAGAAGTGAAGAAAGATCTGCATGTTACCAAGCTATGGAAGAAGGCCACGCATTCAATTACCAAGCTGAATCCTTTGAAACCTTCAGATCATGAAAATGGGGTGTTTGGTGAGCATCAATCTGCAGATCCACTTGTTTCATATGAAAAGTATCACAACAGTCATCTCTATGTTTCTGAAGTATACCACCCTACAAAGTCAATTTCCTTGGACGATGTGATTGTTCCGCATTCATTGGCCCCTATTCCATTCAAAGAGGTTAATCCAGCTGGAACTAACTCGGCACCACCACCGCTTCCTCCAAGATCAAATACTGCCGCAGCCAAAATGTTGGGAGATCGAAGACAATCTACACTTCTGGTCAGCAACAAACCATCGCCAAAATCAAACGTTGGCTCACCATTTGCCGCGGTATTTTCTCCACCAACTATCCTGACACCTTCAATGGATACGTTATCGTCTCCAGATCTCTCACTGAAGAACATGTTGATAAAGGCCCCGATGGCCACCCAAATGAACCCGAGAACATATGCTCTGAGAGTTTCACATGGAGTGTTAGGATCATCGAATGGGTCGGTAACAGACCGGACTTCCGGGTACGGCGAGTGGTATGCCTGCAAGGCTGCCTCAAGTCTCACCTGCAAGTTCCAGTCGACAACTTCATAGTAGTCCGCACTATGGCCATCAAATGAAATTCTGATACTGAAGATTTGGATTCCACCTCGATTACATCTGCCTCTTCCACTGATACAGTTCTGTCATTCCCTAGTGAAATGGTAGAAAATGTATCTTCAATGGATGGAGCCACAAGAAATTTAACTAAAATTTATAACTATTCGAAAAATCGTATAGTTGAGAGTCCTATAACTACAACTTCTGATTATATCTGGCCCATTGATCATTCCGATGATCTCTTCTTACAACCAGTCACGAGCGAAACTTACAAACTTCGGAAATATTTCCAATTCTTCCATTCGTTGAATAAATCTAATGGAGAAATCTTAGAAGCAAAATTTGATTTCAAAGGATCACATCCGGGTGACCTTTCATTTGAGAAAGGTGATAGAATTAGGATCCTCTATAATTTCCCACAAGAAAAGTCCAAGGCGGCCAATTGGCTTGTAGGGATCATTGAAAGAACCGGAAAACAGAAAAATGAGACTAGAATTGGATTTGTTCCAAGTAATTTCTTTTAAAATGCTTCTAAGAATATATATATATATATATATATATATATATATTAATGTGTGTGTGTATGTGATGGCCATTGTAGTTGCAGTCACCTTAATTTTTGTTGCAAAAACCTGCATTTGTTTAAAAATTACACAAAACGCGTATATATATCAAAATAGAGACTGATTTATCATAAAGGGTAAATATCTATATCTACATATTATACCAAAATAAACTAATCTAATGACAAGACTCAAGTTTAATAAGCCGATTATTGCGTCGGTGACTAGTCCCATCGTAACGAAGGAGCTTTTGAGTCGACTCCAAACTCTTCTGGATGAACTTTCAAGTATTGATCAAGATACCATAGATCGTAAATCACTTGCCACAATCAAAGATGCCTTAGTCAACCGCAAGTTGTTACGCCATGCTAACGCTGGTGTTCAAGCGCATGTATGCTGTTGTATATCCGATATCTTGCGTATATATGCGCCAGATGCCCCCTACACAGCTTCCGAGCTTTCTATGATTTTTAAAACATTCTTTCTGCAATTTAAAAAATTATCAAATGAAGAGAATCCATATTTCCAACAGCAAGCATACCTTCTCAAACGATTGGCAGAGGTAAGATCTATCATTCTTGTAACTGATCTTCCGGATAGTGAATCCTTAATCGAGTCTATCTTCAATGTATTCTATGACTTATCTGCGAATTCTTTCCCAACTAGATTGGAACCTTTAGCAGCTGATATTCTTGCAGAGATTATATCAGAATCTGAAGTGATCCCACCATCAGTCTTAAAACTTGTATTGAACAAATTAATCACCCATGAATCGTCTTCGGCTTTAACTACCAATTCTAATATCTCCAACCCAGCATTCAACTTTTCGGTTTCCATTTGTGAAAGTAATGTTGATAGAATGTCTAGACAAGTAGCAAAGCTCTTTTCTGAGATGATATATGAAGGTATTCCTGAAACTCAAGACGAAACTAATAATAATAGTAACATAACACTTGGTCAATCATTTGAAATGCTTGACAAGTTGAAAAAAATCCATAAATTAATTGTTCAGATTTGGAAGTATGTTCCTGAAATGTTGGTAGCAGTAATGGGGTTAGTTGATGATGAATTGAAGGCTGAAGATGAAAAAATCAGAATTTTAGCCACAGAGACCATTGGGAAAATGATTGCCCATTCTAACTCGTCTACTACGACTCTTGTCAATAGAGTGAGTTTCATAGTATCACATAGAGATACATGGATGAGTTGGTTAAAGAAAACATTTGATGTCTCACCTACAGTAAGATGCAAATGGGTGGAACAAATTCCAATAATTTTCAGTACCACCAACGTAATTGCCGTTGAGGCAACAAATGAACTTATAAATGGACTCACCAAATGCCTTCTTGACACGGATGAAAGGGTTCGATTCACAGCTTGTAAGAGTCTTAATAAGATTTCATATGAAGTAATCTTGGAAAGAGTATGCAATAAGAACATTTTGAATACTCTTTTCCAATTAATAAGAGAAAAAAATCAAGAAGTTAGAAATGAGGCATTGAAAATACTTGGAAATTTGTATAATGAATATCTTACTGCTAAATCTAAGGGAGGGGATGAGGTTGTGGCATTGGGTAAATCTACCAGTAATGAAGAAGAATTCAAGGAATTGGAAGCTTTAATAATTGAAGGAATCCCCAATCACATCATGGCTCTTGTGTATATCAATGATAAACTGATCACATCTACTGTTGATATTACCATATTTGAAAAATTACTTCCATTTGATACAAATAATGTCACGAGAGTTGGTCGATTATGTCAATTCTATGGTAGTTTGGATGAAAAGGCAAAGAGTACGTTCATAGCAATTACTAAACGTCAGCAACAAGTGTCTAATGTTTTAGAAAAATTCGTGACATATGCTGGTTCAGTTTGTAAAACAGAAACTGAAGATAAGGAAAATACTGAATTAACTGATCATGGGAAACTGGATTCCTTATCCAAAGTAGATAAAATCATCTCCTGGATCTGTGTTTCATTACCAGAAGGTTTAAATTCATATGCATGTTTGGAAAGATTCTACAGATTGAAAAATTTCAGATGGTTTTATTTAATCAAGATTTGTATTTCTTCTGAATCTGATTATGTATCTGTGAAAAACTCAATGAAGGAGCTTCTTACCAAATTAAATAATCTGAAGAATCTTAAGTTGGACGATGACAAGACGACTATTTCCACTACTGATATGATTTCAAACTTAAAGTTATTGATGTACCGATCATCTCTGATAATATATAACAAGTCCAATGTGGTTGAGTTAATAAACTATACCAAAGATCCAGCCAACGGATGGTACAAAGTTGCTAACGAATTATTAGAAAACATCTCTGTGGTTGTACCTGAAGTATTCAAGTTTCAAGTTGAAGAATTAACAAATTTAGTACTACATGATGATGACAATAAGACTGTTTTATTGAAGACAAATTATCATTTCATTAAGAAATATCCTGAGTTATTCCCAACTAATATTAGGTTCACTGAGAAATTGAAATATTTAGCTATCAATGGGTCTGCAAATGAAGCAAAGTATGCCATTAAGGTTATTGGATTGAGTAGCAAGAGAGAAATAATGTCAACATCGATTTTCAACAGTATATTCCCACTCGATGTTCAATCTTCAAATTTGGTAGTAGGACTTTCCTCTATCGCAGAATTATTCTTGCTGGATCCATTATGTGTGGAAGAGTCTTCAGGAGATATCACTTCATTCATTATCAAAGAGATATTGTTGAAAAACCGGGAACATTGTGAAAACACCGATATTTGGATTGAAGACCTGCAACTTGAATTACATCCAATACTTCTTGAGAAAATTCTTGCGTTGAAAATATTTGTCAATAGATTGCGTTCTTTAGAAACTGATAAGGAATCTGATCTAGTTACAGTTGCACAACCTGTTCTCAAACTCTTAATTTCTCTCATTGGTAATGGAGGTGAAATTGTTTCAGAAGGAGGCACACCTAAGGCATACCAAGAGAAATTGAGACTTACTGCCGGATTACTTCTTTTGAAACTAGCTAAAACATCAGCATTTGATGAGCTCATCAGTCAAGCCAGTATCAACAGATTGATATTCTTATTACAGGATCAAAATGAAAATGTAAGAATTGGATTTTTAAAGAAATTGGAAAAATATCTTTCATATGATCTTATTTCAGAAAGATTCTTACCTCTTGTATACTTCATGGGTCATGAACCAAATGAAGATTTGAAACTTGGAGCAAGTACATGGGTGAAATCCATATACAAAAGACAAGCCACTAGTAAGAAGAATAATATCAAGTTTGAAACTTCATTGCTGAGACTTATTCATACTATTGCCCATACTCTGGAATTTGGAGAATTAATGAATCAAAAAGATGCAAACGTTGATATATATTTGAAAGCATACAGCTATGCACTGGAATTCATTGTATTGTATCTTACAGGGGTGGCAACCTCTGATAATGTTTCATTACTTTATTATTTCGCTAGTAGAATCAAACAATACAGAGATGCAACCGTGGATGGAGACTTATATGACGTTAATCCCTTACCGACAGAAGTAACAAATCTTTATTGTGTATCTGAGCTTGCGCAATGGATTATTAAAGAATTATGTGACCTTCGTGGTTGGACTTTACAAACCTGGCCAGGTAAAGTCAAATTGGCAACTGATCTCTTTGGACCCATGAAAAGTACAAAAGAGGCACATACAATTATGTCAAAAGTTTATATTTCAGATGAAGTGCAGTCGAAATTGAAAAGTTTGCTTAAATATAAATTGGCAAACTTCAATAAGAAGAAGTCCAGAAGTTCTACTATGAAACTGTCCACAACTTCTGAAGTATCTAAAAAGAGAAATCTGACAAGATCAACAGTACAACGAGCAAGAAAAAGATCAAAAACAGAGGCATCTACGAAATCAAATGATTCCAATGAACCATCCAGGAAAAGTACAAGAGCAAAGAAAGAAGTAACATATGCTGAAAGTGAGTCGGAAGCTGATTCAGATGAGTCTGATGAATCTAATGAATCTGATTTCTCTGATTGAAGGTTTGATTGTTAATAGAGGGTAGCCTCAAGCCAAAGAATATTCCTGTATGTGGTGCCCCCAGTCTCAAGATGAATTCGATGGCTCAATGCGAGTCGAGAAAGGTTTACCAATTTGGATTGAATTATTTTTTATTATTAGAATATATCTATATATCCATCATGTCCACTAAAGGTATGTATACTGTACACGGGAAGACTTTCCAATTAGCAACGCGTGTCTTATGTTCATCTTCAATTTTACTATGTTTTTAATTTTGTTTTATCTTTTTTTTTTAATTTGAAGTTGTTGCTTTTAGTGAATGGCCCACTAACATTAAACTAGCTGCTGCCCCAGATTACACTATTGCCAACTCTGCCGTTGTCGAAAAGTACAAGACCGCTGGTGAAATTTCCGGCCGTGTTTTGGCTGAAGTTAAGGCCTTGTGTGTAGCTGATGCACAAACCTTTGACATTTGTCAAAAGGGTGATGAGTTGTTAACTGAAGAATTGTCCAAGATCTACAACTCCAAGAAGACTTCCAAGATCCCAAAGGGTATTGCCTTCCCAACAACCATCAGTCCTAACCACATTCCAGCTCATTTGTCTCCTGTTAACGCTGAAGATACCGCCAACTTGACTTTGAAAGAAGGTGATGTTGTTAAGATCATGTTGGGAACCCAAATCGATGGTTTCCCATCTATTATTGGTGAAACCGTAGTTGTTGGATCTTCCTCTGCTGCCCCAGTCACTGGTCCAAAGGCCGACGTAGTTGTAGCCGCCTGGACTGCCTCTGAAGCTGCCATCAGAACCTTCACCACCAAGAACAGAAACTGGGATGTCACCAACATTGTTGACCAAGTTTCCAAATCTTTTGGTGTCACCCCAGTTGAAAGTATGTTGACCCATAATCAAGAACGTAATGTTATGTACGGACCAAAGGAAGTCATCTTGAACCCAACCAAGGAAAACAAGAATCAAATGGATACTTTTAAATTTGAAGAAAACGAAGTTTATGGTTTAGATATTTTACTCTCCACTTCTGAAGATGGTGTTGTCAAGCCATCTAACTACAAGACCTCTTTGTACAAGATTACCGGAAACTCTTATGGTTTGAAGATGAAGTCTTCTCACCAAGTTTTGGGTGAATTCAAGGAAAAATGTGGTGGTCCATTCCCATACAACATCAAGAACTTGCTGGATGCTCGTAAGGCTCGTATGGGTCTTATTGAATGTGTGAACCATCAAGTCATGCTCTCATACGATGTCATGACTGAAAAGGAAGGTGAATACATTGCCCAATACTTCACCACCTTTGCCATCACCAAGAACGGTATTGTCAAGTTCACTGCTCCTACCTTTGACGCCACTTTGTACAAGTCCGACAAGAAGGCTGATGAAACCATCACTGAACTCATTGCTCAACCATTGAAGGTTTCCAAGAAGAAGAAGGCCGCTAAGAACTAAAATTAGAAATTTACATATTTTACAAAGAATTCGTCTACCTATCTCTCTCTCTATATATATACATCCGCGCAATAAATTAAATACAATTATTAGCTAAGTATGGTTATATACAACCAACGTGCTTTCTACCTTGCCAGGATGAATTTGGAAGCATATGTCTATCCGGGGGAGATATAAAAATCGCGTTCGCTATGTGCCAAAATGTTTTTTTTTTTTCTTTCTTTAACGTTTAATTGTCGTACATACTCTTCTTTACAAGATTGCTTGTTGCTAGTTTAGTTGTGGAAAGCTGAGTTTAGGTGTTGTCTTTGCTGTGCTTTGGAAATGCCGCCGCGGTCCTCTCCCCTGTCATCTTCGGTGAATGGCCGAAGTAAACGCAACCGCAATCGATTGTCAGATACAAATGGAACCGTGACCGATTCCAGTACTACAAAAGGTAGCAAAGAGTTGGTATCAGATAATAGAGACTCGAAAGAACCTTCACAGTCACCTTCTTTGAATTCTGTTTCCTTGAAGGGCACCGCAAACGATACTGAAAGTGATACTTCATCTAGTGGTGGACCTCGTCGATATCCACGTCTGGCAAGATTGAAATCTCAAGAGGCCACCAAAAAAATTCAAAATATGTTAAGTGGTGGTCTAGGCGGGCCCATAAGCTTTAAGAATGAACGAGAAAAGCCTACGTCACTCCTGTTGGGAGTGGTTCAAAAGGGAGGTACAAAGGAGTTTGTAGAACCAAATCTTGCCCAACCTTCTCCCGCTTATACGGGACTTCCAATGGAAGAATTTCCCAATGCTAAAATAAAACGTGAATCATTATGGGGTCCAGGAAAGAAAAAGCATTGGAGATCAAAAGTAGGTACCGGCTCTAAGTCTAATGGTGGCACCGAGACTGGGACAGGAACTGGAACATCTGCAGATGGTGAGTCAGAACTGGAATTACTGCTGAATCTGCTGAAAGTTTCCAGCCCGGCTCCTGAAGATAAATATATAAATTCATTACAAACAGACAAATCTGAATGGCTTTCTAGTCCAAGTGCTATCAGAGAACCTCTCTCTGTACCTACTACCTCATCCGTACAGTTAACCCCGAGACAGGTTGTGACGTTTACGAGAACTTTTCTGGACTTATCAAAAATTGGCAATAGTCCAGAAGAACACCGAACGAAAAGAATAAAAGTAATATCACCAAAGAAACCGGCCAGTACAAACCTTGCACCCAATAATATGTCAACATCTACCAATACGATTTCAAATGAGGGGTTTGATGATGATTCTACTGGTGAAAACGATGACTTTTGTACCACTTGTGGGGGCTCTGGGGTGTTTATATGTTGTGAGACGTGTCCCAAATCATTCCATTTCACTTGTTGTGAACCTCCACTTGAAGAATTACCTGAGGATAATTGGAATTGTCATGAATGTTTGGCCAAAATGAAAGATGTTCAGAATTGGAATTCTATCGGAATATTTGGGAAGTTACTCAACCAACTCGAAACTAGGAATCCAAAGGAATTCATACTTCCAGAAAACCTTCGAAATCAAACATTTATTGGAGTCTCGACAGGGGTTAACGGGTCATATCAAGATTCAACCAGTAAGCCTGAACTAACCGCAAGACAAGTGCAACAACAAAATCAACAAATTGCAGGATTCAATCGAAATAATGATCTAGAAATTGAAAACTTGTACGATAAAACTACAGGATCTCCACATTTGTGCTACAAATGTGGATTGTCTGGTCTTGGTCATAAGACATTGGCACATTGTGACTACTGTCCGTTGGTATGGCATATAGACTGCTTAAGTCCTCCACTTCTTACCCCTAAAACTATAGGAAGTAAATGGAGATGTCCCAATCATGTATTGCCCATTACTATGCTTGGTAGGAGGTTTGTGGATACAGGGGTGGTTGATGTATCATTACAAAATCATTTCTTGGAAATACAAAGAGCTAGTAATTTTCTTATTCAGCAAGATGATCAACCATATATTAAGGATATGAGTGAAGTCGAATTGAAAGATTATTTGGAATATCAAAATGAAGTCTACAAGTCTGGAAATGGAAATAATAATAGTAATAATAGTAATAACAATACTAAAAGCAAAAGTATCAATGCTGAAAATGGTAATGATGAAGTACATCCAGATTTCAAGGTTCCAGACTACCTTCGAGTTAGTTCATATTCAACAAATGGTATATCTGCCACGCCCAATAATTCCAAACTTCGGAAACTTATCGTGGCGTCGAATGAAGACGAAGATACTGGTGCCTTTATATATCGAGTTCCTGAAAGACTGATCTTGTTAGACTTCATTCTGAAGGCATATAAAGTCAAGGAAACTCGAAAAGAAATCATGGATAATATCGAACATTATGAAAACAAGAGTCGACTAGAAACCAATCCTGAAGATGAAATGGTGGTTGAAGGACTTTCAAGGATAAAACGGACAGGTATTGACTTTGAAGAACTTGTACGTGTAGCCACAAGGGAAAAGAGTAACATCCAGCAAGAACAGCCAGAAAATATTTTGGATAGTAGTGAACTTTCCGATCTCTTGCGCATTAAAAAACTCATAGAGCTTAAGGGTAGGGAATCTATGCTTAAATTCTTAACAGAAAGTGGGTGAAGGGGTATATTTATGTATTATAATATTATAGAACGAAATTATTTAATATTCTTGAAAGTGCAATTAAAACACTTTATTGAACCAAACTACAATAATGGATATTTGTTCATAACATCTATTAAATGGACGGTGACGCTATAGTCTATATACAATTAAGCCCAAGTAAAGGATTCATTCTTGTCCTTGATTTCAACCTTTGGGATATCTTCAGGTTTCACAGCAGTTGCACCTGTCACTTTGAGAATTTCCTGTAAGATTTCACTTTCTGATTTATATCTACAATCTAATTCAGTCTTGTTGTTCAGAGCATCATACAAATTGATCTTTGCAGGACACTTTTCAGCTTCTTCAGCGTTTGCTACATTGACTCTCTTGAGCACAAATTCAAAGGCTTCGTTGTGGAACTTGAGGGTAGGAAGATGTTGTCTCCAAACTTGTTTTAATCCAATCGATGCTTTCTGTGGAGTTTGGTTTATTAAAAAGATTTCCATCTTTGTGAATTTTGGTCCAAATTTATAGGCATTTTCAGCAGAACCAGCAATCATGTTCAAACGAGCAGCTTGCTTGAGCAACCTGGACTTTGGAAGGTTCTTGAACATACGACAGTCACTCATTGTGTGTAATAGTTGTGGGTTTGTACTAGACAAGAAGCTCTCACAAGTTTATTCGAAATTGTATATGAAATGAATTTTTGTGTACGAAAAAAAAAAAAAAAAATAATAAGTTAAACAAAAACTTTCAATGTGTACATGCAGTCTTGATAAAATAAAACCATTACAGATCAGAGGTTCGAATTTCTTTGAAGGTTAAAAAAAAAAAAATTATAGAAATTATTGAAAATTCGCATAGACTGCATATACATTATGACTGATTTAACATCGCGGCTAATTTTCAAATGTCCATAAAAGAAAAGTTTCTGGATAAGAGAATTAAATCAACACTAAATCAAATAAAAGATCCCATTCCATTCCATTTGATTTGATTTTATTTATATGATGGCCGTCCAATTAATATCTATCCGAACGGTTGTTACCAAAGCTGCTAGATTTGTGCCCACACTGGGAGTTTACCCGAAAGGATTTAAAGTTGGGGGAATCCATTGTGGTGTCAAAAAAGATGGTTCGTCTCTCGACCTTGCTATGCTTAGCAACACACATTCCGAACCAGCGGTAGCATCTGCTGTGTTTACGAAGAATAAGTTCAAGGCTGCTCCTGTACAAGTTTCTTCGAGAATCGTTAAGGAGAAAAATGGTCAAGATATCAACTCATTGATCATTAACAGTGGAAATGCCAATGCTGTAACTGGTGCAAAGGGTATTAAAGATGCCGAGTCGATGATCTCAGTAACTGATTCTGTCTTGGGTAACAAATCGGCTGATTCTACATTGGTTATGTCTACAGGAGTTATTGGGAATTTATTACCCATTGAAAATATTCTTAATGGAATTCCAAAACTTTCTACACAATTGGGTGATTCGCATGAGCACTGGCTTGCTTGTGCCAAGGCTATTTGTACCACTGATACATTCCCAAAGTTGGTAAGTAAAAGATTTTCTATTAACGGCACTGAGTACACTTTGGCCGGACTTGCTAAGGGTGCTGGGATGATCTGTCCTAATATGGCCACTTTGTTGGGATTCTTTGTTACAGATGCACCAGTTACTTCTAAGGCATTGAAACAAATTCTTACATATTCTACAGATAGATCTTTCAATAGTATTTCTGTTGATGGTGATATGTCTACAAATGATACGATTGTTGCCATTGCCAATGGGGCTGCTGGTGGTAAGCTAATTGATAATACATCTGAATCGGCTGAATCATTTGCTCTTTTACAAAAGGAAATCACTTCCTTTGCTCAAACATTGGCTCAATTGGTAGTTAGAGATGGTGAAGGTGCTACAAAGTTTATCACTATTAAAATTAAGGATGCCCTTACATACAAGGATGCTAAAATTATTGCATCTTCCATTGCCAATTCTGCACTCGTGAAAACTGCAATGTATGGGAAAGATGCCAATTGGGGTCGTATTTTATGTTCTATTGGTTATGCCGACGTCAAGTCACCTGACCTGGTCAACCCTTCCAAAACTTGTGTATCATTCATTCCATCTGATGGATCAAAGAAGTTGGATCTTTTGGTAGATGGAGAACCACAAGCTGTTGATGAAGTACGTGCTTCTGAAATCTTGGCCTTTGAAGATTTGAATGTAGAAATAGATCTTGGAACTGGTGGTGGTCAAGGATGTGAATTCTGGACCTGTGATTTCTCCCATGAATATGTCACGATTAATGGGGATTATAGAAGTTAGACCAAAAAATAAAAATGAAAAGAGAAATGGCTAAAGTAATAAAAGAAATATTTTAAAATATGTGTACATGTAGATATAACGTCATTTTGGAAACGGAGTTATAAAAAAAATAAAACTCTTATTGGTTATCTATCCTCATTGAGTCATTCGGAATAGATTGCTATTATTTTTTACCTTTCTTCCCCAAACGAATGCAATCGAATCATGTGGGGCAAGGGCAAATGTTTGCATGAAGTCGTTTTACTAAAATGTAAATACCCTAAAAACGCACCTGCCTAAATAGTACATTTGTTAGAAGCGAGAATCTCAAGAACACAGTCAATCTCATGTTCATCAATTCCTTGAAATGATCGGCATTCGGGGATATGGGGAGGTACCTCCCCCCCAGTTACGCGTGCGCCACGACCAGTTTAATTGACGATCTATCAAGTAATTGACTGGGTATGTTGACCGCGTAACAATTTTTTCATTGTTTTCATATACAACAATCAAAACAAACGATTCTTACCGAAAATTAAGTTTGGTTTCTGCATGGTGACCCCTGAAATGAGTACCCATCTCCAAGAAATATGACGTCAGAAACGGCTCGTAAAATCAGACAAAAAAAAAATATCTTTTTTGGAGAGGCGATGATGTGATCATTTCTTAACCTCATTGTAGCGATATTTGGAGTTGCACATACGTCATTTGTTACATGTTGGTATCGTCTAAAGTCTAGAGGGTTACTTGATTTACAGTTGGGAAACGAGTGGGAAAAAAAAAAAAATACATAATAAAAATATCGTGTACACATTTCTTATTGTTCTACTCAACACAATGCAGGCCAACAATTAGAATCAAATTTTCTTACAGAAAGGTCAATATCTATCCACACTCATGAAACAAATCACATACCAATTCCCGGCCCTAACATGGGACGTGGGGAATTGTGCCACCTTGGATTGTGACATCTTCCTATTTAGCTCATCGACTAAGTTATATGGTGTAACATTTTGTGTTGATGGGAGGTCAAGGCTCATGATGTAACGATTTCCTATGCAATCACCGAGCTTCATTCCCCCTCTCGTGAAGTTAATTTTGTCTTCAAACAACATAGAGGGCTATTGTCTGCCGGTACCGCGACTTCAAACTTTACAGTTATTCAATAATTGGTGTTTCATCTTGTAAAATAAGTTTGTATCACCCCGTGCGGCTCACGATTTACATTCTTAGTTCTCGCGACCACAATGCAGGGGGGACCACTATGTACCTGAACAATAAATAGTCGTTCATATCTTCACTTTTTGTTTGTTTCTATTTCATTATACATCAAATTTTCAGTCATCTTTTCCCCTTGACGACTTTCATTATACTTCCACATATATATATTGACCTAGCTGCTCACAGATAGCAAACCACGTCTTAACTTTCCTTAACTTACCTTCAAAGATCAATATTGAAGAATTCCCAAACTTCCATTCTCGAGACGCAGAGAAAATTATTTTTTAACTAAAATAAAAGCCCAACCACTACCACCTCACATAATATGTCCCTCCTCATAGATACCGCAGTAATCACAAACTCGCTCTCGACGCCGTCTACCACCCTGTTGGGCAACGTTCAGATTGTGACGTCCTTGACTGGCGACCCTGCCCAGCTTGAATACCAGACTTCCGGTGGCTCTCAAGAACCAAGTTTCGTCACTGTAACTTCACAACATGGATCCTTAGTAACTTCTACAGCATCTGGTTCTTCTCCAAGTATCTCCTTGGAAAATGGTTCTTCATCTTCCATCGTGACCCCAACTACGACTGTTACCAAGACTGCCTCGAGCTCTGGTGCTGCCCCATCCACTTCAGGTAATACCAAGTATTCCTTATTAATTGCATCTATCTGGACCGTAGCATTGGTACTTGGTCTTTAAAATGGATCACATTATGTTCCTCACTCCTATTTAGAGTATACCCCCTCTTAGCTCTACTGTATCTGGATTACGTCACGTTACTCGTTATCCATAATTAATGAATACCCCCCAAGACATATAATTTTTCATCATGTAGAATTGTAATTCATATGATTATCTTACAAGTTCCTTGTAAAAATTTATCTTGTTGAGTTCTATTGGTTTTTTTTTTCTTCTAAATATCATAACTTTTATATATTTCTCTCCAATCCTTAAAGAAAGCACCAAAGGTATCAATACCAATTCCAACCTCTTTATATCCAAACATAGCTCTAATGCTATGCATGGAAAGTTGTGCCAAACCAACATCAACCACACGAGCACCAGTATCGCATGAGATCATTGGTCCAATAGTTCCTCCAGATGGTGCACCATTTCTAATGTGGAATTGTTGAAGTTTCAATCCATTTTTAGATGCAATTCTCAGAAATACATCAATTCCAACTGAGTCGGACATCACATGGTTATTAGCATCCTTTTTGATGGTCAACCCCTTGTTTGGTACGGGGAAATGTCCATTCAAGTATGCGGACTTAAAATTAGGATTCAATGCATGTGTAACATCTGCAGAAACAATTAAACTGTTGGCAAATACCAATCTGGATGCATTGGTAAACCCTTTAGCATACAAGATTCTATCCAACGTAGCATTTAAAAATTGTCCCTTTACACCTGTTCTTGTGGCAGATCCAATTTCTTCATTATCAGTAAGGTCAACTACATTACACCCTTTATAAGTGCTCAAGTTCACAGTTTGACCAAACTTGATCAAACTATGGATGGCAGTATATGAACATAATCTGTCATCAACACGAGGGGCAAAAATAAACTCTTTAGAAATCCCCCCTCTGCTGGCCTTTTGAACGTCATACAATTCCAAGTCCAATTGTATGATGTCACTGATTGGAGTATTGGAAAGTTCTGATAAAAATCTCAATAAATGAATACTATGCTTTAAAAGGAGTGGACTTCTTTTCTCATCTTCAGTCAATTTAATTGACTCTTCCTCCTCTTCTTCATACCCAACAATTGGAACCATTCTAGTCTCTTGATTATAATTTTGATCTTCAAAGTTAATGAAATGTTCAGCTAAGGAAGGAATTTTAGCAATTGGATATTCTGATTTAATCACTTTGGAAGATATTCTTCCATTTTTATCTTTAATTAAAATCTTACCACCAATTCCCAAATCTCTATCAAGCCAAAGTTTGTTGAGCGCCCCTGAATAAGGAGCAACCCCAAGAAGTTGGTATCCGTCAACGTTTGGTTTCTTGGTGAATGGTTTGAGCTTAGCAGTAAGTGAGTCTACATGAGATCCAATTACACCAAGACCTTGTTCTGGAGTCCAGGCTCCCCCAATGACAAATGCTACAAGGGTGAGATCAGACCTGACTGTGTAGAACAACCCACCGCCGTTTATAGCTTCAATGGTGGAAGCACTTAAAGATTTCTGTTCTGGAATAAAAGTGTACCCACTCTTATCTAATAACAATTTAAAATAATTGATAACATGATATGTTGTTGGGTTTTCATTAGTAAACTTTATGTAATCATTGGCATATACTTCATATTTATTAGAATTGATAGTATGATTATTAGCAATGGTGTTTGAAGTGGCACTAACGTTTGAATTGTTCTTCTCTTCCTTTTGATGTAAGAAATCATCAGTCCATTCTTCATCGGTGGATATTTCGCATTCCGTATCCGAGTACGGATATTGCTGACTGGGTACAGTTTGCATAGCACTGAATAGATGGTAAATATTTTATTTAATGATAAGTAATTTCTATAATCTTTATCTATAGTGTGGCGGGGTGGAGATTAGAGTGTCGTAACCAGCAAAATGGGGTAATGTACAGGAAAATGGGTTGCCACATATAGGAACGGCTCAGTAAGTAGAATTATTATAATGATATCCATTAACTAGCTGCTTGGAGATTAGTAGACGATGATTAGAGGTTACTAGCAGCTTAGAGATAGATAGCTACTTGGAGAGATGACGAATTAGATAGATAATGTGGTAAGATAAAATATTTGTTTTTTTCTTTAATATTGCAAAATGTTTGAGTAGGAGGGGAATACTTTTATTAACCTTTAAGATGTACAGGTTGACAGATTTATTCCCTTTTGTCAGTTCCCTCATATATATATATATATAAATATATATCTTCATTTTACGATGGTTCTAAATGGTTGCAAATCTGTCAATTTACTGAGTGTTGATATTTTCTCAGATTTAAATTTTCTAATCATTTTCCTCGAGAAAAACGCGACAGTATGATTTTTCCAGTTTAAACGCGTTAACCCCAACAGTAGAGTGCTGGTAAAGTTTCCATATATATATATATATATATACTCCCATACACAAAGATGGAAGCCAATACGATAACTATACATTGGCACGACGAGAACCTGCCTATCTACTCGGTGGATTTCCAGGCATCAGAAAACAACAAATCACCTCGATTCGCAACCGGAGGAGGTGATAATAACATTCGATTATGGGACGTACAATACACTCCATTTGCAGTCAACTATCTATCTACTCTCCTGAAACATACCCAAGCTGTCAATGCCGTCAAGTTTGACCGCACGGGGAACTTGTTGGCCTCTGCCGGTGATGACGGGTCGTTAATCATCTGGAAACGATCGGACACCATAGTAAAGGAATTTGGTAGTGAAGATGACGATGATGCAAAGGAATCATGGATAGCGAAAAATATCTTACGATCTTCAACATCTGAAATCTATGACATATCTTGGTCTCCAGACTCGAAATTTATAGCTACAGGTTCAATGGACAATATAACGAGAGTGTATAGCGTTGAGGCACCCATAGGACAAGTGTTCCAATTGAATGAACATTCACATTATGTTCAAGGAGTTGCTTGGGATCCACTTGGGAAATATTTAGCAACGCAATCGGCAGATAGAAGTGTCAATGTTTATGAATTAATGGCAAATAATGAACCAAAATTACTTGGAAAGAGTCAAAAGGCAAATTTCTCTATAGTTGAACCATCAACCGCATCACACACACCAGATAGAAACATTGAGTCTAACTCTATAGAGCCTGATTCAACTTTAGATCCGATACAATCGGTAATTTTAGCCGCTACATCTGCTGCAGTGGCATCGACTTCGACGACACCCATTGCCCCAATTCCTAAAAAATCAAGAACTTCATTACTTTATCATTCAGAAACTTTACAATCTTTCTTTAGAAGATTAACATTTTCTCCAGATGGAAGTTTATTACTTGCACCTCTGGGAGTATTCAAACCAGATGGCGAAGAATCAGAGGAAACAAATACGATATATATATATACACGGGCAGGACTCGGAAAGGGCCCAGTTTGTCATATTCCAGGAATGAAAAAGCCAGCCATTGCAATTTCATTTTCTCCAATAAAGTATACTATTGACAAATCAGAATCGGAAGCAGCATTTCAACTTCCTTACAAGATGGTATTTGCAGTAGCTACCCAGGATTCGGTAATTGTTTATGATACGGTGAATTTGAAACCATTAGGATATGCTTCAAATTTACATTATTCAACTATTACTGATTTGGTTTGGAATAAGGATGGACAAAGTATAATAGTTAGTTCTACTGATGGATTTTGTTCATCGATAATATTTAAAGAAGGCATATTTGGGAAGAAGGAGAATAGAGAGGGAGAAGAATTGAGGGTAAAGGTGAAGGAAGAACTTAAAAAAGAACTGAAGGAAGAACATAAAGAAGAATTTAAAGAGGAACATAAAGAGGAACATGAAGAAGAACTTATGGAGGAACGTAAAGAGGCACTTAAAGACATCAAAACGACTCCAATTGAACAATTCGTTCATCTGACTAAGATTTCTATAGAACAGAAAGCTACCCAACCTACAAACCCATCCATTGAACTGTCTAATGTTGTTGATAAAAATATTCATAAACAAGAAGTGAAAGAAGTTCCTACCAAGAAAAGAAGAATTCAACCAATACTAATTGAATGAGTAAATTGTCACTTGGACAGTCATTGAGTTTGTTCTACACCAAATCGAAGAACTTATCATGTGTATATATTTATATATGTATCTATTTATTCGTCGCTATAAATTCACTTCATTCTTCAATTGAGATTCCAATCTCTTTCTAGCCTTTAAGATCATTTCTTCTCTTCTCTTAGCCAAATTGGAAGATCTCTCCTGTTTATTTGACCCCCATTTGTTTGATACTTCTTCTTCTTCTTCCTCGTTATTGTCAGCATTTTGTTTTACTTTATCAGATAAGCCAAATTTTTCAATCAAGTTTTCAGATTCAATCTTGGAACCACCATTAGAATTTGACGAATTTGTTCTTGCTTGTTGTTGTTGTTGTTGTTGAGCACTTTCACCTGGAGGAAATGGCAATCCTCCAGTTTCCATGAATCTTTCTATGGTAGCTTCCACGGATCCAGAACGTTCCAAATCCATTCTGATCTGTCCTACGCTGAGCTGTGGGCCAATACTTTGAACTACTTCTATCATTGAGTCGGATATTGGTCTAGGAGATCTAGAAGTTGGGGTTCGCGTAGATCTAGATCCAGTGGTGGCAACACCAGGAAGATCCGATTCAATGGCTTGTGGAACTGGAGAAATGAGCCATCTCATCACCACAAATGCGACCAACAAGGTCCCGATGAAAATTAGAGTTGATGTATCCATAATGTAATCAGGATCTAAGTATATGATTCTTAGTAATTGAGCCGACGGAGTTCAGATTAAGAAAAAAACACCGCTAAGATTGTTTGAGAAAATGCGGGAAAAAATTCATTTTTTTACAGCCATTTCGCACTATCTTTTACAACCAACTGATAGTACACATGATAATAAAACAGTATGGGTTAATATATATATATATAATATATAAAGAAATGAGAGCATATACAGCTATGTATACACAGCTATATATAGTATATTTCACAGAAACGAAATGAAAGCATGATGCGTTAGAAGTGTGTGAGACAATGAGATTAGTACTGAATCAATAAGATTAATAACATGAACGGAACGGAATGAGAAATTTGGAAACAAAGAATACTTATAGATTTCATGGTATGGTACTCTAAGTATTCTCTTATAACTTCTTGCATTATAACTCAACCTATCTTTATTAATAAATTTTTAACTCTTCTTATTTGAATGATAATTTAAAATCTTTCTCTTGGTTTTTAACCTTGTACAAAAAATTTGTAATAATTTCATTTTCTCTTGATGGTAAGTTTATAAAATGTTTCTTAACAGTGGCAGCTAATTCACGAGTTGGTACTTTCTTTGTGTGCTTTTTGTAACTAGATGTCTTTTTCCCAATAGATGACTTAAGCATGTATCCATTGATTGTTGATGGTGACTCGGAACCAAGATTGTATTTCCTACTATAGTTTGTGAGTGCTTGTGATGGATATGATTCAAAATCAAGTGGATGTGGCTTTTCTATATCTTTAGGTCCATTTGAATTTATATGTTTTGAAAGATATTCTTGTTGTGCTTGTTGTGCAGCAGTTGCATTTTTCGCCTTTGCAGAAACTCTACCTCCAAACGGTTTAGATTCTGATTCTGATGCCGATTCTCTATATCTAGCCATATTGAACTTGGATTACTTTATTTACTCTACAAGAGATTAATACAATCACAATTGATTTTTATCATTTTTGTAAATCTAACAAGATACAGGATGGGTAAAAGTTCCTGTACAGGACTTGTGTCGGTCCTGTATATAGTTGTTGCTATTATAATGAATTTTAATATGATTTACTTTTGATTTAAAAACAAAGTATTAACTATATATAATATGATATCTTGGGTTCATAGAAACATATTTCAAAAAGTTTAAAATTATTTGTTTTAAAATTTAGAATTTATATCTTAAAGAGTAAAATGATTTCGTATATTAAAACTCGTAAATAACATACAGGAGGGATCCATAGTTTTTCCCCAAACTTACGACAAAATGCAGCTTATCATCCACATCGACTCATCAATTACTTCATATTTACCATCTTAACCGATCGTTTCTTCATCTACAAATCATAATCAATCTTTCTTCTTGTCACATTTACTCTATTCGTATCATTTTTAAACGCATTTAGTATTCTCAGGTATATACAGGAACCCTGTATCGGTTTAATACTCCTCGGCTTCGGCTCACTTCTTGTTTTTTTTCATTATTTTTTTTTTTTTTTAAAAAAAAAAAAAAATTGCATAACAATAAAATAGACCAAGAAAATTTCAATTAAAGATATCACCATGCATCTTAAGTCCAAAGGTTGCATTGACACGTAATCAATTGGTTTAGGGCAATGCTTTTGTGTAAATTTTAAACCAATCATACGCATAACGTTAGCCTAAGATTTCCTATTCTTACTCAAATACAAAGTTCTGCGGGCGTATGAATTAAAATTCAGCTTATTTTTGCTGTGCAAAAGCTATGCGTACCAAGTTTAATTCCCATGTGTCAAAAAAAAACAACTCTCAGCACTCCAAACTTAATGCATCCATCCACAATTACTGGTATATCCGACATTCAGTACAGATATAGAGAATGTGGACTTTGTGAATAAGACCCTTAACCTTCCGTCAGTTGCTATCGTCTGAGTCAACTCACTACATCACACACCCCCTGACATTGTCATCCTAAAACGATAACCGCCATACGCTGGGAAGTAAGATTATTTTACTCTACCTTTGTGTCGAAATGTGTTATCCTTTGTCCTCTGCAATAAATAAGCTTTAATTTTTTTTTCTGTGACTTCCTTTACTCGTTTAGTTCATGCATGGTGCGCCCTGTACTTCATAAGTGCGATCTTCGTCTCTGCAATTAAACCTTGGGAATTGCCGTATTTCTGAAACAACTGACCCCATCTGAATGTAGGTTCAGCACTTGATGGCGTGGATAAAGTTCTATTTCTACATTGAAAAAAAAATAATTAAAATAAATTGAAAATTAAAATTAATATTAGAATGAATGTGAAAAAATTTACTCACATGTTATTATGCGTAATATGCTTATGTTTAATTCTCCGAGAATTTGTTTACCATCAGCATGGATTGATAGGTGCTCAATCAATTAGGAAGTCCCACACACGCACTCACCACATACACCGGTGCACACTCACACATTACCAAAAACAGAAAAGAAAAGAAAAAAAAAAAAAAAAAAGACAATTTTGGAAAAAGTTTAAAAATAATATTAATGGCTCTGCTCCTCAAAATACATCTGATCACATTCAATTCTAGTACTGTTGAGCGCCTAAACAATCCAAAGTCATAACCGGCTGAGCGAACCAAGAAAAAATTCTCCGCGAAATTATGAAACTCGGAACATCGCTGCAACATTCCTTTCAATCTCTGGCTTTCTATTCCTCGTTTTCTCTTTTTTCTCGCCCTGTTCCCCTGAATTCCCTAATTGCATTTTAAGTCCGCTCCCGCATTTCGTGTCGTGCTCAGCCCGTACAACTATCTACCTCAACTTGCCCGTTCATACCCCGTGTAAACATAGCCCCCCAGCCCCTCCGACACATCAGAATTCCGCCGTTGAACCGTTATCAGTGTTCTAATACACCATCAATGCGCAACACTTCTCCTTTCCGTAGTCTTTTCATTACACTTTGAATTAGCTGCCGCGTTTTGTTCTCTGTCGTAAAAGAACCCGATCTTTAAGGAATGGGCTTAATTTCATGCAGCAATGTTCCCCTTTAGAATTTTAATATTTTTGAATGCGGTACTCAAGAGCCGTCATTTCTCGCCATACATATCCCTACATACGGGTTCCCACATATGTTCCCGTCGGAGACTAAAATAAAAATAATACCCGTAGAAAAGCTGCATTCACCTCTCCTCTTGGTCTCTCGCACGTGAGCAATAATTGGTCCATCTGGTACAGCTTTCTATCGCTCTAGTTTAGATCTTCTTTTGACGCTCAACACGTTATGTGTTGATTCTTTTCGCTTGAGTGTACTCTTTTTTTTGCACTTTGATTTTTCCTCTTCTCTATTGTTTTTTGTTCAAGCTCTTGTATCAAGGATCCTCCAATTGTTCAGTTTTATGGGGAATACTTGTTTGTGATTGGTAGCTAAGTGTGTGTGTGTGTGTGTGTTTTATTAAAATTGTTTATATCTTTCAAAGACTACCACATTAGAGGTTGTGTCGGAAGAGTTCTACCTTAGCCGTGATCACCAGTTATAGTTCTCATCATTATTTTGTAAACGTTTTTTGTTACAAATCATATATCCATCAAGGCGTCATAATATATTTAGGAGAAGTATCTTCACATCATTCATTCATTTATTCAATCGAAAGGAATTCTTTATAACAAGTTTGGAGTTCAAAAAGATTACCTATCTAAGAACTTACTTGTATTTTTATGCCCTATCCATATCAAGAGGTCAATAAACTCGAAAAACTAATAATAGAAAGAAGAAGAAAAAATTATATCTATCCAGATCTCCATTTGATCAATAGATGTTTAGTCACGAAATACCCCAACATCAAGATTTGGCAAGTTATCATGGCACTGTCAACAACCTCAAAGATGCAGTTCTACTTATAGAAGCTGTTCGGATTGGAAGATTACCCACTATTACGAGGAGACTCAATGGATATGAACGAGAGTATATAAAACCCCACCTGGTGTACGTTTGGAACGAAACAGAGTGTGGGTTGAAACGTTGGACAGATGGGAAGATATGGAGTGCTTCCAAGGCCTCAGGTCCATTTCTTGTATACTCAGAACTTAATAAAAAATCCGATACTGAGCCTAAACATAATGGTCTTATCAAGCAGAGTTTTAGTTTGAATACTAAGCAAAATCAAAAGTTTCATTTAATTGCATACACTTCAAAAGATGGAGGATCTTATACTTCTAATATCCATTCAACTTCATCACCATCTGCATCGACGTCCTTAGCTGCTGCTGCAACAACGTATCCACCGTCTTATCCACCATCCTCTTCATCTTCATCATCTTCATCTGCCTTTCGATCTTCCTTGATCAACTCTTCCTCCGCATCCACATCTTCCGACACTTCGAGAGACACGCCTTCATCAGACCCAGCCTTGAACTGCTTACACTTGTCCCCCTCGGTCTATCAAGAAAATCTATTATCATACATTTATAATGGAATCCCGGTCATGGCAACATTGCATAACGTTATTGATGCACCTCCTATACGGCGGTATAACAATGATGATGAAAAAATTGTACAAACATTGAACCGACATTTCCATAAAAGTTGGCCCTTTTGATAAGGGTCGAGCCATTGCCCCTTTCTTAGCTGTTGCTGCTGTTTTTCCTATTGCTATTATTATTACTATTATTATTATTATTATTACTATTACTATTATAATTATTATTATTATTATTTTTTATTGTTCAGAATAATCGGATTGGTCTTTTAAAGAATGTCAAACGTTTAACGGAAACTTTTCCGTTTCTTTTCCCATGCATATTTGACTGACTTAACTGCTCCTGCGGTGAAGACTCCCTTTGCCGTTTGTATTATAGATGGGTACCCAACGGTGGCTGTTATAGATTTAAGTAGATTTTGTCTCAATAAAATCCGATCTGTTATGAAATTTGAGGTTGTATTATGATAAAGTTTGTTCCGGAATGCCAATGGTAATGATTCCATTGCTTCTTCTAATTGATTATTGGAGAGTGACAACCTCAACAATGACGTAGAGGAAGTAGACTTGGTTATTTGTAAGATGTTCTCTTCAAGAAGTGACTCAATATATGGACCATAGAGTTCATTGAAGTTTGACATTTGTTTTGCAACAATATTTTTGATTTTGTTTGGGTTTTCACCACCTAAAACAATTCTAAAATCCCCAAGATATGAAATTGAAGTAATTGTTTCATATAATTCAGCTCTAGTGAATGATATGGACGAATCCTTAGTGCTGGAAGCTCGGAGTAAAAGGGCAAGATGAAGTGCCAGTTGACGGTTATAATCAACTGCATGGTCGATTAATGGATGATCTACAAGAAATTTCACAGGTTTCTGCAATCTTCCAGCTATATACAAGTTATTCCATTCAACCAAATCCTTCAATGCGTCTTTCAAGGATACTATTCCGTACTTGACCATTTTATGTTCTATGGGGACATATGGATTGAAATAAACCCCTGCACCAAGTGCTTGAACGTGCAGTATGGTTCGAGGTCCCATATACCCCAATGCAGAATAATGAGATGGGTTCAATTTCAAGTTTGCATCGTGCCAATTGGTTGGATCATTGACCCCCATGATGACGTCAATCTGGGGTACGTCCGATTCTGAATATCCATCCTGTTTAAGCACTCCTGAACCGTACCCGAATGCAAAATCCACCGGAGTGAATGAATCCATAATTTTGGAAAGTGATGATCTTGAATCCTCGACGGTTATGTTAGAGATATTCCCATCCTTCTTCTCGTGAATCTTAATCTGATTTACTTCTTTCACCAATCCATCAACACCATTTGCAATGATCAGTTTGAACTGTGGACGGCTCCATTGGTAGTAGGTACGTCGCACAGCATAGTTAACGTTCACTCTACCTTTCACTAGACCCTGACAACTAGCAAACATCTAACCAAAAATTTCGACAAATATGGAACCCCAATGGTTGTTTGAAATCCCATACACCCAGCCATAAAATGATATGATCCTATCCATTGCTTTTCTGTGTGTAGGAATATATGTGTATGCAGGTTTTGGAGATTCATTTTGTGAGTAGAAATAATATCAAAGGTTTCACCCCCCCCCCCCCCCCCATAATCCTAAAGGAAGGAACTTAATTAATTGGGAAAAATCTACTCCAAAATTCATTCCAATTAGAATAACTCTCATGGGCTTTTTGTTTTGTTGTTTTCTCCTTTTTTTTGCCTTCTTTACATACTCTTATTCAATTCCTTACCACGTGACCTCTCTTACCTTTTTTTTCTTTCATTCTTTCTTTTTTTTTTTTTTCAACTATGACACATACATAGTACCTCCGCCGAAATAGAATAAAACGTGTATCATATTAAACCATTAATCACAAACTGTAAATAAATCAACCTTTAATAAAAACACACACATCATGTCCCAGGCATACAGATCGACCCGTTCCTCCGGACCACAGGCCCTCACTTTTGAAGAGGCCGTCATGAAAGGACTTGCCCAAGATGGAGGGTTATTTGTTCCATCTGAGATTCCTCAATTGCCTGCTAACTTCATTGAAGAATGGAAGGACCTTAGTTTCCAAGAACTTGCCTTCAACATCTTGCGTCTCTACATCAACCCAGAAGAAATCTCTGACTCCGACTTGAGACGTTTAGTGCAAGTTTCTTACTCCACTTTCAGACACAAGGATGTTACTCCGCTCCAACCAATCGACAAGGAAAAGGACTTATACCTTTTGGAACTTTTCCACGGTCCAACATATGCTTTCAAGGATGTTGCTCTTCAATTTGTTGGTAACCTTTTCGAGTATTTCTTGACCAGAAGAAATGCTGATGTTGCTGATGATAAGAGAGAAACAATCACTGTTGTTGGTGCAACTTCTGGTGACACTGGTTCTGCCGCCATTTATGGACTTAGGGGTAAGAAGGACGTCTCTGTCTTCATCTTGTATCCAACTGGACGTATTTCTCCTATCCAAGAAGAACAAATGACCACTGTCGAGGACAAGAACGTCCACACTCTTTCTGTCAAGGGTACCTTTGATGATTGTCAAGATATTGTCAAGCAAATCTTTGGAGATGCTGACTTCAACTCCAAGCACCACGTTGGTGCCGTCAACTCTATCAATTGGGCTCGTATCTTGGCCCAAATGACCTACTACTTCTACTCGTACTTCCAACTTGTCAAGCAAACTGGTAACAGCAAGGTCCGTTTTGTTGTCCCATCTGGTAACTTTGGTGACATCTTGGCCGGATACTACGCCAAGAAGATGGGTCTCCCAGTTGACAGATTAATCATTGCTACCAATGAAAACGATATTTTGGATAGATTTATGAAGTCTGGTCGTTATGAAAAGGCTGCTGGTAACCCTGCTGCCGCTGAAGTTAAGGCCACTTATTCTCCAGCTATGGACATTTTGATCTCCTCTAACTTTGAAAGATTGTTGTGGTACTTGGTAAGAGACAACCTTGCCTCGGGTGATGATGAAAAGGCTGGTCAAATCTTGAATGATTGGATGGTTCAATTGAAGACTACTGGTTCTGTTGTTGCTCCAGAAGAAGTCGTCAAGGCTGCCAGAGTTGACTTTGATTCTGAAAGAGTCGATGACAAGGACACTGCTGCCACCATCAAGAGTGTCTACCAAGCACACCCAGACAAGTATGTCTTAGATCCACATTCTGCTGTCGGTGTTGCCACCTCGTACAGAAACATCGACAGGGACGCTGCATCTGGCGAAAAGGACGTTCAATATATTTCTCTCTCCACTGCCCATCCAGCTAAGTTTGCTGATGTTGTCAACCAATCCTTGGCTGGTATTGATGGTTACTCATTCGATAAGGATGTGTTGCCTGAAGAATTGAGAGCTTTGGCTACTAAGGAAAAGAGAATAAGACTTATTGATGAAGCTTCTTTGGAAAAGGTCAAGGCTGCCATTGAAGAAGAATTGGCAAAGGAATAAATAGATAACAGATACCATACGCCTAACCATAGTTTACATATATCATGATATAAAAGATGAAGCTGAAGTCTGAGAGCTTCTTGAAACTTCTTTCAATTCTATTTCTATTTCTAATATTAGTATTTAATCTGATGACGATTGTTCTGCTGATTTTCTCAATTTAACCTTCCCATCTTCAATCTCCACTTCATATCCAACATCTTTCAAAGCTTGATCGTCAACAGATTGTTTAGCTTCAAGATCAGCTACAAATTGTTGATTTTTTTGATTGTTTTCCAACAATATCTTTATACATATGATAGCTCTTTCCTTGATATAAGGATCGTTATCATCGATCATACAATTGGAAAGTACCAACTCTAAACCATGCAATTCTCTGACACGATCTTGCATCTTTGGGGACTCATGTGCCATGTAGGATATCACTTCTATAATTAAAGATTTCACTTGTGGGAATTTCTTTTCTCGAGTTGTATTTTGATCATTGATTTCTTCAATCTTCCGTTTTTTCAAAGTTTGACGAGCAACGTTATCTTGAATTACTCTTAATAATGCGACAAGTTCATCCATAGCATGATAATGTTCCAAGAATTGCTTTGCAGCTTCGAATTTTCCTAAATCAGAAATGCAATCAAGAGTGGAAATCAAATTCTTATGTACTATGGAAAGTTCTTGTGTATCGATATTTTGTGATGGGAGAAGCTCTTGTGATCTTTGAGAAAATATTTTAAAGAAATCATAAATCCATGCAAGCATGGCTGCAATTTCATAGTTATTCCAATCTGATTTTGACGTAACTACAAGTTGACTGGTTTGAAGAATTTGTGGGAAATTCAATGTAAAGTCTTGAGATTCCGTTACAAGCCAGTTATTATAACCTTCATGGGAAACAAGGTCTTGAAGCAACGAGAGAAGAACAGAATGATGATGGTTCAAATCTAAGTCAGTATCAACACTATGGAATTGTTTTATCAAATATTCAACCAATGCTGGAGATTTCATCAATAATGATAACCCTTCATTTTTGGCAATATTAGATAAAAGAAGAGTAAAGGGAAATTCTGCTTCTGGACCTAAGTCTGCTATTTGACTGCAATATTTAGTGGTAACTGTATATGTTTGTTGAATATTTTCTATTTCTTGTTCTTCTTGAGTAGTCAAATTGGCTAAAGTTTGTATATATGATACCAATAATTGAGATGATATGGTTGGATTTAATTGAAGAGATTTGTCAGCACGATCCCAACTGTTCAATACAGTTGAGTAAAATGGTCCATTTTCAGGTTGTACCGACGAAATATTTCTAAGAAGCAATAAAATTCCTCTGAATACACGACAATAGTAGGTTGAATATGATCTTCCAGGAGTAAATGAATCCAGAATTATTTCTATCAAATTGGATTTGATTTCATTTGTATTGAGTAACTCTCTGTATTCTTGAGATTGTGCTGATTGGGCCACTATTGGCCCTAATTCAACGAGCAATGATTCATATTGTTCTTCAGTAGCACTAATATCGCTCAACGTAGTCTGAGCTTTATTTATCACGTTTGACATATTAATATCGGGTCCATCAATTATATTGATTACAGATCTGTATGAACAATTTGAATCTCATCGGGGTTTATTGTTAATGCCGGAACTGCATGGTTCATGGAAGTCACGTGGGTTTTGTTGCAACAACAATACAAAAGTATGTCATTAGTTGGTTCTTAGCTCAGCTATAAAAAAAAGGGAAGGTTTATAGTAGTAGAATCTACACATCTTGATGAAATTTTGATTTGGCTTGTGGACTCCTTTCTGGGTTTAATTTATTTGAAGTACAACATTGTGTACCTTATTTATTTCTTTAAAATCATCTATCCCATGAACTCTATTAAAAGTCTATAATTAGTTCTATTTCGGAGTAATTGTGTTAATAACCACAATAAATTTTCAACATTTAGATACTATAGATTAATTTTTAATATTCTCCTTTGTAATATTGAAAACATTTTAAGATTCAAATTCTCATTATATATGTATATTACTTCACAATTTCAACATATAGTCAAAAGAAATAAAAGAAACTATCTAGATATTATGCAGATATTATCGAGATGGTATCCATTTCAAATTAACACTCATACTGTCAAACTAAGAAATCACACTTCCTCATATATTCATCTATCATGGATATGGATATGCTATTTCAACTATAATTCCAATTTTTTCTTTTGCTCCTTTAGCGATAACGGAGATCGCGCTATCAATATTTTAAAATGCGGAGGCTTTTTATGAATTTTTTTAATAATGACATCCCTGAATACTTAATATTGTGTGGATTTATGACTGTACAACTCTCCCCAGACATTAAGTCATATATAGCTTCCCTTCTTACCCAGACAGAGCTTCTGAAACTTGCGCAGACTTGTAAAGAATGGCACTTGATCTGTAAAGAAGTTTTATACTCCAACATATATATAACCGAAAGAGTTGTACCTCTACGGCAAACACCTCATAAATCAAATAATAATACTAATAATATATATCATCAACTTTGCAAATGGTCACTAGTTCACTCAAATTTTACAAAATTATCACAGATCAAAGAATTAGAGAGATCATTATCGGAGAATAACCTTCTTCCCAAGTATATAAAGAATATTTTATGCGATGACATAACATTTATCTTATTTAAATTAAACTCATGGAATAGAAGATTTCAAATTGGTCAAACATTACAAGGATTTTACTTTGGAAACGTCCCATTGAATCATTTTTTGATCGCATTCGATGATTTAAGTAGATTTCATAAATCAAGGGGGCTTAATGTAACTCATTTACAACTAACGTCAATAGATCAATTACTGGGGGTAGATTCAAAATCAATGACCCGATTAAAGGCACTTAGTTTTTATCTTAATGATTTTAAAGCCATAGAGTTAACTGATTTTAATTCAGATAATATTAACGTCATTAAGAATTTATTCTATGGAATTCATTCATTGGAAATAATCTCTAGTCATAACCTAGGTTTGTTATTTCTTCAAACTATAAATGATAAATTTAACCAACCACAACTTTTCATGAATTGTCAAGAATTATCAATGAATCATTGTCATGGACAATTTAAATCAAATAATCCTAATCAATTTAGCTTTAATAGTAATTATGATTCAAATAAAGAAGAAAAATTACAATTTAATATCATCAAACATGTTTTTAATTGTGGTATACTTGAAAAAGTATCATTTGAAATTGATTGTATGTATTTAATATCCCCAACAACTGATTTAGATATGGAACAGTGTTTATTAGAACAAGAAACAAATACATCATATTGTTGTTGTTTAGAAGGATTTTGTCAACAAATAGCTCAATTACCAAGAATTAAACACCTAAAATTAATTAAAAGTGGTGATAATAATTCATTTAGCTTTTATTACTTTCGTCATTTAATAATTGAATTACTTAAAAATGGGAAATTTTTTAAAGATAATTTAATTCATCTTAGTATTGATACTAAGAGTTCAATATATCCAATTTATGAATTAATTGCAGATGAAAGATTTCTAAGATTAATGATGACATTTAAATTACAAAATGAAGAAATATTTCAAATCGTGAATAATAAAAAGAATTATTCAAGTTTACAACGAATAGAATTGTTGGATTATTATGAATCATTTCATATATGGGAAATGGCAATAAAATTATCAAAAGATGGTAATATCATGACATGTAATTGTTGCAAATGTCAAATTGGTGGCAAAAAAATTATAGATTTTTTGAAAACGAATAAATCGATTCAATTTTATTTAAATCCTACAACAATTAAAACATTTCATCAATATTATTTTGAGTTAATATCAACAATATTAAAGATATTAAGAAATCCAATTGATGCAAAATTTAACGGTGGGAATAGAAGAGGAGAATTTAATTTATCAGAAGTTGTACAGGGACAAACATTTATTTCAGGAGGAGATCAATATGAAATCATGAGAAGTATTTTATCACCAGAAAAACTTGAATGGAATAATAATTTACTGCTTCATACATTATATAAACATGATTCATACAAGGAATTGGTGAATTATAACTTTGTTCAAGATTTAACTAGAACATTCCAACGAGAAAATGAGAGTAATAGATCATTTGAAATTGAATGTGATTGCAAAGGGGATGAATTATCGATATTTATTGAATTCATTCAACATCAAATGAATAGTAGAAATGGAATTAACGGTGTAGAGGTTTTCACCAACGGTCTAGGGTAAGGAATGATACTACATATACGGCGGAATTAAATGTATTGAATTATTTAATAGAAGAGGCTATGCAGAAGAGAAACAGCCCGGTGTGCATATACAAAAAGAAGAAATTGGTAGAGAATAAAAGATAGGGGGAGCGAAAAATATAGGGGGCTGGGGAAGAGGGGGGTAAAGGAAATAATTCACAATAAAACCAAATTAAAAAATAAATCGAATAAGTCCCGTCTAAAAAATATCTAGTAGCGTAAAAAAGAAATGAATGAAGAAGAGTATTTCAAACTGTCTGTAGAGAATTATAGAATTGATGGTGATAGAAAAAAAAAATAGAATATTAAAGTAGAGATAACGGCGACCCAACTACATACAGGACCGGGCCCTCCATGCCGGCGGATAAAGGAAATTATAATATACCTCGGCTTAGCATCAAGCTTTGTGCAGTACTAGTTGTGAGATGAGTGTCCTGCAGCCAGATAAGCCGCAATTGACACAAATTCTACACAGCAACTGCCAACTAGCATATGATTTAGGGTTTCCGGGGGTACCGGGTTTATCCATTGATCCATCTACCCGCGACATATTTCAAATCGCAAGGGTAATATCATTGTCATGTGTTTTGGAGAAGTGGGGGAAGGAGTCCACTGACCGGGAGACGAAATATAGGCCAATAGGAAGCCCGGAGAGAATACCCATGCCAACTTCCATGGATACCGGGAAGTGAGCCCACTATTGATGAGTTTCCCCTATCTACGGGAGAGAAACCAAAAGAAAAAGAAATCAAAAACCGAAAAAGTAAAAAAAAAAAAAAAAAAAAGAAAAAAAGATCGAGCTTTTTTAGTATTGAGAACAATTTCAAGAATATATCGCGGATAGAGCGTGTGAGATACCGAACCAAAGACAAAGAACAGAAAAGAGAACACAACTGTGGTAGGGTGGTATGGGTTGATGGTATGGATTTCTGGAACTGTAGAAACGTAGAGTAGACGACGACAGCAACACACCACAGAGTTACCCAAATTAGCAGCCGACTCCACATCGATGAAATCGGTTATCCATTCGTGCTGATTCACACCTGTGGCAACTGAGCCCTTATCGAGTGATGTAAGTGTAATTGACATATACTCCTTTTTATTTTTTATTTTTTTTTATTTTTACATTTCGGCAAGTGAAAGACCATTAGTGAGTTTGAATTTGTTTGCTTTCCTCTCTTCTTTCAACTCAAGGTCGTTGACTATATCTGAATCGTAACGGTCAAGATTCTTTGACTTAGTTATCAACATAGCCAACCGCAACAGCGATCCCCCTATTAAATTCCCCTTTTGGTATTGTTTGAAAGCGACCAATCATGAGCACGGCACATCTTAAGACCCAGTACCCAGTACCGGTACCCAGAAATCCACTTCCAATCAAGAACTTCAAGGCCACACACTCGAAACAGTTTGAGATAGAACGAGCCAGTCAGGACTCGCTCCCCGGTGAATACATGTCAAGCACAAGTTTGAGCACCAACTCTTCTAGAGCCGAATCCCTGACCAATATCTTTGGGGATGATTCCAGTGAGAATGTGGATACACATAGACTGCAAACACCGGCAACCCCGTCCACCAGTAACAACTCAGATACTTCCTTGCCTACTCCTAGCACACCACCCCCACGGATCATAGTTCCTAAAGCACATACCCCTTCATATAGATCACCGATACCCATCGTGTTTGGCTCACCATTGGGTATGACCACAAGGAGACCTACTGTGGCCCTGGCGCATACACCACCCCCACCCCCATCTTCTGTACAACATATTCAACCCTTTTTCGAAACAGCTCAAGATGATTACCTTCAGTTCCTTGAACCTAACCCTGTGGCACCACCAGAGTATGAGAGTCTCCCACCTGGAGGATGCCCCAAGTATCCGATCATGGGGCCCATTGAAACATCGGCGAGCTCATTTCAAAGTGAAACCTTACCGGATTACACCCCCACAATATATAAGATTGGGATGGTTTCCAGGAAATGCGAATGGTTGTCTCCATATGAACCATCAACCACTAGATCATGGAGGAATATGGTGATGGAGTTAAACTCAACACAGTTGAATTTCTACAGCATACCAAGTAATTTGGAGGCACACCTTTCCCATTTCAGAGGATCAGGATCCCAGGGAGAGGTACCTTACACAGATATGGACAATTTTAATTCTACACTCACCGATAACGAAGATATCGAATTTTACAAGATGTGTCAACGCGTGGGGATCATTCCTAGTGATGGGACAGATAATGCTAGCAATCAAAGTGGTAGCAATATTCGTCGAAACAGTAGCAGTACTAGCATCAGCAGCAGAGGAAATATCAAAAATAACAAGTTTTTGGTTAGAACGTATACTCTTCAACATGCCAGGATAGGACTTGCTACCGATTATAAGAAACGGTCTAATGTATTGCGGATTCGAGTGGAAAGTGAGCAAATCTTGATAGACTTTGGAGTTACCAAGACTTTGATAGATTGGAATCTTGCATTGGGAATTGGAAAAGATGTTTCACTTGATATTCTGGAAAGAGAATTGCCTCGTTACCGTACAGTACCAAGAAGAAGACGTAACAGAAATAGAAACAGAAGAAATACCACTTCGAACGACACAAATTCAAGAGAAACGTTTCTTTCAACTTCTGGTACCAACGGGAGAAGAAGGGCACAATCTGACGCCAATCTTAGCTATGGTCAAAATTCTATCAAAGGACGTCTATTCAGAATGAAGTCAAAGCTTCTGTTATCTGGGATGACGGATTCTTCCAATAATAATAGCAACATTCTACCTGTTCGAGCCATGCAGCCCACATTTAGTGTTGATGACGAGGATGACGATGAAGAAGAAGAAGTAGATGAAGTGGGCGGTACAGGAGGCGAAGATGAAGGAGCCTACAGTGGCGCAGACTCGTTAGATGATGAAGGGCAAGTGAGATTTTTGCATCAATCTGAAGGGGATGAAGAAGAAGAGGATGACGAAGATGCCGATGAATACGACCCTGAAATCCTCCAGGAGAACGATAGAAATGATAGACAGACTAGACATTATAGACCGTCAATCTCACATCTTGAAGACTTCAAATGGGACCCTTGCAGAGATAACACCACATCAGAAGCCAAACTTTTCAGAAACTGTCTTCGTTGTATCAAACCATTGACAGCCGAAGACTTATGGATCGGGAAAGTATTGGTTAAACCAACTACACTTTCTCCCTTAAACATGTCATATTTACGTAACGTCAAGTACGGAAGTGGAATTCCTTCTAATTCCAGTAGTACCACATCACTTGCTCTGCTTAGTTCAACAAACAACTATACTACCACCCTTGGTTCAGGTACTTCATTCAGGAAAAGAAGTTTCTCTATCAAGGATATCCCACACATGCCTGACACTACACTCCCCAAAGTACCCAATCATTTTGTTAAGGAGTATACCGTAGGATCGCACGGCTTAATTCCAAAGCTAATTTAAGCGGCTAATATATATGTATTTCATTATGTATTATCTATAATATAATCTAGTATGCATTCTATCAATTTTTATTTTCTATTTACAACAACCTTGGACGGTCTTTGATCAGCATCTTAAGTTTCTCATCTCTTGCTCTTTGTTCAAATGCCTTGATCATGAGTTGAGTCACTTGTTCTGAAAAGAGCAGACTAACTGCATTGTAGACTGGGTTTTTGAACGCATAGCTTAATGAGAGTTCAACTTCACAACTTGAGGTTCTGATATGTGGGTTCTTCACCTCTCTAAATTTCCATTGGGTATTCAATGACTCGAACAACAGTACAGTTAAGGATTCAGCCTTGACTGACTTATTCTTTTCACATGTCAATTTGCAGGTGAACTTCTCATCAAACTGTTTCCAACCCACACGCAAACCAGCCTCGGCAGGGAGGTTATGCGAGTCAGTAGCACTAACAAACGATTCTTCTACAAACGGTACGAATTCATGGTACTGGGACACGTCTGAAACAACATCAAATAATAACTCGGGGGTAAAATTCAAACGTTTCTTTACTATATATTCCTGAGGTTTATCCGTAGGAAGAAGAGAAGAAGGGAAGTTAAAGAATGACCTATGGAAAGGTTTTGACAAGTTGGTAACACCCCCGCGCCGTATGAGAAGCATTTTCTTATATCTATTTATATATGTGTATATATTTGTCTTAGTTTGCTTTATGATCTGAATATTAAAATTGTTTCTCACGCCTCTATAAAATTCGCGCTTCTTAATAGATACACAAACAGAGTCTTCATTCTATATGAAAAGGTAATTCCTTCTTTACAACATTACTCTTTTAAAATTACAATCGTTTCATGGACGTTATAAAATATACATTTGTTGGAACAATTAATCTAAACTATTTAGCTTATTATTTATTCGGCACGAGTGTAAATGGCTTGCTTAGAGTGCTTGACAACTGGAACAATGATACCTTCGGTTTCTAATTGTCTCAAAGCAACTCTGGCGATGGAACCACCGACCTTAAGTCTATCAACCAAGACAGAAACGGAAACGTACTTGTAGGTTGGAACTTCCTTCATAATTCTGTCGTATTTTTCTTGGTCAAGGATAACCATGTGTTGAGCCTTGTCCTTTACCTTACCCTTGTTCCACTTCTTCTTACCCTTCTTACCACCGGCTAAAGCGGCAGCGGCTTTAGCAGCTTTGGTTTGTTGAATCTTTGGAGCCATCCTAAAAGAGTTGTTAGTACAAATTCGAGATTGAAAAATCTAAAAGGAAAAAAAAAGAACACCCCAGGATGAGTGATACATTTCGAGTTGGGACAACTATTACAATTCATCCATTTGTTATTGTTTTCGTTGCATCATATAAGATGGTTACCACATTTGCTATTGCAGGATCTAGAGGGTTCATTGATTCATCCTTTTCCTATTAATCCATGTATTCATTAAATTCCATTCACATTTCAAATCGATCGTTCAATTAATTATTCTGTAGAATCCAGCTAACTGATTCTAATTAACTCTGTTGTATCACTTATTCCATCCTACGTGTATCGTACTACTTACTTGTTTGACGATTCTTAGTTACCAAAAACAAATAATTTTTCCCTTTAGAAATATATATCAGATGAAAAGTTAGTGAGACCTCACAGAGTGAGAGGGTCGCCCATAGAAACTTTTTTCCGATTTGGTGACACAAAAGTCAATTTAATAGTCACGTTATCTGTGACCATGATAATCTTAGCCCTAATATATCACGTTCCAGAAAACCGAAAGCACTATTTTCAATCATATCATTTTTTTTTTTTTTTATTTTCATTTTTTATTTGAGAAACACCACAAAAATGATATTCATTATATACAGTTTATATATTTACACCAAATAATAAATGACCATGTGCAGTCTTAATGAAGTAGTGAGCCAAAAAAAAAATAAAAAAAGAAACGGAGAAATTGAAAATGCAACATGAAGGAATTGAAACGAACAATAATAATAGAGACTGTAACTTGATTTATTAAACCAGGTTTTTTATACTCGTGTTAAAGGGTGTATTTGATATTTAACACTCTAAGTTTTACCAGTACTGAAATGTCAAAGAGACAAGCCACAGGACAAATCACTAAGGATCCTAGAGAAAGGGATTTCCTTAGTAGTGATGATGAATCTCAACCAGTAGCTTCAATTGCATCGGCTGATGTTTTAGCCAAGAGAAATATAATCAAGCCTCGATCTAGAATTGGGGCTAAAACGGGAGGTAATGCCTTTGGTGGTGTATCTGGGTTCAGTAACAACGGGTTCAATGGGTTTGCTTCTGCTAATAACAAACCTGCTTCAACCACTACGAATGGTTTTGCATCGTTTGGAAGTGCACAAGTTGCTCCAGCTCCATCTATCACCAATACATCTACCGCATTTGCCAAGGATCCTAATGAAGTCATCAAGGCTTTGAATGAGAAGTTTGTGCAAGCTATTGTCAAGGCCAACGAGGGGGACTCGGTTGCAGACTTTACTACAATTGCCCAAAAGTACATTGACTATTACAAGAACCTCAAGGGTAATAACAACAAGGTACCATCATCGACCACTGCCCCAGTTCTGATTCCATCTTCAACTCCTCCAACTACTGCACCAACCACTGTCGCGGCCCCTTCAACCAAGAAGGTGGAAAAGAAGCCTGTGGAATCATCAGACTCTGAATCTTCAGATGAAGAAATTAAAATTGAAGGTCCAAAATTCACTTTAACTTCAAAACCAACTGCTAAGAACTCTCCCTTCTCCTTTGGGCCTAAGCCTGCTCAAAAGAAGGATGACTCAGACTCCGAATCAGAAATTGAAATTAAAGGTCCTACTTTCAGTTTCAACAAACCTATCAAGGACAATGTTTTCAAATTTAAGTCTGCTGACACGACTGGATCTAGTGGCTCTTTTGGAACTCCGGTAGTAGATAAGAAGGATGAGCCTACTCCAAAACCTGCATTTTCTTTTAATAATGATACTAAGAAGGATGAACCAAAGCCATTTTCCTTTGGTGCTCCAGCCACTGAAAAGAAGGAAGAAACCAAGCCTACCTTTTCATTCGGTGCTCCTGCAGCTGAAAAAAAGAATGACTCAAAGCCTGCTTTCTCATTTGGTGCCCCAGCTGTTGTTGCTGAAAAGAAAGACGAAGCCAAGCCTTCCTTTTCCTTTGGTGCCCCAGCTACTACTGAAAAGAAGGATGATGCTAAACCTGCCTTTTCGTTCGGTGCCCCAGCTACTACTGAAAAGAAGGATGATGCTAAACCTGCCTTTTCGTTCGGTGCTCCAGTTGCAACCGAGAAGAAGGATGAACCAAAACCAGCTTTCTCCTTTGGAACTCCTGCCACTGAAAAGAAGGATGATTCTAAACCTGCATTCTCATTCGGAACTACCGCTCCACCTGTAGTCTCTGAAAAGAAGGAAGATTCCAAGCCTTCCTTTACTTTTGGTGCCCCAGCTACTACCGGATCTAAGCCTGCATTGTCCTTTGGTGCTGCAGCTTCTACTGAGTCCAAACCAGCATTCTCATTTGGCTCTGCTACGAAACCAGCCTCTTCTTTTGGTGAATCAACACCATTCTCCTTTGGATCTTCTGACCAAACTAAGCCAGCATTCTCTTTCGGTTCCAAACCAAATGATTCCAAGCCTGCTAGTGCATTCAATTTCGCATCAAACGGCACCGCACCAACTCCAACTACCAATGGCTCTGCTACCGCGGATGATGCTGTAGAAGAAGAGGAAGCAAATGTAAACTTTACTCCAGTTGCTTCTTTAGGAAATGAAAAGGTCGACACTTCGAAGACTGGAGAAGAAGATGAAGAGTTGTTGTACACCAAGCGCGCCAAATTAATGTTGTTTGTTCCATCCAACAAGGAACAACCATATGCCAACAAGGGATTGGGTGAATTAAAGGTGTTGAAAAATAACCAGACTAACAAATCCAGAATCTTAGTTAGAGCCGACGGTGGATTAAGAGTCTTGTTAAATGCTTTGGTTAACAAGGATGTTCAATATGATACCATTGGGAACGGTTCCATGGTACGTGTACCTACTGTTAATGCTGACAAGTCCATTGAAACGTTCATCTTGAAAGTGAAAACTCCGCAAGACGGACAAGATTTGTTGAAGGTACTTAACGAAGCTAAATAGAGAGCGCAAAGCTGATTAATGTAATATAATAAAACACACAAAATACAATTATATAGGATCCAATAATATCAACACTATCGGGTAATCCATAGTCTTTTGATAAAATTATTGTAGAAGCTTGGATATCTTGATATATACTATGCGTTTGAGTTGAGTTTCAAGAACCATCCCCGATATGAAAATCTGTTTAATCTAACTTTTAGAATATATCTCTTGTACTTTTTGCATGAATTCGTATTCAAGTCCCACATTCAAATACTTGTAAGACTCTGGAATTGACTTAGAGCCATCACGTCTATTTAAAATCTTTCGATTTTGTTCTCCAAGAATTTCCAAACTTTCAGATTTCGATCCATATAATTTAAATGATATTTTATCTAATAATGCAAGTAAGCAAGACCTCAAGAATTTGTCATTCTCAAATACAAATACATCCAAGACATGACAACTTAATTGAAAGTCAAACATGTTACTGAAGATCCCCAAGAGGATACTGGGGGCATAATCCAATGGTTTCATGCCTGTGACTCGGAAATGTACAAACAATCTGTTTTGCTGCTTTTTCAAATCCTTTTCAAAATGATTGAAAAAGTTTTCATATATAGCCTTAATTAGGGTGGTCTTCTGTTCAGAAGTGAATTGTGATTTATCTCCCAGGATTTGTCTGAGACTAGTAGGTTGTGGTTTAGTAGTAGAGGTTTCGGCAAATGCCCTATATGCCAATAATAAACTAGGAATGTTTTGTTGAAACATGTTGCATAATGAAATGAAGGTTTTGAAATGTTCCTTATAATGGAATAGGAGAATACCGGCCAAATTATTCAACCCAGTGAAATAATAGTTCAAGTTTAAGTTTGTGAATTTGTTTTCATCAAGTTCAATACCTTGGTCAGTCTCATTGTAGTATATGATAAAACTTGTAATGATCTTGCTCAAGGCCTCGATAATGTCATGATTCTGGAAATAATTCAAATCAGGGAAGGTGTCAAGTAAATCAGTAGACAAACGATCATAATACCTTTTCATTTTGATAATGTTGGGGTTCATTTCAATATAATCATCGAGTCTTTTTGTGATTTCTGATTCTTTAAGTTTCAACCCATTCTTACCATGGGTCGCTCTATCAAGTCTATCTTTCTTTAATGATTGTAAGATATTCATTCTTTCTCTTAGAAGGATATTAAACTCATTGACTTTGTTTAAAAACTTCTCAACCTTCCCAAAATAATATTTACAAGTGTATTCACTCAATTGAAGAGCATTTCCGATTTGATCATACCATATCCTTGACCGTAATCTTACAGGCAATCCCCTCCAATACATGGCTTGTACTTCCTTAGATTTGAGCTTCTCCAAGTATTGTTTCTCAGTGACGGTGGCTCCATCTGGAAGAATGTTCTGCTCCCATTCCATTAAATCATTTCGTTTCATTTGTTTAATCATTTCTAAGTTAGCCAATCTCTTCTTTTGTTGTTCTGATTCCTTTTGAATGGCTAGGTATATTAAATCTTTTGATTCCTTTTGATGTTTCTTCTTATCATACGACGATTTTGGTGGTAACCAAGTTGGCCGTGTGAATGAATAATATTTAGATGAAGTCGGAGCCGGTCCAGATGATATAGAAGTGGAACTTTGTGTAGGAGGAGTTGGAATGGATGTTGAAGGAGTGTTAGAGGTGGCACCTCCTGGATGTGGTGCTGACACAGATCGTGGGGTCCCACCAGTGGGAAGTTTAGGTATGCTGTAGTTTGAAACACTTCGATTACCCTTTTTCAGTTTATTTGGGAAGACTGGAGGAATAGTAATATTGATTTTTTGAAAACTTGAAAGCATGCGATGTCTTTGACTGATTTCTTCATTAATTTGAACCGCCTCGTTTCTATTGAATAAAAGTGTGAGGTCACGGGCATCCTGTGACAAATGCAAATCCTCTACATTGAACGTCAGAGCATTCCCCGATGCCAATGGCATAATTGGTGATGGTTTAAGGGTGTCGTCAACGTCACTGCTTACCGCCGAGGATATGCTAGTCTGACTAAGTAGCGATGAAGATCTGGTAGATTCAACTGTTCGATCATTATTCGTGAAGGTATATCTTTCTCGTTGTGAAATTGAAGCAAGTTTCTGTGAAAGTGGGACGTTGAACATATCGATATCATTGTCAATATCATCGTCATCTTCGTTGTCGTTGTCCTCTTCGTTCGCATCATCACATCTACCGCTAGTATTCGCACTCTTTCCATTATGTACACCATTGGATTCCAGTGAAGTTAGGCCACCATGATTTCTAATCTTGCTAATATTTAACCTCTGGGAAGACGTAATACTTGGTGAGTTACTTCCTGAATGTGAAATAGAAGTATCCATGTTATTATGGCTACTATTACTTGTACTACTTCTGCTGCCGCTGCTGCCGTTGATCTGTCCCGTCTTTGCCAGCTGGCAGTTTGGACCACCCATTATATGTCGTTCAGACGCGTCCCCAGTCAAATTTCGGTTCCCCAGTGTACGTGTGGTAATTGTGACACTTCCTTGCTTGGCCATTGGTGATAATTTCAGTGGATCTCTATTAATTGCAGCAAGTGACATTCTTGCAATCTTCTAGTTTCTTTTTTTTTTTTATTTTTGTAACCTTTATCTTACAGTGCACTTACGGCTGTAAAATAGTCCTAATTGTCCAACGGTACTTTCCAATGCAACCGAGTCTCTCCCTCTGTATCTATCTCGCTAACCTGTAAACAATGTATTTCGCCTGCTGTCTTTTCTGGGGGTCTTGCATCTGCACAATGTGACTTGTGCCTGAAAAAAACAAACACCTCATGTACTTGAGAAATGGAACGTTTCAAAATTTTCTTTTTTCTTTGCATATATTATTGTTATTATTATTGTTTTATAATAACGGCGTGTGTTTCAAACACGCGTTATATCGATACATTTGATCTTGATACGCCCCATATATTTTGATTGTACATGTGCTATATATAACATGTCCCTCTAGATATCTGATATAGATACCTGATGGGTGACCGTATAGATATGCACAATATAGCCGTACTTTGATTGTGGGGCAACAAGGTCCAAGTATCGGACGATATTTGTAGAATACAAAATCAATTCCGCATAAAAATTGAGGCTCCCTCTTCACGTAGTTCATCATTTATATCACATAGATTAGTTAAAAAATGAATTTATTCATCATACTTCTAATATCGAACCACTCCCCTACATTAACATATATTATAAACTTTAATATTTTATATATACAAATAAGTTAATATTCCTTCATCTCCCTATATACATCAGTCTTATGATCTATTTCTTTAATTCTTTTTGTTGTCCTTCATGTTGAAAAATCTTCCTAAAAACTTGCCAATTCTGTTGGTTTTGGTTGGATTTAAATCATTCTCATCAATAGTTTGATCAATCTTTCCTTCTTCTTCTCCATCTTCCAAGTCAAGTTTCCAGTGTGCGTCTGTTCTCTTGGCATCCTTATCATTGAATGCATCGGCAAGTGCTTCAAGCAATGCTGTTTGAACTGGGGTTTCTGGAATAAGGGTCTTTACACCCAAAACAATCTCCATATCACCTCTGTTGTTGATGTTACGATTGATAGGTACCCCCTTGTCTGGAATTGTAAGTTTACGTCCATTTTGAACACCAGGACGAATCTTGAGCTTAATGTTCTCGCCATCAATAGTAGGAACAACAATTTCTCCTCCCAATGCTGCTGTAGTCATTAAAATCTCCTTCTTAACAACAATGTTATTACCAGATCTTGTAAATGTAGGATCCTTAGAAACATGGACGCGGATAATCAAATCACCATTTCTGGTTTGATTGTATGGATCCTTGGTGACAAATGGTGCATCACCAGCACCTGGTACACGAAGACGTGATCCATCTACAATCCCACATGGAAGATCAACATTGGTAGACTTAGGGATCTCTTCAACACCATTACCATGACAGGTTCCACAAGCATCTCCCTTGTTAATGGTAACACCTGACCCATGACAAGTTCCACAGGTCGAAGCCATATGGAATCCTCCCATTACATGAGTTGATTGACCAGTACCATGACAGTTGGAACAAGTGGTCTTCTTCTTACCCTGTTTCATTCCAGACCCTTTACAAGTACCACAAGAATCAACCGCCTTATAATTTACCAGAACCTTAGTTCCGAAAATAGCTTCCTTAAAGGAAATAGTCTTCAACACTTCAATGTTGTCCCCGACATGTTCTTGAACATATTGACCACCTCCGCCACCAGATCCACCGCGGCCACCATTGAAAGCCTGTTTGAACAAGTCTTCAAAGTCAAATCCCATCCCACCAAATGGGTTACCTCCACCTCCTGCTCCTCCAAATGGATTACCACCATGACCTCCAAATGGATTACCACCACCTGCGAAAGGGTTAGCATTACCATTGGCATCAAAGGCTCCAGCACCAAACTGATCGTATTGAGCACGCTTCTCCTTATCACTCAAAAGCTCGTATGATTCCTGAATCTTGTGGAATCTTTTCTCGGCATCCTTTTCCTTATTAACATCTGGATGGAACTTCTTAACCAATTGGTAGTATGCCTTTTTGATGTCCTTGGCATCTGCACTCTTTTCAACCCCCAAAGTTTTGTAAGGGTCAAAGTCTATCAAAGTAGCGTTACTTCCATGGAATTTTCTCTTTTGATCAGTCATTAATATTCTGTTATAAGAAGTTCTACCATTGGCTGTGGCCCTGTATAAACTTCTTCTGGCCGTGGCAGAAGCTGCCGAATTTCCCGATCTTAAACACTTAGTGGCACATCTTTGTGCCCTCTTCAAGATCTGTATATTGTTACCGATCATCATCTCTCCTCTACACTAATCTATAATAATTTAAAATAGTAGGAAAAGAAACTCTAATGAAAGAAAGAAAAAAAATTGTAAATTAACTAACTAACCATATTGATACTCTCATAGTTAATGCGCACAGTATGTTCTAGAAAAAAATTGTTGATTTAGGTCACGTGACATTGTATCCAAACCAAATCAAACTAAATTGAACTAAAAAAAAAATACAAAGAAATTTTATGGAATTAAATACATAGTTATTCATAAAGGTATTTGAATTGGATATAAACATATAGAATACGATGAGAATTAATTGGAAGTTACCATTAGAACCTGAACCATAGAAAACTAATTTACATTACTATTTATTCATTCACTTCAATATGCAGTCCGAGTTACAATCATAAGTATTACATAATCTGTTACAAGTTGCAAAAAAAACTTCCAACTACTCACTCTTTACACTACATTATAATAAATCTATTGTAATTTATAGTTATTTTCAGCTTGCTGAGTAATATATAAAGAATTAAAACTTTTGATCCCAAGATGATAACTTCATGGTACCATTATCTTGCAAATTTAAATGCATTTTAAAGGCATCACGTAAGATGTGTGGTTCATGCAAACATTTGGCCTTTGTGGCATAAAAGACAGCTCTTTCATAGTAATCATTCAATTGATCTCTATAATCTGGATGAGCAGCCTTATTGATCAAAACCTTGGCTCTTTCCTTTGGTGATAACCCTCTCAAGTCAGCCAAACCTTGTTCAGTAACAACAACATCCAAATCATGTTCAGTTTGATCAATATGGGATGCAAATGGAACAATACATGAAACACCGGTTGGATCAGTCTTGGATGGTCTAGCAGATGGAGTATGCATGACAGACAACTTGGCATTTCTCAAGAAATCAGCGGAACCTCCTAATCCATTCAACATTCTAGATCCCATGACATTAGTAGAGTTGGCATGAGCATAAATATCAACTTCAACTGGAGTATTCATAGCAATGGTTCCCAATCTTCTGATGATTTCTGGAGAGTTGGAAACAACTTGAGATCTTAAACATAATTTCTTGGTGTAAGTATCCCAGTTTTCATAGAATTTTTCAAATCCAGCTTCAGTTAATCTGATAGAAGTAGCAGTGGCATAATCCAATGATCCACTTTCAAAGAAATCCAAGAAAGAATCTTGTAACACTTCAGTCCAAACGTTTAAATTCTTGAAGTTGGACAGAGCCAATCCTTCAACCACGGCGTTAGCAATATTACCAATACCAGATTGTAAAGGATGTAAATTTTCTGGCATTCTACCCATCTTAACTTCATGTTCAAAGAATTCCACCAAATGTTGGGCAATTTGTTGAGACATAGCATCAGATGGAGTGTTTGGAGGAACCTTATCTCTTTGAGTTGATTCAACAATCGCAACAACCTTGGATGGATCAACTGGAATGGATTGTAATCCACTTTTCTGGTCAACTCTGGTGTATGGGTATGGTTGTCTGAAAGGTGGATTCACAGGCATATCAATGTCATGTATACCTTCGAATGAAGGAGTGTTTGTATTCACTTCAATGATAATTTTATCGGAAACTGAAACCATCTCTGGGGTAGCACCAACAGCTGGCCCGGGGATAATGGAACCATCTTCAGTGATAGCAGTGGCTTCAATAATAGTGTAATCCAACAAATCATTAGATTTTTCTCTCGTATAATATCCATAAGTTAAATCTTGTGGGAACATGGATAAATGCTTATCAAAGAACTTGGTTCTACCATCGTTAATGGCCTTGGCAATTGGCTTACCAACTTGATGTGGAGATCTACTCAAGATCATGGAGTTTTCAGCCCATCTACTTTCTTCAGGACCAGCGGAAGCACCAACAAACAAATTGAATGCATATTTGCCTTGCAAGTTGTTCTTTTCTACATGATCAGCCAATGCAGTTGGGATGACCTTGGGGGCACCAACCCCAGTGAAACCGGACCATCCAAGATATTGACCTGGAGAAAAAAGCTCAACACATTGTTCTGGGGTTCTAAGTTTCTTGAGGTATGGAGCGTATCTAACTCTCAGTTTAAGTATAGAAGACATTGTGGTGCAATCCTTTGTGGGATATGAGGTTCTGTGCTTTTAGACTTTGTACAAGAAATAATTTCGGAGACGGAAAGTTCCTTTAAATAAAAAGTTGGTGTGGCGTGATAGAAAGAAAAAAAATATTATTCTTCTCGACTTGACTAGAACTATAATTAGTATAAATGTTACTTAAAATTCAATTTCAGTACACAACAATTTTCAATAAGCAGCAGCTGTCCTGCCCAAAATAAAAAGTTGAACACAAACAGGTGTCGCAGTTATACGAGGAAGACTAACAAAGGTGTACTCCCCCGCCTTTTTTCAAAAAAATTGGAGCGAGAAAAAAAAATATCTATGTGTGTCTGAAAGAGGAAAGCCCTCTTATTGTGACAGATATCCTAGAAGACAACCACGATTCAGATTTCCAACCGTTACAACTTACATCAGAAGAAAGTTTTCTAAGAAGGTGGGTGGTGGAATAGTGAAAATCCCGGTTGAGAAAATTTCACATATATATATATCTCGTTAAGAAATCAATTTCATTTGTGAGTTTGTACAAGGCTATAACCTTTTGTTGTGCTTATTCCAGACTCTTATGAAATTTTGTTGTGTGTGTACTGTATGGGATCCCCTCTTACTTACAAATTCCAACAATTGCGTAGTTATTACGAGGGGAATGAGGGGGGGACTTTCGCGGTTTTTATACTCCATTGAATTTTGAATTTCCATCCCTGATCCTTACCTATAAGCGCATCGATCCAATTGGGAAGTTTATGTGGTGTTAAACGTGACTTGCAGATTCACCCCAGGCTCGGAGGTAGCTCCGATTGGTTCGGAATGGAAAACGCGCACTTGTTGATTGGTGGGTGCTAAAGTCCGCGATCCCGGACCGTGGGGCAAATATGGGGCAACTCGGAATTTATTGAACTCGTGAGAGAATGGTTATATAAGGTATATAAGTAATTGACTTCATATTCATAAGGTACATTCAAACGGCTAATTATAGAGAGTATACATGCCTATTTGAAGGGAATATTCAAGAAATAGTAATGAGAATAGGGGCTGATAGGACCAATTGTAGAACTTTACAATGAACGGAATTTACGATGAATGAAAAAAAAAAATAAATAAATAAAAAGAATTGAATATTAAACTTTTAAAATGAGCTGAAGTGGGGGAGGGGCGGTGTTTTCTCCAGAATATTCGAGCAAAGTACTAACTGAGATGACGTAAACATTATACAGCATGTTGAGTCAAATCAAAGAGTTTTGTATTCATTGTTTGAACTTGCCCTATTTAATGACTAATATGAAATATTTTTCGAAAGCATTTCAGTGTCCGCTGGTCCGTTTATCCGTGGAGCCTGCAGACGCAGCCTTGCACAAACGCACCCATTTCTTTAACACTCCGATGGTAGAATTCTAATCAAGCATATTTTTATCATGCCACCAACAAAAGAAATTTCATGTCCGACGTTACAGCCTAAACAAATCGAATCGTTACCCCAGATTCGTTTAATTTTTTTTCTCTGGCTTCACACAACACTTGCTAAATTAGCTATTGCTTTTTTTTTCTCACTCCCCCGGATTTGTATGCAACGCGTCTCGTAGTTCTCGGGAACAGCCGGACTTTGGGACCGGGACCGGAGTTGTCTCGGATACACAAAAAAAATGTTTGCTTATGTGGGGGGGTTCAATATATGTGATTAATGAATGCCTCTACACAAACATATATATAAAACATATATATGTGAAAACTGGGGAAAGTTTGGTCTAAGATTGTTCAAACCTTTACACGGTAATTTGTTTTTGTTTTTTAATCATTTTTATTTTATCGTCTCATACAATGCACAGCGATTTATATAATGGAAATATTTTACACACCTCAATTCAAACGAGCAGATCTGAATCGACTCACTTTAATAGGGTTACCCTCTTCATCAATTGGTTCAAATTCGAGCTCTTCGTCCGTTTTACGGTAGCCATCTTTTCTAGCTTGCATAAGTTGACGACGGAGTCTATGATAGTTGGTATGTACTTCTTCTGCAAGAATTTCATCATCGATAGTTTCTTCCGGAAGCATCTCCGTTTCATTCTCAACAATTTCCAGTAAAATCGGACCTTCATCCTCTTCTTCATCATCATCATCATCCTCATCATCCCCATGCCCTAATTCTTCAATTTGTCCCCTTTCTTCAACTATTTTATTCAAAACTTCAAAATCTTCAAGTTTATCAACAACTGGACCCTCCGTAGCAATGTCGTCGTCGTACATCCCAAGAACGTATGCTTTAGCCATGGTATCCATATCGTCCTGCATGGATTGGTAATCAAGAGTGGTACTCATGACTTCAATATCTGCTTCTTCTTCTTCTTCTTCTTTTTCTTCTTCTTCTTCTTTTTCTTCTTCTTCTTCAGTATAGATTTCTTTGTCTTCTATTTCAGCTATACTCTCTTCGATCGCCTTTTTACGATCAATAATTTCTTCATTTCCTGGGGCTCTCGGTAAGATAACAGTATTGAACGGTTTTGATTCAATAATTGGTAAATCAGTAGCTCTATTACTCTCTCTTTGTGATTTAAATCTAGATGTCCTTTTCTTTTCAATAATTGGAATTTCTTCTTTAATGTTTTTGGAATCACTCTCTATAATGTCTTGTAAGGCGCCATTGTGTGTAATCTCGGTTATTTTGTTGGTAGATGACTCTACTGGTTGAGACGAAGAAAGTTCTTGCAATTTGTTTTTATTTTCGCTTTGTATTTTAAATCTAGAACGTTTAGTTGGAGTAGCCATTTCGGAAACAGAGTTATTTTTTTCTAAAACATCCTCAACAGGGTTAAACTTGTCGATAATGTCTTCAACGGGGTTGAACTTTTCAGTGATATCTTGAACAGGACTAAACTTTTCAGTGATATCTTGGACAGGGTTAAACTTTTCTGTGACATCTTGGACAGGATTAGATCTTTCTATAATATCCTCAACTGGATTAGATCTCTCTAATATATCTACAGAATGATTAGAAGTCTCTTTCACTTCAGCTGAATTCAAACCCTCATTAAAAACTTCTTCAACCTTCTTATTCATCATCAGTTTAAACCTGGATTGCTTACCCTTCTTGGGCTCTATGATCCCCATTGGCTCAGGTTCTTCAACTATACTTCTATCAACAATAATATCACTTACAGGCTTCTCGTCATCGATCACTTCTGGTATTATATTCTCATTTGGTCTCTGTTGTCCAATGACTCTAGCTTGTTTGAATCGTGACATGTTTTGATTCACATGTTCAATATTCTTTAATTCCTGACTAATGTTCTCAATCTCGAAAATATCAAGTTCGGGTGCAAATCTAACTGATTTCTTGCCCTGTTTGACGGAGTCTTCCGCTGTATTCTCCTTTTTCCTCAATGACATAACTTCATTCCATAACCGGTCGTTAAGACTCCCATTAGAAATAAACTCTGCGCGTCCAGTGCCATATAATAACTCATCACCAATATCATCTTCATCATCTTCGTAATCTTCATCATCTTCATCATCTTCATCGACATCTCCCTCTTCTTCACTAAACTCAAAGTCCCATTCTTCGTCATCTGCAAATTCGGTAGATCCATTAACTTCATCATCAAAATCATCTGCCAATAATTCAAGCTCTAAGATATCACTTCTATTGATTGCAGCTCCGGATGAACTAGTAATAACTTCATCATCTCCCTTGACATCAATGTTCTTGGCATCATCTTCAACTTTCTTATCTTTCTCATTCTCATCCCCTTTCTCATTTGCTAACTTCGATCTATACTCCTCCAACAAAATCAACTTCAACCTAAATTTATCATCTGCAGATATGTCCAAATTATCAATCTTATTCAATAATTTCTCTTCATCTAATTTATTTGGATTACCAACGATTTCCATATCTTGTAATAATTCATTAATTTGTTCATCATCTGATTCGGGCTCTTTAACTTCTTCCTTCTCTCTTTTCTTCTCTTCTATTACTGCCGGTTTCACTTTACCATCAATAATGTTTCCATCCTCGTCTAAAGTCTCTACAATGTCCATTATAGGAAGCAGACCATTCTCGGGAGCATCAACAACGGAGTCTTCAGAGTCTTCATCTATGATATTTGGTGATGTCTCCTCTACCTTAACTTTATCAATGGTAGTCTTTAGATCAGCTGGTTGTGCCTTGCCATCAATAACATTGCCATCTTCGTCTAATCTCTCTACAATGTCCATAATTGGAAGTTGATCCTCAGTTTCTTCCGAATCTTCTTCCGAATCTTCCTTTATATCCATCTTTTTCTTGAAATCTTCTTTCATCACTTCCTTCTTCTTGATATCTTTCTTTTCCTCAATCATATGAGAACTTTCCTTATCATTTATCTTAACAGATATAACATTTCCATCCTCATCCAATTCTTCGTGAATATCCATCATTTCAAGACCATCCTCGTTCATCGCAGCTCCTTCATATTGGCCCTGTTCAACCTTAGCATAATCTTCAAACTTCTTTAAAGTCTCCTTTGCTTCTTCTATTCTACCATCTATGTCTTTAACTCCCCTTTGAATGTTTGCCACCCTTCTACCAAGGAAATTGATTGCTTCCGGGATCTTATGCTTAACAAAATACCCATCTCCTAGCAATAACATCACTTCATCTTCTCCTCCCTTTTTTGCCCCCATCTCATTACTAAGCTTAAACTTAAGCTCATCGTATTTCGATGCTTGGGTAAGAAGCTCGTCCTTTTTCGTTCCTAGATCAAGTATGGCTCCATTTATCTGTTCTCTAATGACTCCAGTGGCAAAATCTGGGTCTACCTGTTCTTTTTGACCCATGTTTTGTATAGTACCAATCTTTTATTTACCTTCAAGTCAGTCTAACTCTTTTAATGTCGGATCTCTTTAGATGATCCGATGGTGTGCGCGTGAATGCGCGCAGAATAATTGACCGGTTTTCCTGTATACCGGGGTAATTAAAGTTTTGCAGCCAAACAATAACAATAACAACAATAACAGTGACAAATATTAAAGAAGGGTTAAGGTAATCGAAAGATTAAAAGAAATGTATTGTTCTGAGCTAACGAGAGAGAAATCTTTATAAACAATATGTGAGAAGGCTAGTATTCTTTACCAAAGACCAAGTTGTTGGGATCTTTTGTGAGTATAGGTTTAGAATCATCCATAAAGGTTATTTGAAAGATCAGATCTTAAAACCTTTTCTTTGTGAGTATTTTGTACCGATAGTTTTCAAGCCCCATCAAGGGGGATTGTTTTGTATTTGTTTTTTTTAGTGGGGGGGTATGTTTTGTTTTCTTGTGTTTTGTTTTCTTCTGTAGTGATCCCAACAAATTTTTACCCTAGTTCATGTCTATCTCTATTCACCTTTAATCTTTCAATATATATATATATATATATATATGCATATATATAAATACTGTAGAGATTCAACATTTAATTGCCATCATTTTGCTCCTCGAAAGTAAATCGTGTAAAATCTTAATTTAGATATTCCTCGTACACAATCTCTTTTTAAAATCATCTCCCCCACTTATTCTCGCCATACCCTATATTCATATACCAAACCCATGATATCATCCTTACATTATAACTCATTCATTCTCTCAAAACCACCCAATTCTCCGTTCACTCTCTCATTCTTACTACCTCCCAATTCATTCTATCATATTCTCAAACATTCTTTCCCTGCACACAAATCTCAAGGTATACACGATTGACGGTTGTAAATTTTGATTACATATATCTACAAGCCCTTTATCCCACCCCAATCAAGAATGGCCCCAACTCCTCTTCAAATCAAGGTTAACTCCTTGAAAAGACTCATCAAAGAAGAAACTTTGTACAAACAAGAAGTCACAGATCAAGAAAAATACGTTGAACAAATGAAATCTAAAGATGCTGACGAATACGAATTAAAGAAACAAGTCCAAGTCCTCGAAGAATCCCAAAGAATGGTCCCCGAGTTAACTAGAAAGATTAAAGAGCATAAAGAGGCTTTGGTCCTGTTCTTGGATACATACACCGGTGATGAAGATGTCTCTGTGGCCAAGAGTTTGATCCAATAAATAATTAAGATTATTACGTAATATACATGATTTGATATCACTAACGGAAAAAAAATGAACTATGTATTGTAATCCTCCAACCATGCTGTGTATATTGTCTATATAATAAAGATGTGTCTTGATATGTCAAGTAAGTGTATTGTTTCTATTGTTTTGGGTTGTTGATTTTTCAGAGGTGTCTGGATGAGCTATCTCTGAAGTGCTCCTTCTCCTCCTCTTTCTGATTCCCACTGTTCAAGAGATTGTTCCCATTCTTCTTCCTCGGTGAGTGGTTGTTGTTCCGGCATGGCTTCTTGGCGTTGTTTCTCTTCTTCTTCGTCATATTCGTGTTTATGTTCAATCCATCTTTCATGAATATCAATCTCTTTATATCCAGGAAGTCCACCTTGTCTAGTGGCTTCACTCCAGATGGTATCTCCACCAATCTCTGAACTACCAAAACTATACCCATTAGCCTTGTCTATAATACTCAATAAATTGATCATAGCTTGCTTATTCTCCACTGCTAACACCTCAAAGGAAACCAAGTTAAAATCTTCCACAAGTTCACCAATCATTTCCGTTAACTTAACATAATTCTTACCTAAAACGGAGTTCAGTTCCTTTTCCAAGTAAGGGGTGAGTTGCGAAAGGTCTTGTACCTCTGTGTAGTAGTCCAATCTGAATGGTAAAGGTCCATAATTCTTAAGCATATCGATTTTGGATATCACATTCACATGAGGAAGATCAAGTTGTAACATTGATCTCAAACTAAGAAGAAGGATCGAAATATATTGCGATGGACTGGTGAGATAAATCAGATCAACTAATGACACTACACATAATCTTAGGTCTTGACGTTTGACCAATTTCTTGAAAATACGGAAAAGTGAACTATGATGAGTGAAAAGTTCAACTTGTCCAGGACAATCAAAAATAATATAATTTTGGTCATCCATGAGCATCTTTACACGCGATACAAACACATCCACCTCGGTTTCATCCAAGGCCTCTAATGCATACATGAGACCACCATTAGGCCCCAAACTAAGTTCATCCATGATTTCTTCAAGGGTGATAAAATCGCGAATATCCAAAGCCACTGGGTATGGTAATCGGTCGTTTGCTGGGTCGAGATTCACTATACACAGTTTCCGTCCAATTGCAGACATGAACTGGTGCATCCCATGACAATATGTGGACTTCCCTGACCCTGGTGGGCCTATAACAACTTGTCCGAACATTACAAGGTGCTGACAAAGTACAGAAAAAAAATGAACAAGAACAATAAAAAGAAAGAAAAGCTTCCACAGGAGTGTTTTTTTTTCTTGTTCGGTAGACGTAGTATTAATGTACAAGTTTCCAAGTAGCCCTCTTAAATATAATATACCTTCGTTCCTTCTGTATACCTTTCCATCACACTACTAACTCTTATTCATCTCTTCCTATATCCATATCCAAGCCGCACCACAGTCTTTGTGTCCCGCACTACTTGGAGGCAAATCGAATACATAACCAAAATTGTCGACCCAATACACCACTTGTGCAACATAAATCTAATACAATCAAAAAAAGCAGTATATTTGAATTGCTTTGATTGTGTTTTAGAGATTCTATATATCTAGTCGAATCGTATCCAAGCGAATTTTTTTTAAATTCCCTGACCTATTTCAAATCCGAATCTACTAAAGTTGAACCCGTCCCCCTTGTAATATTAGACATGCCCTCCGCTCAATCTGATTACCTTTCCAAGACGGTAACAGTTTCACCATTGGTACTCTTATCAGTGGTGGACCATTACAACCGTGTTGCTAAGGACTCGCGCAAACGTGTTGTTGGGGTTGTATTGGGAGACAACACAGAAGCAGACACAATCCATGTCACCAATTCGTTTGCTATACCCTTTGAAGAAGATGAAAAGAATCCTGGAGTCTGGTTCTTGGACCATAATTATATCGAATCCATGAGTGAAATGTTTAAGAAGATCAATGCTAAGGAACGACTTCTTGGATGGTACCATTCCGGACCTCGGTTAAGACCAAGTGATCTTAAAATCAATGATGTATTTAAAAAATATACCCTGAACCCACTTCTTCTTATTGTTGATGTTCAACCTCGTGATGTCGGCATTCCTACAGATGCCTACTTTGCCATTGATGATATCAAAAACGATGGCTCTTCTGCAGAAAAGACATTTGTTCATGTTCCCTCGCTGATAGAGGCTGAAGAAGCTGAAGAAATTGGGGTGGAACATCTTTTAAGAGACATTAGAGACCAAGCTGCAGGCACATTGTCCTTGAAAGTGACTCAAACATACCAATCATTGTTGGGATTACATCAAAAACTTAGAGAAATTGCCAATTATCTTGACAAGGTTTATCAAAAGAAATTACCAATCAACCATACAATCTTAGGTAAACTTCAAAATGTTTTCAATTTATTGCCTAATTTGGCTGGTAAGGATGTGGAAGAAATTGAGTCTGCTGTCACCACTTCTGGAGCCCCACCAGTGAACCCATTGGCTACAGCATTCACGGTGAAAACTAATGATGAACTCATGATGGTTTACATCAGTACTCTTGTTAGAGCCATCATTGCATTCCATGATTTGATCGAAAATAAGATTGAAAATAAGAAAGTACATGAAAAGGCTAATGAAGAAAAGAATCAAGTATCGGGAGTGGTTTCATCTTTGGAGACAGAAGAAGAAGGTGAAGGCGAAGCAAAGGAATAGAATACATAGCTTAGATACTTCTTTTTATCTTTTCTTAAAAAGAATAGTAATAAAGAATTTAACAACAAGATAAAAAACAGAATTTTTGCTACAAGTGAAACTTTTCAAAAAAGTACTCCTAGACAACACTGTATACATACTCTTATCCTCTATGTCTACTTTTTCTATACTGCCAAATCTTCGCGGTTCTAAACTTTTTTCTTGTTCATTTTGTGTAATAAAAAATATCACCACTTTAATTGTAACAAGAAGTGTGTAAGTTAACTTGTAAGCAATTTCAAAGACTTGGGCCCATTTAATACTTGTACATAATCGGATACCACAGGTACAGACCGGCAGCATCCTGTATTGCATTGTTGTTGTTGTCTTTTTTTTCTTGTCGCGAGATACCCAGCTGTAAATATTTCAAGCCAATAGGAAATTCCAAGAGTCAATTGGAAGAACCTTCCCTAGCCGTTACAATCATATATAATAGAGGTTGACACACTTGCGCTATGATTTCCTCACGGTTAGCGATTCTGAGGTTCAATAGTGCCGCCAACTTCAATTTTTTTTTCACCAACACAAAGCGGAAGCTTGTAATCGAGCAAAACTTCATTGCCAATCAATATTTAACTTTACGGTATCGAAGATCTGTAGGACCAGCCAGACTGGGCGAGTGCAGTGATACCCTCTTGCAAAATGTGGCAACCAAGGTGTTGAACTGTCAAGATAAGGATGAAAGTAGTATCCCGGAGATGTCCGCAAGCGGTACTGGTGATTCAAAGGATGCCACCACAAACACCACTTCCCAGAACTCAGGGCCTCATGATCATGTCCCATTCAAGGTCAAACAAAAGATAAAGGCTGAGAAATGTACCGATCTTGGTTCAGATCAAAATCGATCAGACTTGAAGGCCATGATGGCACCATACTTAAAATTAACTAAACCTAGACTTACCATGTTGGTCACGTTGAGTTCTATATGTTCTTATGCACTCTCTCCGTATACCGTGGCACTCCCAGAATTAATATTTTTATTGGTGGGGACTTCATTGTCATCAGGAGCGGCAAATGCGATAAATATGGCTCGTGAACCAGAATTTGATAAGCAAATGGCAAGAACAAGTACAAGACCCGTGGTTACTGGTTTGGTTACTCCAGCACAAGCATACAAGTTTGCCGCTATTAGTGGGACCTTGGGGTGTGGATTACTTTATGTCGGGGTAAATCCCGTAGTGGCAACGCTTGGTCTTTTAAATATCGTGTTGTATTCATGGATATATACGTCATTGAAAAGAAAACATATCATTAATACATGGGTTGGAGCATTGGTTGGAGCGATCCCTCCCTTAATGGGATGGGCAGTTTCTTCGCCACTTACACATCCAGGAGCGTGGTGTTTGGCAGCACTTCTCTACGCATGGCAATTCCCACATTTCAATGCGTTATCGCATAATATCGCAGATCAATACAAAAAGGCTGGATATGTAATGACTGCTGCAGAAAACCCTAAGCTCAACGCAAGAGTTGCCTTAAGATACTCCATCTTGATGTTCCCACTTTGCTTTGGTTTAACCTATTTTGGTGTCACTGATTGGGTCTTCCCAATCGATTCTGCAGTTACCAACGCGTGGATGACATACTGGGCTTACAAATTTTGGGCTCAGCAAAGAGAAAACTACTCGGGGGTAAAAGGTCACCCTACAGCCAATGGCTTAAACTTGGCAAATATCTACGCGAAAAAGCTTTTTTGGTGTTCAGTTTGGCAACTTCCAGTGGTATTAATATTGGCCATGCTTCACAAAAAGGGTCAATGGGATAGACTACTTACATATATGGGGTTTTCTGATCATAAGACCCAATACCACCAACTAGAATAGATCATATGTACATAGTAAAAATCATTAGACAATATACCAATTTAGGATTTGAAAGTTTCTGTGTTTTTTTTTTGTATTAGAGACGATTTGGTTGTAAACTGTATTTCCTGTATGAGCAACTAAAACGTGTAGCACAAACAGATTAGAAACCGGGGTATTATTAAATTCCAATGTCTTGTGAGATACGCTTAAATACATTTTCACATGCATTTTTAAGGTTTATTGTTGGATTTAATGTAATACAGTTGAAGGGTTAGGAAAGATACTACTATTGGCAGGTCAACCTCATTGGGACGTAGACCATAAAAAAGGGGAGAAGGGAACAAGGGGAGGAATTAACCAAGGAGTGATTTGAAGACAGAATATATCGGTATATATATGTGTGTGTATATCGTAGGGTAGTATGTTGGCTGGGTACCCTCTACAGTCAAGGTCTTGAACCGTTATCTATGAATTAAACGTGTTTGTTTTTTTTTTTTCTCTTGTATAGATTTACCTGAATAAGTCCCCACGCGCAAAATTACCTAAGCAAAAGTAGACTCTCAACCTTAAACCATAATACATGAACGTCGTGTGAACTAGCTTTTTCTTCGACCGCACTAGTTGGGACGACAAGATACCGTCTAAAGATATATGCGAATTTATGAGGTGGGTCAATAGAGAACGATATGATGCTCTGTAGATATTTAGAGAATTTCAAAGGGTAAGTTGGATATAGGGGATGTTGCTGCGAAATTATGTCAAATGAAATCTCACTGCGTCGAATTTCGCACCCATTTTGAGGGCCCCGTGGTCTCTGAGTGACCTTTGTTGTTGCGAGATCCACACGTGCGACATTTGCAACCGATTGTATTACACGTGGGAGACGTGTATCTATATAAACCGATGAATATTTTGGGATTCTCCAGTTGATTCTATTCACTGAATATTACTCTGGATCCATTTTATATACATAGATATTATATATTCATCAACTCAAAATCATGATTGAAACAGAAGTTGGATATCTTCCAATCTCTATCCCACAATTTGTAGGGATTCTTCTTGTTGGAATCATCACTGTTGCCGCTTTTGCAAACGAAAATGTTAAAAGTGTTGTGATCTTTTGCTACAACTGTTTCCTTAAACCTTTTGGTAAGAAGAATAGAACTGGAGATCAACAGGTTGATCTCGAATCTTTCTACAAAAACCAAGCTTCCATCTATGACCAAACTAGAAAAGTATTACTCAAGGGAAGAGAACATGCCCTTCAATTGGCCATGACTCACTTACTTGCCTCTCATCCAACTGGTAAAGATTTGGTCTGGGTTGATATTGGAGGTGGAACAGGTTCCAATTTGGAATTCATGAAAAATGTCTACAAAATTAACAAGAAAAATTTCAGAAAGATTTATATGATTGATTATTCATCTTCTCTTTGTGCTCAAGCTGAAAAGAAATTTGCCAGAGAAATTGAGCTTGGAATTGTTGAAATCTTATGTTCTGATGCTTCTAAATTTGAAATTAATGGCCTTACCAGGAACTTTGTCGATCTTTGTACCTTTTCATACTCATTGTCTATGATTCCAAATTATTATTCCACTATTGATCATATTGTTCCATATTTGAACAAGGAACATGGTGTTGTCTGTTCAATCGATTTTGGTACCCAATCCGGTGATAATTCGGTTGGAAGAGTTGACACCCTTGGAGGATTGGTCAATAGAAATGGTTCTTGGTTAACTAGACATTTCTGGAATATTTGGTTTGAATTCGATAAAGTTCATTTAGACCCTGCTAGAAGAAATTATCTTGAGTATAAGTTTGGTACTTTAAAATCTTTGAATTTAAGAAATAAGGTTTTAGGAAACATTCCTTATTATATTTGGATTGGTTGTGACAAATACAAATGTGCAAATTTAATTGATAAAATCAATGCTTATGTCACTGAATCGCCTTATTTATTACCTCAGGGTCTTGGTAGACAAAATTCTGTCACCAGTATCAATTCAGCTGTTTCAAAAGGACATGAAGCTGCAATTGAAAATCAAAAGAGAGGTTTGCCATATCCATCTGTTTACTACCAAAAGGATGTCACTCGTGTCTATTATGATGAATTAAATCCTCTCTTCGATCAATTTAACAATCAATATATTTACGCTTTTACTTGGGAAGATCCTAGAGAAGACATGAATATTTTGAACATTAATTCAAATGATTCCTTGTTGGCTATTACCTCTGCTGGTGATAATTTGTTACACTATGCCTGTTTACCCAATGCACCAAAGAAAATCCATGGTGTAGACTTGAATCCATGTCAAAACCATTTACTTGAATTGAAATTGGCTTGTTTTAAGGCTAAACTTGACCAAGATAAACTCTGGCAGTTGTTTGGTGAAGGTAAATTATCCACTCATGATGAATTCAAACAACTTCTTATCAACAAACTTTCCCCACATCTTTCTTCAAATGCTTTACAATATTGGGTTGATAAAGGGCCAAAAACTTTCTCTCCAAAGGGCCATGGTTTATACTATGATACGGGCTCTACTAGGTGGGCTTTAAAGCTTACTAGATGGCTATTTGTCAGAGCTAGACTTACCAAAGAAGTTGATCAACTCTGCAACTCTAAAACCTTGGAAGAACAAAAGAGTATTTGGGAAAGAAAAATTAAGCCAACTATCTTCAGTCCAATTGTTGGAAGATTACTTATTGGTAACTCATTGTTTCTCTGGAAGGCCCTTGGTGTTCCAATTAATCAAGCTAACATGATTGAAGGTTCAATTTTGAACTATATTATTGACACTTTAAACCCAATTGTGGAAAGATCTTTAATCAGCAAGGACAATTATTTCTATTACTTGTGTTTACAATCCAAATATGCGAAGGACAATTGTCCAGCTTACTTGACTTCCGATGGGTACAAGAAATTAACCAGTTCTCAAAATAATCCTATTCCAAACTTTAGACTTCATACTGATACTCTTAATGATGTTCTCAAGCGCTTATCATCAAGTTCTTTGACAATCATTATCATTATGGATCATATGGATTGGTTTGATCCTGAAGGTACAGACGCACTTGAGGAAATCCAATTGTTAAACAAGGCACTTTCAGAAAATGGTAGAGTCATGCTTAGATCTGCTTCTCAAAAGCCATGGTATATTAAAACATTTAATGAAAATGGATTTATATCAGACCCGGTCGCTGTCAGAGAATCAGGAACCTCGATTGATAGATGTAACATGTACGCTTCTACATGGGTTTGTACAAAGAAACGGTCTTTAAGATCCTTCTCCACTTCATCTGAAACTATTTCAACTTTAAAGATTTAAAATATTTTTTAAATAATGAATTAACTACCATGGTGTATATACAAATAAAGAATACAAATATAGTATTGTAACTTTGTTCAACCCGATATATTCCGCGTTTGTGAGGGGAAGATTTGAGCGGAATTTAAAGTATGGTCGCACATTCCGATATCTGCACATTTGAAATGTACATCTGAGAACGACCAATGTCCAATGGCATTGTACGGCGGGTGGACGGTATGCGGTAGGGTATGTCAGGCGATCCAAAGTATGGCCAACGCCAGACACCAGACATAAATGAAATAGAGGACGATCCCCGTCTGAGATTATAGGTTAACTTTCATCGTTCTGCCTATGGACATCCATCATCTCATACATACAAATGAAGCACCGTTAGTGGTTGACGAGAATACAAGAAAACGGAAACGTGAAAATAGCCTTGACGACTCGGACACAGCAGATTCTGAAAGTATAATTTCTCGCCAGTCTGCTAGATCATCTGTATCGTCATTAAATGATACTAGCCCTAGTCCTATTGGACTGGTGCCTCCAACAGCCTTTCCATCGTCAAGCTCGTTAAAGCCAATCACATCATGCAACACTCCAGTGGTAGACTTTAAATCCCTCTTCGAGGTACTTGCAAAGAACTGTAGCAGTCCTATTGAGCTATCGCGTGTAAAGTTTACTGATACCACACTTCCAAAGGAAAATGATGAATTTGGAGGAGATTTGACCTCCTTACGTAAAGCAGTCATCAAGGAAATACATGACAAATATGTGGAGCCGTTACTTGAACTTACAGGGTACCGCTGGACGAGGAGAGAAGTTCCTTCAAAGGGACGTGGACTCAAAGTTTTCTCGATTAAATACTCATGCTCCCAAGAAGTACGACGGGGACAAGAAGACGCATCAGATTCATCTGGAAGGGGTCGACAGCTCACACATCCACTCAAACAGTATACTTGTGATTCGTCTTACTCTATCAAATACACATGGTCCTCTCAGTTAGTAGAGATCAACTACAAGCACATGTGTCATCCACCATATCGAAGACTTCCAGATAAGCTAAAACCATTTATCTTGGAACGACTAGATATGAAGGCATTAGACTTGTACCAGCAAATTCTTGAAACGCCACAATTTGCCGACATCAAGAAGTTAATCTTATTCAGCAAAGTTCAAAGCTTCTGGTCCAAAGAACGAAGTCGGAAGAAAGATGAAACTACAAAGGATGCTTTCAAAAAGTTCCTCAATAAATAGAAAATTTATAGACTAATACAAAAGAGCCTACTACACGGGTTTACTTTCCAATTTAATTTTGTCGTATTATATTAATGCCCTAATGCAGTGTATATATATATAGATATAATACAAAGAAGTCAAGAGGAGACTTCGGAGTTGTTGTGTTTTAGTTTTCTTTCTTGCACTTGTGCCAGCAACAATGCACCGCTCGTCCACAGTCACAAGTCAGATCGCTCTGGTAGGATTGGTATTACTTATTTCTTAGAAGAAGTCTTCTTTTCCTTGTCTTGTTGTTCCTTCAAGACTCTCTTGACGATCTTTTGTTCTTCGATCAAGAAAGCTCTGACGATTCTTTCCTTGACACAGTTGGCACATCTAGAACCACCGTAAGCTCTGGAGACGGTCTTGTGGGTCTTGGAGACTTGAGCGTATTCTCTTGGTCTCAAGGTGGAGATACCAGCCAAAGCAAGGCCACAGTCACCACACTTGACTCTGGAAGCAGTCTTCTTGACGTGTTGGGCAACCAACTTTCCACCTGGAGTCTTGACGACCTTGATCTTGTTAGATCTGGTGTTGTATGGGTTTCTCTTTCTGTATGTAACACGTTGAGCCATTGTATCTGTATCTGTTGTTCGTTGGACAAAAGGTGTGTTCAATGATTTGTGAAAATTTTTGATAAATATTCGACACCCCTCAGAGCGCAAAGACAAATTTCGCACGTTAGGGCTAGCCACACAAATGAGCGGAAAAAAAAAAAAAAAATGTATTTTATCACGCTGATTGCACGTGAATATCACGTGCTGGTGTGACCATTCTTTTTTAACTGGATGAGACTAGGTTTTTTTATATGGTCTCTACAGAATACAACTACAGCAAGAAGATACTAGCTCTACCTGGCAATACGTTATCAACGTAGAGCTCCGGTAGTACAGAGTAGCATTCTTATAATTTGTATAACTAAGCTTTATGTATTAAGCACGATGAACTGTAAAAATGATCTCTTAATCCCAATGTAACCTAAATGAGCGATTCTAGTAAGAACAGTAAGATTAACTTAACGCAATCTTCTGGCTTCACGTTCAGATTCCATCAAGCACAAGATGTCGTTTTCTCTAACTGGACCCTTGACGTTTCTGACGATAGTTCTGGAAGAGTCTTCAACGAACTCAACACGGACTTGGGTGACACCACCTCTGGAACCGGTTCTACCTAAGACCTTGATGACTTTAGCCAATGTAACTGGAGTTTTAGTGTCCTGAAATGTTAGTTTTATATTCGTTGAAACTCAAGAAAAGATGCAAACCAATAGAAAGCAGAAAAATAGGAGGAAAAAACTAAAAATAAGATCCTACCTCTATCGGTCATGATGTAAGTGTAGACAAGAGTCTACCATATCTTTTGTCTGTTTGAACTAGTCTCACTGCTTGTACATACCATTTTTTATTATTGTATAGTATGAAGAAAACCAACACTCAGTCTTTTGTGATCAAAAGCTTTCTGTTGAAAAATTCCTCCTACAACCAAAGTCGACTTGGTTCGCGGACGACCTTCGGTTTTCTTTACAACCTTATTGCGTGCGAAGGCAAATTTATACTGCACACTGTAAAGACTTTAAGCGACCCAGAAGCCCTCAGCCTTGGATGTGGAATCAAAGAGTTAGTATTACTTGGTGAAAGTGGATATAGACATTGTAGGTCAAAAATCAACATGTCAATATATGAAGGATCGCAATGGTGTATATCCGAAACGTGACCACCTGCTTAGAGCCGTATAATTTCTTTTATTTTTTTTCAAGATTGGTGATGTATTCGGAAGATAATAAAGTTCCGGAAACCGCACTCAAATTGGCATATCTCCGATTGTGACAGAACAACGGATCATAACGGGATGTTCTCTCGCCTCCGTTATAAAACTAGAGATAAGTCTATTTTGATTAAGTGGAAACAATTATCTTATTCAAATACTTCATATAGAATGGCTTCATCTGTTCAAGAAGAAGGCACACACGCTAAGCAAGTCTCCCTGAAACAAAATGAGTTTAACGATGGAAGGTTTCAACCGCAATACTCATGGGGGCTGTCCATTAAGGATTGGATAAAGCAAGCCACAGTACCGAAATATTCTGATGCATTAGTTGAACACAATTTACTTTCTATGTTGCCATTTTATCCGGAATCAGATGGCAAAAGAATAGCTACCGTGGTGAATACGCCTATCAGTAACGGTAACTACATTCATGAGCTATACATTGAAAACACGGAGAAGCCAAAAACAGTTACTGAATCGGGTAAGGAACAGATCAAGGATGTTGTTCTTGTGCATGGTTATGCTGCATCATTGGGACTTTTTATAGACAACTTCGATGCCTTATCTTCGATTCCTGGAATCAGAATCCATGCCATTGATCTTTTGGGCTTTGGATTTTCGTCAAGACCTACATTCCCCAATTTTCCTTCTAATACGAAGGCTGAGGTAGAAAAAGTGGAAGATTGGTTTATTGATTCTCTTGAAGAGTGGCGACAAAACCGTAAGTTAGATAAATTCATATTGATGGGACATTCCTTTGGTGGCTATTTAAGTTGTGCTTATGCTTTGAAATATAACAAAAACCTCATAGACGCAGCAACTGGTGCGACTCTCAATCCAGTGGAAAAATTGGTTCTTATAAGTCCAGTTGGTCTTGAAAGAAACAAGTTTTCCGTATTAAATAACCCCACCAATGAAAAAAATTTGCAAGCTCCTGATGTTCCATTGACTAGGGAAATGACTGATAACCAAGAAGATATAATTAATAATGAAATTTCTCCAGAATCTAATAGATTTGAAGAGGAACCACAAACGAAGGGCCAAAAACTCTTCCGCTATCTCTGGAAGAACAATTACTCTCCGTTTTCAATTGTGAGAAATATGGGACCAATTAAATCAAAATTGATATCTAGATGGACAACTCATAGATTTGCCCATATCTATCTTTCTAATCCTCAACAATTCTATGCTATGCATGATTACATATACAGAATTTTTAATGGAAAGGGTTCTGGTGAATTTGCCATCACTAGAGTATTAGCTGTTGGTGCATTGCCAAAATTGCCATTGTTAGATAGATGTCCACAGAAATTTGCCGACATGAAATTACCAACATTTTGGATGTATGGGGATAAGGATTGGATGAATGAAAAGGCAGGGTATCAAATGACGAGGGAGATTAACCAATTGGCTGGTTCAAGTTTAGCAAAGTACGCCATTCTTCCTAATGCGGGTCATCATTTATATTTGGATAACCCAACTGCATTTAGCAAGGAAATTTTCAACTTTTTAGACTTTAAAAAATAGCGTATTTTCGATAGAAATTTAGATTCATATTATTTAAGAAATTCATCAATATTTTCAATAGATTTTAACAATTTTTTTAATATTGTTTCATTATTAGATTTAATTTGTAATAATTTAAATTCAACTTCTTGTTTTAATTCCATTTCTTTCAATTTCATATCATTTTCCATATTTCTTAATTTTGAAATTATTCCATTGGATAATGAACTCATTCCATCAGAAATAAATTTATATGTTGTATCTCCACGATTTTGTTGAATAATAGAAGTATTAGCTGTGACTTTGTCGACTTCGTCAGAGAATTCCAGTTCACTTATGTGAGAAGATGATTGAATCCTACTGAATCTTCTTGTTCTTGGGAGAACGTTACTCTCCTCTATTTGACTATGAATTTGTTGTTTTGACTCATTGATTCTTTTCCGCTTTAAATCAACATTTATAGTAGTGCTTGTATTTGGATCATTGGAGTCGACAGCCCAATCAGAGATATCCAGCAGAACTACTCTTCTTTTTCTTTGGTATCTAAGTTGAAGTGGTAGAGATGCTGGTGAGGATAGTTTAGCATTGACAGGTGTATCCTCATTTTGTACTTCAGGAGTTTGACTAACTTGTTTTAAAGGAAATAGTTTCACTTCTCTTTCCTTGCATCTAACAACAAGTTTTTCTTTCGTTGAACAAGCTTTCAAATGTTTCAAATTTGCAGCATCTTCTAAATTTGATTTCATGATCTTGAAACTTTCAATACTTGGAAATGTTAATGATATACTAATTTTTTTAATTGCTTCAATTTTTGTAGAAAATACTGATGAATGAAAGGTTATATCTTTTTTATCGGTATTGAATAACATAGTTAAGGAGTTTTCTATAACTGAGTTATAACCTTGAAGATTATTTAAATTGAAAAATAAAGGTAAATAATTATTCTTTTCTTGTGCGATCCAAATAATTAAAACTTTTGGTAGGATATCAATAAAACATGGATGATCATCTTGGAAATGTTGGTTAATCAATTTCGTATTTTTACTTGATGTGATACTAATAATATTGAAATATTGAATATTTAAGCCTTCTTTCACATCATTGTTTTCTTTTATGAATTGTTTTATCTCATTGGCTGCAAATTCATTGGGAATTATATGTTTATTGAAATTAATATCAATATGAAAATTAGTTAGGATATCAATCCAATATTTCATTGTAGTTAAATCAGTAAGTTTGTATTCAGTTTGATTTAATATAACTTGGATTTCCTCTCTAATAAAAAAGTTGATTTCCTTCGACTCATTCAAAGATGGAACACAACATGAAGACAAGATTTTACAAGCAAGCCATTGTAAATCATTTTTAAAAATGCAACATTTGACAAGTTGTTTCAATAACTGTTTGGATTTGGTTGTAGTGTTCTGTAGAAAATAGTTAGTATATCTAATAGGATATGTTTTAAAATGTATACATAAAAAAAAAACACAATTTGGTATACTTACATAAAAAAGCATCCAATATTTGGAACATCTTTCTGGTAGAACCATGGCTAACGCTAATAAAACATCCAACACTTGTTGATCTTTAGTAATAAGTCTAAGTCCAACTTCAAAACATTGGTCAATATGTAACAATTTATAATTTGTTTCATTATAAATTGATTCCTTATCAATCGATAATACTTCTACAAGTAATTCATCACTACTGATATTTGCAACTAAAGTATTCCCTAATTCTTCTTCATTGCATAATTTACCGCATATCCAGGCAGCAATCTTATCGATAAAGTTTAAATGACTCATCTTAGTATTAAAAACAATAAAAATGTTCTTTCAATTATTGACTCTTTTGTCTCTCTATTTGTTGCTGCAAAAAAAATTACCTCCTCCCCCTCAATGTATCATAATTTTTTGAATGACTGCATGTAAATATGTTTTGAAACAAAAATAATAATAATCCTGTATGTAATCATAAAAAATATTTGAAGATAAACCTGAAAGAGTTTTTTTAAAAGGGAACAAAGAGTCATTACAATTTGACAAAGGAATCAATTTAACTAATTTCAAGGAACATGGCCGACACCTCAGAACTTGAAGTGCTTTTCGCCAAGATTGGTCTTGCTGATGCCAAGACCAAAGAAATTTTAAAGAACAAGAAGGTTTCCAAATCTCTTGCTGAAATCATCGGCGAAGCTGATGTTAGCTCAACAGTAGAAGACAAGAAAATCGCCTTACTTCATTCTTTGGCTTCTGAATCGAAAGGTGCAGAAGTACCACATAGAGAACTTGTGACTAAGGCTATCATCGGTGGCCGTTTGAAGACTAATTTGCAAGTTTCTGAAGCTTTCAAGTATGTTAAGGCGAATCCTGAAACCGTCAACGTAGCCACCATGGAGGAGCATTCTGGTGTTGGTGTAGAGCTTACTGAAGCACAAGTTAAGAATGAAATTGTCAAGTACATTCAAGCTAACAAGGAAGACATTGAAACCAAGAGATACTCTTGTGTTCCAAGTCTTTTAGGACAAGTTAAAAAGATCCCTGAATTGAAATGGGCTTCTCCAAACTTGTTTAAGCCACTTATTGATGCTGAAATCCTCACCTTATTAGGTCCTAAAGATGAAAGAGACATTGTCAAGAAGGAAAAGAAGAAGGCTGACCCTGGTGCCAACAAGAAGAAGGCTACTGCTGCCGTTCCAGAAAAGCCAAGATCTATGTTTTCTGAAGGTTTCCTTGGTGAATTACACAAGCCAGGTGGAAACCCACAAAAATATCCTGAGCTCATGAAGGAACACTTGGCAGCTACTGGTGGTAGGGTTCAAACCAGATTCCCACCTGAACCTAATGGATATTTACACATTGGACATTCCAAGGCTATTATGGTCAACTTTGGATATGCCAAATTCCATGATGGTGTGTGTTACTTGCGTTTCGATGACACTAACCCTGAAGCTGAAGAAGAACGTTACTTCCTTTCCATTATTGACATGGTTAGCTGGTTAGGATTCAAACCATGGAAGATTACCTATTCTTCTGATTACTTCGATGAGTTGTATGCCTTGGCTGAAAGACTTATTGAATCTGGATTGGGTTACATTTGTCACTGTACTGCTGAACAAGTTAAGTTCCATAGAGGTCAAAAGGCTGATGGTACCTTGGGTGGTGAAAGATCGGCCTGTGAACACCGTGGGAAGTCTATTGAAACTAACTTGGAACAATTCAGAAAGATGAGAGATGGATTCTACAAGCCTGGTGAAGCTACCTTAAGAATGAAGCAAGATTTGGAATCAAACTCTCCACAAATGTGGGATTTGGTTGCATACAGAGTCTTGAATGCTCCTCATCATAGAACTGGTGACAAGTGGAAGATTTATCCAACTTATGATTTCACTCACTGTCTTGTTGATTCTTTTGAAAACATTTCTCACTCCTTATGTACTACTGAATTCATTCTTTCTAGAGAATCTTACGAATGGCTTTGTGATGCCTTGAAGGTTTATAGACCTGCTCAAAGAGAATATGGTAGACTTAATATCACTGGTACTATCATGTCCAAGAGAAAGATTGCCAAGTTAGTTAACGAAGGTTATGTTAGAGGATGGGATGATCCAAGATTGTATACCTTGGAGGCCATTAGACGTAGAGGTGTTCCACCAGGAGCCATTTTGTCCTTTATTAACACCTTGGGTGTTACCACTAACACCACCAACATCCAAGCCGTTAGACTTGATAGTGCTGTGAGAGCCTACTTAGATGGTACTACTCCAAGATTAATGATGATTTTGGACCCAATAAAGGTTGTTATTGACAACGTTCCAGAAGATTATGAAGAATTAATTGAAATCCCATTTAAGCCAGGTTCAAAGGATGAAACTTTCGGTACTAGAAAGTTACCATTCACCAAGGTTATTTACATTGATAGATCTGATTACAGAGATGAAGTTTCTAAGGATTACTTCAGATTAGCCCCAGGTCAACCAGTTGGTTTAATGAAGGTTCCTTTCAACATCAGTGTTAAATCCGTTGAAAAGGATGCTGAAGGAAATGTCACATTGGTACATGCTCATTACGATAATGAAGCGGTAAAGAAGCCAAAGACTTTCATTCAATGGTTACCTGAACAAGAAAAGATTGGCTCTCCATTGAAAGTTGCCGAAGTTAGAATCCACAAGGCCTTGTTCAAGTCGGACAACCCATCTGCACACCCAGATGGATTTTTGGCTGACATTGATGAAAACTCTGAAGAAGTTTACAAGAATGCTCTCATTGAACCATCATTTGCTGAAATTAAGAGTAAATCTCCATTAAACATCAAGGTTCCTGACTCTGACTTCAACATCGAAGAAAAGGCTGGAAGACCTGAATCGGTTAGATTCCAAGCATTGAGAGTTGGTTACTTCTGTATGGATAAGGAAACTACTGATGATAAGTTGATTCTTAACAGAATTGTCACTTTAAAAGAAGATTCTGCAAAGAACTAGAAGATTAGATCCCCCATTGATATAAATTAAATCTGTTGTAGAGTATTCTAAAAATATACTAATAATTATAATTTCTATGTAGCGTTCATTTATTTATACAAGTAAGAATTAGATTTCTTATTATATTCGTATATTGGTTGCATTACGATTCCTCGTATATATTAGGGACTTTGCATTTGTAGTTTTGTTCTTTGGTGGCACCTGCATCTACGTATTTGTGCCTTAGTGCGAGAGAAAGAATCCTTGGGTGCAAAAACCTGCATTCAAAGTCTTTTATAATTAACTAAAAATATAAGAGTCTTTATTTATTTTTTACTGCATATATCCCAATCTTATGTGTGAGACAACAAGGCTTGGGGAAATTAAGTTTGAAAATTTTGTATATACTGTGGCATAGAAGGGCTTCAAAAAAGAAAATTTTGTAATAATTACAAAAGAAAACTATAATGATAATAGATCTAGAGTGAAGCTGTCTATTCAGGGGTTATCTCATTTTCTTGGAACCTCAATTTCACTACATCTCAAACAGCAATACTACTAAAAAAACATTACGCAAAAACGTTGGCTGAAATGATAAACTATTAGAAATTCCACATCGCGCATAAATGATAAGGCAAATACAATACAAATCACAATAGGCATTAAAGGAGGGGATGAGGACTCGATATGAACGGACCGATCTATTTCCCGACCCCCTAGCCCCCTGTTCTACATAGCAACTATCAGTTCATGCCCCTATCTAAAGGGTATTGATTGCCTCTTTTAGGGGGGGTAGTGGTCCATCTCATGATGGTAATTATTTCTTTCTATCTCAATTTATTTTTTGCCTCTCTCCCCTTACCGCGTATGGTTGGAAACAAAACGGAAATGGAAAACGCAAAATGGAAAATAAACGCGATTTCGAAAGGGATAAAAAAGGATAATAAGAGTCTTGTGATATACAGTTTAACCTCCTCGATATTTTAGTTTCCTCGAAAATAGATTTCCCCCCTTCTCCAAGAACTAAAAAAAGTTTTATTTCAAATCCATCTTCTTCAAATTTGTTATAAAAATGTTTTAATCTCGTATGTTCCATATCATGCAAGAAATGCTGGTATATGTGTAAGTGTGTGAATAAGTTATGTGTAGCGATTAGTTCATTCAATTAATAAAACCACAAAAAATTGAAAAATACTGCCCTTTGTGGCGTGTTCGGAGTCATTTCAATAATGTACCCCATGCGGCTCCGTTCATGGTGCGTTAAGGATTTTTCACCGCATTTTACCTTTATTAAGGGAATTGCGCGCATCGGACACTCCCAACAACCAATTTTTATTGCGGTGTAAGGAAGTCTTCGCCACGCCGCACCCCAGTTCTGACCCCATATTCCAGGGCACGCAACCAAAATACGCGAGTTAACTACTGGGGGTCGGTCAGGGCTGCGTAATCTTCTCAACAAAAACGTAATATTGAGGGGGAGTTAATAAAGGTTTGGCACGCCTGAGAAAAAACAAAGTACCCATTGCATATTTTTTTTTCTATACACTTAATTCCCTAAAGAGCATGCATTTAGTTTATAAGGGATTGATATCACCCATTTTTTTTCCCTCTAATGAACTAGTAGAGCTTTTCCCTAATTAACTACTGTTGATCAAGTTCAGATCAATCGCTGCACAGGCCACCATTTTCCACAGCTCCGAGAATTGTTCCTGTCTAGATCACTCGTAAAAAAAGCACTCCACTTTTTTTCGCTTTTTTTTCCAGGTCCTCGAGTATTGCTGCATTCCTCATACAACCACAATTGAGTCTCGTCTAGCTCTCTATATCCGACATTCAGGGTGTATTCTATTAACATAGTACCTATAACATATCCTTCCCATCAATATCTGGATTCGGTTTGAAATACAGATTAGATCTGATCGAATCTTTGCATTACAAATTATTTTTGAGAAGCGAAAAAAAAAAACTGATCAAAAAAAAAAGGTAAAATAAGCTATTTTTGCCTTTACACATATTTTTTCTAGAAAGGCTATTGATCCCCCTTATACATTAATAAGGTATCACATTTCTTATCTACTGAGTACTCCAGTAATTTCTAAGCTATTCAACCGTCATTCGATTTAGCTCCTGAACTTGTAGTATCTCACCGAAAGGGTCTAGTGTATATTTCTTCCACTAGCCGACGCACCCGTTCCTTTAGTTTATCGAAAGATATTAAATAAAAAAAAAGGAAGAAAAAATATCAAAAAAAAAAAAAAGATTACAGGAAAAAAGAAACAATTAATCTTTGTGTCATTCAATAGGGGTCATTATTAGTTTCTCCTTTGCACCCGAAAATTAAAATATTGCTTTCAAGTTGACTACCTTAACTACCACAACATCCACCATGACCTGGAAGGGAGGCTTGAGTCTCGACTCGACGCTAAGCATTTCTTCTTCAGAGTCATCGCTTTCAGAAGGAGGGTTTTCTGAAAGCTCTGAAACTTCTGTTTCAGGATCTTGGTCACCCCCTTCATCACTCCAAGTTTTGAAAACTCCTGCCGCTGGTTCAACTGATTCCGTGGTATCAATGGACTCTACAAGCTCTGTATCAACCATAAAGCTCTCTTCGGGCTCAAATCTTTATCCCGAAGAAGAAGAATTCGGAGAAGGACATCCTCCTCTTTTACGTAAAAAGTCCGGTGAATTGGTCAAATCATCATTAAAACTTCCTGCTCTTGCCAGATGTAAATCAACCCTGAATGTCTTGATGAAGAAATCTGTCAGTTTTGCTCTGAGATTAGAAAACATTAAGATGTTTGATGGTAAAGATAGTCCTAGTGTCGTTTCTACAAATGATAATAGTCCCATGGAATCACCAAGTATTAGCCGTTCCGGTGGTAGATCATCCTATTTTTCTTGGGATTGGGATAATGGAAATGATGATGACGATGGATATGATGATTATCTGACATCGGATGAAGATGAAATTCTTCGTAAATCATGGGAAATCAAATCTACAGATGTTTTGTGTTCCGTACCATTTAACTTGCAAAATGAAAAAAGACCAGTTTTCCTTCAATCTATTGCAGTTTCTCCTGATAAGAAATCTCTTTTTGGGTTCATTTTAGTTAAAAATTTAGCATTTGAAAAGAAATTAAGTGTTAAATTAACCACAAGTAATTGGAAATCAAGTATTATTATTTCAAATGCCATTTATATCCAATCATTCCGATCTTCTCATTATGATCAATTCAAATTTTCCATGCCACTTTCAAATTATAAATCATTAATTAACATGGAATTAGTTGTCAAATATGATGTTGGATCTGATACATTTTGGGATAATAATGATAATAAAAATTATCATATTGAAATTAGAGCAATTCAACAACTTCCAAAGCAAATTCGTAAGCGTCATCCTACAATTTCCAATAGAAATTCTATTCCAGAATTCGAAGATTTGGTTAGTCGTTTAGTCACTATTAAAAACGATTTAGATGATGAAAATTCTGACATTACTCCAAGACTGAAATCTGCATTCAGTGGAAGATATAACTTTATGAATGAAGAACTTCCTAAAAGACCTGTTTTGAAAACATCTTTCTCTCAGTCAGATGTTAATACGATTAAACCAAAATACTCCAATAGTTTCAAGTCTAGAAATTCTGCTGCTACTGCTAATAATAATGTTGGTACTCTGTCAACGACTAACGTTGACAAACCAACTGGTCTTTCAAATGACACAAATTTTAATTCAAAATCTTATACCGACTTGCTTAATTCTTATTGTTTTTACAAAGGAGATGAAAGTCGATTATCTAGCAACTCGTCATCCAATTCAAAACCCAAAAACTTATCTAGACAGAATACTTCTGCTCATACACCAACAACAGTTCCAATATCTGCAGCATCCACATTTCATTTTTTGAGTGATTCAATTCATATTTAATTCTTCACGTTGGAACATCGTCATCTCCCATCGTTTCCTTTTTATTTTTATTATTTTTACTGTTTGATTTGCATTGTTAATTTGGCTTTAAACATCCAACGCATTCGTTTACAAGCATTGCATCCATACATCGGGTTATTGTTAATTTATTGTATTATATAGAGTTATATAGTGGTATTTTTATTAGAAAAATGTATATCTGAGTTTTTAACATATGGTAGTTTAATATTAATTATTGAAAGATCCAAGGTCTATCTTCCCAAAATTTGTCATTTATGAGATCAATATGATAAGTCTCTATTCTTGACTTGTGAAGTTTTTTAATTTCTCTTTGTTTCTGTCTATCTGAAAGTTCTTCAGTCAATTCCTGTCTTAAATTTGGGTTTTCACGAACTAAAACTGTTCCCTTTTTATATATTTCGGGTTCATTATTATAATTTATATTGAAATCTTTAAAAAGAATTTCATTCTTATCCGAAGAAAGGGTTCCTATAAGTTTATTTTCTGCTTCCTTTGGAGTTAATCCTCCCCTTTCAACCAATGTCCAAAAAGTGGTGTTGTAAAGATTGTTTATATGACAATCAACTTGCCTCCAACTAAAATAATCTCGTACAATTTTCTCATTAGGGTACATAACCACTCTTGCATCAAAGGTGGGAAGCCTTTGAACATTCAATGGTTTCTCAGGAATGATTTTATTCCAATAGAATTGATAGTATGCAGATATCGTGGAAGCAAATGTAGATACCAACTTCAGCTCTCTTCTCTCAAAAAGTTCACACTTCTTACGCAACAAAAAGGAGTATTCATCCAGATCTCCATATGCAAGTAAAATTTCAGGTATAGCCTCCATTAATGATTGTGCTGCACTATTCATTACTTGTAAAGCTCTCATATCATTCGGTTTGCTGAACTGATACTCAGCACTGAACTTGTGAAACCCTCTCCCATCAACTCGAACTACCAAATATGTTTCCTGGTGGAAGAGGTTCTCCCTTTCAAAAGTTCTCACATATTCAAACCGAGACTTTGCCATCTTGAATAACGCTTTATTATATATGTGTATAAATTTGTAGTGTACTATTTATGACTCTCCCTTCTTTACTGTATAGATCACACAAGTCCTGCAGGTTGTGTACACGTGATCTCATCTTGTTTTTTTCGATGTGTTTTTTTTTTTTTTTTGGGATAAGTCAATTTTTTCCAAAGCTCTTCTCAATCTCTCCTTCATTTTATTGTTAAGCTGTAGCTGAGTTTTTATTCGTTTTTTTTTGCTTCTCTGTTGATTAATTGGGTACTCCATAGGGGACAGTTTAATACCAGAGTGAAAGATTTCGAACGATACTGGTATAGAGGTTCAGTTTACATACATATAAAAGAATCAGTATGGGAGCTCAATTCAGGACGCTCGAACGTGAAAAGCGTTTCCAAAATCCACCAAAGGACAAGTCTGCATACCCTCTTTTGCAAGATGCCGTAGCCCCACATGTGGGTTCTTTCAACGCCTTGACCGAAGGTCCTGGTGGCGGTCTCTTGAACTTGGGTGTTCAAGACATTGGTACTAAAACCATTTTTGATTCAAATTCTTCTGATAGATTGGGTAACAAATTAAATATTAGAGTAGAGTCCGTTCAATTGGCCAAGCCATCCGTGGCTCCAAATGACAAGCTCTCTCTTAACAGAAGAACATATCCAACCGAATGTAGAGAAAGAATGTCCACCTACAGATCCAGACTTATGTTGAAGCTCACTTGGAGTGTCAATGATGAGGAAGAAGTTTCCGAAATCAGAGAAGCTGGTCAAGTCCCAGTCATGTTAAAGTCTAACAGATGTCATTTGGAAAAATTATCTCCTGCTGAACTTGTTGCTCAAAAGGAAGAATCTGATGAATTGGGTGGGTACTTTATTGTCAATGGTATTGAAAAGTTGATTCGTATGCTTATTGTTCAACGTCGTAACCATGCCATGGCCCTTATTCGTCCATCCTTCGGTAACAGAGGTGCTGCTTACACCAAGTACGGTATCCAAATCCGTTGTGTTAGACCAGATCAAACCTCTCAAACTAACGTTTTGCATTACTTGAACGATGGTAACGTTACCTTCAGATTCTCTTGGAAGAAAAACGAATACTTGGTCCCAGTGGTTATGGTCCTTAAGGCCTTGATTGAAACCAATGATCGTGAGATCTTTGACGGTATTATCGGTGCCGACACCTCCGAATCCTTCTTGACTGATCGTTTGGAATTACTTCTCCGTACATACAAGCAATACAACTTACACTCGCAACAGGAAACTTTAGCTTATCTTGGTGACAAGTTTAGAGTTGTTTTTGGTGCTACTCCTGATGTTTCTGACATTGAGGTTGGTAAGGAAGTCTTACGTCGTATTGTTTTGGTTCACTTGCCGGATAATGGTGACAAGTTCCGTATGTTGTTGTTCATGATTAGAAAATTGTACTCCCTTGTTGCCGGTGAATGTAGTCCTGACAATCCAGATGCCACTCAACATCAAGAAGTTCTTCTTGGTGGGTTCTTATACGGTATGATCATTAAGGAAAAGATTGAGGAATATTTGCAAAACATCCGTTTACAAATTCAATCAGACATCAATCGTGGTGTTGCCATCAACTTCAATGATAGAAAGTACATGTCGCGTGTATTTATGCGTATCAATGAAAACATTGGTCAAAAACTTCAGTATTTCCTTTCTACTGGTAACTTGGTATCCCAATCTGGTCTTGATTTGCAACAAGTTTCTGGTTATACCGTTGTTGCTGAAAAGATTAACTTCCATCGTTTCATCTCGCATTTCAGAATGGTGCATAGAGGTTCTTTCTTTACTGAAATGAAGACTACTACTGTTAGAAAGTTGTTGCCTGAATCTTGGGGTTTCTTATGTCCTGTCCATACTCCAGATGGTTCTCCATGTGGTTTGTTGAACCATTTGTCCCACAAGTGTCGTATTGCCACTGAAGCTTCTGATGTATCCAAGGTTCCTGAAGCCTTGGCACAATTGGGTGTTTCTCCATCTCATTCTTTCGCCGCTGGTCCACGATTGTGTTGTGTTCAACTTGACGGTCGTATCGTAGGTTGGACCACTCATGAACAAGGTAAGATTGTTGCTGATACCTTAAGATTCTGGAAGGTTGAAGGCACCCATGGTTTACCTGTTGAGTTGGAAATCGGTTATGTTCCACCTTCGTCCAAGGGTCAATACCCTGGTTTGTACCTCTTTGGTGGTCACTCTAGAATGATGAGACCAACCAAGTACTTACCATTAGGAAAGGAAGATATTTTGGGTCCATTCGAACAAGTATACATGAATATTGCTGTTACTCCTCCTGAAATTGAAAACAACATTCACACTCACGTTGAATACTCACCAACTAACATTCTTTCTATCTTGGCTAACTTGACCCCATTCTCGGATTTCAATCAATCTCCTAGAAATATGTACCAATGTCAAATGGGTAAGCAAACTATGGGTACACCTGGTGTAGCTCTTGCTCACCGTTCTGATAACAAACTTTATAGACTTCAAACCGGACAAACCCCAATTGTTAAGGCTGGTTTGTACGATGATTATGGGATGGATAACTTCCCTAACGGTATGAATGCCGTTGTTGCCGTCATTTCATACACCGGTTACGATATGGATGATGCGATGATTATCAACAAATCTGCTGATGAAAGAGGATTCGGTTACGGTACTGTCTACAAGGTTGAAAAGGTTGACTTGTCTCAATCCAGAAGACGTGGTGATCCAATTACACAACATTTTGGTTTTGGTGCTGATGAATGGCCAGAAACTTGGAAGGAAAAGTTGGATGATGATGGATTACCTCTTATCGGTGTCAAGGTTGAAGAAGGTGACCCTATTGTAGCCTATTACGATGACACTCTTGGTAAGACTAAGGTGAAGACTTACCACTCTAGTGAACCAGCTTATATTGAAGAAGTTAAGTTGTTGGGTGATGATAATGCTGACCAAGAGGGTCAACAAATCACCATTAAATATAGAGTTACCAGAACTCCACTCATCGGTGATAAATTTTCATCTAGACATGGTCAAAAGGGTGTTTGCTCTAGAAAATGGCCTCAAGTTGACATGCCATTTTCTGAAACTGGTATTCAACCAGATGTTATTATTAACCCACACGCTTTCCCATCTCGTATGACTATCGGTATGTTCGTCGAATCACTTGCTGGTAAGGCCGGTGCCTTGCACGGTATTGCACAAGAAGCTACTCCATGGAATTACAGTGAAGACGATACCCCCGCTGACTTCTTTGGTGAACAATTGCGTGCTGCTGGTTACAACTACCACGGTAATGAGCCAATGTACTCTGGTGCCACTGGTGAAGAACTTCGTGCTGATATCTACATAGGGTGTGTTTACTACCAAAGATTGAGACATATGGTTAACGATAAGTTCCAGGTCAGATCAACTGGTCCAGTGAACTCATTGACCATGCAACCTGTTAAGGGTCGTAAGCGTTCTGGTGGTATTCGTGTGGGTGAGATGGAAAGAGATGCCTTAATCGGTCATGGTACCGCATTCTTATTACAAGATAGATTGTTGAACTGTTCTGATTACACCCAGACTTCAATCTGCCGTTCGTGTGGTTCTCTTTTGACCACTCAAATGTCCGTTCCACGTATTGGTTCTATGGCTATGATGAGATGTCGTAGATGTGCCACCAAGTTGGAAGAATACTCTCAAAAGGGTATCTACGTTAATGAATCCGACTTGTGGGAAGATGGCCAAGGAAAGAAGTTCGTCGGTGGTGATGACACTACTACTGTTGCCACTCCATTTGTCTTGAAGTATTTAGACTCTGAATTGGCAGCCATGGGTATAAAAATGCGCTACAATGTCGAACCCAAGTAGCGACTCCATCTGCATATTCTGTTTATATTTGTTGTATTTTAATATCATTTCTAGAAAAAATAGAGAATGTAGAATAGTCAACGTAGAGTAATAGAATAGTGATTGGATATTTATTTATTATTTGTTATGAGTACAGTAGTTGGCTTTGAATTTGCAATAATGTACTCAGCGTTCATCTGATCGCTTCCCTGTGCCCTGAACTTTGCCTCTTCTTCAGTAGCGGCTATACCAGCTTCCAAATGTCTTCTAATTATCCTTCCGAGTACTATATCCCATTCCGTAGCTACGAACCAAGTTTCATCGCAAAATGAACTGATGTCAGTCCATATTGGATCCTTTAAAGAAACATAGTTACCTTCAAGGAATACAATCTTAACTTCTGGTGAGATCTTTATATCGTTTTCCACGGGATCTTTTAATCGGTGATCAAATGAGGGTGCATGAATATCTACAGTGGCCCATAAGGGATCATTTAATTTTGAAATCACCCCCACAAATGCCTTGGCATTAAAAGTAAAAGGAGCTCCTCTTCTCTCCAATGCCTTTTTGGGATCTTCAAACTTGGCCAAGTCACCCCTATAGTAATGAAAACCATCCTGTGGTAACACTAAAGTTGGAATTGTTTGATTAAGAATTCTCACCACTTCAGCTGTGAAAGTCGTTTTTCCTGATCCAGGCACTCCTGCAACAGAGATTACCAATCGGTTGTGAGATTTCTCTTTATAAAGTTTGAGAACCCTTGTCACTAACTCCATGACATCTACATCGGCTTTATAAGATATTTGGGTCATTTTATCGCTGATGTTACTCCCAAATAAATGGAATGTGAATTCTTCTCAAACGGGAAAACGAATAATTTATGGATTGAGGATTGATAAAACCACGAAATCATACGGATTATATGTGACCGATTTTGAATCAACATGGATAGAACTATTGTCGAAGCAAGATCTAATTAATCGAGCTAGCCAAAGTGGGATGGTAGATCTCAAAGATGCTCAATTGGACTATCTCTTGCTTGCAATTTCACAAGGCGTTGATAGTGGGAAAGTGGTGAATACTACGGGAACTGATATAAAAATGATACAATTACATCTTACCGATTCTGAAGTAGATTGGAAATTCAATGCCTCCGAGCAAAGTGCTGAATTTGCAAAGAATTTTATGGCACTTTTTAATATTCAATGTATTGGTGCCTTGGATTTCCAGCACGATTGTATCAAAAACTTGGAGAAGATGTTAGAGGCTAAAGATCATTATATTACATTCTTGACTGAAAATTACAAGGCCATTAATGGGGAGGAGTTATTGAAGCGCTATCATCTAACACTGGCAGTACAAAAATTTGATAAAATAGGAAACATGAAACGAAATAAAGAAATGTACAAACAAAAACAAATATGGACTCTAGTTGAACGTGCATTGAAGGAAATGGAATTTGATGATAGGACTATTTTAAATGAAAAAGAATTATATAAGACGAGTGATTTAATTAAGAAAGAAAGACAGATTGGTATTAAAAGTGAAGATATACATAATTTATCACCACCAAGTAACTCTCAAAATTTTTATCAACGAGAAAATCCAAAAATAGACGAGGATTCACTAGGCATAGATTCATTATCTTCATCACAACATGGACCTCAAGCAAGAAAACGTCGACGTATTGGAGGGATGACATTAGGAATACGGAAACGATCTTCGAGTCCTGTGAAAGGTCTCCAAATAAAAGACAATCACATAAGGATCCCATCAAGCCCAGTAATGCCATCATCTGATGACAAGAACGAAGAATAATCATTGTATTAGATTATTCCAACGTTGAATTAAAACAAGAAGAGATTGCTGCTGGGTACTATCCATTTCTTGTTCATAAATAGGTTGCAAGATCTGCAACCAATAATTTAAGAAACGATCCATTTCTAATCTATCATATGGAGTTGTATTAAATGAATTATCGACTTTCCATCTTCTACCCACATATTTCTCGAATACGATGCTTTTGAATCTCACTAGTACGTGCGAGCATTCGTGTAATGAAGTCACCTTTTCAGCACTATAGTTTTGTATTATATCAATATCCTCTCCGTAGCCAATCACCATGCATCTTTTTATAGCATTTGTTACAATAGCTTGCACCTCACGGAATATTGTAGAAGCTATTTCATGGAATGAATTCAGTGATACAGGTCCCCTTTCAATCGGAATTTTTGTAGGACTAATGGAGACATTCTGGTGTTGAAATTGTGGTGCGGTCAGATATTGTTGGGACCCTACGTCAATTCTCTGCGGTGGGATATTCTGTTGATCACAAGAGTGTGGTTGGAACAGTGGATGATTTGTTGGCATATCATCAGTAGGAGGGAATCTCTCTGTCATCTCTTTATAAACCATCAATGATATTAATTCTGCTGTCATATTAGGTCTATAACTCACCGTAAGAACAGAATTAGTCATTGCCTTTGCACAAAAGTTTTTATCATTTGACATTAATATCACCAAGGATCGATTATGAAGCTTTTGAAAGTATAGACAACAATCTAAAATGGAGTCGTCCTGGATTGTATTTATATCCAATCTTTCAGCTTTCGCCTGACCTCGTACACTTTTACTATTTTGGGCCAATTGGGTGTATATCCAATCGTTTGCCCATCGAGCTAAATGAGAAATTGACCTTCCAGAGATCGCTCCATACGCAGGGGTTTCCATCCGCAGAGATTTCTTAAGTCCATCTAGTTCCTGAACCACCGTGATTGGGATAATCAATCTGAACTTATACTTATGTGCTAACCTTGCCAATTCACTGATGATATCTAAATGTGAAAGTATGAAATTTGTATCAACCACAAGGTATGCTGAAGCTTCTGAATGAACTGCAGCGTTCAAAGTATCAGCAAAGTACTCACTCATATCGACTGCCATTTGATCTTCTTGAAATCTGGTATCACTTCTTTGTTCACGTACATAGTGTGTAATCACTTCAATTTCGCTTGAATCGGCCATACCCACCATTTCTACGTCTTCATTATCGGTTTGACTTCTTTGTAATGCAGACTCGATCCTATTTTCAATTCTTCTTACTGTGTACAGAATTGGTTTTGGGGGCCTAGAAGTGCCAACTGTAAGCGTTTGCCTTTGCTGGTGGGAACTGAGCCCCTCGGGTGCATATTTAGATGGGAGGGACATGGACTTATTTAGAATTCGAGTTGATTAGACCTTGAATTGTTTTAACATTCTATATGGGGTAGCTGGGTGGTAGTGTGCGACCTAAGTTTTGCAACTAGGCTAATTCTTTTTGCGTTTCTTCTCTTTGTATAATATGAAATAACATTCATAATTATTGTTATCAATTTATATAGTACTATATATATTTACTACGAGTATATATGTGGTATATTTTTAATTTTAAAGGATAGGTTAGCATGAAATGCAAGGAAAATCCCACTTTTATGTATCAATAAGTATAATTTAGCTTATATAGAGGTTGCAAAATAGTATTTGTAAGATTAAACGAATCTCACCTAATACAGAAACTATTCAAACATATCAAGTATAAACTCAAAAATACTTACAGAAAGACTAATGAAAATTATTAAAATAATCATCCAAGTAATTCTGTTGGTATTTTTCTCATTCATACTATCAGTCACAATATCCAGAAATTCCAAAAATACCTTACATCTATCGTTAAGTACTTGAACACGTTGATCGATTTCCAAATACTCACGTACCGCAGTATACAATGGATGAAGAGCAGGCTCAAGTGACCAAAAAAAATCTGGAGTATCCAAAATTGAACTTGAGAGATTGACATCAACTCTCAATTTGAAAAGTTTCCCTGATTTTTTCAAAAGTTGATGCCTTTTGAGACCCAATTGACCAGTAAGAGCTAATTTTTTGGGTAATTTTGATATCAGACCAAGAACATTTACCATTCGGCTTTCAAATAAACATAGCTTTGTCAGCTGAGCAATCGCATGCGACATGGTCAACTTGATAAGCTGATCCCCAGATCGAAGAGTAATCATATCATTGTAAATACGTGGTCTATGGATCAGGTTATCATACTCAAAATGGAACTCTTCCGTCTCAATATCCTCTTCATTAATAGGGTTAATCAATAATGGATTAGGGTCATCGGATGCAAATGCAAGATCTGCCAAAATATTCTTTTCATGAATCTCAGAAAAATTCCAAAATACAACAATTCCATAAGCAAAAATAAACATTTCTGCGTGATGTTTAGATAGTTCTGACAGTGGGGATTTAGATTCAGTATCTGGGATAGGCCCCTTATTTTGAGAAGGAAAATTCTGGACTTCTTCCTTAATTGTATCTTGATTAGAATCGTTAATATTCTTGTCTTCAGTTTCGTCACCATTTCTCCCATCTCCATTTCGATGAGATCTCAATTCTACATCTCTTTCACCATCTTCGCTGAGTCTTGTTTCAAGTGGGGGTGCGAAAAACTGTGGTTCTGAAGGATCGAATGGAGTACTATTATCAAAGTTTTCATTTTCTGGATCCATGGAATAATTATTTGCATCTTCTGGCGTCTCTACTCCTGAGTAGTACTCATACAAATGATCTCTTTGTTCTGATTTGGTAATCATGTTTTCAATGAACTTCTTTCTAGGTAAAAATTTGGCAGAATTATTAGATTTAACCCGATAACCTTCTGCACCAGGGAGAAGTGGAAGTGAATATGGAACATACAAGGCCTCGTCGTATAATCGTGGTTTAACCTCATGATTTTCTCTCAAAAACTTGGATACAGCTGACAAGTCAAACTGTTCACAAATGAAATATGCTGTCATTCTATTGAATTCATGTTCACGAGCTTCCTTGGGCATAAGTTCTGCTCTTGATCTCTGGATTTGTGATTGGAGGTCTGGGGTTATAACTGGTGGGTAATTGGAAGATGCCAGAGGCGCATGTAGGACTGGTGGGGGAGATGTGGATCCATGGCGGTATTGTTGTTGGTGCTCGGGTATTAAAACCAATTTTTGGGATGTTTTTGATGTTCTACTTGGAAGAGATTGGGATAATTTGGGAATACTTCTGATATTTTTCCTTAATGGATTGTCTGACATTGTCGCCAGGCCCCGCTGGCGTCCATTTGCAAGGGTTACATCTCTTCTAAGTGGCAGATTACTCCCGTTACGTCCGACTAGAGGCAGAGGGAAACGACTCTGACCAGATGGGATATCACTGGAGTTACTTAGAAGCTTGTCTACAGATATATCTGTGTATTTGTTGGACCGGGATGCTGATAATCGCTTTTGAAGTAAGAATTGCTGCTGCTGTTGTTGTTGTTGCTGCTGTTGCTGGTGATGAAGTTGCTGTTGTTGAAGTGATTGGAATTGCTGACCAGAATTATTATGATGAGAGTTATTTAATATATTTTGTTCGTGCAGTATCTGTTTCTGTTGGAGCTCTTGTTGTTGTTGTTGTTGTTTCTTATAACTTTGGCCTGCAAAGGGAGCCCGTACTCCCTTTACAGAGTCATTTCTCGCATCTGTAACCAAAATTGATGGAGATCTCTTAGCCGTAGACCGTCTATATATATATTCCGGGTTCGGAGAGTTGGATCTCGACCGATTACTGCTCATGTGTTGGGTCTTGCTTTTTGTCAATATATATTCGTAGCATGGAGGCCGTCGTGAATTAAGGCTCAAATTCAAAAGCATAGGGTATATCAAAACCATAGTTACACAAAATCTATGATAAATATGTGCAGGCTTGAAAATTTGATCTCAGAAGATCCAACAAAAAAGGTCAAAACTTTTGACTAACACTTCTCCTTTTTTTTAACTTCTTCCTAGCGTTGCTTTAAATTATGGCTTTCACATTATCTTTGGCTGCAAAGGCTCCATTTGTGGCCTATGCTGCTTTAATTGCTGTTGCATTTGTCAACAACAGCTCTGAAGATATCTCGATTGTGGTTGAACTTGTCGATGACAAGGTCGTCAAGGGTGCTTCTGTTCACCTTGCTACTCCTGAAGGTACTGAACTTACTACTCAACTTGATATTTTGAACTACTTGGCCTCCAAGTTCCCAGCAGTTTTTGCTCAAACTGGAGACAAGGCTGAAGAATTATCCAAGTTTGCCTTGGACAAGTTGTCCATCAAGAACTTCAAGGAATTATCTACTGACTTGGAAATCTTGGACGCTCACTTGAACTTCAGATCTTTTGCTATTGGTCATCGTTTGTCAGTTGCTGACGTTGCCATCTGGGGTGTGTTGAGAGCTAATGCTTTGATGGGTTCTGTCATCAAGAACAATGTCTACCAAAACGTTTCTAGATGGTACAACTTTGTTGGTGCTGATGTTAGATTTGAACACGAAATTGAACACTTCTCCAAAAACTTGGCCGAATTGAGAAAGTCTGCTAAGGCTGCCCTGAATGGAGGTAAGAAGGAATCCCACAAGGCTAACTTTGAAATTGATTTGCCAGGTGCTGAAATGGGTAAGGTTGTTACTCGTTTCCCACCTGAACCATCTGGATACTTGCACATTGGACATGCTAAGGCTGCTGTCTTGAACGAGTATTTTGCTCATCAATTCAAGGGTAAGTTGATCATTCGTTTCGATGACACTAACCCAAGTAAGGAAAAGGAAGAATTCCAAGATTCTATTATTGAAGATTTGGCTCTCTTAGGTATTAAGGGTGACAAGATTACCTACTCCTCTGATTACTTCCAAACCATGTACGACTTAGCCGTTCAATTGATTAAGGACGGAAAGGCTTACTGTGATGACACTCCATTGGAAAAGATGAGAGAAGAAAGAATGGTTGGTGATAAGTCTGCTAGAAGAGACAGAACCGTCGAAGAAAACTTGAAGGTTTTCACTGAAGACATGAAGAACGGTACTGAAGAAGGTTTAAAGAATTGTCTTAGAGCTAAGATTGATTACACTGCCTTAAATAAGACTTTGAGAGATCCAGTTATTTTCAGAACAAATTTAACTCCTCACCACAGAACTGGTACTACTTGGAAGATGTACCCAACTTACGATTTCTGTGTCCCTATTGTTGACTCTATTGAAGGTGTTACCCATGCCTTGAGAACCATTGAGTACAGAGACCGTAATGCTCAATACGACTGGATGTTAGAAGCTTTGAACTTAAGAAAGGTTCACATTTGGGATTTTGCCAGAGTCAACTTTGTTAGAACTTTGCTCTCCAAGAGAAAGTTACAATGGTTTGTTGACAAGAACTACGTTGGTAACTGGGATGATCCAAGATTCCCAACTGTGAGAGGTGTCAGAAGAAGAGGTATGACCGTTGAGGGATTGCGTAACTTTATCATTGCTCAAGGTCCTTCAAAGAACATCATTAACTTGGATTGGTCTGTTATTTGGGCTATGAACAAGAAGGTCATTGACCCAATTGCTCCTAGACATACTGCTATTGAAGCTCAAGATGCTGTTCCGGTTACTTTAGTTGATGGTCCAGAAACTTCTACTGAAGAAAAACCAAAGCACAAGAAGAACCCTGATGTCGGTTTGAAGAAGGTTATCTACAGCAAGAATGTTTTGCTTGATCAAGCAGATGCTAAGGACTTGGTCGATGGTGAAGAAGTGACTTTCATGGATTGGGGTAATGTAATTGTCACCAAGGTTACCAAGGAAGGTGATATTGTCAAGGCTGTCGAAGCTAAGTTACACTTGGAAGGTGACTTCCGTAAGACCTCCAAGAAACTTACTTGGTTGGCTGACACTAGCGACAAGGTTCCTGTCGAATTGGTTGACTTCGACCATTTGATCACTAAGGACAAATTGGACGATGGTGACAACTTTGAAGACTTCCTTACTAAGGATACTGAGTTCCATACCAAGGCTTTTGCTGATCTTAATGTTAAGTCTATGAAGGAAGGTGATGTTATCCAGTTTGAAAGAAAGGGTTACTACCGTCTCGATAAGCCATATGAAGAAGGTAAGGAAGCTATTTTCTTCACAATTCCAGATGGTAAGACTGTTACTAAGTACGGTGCTAAGAAATAGTTAGTATAATCCAAATAAATGTCTATTTTAAAAAAAAGCTACATAATCACCTCGTTAACTATGAAATATAATTGTCATAGAATTTATATAAATCCTTTATCGGCTTACAAAAAAAGTCGAAAAAATAAGCTCCGATACCGGGAGTCGAACCCGGGTCTGCTCGGTGAAAGCGAACCGTGCTAGCCGTTACACTATATCGGAATTTCTTGTTATTAAAATTGGGGTACTTCTATAAGTTAAAGAAATTAGTTTATTAAACTTAGCCAAAACGTGCTTTTTATATATATATTGACATTCCATAGTATACTTTGATATTAACAATGTGTTTTGTGTTTAATCAATTTCAATTTTAGGAAGTTTCTGAGACTTTATTACATGTTTTTTTTTTAGTTTTATATGGGTGTCTGGATGAATAAATAAAAAAAAAGAAACAGCCAGTAAAGAAAAAGTAAATGAAATGGTTACCTTGGTACCTTTTCTCGCAAAAGAAACTCAAATGTTTAAGTTTATCTTAAGAACAATAGTATACATATCATATTAACATACTGCCACATATTTGTAATAAATAGAAACAAGATCAAAAATACTGATCGAAGTTTCTTTTTTTATATAATTAGTAAATTTTCTAGGAAAAATATTTATTGTGTAAGATGCATAAATGGATTCAAAACAGCTTAAATTGACAAATTACGGAAAAAACAAACGTCGAGTAATGATATGAAAATATGTATAATAATAAATAAGGGGGCGTGCTTTCTCACCTACATAGCTCGTGTTTTGATGAATCTGGGCCATTTTATCTTAAACTTGGTGACATACACGCCATTTACGGATTTTGGCACTACACATACAGAGAATGGACTTATAGTTAGTAACCTACGCATAAAATAGTGAATATGCATACAGGGAGTACATTGTTTTTGAAGTCCTAATTTGCAGCAATCACGTCGGAGAAGTTTCGGACCCTAATAGTTATTCTATCTCCGCGTGTTATTTCCGTCTCACATGCAGGCGTCTGCACAAAATCTTATCAATTTCTTTTTTTCGGAACATAAACAAATTAGGATTCCGCCGCATATTCTCTACACAAACAATAATGGTTCGTTGACTCACAGTTGAAACTAAATGTTATAGGTCACAAACAACTTAGAATATCCAATGACTCTTTTACAGCCCGCTCTATGTACTTGCCATTTTCTTCGAAAATGTACTGAATACAAAAACTAAAAATGAAATCTATACAATCAGGAAGATAAGATGACAAATTTAAAGAAATCATTACAAATAGATCTTTTTCACATTACTAAACTTAAGAGAATTACTTTTATTTTTACACGAATATCATTTCTTATTATCTGTGACAGATACATTCATAGCTTACAATTTCATTAATACATAATAAAAGACTTTTAGATTTGCCACTCGTATCGGTAGTTGAATGGAAACGCTTACATTGAAGTGTTAACGGATGCAAATAATTCTCCTTCTTCCGGCCGAGAAACCCTTTTCTCACTTTTTTTTCTAACTGATTTTTCTATTTACGCGAATTTTATTCATGTTTCTAAACGATGCCCAACATTCCCTCTTCCCCACAATGCTTTTCACACAATTCTTTTATTCTATCACAGTCTACTTGGAAAGAGATACATGATAATTCAAATTAGTAACCTACCCCTTTGTAGTTAATGTTAGTTGAGCAAATTACCTTTTGTTTTGTGTCTTATTATGTCCGTTTTGGATGCGCTTAGGTAATAGGTCATTCGCAATTACTAAGAAAAACATCGTAAGTTTCGGCCGGTACGCGGGTTTTCCCTTTTCGGAATTCGGATCTAACACGGAAAATACGTCTTCTCCGCCAAACCCAACCGTTTATTTTGTTTATCTCCTGGTGGCAACTAATTACATACATGAATATATATATATATATATATATACGCAGATTTTTACGAATTTATGAAATTGTTTTTGTTTAGCCGTATCATACTTCACCTTATAAATTTTCTGCCTTTGTTAAAATCGGCCTGAATATCTTTTTGCTCGAACATCAGATTTTTACAATCCTTATTCTATAATCTATCAGGGAAACTGCAACTAATAAACAAACATGTGGACTAGAGAATACGACCCAACTATCCAGCTGCATTATTACATAAATTCGGAAGATAACTCTATTTCATATGACCTGCCTTGTGAAGTGCAACATCGAACTCCTGGACATAAAAAAAGCAGCCATTTTTCCTTGAAACGCAAAATTTCGCCATGTTCTGGGATGAAGGATAACAGTGATAGAGAAAGTGTTTCTAGAAAATCATCTGTCTTATCAAGAATCACTTCCGTGCTATCAAGGAAGTCATCTAACTCTAGCGGCGATTTGAAAGCCACTTCCAACACAACATCATCTTCCGTATCTTCCGCAACTCTTATATCCGCGGCAGACACAAATAACCACAAAAACCCACACACTCAAACATTCAACATAAGCGAGACGGAAATTGATTCTGATTCAGTCATAAGTGGACTTGATGACGACTACCTTCTCGAGTCGCCAATTAATTACGGATATAGCTCGAGAAATTATTTGAATGGGTATCAGTCAAACACCTCTATATATTCAGAAGAATCCATACACAGTTATTATTCTGAATTAGTACGAGAAGATTACTATTATGAATATGAAGAATCTGTTTACGACTTGGCTAAGGAACAGGAAAGGTTGGAAATAAGGATGCAAATGCGCCAGGAACTTGAAATCTAAGGAAGGGTTTTAATTATTATTTATTGTACATAGCGATTTTTAATTTTTTTTACATTTTATGAATTCATATATGATGCAAAATAAGATTGTAAATTCAAAACAACTATCCGTTTATTTATACATATCTCTTTTATATTTGAATATCAATATCCAAATCAACCTTCTTGATGAACTCATCCATGGCACCCAAACATCTGTAACTAGAGGCAGCGATTTGTGCTTCCTTTTTATTTTTTTCCTCTAGCTCCTTTTCGTAGTTCAACCGGGCATCTACGATGGCCTTTTCATTTTCTTCATTTACCAAATCCTGGTAGAAAATTCTTGTATTCGTCTTGAGTCTTGAAAAAGCATCTCCACCATCATTCTTTGCATCTGTAATTTTCTTCAATTGCGAAGATTTTAATTCAGCAATTCTGATATTGGTTTGGTTAAGTTTTCTATTTCTTTCATTAACCTTGAACATCGTCATACTACTTGAATTGCTTAAATTCTTCGTGGTATCAGCAACTATCTGCTCAAGTTCTTCCAACTCCTTTTCCAATCTACTTACTCTGTGTATGTCATTTTCCTGTAATGCCACCTTAAGTTGATCCTTGACCTTCGATTTTTTGAACACAGCATCAAATCCTTCGAGGTTATTCCCATTTGAATTCAATTCCTGTTTCCGTTTTATCATCTCATTCACATCTTGATCAGAAATTTCCCTATTAGCCAACCTATGTAATCCTTGATATTTATCTTTAACATCATCCAAGTAAGGAAGCTCTTCTCCAGTTTTTGATAATTCATTTTGGAACCTTTCAAATTCATCTTGAGTAATTGGTGAATCAGAAAAAATGTTCATTGGGAAATCCTTCTTCTGAGTTTTGTTTTGTGCAACTGTCAAGTAAATGTCACACTTAGTAGTTGGGAACTTGTAAGACTTTTGTGGAATATTCTTAACATCAACAATTTGAACCATTCTGTACATTGGTCTATGTGTACGTTTGTCCATACCAATATTTATACGGGCAAAACAATCAACAATGGTATCACTAAAGTCATTGTAAAAGCAGAACCTTTGTAACAAGGTACGACCGACCTTGATTTTATTGATGTTCTTTAAGTCAGCTCTTTCTGTACTTCTTCTAACCCTAGACTTGGAACTACCACTCCCCCAAACTACTCTATCTTCGTCATATCCATATTCATCGTCTTCACTTCTTTCTTCATCTTCACCCTCTTCTAAGTCATCTTCTTCATCTTCATCATCCTCATCATCTTCGTATTCGTCAAAGTCTTTCTGTCTTCTTTCTCGATTTGATTTTTGTTCTCTTTGTTTCCTCAATTCACTCAACTTATCAAGCTTGGAACTCTTCGCGTTGTCCTTCACCAACTTCGATCTAGCACTAGACCTAGTACTTTTAGCTGCTGATCCATCTGCAAGAGCATTTTGCAGTTTCAATCTTTGCTGTAAGTACTTCTTTTCATTGTAACTTTCCATTTCTTGAGATCTTTCAAATAATGTTTGTTCACGTTGAATTTCATCCATTCCAAGCAAGTTTTCACGATCATCCTCATCTCTATACTTACCTTCTAATGGATATGGGTTTATAAGAGTCTCTTCTACTTCATCGTCTTCATCGTCATCTTCATCTTCATCATCATTTAAATCAGTTCTTCTGCGCTTAGAAGTACTGACAGGTGATACGCTTCTCTTCCTTGGTTCTTGAGGCTCAAATTCAGAGTCGGAAACTCCATCTCCTGCCAAAGCTAACAAGTCGTCATCTAAATCGGACATGATATTGTTGTTCTATGTTATTTGTTTAATTATTTTGAGCCTGTAGTTCATTTCTTTATTTTTTTTTGTTGTCCATAAAACAATTTCAATTATACTTACACAAAACCATTTCTTAATATATAGGAGATTTTGATATCTACAAGATTTACAGTAGGGTACCCGTTCCCAATCTCTATTGAGATTAACAAAGAAGAATATAAAAAAAAAAACACATACAACATACTAATTGCATTTAATATTCGATATTTAAACTAGTTAGCTGGGGAAATACCCACCTCTTTAATATATTCGTCAATAGTCAAGTGATTGTATTCCACTCCCAACCCTTCAGCAACCTTTGCGCCCAAGTCTTCATCAATCAACCCCCACAACAGTGGCACACGCTTCTTTACTGAATCTATAGTGATGGTATCAGCATGTCCTACAATTGCTGTAACAAAAGTTTTCTTCTGCTCAGCACTAAAAACCTTTTGGTATAACGCTCTTGGTTGTTCTACATCAAGCTCGCTGAAACCAGAGACATAATCATAACTCTTTAACCAAATCTTTTCTTCGTGCGCCTTTTTAGCGCGTTCAAGTTGTAAAATTTCATATTTATCTTCTGATTTCTTTGGAACTACACCAACAAATTTATCTTTTTCAACAGGCGGAATTCCTTCTTTGTACAATTTTGGATCACTTGAGATGGAGTTAATCGGTTGAATTGTACTAAGGTAGTTGGGTCTAGACCCTTGGCTAATAATTGCCAGAGCACCTTCCCTCTGAAAGTTACCAGCTGAAAATGGACATCCGGAACCCTTTTCAAATGTTCGAGGTCTATTAACAGGAATTTGCTGGTAATTAACACCCAATCTATGACGGTGAGTATCAGAGTATGAAAAAAGTCTTGATTGTAGAACTGGATCATTTGATGGTTCAATACCAGGTACTAAGTGTGCTGGAGAGAAAGCAACTTGTTCTATTTCGTCGAAATAGTTTTCTGGGTTCTTATCTAAGACAATTTTTCCAAACTTTCTTAATGGAAACTCTTTATGGGGCCAAATCTTGGTCAAATCATTTATAGAATAACGGAATTCTTCAGCCTGTTCTGGAGTCATAGTCTGGACATACAAAGAGTAAGTGGGAAACTTTCCTTGGCTGATACGGTCGTAAAACTCTTTAGTATTGTATTCTGGACTAACACTGGTTACCAACCCACCTTCAGAACTTGAAAAGTTTTCAGTCCCTTCGTCAGCAAGAACATGATACTGGATATATGTAAGTTTACCTTCTTCATTGATAAACTTGAAAGTATGACCAGAATACCCATTCATTCTAGCCCAACTCTTTGGGATACCTCTATCACCAAACATGTAAGTAATTTGATGTAAACACTCAGGGTTTTGTGTATAATAATCCCAAGTGTGAGTAGAGTCAGTCAATTGGTTAAGGTTAGTAGCCGGGTCTCTCTTCTGTGTATGAATAAATCTAGGAAACTTAATTGGGTCTCTAATGAAAAAAATAGGAGTATTGTTAAATACCCAATCCATATTTCCAATATCTGTTCTAAATTTGATTGAGAAGCCTCTTGGGTCTCTGATTGCGTCTGGGGATCCCCTTTCACCCCCGACAGTAGAGATACGGACCGTGACTGGACATTTATACCCAGCAGTTTGGAATGGTCTTGCAAAAGTAAGATCTGATAATGAATCAGTAAGCTCAAAATATCCATGAGCACCACCTCCCTTAGCATGAACTACTCTTTCAGGAGTTCTTTCTGCGTCAAAATGACTTAATTCGTCAATTAAGTGGAAATCTTGGAGCAACAATGGTCCTCCCGGGCCAGCTGTTTGTGCTCCGTATGGGTGCCCTTGATATGGGACTCCATTAGATGTTGAATAGACAGCGTTGTCAACTTCGCCTTTTTGCAATTGTTCTGCAACCATTATATAGGTAAAGGAAAATGGAAATTTGTTAAAGAAATATATGAACTGAGGAATTGATTAAAATTTAATAAAGAATAATAGCACTTATACACATATATATATCTATTATAGAGACACGTCAAAGTCCAAATTTCCCCTTTTCCACCAATTACAAATCATCTTTTGCAATACGTCAGAGCAACATTAGTAATTACACAATTTCCAATTCTAGACTTTGTTGCTAATTTAAAGTGTGGTCCCTCAATTATACTGCACAATGTGCTACGGCATACTTATTTTTACGAGTTGCAACTATAAATTTACACTATGCAGGAAAGCAACCTTATAAACAGCCCAACATCTTTACTTCAAACCACGCAACTACATTACACAAGGTAAAGGCAATGTCAGCCTATATTTATCTACACGGCATTTAATGATTACTTTGTAAAGTACTTCAAGAGTTCTTGAAGAAGCTCTAAGTTCTGTTCTAAAACAAATTCAAAAAAAAATAATGAAGGATGCGAGGTTCGAACTCGCGCGGACAACTGTCCAGCAGATCTTAAGTCTGCCGCCTTAGACCACTCGGCCAACCCTCCATTTTCAAAAAAATAAAAAATTCGTGCATATAAGTTGTATTAAATTAGCCACCACACGACTCGATCGTTGAAGTTATGCCTTCTAGAAGTGAAAAAAAATTGATAGAGGACAAGACCCCAACTAGAGGGACTTCTCCCAAAGTCATTACTGATGATTTCGACGAGCGCAACAGTCACGAACGAGAAAAGGGTCTTCCACCGGAAGAACAAACCAAAGACGACGATATCGGCGACGACATTGAAACCGACGCTGAACAAATTCAATCATATGAAAATGTGACTTCTAATGACGAAATGGAAACCCAAATTGACACAGAAGAAGCGCCTGGTTCAGGGGGTGATGTTCGCATGGAAGAGTTGTCTGCAGACAGCTCCCCATCTAGAAAACTGCCCAAAACTGCCCAAAACTTGGAAACTCAAGAAACCAACGATTTGTCAAAAAACAATAGTGGTGGAGACACGACTAATATTTTTGACAAGTACATTAGACAAGAACAACAAAGAACAGAAGAACGATTTTCCAACAACTACAATGAAGGTACATCAAAACTCGATCTTCCTTCCTTTACACTCCCCCACGGTTTCACTATTATTAAACACTACACTACCAAAGAAAGAGCTGCCACACTCCAAATTCCAAAAAAAATTGAAAACTCCAGAAAAGCACAAAAAAACGAACAAAAAAATAACAAAAATCAAAAAAAGCAAAAATTGGCAACCTGTGTAGAATCAGTTTTACCCGACCAACTCCGTTACACCAAAGAAGCTAAACCACGTGTAGATATTTTAGGGACCTTAATATCCGAATTCGAGAAAGCGTTTCTGGAGGACCCAAGTGAAAGAGAAACCGATGAAGCCAAGAAAGACCGTTTAGGGAAATTAGCCTTAATCAAGATCTACAAGGACTTAGTCGGTTACAGACAAGCCTCCCAAACAATTGTTAGATCTAAGTATGTGAACGAGGAAATTTTTATGGCATGGTTATTACATGTGATTCGATCAGGCGATACTCAAAAACTTTCAGTCCATTTCAAGCAGAAAGACCATAATCTCACGATTGCGGAGGCCACGGCTACCCTTGAAGCCTTTTTCCTTCAAGGGGGACTCGAAAGAATGCTAAAAATAGATATCGATCACGCACTCAAAGTATTAGAAACCTACGACTTAGAAGCTGAAATTCTTGAAGACGAGAAGGGGAAATATAAGCGTAATTTGGAATACGCCTTGATCCTTCAGTTGGCACTCAAGACTTCAAGAACTGAAGTAGAAGAATTCTTAGCCAAAAAGCGCGAAGACCTCGCACTTATCCAACGTTTGATGAAGCTCAATATTACCGCTTGTGCATCTTATGACTCTAAGTCAGTCATCTTCGATCTCAAGTCAAGTTTCTCCAATCCTACTAAGGACGAACAAATGGCTTACACCTTCTTACACGCTAAGAGGCTCCTTACCAAGCTTATTAACGATTACAACGAGCTCCCTTCAATCCTTAACCCGAATCAGGACTGCCTTCCGGAAGAGGATCTGGATTTTGCAAGATATCAATTCTATGTACAACCTCCAGTCAATGGAAATCTCGTAATTCTTCAATTGACTCACCCAGTTACCCTGGATGAGCCAAAGGTTATCCTCGACCAATTCATGGCAAAAGACGCTAGATTATTGAACCTCGAAGATTTCCGCCCATCTAAACAACTAGTCATCAACGAAAGAATTGAAGAGCTTAACGCTCAGGATAGACCAATACAAGATCCTATCAAGTATACTATACTTGCACAATCTTCGCCTCGTCCAACAAACATGAACGTTACAAATGTGACCTCCCGAAACGGAGAAACCTTTAAGCCAAATCATGTTATGCCTTGTATTATGCACACTCACTTCTTAATTGATATCCAAGGAGATATAGTTCCCAACAGAACGCATTTCCTCCACCAGGACACTACATTAGACATTGTCTCCTTTTTAAAATTCTGTTCTTATTGTCACAGAATGGGACACTCGAAATATACCTGTGGAACTCTATTGGAAAGAGACGCAAAAAGAAGAATCCCCCAAGTAACTCAAGTACCACCCCCTTTTAAGGTACCCACTATACTTCCACAACCGACTAACGTGACCAAGAGACCAGACAATGTGCAACAAGATGGTTTCATAACCCCCAAGTACCACAGAAAATCTCCGTCTAAGATGTTTGACCAACCTAACGAAATCATTTCTAAAGCTCAATCAAACATGTTTAAGAATCAATTTAACCAATTGACCGGATTGACCGAGCAGGAAGACGAAAACAACCAAAAAGACAATGACATCGAAGAGGTCTCTTCAGAAAAGACGGCCCATGAACAAGCTGCTCTTCGCAAGGCAAAAGCCATAAAAGAAACGCAACAGCGTAAAGCAAAGGAAGCTTTAACGAACGCCGAACCTCAAGATTCCGCACTCGCTGCTGCTGCTAAAAAGAACTTAACCAGTCCCCATAAGACTCCAAAAACCGGCACCATTACTTCCCCTAATAGACCGGGAAAAGAATTAAGCGCCTCGCCAAATTATTTACACAAACCACTTTCAAACTTGCCATCACTGAATGGCGCAATAATCGCTTCGCAAACCCTTCAAAATGCAGTTTCTTCCGCCAACTCCACCCCATCCACCCCTACAAGATCGAATCCTAGACATAGTTCAAACCGTCTAGCGGGCCTAAATGACTCACCCACGGATATAGACGAATCTATGTCCTATGACCTTACACAACCCCCGGACCCACCGGACAACTCACCCTCAAAGAAAACTGTTATAACTAAAAATGTTACACCGAAGGTTAGCACGACACTGGAAGAACAGGTACCCATCCCTGAATCTTCTGATGACCCCCCTACTAATCTATGAGTGATACTAACACAGAACATGGTCTAACCAAGATAGATAACTATCTTCATCCTAGACCCTCATCCTCTATATCTAACATCTCAAATCTAATTATTGTCGCCAGTAAAAACATTCAACGCGCAGAACCCCGAAAGATCAGACTGTTTTTGACTTCCACGGATATACTACTTATCCAGGAAGTCAATCTATCGCAAGCTAATCTTAGGAGATCTGAAACGTTCAATGATGCTACAAGACAACATCACCTCTTTCTTCACAACACACCGAACTCAAAGAGAAGATTATACAAAAAGGTGAGTGATTTTGATTGGTTTAATTCATACTCGTGTGTTGGGATTGGCGGAACTAATGGTGATGGTAAGCTTTCCTCGTTGCCTCTCAAGTTTTCAACTGTTCTAGTTAGCTGTTCATGTGTTAATTCGATAGCCATTATTCTCTAATATTGTTTTTATAACTTCAAAAAATAAAAAAAAAACTGTAAGAATCAAAAAAATGTAATTAAGTGGATGTCAAATGAATAGGAAATATCCTGGTGATGAAAACCGATTGTCAGATATGTTTCCAACCAGCGACCTCCTTTAAGTTTATATATCGTGCCCTTTTCTTGTTTTTCAATAACCACTTGAAAGGGAAAACCTGTCACACCGAACTCAAAATCAGCCATTATCATTCGGAATCAAAGCCCCAAGTTCAATGTCGTTTCATACCTGAACTTAAATCAGCACCTTCCCCTCATCACCATCAACCGACAAACATCTATCCTGACACTCGACCCCAATGAATATTTTTCGGACGTAATAATTGACCTCCCCTCTAAGAAGGAAAGGTGGATCATTATATCCGTATATGCTCCCACGGGCCGATATAACAACTGTCAACCCCTCATGTTTCAACTCCTTAATAATGCGATAAACATTATCAAAGAGAATCAATCAACACCATTTACAATACATATCTTGCTCGGCGGCGATTTCAACAACGTCACAAATCCTGAGCTAGACACCATCTACAAACCCCCCCGATCACAACGATCCAACGACAATACCGAGGAGCTTGAACGACTTGTCTCTCAACACTCCTTAGTAGATGTCTTCCGTGACTTTGCTCCCATCTCCAACTTACCCACTAACAATCTACAGAACGGTCAAACCTCCAGACGACTCGATCGATTTTACGCGTCGGAAACTCTCTTACACCTGATCCTAAACTACCAACGGGGTATTCGCGGTGAACATTCAAAACTCACCTCCACCCACGATTCCATAGTATTGAGGTTCGTCCACTCCTGGGCTCCCCAAACTAATATGGGACCGAAACGGTACATTGTTCCCAACCAACTCATCCAAAGCAACTCCTTCATGGAACACATTTCTTCTAGAACCTTTCGCTCCTTTGCGGATTTGATCACTTTCACCCAAAAGAATGGCCAACATATCTTAAATCAAACACCCCCAGATGAAGGGAATGACCTAATTCACTCTAAAGATCCACTTTTTAAAGATCTCCAAGAGTTCTTCCAAGGATCTTCCCCCCGAAGAGAAGCTATCTCGCGACTAGAAGACAAATCAGTTGGAAAAGTCGGAGAAACAAACGGAAAAATATTAAATATCGCTACAAATTTCTACATTAACCTCTACTCGAATTCCCAACCGAGAGAGCACAGAGATGAAATAGAAGCTTATTTAGAAAGTTTTCCCAAATCTATTTCTGCAACTGAAGCTCTTCGCCTTGAACAACCTATCAAATCTCAGGAAATACTTGAAGTTCTCAGGAACACTTCCAACCAAACTGCCCCAGGGATTGATGGAATTACCTATCAATTCCTAAAAGCAACCTGAACGGTCAGTGGTCCACTTCTAGTCCAAGAAGCAAATACTATTCTAGAGACAGGGCGAATCCCTTGTCACATGAAAGAAATTCTCATAAAACTCATCCCCAAACATGATAGGACTTCACATGATATAGGAGACTATAGACCTATTTCACTCATCAATACTTCCCTTCGTTTAATCTCAGGCGTCCTCAATCAACGACTTTACGCTATATTTTCGCCGTTGATCGGCCAAGGACAAACAGGTTTTATGACCGGCAGAGCAATGGATGAACAGGTCCATAAGTTCAATTCCTTGATCCATCATTTAAATAACAACTACCAGACGTATGGAGATGATCCATTAAGTATACTAATCCTAGATTTTACTAAAGCTTTTGATAGGCTCTCACACGACTACTTGATAAGAGTGCTATTACACTTGGGCCTCGGCCCAAAGTTTATCCAAGCAGTCATGCTGGTTACCACCCAACAGCAGGGACGTCTATACTTAAATAACTACCAAGGCACGAGATTTTCACTCTCCCAAGGTACCCGTCAAGGTAACCCCATCTCCCCCATTCTTTTTAACTTGGCTCTTGAACCTTTTCTTTATAAGATCTCCAACCTCCTACTGGGAATCCCCATTCCTCTCCACATGGGGAGCAACGTAAAGGCTGACTACTTGGCTTTTGCCGACGACGTCACTGTCTTCCTACGGACGGAGCAAGACTTCCATAAATTAAAGCATGAAATCCGACATTTCGAACGTGTTTCAAATTCACTCATCAATGAAAAAAAATCTTCCATCCTATACTTTGGCAATTCACCGCCGCTCAACGTTCAACACATTCTTCCTTACCCGATGAAACCCAGCACAGACTCGGACATTAGATACCTCGGTATTCTAATTAACAAGTTCTCGTGGAAGGATTTCATTGAGTCACTACGGAAACAGTTAAGCGCCAACTTAATACGTGGCTTACCAATTCACCTTCGAGCACAGGGTCTAAACTCCTATGCCTTCTCTAAGCTTTACTTCCGTGATCTCCACCATCCGATGTCCAAAGAAGATATCCTTGAGTTAACGTCAGTTACCAAGAAATTCTTCCCGGGCATCGGTGGAACCACAGTCCATGCTTTAAAGAAACACGGGGGTTACGGCCTCCTAAAGCTTGAGGACCAACTCTTGGGCCGCAGAGCGAAGGTCATCTACCACACGTTGACTAATAAGGATGATTGGAACTACATCATCTTTAGAGATAAACTTCAATACTACATTAACACGTTTGCCCGAGTACCACTCCATGCGCCAGCTCCAGCCGGCTGTACTACAATGATCCCATGGTTTCGGTTCCTCGCAGGAGCCCGCATCCGACACGTCTCGGGTCGAGAGCTCCACCACGCCATTGCACAAGAGAACGATGACACCTACTTCTCCACCACGGAGCGTGCCTGGATACAGGCCTGGTTCGCCATAGCGGTACCAAAGCCATCTACCCAGTCACTTCCTCCCCTCGAAATACCCACCGCCTTCACAGCAACGGAACAATCCCAGTTGCTTGAAGCTCCACTACCATCTTCCTTACCAGAATTCATGCAAGGTGACTCTGCGCTTGTCACAGAAGCCACCTTCAAGAGCCGCCACAGGCAAATTCAATTGAAGCAACCGCATATTATCCCTCGAGGTTGGGAAACGGACCTTTCAATTGGTTCTGCTAGCTGGAAAAAATTCTGGAAACAACTCAACAAAATCAAACTCAAACATCCCGAGGGAGGTGAAGAAACCCACCGATTCAACCTAGGACACCGTTCTCACGGTAATACGGCAACAGTCCGACCCAGTTCCATCACAACACTACCACAAAGACGGCGCCTTGTCACTCAAATCCACTCCACGAGTAATAACGTGGACTACGTCGATTCTCGATGTGTCGCTTGCTTGACAGAAATGTCAAGCGAAGCCACAGACTATCGCCTACTCCACCATATGTACTCGGATTGCAGGGTTTCGCGCCAAATATGGAATCAATTATCACGTGACTCACTCCAGCTACTGATTAAATTATTAGTTGCAAACTCGACATTGTCAATTCTACAATCTTTAAATGTTAATCGTTACCTCCAAGCTATCCGTCGCTTCTTTCGAGAACGACGACAGATTTCAACAGCGTTAAGGACAACCTTAACGATTCGCGATATCACAGCTTGGGTTACGTTGTTTAAATTAACAATTAAATAAATAATTATGACATAACCTGCAAGAGGTTTTCAAAGTTTATACTTTTTCCTCTAGCTCAAAAGGTTTATTATATGGCAACTATGAAATGAATATACAGAAGGAGGTTATATAGCCAATATACCAACAATTATATAGATATATTATAGGATAATAAACATCGAATGAAGAAAAATAAAAGCAAAAAAATTGGTGTAGTTGGTCATCACAAATAGCATCTCTTACTAATAACCTGAATTATTTGATAATTATTTCTGTCAAATACTGTGTATTGTAATCTTTCAAAGTCTGTTTATGCTTAATTGGTCATTGTTGTTGGGAATATATATTATACGCGTCGGTTGTACAGACGCGTATAATTCTCAATAGTTTCATGGTTTAAAAATAAAAATGATATATGGATTCATGAATATCCCCCACCTTTGCCACCCATATATTCTTAACAAAATGAATGACCATATGCACCTTTTTGTGGTTAATTTTATGTAACTTGGTTGTCAATTCAAATTGTTGGGGATATCAAAGAGTTGTTTTAAACTATCGCATTTTCCTTCATCTTCATCTTAGCCGAAAAAATAATTTACGACGGAGCCGTTTGCTGGCAAAAATAAGTGTGGTCCCATCCTTCCTCCTATCCTTTCAAGAAAAAATTCTCTCGTTGCACGTTAACACATTAAGATGTCTACCTCGATTTAGTTTCTAACTCTAAAATTTTTACTTCAACACTACCGTTTTGGGGCTTTATATATATTCATACTAATGATTAGAGTGAATCGATTGATCAAATGCAATTTTTTGATGTTGTGAATTTATACAATTGATCTTGTCCAATAAATATGAATATATAAAATAGCACTTACAACACTGGGAGAATTTCCTTTCTTGTTCACGGAAAAAAAAGGTCACTTTGTGATACCCTCCTTTATTTGTGGTTTATCACAATCACAACCTTGACTTATATTTTTCTTTTAATTTTAAATTTTAATACGCTCTTTGCTTTTAGAGTATCCACAATATCAACTTTAAACTGATATTCACTAAAGGATCATCATATTTTCTGGGTTACCCCTTGTTGTTAGTAGTTGATTTGATATACAAGTTCTTCAATTTAAAACATGCTGAGAAAATGTTAACTATTCAAAAATACTTGGACTACACAAAAGATACAAGTACACAATAATTGTTAATTTGGTTAATGCTAGTTTTTGGGTTTCAAAGATAAAGATAAAAGGATAAAGATAAACGTTTAAGATGAAAAGGTAAGAAAACGATAAAGAATAGAAAAAAGATAAACAAAAGAAAGTTAAATGAAGTTAAATGGAGTTAAACAAATGAAAAGTTAATGTTAAGGTTAAGAAAACAAAAGGTTAAACAAAAGACAAAGAAAAGATTTAGAAAAAAAATTAATAAGTTAAAGAAAAGATAAAGAAAAGATGAACAAAAAGGTATAACAAGAAGAGAAGTATAAGAAAAAAATTAAAAAGAAGTAAAAAACGACAGAAAGAAAAGAACAACAGATTAGGTTAAAAGACAAGAATAAAATAAAAAACTTAAAGATATCAAGAAATACAAGAAAGAATAATGAGTGAATACATTCTTAACAATTATTACTCACTCCTGGGGGTTAAATAAATGTATAAAGTTACATATGGGGATTCAGGTTGAATTCTTATCTAGATGTTATTAAAAATCCTCGATTAAGAGGACTGAGACAGAAATTGGTAGCAGAGAGAAGAGTAAGTATTAGAAGAAGCAAAGGAAGAAAACAATGAAGAATGTACAAGTGATTAATGTGCAAGTGATTATTTTATCCTAAGAAAAAGGCTTAACATTAGCCAAACCAATTTATAAATATTTGATAGTGGAGAATTGAAGAGGGAAAATGGAAAAGATGAAAATAAACGAGGATACAGAATGTGGATGCTGTTGCAGATATAGAGTGACAAATCAAGGGAGTTTCAGGGTTGAAGATTGCTGGGAAGTGGGATTAGTAGGTTACACACTAGTGCTTTCGCACTTGGGTCATCTAGAGGCGAATTATGAGATGTCCCTCAGTGCTTTGGTACTACTTGGGACGACTGGTGGGGTTTGGAGATGCTTCTTCTGTGCTATTTTGGCACGGTTTATAATGAAGCGTCCCGGTGCGTTGCTGACCAGACAAATCTAAAAGTACTCGAGTTTACACGCAAGTCTGGTCAGCGTATTGTTGGCACTAGTTAGATTGCGTCAACGATATGTAGGTAATTCACACAGATGGGGTGTGATCTAATAGCACAATTATCATCTAGGGTTACCGGGTTTATTTGAAATGAAGTAAACTGTTGTTGTACAGTTGGGGATACCTGTGATGCGTTGCTGATTAGTCTTGAAGTACTCGAGTTGCACAGTGGTGAATGACTAGTCAGAATGTAATTCGCACCAGGTGGGGCGTGACAACCGGTAAGTTTGTACTTGCTGGGGTCACCGGGTAGGGATTGCAGGTGATGCGCGAGCAGTTTGTAAGTCTTGGGTCACCTGCGGTGCGTTGCTGACCAGTTACTTTGGAGTACTTGAGTCTGCACATTTGTGCCTGGCTGGTCAGTGTATCGGGCTCGTTACAAAGGTAATCCGCACCTGCTGGGGCAATTACAACAGGTACAATGATAAGTACTGGGGTCCTTGGTGAGTTTTGCTGATGATATGCTGTTATAGAGTACATATTTAGTTCGGGACATGAAGTCGGGTTGCCAGGGTAGAGTACACATGGTCCATTTTGATCTGTAGGTGTATTTGTAAGCGCCCAATGAGGCGTCCATACATTTAGGTAAGGGCGTAGTTTGAGGATGTGCGGCACGTGCTGGGTGTTGAAAATAATATGTAAACATTTTAATAGATTACCAAGTGTTGAAAAACGATATGTAATCACTTAATATATTACCAAGATGGTACTGTCTCGATGATATTTGTTTATCATAGTGACAGACTCTAGGTGATAAGTACACGGTCTATTAGACTGTGCGTTAACATATTATGCAGGAGAAGAATCTGTATAATACAACTATAATCTAGTGAACGCTAGATTATTAATACGCAACAGCTTTACCAAATTGGCTTATTTTAAATACCACAAAATTATATTTGTTGGTTTAAAGTCAACAGAAACTCCGTTAATTTTTGGGTTTTTCAAAGTTGTATTAAAAGGGTGAAATCCCCATCTTAGTTAACTTTAGGTATATTGATTTACTTCTTTACAGATTTTAATTATATATTTTAGAATTAACAAGTTCGAATCTTGTTAATGTTAAGTGTGCCTAATACATTGTAATTATGTCTAATTCCCCTATTCTCACTTCTCCTAGTTCCCTTACTGAGGAACAACAAAGGGTTCTAAAGATCTCTATTGAGGCATTTGTGTCTCAATCTCAACACTGGGGTCTCCAGAGCCGGTCTGCTAGTGTGTCTACATCACTCGGATCGACTTTTACAAGTGGAGATCGAGTCGATGGCCAGCACTAGATTCTGACTCTGGGCGCTACTTCACCTATGTGCCGTACACGTATCAGTCTTGCTGGGTTACTAGCTAGCCACTTGGCCAGCTGGTGTGTAGCATGCACTGGGGTTGGCCTGGCAGTGCATGGGTGATGCTGGGGTCCACCACTACGGTTGGACCTCCGGCCGATACCCTGCACTTCATGCCGACCGCGAGGGTCCTCGCCTGTGTGTGCTATTCACCCACCAAGTGTCTGGCTGGTTTGTAGATGTACCATCCAAGTCTCTATGGGTAGTGTGTGTGAGTATTTAACTGGGGTCGACGGCCATGGTTGGACCATTTTTTGATGTTCCTCGCCTACCACTCCTCTCTTGTTCCATAACCCAGTTTCTTAATGTTTCTACTACCTGAGCCATGAATATATAATACTCTTAATGTATACTTCGTCGTGGTCTGTTTCAGTTATCTGTGGAGTTAGTGTGTTGTGAATTCAAAATGTGTGTTGCAAAAAGTCGTGCATTGTCCATTTCTAAAAATACTTTTTTACCACATTTACCAAAGGTTTGGTTTCAGGTTATGCACATTCCTCAACTGTGTGCACAATCTGAATATTTAGCCTTGGCTGCCAAACAATATATAAAAAATAAAATATTTTCTTCCTTGCACCTTTCTTGGATTTGTGTGTCTACCAGGTCTAAAGTATAAGAAAATACAATTTCCACGCGTGACAGCTTTTGCGCTTGTCTAGACAGAATTGAATTGACAATTGAAATTCGAGTGAACAATGTCAAGCGATTTGATCTACGTGCATACTACATGGAAGTTGATCTACTAGCCAGTCTACCCGCTAACCTTCTGGTACTTAATATGTAGCACACATATTTGGGCGCTCATTGGGAAGGGGGTTATGTGGACATCAAGTGAACAACAAGTTGTCCAACCGTAGAGGTAGACCCCCGAGCCACCCACACACAACCTGGACAACTCCAAGGAGGTACATGCTACACGCCAACTGGTCAAGTGGCTAGCTGGTCACCCTCAGACCACGACCATACCTCAATGTATGGACGCCTCATTGGGCGCTTACAAATACACCTACGGATCAAAATGGACCATGTGTACTCTACCCTGGCAACCCGACTTCCTGTCCCGAACTAGTATATCCACACTATATATATATATATATATATATATATGTCTTAAGAATGAGTAATGCACGTCGACTAAATTAACACGTAGCGCAAGTGAGTCAACGGAGCAGCTCAATAAGTTCAGCATCGAAGCATCAATCTCGGCAACAACCCATGCCGAGCCGGTATTCCATCCACAAAAGTAAATGGATAGTACGAGATTGACGTCAAGGATAATTGCACAACGATAATCAACAATCACATATCAGCAACTACCTCATGGCGAGTCATAGACCACCAATGGCCGGGTGGATAAAATTAATGCACCGCATCTCAAATTTAAACATAGCACTTGAGAGTCACGGGTCTCTGTGGCCAGGTTATCAAAGACACTAATTAAATTGGAAATGGGTCTAAGGAAAATCATAAGATTTGTTAGTAAAGGTAATTTGAAGAAGAATAAAATCTTATGGAGCATATCAATTCAGAATACATGGATATTTTCAAAAGTAGAACGGAAAAATGATGGGACTCACCGAAGGAACAAAGTTAGTTTTACACTGACCTTATTGTACTTTTTCTGAAAATATGATAACCCTTTTAAATAATCCCCACAGCTTCAATCCACAAACCAAGTGTCCACAAACCTAGTATCCACAAAGACAAAACCAAAATATACATCAATGATGACCGTACAATATACAGGTCTTATCCGTATTTCCCGTGTCAATAAATGACGCATGAACTTTTGCTTAGTTACAAATATGTGTTGCATATCGTTTTGATAGAATAAGCAATTATTTCATATTTTTAACAAGGACGTTAGTACAGCTTAAAAATGATCAACATCCTTTATGGGTGTATCAAATACAAGAGCTACTGGTAAATAAATTTGGCTTAAATCATGAAGATACAAGGTCGCAATGGAGGGAAGTGTGGTCTTAGTAAACTTACGAATTTTATATACGTAACACGGTACTGTACTATACTATTCACTATATTTCATATACGTAGCATTTTGGGATTTGTCTCCTACATTGGCTTTATTTTTCGATTGTGGATTTTGATATAGTGAATTTGTAGTTATTCTCTCCCCTTCCTCCCCCTTTCCTCCCCCCTCTTACTGTTTCAATTATATCAATGACCATATGGACTTTTTTGTGGTTATAAATTTGTGGGCTCATTGCCACATAATTTGGGAAACTGGGATCATATCACTCCTTGACCTCGTTCCATTCTTTCTTTTTCTTGTTGTTTTAGCACTTATTCCAATATGTCTTACTCTCACCATATGCCCATTTTCTGCATCTTTCTAGCATATCTACCCGAGTTGATAATTAAATTGACCACCCACTGTCTATCCATAATCTTAAAATCCCCCATCCAATTTGCTGCAAAAGGTCGTTCTTCAACCATATCGGGGGTGCAGAAATACGGAAAGATCTGATCTCCGCACTTATTTTTTACTGCAACACATGTATCACTGAAAGTTACAAAACCAACGTCCTACTACTGGCAGTGTTTGGATACGAACTTTCTATGATACCAAATCTAGTGGAATGGTGCGGAATTGGATGTAAAGTTGTACTAATTGGATATCATACGTTTAGCCGTATTACGAAGAAAGAGTTCACTGAGTCAAAGTTGTCAGATCATTGTTTTATAATATCGCGCATTCAGTTGTCTAACGCGAAAAAATATTTTTCGATGGAACGTTTGTCAAAAAATAAATGTTGTTAAACTGGTTCCTTCCGCCCCTGCTGGGTTTGTGGCAACTAAATTTTACGTTGTCAAATTTAGTTTGGCGGCCTGTCCAATTCAAGACCTACTAATATGGGTCTTGTTGTATTCGGCTTGTTCACAGCACAACATGTCAAGTAAAATGAAGTCCAAAGGGGCGCAGATGGATACCATTTCTGATATTCTAGTTTTGCAAAAAAATTCTTTTCCAATTTATAAACAGGGTTTTAAAATGAATCACAAAACATAAACCTTATCCCTAGTCTCCCATATTTTCTGCAATTATTATGCACCAGAAAAAGTACCACATTTGCAGCTACTTTTTTTTTTACCGCCATTTTTGAAAACCTGAAACATCCGCACTTTTTACAAAATTTCCCATTAATTGAAGATGTAGTAGATCTTTTATGTCTAGTGTAACCACCCTCAAATACATGTTTATATATCCCAAGTGAACCCGTGTTGGAACTCTATTAGAACACCTTTCAAATGGTAGATTGGTCATTCGACTGTGTTATATTTACAAGTCTCTCAATATTGAACCCCTTATCTCAACACAAATAAAAGACTACACATATATTAAAAAGTACTATATCTACATGTTTCAAACGGGGGAAGTCGGTACTACGACTATCTACAGTATATTGATTTTCTATGTATAAATCGAAATGAAAAGAACTACATGGTAATAACTACGGAATTACAAACCAACATTGGTTGATTGGGGGTGCCAAAATTCTAGTCCGGTGCTAGTCATTCCAAAGGGTATGGACCCACTATCAATCGTGAATAGATAACAGGGTATTGTTCTCTTTGTTCATTTATATTTCTCTGTGCTGTGATCTCGTAAATACGTAGGGCTCTGGAGATAAGCTCTAGGGACAGCCTCTCAAGATGTCCCTGTTGTTCTGCTCGTTTATCTCAATGAATTGCCATACCCTTGTCATCACAAATAGCATCTCTTATTAATTACCTGAATAATTTGATAATTACTTCTGTAAACTACTGTGTACTGTAATCTTTCAAAGTCTTTGTATACTTAATTGGTCATTGTTGTTTGGAATATATTATACACGTCTGTTGTACGACGCGTATAATTCTCTATAGTTGATATGTGGATTCATGGCTAGCCCCCATTTTGCCACCCAAGTATTCTCAACAAAACGAATGACCATATGCACCCTTTTTGTGGTTAATTTTATATACCTTGGTTGCCAATTCAAATTGTTGGGGTTGTCAAATTGAAACATAATATCTCCTTGATCTCGTGCCATTTCTTCATTTTTAAGTAATTTAAGTATTTCTTCGAGTATAGTCTAATATCATCATGTACGGAGTTTCCCCATTTCTCTACGATCTTTAATCGTGTTGATAATTATGTTCACAGCACAACATATATCCCAAATTTTTAAATTCCCCCCTTCAATGTGCTGCAAAAGATTTGTTACAGAAAGTCGTGTGTTGTCCATATCTACACTCCGCATTTATTTTTTACTGCAGCATATTTATCGCCGAAAAATGTGCGTCATACTACTATAGACGGGATTCATAAGCAATGTATTCCTCTTTATATTTGGTATATTTAGTATAAGAAGTAGAACTACTCTCAAGTAGTATTGGTATAAAAAATCGGTAGAATATACAATAAAAGAGGTCATCACTCAGGGATGTCAAGGAGTTGTTTTAAACTATCGCATATTCCTTCATATTAGCCGAAAAAATAATTTACGACGGAGCAGTTGGCTGCCAAAAAATAAATGTGGCCCCCTCCTTCCTCCCGCCCCTTCCAGGTTTGTGGCAAACGATTTTTAAGTCATCATATTTTGTTTGACGGCCTGTCCAAAGCTGAACCTAACAATATGGGTCTCGTTGAATTCGGCTCGTTCAGAACACAACATGTCAAGTAAAATGAAGACTAAATCGGCCCAAATGGCTACCATATCTGATTATCTAGTTTTGCAACAGCTTCTGCTCCACTATATAAGATCTTTTCAAGATCCACAAAACCTAATTTTTATATTAAGTAAGATATTTTTTAGCCGCAATATTGGTGCAATGTCAAAATGGTACCACCTCTTTACTGCGGTTTTGGGGAATATTTCAGCTGCAGTTTTAGTTGTAATCCCCCTTATCTCTAACCAAATACACAGAGACAATTAATTATTAAAATATGCAATTTCAGCTTAATTTAAACGGGGGAAATTGGTACTGGTACTATCAAAGGTATGGTGAGTTACCATATATAAATGTGATTGGTAGTATCACTCGTTAGTAGTTTTATTCAAATACAGACTTGTACCAAAGGGAGGGAGGTGGCGAACATACAAGTAACTGCGTATTCTAGCACCCCCTTTGAATGAATATTTTTTCTGCAGGGATATTTTGACTGCAGCATTAATTGAAGGCCCCTTGTTCCCTCCCAAATACACAGACACATTGGAGTTTTAGATAATACAATTTTGGCTTGTTTTAAACGGGGGAAGTTGGTACTGGTACTATCAAAAGTATGTTGAGTGTCTATAAAAAATGTGGTTGATAGTATCAACTCTTTCGCTGTACTCATTCCAATAACAAACTTGCGTCGAAGGGCGAAAGGTGGAAGCTTCTAGTACAGCTGTAGTAAACTACTGCATTTATTGGGACCCCCCTTAACTGCCTAATATATTTTCTAGCGGGGTAACTCGGCCAGATTTACTTGAATAACTCCTTATCTCCACACAAATACACAGACACTGAATTTTTAGAATATGCAATTTTAGCTTGTTTCAAATGGGGGAAGTTGGTACTTGGGCTTTCTGAAGTATATTGAGTTACCATAGATAAATATGATTAATAGTATAGGTCTGATGGTTTATGTTCTTCCAATTACAAACTGCTACAAAGGGGGACGGCGGAAGCTTCTGGTACGGCTCTAATAAACTTACTGCGCATATTAGGGGGTGCAAATTGTGCACCCCATACACTGTAATTATGCATGGTAACAGGGTAGTACCCCATACTAATATTTCTTTTGAGATTGTGGTCACCTCTGTTGTTTGTGGTCTCACTCTGTTGTTTGTGGTCCCTTGGTTTTGAAAAATATTTAAGGACAGCCAATTCCCACTTTTCCCCAAAATACTTTTTTTACTTTTCTATCACTCTTTTCTTCTCTCAAATTTATTTTCCTCAATTCAAAATCCAAATCTGTGAGTAGCCCACTCCCCGCCTCTTCTTTGATTATTGATACAGCTTTACTATACTAACAACAATATAGGACACCAGTAAGGTCTTTGGTTAACAGTGACGTGTTTTGACTTCCGTTGTTGATCAATTTTAGTTGTCATTGTGAACTGTTGAAGTAGATTTACATCTCTCTTTGTCGGTGGTAGTTGATGCATTGATATTTAACTGTTTGTGTTCTACGATTCTTGACTTGTTTAAGCGTTGGAAAATTTTCTGAATTCATCCCATGGATGTGCTTCAGCAACCTTTTACTTAATTTGCATCTACACCACTAATCAGAAAGGTGGTTGATTTAAATTGACTATGAATTTTGACTTCTATTCTTGGTTGGCTAAAGCAGTTGATTTGTGTCAGTGTTGATCTTTGCCTTACACCAACGTTGAACTATGTTCTTGGTCGTTGGTAATCATTATTGTGCTTCGTGGATCCCTCTCACTTATGTTGAACTCCGTTGTTGGTTGTCGTTAGTCGTTGGTTATCATTATTGTTCTTCGTGGATCCCTCTCACTTAGGTTGAACTCCGTTGTTGGTTGAGGTTAGTCGTTGGTTATCATTATTGTTCTTCGTGGATCCCTCTCACTTATGTTGAACTATGTTGTTGGTTGTTGTTAGTCGTTGGTTGTCATTATTGTTCTTCGTGAATCCCTCTCACTTATGTTGAACTATGTTGTTGGCTATTGTTAGTCGTTGGTTATCATCATTGTTCTTCGTGGATCCCTCTCACTTATGTTGAACTATGTTGTTGGTTGTTGTTAGTCGTTGGTTGTCATTATTGTTCTTCGTGAATCCCTCTCACTTATGTTGAACTCTGTTGTTGGTTGTTGTTAGTCGTTGGTTATTGGTCTTATTGTTCTTCGTGGATCCCTCTCACTTATGTTGAACTCCGTTATTGGTTGTTGTTAGTCGTTGGTTATTGGTCTTATTATTTTGTGGATCCTTCTCACTTATGTTGAACTCCGTTGTTGGTTGAGGTTAGTCGTTGGTTATCATTATTGTTCTTCGTGGATCCCTCTCACTTATGTTGAACTCTGTTGTTGGTTGTTGTTAGTCGTTGGTTATTGGTCTTATTGTTCTTCGTGGATCCCTCTCACTTATGTTGAACTCCGTTATTGGTTGTTGTTAGTCGTTGGTTATTGGTCTTATTATTTTGTGGATCCTTCTCACTTATGTTGAACTCCGTTGTTGGTTGAGGTTAGTCGTTGGTTATCATTATTGTTCTTCGTGGATCCCTCTCACTTATGTTGAACTATGTTGTTGGCTATTGTTAGTCGTTGGTTATCATCATTGTTCTTCGTGGATCCCTCTCACTTATGTTGAACTATGTTGTTGGTTGTTGTTAGTCGTTGGTTGTCATTATTGTTCTTCGTGGATCCTTCTCAATTAGGTTGAACTCCGTTGTTGGTTGTTGTTAGTCGTTGGTTATCATTATTGTTCTTCGTGGATCCCTCTCACTTATGTTGAACTATGTTGTTGGTTGTTGTTGGTAATTGGTCTCATCATTCTGTGGATCCCTGTCACTCATGTTGGCATTTGTTGTTTGTACTTGGTTGTTGTGGTTCCTTAATGATATTGGTACTAGGTTTCATTATGGTTAGCTCTTTTATCGACCTGCACTTGTGAGACATAGTAAATGTCTAAGAGCTCTACAGTTATCTCAAGCCTCCATTCTCCTTTGGATGAACTTGGAAGTATGACGTGCTGTTATGAGGTACATATTTAGTTCGGGACAGGAAGTCGGGCTGCCAGGGTAGAGTACACATGGTCCATTTTGATCTGTAGGTGTATTTGTAAGCGCCCAATGAGGCGTCCATACATTGAGGTATGGGCGTAGTCTGAGGGTGTGCGGCAAGTGCTGGGGTGGGTCTCCAGAGCCGGTCTGCTAGTGTGCGGACGTCACTCGGATCCACATTTACGAGTGGAGATCGAGTCGATGGCCAGCACTAGATTCTGACTCTGGACGCTGCTTCACCTATGTGCCGTACACGTATCAGCCTTGCTGGGTGACTAGCTAGCCATTTGGCCAGGTAGTGTGTAGCATGCACTGGGGCAGCCCTTCTAGGGGTTGGTCTGGTTGTGCATGGGTGTCGCTGGGGTCCACCACTACGGTTGGACCACTAGTTGATGACCTGCACTCCACACCACCTCTCCTTGAAGGACTCCCAAAGGTGTATGTCACTGGGGTCCATCACTACGGTCAAGCCAAATCTTAATGTGGTTTTTGATTTAATATAATTGCTATATTTGTAATAGATCTAGCATTTAGTTTCCTAAATTATTAGGATAATAGTAATAAATTTGAACAGCGTATCTAATATGTACTGTATATACTCATTATTCTAGTCTCCCCCATAGGAAATGTCTTCCGCCTTTGAAATCGACATGAACCCGAATTTGACGTCATATTCGACCTCTTTCCCCCGCCAAACATGTAGAGATTTCCTGTATATGTCAGATCTAAGGACTGCATAATACTTAAATAGGTTTAGTCCTGTAGGTAACACAAAAGTAAATGCAGGAGAGATATAATATCCTGTATAATGCCATTTCTAACAGAACTAAAATCAAGTTTGTAGGCAATAAAATATTGGGCAGAGAACTTTCCTGTATATTGATTAAATTATTGGCTTGAAGTCCTTCATGTTATCATATACCTGCATATGTACCATACATCATGCAGGATAGTCATAGGCAATTGCAACCTGAACAGGTTGGGAAAATGTCTTTGATACTAAGCAGAATATTTAGACTGGAAACGTCCTAATAAACCAAATTATATGTTCTTAGACGTCTCAGGGGACCAGCTGCAAGTATTAGAAAGTTAATAGAACGAAAATTGAGTATTTTGCACTTCCCCCTAAAAGCAAAACTGAATTTCTACATGCTCACTGATTCCACAGAAACGCTCTATTTCCCGATTCTATCACCACCAGCGATGTATTACAGCTTAATACGAAGCGCAGTGATGTTTTGAAGCCATTTACGTAGTGTTTTCAACACCTCCTCCCAACCCAAGGGTCAAGAGTTTATCCGAGACTATGTAGCTTTCGGACGAATACGAGCAGCTGCAGCATGTATACCGTGGACCGGGAGTATCCGACGGGATTAAGGTGGCTCTAAAGCTTAATTTCGGCCTCCCAAGGGTTTTTTGACGCATAAACCACGGACTTACGAACATATATGCAACCCCGGAAATCGATCCCGGAATTGATTATGCATATGTGCATTTCGGAAGTGGGATATGGGATTAAGGCATACGGATATGGAATGATGTGCATATTGGAAGAATAAAATGGATATACGGAACACGGAGATATACAAAGCATGTACCCCGCCTAAAGCGGGGTGATCAGGGGCCTAGCTACTACCCATTAAAAGTTGATCAACTAAAGATTTCAAACCACTAGCGATGTCCTACAGCCTATTATGAAGCGCAGTGATGCTTTGAAGTGATTTACGTGGTGTTTGCAACACATCCTCCCAACCCAAGGGTAAAGAGTTTATCCGAGACCATGTAGCTTTCGGACGAATACGAGCAGCTGCAGCATGTATACCGTGGACCGGGAGTATCCGACGGGATTAAGGTGGCTCTAAAGCTTAATTTCGGCCTCCCAAGGGTTTTTTGACGCATAAACCACGGACTTACGAACATATATGCAACCCCGGAAATCGATCCCGGAATTGATTATGCATATGTGCATTTCGGAAGTGGAATATGGGATTAAGGCATGCGGATATGGAATGATGTGCATATCGGAAGAATATCATGCATACGGAGAAATACCAATCATCTACCCCGCCTAAAGCGGGGTCATCAGAAGTCTAGCTATTACACATTAAAAATTGATGTACTAAATTCAGTCCAAATCACGAGCTAGCGCACTCCACATTCTACCGGAGGACTCACTAAATAGATACTGGCATTAAAAAGTGTGAAATCGGCCAATCACGCCCCCAGTAAAGAGTGGAAATTATGCTGGGTGTTAGGATGTTCAAAAGTGGGTGTCCTGATGTCAGAGGTTTTGTGCCCTGATCTTTACATTACACAAAACCAGGCCCCAATTTGAGGGGCACACGACTTCATCAATTTTAATGTGAGCGCCTATCTGAAGCTAGGGTAATGTCGTGGCGTGGTTAATGCTCTCTGGGCTTAAAATCAACCGGATCCATCGAGCGGTTGTCGAGATATCGCTATCGGATATTTGGAGTAGGTTGTAAAAAAAGTGGTGTCTGGATGTTTCGACCGGAATTCAAAAATGACCCTGATATTTGAATTTTTACGCTGATTTTGAATACAAAATTTTGAGATCCGGGGGAGACCTGGAAATGAGCCATGCTCATATCTCGATCAATATTAATGTGAGCGCCTATCTGAAGCTAGGGTAATGTCGTGGCGTGGTTAATGCTCTCTGGGCTTAAAATCAACCGGATCCATCGAGCGGTTGTCGAGATATCGCTATCGAATATTTGGAGCCGATTGTAAAAAAAGTGGTGTCTGGATGTTGAGACCGGAATTCAAAAATGACCCTGATATCTGGATTTTTACACCATTTTTGGCAACAAAATTTTGAGATCCGGGGGAGACTGGAAATGAGCCATGCTCATATCTCGATCAATATTAATGTGAGCGCCTATCTGAAGCTAGGGTAATGTCGTGGCGTGGTTAATGCTCTCTGGGCTTAAAATCAACCGGATCCATCGAGCGGTTGTCGAGATATCGCTATCGGATATTTGGAGTAGGTTGTAAAAAAAGTGGTGTCTGGATGTTGAGACCGGAATTCAAAAATGACCCTGATATCTGGATTTTTACACCATTTTTGGCAACAAAATTTTGAGATCCGGGGGAGACCTGGAAATGAGCCATGCTCATATCTCGATCAATATTAATGTGAGCGCCTATCTGAAGCTAGGGTAATGTCGTGGCGTGGTTAATGCTCTCTGGGCTTAAAATCAACCGGATCCATCGAGCGGTTGTCGAGATATCGCTATCGAATATTTGGAGCCGATTGTAAAAAAAGTGGTGTCTGGATGTTGAGACCGGAATTCAAAAATGACCCTGATATCTGGATTTTTACACCATTTTTGGCAACAAAATTTTGAGATCCGGGGGAGACTGGAAATGAGCCATGCTCATATCTCGATCAATATTAATGTGAGCGCCTATCTGAAGCTAGGGTAATGTCGTGGCGTGGTTAATGCTCTCTGGGCTTAAAATCAACCGGATCCATCGAGCGGTTGTCGAGATATCGCTATCGGATATTTGGAGTAGGTTGTAAAAAAAGTGGTGTCTGGATGTTGAGACCGGAATTCAAAAATGACCCTGATATCTGGATTTTTACACCATTTTTGGCAACAAAATTTTGAGATCCGGGGAGACCTGGAAATGAGCCATGCTCATATCTCGATCAATATTAATGTGAGCGCCTATCTGAAGCTAGGGTAATGTCGTGGCGTGGTTAATGCTCTCTGGGCTTAAAATCAACCGGATCCATCGAGCGGTTGTCGAGATATCGCTATCGAATATTTGGAGCCGATTGTAAAAAAAGTGGTGTCTGGATGTTGAGACCGGAATTCAAAAATGACCCTGATATCTGGATTTTTACACCATTTTTGGCAACAAAATTTTGAGATCCGGGGGAGACTGGAAATGAGCCATGCTCATATCTCGATCAATATTAATGTGAGCGCCTATCTGAAGCTAGGGTAATGTCGTGGCGTGGTTAATGCTCTCTGGGCTTAAAATCAACCGGATCCATCGAGCGGTTGTCGAGATATCGCTATCGGATATTTGGAGTAGGTTGTAAAAAAAGTGGTGTCTGGATGTTGAGACCGGAATTCAAAAATGACCCTGATATCTGGATTTTTACACCATTTTTGGCAACAAAATTTTGAGATCCGGGGGAGACCTGGAAATGAGCCATGCTCATATCTCGATCAATATTAATGTGAGCGCCTATCTGAAGCTAGGGTAATGTCGTGGCGTGGTTAATGCTCTCTGGGCTTAAAATCAACCGGATCCATCGAGCGGTTGTCGAGATATGAAGCATTAGAAAATGTCCATTTTGTGTAATGTAAAGATCAGGGCACAAAACCTCTGACATCAGGACACCCACTTTTGAACATCCTAACACCCAGCATAATTTCCACTCTTTACTGGGGGCGTGATTGGCCGATTTCACACTTTTTAATGCCAGTATCTATTTAGTGAGTCCTCCGGTAGAATGTGGAGTGCGCTAGCTCGTGATTTGGACTGAATTTAGTACATCAATTTTTAATGTGTAATAGCTAGACTTCTGATGACCCCGCTTTAGGCGGGGTAGATGATTGGTATTTCTCCGTATGCATGATATTCTTCCGATATGCACATCATTCCATATCCGCATGCCTTAATCCCATATTCCACTTCCGAAATGCACATATGCATAATCAATTCCGGGATCGATTTCCGGGGTTGCATATATGTTCGTAAGTCCGTGGTTTATGCGTCAAAAAACCCTTGGGAGGCCGAAATTAAGCTTTAGAGCCACCTTAATCCCGTCGGATACTCCCGGTCCACGGTATACATGCTGCAGCTGCTCGTATTCGTCCGAAAGCTACATGGTCTCGGATAAACTCTTTACCCTTGGGTTGGGAGGATGTGTTGCAAACACCACGTAAATCACTTCAAAGCATCACTGCGCTTCATAATAGGCTGTAGGACATCGCTAGTGGTTTGAAATCTTTAGTTGATCAACTTTTAATGGGTAGTAGCTAGGCCCCTGATCACCCCGCTTTAGGCGGGGTACATGCTTTGTATATCTCCGTGTTCCGTATATCCATTTTATTCTTCCAATATGCACATCATTCCATATCCGTATGCCTTAATCCCATATCCCACTTCCGAAATGCACATATGCATAATCAATTCCGGGATCGATTTCCGGGGTTGCATATATGTTCGTAAGTCCGTGGTTTATGCGTCAAAAAACCCTTGGGAGGCCGAAATTAAGCTTTAGAGCCACCTTAATCCCGTCGGATACTCCCGGTCCACGGTATACATGCTGCAGCTGCTCGTATTCGTCCGAAAGCTACATAGTCTCGGATAAACTCTTGACCCTTGGGTTGGGAGGAGGTGTTGAAAACACTACGTAAATGGCTTCAAAACATCACTGCGCTTCGTATTAAGCTGTAATACATCGCTGGTGGTGATAGAATCGGGAAATAGAGCGTTTCTGTGGAATCAGTGAGCATGTAGAAATTCAGTTTTGCTTTTAGGGGGAAGTGCAAAATACTCAATTTTCGTTCTATTAACTTTCTAATACTTGCAGCTGGTCCCCTGAGACGTCTAAGAACATATAATTTGGTTTATTAGGACGTTTCCAGTCTAAATATTCTGCTTAGTATCAAAGACATTTTCCCAACCTGTTCAGGTTGCAATTGCCTATGACTATCCTGCATGATGTATGGTACATATGCAGGTATATGATAACATGAAGGACTTCAAGCCAATAATTTAATCAATATACAGGAAAGTTCTCTGCCCAATATTTTATTGCCTACAAACTTGATTTTAGTTCTGTTAGAAATGACATTATACAGGATATTATATCTCTCCTGCATTTACTTTTGTGTTACCTACAGGACTAAACCTATTTAAGTATTATGCAGTCCTTAGATCTGACATATACAGGAAATCTCTACATGTTTGGCGGGGGAAAGAGGTCGAATATGACGTCAAATTCGGGTTCATGTCGATTTCAAAGGCGGAAGACATTTCCTATGGGGGAGACTAGAATAATGAGTATATACAGTACATATTAGATACGCTGTTCAAATTTATTACTATTATCCTAATAATTTAGGAAACTAAATGCTAGATCTATTACAAATATAGCAATTATATTAAATCAAAAACCACATTAAGATTTGGCTTGACCGTAGTGATGGACCCCAGTGACATACACCTTTGGGAGTCCTTCAAGGAGAGGTGGTGTGGAGTGCAGGTCATCAACTAGTGGTCCAACCGTAGTGGTGGACCCCAGCGACACCCATGCACAACCAGACCAACCCCTAGAAGGGCTGCCCCAGTGCATGCTACACACTACCTGGCCAAATGGCTAGCTAGTCACCCAGCAAGGCTGATACGTGTACGGCACATAGGTGAAGCAGCGTCCAGAGTCAGAATCTAGTGCTGGCCATCGACTCGATCTCCACTCGTAAATGTGGATCCGAGTGACGTCCGCACACTAGCAGACCGGCTCTGGAGACCCACCCCAGCACTTGCCGCACACCCTCAGACTACGCCCATACCTCAATGTATGGACGCCTCATTGGGCGCTTACAAATACACCTACAGATCAAAATGGACCATGTGTACTCTACCCTGGCAGCCCGACTTCCTGTCCCGAACTAAATATGTACCTCATAACAGCACGTCATACTTCCAAGTTCATCCAAAGGAGAATGGAGGCTTGAGATAACTGTAGAGCTGTTAGACATTTACTATGTCTCACAAGTGCAGGTCGATAAAAGAGCTAACCATAATGAAACCTAGTACCAATATCATTAAGGAACCACAACAACCAAGTACAAACAACAAATGCCAACATGAGTGACAGGGATCCACAGAATGATGAGACCAATTACCAACAACAACCAACAACATAGTTCAACATAAGTGAGAGGGATCCACGAAGAACAATAAGACCAATAACCAACGACTAACAACAACCAACAACGGAGTTCAACATAAGTGAGAGGGATCCACAAAGAACAATAATGATAACCAACGACTAACCTCAACCAACAACGGAGTTCAACATAAGTGAGAGGGATCCACGAAGAACAATAAGACCAATAACCAACGACTAACAACAACCAACAACGGAGTTCAACATAAGTGAGAGGGATCCACAAAGAACAATAATGATAACCAACGACTAACCTCAACCAACAACGGAGTTCAACATAAGTGAGAGGGATCCACAAAGAACAATAATGATAACCAACGACTAACCTCAACCAACAACGGAGTTCAACATAAGTGAGAAGGATCCACAAAATAATAAGACCAATAACCAACGACTAACAACAACCAATAACGGAGTTCAACATAAGTGAGAGGGATCCACGAAGAACAATAAGACCAATAACCAACGACTAACAACAACCAACAACGGAGTTCAACATAAGTGAGAGGGATCCACAAAGAACAATAATGATAACCAACGACTAACCTCAACCAACAACGGAGTTCAACATAAGTGAGAGGGATCCACGAAGCACAATAATGATTACCAACGACCAAGAACATAGTTCAACGTTGGTGTAAGGCAAAGATCAACACTGACACAAATCAACTGCTTTAGCCAACCAAGAATAGAAGTCAAAATTCATAGTCAATTTAAATCAACCACCTTTCTGATTAGTGGTGTAGATGCAAATTAAGTAAAAGGTTGCTGAAGCACATCCATGGGATGAATTCAGAAAATTTTCCAACGCTTAAACAAGTCAAGAATCGTAGAACACAAACAGTTAAATATCAATGCATCAACTACCACCGACAAAGAGAGATGTAAATCTACTTCAACAGTTCACAATGACAACTAAAATTGATCAACAACGGAAGTCAAAACACGTCACTGTTAACCAAAGACCTTACTGGTGTCCTATATTGTTGTTAGTATAGTAAAGCTGTATCAATAATCAAAGAAGAGGCGGGGAGTGGGCTACTCACAGATTTGGATTTTGAATTGAGGAAAATAAATTTGAGAGAAGAAAAGAGTGATAGAAAAGTAAAAAAAGTATTTTGGGGAAAAGTGGGAATTGGCTGTCCTTAAATATTTTTCAAAACCAAGGGACCACAAACAACAGAGTGAGACCACAAACAACAGAGGTGACCACAATCTCAAAAGAAATATTAGTATGGGGTACTACCCTGTTACCATGCATAATTACAGTGTATGGGGTGCACAATTTGCACCCCCTAATATGCGCAGTAAGTTTATTAGAGCCGTACCAGAAGCTTCCGCCGTCCCCCTTTGTAGCAGTTTGTAATTGGAAGAACATAAACCATCAGACCTATACTATTAATCATATTTATCTATGGTAACTCAATATACTTCAGAAAGCCCAAGTACCAACTTCCCCCATTTGAAACAAGCTAAAATTGCATATTCTAAAAATTCAGTGTCTGTGTATTTGTGTGGAGATAAGGAGTTATTCAAGTAAATCTGGCCGAGTTACCCCGCTAGAAAATATATTAGGCAGTTAAGGGGGGTCCCAATAAATGCAGTAGTTTACTACAGCTGTACTAGAAGCTTCCACCTTTCGCCCTTCGACGCAAGTTTGTTATTGGAATGAGTACAGCGAAAGAGTTGATACTATCAACCACATTTTTTATAGACACTCAACATACTTTTGATAGTACCAGTACCAACTTCCCCCGTTTAAAACAAGCCAAAATTGTATTATCTAAAACTCCAATGTGTCTGTGTATTTGGGAGGGAACAAGGGGCCTTCAATTAATGCTGCAGTCAAAATATCCCTGCAGAAAAAATATTCATTCAAAGGGGGTGCTAGAATACGCAGTTACTTGTATGTTCGCCACCTCCCTCCCTTTGGTACAAGTCTGTATTTGAATAAAACTACTAACGAGTGATACTACCAATCACATTTATATATGGTAACTCACCATACCTTTGATAGTACCAGTACCAATTTCCCCCGTTTAAATTAAGCTGAAATTGCATATTTTAATAATTAATTGTCTCTGTGTATTTGGTTAGAGATAAGGGGGATTACAACTAAAACTGCAGCTGAAATATTCCCCAAAACCGCAGTAAAGAGGTGGTACCATTTTGACATTGCACCAATATTGCGGCTAAAAAATATCTTACTTAATATAAAAATTAGGTTTTGTGGATCTTGAAAAGATCTTATATAGTGGAGCAGAAGCTGTTGCAAAACTAGATAATCAGATATGGTAGCCATTTGGGCCGATTTAGTCTTCATTTTACTTGACATGTTGTGTTCTGAACGAGCCGAATTCAACGAGACCCATATTGTTAGGTTCAGCTTTGGACAGGCCGTCAAACAAAATATGATGACTTAAAAATCGTTTGCCACAAACCTGGAAGGGGCGGGAGGAAGGAGGGGGCCACATTTATTTTTTGGCAGCCAACTGCTCCGTCGTAAATTATTTTTTCGGCTAATATGAAGGAATATGCGATAGTTTAAAACAACTCCTTGACATCCCTGAGTGATGACCTCTTTTATTGTATATTCTACCGATTTTTTATACCAATACTACTTGAGAGTAGTTCTACTTCTTATACTAAATATACCAAATATAAAGAGGAATACATTGCTTATGAATCCCGTCTATAGTAGTATGACGCACATTTTTCGGCGATAAATATGCTGCAGTAAAAAATAAATGCGGAGTGTAGATATGGACAACACACGACTTTCTGTAACAAATCTTTTGCAGCACATTGAAGGGGGGAATTTAAAAATTTGGGATATATGTTGTGCTGTGAACATAATTATCAACACGATTAAAGATCGTAGAGAAATGGGGAAACTCCGTACATGATGATATTAGACTATACTCGAAGAAATACTTAAATTACTTAAAAATGAAGAAATGGCACGAGATCAAGGAGATATTATGTTTCAATTTGACAACCCCAACAATTTGAATTGGCAACCAAGGTATATAAAATTAACCACAAAAAGGGTGCATATGGTCATTCGTTTTGTTGAGAATACTTGGGTGGCAAAATGGGGGCTAGCCATGAATCCACATATCAACTATAGAGAATTATACGCGTCGTACAACAGACGTGTATAATATATTCCAAACAACAATGACCAATTAAGTATACAAAGACTTTGAAAGATTACAGTACACAGTAGTTTACAGAAGTAATTATCAAATTATTCAGGTAATTAATAAGAGATGCTATTTGTGATGACAAGGGTATGGCAATTCATTGAGATAAACGAGCAGAACAACAGGGACATCTTGAGAGGCTGTCCCTAGAGCTTATCTCCAGAGCCCTACGTATTTACGAGATCACAGCACAGAGAAATATAAATGAACAAAGAGAACAATACCCTGTTATCTATTCACGATTGATAGTGGGTCCATACCCTTTGGAATGACTAGCACCGGACTAGAATTTTGGCACCCCCAATCAACCAATGTTGGTTTGTAATTCCGTAGTTATTACCATGTAGTTCTTTTCATTTCGATTTATACATGGAAAATCAATATACTGTAGATAGTCGTAGTACCGACTTCCCCCGTTTGAAACATGTAGATATAGTACTTTTTAATATATGTGTAGTCTTTTATTTGTGTTGAGATAAGGGGTTCAATATTGAGAGACTTGTAAATATAACACAGTCGAATGACCAATCTACCATTTGAAAGGTGTTCTAATAGAGTTCCAACACGGGTTCACTTGGGATATATAAACATGTATTTGAGGGTGGTTACACTAGACATAAAAGATCTACTACATCTTCAATTAATGGGAAATTTTGTAAAAAGTGCGGATGTTTCAGGTTTTCAAAAATGGCGGTAAAAAAAAAAGTAGCTGCAAATGTGGTACTTTTTCTGGTGCATAATAATTGCAGAAAATATGGGAGACTAGGGATAAGGTTTATGTTTTGTGATTCATTTTAAAACCCTGTTTATAAATTGGAAAAGAATTTTTTTGCAAAACTAGAATATCAGAAATGGTATCCATCTGCGCCCCTTTGGACTTCATTTTACTTGACATGTTGTGCTGTGAACAAGCCGAATACAACAAGACCCATATTAGTAGGTCTTGAATTGGACAGGCCGCCAAACTAAATTTGACAACGTAAAATTTAGTTGCCACAAACCCAGCAGGGGCGGAAGGAACCAGTTTAACAACATTTATTTTTTGACAAACGTTCCATCGAAAAATATTTTTTCGCGTTAGACAACTGAATGCGCGATATTATAAAACAATGATCTGACAACTTTGACTCAGTGAACTCTTTCTTCGTAATACGGCTAAACGTATGATATCCAATTAGTACAACTTTACATCCAATTCCGCACCATTCCACTAGATTTGGTATCATAGAAAGTTCGTATCCAAACACTGCCAGTAGTAGGACGTTGGTTTTGTAACTTTCAGTGATACATGTGTTGCAGTAAAAAATAAGTGCGGAGATCAGATCTTTCCGTATTTCTGCACCCCCGATATGGTTGAAGAACGACCTTTTGCAGCAAATTGGATGGGGGATTTTAAGATTATGGATAGACAGTGGGTGGTCAATTTAATTATCAACTCGGGTAGATATGCTAGAAAGATGCAGAAAATGGGCATATGGTGAGAGTAAGACATATTGGAATAAGTGCTAAAACAACAAGAAAAAGAAAGAATGGAACGAGGTCAAGGAGTGATATGATCCCAGTTTCCCAAATTATGTGGCAATGAGCCCACAAATTTATAACCACAAAAAAGTCCATATGGTCATTGATATAATTGAAACTTTGAGGGGGGGGACCATGATAGCACTTCACTTCATTCAGATGCGTGCTCGTTTGTGTCATTCTCGTGATCCGAAAGAACACAGAAGTTGCACCTGGTTTGAATTTTTGCATGGTATGAGATCCCTCTTTGCTCACCGGTTTCAAGGAGCCCCATATCTATTGGTACTTCTTTGGGTGAGTATATAAGAAGTCATAAATAAAATATGGCAAGCCCCAAATCTAGAAAGAGGTGCCACAGACCATTAATGTTTTTTTTACGAGAGGTAATAGAATGAACGGCAAGAATTCAGCGACCACGATAATTCAAACAAAGTTTTGATCCTATCGACACTTTATATATACTAGGCTTGTAAATATAGGGATATAGATTCTGTTTCATATTGGCTATCGACAATAATAGAAAAGTTTCTAAAAATTGGATTGAGCTGACCACAGAGTATGTTTGATTATAGTTTAAATATAATACAAATTCAATGGCACGCGATCAGGGAGCTGTATTCCAAAATTATCTGTAACGCATATTTGTGAATGAGAGTAGAAATGGTACATGTAATCATTTATTGATACGGGAAGACACGGAAGAAACCTGAATAGTATAAGGGGGTCTTTTTTTTTTGATTTCGAGTTCGTGGTCACTGCACTTCATTTGTATATATTTGAAGTTATGGGAAATACGTAAGTTTTTAGTATTAGTTTCAACAGTGTACTACTACGTTGGTTCCTTTGTTGAGTTTAATCTTCTTTTTCTTTTAACTTTCTAGCATACCGGAATTGTATTTTGGATTGGAGTTCTTCGTATGTTTTTAATTCTTTTACAGTTTGTAATTTTTATTTACCACCACTAACAATTTTATTACAGAGAACATCATTTATCAGTGAAACGGATTCATTAGAGTTATTTCCAGTTGTCCTTGATTGAATACCACGGTTAGCTGCTTACACTATCGAGTGGCATATTGTTCGATCAGTAGATGATTGGCTCTATCCACATGGCCGTTGATGGTCGTGGTAAGTCTATGATTCGATACTACACAGTTGCAGATAAGTGTGGTTGATTATCGTTACAGTAAACTTTGAAACTACTAAATAACTGCTGGAGGCACACGATTGCAAATGGTAGTTACGGGTTTCAGTTGCACAATTGCGAAATACTCATTCGACGGGGTGGTATGGGAAATTGACAAGTTGCTTCGATTCTGTAATTATTGTCCTATCCCATTAAGCACGTTCGAGATATGTATGGCCATTGATGTCGTTAAACCTCACTCATTCTATTGGAGCCACGAAAAAATATAGAGTGAATATACTAGTTCGAGATATGAAGTCGATGTTGCCAAGATTGAGTAATCTATCTTGCCCTGTGTGTGGAATTGTAAGCGCCCAATGTCACTTCCATTTCTTTGTATTCTTAGGTTACTGGGAGGATTATCTAGACTGCTGGTAGAATACACTATTTGCTTGGGTGACCATTCAGGCAGTGAGGGGGTGTCACTGCCGCTAGCCGCTAGTTAATAGCCAGTGCTTCACACCACATCCTTCATGGAAGACAATGTGTGTGCTACATGTTATGTGGTTAGACGGGTTGGCTGGGAGGTAGACCAGCTTCTGCGAAAAAGTATGCATGTCTCCAATCGCTTAGATCATTGGCGTATTGATTGGTATCCTGAGTTTCACGTCTTCCTACGACTAACTACCAGAAAAAAGTCACTAAAACGTGGACGTATATATAATACATATTAAAGAATAGAAGTTAAATTGGAACCAACGTTGCTGTCACCACTTTTGAACTTAAACTGCTAATTGATATTCTATCACAATTACCACCTTGGAAGTAGCTACCTCAAAATGTGTATTTCATATTTTTTTAAACCTTTTTTTGAGGTACAAAACAAATTCAAGAAATGGTAGTGAGAGTGGTCAATATATTTTCTATTTTTTACAATTTTTGTAAGCCAGAGCCAAATTTTTTACTTTTGCGCGCCACTCGATTAGAAACCTTTTGAAAATGTGGTGAAAAATATTTTTAGAAATGAACCAGCACGACCTTTTGCAACACACAAGTTGCATTTCCTCGGTTACATGGATAATCCATTAACTACACAGATATAGATTTCCGCTAGTACGGATATTAAGAAGATGGCTCTAATCCATAGATATACTGCAAAGACGTAGTATGCTCCTGACGTCAATGAATAGTCGAACAGTAGAGGTTGTGCAGTATAAGACCAACCCCAAGGTGGGTTATCTTTGGCTACATGTTTGTTTCTAATTTCTCTTGTCGTGTATCAAGATCGTACGTATACACCTTCAATTGTTGTATTCTTGGTGATTGTCGATAATGCTTCATTTGGATATAGTTGGAGACCAGATTCCTTATTCCACTAGAATCGAAGGCGTGACACTTTCAGCTGCTTCAAATTGTTTAGCAAACTACATCGTTAAAACAACTACCCCGATTCTACGAGCTTCCATATGATGGGTTATGTATCCATTCACGGCATCAAGCTGTATCATCTCAATTAAAGTTGTATGGTAAACTAAACGTATTGATTAGAAGACATTTGGTGTTTGACGAATACTATGGGAAGTATAAAAAGGTTAAAGAGCCCCCCAGTACATGCTATTTACCAGTAGACCCTAGAGACTTACCCCACATATATGTTACACACCCTCAGATCACGTCCATACCTCAATATATGAACTCCTCATTGGGCGCTTACAAATCCATCAAGAGATCAAAATTGATCATTCTCGCTCTACCCGACTTCTTGTCCCTAACAATATATGTACCCTATATCAGCACATCATCAACACCACCCCCTCGGTACCTGTAACGGTCTTGTCTCACTGGGCGCTGAATACGTTCTGCCGCTTGCCATTGTGCAACTGAGTACTTTCAAGAATAATCAATAACCCAATATAGATCCCAAGTGTACAACAATGCTTTAATTTATTTCCGAAGCACACATTCACATATCGTTTGAATTAAACCCAAGCCTGGTGACCTTCTCAGAGTATTAAATTATTACTTCACTTGTGTGAATTACTTTGTATCATCTATTTCCAACGATATACAGACCAGACTCACACAACCGTGCAAGCTCGAGTCTTTTTAAATTGTCTGGTCGGCACGCATCAGGACACACCAATTTTAATAAAGATAAAAGAGCACTGGAGATGCATCTTTTTTTATTTAATCATTATTTTTAATCTCCTTAATTCTCCGCAAATCTTTGGCCCATGTTGGGACCTTTTATGTATTGATCACTTTTCTTTTCCTCTTTTTATTTCAATTCAATCTCGATATGAAGGATAACGTCCATTTCTCTTAAATGAGGATACTTGACTATTTCGGTATCAAATATCATACTTACTATTTCCAACTGTGTTTAACAAAGACTAATATATGACTATGATCCAGCTTCATTTTACATTGTTTTTTCTTATATCTCCCTTTCAACTTTCCGTCCTGACTTTTTTTGAATTGTCTTTAACTCTTTCTTTACTAAAATCAACATATAAATTCTTGCAAAGCAAAACTAACCTAGATGACGACACTTATAAAGGGAATATATCAACAACTATCAATGAAGGTAACATTGTAGATAATCTAAGAAATAGAAAGGGAGTACAATAAATCCATGAAAAAAAAAAAAAGATCCTTGGTTCACAAATACAGACTTTAACACAAAGTGAACTTTTTAAACACAACGACAAAATAGGATTATATCCCAGGGTTATTTATTCAACGAAATTATTCTTTTGCCCTGAGGGAAAAATCTCAGTTATCTGAAGAAGTGAAAGTGTGGGTATGGAGCCAAATGTTTTATTATACTCTAAAATATTCATCCAATATACAGCCAATAAGGTAATTATAGCTATAAATGTTGGAATTATAACCCGTGAATAAATTACTTGATATTTTATAAAGAATTTCATATAATACTAGCGCATGTGTGATTTTTTTAATTCCCTTCTATTTAGTGGGGTATGGATCGCATAATTATGGCTGTAAAAATCACAGAAATTAAAAAATGATGTTATTAAAAACTGGTCGTCGAACGACCTTTTGCAACCCAGATTATGCGAGCGGGCTGCTAAAACCAACAACTGGAGTCTGGATATTGTATTGGAGAGTCATTGAAGCTACAGGCTCACTTTCTATAGAAAAAAAAGCCAACCACACATATATCACTTATACAGAGTGATTAAAGCTGAATTAGTTAAGATATAAATTTCATAGTTGTTGGAGGTGTGATGTAGTAATAAATCACATTCATCGAACTTCAAAAACCTAACTAAAGTGTTCTTATCTGTCTTGCGTTGTTCCATAAAGTTTTTATTATAGCTGCAACTCTTCTTATATGAATATCTGGAACCGGAATCTAAGGGTGGCAGTAGGGGCAAATAGCCAGGGAAGAACAAATCGCTATTTCTTAAGATACGACGTTGTGAAGGTAAATATAGGAGATAAGAAGAGATACAGTGGCGATGCATAAGAGCATGAAAGTGTCAGCCCAATACTTAAATCCATCATAATCCTCTTTTCCTTAATAATTATTAAACGATCAAGTTGGTTATCTAAATAATAGTGTTTCCTATACTTTACTCCAATATACCCCTAAAAACCACAAAAAGAAAAGGCTACGTATACGATCAAATGTCAGTTTCCGTTAAATTTAGAACAAGCCATCCCCATCCAGTGAATTATAATGTATAACACAACTCTGTAGCAGATACCAACTCGATTTCCAAAAAAAATACTACGAAAAAAGAAATACAATTACATCTACGAGATAAAAATACGAAGAAAAAAAAAGAAACCATGTTCTCATTATTAAGGATGTGTTCTGAGCCGCATTCAGAAAAAGCCAGACTTGAATGCTCTGAGAGACAGTGGGAATATGTATTTTCAAATCATGGATCTTCCAATTACATGCTGAATATTTAAATTCAGGAACAAAATTCATTCTTACTAATTTAGGTTTTCGTACAGTAAAAGCTTAATTTTGAAGAATAGCAACATTGATAGAGAAGATAAATAGGTCACAGATTACCGAGATTTATCCTGCACATAACACCGGAAAGAAGAAATACAAAATGGAAAAAAAAAGAAAGGTAATTTGAGATTAACTGTGGCGACGCCTTCACCAATAAGTGTACTGTATCGATCCATTCATTGCACTAGTAATATAACACCATTAACAGTCCCATAGTGGCCCACCAGTTCTAACGACGATGATTGATTTATCTTGATACCAAGGTTCCACCATTTAATTTATAATGACTTTCTCACACTTGTTTTCGCGTTTTCCTCACAAAACGTGGGTTGGCAGTCAAAGGCTCATTTACACAACATGCAGGAAACACGTGGATCAGTTTAAATGGTTTTAGGCAGTTTTTCTTTTTTTTTTTGGTCTTTTTTTTTAAAACACTAGTTCCTTTAAAGAACCCTTCTATTTACTCTTAATTATTAGAAGGTTTAGTATAGAGTAAGATTATATACCTTTATCTCCAACCTCGGCTTCATATTAAAATTTTTTTACCTGATTGTGTTTGTGACATGGGGATATAACGAATAGTATATTTATAGTATAGAGAGCGAGAATGAGTTTGATTGAGCGAGTCTCGCCGTTTCTATCCCCTGGTAGCCGATGTGGGTACTGGGGTATGGAAGGCGTGAGCACTGACGATAATGATCCACGGGGACGTACGAGCGAGGAACATTACATTTACAGTTATAAGCGTATGCCAAGTGGTGGTCAAGTTAATAATTCAACGGACCGTTCCTCCACAAGTTCGACCAGGTCTACTTCCAACAGTAGACTGCTTGTTTATGAGGAGGACGACTTTTTGAGTCAATACTTAAGGCCCACAAGAGAGATTAAGAGAAAGCCCTGGAAAGTGACGGATCCATTTTTTGAACGGTATGTACAACCTCAAATGTTCAAAAGATTACAAGAGAATAACAAACATAAGATTCCCACTCCTACCGATCCATTCAAGCGGGATATTCAACCAGGTGAACAGAAAGAACCCCAACGTGAATATCTAAGGGATTACAAGGGCCATGACCAACCAGCAAAGACGCAGCCCCGTCTGAGCCCATTGGTGAACCTGGTGACGTCCAACGATGAGAATACACAAGTGGAACCGAAAGACTCATTTCCAGTAACGGAGAATATTACTAGTCTTCCCAAAGACTTTGCCGACTGTTCCATTGACCACATAATCACATTAATTTCAAGAATGCTTCGGCAGTTAATTCTCTTGAATGATGGGAATGTTCCAAAGTCAATTTCCAACCCTGAAGAGAACGCTGGTAGTTCCTCCTCCTCCTCCTCCAATAAAGAATCAAGTGCCAGTCACAATGGAAATGGTAGTTTAAGTGGCACTTCAAAACCTTCGCCAGTTCTTACGAGATATCATTCCAGAACGCCACCTAGCATATCCATTCCAACATATCTTAATCGGTTGACCAAGTTTAATAATTTCACCACAGCTACACTTCTCACGACAATCTACTACATAGATCTCCTTTCACACCATTATCAACCATTCTTCACCCTCAATTCATGGACAGTACATCGATTTCTTCTTGTTGGCACCATGTTATCACAAAAGCTGATGGAGGATTTCTTTTACACAAATGATCATTATGCCAAAGTGGGAGGGGTAGCAGTGAGTGAACTTAATTGTCTTGAGCTAGACTTTTTGACTAGAGTTGATTGGCGATGTGTTCCTGCAAAGCAATTGGACAATAATCGATCGAGTATTAAATACGCCAAGGATGTGTTGGACTTGTATTACTCACAGTTGATTCAGCTAATGGGAAGAAATGTATCATCAGGTGATGAGACTGTGTTTGAAGCGGAACCAGAGGAAGTAGAAGACGTTGACGTCGACGAAGATGAAGATAGAGAAGAAGATGAAGATGATTATGATTCAGAAGACGAAGACATGGATGAATATGAAACCCCTCAGACTTATGCACCCGAGGAGAAGTTTAATTCATTTGGATACAGTGTCGATGGATCATCATCTCCTCATTTGAAAAGAAGATACCCACCTTAATAGTAACAACTACACAAAACAAATGAAAGTCTGTTGTATATAACACAGACTCGGGATATAATGGTATTAGGTCACCACAAAGACCCCGGTTGGCATATATAGGAAATACAGGTTAAACTGCACCAATATTGATTCTAGTTTGTACTTGCTTTCAAGCAGTGTAGATAATGCTCTCCCAAGCGCCAACTTTAAAGAGGTAGGTAGTACTTCTACAATTTTCACAAATCAGACTTATTGTCTTGCTAATCTTCTCGTAGTATATATATTCAATATAAATTGCCCAAAAAATCTATGAACTAAGTTCATATCTAACGAAGTAAAGGTATCATGTAATCATCCAAACAATAAACGTTTGCTAGATTGATAACCATCGAACAAAGGGCGACATAGGCACAAAAGTAATAAAAATAATTAGTAGTAAAGGTAATTTTACAAGTATCACTGTGGTTTCAAAAGCTCAAAACTACAGCATAATCGTTTATCAACACTCATGACAGCTCCAAAATTATCAAACTCCCCACAATAGTTGGGTGCAGAAAAAATAGTCACAAGCTTTCTCTTGCTGAAAAATTCATATCCATCCTCCACAACCATATGACCTCGAACAATTAAATCTAAATTGAATTTCAGACAAAAGTATTCAACATGTTTCTTACCGAAACAATATGACACTCCACGATCATTTTTGGGCCAGTTGGATATAGAAAAATTCTTGATGGATGGATCTGGATCAGACCAAAGTAAATCAGCAAGTAATCCCCTATCAGGAATATCAGTAGGTCGTTTGATAGCTTCTATTTGATTCAAGTCATCCAACTCCGGAGATAATCCACCATGAATACAAAAGATCTTATCATTGATGGTTGCTGCGATGGGCAACGTGTTGAATACATCAATGAAGGATTTCCATAATTTAGGATTACTCAATCTTCTTTTACATTCATCATAGAATCCATAAATTTTGGTGATATTTGCACTTTCATGATTCCCTCTGAGCATGAAAAAGTTCTCGGGATACTTGATCTTATAGCATAAAAGTAAAAGCATGGTTTCCAATGATTTGTATCCCCTATCGACATAATCACCCAAGAAAAGATAATTTGTATATGGAGGATACCCACATGCATTGAATATACGAATTAGATCATGGAATTGTCCATGTATATCACCAACAATCTTCACCGGTGGAGAAAGTCTTAAAAGGGTTGGTTGTTCAAGAAAAATAGACCGTGATTTTTGTAAAATATACTTAATTTCATTTGAATCAAGGGGTAATTGGTCTCGGGACAGTTGCCAAATCTTAGCCTTTTTCTTCTTAGAAGACGATGAAGAACCTCCAGAGTTATTTTTCATTCCAATCTCCAACAATTTATCAATGACCAAGTCTATGTTGACCATCAGCCCTTGTTTCATAACCAAAGGTGTCACAATCGACGACAGAGATGAAGAATTGGAAGAAGAATATGGAGGCCTTCCAGAAGACTTCGTCTTGGAAGAGCTAGATTTTTTGACACTTGAGGACTTTATCGTTAATGTCGAAGGCTCTGGAGTAGATTCCACAGAATATTCAACAATTGGATCAAGTTCCAGAATCAAAAGGTCATCTTTCTTTTCATCTTCCGGAAGAGAGTACAGGCTAAGCGACAGATTCGAATCATCATTAACAGTGAAAATTGGCGAAGTGCCAGATTTTTCACTATCAACCGAAGATCCCAAGGTGGCCAAATTACCAATACTAGTACGTACCGAAGTTGCCGTATAGTGGAGTTCTTGAGGAGACGTGGAAGACGAAGATGTCAAGAGACGCGCCATAGAGGCACCTATCTCAAGGTCCAAGTCAAGATCTGGACTCCCCTTGACACCAGAGCGTTTGTTCTTACTACTATTACTACTACTTTTATAGGTTTTGTGTTCACTCTTTGTAGAGACATTCACCGCGCGAACATCAAGAGTACTTGTGTCCGTACGAGGAATGCCAGATTGATGTGTATCAATCCGAATGGCCAGAACTTTCGTTCTGACCCGTGGTCCCGACTTTGCGGAACCTAACCGCGATAGCGCAGCCCCTGGAGAGTCATCCTGGTCAACTTCTCCTGTCGAGATTAAGCCGCCTGTGGCGGCTGAGTTTGCGGACAAAGGTGTCGGCAGAGGATCATCTTTAGACGGGCTATTTCCCATAGTATGGCGGCTGGGTTCAGGTAGCTAGGTGGAGGGTGTAAGCGTTGAGGACTTGCAGTACGTGTTGCTGACTTTGCGGATGTGTGGCACCGATATAAATAAAACTTTGGGGGATAAGATAAGAGGGGGTGATTGTGTCAAAGTAATTTTAAAAAGTATGACAAATTAAAGTTTTTTTTTGTGTAATTTAAGACGTTTAGGGTCGTGTGAGATTCGTAAAGGTATTCCGAGATGGAATTGATCACAGGGGACTCCGTTAGATTGATAGCGACTCGCAGTAGTACACATCCACGGGCATCATACAGGGTGTCTTATGGTACATATTTAATGTAGATGCAATCAGATAAAGGTTAATAGAAATTAATAAGACTAAAAATAGTGGATTATCGGAAATCCGAAGAATTCTAACAAATTTCAAAAAAAAATAAATGGACGAGTCCGGAGTCGAACCGGAGACCTTTCGCATGCTAAGCGAACGCGCTACCAACTGCGCCACACGCCCTGTTTTATATTCCAAAAAAACTGTCAGAAAATCAGATGTAGGAGATGGAAATTGGCCATTTTTTTAATTGTTCATTTACTTAGCCAATATTTGATATTTTGAATTGATTTACATATAGTTGTAGTACCATATCCATTTATCTTTACCTGACCCAAAAGTTTCAAGAAAAAGATATTTTTAGGTGCTCCAAAGTTGTAGAATAATCTCTTAAGGGGCATATAAACTCTTTATATGGTCACATATGACTTATTAAATAGCTTCACGTATTACCTTGCGCTTTAGTTATACATAGAATACAAATATTGACTTACAGGTCCATACAAAAAGATCAGAGAAACGCCTTTGAAGCTCTAAATCATCAAATAATATCCTGCATATAGATGAACATGGGGGTGTGTGTGTTCTCACTTTGAACTCCCCCCTTGTCCCTGTGAACCTGCTACCGAACTATAGTTGTTTAACTATATGGGAATATACACTTTGATATTACACATCTACATATATTTTACATTTGAAAGTTCACATATCCAATTTACCCAACTTGACAGTTTGTATAGACTGTCTTATTTACCATTCTCTCTAAAACATTCACACGATTGTTCGGACACTCTCGTGCAATGTCAGCACACCTTCCGACAATCCATTCTGCGGGGATACTTATTATTGGAGATGAGGTTCTCAATGGGAAGATTCTAGATACGAATTCACATGAGTTTGCCAAGTTTTGTTTCCAGAAACTTTCAGTGCCACTTAAAAGAACTGTTGTATGCGGAGATGACGAGCAGGATATTGTCGATTCGCTTAAAACTTTAAAGGATTGCAGTTTTGTGATCACCAGCGGTGGTATTGGGTCGACCCATGATGACATAACGTATCTGGCCATTGCCAAGGCTTACAACTTAGACTGTCGTTTAGATCAAGAAACTGTAGATCGTATGCAAAATTTACGAGGCGAGTACTTACAACATTTGAAAAAAGATCAATTATCTGCCTTCTACCGTATGGCCACCATCCCACAACCTTCAATAGACTCAAAAACAGCCGTAGAAAAGATTTTTATTAGCGATGACCTATGGGTACCCGTTGTTGGAGTTGACCAGCGTGTTTACATTCTCCCCGGGGTACCTCAACTTTTCAAAAAACTCTTGACCGGTCTTTTGCCATACCTCAAGCCGAGAGTACAGGAGACAGCAGCATTTGAGCGGTACTTTGTTAAAACGACAACCAAAGAGAATGAACTTGCTCCGTTCTTGTCTGGCTTACAGGAAAGATGCGATGCAGAATTTGGAAAACAGGCAGTGAAGCTTGGAAGCTATCCACATTATACCTGGCAGATCAACACAATCAGTATCATCAGCGGTATTGAAACAGGTGCATTGCGCAAGATTGTCGATGAGATTGTCGCAGGAATTGGTGGGAATGCTAAGGAGATCTCAGCACAAGAAGAGGATAGATTGACCACCGAGGATCCACCCCAATAGATAGATGAAATATAGAGAATATATATACATATATAAGTTTCGTACCACAACTCTCTACTATAACACCCTCGCTCTATACGTTCATTTATTTGTATATAAATATATTCACAATTACAACTTCTCGGCAAACAACTTGGTAACTTCTTCAATGGCTTCCTTGATACCTTCAACCTTGTCACCCATACCTTGGACAACATTACCCTTACCACCGGCCTTACCACCAATCTTGGAGGAAACAGCTTGACCCAAAGCACTGGAGTCTACACCCTTGGCAATAGCTTCGTCTGAAACGTAACAACCGTGGGCAACCTTACCCTCGGTACCGGTAATCAAATAAACGGACTTTTCCTTATTTTGCTTCTTGACCAAGTTGATAGCCTCAGTGATGGCCTTGGCATTGGCTCCGATTGGAACGTGTGCAACAAAGAAGTTTTCAGCCTTCTTCTTTTCGTCTTGCAACCATTCGGAAACAGCTTCAATAGTCTTCTTACTGTCTTCCTTTTGCTTACGCTTTTGTTCATCCTTGATGGATTTGTCCAATTGTGTGAACTTTTCGTTAAGTTGTTGCTTTTCCAAGACAGAGATGGTCAACTTCTTGAGGGCAACTCCGAGTTCCTTGGCCTTGGATTCCTTGTCAGCTCCAAATGGCAACTTGGCAGCACTGTCAAGTTGTTGGCCAAAGTCAGCAGCAACTTGTTGCACTCTGTGGGCTTCTTGTCCAGTGACAGCAACAACTCTTCTGATACCCTTAGCAATACCAGACTCTTCAATTACAACCAAATCCTTGATTTCACCAGTCTTGGTGACATGGGTACCACCACAAAATTCGATGGAAACCTTGCTCCAAGCATCATTTTCTGGTGTGGCAAGTAAATCGTCAACGGAAACACCAACAGAAACAACTCTAACTGGGTCAGGGTAAGTTTCACCGAAAACAGCACGAAGACCGCTGATTTCCTTGGCTTGAGCAAGACTCACTTCCTTGGCGTAAACTTGCTTGTTGGACTTGATATACTCGTTAGAGATCTTTTCAACAGCTCCCAATTCCTTTGGAGTCAATGCTTGCTTGTGAGAAAAGTCGAATCTCAACTTTTCTGGGTTGACAAGAGAACCCTTTTGGTCGACAGTGTCACCTAAAACTTCTCTCAAGGCGTAGTTCAAGACATGGGTACCAGTGTGGTTGTTTCTGATAGGCCATCTTCTTAATTCGTCGTAAGTGGCAATCACAGAGTCGCTAACCTTGAGGGTACCTTCCACAAGAGAACCAGTGTGTAACACATAACCACCGTACAATTGAACGTTGGAAACATCGAATTCGGCAACACCGTCAATGACCAACTTACCGGTATCGTATTCTTGACCACCTTGTTCGGCATAGAATGGAGTCTTGTCCAAGACAATTCCAACGTTGGCATCACCACTGATTTCATCAACAAATTGCTTACCGTCATAAATAGCCAAGATTTCACTCTTGGTGTTTTCCAAACCGTACTTGAAGGAGTCATTGGTGGTTGGAATCTTCTTTTCACTTAATTCGGACATAGCATGGACATCAAGCTTAGCAAAGGTAACACCACCCTTGCTGGTGGTAGCCTTGGAAGCTTCTCTGGATTCTTCCTTGGCCTTTTCAAAGCCTTCTTCGTCGATCTTCAAACCGGCTTCCTCAGCCATTAATCTGGTCAAATCAACTGGGAAACCGTAAGTGTCGTACAATCTCCACACATCCTTACCGCTCAAAGTTTGTTCTGGGGTCTTGCTGGCAACAATGGCGTATTGTTCAAACAATTTTTCACCTCTGTCCAAAGTCTTAGCAAAGGATAATTCTTCTTCATTCAAAATTTCACGAAGATCATCTTGCTTAGAGCTAATTTCAGGGAAAATTTCAGAGTTTTGTTCAATGACAACACCAACCAATTGCAGGAAGAAGCCACCAATAGGGTAGTTCATGTACTTTCTGACATATCTGGCACCACGTCTCAAGATTCTTCTCAAGACATAACCTCTACCTTCGTTGTTTGGTACACCACCATCGGAGATGGCAAAGGTCAAGGTTCTCACATGGTCAGCAACAACACGGTAGGCGGTGTCGATACCATCCTTGTCTTCGGCACCGAACTTACCAGTGTATGGTCTAACACCAGTGATTTCTCTAATCTTGTGGAAGATTGGTTGGAAAACATCAGTATCGTAGTTAGAAGACTTGTCTTGAAGAATGGAAACCAAACGTTCGAAACCCATACCGGTATCGATATGCTTGGATGGGAGAGAACGTAAGCTGGAGTCAGCTTCTCTGTTGTATTGAATGAACACAACGTTCCAAACTTCCAACACATTAGGGTCGTCCATATTGACCAACAGAGCAGCATTACGGCCACCTCCAATACGGTCATAATGGATTTCACTACAAGGACCACAAGGACCTTGGTCACCCATTTCCCAGAAGTTGTCCTTGACATCACCTGGTAAGATGTGGTCTTCTTCAACACCAACGTCTAACCACAATTGCTTGGCTTCCAAATCTGGAGCCAAACCTTGGGCTTCATCACCACCAAAGTAGGTCACATAGAGTCTGTCCTTGTCCAAACCGTAGACCTTGGTAAGTAATTCCCAAGACCAGGCAATTGCCTCGGTCTTGAAGTAGTCACCAAAGGACCAGTTACCCAACATTTCGAAAAAGGTATGATGGTAGGAATCACGGCCAACGTCTTCCAAGTCATTATGCTTACCACCAGCACGGATACACTTTTGGGAGTTGACGGCACGCTTCAAAGTGGCAAGTTCGGAGGCAGGGTCTACAGTTCCCAAAAAAACAGGCTTATATTGGTTCATACCGGCATTGGCGAACAACAAAGTTGGATCTCCGTGAGGAACAACTGAAGATGATGGCACGTACTTGTGCTCGTTTTGCTTGAAATAGTCCAAAAAGGTAGCTCTGACACGGGTGGCTGGCCACTCGGTCACAGGAGCAGTCTGGGAAGTGCTCATTCTGGAATAGAAACGGGTTATTACTGGGATTCTATGGCGTAATAGAGATAAACCCATACAGTTTCAAAGTGGGCTTTAGTTCATGTACGCGATTTTTTTTACGCTTTTGACCACAAAGAAGAAATAAAAATAAAAAAAGTTTTTTGGTGGTCGTGTGAGGAACAATCGGGATTGCCAGGGCTGAATTGTTTTAAGAGTCATGATAAGAAAACGGTTATAGATTAACAATGATTGCAGTTGGTACGAGTAAATACGATCAAAATAAAAATAAATAATAGCGATCATAATATTAACTTTTTATTGAACAGTTCGAGACGCCTATAGATTTTCTTTTTTTTTTTTTGAGAAAGATATTGGTTGCAAATGGGACGAAGTCTGTCAACATTTCAAGATGTTAGAACGACCATTGTCACTATGAGTTAAGGGAACTTTCGAGTGTATAGATCCTGCAATTATGAAGCAATTGCTCGTATTGGTATCTGTAAAAAATAGTAATTGTTTTTCAGTTAAGTAGGAAATGTTTCATCTTTGTTTCCAATAAAAAGAGGCGAAAATTGTACGGTAGCGCCAGGGATCTCCAGAATGCTCCGCTGGGCCCCTACTCGCGGAGAGCCACCGCGTGGTGCCTAGCTCCTCTGCGAGGAGAATGTAACCAAGTTTCCTCGTCAGAGGCATAGGAGCCTCCATAGCTAATGGCCCCCGGAGTGCCAGCGGAGCGGCTTGTGAAACCCGTAGGGGGTAGCTGGTTCTCGCTTCCCTGCGGGACCCTTCGATACTACAATTGTAAATGAGCTCGTCCTTAAAAAGATTGCCTTCATATTGTAGTTTGAGAAAGTTAAGCTAAAATTTATTTTAAGAAATGTCAAATAGGAATGTATATGCGTCTTACTGTGTTCGGATACACTCTGAAACACACACACACATACATATATTTTTACAAGAATAAATTAGAGAAGACAACTATTGTATAATTGGACGCATTTACACATTATAAAAGTATATAATTCAAATTGAATATAGTTCTAAGTATTAATGATTAACTCTTACTATACTTGTTCTCTCGTTCTCAGTCACGCCCCCAGGTCACCTGCAAATATGCCACAAAGGAATAATATGCTCATATTGCAACTTTTTTTTTTTTTTTAATTTTTTCCGTTCCACTCCATTTTTGAGCCCTCCTTGTTCCATAGGGAAAAAAATAATATATCTATACATTATACATTATATCTAAACGAGTCCAAGTTAGATGCCATGATTCTCATAGATAGCATAAAATACTCGTGCATAGAGTGTATTCGTGGTCACCGATCAAGTCTGTGCAGACACCACACACGACCGCTTCTCCAGGTTCGGTCCAAGGGTCGTCCAAATGTGGCAGCCAACGGGAATCCCAACCATAGAATAGCAGTATTTGCCGAACAGATCGAAGAAGATAGTCCAAGCAGTAGTGAACTTGAAGGCTGTGGAAATGGCGGGTGTGCAGACAAGTCTAGTGGCGGCAAGAATAGTTGTCAAGAAGTGCAACAACAGCGTACGAGCAAAGCTCCTCCACCAGTGGTAATCTTAAAATACTCCCCGAAACAGGTTATAGATTTGGTATCTGGACAGGTAATAGGCCCATATGGAGAAGGGAATGGTGGCAAGGCTGTAGGAGAAAAATCATGTGCTGGAAAAAAGTCTGCAACCAAAAGTTGTTGTGCAGCAAAAGAATTGCAACCTATCAAGAAAGAATCTTCTTGTTGCGGAAGCAAGACTAAAGTGCAATGCAAATGTTCGAACAAAACGAGGACCATCAACAAGTCTAAGATCTTAAGAACATATTTACAAAACCATTTACAAAACAGTGAATGGAAGATGGCACAAAAGTTATCGCAGAAAGAACAGCCGGCTGTTACAGAACTAGCGATGGTACCTCCGCCAGTATTGTCACAAACTTTGGATTCTACATCTATTACAGGACCTCCGCCGGTGTCGCTAGGAGGTATAGGAGGAGGAGGACAATCTTCTCTACTCCAATACCCTCAATTGAAAACCGAGGAAAAAACTTTGGAGCAATCTATGGCAGATATGCCTTCGGGTATATATGACGTGGTGAGTATTCCGGCGTGCTCTATACCCGGGTCATGTTGCTGCGATGATTCTTGTACATGCACCGGATGTATGGTGCATGGGAACTCTGTTGATGACTTGGCAAATTCTGTAGAGAAAAATCCACTAGCTCAAGTTCTTTTCAGTGAAAGAGCTACTACAACTGTACCATTGACTGGATCCGTTGGCCAAACTTACCCTTATTCCGATCTTTTCAATGTGAATGGATTCCCAAAGGAAGAGGAAACAGAAGACACCCCTTCTCCTGGAGGAGCATGTGTTTGTCCTCCGACTGAATGTGATTGTACTAATTGTGAAACCCATGGTATAATCAATGGGTTGAAGTTGGATGATTTTTTCAGTGAACAAAATCAATGGCTGGCTCAACAAGTACAACAACAACAATTGTTACAACATTTACAAATTCAGAATCAGAAACAATCATCACAACCATTTAACCAAGCACTGATCCAACTTAATGACTTCAACCGACCCAATGCTCCGTTTGACTACACCACATTTTTGTTAAATTCTCTCTTGAATGGTCCAATAAAAGATGTAAAGAGTGGCGGTGGCCGTGAAGTATAAATATGTATATAGCCATAGGTAAATAATAGATCCTAAATAATTACAAAGAAAAAGATAAAAAAACAACAACAAAACAGCCAGGTTCACATGGCTTATACATTATATCCTGGTCGGCTCATTGAAGTGAGTAGTGGAGGAATAATACCTAATCTATATCTAATTCAAGTTGCAAGAATACGATTCATTGTAACCCTTGTCCTGCATATTCTCACACAATCACCTTACCCCCCTTGTCTCTTCCCTTTCTTTTTAATTTGTTGGCAATCAAATGGAAGGTTCCAGAACCTTCTACAGGAAAGCACACAAAACCGGAAAACCTCATGTACTAAATTTATCACCTTGTTCTGGTAGTTCCATCTCTTTTCAATGGTGAATGACCTACAGATGAATAGCTACTCGCAGGACGACCCAGTAGCAGAGCTTCTACGCACGCCCGATGACGACATCCAGGTGATTCAAAGAGACGGCGGTCAGGAGTACCCTTATGGTGCGCAAGGTGCGACATCCTCATCTCAAAAGAATTACAAGAACAACAGCAACATCAACAATAACAACAATAACAACAACAATAATAATAATATCAATGCTAATAACAACAATAATGCCAATCAAAATGGGTACTTCAGTGGTATGACGCCCATCAATTACGACCAACAACCGGATGATTATCAACTCGTAGCCACAAACCATCCTAAATTTCAAAATTCGGCATCATCGGTTCCACTCCCTCCTCTTTCTCCATTGTCGGAGTCGGTACTCCCACAGAGCTTGACTCGCTGGGGCACCAACAATGCTAATAATAATGGCAATAATGTAACAACCACAGGAGGTGGGGGGAATTCAAATACCCCAAATATACTTGGACCTCATGCAGGAGGAATGATGCTGCCAGGAGGTGTATTAGGATTAACATTACCAAGCTATTTGGATTGGGGCAATGGGTTGCCCATGGCTGCTGCCATGGGGGGTGCTGGAGGCATTGTCCCTTCTGGTGGCGGACAACAGAATACCATGCAACAACAGCAACAAACTCAAACTCAAAATACAAATAACACACGAGCTAAGAAACGGAAGGAACCCACTGGTCCCAAGACAAGACCAGCGTTTGTGATGAAGATCTGGTCTATGGTGAATGACCCTGTCAACCAGCATTATATCCGATGGAATGAAGATGGGAAATCATTCCATGTGTTTCATCGAGAAGATTTCATGAAATTGATCTTACCAAAGTACTTCAAGCATAATAACTTTGCATCCTTTGTACGGCAATTGAACATGTACGGGTGGCACAAAGTACAGGACGTGAACAACGGGTCACTATACAACCAAACGATCAAGGATGAGAAAGGTGGCATTGATGAAATTTGGCAGTTTGAAAACCCAAACTTCCAAAAGGATAGAGAAGATTTGTTAGACAAGATTCAACGTAACAAGACCACCAATAGCAATGAACAGGAAGACGGTTCGGGTGGTGGTAGTGGAAGTGTTCCTGGTGGTGCTGGTGGTGGGTCTGGGACTGGCCGTATTGAAGGAGCTACAGGTGCTGCCGGTGGACCCGCTTCTGGTGAGATTGGTGGCATGAACTTTGCCGCCATTTTGGGAGAATTGGACCAAATTAAACTCAATCAATTGGCCATTAGTGAGGACTTGCGTAGAGTTCGAAAGGATAACAAAACCCTTTGGCAAGAAAATTTCTTAACAAGAGAAAGATATCATACACAGGCACAAACTTTAGATAAGATTCTTACTTTTTTGTCTGCAGTTTATGGGAACACGGCTGGAGGCAAGATAAGCGAGGTTGGTGGTAATATAGATGGGGAAATTGTTCCCTGGCAACAGAATGGAGCTAACCCTGAGCCAGTAGTGTCTGGAGGGTCTTCAAGCTCGTCTGTTGTACCACCACCACTGCCATTCAATAAGCCGCGTCTCATGTTGATGAATCAAGCTTATCAACGTTCACCCTCGGATTCCGAACGTCCAACTCCCCGTAGCCAATATATGGGGAGATCGCCATCTTTCAACACCAACAATGCTTCGTCCGTGGAAGATATCATGAGATCGTATGAAAATACCCCCAAATTTTCCGGTAATGGTGACCCGACTTCTAATGCTGCCAATCGGATGTATCAACAGCTTATGCAACATGATAACCCTGCTTCACCAAGACATTACTTCCCTGAGCTTAATGGGCCAAAGAGTCCCTATTTTGAAGGAATGGTTCGAGGATCAACCCCGCAACCAATTGAGAACTCTGGTAACAATGGGAATAGTAGTGAAATGCAAGCGTTGGAACAGAATATATACAAGCAAGGTCAATCGATTCAACAGGTTCAAGATTGGATACAAAAATTGGCTGCTCAGCAACAGGAACTTCAAGGCGCTAAAGCTGGACAGCAACAGCAACAGCAACAGCAGCAGCAACAGCAGCAACTACAACAACTGAATCAACAACTGCATTTACAACAGGGCGGTATGAATGATAAGCTTTCACATCCCCAGCCACAACAACCTCATTCGCAGTCTGAACTTCCAGATTTAGATGAATTCGATGTGAATGAATTTCTAGACCCATCCAATACTCCGGTTGGGTCCAGTGGTGGTGTTACTGATTCAGATCACAAACGTACCATTGAAGAGGTGAATGATGATAATGATGAACATATTGACCACCCTTCAAAGAAGCAGAAATGATGTATGTATATAGAAGTTTAAGGATTAATGAATATCGTGTATTATAGAGAATATAATAAATATATAAATAAAAAAAAAGAGAGATATAGAAGATTCTAGTAACCACTGGTTCTTTCCTTTGATTCATTCAAGATTTGTGGCCAATTCGAAGTGAAGACAAACCATGCTTCACTGACACTAAGCACAAATATCCCAACCCCTAGACCCGACCATAATCCAACTAGCTTGAGGTCAAGAGAGAAGGCAAAAAAAAGACCCAAGGGAACAGCGACAACGTAGTAGGCAATCAAGTTGAGAGCACTACCAATATGTTGCCTTCCCTGTCCACGAAGACAACCTGCAAACAAGACGTTTGCACAATCGTAGAGTTGGTTTATTCCAAGGATTTCAATAATGACAGATGCCGAGGATATGACATCTTTGTCATCAGTGAATAAGGTGGCGATGTGAACTTTGGCCAGAACCAAGAGAGTGCAATTGCACACACCCAATAGTAAGGCAGCGAGAATTGCCACTCGATTTACCGTTTGAGCTGCAACAATCTTCTCTGCGCCGATGTAATTACCCATTCTTGTGGATACTGCAACAGAAACTCCAAAGGGGACTTGGAAAAAGAGAGTTGCCATGGTGGAAACAATGGATTGTGCTGCGAGAGAAGTGGTTCCAAAACGGGCGGCAGATAAGGTTAAAATTTCAAAGGCAATGAATTCCGAAAGAAGCATGGCAGTACCATTTAAAGCTAAACCCATCATGGGGCCCCAAGAACGAATATTGAACGATTCTTGAAGTTGCAACCCATTCCAGCATTTTTTCCCATCTACCAAGAGAACATAGCCAAGGAGTAAGAAACTCATCAACCAGTAGGAGATTGCAGTGGAAATCGGGGCCCCGATAAAGCCAATACCAATGGTTGGGTCCCACACAAGAACATAGTTGAGCAATACATTTATGGGAGCCACGATGAACAAACAATACTGACCGGCATGGAAAACGCCCTGTGCTTGAAGAAACCGTTTCCCCGTTTCAAAGCAAATGTACCCGGGTGCACCAAACGAGATTATTCGAAGATAAGTCTGGGCAAGTACAGCAAGCTGAGGCTCCTCAACGATGTGAATCAAAATAGACCCACTGCAACACCACAAGGTTACAATAGGAATGGCGCAAACGAGAAGCATGGCGGTACATTTTTGGAAATAAAGTCCCACAAGCAGATACTTCTTGGCACCGTAAGCCTGTGCACAGAGGGTGTCCAAGCAAGTTGCCATCCCATTAAATATGGAAACAGTGACATTAAAGGTCATGATTGCAAGTGAGACTGCAGCAAGTTCTGTCTTGCCGATATGACCCACGGAAAAGATGGATACCACTGTGAGGGAGTATTGCAAGAAAAAGGTGATGATAAGGGGGAGTGAAGAGGATAAGATAGCTCTAGCTTCCCACAAAGTGGTGGTGGGGGCATGGAGTACACGACCGTTCAGGTCTTCAATGAGTGGAGATGTTTCTGAAATCATTTGGCTCTAAAAAGAATAAGAAAAGAAGAATATCCAAAAATTCACACTTTATTTACATGGGTATATACCTAGGGTCTACACTTACCTTTCTGGAAATTACAGATATAATCTTCTATCTTAGATATGATCTTATCTTTTGTTCTAAGAAATACAAATGAGGTAATGGAAAAGTTCAGATACGACCAACCTTTCCGCTGATGCTAGATATCCCGTTAACCAAGACCTTTCGATTGATAACATCGTTGTGGAGAGAATGTTCGGCGCGCTTCACGGCCCGAAGTATCGTAGAAGCCCTTAATGACCTAGATAAGAACTTTAATACACAGTAGTATTATCATTCTTAGCGGTGAGTTGCAAAACAAACCTCAACTGGCACAGACAAAAAAAAAAAAAAAAAGGAGAACGATCCCGCGCAATACCCTAAGAGGTAATTCAAAATTCCATTTTCTGCTTTTGACAGTAGTTTTGCGCTTTAATTTATTATGGTTGCAATTATGCATGTGTGCGAAACATGTCGGGTTTGTGGCTTTTACGTCGAATTCCTTATCAAAGATAATTCTCAATGTGAGAATTGTGGGCAAGAGAAGATTACCTGAGCAGATACCCAGTCGATGGTGGTATGATGATAAGGTATCTAAATATAAATGGCTCGATTTATTGCAAAAAAAATCCATAATTCTGAAACTTTAAAAAAAGGTATTAACAAATATGGTTTACGTTACTACCAATGTATCCAATTTCACCTCTTGGACGCACACGATAGCCGAAAAATTAGAAGTTCCTCATGATGTGGAACCAACAATACTTCGTAACAAGGATTTAGACCCCATGCAACGTGAACGTCGTGTGTGGGGGATGTGGTCTTTCTTTGGATATTGGGGGGTTCCAAACATCACCATTTGGACGTGGAGCACGGGAAGTGCAATGCTCAGCTTGGGGCTCAACATTGGCCACACCATGGGTGCTCTTACCCTTGGGAACATAATCATCTGTATATACACATGTTTGAATTCTGGTCCAGGATCCAAATACCGTATCGGATACACTGTTTGTCAACGAATGATCTTTGGAATATACGGGTCCGGGATAGGGATCTTCATTCGGATCATTCTTTCAATTGTTTTCTATGGATCACAGAGCTGGCTCGGTGGCCAAGGATTGGTTGTCATGTTTTCCGCCTTCAGTAACAACTACCTCAACTTGGAAAATACATTTCCTACGTCTCTTGCCATGACCACTCGTGACTTTGTTGGATTCTTTTGCTTCCAAATCATTCAGTTCTTCTTTTATTTTATGAAGCCAGAAAAGATGGACAAGTATGTTAACGCTTCATGTTTGATAACCTTTGTGGCCTTTGTTGGAGTTCTTGCTACATGTTTAGCTAAAAATAATGGACCAGGTCCAATTTATTACGAAAAGGTCACCTTGCTGAAACTTGAAACAGGGTGGATGTGGTTATACTCAATGACCATTTGGTATGGAGCCTTATCACCGGATGTAACCAACCAAAGTGATTTCTCACGTTTTGCATCTTCAAAGAAGAAAATGTATGTAGGGATTATTCTGCTGGTTATGCTTACCGGTACTTTTGTCCCACTTGCTGGCTTACTCTGTGCGCTGGCCACCCAGCAACTCTACGGCGAGCCGTTGTGGCTCCCCACCGATATTTCGCTTCAATGGCTCACCGATAATTACTCCCCTGGATGTAGAGCTGCAGCATTTTTCTGTGGGTTTGCCTATGCATCCTCACAACTAACCTTCAATGTCTTAGCAAATGGATTTGCAGGCGGGATGGATTTATCGGGTGTATGTCCAAAATACATCAATATCAGACGTGGTGCTTTCATCACTGCCCTTCTTTCATGGGCAGTCCAACCATGGAACTTTTACAACACTTCTTCTGTCTTCATTAGTGTTATGAGTTCATTTGGAGTGTTTGTAACCCCTATTATTGCCATCACTATTGCAGATTTCCACATTGTCAGGCGCTCCAACTTGCCCCTTCTGGATCTCTATCTGACAGCCTCTGATGGGACTTTTTACTTCACAGGCGGGTTCAATTTCCGTGCCATTGTTGTTTGGCTCATGACTGTGGCACCTGGACTTCCTGGTTTAATTGGAAGCGTTCAGACTTCAGCCAAGATCCCGGCTGGACTCAATAATTTTTTCTATGGAAATGTCGTGTTTGCATTTGGATGCCCATTCATTCTCTATATCTTGGTATGTTACGTGTTCCCGGTGAAGAATGCCAATACAAATGATAAATCTGATGTTTTCAATGTGTTTACCTTGGATGAATGTGTTAAGCTCGATATGATTCCCTGCTCAACCATTGAAGTTCTTGATGGAATAACCAGAAATTCTGGTAGTTATTCATCCGAACAAGACTTAAAAAAGGGTTGAGGCTTTACTTCTTTCAGTACGTTTGTATTTAAATTATAATATATTTTCTATAAATCTAAGACTAAAAGTATTCGTTGGTAGATTGTACACCTCTCCCACCCTTGCTGGTCCTATAAATTGGTAGCAATACTTTTGCACCCAGCCCATCCTTTTTGTAACCTTAGGATTATTATTTTTTGTACTTATATAAAAATATGGGGGGAATTGTCTGGGTACCCTTAAACTCGGCGACTTTCACGGCCAAAAATATCACACTCAAGGGTACAACTTAGAAGCATAATTCTTATCATTAGCTAATTTGTTGGAGTGATAAAGTTACTCACAATTTGCAAAGTCAAACTGTAATAATGGACATGTGACATGGAATAATAGGAACCCCCCCCTAATCCGAAAAACGGAACCCCCTTCCCTTTTCTATCATTGCGCAAGTAATACAACGGAATTATTGATAGTCTGTGTTGAGTAAGCGGAGATTTTTTTTCTTTCTTTTTTTTTCTTACACATTCTCTCAAAATAATCCAAATTAAGCTATTCCTTGGGAAACTAGATAAGCCGAAAATTAATAATTAAAATTGCCGTTCTTTAAAACTCATGCCTCTCTACTGCACCAAATGGTTCATTAACGTCTTTACTTACAGGTATCCCTGTGCATCAATTTAGCATTTCCTGCTTTTGAGAGATCTTTCGGTAGATCTAAAATATGAAATTGTATGTAACCGTTGACCTACAAGACGGAAATTCCACCTCGCAAAAAAACATTCAAAAGCGCAATTTCGATTCTTGCTAGAAATGCGCGGTCCATTTTTTTTTTGTTTTCGGAATATTGAAAGCGCAAATCCCCAGATCCAACAAAGCGCAATTATACAATTCGTGAAATAATCACCCACATAGAGAACATCATCTTTCATATTCCGTTTCCCCGCGGGATTATCAGATAGGAAGTGACCAATCGAGAGATATGATTGCGCTATCACCTATAAGGGTTTATCTTTTATCGGGAATGAGCAAAAATAAAAAAAAAAATTGCGCTTCCAATGGCTGCAAATTCTCTCGATGAAATCAATTCATCATCACACAATGCCACATATAGAGTGCCAGTATGTCCACGAGAGACAACAAACTAACCTTATTTAAACCCATCCAAGTCCTCTCCTTGGGTCTCTACTTTTTATAAATCAAACAAATACAAACAGTTCACAAGAATGCAATTCCTGTTACCTGTTTTACTCTCAATCTTTATTGCTCTTTCCAATGCTTCCCTTCTTCCTCAACAAGTTGTGTTGAAGTGCTCCCCCTCGGATGACGACAACTCATTGCTGTCAACCAATCGTGGCTTGGACACAGAAGGCAGAGACTCCATGAAAGTCTCTAGAACTGGTAAGGATGTCCAACTGGTTTCATTTTTGGACAGATACTTTGGTGAATCATTCCTTGACATGAACTCTGTCATGACTACCACCTCGACTTTCAACTCCGGGAAGAAGGCTCCACTCCCCTTACCTGACCATCTCTCGTCGCTCATGATCAATGACGACTACGAGTACCCAGACAAAGATGATCTTCGTGACATCAACGGGACCAGCACCTTGTACCGTGGTGGAGAGTTTGGAGGTATCAACACTTTTGCCCACGTTCCCTATGCCAATTGTTACAACCCAGACTTTTTCGACTCGGAAGAATTCGATATTGCCATCGTGGGTGCTCCATTTGATTCAGGGGTCTCATACCGTCCAGGGGCCAGATTTGGACCCAGTGGGATCCGTATGGGGTCTCGTCGTTTGGCCCCTGCTTATTCAGTTTACCGGGATGGCTTTGACCCTTACTCCAATTGGGCCAAGATCGTTGATTGTGGTGACCCACCGGTGACTCCATTGGACAATAGAATTGCTCTTGACCAGATTTATCGTGCCAACCGTGCCATTGGTAAGCATAAGACCACCAAGCACAACAAAAGCAAGCACCCAAAGATTTTCACCTTGGGTGGTGATCACACAATCACCTTGCCTGCCATCAAGGCTGCGTATGAGAATTGGGGGCCAATCACCGTCATCCACTTTGATTCGCACTTGGACACCTGGAACCCTTACTACTTTGGTGGGAATGTCACAGAATACCAGTCTGTTAACCACGGTACCTATTTGCACTGGGCCCATGAAAAGGGTCTCTTGACCAATAGCTCTATCCATGCTGCCATTAGAGGTCCTTACCCCGGTCGCAGAGACGTGGAACATGACATTGCTTGTGGATTCGATAGAGTTCTTGCCCGGGACATTGACAAGATCGGAACCAAGGGAGTCATTGAAAAGATTAGAAACCGTGTTGGCAATGGAGCCATCTATATCACCGTTGACGTTGACTCCATGGACCCAGCCAACACTCCAGCTTCTGGTACCGTTGAACCTGGTGGATGGACTTCCAGAGAACTTTTAACCATTTTGGACGGGTTGGAAGGATTGAATGTCGTTGGTGGGGATGTTGTTGAAGTAGCACCTCCCTTCGACACAGTTGCCGAGTTGACTTCCATCACTGCTGCACAAGTGGCAGACTCCATCATCTCCTTGATGATTTTGAAAGACGACGAAGAGGACAAGAAGAGAGAGATTGAAGAAAAATGAATTTTTATTCTTCTCTTGCGTATATATCAATTCTTCTATCCTTTTAATTGATCCTTATATGAATACAAATTGTTTTCAGTTTCTGTAGGATCTACAACCCCGTAGAGGGTAGCACGACTCACTCCCCTGCGGGGCTGCAAGACGCTCCGCTGGCCCCTGCTCGGGGAGAGCCACTGGCGTGGTGCCTAGCTCCTCTACGAGGAGTTCTCTTGCATCCATTCCTCGTCAGAGGAACAAGGCCCCCACGGCCAGTGGCACACGGAGTGCCAGCGGAGCGGCTTACCAACCCCGTAGGGTCGCCCTCCCTACTAACTTCCCGGCGGGGCTGCAAGACGCTCTGCTGGCCCGTCCTCGGCGCACTGAGTGGTTCCCAACGGAAATCTTCTTATAAATCCGAGTCGAAGTACCCACCTCTAAAATTTTAAATATTGTAGTTTGATTATATTCAACGTAGAGACAATTGACTATTTTCCCCAGCCAATCCCTAAAATCCTATGCAAACCCGATATACATATTTTTGTACTGTTAAATATAACGTTGTTGGTAAACCTTATACTTTATGGTATGGGACCACATCCTGCACACACTAGCACGTCAAATAATATACAGGACGTGCCTACAATTAAGGTAACAGCACTATCTTTCCCCGACAACCTCCCCAACTGTGTATCCACAGAAACTGGAAATCTCCTCCTCCTCTAGAGAGACACACTCTAACCCCCTCCACCCCCTCACCAAGTACAACCCCTCTTCCAATACAATATCCTCTTCTCTCCTCCCTCTCTCCCTTATCGTCCTGCATACACACATCACAACGGGTTTACTAAATTTTTTTTATTTTTATTTTTATTTTTATTTTTTCTATCGCGGATTTAATTTTCTTTTTTTTTTTTTTTGGAGTTGGGTGCCGCGTCCCTTAGGTTGTCAAACATAGTGAGCGGATAAGTTAATAGCCACGCATTTCCCTAAACGTTGCACTTTACTTAGCACAGGTTTCCCCCCTTTTTTTTTAAGTTACTCTCCTCTTCCCCCCCAGACTTGTCGGCCGCTTTCCTGCACACGTACCCCCACACTTTGTGCGATGTCGAAAGTGATTGTGTTCAATGGAGCCGAGCCTAAACGAAGGCAGTACAGTAAGCTGGGGTGCAAGGAATGTAAGCGGAGAAAGATCAAGTGTGACGAGGGCAAGCCCGCGTGTTGGCAGTGCGACCGGTTGAAGAAGCTGTGTGTGTATCCGATGCGGGGCGAGCGGGTACGACGGGCTAGTTTGAAGAAGTTGAATTGGCAACAACATCAACAACATGGGTTGTCGGCCGCATCTGAGTCGGAACTCGCACCCAAACCTACACTCACATCTACACCCACGTCGTCCGTTGGATTGCACTCTACAACGCTAGAACAGCCGAGCGTGGCCGTGCCGGGGCCGGTGCCCGTACCCATGCCCATGGCCGTGCTGGCGGAAGCACCCACCTCAAGACCGGCAAAGGCGCAGGTTCATTTTACCACCACTGGTGGCGGAGATGTGCCAGGGGTCGGTCGTCGATTACATGGAACGCCCCATTTTGATCTGTCCCCCCAGACTCACCAGCACACAAAGGGAGGCTCCACCCACCAAGAGCCCTCCACGACCATCATCAATGGGAAGTCCATGCATGGGAAGTATCTTTCACAACCACTCCAGGGCGAAGCTGCTGCTGCCCCACTGGCGCTCCCACACCCACAGACTCTCCCCCCACTACCGAGAAACCACCTGAACCTGACGAATGGCCCCACGCTGCTTGTTCCGCTGCTGCTGCTGCTGCTAACCCACCTTCTCAATACCAACTCGCCGTCGTACCTGGCCCTTCAGCCACAACAAACCCCGACATCTTCGTCGACCAACATTGGCGTGTCCCCACTACCACTAGAGTATGACGGCTTCAGCAAAGATGATCTCAATCTCTTGGCCACAGACTTGAACAACATTGTGTCCAACATCATGTTCGAGTCCAAGTACGAGGTCCAGAGCGATAAGAGTGTCAGTGATTTTGACATTGGCAGTGGTACAGGAGCCTCCGCCCTGCCGTTCCCCTACGGGTACGGGTCGCAGATGTTGACACCAATGGCCAATTACCAGACATATATGGTTGATCCAGCCACTGGTACCACCGGCCCCATAGGTGCTGGAGCTGGAGCTGGAGCTGGTGGAGCTGGTGTAGGCTCCGGTACCGCTGCTGACGCCAATGCTATGGCCAACGCGATACATGACGGAGCAAGAACAACCGTGGGTATCACCCCCAAGGCCATTCCTCTTGATTACATCAAAATCAATAAACCCCATGAGAAATTGTACTTGGAGGAGTTCTATAACGAGTTTTCCGGAATCATTCTCCCCTTCAACGTCTACGACGAGGGCACCAGATCGCTTATAAACCCGGCACGAGACATCCTTCTCACCTGTGCGGCAAAGGAGAAGTACCTCTTGGCGGCCATATTGGCACAGGGGGCCAAGACCTCGTTTAAAAAAAGTGGCCTACAAGAGGACGATCGGGCGTATTGCCATTACCTATCGAAATGCTTACAACTACTCGGCCCAGCGCTTGGCAAGGAGGAGGAGGAAGAGGAAGATCCACATAAACAGCAGCAGCAGCAGCATCACCACCACCAACTGCACCTGCTCACGTCAAACATCGAGGCGGTCCTCCTCACTGTCCTTCTTCTCACGTCTGCAAACGCCTCCAACACCAAACAAAACTGGCGGGCCCACCTCCGAGGGGCCAAGGATCTCTTGTTGAAACACACGTACTCTGTCAATGCCCGCTCGAGAAGCTCAAGAATGAGAAGTACCCCAATCTTCATCTTCTGTAAATTTTGGTACATCTCCATTGAAATTCTTGCCGGGTTGTCGTCTGATTACGGCGGAACATTGAAAGGAGACGACGAATTGGACATGCTTATCACCCTGGGAGACACGTACGAAATCATGGTGATGAAAGGTTTCAATCTCGTACGAGAAGACGGGTTCAACATCTTGTTTGGGTACCCCAACGATTGCGTCCCGCATCTACGCGACCTCATCAAGGTGTTGAACCGAAGAAGAAGTGATAAGATCACTAGCACCGACGAGTATTTCCGGTTGATTTCAGCCTTCTATGAACAAGGAATGCGTCTGTACGTCAGTAGAGATGCAATTGTAAACGATGTAAGGGTCCCCACGCCTGGTTCCTTGGTCGATACCTTCAGGTCTCCAGACCTGTCGAGACCCGCATATCTGGTGAGCTGGGTCGACTTGTCGCATCAATCGTACATTATTGCGGCCCAGATCACCCTACTCACAAAGGGGTTCAACATGCCGTCCAGCTCGCCACGAATCCAGGAACTCGTTGGAAGATTCACCTCGATGTTGAGCTTTCTCCTGAGCCCAGATACCCCGGGAATAAAGTTCGCCGTGCTCATGGTGCAATGGCCACTGTTGATCATAGGACTCAATTGCGTAGAAGAGGAGGACAAGTTTTTAATCATGAAACTATTCCGACTTTCCGCCCAGGTGGGTTCTGGCAGTGCCGGGTTCTCCTTAAGAAGGTTGCACAAGGTCTGGAGAGATGGTACAGATGGCGCAGAGGACGAGGATGCAGGGGTGGATATCATGACATATTAATAAAAGTAGAACCCGCGGGCCGGGGGGTGGGCAAGAGTCGAGTCCAATAGAAGTAATACAACCAGCAATTAATTTAAAGAGGGTACCGCTACAAGCGATTAATAATGTAATATACAACATAACCTTGGAAGTTTGTAAGTAAATTCAAGAAGGAAGTATTCACCACTGGAAGAGAAGTTTTGTAGTATAAATCCTATTCAACATCAAGAAGAGAGTACCAGTTCAATTCACCACCGGCTAGCTTAAGTCTGGTGTCAAACGACGAAAGAACTGTATCTTCAGTATCAACACTGGTTCCACTCAACAAACTGCCTTCGTCCAAACTCTCACTCTCATCATCACAGACTGGACAGTCATTGATGGTACACTCGCCCGGTGCTTGTTCCCATTCAAATGCTCCCAGAGACCTCATCTCCTGTAAACACCACCCTATTCTCTCCGCTCCCAAACGAGCACCGTCCAAATTCGCCAGTGCCGGCCCCATTTTCAACAGAGCATTCTTCCCAGTCATAAAGAGCGGGATCTCTTCATCCCATTGCAAGTTGTCCGTCAAGACAGGCAACCCTTGGATGATTTTAATTGGATTAGCTTGTAAGATGGGGGAAAGAAACTTCAATTTATGCAAGTTTGGACAGATCCCCGTGGCACAATAAACGTAATCAACGTCGTTGAGCAGAACAATGGACAGCATAGAACACCCGTTCTCGTCGAACAACTCAATATTATTCTTACTTGCTCGGACCGACACGTCCAAGTCCCAAGTCTTCTTCAATGGGTCCCATTTCAGCTCCTCAAGTTTGGAATACCTCAAGATTTCTAACCGTCCATTTTTCACATGTTTCATCAATTTTTTATAGTACTCCGGGTTCACAGAACCTCCTTGTCGAGCGTCCTGGATCATCTGGTACCGTTCCTCGTCTGTGTCAAGCATATAGAAGGAGGACTTCTTGACGTTTTTATACTTTGTTACCCATTCAAGATGGAAATCAAAATGCTTGATCCTTAGTGGACCTCTTAACATGAGATAACATTTCTCCACTCCGCTTTGAAGGGCAACTTCAACTAGTTGTGCTGAGGTTAACCCCCCGCCAATAACCACTAGTTTTGTGGGTTTCCCCCTTGCCACTTTGGAAACGACTCGTGGGTGTGGGTGTTGCGAAACTTCTCCCAGAAAAATGTGTGTAGTATGGCAACTTCCTTCCAAGTTGGTGGGGTTTACATTCAAATTCTCAATGGGGTAGTTGATCTCTCCAGAATGTCCACTGGACACTATACAACTCTTGCAACAATAAACCTGTCCACTGGCAGTCTTGACGACAAACCCCTTCCCAGACTCGTTGGTTTCGATGATGTTAAGAAGACAATATTCAACACTAACCACCAGGTCTTTCTTCACCACGTCATGGAGATTGTACCGATCAACAATGTCTTGACAAAAGTCTCGGAAAAATGGAGTTGAAGGTCGGTAATAATCTTTCCAATCTCTCATATTGACATCCGTGAGTCCGCCAATGTCATGAGAAGTAGCCGATCCATTAGGGATGGGTGTTTGCCTCAGCCTTTTGGTTTTCTGACGTTGTTTCTTTTGTTGATGCTTGGAGTATTCTTTCCCCACAACATTGACAATTTCCATGAGATCCTTTGGGCCTTCTCTTTTTTGTAAATGTGCATAGCTCACCATCCCATCTACATTAGCGGGGTCGGGATGGAAAAACATGGGCGACCGGAGATATGGAATCTTACAGGCTGCAAATTGACGGTCCCATTGACCCAACCAATTGTCACTGACGGCATCCAAAACCAAAATCTCTTCTGGAGAGTACCGTCTCTTGGGCTTGTATTGGTTCATTGGCTTGTACTTTGTCTTGGAGGATACGTTCCGATTGATCAAGTTCACCCTATTACCACGCTGGCTCAACCAATGGAACCGTTGGTGTTCATCTTCGGTGTAAATAGACCCTGGATGATCTTCACATAGTCTTGCCGCAGCCGCAAGACTACAGGTCCCTCCGCCCACTATGATGACCTCATAGAGACATTCTTTTGAAAATTCGTAGCAGTTCATACTATAGATATATAGTTTGGATATCCAGACTCCTTTCCAAAGATTGTATAAGAATATAGGGGGAGGTGGTATTTATACATTTTTGGGCATAACCACTATAACCACTAAGGTTTGCAGCCAAACCCGCGAGATAAATCCTACCCCAAATATCAGCGTAAATGACGTCCAATTCCGTGTCTTACCAAGTACCCACCGCTCCAGGAACACTTGGAGTTTCACTTCTGACTCTACGTTTCACTAGACATCTCCTCAGCTTGTCGTTGGTGGGCTGCAATTAATTTCTAAATTGCTGCGAATTAGAAAATGACCTTCCTTCTCGCCCAATACGCTAGGTGTTTGGATGTATCTCCAAACCCCAATGGCTTAACACCTCAAGTCTACTATCCCTCTTCCACTAAAAATCTCATTAAACTATATAACTAGATATATTCAAATAAGGTGTCTTTCATTATCTCATTTCAATCCTTCAGCAAATCCCTCGATCATTGCCAACAAACCAACGGCACCAGGATCTGGAATACCTCCATCCTTGTCCTTAAATTCTTCGTCAGATACATAACTTGCTCTTCCAAACTTTGCCTGTAAGTCTGTTGTAGAGTCACATCCACGCTTGGCTTCTTGGACGGCCTTGGAAAGATCCCCATGTTCCTTCAAGGAGTCTACAAATGGCTGCAAGGTATCCACAAGAGTTCTACCTCCCACACGAGCCTTGGTGTACTTGAAAAGGCCATCATACAAGGCGCCATGGAAAGCTTCTCCCAAGGTCAATGCAGTTACCAGTTCTGCCTTTTGGAGGTTTTTCACCAATGCAGTCAAGAAAATAGAATAGATCCCACCAGAGGTTCCACCCATGCTATCTTCAACCAATTCTGTGATTTTGGATAAGGTTGCCACTGGATCCTTCAATTGTAATTCTCCCTTTTCCAAGCACGACAAGATGGAGTTTGCACCGGCAGCCAAAGTTTCTCCACAATCACCGTCTCCCACCTGGGTGTCATAGTGAGTGATCTTTGGTTCCATTTCCAAAAGCTTCGACAAGGAAGCCTTAATGGCCAGTTCAAAGACCTTGGGGTCCACTTCAAGCGATGAAGTGACAGTGGGGTCATGGTTAGCCATTGGAGACTTTTCATCAAAGGAGGAATCGCCAGCACTACTTTCCCACAACTTGGAGTCGTACAGCTTTGGTTTCCAACCAGGGGCATCGGTTGGCTTATCCAAAAACGACACGATATCTTCTGAGGAGAAATCCTTAGCCTTTCCTCCCGCCTTGGTCAAATTCAACAAGGTTACCGAGAATCCAGGAGCGCTGAGAGACGTGACAAAGTCGGAGATGAGGATTCTGGTTGGTTTCCGTTTGAGTGGGATGGTTTGGATGACATGTTCCGCAATGACATACAACTCGAGGGTCGAGGTGCCTCCGATGTTGTTGATAAGCAAGACATAGTCATCGTTTTCGTGGTCAAAGTCTACATAATGACGGTCGGTATCCTTTGGAGAAAGCAATTTTTCAAACATATCTTTCAAAAGATCGTCAATCTTGGGGATTGGCTTGAGTCTATGACCCGGTTCGTTATGAATACCCAACCCCAACTCGGCTTCATTGGGTCCAGTATGTTCCTCTTCATCCTCATCGTCGTCGTGTCCTCCTTGCTTTCCAGGAACAGAAGTTCTGTCCAAGGACGCTCCAAGGGTGACCAAGTTCTCATTAATGGCCCTACCCAAGTCTACAATGGACTCCAAACTGGCACCCGCAGTGGAGGCGGCCCCAACACACTTGTGAACTAGGGCGGTTCCGGCCAAACCTCTACGACCCACCATCTTGTTCTGCTCTCTACCTACAGCTACATCGTCTGCCACGGCCAACATCTCCACCGTGTAGCCCTCGGCCTTGGCCCGCTCAACCACCAACCCAAAGTGGAGAATGTCCCCGGTGTAGTTCTTCACCACAATAAGGGTGCCATTCTTCTTGGTGTTGGTACACTTGCGAATTGCAGCCATTATCTGTTTTGTGGACGGAGACGCAAAAATTGCGCCACTCACCGCACCATCCAAAATGTTTTCCCCAACATACGCGGCGTGCAACGGTTCATGACCGGCACCTCCGCCAGAAATTATCGTCACCTTATCGGCGGCAGTGGTGTTTGGGTTGTACACCACCTTCTCGTCGGGGATTAACCGAACCGCAGGGTTCAGTCTGACCAATGCCTTGAGGTTTGAAAGGACAAGGTCTTCATTTTTATCGTAGCCCCAATGTTTTCCCATTTTGAATTAATTTGTGTGTTTAAAAAGAAGAAGAAGAAGAATTGAACCTTTGCTCAATCTAGCAAACTAGAGTATATAAAGGATAGTGCGAGAGTGAATGACAGGACGACGCATCAAATCATCATCAAGCTTGGGAAATCACCACACAAATGGTTATGTTCCCGGATCGCCCGATGAAGTAATCAAGCCGGTGGGACGCGTCACGTGGGCGCGACCCAGGTAGTCACACAACACTCCACGTACAATGATGTCAGGGAAGTGATAGATATTACCACATTTTATTTATTATTAAGATTTTTATAATTCTAAAAGCATGTTATTATACGTCATATAAAAATCGTATATTATTTATCATTTATTATTAATCTTATTATTATTATTATTATTATTATTATTATTATTATTATTATTATTATTATTATTATTATTATTATTCTTTAAATCATGTTTCCTTAAAATTTTATTTTCCGGCATATAAAATGGTTCCATTTCTAGAATTTCGTTTTCAATAAAAAAAATTTGTAGTGGAAAACCGGCATCACCTTCCTTGAACAAACATTTAAAGACTATAGTGCTGTTGTATTTTTTTTTTTTTTTTTTTATTTTTCACTTTGCTTTGTATAGAAGAGATCAAGTCTTACTACTAGTGTCGATCAATGGTGGACATAGCACCTACTGAGGGGACCAAGAAACGGTCTAGGAGACCTAGCGATGGAGCCAATGTGGCCCATGACAATCCCGAAGAAGAACGGGCCAAAGATGGCGGAGATAACAAGATGATTGCAACAGGGTCTAAGAACAACAATGACGACTCATCGAACACAAATATGAAGGAACCATCAGAGCTGTTACCAATACCGGTGCCTTTGAAAAAACGGTCCAAGACCTTCACTGGATGCTTCACATGTCGATCCAAGAAAATTAGATGTGATTTGGCCCGACCACATTGTCAAAATTGTCGTAAGAGTAAAGTTCCCTGTGGCGGATATAACATCAACTTGAGATGGAGCATCCCAATTCGGTTTGACCGGCATGGGAACGCATTGAATGGGGTTTTCCAGCAACAAGGAGGTGTTTCTGGGAAACATAGTGGCGGCAATGCAGATGAATTGGCAGAGGGAACTGCAGCTGCTGCCATCACCCCACATTTCCACCGTAGACAAGTTGGATTTGTGAAATTGGAAGAAGAGAAAAACCATAGACCGTACCGGTATTACCATGAGATGGATAGTGATTTGGGGGTGTTACATAACTCGGGAGGAGACCCCAAAATTGGCGGAAACAAGACGAAAATGTTGGGACCATTTGGAGTTTTCAACGTTGATGTACGAGACGGTGAAGCTGGCGAGCTGGGCACCGTCTCCAGAGGAGTAGCCACCGCACAGGTGCCCACCATCAATGGGAATACTAGGACTAATATGACCGCTAGTCCAGTCAAAACCTCTCTTAATCTGGCGTCCACTGGAGACATTCCCCACCAAGTGACGACGGATTCTCCAATGGGATCAACCACACTGCTAGGACATGGTTCTACCGGGCCAACAGAACCATCAGCTGGAGGAGGACCTGGCGGCGGAGGCGGACCTGGAGGAGGAGGAGGAGGACCCATGTTGGACAACACATTGTGGCTTTCCAATGAGCTTCGGGACGATGCCCTTCTTACCGCTGCGGCTCTTAACGGTGACACCCAATTTCTAGACATCATGTCAACATTCTCCACCCCAAACTCAAACGTCTTGACTCCAGTGAATTACACAAACTCCTACTACACAAACCAGAACGATCTTTTGAATTTGGTGTTCCATAGACACCAGTCCAATGACCAACCAGTCCCCGCAGCAGGCTCTGCCGGGACTGGCACCCCTGGACATGGTTCTGGTGTCCCATCGAACCCACACAATATGTCAATGCTCTTGAATGAGGGTACCCGGCCCACCGGCACTGCCACCGACTTTGCGGTGGACTACTCGAACTACAACGATTTCTACTACAACAACCCATACAAACAGAATGAAGATCTAGAGATCCATTTGGACGCTTCCGCGGTACACAATCCACAACAGGAGGCCGGCACCGACATCGTAGAAGGAGCACCATCGAACTCGACCACCATGCCATCTTCCATCATGTGCACGGTACAACTGTCACTCCAACCAAAATTGGGGTTCGATATCACCATCCCGGCCAGTGTGGCGTCCCCCGCGGCCGCCGCCAATGGGTCATCGTCTACTTCACAAACAGAAACCACCAACGTCCCACGACCCATTAATCTCCCAACTACAGCGCTTCAAGTGCAACCACTCACTCGGTACCTTCTCAATTATTACATCACTCAAGTGGCAGATCTTATGACGGTCATCCCACTTACCGAGAACCCTTGGAAATCCATCTATTTCCCTCGAGCACTTATGGCCATTGGGGAACTTTCCGCTCTTGGACATACTTCCGATGCGAAGAATGCTCTTCTTAATGCACTTCTTGCCGTACTGGCGTTCAATCTTCAATCAAAATTCCCCAAGAATTCAAAACCAATGAAGTATTATCTTCATTTGGGGATCAGACTCCGGAATCAAGCGTCAGTGTTTGTGAAAAAATTGCTTAGTTCCAATGGATCCGACGAACAAGCAGGCATTGAGAATTGCGTACGTAACGAGAAGTACAAGGATGTGTTGTGTGCGGTGATGTCCATGATCAGTGTTGATCTTGTGTGGGGGACCATGCAAGACACAAACTTCTACATCAACTGGTGTGGACGGGTCATTCTGAGCAAGATGAAGAACAAGGTGAAGCTTTCCTCAAAGGCGAGGTTATTACATCGAATCTTTTCCTCGTTGAAATTGATCCAGGACTCTACAAATTTGGATTTGGAGAACATCAAAAGTGATCACATTAGAGGTGGGTACGATGTCAATGGAGATAAGTTTGGTAGAAGTGATAGCACCAGTGTGGGCCCCACGGATAAGAATAGAATAGATTTCATTTTGGGCAAGGAGGGAAGTGGAGGTGGAGGTGGAGGTGGAGAAGGGGGAGAGTCAAAGAAGGAAACGATAAAACAACCAACGAAAAGCACCTCACCAACATTTCTTAATAAAAAACTTATCAATACGAAGAACAACGATGAGAATTTTGCCACCGATGGGTTATATGGACTCCCCAATTCACTTATTCTTCTCTTTGGAGAAACCGTGAGAATCCTTCGGATCAAAATCTTCCATGAGAAAACTTTCCAACCACTTCCAAAGACCTTCCAAACAGAGGTTGATACGCTCAAGAAGGATCTCAATTCATGGAAATTGGATTGGAACTTGTACACTACACCGGTGAAGGACGGCACAGATGAAGAGCAAAAGAAGGAATTCTTCTCGTCGATGCACGAGGCAACCTACCATCATATCATGTCATTCTACCATGCACTCATCATCTACTTCAACAAGCTTATTCTTGGCACCCCGACCACCGAGCTTCAACAATACGTTGAGAAAACGCTCCGTCATTTGAATGCCATCCAGGTTTTGATCGCCCAGGACAAGGCGGCCATCATCCCACTTTTCTGGCAAGGGTTCATTGCTGGCTGCGAGGCCATTTCTCAAGACCTTCAAATGGGGTTTAAGAAATGGGGGTCGGACATTGCACAGTATCTAGGAAGTTATTGGGGGGCCAGACAAATCATGCTTGAAGTATGGAGAAGGAAAAGAGTCAACGAGGGAAGAGATGATTGGGTGTGTGTCATTCAAGACTGGGAGATGAATTTGATGTTGAATTGAGAATACATAGAGAGGTCTCGAAGAGAATATAAAATATATACAACTTACAACAACTTACAAAGTAGAAGACTTTGCTCGTAGAGGAGACCTCGGTCACATGTAGTTTATTCCGCTCGTCCCTATGTGGCGAATTAAACAAGATTTCCTCTCAACAAGATCTCCTCATCTACATCTTTTCATGTGCAACACTACTGAAACAATACCAAGAGCCCTGCAGCACATACTAAATCCAAACTACTATATACAACGCGCGCAAACAACACTCACACACACGCCCTTAACCAGTCGGTTGCCCCGTCTGTTGCCCCGTGACTCAATACAAACAAAGCAATGATCGTCACAAGGCTCACACATACCACAAGTCTCGTCTAGACTCCTAAACGTGCAATTGACGACCATAGCCACCCACTCCTAATGATCCCCGTCACTTTACGAACAGAGTCAATTGTCAAAAAGAAAAAAAAATTAGTCACTGACTGAAAAATAGCTGCAAAATTTTATAAGCTTTCCCAGCGGAACCTTGTTCATCTAGATATTCTCTCACTATACCGCTATCCCACCGTTCTCCCCCATCTCCCCTTCACATTTCACTTCCATCATCTTTCACATACCTCCCCCACGATTCCCCTACATTCTCATCTCCAACGTGTAAACAAATAAATACCTCCATAATGCATAGCCCATACCATCACTTCAAACCAACCTCCGCACACGACCCGCACTCATTGTCCAGGCCTGCACAGGGCAGCTCACCCACAATTTTTCACGCGTTGAAAGTATTCGCAAAACGCGCATCACTGCGGGTCGCGCATCCTTCTATTTTGATTTTGACACTAAACGTAAACAAACATTCCCTCGAATCACTTTGATTCATCAACAAACAAAATCGTGTTTCGCGTACAGTCACCTTTTCCCTCTGCAGTCTAGACCTGGGAACAAGGGTACGCCAAGCGATGGGTAGCCGTTGGCTCGATGTAAGGGGGTGTCTCTATACATTCCACACGAAACTACCACCACGGCATTGTTGCAAAAAAAATAAAACTATCGCGTATGGTGGATAACTTCAAGGCGTCCCGGTGACTATAAGAGGTGGGGTCTTTTCTCTTCTTCGTTACCAGTTCTTCTTTCTTTTCCCAGATCCAATATCCACTACTCCAACTACTTTACTTTCGTTATCCACTACCCATAAAATGCAATCTAGAATCTTTTCTCTCGCCGCCCTTGTTAGCATTGCTGCTGCCACCACCGTTGACCAAATTGTTTCCACAGTCACTGCTCACTCCACCACCGAAGTCACCATCACTTCTTGTCACAACGACGCCTGTGTCACCACCATCTACACCACCACCTGTCCAGAAAGCAAGGCTGCTGTCCCAACCACCACCTCTTCTTCTTCTGTTGCCCTCACCACCAAGGTTATCACCGACAATGAAACCGTTTACACCACCGTTTGCCCAGAAACTGAAGAACACTCCAAGGCTCCAGTTGAAACTTCTTCTGTTCCTCTTGTTACCACTGAAGTAACTGTCACTGAAAACGAAAAGGTTACTGTTTACACCACCACTTGTCCAGAAAGTGAACTTCCAGTTCCAACCACTTCTGGTCCAGCTCCAGCTCCAGTTCCAACTACTTCTGGTCCAGCTCCAGCTCCAGTTCCAACCACTTCCGGTCCAGCTCCAGCTCCAGCTCCAGTTGCTCCATCTTCTGAAGAAACCACCTTTGTCGATGTCACCGTTACCCCAACCACCACTGCTGTCCCATCTTCCCTCGAGCCAGCTGTCACCACTGCTTCTGCTCCACCAGCTGAACCAGTTGCCCCATCTTCCGAAGACATCACCTACGTTGATGAAACCACCACCCCAACCACCACTGTTGTTCCAACCACCACCGAATCCATCCAACCAACCTTCACTTCCGTTTTCAACAGTAACACCACCGTTCCAGCTGTTCCAACCGGCCAAGACAATGGTGCTGGTTCTATCGGTGCCTCTTTCGGTGTTGCCGGTGTTGCTGTCATTGCTGCCTTGTTGATCTAAACAGATCCATATATATAACTCTTTTCATGGATGTCTTCACCATGTCTAAGTGGACCCCTTATCACTTTAGGCCCATGCACAGGACTATCCCCCACATATACATTCACCGCCTCCTACAGGTAGGGTCAAATAACGGTAAACCTTTTAAAAATACTCCTTTCATATAGAAATTGAATAAATGATAATGATTTAAAATCTGTTAGTAAAAAAAATAATGAATACTCTTTTGGTATCAGTATTAGTACTGGTTGGACTTACTCTATGATACTCGTTTGGTCTATGTTTATTTAAAAATTGTTCTATTTACATCAATTGACAAATAACTTTTCGTATGCATCGTTGTCTTGGCTTTCTTTCTGTTGCTCCAACATGATTTGTTCGTAGAAGGTAGTCCCCTTAATACCAACAAACTTGTTCCAATAATGGTTTAATTTGACCATGGCAATGTTGAAACATGTGATTGGGAACGATCTATAACTTCCAATCACAAAGTAAAATGCATCAAGAACGTCATCAAATGCAACTTGAAATTCTTCTGAAAATGTTCTATTTGGCTTTTTACGAAGATTTTCTATAGTTGATTTGGATTCTTCCTTTTTAGACGATGTGTCCTTCTTGGCCTTTTCTGTAGTTTCCTTTGGAATTTCTGGTTGAAATTCCTTCTTTGGTGCCTTAAATGGGAAGTTGAATCCTTCCTTTTGCTTGAGAGTTTCATAATCTCCTGGTTGAGCCAATCCCAACTTCACATCTTCTAAATGCTTTGTATACAACTCTTTGAACCCATTGATGGCCTCTACAGACTTGGAAATACGATCAAAAGTGTTGAAAAGGGCCACGAGTTCAATTCTTTTGAATTTGACTGGTTTGTTATCAGTTTCAAATAAGATTTTCAATGCAGTTCCATAACCAATAGTTTGTAATTTCCCCCACATACGACATCTATCACATCCAACACAATCCATAATGGCAGAAACGTTTTTGAAACGAGCTCTAAATTCATTTTTCAACTCTGGTGAAACAACTTTTGGATCGAAAAGAGTAGAGGTATTGAAAAGGGTATGAGAAGAAAGAGTTGGAATGATGGATCCAAACACTTCTTTATAATCTGGTTCATCATTACCTAACAATTTTTGTTGAGAACTTGATTTGTCAAGAATTTCATCATCTCCACAGGTAATATGATCAGCCAAGGCACCACTGAAAATCTCAGATAACTTGATTATCAGCTGACTAATAAGGGCATAATTGAAATAAATATTGGATAATCTTTCATTATAAGCACCAACTCTTTCCATGAAAACCTTTAAATTTGGTTCAAATACTTCAGAATCAGGAGAAAGATATTCATTAGATAAATGAACGGCAATAGAGGCATGTAATCCAGAAATTAATCTATAAAAAAGATTTTTTTCCACACATTGTTCTGGTTCATCTGAAGATTTCATAGACATTGGATTTGTATTTGGGAAACAATTTTCAGAATAAATAGCCTTCCAAACATCAAAGGATTGAGTACCTCCATAACCAGTGAATCTTTCAGGGTTTTCCAAGAGATCTACATAGACACATTGATGATCATCATCAATGTGACAATAGTCTAAATCTTCACAGGTGCCAGCATCCGCATCTTCCTGGAATTCAATTTCTCCCAATTTTGAAGGATTTAAAGATTCAAAATTTGAAAGATTCAGCCAATTGTATTGATCTGATGGTAAAACTTCAACTGCACAATTTCTAGTCGCACAAAAATGTTGAGCATTCCAAAATTGACATTGTTTTTCAAAATTAAGTTTAAAATGACGGAAATATGGAGTTGACACCAATTTTTGAATATGAGGTCTAATGTTGGCGTTCAACGAATCGATGTAGGAGAACGTGGTGTTGCACGTAGGGGTGATGATTTGTGAACAGAAGTCCTGTGAGTCGAACGGGGAGAATTGGTTGATGGGGGACATGAAGTTGCCTCCATTACCACCACTACCTCCATTTATGGTGGCAAACACCGTGGTGATTAATAATACGAACGGGACGTAAATATACATTGGGGTGGGTGCGTATATCTCGCGCTATGAGGGATCTCTAGTACGGGGGAAAGGGCGTATGTTCAGGAGACGGGGGTCACGGTACGGTCAGACACTCTATACACCTTGTGTCAAGTAGAAATATATGTAGAAAAAACCTGTTGAATTGTTTTACAACCGCAACTTCGTTTTTTTTTTTCGTTTATGAGATTTTTTGTAAAATGTGCTGTAAAAAAATCAGATGGTCGCGCTTATCAGTTCCTGATTTTGAAATTGTACACGTAGTGTGTGGAACCACGTAGAACAATTTGACCACGTAAGAAAATTCCAACGGCAAAAAAGAAAAGACAAAAAAAAGCTAAAAGAAAAAAAAAAGAAATGAAGTCACTAGCTTTTACAGATAAAGGGGCTACCATGTACTGCCATTCCGCCGGAGGGGCCCGGAACAGGACGGTTTTATTAGCTAGTGTTTACTGGCTTGGTTACATTTAGTATGTGCTGGCGCTTTCTCTGTGTACAGGATGGGGCGAGGCGAACTCGTCTTGACATCAGATGATGGAATTCTTGACACGTCTGAATAATTGACACTTTGTGAGGCACTTATGAAATTGTGACGTGTTTAGTATTCCGATACAACGGCCGAAAGGTGGGGGAGTTAGCCTCAAATAGAGTGATTAATTGTATCGATAGTTTTAGCATAGCCGAGGTTTTAGTGGCAAAGTCCCAAAAAGATTTTTTTTTTTTTTTTCCCCCAATGGTCTGCAGGAACGGTGCAACAAAAAATTAAGCTGCAAAATGGGCAATGACACACCACTATACACTGCTTACAACCATGCATGAAAGCGGGTAGTACTTCCCTGTGGGGCTGTGAGACGCTCCGCTGGCCCCTTCTCGGGGAGAGCCACTGGCGTGGTACCTGGCTCCTCTACGAGTAGGTGTCTTGCAACCATTCCTCGCTAGAGGAAGAAGGCCTCCACGGCTAGTGGCCCACGGAGTGCCAGCGGAGCGGCTTGCAATCCGCGTAGGGCTGTACTACTCACTTCCCTGGCGGGCTGTAAGACGCTCCGCTGGCCCCTGCTCGGGGAGAGCCACTGCGTGGTGCTTACCTCCTCTACGAGGATCTTCCCCAGAAGTAGTGATTAGGGCTACTCTGTAAGGCTATGAGGATTCACACGAGTAATGGGTTTAGTGGCCTGTAAGGCTATGAGGATTCACATTTAGTGGCCCTTGGCAGCGCTGGAATTCTCTTATCTCTTTTATTTCTTTTTATAAATGTACAAACGATCTAATCTAATCTAAATTAATCAAACTTGATCTTCTTGGCAGTCTTGGTCATGTCAACATCCTTGAAGAAAGCACCGTAGGCAGAATGAGCCTTCTTCTTGGTGTGACCTCCAAACTTCAACAATTCTTCAGGAACTGGTTGGTTGGCACCACGCAAAATGTTCATCAAGGCTCCAGAAAGATGCTTTTCATGTTCGGTGAACAAGGTGTGGGCGGTACCGGTTTGACCGGCTCTACCTGTTCTACCGATACGATGCACGTAATCTTCCACAGTCAATGGGAAAGTCAAGTTGATGACGGTCTTGACGTTTGGAATGTCCAAACCTCTGGCGGCCACGTCGGTGGCAAGCAAAAGGGTCAGTTCTCCGGACTTGAACGCGTTCAAGGCTTGGGTTCTTTGTTGTTGCGACAAGTCACCATGGATGGCGGCCACGTTGTATCTGTTACGTTGCAACAAGCCTTCGACTCTGGTGGCTTCCTTCTTGTACAAGGCAAAGATCAAAACCTTGTCGTTAGCCAGAGATCCCAGTTGGTACTTCTTCAACAATTGCAACAACTTCTTTTCCTTGTCAAATGGTTCGATCACTTCAACAATTTGAGTGATTCTCTTGTTGGCAGCAAGCTCATCTCTGTCCCCAATGGACACCTTGATGGGGCTGTTCATGAAGGTATGGGCAAGTTCTCTGACTTCCTTTGGCCAGGTGGCAGTGAACATGAGGGTTTGTCTGGTTTCCTTACTACTGGTTTGAGAAATGATGTTCTTGATATCTTGTTCAAATCCCTTTTCCAACATTCTATCGGCTTCATCCAAAACCAAGTAGTCTACGGTGGACAATTCCAAGGCTCCATCGTTCAACAAGTCCAAAAGACGACCTGGAGTGGCAACAACAACATTGGCAGTACGTAATTGTCTCTTTTGGTCTTCCTTGGAAACACCACCATAGATGGCAACACAGTTCAAGTTGGACTTGTTGGTCAATTCAACCAAGTTGTCGTAGATTTGCAAGGCCAACTCACGGGTTGGAGAGATACACAACACACTCAAGCCGGTCTTACCATGGGTCAAGATGTTGTCAATGGCTGGAACACCAAAGGCAAAGGTCTTACCAGACCCGGTTTCGGCAACACCAATGACATCCTTACCGGACAACAAGTATGGCCAGGAGACAGATTGAATAGGGGTTGGCTTGGGGAAACGGGCAACCACGTCAGCAATCTTGGAGTCAAGTTGAATTTGATCAAATGACAAAAGAGGACGCAAGTTAAGTCCATGAGGATCATCAACGGTGACCTCGTTGGTGGCAAGGAACTCGTCAATGGCGGATTGTGGGGCATTGGTAAGAGATTCAGATTGAACGTAACCCCCCACAGACTTGGCTGGACCTTCCACGGTGGTGGTAGAAGACTTGGACTTGTCCTTCTTGTCTTTCTTGTCCTTCTTGTCCTTCTTCTCGGACTTATCCTTCTTTTCCTTCTTCTCGGACTTGTCCTTCTTTTCCTTCTTGTCCTTCTTGTGCTTCTTCTCCTTCTTCTCCTTGACGTCGTCGTTCTTTCTCTTCTTGTCTATCTTATCAGAACCCATTTTGCTATTGTTTTGATTGTGAATGAATAGTTTATCAGGTCATCATAATTTTTTTTTGAGTGTGCCTCATTGAAAAGTTTCATGTATGATTTTGGGCTGTATGCAGGTTGGCGATGGCCCATTAAATGATAAAGTAGTAGAGGGGAAAAGTAAGGAAATAATATGATTTTGAGGAAATTGTAAGAATTGAAAGAGTTTGGATCGTTTTTAGAAGGAGGAATTGAATGATATTGAATGATAATATAGGATTAATATCATGAATTTTAGTATGATTCATGATGATAAATACATATATATATAATGATTTCCTGTACAGATGTTATATTCCTGTGTTTCTCTTTAGTCCTGTACGTTATTTTAATCCTTCTTCTTCCAGGCCCTCTTTGAACAAGCCTCCACGGCTAGTGGCCCAGGGAATGCCAGCGAAGTGGCTTACTAACCCCGTAGGGTAGGGCAGCTCACTTCCCGGTGGGGCTGTAAGACGCTCCGCTGGCCCCTGCTCGGGGAGAGCCACTGGCGTGGTGCCTAGCTCCTCTACGAGGAGACTCTTGTGGCTGTTAAAATTCCTCGCTAGAGGAAGAAGGCCTCCACGGCTAGTGGCCCACGGAGTGCCAGCGGAGCGGCTTGCAAACCCCGTAGGGTAACTCTACTCACTTCCCTGCGGGACACCTACTTCACCTTCGCTTCGCTTATCATGTACATTCCGGCATATACCCTACACTAAACTCTATTTCTATATGTACTTTTTCTTTTTTTCTTTCTTTAAATTAATAAATTGTAAATAAATAACAACAGTTTGAATATATGATTACTTTGGAAAGGTGGAAAAAATAAGCCAGTTAAAAGACTCTTATAATTCAAATTCTTTGTGTGTCTTTAGTGTGGGTGTGTTTATTTTTTTTATTTTTTTTATTTTTTTTGTTCGTTCGCTTCCGATAAGACCCGCTAAGGACACATTCGCGAATTTGGATTTGTGTTATTTTTTCTCGAGGATACGCCACTCCACATAATAAAAACAAGCTCGAGAGATTGATAAGGGGCAACTCCAACCCCCTACACAAAAAACTCTCGAAAAGAATCGTCATGACAAGATCAAACTCTAGGCTTTCTAGTCTTCTTCTTCTTGCCCTTTCTGTAATGAACGTCTGATTTGAACTTTTCTGGTAAATCTTCTTCTATGTGTACTATCGCATTATCGAGAACTTTAGAATCTTCCTCGATAAGGGGTGATCTAGAATTTGCAGCACTAGCAACGCTTGCAATCGCCGACACGTCAGCACCTTTTTGTAAAACTTCATACTCATTTATAGAAGTTCTTCTACCTGCTGCTGGGGTGGCGGTGGGGGAAGCTCTTTTTCTAGAAGGAGCAAGGGAGGCCACTTCTGCATAGGACAATTTGCGGAATTGAACATCCACAAATCCGTCATCATTATCGGTTTCTGAATCGATCATAGACACTCTGAGCATGCTAGCACCTTTGCCTGCAATGGTGAACGCTTGAGTGACTGGACCGCCCGTCTTTGGGCTGCTGGTTGACGCTGGTGAGCCATGGGAGTTAGTCGAAAGTGTTGCTTTTGTTGTTGTTGTTGTTGTTGTTGCTTTTGGTTTACCCCAGAAGAAAGATAAGGGAGATTTAAACATTGCGCACAAACAAAGAAAAAGGAATTGGGAACTGGTGGGTTAAATGGAACGAGGGGGGTGTGGGTGTTAACCAGGAGTCAACTGGAGAAGAGGAAAGGAAAAAGGAAAAAGAAAGAGGAGCAGAAAAAAATAAGAAAGCAAGAATAAATAAAAGGGGAGAAATGACAGTCAAGATAGAGAGAGAGATCGAGTCACAACATTGTGGTTGTTTAGGCGATATAGTACCGCGTGGGTAGTAGTGTGCACTGTGCAGGCGGCGGGGCGCGCACGCCCCCGGGAATACCGCGTGTTTTAGTACTGATAAGCTCGGATGATACGGTAGATGCAGGCAATTTATGGGATTTGTTTACCGAGTACGTTCACGTGGTTTTTAGATAAGCACGTTTTGTTGCGGGGATAGATGACTACAATATATAACTTTGAGTGAGACACACATTATTGAAGGATGTGAGATTCGGTCATGGTGCGTGGGACACCACGAATCCGTCCCCTAGTATGTCCGTATGTCCGTAGAATGACTCTTAATCTTCCCCCATTTGGACTGAAAGACACTTCGTTGGCCACTGATTGCCCAGCTCGCGAGGAGGACCCTTACTTCACGCAATTCCTCGTTAGAGGAACAAAAGCCCCCACGGCTAGTGGCCCACGGAGTGCCAGCGGAGCGGCTTACACACCCCGTAGGGTAGGTAGTACTCCCTTCCCTGGCGGGACTGTAAGACGCTCCGCTGGCCCCTGCTCGGGGAGAGCCACTGCGTGGAGCCTAGCTCCTCTACGAGGAGATCTATGTAAGTGGCTTGCATGCACTCTAAAATGAGCCAAGTCAAGTACACCAGTTCTGGTGGTTTTTTTCTATAGTATGGTCACCCGTTGGATACCATATCTGAGTCATTCAATATGCTCCAATGGATGTCATACACCTCTTGATACTTTACTTGGGGTTGCTATTTATTTTTAGACATGCGGCTGTTGCGAAAAATGTGACTAATGGATTTAAGAAACCATTAGATTGTGGCAAATTTAAATCCTCCCGGAATTCCCTTTGATGATCTAATCCGGATATCCGGGGGATATAATTTGTATGAGGAAAGTTGGAGGTAGTTAAACTACAGAGCTTGTTGTAAAGGTGTGTGAGATAGGGGATTTGTATAGTATTACAATTACTCTAACTCTGCTCTTTTAATGTCTCCAAATACAATTAACATCGTCACGGAACATACATACCTTTTTACCTGCCGTACTTTACTTTGTGATTCTTTTGCTGCCATAAACCTTCACTTCACATTTCTATACTAATTGTGACACCCTATCAAAGTTCCCACCACGTGACTGGTGTTTTCGGAATTGGTCACTCAATTTGCATGAACTAATTTTTCCCACTGGAAAGATAAAAAGTCTATTTTTATTCTACTTGATAAAGCTTAACAATGAAGTTGTTTCTTTTTTGTTTATTGTGGGTCTTATCGCCGGTAAGATGTCTGTTTGCAGACATCGTATGGGGCGAGTTGGAGCGAAATGGTGGGTTCAAATTCAGAGCCTTAGATCCAACATTCCAGAATTATTTACCCGTTCAAAGTGAAGAAGAAAAACGCGTAGTATGTAAGTTTGTTTCATATGATGAAACATTGAACCAACCTGCTTTTTTCAAGGTATCACTTGGATTTCTGAAATTTCCCCAAGATTGCAACATTCGTTTCAGTATAGTTCCATATGCAAGCAGTGGAGATTACGCTCTTACTCCTGACTTGTATCATGATAATATAATATTGTCCAACGATCTTAATTCCTTGAACCCAGTGTTTAATCTTCCAATAGAAAAGTCTGGAAGTTATTGTTTTAATTCGGCAGTTAATACGGAATTTGTCAACCTTTTGCACGCGCCAACGATTGAGATCCAAAATTCTCACGGTAGATTGCCGTACCACTTATACCATCAGCATTGGTATTACCTTTATTATGTGGGAATCTCGATAATCTTTGTAGCTAGTTTATGTCTGACGTTTTCTGTAAATTTCAGAGAAAGGTACGGGTTAACTTCAACTCAAGTTTCAATTGTATATTATACGATTGTTCCTAAAATCATCTTATTTTCCGTGATTTATATCTGGTCAGCCAATTTGAATAATTCTGATTCAACTACTTTGGCAGACCTCAAACTTTATATCCTGGTAATTCCCATATTTGAAGATTGGTATAGATTCTGGTTGAAAATCTTTGGGATAATATTTGCCCTTGGAACTTCAAAGCCTTCTCGTATTTCCAAAAAAGTAAAGTGTTTAGTCTTTATCTCCATTGTTAGTACTATGGGCTATTCTTTCCTGGTTAGAATTTTGGATATGCGGATGAATCTATTATTATACACAATGGCGAGTATGTTGATGTATACCATTATGTTGTGCAATCTTCCGATACTTATTTTATTTTGGACAATTCTTTTTTATAAATTTTTCACTAGAAAGATATCATTCCTTCAAGTTATAAAACTAATAGGATTTGTCTATTGTATGGGCCGTTTTAATCTACAAATGCCAATAATAAAAGAGAAAGAAATTGATGGAGAAGTATATTCCTTATTATTCCAGAATGAACTCACTCAACAGTACCTACGTGAAACTAGATCGAATTTACTTTTAGTTTGCATGATTGACTATTCCTTGGTTTTGTTCTTCATCGTTGTTGACAGTTATTGGCCCTTTTTCGGAACCCGTACTCAATCAAAAGATGGTCTGAAAGAAGCTACTGGACAATACTTTTGGGGGAAGGCGTTTTATTATTTTAAGAGATGTTTGAATTTGGTTGCAAAAATTGAGAGATTTTTTAGATGAAAGATTAAGTACGTACTAGAAGTAGATATATGTATATAGTTATAATATGATTGATAAATATTAATGTATTGAAGATATAGTCCAAAAAAAAATTAAGCCAACACCTGTTAGTGCCTTATTACATGCTGCAACTATGGTATGTTCTGGAGTATTTGTATTTGTAAGATCATCATTTATATTAGAATATACACCATCAGTATTAATAACAATATTATGATTAGGAGGTATAACAACATTAGTAAGTGGTTTAATAGCTATATATATCTAGTTCTTTTGATGATCCCTGTAGTGAGAACTACACGTGTAGTTGTTTGTGGTGGAGCTAACTAGTGTATTTCTTTAGTTCACTATTGAGTTTATTATATGTATTCTCTTCTTTTCCTCAATTTACTATATATCCTCAATTTTTTGCAACACACCCCTTAAATTTATAAAATTACATTTTTACTTTTCTTCATATTAGGGATTCATACAAGTGTCTAGGGACTGCTAGAACACTCCATACACGTACTAGATACCAGATAAGAACATGATAAGTTATACTTGTGTCTACATTTTTATAAAAAGGTGGTGGGGGGTTTAACTACAATTCACGTGCACACTCTTTCCAAGACTACTAACATACCGAGAACGGTACTTTAAACGAGTGCGCTGCCATTAGATGCTTGCCACCCAGTGTCCCCTTCAGTCACTAGACGGAGCGGCTCGCGGGCCCGCAGGGAAGTGAGAAGTGATACCCTACGGGGGTTGCAAGCCGCTCCGCTGGCACTCCGTGGGCCACTAGCCGTGGAGGCCTTGCTCCTCTGACGAGGAGAACTCCAGCTGAGTAAGGGAAGTCTCCTCGAAGAGGAGCTAGGCACCACGCAGTGGCTCTCCCCGAGTAGGGGCCAGCGGAGCGTCTTGCAGCCCGGCAGGGTCGTGTGTTGTGCTACTCTACAGGGCGTTGAAAGCCGCTCCGCTGGCACTCCGTGTGCCACTAGCCGTGGTGGCCATTCTCGTCTGATGAGGAGAGCTCTTGCCGGGAGTAATCTCCTCGTGGCGGAACTAGGTCCCATGCAGTGGCTCTCTCCCTGAGTAGCGGCCAGCGGAGTGTCTCACAGACATGCAGGGTAGCCCTACTCACTGACCGACGGGTGCTGCTACAAGACTACTACACTGGCAACACCGCCCTGCACCAGTCATAAGGGGGTCTGGTAGTCGGTAGTGTGGTGCCACCACACATCAAAGATCATGGAGTTCTGGTGGCGCGTCTACTTTGTACGACATGAGCAAAAAAAAACACAAAGTTCGCGCGAATATCAAAAATGTGCGGTTTAGGAGATTGACAGTGCCAAACAGCTCTCTATTTCCTCATCAACACACCTTCCTCTGCCACATATCTGAACATCATGGAAGGCTGGGGCGAGGTAAGTAATACTGCGATCCGTCTAAGGACCCGCCGTTGTTTCCCATTTTATAGCGTTCATTACTAACAACTCCTTAGGTCTCACGAATAGTCGCGACTACAGCTCTCCCCACGGGAAGGGCTCAGATAACGTCGTTGCATTTCGATACAATGAACGAGTTGATATGGTGCGGGGACTCTGCAGGGTACTCCGGGTCGTTCACACTGTCCATGGCGCCATATACCCGATTCAAGGCCTCTGGGTCTAGTCCCGGGAGCGAAACCGACCCAGTGGTTCAACATTTGAACCATCAACGTGGAATTCTTTCGCTTCTGCCTCGTAACGTCAATTTCAACAGCAGAGCCGGTGTATGCAAGCTCAGTCTTGGATTTGAAGACAACCCGCTCTACCAGGACCTCTCGTGTATGTCGCTCAATTGCAACACCAACAACGATTTGGTGATTGGTGGTAAGTCGTCCTTATTTAAAGTAGACTTGATTAAGGGTAATGCCAGCGCCAGTGAGCAGCTCCGCCATGATGGTGGTGTCTCCTTTATGCGCACATCGCTGAAGTTCTTGGTACTTGGGAAATCAAACGGATCCTTGGAGACGTTTGACCCCTTGGCCAACACCCTGATCAAGACTTTCCACGGACACAACGGTTTGTTGAGTGACTTGGACGTCCTGGGGAACTATGCCGCCACCTGTGGCTACTCCTTGCGTCCACTGGGTCGTTATAACTATGGCAAACGTGGTGGCAACGGTGGTGGCACTGGAGACAGCTACCTGGTAGATCCTTTGGTGAACATCTATGACTTCAGGATGATGAGACCACTTTCGCCTATCCCGTTCCCTGCGGGAGCTGCGTACGTGAGGTTCCACCCGAAACTCCCCAACATTATCATTATTGCGTCCACCACGGGACAGATACAGTTTGTCGATATCTATGACCATCTGAACGTTTCGTTGTACCAGGCCGACTTGTCTGACAACAGCACCATTAATAACTCGAACAATAACTCTCTTTCTGACCTGTCGTCGTACATGGCGAACTTGGATATCTCCTCGAATGGAGAGTTCCTTCTGTTCAGTGATGCACATTCAAACCTTCATCTCTGGTCATTCCTTGGCAACGATACCACCTCATTCAACACATTCCCTAATCCTTTGGAGCAACCAGACTTGATGCCCAGCATGCCTCAAATAACCAATTTCGGTGTTGATGACATGCTGGTACCCCTCTCAGCGGTCGGGTTACCATACTATAAGGAACACTTGTTGTCACATTACCCTACCGAGTTGAAATTTGTGAAAGAACTGGCTAAATTACCAATACGATTAGAAAGAGACGGAGGTGATGATGGATCAGAGATTTCTGCTAGATCGTTGGAAAATCGATTGGAAGGAACACAAGAGAAAGTTTTTACATTCCAACCATATCATGGACCAGGTCGTAATTTAGAGCTTGCTTATCATCCATTGAAAGATTCTAAGCATAAGAAGGCAGGAAAGAAGACTCTTATCCCTCTGTTTCTCAGTGAAAGAAGGACAGACACACTTACCAAGACCCTTTCAAACACTAGTCTTGACAGTGTTGTAGTGGACCTGCCAACTTCCCTTCCTCCACCGGCTATTTTCGAGTACACCTCAGGCTCTAAATTGGCCACATCAACGACAGCAACTGCCGAGACAGTTCCAAATTGCTACACAAAGCTTCAAATCCAATACTCACGATTTGGTGTGGAAGATTTTGACTTTGACTATTACAATAAGTCTCCAAATTACTCTGGATTGGAAAACCATCTCGATAATTCGTACATCAATTCACTTCTTCAACTCTATAGGTACTCTCCACAGTTTTACAACATGGTGACGCAAACGCTAAGAAGCGAGTGGCTCCCCAATGATAACCAGACCATTATAACCGACAACAACCCACAAGGTTCATCGTTGTTGAACGAATTGGGATATCTTTTCGACATGACAAATAAGGCCCAGGGCAAGAATGTGACCATTTCTAATCTCACTGAACAACTTAACATGAACCAAGACGCATCAAAACATCATCTACTCAACTTTGATGAGTGCAAGACACTCAATAATGATGAACTTCGTGTATTGATTATAAATTTCAATAAGTTCTTCAACGGAACCATAGCGCACGATCAATTTGTACAACATGGACGTGTGGAACTAAACCAAACTACCGGTGTGGAAGTGGATGTAGAGGCCAAGAGTTTGGCTTGTGGGTTCAACGATAAGATGAAGAATATCCAATTTGGTGTGGACTTGACCGGGAACAGTGGTGCTACCATTCTTTCCAACCTTTCACAGGCACTCAATCAGTTCAAGTCGGTCAAGTGTCAACAATGTCTGGGCAAGGATTCCTTTGACCGGTACCATTTACTTGAAATCAAGCAGACTGTAGCCAAGCTCCCACCAATTCTTCTGCTTAATCTCAACTTCACATCAATAGATTTCGAACAAATCCAGAGAACAGGCTCCTCGTGGTTAGTGCCGTCGTTCTTTGCCAACCCAAGCAACCAAGGAGTCATGCTTAGTAATTCTGTTTCTGGGTTTGGTCCTGGGTCGGCCAAATACAATCTCTTGGGATATGTTTGTGCCATTTCGCATGGCCCAGATACTTCTCCTGGGGAACATAATCTTGTGTCATACGTCAAGATTGACGGAAGTTGGTACTTGTTCAATGACTTCTTGGTCATGCCAATACCGGAAGAAGAGGTATTTGACCTTTCCAAGCCATGGAAACGCCCAGTTGTGGTGATGTACACTGCCAACGCACCAGATTTCGCATATCTTAGTTCGATAGAGAATGTAGACACTTCAATCTTGTATCGTGACCATTTCGCAGGCACCATCCGCGAAGGGTATAAGAAAGAATATCAACTTCTCTCACAGGGAGAAACCCCAGTACCGGGATCACTTGTTGCCATCGATGCAGAGTTTGTTACGTTGGAGCCAGAAGAATTGGAGATCTGGTCTACAGGACTGAAAAATATCATCAAACCAAGGAAACTCTCACTTGCACGTATATCTGTTCTCCATGGAGACAATGGACCAAACCAAGGGGTCCCCTTCATCGACGATTATATCGTGCATACCCGTGAGATTGACGACTATTTAACGTCATTTTCTGGGATTGAACCTGGTGACTTGGACCCAGTGGGGTCCACCAAGAACTTGGTTACCTTGCAAACCGCATACCGTAGATTATGGTTATTGCTCAATATGGGGTGTGTGTTTGTAGGTCATGGTCTCTACAACGATTTCCGATGCATCAATCTCCAAGTGCCCAAACATCAAATCAAGGATACTGGAGAGTTTTACTATCTTCCTGAATACAAACGGAAGCTTAGTCTTAAGTTTTTGGCATATGTGCTTTTGAGGGAAAAGGTTCAAACGGGGAACCATGACTCCATTGAAGACGCACACACGGCCTTGCTCTTGTACAAGAAGTACATTGAGTTGAAGGCCATTGGTGATTTCGAGAATACTTTGTACAATATTTACATGGAAGGTCAACAGTTGAGGTTTAGGGTACCTGATTCATAGACCGATAATAAACATCTTATAGAGACAATTGTAGGACATATAAGTAAACAAGGGAGAGAGTATAGCTAGATAGAAGCAGAAGCTACCCTACTAAGGGGTTTACAAGCCGCTCCGCTGGCACTCCGTGGGCCATTAGCCGTGGTGGCCCTGTTCCTCTGACGAGGAAATTAGCAAGAGGACTCCTCGTAGAGGAGCTAGGCTCCACGCAGTGGCTCTCCCCGAGTAGGGGCCAGCGGAGTGTATTACAGGGGAAGTGTGTTGTGCTACCCTATGGAGTTTACAAGCGGCTCCTATGACACTTACAAGTGTAGTAAAGGGACGTATATATTACAATCTATGAGAATTAAAAGATGGAGAGGTGGGCCAACAAGATTGCAACGAATCCCAAAATACTGGTCCCGTGAACCATCCCTTCGTTCTTGGACGAAGACTTTGCGGGTTGGCTGTGAGCAGCGACGGAAGAAGAGCCAGGGTTGGAGGAGTCAGAGGAGTCAATGGCAGTACTGTTGCTCAGAATAGACCCCGAGAAGGCTACGATATCCTCTTCGTCGGTATACTTGGCCCGGGCAATAGACACGGTATCGTCTTCCATGTCAAACACAGCGTAGACGTGTCTCAAAAAGTTGTGGCCCAAGGAAATGTAAGACATGCTCTCATCATTATAGAAGGGAAAGACTGTCAACACACACGTGCCGTTGACTGGGGAGTAGATCAAGTCAGTCAAGGGAACTTCAATGGAAATGTTGCTGAAAGCGAACCCGACCGTCATTAACGATGCAGAATCACAGGGAACGTTCCACAAGGACGAAGTATCGTTCCAGGTGGCATTAACATTGACAGCAAACTGTTGAAAAATGTCATGGGGAAGATTAGACCATTCGACCCCCACGTTAATCTTTGCTCGGTATGGTGGAGGGATTTCCTGCGTCACGTTGGTCTTGTTGCTCATAGAAGGGTTCTCGTTAAAGTAGAGATAGTCCATAGCGACGAAGGGTCCCAGAAATGGTCCGTTGCTAGCCTTTGGTAGAGTCACGAGCTGTCCCTCATACTTTGCATGATCCACTCCACCAAACAAAAGCTGCCCTTCAATGGCATCGCTCGAGTTCAAAAAAATCGAATAGGCAGCCTTGTTGATCAAGCCCTGGCTCTTCATCTTGAGGGGCAAGTTCTCATAAGCCGTTTCGTTGACATAGAGGAGGTTCAGCTCTTTTTCTTTTTTCCCAATGCCACAGACCCCGCCAGAGTAGATAGACTCTTGAGCAACTCCAAAGGTCAAATCCTTCACCTCGACACCTCCAACAACGACATTGTCATACCCCCAGATTCCTTGGATAGAGTCGGGATCAAAATAGTATGAGAAATTGTGAGCCGTAACGTTGTCATGGAAGGATGATGACTGTGCCCAATTGAAAGAGCCAAGGGACTCACAATCGGAATCGGAACTGGTGCAATTGACTCCAGAGGAGGGCAACCAAATGTCCGAGGACGAGGTTTCGAGCCAAAGCGATGCCTTTTCCTTGTTTGAGCCAAACCTCATCTCCACCAAGTAGCCTTTCCTGTTCAAGTGATCAAGCTTCATCTTGATGACGCCCTTGTCGTCTCTCTTTTGCGAGACATTTTCTGCACCAGCGAGGCCTGCAAGGAGGGCCATGCAAGTCACGAGAACCAGTTTCATTGTTTGAGTTGTAATGTTGATCTTTCTGCAGGCGATATTGTTCGATCGGTGCTGATAACCTCGAGGCTCACCAGCGATGGAGTTATTATTTCTTCGCCGTACAGACGGCGCACGTCAAAAGTTTATTTTACGCGAGAGTACGTCCGGAGAAGGAATGCGAGCCACCGATAAAGTCGCGGCTAATGACCTTGTGCGCCTGGCAGGCAGATTAGCATAGAATCTTACGGTCTTGTAAGGAAGTCTGTACAAGTCATATGGGTCAGTGAGCCGCTCCGCTGGCACTCCGTGGGCCACTAGCCGTGGAGGCCTTCTTCCTCTAACGAGGAAATTTTAACAGCCACAAGAGTCTCCTCGTAGAGGAGCTAGGCACCACGCAGTGGCTCTCCCCGAGTAGGGGCCAGCGGAGCGTCTTACAGCCCCGTGGGGTGGTTCTATCACTATATGGAAGGAATTAAGTATGTATGTTTATTAAAAAAAAAATGAAAATAACGGAGAGGTAGCCGAGGAGAACAATAAGTAACCTCAATGAACTGGTGCTTTGAGAAACTACCCCACCTTTAAAGTAGGAGGAGATCACATTGGAAGAAGAAGAAGAAGAAGAAGAAGAAGAAGAAGAAGAAGAAGAAGAAGAAGAAGAAGAAGTAGCATCCCCAGTATTAGCCAGACGAGAAGAAGTATCGACATGGGCGGAAGTAGAAGTGGCCGCAGCCTCGGATACAATGGTCGAATTGTACGTATTAGTTGGATACGACGAGTCAGTGGTGGAAGTTGTCGAACCCAATTTGTAGGAGCCGCTGTAAGAAGTAGCCGTGTAGTATTTTGCTTTTGAAGCACTGGGGATAGAGTCCGAGATGACCTCTATGTCTTCTTCATCAGAGTATTTGGCCTGAGCAAGCGACACGGTTCCATCTTCAAAGTCAAACACAGTGTATGCGTTTCTCAAGAAGTTCTGGCCCAATTCGAAGTAATCATAATACATAGAGAAACTGGCGTTCTGGTTGAGGATTCCTAGGAAACATGAGCCGTTGACAGTTGTGACAAGGTCAGAGTAAGGAATGTCGATGATGGCACCACTGAGATTGAAACTAAGGGAGTAGTGGGAGTGAAGGGAACAGGGCATATTGTACATTGTGGTGGGCTCTTTGATCAACTTGGGACCAACACCGAGACTGTCGAAAACTTCTGGGGTGAAGCTTGAGAACGGGCGGGCAGCGTTAATCCGAGCTATGTAAGGGTTGGAGTAGGTCAAATCATACTTTTTGACACCATTGTCGGAAATGTAGAGGTCATGAACAACAACGAATGAATCCGTGTTTGCATCGCGCTGAACGACAGGCACTGTAGTGAGTTGTCCTTCGTACTTGGAATGATCAACCCCACCAAACAAAAGCTCCCCGGAAGTAGCGTTATCAGCATTCAAAAAGATCGAGTACGCAGCCTTGTTAATCAACCCTAGCCCCTTCATCCTGAGTGGGAGGTTTTCATAGAAGTAGTCTTCATACTCAAATAGCCGTTCGTTTTCCATGCGGCCAATTCCAAAGACCCCATCGGGGTCATCCGTAGGCAAATTAAAACCGGACTCCGTCAGGACAAAGAAAGTCAATTCGTCCACCGCTTGGCCACCAACCACAACGGTATCGTGGCCCCAATAACCGTTATCATCGGTAGTAGTATTGGAATGAAAAGATGAAGAGCCCGAGACGTTAAACAAAAAGCTTTCAGCGGCAGAACAATTGACCTTGGGGAATGTGTTGTCCACTTCAAAGTCGTAGTAGATGTGGTCGGTGTAGGGGTTGGAGTATTCCTTACAAGTGAAGTTGGATGCTCTAACCGCAATGTCCGAACGGACAGTATCCAAGAATAGTGAGATCTTTTCTCTTTTGGAGCCCAATTCAAGGGAAACCCGGTAATTTTTATGGTCTGAGTGGTCGAGGTTGACACGAACAAACCCCCTTTGTGTCGTTTCTCCCCTGTAGCACCGTACTTGGCAAAGCGAGCACCGCCGTAAGAAGCGCCAAGGAAGCAATAAGGATCAGCTTCATAAGTAGTAGCAACAAGTCTCTCAAGTGAAAGTTCTCGGAGATGTCGTATGCATGCAAACCAAAAAAAATATTCAATGACGCACAGCGGTCAATCTTTATTTACGAGAGAACAATCTTCTTGCAGTATGGAACAGTTTGTTTGTTTCTAGGCAAAGTACAAAATAAAAGAGTTTAAGCAATGGGAAACTTGTGTCTCCTTCCACTTTCTTAAATTCTCTCAATCTCCCAACATGTGCAATATGTGTTTGCTACACATTTTACATTAACATTTGAAACATCGCAGAGATAACAAACAATAACGCACGCACATGCAGCCAACTAAGAATGTCATTCCATCGTCAAGGCTGCACTAAAGGAATAAATTAAACATTTCCTAACCATTCTGGAATGCGGCAAGCCGCGTTCAACACTTACTTTCAAGCTACTACTAACTAAATTTACCGCTGTGGTGGTGTACATGAATGTATATATACTCTAGATTCTTACCAGGTGATCACTAACATCCTTCCAACTGTAGTTTCTAATTAGCTCTCTCCTCTTCTCCTCACATCCCAAGTGGCCCAATCAGTGGTTGTTCGTAACGCGGTACTCTGTGTCACGAGGTTGCTCAACCACCAGATAGGATCGGGGCTTTGACTATTGTGCATCTGCCGAACATGGTTTGAGCGGAGAGTGTGGCGGGCCGGCCCGCAGGGAAGTGAGTAGGGCTACCCTACCGGGTGCGCAAGCCGCTCCGCTGGCACTCCACATTAGATCTACTAAATAGAACAAGAATTAAAGGATTGCAAGGTAGACAAGGAGAGAAGCAAGTAGACAGATGGAGCTGGTGCCATAGATGGCCACCGCCTCACCCTTTGTAGAGCTGGAGGACGCTCCCACGGGTTGAGAAGGAAGAACATCACCAGTAGACGTATCCGTAGACGTATCCGTATGCAATGTAATTCCTGTTTCCGTGCTCATATCGTAATCCCCAGTAGGAGTGGTCGTGTATGAGAATCTATCCGGCTCACGGAAGGATGTTTCCAAGTAGTGTGGTGCTCTGGTAGCACTGGGGATGGTGTTGGAAATGGCCTCGAGATCCTCGTCGTCGTTGGAGTACTTGGCTTGGGCTAGAGAAATGGTCTTGTCCTCCATGTCAAACACAGCATAGACGCTTCTCATGAAGTTCACTCCTAATTTGAACTTTGTTGCATATCTTTCCTCCGCTATGACACATCGACCTCGGTGTGTGGTGATGAACTCGGAGTAGGGAACTTCAATGACCTTGCCCGAAAAGTCGAAAACAAGTGAGATGTCCGAGTGGCCAATGCATGGCACCTGGTACGCATTGATACTCTTGTCGTAGCTACCATCAAGTACATCAACGAAATGGTCAACCAACCCCATGGGGAATGATGAGAATCGGGAATCGATGTCCAAGGTAGCTTGGTATGTGGTGGAGTTGGTCATGTTATATTTTCTACTACCATTCTCTGCAATGTAAAAATCACGAAGAACAATCCCTTCCACGGTGTACTCGTCAAACACCATGGGCATGGTGGTGAGCTGGCCCTCGTACTTGGCGTGGTCCACCCCTCCAAACAAGACAACACCCGTGGTGGCGTTGGTCGAGTTCAAGAAGACCGAGTATGCAGCCCGGTTGATCAACCCCAGGCTCTTCATTTTAAGCGGAAGGTTCTCATAGATCTGGTTGTCGAAGATTTTTGTTAGTTCACCATACATGAGGCCAATGCCAAACACTCCATAATCCATATCTTTGGTAAGACCGAACGACATGTCTTTCACCTCGACGCCACCAACGACCACGGAGTCATGGCCCCAGCGCGTTGGACCGTCCATACCGGACAATATGGACTCAGAGAAGGTGTCGTTTGCGTGGAACGAGGTGGAGTTGGACTCGTCAAAGTGGCCGGGAATAAATACAGAATAATCACACAAGTCTCCGGGCGGGTTGTAACACTCTTCATTGGATGATTGAACCATGATGTCTCCAGCGGAGTTCAGCAAGACGAGAGAGGACTTTTCTCGATTGGAGCCGATCTCGATCTCAACCATGTATGGTAAGTAGGAGGTGTTTGCATCGCCCTTGACAACATCCAACTTGATAATGCCGCTGTTGTTGTTGTGGTTGATCGTCGTGTCATTGCCCGAGGTGAGTACACCTGCAAATAGTGCCAAGGAAGACACTTTTGATAAGTTTTCTCGTAGAATTTGAAGCACCAGTTTCATGGCAGCAGGGGGTAGTTTCGGAGAACTGTGTGGGGGGATATGAGATGGAGAATGGTTACCGCTTATGCATGTAATCAATAAATTTCTTCGATGCGCCGCGAGTAAAAACTCTCGAGGAATTATGCAGGGGAACAATCTTGAAAGTGCTGCAGGTTTCATGCGATTTCATTGTGGCTTAGGAGCGCAGTGCACTTTTGCAGAGTTCCTCTGACGAGGAATGGCTGAGAGAAAACTCCTCGTAGAGGAGGTAAGCACCACGCAGTGGCTCTCCCCGAGTAGGGGCCAGCGGAGCGTCTCACAGCCCCGCAGGGAAGTGAGATGTGATACCCTACGGGTCAGTGAGCCGCTCCGCTGGCACTCCGTGGGCCACTAGCCGTGGAGACCCTGTTCCTCTCACGAGGAAATTAGAGTCCCCTCGTAAAGGGGTAAACACCACGCCAGTGCCCCCCCGAGTAGGGACCCAGCGGAGCGTCGCACAAACCTTGGGGGGTGTTAATTATTTATATTTATCTATTGATTAGAGTTCAAATTATAAGACATAGAGGTAGCCAAGGAGAACTGCAAGCGACCACTCGGTAAGTCTCATGGTCTGAGTGGTGGAGGTTGACGCTGACAACGCCTTTCTGATTGTTGTTGTCGATTCTCCCCTGTATGGCAACATTTTGAGAGGCGAGCACCCCTGTAAGGAGTGCCAAGGAAGCAGTGAGTATCAGTTTCATAAGTAGTAGTTTCAGTTATCTCGGAGATGTGAAGGAGATGTCCGTCTGTCTTATGCATGTCATCAAAAATTTCTTCGGTGCGCAGTGCCCAAAGTTTAAACTCTCGAGGAATTACAACAATCTCGTGAATGCGCGCCCATTGCTGCAGCTTTGATGCGATTTCGTTGTGGCTTAGGAGCACGATGCAACCATTCTGCAAATCCAGCACGGAGTCGCATTGTTTCGCACCGTCCTAAGTGATTGTAGGATTAGTCATAGGGTGCATACCGTTACTCATTCTCCAACAAAATCAAATCATTCAACACATACTTCAAGTGCTAGCACAACGACCACCCCTTCCACCCCAGTCTCACCTCGGAAGTCTTCCAAATATCCATCAACGTCAGCATCTCCAAAAAGGGGCAAACAATCTGCTTCTCCACAAAAGTCATCTCCTCATCGCAACAATTCTAAACTCACAGATGTTTCCAACATACTAGGTCAATATCCACCACAAAAATATAAATTCAGTAGACCTGAGAAACCTGTGAATATGCCAGTAACACTTGAACCAGCAGCTCCATTGAGCCCGGTCAAAAAAACAGTGATTCGAGGTCGTAAAGTCGGGGAACTTGCCAAACTCTTCGAAGAAAGAGCTCAAGGATTAGAAGTTTTACAAAGTATGCAACGATTTTAAAAGGGAAAAATACAATGAATAGGATATATCAACCTCATATTATGTACACATATATAGATAAAATGAATCCGATAGGGAATCATTTGAAAAATACAATATGACATTAAATATCTTTTCTTTTATTATACATTAAACAAAAATACAAATTAAAATACTTATTCTCCGACGTCTCCCACTAATCTACTATCAATATTGTCCATCGATAATTCTCCATCGTGATGGTGTGAGTGTGATTGATGTTGTTGGGTGGCACTTGCTACTGCAGCAATGGCAGCAGCAGCAGTATTTTCCGAATCGTCGCCGCCATGATGAAGATCATGTTCTTGAAGCTGTTGTTGGTATTGTTGGAGTTGTTGTTCATCGATATGGTGATGGTGTTGTTGCTGCTGTTGCTGTTGTGCATGGTGGTGATGGTGATGATGATGTTGATGTTGTTGCTGTTGTTGTTGAACAGCTGCTGCCTGGTGCAATTGACGCTGGAGTTCCACATCTTGGTGAGTGTTGTGGTGTTGATGGTGTAACTCATAGTCTAACACCAGATCATTTTGATCATCATCTTCCAAATCAACCTGTTGAAACGAACTAGCATTCGATCTTTTCTTATAAAGAGTTTGTCTATTGGTTGAATTGGTAAGAAATCTGTTTTGTTTCTTTAATTTTCTCTTATACCCACGGATTTCATTGTAAATATCTTCTCTCTTAATTAAAACATCAGGATATTGATCTTTAATCTTGGATTCTATATGAGAAGGTTTAGTTCCAATTTTATACAAGTCCAAAATAAGTAAATTAAGTTCATCTGATCTTTTACGAAGCATTGGATGATTTGATAATGGATCCAATTGTGGATGGTTATGTTCATTACATGTGGTTCTAAGAGTCCATACACCAGTAGATTTCTTGAAGTTTGCAGTCATCAGGAATGGACAACGAAGCTTCTTAGTCTTTGTTGAAGGATCTAAAAGATATCCATTATCAATGGGCTCTTCAACTTCATTTGCTGGATTCTCACCTGGTTCATTCTTTTTCGATTTTTTATGACGATACCGTCCTCCAAGCTCACAAGTGTAATAAATTGCCTTCTTATTGGAGTGAGCAATAACAACCCCAAACCCATTATCTCTGGCAAATTCATGAATAAAATCATTCAAATCATCACGACTTTGGAATACTTGTTCTGGATATGGACGAGTGATGAGATTACCATCGGCAGTGATTGTATTTTCTGAAACTGGATAAATTTTCAGTTTAGAGTCAATGATTGGGTCTGGTATTTGGATATTATATTGTGAAGGATCATCTTCATAATGTGCATGTTGTTGTACATGTTGCAATTGTTGTTGTTGCTGTTGTTGCTGTTGTTGCTGTTGTTGCTGTTGCTGTTGTTGTTGCTGTTGTTGTTGTTGAAGTATTTGTTGGTGGTGATGAAGTTGATGGATTTGTTGAGCCAGTTGTTGCAATTGTTGATGAGGAATTTGCAGTTGTTGTGCCTGTTGTTGTTGTTGTTGCTGTTGTTGGGGAAGCAGTTGCAATTGACCAAGCAGATGTTGTTGCAGGTGGATCTGTTGCTGAGCTTGTGCATGGGCTTGTGCTTGTGCTTGTGCCAGAGAATGACCATCTTGTTGAAGTTGTTGTTGTTGCTGCTGCTGCTGTTGTTTATTCATGGCAGCAGCATGGGCAATTTCTTCCAATTTCACCCTTGTAGCCTCAAGTTCCAGTGGCAGAGCCGCAGAACCGTCAGGTTTTGCCAGTGCAACTGCAAGTAGTTGCTCGTCAATAGCTGCATGATAATCCGATGGATTGGTCATTTTTTGCAACAGATTATAAACAAGGTCGTGGAAAGAGTGATAAAGGTAGTGTTTTGTTGTTTTTTTTGAAATGGGATTAGCCACGACGTTGAGTATATGCAGGCCGCGGGAAATTAAAAGTGGGTTTTAGTAATGAAAAAATCGAGAAAATGGTGAGGAAAAAAAAAAGAAATAAGAATTACACAAAGAGGGGAAGGATTTTGAAAAAAAAAAAAAAAAAAAAGGATTTTTAAGAACTTTGAAGTAAAATCATTTAGGAGGAGAAATTGCCTTATGGTAGGGGGTTGGGGGGGGGGGGGGGGTGTAGAGTTAGGTTTAGATATTTCAAAAATTTAAACTTTTTGATTCTTTTTTTAAAATTCTCTTGTAAAATTGTTTTAAAGATTGGTAACCAACTTGAATAGGTGATAAATGGAACTTTATCATTAGATATTCAAATTCTTTCAAATAGGGTTCTCTATGTATTTGTAATACTTTACAAATCTTCATATGACAGGTACCGTGTGCAGGATGCATATATATATATATGTATATATCATTTTTATTTTTGTCATGGTACCTTTTAACAAAATTTGGAGTATGACAAAAAGTGTAGAACATTAAAAATATTGTTCGGTTAAAGTTGAAGTCAATTAGAGACCAAAAAAAATAATATTTATTATGTATGCATTGACAATATGTAATATTGCTACTATTGTAACTATGTTTCATGGAAGGGGTCGGTATTCACAACCAGATATTAATGTGTAAGTTTCAAAGTAAAATGAATTGATATCTGATCATTTAGGTATTGAGTAATAAGCATAGTTTTGAAATTGTGCAATTTTCATCAAAACGAAATCCCCTCTTATCCCTTTACAGTAGTTCTTACAATTAGATCCATTCTATAAAATAAATCTTGAATGTTCAAAACAGCCTCACCCTTGATTATTTTGAATCTAGAATCACATACACAACCCTGCGACCTTATTTACAACAAACTCGTATTCTTCATGTTGCATTGTGCATATGTGTGAAAAGCTTAATCTTTACGAGGCTCAAATGTATGGCAATCTCATACATAAGGCAAACGCTACGTTGAAATGTCTTGAATCCCTTTAAACAAGGTTCTATTTCAATTACTACCAACTGTACGCATTTAATCTAAATATTTCTTGTACTCTCTAGTTAGTGTTCCAAATTTATGCTAATCCAATATATGATCTTAATATTACTCAACTCTACCCAAATATCCAATTACCTTGTAGCCACTCCAACAATTCTATTTCTTTTTCTTTTCTATTACTTTCTACCATTGATTTGTTTGTCTGCCCAAGTTGGTAAAACAAAACTAGATTCATGAATCTTTCCAGAGTAGTAACGGAAAAGTTCATCTTCATTTTCCACGGTTCTAGAAGGTTTTTTCAAATCATTGGTGGTATCATGGGTTGCAATCAATAATCCCAATTGTCCACTGGTGTAGGATGGCATATAACATTGCGAATATTCAACATTGGGGAATACCTTTTCTGCCTTTTGTTTGAGATCTTCAACATAATTCAAATTAAGCCAAATATTTTCTGAACTTTGCATAATTACAATCCCATCCTTTTTCAAAGAATTTGATAATAATTTAAAATAATTAACTTGGAAAAATTCTTCAGCTGGACCTTCTGGATCAGAAGAATCAGTAATAATCACATCATATTTATCCTCTTCATTTTTATTAGCAAGATCAGATAAATATTTAAATCCATCTTGAATAACAATATTTACTTTAGAATGATTATGATATTTGGCCATATTGGGGAGATATTTAACCGATAATTCAATCACCATGGAATCGATTTCCACCATGGTTACCTCTTTAACAATGTCATGTTTGACAAGTTCTCGTACAACACCACAATCACCACCTCCAATCACCAAGGCTCGTTTAGGGTTCTTATGAGCCATCACAGGTAAATGGGTGATGAGCTCTTGATATGCAAATTCATCCCTCTCAGTACATTGGATAATCCCATTCAATACTAAAACATTTCCAAATGAAATAGATCGGAAAATAAGAATATCTTGAAATTCGGATTGAGTATGGTGCAAAATCTCACCAACTTCAAGTGAAAAAGCTTGTCCAGGAAATGCTTCCTCAGATATTTCATGGAACCAGTACTTGCCTCCAATCTTGGAGATCGAGTCGTGTTCGAATGTTTCAAGTTCAACCATTTTTGTCTGCAACTTACTGCCAAGATGTATAATGCGTCAAATTTAAAGAAAAGCCTACTCTCTCTCTCTCATAGTCCCTTCTAGATGTCCTTGAGAACGAAAAAAAAAACTTGCATCCCCGTATGCAGTATATGAATCTGATAAGACAGTGCAAACTTTTGTATTGAGATTGATTTGAAAATAAAAGAACCAAAAAAAAAAAAAAACAATTATGAGCAGAAAATAGAGAAAATAAAATAAAATAAAAATAAAATAAAAAAAAAAGAGTTACTTGAGAAAATTTTGAATCAAAGTTCGTCTCTGTAAGGTGAGAGCGGAATTTTATAAAATCGCCGGATCATAAAGGGCCATCTGACATTTTGTTTTTTTATTAATTTTTTTTTTCTTTTTTTTTTTTTTAGTAAACAATCACCCTGGGCTAGACTTTTTCTCTGTGCTAATCTCAGACGCTCAGTAACAAAAGAGTAGCACCCATTCCTTTCCAGAGCCCAAGGTCCCTGTTGTGACTGGGTCAAGACTCTAGTTGTGTCTTGCGCAGCATCAACTTAACCCGACATTGTTCCCTGCAACATCCATCCAGATGATCTGTCCATTATATATCCTACATTATTCTATATTCCGTATGTAAGTGCCACTCGACTTTAAATTTTATTTGTATTTGATTTGATTTTTTTTTTTTTTTTTTTTTTTCATGAGAGAGAGAGAGCCTCTAAACTCGTAACAACCATGTTTTGATTTCGGTTAAAAAATTTCCGCATTTGGAAGAACAAGCTTCAACATGGAAAATTTTACCCACAAAATTGCTGAGTGGTATCATGCACGTTCTATGCATGCGCAAAGTGCCATGCCGGTATACGTGAACTTGTGAGGGCCTTGGTATGTTTTCGAATCATTTTGAGATATGCACCTTTAAATGTCAATGGACGGAGACTTTTGTTGAATTCGACCCCCCACATTGCAAAATCTCATCTTGTAAGGAGGAAAAACTACCATGAACTCCCCAATCCCTCCACCACGGAGTCCCGCTTATTTTCGTACCTGCGGCCACAGTGACCTTGACATTACTAGGGGTACATCATGGCTGGAATTTACTTTGAAATGCAATGCATCAAAGTATCCCAGGAGTAGCGAATGAGGCGTCGTTTCTTGTTTCCATAGATTCCCCATTTGGTCACAAAGGCGCATCTTGCTGTACTTGGTCCTGCAGAGAAAATAACGTTTAACGCAAGCTTAATTTCACTAACGGTTTGCGGTCTGGCTTGAGTGACATTAAATGCAGAACCATTCGCTTTGTCGATAATCTGTCCTTTCTTCCCATTTTTCGTATGTACTTTTACTCTTATAGGTCTAAGCGGTTGTAGATTGGCCGTACCAAAGCATGTATGTCTTCCCTGCCTTTGATTCAAACTACAAAACTCGTAAGCGAACCTTCAAATGCTGTCGAGTGTGCCGTACCAAGAGATTACGTTGTACCATCCTGTCGAGTGATTACGAAACAGTTGGATGTGATAATTGTCAAAAATCCAACATTTTTTGTGATTTGATTGTTTCAAAACCATCAAATTCTAATCAATCTCAGGGCACTCCGATCAATAATCCTAAAGGTGCAACATCGTCATTGCATACAATCCCTCCACCAATTCAAACCCATCCTCGGCTCTCTCCGCCTACCCAGGCAAGTAGTGCTCCGAGGCCAATTGAATACAGTGGATCTTCGTCCTCATCGTTGCCCGTTGCTGGTGCCAAAGTACCCATACCGACTCCCTTGGTCAATGTTGATGATTACGGTGGATTCCCCAAATATCCTTCAACCACCAATCTTGATCCAAATATAATTCCAGGAGTTGGATCACTCCCTAATACCAATATTCCCAATAGTAATTTCAACATAAATGCATATCCATATAATACAAGAGATAGAGTGCCCCTCAATGCTGGACAACTGCAACAACATCATATAAACCCTCGTGATTATCCAACCAATTACGATGTGAGCAATCAGATGATTCATAATCCATATGAAACAGCAATTGCTCCAAAATACATTGTTCCCCCGGACAGCATAATACCTTATACTAATGTAGCCGAACATAGCTACCCAAATCCAATACCGAACCCATCATTAGGTATACCTTCGTATGATACAAGTATACCTGATACAACATCACCTAGAGTGATAGCCAATAATCCACCAATGCTAGATACAATTAAAATAACCCCAGAATCCTTGAAAAGGGAATTCGGTTTTAATACGTCAAACAAGATTCAAAGGCCAAACTTGAATGAAGATCAAGAAAAGAAGGAAGTAATTAGAAGTCCTAGCATAAATATCCAGAGTCCCAATATTCCTGTCCAACAACCCCCTTCATCTACCCCTTCAAATTATATTAGAAACATTCAGATGTATCGATTCTTGCTATCAATTGATGCATTCCGTTTGGGTTTAGATGATAAAACAACCAAAGAATTAGCACAACTATATTTCTTCAAAATCAATAGCGTCTTCCCCATAATATACGAAGATGATTTCTGGAAAGATTTTTCTAAAGGGTTGGTTCCAAATATAATCCTATATGCTACTATCGTTGTGATTGCAAGAGATAAGTTGGCTGAGCAAATCTTCATCAACAATGGTGTGTTTCAGAGTAGCACCTTTCAAGTAGAACTTGAAACTTTTTACAATAATCTTATATTAAAAATAAGACAACTATTGCTAGTTTTGCCTGAGTTGGGTGATGATAATAAGTTAGCAAGGTTTATATGTCAATTACTATTGACCCTTCATTTCAATTTCAACAAGTATGGGAATGAGCAAAGTTCTCATGATCTTACTGATTGCATAAACTATGCTTTTTCATTGGGAATACATTTAAAATATGGTACTATCAATAGACCTACCCAAGGAAATGAAACTATAGTCAGTGTGGATACGCCTGAAAAGATAAAATATCTCTACAACCTTTGGTGGATCATATTAATCTTTGATAGAATGAATGCAATTTTGAATTCAAAGGCAATCTTTATTAAGAATGAGGACTATAATGTTGATGAATCAAAAGATGAAACAATTCTAAGGTTGATTAAAATATCCAAGTCAATTGAAAATATGTTAACTGAACTATATTCTCCTAGTAATGTATCTACTAGAGAGAAAGGTACCATACCAACAGAACATGTGACGTTTTATGAGAATGAATTCAAAATTCATGATCAAGATTTTGATACAAAGTTTAATGTATTTAAGAGTAAAACAGTTATTGATCACCAAGAGCTGTTTTTACCTAAGCTATCTAAATCTGATTATCAAGATAATATCCATTATTTGTTGGAAAGATTGATTAATAATGTTATTATATTAGCAAGAATTAAGAGCCATGTGGAGGGAAAGTTTAAAGCGAAACCAAACGATATATATCCCGAAGCAGTGACAAGTGCAGTTAATACCTTGACCTATATACAATATTTTGAAGATCATGAAGCTTTGATCAACATCCCAGTGATTCCAACCATTCTCTCGTTGACATTATCAGTATTTTTGAAATACAAGGCAAGAGGAATTGCAACCAGAGCAAATGATAGTACATGTAAAACGAGTGCACGATGGAACAACAAAACGATAAATTATTTCAATTTTTTCGTTGAGAGGTCATTAAGAGAACTTGCCAAGTTTGCAAGTAAATGGTGGTTTGTAGGACAAGTTATCCAAGAGTCTAGGGCCTTGAGTGAAAAATTGGATGCAAAGTTAACATTCACGCCGCAGGGGAATAGCTCCAAAAGGAGGAAATATAATACAAAACAAACAAGAGATAAATTAAAGATTCAATCATTGTTATCTGATGAAGGAGTGATGGCTACAAACCCAATTCAACCAACGTTCATTACAATATCATCACCTACATATTATACAAAATTACAAGACACTGAAGAAAATTTAGATTTTATTGAAGGATACGAGGAAAATGAGGAAGATGGCAAGAATGATAGTGTATTTGCCACACCGGAATTTGTGAATGATATCCGTTATACAAACTTGGTTGCAATGTCAGAAATTGCGCCAATTTCGTTAAGTGGGGATGATCAGAGACAAAAAGATGATACAGAAAGTGGACAAAATGTGGATGTTGCATGGAACTAGAAGTAGAGAGACAAAACTGGGAGTAGGGCTTTTTAAGAGTAGATCCACATATCTTTTTTAAAACACGCATATCTATATATAGAGGATAAGGAAGGGATTCGCATTATAAATGAAAAATATGTAGAATGTCCATATTATTTACATGTAATTGTATTGGGTAACCAATTCCCACATAGTTCTCCTTTTAGTGACAGTTTTATTTTTTAATGATTCTCACGCGACTTGGGGGGGTGGGCCCTTTTTGCCAAGAAATTGTTGTGCACTTTTAGATCACACACTCCGCCAAAGGCAGAATATGACGTCTACGTAGGAAATAAGTGTGATACGATATGAGATATTGGTAGATCTACTACATGGGGGTACGATCAGCCCATCTTTATACAAGACCATGAAATGGCTTTTTACATGCGAAGGGTGGTAAATATATGAAATAGCATGATTGAGAAATGGGAGAATTCAGAACGACAATGAAAAGGGAAGGTTGTGGCAAAAAAAGAAAGAGAGGACAAAAAAAAAAAAAGGAAAAAAAGCTAATAATGGCAAGGGACAAATTTCTTTTTATTTGTGCAAGGACACGCAAATGCGTCAATTTATCGTAGACGAAAAAAAGTACAACGACAAACAGACGAAAACACAACTACCCCCACAACTGACATTTCAAATAGCCCCCCAAAGGTTACCAACTATATAAACCCGAAGTTATTCGTGTCAGTCTCTACTACCGTTAGAATTCGTATTCATAGAACTAAACTTCAACGTTCGGTCGCACCCATTACCTGATATTTATTGTTTGAGCAACCTGGCGCACTGCCCCTTAAAAGGTTAAGAAAGAAAGCACACGAGTGCCCATATACAATACAAAAGACCCAGGAAACCAGTTGAAGCTTATCTGCATACATGTCACAAGTTATATCCAGCTCTCGTCGCCGTCGGTGGTCAGAAGCTGTAGCCGAGTTGGCCACTGGGATAGTACCCCCCGCAGCACTTTGTGGCGGGTCACTTCAAGTATTCTTCAATTTCTCAACTCCATTCAGAGTATTCCTCTTGCTTGCTCTGGTGGTAGCTATTTGGATTTCTCATGAGAACCAGAAGACCAGCAAACATCAGAGTAAGGGAAAGGGTCCTTTAACTAAAACCGCAACTTTGAACCAAGTCCGGGAAAATTCGGATATCAAGCAAAATGCAAATGCGCACGTTAAGATGGGATCTCTTTTCCCATCCATTACTGAAGTGCGTATAACCACGGAAGATGAATGTAGTGCCAAGGCATGTTCCACCGGTCTTACCACCCGTCTTCTCCCATTTAAAAATAAGAATGGTGAGATTGAATGGGCATTCACAGACGAATCCAACACTCCCGGAAGTGAATTAGATGTCTTCAAAATTACCAATGTGAAGAATGAACAAAACAATGAACTTACCCCAGTAACATCAAACTCCTCCCATAGTGATTCCATCATTTCAAGCAACAATAAGCAAAGTGGCAATGACAATACTTCAGTGGATACCCCACTTACCAACTCTCCATTTTCCGATCAAGAAGATCTCAAGGGAAGTGATCTGACTGAAATGTATCAATGTCCAGATTGTGATGCTAGTTTCAAAATCAGAGGTTATTTAACCCGTCATCTTAAGAAACATGCAGTTAAAAAGGCTTATTGTTGTCCATTTTACAGTTTTTCCATTTATGTGGACGAAAACAACATCACCCACAAATGTCATCCAAATGGTGGCTTTTCTCGTAGAGATACATACAAGACACATCTTAAATCTAGACACTTCAAATATCCAGAAGGAGTGAAAACTAAAGAAAGAACCAATAGTCCTGGATATTGTGGAATGTGTAATGAATATTTCCCTAACAGTGAAATATGGTGTGAAATCCACGTTGAAGGTGGAGAATGTAGACATTTACCAAAGGGATTCACAGGGAAATCCAGAATTAAGAACAGATTGAGGAAGCAACAACAAAAGCAAAAGCAAAAAGGTGGTAAAGTGGACGGGACTGTGTTGGGAAGTGGTGCAATTTATCCACCAATATCATTCCATTCACCTTCTAAATCTCCAACTACCTATGACACTCCACAATCGTATGTGAATTCTTATGGTAATGTTTCCAATAATAATAATATGGAACCAATTGTGATGTCCAACTCACCTGCATATTCATTGAACTCTTCGGATGCTCATACCACCAATTACATGAACACCCCAGTATCAATCCCATCTACCTTCCAAGTGTCGCCACAACTTCACCAAGTGGAGCCTACATTGATGGCGGTGCCAGTGGATGATTACGATGATGATTATTGCTTGGATATGGACCAATTGGTAGTCACCAACGGGAATATGTATGGATGAATTGCAATGGAAAATGGGAATGGAAAATGACAAAGGAAATACATGAAAAAAGCAGATAAAAAGACCAAAAAAAAAATTAAAAAAAATGAGAGGAACTCTTATGGTTTGCTTACTTGTGAATAGTGGCATACTGCGTGTATATTATGGGAAGGTTTATAAAACGACTTAGGTTATCAGGATTAAATACAAAATAGTAAAAATAATGCGTCTGTAGTATATTGTACGATCTCCAGGATCGTATGGATATTCCCAGTAAGCCGGTTAATTTACAGGAAGATATCATCTATATCTGATTTCTTCTTTTTAGATTTCTTTATCTTCTTGGTGTTTGGATCTAATTTCTTCTTTTTCTTTTTCGAAGGTCCAAAGATGTCATCTAAAGAGTGTTTAGATGGAATCGAAGGAGTTTCATCAGGTAAATTGCTAGTACTATTAATGGTTGGGGGAGCCACAACTTGTCCTAGATCATCGTCCACAATTTCTCCTAAATCATCACCGGTATCTTGAAGAGAACTTGAGGGCTGCTTCTGTGTAACCAACTGTTTAACTTGTCTTTCAGGTTCTAAGAGGTTCCATATCCGCGAAACAACTGCAATTAAAGTCATCCCCAAGGTTACAAATTGTCCCAAGGCCACTATACCATTGAATTCACGGTACGCCTTATCCAAGATCTTTCGTTTCTGTAGCTCGTTGATATTGTCTCTCAGCTTCTTATATTCCTTTTGATCATGCGACAAGATTATCTTACGTAAACTTCTGTGGATCATATTCAAATACTTCCACCAAGACAGAGCTCTGTGTTGATTTTTGTTGCGATGATAAATCAAGTAAACAGCAGCATACTCGTTTCGAAGACTGGTTAGGCTCTCATCCAGGAAAATGGGGGTCTTACTCGACATCTACCTACTCCATACAAATATTAAAGGGAAACTCTCAGCTAGAAGGAAGGTCAACTACTCTTATTTCTTTGGACACTTCCCAGACTTTAGAGATATCACAAGAATGGCTTCTGTAGAATATTTTTTTTTTTTTTTGTCCCTCATTTTTTTTAGAATGGTCTTCGCAGAGTTAAATGGATGTGAAGAAAAAAATCACAGTGATAAAGAAAGTACACTAGCCACACCACTTTCTTCTATCATTGGCCATGACCACCTCAACTGTAGAACTTGTTGGTAAGGCATCTGCTCTTTTGCAGTCCTCGCAGGCGGAAAGGGCTCTAGAACTTTTGGCACCACATGCCAGCGATAAGCAAGATGACGTAGTCTATTTGCAAACATTTGGAGAAGCACTCCTTGAAAATAACCAGGTTGAAACAGCCTATCAAGTACTCATCCGCGGGTGTGAATTGGACCCAGAGGCCGAACATGGTACCGAAAAGTTCTTGTACTTGGGACAAATCATTGGAGGTGTTGATGGGTTGAATTATATAGATGCTGGGTTGACCCGTTTAGAGTCTCAACTTAAATGTATTGAAGATGATTCCATTACTCCAGATGCTGCACTCGTTGAGTTGGGTAAGATTTACTCAACCAAAAATTCCATTGCCTCCTATTTAATCAAAAAACTTAACCAGGGGATCTTTGCTAAGATTGAGATTTGGATGACTGATTTGTGTATGGAACCAGAAGCAGAATCTCAATGTGATAACTTGATTACATCCTCCTTGAAATGGGACCCAGAAAACCCAGAGGCATGGTCGTTACTTGCATCAATCAGAATTTCCCAGCAACGTTCAGCTGATGCTCAAGAGGCCTTGGTAAAGGCATGGTCACTTTTCCAAATAAAGAAAACTACTTTGGAAGATGCCGCTCTGAAATCACAACAACCAGGACATTCAGATGAGAGCGGTGACTTTGATGTAAATATGGAATATGCTGAACTTCTTCAACCTTTGTTGACTTTGGCCAAATTAGCCATTGAACTGGAACTTTATGAAATTGCCATTCTGGCTTCTTCTGGATCTCAGGACATCAATGAATCCCTCTTGGAATCTTATTATTACGAAGGTTTGGCATGTTTGCTCCAAGCCAAGAAGCTTCACGTTGCCGCTAACAAGAGCGGTGAAGACTATAGAGAAATACAACTTTCTTCTAGCACCGATGAAGAAGCTCAATCTTTCCTCGAAGATGCAAGAATCGCCTTGACCCATGGATTCAAACTCTGTCAAGGAGATGCCAGTGAAATGGATGAAGAGGTTGCTGCACAAGTCAATGAACTTTTGAATGAAGTTGGAGGTCCATTGATGAGTGAACTACTTCCTAAGAGAGGTGGTGCTGAAGAGTATGAAGGATGGGAAGAAGACATTGAATCTGATGAAGAATAGATTACATTTTATAGAATTCAATTAATGACAAAAGAAATGGTATAATAATTAAAAGTGGAGGTAAGATCAAGAGAGAAGTTTTTGAATGTATGTGAATTGGAATGGAAGTAGTCCCTTAAGTTAGTGCAGCATGGTCTTTCTACAGTAATTCTACGTGTCTTTCTCTTGATGGTGTATGTGTATATTATGTCCCCGAACCCGCCCTCTCCAGAAGGGAATATATTCAAAACGAAATCAACAAATGGTAAATATGTGTAAGCCTTTAAAGTTGTAAGTCAAATCTGATGAGAATGGAATATTGATAATCGATAAATTTCGTACTATTTGTACATTCTAAGATGACAACTGTATCAAAGCACAGATCTGTAGATCTCTGCTTATCTACTTTACCCACGTTGCCAGCAGGAGTATTGTTCGCCTTTTGTTCTGAATAGATCCCCAATAGGATACCAACATATTTAAGAATTGATATTCCTGATATCTTATATCTCTTTTAAATCTTGTAACCAGTTGTGTTCTTGAATCTTGGCGTCCATTATTCTTAAGAATTTAGCCATGGTATCTATCTTTTTCTGAAGCTGTTGTACATCCAACACAGCTACCTTTAATATATCACGCGTGGAACTTCTGGATACTTTAGAGCGATCTAAAATTGATCTGAATGTTTGGATCTCTGCCTTTAATGACTCACGTTCTACTAAGGCTTGTACTATGTACTTCTCTTTGGAAACCAAATCTGGTGGGAGATCATTAGAGAATAAATCACCAATCAAATGGCCAGACTTATAATTGTCATGATAGGACGGATATTCAACCGTTGTTGAAGAATTATGCAAATTTATCTTGGTAACTAAAGCTTGGTAATTCTGTGAAACTTGATGATAAAGTGCAATCAACTTCTTAGGACTTTCATCAGGCTCTTGACCTTCTTCAACTACAAGATTTGACATTATTCGATGCTTTAAAGCAATCAATTGTAAATTGTAGTCGTTTTTCAACCTTAATGCTGCTGCAACCTTCATAGTCCTGCTATAGATTGGAATGTTATAATGATAAGTATAATTTGGCTTAACTACAACTACAAAATCTTGGATACCTTATATAAGTCTAAAATCTCCCCATTGAATATGAGTCATGAGTTTTTGGTTTACACTTCGTACCAATAGTTTGTACGTTTTACCAGTTGGTGGCAAAACTATAAACTACCATGACTCACCATATTTGCTAACTCCGAACCCCACATGTCTTGCTCCACCCACATTCATGCCAAGAATACTCACCTCTAGCTTGCATTTTGGGGGGGCTAATCCTTTCCCTTCATCAAACTAGTCTACATTGGTGGCTGCAAATAATCTACAGCGTGTATCATGTATCATGGGTCACACACTAAAATTGTAAAGAAAAGAAACGCAAATGAGGGCTTAAAATCAAATAAAAATAAAATAAAAAAAAAAAGATGAGCAGCAACCACCAGATGCCAAGAAGTGAACAGGAACTACATTGCAGCATGGACGATCCACATGCAAAGGATATAGAAGGACAAGTACTGAATGAACCAAAGCTATCGGTAGAACCGCTGGAAGGCTCACTGGGAATCGAGGCATTCGACGATCCAGATTTGTTTCCAGAAGGAGGTTGGGTAGCTTACAGAGTTGTTATCGGATGCTTCGTTGGATTCATAGGAACCTTGGGGTTTGTAAACGCTACCGGTGTGATTCAAACATATGTTACAACTAATATTTTGAAAGACTCTCCCGAGTCGGACGTAGGATGGATCTTCTCGGTCTATAACTTTATGGCTTTTGGCCTGACCCTTGTACTGGGACCTGTATTTGACAGAGTTGGGGCTAGAATCCCACTTCTCATCGGGATCGTCTTACAAACAGTTGGGTTTATGTGTCTATCTGTGTCTACAGAAGTTTATCAGTTTGTTTTAGGTTACGGGATTCTTGCAGGGCTTGGAACATCGTTTACATTTGCTCCATTCTTGGGTGCAATTAGTCATTTTTTCCTTAAAAAGAGAGCTCAAGCTATCGGTGCTGCCTACATGGGTGGTGCGCTAGGTGGGATCATATTCCCATTGGTCTTCCGCTCTCTCTTCCCGAAAGTTGGGTTTGGATGGGGTATTCGAATTGGAGCCTTTATGGTGTTTGGGTTTCTTTTGATTGGGTTCGCCCTCATTGCTGATAGAAAGGAAGAAATCCATGCTGGTCACAACTACCAATCTGGAGGTGTCATCAAACAAATTGTACAATCGATTGATTTGACAGTGTTTAAAGATAGAATTTATACTTGTTTGGTACTTGCATTGCTCGGGAATGGGTTTGCGTTTTTGATTTCCTTGACTTATATCCCATCCTACGCGGTGGCTAATGGGGTGCCACAGAACTCTTCGTATCTTCTATTAGTGGTGTTTAACGCCATGTCGATTCCTGGGAGAGTCATCCCAGGCTACTACGCGGATAAATATGGGCGCTTCAATATGCTTTGTCTCATTGCCTTGCTTTCCACCATGGCATTCTGTATCATTTGGATTCCTCCTCCTATCGGCCACACACTCACAGGATTATACGTATTTTCCGGATGTTACGGCTTTACTTCAGGCTCCATCTTGTCTTTGGCACCAGCTTGTATCGGACAAATTTGTCATACTAGAGATTTTGGTAAAAGATATGGTACTGCGTATTTTGCATTAAGTTTCGGAGATTTGATTGGTATCCCCATTGGGGGTGCGATCATCGGATCGGGAAACCTGGTAAAGGGATTCGATCATTTGGTTATTTTCATCACTGTACTTTCAGCAATGGGTACAATTGCGGCATTTTCGGCAAGATACCTATATGCTGGTGTGAAAATGATTAAAGTTTAGAGGGGGTTGGGGATAAAAATAGAGGTAAATTTATAGACACGAAAGGCAACTTTCGTAAATAATAATAAAATTGTAACAATAATAATATGAGCAAGATCAATTACACGGTGATGTAACATCATTAATGAAGGTTAGTAGTTCTGTCTGGTTATGTCATCTTTAACAAATCCCGCACCTTGCTTCACGTTCATAACGCTCATTATAGGAACAAAGCAAATATTTTAATTAATCGTAAGCTACTTCTGTTAATTTGACTATTAAAGGGCAAGGTTGCTAACCTCGCTTTAGAATTGAGTGAGAGAAAAGTTGCATGTGCTCATGTTTAATTCCTTTTTTCACATATATTTTTTATTGTTGTTCCTGATCGGAGTTAATACGAACCATAGCAATCATGTGAATGTATAATAATCATCTAATTACTTAATAAACACTAAATATCGTAGCATTATTGAATCAATTCTTCTCTCGCCACGATAAAAAAAAAAATGTCTAAACCTCCAGCAGTCTTTTACGTACATGCCGCATTATTTGATTGTGACGGAACATTGGTAAACTCTACTGGTGCAATTTCAGAGTTTTGGAAAGATTTCGGTCTGACTAGACCACATGTAGATGCTGACGAGATCATCAATACTTCCCACGGTTGTAGAACATTTGATGTCATTGCTAAATGGTCTCCAGATGATGCAATTGTAAAGCAAGTCACTGAATGGGAAGGACTGATTCCCGACACTTTTGGCCATCATGCAAGGGCCATCCCTGGAGCTGTCGAATTGGTGGCAAGATTTGACCTCCTTTCTAAAACTGCAACTGAGAACAAACATCAAAGATGGGCTATTATCACCTCTGGTACACTCCCATTGGCAACGAAATGGCTCAAATTGTTAAACATCCAAAAACCTGAAATTTTTATCACGGCAGAGAAAGTAACAAAGGGTAAACCCGACCCCGAAGGTTATAGGTCAGCTAGAGATAAATTGGGTTATGGAGCTTCACATAAGAAAATCGTTGTTTTCGAAGATGCACCCGCTGGTATCACTGCAGGAAAGGATGCCGGTGCCATGATAGTTGGAATCTGCTCTACATATAGTCCAGAGAAGGTTCTCAAATCCGGTGCTGATATTGTTGTCAGTGATTTGACATCATTTGAAGTAGAATCATATAATAAAGAAACTGATGAGTTCAAGGTTATTGTCAAGGATTACCATTATGCTTCTGAAGAATATATCCAGTAGAAATAGATAAAGATGTTTTTTAAATTTGAATACATTATTTTTTTCGATGAGAGAGGAATAACCTAATTTGAATACTTTGTATTTATACAAATCTTCATCCCACTGCTTAAAGGAAATCAATTTCTTGTCTAATAAATGAACTTTGGTCAGTTAACCCTTCGAACGAGACTGCGTGAAGTCTAATGTTCTTCCCTCTCATCATGACTCGCCACAAAGATCTAGTGAGCTTGAATTCTATAATATCCCCTACTATATCTGTTCTTCTTCTTTTCGCATTATTTTGATCGTCTGTTGCGTCATTGACGGGTGGGCCCAATAAGTCGTTCACCCAGTCCTTTTTCATATCCATCCCATTGATTTTCGCCTTCGAGTCTCTTAATCCAACCAAGACACTGATCTGTGGGGCTCCACAGTCCAGTGTGTGTGCGACGATTTCTTCGTTAAGAGTCTTGAACAACAGAACATATTTCAAACAAAGTTTATTTGAAATCTGTAATATCATTAATTTGGTGGACTTGTTGAGAATTAACTTCACTTCAGAGTAATCCTTATTGAAGATTTCACAACTGGTTGAATCAAGCTGGAAAATAAGTGTACGTTTGGGTTCCCTTGCTATGCATGGTCGTTGGTATTGTAAGGCAACCTCATGTTTTATATCGATTGGCTGTTCGTTGATGAGTCCCTTGGGACTGATATCTTTAAGTCCAATGATAATTTCTTGCTTGTTATCCGGACTGAACGGGTTGTTCACAATCTTGTACTTGATGATTTGTTGTTCCAATTCGGCAAATCGATAGTACTTACACTCTCTGATAAGAAGAGATCTATGCTCTTCATTTTCGATAACAAGAGGATTTCTTTTCAACAACTCTAACAAATCATTGAATAACTTAGGGGATCTATTGGGTACTGTGACCGGTTTCTGTGGAGGTGGTCGTATCATATTTTTTATTTGAATGATTTCAAAGTTATTAGTCAACATGGAATTGTAACTGATGGTGAAATAATTGGGGAAATTCCCCGTACTGGTGAACAATGTCCTGGCAATCTTGAACGAAACATTCCCCACAGTTGCAAATAGATCATCTTCCGCAAGAAATCGTTGAAGTCTTCGAAGACTGTAGTAGTAACTATCCAGGTACAAATGAACAAATTGGTAATCATTCTCCACGTTGATTTGGTACCCTTGCAAATGCATATAGATCAAATTGAACACATCCGGGTTTCTGTCTATACAAAGAATCTTATCCAGATTCTCTGGTTGTTGGAAAAAGTCTGTGAAGTGGGAAGGCCCATCGGATGAAAGTGAAGCTCCACTCAATTTGAAAAGCTTTCCCCCAACTTGGATCAGGTAAACCTTATCGAGAGGAAGTAGCGACGGAATCTCGGGATTAAATTCAGCCAGGAACTCAACGGTCGTACTCATTTATGGCAAAAAAAATAAAATATAAAAAGAAATTGTTCTACTGGAAGATATCTTTTCCAATCTGTGTCTTGGGCCCCGCTTGTTGTTTTTACTTTTTTTGGTCCTACCTTAATTCCATATTGATCACAAAACCAAGCACATCTTATCTGGTCGCTTTGATATACCCTATTTGAAAAAAACCTCTCAAAAAATAAAAAAAAATAAAAACTTCGAATAGGCTGTATACAACACAACCACATACAAACGAAGGGTCAAAAAAAAAAGAATTAAAAATAGATCACTGGTGTACTCGTATATAAGCTAAGAGTATAGGCAATATATGGGGAAACGAAATTTCGAGGGATGCTGGACATGTAGGTCTCGAAAAGTGAGGTGTGGTCTAGAGAAACCGAGGTGCCAACGCTGTGTCAAGGCCAATCTTGAATGCGGGGGTTACGATATCAAACTCGGATGGTCTGAACCATTGACAGTGGATCGATACAACCGTATGGCCACCCTCCTGATGGGGGACAATCCCGACAGTAAGCAATCGGGCTTCCTACGGCGTCACATTCAGGTGGTGCAATTCCCGTCTCATATGGCTTATTCGACCTTTTCCCAGGTTGAACTGGCCATTCAAAGAATCGATATCTGGGTTGAGACTAAGCTTGGGAGGGAAAATATCAACCGTTACTATAAGCAAGGACCATTCTCGGTATTCCAATTCAAAAATAAAGGGTCCCAATCTGAAATCAGATCATCTCGATCCAGGCAACCTTCAACAGAACTAAAGTTACTCCCAACAAAGAAATATACACCTATTCGACTGAATCTGGAACTGGTGCTTCTGTCACTAGACAAGAACCAGGACCAACCATCAGAAAACTCTATCTTTTCCAAAACTAACAATTCGTGGGTTCACTACGAATTGTTGGATTATGCCAAATTAACCATTGTAGCGATAAAGGGAGTCAATTATCACCTTGGTGAACAAAATATGTTGCACATATTGTACCCAAAATTCTTCCCCAACATTGATTCTGATGACTGGGATGCAGACATGAACGTCCTTAACAAGTTGTTTGTGTTTTCCAAGTTCAAGGAAGTAACAGTGTTCCCCTTGTTCAACAAGCTTCTCAATACCTTCAAATTGAATGTGTCATCATTCTTGAGGGTATATTATAGTACAAACTATTGGGAAAAGATCCTAATACCATTTATATACAAAATATTTGGGGAATTCATATATTTAGACTTCAAATCTAACATAAAGGTCACTGAAGATGATTCAATGACAAACAAAATAAATCATACTAAACTGTGTATTGTGTATTCAGTTTTATGTCTTGCATCGGTACAGATCTCCAACTGTACCAAAAATGAGAATGACAGTGTCAATAATTTGAATTCGTTTGAATTGGATGAGTTTTTAAGGCTTAGTATTGAGTTACGGAAACTTACCATTACCATTTTAAATTCTCATTTAGATGAATATGGAGATGAAGATGAAGATGACACTCATACTAGAGTCAATGCTTCAAATGATTTGGAGTTTGAATACTCGGAATTACTCCTTCTTGGAATTGTTCTCCAAATACAAATCGATACCTTTTTCAGTGTATTTGAAAATTACGATTATTTATATGGTATTGGTGAAGATCTCATCAAGTCAAAGTTTTTGAAAAGAGAAAACATTCTGACTCTTTCGCTCTATCTCATGAGTATATTCAAGTACCATCACACCTTCTATATGTCCACACAGGCCATAACTACATTCAATTACACGATGGATGATGAAGATACCAAGCAAACGTATAGAGACATATATGACGGGTATAACCTACTTCCAGGTGAAGATGTAGACTCTGATGAATACGAAGAATCCACAGATGATGCTACTACCGATAGAACTGACAATTCTTCCGAGAAACCTGTTCATAGAAGCATTCAAATAAAACCAACCATATCGAATCTAATTACTCGTGAAGATGACTTGGAAGATAGTGAGCCTGATCAGAGTCCAATTTCATTCACAATAAATTTTTCTGGTAATAGAAAGAGAAGAAAAGTTATCCCAAAATCGTCTTCGCAACCACCAGAAAATGTAGCATATATTCCCAACCCAATGGAAATGGGTTATAATCATTTCAATAGTGAACTAGTGTATCTTCTGATTGGAATCCCACAAGATTTGATCGACTTATTCTATAACATAGTGCAGTTGACTAATCATAAAAATACCTTCAAAAGAAGAAAGGTTTTCCCAAGAAATTTCCCTAAAATCTGTGCAGATATTGAAGATAAATTACTTTCATGGGACTTTTCTGACCATTGGATCTTATTTTCTGGTGATCATAAGTCTGGAAACTTCATTCTGGATTTCCATAGAGGGTTGTATCATAACATTAAATCATTCCATAATTCATTGATCGTCTACTTTAACCAGCTTATAAAGAATCTGCCACCCACGGCTTTCCAGAATAATATCGAAAGTACTTTGGATCATTTGAAAGAATTGGATTTACTAAATCGTAGTAACAGTCAGTATAGGTTCAGACCTTCATTTTGGCAAATTCTTATCTGTGCTTCGGATGCATTAGATCCAAAGATCAGAAAACAATTTCAAGAATTTTGGCTAAATAGTGATGCTTGTGGAGTTTCAAACTATTGGCGTGCAAAGCAAATTATTTACGAGGTTTGGAAACGTAGAGATGATGGAGAAACTATGACTTGGATGGATATGATTCGAGAGTGGGAAGTAGTTTTGTCATTGGCATAAAAGAGCCACTTGTTGACCGAGTTGCTGTATATATTCTTACATACAAATATTATATTTATTGGTAGTCACACAAACTATTTATGGTAGGGCAGAGACTACTGTATTGTAAATCAGGAAGGATTGAAATTGATATCCCTTTATTGTATCGAAGTTAAGAGGACACAAAAAATTAAATGTCTCTCATAACTGAAATCATAAAATATCAATCAAAGCAAAATATATGTCGAAAAAGTTTCAATGTTGAAAGTTTGGGAGATTTTCTTCACTATTTCAGAAAGATGTTAATTTACTTTCTAAGTCAGTGTGTCTTCGAGTGGTCCTAAGTTTGCAGCCAATTGCATTTTCGCAGCCATTTTTTTGACTAGAACAAGCTACAAAAACACCCTTGATCTACTATAGGTTGTAAGTTTATTTTTATTTGGGACATTTGGTAGGTATATACCCTATCTTCAATTCCAAATCTGAACTACTCTTCGACACCATTAGATGTACATTTTGATCTACAGTTTATATTGCTGCGAATAAAATGATTCCGCGGTGCGGCGCGCTCGGTTAGTTCAAAAATGTTTAAAACCAAGACGAAAAGTTGCGACTTTGCCTCTAGTCACGTAAGATACCCACATCAGTATATTTATTGCCACCGAATCATATCTATAAAATCAACATTCGCACTAACCCCATATTTCCACACCAGTTTCTTTTTAATTTTCCTTTCACTCGCCCATCCAGACACCTATATGTCCTTTTATAAGAACGAACAGAAAAGAATTGAGGCGCTCATAAAAGAGCCTCTCTTGGAGCTTGTGTTGCAATACCTCCCACATCTCCAGGTTGGTGGAGCAACTAACCGAGAAGATGTGTGGGAAGTCGTGGCCATGAAATTGAATACCCATCGAGTGGCTGCCACCTTAGAATCTCGAGACAATCGAGATAATCGTACTGATGAAATTCCTATATTTAGTGGTCGATATGTTGCAGACGTGTTCAAAAAGCTAATAGATGAATATTCAAGTAAAGTGCGACGTCTGCTGTTGGGACATGAGTGCAATGCGGAGGCTGCCAGAATGAAAGAAAGACTGAGTGACCGGGTTGATGCATTATTATATGAGTTGTATATTCTTCGATATTATGATGTTGAAGTGATGGCAAAACTTAGTAAAGAACGGCTAGAAGAATGTGCCAAGGAGATTATATATGGTGACACCAATGGGGGTCCCACTACTACCAAAGATGTTCTTGCTGCTGCCAAGGAACAACTGGCAATAGATGAACGTGAGCTTTATGAAGCCAAACTTGCACAAAAGATGGCTCAATTGGATAAATTGACCGAAGACAACAAAAGATTGTTAGATTTGAACCATGAATTACTTTCTAATCGTAATTGAGGGTAGTACTTCTCTAAGAAATTATGATATTCTTGTGACTTCTCCCATAGAGAAATTTAGCGGAGAAACATCTTTATTATAGGGCTGTATATAGTACATTATTACATCCTAGTTATTCATTGTTTGTGAGAAACAATACATTTTGAGTGCAATGGTTTGTATTTGGCTGTCCATTATACATAAGGCACCCTCCTGTTTGTTTCGGAATGTCGAGGCTTTTGAAATTGATTTTTATAGATACATAGTGGATCAATGGTATTATCAATTCTTACATTTACTGAATCAATATCAGGATTTCAATCTGCTACCTCGAACCTATATAAATATGCTACCCTCCAAAAAATAAATAGATTTAGTAAATTGAACATCATACTTTCAGTTAGTACTGTAGATACACGTGACTGAGGAAAGAATGGAAACTACCTACAAGGAGTCATCAATTTGCAGATATTTGTAGAAGGATATTGTATGCTTCGGGTGAGTTTGATAATAAACTGAGGTAGAGGGACTAGTAAAGAGTTAACAAGTTGGTGTGAGTCAATAAATTAGGGTGAATCATAAAGTTGACAAGTTGTGTATATTGCCCACTAATAGTCATAGAGGCATCAGTTTTATTTTAACTGTTGACTCATATTGTAGATATTATCGTTGAAGCTGATGTTATATAAGGGGGGGGTTAATCTCTGTGTTTGTAGCTTTTATTTACCATCATTATCATATTACAATCTATAGCATGACTATGAAGGTTGCAGCAGCATTAAGGTTGAAAAACGACTACAATTTACAATTGATTGCTTTAAAGCATCGAATAATGTCAAATCTTGTAGTTGAAGAAGGTCAGGAGCCTGATGAAAGTCCCAAGAAGTTGATTGCACTTTATCATCAAGTTTCACAGAATTACCAAGCTTTAGTTACCAAGATAAATTTGCATAATTCTTCAACAACGGTTGAATATCCGTCCTATCATGACAATTACAAGTCTGGCCATTTGATTGGTGATTTATTCTCTAATGATCTCCCACCAGATTTGGTTTCCAAAGAGAAGTACATAGTACAAGCCTTAGTAGAACGTGAGTCATTAAAGGCAGAGATCCAAACATTCAAATCAATTTTAGATCGCTCTAAAGTATCCAGAAGTTCCACGCGTGATATATTAAAGGTAGCTGTGTTGGATGTACAACAGCTTCAGAAAAAAATAGATACCATGGCTAAATTCTTAAGAATAATGGACGCCAAGATTCAAGAACACAATTGGTTACAAGATTTAAAAGAGATATAAGATATTGTATCTCTTAAATATGTTGGTATCCATTCGGAATTCATTCAAAACTAAAGGCGAACAATAAGCCTGCCAGCAACGTGGGTGAAGTGGATGGGCGGAGATCTACAGATCTGTGCCTTGATACAGTTGCAACGTACACCAGCTTTATCGATTATTATTTTTCATTATCATCATTTGTGAGACACTTACAGCTCCTTCTGACATACAACCTTACATTTTACATCTTACTACTAATTGTTGATTTAGTTTTGAGTATATTCCCTTTGGAGAGGGCGGGTTCGGGGACATAATATACAACTATACTTTAAAGAAATATTAATGTAGAGAAGAGAATCTTCAGATTCCTCAATATTGTACATTGCACCATATTCGGTATCTGATTTATGCGACCTCTATATCAACTAAATATTGATTTCTGGAACACTTCTTCTTCTTCTTCTTCTTCTTCTTGTTCTTCTTCTTATTCTTCTATAAAGCCTAAAGGTTCTACCACTATTCCCAATAGACCTGAAAAAGTGATCTTACTCATTCTCTAGTTGTTCTCACTCCTTGAAAATATATATTCTACGAACCTTCTCCACATTAGCACTCGCAATCACTCTATATATCTAGTGGAGTGCTCACATCCAAATAATTTAGTTTCAGTTACCTAGGTGAAAGTAAGTAATTGTTCAGAACTACATACTATTTTTTGTTTGGTTTTCTTTTGATTCTAACTGCTACTTTATTAGTTTAATCAAGTGTTACATTGGTAAAAATACAATCAAGGTAGAACATATATAAAACCCCACTCACACCAGGGCTATTAACCCGAGATTTCTCTTTAGCATTTTCCTGTATTCTGACTTTGTCGTTTCCTGCACATAATCCACCCGCGATATTTGACCAACATCAAAAGTTTGATAAACATACAACATGTAAATGAAGTGGTAAAGGGTACGTTAAATACATATTTCTAATCAACATCTATACCTGAAATTAGGATGGAAGCTAGTTCGAAGGTACCACTTTCACATACTTTGTGGTCTCCCCATGACACCGTCAAAGATGCTGCTGAATCCTTGGGAATCAATCTTCCGGAAGAAGCAGCCAAAAACTTGGCCATGGATGTCGAATATAGAATCCATGAGATCTTGGAAACAGCCAATAAGTTCATGCGTCATGGGAAAAGAAAGTTGCTCACCACAGGTGACATTTCCTTGGCCTTGAAGATGTTGAATATTGAGCCCTTGTACGGGTACGACAACTCACAACCTTTGGAATTCAAAGAAGCATTAGTTGGAGCTGGAGGTCAAACCTTGTATTATATCGATGATCATGAGATTGAATTTGAGAAGTTGATCAATCAACTGTTGCCCCGTGTTCCAAGACAAACTAGTTTCACTGCTCATTGGTTGGCAATTGAAGGTGTACAGCCCATGATTAGTCAGAATCCATTACCACTGGAAATTAAGGCATTGGCTCCAATTGTCAGAGGTGCTACCTCAACTTTATTGGGCGATTCCATTGGCGGCAGTAGCTCAAGCAGTAATGGTACAGCCAATGGTGCTGCCAATAGTAGTGGTGGATCTGGAGCAAACGGAACAGGGGCTGGCGGTTCGAACGCTACGAATAGATCTTCGGGTGCCAGTACCTCCGGTACTTCTGGTACTTCTGGAACCAAGGTTGAAGTTAAGCCTCTTGTTAAACATGTCCTTTCCAAACAACTCCAACTTTACTTCGACAAGGTCGTTGAAGTACTCATTTCGACGGACCCAGAAAAGGAACAACTCAAGTATGCAGCCCTTACCTCCCTTAGGAATGACCCTGGTCTCCATCAACTTGTTCCATATCTTATTCAATTTGTAGCAGAACAAATCACAAACCAATTAAGAAACATTAATATTCTTTCAACGATGTTGGAAGTGATATCCGCTTTGGTTGAAAACAAGACTATATTCCTCGATCCATATGTTCATGCCTTGATGCCTTGTATTTTAACTTTGTTGTTGGCCAAAAGAATTGGACCTAACGTTGCCAATGGTGGATCCTCGGCGGCAGTATCAAAGGCAGAGAATGTGAAGTCGAGCGATGCTATGGAAGTTGATGATGAAGATAAAACAACTTCCTCGAATGAGAAATCATCTACTAAAGATACTGATTCCGATTCCCTTCTTCAGCAGCTCGCCGTTAGAGAATTTGCAGCTGTGCTTCTTCATCATATCATCAGAGTCTACGGCTCTCTGTATACTACCCTCATGCCAAGAGTTACCCGTACCCTTTTAAGAGCACTTCTCGATGCTTCTAAACCAGTGGGTACTCACTATGGTGCTTTGTTAGGTCTTCAAAATATGGGTTCGGAAGTTATTAAGTTGGTACTTATTGGAAATCTTAAGATGTGGTGCAACCTGGTCATTTCAAACGGACGTAGCGAGCAAGAACGTGAAATTCTTTTGAATACAACTTTGGATACATTAAGGAAGTTGAAAAATGTATCTGAGGATGGTCAAGAATCAACTGAAGAAGGTACTGGACTCTCAGATGAAGTTAAAGAGAAACTTGTGGAAAGACTTGGTGAAACTCTTTCGGACCTTGTACTTGAGCAAGAAGATTCACTCGAGATTGTAAGAGGCATTTTCTTTGGTGAACTCAATGTATAATATCATTGGATCCAAAGAGTCTGTAGGGTTGAAGGTGGTGAAAGCACCCTAATGTGATTTCCGAACAGAAGGGAAAAAACCTAATGCTATAAATACACCCGCATTATCGAGTATTCATCAAGGAGCAATAAGAGGGGGTAAATACACCCTACTCCGTTAAGACAGCTGCAACGCCCTCGTGAAATTCAATTTCGTAAGACTTCACAGGCGCAAAGAATTTTATATCCTCAAGGGTAAACACGGTCAGATATTGATTTGTTTTCTATCCTTGCTAGGATGATACAGCAATTGTTGTCCGCTTTCCTCAAATATGAAATCAGAAAGCAGAAAGTTCAAAAGAGTTCTACAACAACGTGTCCTTCAACTCATTCCCTGTAAAAAAGAATTGACAATAGAAAATATTAATTGAATTGTATGTAATGAGAGAGGTGATATTATGTGGAATTTATGCAAATTAACGTCCACTATCTGTAGATGTTAGGAGTAGTAATAATCCAATTCAGGACTGGTCAAAAATTAAGGCTGTATATATGTAGTACCTCTATTCTTGCTTTTATTTAGTTCCGCCTAGCGCTTCTTATATGTTTTTGAAGCTCTTCCAAACATCGGTGTACCCTTGGAAATCCTCGGAGGCGTTTTTGAAGCTAATACTTCGAAATCTGAATCCACTTCGTCCTCGTCAGTAGGGTTTGTATCCTTTCTCGTCATTGTAGGAGACCCGTGAAGGTTGGTTCTATAGAATGGAGAGTCTTGTGGTGCAATAGGCTCTCCAGGACGTCTGCTACGTACAGAAGATGACATTTGTGCAGGTGAGCTTGCTGGTATTACCAGTGGAGATGAAACAATATCGTCAGTTGCGCTAAGAAGCTTGGAATAAATTGATGCAGGGGGTACGAGCGTGTTGTTTGGCGTCGCTTGGATAATAGGTATTTGTGGTCGCAAAGGGGTAGATAATATAAGTGGTACTGGCTGTGAAGGTGGTAAAGATGTGGGTACTGATAAGTTATGTCCATTATCTTGCTTGCTAGTCTCAAGATCGGATCTTCGCCGCTTTTGAGGGGTTGCTGCCACTTGTGAGAATGACATATCAGCTGCTTGTTGAGAAATAGTAGAGCGTGATCTTTTAGAATGACCAAAAATGTTTTTAGAAGGAGAAGGTAGTTTTGGTGGCTGTTTAGAAACAGTAGTAGAGTCGGAAAATGACTTGGATACGTCCACCTGGCGCTTCTGTAAATGTTTAGATGTCAATGAAGATTTAGATCGTTTGAGAGAAACCATTGGGCGTAAATCTTCACCTTCAAGAATTGACGATGATTGATTGAGGGTTGGCCGACGTGAGAGAAGTGTTTTATTGTACTTTCCTGTGGAGCCTGTAGAAGTCGTAGACGTGCTGGTGGATAGTTCCATGGAATTCCCCAATCCTGGTGAACGAGTCCTGGATTCTGTTTTCTCACTTCTACTTCTTTCAGCACTTGGGCGACTGCTTCTTCTTCTAGGAACCTTCAACGTCAGCCCTTTAACCTTGTCTACTATGTATTGTATTGTGGTGGGTAGTCTCTTATTGAAATAAGGCACAAGGACATACACCAAAAACTCGTATGATGAGTCCACCGGCTCATCTAAGGCACCTTCTTTTCTGACTGATAATGTGTCCCAAATCCCCATTCTATCGATTAAGGTATTGAGAGTCGCATAAAGTGTGTCTTCAGATTTCAGGTCAATTGCGGGTTGTGAGTCTTGATTTGAAACCCCCATTCCGAGGAAGGTTGGGATGATGGTCTTGGTGGGTCGTCCGGGGATGGATTTCTTTCTTACTAAAGACCGCTTAGCTTTACGGGCCGCCTGTGCCGCTCTCTTTGCAGTCTGTTTTTCTTGTTGAGTAAAAAAGGCAACCTCTCCATCCGATAAACAACCAATTGTTTCTATCACAAGCAACATTTGAAGTTGAGTCTCTCTTATTTTGAGCTCGGTAATCAACGCCGCCAGTTTCTCTGTACTATTTAGCTGTTGAGAGTTTTTATCTACAAATTCTGTTTGGTATGTCTTTTCGACTTCATCTTCTTGTGGGGTTAATAGGCCCAATTTACCTGAATGTCTAGCGTCCAATTGGCCAGGCAGAAGTATTAACTGGTGGAGCGTAGTTCTCATGGTTGAGTTGGAGCCTTGGCATAAGTTTCTGAACCTAGTTAATGCAGTCTTGGGGAAGTAACTTAGCGGGGTATTCAGTGAGTACAAGGTCGAAAAGTATCGAGATTTCAAAAACACAGTCGGATCAACTGGTGTTATATCCACTGGAGCATCCAATGATACAGAGTTCAAGTTTAATGTAGTTTTCGATTCGGGGCTTGTTTGTTCCAATATTCCTAAAAGCAGTGTAGCAGTGTCGTTGTGAATGCCAGTTGAATGATGTACTGGTCGTTTCATTGAAAACATATCCAATTTCTTCTGAACATCAGATGACACCTTCTCGACCATTTGCATTGGCTCTATCGACATTGCTTTCAACAGTACCTCTTTATCGGATGCAAAGATTGACTGGCCACCTATACATATCCCGCTGGGCAGATCGGTAGTCTCTCGAATGCTTCTGAACCCATACAAACGTCCGGTGACATGGTATAACACTCCGCTTGTCTTCGCGTCTTCGGATTTTTTGCCCTTTATAGAAACACTGAATAGAGCAGATGTTGCCTTTTGAGAACTCTGCCATGCACGCCACAAGGTGTCATGCACCGCTAGGTCTAATGTTACCAAATTCTGGGACCCTCCTCCAAACAACTCCGACACTCCAACTCCATTAGATCTGCAGCCCAAAACCGTCATTTCCAAACCCAGGCCGTTAACGGCCATGTGGAAGGAATAGGGGAACGTCATTTGTATTTATCAAAAGAGCCCCAATTCCCTGGGATCGACGTGAGAATATTGGTGGTAATGGGGTCCCTCTTACTATGGTGAGAATTATCTCCGTCCTTAAATTTGGTTTGCACCACAAGATCTGATTGTTTTGGTGGTGCGAAAGCCCAATATGGGAGACATTCATAATCAAGCATACTTTTGACTGCACCCACTAATACTTCAGGCATATAAAGTGGGACATATTTATATTTCATTCCAGATTAGTTCTGATCCCAATCAGAAAGATTAAATAGCTAATATTTTCAATTAATAGACAATTAAACTTGTTCCAAGTTTGTTGGAAGAATGGAGGTATAAAAATAACTCCGTCCTACTACGTGTGAGAGACTTGCAAGTGTGAAAATACTTTGCGAAATTGTTCTGGTTGCAAAAAAAATATGTGCAAAGGTGCACTTTGGAACACAAAACTTGAATAAACTTGAAATGTACATACGCCATACAATCCATATAACCAATAAATCTAACAGATATACTTGGATACTTTTTTTTTCGGTTTTATTGAGCAAGTCTATCTGGTATCTTGAGCAAGTACTTGCCGCTCTGCTTGGTGGCGGCTATAGTACTTCCCGGAGTTTTTTTTTTTTTACAAGGCAAGGTCGACAAGAATGACACTCTATTGGCTAACGTAGTGACTACATTATTGTAGGATCCTCCATCGCCATCTCGTCACTTATTATACTTTTTACTTACAATTATTTAGAATTATGCTGCGTATCCTAATTTTACTATAAATTCAACCATGGATCATTGACTACATCGTCAATAGTAGGTCTTTCGTCAACCGCACGAACAAGAATCCGACGAATGAGCGCCTCGGCTCCTTCACTGGCACCGTATGGAATACGGAGATCTCCCTCCATAATCTCGTCCACATTGTAAAAAGGGTTCTCCTTGAACAACACCGTGTACAAAAGAATTCCCATGGCCCACATATCTTGCGGTTGGCCCGCATAGCGTTCACCACGTAAAACTTCTGGTGATGCGTAATCGATGGTACCTACAAAAACATCGAAAGGACCCAGCTTAGCATACCCAGCACTACCAAAATCAATTAATTTAATATCCCCATGTTCGTCAACAATAACGTTTTCGTCCTTTATATCTCGATGAACAATCCCTTGGTGGTGTAAGTGTTGCACAGCCAGCGCCACTTGACGAAAAATCAAGCGGCACTCGGATTCGGTCATATTCTTACGAATTTCGATGAAATCAAACAAGTCAATGGCTGGAGGATCTCCAAAGAGAGGGGTTTCCAAGTAGTAGTATTTCAGGTCTTCGAAAAAGTCAATTATTGCCATAATGTTGGGGTGGGGCGCAGTATTGAGGAATGCCATGATATTGATTTCGGAAGGAATAGTACCGAGTCGACGGTCACGCACCCATGTATCTACAAGAATACGTTCCTTGTCGATACATTTGATGATGATTTTGTATGCTGGATCTTCCTTGTGAATAGCTAGCACAACCTTCCCATAGGCACCTTCACCCATATCTTTGATGACCGTAAATTCAGAGAATTTTTTGGTTCTTCTTTGAGCGCCTACGGTGGTAGGGAAAAGTGATTTTGTGCCTGATTCTTTAGTGGACTCTTTGAGGGTTGGATCATTCTTCTCTGAGGTGGTATCTTTCTTTGTAAATTCCGGGGAGGTCGAAGATTTCGGAGATGACGCTTGAGTTGAGTTAGAGCCCAAAGTTGTTTGGGATTCTGCTAATGAATCTTTATTGTCACGGGATGTTTGAGAAACATCTGATTTGTCTTTTCTTCTAACACTACCGGCTCGACTGACGTCGGTACTACCTCCTAGCTCGACCAAATCACTCTCATCTTCGGGGAATAGATCCATTTGGGATGGAAGATCAACTCCACCTTTTTCTCCCACTACTCTAGATCCTCCATATAAGCTAAGGGAACTAGTGCTTGCGCTCAATCTATCTAATTCTTCTGCCATACTATTCCCACTGGCCAGTCTTGAATAAGTAATCCAAAGAACAAAGGCATCGCTCAGGGTGACTCTTAATTGGATATCAACCCAAATCTCTTCACCATCACGATGAATACCTCTGACACCTCTTGATGTAAAGAAAAGTTCCTCCTCTTCTTCTTCTTCTTCACCCTCATTAGACCTTCTTTTGGCGTCATACTTTCTGAAAAAATGTTCAGGTAAGACCAAGCCAGGTACTAAACTAAATGTATTTTCAGCAAGGCCAGTTGTCAAGATCAAACTAAAGTCGGGGACCAATAAATCAATCAGTTTGCCCAACAAGTCTCCGGATGATTTACCAAACAAGTTCTTAGCAATAGCGTTATTGCAAGAAAGAATTGTATGATCATCCGAACTGATGACAAAGATCCCTGCTATATAAGGCAATGAATGAACCTTCACCTTAATCAGAAGGTTATAATCTTCATCTTCCATTGGGATAGATGTCACTGCACATGGGAGATTGCTCTGTTCGCCTGGTAACTGTAAAGTAAAGTATCTAAGGGAGTTAATATTTTGGCATGCTTCAAATGATTCATCTACACCATTCAATAAATCTTCTATGGAATGACTGATTTCTCTCATGGATGTGATTTTAGCGTCTGGAATTAATCTCCCAGTCATGTTCTTTACCAGTTTCACGCACACTTGCTTATTTATTTCACCAACTTCTACGTCAAAGGCATCGCAGGGAATTTGGTCAAACATACAAATAATGAGTTTTCCTCTTCTCTTGGCCCAAATACTGGTCCATGCATAATCGGCGGCCCCTGGCCGTACCACTGCCACGATTTCTCCTGCAAAGATAATATTATTGCTGTTGTTGTCTGCTGTGGCAGTAGATATTTTGTCGGAAACAAACTGACGGAATTGAGGGGCCACCAAGTCCATGAGGGTCAATGAACGAATCATGCCCTTGGACACTCCAAACATGAGACATGCAAGATCGTTGGCAGCTTTGATTGACCAAGGGGAGTCTGTATCCACAGTGAACACAGATTGTGGCAGTGGTGTTTTAGATGCCATACCATGGAAGGGACGGGAGTTAGAAGCGGATGTTGGCGTTGGTGTGAGAGAAGCTGTGTTGGCTGAAGCACTGGAGCTAAATCTAGATAGTTCAGGAGTGTTTGAACCATTTGGTCCATTTCGAGAAACCTCATGAGGGTTTGATGCGGGAGCTCCTCCGGCATTCTGACCATATTGAAATAAATTCATGGCACTGGCAGGACTTATCAAGTCAGCTCTTGTTTCTGAATATTCGGATGATAATAACGCTGGAGGGGACAAAGATGATTCTATAAATGGTGTCGCCAAGGCATAGAGAAGTTTGTGAACAAGGTAATCTTGTTTCACCGGTTCAAAGGAGTCTGAGCCTGATGCGAGAGAAAGTTGATGTAAATTTAATGCGATTTCCAGATTGTCTTCCACAAGGGTTTGATCTGATTCCAAAATGGTGATGATGTCTCGGAGATCATTGTTTAAAATGAAGTCAGATTTCGTAGTTGAAGGGCCAGTGGAATGCGCGGTGCCAGAAGCTGATTTAGATCTTTGTGAAGATCGGGACCTAACTTTCCCACTAGCTAATCTAGATCCTCTCTCGCTCAGTACACCAGATGCAGATCTAGACCTTTCTTCCTTGACATTGGAAGCACCACCCGATTGGTACGAAGCAACTGGTAATCCTGATGAAGGGGCTTGAAGCTCTGAAAGCTTGGAACTACCTAGGGGGGAAACCTCTCTCGTGGAATAAAGTTGGTTTATTGGGAGAGAATCACTTCGTTGAAGAGTTGGACGGAAAAAAGCTGCAAGCGCCGCAGAAGATGCATTTGCTTGGATCTTTGACGTTGGTTGAAGTTCCTGTGAATTGTTGGCCAGTGGGTTTTTGTAAAGCAGGCGAATAGTTGACGAAGGTGTCGGGAGAAAAGGGGAGAGTGGTGGTTGCAGATGACTTGCCAGGCGCTCCAGTTCCTTTTTGATGGAATGGAAAAGGACTGGTCTTTCCTTAAGGATTTGGAGAGATCTTTTGAGAACATTGAGTCGAAGTGCAAGTGAATTTGGCGAGAGATGGGCGTACGAGTACGCGTGGGTTGATTCTATGGGGAATTGGAGAATCGCCTCTCGTGTGGATGCGTCCCTGGCTGGGGAGGATGAGGTTGTGGATGAGGCGCTGTTGAATCGACTTATTTGGTGGCCGATGCCCGGTTGAACTGGTCGCGTTTCCAAGGAGAGCCCGTGCAGATTAGGTTCTGGAGAAGAGCTCTTGGATGATGTGGACAAGGACAAATTGCTGGGCTGTCTACATTTTTCCACTCGGAGTTGTGGAATGGTTTGGTGGAAGGAAGGATGAGGGGGTAACGGCGTCTCTTGATCGTCCTCTTCGTCGTCGTCGTCGTCGTCGTCGTCTTCAGCAAGGTAAAATCGCGACGATGGCAGCTTAGAGGTTAGTCCTTCGTGGGAAGATGCGCCTGTGGGATCAGTGGCGTTCGTGTGTATGTCCTGGGTAACCTTCATGTCTATGATTTTCTTTCTATGTGTTCCGCTGGAAGTTGTGTGTTTTTTTTATTTTCGTAATCAGAAGCTTTCCAGTCAAGGAGTTCTGTCCGTTCTATAGTACTTGGCCACGACTTTCCCAGAAGTTGCAAAAAGTCGATGGACCTGAAATATGATATGCTGCTGCTCTGGGAAACGGGAAGGAGGGGTTGGTGTACTTTCCCAGTTGGATCGATGTAGAGTGACAAGTCCTTGGTGAGGGGGAACTGCTACACAGAAAGTTCGGTAAAGCGTGCTAGGGTGGTACAAAAGAGCGATCTTGGTGCCCTGGTTGAGTTGGCCAGTGTAGAAATTGGACAGATGGGGTGGATGTGGTGGTGTGAAGAACTAAAACTGACCAGAAAGTGGAGTGTATGTGGATTTTGGTTAATGCCGTGAGGAGGAAAATGAAAAGGGCTTTGGTGAAAAGGAGTGCAGGTAACGCGTGTACCGTGCAGGCAGAGATTCCAAAGTGAAAGATTTAAAAAAGTGAAAAGATGTTGTAATGTTAGTGACGAGCTATACCCTTAGTATATGTCGGAAGAATGGGGGAAACTGGTAAAGAAGGTTGTATGAGATGAATATACACAATTGAACGGATGGATCGGCTGTGTTGAGGCTGAGAAAAGTGTACATAGTCACGGGGAACAACTTGGCATGGTTGTGCTGGAAGAGGAGAGCCCGGTATGCAGGATGCGACCGGATAGTTCAAAACCGGGAAGAGTTTCGGATGACCAAGAGTAATGGTTGCAAATCTAATTGAAGAATAGTAGGACATTTTTGTGTAAGAGTGACATTGTTCTTTGCACTGTTGGTTGTTGTATTAATCGGCAAAGGGCCGTTTAAAGGAGATACTAATATCGGACTAGAGGATGAAATTAATTGTTGTCTTTTGCAGCCAACCATCAGGTGAGTAAAGTCCTTGTAAAATCGATCTACAATAAGCATTTGGTTCTATAATAGTTTTAAAACTCCCAATGTTTGTTATTTTCTTTCAACGGGTCCCAATTGGATCAAAAAAGAAAAGAAAAGAAAAGACTGGCTGTAGATTAGTTGTAGATTGATTGTAGATTGATTGTTTATGTGTTCAGATGAAATATATTAACGTTTGTACTGGGTGGTTGAGTCTCTCTTCTACGGCACATTCGGGTGCTCAAGATTAAATGATTAGCTACAGGAATTTCTGATATGGCTGCAAAAGAAGGAGTATATCTTTTCTATAAAAGTATGTAAATCTCGACTGGACATCGGATGGATATATTCATGGAGATTTCAATAACAAAATCTTCAACATTTGCAGTAGTATTACCCTCTTTTAATGATATTCCTTTTGTACTCCGTACTCTTTTATCTATTTCTATGTCTATTACAAGGTGAGTTCTTGAATTCTATCATCTAACTCAACCATACTATCGATACTTGCGTGAGCACCTCTAGATATACCGAAATTGCCAACCACTGGAGTGTTCCCAATACCGTAGATGACTCCCGGTGTGCTTCTAGGTGCTGCAAATGCGGCACTGGAAAGTGGGGTAATATCTCCAATAATAGGGGTTCCCAAGGGCGTGTTACTTGCCAGATCTGTGTAGGTGGGTGGACTCAACGTTCTTACATCTTCATACGTGGGTGGAACTTCATCATCCCATGCTATGCCCAAACCTGACCGTTCGGTGAAAGGAAGCTTGAATTGCATACGGAGAACTCGCGCGGCTCCACTTGGGACCCCTGGTTGCGTGTTAGATGCCATAGATGCACTAAGTGAGTTCGTGGATACAGTGGAGCTCACTGGATGTAATCCTGGTGAATCAACTGAGTGTTGCGAGGCAACAGATGTGACTGGTCTAAGTGAATTTGGGGTACCAGCACGTTTCTCTGCTGATTGTAGTAATTCTTCAGCAATGACAACTTCCACTACAAGGGTATGATTGACATAAATCCCAAGATTTGGATCTTCAATGTCACAGGCTATGGTGGCCCCATTGCGAAGCCCTTCTCTATCATGATCCTTCTGCGAGGTGTTGGAAGGCTCACGAGAAGTTTTCTTGGTCACATGGCGAAGAAGTCCTGAAGAAAGATTTATAGCACTGATTTCTGCTTGAAGTTCAATGCGGCCCTTCCCAGAGAAATCGGATTTCCATCCTGATTTTATTTCTCCATGGTTTACTGTTCTAATTTCTTCGAGATATATGGATTCTGTAAGATCTATTGGAGAAGCTTGTTGAGGATTGGCTGTGCTACTATTAGATCCAACGGATCCCGTAGATGTCACAGATCCTGGGGAATGAATATTTGGAGATGGGGTTGCAGAAGTTGTTTCTCTTGGTGGTCTTGACTCTCCTGTGTTATTTGACGGAGTCGTGGTGCTAGTGGAATTTGTAGATGGTAATGCAGAGCCAAAATCTTCCAAAAATGCCTCTTCCAAATTGGTGTTTTCAACTTCTCTTTCTGGTTCTATATCAACATTAGCTCTCACTCTTGCCTCGATGGCTGCCGCTGCTGCTTCTGCCGCTTCATCCTGTTGTCTTTGCTGTAACGCTTGCTGGGCAGATGGACTAATGCTGAACAACGTGTTAGTTTGGATTGTACTATGATGCAAACTACCCTTGTTCTCTCCTGAGGAACCACCAGATCCCGATGAACCCGCTGCACCTGAACCTCCGGTTTTCAATTCTCGATGAAGGTTCACTCTTTTCTGGGTTTCTTCGAATGCTTTCAACTTCAGCTCATGTTTTTCACAGACTGCGGCTCTTACTTTGACCAGTTCTTCGATTCTCCACGTCAATTTCCTCATTCTCCATCTTCGATCACCACGTTCATTCACGACATTATCCAACTTGAGACCAATGGGGAATGAACTCTTTGGATAAACAACATTGGGGAGAACGGCCAGTGCGGTGACTTCGGTTGGAGGGAACACTCTCAACGAATTTCGGTCTGGACCTCTTAAGATCAGTCTGGCGATATTCAAAGGGAGTGATACTCTAGCAACCTCTTGTTTGTTACCGTTGGCTTCCGCAATCAATTCGTACTTGATATATGAAGTCAGGTGGTAGGAACCAAGTTTAGACGACGCTGGAAGTGACCCAGGTAAAAGGTGAGAGAATGGGTAAGCATGAGAACCTGGTTGTATGGCAGTAGTATGGGTAACTACATCCCAACGTGCCAATACGTTGTTTTGTACGGCACATGACTTGCATGACGCCACAGACGATGACGATACTACAAAGGGCCGGGTGTACCGAACAGTCTGCACAAGCGATAGAGTAACGGTATCGAGAGAAACAGATGATGCGGTCAGTTCCTCGTATGTAGGGGTGGAAGGACGGTCAGGAACCGCTCCTATAGACAGATGGGATGTAATTGGGGTGGAAACACCAGAGGGGGGTGTTCTAGAAGTGGAAGGCAGGAGTGTCGATGAGCCTTGTTTGGGGTCAACTTCCAATAAAAGTAATCCAGAGACAATAGAGCCTGTAGATTCTTGAGCAGGACCGTATAGGATAATTGGAGGGGACTCTAATTTGATTGCCAACGACACTTTTGATTGAGAGGAAGCATTTGGAGACGACTTTGAAGTGTGGAGGGAATGGGTGGAGGGCGATGAATATGGCGTGAGGGGGCTAAACGAGCTGCTACTGGTACCGGCCTGGGGGGTGGTTACCGCTGCAGATGTCCCCGGGGACTTTTCACGTTTATCGTGATGGAGTACACGCGAAAGTATGGCCATGGAGGGGTTCACTCTATCCGTTTGAATATGAGGTTCGGAGATGTCCGGAAAGTGGAAATGAGAATGAAATTTGTTTAGAAAATATTCTCTAGGTGGATAGATAGGGCCGTACGGTCAATAAGTTCGCTATGTGCTAAATCCAGAGCCGTTCTGGGTTTCTGTGTTGAATTATCGGAAGACCTTTTGAAACAGGTTAACCAATTTGAACGATAAATTTATCTGTGTATCTTTTGATGAGGCTCGCGAGACTAACTGAGCAAGATCGTCTGTGTGCAGGCGCTGATTAATATTTTGGCAGGGCTACTTGCGGGGTGGTGGAACAAAAAAAAGTTGAAAGGAGATGCGTGGGTGTTTATTTGTTTTTTTTTTCTTGGAATTCACTTCTTTGTAATGGGTTCATTCACTGGGTATATATAAGTGATATAGTTGGATTTTCTGGTTTGTAAACCTACGATAAGGAATGTAAAAGCGGAAATAAAATGTATCGGTTAGCCGGTGATAAAAGAAAAAAAAGTTCGAAATGTCGTCAGTGAGTCGCGTGATATGCGCGAAAGCCGGTGCACCGGGCGCCACAAATGACATGACACGAGAGGTTGCAAGGACGATAAAACTTGCAAACCTTTTTTGTGGAGCAACATGACTATTTATATGATTTGTTGCTATGTTTATTGATTGACTGACTAGTTTGGGAGTCAGAGGCTAGTATTGTCGAATATGTATGAAAAAAAAACTGCAAGATAAATGTGCTGGTAGAGGTGAATAACCAGTTGGGGGAGAATTAATAGGCTCTATGGGCTTGTAGCTACACTTTCTAAAGTATTTTGTATCTTCTGGGGCTCTATGGGATATGGATCTGCCATTTCCTTTTTGTTGGTAAGTTTCTGACGATCTTAGACTAGAGAGAGAGAGAGAGAGAGAGAGGAGACTCATCATAACAACAAAGATCCTAAATTCTGGCTTGTTTCTGCGTTGCTTCGTTCCCCAATTTCTTAAACGAGATGTAACTATGTCTTACTATGTCTTACTATTGTCAATATTTATGTTTTTGCAACCAACTACCACAGTTGATCATGAAGTACTGCACACTTTGTTTGTCATGTACATAATAGTAGAACTCAAATATTTGCAACCAACCCGTTACACTAGAATCTAGAGGGATGTTCGAGGTGCTTGGTGAAGATTCAATGACTAGCTTTCCTACTTGGAAAGTATATTTTAGATAATATTACCCTAAATATTTTCACCACCTCATCCTCATCATCCTCTTCCACAAACGGTTAGCGCCTCTTAATTTTGCCAAAATTTAACCAGGTTCCACTCAAGTACTATTGTTTGATCTACTCATGGTCCAGTATCTACTATACTATATAAAAGTACTCTTCTAGTCAATTCTCTTCTCTAAAAATGTGATCTCCACCTAATAAGAATAATAATACGATTCTTCAAACTATTTCGAAAGAATTTTAATAACACAGATTATCAAAATGCATTCTCTTTTAAAAATAAAAATCAATCAGATACTCTCATACCAGTTTCAATCGTTGTATGTATATCTATTCATATCTTCTCTCTCTCTCTCTCTCTTACTCTTAATTATCAAGTTATTAATTCCTGCACATATCTACTTTTGAAAAGTGTAACAAGCGCGCGATACTAAACACTTAAGGAAGAGAGCCTAGTACCAAAATCTATCTATCCATCCAATCAAACAATCACCGTCAAGTGAATCATGAAGAATCTCGTGGTTGATAATGGATCATATACGGTCAAATGTGGGTTTTCCGGGGATCAGAAATCTCCCCAGATAACTGCAAACACGGTGGTTCGAACCCGAGACGGTGCCATCCACACTGGGAATGCCTACCTTCTGCAACACAGTCAATACTCTGGAATGTTATTCAAAAGACCACATGAACAGGGGAACTTAACGTCGTGGGAAATAGAACGGCCTGTGTGGGACATAGCGTTTGAAGAGCTTCGTGTGGACGCTAAGGATACAAGGTTGATCTTATCCGAGACTCCATTTCAACTTCCACAACTCTCCATCAACACCGACCAAATCGTGTTCGAGGAATATGGCTTCGATCTGTACTATAGGGCAGTCCCACAGGCATTGGTAGATTGGGTTGAACACGATGAAGCTGAGGGTGAGAATGGTGTCAATTCTTCAGAACAGAAACTCACTCGGAAATCAACGAAAAAAGACGTGAAACCAATCAAACTGAATTTCTCTTTAATAATCGACTCGGGTTTCAACTGTACCTGGATTGTCCCGATGCTTTATAATAACGTGTATTGGAAGGGGGTCCGTAAATTCCCCCTAGGGGGTCGGGCAATCAATGGGCTCCTACGAGAATTGATTTCCTTCCGTCATTACGACGTTTCAGATGAAGCTGTACTTATAAATACCATCAAGGAATCAACTTGTTTCATGGCTCAAGACTACAAGAAAACATTGTCAAATAGATCTTCTCATGATTGTGTTTTTGTCTTACCGGATTTCAAAACAACCACTACCGGGTACATCCGTGATGATTCTACCAAGCGTTCTAAAAACTCTGATGATCTGGAACAACAAGTACTCCATTTGAGTGATGAAAGGTTCACTCCTTCAGAAGCATTCTATCATCCGGAAATTATTTTCAACTCTTCAACCTCAAATCTGTCCAAAATTCATAGCTCAACTTTTAAAAACTTGACCGATTTGATCGTAGAACTGTTAATGACATGCCCTGTTGCTACCAGACCCATGCTTCTGGCAAACATCTCTATAGTTGGGGGCACTTCGAAAATGAAAAACTTTAAAGAAAGACTCTCACATGAGCTTACCAGTGAATTACCAATGGATTGGACCGTTAGAATTCGTGAAAACCGGTACGATTCCATTGATATGGCTTGGCATGGTGGGGTCTCGTTGTCCGAGGATGACCGTTTGAACGACGTATGTATCCTGAAAAAGGAATATTTTGAGCATGGTCCAAACTGGTGTCAACGTCAATTTGGTTTTAAAAACCAATAGAGTAAACAAAGTAAGACTCAGAGGGCCAATAGATTTTGGACCTTGACACGTGTATATATAGATGTATATTAGATGAACAATACAAATTAGTTCTACACTTAGTACAAGTTCTGTAATGAATTCTGTGTGATTTTCACAGGGTCTATATAATCATGAATGGGAGCTCTATTCTACAGGAACTAATTGGTTGAAAGTCAAGTACCTACTGAAGATTAACCAACCATAACGGAACCAGACCATTTGAGAAAAATGGCCATAGGCCATGGCTGCGTAGGCAACACTCAACATGTTTAAATCCGAATAGAACGTGACCGGCAGTGAGGCAGATGCACGACTGAAAAATGCAATGTTGACATTAAGTTTGAAGATGTTGCCAAGAACAAGTCTTGAAACATGTTCCGCGAATAACTCACAATTGGTGACAAGAGTGAACAGGTATTTTTCAAAAAATGAAAGCGAGCGAAGGAACAATAGAGATGTTCCACGTGGGCGTTTGGTATCCACTTGGGACCGTTGGTACTTCTTGTACCATTGGACTGCACCATGATGGAGAGATATGTGATTAGGATGATTTGAAACCCCTTGGGAATCAAATGTAACAACTACAATTTGTTCACGCGCAGCACGAACAGTAGTGACACTAGGGGATTTGGCCATGGTGGTAGTTATGGCTGAGCTAACAGCCTGTTCAATGGTATCGGCCACTTGGTCTATATCCCATGATTCGGACATACCATCCTTGAATTGACCATCTTCCAAAACTTCAACGTCATTAGTATGAATTCCTAGTATACGTGCAGCCAGTTTTAATTCGGCAGCTCGAATTGTCCCCATAGAAACATCAGAAGCATCTCCATTCAGTAGACATAGTAAGCGGACCAAGTTCCCATTTTGAGGCTTCGAGGCCTCGATAACCGACGGAGAGAAGAACATCACCTCGTCGTCGGGATGTGCCACCACAAACAACACGGTGGAGTTTGTGAGGGGGGAAGGATCACCAACAAGCGACCGGTATGGGTACCACGATTTATGGAATTGCCCAACTTGGACATCTGGATGTGTATATTTGGTAACGGTCTGCGGTATAACCGTGGTGAGTACTATCCATACAAGGAAACTACTAACAAAAAAGCGTACAAGCCATGCAAAGACCCGATTGAACATGGTTGCCGTGATTATTATTGAACTAGAACAGCTTATGTTAATGTGGAGATTCCATTAAAACTTTTGGCTGTTGTGCGCGGCGCTGCGCGCGCGCACTTGCACAAAACTCCACTCGTGGGTAGTTTGTGTTGCTCAACGTTTTTGTTTTGCTTTATGTTGAGCATACAAAATTCTGTGGGTAATCACGTGTTGACTGCTTCATAGTCAAGATATGAAGAATTACATATACTTTGTACCGTATAGGACAGTTGTAAAGTCCATTAATTTTAGAAAACCCATTCCAATTTGGAAGGAAGTTTGGTTGCTCAAAAAAAAATTATAATTTGAGTTCCAAAAAGATCAGCAAAAAAGAAAGCCCGATGCGGGGGTCGAACCCGCAACCTTTTGATTGCACTCTAGTAAGAGTCAAACGCTCTACCGATTGAGCTAACCAGGCATTTCGTTGTGGTTTTTTTTTCTAGATTAATAAGCATGCGCAATTCTTTATTTCATCACGTGATCAGTCAAAATTGCATAAGCGATTTACAAAGCATTCACTATTCTCTTTAGTTCCAAAGGGTTTTTATGTGGCAACCATGTAATAGTTATGATAGAGGGTCATATGGCAGATATAAAGAGCAATTATGTAAACAAGTTATTTTTTATGTCTTCGGAAGATGAAGAAAAAAAATGAGGACTCGTCCAAAAGGCTGCAAAATTACGGCCTCTCTATCAAACTTGGCCCTGTATTACCTCAAAACCGTCGATCTTTGTTTTGATATTTTGCTCCAGCTAACAGCTAGTTACTTATTATGCTTGATTTTTCTAGAACTACCATAGATACAATAGATATTTCAGAACATGGAACGAAATGGCGACATTTCATTGACTCCCGCAAACTTCTGTGCTCGGTATACTTGCTATCTTCTTAGGTCCCAGGACTGCAGGCCATTATTTTGGACCACTCCACAGATAACTAAGCAAGTTGAAGATGTGTTCTCCTTTTTTTGTAACTGTTTTTATTATGAAAAATCGATATGACACATATGAATTACTCTGTGTTCTTCACCCTTTTTCAGCAATTTTCCTATCGTTATTCTTAGTGAAACCGTATACTTCTTCCAAGATAGAACAACATTGAGAGATAAGGGCCTGCTGAAAAAAAGTAATAATACAGCCTTTTCCCTCGTCGGTACATTATTTGAAACCACATAGTACAATCCCAATAAGTATATTTAGAATAGGGAAATCAATTACTATATACTGTTCATATCTATATAGAGGTAGAAAAAAAACCCTAACAAATTGGCTTATAGAGAATTAAATACTCGTGTTAGGTGGAATGGCACTAAATCGTACTTATTTGATTATTTACTTTGAGCATGCTTCCATCTTCATTACTGGCATCCAAGTACTTGTTTCACTATGCAATTCAATTTTGAAATCAACAGCGTGACTATTCATTCTGAATCCGAGAAGTTCTCTCTCATCTACCGTGACCCACAAGTCAGTCGTGGCACCTTCAAGAAGATGATAGTCAGGCTTTACATTTGGAATACAAGAACAGTCTTTGAGAGCATTATCGCCGATAAAGAAATCAGTTCCATTGTAGCCACCTGTTAAGGTCACCTTTATAGCATGGTTATTAGACGTGTAAAAGTATCCGATATAGTGACCCACACTCCCGAGCTCTTCCCATCCATCATCGTAGTATTGCAACCAGTCCTTGGAATTTAATTTGCAAGTAGCACCATCAAACGTTGGGAGGGGGGGAGGAGCATCTACAGCAGCAGCGTTGGCGGAAGCTGCTAATGAAGCAATGGAGGAGAGTACAATAGTGGAAATTTTCATTATGTTAGTTAATATCTTTGAATATTATTGGTGTCTTTCGAAATACTGAAATGGGTGCAACATGTTGGATATTTATATACTGGGTCATTGCTATCACAGTACAAAATCATACCATTGGTTTTATTATTGTATCTAATTGAACCATATAGTATCCACGTTATCACTACATGCATCCCTCTATTTCAGTGTGTCTATTTCATTGTAGCCTTGTAATCAGGATTTTTTCGATTGGCCCTACAGAACAATACCATATGAATATTTCCAACCACTTGTACAATAAAAATTGCGTGACCGTTATACTCGTTGGTGAAACGTTCTCGTACAAAGCTTGATTAGTACCAATGTCCTATTTTGAGAATTCCGTTTTGCAATATTTGCCCAAAGTACGAAGTGTTCTTTATAAATGGATTGTCCTAGAACAACAATGTGGTGTTACCACTGGATGGGCAACTTGTAATACGTGCTACTCGGTAATTAATAAGATCTATTGCAATGTGGACGACAATCTGTTTGTGCTTGTGCATACTAATGGTAGGCACAGCTTAAACTGTTTCCGTCGCTTCCATCACAACATTTTACTATTTCTTTCCCCGCATTTCAGGGCAGAGATCGTGATATAGAAAAGGACGTAGTACATATTCAGCAAATAGTATGTCCAATCATACTTTGAAAAAAGAGTGAGATATTGCCTGTTTCATTTACGGTACTGAGGAGTATTCTCCCAAGAGCCCTTTAGAATATTAACACCTTTCCTCTAGGAGTGTTGAGAATTCAAACAAAATACTCATTGTACACCTTAGGGGTGGAGTGGTGCTACGAATATACTTTGTATTATCATTTTTATCCATAATTTTTTTGTAACTATCTTAACCTTGGAACACTTTCAGGTTCCGCACTTCCAAATGAAATTTCAAAAAAAAGGCGGTCACTTACTACGATATGATAAAAAGTGTATTGAGAAGTTTAATGCGGTGTTACCCTGGTGGATTTGATCTAAATCTAGGCGATAGTACATATGAATTGACATATACGACAATAATATGTCAGTCTTATTTCATAATTGTTTCCAAAGTACCAACCCAAGTCACATCATGCAATTTCCAAACCCTACGACTTTTACGAGAATATATGAAATACTATAGCGGGGGTGTAAAAGCATCTACGAGAAACACAAATTAAGTTATAGCGCATTTTTTCTACGAATATAAAAAAGTGGGTAGGATTCAATACTGGTTGTTTAAGTTTTGATTCCGTTCTTTATTATGATTCGGTTCAAAACCTAAAACACTGTGCGACCAAAAGAAGAGGCATTGCGCGACTGGTGTATTTGGCTGCAAATTCATACATCAAACTGCAAGCTTAGTCTTATATCATCAATTTCTCTCTAATGAATAGTTCCAGCTATTGGGTCATGATAAAATCTGGGATTCAAAGATTTCAACCGCAAAATAAGTCTCTGCGTTTAGCATATATGATAGATATGATTGTAGTGCAAGTTATAAATGTACTTGATTATAGGTTGCTCTTGGATAGTAGATAAAGGATCTAAGTGTATCTACATTTGAATAAAACGTGGAACTCACGGTGAGTAAGCGCATACAAAGTAGGGGCCCGGGTCCTACAGTAGGTCCCTAGTATCAATGAAAAAATGTAAACTATGTATCGAGTACTAAAAAGAAGGGTATTGAGGTCAAAGCTGACGATAATCACAATAGGGAAATCAATTACTATATAAAGATAAATCATTATAAAGAGAGAGAAAAACCCACAAATATTAAAGAAGTATTGACTCGACGGTATCAATTGAAGTCAATATTCATTTACTTCTTTGGGCATGGGGACATTGGAAATACTGGAGCCCAACGACTGGTCAATTGCTTATATTTGATGTCAAAATCAACTTCAGAGCTCTTGATTCTAAATCCGAGAAGTTCGTTCGATTTGACAGCAACCTTGATTTGGGTAGTGGCACCTTCAGCTACATGGTAGTCTGGCTTGACATCTGGAATACAAGAACAGTCACTAAGAGCGTTGTTACCGACAAAGAAATCAGTTCCACCAACACCACCAATCAAGGTCACGTCAACTTCAGAGTTGAGTTCAGCATAAAGGTAACTGATATATTCGTTCTCGCTAACTTCCATGTATCCACCTGAGAAGTCTTCAAGGAAGTTTTGAGAAGATAATGGACAAGTAGCAGCGGAAACGGTTGGAACGTTAGCAGCATTGACAGAAGCAATGGAAGCAATGGAGGAGAGGATAATGGTGGAAAATTTCATTTTGTTGGTTAATATGTTTGAGTATTTAGGGTATTCTATGGGTGACTATTGATGTATTTATATTCCAGATGATTAGTATCATAATCCGAAATCATTCCATTAGGGTATGCGAATATGTTACTAAATCATGAATGACCACGTTATTACTACTTACGTACCTGTATTTTATGTGCATAAATTTCATTGCAATCTTTGAATCTTTGAATTCAAGCTGATGGATTACAATGAAACTACCTAAAACTTCGCCCAGTAACCACCAGTTTCATATACGTATTTTGTATACACCAAACTTCTCACTGAAACTACTTTTACAATAAAACGAAGACAAATTGCGTGACAGCTTTCTTCACTAATTGGAACGCTTCGTGCCAAGCTTGATGAATAGTACCAATGTACACCTACTACAAAGGCCGACGAATTTGAAGCGTCTGCTCAGCCAGACATGCTCTTCGTGGTAGACCTCCAGCTATATCAGACTTAAATCATTCAATGGCAACTCAGTAATACGCAGTTTGGACATCATGATGAGTTTGGACATCATGATGTACTTTATCAAAAACGAATATCCACTTGTGTCCTTTTTTGTTTCTATAAAACTATCTCCGCCGCTAACTCTTTCATGGAATCCCTCCTCTACTGAGTCTTCGTTGATCTCTCTTATCATGAGATGGGCAAGTCACACAACTATGCAAAAATGTGTACACGTGTATTGCATAATATGACAGATATCACAATAAGGAAAAGGGAAACTGATCTGTTTCATCTGGTGTAGGTGGATTTGAAACTAGTTATAACGAAGTCACCTCCTCTCTATTAGAGAAAGAGTCAACTGAACAACAGTACTGATGTGTAGATGTTGGTGCGATAATGTATATCTTTTCTAATTTTGACACTATGTATTCCCAATTAAAATAGTTTTCTTGGAACTTTCTTCACCTTATGCTGGGAGTTGAAATTTGAATTGAAATTCAAAAATATCAAATACGAGATATTGTGTAGTGTAAGGGGTGTACCCTCCTAGAAAAATACGATCGTTTCTTTTAAGCAATAAGATAGTCTACACAACATAGGTTAACTTTTCGAAGCAACTCTTAAGAAGGAGGAACGTTTCAATAAATAAGCATAAATTAGGACTGATGATTCTATTATCAATATTATTAAATCTTTTACGAATAATATTTAAAAATCAACTAAAAGTCTGCATATATGATCTACAAGTGAGATAAGCAAAATAAGCTACATTAAATCTGTTTCATAAAGACTGAAAATCTATATATTTCGGGTGAAAAAATTCGTTTCAAGTGTTCAGTATGGTACGTTGCCACAAGGAACAAAAAAAAAAGAATCGCAACTTATTTTTCGCGCTCATAGATCCTTCGGAATCACACGATATTTGGCTGCAAATTCATAAATGCAATATACACTCCATACTTCATAAAGTGTGGTATGTATAATTGCTTCAATTAGTAAGGGCTATTATTGGATCTTAATCATCTGAGATTGAAAGGACAAGAAGGAGGAACTAGTATCTAGTGCATCAGTAGTGAGTATCAAATAGACTTCCTAACACAATTAAATAGAATTTTGACTTAAGATTATTTAAGATCTCATATTTGAGGGAAACAGTTTCTTGGTCTATATCGTGCTTCTTGGATGTACATCTATATTATATTAGTGTGATGTTATAAAAATAAGAATTAAAATGAGTGCACCCCTAGTAAAAACTGCATGAGTTACTGTTACAATAGACCCAGTACGTATGCATCAGAAATATGAAAATATATGAGCCAACTTCAGATAATGAAAGAGGTGGCTCTAGTAAAAAAAACATTGAATACTTCGGAACTGGTCATAGTCACAATAGGGAAATCAATTACTATATACTGTTCATATCTATAGAGGTAGAAAAAAAACCCTAAAATTGGTTTTATGAAGAATTGAATATTCAGGTTAGATCAACATAGCCCTGAATCATATACCCGATTGCTCATTTACTTCTTTGCGCATTGGGTAACTGGGAACAATGTACCCCAACGGCTTGTCAATTGCTTGAATTGGACGTCGAAGTCACTGTCAGAACTCTTAATTCTGAATCCAAGAAGTTCGTTCATGTTGACATCAATCTTGACTTGGGTAGTGGCACCTTCAGCAACATGGTAGTCTGGCTTGACATCTGGAATACAAGAGCAGTCACTAAGAGCGTTGTTACCGACAAAGAAATCAGTTCCGCCAACACCACCAGTCAAGGTTACGTCAACTTCAGAGTTGAGCTCAGTGTAAAGGTAAAGGAGATATTCGTCGCCAATCATTTGAAATCCACCTGCGAAATCTTCTACAAAGTTTTGAGAAGATAATTGGCAAGTAGCAGCGGAAACAGCTGGGACGCTAGCAGCATTGACAGAAGCAATGGAAGCAATGGAGGAGAGTACAATGGTGGAAAATTTCATTTTGTTGTTTAATATGTTTGATATTGATGATGTCTTCTGGAATAATGAAAAGGGAACATCATGTCAGGTATTTATAATGCTGGGTCATTTTTATCACAGTACAAAATCATACCATTAGCTTTATATGTTTAATCAAATCACCACATTGCTATTAACTACATCGCAGCTTCTCGAAAAGTTGATGCATCAATTTCATTATAACCTTTGAATTCTGGTTTTTTTTCTTTTGGTTTACTAGGAAACCTCCTATTCATGCTTTTCCAACAACACCAGTTCCATGTATGTAGAGTTTATACACCAGATTTATTCTATAAGGAATACAAATATGGCGTGATGGCTACGTGTCTCTCCTACTGGGTTGTAGTTGTCCCCACAATTTGTAGGATTGCGAAGTGAAATGGTTGGCGTATTTGGTGGATACAGTCAGTCAGTTCACTTTTGACAAGAAGAGATTAATTTCCCGTTTCATGTATTATTAATATCCTTTAGTACTAAATCCTGATAACCACTTTTCTTTAATAAGAAATAATTATTGATGGGGGGCATCAAAAGAAGTTGTTGGGGTAAAAAACATATATTATTGTAGATTATTTTAAGGTAAAAAGTGCCCACTTGGATTCATTCAATACTGATTTTACTTCTTAAATTTGAGAATATATTATCTAATTTGCAATGTCAGCAAACAGGTTCCAGCATTCTTTATCATGGCAACATGTGTACCCATCTAATGACCAACACTTGGACGCTCGCCATATACCAGGACGAAATTCCCGTAATAATGTGCCTTCTAGACGTCGTAAGATCTTTTACTATTACATATTCGCATACAGCCTACAATCTAAATTCTTCCTGAACCACATCAATTTCACCAAAGTGAAGGCATGTTTACATTAATTTTCAAAAGAGTAGGGAAGTTATCTAAATGCCTTCCAACCACCTACTTGTAGTATCTCAAGTCCTAACAAGAATGGTTTATACACTTATGTTGATTTCAAAATTTCGTAAATATAATAAATAGAATTAAAAAAAACTGGCATTCACTAGAATTTGGGATGTTGGTCGGGCAGCTCGTAATACTTATCAGATTGTTTGTTTACTCTTTGACCTTTGTATTGTGTTCCCCCCCCCCTCCAAATCGCTTTATGTTTTGCCTGTTTTCATAATTCAAGAGGAAGCTCATTTGAAATTTAACGAAGTGAGAAAGCTGTACACCATATTTCACAAGTCTGTTTGTCTGAAATTCATGAAAAAAATATCAGAACTTATGCACTGTTCTAAAACTAGATCTAATTATTCTACTTTTTACAAAAAAATATGTTCTAGTTCTAAACCATTATCGGCGTATATTGGATATACAAGAAAATCACAAATTATTCGCTCTTGTATAGGTTTCATCAACGTATTACGAATGACATTTAATTACCGATTTGAAATTGGTGGGAGTTTTGGCATTTCAATACTCCGCACATGTGTCAATAAGATAAATTACATCTCGTGCTAGTCTTGTAGCTACATGACAGGTGTAACAATAGTTTGGTTGCAATTTTTATGCAAAACATTTCGCAATTGCTGTAACGGGGTTACGCATAAAATCTTAGATTCAACGACCAGAAGTTGGGGCACAACTATATGCATAGTATGTTTAAACGTATATTGATCGTGGCCCTTGGAGGTATTATTTCTGATTCTGTATTTGTATTGCAATAAAAATAAGAATCAAAATATGTGGCTTCTATTGAAGTCCGACCCCGATACTATTGCAATGGATCCACTCCGCATTTATTAACAGTGGAGAACTGAATTATAGATGATCGAACTTCAGATGCGGAAAGAGGATTTAAGCGGTTATAATTTTACAAAATCGTGGAATATGTTCCATATACACAATAGGGAAATCAATTACTATATACTGTTCATATCTATAGAGGTGGAAAAAACCCTAAAATTGGTTTTATGAAGAATTGAATGTTCAGGTTAGATCAACATAGCCCTGAATCATATACCCGATTGCTCATTTACTTCTTTGCGCATTGGGTAACTGGGAACAATGTACCCCAACGGCTTGTCAATTGCTTGAATTGGACGTCGAAGTCACTGTCAGAACTCTTAATTCTGAATCCAAGAAGTTCGTTCATGTTGACATCAATCTTGACTTGGGTAGTGGCACCTTCAGCAACATGGTAGTCTGGCTTGACATCTGGAATACAAGAGCAGTCACTAAGAGCGTTGTTACCGACAAAGAAATCAGTTCCGCCAACACCACCAGTCAAGGTTACGTCAACTTCAGAGTTGAGCTCAGTGTAAAGGTAAAGGAGATAATCGTCGCCAATCATTTGAAATCCACCTGCGAAGTCTTCTACAAAGTTTTGAGAAGATAATTGGCAAGTAGCAGCAGCAACAGCTGGGACGCTAGCAGCATTGACGGAAGCAATGGAAGCAATGGAGGAGAGTACAATGGTGGAAAATTTCATTTTGTTGGTTAATATGTTTGATATTGATGGTGACTTCGGAAATGCTACAATGGGTTGTGGCTTGATAGGTATTTATACTCTTAGTATGACACTTGAAGTTTAAAAGTCGTACCATCAAAAGTAAGATGTGGTTGAGCTGTAAAGTAGCCACATCGTCACCATTTATCACTATATTTCATGAATCATGTACAACGATTTCATTCTTGCCTTCGAATTCAGCATCTTTCTTTTGTATCTACAACAGTAGCTTCGCCTGCAACCCACCAATTCCATATATTTCGTGCGTATACACTAAACTAGTTATACAATAAGAAAAGTATGGCATGCCACCTTTAATCACTGTCTCATACTCTCCTCCTCCGTGACATTTACATCCTAGATAGCTTTTTTATTTCTTCTGAAATAGAATTTTTACGTCTTTAGTGGTGGATGTGTCTTGATCATTTTATTGAATTGTGCAACTATATTTTATACTGACCTACAAATGGCACCTTTTTTGGTGCCATTTCTCACTATCCTTATCGTACGGAAGTTGCATAAACTCATGGATAGTACCCTTTCTAAAAGTGAGATTCTGAATTAATTTCATGGAACGTATCAGGTATTCATGTACTTTTTGTGTAAAAAATACTCTCTAACATACACATAAATGTGAAATTCTCATGTATTTTGTACCGAATTGCAATCAATTCAAAACATTTGGGCCTGCTAATCAAGAAAAATGTTTTCGATAGATTTCACCGCTTCAAAAGAACATTGTGAGGTATGCAGTTCCTACATTTTAATGTATGGAATGACATGTGTGTATATAGGAACCCAACATATTATCTATGGTCCTCTCTCTTTTTGGCTATTTGGCTCAAAGAAGGCATATATTCTAAGTGGCTGAATAATTTGCGACAGGGTTTGTTGAAAATAGTGGAGATAAGTGAAATCACTCTCACACATGATATGTGGCTACGTTGCAGTCGGTAATAGTCCCAAAGAAGAATTAACATTCCACAAATTTCATAAGGCTACATAATATAGGTTGTCCGCAGGCAGAGCAAATTAATGTGTATATACGTGCGTCTTTTCTCATTTCACTACATAAATTTTTTAGATCTCTTTTGATATCCACCTCTACCTTTGATGATGGGTTGTTGTTGTGAATTCGTGGATGAGCTTGTGTTCGTCCTGGGTACCGCCGGCGGTGTTGGGGGCATGTAAATTCCTGGAATCCCTCCGCCAAGCATGTGTGGTGGTACGTGGGCTCCACCTGATATTCCGGTGGATCCAGTTGTTCCAGGAGGTGGTGGTGATGGAATTGAGTCTACTGAGGAATTTGATCTAGTCTTGCTCTCTGAGTCAAGATACATCGGGCTAGATGTTGTTGGACCTCCACCCATTGGTATTGTATTGCTAGTGGTAGTTCCTGTCAGTAAACGATGACGACCGCCCATTGCTAGAGAGTTCGATCTGGAGCTTGGACCAGCATTAGCTCCTGGAATCGGTATCGATGATGCGGGTATTGATATTGGCCGCGAGGTAGAAATTTGTACAATCTTCGCATTCTTTTGTTCAAGTAGACCTTCATATTTAAGAATCGTAGCTGACATATCTTGAATTTTTCTTTCATATTGAGCGACATATGACAGTGCGTTGGTTCCTAGTTCATGGCGCAAAAGTGCTGACTGCAGCTCGCTAGCTTTTAAGGACACCTCGAATTGTGTTTCGGCCTTCGTGAGTTCGTGAGAAAGTGCCCTATTCTTCTCATGGGCAATAAGAAGCTCTGTGCGAAGAGCATAAAGTTGGTTATGGAGGGCAACAGATGTTGGTTGTGAAGCATTTCCAGTCGGAGTAGACGTTACGCTAAAGAATCCGTTATGTTCAGCGGAAGGTGTGGAGATAGTGGGGGGCGCCTGGATAAGAGGTCCCGAGATAGGCTTATTGGCTAACTTCTCTAAGCGAATCTGGCTCAACTGGTATTCTTTATCTGAAAGTATTTGAGAAAGCTTCTCTAATGATGAAGACTTACTAAGAAGTTCATTTTGGACCGTTTCAAGTTTAATCTTCAATTCATTCTTTTCAAAAGACAATTTCTGCGCCTGTTGGAGTATTCTTTCAAGTTCTTGTCGGCCCTCATTGATACTACTTTCTAATTCTTTCTTTAGTCTTTCTACTTCAGCAGTAAGTATAGCGGCTCTTTCCTCTAATCTTTTGGTCCTTGCGTCTTTCTCTTTGTTCTCAAAAGCTTGTGCATGCATTGCAGGTTCTCTAAGTAGACGATTCATTTTGAGTTTAAGTTTAGCGTATTGAAACTTGTTGAGCTGTTGCATGTAATTAGAAAAGTCTAATTCATTCTTCATTAAAAGAAGTTCACGTTGATAGAAATCGATAGTAGTACCATCCGACGCAGAGCCGGTTGATAACATGGGAGCCAACGTTCCTACCAGTGCCAGTAAATCATCTGAATTATGTCCACCAATACTATCTTTCCAATGGCCAGTACTTGCCACTGAATATATAGATCCATTCCGCAATGATTGTGGGATATTTTTAGTCGCTGTATAAAGCTTCTCGTGTATTGTTAAGAGATCCGAAAGAGATTCTGACGATCTTGGGTGGTCTTTATTCAACCCATTTGGGGGCAGAATTTGACTCGTATCTCCAAGGGGATCGTTGATAGCTTCTGAACCAATCCTTTCGTCTACTTCCAGCTTCTCCACAATCCTTTCTGATCCTCTTCTTGAATCATTTAAATTGTTGAAGTTTACTTCCTTGAAATTAATCAAGTCGCCTCCTACTCCGTTACCGCGGTTTGTAGGTCCAACCAACGAGCTTGGTACTAAAGAACCTCTGCGGGTTATGTTGAAAAGATATTTTTGGAAATGTGTCTTAGATGGGACCCCAACTGAATCCCTGGTATGAGGATTAATTACAATGGGTCCACCAACTGATGAGCCTCTGGATTCATATTGATGGGCATTGTGCAGTGACTGGAGGTCCAGGCGACTACTATAGGAGGCGTACAGTGCCATCCTTCCTATCAGGTACGACTTGCCGTTACTTTCCGCTATAGGTTGATCAAATAACGAGTCCGGTATGCTAATGATAAGTTCTGGATTGAGGCCCAAACAGCCAAGGGCAATCTCTTCTGATCGAAGGTCATCACCATTTAGCGATTGTATAAGCCAGTCAATGGGACGTTTTAATTCGTCTAAAAGTGAAATGTGATCGAATTGAAGAAAGTTTGGGTGAAGTGTAAATGATTTAATTGCGTGTGCAAGGGTTTTTCCAATCAATGGAAAGTTGAAGTTGTTAACCCCGACTGTTTGAGCCACCTCTGTGGGTCCAAGTGTTGGAGATATAGACGCGGGTAAGGAAATATGGGTGACAATCCTGGAAGGGTATCTGGAAAGATAAAGCTGAGGATTCTGTGAGAATTTGGCCAAATTAAATGGAAAAAGTCCGTAGAGAAGGGTAATAAGACATGTCGTATCAAACTGCAATCTGTATGATATGGAATGGTCTAGTGATAGTGTTTGTGAATAAGATGTATTAAGAGTTGACCAATCAGGCGGAATGGTAAAAGGAGTGTATAGGACTTGGCCAGTTGTGCTGGGGCCTGGGGTATCTTTCAAAGTTTCACTATCTTTTGTCTGATTCCCTTCATCATCTATCCTCTCGTCCAAATTGTGATGGCTTGATACTGAACCGAGTTTAGATTCAGGTCGCGGGGTACCAACCGAAATGTTTTCAACACTCCCGACTAACCTGACATAACAGCTCATCAAATCACTTGCGTACTTTCCCACACGGTCACATACTTGTGGGATCACCATACATACAATAGATAGTGCCATGGACACTGCTCCAGCATACCCATCGTAGCAAACAATGCGTAACAAGCTCGCCCAAAGTTCTGTCTGTACAAGATCATATGATTGCGAGCTCTCGTGAGAAGCATAGCCCAGTAACAAGGATAAGACACCAAGTCGGCGATTGGGATATTTTATGTTCCCATCTAGCACTTCAAAGAGTCTCCGCGGGTGCTTCAACCCATACGCAATTACCAAATTAGAACAATTCATTCTCACGTAACGTAGACGTTCGGAGTATTCCTGGGTATTTATCTCTTTCTCGCTACCGTCCAACACCAAATCAATGCTAGTACCTACACTGCCGGATCGCGAGCTCGAGGTACTAGTGCCTATGTCGGCATTGTTGTAGTTGGAGGTACTACCGAGGTAAACTTCAAGGATTCTTTCTACCACTCGGTCACCCATACGCTCTCTACGAGCTTGTAGTAATGGGTCTTCGGAATGAACTATTTCAGCAGAAACACACTCAACAAATTTCCGCGCCTTGGTGACAAACTGCAAGTCATAACCGGCACTATTCACAGCAGGCTTGAGATACGTGTCCAACCAACGCATTACGTTCTCCTCGTGGATAAAGCTAGGGGAAAGTCGAATAAGGATCTCTACAAAAAACACCTCCTTCTGTAGGTTAGTTTTGGGCTTCACATACACATCGTAGACTCTTAAAAGCTCGTCTGACACGTTCATGGTTTGTTTTAATGAAGTAAGGGTCTTGTGTTTATCTTGGAAGTCTGTGATGGTTTGATAGAGTTCTGCCACCGCGTTAGCCTTGGATCCCCCCGAATTACCAGGGTTTGTCGCTGTCGTGTGGTCGGTGCCCATACTGCCCTTCCTGCTACTGATATCATCCTGTGCTGTGTGCTTGTCCTCGTTAAGTGAGACAATCGACTCCCGAGCATTTTGTTCCTCGGGTATATCATGCCAATGGCGAAACGCTACATCCAATGCTCGCGATAGGGATCTCGAAGACCCTACCATGGTTTCCTATAAGTTGAGCTCCTGAGGTAGTGGAAATGGCCTGGTGCTAGCTTGTAGATTTACCAGTACTATGCAGCAAGATTTGACTCTGGTGATCAGTTGCGATGATCGCGACTAAATGGAGTTACCTTGTACATCCTGCACGCAGCAGTGCTCCCCATGGATTACTATGTGCACTTCTCCTCAAAAAAGGCTGCAAATTTATAAGATGTATATTGGTTTGTATACAGGAATACATGTTATCAACGTTATGTGTAATTGATTGATGATTGTAATAATCACTAATCTTCTTACATCCCTCTTTCTTCTAGTCTAGTTATCTCTCTACTTGCAATACAATGATCCAATCTCCTAGTCTAACAATCCGGGCTTCTCTCGTTAAACTTATACTCAATACCTAACTAGGTAGTTCTGTAGATTTGTATAGATCCACTCAACAAGCCCTTAAAGTAGTATTTCAGTCTCACCTAATTTAGTACTTTCATCTGCTTGATCTAGGTAGATGTACTGAATAATATATTTAGTGTTCAGTTCATCAACTAGTCTTTAAACTGTAAATTTGGTGGTGTTTTAGTAAGAATGTCCGCAAAATTTTCCTTTGCATTTACCCATTCGACCTGTATTTCTCATTTTCGTACTCTCTCTTGTTCGGACGTTCTTTTATCTCTACATGCTTTGAATTTCAAGAATTTTCACTTGCACCTTGGATACTACGAATAACTCCTTTGTTGTCTTCATAATCAAATATCGGTAATACCTATGTCTAATTCCTTCATTAATTGTTTGAATGATAGTGTTTCCGTGGTAGTTTGACTGATGCCCACATATTCTGCTTATGTAGTACTTGTAGTCACTAATCCTTGTCTTTTAGATACCCATCTGAGACGCATTACCTCGTAGTGTATAATATATCCAGTTCGAGATTTTCTATTTGGTTCATTTGCCAACGATTCATCACAATACGCATATAATGAGTCTGTCTTCTCGCTATCTCTTCTGAATTCTAATGCTTTAAAAGGTTGATCTCTTCTAATGTACTTAATGTCTTTCTGTAATTGATCATTTTTAGTTTCTTCCTCGGTTGTCCCTTGTTTCTTTTTGTATTCTTCCACAGTTTGATGAACAGTATAAAGATATTTAGGTGAGTTCAATTTTGGATTTAGCATCTTTCCATCATTGCAGCTAAAGTCTACTAAGTCTTTGCGCGGCACAGTATTGAATTTATGTGTGCTGTCGAGACAGTCGTAACATCTTGGTGAGTCAGAATTTTTTATGATTTTCATAATCGACTTATGTTGGCATATTAAGAGTCTATTCCAGTATGTATTGAGTTTGGGAGTTTTGGAAATGTACCTTCAAGTAGGAACCAGTAAATGGTTGATTGCCAATTGTGTTTCTCACCTGTTGTAAATGGTTGTCAGGCTTGTGTCTCGTTTTCCAAATGTCCCGTTAATCAATTCCGGAAGAAATTTTTCCGTGAATTTAGCGTGGATTTCCTTCCATTTAAATTCGGATTTGGCTTGCTCTTTTTCATTCATAATCCATATTTGTGCTTCCCTAGCTGCTTCACTTGTATATTGTAAACACAATAAGTAGTAACAATGGTCGACAGTACTTGTTTCATTTTTGTACTTTCGTTCAAATTGAGTAAGCTCTGTTTTAATTTCTTTTGCTTGCTTGGTATCGATTCCATCGAATTTCAGGATTTTTTCGTGGATATTCTTTATCATTCTCAGTTTGGTTATGTATAGTTGGTCCGTGTGTGTAGCCATCCGTTTATCGAGTTCATTAATTGCTGTTGCTAATGTTCTCCAATCAGTTTTGTCACAATATGTTATTCTAATTGTAGAATGGATTTGCATAGCCAATTTCTGATTGTTGATGATCAAAAACCTTTCATTGAAGATTTCTTTAACTTTTTCATCAATGTCTGCCATTGTGATGTCTTTTTGATGGTATAACATTAGGCTCAACAATGGGTCATTTTTTATTAATTCAGTGATTTCTTCCATTGTTTCATGTAAGCTCTCATAGTTGTTATCGTCACATTTCAGTAGTTTCAATACTTGTTCCATTGATTTTGCTGCCGCAATCAGTGGGTCAATAATGCCGGTTGGAGTAGTTGCTGAAGTGATTAGATGAGTGGTTACTACATTGCTGAAGTGTCCTAAAAACTTAGTTGCTCCATTCTTAGTGATGATTTCCTGAATTCTTGTGTTGCTGCTGTCCTTGGACTCATCCTCGTTACGTAACGTTGTAATATCGGTAAATTTAAACATTTTTGACTCTTAATCTTTTAAGTTTCAAGATGAATATTTTTAAGTCTTGTGAATTATATTTTTATTCTATACAGTAATGGATAAAATATAATATATACGTTATAGAGATTTCTAGTAATAACCACTAATCTCTACCTAACTTTTCTTCTTTTAATCTAATTCTCTCTATATATATATATATCATTCAATCTCCTCGTCTAACATTCTCCTCGAGTTCTTTGTCTGCTATTCATAATCCCAAAATGGTAACTCGCGTAGATCTGCATAGATCACTCAACACTCCCCATGGATTACTCTGTGCACTTCTCTCAAAATGGCTGCAAATGCATCAATGAGAGTAGTAGAGTGCATGAGATATACAAGTTGCTGTGAATTCATTAATAACTAGAGACTGGAACTGTCCAATGTTAGTGCTGTATATTATAGGATGGTGTTATTTGTTAGCAGTTTCCCTGTGGTACGTCCCATAATTGTGTCTGAGAAAAAGCTGCAAGCTTTATTTAGTGACTCTGGCAATTTACTTAAGTACAATGTGCTCCCTCTCTCTAGGATAATTACATCTTTCGGCTTGATCTATTTTAACCAGAATAATATACAATCCACGGGTCATGTCTTGTAAGTACTCCAGATCAAGCACCTGGCTCTATGATGAAACCTCCAGTTATTCTGATATGTTCTTTCAACAATAGGTGAAATATACTACAACAAACATAAGATACTGAGAGTTCTGGGAATCTTTTCATTATCCAACTAGTGTTTCTTTGTAAATTTGATGCCTGGTTATCTATTGCTAAGAGAAATTATATATTTGTACATTCAGGATTATGTGTTGCACACTTATACTATTTTCAAAATACTTTTCTCTTAAAACAAAAAAAATAAGAAAGGTGATTTAATTTTTACATTTTCCTGCTACTTGTTTCTATCAAGTTGGTCCTTTAATTACAGATTTTTCTACTGGGATGTATATATATTATATATTTAGTAAGATTTCCCATAATGTGAAAAATTAGAAAGAAAGTATATTTCTTAAAAAGAGATTTTCATTTTTTTTTTTCTTTTTCATAGAAAACAACGTAGGAAGAGCAATGTCGATTCCGCTTCTTAAACTCTACTATCTGCTCCTAGAACTATAGTTACACACTATGTCCTGTTGGGTGAATTTTAAGACAGAATAAGCATGTAATAAAAGCAGGAGCCGCACTATATTCGCGCATCACTTCCCGATTAAGACCATCATGCACGGTTTTTGCTTTGAATCCCGGCAACTTTGACAGGCGACTTTAATTCCTAATCAATGTCAAAATTCTTGGATTTTTTTCATAATCTGTCTTGGCAGAACTTCAAGTCAGAAGACATTCATACCAGTTAAACGTACATTCAATTTTGTTTATTTTCCGGCCTAGTTAGTGTGAATGGAATCCCTTTCGTGTCCCAATAGATCGCAGTTCCAACCTAGATACCTTCAGGACCAATTGAAGGTTCTATAATAGTATACATTAGAAGGGAGTCTTGTGGACATTTATTATTACTGGATTGCTGCATGCTGGGAGTTTTGAACTTTTATCACACATTTGGAGATATTTTTTACACACAGGTGCGCATAAATAAAAAATTATCAAAATTTTATGGATACAAGAACGATGAGAGAGACTCGATGCTGGTATCCGTGCTGGTAGCCGCTTTGCTAAGGATATTACAAACCTATTCGTTAAATTAAATTCAAAAACTTCAGACATGAAATACCCTTGCAGCACTATTTCCGTTTCTTCTCTCTTAATTTAAACGGCTATTGTTCCCTATTATCTTGCATTGTGTCGTGCGTATTGACAAGTCACTTTGAATCCCCCACCCTCCTAACCGTTGATGCGTTTCCAATCGGCTAATGTTGCAGATTTGATATTCCTTGCATTACTTCAAAACTTTCTTTTGCAACAAAAGAAATCAGTTCTGTCCGTGTTCAACTTTTAGAGTAAATAACAACGTAAAACTCGTTGACCCTAATCACAGACTCTATCCGAACCATTCTCTCAACCACGCAGCAAGACTCCGAGTTAACAAAAACCGAAATGTGTTATTCTTTATTCGATATGTTCAAGAAAGTGACACTTTAAGAAGCAGATTTATTTTTTATGTACCATTGATGTGGGAAGATGAGAGTTTGTATTTCCTCGTGGATGGGAAATGGGAAAATACAAAAGATAGCCCCTGCCTGTCTGCCCCTATTATAAAATGAAGTTCAATTAACGTGGTTTTCCCCGTTTTCTCACTGTTCAAAATCGATCACTGAAGTAAATGTACTTGTTTAATTTCTTAGCTTTTTTGTGGGTGTTTTCCATTGTGGAAAGTGCAACTTCACCAGGTGCTTGTTCATTGAGTGGAAATGCAATTTCTGGCTTGAACATTCTTTACCAAAACACAACGAGTACAGGTACATATCAGACCAGCGTTGGTTACTACGGTCCATTTCCAGTCGATGGTGTGTACATATTCACCCAAACTACTACAAATGTAAGAGCTCAATTTTACATAGGTGATGGGGTTGGATTTCCTTGCTGTCAATCTCTGATTTTCGTTTCGGCACCAGAAACGTTACTCACAGAAATTGACTCAAAGTCGAGTGTTGAAGTCACTTTGGAAGCCAACCAATACTATCCTATCCGTATAATCACTTTCATTCCATTGCAATATACATCGGGGGAGTCGACAATAAATGCTTACCTTCCAGATGGTTCTCAACCTAACGTACAAATCTTCAACATGGCCGAGGGTGATTCCACCTATTGCCCAGCACCAACTTCAACTACAACATCAAGTTCGTCAACACCTACAAGTACGACGTCTACTTATGGAGCATGTAATGTACCTACCAGCGCACTTGAAGTTGGATTCCTATACACTGAGGGGACATTAGATGGCTCCTCTGTTGTACAATATGAAGGTTACATTGGTCCTATACCAGCAGATGGAACATACCTTTTATTGTCCATTACAGGCCTGGAAACTTCGTACGTGTACTTTGGAGATGGGGTGGCATTTCCATGCTGTTCGATTGATCGCCTGACTCCTCTGACCGTCAATCAAGATTACTTGTTTAAAGTAGAACCAAATAGTTCTGATTATGTAGCACTTGACTTGAAGGCAAAGCAATACTATCCAGTACGGGCCTTGCAATTGTTCCCACCGGGTTCCACAGCAAAGAATTCTATTGGTTTAGTGAATCCCGCCGCCGGTGGTTCCCAGATTCCAGTTGTTTACTTGAAAACAGAAGGCTCGTATTGTCCCGTATTTGAGCCAAGTTCTAGCTCTACTACGGCCACCTCCTCAACTTCTATGATCATGAGCTCTTCGGTAAATACCCCTTCAATTTCAACCTCAAACGTTCAATCATCCACTAATTCTGTGACAATTACTATTAGTTCTACGTCAACTACTCAATCTTCAGTATCATCAAGTAGTTCAAAGATTTCTTCACCACAACCATCATCTACGGACACTCTCTCTACAATATCTTCTATACTATCTTCCTTGCTGGCTACGTCCTCAAGGACAAGCTCCACCACAACAAAGTCATCATCCATGCCACTGTCTACCTCCGACATCGTGTTATCATCGTCATCAATAATTCCTAGTAGCCCATTTACCATTAGTACAAGCTCAACAATTTCCAACTCAGATTCTACCAGTTCTGTATCTTTTGACTCAATAACCACTAGCTCTGTGCGAACCAGCTCAGCACCAAATAGCTCAGCACCATCTGGCTCTATACCAACTAGCTCAGTATCAACAAGTTCTGTAACAACTAGCTCTGTTCCATCTGTTTTACCTACTGCAATTCCAGGAGGCTGTAATTTGGGTGACACCATGAAGGCTTTCGTACCAATTCGGTTGCCGTCTTCAGTATTCTACAATGGATATTATTTGGCACCCATCGACGGCTATTACACAATAACACTCAGTAGTACTTTTGGAGAAGGGTTCTTTTATGTTGGAAATGGCAAGGCCTTCAATTGTTGCATGGATCCTTCTGTAAGTGCAGACAATTATTTAATAGCTACCAGTGACCATTCTTCTGGACAGGCAGTGGTTTATTTTACCGGCGGTCAATATTATCCAGTAAAGTTGTCAATATCTCCTGCAGATGTTGTAGATGTGGTCATCAAAGGACCAGATGGTTCTGAAGTTCAGCTACTGGATGTTTCAGTCTGGCAGACCGCGGAAGCCGGATACTGCCCTCCAGCAACAACTCCTGTGAGATCCAGCTCAGTGCCAACCAGCTCAGTGCCAACCAGTTCTGTTCCATCTGTTTTACCTACTGCGATTCCAGGAGGTTGCAACTTGGGTGGCACTACACAGAACTTTCTAACTATTCCCGACTTTCAGCTGTCTACAAAATTGTATAATGGATATTATTTGGCACCCGTAAGCGGCTATTATACTATAACATTCAGTACTACAATTGGAAGTGGACACTTTTATGTTGGAAATGGGGTGGCCATTAACTGTTGCATGGATCCATTGATATTCAAAGACGGTTATTTAATTGCTACCAGTGATCATTCGTCTGGACAGGGAGTTGTTTATTTTACTGGTGGTCAATATTATCCAGTACGAGTGGCAATTTCTTTTGACGACGTTGTCGATGTGGTTATTGAAGAGCCAAACGGTTCTGAAGTGCAGTTACTGGATGTTGTACTCTGGCCAACTGCGGAAGCCGGATACTGCCCTCCAGCAACAACACCTATAACATCCAGTTACGCACCAACTAGTTCAGTGCCAACTAGCTCAGTACCAACTAGCTCAGTTCCAACTAGCTAAGTGCCAACCAGCTCAGTACCAACTAGTTCAGTACCAACTAGCTCAGTACCAACTAGCTCAGTGCCAACCAGCTCAGTACCAACTAGCTCGTCACCAACTAGCTCAGTGCCAACCAGCTCAGTACCAACCACAGTACCCTCTAGTTCAGGACCTTCTGGTTCAGTACTAACTAGCTCGTCACCAACTAGCTCAGTGCCAACCAGCTCAGAGCCTACTAGTTTGTCACCAACTAGCTCAGTATCAAGCTCAGAGCCAACTAGCTCAGTACCAACTAGCTCAGTACCAACCAGCTCAGTACCAACCAGCTCAGTGTCTTCGTGGTCAAAAATATCAAGCGTTAAACCCATTGATCTGATTACTTATCCAACGTATTCTTTCTCCTGGAACACTACTATTCCTTCCGGGGGTAATACAATTACAAGTTCGACCTCATATGTCATTTCCCCTGGACCAGTAGAAAGTCCAACTTCTAACAGACTTCCATTGACTACTAAAACCACTTCTACAATTATTAGATCGACGTCTCAAACTGAGTCGACTAAAAAGATTTCAGATCAGTCTAAGGCAGATTCGACTGTAACCGTCCCATCAACAACTGTTATCACAGTTACTTCATGTGCAGGCAACTCGTGCAGCGAAATACCTGTAACCACCGGCCAAACAGTTGTGACCACCACTGTTGATGGAAATGTGACTTCGTACACCACGTACTGTCCTCTTTCTTCCGCCCAATCTGTTCCAAATTCAACAGAAACCATCCATTCAACAACAGTTTTTACAATCACTTCATGTGCAGACAACTCGTGCAGCGAAGTACCTGTAACCACCGGCCAAACAGTTGTGACCACCACTGTTGATGGAAATGTGACCTCGTACACCACTTACTGCCCACTAGACTCAACCATTGCTTCTGAAAGCGATGAGGCAGAGATGTCCGTTGGTTCAATATCCATTACGGAAAAATTAGAGACAATGGAACCCAACACCAGCAACAGTAATGTGCTAGTAACCTCAACTGTTCAACTTGCTTCTGGTAGCATTTCAGAAACTGTTTCCATTGATATGCAACACCCAGAGAGTACAAGCTCTATGGGTTTCGCAACTTCTACGGCCCTTGTCCCAAGTCTCATTAATGAAGGCGGCTCTTCAATTGTAAGAGTTTCTATATCAACTATCTTCATGGCTGCATTCGCGTCTTTGTTCATATAGGGGAATATTTTCTTCCATATCTTAAAGACATATGTTATCTATATACTTTCATCTTTCTTGTACAACACTTTTCTTGGATCTCGCAGAGAATATCGATGGTTTTGCTTAGATTTTAAATCATTATATCTCTACAAGTCATTCTTAACTTTTGAAATTTCCTTTTCTTATAATTTTATCATACATTTACTTTTTACTTTTGTAGGTTTAAATAAGATCAACTTCAACTATGGCATACTAAAAACGATATTGCGAACTTTAGATAAGATAGCTTAGGAAAACTCGATTGGTGTATGCAAAAGAAAAAACAAGCCTTTTTTGGTACTTTTATTCTTCATATAAAACGTTATATATGGAATATATCTATGAAATGTAAGGTTGATAACTGATTCTCATAGAGTTCCATGACAGACTTGGGTCATATTTGTAAGTAAAAGTTCCACCCCTATCACTCTCTCTAATTCACTCCAATGAATGTACGGTATACGCTTGTGATATCCGTGATATTTACTACCAGGACACGTTATATTGTAGTACTCCATAATATCCACTTCCTACCTCCTCATCGGAATTTATGTGATCTATCCAACTTCAATAGAAACTTGATATTTAGAAGGGTGGAAAATAGCCTATAAAATAGCCTTACGCCTATTGAAGGTAGAAGATCTAAAAAATACACCACATTATACATTCATGAAAGTACCACACTCTACATTCTACAGATAAACACAATAAATAGTATCTCATTCCGCAAGTGCCGCTATAAAATAATTCCCCAAATTACTTTCTTCCACTTATTTCCTAATGTTTCAGATTTCCGCTTTTTCATGATGGACTAGCTCTACCACATTTACCTACAGGCGCCATCGATGTTTTTGGAGTCAGCCTCGAATTTCTGTAGGCAGGGCGATATAAGTAGTGAGAGGTAGTAGCCTACGCTTGATGGAACATCCTTGTAGGCCCACAAAAGTATAATCATATTATTTTCATCAGAATATACAGAATGAATGATGGAAAGTGGATACGAACTTCTTGTAGTACATTTTAAAGAGTGGACTACCACTACCCCAATTCCAACAAACCAGAGAGTAAGAATATAGCCACATTTTTTTGCACTAAATAATTTAACACTTGATGGATTTTCCAGGATCTTTTTCGAAATGTCCCACAGTGCAGTTTTGATAAGCCAAAAGTATCACAGTCTTGGTACTAAAAAAAAAGTATGTTCAGTGAGTTTAATGAAAATTTACAATTACGATGTTATAATTTTTTTTTGAAAGCAACAACAATAGGAGTTCATATATGCCAATGTGTTAGGCCAAGCCAAGGAAGATAAGGGTGATTATTTTTTTGATGGTTTAAAAATATTAACCACACAATTTTCCCTCGCTCATGGTTAAGGCGATTTTGCGGACGTCCGTGCATGAGACGCACGCGCATCGTACATGAAAAATTGCTGCAAATCTGAACACTTTTGAAAACCTTCTGAGTAAAATAATGTAACATTCGGCTATAAAAGCACCTTTCAGGTCCACTAAATTTCTAACAAGCCTTTATGACAATCATTCCATAATGCATTTTTTCAAATTAGCTATAGCTTTTCAATCCGTGTGCACTGCACTCGTAGTTGGTCAAGAACTCATTGAAAGTAGTACGAGCATTGTCACTCCTGACGGATGTTCGCTTACCAAAACAAGCCCTGGATTTCTGAAGGAGTACTACACACTGCAGGGAAAAAAATACATTTACGGCTACTATAAGGCTCCGCAGGATGGTGTCTACAAGATTACGACTCAGAATGGATGGGGAGCATTGCAACTGCTTTACATCGGTGACGGGATCGCCGTCAATTGTTGTTTGAACACGATTCCAGGAGATGGTGGCCATTGTTTCCAAACTAATCTGCAATCATCTTCTTCCATTAGAGTATATTTTAGTGCAGGTGTTTACTATCCAGTTAGAATTGAAGGGTTTCCACTGCAGAGCGCGATTAAAATTTCTATTACCCTACCAAACGGATCGACCATTCAGTTGAAGGACAACGTTGTGAGTACTAAGGAAAATTCAAAGTATTGCCCTGTTAAACCTTCAACTAGTTCAGTAAAGAGTAGCTCGACTAAAAAGACGTCAAGTGCCACTTCTGTAAAACCGTCATCTGTTGTTACATCTTCCCAAATTTCTTCAACTATAGCAACCCCTAGTGTTGAAGCTTCTAGTGCTGAACCTTCCAGTGCCGAACCATCCAGTGCTGAACCATCCAGTGCCGAGCCATCCAGTGCCGAACCTTCTAGTGTGGAACCATCCAGTGCTGAACCTTCTAGCATGGAGCCATCCAGTGCCGAACCTTCTAGCGTGGAGCCATCCAGTGCCGAACCTTCTAGTGCTGAACCTTCTAGCGTGGAGCCATCCAGTGCCGAACCTTCTAGTGCCGAACCATCCAGTGCTGAACCATCCAGTGCCGAGCCATCCAGTGCCGAACCTTCTAGCGCTGAACCATCCAGTGCTGAACCATCCAGTGCCGAGCCATCCAGTGCCGAGCCATCCAGTGCCGAACCTTCTAGTGTGGAGCCATCCAGTGCTGAACCTTCTAGCGTGGAGCCATCCAGTGCCGAACCTTCCAGTGCTGAACCTTCCAGTGCTGAACCATCCAGTGCTGAACCATCCAGTGCTGAACCTTCTGCCGTTATATCGACTACTTCTACTGGGCACCCACTGACACCTACTTCAACAGTTATAAGTAAGACCACCATTCCTTCCACTACAATCATCACCGTAACTTCGTGTTCAAACCACAAATGTTCTGTTATTCCTATAACCACGGGGAAAACCGTTGTAACTTTAACCGAAAATGGGTCAGTAACGTCATATACAACGTATCGTCCAATTTCAACAACCCCATACACTAGTGAATATCAACCATCTACGATAGTGAAAACCATAACTACGGGGGTTTCCATAGCAACAACAGTGGTGAATGGGAAAGAAACAACATACACAACATTTTGCCCTATCGATTCAGAGCCTCCAACCCTGCCTTCAGCAATTACTATCACTATTACTACATGCAATAGTGGTAAATGCTCACATGTTACAAAAGCCACTGGACAGATTATTACAAAAGCAGTCGTTGATGAAATCCCTACCAAATATACAAAGTATGTTCCACTTTCCACGGGAACGCAAAGTAAGCTTCAGACTACTGTCTTTACCGCCACATTCACAAAGTCCATTGTAACTGCTACTGCCGAAGAGATTGAAACAACATATGAAACATACGTACCAGTGACAACAACTGCTTCGTACAAGATACCAGTTCCACCAAGTAACTCAGTTCAGGAGCAAGCCCATACATACCCAGATAATCCTACTTTGACAGAAGAAACCCAAATTACAACACCATCTATTTCAATTGCTTCAGCAGAACTGACACTAATCAGCAAGCCGTTTTCATCCGGCTTTACTACCACACCAATAATTTTTGGATCTTCTAGTACAGGCAGCGTGTCACCTCAAGTCCCCGATGTTTCTACTGGAGGAACCAGAAAGACTTATAGTGTCACGATTTCAATGTTCTTAGCAGGAGTATTGGCCAATTTTCTCATGTAAGATATCATATCTCACATATTACCCAGCTACCCTCTTTCGTTGACAGATTTTACTTTGATCTGTCCTTACTTACTTAATTTTCAGTTTCAGATTTATATTGGTTACTCAAGGGACAAATTGTCTTATTGTTCTTCGTTTCGATGGCTGCAAACTTGTAGTGAAGTTTATATTTCGTCCTCTATTCTTATTATATCCACAAATTTAATTCCTACCTGTACTGCCGTATGTATTTCTTTGAAGTTGGACCTTTCCATTATTAAACAAGCAACAAAATTCAAAACATTAAGAGGATAAAATTATATAATAAAAATAATAATAATAATATGGACTGTTTGCTATCTACGTCCTGATTATTAGCCAATATAATATTTGCATTTGACAGTAGGTATACCAAACATATAGCCACCTCACTCTATTTTTACGCGCTTGTAGAAACTCACATCCCGAGTAGCTACAGCCAGATACTACAAGTGCCAGTCTATCATTGACAGCCCTGCGGTAAAAAAATTCTCGCAATATTGAAACAAAATTTTAAAACTATTTGATGTACATGCTAGGAAAAGATGTGCTATCCTGTATGTCAATTTGGCTCGCCACCACCCGTACACCTACTCCAGATCTCACTAAAATCCATACAATCACAATGATTTGCACTCCGTAATACAAGGGCTTTAGTAACAATAACCTGATACATGGCAATCAAATTTGATACCCCCGAGTCGCAGGCGACCGGAAGTACTTCGTCTACGCACCAATTGATCCGATCAGTAGTGCAGTATGTCTCAGCAAGAGATGTCTTCGTCACCACCCCAGCTGCTGGTGTTTCATCTATGGGCCTTAGTGCTTCATCATCGAGTCTTCTTGGGATAGCAGAGCTGCTTCAAGAATATTTCTACGAGACTGCTGCCCTTTTGAGAAAGTATCCCTTGGAGGAGCATCAAATTTTGTGGACATGGAACTTAAACAATTTGGCACAACAATTAGTCAAACTCAAAGGCTCCAATGCTGCCTATGGGAACAACAATCAGACGAGTCGAAGACTGTTAGATTTGAGAAACCTTGACCCAAACTTCCGAGAACTAGATAGTAGGCTAAGCAGGTTGACTAGCGATCTAGTCCACATGACCAGGTCATTCTATCAAGGATTTGTGGTGGAGAAAGCCACCCAACTTAACCAGAGCTTAGCATTGTGCTGTTTCCAACAACTTGCTGAATTGACTGGCGGCTCGTTAAAACTAGTTGGATGTGACGAGCATACCCCACTTGTGGAGAACACGAGCTTACAATCCGTGACCCTGTTCTTGCAACAGTTGTACAGAAGTAACAACGACGAGTTGGCGAAAACGATATTTCCTAGTCTTGTTGATCTCATTAAAGTTGCATATTGGGCAGATGATTTCTCGTTGGTGGAGGAACTATTGAATCTGGGAGTTGTGAGTGCCACAACGCCATTAGAAATGATACACACTAGTAAGATGGACTATATTGTGCTAGTAGATTTCTATCGTTATACGGGGTTTTTATTGGTCAGTCAAAGTTTGAAATCGCGTCCAGAGAAGGATCTAGGCAGACTAAGCAAGCTTTCTGTTGATTCCAACCATGGGAGCGCGCTGGATTTACAACCACAGACTGAGAATCACATCAATTCAAGCTCAGCTGTGCCGTATTTTAAAGTCTTGTTGCGTCTACCTAATCTCAACATCTCACTTTGGACCCCGCAAGAGGGGAAGAAGTTGAGCAGTGGAAGCTTGGGAGGCACTGAGGTATCGTCATCATCTTCAGGTCCATTGGAACCGCTTTTAGAAGATAAAGTCGCAAGCCATTCTGTTCCAGCGGGGGTAATGAAACAACATCAACCATATCACCAATCACTTCTTTCTCTTGAAGACCGACAAGAAATCTCACTTCTCTATGTGATAAGCTACCTTCAAAATCTCAAGTCTCTTAGAGGGCTTGTTCATCCAGAAAAAATCTTTCGACAAGAGCTCGATTTTCTTACAAAAACTCTCACATCAAGTATGTCAGCGGATATCCACCGAAGTGTAAGTGTGTCATCGAGTAGCGTAAGTTTAACTCAAATGGAAAGAGATGCATCTGCTTCAGTCAATCTTGCGGCATTGACTTCCTCCGGCAATGAAAACTTAACCTCAGTGCCAATAAAATACCGGTCAATTTCTTCAATTCTCTATCATGGTACTTACAAAGAGAAGCTTCATATGGTTATGCAATTACTCGCCCAACTATCACTCCCTGGAGTGTCTAGTATTAGACAAATTGTTTCCCAATTTACTCCTGGTGTTAGTTCTGACTCCGATTTCAGTAGATTAGCCGCTACAATTGATCCAACCAAGTATCCGGGTAAAATTGCTTTTGTTAGAGCTGTAGAAGATACCAGCTTGCTCTTACAATCATTAGCCATTAAACATTGGATCAGCTCTTCTGGAATAAATAATATCCCTGAAAGTGTCTTTGCAAGGAAATTCGGGTGGAGTAAAGACCAGATTCTTTCCAACGCACACATTCATAGATGGTTTCATGTCCAAGAGTGCTTAGATTCAGAAGAATCAGCACTAAAGTTTACACCAACAGTACCGGAAGTGGTTGATCTTGACCAGGAAATCATGGAACAACTAGCCATTCACAAGAGAACTCAAGCTTTGAATGAAGTGGCACTGAGATTAAGATAATAGTGACTTACAAGGCTACTTTAATATACATTTATATACTTGGTTAACCCATATTAACTCATTTTAACCCATACAGGAAATCAATTATAATGAAAACTATATAAATCGTAGATAAAACCCCATTTTGATCCTTTCGGGTTCAATACTTGGGAAGTTTACCACATATCTACTTCTTTTAATTTTCTCCAAACATTTACCTAGTTGGTTAAAGCTCCTCATTACAAGTAGCATTAGACCACGATACCCATCCTTACGTGGACGTAAAAGATAACCGACGTTGAAACAACTTCCCAATCGCCATAATGTATCTATTGAGTTTGAAAAGGTCGGTAAATGGTGCTTCTCTTTGCAACTAACTCTCTAAGCTGCAATCGCTATGCAAGAGTTGGGTACTAACTGCACAGTATATGTAAACATCGAAATATCGTCTCTTAAGTTATCAAGATTCCCTTCAAGGCAAAGAGAGAATTTGTTGATGTTCGTCTGCCAAATCCGATGCCTAAGATTGATCAATGTATTCCTCCACCACTCTGGTTCCTCTGTTTCGCCGTGCATCACCAAGAAAAATTCTGGATTTTGCAGCCAAATCTCACATAAATTCCATGCACATTATGAGAGTCTTTAAGTGATATTTTTTAACCCAAAAGTAGTTTAGATATTAGTTCTAGTCCCAATCTGTACTCAGCCTAGATATAAGTTTCTCAAGATATATAGATAGGTTGTAATGTCAATTAAAAAAAAACGGCCCGATTTTCATGTAGCTGACCCAAAGTAGTGGAAAATTTTCTTTTTCGAAAAATGCTTCACTAGCTCAGTCGGTAGAGCGTCAGTCTCATATGAAATCATTTGTGTGGTATCTGAAGGTCGAGAGTTCGAGCCTCCCGTGGAGCATTCTTTCTTTTTTTTTCCCATGTCATATATAGAAAGTATTTTTTATTTTTTCGCATAAATTTGCAGCACCTACAAATAAACGAAGTATTCTACATGGAGGTAATCGTATTTACTTAATATTACTAGTCAATTATAACAGTTTCACTGGCAGTCTTTTGCTTTTTTTCTGCGCTCGGATCATTGTCCTCTGCTTTTCTCTTTTTCTCAGATTCTTCCTTGGACGGCACAATTTCATCGATTTCTACAATATCTGAAACGGTCGGTTGACTGGATGAAACTTGTTCACCCAGAGGCACTATCGCTATTGATTCTACTGGAGTCTCCGCCATATCTTTGGGAATTCTGTCCCCTGTAGCTTCAATCAATATTTGAGGAGTTGGTGTTCTTTCCACAGGTTGAGCAGGATCTCCATTGACCGGCCGTATAGACTCCTCCACCTCAATATTAGAAATTCCCAGGGTTTCAGTTGTTGCAGTCGCAACAGCAGACGAGGCAGTACTAGCTTCAATTGCTTTCCTTTTACGCTCTTCCTCCTCCTTTTCAGCTTTCTCCTTTTCCTCTTTCTCCTTTTCCTCTCTCTCCTTGGCAGCCCGCTGGATGAACTCGTTATATATATCAGTCTTCTCCTTTAACAATTCTTCAATTTCTCTACGGGAAGTCTTCAAGATTTCCGCAATTAAAGGGAAAACGTCTCTTTTAGCCATTTTCTTTGGCTTTGAAGAAGGCGATGCGGTCTCATCTCTTCCAATTGACAACAGATGACTCTCAGTGAAATTTAAATAGACTCTCATATAAACTGCCACTATCGTATCATCGATGAGACTAGTAGGTCCATATCCATTATTATACTTTTTCATATCACTGATTGCAAATAAAAAGCATGTATAAATTTCGTACTCGGGCGCAATTTTCCCATCTTTATGAATACGTTCCAACAACGCCTTCGAATGGATAACAAACTTATTATGCGACGAAGTTTGCAAGAAGTTTTCCGTAAAGTTCTCGGTGACTCCAATCAGGTTTCGTACAAGTCGACAAATCGACGAACAAAGCGATTCCCAAGCGGTGGAAAGAGATATCATTGTGGAATTCGATCTTCTTAACTTTGGGAGCATTTGGATAAGGCCGGTCAAGTTCAATTCCTTCGTTAGCAAGATTATATAAAACACTGCATATTCATAAGTGTAATGGAAATGCTTACCAGGTCGTTCATTTTCCGGTTTCCAAATCAGAACTAATGTTTTACTGGTTATCTTTAAAGATACAATTGAACTCATTTCTTCCTTCGCACCTGCAGTATCGTGCAAGTCATAAAATAGAATGTAGGCAAGTCTATACTTTGGCTTATGGTGCCACTTCTTCTTGTCATAAGCCATGACCTTTTTAAGACATTGAATTATATGTTTATAGAACGTTTCCAATGGTATAGTTTCTGAATTCAGATCACTCTCCAGTTCAATCAGCTCTTCAATCTTAACTGACCCAACAACTTGATCTTCTTTCAAATATTTTACCGCTTCATTGGTTGATAATTTCCCTTCTTTCACGTACTTGTACGCCACGGAGCACATTCGATAATGTGGTTCCACTATTGGGTCCGACGGATTAGATTGCACTTTAGCCAAATCGGAAGATTCTTGAAGAGTCTGTAATACTAGTTGTGGATCCAATTGAAGTTTACGTTGGATCTTGGACAAATAATAAAAATTTGTCCAATCTTTGCTGTTTTGTTTGATCGCCAAATGAAGCGATTGTTGCATGATTTTGTAACATAAACTTAATTTTGTTGGTGAATTTTCAGAGACAGAAACAAAACTTGCACCTGTTGCTTTCCTAATAAACTTGGGGTTTTGTAAAACACGGAATGAATGCATCTCCATAGGTGGCATACATGCATTGTACATTTCCTTTGCAAAATGGGACATAATGCTACCAAGGACAGCAGATGTTCCATTAACTGGCGATTGCTTCAATGCTTCGTTGATGGCTGTCAGATAACAGATCAACGATCTTCTCTGAAGATTGGCGGTTGTAGTCTTTCTTTCAGGGAAAATTAATTTATCAGAAGTCCAAATCAAATCGTCTTCTACCAAATAGCCGTAAGCTTGTGCCAATAGGAACCAACTCTCCACTCGATTACTACCAAATATTAAATCATTTTTCAACAAATTAATAATGTTTTCCAACTCAACAGCCCTACTTTGCATAGACTTCTTTCTTATTTTGTACGCAGTGAACACGAGGAGTCCCTGTAGATAGTATAAGCCATCTTGAACGATTTTAATACGGGGTTCGCCGGTTGAAGAAGGCACTTCAAAGCCAACATTTGCAAGACCATGGAAAGAGTCACGCAAGAATTTAGGAGAGAGTGACGTTGAACTCAAATAATATTCCAAGAGTTGGTTATTTCTACTAAGAACTGGAAGATTATCAATATCAGGCTCTCCAACGACCTCGTTGAATGCATCGATTATCATCTTCATATCCGCTTTCGGAGGTTGCAAAATTGGATTGGTTTTGAAACAAAGAGGGAGAATAAGCTGTGATAATTCAAATGTAGAGTTCATATCAAGCTCGCCTGTTTTCGTAGTTTCATGATCCATTGGTGTGAATTTCCCAAACGTGAGGTTATAATGATAACGACAGGATATAACTTGCATAAGGTCGGCTTCTGCACAGACATTCGCGGAGTTGACCTCAGAAAGAACGTCCTGAGCAAGGTCCAAGAAAAGACCATTACCGGCATCACAAAGTCGACGAAGTCTAAGTTGTTCATGAAGAGTTACCACCAACGAATGAATCCGCAGGTTAGCATCCCCTCCACAACTTTTTTCCATGAATTTAAGATAAATAAATAGCAAAGAGAGGGTTTGAACAAAGATGTCCTTGAGCTTTCCATACGCCTTGATTGAATGTTTCATGATAGAAGTCTTTGTACTGTTAATCATGGCTGCCTCTTCATGCAAACTAAACAAATAAAGAAGGCTAAACATCTTGAGTAGATTGTGGATTGTCTTTGCTGGGTGTACCCCTTTATCAAATTGATTGACCACCAAATCCCAATTGTTCGCTTGCAACCGAGTAAGAAAGGCCAATAGGTAATCTCCATAACACCCAACAACCTTGATGACATCGTTAGGCTGTAAGTCATGGGAAGTGATATACTCAATAAGAAACTCAAGGAAATATCCGAATCCAAGTTGAATGCCTCCGATGGAAGTATCTCTACTATAGATCAGAAATAAGATATTCCATAAACTAACAGTCATATCCACTTGAGCCCCAAGAAGAAATTCCTTGATTTTCAAAGTTGTTTCTTCCTGTTCATGCTGAGTCTTGAATAAAATATCTTCAAGCAACCTCTTGCTATCGTATTCATTGTTTAAAATCCTTGAAAAAACTGACAATATCTCGGTAGTGTTCAATCTTGATTTGATCGACTCTTCACTGAGTCGCGATATATGTTCATAGTTTGGTAGTTCTAAGCAAACATCGTCGTGGCTTGACTTTATCTCATCTGTGAGTTCGTACAACAAAGTGGTGACCATTTTCCCATTGTAAGGATTCCCAGTAGCCTTTTCCTTGAACGTGATGGCCCATTTATACCGGTAAAGGTCATTCTTCGAGACATTATTCTCGCCCCTTTGTGCGATCAAGTCATCAATAAAGAGATTCCATCTTTCCATCTTGTCATGAAGTTTCACACTTTCCAAATGTAAGGAATTGATCAAAAATCTATTAGATTTCAGAGGTGGACGTCTCTTGGCAATATTACACGCATTCGTGAGGTTTGATCTGAGACTCATGTACAAGTCAACCAAGATTTCAAACACCCCCACTGAGAAGGTCAATCGATTGTCTTCGCTCTCCTGGTGTTCATTACTCCAAAGACTACCCCGCCATCTATTGAGGATCATAGTTTCTCCCAGTTGCACCCATTCTTTAACCAATTTTATGAGTTTAGGGTTCCATTTCACATAGGCAATGGGAGGGAACTCGGCATTGACACCCACAAGTAATCGATGAAGAATGGCATATTTTACATCTTCCAAGTGCATATTGGATTCATTGAGTTGTTTCAAGAAGGCAATTATATCCGAAGGAGTGTCTTGTTCAGATGTGGATTCAAGATCGAGGCTAGTTTGCATTTCGAAAGAGTTGAGCACGTCTAGAAGTCTTTGTTTTTCAACCTCAGCGGTGTCTGAATTGGCTCCAGTGATCGTTGAATTGATAAACAATGTTGTGTAGGATTTATTCCATTCAGAGAGTGCCCGAAGAAACTGCAGAGAAGCAGATTTAGGCTCTGTGACCGTTTCATGTGCAAAGTATAGATCCACTACATCTTGTAATTGGAATGGTTCATTGTCAAACCATTCCAGTTTGGTATCTTGGCAAAGAAGAGAGAGTTTTGACAAATATGCATTGATGGTTGTGAAATTCCTACTGGTTTCAACAAAGGTCTCTGCAGTAATCTCAACGTCTTCAATTGGTGCGAGTTCTTCCACTCGTAACCGTTTGGAGGATCTTTTTATCGATGGAGTGACTGTAGCAGGTTTGGATCTTTTTGGAGATGTTATAGTTTCAGTCTCCAGGGGGTCTGCCTCTTCCACTTCTTCTTCACCTTCATCTTTTGGACCTTCTCCTGGAGTTTCCTCCTTCTCCTGGATGTCGGGCTTACTCCCTGTGGTATCTGTGTGCCCTAGTGGGTAAGACTCTTTCGGCAATTCTTCCCCTGCCTCGAAAAATTCCTCGTTATCCGACGAATCATTGTCATTATTATTATTATTATTATTATTATTTTCATCACGTTCATTATCATTAGCAAGTTTGGTGGGTTCTTCCTCGACTTGTATATCGAATTCTTTTGAAACTGTTGTTTCATCATCTTCGTCTATGATTTCCTCATCCAACTTATCTTCTCTCTCTTCAACCAACTTGTCATCTATCTCTTCATTCTTCATATCTTCATCCTCTTTAAGTTCATCTTCTTTATGCTCATCATCCCCACTCTCCTCTTTATGCTCATTCTCTTCATTTATTTTCATCTGATCATTCTCACATTCAAAATTAATTCTCTCTATTGGAGTCTCACATAAAAGATACCCTTCTATATCCTTCATTTTGGATTTAGCTACATCTGGACCCTTTGCCTTATCCATCATTTTCTTCACTGTAGCGTTGATATTCTCAATAACCAGAATCCATGTCAATTTGTCAATGTTCCCCTTTACAACTTCCACATCCAACTTTATTAATTTCCGTGTTTTCTCCTTTTGATCTTCAAAATCTTTTCTTATTGGTTCAAGAAATGCTAAACTTTGTTCAAAAATGGAGGGAATTGGAGCATTCATACTCGATAACTTATTCCAAAATAAGTTTAATTTCTTAATCAGACCACGATCTTTGGGTAATAACCCCAAGATATCTTCACTTTCCAGGGAACTAGCCAATGAATATTCAATTGTGTATCGTTCTAATCTCAAAATCTTTAAATATGAAAAGATTTGATAGAGAACTTTGAGAATTTCTTCGTCAACTTCTTGATAGATAAAGCAAATGATAAGGTCATCGATCAAGGAGTAGAACACTTGTTTGTTGTCGGTCAGATCTAGTTCGATTCCCTCCTTGAGAATGTTGTAGTAGAGGAATCCTCTATTTCGAAACACCAAGTATCTAAGCAATTTCACGTTGGGGGACAAGAATGATAATTCATCAACCACATTGTTCGAGCCTCCGTTTTGAAGACCCTTTATGTAGTCTTCCTCCTCGTAGTAATGGTTGGAGATGACTTCTAGTTTGAAGAGATCTTCATAGAGATGGTAAGCCTCGATATACTCAGCTTTCTTTTGAAGTTCAAGTGCTTTTTGAAAGAGTTTGAACGCTTGTTCGATTTGGATTTCTCGCGTATGTTCCTCCTCCAAATCTTTCTTGGACGTGGCAGGGTCTTCTGTAAGGTTCAGAGGGATGAATGCGGACTAAATGTTAGTGGGTGGACATGAGTAGGAAGATAATTGCCGGACAGACAGACAGGCAGACAGACAGACAGGCAGACAGACAGACAGGCAGACATAGTAGGAGTCGAACCTACACGAATTAAATTCAGAACATCTTAAGTATTCTATGTCTACCATTTCATCATAACCGCTTACCTATCAGACAGACAGACACTCAGACTCTTGGGCAAGACTTGAGACATTGTCTTGTGGCACGAAGAAGTACAAAGAAAAATACAGTATAAGGGGGCCACATCCTCCCGGAGAAGTACATACCATAACTTGCGTTGATTTAGCCCAGAACAAGCGAGTTTCCCGGTTCCAATTGGTGCTATTTCCAATCACAGGTGGGGTCCTTCTGGTGGAGGATCCTCTATTGATGTTTTCCTGATGTTTGGCCTGCAGATGGCAGACACTCAAAATGGCGTTCGCGTATTTTACCACAAAGTTACACCACGGGAAAAGCAGCAGCAGTGCTGCCACCAGGAACGGAGTTCAGAGCTGCAAGTCTTTCTACTGGCACTAGGGGACCCCTAGGAGAGGATCTATGTACCACGCAGTCGCTCTCGGGGCGGAGCGGCTTACAATCCCACCGGGAAGGAAGTAGGAACCACCCTACGGGTTTGCGAGCCGCTCCGCTGGCACTCCGTGGGCCACTAGCCGTGGGGGCCTTGTTCCTCTTACGAGGAATGTATCAGGCTATACTCTACATGCTTAGTTTTACAGTTGTCTTACACGCTCTGGCTCACCGTTTACCTTAGAATTACTCTTTCTCCCCCCTTCTAAACCTTCTCTCCTACATCTTTCTCCCGCATGTATCTCCTGGCTACGTACAGTCTCCTCGTAGAGGAGCTAGGCACCACGCAGTGGCTCTCCCCGAGCAGGGGCCAGCGGAGCGGCTTGCAGTCCCGCAGGGTTGGCCAGTCTTTTTCCTACGGAACCTACAAGGCGCTCCGCTGGGACTCCTTGGGCCACTAACCGTGGCGGCCCTGTTCCTCTACCAAGGAATGGGCACTGGCTGCGAGTGGTATCCTCGTAGGTATCCTCGTAGAGGAGCTCCATGGCTAGTGGCTCTCCTTGAGAGTAGGGAGTCTATGGAACGGCTTGTATAGAATAGACCTTCTCCATTCAGGGAACGGCGTTTTACAGCCAAGAATTTTTACCGCCATTTTACAACCATTTCCACATTTTTTTACAGCCAAGATTTCTTTTCAAAGATTCTCCATAACATTTAAATGACAGCCATTACCTTCGAGTTCTCTACGTCTCTACATCTTTCTAATTATATTAATGCATTAAATGTCTATAGGGTCGTTACATCGTACTATTAAATACGCAGCTCTTCAAACTTCTTCACTGGAGGAACTATGAGAGTGGCCAGAAGTGAAAGTGCTGAAATCATCCTTTTCCTCGTCATGGGCTTCAGACAGAAGATTGGTTACATCTTTCACTTCTTCTTGCAAATTTTTTTCATGTCTACCAAATCTTAACCACCAGATTCCATGAGATGTGGCAATTCCGATTTCCAACACCAACACAATCGCATATAAAACCATACTCATAATGTCAAATTGACCCACAATGATACTGAGCATGGACAAAAGAGCACCCATGGAATCGAGCGACAAGAATACAAAGTTGATTCCAACCACACGACCCTTTCTCTTGGCCAATTCAAAATATGGTGGGATAAGTCCCAAGGCAAGTAACACCAGCGCAAGGATTCCAAACACCAACATTGGCCATTCGGTCCCACGACGATAAAGTGGACGCAACCATACAATGAACCCGGCTTCTGCACCGGCGGAAATGGCTACAAATATCCCAACGTACAAGAAAACGCGACCAAGTTTCATCAGGATTGGAGGGTAGTACAAAGTTTGCGCCCAGGCCACCACACAGAATGTGGTGAACAACTGGGGCTGGATTCTTAACGGGATAGACCCGTCAATACCGAAAAAATAAATTGAAAAGGGAACACCACAAGCAGCCCAAAGGAACATCATGAGTGGTGGTAAACCTTCACAATCCTTGACCCGGTAGTTTCTAACAATCTGGGGCACGAGCTGGATACACCACAAAATGGTACCGGCGGTGGCTAGCACATTCTCAGCAATGTTGTTACCCATGGTTGACTAGTTGTGTGATCGATTTGATAAGGGGTGGGGTTAAAAAAGAGGGACAAGTCCTTTTTTTTTAAGTTTGTGGTTGTGCGCGCGCAATCAGCCAAAACTCACACACTGCAAAAAATGTGTGGGGGGTGAGGCGTTAGAGGCGGTAAATGTGGGACCTAGTTGAGAGTCTGTTCGATAAAAGACTTGAACAGGTACTGTATTCGAATTGATTTCGAATTTCGGGAGAAACAAGGATATATATGTAAAATTCCGGGATCAAGTTTCAAAAATAGGCAACTGAAATTCGGAGTGGTTGCAACTATCAAATAGATAAGATAAAACGCAATTTATCAATTGGGAAACTTCGTATATCGGGAGTTTGTTGAGGTTTGAAGTTGTCCAATGCTAGGAAAGTTATAGATGAAGGCTTCTCAGTCCTGGCATTGAAGGAGGGGGGCACACAGCTCCATTCATATACTGTTGGAACTTGTAGCTTTAGCCATCCCCTAGAGCATGGAGTTTCCTGTTTTGGTAATGCGCGGGAAAAATTTTCAGTTGAAGGAGAGCAAAAAAAAACTTTTCTCACGCTTCAAACGGTCGCAAACATGCGCGTTCGCCTTAAACCGACCCGCGTGGCCGGTAGGGTTCATTCTAGAATAAGGGTCAAACATATTAAGGATTAAGAATTAAGGTTTACAAGGAAAGATAGACTCGAATTAGAAAAGAGAGGAGGAGAAGACGACTACGACGATTAGAGTTGGCCAAACTCGTAGATATCCTCCCAGCTCACGGATCAAGTGGGGAGACACATGTCAAGTCAATTGACTCTACGAGACTCTACGAGTCACTACGAGTCCACCAGGGCAAAAAAAAAAGAAATTATTTACTATGAAAATTTGCGCTCGAAGGAAAATTTTTTTTTTGGGAGCCACAACGTGGGGAGACTGTGTGTGAAACACCAGGTAAAACTTCAGGTCAATTGATCAATCCAATGCAGAACGGGGCTACTCGCTGTCATACTCGAAGCCGAACTCGTCGTCTGCCGAACCTACAAGCTCCTCTGCAGAACTGGAGTCCGATACGGACACATGCTCATAGACCCGGGTTTGTGCGGTAGGTTCAATGGGCTGCGAATTTTGCGTCTTTAATCCTGCATTAGTCGCCATGTAGCGATCATTCTGCGTGGGTTTGTTGCCTGCATTGGGAATGTCATAATGTGGCTGCAACGTTTCTTTTTCATATTTTCTAGGGCTCTCCATCTGGAAGGTCAGTGCTTTAATTTGGTGGATGTTTGTTCCACAGGGTTCTGTAGTAGCTTTAGCGTATTGCGCATCAATTGTCTTGTTTGGGATTGCCTCCGTAGGCTCATGAGGGTGGGATTGTATAACCTTAGTGGTCCCAGATTGTGGCTCCGCATAAGGTTCCCTATTGAAGGGAAGAGGCGAAGATGGGGCGTAGACCAATTCCCCATTGGAATCTTCAACAAAATGGGCAATTGGCACGGAATCTAAGAAGGAATCGTGTGATAATGCTGGAGATGATTGAGGAGTGATTTCATGTGAATTTATTTCAATTGGAGATCTATCATGTGGGACTTCTTGTGGAAGGAATCCGCCTTGAAATTCTTCATTGGTTGTTTCTGGAAAGAAACCTTCAGGGGTATTTTCAATTGGGTTTGGAAGAATTTTAGAATCTTTCTGATCTGCAGATTCTACAAAGAATCCTCCATTAGAATCTTCTTTACCTGATTGGACTTCTTCAACTGTCTCCTGGAGGAACCCTCCTTCATTCTCTCCAAAGAACCCTCCTCCCGTATCTTCTTCAACTGATTGACCATTGATATCCTCTTCAACTGTCTCCGGGAGGAATCCTCCATCATTCCCTCCAAAGAACCCTCCTCCCGTATCCTCTTCATTTTTAGATTCTTCTGGTAAGAACCCTCCTTCCACCTCCTCTCCTACAATGAACCCACCACCTATCTCCTCTCCTATCTCCTCTCCTATCTCCTCTCCTATCTTCTTTCTAACTCTTCTTGACCTCCTAATACCATCTCTACCTCCTCTAAACTCCACATCAGACCCTTCACTCTCACTACCAACACTATACTCATCCTCTTCATCCTCTATTTCCTCTTCATCGAGCGGCCGCGAGCCTGACTCCCTCTCAACCTCACCATGCTCTTCATCCAATCTCTTGGAAATTCTCAACTTGGTCAAGAAATACTTCCAATTCTTCAAAGCATTCCTTTCCACAAAATCTCTCCTTTCCTCTTCTTCCTCTTCCACTAAGCTATCCATCACAGCCTCCATAGCTTCTCGATATTGTACATCGATCAAAATCCCCCCCTCCTTCGCAGTTGGGACTCGTTTCTTCCCAAACTCAAAGGCAACCACCGCTCGAGCATAGTCTATCGCTAGAATATGTTTGGCAGCCCGTTCAGCCATTTTCATCGTATAAGGAGGTTCCGTCCTCAAAACAAACCCGTTCTCTGGGACCATACTCTCTGTATAAATATCAATGTTACCAAATGAATTCTTCGGTACTTTCCCATCAACAACTGCTGGTGGAACGTACATTTTGGTTTGGAAATCGGCATAGAGTCTAGTTGAAGTATCTTCCTCATCACTATCACTATCAAGAGTCTTGCTACCTCCTCGCCTATTATTGTTATTATTTTGTTTCTCCTTCAAGGGATGTGCCCCGATTTTAAGTACTCTTCCTCGCATATACCAGGCCTTGGCGGACCTTAGTGAATGTACACTGGATCGTTTATAAATGGTCATGACCAGCTCCTTACTACTCTTTTTGTTATTGCTGGTTCTATTCCGGAAAAGTCCACACTCACTGCTCTTATCCTTCGGATAAATGACTTCATTCTGTCGAAGTTGTGACTCCAAGGCATACAATGGATGGTTTTTGAAGTCTGCCACATTGTTGGGGATCCCTTCACACAAGTCTCGATCATGGAATTCTTTCATTTGAAGTGCATCCATTCGAGAAATAGAAACCGTGGGCCGTCCTCCCCCTCTTCCTTTAGCTCCTCTATTCATCTCTCTTAATACTCGTTCATACCAAACCTGATCAAGACGATAGGATATCCTCTTCTTGGAGGTCTTTGCATTGTACGAATGGGAATATCTACGAGTCACGTCGCGTACCCCTCCTCGTCTATCATAACTGATGACATAGGTGAGTTGATTGCGGACATCCGTCGTTGGAGGCTCCAATGAAGACTTCTTCCTCATGGGAGGCACTTCAATGATCTTGAACGCCATGGGATCTATACTCACCCATTTCAGGTTGTTTTTATTCCATACTTCGATCCAGAAGATTGGGAATGGTGAGTCTTCAAATGGGTCCACCACCGACCGTTTAGCGGCATTTACTGGGGAATTACGTATACTCTTGAGGAAATCAGTTCTACCTCTCCCAGTAGCCAAGCCAGATCTGGGTCCACTATTTATCTTTTCATCTATCACTCTTGGATTTTCTGGTACTTTACTCACAGCAACACTGGTGAAATCAGGGGCTTGCACCGAGAAAACTAATCGACTATCCAACCCAATGGACCGGAGCATAGCTACAAATCCTTGGGCCCCTACATCTCTACTACCTCTGAACCCCATGACCTGAGCTCTGAACTTTGCTAGTGTCATGTCTCCTTCACTCTTGAGTCGTTTCATTGATAATTCACCCCAATTCTTCCTCACCAACCCTTTATGGGTCACTCTCCATCTACCAGCATAAAGATCCATCAATTTCCGAAGTCCATCAAGAAATCTTCTGGTCCTCACCGTTGGGAGGATTTCCCGACCCCTATCGTTCGGCGGGGAGGCGAGACTTTTGCCACCCAACAACTCCTTCGTCTCACGAGATATAAATTTGTGTAGATATTGTTGGGTCGACTGGTCATTGCACCATTGATTACGCACTGCTCCGTGACACATCATTGCCACTAGACACATTTGATGGTAAAGTATTCGATACTGTCGTTCCTCCTTGGAGATGTGTGTCTGTTTAGGTTTCCGAGGAGGCACAACAGTGGCGCTTTTGATGGTGATTTGGAGTTCTTGGGGCTCCTCGGGAACTTGGTCCAAGTTATAATGGGAGGTGTAATCCACTTCTACATCTTCAAAATCGTCTGAATCGTCTGAATCTTCAGAACTGGAAGAAGAGGTGTTGTCAGTAAGAGAATCTACAGTAACAATCTGATTAGTCTGGGGACTCTCCACCGTACCAGACGATGGTGTCAGCTCCTCATTCTCTCTCTCAGTCTCCCGCTTCCTTCGTTTCCGGGCGCGGCCTGCTTCCCCTTCATTCACCGCACCCGCGAAATGGCCCTTCAATAGCCCCTTGTACGGTGTATCTGACATATTCTCATCTGATCATCAAATCTTATGATCCAATCCACAAATGAATTTTTTTCCTCTATCGCATGAAAAGTAAAAATATCCCCAAGATTCCTGGTAGAGTATACCTTGTCGTTTACCACCACCTTACCTATTCCTGGACATATTTTGCTCTGGCAGCTTGCATTCGATGAAGAACACATGGTTGTTTCCCCTGCGACTATCTTGGAATCGGCTTCCGCATCTGCTGGGACTGTTTACTAGGTGGTTACTGGAGTCACGAGTCTCTTCACCAGTCTCTCCATCAGCTCCTCCATCAGCTCCTCCACTCCCCCTGCCACTTTCCCAAATTCTTAACCGTACCAAGGACAAATCCCATCGATCATTATACCACAAGTTGGACCGCATACGAACTCGATATCATCCGAAAAGTTCTCCATCTCCACCATCAGAGTCTTCATCACCATCTCCAGCATCCACACTCTCCCCCTCTCTTCTGCATCTCCTTATCCTTCTAAGGAAACTAAACCAGCATCAAATGGCACACATCAAACTTTCCCCCAGTGTAGGTCTACCCACAACCCCACCAACAAACGTCCACTTCATCGAACCGTTACTCTTCCATGCCATTGTCAGTGGAGTCCCCACCAACTCCTTGGACCCCCTTTTCCTCGAAACACAACGACACCATCTAAACCAACTCCTCGAAGGGATCCTGAAGATGTTGAACCGACCGTTGACTGACCAGGAGATCAAATGTACTGACTCGGAGTTAGAAATGGTTCTCGATACAATTCGATCAGACTCCCTGGGTAACGACTCCTCCTCGGGTTCCAACTCCAGCTCTGGTTACGCCTCCCCCACAACCCTACAAAGGATCATACCCCTTCTCCAAATCATTTCCCCCGAGTACACCCCACAAACAATCTCCCAATTCATCCTTTCGATCACCTCACCAACCATCACCCTGGCCTGTAAATCTTTAGCATCTCTTTCGTCAATCCCCACCTGTGTCCTTGTGGATATCCTTACTCGGACCCCAGTCTCCAAAGAGGAATACCAACTCCAATTCCAAATCTGGACCGATTTCCATCGTCAATTGGTCACCGACTTCCAAAAATTGTCTTCTTCAAAAAATTTCCGTCAATGTTTCGATCAACTTCTTATTAATGCCCCAGAATTCGACCCCACTGGGGGCGTGGTTGATCTTTTGCAGAACACCCTCCCGTTCCATTCGACGGGGAAGACCGACTTGTTGACGTCAGAGTACCTCAATTCCGTTCTTTGGTCCATTCTGTACCATCAAATGATTAGGAAACTCCCCTTTGCCAGAAATGCTGTTGATTCTCCAACTGGAGCCCATGAATTGATCTTGCACCATTTAAGTGCAGGGTCCAACACCAACTCCAACAGTAGCTCCATCAATTCATTGACACTCCCTGGATACATGGCCATTGTCCTTGGGATCAGTTCCATCTCCCGTGACAAAGCAAACAAATTGTTTACCATTGCTCTGAGGAAATTCAACCATCAACCACAATCAAGAGAACATTATATCGTTAGGATCTTCCTTGCTGATACCCCTGACGTACTTCTCTACCGGTTCAACGAGGCAGCCGAAACGTTTGGCGATTTCGCCACCCTTTGGCACGTCTTTGTGGTGAAATTGGATGCCTTTGGTCTTTTGACCGAGACAAGGGCCATCAAGGTTCTTGAACAGATTGTACATCGGGGCGACAACATCCTCTTGACCAAGGATATCATGCTTGTGCTCTTCAAGCCAATCCAATCTATGCGGTCATTGGAAAGATTGGTCAGGATCTTACCTCTGAAGCTTTTACAGGCCCATAGAACAACGACATTCCAAAAGTTCCTCCGGTTGTACTACCAGCTGGGGAAGAAGAAGCTTAACCATAGCCGTCACCCAACACTCTCACAACTATTCCCTCCCTCTCCTGGCGGCTTCTACTCGACATGGCCCCACAAAACCGTCTCCCACATCGGTATCATGCTCTATGGAGAAGCCATCCTTCAGCCACAAAACTTGTACAAACTTTACCTTGACCAGTTGCAAGATGGCTGTCAACCCAACGAGGAATGCATTGCCGCGCTAGTCCGTGCCGCCAAGGTCCCATTGGACGACGGTGAGTGCATGCTCTGGGGTGAGATGTACGCTCCCCAGGTGGCCATCCACGAGTTTGCCAAACACGTCATGACAGAATTGGAACCACGGCTGTACCGCATCTACCCGAGCGACCGGCTCTGGCAGAACTACATCGCCATGCTCCTGCAATACGACTACGTCTCTGAGCTTTCCTTGGTGATGAAATGGTGGGAACGGCTTTCCTTTGTTCCCAGCCATTCGACCTTGTTCCAACTCTTGTTGGCGTTACCCGAGGGCATAGCCGAACGCCACATCATCCACGTGGAGAAGGTCAGAGCTAGCGGAGGCGAGGGGGGAGTTGCGGCGAGCAGCAAGGGGGACATGATCGAATGGCCATGGCCCACTCTCACGGAGTTTCAAGATGAGAAGCTGCACAGACAATCAAGATAGCATATAGCACTTATAGACATAGAAGTAATTTAAAAGAATAGTCATTAGAGAAGTTACAATAGCTGAGATCCCGTGGGGCCCCGTATGGGAGAGAGTAATCTATCCTACGCTGTTGTACGAGAGGTCGTCCATGGAGTGACATTCACTGACAACTTCAAGAAAGAGAAGGAGTGGGTGTAGCCTTACAGTGGGGGTAAGACTCTCCGCTGACCCCTATCCGGGGAGGGCCACTGCGTGGTGCTTAGCTCCTCTGCGAGGAGATCACCTGGTTGCAAATTCCTCGCCAGAGGAACGGGAGCCTCCACGGCTAGTGGCCCACGGAGTGCCAACGGAGCGGCTTTCAGCCCCGCAGGGTAGGTAGTAGCAGCCACCCCACGGGGTGTACAAGCCGCTCCGCTGGCCCCTGCTCGGGGAGAGCCACTGGCGTGGTGCCTAGCTCCTCTACGAGGAGACTGCACGTAGCCAGACCCTTCCTCGGTAGAGGAACTACGCCCCCACGGCTAGTGGCCAACGGAGTGCCAGCGGAGCGGCTTGCATGTCCCATAGGGTGAGCCAGTCCCTTCACTAGGTGATCTGCATGCCCCTCAGTTGGTCCCTTGCTCAGGAGAGAGCCACCAACATGACCTCCTCGTCCCTGAGATGGCCCAAACCCTCGGCACGTCACCTGCACTGTTTTATGGCTTTTTTTGCAGCCGTGTGCCTGCACATACCGCAGCCAATCAAAGGCCGCCATTCGCCAAAGTTACCCCGGAAACCGAACGGGAATCTCACGGATATTTAAATTGAAGCGAACGTCCCGAAAAATTTCATTTAGGAAATCAAGACAACCAGATCAAAACCTACGCCTATCCACCATGTTGTCCGCCAGAACCTCTGCTCTTCACTCCGTCAGAAGAGCCACTTTTGCTCGTAGATTCATCTCCACCAGAATTGAAACCGATGCCTTTGGTGAAATTGAAGTTGATTCTTCCAAATATTATGGAGCTCAAACCGCCAGATCGAAGCATAACTTCAAGATCGGTGGTCCTGCTGCCCGTATGCCTCTCCCAGTGGTCAGAGCATTCGGTGTGTTGAAGAAATCTGCCGCCATTGTCAACGAGTCTATTGGTGCCTTGGACCCAAAGATCTCCGAGGCCATTCAACAGGCTGCCACCGAAGTTGCCGAAGGTAAGTTGGACGATCATTTCCCCTTGGTTGTGTTCCAAACTGGGTCCGGTACTCAATCCAACATGAATGCCAACGAAGTTATTTCCAACCGTGCTATTGAAATTTTGGGTGGTGTTTTGGGTTCCAAGAAGCCAGTGCATCCTAATGACCATTGTAACATGTCTCAATCTTCCAATGACACCTTCCCTACAGTCATGCACATTGCTGCGGTCACCGAGATCACCCACCACTTGTTGCCAGAATTGACCAAGTTGAGAGATTCTCTCCAACAAAAGTCTGATGAGTTCAAGGATATCATCAAGATTGGTAGAACTCATTTGCAAGATGCTACTCCTTTGACCTTGGGTCAAGAGTTCAGTGGATATGTACAACAATTAACCAACGGGATTGAAAGAGTTGAAAAGACCTTGCCAAACTTGAAGTTCTTGGCTCAAGGTGGTACTGCAGTTGGAACTGGATTGAACACCAAGATTGGTTGGGATGTCAAGATTGCTGAAGAAGTTTCACGTTTGACCGGCTTGGACTTCAAGACCGCCCCTAACAAGTTTGAAGCCTTGGCTGCCCATGACGCCATTGTCGAAGCCTCTGGTGCCATCAACACCGTTGCTGTGTCCTTGTTCAAGATCGCCAATGACATCAGATACTTGGGTTCTGGTCCACGTTGTGGTTACGGAGAACTCTCTCTCCCAGAAAACGAACCAGGTTCGTCCATCATGCCTGGTAAGGTCAACCCTACCCAAAACGAGGCCTTGACCATGGTTGCCACCCAAGTGTTTGGTAACCACCTGGCCATCACCTTTGCCGGAGCCCTGGGACAATTCGAATTGAACGTGTTCAAGCCGGTCATGATTTCCAACTTGTTGTCTTCCATCCGTCTTGTCGCCGACGGGTCCGCCTCCTTCCGTGAACACTGTGTTGACGGGATTGTTGCCAACCGTGAAAAGATCGAAAAGACCTTGCACGAATCCTTGATGTTGGTCACCGCCTTGAACCCAAAGATTGGGTACGATGCCGCCTCCAAGACCGCCAAAAACGCCCACAAGAAGGGCTTGACCTTGAAGGAAAGTGCTTTGGAGTTGGGTGTCTTGAACGAACAAGAGTTTGACGAATGGGTCAGACCAGAAAAGATGATTGGTCCAAAGGCTTAAGTGTGCCCCCCCCCCCCCCCCCCCCCCTATTGGCTGCAAGTAGACAGAAAATAAAATTGTCACCTTTTTGGCTGCCAAAATTTTTGTAAACAACCCCTTCAGGTGGCAAATTTGGCAACACATATATTCCCACGATCACACGGGGTGATCGGTTTAGTTATGTATTTATTGTATATATATATGCGCATGTATTAGAGTGCTTAGAGTTAATGGTTCGACTGGTCCTCGGTGGAGGGGACTTGAGGACGTTTGTATTTAAAGAGTTACTAACCTTTGCTGGGTAGGGGCAAGTGGAGCGACTTACAGACCCCACAGGGATGGCAAGAGAGCACCCTACGGGGTCAGCAAGCCGCTCCGCTGGCACTCCGTGGGCCACTAGCCGTGGAGGCCCCTGTTCCTCTTCGAGGAAGGCTCTGACTACGTGCGGTCTCCTCGTAGAGGAGCTAGGCCCCACGCCAGTGGCTCTCCCCGAGTAGGGGCCAGCGGAGCGGCTTACAACCCCCGGAGGGTGGCTGCTCTCTTCCCTACGGGGTCCACAAGCCGCTCCGCTGGCACTCCGTGGGCCACTAGCCGTGGAGGCCCCTGTTCCTCTTCGAGGAAGGCTCTGACTACTTGAGGTCTCCTCGTAGAGGAGCCAGGCCCCACGCCAGTGGCCCTCCCCGGGTAGGGGCCAGCGGAGCGTCCCTCATGGTGACTGTTTCCTTCCCCACGAGGCTGTGAAAGTTTGGCTGCGAAAGCCAATGTCCTACGAACTACGCCCACGCCCTCTGAAGGTGGCCTAGGCCGTCCCATACTACTGTGATTCTACGGGTCTACTACGGAGGCGTGTTCATCCCCTCGTTCGCTAATGACGTACTTTTGACACCTCAGGAAGGGCTGTACCCCTACACCTCCCCCTGCAGGTTACGACCTTTTACTCCTGAAACATGGTGGCAAGGACCTGATTTACACCCAGAGGGGAAGGGGGCGGAAAGAGGGGAATCCACTGGGTGCGGGAATGAAATATCGTAACATGGAGCGCGGACCCCAACACATATGTAAAGGAGAGCGAGCGTCTTTTCAAGGAGAAGGAGGGGCTAAAGTGCCACTTTCTGTGTCACAAGTGGAAAATCGCATAGGGTCTCGAATTTCAATTTCAGAATTTTTGTGATAGAGAAAAAAAATTAATCTGACTGATACCTCTACGGCCAGATCTTCATCTAACATGTCACTTTCCGACATATTACAACAGGTCCAGCGGAAGGGGAGGCTCCCCGTGGGCCAGGCGTCTGCTGGCAAGGAGTCTGTGACGAAGCAACCCAACAACGGAGGCGGCGTGAAAGTTGATAGAAACACAAGAGACGGGTCTCAAGGGCAAAGAGTTGTTGATCCGGTGGTTGCCCGGTTGAAAGCAGCAAGAAAGCTTGAGATGGAGAAGAAAGAACAGGCAAAACGAGACAAAATGGGCCAACCATCAAAGAAATTGGTTGCAAAGATCCCCATGAGAAAGGCACCAGCGCAACCACAGACTCGTAGAAACGATCCTCGAACAAAGGGGAATAGAGGCGTCACCCCGACTGCTTCGGGAAGAAATCCTGCCTCGTCGTCCACTACGCCAACTGCGCCACCTAAAAAGAAGATGAAATTCAACGAATTGATGAAAAAGGCGTCCCAAATCGACCATTCAAAGTTGTCCATCACTCCAACCATCCGACCAAAGTCCACCTCTACAACGCCACCCATTCAAAAGAGACCAACCGTGGCGTCAAAGAGACCACCACCACCTCCTCCTCCTCCTTCATCCAGACCAGTATCGTCTAAAAGACCCCCCACCACCTCCTCCACTACCGCTTCGAAAAGACCTCCAGGGGTGCCGGGCACAAACACAAGACCTTCAGGTCCCTTGCCCATACGGAAACCATCATCGGCCTTGGAGAGGAAGCTCAATTCGAAAAAAAACCTGCTGGTACTGCTGCTGCGTGTTGGCGAGTCCACCTCGTATGGATACTCCGACTACGAGTCTGACTCGGCCGATTCCTTCATTGTAGACGATGAAGAAGAAGAAACTGCCGCTGCTGCTGCCGCCGCCAAGACAGACTACGATCGAGACGAGATCTGGGCCATTTTCAACCGAGGCAAGAAGAGATCTCACTACGAATACGACGACTACGATTCCGATGATATGGAAGCCACCGGGGCTGAAGTGTTGGAAGAAGAAAGAAGATCAAAGAGAAACGCCGAGTTGGAGGATCGTAGGGAGTGGGAAGAAGAACAAAGACGTGCTGAGGAAAAGAGAAGACGGAAAAGATAAAACAAATTGCATAATTAGAGTGACATGCCGTCAATGTCCGTATAATACTAAAAAGAAAAAAAGTAATCGACTCACTAGAATCATTTGTAGACATCGACAAGGAAGAACGCAACTCCTCGGAGCAACTACCCTACTCTGTCTCTGGCCAGTTTCTTTCCCGGGAGTTACCCGTCGGGAAGGGGATACCAGGCATTCTACGGGGTTGCAAGACGCTCCGCTGGGGCCTCTACCAGGGGAGGGTCACTGTGTGGAGCCTAGCTCCTCTTGGAGGAGATCACCGCGTCCTTCCTCGCAAGAGGAACAAAGCCTCCACGGCCAGTGGCTCACGGAGTGCCAGCGGAGCGGCTTGCATACCCCGTAGGGTAACCATCGCCTTCCCCGTGGGACAGTGAGCCGCTCCGCTGGCCCCTGCCCGGGGAGGGCCACTGGCGTGGGGCCTAGCTCCTCTACGAGGATACCACACGTAGTCAAACCCTTCCTCGAAGAGGAACAGGGGCCTCCACGGCAAGTGGCCCACGGAGTGCCAGCGGAGCGGCTTTCTGACCCCGTAGGGACGCGAGTAGCCATCGTGCGGGGGGCGGTAGGACGCTCCTGCTCGAACACTGCTCCTGGTATGTACACACCGGGCTGTCCCCCTCAAGCATCGCTCGGAAAAAAAGTTCTACAGGGCCATCTCCATCGCCCCCACCCCTTGACCCTCAATCCATACACGTCTGGAGCCGTTCAAATCACAATGTCGGACCGCAACTTCCAAGACGACTACAGAACAACCATCAACAGCATCTCCAAGGAACTCCGCAAGGAGTCACTTGCCGTGCAAAATCGACTCCAGTCGATTCTCTATGACGCCAAGTTTGTGTCTAGCCTTGTGGAGCGCGGCCGTGTGCAGTACCCCATGGTTGCAAATGAACGTTGTGGGTGTTGGTACGTGCCCCCAGCCCGTCAGATCGATACCTGTTACTTCAAGTCCACTGATGGGCACACGGGCCAATGGAAGTTCTCCATGCGTCGGTTGAATTTGAATCTTCTCCCATTGATTGCCAAGCATGGCGGTGTGAGTGTTGTGGACAGTACCAGGAGGGGGAAAAAAATCCCCGATGCACTCCTGAAGACCATCCCCATGTGGTGTGCTGTGTTGAATCGCATCAGATTTGGAGGGGGAAAGAGTGGAGAGGAAGCACTGGTGGAACGTGGCGTAGCGAAAGACGGAGCGATAGACGGCTGGTTGTGCACCCCATTGGAGACGGTGTCCCGGAGTGAACACAGTCAGATGGCTGCAAAAATTCCTGGATTGGCCGTCGAGGTGGAAAGATTGGGGATCTTGACAAGGGAGAAATTGGAGAAAATGATGGACAAGCCATTGATTCCTGAGTGGTACTACCCTGGGATGAAAAACTCGGGGGGTTCGGGTGCAGGGGCCAGCTCTGGTTTCCACTACATCCAATGTATCACTGCCTCTCGACAGGTCACCGCTGCCAACAAGGACATGCTTCCAGAGTACTACGTGCAAGGGTCGGCCGACGACCACGAGCTCTGGGCCACGGCGGACATTTGTCAGGGGAAATTGGACCCTGTCTTCTTCTGGTCGCATGTTGTGACCTGTTCCGACATCGTAGATGAACTGACCGGGTACATCCATCCATGGATGAAGGAGGAGGAACTAGTGAGTAGGTTGAACTCCTTGTACGAGGAGAAGAGTGGCAGCAGCAGCAGCAGCAGCAGCAGCAGTAGCAGCGCCTTGGACGTGACCAGAGTTGGAGCCACGGGGCTTCTTTTCGGTCTGTTGACTCAGTCAATGGAGTACAACACTATAAGGACACTCTACCCATCTGTAAAACAAGTAGTGGTATTCAGTGAAGAGTGGAAAATCAACGGCATTCCGGAAGAACTGGACGTGCTGTTGCGGCCCACGACTGTCCATCTCCATCGGGTCTCCTCGTCGAAGAAGGGGTCCAAACAATTGAGAGACCTCCTTCCAAAACTCGTCCAAGAGTTGGAGAGGCTGTACGGTACTGGGCTGCAGGGCGAGACCATGGTTCTCTGTGACACGGGGAAGGATCTCAGTGTTGCTTTGGTATTGACTCTCTTGTGCCGCAACTTTGACTTGGAATGGGCAAGAAGGTCGGCGTACGTTCGCGCCAACAAGGACTTGGTCAAGCAACAGTTGGGGTTATTGCTGCAGATCAGAAAGGTCAACCCCAGTAGAAATACCCTCCAGAGTGTCAATTTGTGTTTGATGGATGAGCTGCCACGATCATAAGTGGTGGCGAGCTCACAACACTGTGTCTACACTGTGTCTACGGGCAAGGCGATGGACACCCTACGGGGTTAGCGAGCCGCTCCGCTGGCACTCCGTGGGCCACTGGCCGTGGGGGCTCTGCTCCTCTTCGAGGAGATTGAAAGGCACGGCAGGGGGGATGAATACGGGGATCTACGTTAAGTACTAGCACCAAGAGTAGTAGTGAAGGTGTGTGCTACAGTCCCGTGGACTTGCTACGTTCTACACGAACAGTCTCTCTGCCAATTCGAGCCGCCGCCGCTACTGGACAGAGAAGGTAGCGACCCTCCAAGGGCACATCGAAGAGCTCTACAAACTACAAGCTGTCCCGCAAGGTCATCTCTGACGCTTCCTGTCCCTCGAGAAACTTACTCTCCTCGCAGAGGAGCCAGGCCCCACGCAGTGGCCCTCCCCGGGAAGGGGCCAGCGGAGCGTCCTGCAACCCCCGTACGATGGCTACTCGCTTCCCTACGGGGTCAGAAAGCCGCTCCGCTGGCACTCCGTGGGCCACTAGCCGTGGGGGCCCCTGTTCCTCTACCGAGGAAGATCTTCCTCCTAGTGGTCTCCTCGCAGAGGAGCCAGGCCCCACGCAGTGGCCCTCCCCGGGTAGGGGCCAGCAGAGCGTCCTGCAACCCCAGTAGTGCAGGAGTTAGAGAACCTGCGGACTTACATCCCCGTACGGTGTTTAGTGCAGCGTCCCCAAGCCGCGTGCGCACGCTCTCGGCCCTAAGACCCACCACATCCAAACCTTCTGGAGAGATTGACTGCAAGGACCGCCACACCCGGCAACGGCCCCCCAACACCCTGTCCACCAGGAGCAGTACACCCCCACCCAGAGCGATTCAGGGCCCCTGCCCCATCCTCAATGACCCTTTCCTGGCCTTCCAGCCCTCTTCATGTCACCTCCTCGTAAATATTCCCATACATATTTTTCCAATCTAAATAAAAAATTACTTCCAAGTGTCGCTTGTAGTTGTGCTCTGTATACCACCCTTATCTCTTCATTCCTCCTTCCTCCTTCCTCATTCCACCTGCCTCCATACCTCTCTGAGCCACTCTCTCTCTCTTTTTCTCTCTCTCTTTTTCTCTCTCTCTTTTTCTCTCTCTCTTTTTCTCTCTCGGTCTTAAGAAGCACGTCCTGCACATACTCCCCAATCTCCAATTTAGGTGACTTTTCTCAAAATTTGCCCCCAAGAAGGCCCAAACCTTCCCATTCTGTGTAACTTTCTCTTTCCTCTTTTCTTTTCTTTTGCTCCTCTTCTTCCCCCCTCCACCTAAAGGAATTTACACACATCCTCATCCTCATTATCCCCCACCATTCTCCCTATCATGCCCAAATTTCTTTGTCTCCCCGGCTACCTCCAAAATGGGAAAATGTTTGCGGAGAAATCTTCCGGTCTTCGGAAAATCCTCACCAAGAAATATTCCTGTCAACTTGATTATGTTGATCCTCAGGTGATGATCGGAGCTAAGGAACAACTCCCATTCCAACTTTCCTCCGATGAAGTTGAGGCCTCGGCCAAATGGAACGCCCTCGTTGAGCAAGACGTCACTCGTGCCTGGTGGAAACATCAAGATCCGGGCAATTATGAAGGATTCTCTCATTCTTTCTCTTACCTTAAGAAATATATCCAAGAAAATGGTCCTTATGATGGAATCATTGGATTTTCTCAAGGTGCAGCCATGGCGGCAATCATCTGCAACAGTGTAGTTCGCGAGTCCATGCAGGACGCGCCTTTCAAAGTTGCAGTGTTCTTTTCAGGATTTGTATTTACTGAGCCTATTGATCCAACTCAAGATAAATTGGCCTTAACCACTGATTGTAAGGATATTGAAGAATATATTAAGTTGGTACAAGTTGTCCCCGGGTATGAAGAATACTTCACGGTGACTCCAGAAGTTCAACAATCCACCAAAATCATCAATGTGTTTGGATCTTCCGATAACGCCGTCCCGGCGATTAGATCAAAACAATTGACCAAAATTTTCCGCGGTGACAACGCAAAATCCGAGGGTAATGAAAATGACGACCAAGTGATTGAATTCCAACACGATGGTGGGCATTTCATCCCTAATAAGAAACAATTTCTTCAACCGATGGTTGATGTGATTGTCAAGGAGTTGGGGTCCACTTCGAACTTGTAGTGTGGAGTCCCCATCTACCAAAGAACAGAGTGTGTATGTATATAGAGAATCGACGTAGACAGTTCTGATGGGACAAGGTTCTCCTCTCGTAGAGCCGGGTTGCTGTCACGTGGGGAAGCGAGGAAGCTCGGAGCCCTACGAGCGGCCTGTAGCCCCCGCAGGGAAGAGGGCAGCCACCCTACGGGGTCTGTAGGACGCTCCGCTGGCCCCTGCCCGGGGAGGGCCACTGGCGTGGGGCCTGGCTCCTCTGCGAGGAGACCACTAGGAGGAAGATCTTCCTCGGTAGAGGAACAGGAGCCCCCACGGCTAGTGGCCCACGGAGTGCCAGCGGAGCGGCTTGCAGCCCCGCAGGGAAGAGGACAGCCATCGTACGGGGGGGTTGTAGGACGCTCCGCTGGCCCCTGCCCGGGGAGGGCCACTGGCGTGGAGCCTGGCTCCTCTGCGAGGAGACCACTAGGAGGAAGATCTTCCTCGGTAGAGGAACATGGGCCCCCACGGCTAGTGGCCCACGGAGTGCCAGCGGAGCGGATTGCAGCCCCGCAGAGAAGAGGACAGCCATCGTATGCTGTAGGACGCTCCGCTGGCCCCTGCCCGGGGAGGGCCACTGGCGAGGAGACCACTAGGAGGAAGATCTTCCTCGGTAGAGGAACAGGGGCCCCCACGGCAAGTGGCCCACGGAGTGCCAGCGGAGCGGCTTGCAGCCCCGCAGGGAAGAGGGCAGCCATCGTACGGGGGCTGTAGGACGCTCCGCTGGCCCCTGCCCGGGGAGGGCCACTGCGTGGGGCTTGGCTCCTCTGCGAGGAGTTGGTTCTTCTCTCTCTCGGACAAGGGACCTCGCGGCTAGTGGCCCACGGGGTGCCAGCGGTGCGGTCAGGTTGAGACGCTGGGTTGTAGGTGCTCTGGTTGATGGGCCCTGCTCGCGGGGGAGTGCTGGTGGTTTGGATAGGGAGTGCCACACTGGTCGCCTCTAGAGGAGTGTAGGCAACCAGGATCGGTCTCAGAGGAGTCAGGCCCCCACAAGTGGTCGGTGGTTCAGAGGAGGTGAGATCTCACACAGGAGCCCAGGGGGGGGAAGAGGCTTATTGAGAGAGGGGCACCTTGAGAGAGAGGGGGTGGGCACCCTGTGAGGAGTCTACCCGACCTTCCATAGACACACAGCAGATCTACTCCCTTCACTAAGGCCGCGGTTGTCTGTTGGATACCCCAGTCGCCCTCACCTCCGTGGCGGCACGCCGCTTCTTCACAACAATTGCCAGCCACGGGTACAAGGGCAGACCACTGGCTCTCCCCGAGCTGAGGTCAACAGAGCTACCTATAGTCCCACTCTCTTCCCTGTGGGTCTCGCAAGCCGCTCCGCTGGCACTCCGTGGGCCACTAGCCGTGGAGGCTCCTGTTCCTCTGGCGAGGAGTCACCGTCAGTCAGATCTTCCTCGCCAGAGGAGCTAGGCCCCACGCAGTGGCCCTCCCCGGGTAGGGGCCAGCGGAGCGTCCTAGAGCCCCCCGTACGATGGCTGCCCTCTTCCCTGCGGGGCTGCAAGCCGCTCCGCTGGCACTCCGTGGGCCACTAGCCGTGGGGGCTCCTGTTCCTCTACCGAGGAAGATCTTCCTCCTAGTGGTCTCCTCGTAGAGGAGCCAGGCCCCACGCCAGTGGCCCTCCCCGGGCAGGGGCCAGCGGAGCGTCCTACCCCTCCCGCGACAGACCTGCCCTGCCCCGACCCCCCAGGTGGGGTGCCCCTCAGACAAGTAGTGGCCAGGGGCACGTGAGGTGCGAGTGGATTCCACTCGTCACCTTTGGCTGCAAAAAAAAGAAATTTTGGCGTGAGGCGCGCGCTCACTAAGAGACAGAGAGCTCGCCCATCTCAGAGCGGGATTCCGTGATTCAAGCACCCCCACCTCACGACTGGACTGTGCCCCCCTGTAACAAGCAGGTATGCCACGGGCACTGGCCCGTCGACATGGTGCGTCCGGTGCGCCCAGTACAGCGCAGCCACGGTGCCACGAGTCGACAGGAACCGGTCGCAGTGCACCACAGACAGTCCCCACACTCCGTCAGGCCACCCCTATGTCCGTCGTTCTAGCCCCTGGAGGGGCGTAGTAGGTAGCATGCGCTGTGCGGGAAGGGGTGCCAGCTGTTGTCTCCACCGTTGTGCGTACGCTTTGGATGGTGCATGCTGCATAGCCTATTGCCAAATAGCCTGTGCGTGCCGCTAGTGGTGGACTACGAACCAGTGCACGAGATGGACTACGAACCAGTGCACGAGACGGACTTGTGGGTGGTAGTTCGCTCACCTGAAACGACAGACAGCCCTCCCGGTGCCATCGAGCGTCCGGTGGAATCTGCGAGTGAGCGGTGGAGCGCCGCGTGCATGGCTGCACAGGGTCAGCAGATACGCTGGATCGTGGCTGTCTTCGTATCGGTCGGATGGTTAAGCACTGGAGCATATCTCACCTTGCGTTGTTATTGTACAGTCCTGTAGCGGTCCTGTGGTCGTGCTATGGGGAGACCTGCTCCGCGGGACCTCCGCGGACCACTGGCCCTGGGGAGGAGGTGTGTCTTCTCGAAGAGGAGCCAGGCACCACGCCAGTGGCTCTCCCTGAGCAGGCGCCAATGGAGCGGATAATAGACCCTGTGGGGTGGCTGCTCTGTTCCCTGCGGGGCTGTGAGACGCTCCGCTGGCACTCCGTGGGCCACTGGCCGTGGGGGCGTTGTTCCTCTAGCGAGGAAGTCTGGAGGAGAGAGAAACTCCTCGAAGAGGAGCCAGGCACCACGCCAGTGGCTCTCCCCGAGCAGGGGCCAGCGGAGCGGCTTGTACACCCCGTAGGGTGGTTTCTCTGTTCCCTGCGGGGCTGTGAGACGCTCCGCTGGCACTCCGTGGGCCACTGGCCGTGGAGGCGTTGTTCCTCTGGCGAGGAAAGCATGTCGAAGTATTAGCTTGGACCACAAGGTTTGGTCCCTGGCGGGCCAGAAGACATGCTCGTAGACTGTGTAGGGTGTGGAGTACTAACCAAGGGAATGAGACCCTCGCCTTGTAGACCCCTCTGATTCTCTAGAGCTCCTCCTCTTGGTGGCAGCACACACACACACTCTCTCTCTCTCTAGGTGCCACCCACTGGCCCACAACTCTGCACTCTGTGCTTCTCCTGGTCCTACAAGAATAAACCAAACTACGGCGGGGGGGCTGCTACAGCCGAGTCGGTGGCTTCCCTTCGAGGAGATCACTCGAGCTGAAGATTCCTCGTCAGAGGAACACGGCCCCCACGGCTAGTGGCCCACGGAGTGCCAGCGGAGCGGCTTGCACCCCCGCAGGGTAGGTAGTAGCAGCCACCCTACGGGGTATGTAAGCCGCTCCGCTGGCCCCTGCTCGGGGAGAGCCACTGGCGTGGTGCCTAGCTCCTCTTCGAGGAGTTCTCTCTCAGCCAGACTTCCTCGCTAGAGGAACGAGGCCCCCACGGCTAGTGGCCCACGGAGTGCCAGCGGAGCGGCTTACTCGCCCCGTAGGGTGGCTAGGTAACCTATGCGCGAGCTGCTACATTGTGGCCCCCTGCCGGCGAGAAGCCGCCATGACCAGCGGCGGGGCATAGAAGAGAAGGTCCCGCGGCAGATTTCTACGCTACAGAGCCTCGGCCGCAAGTGAGAGAAAGGGAATTTCCTAGATAAGGATTATCAGTCTACATCTTATCTAGAGAATGTTAGTTGTGGGCAGGGGTTGTTGTTGTTGTTGTTAGGCGTGGGGGTGTTTCGTCCCCCACGTGCCTCGGCTGTTGTCAACTCGCCCGCCCCTTCGATCTCTCTTTCACCTTCCCATTTGTATGAGTGCGCGCCTTTTCTGGTTGCTGATTACTTTCATGTTCGCTACTTTGTACCCCATTTGACAAATTTGCTGCCTCCGCACACTCCTTCAACTTAAAATTTCTCATTAATAAAATTGATGTTGTCCAACTACAAACCATGACTATGCCCGATATCGACCTGAAATTGAAGCTTGACACCCCTGCAGAGGGTCCTGTGGTCCAGAATGAGCTGGGGAAACTCGCGCTGGAAGTGCAACCTTCCAAAGAAGAACCAGAAAAGAAACTGATTGAAGCTGATGTGCAAACAGATCAACAGCAACTGCAAGCGATCCAACAACAACAGAAACTGCAGAACCGTCTGGCACTGCCGCTGACACCGCTGGAGGCGATCGACGTGTCGGACGCCTTTTCCAGAAGAACCGAAAAGATAACGGGCAACAATACAGCCCCCACCCCTGTGGCATCGCTGTACACCACCAATTCCAAGCCAATTCCTGCTTGGATGAAGAAACAAGAGGTTGTCAATAAATATGATAAGTATGGAAAAAGAGAATCTTCAGAAAATAATTCTGGCTCGGCTACGATTACTTCAAATAATGACACCCCTTCCTCGGTTACAACTTCTACTTCTTCAATTGAAGATACTTCTTCTCCTTATGCCAAATATCTCTCGGTGTCGTCTACTTCAAGTTCCTCAAGAACCAAACGGATTGAAGATCCACGAAGACGTCGTCGGGATGATGTAGACGATGAAGATGATCGGTCTATTCGTCGTGCTAGATATTCTACTACTACTACTACTACTCCTCCTACAAGTACTACTGCCACTTCCACCCCCATTGGCCACGCGTCTGGGGTCACCCCTTACAACCCGGTCACAGCCGCAGCAGCATCAGCATCCGCGTCGGCTACCACTGCCACACCATCCTACAACCTGTTCAAAAGTAAAATCAACAACAAAAGCAACCGAGACATCAACTCCATTGTAAGAACCCATTACAACCAAAAAACATACCATTCACTCCAACTGGGACCACGTACCAAGTCCCCGATCTACAAACTACGCAACTTCAACAACACCATCAAATACATCCTTTTGGGCAACTATGTGAAGCCGAACCCGGACCGGTCTAGACCCACGGTGATTCTTGACTTGTGTTGTGGTAAAGGTGGGGATTTGAACAAGTGCGAATTTGTTGGGGCCAACCAATTGATTGGTATTGATATTTCCGACGCGTCAGTAAAGGAGGCATTCAAACGATATTCGCAAAATAAAGCGAGATTCATTCATCCAGTAGGGGGGTCACAAAATCCATCGGGTGTACCTGCCAAAAGAGATTCAAGAAAATATAATTTTGACGCGTGCTTTGCCACGGGGGATTGTTTCACAAGAGCAATTCCGGACATTTTGGAACCGGTGTTCCCCGGAATTGTTTCCAATCTATTTCCGGTCGATTGTGTATCGATTCAATTTGCCCTCCATTATGCGTTTGAAACAGAAGAAAAGGTGAAAACCTTGTTGAATAACGTATCACGACTGCTTAGACCCGGTGGAACCTTTGTTGGGACGATCCCATCACTGGATTTCATCCGAGAAAAAATCGTCAAGAAGGAGTTCCTCCCCGGAAGTGATGGCTTGGCATTTGGTAATGATTTATATTCGGTCACTTTCCACCAGCCACCCCCGGAAGACGGCGTATTCCGACCCGCGTTTGGCCACGGGTACAACTTTCTGTTGAAAGACGCGATTGATGACGTTCCCGAGTATGTGGTTCCATTTGAAGTGTTCCGGCTGCTCTGTGAAGACTATGGTCTCACCTTACGGTACAAGAAGAACTTTGTTGATCTCTTCAACGCGGAAATCCCACGGTATTTCGGCCGCTTGAACAAAAATTTGATCGAGGGTATGAAACGGTCGGATGGCAAATACGGGGCCGAGGGTTCGGAAAAGGAGGCCGTTGCCTTTTATATAGGATTTGTGTTTGAGAAGGTTGGCGGTTGAGTAGTTAGAATTGTAATACATATATGGCACAGAGGGGCGTAGGTAGGGAGAGAGAGAAGAAGTGTAGGTAGGGGCGAGAGGCGGGACAGGGGCGAGAGGCGAGACAGGGGGCAGAGAAAGACGGTCGGAAATCGGACGGTAGTCGCGGTGCCGCGGGGAAGGGGGTGGTCACCCTAGGCGGGGGGGCAAGGGGGGAGGTGTAGGACGCTGCGCTTGGCCACTGGTCTGGGGGGAGCCTCGACGGCTAGTGGCCCGCGGAGTGCCAGCGGAGCGTCTTGCAGTCCCGCAGGGTAGGTAGTAGCAGCCACCCTACGGGGTGTGTAAGCCGCTCCGCTGGCCCCTGCTCGGGGAGAGCCACTGGCGTGGGGCCTAGCTCCTCTACGAGGAGACCACTAGCAGTCCGATCTTCCTCGTCAGAGGAACAGGAGCCTCCACGGCCAGTGGCCCACGGAGTGCCAGCGGAGCGGCTTGCACCCCCAGAGGGTAGGTAGTAGCAGCCACCCTACGGGGTGTGTAAGCGGGGTGTGCAAGCCGCTCCCCTGGTCCCTGCTCGGGGAGAGAGCCACTGGCGTAGTGCCTGGCTCCTCCACCAGAAGTTCCCTCTCAGCCACACTTCCTCGTAAGAGGAACAGAGGCCTCCACGGCTAGTGGCCCACGGAGTGCCAGCGGAGCGGCCTCGCGAGCCCCCGCCAGGGGCCACCAGCAGAGGGACCGTCGAAAGGAGGGGCGCAGGGGGTGGGGGAGGGACTGCCAGTACACTGCCAGGGGCCACGTCCTGTGGACGTCGAGGCTGCCACCAATCAACAAACAACGGTCCCGGTCGGTCGCTCGCTCGTATTGTATTGAAAATACTTCTAGCCCATGGCTTAGATGCCTGTCACTGGCCCGAACAGGCATAAGCGGAGCGGAGTTAACGCGACCCTTGTAGCGACGTACGTGCAGATCTAAGGCACTCGCCGGACGCTCTTCTCTCCGGAGGGGGTCGTTCCTCCACGCCACCCTGTACTACGCGCATGTGGCCGTTGTCCTTCCTCAGCTCGCGGGGGCAGCAGGGGGGGGAGCGAGGGGGGACGTCCTACGGAGTGCCCCTGCCCTGGCGACCGCGGGCATCCACGGTGTGGGGCGGGAAACTTCTTGCCAGTGATAAGACAGATGAAACACACGCGAGGGTCGCTCGCTGCTGAACAATGGACCGCCGGGATACGAAGACCCGCGTAAATTCACCTGGTGGTAGCGAGAGCCGCAATGGTGGTGCGCCATTGTTCGCCTACAGCGAAGCGTCCCGTGCGTGGTGTGGCCGGCAGTTGGGAGCGAGGCAGCGACGTCCTGTGTCCTGTGTGCTCTCACTGGCCCCTGCTCGCCAGTATGTTTCGGATTTCTTTAGTGAGAATGTGGGGAATTAGTTCGAGGGGCAGCGACGCCCCCCACGCCGCCAGGGCAGCGAAGACCCCCCCCTCCTCCGCGAGGTGCACCAGCGGTCTCCGGCTTGTGCGCGAGCGCAAGGGTAGAAGCCCGCCCGCCAGCCCTGGCAAAACAAGCCTGGTTGCGGATGGGTACTGGTGACCAGGGGGCGGTCAATTGTCACGATTGCTGCCTATCGGTCAAATGACGCTGTTACCGGTCGCCGGTCGCGAGCGACGGGCCGGTCACGAGCACCGGCGGCGTCGGCACATACGAACAAGGTGCACATACGAGGAAATGGTCAGAAATGGTCGACTAAGATGACTAACTTCTTAGTTGTCCTGGCGATCCACAAGCACCTGACCCAACGCTGGCTGTTAGGAGCAATGTCGCCGGGGCACCACAGCAGCTCGAGCGAAAAAAGAAAGCCTCCCCCCTCCCAAAAAAAAAAAAAAACATTCCTGCCCGCCACCACGGGCACCCAGCTGGGGGGGCACCTGGTCCGGCAGGGGGGGAGAGAGAGACAGAGACCGTCCTTCTGTCCTCGCACCCACACGTCACACCTTCGCTCGCTCGCCCTCGCTCGCCCGTCGCCCACTGGCAGAAACAAAGGCGTTCCGCCAGCGCGTGTGCATGGAACTAAAGGTGCATCTTCACCGGCCGAGAGCGCAATCAACGCTCCGTCTTGGGTGAGACTTTTAATTAAAATTTAAACTTTTCTGTGTGTTCCTGCGGCCTAGACCGCGTTGGAGCTGAGACAAGAGCCGCCAGACATTGTCAAGGAAGTCGTGCGTCACGCGCCGCACCGACAGGTTGCAACTAAATCGTATTTAGTGCGCGCCCCGCGCCACCGGCCACGACCTGGCCGCCCTTGTCCTCGATCGTTTGATCGTGGCAGCCTGTGTGCGCGCGCGTCGCGTGGCCCACTGGCCCCTGGTGGGCATCCCCCTCCTCCCGCCCCTCGTGTGTGTGGTGGGGCCGTTCCGGGGCCCGTCGGCGGGGGTGGCCCGCGGCGGGAAACGGCTGGAAAACGTCCTGCGCACCCACCTCTACCACCGACACCGGCCGTACTGCAGATACGAATCGGTACGAATGCGTATCAGAGAATCGGGTAAAAAGCAAAAATTAAAAAAAAAACAATAAAAAAAAACAATTTAAAATGAGCTGCGCGTGGGTTTGTTGCTGCAGGATTTCTTGGTTATGTCCTGCGCGTCGTATATAAAGTATATCCGATCAAGATGTTAGGCAGGAGCACCCGCGGCAGATACAGTGCTGCGGTGCCTCCGGTCAAGGGACATGGGCACCTTCCAGCGGACTCTCTGTAGGATGCTCTGTGGGACGCTCTGTGGGACGCTCCGTGGGACGCTCCTGCACTCAGCTGTGGACACTAAGCTCACTGCGCTCGCGCGTGGTGGGTGTTCCAGGACCACTCTCTCATTCTCTCCGCTTTTTTCATCGCTGTGAGCCGATCCTGCTGCTGCTCTCGCGGTGGCAGGTTCCTCCACGAACGTGCGCTCGCCTCGCCTCCTGCCACTCGTTTCGCCGCAGGCCCCATCCGTCCTCCGGCTTCTCTCGCGATCACACCCAGGGACGGACCCGATCAGCAGCACACTTTCGCACCGTCTGGTGCCCTGCTCTGCTCTTTTCTGCTCTTCTCTGCTCTGCCCTTCCCTGCCACTCCCCTGCCTATTCGGGAACCCTCAGACGATTTCGTTCCTCCACATGGCGCCATGCCATCTGGGCCAATTTCACCCTCAACGTGAAGTTAGATCTTCACACCTTCCACCCACGAGATCTTATCTAGAGCTTCTCTCTCTCCCTCCTTCCTCGTCGGAGGAACAGAAGCCTCCACGGCCAGTGGCCCACGGAGTGCCAGCGGAGCGTCTCGCAGCCCCGCAGGGTGACCACACACCCCGTCCACCCCTCGAGACCCTGCCCTACCCTACCCTGCCCCCCCCCCCGGCGGGGTCACCCTCCACTGGCCCCTACACACCCACGTCCTGCGTGCAGCCCTCCCCTCCCTCCCCCCATCAGCGCTTATTTCTTTTTCTCTCTTTTATTTTTTTTTGTTTTTCCCGCATGCTTTTTATTTTTTTTTTTTTTCCAGCTCAGGAACAACCCAACCTTATTTTCACTTTCCTAATTTTTCGTGCATGATTTTTCGTGCGTCAAGCAGCCTGCTGCATGCTACTGCTACTGCCCTTCCAATACCGTCCACTTCTTCTTCTGTACCGCACGCTCTCTTCCTTCTTCTGTAATCAGCTTTTTATTTTTTTTTTTTTTTTTGGATTGCCTTTTTTTTGCGCTCTGTCCATTTTGTTGATAATTCCACCTCTGGTCCCAACTCAACTCCTCCATCCTCTTTCTCTTCTTCATCTGCCCCCGGCCCCTCCTAGTCTCCTCCTCTCCCCCTCCCCTGGATCCAACCCGGCCCGTGTCCCTGTCTCCTCCCTCCCCTCCCAGGTCCCGCGTCTCAAGCCCGCTCTCATCATCTCCACCTGCGCTCCACTCTCCATCTTCTCCATCCCAGCCCACTCATTGCACCCGCGGTTGCTAAAAAAGCGCAAGCCCCTCGCGCCCGCCCACAATTGCCCTTCTCCTTCTCCTCCTCCTCCTCGAGCGCCTCCGCTAGCCCACCCGTCCTCCGTGCCTTGCCCGCGCTGCTCGCCGACGGTCTGTCCTCCTCCGTGGCTCCTCCCTGTTTGTCCATCATTCCCACGCCTACCGCCACCTCCGCCATCCTGTCGTGTGTCGTAGGCTCTCCATGGCTCGCTCGCAAGATGTCTCTCGATGATTCGTCCCCCAAGCCGTACAAAAACGTGTCGATCCAGCTGATTCTCAACGACCAGCAACCAGAAATCAAAAGAGAACGCGAGCGAGAGCGAGAGCGACACCTTGACCACCTCGAGGTCGTCCGTCGACTGTCTGGTGTTCAGGTCCAGTCTCTCTCTCGCCCTGCGGATTCTTTGTCTTTGAATTTGGACAATCCAAGCGCCAACGATCCGCGTCTTGTCCATCCTGAAGATGCCCTTCCGCCTTCAACTGCTGCCACGCCTTCTGTCGCTGCTTCAGCTCCTCCTCTGTCTGCTGCTGCACCTCCTTCTGCTGCACCTCCTTCTGCTGCTCATCCTTCTGCTGCACAACCACCCACCACTGGTCCTGCCCCTGCACTTCCCTGGATTGCTCCCGCAGTGCTGACCTTGGCGGCTCTGTTAGGAACCAGTCCCAACCCCAACTCTCCGTTGGCCTCCCCGAAGCACAAGCGCAATTACTCCCACTCCGAATACAAGACTATGAGCAGTACCAGTGCCTCTGCCTCTCCGGCCACCACCGCTGCCGCCTATTCCCCCAACAACCTTGCCATGAGACAGCCTCTTCTTCCACATCTAGCACCTCAGAATCTCCCCCAACAGCAACAGCAGCAGCAACAGCAACAGCAACAGCAGCAACAGCAGCCCCACCCTCAACAGCTCCAACAGCAACCTCATCCTCAACAACAGCACCCTCCTCCTTCACACCTCCCCCCTCAACACATCCAATACATGCAGCAATACCACCCGGTGGTCCACCAACAATCCTACTATCCACAACAACCACAACCGCCGGTAGACTACGCTGACGCCCGAAGGGGTCGTCGCTTCAGGCGACGCTACAACCAGATCGTGCGCAAGTACCTGTGCTCGTACCTGGGCTGTTCCAAGAGCTACGGTTCCCTCAACCACTTGAACACCCACATCGTGTCCAAGAAGCACGGCCAGCGCAAGTCCAAGGCAGACTTCCAGAACCACGACGACCCACAGCATGACATGCTCCCGCAGTCCTCTTCCGTTTGGTTCGGGCCTCCTGGTCCCCCCGGGCCCCCTGGTGCCGTTCTTGGTCCCCATGGAATGGCCTTCCCGCCAGGCCAACTGGTGGGGCCCCAGGGACTCCCTGGAGGACCAGGCGTCCTCGACCAACAGCACACCCCTCAGTTCTACGTCCAGCGCCCGTGGGGCCTACAAGTGGTTGATCCACAGCAACTCCCCCACCATCCGTTGCCCCACCACCAACACAACCAGCCGCCTCCACCACCGCCGCCTCCCCAGCTGGTGCCCGTACAGTCGCAACTACATCTACATCAACAACTACCGCATCTACAGTTGGTCCAGCAACAACAGCAACCCCCTCACCATGCTCCCCCTCACCACTCTCAACCTCACCCTCACCCTCACCCTACACAAACGCTGATGGCTGGACCTCCGCTTGGACACACCCCTCCCTCTCTACAAAGATTACCGCTACACATGCTGGGACCACCACCACCACCAGGCTCCATGGGCCCCGGCCCCGGTCCAGGTCCCGGTCCCGGGTCCGTCGTCTCGACCTCGGCAACCCCCACCATCTCGCCCCTCGTACCCCCAAACACACACGCCCACCCCACCTCCACCCCGGCTCCCACAAACCCAGGAGCCCACCTCTCGAGCGCATCATCGTCGGCCGGATCGATTTCCCCCTAGGCGAAATTTTTGATATGCATGCCTCCGTGCGCTGGTGCAGGATCATGTATGCACGTCCACATCGCGAAACTCTGTACAGTAAAATTTCTTTGTATAAAAAAAATACTTTCGCATAAATAAATGAAAATCTAAAAAAAATATTAATCCTGCCGCTGCATCGTCGCGCGTTGCATGCACTGTAAGAGGTGGAAATGGGGGACCGGGCGAAAAAATATTCCAATTGTGTTGTTTTTTTGTCTTTGCTGATGCGCCATGTGCGCATAAGCGAGCATCGAAGGTGAGCGTGAGTCGTGGCCGGAGTTATCCCATGCGCACTCTCTAAAACTGTACATACATGAAGATTTAACCATACGCCTATTGTAGCGTGTCTGTCTGTCTCTATGTCCGATGGGCTAGTCACCGTTTCTGTAGCACTTAGCTTGCACTTCTGCCGGGCTACTGGCCTGTTGCGCGTTGGAGTTCCGCCCCATCGCCTGTCCCTCCTGGCTGTCATTTGCTGTGCTCGCCCGTCGGCCACGCCTCACTTTCCCTTTAGTCTCTAGAAACGCAACTATAAAAAAAAACTTTTTTTGGGTAAATTAGCGGCACGGTGGCATCAACCAAACTTTTGCCCGGTCATCCCCTCGCATCCGTGAGATCCATCCTGTGCCAGATGCACGCCTGGTGGAGTTTATGGCACTCTTGGAGGAAGGGGGGGCGTTACTCCTTCACACCCTGTGGCGCTTGCAAGCCGCTCCGCTGGCACTCCGTGGGCCACTGGCCGTGGGGGCCCTCTTCCTCTCGCGAGGAACTGACCGCCGTTGTGGCCGTCTCTGGTTCCCCCCCCTCCTTGTCCATCTGGGTCCCGCGTGGGTTGGTCGTGTGCTCGTGTCATGTGCGTGTTCGTGTCTCGACTTGTGCGTCTTTTTTTTATTTTCGTTCCCTCGCCCACTAAACTTAGAACCACCTTCTTCCAAGCCTCACATGTATCTGGCGTGGTGTCCATCCACTCAGATCCGCTTGGCTTAGTCTTTTTCTGCTCGTATCGTAGAACTAGTCGGTTCGAGGTGGAGTCCTCGTACTTCCTGGTGTGCTTCCTGGCGTTCACGTTCATCCCGGCGTCTGTCCCGGCCCCGGCGTTGTCCTAGCCTTTTCTGTCCGGATGGTGGCCCGGCTTCCCCTGGCTCTTCGAGAATCTGTTGTTGCATGCGTCCTGCTACCACTGCTTGTTCGATATCTGTCCGGTATGAATGGTTTCAGGATATTCTCGTGAGCCTGGCCCGCTCTACATTCTCGCGGCCCAAGGCTCGCACTGCATGTCAATCTAATCTCTTTGTAGGCACTAACTTGTCTCATATTCCTGTCACATTTCCCATCTTCCAATCTGGTCCTCCCCCTTTTTTTAGCGTGTCGTGAAACGTCTGCATCTGTCGACCCGATTGAATGTTTCAATTCTTTCCCTGGTGCAGTGTGTGGCCTGCAGATATGCCTAGGTGGGTCTTCCATGCGTATTTTTGGCGCCGGACTCACCTCAACTCATCTGGGTGGTGGACATTCTCAGGTGGACATTCTCACGTGCACATGCATCGCTGCTCGTTTCCAATACCGTGTCCACAACTCGCCAGGCTGTTCGTACCATTCCGTCCATTCCGGCCTGAATTATCATTGGGAAATGGCCATTTTACCCGCCAGACTACAAACGAAAATCTCGTAAATGTCTTTGGATCGCAAAGGTGGCAAATTTTATCCAACGTACGATTTTCAGCATCTACGAGAATCCTTCAGAACGCCACTTGGGCTCCACATCCAAGAAGCCGTTCAAGAAGTTCATCCAAGCAGGTCCAGGCTGGTTGTTTGAGCGGGTGGGTACTGAACACATGCCAATTCCACCTGAAGATACGAACGTGTGGGAGTCACATAGGACCATTTTCTTTACCTCTCCTGTGCTGCGCTGGGTTGGGTTGTTCCCGTTTCAAGAACATTGTCTAGATTAAACTTAACAAGTCACTAGATGCGTCTTTAGTGTTATGGTTAGAGCGCCAAGTCAGTACTAGTTGGTGACCGTCCGTTCAATTTCACCAATCGTGAGAGTGGGTCATTTCTTCTTTGTGAACTATCTGAGACTCCTCCTCCTCCCCTTCCCGATCCTGCGGTTCACATGGTTCAAAGCTTCAAGCCCATGTGACCCTTTGAAGTCGATGTGTTTGTCTCTCGGGGTTAGATCTCGTCCATCTGTCGTGATAAGCAGAATTCTCTTTCTTCCAGCTTGCACCCCATGGGGCACCGACAGTGGTGGGGTGCACCTCCTCCTCCTCCCTCACCCTCCTCAATCGAAGAAGCTACAAGCGAACTCCTCTTAGAGAAGCTAAGCACCCCGCTGTCAATCTACCCCGAGTAGGGACCAACAGTCTGTCCGGATATTCGTGGGGGGGACTCCTACCTCCTACCCTGCGGGGCTTTCAAGCCGCTCCGCTGGCACTCCGTGTGCCACTAGCCGTGGAGGCCTCGTTCCTCTACCGAGGAAAGGGCTGACTGCTATAGTTCTCCTCGTAGAGGAGCTAGGCACCACGCAGTGGCCCTCCCCGGGCAGGGGCCAGCGGAGCGTCCTACCCGCAGACTTTCCCTTCCCTATGCGGTCGCGTGTCCATGCTCCACTGGTACCCCAAGACGAACACCACTTTCCTCCTTTTTGCCCCTCTGGATGATTTAATTAGTAGTCAGGTTTAACTTTTTGCACCCATTCAATAACCGCGGATTCTCGCATGGGCATCCACCTACCCTCGAGTTACTGCCGAGGGAGGGCAGGTAGTTATTTTGCCAGACTTCTCTAAAATCTTCTCCCCTCCCGATTCTAATTTCCCTTCCACTTGCCCCCGCACTCCTCCCCTCTCCTCCCCCCTCGTTCTAGATCTCTTGTCAGATCTAATCCAGATCCTATTGTCTTATCATCCCCGTCTCAGCCCTCCTGCACAGTATGTGCTACAAAATCTCGATATGCCACAAAACACATCACAACACCAACACCAACACTCCACCAAAATGACAACTTCCTTCTGCCATCCTCTCAACATTCTGCCTCATGTCTGCCCCTCTATTCTTTTGTACTTCATCTCTTTATTGACTCCTTCTCTTCTACACAGATCATCAGCATTTCCTTCTGTACATACGCAAACACACCATTTCCTGTTCTGCCTGCCTCTAATTCGACTCCTGCATCTGCCCCACTGGATGTACTCAAAAAATGAAAGTGCGCTCGAGGAGATCAAGTGGTAATTAGTTGACACTCTCCACCGGTCAGATCAGCCACATCACTTTCTTTCTCCAGGTAGTTAAAGTTTAGTTTGTACTATGGCCAAGAAGGGAGGCAAGAAGAGCCAATCCAAGGTGGCCAAGGTGAACCCATCAGAGGGCACATCAGAGAACACGTCAAACGGCAGTACAGACAACACAGAAGCCACGGAGGTTAATGGACCTTCCACAGAAATTCCCATAGAGGGGGAGATGAACGAGGATGTAGGAACTGGTGAGCCAGTCAGCGAGCCAGTCAGCGAGCCAGTCAGTGAGCCAGTCAGTGAGCCAGTACTCAGTAACCCAGTCAGTGAGTCTCTCAGTGACTCAGTCAATGAAGTCAATGGATTGAATGAAGTGAAGAAAGAATCTCCATCAGACGCTATAAATGAAATTGAACCCACTGACTCTTCTGAACCTTCTAAGACAGAGCAGACTGACTCTGCTGAACCTTCTAAGACAGAGCAGACTGACTCTGCTGAACCTTCTAAGAAAGATTCGCAAACTGTAGAAACTTCTAAGTCCGATCCAGTGGTACCTGAATCCACTCCTGAATCCACTCCTGAATCACTGGGTGAAGTAACAACTGCTCTGAACACTTCACAATCAAATACTTCGCACTCGAATGCTCCGCTAGCACCAACCCCCAAAAAAAGACTCACTCTTCAAGAACGTCTTGCCCTAGCAGCAAAAGGAAAAAAGAAATCGAAGACTGCCACCACCCAAGAGTCAAACACCTCAACCAGAGAACCAACCCCAGACCTCGAGCCCCAACCAAAACCTCAAGATTTGAATGAGTCCACCCCAGACCCTACAGAATCTGCAACCCCCCATACCCCAACACCTATAACTATCCCACCAACTATCAAGCCAGTGGTCCAGCCAACTCCCCCCACCGATTCTGCCCTCGTCTCTTCGTTGAAATCTCAACTTGCAGCAGCTCTTGCATCTTCAGATCAACTCCTTCGTGAAGGTGAAGCACTTTCTCGGAAAGAACTCAAATTAAATGAAACCATCAAGAGATTACGATCAACTAACACCGATCTCGAGTCCTCACTCGCTGATTATGTGGCCAAGGATCAGCAATCCCAACTCAAACTCAATGAATTCACCGAGTTGCTCAAATCATATCGAATCCCCGCCACCGTGAGTGCACTCTCTGACCGATTGAACCTTCTTGGGTCGTTGGAACTGTCGTCTCAGGAATCCTCTCAACTCTCCGAAAGGCTCAAGGAGCAAACAACCATGTACGAACAGGAACTTAGTCAAAGGAAACAAGTGGAGAAGAAGTATTCACAACTTTCCATCCAATTTGACATGCAAAAGAAACAATCAGAGTTGGAGATCGAGGGTAAAAACGATGTCATCTCCCGCTTGAAACGAGATTTGATTGAATTGAAGCAGGAGAACATCGAAGAGGTGAGTCGGTTAGAGGGGAAAGTTGAAGAGTTGAGAGAGAGAGGTGAGAGAGAGATAGAGAGGGAGGGAGGAATAGAGTCTAGTGGCTCTTCTTCTTCTTCTTCTTCTTCTTCTTCTTCTTCTTCTTCTTCTACTCTTCCCTCTTCTACCGCTCTTCCTCCACCTTCTTCTGCCTCTTCCACTTCCACATCCACCTCTCCACTCTCACTCTCCTCCCATCACGCCTCACTCCAACAACAATACCTCTTGTCACAGAAAAACTTCAAATCCATTGAAAATTCCCTTCAATTGAAGATCTCCAACCTCACTTCTTCTTTAGAAACAATCAAACAATCAAAAGCTCAGCTAGTGAAAGATTTGAAACAATTCCAACACCAATTGGCACTCAGAACGGAAGAAAACGACAAGCTTTCACATTCTTTGGAGTCTATTTCAAGACAAAATGAAGAGTTAACCTTCCAATGTTCTCTCAAGGACTCCTCGTATGTAGAACTCGAAGATAAATTCGAAACTTTCAAGAAGATCTACACCAACGATCGTGAAAACTTGCAAAAGAAACTTGAAGAGGCCCTTGCAGCAGAGAAACGGTCAAGAAAGACGTCTCAACTCCATCAGTTGCCCGTCTCTCTGCTGTTGCTGCTGCCCTTGCAACAACAGTTTTCCGATCAACATCTCCCTCGGAACTTCTCCTTCACCGACAATTCCCTCTCGGAAATCAAGTTTGGAGAGTCTTGTACAACTCCCTATCTATCAAGAGACACTTCGGCGGTTTTCCTCAATCAAGAAATGAGACAAGAAACCCAATCGCAACTCTCTTTCTCCACTGAGGATGGAGGTGATGATTCCATAGAGCCCGGTGAAGACGCCATTTCCTTCCACCAAACGCAGAGCTCTAACCAACACGCGTCTGCATCCGCATCCGCCACCACCACCACCAACAACAATCTCCAACTCATCAACAAGATGTCGGCGAACATCAGACGGTTGGAAATTGAATTGCATACGCTTCGGAACGAGAACGTCCAGCTCACGTCGCAACGTGAACATGCACAACAGGAAATCCTCTCTTTGGCCAAACTTCATGAGGAAGTGACGCACTTGAGGAACCATGAACAGGCTCTTGAAGAGCAAATCAAGCTCTCCAGGGCAAAGGAACAAACCATGTTGGAGCTCATTGGCGAGAAGTCGGAACAAGTTGAAGAATTGAAGGCCGACGTCGCCGATTTGAAGGACTTGTGTAAGTTGCAGGTTCAACAAATGGTTGGCATGAGTGGTAAGTAGATTTAATATGATAGCTTCCATAGAAAATGGTATTGTAATCGTAGAACACAGGCCCCGCAAGCCCAGCAAGGAAGTAAATAGTTCCCTTCCAGGGGTGCCAGACTCTCCGTTGGCCGCTGTTCGGGGAGAGCCACTGCGTGGAACCTAGCTCCATTAGGAGGACATTCGTTGCAGCCGCATCTTCCTCGCTAGAGGAACAAGGCCCCCACGGCCAGTGGCCCACGGAGTGCCAGCGGAGCGGCTAGCAAGCCCCGCAGGGTAGGTAGTATTAGCCACCCTGCTGGGGTGTGTGTGACGCTCCGCTGGCCCCTGCTCGGGGGGAGCCACTGCGTGGTGCCTAGCTCCTCTACGAGGAGACTTCAAACATTCAGATCTTCCTCAATAGGGGAACATGACTCCCACAGCTAGTGGACCACGGAGTGCCAGCGGAGCGGCTAGCAAGCCCCGCCGGGTAGGAGCACCCACTTGGAAAAGGATGCTAGTATAGGTAGTGCTGCAATTTGCAGCCACCTCTCCTGCACACACCAGTCGTGTTAACTAAAAAAAAAAAAGTTTCATTTTTTTTTAAGAGAAGAGCATCGACAGTTCTTAACCCCAAGCTTATCACACCACGTACACTATGACTGGAGGAATCTTGACCTGTATTGATAGAACCGGGCGTTATTTTGCCAGTGTCATCGCGAAGACCGGGAGAAATGAGGTGCAGATCTTTAAGGTGAACCCTGCCACAAGATCGAGTTCGGAGAGTAACCTCCCCGTGACCAAGTCTGCCCTCGAGGCCGACCAAAGAGTGACCAGTGTCTGTTGGGCGTATGGCAAGGACGGCGAGTCCACCACCTCGACTCCATCGTCCACCCCGAGCAAGAAAAGAGGAAGCAACGGTGGAGCAAAGAACGGAAGTGCAACTGAGGAATCAATTCTTTTGGTGGTTGCCTTGGAAGGTGGAGATCTTCTTGTTTACACCCCGGGGGTGTCCGAACCCATCAGAAAGATTGCCAGTGGCACTGGTAGTACTGCTGGGGCCATAATCACCAGCATATCGCCATCGCACAAGAACAACAGTGTATGGGTAGTTTACGAGGATTCGGCCAATCTTGTTGAATATTCGCTCACCACTTCTGCCAAACCACTCAAGACTTTCAAGTTTGAAGAGGGAAGGGCCTGTTCCGTGGCCCACACGCTTCTTGGCGGCAAAGTGAGCAATAGCTCTCGTTCTCAGCCAATCTTGGTGGGCGGCGAAGCCTCCTCCTCGTTTTATCTTGTAGATCCTTCGAAGCCAAAGAAGTCGCTTTTAATGAAATATGATGGAGAAGAAGATGATGAAGAAAGTGGAGCAGTAGTTTTATTCCAACAGGATGTTGCCAACCCAGACACCTTTGCCGTGGTGAGAGCCAACAGTAAGGACATTCAAATGTACAGCACTGAGAAGTCACTGCCAATAGGAAAGTTCACCATTTCCAGTGGATCGAGGGCAATTTCTGCGTTACATTTCGTTGACGGGGCCCTTTTGGCAGTGACCAGTGATGCGGTTGAAGTATTTGATGTCTCACAGTACTCTCACACTAGTGTTATTAAGACGAACGTGGCACAAAGACCGCTCAGAGACATTGTAGCCCTTACCCTGAATACCATTGTAGGGGTGTGGTACGATCAAAACGAGCCAAGATTTGTGAGCATTGACTGGAGTGAAACTGGTCGTGAGGCTAGAGAAATTGTGGTTCGGTTGGAAGAAGGAATTACTTCCACTGGCTCAGGATCCAACACCGGTTCCGGCTCTCTCGCACAAGAAACTGGTGGGGACGACATTGACATGGACAGTGAAGACGAAGAATACGACTTCCTCTCCCTGAGAAAGCCAACCATCAAAAACATCTCATCTGAAGAACTCTTTGCAGAATTGAACAATAACCCACAGGACTCGATTCTTCTTTGTTCTCAGAACAACAACGAACAAACCATCAAGACCACCGTCAAGCTTCTCTGTGAGTCGCTGCCCGCGGTTGCCAAGAGTCTCTTTGACGAGATCTCGAAGCAAGTGGCGGCCAAACCCACCAGAACGGCGTCACTTTCCATCTGGCTCAAATGGCTCCTTCTCACCCATGGAGGGTACATTGCCAGCCAGCCAGACCAAAGAGACAACTTGAGATCTTTACAGGAGAAGTTATCGTCAGGCATGAAGCTCATGCCCAAGCTCTTGGCCTTGGAAGGGCGGTTGAACTTGCTTCGTTCCCAACAACAACTCAGAGAAAGAATTGTTGACGACGACGAAGAAGATGAAGAAGCTGTGCCGGTCGGCGGCGACGACGACGACGAGGAGGACAACCTTGTGTATGCCAACGGGGAGAACGATGACGGGGTGGTCATTGAGGCTGGTGACGAAGATTTGGAGGAAGAAGACGACGACTAGTTCAAGAAACAATACCAAAAAAGAAAAACTAATCCCTCTGTATACTTAGAATAGCATGATATAATAGACAACCATTGGTCAAGTAGATTGTACGAGAACCTTCTCTATCCACAGACACACAAGTTCTCCCCGATCAGGGCGATCAGGCAACAGAGCGTCTAGCGTTCCTGGAGGGGGTTCATACTTCTTACCCTGCCGAGGGCTGTGACCCGCTCCGCTGGCACTCCGTGGGCCACTAGCTGTGGAAGCCTTGTTCCTCTAGCGAAGAATATGTGGCTGCAACGAATCTCCTCGTAGAGGAGCTAAGCACCACGCAGTGGCTCTCCCCGAGCAGGGGCCAGCGGAGCGTCTAGCACTCCCGGAGGGAGACCACTACCTCCTACCCGGCGGGGCTTGCTAGCCGCTCCGCTAGCACTCCGTGGGCCACTAGCCGTGGGGGTCCTATTCCTCTAGCGAGGAATTTATCCTTCACAGTGACATTCTTTCTATAGCACTCCCCCCCTGTGCTCCCCTGTGCTCCCCTGTGCTCCCCTGAAATCATCCTAGTATAGAGATGTTAGTACCCTTCTTGATCTCCTCTCCTCTCTTGCGTGTCTCCCCCGTTCTCTACTTACTTCAATATTTTCTCCCTCCTTGGCTCTGTTTATCTACTTGTTTACAAAAAATGCTGCAAAAATAATTTTTACCGCCATTTTAGTCCCTCGCCACCGAAAAGCTCAGGGGTTCCCCTTGCAACAAATTGAACACCTAATCCAATATCCACCCCTACTCCCCCCCGACTACCTTCCCATCATCTGTAACACACTCTCTACTCTTCATATCAACACCCACCCCAGTATCCTCTCTCCACACATCCATACACCCACACTTACGCCCTCACTCCATGATTTTTTTTTTCCTGTTCAATTTTTTTTCCCCTTCTCATCGTTGGAAGGACCCTCTACCTCTCTTACTTCATTAATCGGAACTGAACATGTCGGTAGAAAAGATCTACATCTCCTACAACAACATCCACAAGCTCTGCCAGAAGGCTGCCCTTGAAATCAAGGCTGCCGGCCGTTCGGTGGACTGTATCATTGCCATTGGAGGCGGTGGGTTCATCCCAGCCAGAATCTTACGTTCCTTCATCAAGGAGGAAGGTAAGAAGAACATCCCCATCCAAGCCATCGGGTTGTCCTTGTACGAGCAGCTCACCGACAACGTTGAGGTCATTGGGAAGGAGGTTGTACGTACCCAATGGATCGATTTCGGGAACTTGGGTGACCATTTGGATTCCCTCATTGGGAAGAATGTGATCATTGTGGATGAGGTTGATGACACCAGAACCACCTTGCATTACGCCTTGACCGAGTTGGAAAAGGATGTCAAGCAACTCCAAGAGAAATTGGGAAGAACTGACGAAATCACCAAGTTTTCCATTTTTGTGTTGCACAACAAGGACAAGCCAAAGAAGGCCGACTTGCCACAAGAGCTCTTTGACAGCGGCCGCTACATTGTCGGGGAAACCGTTCCAGACCACTGGATTGCATACCCATGGGAAGCAGTGGACATTGACGAGCACACCAAGCACGCCACTGCCCAGGGAAACATTTAGAAGCATGATTCGACTTTTGTATTAATATATATATATAATAGAGTATACTATGAGATTAGAATTGTATGGTGCTTCTACTGACCACCCCGTAGGGAGAAACCTTACTTCCCAGCCGCGGGCTAGCAAGCCGCTCCGCTGGCACTCCGTGGGCCACTGGCCGTGGGGGCCATGTTCCTCTAACGAGGAAAGGGTCTGTCTGCTAGTAGTCTCCTCGTAGAGGAGCTAGGCACCACGCCAGTGGCTCTCCCCGAGCAGGGGCCAGCGGAGCGGCTTGCACACCCCGTAGGGTGGCTGCTACTACCTACCCTGCGGGGCTGCATGCCGCTCCGCTGGCACTCCGTGGGCCACTAGCCGTGGGGGCCCCTGTTCCTCTACCGAGGAAGAGAATGACCATCCTACAGGAGAGAGCCACCGTATGGAATCTGGACAATGGGAGAAGAAGGAGTATACGTTTTTGTCAATCTCGGCCAAATCCGAAGGATTCCCTTATTCTCATTTTTCTGGCAATATTCTTTCTTATTCTGATAGTTTCTAGTATCCATCCTTTTTCTAACAACCTTCTTTACCCTACCGTTGGTTCCCCTTGACTTTATACCCATTATTCATCGTTTAATCATCATTTTATCATCTTTACCAAAAATTTTACATCCGTACACCCAGCGAAATTGGACCCCTAAATTTGGAGCAAAAAAAAATAAATTTTCTTATTAATTAGCACGGGTAGTTTAGTGGTAAAATCCTGCGTTCCCATTGCAGGGCCCCGGGTTCGATTCCCGGCTCGTGCACACCCGTTTTTTTTTTCCCGCTAAAAATCTTTTTATTTATAAATTCTCCTTTTGTGTAACATAAATATGGTCTGGAACTTTTTTTTTCTTAAAGGGCCAAGATGGGACACTACAAAAAAAAACCGTTAAAACACCATCGTCATTTGATTACTATTTGTAGAACTGAAGTTACAGCCCCCCTAACTTGCTAGTATGGACGCTCACGTGTTATTGGAATGCTTTGCCGGCACCTTACAGGCAAACCAAGCCATCAGACAACAGGCCGAATTGGGATTGAAGGAGCTTGCAAAGACTCCTGGCTTTCTTGGTGGGTGTTTGGATATAATTGGGTCTGAAAATGAACTGCAAGTTAGCCCTGCAGTTCGCAAAGCCGCAGCCGTATACTTCAAGAATAGAGTGGTCAAATATTGGATGATTTCCGAACCTACTTCCTCATCAAACTCTACATACCGTATTGATAATGATGAAAGACCGGTTGTCAAAGACCGGATCTTGAAAGTTTTGATCCGTTCCGACTATCATGTCAAACAACAATTAATCCCAGTTTTAAGAATTTTAATTTCTTATGAATGGCCACAACGTTGGCCTGAATTATTACAAGAGACTGGGACTTTACTCCAACAACCTCTTGATACAAATTCATCTTCTACATCATTATCAAATCAACAATTGTATGTGGGATTACTTTGCTTTTCGGAAATATGCAGGAAGTTCCGGTGGGTCGGAAATGAAGATCGTGAAAAGGAACTTGATCCAATTATTTCCCAAGTTTTCCCCCATTTATTGAATGTTGGGAATGCAATCATATCTCTTGATTCCAATAACTTATCGGAAAATTTGTTTGAAATGTTGAAACTTATCTTGAAATCTTTTAAATTTGTTTCATATTTTGATTTACCGGAAATCCTCCAGTCACGTGACGTGCTCATGTCATGGAGTTTATTCCATGGAGCCATTATTAATATGTCTCCACCTTTATATATTATTGAAGGGGGGTTAAATGAACTGGAGAAATCATTATTACAAGCTTCCAAATGTTACAAATGGGCATTTGCAAACTTGTACCGGTTATTCACCCGATATGCAAGCGTTGGACTTTCCAAAAAATACAATTATATTGAATTTCATCAAATGTTTATTGGAGAAATCATTCCTCTGTTGATTAATAATTTCTTACAACTTATTGAAAAATGGTGTGCTGGTGAAAGATGGCTTAGTTTGGCGTCTTTGTATCATTTATTGCAATTTTTGAGTCATTGTGTTACTCAAAAGAGCACTTGGCAATTAATTAAACCATATTTTGAAACCTTGGTACAACATTTGGTCTACCCTTTGCTTTGTCCCAACGATGATATGTTGGAAATCTTTGAAACTGATCCTCATGAGTACATCCATGCTCAATTTGATGTTTATGATGAGGTGGATACCCCAGACATTGCCGCCTTGGGGTTGCTTGTAACCCTTGTAGATAAACGTAGAAAGACCACATTACTGCCCATCATCACTTTTGCTTACAACAAATTGAATGAAGTGGTCAATGCCCCCGAAGAAACGTTAGCAGTGGCCAAACAGAAAGAAGGAGCCCTTAGACTCATTGGATGTATTTCTCATTATGTGGTGGTCAACACTTCACCATATTATTCTCAAATGGAACCATTTGTGGCCAATTTGGTGGTTCCAAATTTGCAATCCAATTATGAATTTGTCAAGGCCAGGGCTTTGGAAGTCACTCTGAGATTTGCAGACTTGGAATTCCAAGATTCCACCGTCATTGCCGCAGTTTTCCATGCGGTGACGGCTAATTTTGATCTCACCAACAGCTCACTCCCGGTGAACTTCATATGTAGTCTTGTTATCCAGGCTTACTTACCCAATGAACAATTCAAGGAGGCGATCCAGACCAACATTCTCCCCACCATGTCGAAATTACTTGAACTTTCTGAGGAAATCGATAACGATGCCGTGTCGGTGGTCATGCAAGAGTGTGTAGAGAACTTTTCCGAACAATTGCAACCATTTGGAGAAGATTTGATGAGTAAGCTTGTTGAGCAATTCATGAGATTGGCCGTGGAGATCCGTGATGCCACTGCTAGTGTGGACATTGATGATTTTGATGCCAATGACAATGATGACCTGTCGGAAAAGACCATGGCTGCCATCGGACTCTTGAACACCATGATCACTGTACTTCTTTCCTTTGAAAACTCTCAACAAATCTTGAACAAGTTGGAACAAGTGTTCTACCCGGTGATTGAATTCGTCTTGGTCAATAAAATCGACGATTTCTTTGCCGAAGTTGGCGAACTTGTTGAAAACTCGACCTTTTTGGTCCGTGGCGTCAGCCCCACCATGTGGAACGTGTTCCGCTTGATCTCCAACACGTTCAATGGAGACCAAGATGGGAACTCCTTGGGACTTCTTTACATCGAGGAGCTCATGCCAAGTATCCAAAACTTCTTGACTTACGGACTGGCGGAATTACAAGTACAACCAGACTTGGTTCTGAACTTTTATCACATTTTCCAATCCATTGTAGATGGAGATGAGTCTCAAGTGGGGTTGAACGACATTGCCTATGCATGTGAATTAGCCCAGAGTCTCATTCTTGCCTTGCAACAAAATGCCACCCAATTTGTTCCAGGAATTCTCAAGAGAACTTTGGACATTTACGTTTCCATGATGTCTGACAAGCAACACGTACGTAACAATGCCATTGACGTCAATGTGCAGAACGTGGTGGTTGCCGCACTTGTGTACGACTTACCCAACGCCGTGACTGCTCTTGAAGCACGTCAATTAGTTGGTGGGTTCTTTGACAGATGGTTGAAACTCATCCCACTCTTACAAAGAGTTTATGACTTGAAGCTTTCTCTTTTAGGACTTATTAGCATTCTTAGCAGTAGAGGAGAAATCTTGGCCAAGCTTAACGATACCGTTCCAGTGGGGAAGCTTGTTGGATCGATGTTACTCATCTTGAGAAACCTCCCTGAGGCCATGAACAATTTGGAAAAGAAACGTACAGAATTTGGATCTTTGGACCATTCAGCATGGGAATTGGAAAACCAATTCAATAGCTTTAGAAATGAAGACGATGACGATGACTACGAGGACATAGAAGACGGTGGTTCCACTACGGTCACCGAGAGTGCCACCGCGGGGGAAACAGAGGCCGGAGACTACGATTCCTTCCTCAAGCAACAAGAACTCAAGAGCACCGGGTTCTATGATGAGGAAGATGAGGAGATTGTAGAAGATCCATTATGTGCCACTCCATTGGACAATTTAAACGTTTTCAAGCTTTTCAAAGACTTTGTGGTCAACATGGAGAGTGAGGATGTCAACAAGTACCAAGGGTTATTTGGGGAGTTGGACGACGCTGAAACACAAGTTATTAAGGATGTTTTTGAAGTGGTTCAAGATTAAGAAAGGTACAAAAGAAGAAGAAGAAGAAGAAGAAGAAGAAGATTAATAGCATAGTTTACGTTTGAATATATATACGTCATAATTAAAGAGTCCCAGTAGTTACCCTCCTCCTCCGGAAATGAGAGACGCTCCGCTGGCCCCTGCTCGGGGAGAGCCACTGCGTGGTGCATAGCTCGTTCACTAGCTGCCAGGTCTTCCTCGGTAGAGGAACGAGGCCTCCACGGCTAGTGGCCCACGGAGTGCCAGCGGAGCGGCTCACAGCCCCCGGTAGGGAAGTGAGGGGTTGCTACATTGTACAACGAGAAATTACAATGTAGGGACTTTCACAGAAAATGAAACAAAAAAAGGAGAAGGGAATGAATAACCCGAGATACAGTATAATCAGGGTATATATCCCACGTACTGCAGTTAGTTCCTAGACATTCGCTAGTTTACTTCATCTCATGGATATTCTGAAGCAAAAATAAAAAAAGAAGGGGCGAGCTGGGAATTGAACCCAGGGCCTCTCGCATATTTGATGAAATCAATTAGTAAACTAACTGTAACCCAAAGCGAGAATCATACCACTAGACCACACGCCCGATTTCTGAAAATGAAAATGACTAGGATTAACAGCCGAGCAGAAACGCAAAAATGGCGGTTTTTTTTGAAAAACGTCATTTACCATTGCCTAGGCGTTAAAAGTTTATCAACCAACCCATTAAAGCTATAGTAGACCATCGATAGTACAGCACAGACATATAATAATGTGTATTATTGCAGGAAACGACATATTTTAAGCTAATTGAAAATTTCGAAAAAGTTCCAAATTCTCAACGAGAGTCAAGGTAGCGGAGGAAATGTCACCATCTAGTCCATGTATACTTGGGGTTCTTACTTCAATCAATGCGGGTCAGTGGGGAGTGTTCCAGACACAAGTTGAGCGACTTTCAGATCACCTGTACGTGGGTTGCTACCTTTGGACCGCTCTTTTGCTGTGGTGTTCTGGAGAAATCACAGTGTTGTAGCCGTCGGGGGCCCACTTACTCCAAAGATGAGCTGCTACCAGAGTCTCCATAGAGAAGGTAGAAACGATTTAAGAGAGCTAAGGAATTTACAGAAAGAAATATAGAAAAGAGGTATCAACACAGGTAGAGTGAACAAAGAAAAAGAAGTGATACCACGGTGACAACAACCAGCCCAATGAGGAAGTCCAAGGGACCAAGTCAGCAAGCCGAAGAAGCTGAATGCTACAAGTCAATATACCCACACACAAGAGAGAGAGAGGGAGAGAGAGATAGGTGAATAGCAATGATTACATGAAACCAATAGATGAATGCAAAAGGTAGAATGGTACAGTAATAAACGGGCCAGGCAAGGGACCATCTCCATATTCAATCTTAGTTTCAATTTCCTCGTCAGAGGAACAAGAGCCTCCACGGCTAGTGGCCCACGGAGTGCCAACGGAGTGGCTAGAAAGCCCCGCAGGGTAGGTAGTAGCAGCCACCCTACGGGGTGTGCAAGACGCTCCGCTGGCCCCTGCTCGGGGAGAGCCACTGCGTGGTGCCTAGCTCCTCTCGAGGAGACTACTAGCAGTCAGACCCTTTCCTCGCTAGAGGAACAAGGCCCCCACGGCTAGTGGCCCACGGAGTGCCAGCGGAGCGGCTTGCGGGCCCCGCAGGGTAGGTAGTAGCAGCCACCCTACTGAGGTGTATGTGACGCTCCGCTGGCCCCTGCTCGGGGAGAGCCACTGCGTGGTGCCTAGCTCCTCTACGAGGAGACCACCGGTTGCAAAATCATCACAGTTTGTCTTCTGTTTAGGATAGTCATGCACAGCCCCCTTGAGCCGAAAAAATAATCTCATCGTTCGGGGAGCAAGGCACCACACAGTGGCTCCACTCCGAGTAGGGGCTAGCAGAGCGTCCACTACCCCCCCAGAGGGAAGTAGAGTGTCTCCCTACTGGACCCATGAGCAGCTCCGAGGACTTCTTCATACCTTTTCCAAGATCTCTACCCCTCACTGGTGTTAATGTCTAGGAATGTGAGAGAAGAGGGGAGATATACCTGCTACTGCATGTACCCCATCGCCAGCCAAGAAATGTCTTTGATAACGAGGGGTCTTAGTTTTGAAAAATAGCCCCATAATTGAGGAAACTCATGATCTTGGAAGTACCACAATGAGTTTGACGAGTACTGTCAAACTTGACAGCTCCTTCTTTTTTTTAAGCCGCATTTCTCTGACAGCTTGAGTTCCGAGCCCAGGAAGTTTCCGAGATTCGTTGCGTGAACACAGCACACATGTCATAAATACGGATGGTACAAGAAAGGGAGCATTCGGTCATAGTGGCTTATCAGCATCTCTACATGTTCGCAAATCGGCTTAGTGTGTCATTGGACAGAATTGCTAAAGTCACACCTGTGGTTACCGCATTGAGGGAGTTCTCGCGTGCGGGAATATGTCAAATTAAAAATAGCCCGCCGAGCCGCAGCCGAAATAAAGTTTTGAGAGGGGAACTAAGGTCCAGGCAGGCATGAAGAAAAATTTGACAGGAGGTGCATGATCCTTGGTGAGTGAGAGGACAAGAGCCGCCACTGGCCGTATTCTCCTCCGTGAGGACAGGACTGTTTTTTTTTCGTGGCGGCTTGACCCATATGTCCACGTCCATGTCCATGTCCATTTTTATTTTTATTTTCCATTTTCTTTCATTTTCTTCCATTTCATGGTTCAAGCTCATGAGACGGACGATATAACGAATGTCCCATGTTCCTGTTTCATATCGTTTTACCTGTTCCATAAATAGATGTCAAATACGTCAACTGAAAAAGGTGCGCCTAACGTCTAGGATGGCTTAGGCACATACTGTACGGCTCACTCAGAAAATAAGCGGGTGTGGTCAACCAATGGGAAAAAAGGTTCCGGACAAGCTTGCCCGACCAGGAGAGATCAACACCCATGGCAGGAGAATCCCCACTGTTAGAACACTTTGGAAGAGCATTCTATGGACTGACAGTTGGGGCGGGCTACTGCTCATTTTGTTTCAAAATACGAGTTAGAGTGAACCCAAAAACTTTAAATAATAAAAATGGTGTACCCACTCTCCGTAATTGAAATGGCCCACAAAGCGTGTGAAACTTCCGCATGCATCGCACAATGAGTGGGCTATTTCAGGTTACGCCATGCTACTGGGATCAGATCCGGACCAACGGACGGACCGGTCCACTACCACTACCACCACCGCCACTACCAGCACCACTACCCCTCCACCCAGACAATCCTACCCAACCCAAACAACCACACCCTCATCTTAACCAATTTCTTAACCTCCTCGTGCCACTGCGCCCGATGTGGGTCTTTGTCACAGACGCAGTCCTGCACACCGCCAGATAATAATTTCGCAGATTTGTTTTTTTTCGCTCAGTTGAGGTTTTTATGCACTCAAGCTCCAATTAGGCAACTTGAGTGAGAAATGCCTGAGAATTGGAGGCGTGGTGGGGCACATCAAGGAGCGCGCCCCCCATTACATATATTGGGGACCACCCCCCCTTGACCAGGTGATTCCTCTTTTCTTTCTGCTCGACACTCTCAATACTCCAAGCTCCTCCACGTCTACCCCCCGTGGCCCTCTTCGACGACACCCATCCCATCGTCGGTTCTGCAGGTTGTCCTGTTCTGCGGTTCTGCACATTACTCTTCCCCACGAGTCCCCTTTGTTTAATAAACCGGTATACATAATAGTGACCCACGTTGTGATATCGCATCGGATACTTAATTTCGGATCCTCAATTTCCAATCTTATAAAGGCACGCGATACCTCTTGTGTCCAGGTGGAAAGCCAAAATTAACAACAAAACAATAAAAAGACGTCCCGCTCCCCCTCCCTCGTGATCACCGTCTAGATCTGATCCCCCCTCACCTATAATGTTGCGCGCCACCTTCATGTTGACAACCCTTTTGTGGCTCATAGTGCCCACTTTTGCGTTGAACATCCTCTTGACTTCCACCAGTTCTTGGGGATCTACCAACGTACGTCATCTCCAAAAAACCCTCCAACAACACAACCACACCGTGGTGTTGATAGCCCCTGAATTATCCTCAGAGATAAGTTCTGGCCCCGTGCCTGCAGCGGGAGTCAAGGACGCCAAGAAAGCGTTCCTTGACTCATTAGTACAGCAGCCTGAAACATCTTCGAAACTGATTGAAATTGGTGCACGTGTGTTACCACAAAGGGCAAAAAATGTGGTAACCCGTGCTGATGTGCAGGCAGCAGCCGCGGCAGCAGCAGCAGCAGCCATGGGTGCTGCACCACCAAAAGACACCCAGACCTCCACTGAAGATTTCGCAACCATTGAACCAGTGGCCATAAATGAACTTTTCGGTAACGATGCCAATGTCCAAGACTGCTGGTATGTTAATCTGACTGCAGCCACGGCCTTACTTCTTGCCTATGACGTCATTCTCCCCAAGTACTACCCTGACTTTGTTCCAGACTTGGTGATTGTAGGGCCAGAATCTGGTGTTTTCAACACCCCATCAACCCCGTCTCACAAACGTATTCTTGGACAAGCTGCTCATATTCGTGAAGAAATGGCCCAATTGTCCATGGTTAAGAATACCCCGGTGATCACCGTTTCCACCGCCGATACCGAAATCATTCACTCGCTGGTCGAGGAATTGACAAAGAAGGATTCAATGGTGGCCAAAAACATTGAGTTTGTTAGTACCAAAGTGGTTGAATTGATTGACAAGTTGTTACAACAACAAATCACCAATACTTTCCCCGCCTCCGAGGGCAAGTTACAAAGACTTCTCCCATCGCAATTGTGGCTCAATGTGAACTTCCCCTCGTTTCAAGACTCCACTCAATGTTCTGTCTCCGGCTCCGTCCCAGGCTCCAGCTCCACTGCCAACATGCCAGAATTCACCCAAGTTTCCTTTGATGTGTTGGACCCAGTGTCGATTGTGCGACTCCCCAAGTATCAAATCTCCGAGTCGGGCGATGTGGTTGAGGTTGTTGGAGAATATGGCATCAACATCAACACCCACGAAGTGACCCACCTCAACGAACCAGAATCAGAAACCTATATAGACACTGACTCGTACTATTACATGTACAGACTCAAACTGTACCAGAAAACGCCTAGAAATCCTCACCAAGACTACTCTGACAACGACGACTTCAAGACTTTGGTACGTGACAACGAGATGGAAATCGCCGTATTGAGCGATTGCAGCATCAGTGTTGTTGCCAACAACTTGGAGACTTATGGATTGGATAGAAATGTTTGGGAATTGGTTCTCTAGTACGCATATATAGATAATAAAGTATTATAGAGAAGGAAGTCCGTAAATTGTAGTCCCCCCCCACCAGTCCCTCAGGGAAGTTGATGCTCAGAAGAATAGTGCTACTATTGCTCTTAGGACCATCCTCCGGGAAGTATAAGCCGCTCCGCTGGCCCCTACTCGGGGAGAGCCACTGCGTGGTGCCTAGCTCCTCTACGAGGAGACTACTAGCAGCCAGACCTTTCCTCGGTAGAGGAACAGGAGCCTCCACGGCTAGTGGCCCACGGAATGCCAGCGGAGCGGCTTTCAAGCCCCGCAGGGTGTTGTGTAGATACCACCCTCCGGGGGTAGTAGAACGCTCCGCTGGCCCCTACTCGGGGTGAGCCACTGGCGTGGAGCCTAGCTCCTCTACGAGGAGACTCGTAAGAGCCCTCCACTGTGCACACTCTTTTCGCAGCCTTATCTGACTCGGGCCCGGTGCCTCGTCACGTGAAATCACTATCTCTGAATCATCATCGAGAAACTTTCAGACGGCCCTCCCATTGTCCCGACTGATCTGCTCAATTGTACACTGGACCAGGGCAGACCAAGACATATTCATCCCTTTCTATAGCTCCGTGAACCAGCACAGCATACCAGTAGCCCCAGTTGCCAGCATAGAAGGAAAAAAATGTCCCCTACCCTCATACCGTCCATATCAACGGAAAGTGCGGCGTACTCACAACTTCCCCGTGAAGAGAAACGTCGTTACCATAAGCTCTCGTCGCTTCTGTGCATGGCTCTCATTGTCAACAAGATGATTGGGACGGGGATCTTCCTGACCCCGGCCATTATCTTCCAATACTGTGGCGGGAACGTGCCTCTTTATCTCCTGCTCTGGCTCATTGGAGGAGTCATTGTGTTGAGTGGGTTGCTCATCTTCCTCGAGTTTGCCCTCAATCTCCCGTTCCGAAACGGTGGTGAGAAGAACTACTTGCTCCGTGCGTTCCCTAACCCCAAGGGGCTTGCCGGTTGCGTGTACGCCTTCCAGATGGTTCTTTTGGGGTTCTCGCTGGGCAACTCGTTTGCATTTGGGAAGTACTTCTTATATGCCTTTGGGTATAACGTCGACGGCCAGGACGAGGAAGACTGGAGAGTCAAGCTTGTCGGGGTCGCGTGCATCAGTGGGTGTGTCTGGGTGCACATGAAATGGCCCAACCAGGGCACCAAATTGTTCAATTTCTTGGGCATTTTCAAGATTGGCATTTTAGTCTTGATTATTTTGTTAGGGGCCATCAAATTGGTCACTGGAACTGAGCCTGGCAGCGTCTCTAACAGTGTTTCTAGCAGCGTCTCTAGCAATAGCAACAGTATTAGTTCTAGCAGCAGCAGTTACTCCATTGCTATTGCCCTTCTTGAAATCATCTACTCCTTCAAAGGATGGGAAAATGCAAATTATGTCTTGCTGGAGGTGTCCAACCCATACCGAGTCCTCACAATCATTGCGCCACTCTCGGTGCTCGTCACGGTCATTCTTTACTTCCTCGTGATCGTCTCGTACCTCGTGGTGATCCCACACCAGGAACTCATGGACAGTGGAGTCCTCGTAGCTGGTGTGTTCTTCACCAAGATCTTTGGCGAGTCCTTAACCTCCAAGATCCTCCCGATCTTCATTTCGCTCTCCAACCTTGGCAATGTTCTCGTCGTTTCCTTTGCCCACGGCCACGTGAACCAGGAATTGGCCCGTAGCAATTACCTCCCCTTTTCGCATTACTTCACAAACTTGAACCACGCCTTGCTCTTGCATTGGTTCATCACCGTGCTTGTCCTTGTGGCCCCACCATCGCTGGCCATCTATGAGTTCGTAGTCAACTTGTACATCTACCCGGGCACATGGATCAATGTCGGTCTCACCATTGGACTCCTTTACTTGAAGTGGAACTCTCAATCTCTTCAATGGGGCGCGTACAGTCAAGTTGTCCATAATGAGAGACTCACAGCCACGGAAACCACAGAGCTTCTTGAGGAGGAAAACGAATCCTACACAGACTTTGACACCTCTTTCGGTCTGATTGCGCCACCTCCCGGTGAAGAAATCCCACCCCCCATACTCCCTAGCACATTCTCCGTTCCTTACCCGTTCATTTTCATTTTCCTTTTGGCAAACGTCTTCCTTGCCTTATTCCCATTCGTGAAGCCTCCCTCAGGGCTGCCTGGAGCCCTTCTGCCCATCCCTCACTGGTGCTTCCCCACCATCGGTCTGGGGGTTCTTGCAGCTGGTGCTGTTTGGTTCTACTCTCGTCAACGTTTCCATGTCTGGAGACACAACAAGACTGGCGCTGGTGAGCCGGTTGTTGAGTACAAGGAGGATATTTTATAGACTTTTTTTTAGGTAATAGAGACATTTTTAATTCAGATTTAGCAAGCAACCTACGGAAGAAAGTACCGGGAACTCCTCGTTAGAGAAGCAGGAGCCCCCAACGGCTAGTGACACGTGGAGTACCAGCGGAGTGGCTTGCATGCCCCACAGGGTGTTGTGTAGGTACCACACTTCTGGAAGTTTAATGCCACCGTACGGGGTATGCAAGCCGCTCCGCTGGCACTCCGTGGGCCACTAGCCGTGGGGGCCTTGTTCCTCTGACGAGGAATTACTACCCTACTGTGACAAGTTCTACTTATTTCCTCGAGAGAGGAGCATGACCTCCACGCCTAATGGCCCACGGAGTGTTTGAGTTGACTCGACAGCCCCGCTGACAACGAAAGCCGGCTCTCTACGAGGTCAGGAAGCGCTACCCTGACATTCCGTGGATTATACACCCAGGCGCTGATTCCAGAGTAAAGTTTTTAGTACCAGTGAGTTCCTACGGGGTATGCAAACCGCTCCGCTGGCACTATGTAGGTCACTAGGTGTGATGCTCTTTCTCCTCTGACAAGGAGGTCCGTCGTGCGTAGGAAGGGTAGAAACTCCTCGAAGAGGAGCAAGGCCCCCACACCTAGTGACCTACAGAGTACCAGCGGAACGGCTTTCATACCCCGTAGGGTATCCCTATCTCTCCTCACTTCCCTACGAAGATATCTACTTTTTATGACATTTGCAGCCATCAGCCCAGTCACAGTCCACTGGCCTACTGTGTCCGACAGGGGTTAAGCACAACACCCTCCCCGCCCGGTTAGCTATCCGCTTGCTCTACCTGCTCCCTACAAACTCCCCCAATAACCCTCGCTAACCACCCCCGCAAAACCCTAGTTATTACACTTTCTTCATCTTTTATCTCTTATCTTTCTTCCTCGGTATACGCCACGTGACCACTATCTCCCCCACATTTCTCAACTAATCAATTTTTTTTTTTTTTTTTTTTGGTTTGTTTGACAATTTGAATTTCTCAAAAAATGACCGCCAAAATCCTAAAAAGTCCTCCGAGGGTCAATCATTCACATTATTCAGACCGATTACCAGAACCCCATTCTCCACCCAGTACTATACCTGAATTGCCATGGAAGCCTCCACAACCTCGCTCATGTCCGACTCATGGACCTCATCGTCATTCATGGAAAACTCAGGCTCGGGGATCTTACCCAACCTCCCATCCTCCAAAAAGGCAACCATTAATTCTTACAAACTTGCGGTCAAATATTTTATGAATAAGAATTTCTACAAATCGTACGAGATCTCCAAACCGTTGTACGAGCGCAGTTTCCAACAATTTGCCTCCGGAACGATTCTGGAGCTGCTTTTCATCAAGGTGATCAACCTCTACTTGCTACAAATTGGAATGTTTTTAGGTGGCGGTGAAGAAGATTTAAGATTCAAATTTGAAAGAATTGAGAGAAATCGTGTGATAAATGAGTTAAAAAATGACGAAATTTTAAATAAATTTGAAAATGCGACCCGAATTCCGACCCTTGGTCAATCATCCGGTCAAATCCCCTCGGAAATCTTGTATAATAACTACCTTACCCTATTCACCAATAGAGAAGTTATCTATGATCAAGGAGAACCGGAAGAACTTTTAACCAAGTTTGATCGTGTGATAACGTCCCTCATACCTCATGACCTGTTTGATGAGAAACTTGTTGATCTCTATACATTTCAAGTGTTACCCTGCTATTCTCTTTACTCTCAAGCAAGACATTTCATTTCCAATAACTCACAATACTCATCCAATTTGGAACAAGCACTTAAAAAATTAAATGATATTGAAACAGATTCAAAATTAAAATTAAACCTGATAAAACAGGCAAAGGAATTGGCAGCTACTAAATTACAAGAACTGCAGAAATTGGAACGTGAAAGACTTAAAGAAGCAAAGAAAGAGGAAAGTCTCAAGTACAAGACATTGAGTCAAATTAGAAAAGAGGGCGGGGATACTTCCTCCTCCACCCCATCATCTCACGAGACTTCAAAACATGTAAGTTCTTCAAAATCACTCTCGACTTCAGCAATTGTAAAACAACTCAGATATCATCTTACACTTTCAAAAGATTATTTGGTGGAAAACGCACCAATTCTTCTAGTTGTTGTTGTGGCATTACTTGTAGGAACAAGATTCCTTAGAAAGAGGAAAATTAGCATTAAGGAGAAATTCTTGGAAACGATAAGAATGGCTTTCAAAGTTAGCTATTTATAATATAGAAACAATAATCAAAAGATCATGATGGATTCACCCATGTAGAACTCCTTGGCTCCCCACTGTGGCTTTTACCCTGATGCGGTTCCAGAGGAGCGAGCAACGCCCCGAAGGGTACGAAAAGAACCACCCTCTGGGGGTGTAAACCGCTCCGCTGGCACTCCGTGGGCCACTAGCCGTGGAGGCTCCTGTTCCTCTACCGAGGAAAGCCTTGGTTGCAAAATGACTCCTCGAAGAGGAGCTAGGCACCACGCAGTGGCTCTCCCCGAGTAGGGGCCAGCGGAGCGGCTTACACCCGAGGTGGTACTATATACTACCAGGCCATGTTCTTTTCTGTTTGTACACCGTGCACCACTAGAGACGATGGCTCCTCCCCTCTACGAGGAATACTTGTTAACGAGTGACTCCCATTGTAGCACCCAGTAGTACTCTATTTTATACCCTCAACCTTCCCCCCTCTCTCTTTGCTTTCTATGTCATGAAATACTTCTAAATGCTCAGGTTCAGGGAAATCACCCCCCACCGCCACCAAGCTCTCCCTCTTACCCCACCATGCTATCAATCCCACCCATCAGTTGGAAAGTATTAACCCCTCTAATGTATATCTTTGTCTTCCTACAAAAATAAAGGTATCTCTACCAATGCACCCCTTTCCTCGATATTTTCCATGTCTCTGCCTCTTCTTTCCGATGCAGTGATCGTGGTATCTACTTGAACCATTGGTTCAGAAGTCAGGTCATTCCCACCCAAAACTTCATACTCATCGATAAGTCCCGTCGATATATCCTCGGAAACCATTGTGGTTGAATTCGAGCGGTACTCATATGCTTCATCATCAAATATATTGTTGATAGTGAGTGGTTCATCTTTGGTTTTCTCCACTTGTTCTTCCTTATAATGTTCTAGCGCATAATTCTCACTTATTGAAGAAAGTCCCAACATATTAAACATGATAAGGGTGCCCAGATACCCTGGGAGTCTTGAATTTTTACAAAGAAGTTGCACCGATAGAGTCCCTGAAAGATCTTTACTGATCTTACATTTACTTGAAAGACGTACTGATCGGAAGATTTTGTTGAAATTGGCAAAGTTATAACAGGCAACAATGGCCTTATTTGCTGGGATCATGGTGGTCGTTGACCGTCCTTCATCCGTTTGTAAACCTTGTTCATAAACAGAGATTTTCTCAAGAATGGTTTTTTCATTGGGGAATATTAACTTCAGGTGTCCAATGGGTCCCTTGGAGATGAAATTTACTTCATTACGAATAAATTGAGGACCTCTACGTGGCAGTGATTGTTGTTTATTCCTCGATTTTTTCCTCTTTTTACTCTCCCCCAACGTTGATATCTCGTTCGATACATACATATACAAGTCCACTGTGGCTATTTGTTGAAGATCTTTCAATAAATTGGCCAAAACGTCACTTTTCAATATAAGATCAAATTCCACTTCCTCACGATTGATTGTGAGTCCTACATTGACATCTTCATCTACGTCGTCCATGTTCTCGTCATCATAAGGAGACTTCAAGTCGGTGTAGAACGTTAGAAACTCAATCTTTTCACTAATAAATGCATCTTCAAACTCTATAATTAATGGTGTACCATCGCCGTTGTACGTGATGTAGCACGTGACGTCCCCGGATATGCTTCCATCACCACCACCACCAGGACTTTCCTCCTCTTCTTCATCATCTGGATGATTACCAATATTACTATTATTACGATTGGAAGAACTTCTCTTCTTTCTGATGATGGTAGTGCCAACGTTAGGAGTGGGAACTGAATTGAAACTATCACTAATTAATTTTAAATCAATACCAAATCGAAGTTCCTCACTGATTGGATGAGAATCCTGTGTGTTGTTACAAGTGTCTTCAGAGTAAAAATTATAGGTACTGAACAATGAAGGGTCTATGGTCAGATGGGCATTCATTACATGGTTCAGCTCGGAATAGATGGAGATTCCCCGGGGCGAGATCATCATCAATGCTTGATTATTTATCGAAGACACCGCTTGGAAGACATCTGCTAGATGTGAGATTTGACGCGTTGCCGCTGTGAAGGTGAATGTAGGTTTAGAAGAAGATTCAGAAACCGGATGGATTCCTGGACCGGTCAACGTTTCAAAGAGAGACATAGTACATACGAAAAAGTCAATTCAAGAAGAGTATCTAATACAAAAATATGGAGTTAGCCTAGTATATAGATCACACAGAGAGGAACGCGTGAGGTTGTCTACTATATAACAGAGAGACGTGTATGTAGGAAACCAAACAAATAATGTAGACTTCCTAATCGGGTAACACGAGCAAGAGCAAACGTGTAGGGGGTATACAGGCTGGTCTCTTAAGAAAGACATAGTAGTCTCCAATTGACATCTCCATTAGGACGGTTTTACCACCTTGTACGGATACTAAGTAATCATAAACGAGAAGTAACCCTACGGGATACGTAAGACGCTCCGCTGGCACTCCGTGGGCCACTAGCCGTGGTGGCCTTGTTCCTCTAGCGAGGAATGCCTTGGTTGCAACAGGACTCCTCGAAGAGGAGCTAGGCACCACGCAGTGGCTCTCCCCGAGCAGGGGCCAGCGGAGCGTTCCACTACCCCCGGAGGGAAATAAGGTATCTCCCTCTGGGGGTGTAAGCCGCTCCGCTGGCACTCCGTGGGCCACTAGCCGTGGAGGCTCCTGTTCCTCTAGCGAGGAAGGTCTGTGGGTCATACATAATGGTAAACTATCTGGCCATATCGACCCCTTTTTATATTTTTAAATAGTCTATACAACGATGAATTAAACAAGATTTATGTGGCTGGGAATGGAGGTGGGGGTGGGGGTAACAAGATTATAAAACGATTAGATCTCAGTGCCCCACTTAGTAAACAGAAATGTAATTGTCAATTCTGTTCTTTTGGTTCTGGGCAATACATTCAGCAATCCAGGTGACATTTCTGATTTCCTGCTCCTTGGATCTCAACCAGGCCCAAACTGAAGACAATGTGAATTGTTGAGTGAATGCATTTTTACAGTATTGCATTTCAAGGAGATAGAACCAATCTTCAAGATTGGAACCACCTCCGTTTTCGTTGCTACTACTGTTGTTCCCACCACCGTTAAACAATTCCTTGTAGTCACCACCATCGATGATGGACTTCAATTGTTCTACATCTTCCGCTTCGGCCAATTCACGGTGATACAATGGGTATAATTTCCCGTACAGGGGGAACAAACTCAACTTATCATCACTGGACAAATCCGGGTTGTTTAAAGAGTTCAAGGCAATATTAATGACTCTCTTATCGGCCTCAAAGGAAAGCAATTTCCCCATGATTTCGTAATCTGGACCATCGAATTCCTTTTCAATGAATTCAACAAACAGTTCCAAGTAATTCTTATACAATTTATTTCTAATGATTTCAATGTTTAAATCATCCAAATCATCTGCAGTCAAGCAATTTTTGAAAAATGGAGCCAATGGAGTATCAACAAGAACGGTACTATACAAGGATTCAATATCGGTGGCAATACTCAAGGTGGGCAAGGTTTCAAACCATCCCAATGGATGACATTTGGCCAAGATTTCCGAGCAATCACGTTCATGCAAAGTTCCTGTGATCATAAGAGAAACGTTATCGATCATATATCCATAACTAATGTAATCTAAGTATTTACTCAACTTACCAGAAGCCTGCGAACGCAAGTATTGGAATTGTTGATAAAGTTTTTTCGACATATTGTCTTGAATTATCAGAGTGGATAATGGACCTGAATGCGAAGCCAAAAAATTCCCATAATCAGTGGAACTGAGTTGAAGTTTTAAATCTTCTAAATTGTCACATTGAGTTAAATTAACATATTGATTGTTACCCAAGAGACCAGTTCTATAACCTCGAACAACCCCTTCGACAAAACCATAATCGATGTTGAAATAAAGGCCTTCCATTTTAGCACTTTCAATTGATTGAATCAGGAATTGAATGAATTTTAAATGGGTTTAAAGAAAGAAAGTTGTTTCTTAATTCAATCGCCCGTTTGCTGTTTTTATTGAATTTTGGCGGTCAATTTTAATTAAAAAGGAGGAAAATCTCATTATCGTTAAGGTCGTGCGAGGTACATAAACCGGGGCACGTGATGCCGTCTGTTATCAATAGCTAGGCCACCATGCACTCTCCCCGAGCAGGGGGCCAGCAGAGGGTTCGAACATCCCAGGAGGGAAGTACGGTATGTCCCTGCCGGGAGCTGCGAGCCGCTCCGCTGGCACTCCGTGGGCCACTAGCCGTGGAGGCCTTGTTCCTCTACCGAGGAAAGGGTATGGCTGCTATTGGTCTCCCCGTAGAGGAGCCAGGCACCACGCAGTGGCTCTCCCCGGGTAGGGGCCAGCGGAGCGTTCTACTCCCCCCTGAGGGTAGTAAAGTGTTACCCTACGGGGTGGGGCGGGGCTTTGTAAAAACTCATATCTGTTTCTCTTCTTGAACACCTAACTCCCATCATCAGGTGACCCAAAACACGTGATACCATATTTTATTTTTTTTATTTTTTTATTTTTGGCTTGGATTTTTTAATTTCTCTTTGGGTAGACGTGGAGCCAAGATCAAGGTCTAATTCAAGTTCACAATTCAATCATGTCACAACTTCTCTTGGAGGTCCTAAGAGACGACTTACCGGCAGATCTCGATGTGACCACCGACGAGTCGCTTGGCCGAATTGCCCAGGAGTATCTCTCCACCTTGTTGACCAACGACGATTTGTTTTCTTTGGATAACCATGTCAGTGGGCCTCCGGTCGACATAAAGACCCTACCAAACAGACAAGATTCCACTAAACCCACTATTTTGGAGGAGATCGCCGAGTTGGATCTTCAGGAACATACCATCAACAGTCAATTGGCTGCACTCACATACAAACATAAGGATTTGATCATTGACGTTGGTCATGAGGTCGACATGATTGGTGGTGAAGGGGTCTTACAATTGATGAAGGAGGTAGACCAGCTAGCCAGTGCCACCCAACAGTTGTCCGAACTTGGCTCTCGAGAACAGGCGCCTTCCTCTTCAACCATAACAGCTGAATCTTCCTTGGAAAGCAGCACTACCACCACTACCACCACCACCAACTCCACCACTCTGGTGGCTGTACCCGCCAAATTATACACCCAAATCGAATCCAATCGGTCAATCCTAGCCAACATCGACTCTGTCTTGGACATGTTGGAAATCCCAACCCTTTGTAAGCTTTGTATCTTGCAGGGGAACTATCAGGAGTCGCTTGAGATCCTGACCATGGTACAGTCCTTATTGATCAGATTCCCCTCGATAAATATCTTCAAAACCGTCAACCGGCAGGTCGAGCAGGAGCTCCAGATGATGGTCAAAGGGTTGGTACGGCTTCTAGGCGGTAATTTGAAACAGGGGAACATCTTGAAGGTGTTCCAGATCTTAATCAAGGTTGGTGGCGTAGGTTCCCCCGCGCTAGACGAATCCACAGTAGAACCTTCAACCACATCCCTATCTGTTCTCAAACTGATCTATCTCAACTCAAGATTCCATTTCATCTCCTCTTCGCTTGACACCCTCAAGCCTCTCATCAAATTCAATCGTCTCACATACCTCAAACGATTCATAGAAACGTACAGAGAGCACATATTCAACACACTCTCGGTGTACCATTCCATTTTCGATCCATTGACAGACTCCAACGACCCGTTGAACGAAAGGTCGTCCGACAGCCTTGTGATTGCCCAGTTCATCAAGAGTCTTGTGGCACTTCTCACGGACGCGCTCCTCGAGCACTATCCTCGTCTTGGCGACGCCGAGGATGCTTCCGATCCAACGGTGGAAATATCCCGTCAAGCGCATCAAGACGGGGTTGTGTTACAAATCCTCTACCTTTGTAAGTCGTTGGCCAAGTACCATGTTGACTTCGAAACCGCAGTGGTATGGGCAGTCTGTTACGACAAGGAATTGATTTCTGAGGCAGATTGGATGAGAAATTTGAAGAAAGTGAAGCGGTTCCGCTAGACTGGAACTACAAGTCTTACAGTGCAAGGCACCTGGACTTTCATTTGATTAGCATTAAGATTAAAATATAATACATACAACGAACGAGCAACGCCCCGCAGGGTAGGAAAAAGTATCACCCTCCGGGGGTGTAAGCCGCTCCGCTGGCACTCCGTGGGCCACTAGCCGTGGGGGCTCCTGTTCCTCTAGCGAGGAAAGGGTCTGACTGTCAGTAGCCTCCTCGTAGAGGAGCTGGGCACCACGCAGTGGCACTCCCCGAGTAGGGGCCAGCGGAGCGTTCCACTACCCCCGGAGGGTAGGCTCGCGAGCAGCCCCGCAGGTACTACATGTGCCCTCTTCTTTCAAGTTGAATCCCTGAGATTTGGCCCATCCTCAACTAAATAGAATACAACACATACACTCTCAGGCTCTGTAATCACTTATAAACTGTTCAATCCGAAAAGGAACCCCAATTCTCTTCTACCCAACCTACTGACTGACTTCATTCCCTCATCATCAAAGGCAGCACTCACCAATTTCTTCTTGGACGCTTGTAACTCCATGATCCGGCTCTCAACAGTTCCTTGAATCAAGATCCGATGCACATACACCTCCCGCTGTTGACCAATACGGTGGGCTCTATCTTGTGCTTGTTCTTCAACAAAGGGGTTCCAGAAGGGATCCATGATGATGACGTGCGACGCACACGTGAGCGTCAACCCAACGTTCCCGGCTCGAAGTGAAAGAAGCAAAACCCGCTTGTCCGGCTCTTGATAGAACCTCTTGATGGTGGCATTCTTTTCATCCAACGACATACTACCGTCGTATCGCAAAAAGGGGATCTCTTCATGGTTGAACACAAGTTTCATAAGGTCAAAAAGAACCAAAAACTGCAGGAAAATAATGATCTTTTCCCCCGGACGGTTTCTTAGAATGTCATGAATTAATGCAAAGCATCGTTCAATCTTTGCCAGAGGTATGAACTTACCCCCCTTCGCCCGGACCAATTGGGCAATTTTCTGTGAATTTGAGGTCTTCCCCGACCCGTTGCCCACGCCCGATTCTTCATAATGTCGCATGACTTCCGTGTAGGTGAGATTCTCCACATACACTTGTTCAAACATCCCGTATTCAACCAAATGTGTTTCCCGGACAGTGGGCAGATCACACGAGAAACACCGCGCAACACGACGTCCTTCATCGTTATCCCCCTCCTCATACCTTTCAAAGAAGGGATGTATACAATTATTACAGATCATATGCCCACAGTTGGGGAAAATTATTGCTGAGGAGTACAGCAAGACATCAAAGCAAATTGGACAAGTGAAAAGATCCGGTTCGCTTGTTGGATCTGGTTCCCCGGCCTCTTCCGCCTCGATGAGGAGTGTCAGTTTGGATTCATTATCCAGACTGTTCTTGACTCTCTCAACAATTTCTCTTTTCATCCCGCGAGTGATTTCATACATCTTCTCCCAATCTTTAGCGCTGGAAGAACGACCACCAAATGAAACGCCGGCCTCATCCTCTCCCTCTTCTCTCTTCTTCATTTCCCCAATCTCAACTAAAAAGCTGTGACAACACGCCTGTCTCAAGCGCAACAACATGGTCAAGATGTTCAGATATGCTCCCACTTTACTTTGGTTCAACAACTTCTCGGCCTTCTTCTTGATCCCCAGTTCCAACGCAGTGTAATACTCCTGTTCCAGCTTGCCCATCTTCACATCAACCTCCTCCACATGTTTCTCCGGAAGTTGAAGAATAGGCTTACCGTCTATCAAAGAGGTTTTCATTCTTCTTAAGAGTATGGCCTTGAGCAAAGCTCGGAGTTTCTGCAATGCCCTGGTCTTGTCCAATTGGACATAACTGTCAGATTTGGATTTTAGCGGGAGCAGGATATCCTTTCTAAACGTTTTTTCTGAGTTATACGGTCTGATTTGAAGGAATCGAAGGATCGGATACAACTCTTCAACGTTGTTCTGGATCGGGGTACCGGACAAACAGAATCTATACGTTGCCTTGAGACAATGCACAGCCTTGGATGCTATAGCCAATTTGTTTTTAATTCCCTGTGCTTCATCAAGAATGATCCGGAGGAAAACACTGTCACGGTCGAAAAATGGCGATACATATGATGTTCCCCCCGCGTTAAGGTCTGGAATTGCTGCCAGATCCCTCCCAACTTTGGCTTCCTCCAAGGCGGATTTGTAGTGTTTCTTCCACTCCAGCGAAAGGGTACCGTACGACGTAAGCACAACGTCAACACGCGAGAAGTCCTTCCATCGTGCAAGTTTCTTTTTATCCTTTCCATGGTAGATTGCTATGGAAAGGGCATAGCTAGGTTTGACTTTAGATTCTATTTCTGCTGCCCATTGTCTGAGAAGAGATACAGGAGCAATGATAAGCGTGGTGGACGGTCCGGATTTCTTCCGTTTGAGTAGTTTGACCGGTGTAGGTTTGGATAGATTAAGTCCAGGGAGTCTGCCAGACTCTAATTTTTCATCAATCTCTTCAATTTTCCCTATTCGATCAAGAAAATCGTCTTTAATGTCAATTTCTTTATCTTCAATCTTCTCAATCTTCTCCACCTTCTCCACCTTCTCCACCTTCTCCACCTTATCAACCTTCTCCTTCTCATCTGGCTGATAAACCAATAAAGCTATGGCTTGAACGGTTTTACCCAACCCCATATCATCAGCTAAAATCCCTCCCTTACTCTTCAGCTCTTCCATCCGAACCATCCAGCTCAACCCCATTCTTTGGTGCTTTAACAAGGTGATTGACATGGCGGCCGGTGTGGCCGCCAACCCTTCCTCATTGGTCTCATCCGGTTGGATGTTGTTCAAAAGATTCTGCAAATGTTGTTGATCAGAGTCCGAATAAACATTACTGGTAAATCCCATGAGGTTTTGTCTGAGCACCTCACCATCTTGGTCATCTGCAGCACCATTACCAAACGCAAATGGTTGCTGTTGCTGCTGGAATATGTTTTGGTTGGACTGTTGATATTGTTGCCATCTCCCCTCCAACAGGCGGATGTTCTGAACCACCATCGATAACCGGTTGGTGATCGATTGAATGACCGATCGGCACCGCCCAGAGAAGGAGTCCAACTCATACATTTCACGAGACTTCTGGCGGATTTGATTGTCTACATGTTGCAACCGTGGCGTTGGATCACCTTCTCGGTTTCCATCCTCCTGATACAACGCCATTCTCTCCTGGGACAATTGGTTCAAGCTCGTGGCAATCTCCATTCTCTTCCTCAACGCCTTACTGTTCTCCGTGTTCACCTTGGCATAGTCCGTGGAAAGTTTCCGTTGTTCTTCTCGACATATTTGAAGTCTTGCTATCCGTTGGGTTTCCATCTCCAGCAGCACCACCGCTTGGTTTCCCCCACCTTCGAAATGTATCACGGGTGCTGGCCCATTATACTGAGGGTCCACCCTTCTATTAGGTTGTTCGAAGGATGTGGTTTTAAACCTTCTTTTGACCGCCTCCTCGGCGGGCACCTCGATGATGTCATCATCGATATCCGAGGGATCATTCGACGTCCCTACACTGCTAGGGTTCGACGTGAATGCCGCCTGAGGTGCCAAATTTGTTTCCAGATTACTCATATCTCCGTTATTTCTCATCCCAAGACGTTCTAAACTAGCTCTATGTCTTTTCCTTGAGACCTGCTCAGGATCCAATTCTTCTTCACTATCCACATCTATGACTTCCGGGGGTCCTCCAAACAATTGACGTTTTGTACGTGAGTAGTCCGAGTCCGACTCATCTATTGCCAATACATCCCTCAGATCTTCTTCCAGCCTTTCTTCCAGACCGTCTTCTAGTTCTTCTTCTTCTTCCTCTTCCTCTTCTTCTCCTTCTAGATCTCCTCCTTGCAACCCCTTCCGACGGTCTTCAATTCCGGAAAAATCGTCTCTCTCCTCGGCTTCATCCTCTGAAGTTAGATAGATCACCGTGGACCCAGGAGGCACCACAGAACCCATAATATATTACTCGTTTATACTTTCTATTGTGTGTCAAACAGCCTTGAACCCTGTTGTTAATCTTTAACCCATAGTGGCGGTTTTGTGTCAATCCCGGAGATTTACAAAAAAAAATAAACAAAAAAAAAAAAAATAGAAGAAGATTCAAATCAGAAGAGCAGATCCAGACAACCTGGGGACGTCATTAGACATATGGGAAGAGCTTAAGATAGGTAGAAAGTTTAAAGGAGTAAACTAGGGGGGATATTTACTTTTTTTTTGTAGGAGAGATTTGGAAAAGTTTGGAGAAAATGCTTATGTAGAGAGATTAATTCCGGGTGGATCACACATAGTTCCGACTTGTCAATTCCGACCATATGACTGATCTACTAGAACCCACCCCCCCCCATCAACCACTCTTTCTACGAACACGATTCATAGCACTAGTACAACCATTCTTATACAATGGATGGGGGGGGGGGTGATAGCATGTAGTGTGTAGGTAGAGGCAATGTAAGAGGAATATGGTGTTGTTGTGGGAGACGTGGCGCAAGCCGTGACTCGTCACATGACTTACTTCCACCAGGGCCCTGAGAGAACTTTATGTGTCATGAGTTAGAGCATCTACAATGGGACCATTCCTAGGAGAGGAGTTCCCGGAACGACTCGCATCTCCACAGGGAAAGGGTTAAAAGTACCTTCTTGGGGTTTCAGGACGCTCCGCTTGCCCCTGCTCGGGGAGAGCCACTGCGTGGTGCCTAGCTCCTCTACGAGGAGACTACTAGCAGCCAGACTTTTCCTCGCTAGAGGAATAAGAGCCTCCACGGCTAGTGGCCCACGGAGTGCCAGCGGAGCGACTTGCAAGCCCCGCAGGGTAACTACTCACCTCCCTATGGCGGATGCCCAGGTCACCTGCGGGGCAGGAACTACATCCAGCTCTTTCATAATTGAATGAATTTATTCGTTATTCTAATAGTATACAAGGTGCGTTCTTTCTGTTTCTCTTCTCCGTTGATCCTTCTCCCTTAGAGATAGTCTCCATTTTCTTCCAAAATCTTATCCAAACAAATCTCCAACTCCTGTATGAGACGCTCGTTTGTCTCATCAAAGGCCAACCCACGTTGATAGTCTGCACGGGCATCGGTATAGTTACCCAAGAAGAAATTGGCCACCCCACGTCTCAAAAAGTTTTCAGGGGTGCACAACATCATACCCAACAACATGTCTGCGTCGTTGAAAGCGCCCAAATAGTTCTTAGTCTTCAAGTAGGCATCGGCACGACTCATGAGGAAAAGACTGAGTTCTTGTAAAGTTCCTTGGAAGGACTCAAACTTGTGTCTACGAGAGATCATTTCAATGCCAATGCTGAATTGTTTGGCGGATTCCTCGTACTTTCCCTGCTTGAACGCCTGGACCCCACCTTCGTAGAGCTTCCGGATCATCTTGGACATGTCCTTGTTGAAGTTTTCTGGTGTGGGGACTGGTGGTACGTCGGCACCATTAGCAATAAGCTCGGCGGTCAACACGTTAAGTTGGTCAATTTCAAGCTTGAGCGCAGGGACTGCCTGGACCGATTCCGGGCCAAGCGCGAGTCTCTTGGACTTTGGATCGTAACCTAATTGGACGTTCATACTTTGGTGATGTATTCGTGAAAGTAGGCGTGGGTTAGAGAGAGGCCACTCTTTAATGGTCCGTCGCGGTAAGAAATATGCGATCTGGCCAAAAAGTTGAGGATACGTATCAGGGGCGTGCGAAAATCATAAATGGGGTAGTAACTGGAGGGAATGTGAAGAATGGGTAGAATAGCAAGAACAAGATATGGAAAGAGTTATGGAGTATAAATGGTAAATTAGGGGAGTTTGGAAGTGGAACAAGGGTGAAAAAAAACATATGAAGGGAAAGTGACAAGAGAATACAAGAAAAATGCAAAGAGGTATGGGGAAAGAAATAGAGAAATGAGATTATGAGGTCTCTCACTATGGAGTGTTTTGGGCTCGTATGATGAGTGGGTACGTCTTATGAGTGGGTCTACCAGCTATTTAGAATGAGTGGGGTGTGTGGACACCATCCATTGGAGCACATGTGGCACTTTAAAGACAGCAGTACGGTTTAAGGAGACAAACAACGTGAAGGCGCGCAGCTGTGGAAATGGCTGCAAACATTGCAACCAGCAGATAAAGGATGTTGTCACCATGAAACCCAAGGTCTTTAATTCGGAACACGCAGTTGGTACAGTACCTATGGGCTGTCCTGTAATATTCACATCACCAGAGAGGAAGTACGCCTGTGACAATGAGCTGGTACTACTCGAAATGCGAAATTTGAGACACATACTCTTAAACGACTCTCTGTACCAGAATTCCTCGTTAGAGGAACAAGGCCCCCGCGGCCAGTGGCCCACGGAGTGCCAGCGGAGCGGCTTTCATACCCCGTAGGGTGACTACTCTCTTCCCTGCGGGGCTGCAAGACGCTTCGCTGGCCCCTGCTCGGGGAGAGCCACTGCGTGGTGCTGAGCTCCTCTACGAGGAGATTCTTCCAACCAGACTCCTACAATGTTCCAGGGGAGAGACTCGAGTACCCTAAAGGGAGGAACTGGGTTGTCGTTAAGCTTTTCTCTTTTTCCTTTTTCTTTTTTCTTTGCATTTGTGGAATTGGTAAGAGACTTTGAGTGTTTTCTTTTTCTCCTCCAGCTCTTTTTGTAATTCGTTCTTCCTTTTCAGCCCACTCCAAACATACACACATTCCTACTTGCTACACTAGCTCTCCCCAATAACTCACCTCAATTCCAAATGAGCTTCGTAGTCTTAGACCATTCTCCTGATTTGAATCTCAATTTCACCTTAAGGGGAAGAAGATTTGGAACTCTCATATTGGTGAAGAACACTCAATTCACCCCTAGATCACCTTCACTTTTCATTACTTCATCCATCCCTTCAACCCTTTCCTACCCACAACTTTTGAAAAGCTTTACCAGTGTCCCAGCAAATCGTGGCAATGGTGGCGTCTTGATGGAATTGGATAGATCATTCCGAACAAACAGGAAAAGTTCTCCTCTCCATGAGAATGGATCTCCTTCTGTGGATGAAGAACTCGAGTTGGAGAACTCCATCTTCTCTCCTGACACACATTGGCCAACTATTCGAGACGTGGAAACTATTGAAACAGTTGAAGACAAGAGCACCACTGCGTTAGATTCTCCAGATAGCAATAGTTCACTTTTGGACAGATTTAAATCCACCTACAAGTCCTGCATCAGCCATGGACAGAGATTGGATAAGAGTGTCCATGTTCTGTTTCGATCTCCACAGATGTACTCACCAATTTCACCGGTTGACAAGAAGAAAACTTTAAAACTTCCTTGGAAATTGCATACCCAAAGGTTTGGCAAGATGAAACTGATTTGGGGGACTTTTACCCCTATGGAAGATACTTGGGACAACTCAATAATTGTATAGGAATAAAATGAACGAGCAGAAAGGGAAATAGTAGAGAAGGAGCTAGAGAGGGACTACTAGAGAGAATTTTACTAGCTTTAGAGAGTCTATACCAAAGGGTGAATCACTACCGGCTAATAAAGTCCTATAAAATTGGCGGGCCAACTGTGGGGCCATATTAATATACCGAGGACACATCCGGTAGCACTTAGTCTCCTCGTAGAGGAGCTAGGCACCACGCAGTGGCTCTCCCCGAGCAGGGGCTAGCGGAGCGTCTTGCAAGCCCCACAGGGAAGTGAGTAGTCACCCTGCGGGGCTTGCAAGCCGCTCCGCTGGCACTCCGTGGGCCACTAGCCGTGGGGGCTACTGTTCCTCTAGCGAGGAAAGGTCTGGCTACTCGTGGTCTCCTCGAGCAGAGACCAGCGGAGTTTACACGACCCTCGACTGATCTCTCCCCGTCCTATACCATTGGCTGCAAATGTTTCATGTCCATCTCTCTCCACCCTGATCCGTTCTCATTCACCAAGACCTTACAGTCTCGCCTCTACCCCTTACTTACTTCCTCACCTCTACTTCCATAGCCCCGTCAATCCCCCTCCAAACAAACACTCTACCCATCAAATAGTATACCTCCACTACTAGCAAAGACTACCTCTCTGGCTCTCCATGCAGTCCTTATCTTTTGACTCATATCGCTCTCATTTTTTTTTTATTTTTTTTTATTTTACTCTGCAGATTGACTCATTTCCTCAGAGTGTGCGCGCTCCAAGTCCCACCAGGTACTTCATTATATAGTCCCACCAACCCCCCACTCTTTCCCTTGTTCATCAAAGATATACATACTTTCCAACATGTCCTTTGTACAATCTGTAATCCGGCCAAACATCCGGTCTTTGGAACCATATCGATGCGCTCGTGACGACTTCAAAACCGGTCTTTTATTGGACGCCAATGAAAATACTCAAGGTCCAGCCTTAACGTCAGTCACTGAAGAAGAAGAACTTTTGAATTTGAATAGATATCCAGACCCTCACCAATTGGAATTAAAGGAACAAATTGTTCAATTTAGAAATTTAAACCCAAACGAACACAAAACTGCCGACTCGCAATTGTTATCCCCGAGCAATTTGGTGCTTGGCGTGGGGTCCGATGAAAGTATTGACATGCTTATGAGATGTTGTTGTCAACCGGGTCAGGATAAGATTTTGATTTGTCCGCCCACATATGGGATGTACTCCATTTGTGCCAAGGTTAACGATGTAGGAATCAGTAGAGTGCCGCTTCAATTCCCCGGATTTCAATTGGATACTGATGCCATTGTAACTGCGGTGAAGGAAGACCCCTCGATTAAATTGATGTATTTAACCAGTCCAGGGAACCCCACCGGTAAACTTTTATCTGTCGAAGATGTGGTTACCATTTCCGAGACCGTGGCAAAGTTCTGGAAAGGGTTTGTGGTCATTGATGAAGCTTATATAGACTTTACCCCAAACAAGACAACTGACGGGAAAGAATATAGTGAGTCTGTTGCCACTTTGACGACTCAATATCCAAACTTGGTGTGTCTTCAAACTCTTTCCAAGTCGTTTGGATTGGCTGGGATTAGATTAGGGATCACTTTTTGTACGGAAGAGTTGGCACATTATCTCAATTCCATGAAGTACCCTTACAACATCTCATCCTTGACGGCAAATGTTGCCCTTAGGGCCACGGGGAAGGATACTGGGTTGACCTCTATGCAAAAATTCGTGGTCCAAGTGGCCGAACAACGTGACTGGGTCTTGCAAAATTTGCAAAAACTCGACGGCATTGGTAAGAATTTGGGCGGTTTGGAACTGAATTTCTTACTTTTGGAAATCTTGGATAAAGACGGCAAGCCTTCAAATGAAGTTGCCCAGAAATTGTATCAAGTTTTGGCAGTTGATAACCAAGTTGTGGTGAGATTCAGAGGTAAAGAACTTAACTGTACTGGGTGTTTACGTATCACCATTGGTACTGAATCAGAAAACTTGAAATTGATTGAAACATTCGACAAGTGTCTCAAGCAAGTGAGATGAGACCACTAACCAGGAAAAGTCCGTAGACCGGCCATAGAAAAGATAGACGAATATAGTAAATATATGATGAAATGTTTGTAAAGAAAGGTCTTTTAATGTAGGTTTGTACTAGTGGTGGGATATGCAAGCCCCATAGGGTGACTACTAACTCCGCTGTGGGTCCTGTAAGAAGCTCCGGTGGCCCCTGCTCGGGGAGAGCCACTGCGTGGTGCCTAGCTCCTCTTCGAGGAGTCATTTTGCAACCAGGGCATTCCTCGGTAGAGGAACAAGGCCCCCACGGCCAGTGGCCCACGGAGTGCCAGCGGAGCGGCTTGCATACCCCGTAGGGTTATTACTTCCCCAGGGCTGCAAAACCGAGGGTTGCAAAATTCATTCGTTCAGGTTGAACAATGTAGGGATCCGGAAGGGAAATGAATGTAAGTGAGAACTTTGAAGGAACGTCCCAGAGACTGTCCCCATCTCTGAAATATTCCTCCCATGCTAAAGACCTCCAACAAGTCCAATCCTCTTGAAATGGCTGCACAGCAGCTTCAAAGATGAACATCCACACACCCACTCAGAAATTGAACTCCCATCCTTTCTATTTATTCTTTTCATACTTTTACACAATTTGTAGACCTAATAACTATTGTACCCAACAATATATATATATATATATATATATATATCAATAATTCTCATCGTTTCTCATCTCTCTCTCTCCTATCTTACTCTTCTTCATCTTAGTCCTTACTCTTTCTTCAACTTTGGTCATATCCTGCACATACGTCCTCTCTCAACTTTCTCATTATTACACTCTCGATCTCGTCTCCGGGTAACCGCACACTTCAAAACTTTTCTCATTTTTCTTGTTGACAAAACTTTTACAACCATTTTCATCCCATTGCAAATCCCAACATAAAACACATCAAATATGGCCAAACAAAACTTTGTAGGACTTGTAGTATCGCAGGGGAAGATGGCCAAGACCGTCAAGGTCCGTGTGCAGACCAAAACATACGACAAATCCGTCCACAAGGAGGTGGTGAAGCGGAAGGACTACCTTGTCCATGACCAAGGGGAACTCTGTAAAGAGGGTGATATTGTGAGAATAGAGGCCATTCCAAAGATATCGGCTAGAAAGTACTTTGCCGTGGCCGAGATCAAGGTCAACAAGGGTCAACAATTTGCCTTGTACGAGAAGTTGGCCATTGAAAAAGTTGCTGTTCAAGAACAAGAACAAATCGCCAAGTTCTTTGCCAGAAGGGACGAGTTCAACCAGACCATCACGCATTTGGACGACTTGAGAAAGCTCGACTCCTTGGCAGTCCGCTTCCAGGGGCTTAGTGGTGGAGCTGCCCATGCTGCAAGCGAAGAGGAACGCCAACAATTGTTGGCAGAGATCGGTGCCATCAAGGAAAAATATAACATCAAAACATGGCCAGCAGTCGAGCCAGTGGTTTCCTTGCAAGTCAGCGAGGCCCTGAAGGATTTGAGTGTCTTGGAACACCGTGTAGCCAACATCAAGACCATTTTGGACAAGATGCTCGGAGAGGAACAATACGCCGCCAAGGTGGAAGAAGTGTTGCAACAGCTTTCCAAGAAGCCTGTGGCTGAACTCTCCAAGTCCGTGAGGCGGAACATGTTGAGAAAGTGGGTTTTAAATGAGAAGAACGAAGTTTTCGTTCAGTTGTAAATAAGACGAAGCACCACGAAGTTGAACCGATGTCGGCAGCAGCCGTCACCCTGCCATAGAGACAGACTCTGTTTAGAAGGTGTGCGCTGCGCTGTGCATTTTTTTGAGCAAACAATCGGGGGGTGGGATGTGCTGCTGAGCACCACCGGGCCATAGAAGGGAAGCGAGGCTGACAGCCTCTGCTGATCACTCGGGAGGGATAGAATATCTTTCCATGTATATACAAATAAACGATTAGAGAATGAGAAGAGAGGTGTAGGCGAAGCTAGGCCCCATGACCCTCCTAGAATTTAGCCGAGCGACTTACAGACCCTGTAAAGTGGTATCTTACTTCCCTGCCGGGGGTTGCAAGCCGCTCCGCTGGCACTCCGTGGGCCACTGGCCGTGGGGTTTTTGTTCCTCTTACGAGGAATTTCTAGGTATAAATATCTCCTTGGAGACAATGGTGGTACCACTTCTTCTGCCGGGCCGCAAACTGCTCTGTGTACCATGGACTAGTCCTTCCACTACAAAGACAATGGACGCTTTCCAAGGAGGTTGCCAGTGCCAGAGGAACACACTCCTATTGGAGATCTCCCTCAATCGTAACCAACTGGCACCTACGTAGGCGACACCAGCTGTACCTCTATGGCACAGAGGCCATGTATTCCCCTCCTAGCTCCAACCAGAGTATTAAATATGTACTAGAAGAAAATTGGGACAATTGATCTCCTCGTAGAGTTCTTTGGTCCCACTGATAGTGGCCCATGAAGTTCCAGCAGAACGACTCGCTAGCCCTACAGGGAAGTTACCAACACTTTACAATGAGGTTTGTAGGACGCCCCGATGACCCTACTGGGGGAGAGCCACTGCTAGGAGCCAGACTCCTGTCTTGTCTTCACATTTTGCATCCATTGTTCAGCTCTTATGCTCCCCACCATCTCCTGCATAACGATGCCTGCCAAAGAACAAAATACAAAAAAAAAAAAAAGGGAAAGAACAATTGCCCGGATCTGCCATTAAAGAGCAATTAGCTATACCGCACCGCCTGCTGTGTACAACGCCCCTCGAACACCATACGCCGTCCCGTTCAATTCATCATCGATCCCCAGACTTATGCCTGCTTCCGGCTCAGATCGCCAATAAACTCTCACTCTTTCTCCGTTTTGTGAATAAGAGATTTTGACACATCCGCCATTCCTACATCTAACACCAAGGGCATTCTTCTCCTTCATAAATGTCCGGTGACGCCGTCTCGTTGGCCAACACCGCCTATACGATTCGTCTGAGGCTCTCGAAGATCACGACCAACCTCACTAAGACAGACATTGACTACACGTCGCCCCGGTACGACGAGGATTGGACCAGGTCCCGTCAGAAACTCCAGCCCTTATTTTCGCATGACAACACGCTGCACGTGCACCACAGACCCTCCACCATAGGGGGAGTTCCCACCAGACGGTCTTCCAACATTAATATGAATAATATGCAACATCTCAATATAGATAACAATGGGAACAATGCAAAGGACCAAAATGATCGTACACCTGGCATATCTCCGAGCGGGCTTGTGGCAATTAGACACATTTTAAATGTTCCCTTATCGACTCTCACCACCTTGACCATTAAACCCGGCGAACCGCAGTTTATCACGTGGTACTTCATCTCTCTGTACTTCCCCTTAATCACTGCTTGTTTGGGCCCCGTGGCTAATATGATTTCTTTTATTGGTCTCATCCAGCATTGGCGTGTGGATACGTCTACAGGGGAAACTCTTCGGGATGAGGGGGTACTTCTTGCCTTGAATATCATCAGTTTAGTACTTGGATTGGTGGGGAATGTCTCACTTTTAATGAATTTTTCCGGTCGTATCCGATACCTTGTCACTCAATGTGTATCGATAGCGTGTTGGTTCATTGCCAGTATGTTATTAGTGATCGATGTCGCCATCTCCAAGGTCATATACTTCAAGAAACACCACGAGGGGTACACGGGCCCGATTTATACGCCATCTGAAGGGTATTGGTTTGCAGTATTCACGGCATTTCTCTACCTTTTGTGCACGCTTATTCTTCTGATCAATTTCGGGGGGTATTGGTTGCAAAAATATCCTCCAACTTTTAATCTTGGTCCTAAGCAACGGTCACTTATGATCTTTACCATTTGTTTGGCCATATGGTTGCTTGGGGGTGCCATTCTATTTGCTCACATGATTGAAGGGTTGACCTACGGATCCTCGTTGTATTTCTGTACTGTACTGGTTCTTACCATTGGATTGGGTGACATTCTCCCCATCACTGCTGGTGCCAAGGTTCTTGTATTGATTTTTTCTCTTATAGGAGTGTTGATCATGGGGCTTATTATCACCATGATTAGACAAGTTGTACTTGCTGCTGGTGGGCCCACCATTTTCTGGCATCAAATTGAAAGAGATAGAAGTCGTGAACTTGTTAAAATGAATGAACTGGTCAATGAAAGTAGGGCAAATTTGGATGGAGATTCTGGTGGAGATGGACAGTCACATCTTCCAACTAATGGATCGAAGAAGGGGCAGGGGCTGCCTGCTCTTTCATTCCGCAAAATGAGAAATATCCGAAGAAGGGCAAAGGAAAGACAAACAAACCTCTCGCTTGTCTTGACGGTGCTAAACTTCATGGCATTCTGGTGTATTGGAGCCACCGTGTTCTATTTTACGGAAGGTTGGTCGTATTTCAATGCCTTTTACTTTTGTTTCCTTTGTCTTATCACCATTGGGTATGGAGATTTCCATCCAGTAACCCCCCTAGGTCGGGTCTTCTTTGTCTGTTGGGGTATTTCAGCCATCCCCTTAATGACCATTCTTATTTCCAATGTTGGCGATAAACTCTATTTTTTTGCCAATAAAATGAGTTACTTCATGGCCAAATGGTTTTTCCCTGAGTACTATCGATTTCTTCTTCAAAAGAGACGTCGTCGGAAACGAAGCCATGCTACAGGCTCTCTCTCAGCTTCCACATCTCATGCTTCTTCCAGTGCGGTGGATGAGAGTGAAGAAGAAGCCATTGTAGATGAAATGGAGACTGGGGATCGTGACTCCATGGAAGAATATCTTCATGGAGCTGATGATTCCACCAAACATGATCTTGAAATAGATTCCAAAGAGGATGAGCCAACTGACGCTATAGATGACCTATCAGTGAAGTCTGCTTCTTCCTTGCGTGAAGTACCCAAGAGACATATCCCTCGAGCAGAGGTATTAGACCTTGGTCTTGGAAGGTCTGGACGTGCTCCATCGACCCATGATGCTCCTTCTCATTCACCTACTCCCCCTCCTTCTCCTCCTCCTCCACCCGATGACATTCATCTCAAACTCACCCAAATCAAAAACCAAGTTTCACGAGTGGCCACATTTATAGATCACATTAAGCCGCTCATTGCTGACACGGTAGACGAGCCGACAAAAAAATATACCCATGAAGAATGGAAGGAACTCCTCCAAGTTCTTAACCCGGAATTTGCAGACGATCCGGACCATGCCCTCAACTCGATCACGTACTGGCTCAGCGAAGCTCTGCCTCTCCGGCTCCCATTGAATGAGCCAAATTATCTACTTATGAAGTTCGTCCTCCAAATGGAACGCGAGCTTAAGGGTTCACTTGTAGATGAAGTGCTGGAAATGGAACGTATCCTTAAATAGTGCATTTGGGATACTATCAACTTTAATATAATATCAAAAGAAGACTAACTGTAGAGGCTGTGCACATATACAGTGCTGTAGAGATGAAGTAACTTGTGGCCTACGATGCCCTCTATATTGAGAACTTCCTCGGTAGAGGAACAAAGCCCCCACGGCCAGTGGCCCACGGAGTGCCAGCGGAGCGGCTTGCAATCCCTGCAGGGTGTTGTGTAGGTACCACCCTCCGGGAGATGCAAGCCGCTCCGCTGGCCCCTGCTCGGGGAGAGCCACGCCTAGCTCCTCTACGAGGAGTTTTCTTGCTGCACTCCTTTGGGAGGGTGATTGTTGCTCGGCATAGATTTTCGCAGCCAATTTCAAATCACAGTCTTGCCACAGGGCTGCTGCCCCACACGCACACCCCTGGGCATCGCCTCTCTCAACCTCCTTGTTCTGTTCCGCGGCTACACCCTAGCCATTACCTCCAAACACCCGTCTTGCAAGACATAAATTGTGCCAATCAATTTGGTGCCAGTGCCGCTCAATTAAGCAATTGTGTGGGTTCGCAACCATTCGGTACATCGCTTTTCCTCGCCAAGAGATCCCCTCCTTCATACGAACTACTTATTACACTCCCTCGCGCACTGTTTCATTGTGGTGTGTCCTGGACCTGGTCCTGTGTGCCGTGCGTGAGCCGTTTGTCCTCATTCCTTTGTACCTGCACATTTTCTTTGAACCAAACCTGATAAGAATCGTGCGGCGGCGTTGCTCTTTATCGCGTTGTGTCGATTTCGTCCGTTGTTTTTCTCTTGATCTTCATCCGCTATCTCTCTATTGATTTGCACTCCACTGCCGTTTTGTCTGATATACCGTTGGACGACATGCATGGGTCTACCGATGAGGGCGCCTCCACCACCCTAGAAAGCGGCCGCCCGTCCACCGAGTCGGCCAATGCCCCCGCTGAACTCAACATCGACATCTTCCATTTTTCCTCGAAGCGAGCCTTCACGCTTGCTCATTTGAAGTATCTTACCTTCACCATGATCGGGATCTCCCTTCTCTGGCCCTGGAACTGCTTTTTAACTGCCAGTGCATACTATGCGGACCGTTTTGTCGGGTCCCCGTCGCTCGTACGCGTCTACCTGTCGACCATGATGTCTATTTCCACCATCACGTCGACGGTGTACAACTACTATCTCTCGCAACTGCAGACCGGTGTCGACTACACCCATCGAGTCAACTTGGGCCTTCTGTTGACGATCGGGGTCTTTGTTGCTATGGCCGCCTCCTGTGTCGCCACCGTTTTCCTTGACATGAAGGACACCGCCTTCTTCATCGGCTTGATGTTGATGGTTTTTTTGCTGGCAGTCGCCACTTGCTTGGCTCAGAACGGTACCATGGCCATAGCCAACGTTATGGGCGGTATCTACGCCAATGCCGTCATGGTGGGCCAGGCCATTGCCGGTGTCTTGCCCAGTGTTGCCCTCATCGCCAGCATTTTGATTGCTGGTCCTCATCTGGGCAGTCCTGCCAATAGAGACACCCCGCACGATGGGTACAATCTGGAAGCCGCCACGGCCAACTACGGGGTGTTCATCTACTACATCACCGCCTCGTTGGTGTCGTTCGTCTCCATGACTCTCCTCTACTGGACAAACTTCTACAAGGCGGAAACCGCCTATGAGGCGCTCACCAACACCCTTGAGAATGGTGACAACGACACGCCAGCTAACAGCGTCTCGATTCTCGACGCCTATGGAACAGACTCGGTCACGCAATCGACCCATGTCCCATTCTCGCAGCTCTGGAGGAAACTCAAGTTGATTGTTCTGGCCATCTTCCTCACCTTCTCCATCACTCTCATTTTCCCCGTGTTTGCCTCCAACGTCGAGTCCGTGCACACGGACTCCAAGCATCGGTTCTTCCTGAAGGCCATCTTTGTACCCTTCATCTATCTTGTGTGGAACCTTGGAGATCTTTTGGGTCGGGTCTTGTGTGGCTTCCTCCCGGGGTTTGTGATACACTCCCCACGTCAGCTCGTGATCTACTCACTTCTGCGTCTTGTGTTCATCCCGCTCTTCTTCACCTGTAACATCCATCCATACACTGCAAGTGGACAACTGCTGGCCTTGATCAACCTGGACCTCTGGTACATTCTTCTCCAGTTTCTTTTCGGGCTTCTGAACGGCCAACTTTGTACCTCCTCCTTCATGATTGTGCGTGACTACTGTGACGACGACGACGAGAAGGAGGCCGCCGGAGGGTTTACCACCGTGTTCCTCAGTGTTGGACTTGCCTTTGGCAGTGTCTTGAGTTATTTATTAGTAGCTGCTATCAATTAGAATAAAGTATATTGCCCCTGGGGGGTATAATAAAGTTCCTGTAGCTATCATGAGAGTTCACGTAGGATGTAGAAGGAGAGAACTAGAAGTCATGGGAGTTCAGGGTGACTCCAGGAGGAAGGGAGAAGTGTAGGACTTCTAGCCACCTGTCGGAGCGGCTTGCCAGCCCCGCAGGGAAGTGAGTCGTCACCCTGCGGGGCTTGCGAGCCGCTCCGCTGGAACTCCGTGGGCCACTAGCCGTGGAGGCCCTTGTTCCTCTAACGAGGAAAGCCTGACTTGCTAGTAGACTCCTCGTAGAGGAGCTAGGCACCACGCAGTGGCTCTCCCCGAGCAGGGGCCAGCGGAGCGGCTTGCAGACCCCTTAGGGTGCGTCTATTCCCTTCCCTGCGAGGCTGGAAAGCCGCTCCGCTGGCACTCCGTGGGCCACTAGCCGTGGGGGCCTTTGTTCCTCTAGCGAGGAATTGGATTCCAAAATGCTCTTTGTAGGGAAGTTCCGGCAGTGCCTAATACCCCACCACACTACTAGATGAAGGTCGACTTTTCTTCCCTGTTCAAGTTGATTTTATCTCTTTCATTCTCCCATATCCTCCAGGCATTCCTCTGGGCCAGTAGGACCCCACTGGAGATCCGCCCACCATTGATCAAGTGACTTGGCTGCAAATCGAAAATAACACCAAAAAAGCAACGCGCAAAAGTTTACTTACCCAAACATCTTTCCACCTCTCCCTCCAATAATACACCCAGATAGGACCCTCCCCCACCCCGGTCTATACTCTATTATTTCCTAGGCTACTGCTTATACTTGGTGGGCGAGTCTGACTGGGGACTTTGGGGCAGGTCTGGTGGTGGTGGGGTCTTGTCTGCAGTCCGTGACTTTAGAGCGACATTGGAAAGGACCCATAGCCTCAAAGTGTCCACCACAAGAGGAAGAAGTACAACACCAACTATTGCTCTAGAAAATGTCGTTCTGGGATAATAATAAGGATACGTTTAAATCTGTTGGGAAGGCCACAGCCAAGGGAATTGGGCGTGGAACCAAAGCGGTTTCCAAAGCTGGGTACCGAACATACAAAAATCATAAGGGTGAGACAGTCACGGAGAAGACCGACGGGGTAGTCGAAGACTCAGGGTCCGTGGCGATGCCTCCATCGACCCCAGTGGACAGGGAGAGTCTCCGGTCATTGCCATTGCCTCCTAAGAGGAATGTGGGCACCTATGGAGTCCCTAAGGCTGGAGAGCTGTCAAAGTATACTGCTCCTCAATATCAGCAACAGCCACCGCCCCAACAACAACAACAACAACAACAATATCAGCAGCTACCACAAGCAGTGGTGGCCCAGCCAGCTGGTTCTGGATATGGTGTGGTAGAAGGAGTACCACCTCCCGTTTACCAGCCGGTAGAAGCACAAGCACAAGCTCAGGTGCCTCTACCTCCACCTCCCGCAGGAGGTGCTCGAGCAGTTCCTCCACCACCACCCCCACGTAGTGGAGAACCTGTAAGTTCAGTCCCAGCTCCAGCCCCGGTTTCAGCTTCACCAGCTACCTCAACTAGCACAGGAGGGGCGTCTTTAGCAGCAGCTGCCCTTAATGGGTACCAGAAACTCAATGCTCAACCAGGACAAGCACCACAACATCAATGGACTGCAGATGAGGCCAGGGTAGCAGGAAAGTTTGCCTCTGTGGCATTGAATGGATATCAGCAAGTTCAGCAGGCTACTGGTCAATCTCAGAACTCTGGACAGTCTCCGGCTGCACAAGGGCAGCAAGGGAATGTGGCTGGTCTTTCAGCTGCCTCTCAATTTGCAAATATGTGGAGTTCTCAGCAGCAAGCTCAACCTCCACAGCAAGTTCAGCCTGAGCAGCAAGTTCCACCAACTCAGCAACAAGCTCTACCAGCTCAACAGCAGCCTCAGCCTGTTCAACCAACTCAACCTCAGCCTGTTCAACCAATTCAACCTCAGCCTGTTCAACCAATTCAATCACTCCAGCCTACTCTACCAGCTCAACCAACTCAACAGCCAGTTCCACCAACGCAACCAACTTCCACCACTATGGAAACTCCAACTACCCTGTCATCTTCAATGTCAGCCCAATCAGTTACGTCTCCAGTGGAACCTTCATATACTCCAAAATACCAAAAGGCTAAAATAGAAACAGGTCCTTTACAAGATCCTGCTACTTTTGCACCTCCTCCAGTGCGTAGACTCCCTGGTCAAACCCCAGCGCCTCCTTCTAGATCATCTACTTCTAGCTCGGTACCTGTTGCTCCATCTGGGGTGGCTGCTGTTGCTCCACCACCACGGCCAACCATGCCACTGGTCACTCCGGTATCAACTCAGTTTGCTCCTCCTCCTCGGCCACATAGGGGCGAGCCTCAGCCGGTAGCTTCCACCTCTACCATTGCACACCCAGCTACTCCTCCACCTGCTTATGATGGTTTGCCTCCACCAACTGTTTCCAGGTCAACCCCTCCACCTCCGGCCAGGGCAACTCCCCCACCTCCAGCTAGATCAACTCCCCCACCTCCAGCTAGATCAACCCCACCTCCTCCAGCTAGATCAACCCCACCTCCTCCAGCTAGATCAACACCTCAACCACCATTGAAAAAGGCACCACCTCCAAAACCTCAAAAAAAGATACACCAATCTCCAGATACCTCTGCTTCTTCACCATCTCTTCTGGAACGACCAATTGAACCAGTTCAACCTGAACCCATTGTAAAGCCAGCTCCAACTAATCTGGCTCCAAATTTTGCTCTTGAAATTGCTGCTAGAAAGGCAAAGTCACAGCCTGTGTCACAACCTTTGTCACCTGAACCACAACCAACTTTTAATACGGCATCCCCTATTCAATCGAAACCGGCACCTCCAAAGCCAACAAAACCATCAAAACCGAAGCCACTCGGAAAGGAGTCGTCTCAACCGACTTCTCAGCCTCAACTGCCGGTTCACACCGCATCAACTCAAAAACCATCCAAACCTCCTAAACCTCTCCCAATCTCTTCTAAACTACCAATCAAACCAAAACCATTAAACACTGTCAAGCTGGTTTCAACCCCACCACCCCCTCCTCCAAATCCTCGAAGAGTCACTCCAGATATCAGTCCTTCGCCAACCCCACCACCACCTCCTCCAGCGAGAAACTACCACAGACCACCAGCAACCATCCCAGTGGAAACCTCTCCATCTGTGGCAGCTCCACCTCCGCCATCACCACCAACCCTTGACCTTGAATTGGCCACTCTTTGGTACACATCTACCAACTCTTCACCTTTGAAACTCCCTCAATCTCTCACAGGACTCAATTACTCAACATCCTATCAATCCTCGGGAATGTCGTCAACTCGTTCAATCACCGCTAGACTCCCTGATCTCTCGCTGCTCACAGTGTCGATCCATTGGCAGAATAATGCTCCAGGATCATCTGCCTATGTCACCACTGACAAATATGTGCCATCTCCGCTCATCTATAACACACCTCTGAAGTCTGACCTTATTGCGTCCCATACACAATTTGGGAACCATGTGGCGGCATGGTGTGAACATAATTGGGACAAGCAGATCGGGAGTGGTGAATGTTGGGATTTAGCTCAACAGGCTCTCCTTAAAGGTTGTGGGAAGCATGCCTTTGTGTCGACCTACTACCATCATGGGTTCCCAATTCTTGAACTTGAAGGTAGATCTGTTGTCAATGGACCACATGATGAGATCAAAAGAGGAGATGTATTGCAATTCACCAGCTGTAGATTTGAAGGAGATGGTGTCATTCAGACGGTTGGTGCCCCCAACCACACCTCGGTGGTACTTTCCAATGACGGTGGGGTATTGACTGTGGCCGAACAAAATGTCAATGGGGTTCGTAAGGTTATTCGGGGTAGTTACACCTTGAGAAACTTGACCAGTGGTCATGTGACTGCCTATAGACCAATGCCGATTTCATGGGCTGGTGAGTAAGACAACAACACTCACCAAGAATAGATTATGAATATAGAGATACTACAACAACTCTTTTACTGAGTGGCCCCAGCCTAGGGCGTTTTGTAGACCTTGTAGACTAGAGTTCCAGTAGAGCGACTCGCAAGCCCCCGCAGGGAGACACATTACTTCCCTACGGGGTATATAAGCCGCTCCGCTGGCCCCTGCTCGGGGAGAGCCACTGCGTGGTGCCTAGCTCCTCTTCGAGGAGTTCTGTTGCAACCAAGGCATTCCTCGCTAGAGGAACTAAGGCCACCACGGCTAGTGGCCCACGGAGTGCCAGCGGAGCGGCTCGCAAGCCCCGCAGGGTAACTACTAACTTCCCCTATGGAGTTACAAGACTCTCTACTGGACACCTACTCGAGGAGAGCCTCTACATGGCGGTCCACTCACCTCTTCGAGGAGCTCTTGGGGAAGGGTTGCAAAATTTTGTTATCTGCAGTCCATCGACCCAAATCGAAAAATTTGATGATGATGATCAAAAAGATGGGGAAGAGATAAACAAGTAATCCAGTACAATCATGAGCGACGGGACAGAAGTGACCGAGATCCGTGCGGCAGCCATGTCCACGTACCAGGACAACGCCGACTTTGAGTTTTCCCGAGTGAAACAGGATGTGTATGACCGAAGACATTTGGGGCCCAAGATGGCGGAAGACCAAGTTGAGTTGGAGTCTCAGATCAGCAAGTACTACCATTTGGAGGAGTTGGCGGCCTTCTTACGGGGCACGGCCACACATAAGGGGTACAAGAACGTGACCCTCCAGTTTCCAGATCTGTTGGTTTGTGATAGTGCCACTGTTGTCCATGAGATCCAGAGAAGATTGAAAGAGGTGAAGCAAGAGAAGGAAGTGGACAATGAGAGCTGTCAGAAAGAGGGCTGCAAGGAAGAGAGCTCCCAGAAGGAGTGCTGTAAGGAAGTGAGCTCCCAGAAAGGGTGCTGTCAGACTGGAAAAGCCTGTTGTGATGCCACAAAGACATCCGGAACCCGTTCCGATGATGGACAAAAGGTGTGGATTCTCGCTGATACTTCGTACTCTCCATGTTGTGTGGATGAAGTTGCCGCTGAGCATGTCCATAGTGATCTTGTAGTTCATTTTGGAGACGCTTGTCTCAACACGGTTGCCAAACTCCCCGTGGCTTATGTGTTGGGGACCCCTCATCTTGACATAGACAAAGTTGTAACCCTTGTCAAGGAGCAATACTCCGTTGAAGATCAAATCCTTCTTATGGCTGACGCCACCCATACTCCATACCTCAAGAACATCCATGCGGAATTGGTGGCGTCTGGGTACAACAATTGTGCGTACGCTGACCTTTTCACGCCGTCTGTAGGACTGGAGATCATTGGATACACTCCTACAAGTGAAGGAGCCTTTCCCCTTGATGAATTAAATAGACAATTTGTAGCTCTGACAGCACCTTCATCTCTTTCTGAATGGAACCTTTTCCATATTTCGCAGCCAGCAGCTCCACGTCTTCTTCAACTCACCACCAAATTCCAATCGGTTGTTGTTTATGACACTGCCGATGAAAAGATAAGTACCACCATGCAGCCCAACCTCATGAGAAGGTACAGGTTTGTCAACGTGGCACGTACTGCCGGAACCGTGGGACTTTTGGTCAACACACTTTCCCTTGCCAACACCAAGACTCTTCTCAATAAACTCATCCAACGAATCAAGGACGCCGGGAAGAAACATTATGTGTTTGTCGTGGGGAAGCCCAACGTGGCCAAATTGGCCAATTTTGAAAATATCGATGTTTGGTGTGTCCTTGGTTGTGACCACCAGGGGATCATTCTTGACCAGACCAACGAGTATTTCAAACCAATTGTGACTCCTAGCGAGTTGTTGTTGTCCTTGAGCGATGAGTTGACATGGACAGGTGAATGGGTGACCAATTTCAAAGAAGTGATCAAGAGAATGGAAGAGGAGGATGGGAACCAAGACACTCATGAGGAAGAGTCTCAAGATCCTTACGATTCGGATGAAGCTCCAGAGTTCGATCCCGTGACCGGGAAATATGTGAGCACTTCAAGACCATTGAGAAGATTACAACATCTACAAGTGACGGCTGAAGAAGAACAGGCCTCGGCCTCGGCCCAGGGTCTGGCCCTGGCCCTGGCCCTGGAAGCACTGGACTCTGGCAGTTTGGTCAAACGGTTTTCCAACACCGTGGCCATCAAGAACACCGTTTCGACCTCTGCTATCCACTTGCAAACTCGTACATGGACCGGTCTTGGGAGTGATTTCCAAGAGGAAGGTGTAGATGAAGAGGGTGCATTGGTTGAAGAGGGCCGTGGAGGGGTTGCCAGAGGGTACGATTTTGATAGAGAAGCGCATAAATAGACATAAGAATTGGTAATAATACATATACACGAATTATAATGCTACCACGGCTAGTAGGCTCACAGAGTAATTTCCGAGAAGCAGCTTGCAAGCTCCGCCGCAGGTTAACTACTAACTTCCCTGTGGGGTAACGAAGACGCTCCGCTGGCCCCTGCTCGGGGAGAGCCACTGCGTGGTGCCTAGCTCCTCTACGAGGAGACTACTAGCAGTCAGACCTTTCCTCGCTAGAGGAACAAGGCCCCCACGGCCAGTGGCCCACGGAGTGCCAGCGGAGCGGCTTGCAAGCCCCACAGGGTGTTGTCTAGTTACCACCCTCTGGAAATAATTCACGTCTCTTTTATTATCTTTTTTCACCTATAGTTTATAGAGTTCCTGAACAAGGTCCGAGCTTTATTCTACCCACCTCTCACATTGTAATAGGTGTAATTCGTCTCGTCTCGTGGACGTCTATCACTACACATACTGATCTCTTCTTACTTGTTGAAGGGCTCGCAACGCGCGATATGGACTTGGAGGATTTCTGGAGAAGTAACTCAAATATTTTTTTACAACTGTCAGTGCTCTACTCTCTTCATCTCACTCTACATATGGCTGTTATACATGTGGTGGTTCCTCTTTGCGGGGTACTACAGGTGGCCCTAGGCTTGTGTGTTCCGGGGACATTCCATATAACCATTGATAGTGTTGTGCTGTACTTTCTCTTCAGGTTAAGTTTCACCCAAGTGATTTTTAATTGGTATGTATAGAGTAAAATTATAACCACCCTCTGGTTCTTCTTCTGTCCTTACTAACGGTGAACCTTTTGCAGGATCATATTCCAATGGGTCTTCCCTCAATGGTCTATCTGGTTTATTTTAATAGCTTTGCTGATGATATTGGGTAGATTATTAGTGAGAACAGTAGTGTATGTAATCGATAGGTATAACCAACGAGGTGGCCCCTGGGCTCCTCTAGACTCCAAGGACGTTGCCTTGGTCACCGGTGGATCCCGTGGTCTTGGGATGTACATAGTCCAAAGGCTCCATGCTCGTGGTGTAGGTAAAATAATAGTGTTGGACATTGCTGCACCAAAGGAAGTATCATTCCCCTCGAGTGTAGAATTACATATATGTGACGTGGCACAGGAACAAGAGTTGAAATTGAAATTGAGTTCCATTCTAGCTACAAATAAAGTCTCCATTCTTGTAAATAATGCCGGTGTTGACCATCGTTCGTCCCTCTTGGACATGCACGAGGATGAACTTGTTCGTGTGTTTAACATTAATATGTTTGCCCAGATTTGGGCATTACGTCTGGTGATTAGAGCCCATTTACACCATAATGCAAAGAGTGTCACAGGTGGTGAACCTAGGAGACTTTTCGTGGTCTCGGTATCTTCAATTTTGGGGACTTTAGCGCCACGGAATCTCACCGTATACTCCGCCCTGAAGGCGGCAGTGATCCAACTTCATGAGGGTCTTTCCCAGGAATTGAAAGACCATGTAGACTCGTTGAGATTCCTTCTTGCCACCCCTGGCCAATTGGACACGGGGATGTTTGGTGACATCTCACCTCTGAACCTGTTTCTTGCTCCAGTAGTGAAAGCAGATGAGTTGGCATCTCAGATTGTCTCCCGCATAGAGAAGGGACATGCTGGTGTGATTTCCATGCCTCTATACGCTTCCCTACTCCCCATGGTGAAGTGTATGCCTACAATAATCCAAGATTTCTGTCGGTGGTTTTCAGATATGGACAATAAAATTAAACAGGACTAAATAATTCTTAATAGACAACTCAGAAGAATCAGCTTGTGGGCATTGTAGGAGCTGTAGGGAAGTAGTAGTAGTAGTAGTACCATCACTTACAGGGGTAGAAGGACGCTCCGCTGGGCCCCTACTCGGGGAGAGCCACTGCGTGCAGCCTAGCTCCTCTACGAGGAGTCTACAAGTAGCCAGACCTTTCCTCGCCAGAGGAACGAGGCCCCCACGGCTAGTGGCCCACGGAGTGCCAGCGGAGCGGCTCAAAAGCCCCCGGCAGGGAGACACCTTACTTCCCTGCGGGGTATGTAAGCCGCTCCGCTGGCCCCTACTCGGGGAGAGCCACTGCGTGGTGCCTAGCTCCTCTACGAGGAGAATACTGGTAGTTAAATTTTTCAAATGCCTTCCTATGTCATATTTATCTAAATACTTTTCTTTCCAATTTTTTCGAGTTCCGTCTCAAAAAGTTTTGTTAATTGTTCCTCCTTGTAGTACCCAATGCCATCGAACAATTTTGTGAATTCAAATGTAGATTCAAGTGTGTTTACCTTCTTCTTAGTTCCCGTCGTAGTACTGATCTTCACGTGGTACAAAGGTTCATATCCAGTGGTCCAGGTGGCAACCTTGATCTGGTTACCCTTGTTGTCATGGCCAATGTACTTGACATCCTTATATGCGGCCGTCAGTGTGAGATACCATAACGCCACGTTAAGAATACTATAGATCACTATGGCAGCCACGGTTTGATTGAAAATTGCATTGAAGCCAAACTTCTTGTCAGCAAAGTATAACCCAACGGCGATAAGCACCGTCAGGTACCCCAAGACTAGCTTTGTATCTATGAGAGAAAACGATTGGGTGTACCCAAGTGCAGCCAAAGAGGTTGCCAAGTTTTCATCAACGGTGGTTCTCAATTGAACAACAGAGCTTTTATATTGTTAGTAATTGGGAGAGAGAAATTGGCCAGTAAGTGCCCCTAGTCCCGTGCTCTGGCAGGTATGGTACGGGAACATTTCTACATATACATACTTCAAGTTTGTCTTCTTCAAAGCTGACATATTATATTGATTATGGTAAGTTTATCACCTTACCATAACGACTCCGTTGGTTGTAAAAAATCAGGAGTGTTTGTAAAATTGGATTTGGTAAGCGCACGCCGAATAGATTTAAGATTTGTGTGGGGGGAGGAGAAATTGAGTAGAATTTCGAAGGAAGCCCTTCTTTTAAAAAAAAAATGGTGTAATGAATCTATATAGTATGGAAGGGGGGGTATTACATATGAATGTGACATGGTATTGTATTTATCAGGGCAAAGTAATTGGATTTAAATAGTGTTTTCCTCACTGTATTTAGTGAGTGGGAAGTGCGATTTAAGCGGGCCCGTTAAAATTATTCGAATTGGTGTGGTTGCACTTTGGCGCGCGCATGGTCACAATTTATTCACCATGGCTGCGAAAAGGCTGAGAGAGTTCTCTCTTTTGATATAATAGTTACCGAAACATTTTACAATGAAGGAAAGGGCACGGCCCCATGGTGAATAAGTAGATACCCTACGGGTTCTGTGAGATCTGTTCAGACTCCCCTCCTTGTCTCTTAACACACAAGCTCGGTAGAGCGAGGGGTAGAAACACTTCTCCTTTTATTAGCACTCTACAACTGGACATGATGTACGTGTCTTTATTTATTACTTTTCGTTACATGGGCAGATTTGATTGCCTCTCTATATTAACCCTCTTCATACTACCTTTGATTATCTATCTACATCAGTGTAAGCGACCCGTCGTTAGAAGAGCTGACTACTCACTTCCCTATGTGGCCCGCAAGACGGCTCCGATGGCCCCTGCTCGGGGAGAGCCACTGCGTGGTGCCTGGCTCCTCTACGAGGAGTTTTCCCCGTAAATCGGCATTCCTCGCTAGAGGAACAAGGCCTCCACGGCTAGTGGCCCACGGAGTGCCAGCGGAGCGGCCCATCAACCCCGTAGGGCAGTGTGTAGTTACAACCCCTAAGTGGTATATTTCACTTCACACTTCAATCAAAAGTTAAAACAATTCTCTTCTTTTTTTTCTTACCATTCCCTTTGTTTTTATCCATCTCTTCTTTAGCCTTTCTAATCATTTCTTCTGCATCCCAATCATCTCCACTCTCATAATCGCCAAATGTCTCGGATTTGGGGATATCAGTGCCCCAAACAGTCCTTTGGGTGGCAATCTCACTCCCAGAACTCTCACTGTCTCTTCTCTCTGCTTGTGAAAGTACAGGTAAATCTTCAATCGTTAATCCTGAAAATACTTGAGTAGCATATTCAGCGCCATTTTCTCTCTCGTAAAACTCTCTTGCACGCAACTCTTCGTCGTTTAATGCTCTTTGTTTATTCTTTTCCTCTCGTTTGAATTTCTTCTGCGATTGTTTCGAACGAGCATTCAAATCTAACTTGAAAGTTTCCCATGTTTCATGAGAAATGTATTCGTTCTGGAACCAATTACATTCCAAGAACCCGATAGTGGTCCCAAAGGCAAGATGTGATAGATATTTGTACCTTGTTGTCGCCAATTCCGGGGTTAACTCTTCATATCGGATGTTTTCAATCTTGGCAATAACATTTGATGGGAGATTCTCATACGTGGAGTACGTGGTACGAAGAACCTTGATGTCCAATGCAGAGAGGAAAAATGCTGATTGAGCATTGAAACCTGTTTGATAAAAGTAAAAATTCCCAGCCTGTGGCGCAGGTGTTTCATGTTGATGAATGGAGTTTGGAGCCTGTTTAACTTCAGGATTCTCTTTGTATGACTCAATCCATGATTTCATATCGTTCTCGATGTCTTCACATGCCAATTTGGCGAATTTCCCGTCATCATTGTATAACAATTTTTCTTCCTCATGTTGCGCCATGATGGCCGCTTCTTCTGCCTTGTACATGTCAATTATATAGTCAAGATCACCCAACAAAATCCTCAGATAAGGCCCGAAATCTGGCATTTCATTGTTGGCTCCTCGTTTCACCCAGGGGTACCCTTCAATGCCATGATATTCTTGGAAACTTCGAGGCAAGGCACACGCCTTGTCCTGTGACCTCGACATCAACGTCAACACTACTTCATCGCCAACCTTAGGTACTTCAAACCGTTCATCCACGGTGGATATAAGCACCGGCTTGATATCATTTTTACGGATCACAGACAAACACAACGGACATTCTCGGTATTTCTCCACGATGGCAGCGGCCTCCTTCTTCTTGTACCGAGGCACCTCGCTCTCCAAGAGCGATAATAAACATGCCAAACACAAGATATGACCACATGAAGTGAGCATTCTTGGGGCCACTGGATCATCAGAAAGACAAATTGGGCATGCATTTTTGCCCCTGGGTGTGATGATTCGTACTATATCTGCTCCCTTCACCGGAACGTTGGGATCAGACAATTGTGAAGTATAATCGGATCTATGATCAACCACAAACTTATAATGACAATTGACATACGCCATCCCATGTAGATTGAGGCCACGTGCCGTTGCAGGTCCTCTTCGACGTCCATTGTTACTATTACGACGTCTACGGACGTTGTTCTGGTACTCCTCCAGGTCCTCGTACGATTGGAAGTCAAGAAGATGATTGATCGACACCTGGTTTCTACGCGACGTCATTCTACGTGACGTCTTCATATTCGTCTCGGGCTCATTGGCTGCCGGGTACTTTCTCCCAGCACGTGGAACGTCTTGCTTTACTGTTATAGGACTGCTGCTCATCTGAACCATACACTATTGAGCATGTTCTAGATCAAAACTCTTGTACCAAAAAAATTAGCACACAAGGGCAAAAATCAAAAAATAGAGTCACAAAAGAATTGCTTTTTACCACCCAGCGAAACGGAATCTTCAATGAGTTGATAATCTCTGAACCTTGTCACCTTCCACCAAAACGTCTAGCACAAACTGGCGGTTGATTAGTCAAGAGAGAAAAGAATTAGATGAAGGTATTTCAATTTACAAGTACTATGGCAAATTATTGATGAGAGACTTCAAAATTGGGGTTGTATGCAGGCTGTGCGATCACATGATGTAGTTCCAGGTGACAGAGAGTATCAGACCCCACGGGGACATCGTGACGCTCACCTGGTCCCTACTCGGAGGGGAAGCGGGGCTACTACATGGTACCTACATTCTCTGAGGAAAGTCGCACCAGGGGGGGATCTAGTGGTGCGACTTTCCTCCTAGAGGAACAAGGCCCCCACGGCCAGTGGCCCACGGAGTGCCAGCGGAGCGGCTCGCAAGCCCCGCAGGGGTGTAGTGTAGGTACCACCCTCCGGGGGTAGTAGAACGCTCCGCTGGCCCCTACTCGGGGAGAGCCACTGCGTGGGGCCTAGCTCCTCTTCGAGGAGACCGTAATTTCTCTTTCAGCTGTCTTTTATATTGAACTACGGCCCATGTATACACCAATGATCGGTGGGAGTGGCTAGAACTTAATGGTTTAATATCTGGTCGATTTGTCTCTAAAATAGGAAGTTTAATCCTGATCTCGAGCTAAGTAAATCCGCCTTTGCAGCCTTTTCAAGTGGCATTTCTTTCACAGGCATCACCTCTAGAAAGTCACCCACTACCCCGTAAATCTACCTTAATTCCGTCCCATGTCATACTTCCAAACGTCCCTCCTCTAATATATCAAAAGAGGCATAGCTCCGTAACTCTATATCAATTCTTATTTACCGAAGTTCCGAAAGATCGTTTTATCTCCGCGAAATTTGACATAATCTTCGGGGATTTCTCATTTAGGCAATCTATGAATTATGGCATAAATACGATCTCTGTTCCGTCCTTGATAGAATAGATTTGGCTGCAAATAACTTCAGATACCCTCTTATCTTCCTGCCCATCATTTTTTGTATTTTTTAATATGTCTACTGTTTACTTCATTACTGGTGGTAACCGTGGGATCGGTTACAATCTCGTTGAACAATTGGCTACTAGACAAAACACAAAGTTATCGCCTCAGTAAGAAACATTGAATCAGCCACTGCCTTGAAAGAATTGCAAAAGAATTATTCCAACATTGAAATATTGAATCTTGACATCTCTTCTGAAGAAAGTATAGATGCGTTAGATGAACAATTACAAAAAGTTGCAAGTGAAGGAATTGATGTGTTAATTTCAAACGCAGCAATTGCTCAGGCTTATTTTACTGTCAAAGATGCACCTCGTTCTGTTTGGTTGCAACACTTCAAGACAAATGTCTTCGGACCTATTTTCCTTTACCAAGTTGTACGACCTTACTTTTTGAAGAAAACTACCAGACAAATCGTATTCGTTAGTAGTCTTGGTGGGTCTGTCGGAGGTTCGCTTCCATTCTCTAATTCCGCTTATGGACAATCGAAGGCGGCACTAAACAAAGCTGTTAAACAAATCAGTCATGAAGATGGACCTGAAGGCTTCACCGTTATAGCCATGCATCCAGGTATAGTCTCTACTGATTTGGGTAACTCTGCATTTGCCCAATTTGCCGAGGGAGCTCTTGATTCGATTCCACCTATGGTTATCACTCCAGAAGTGAGTGCAGCCAAGCAATTAGAAGTCATTGATGGATTAACTAAGGAAAGTAATGGTATTTTTTACAAATATGATGGCACCATTGCTCCATATTAAATGATAATTATATGGGTGGAATTGGTCTATAGGGAATTTTACTATTTACCAAATACTACAAACAATTTAACTATATCTAGAGTATGTCTATGTTAGTAGAAATCTTTATTCACTTTTTCTATTTGATACCTTGATTTGCAACCAGGACAACTAGCGGAATTAAGTAATTCCTTACGTAAAATTGTATGTAGAGTGGCGTATATTCCCTAGATAGGTATTGTTGAATTACCAAGAATTTAATAATATATTACTTGGGCGGAATTGGATTATAGTTAAGCGTGCAAACATAGACACGGGAAGCGTTAAAACTTAAAATTGGATTATATCCCGCCACATATTAAGAGAATAAATTTCTTGGAAGTTTTACCAGTTTGATGTATAATTAAAGACGCCCCAAAAATGATCATCAGTACAGAAAAATGGTTTATTTACCAGCTCAGACGAAGAAGAACCAGTTTTACTTTAATTTGAAAACCTTTACAGAATTCCAAACTTCTAGATAACTAGACTACACTTGATGGCCATTTATTTCTCTAAGACACAAGGTACACCCAGAATCCAGCTCTTAAAAATAATCCAAGAAACTTTCCTTTGTGGTTATTAATAATTTGTCGTAATGTTCTGTGCCAAGAAACTTTTGAGCCATATTTCTAAAGCTAAATTAATTTGATACACTTCAATATTAGTATCAAGAGCTCTTCAGTGGGGTTCATACTACAGGTGTGGCATCCTGGTTGAGGATACCAGGTAAATATTTATTCACAGTAGAATGTTAAATTTAATTTTACGCTTTCTGGGGTACTTTTCATGCGCAATGCAAGCCCAGACGTTTGTTATCTACACCTTCAGCCAGTTCCGCCACAGTAAAATAAAAATGGTTGCGAATTGGTTCCAATAAATTGCAACAACCTCTTTTCATTGGGTCATGGTAGGAACTACCAACTACATAAGTAGCCCAGACTTGGCTTCTCTCTAGGTCCTTGTGTGTAGACTAAAACTCTTTGTAAGAAATCCCTCTCTCAATATGGTAAAACTTCCGTGGTGGATCCCACAAGAACGGAATGTCCCTGAAACCAAAGAAGAAATCGACTCAGCTTACAAGAACCGCAAAGTTGAAGATGTTGTAATAATTAGAGAGTATCGTGATGAGGCAAAAAGGCCATGGTGGAAATTCTTTGATGAATTCGAGTACCGTAAAGATGTCCCCAAATGGAGTTGGCTCGGTACTGGGGCTTCACCACAAGAAAGAAAGCTTCTTCTTAAACTTGATGCTCATATTGTCATCTATGCAATGTTAGGGTATTGGATTAAATTCCTTGACACTGCTAATCTCACCAACGCTTATGTATCTGGGATGAAGGAAGATGTGGGGATGTTTGGCAATGATTTGATTGATACCCAAGTGTTATTCCAAGTGGCAGCTATTTTATTTGGTCTCCCACTTATGTACCTTATTCCTAGATATCCAACCACTTATATTTTATTTATCTCTGAGCTTGTATGGTCATTGTTTACCTTGGTGACATTTGCAACCCCAAATGTGCCTGCTCTTAAAGGTTTCCGATTTATGGTTGGTGGGTTTGAGGCTGCATATTTCCCAATTATTCACTATACTCTTTCAAACTATTATAAGCCCTCTGAAATCCTGTCTCGTGCCAGTATTTTCTACTGTGGACAGTATTTGGGGGTTCTCACTGCTGGTTTGCTTCAATCGGTAATCTATGACACTTTGAATGGCGTTCATGGACTACAAGGTTGGAAATGGATGTTTATTATTGATGGTATCCTTTCTTTCACCGTGGCGTTCCTTGGATTGTTTTTAATGCCAGGGACTCCATTCAAATGTTATTCTATCATATTATCTGACGATGATATCAAACTTTGTAGGAAAAGAATGAGAGAAAATGGAACTGATGGTGGAGAAGATTTAACAAATTTCTTAGATTGGCCAACTTGGAAAAAAATGTTGCAATCATGGCATTTTTGGATCATGTCAATTGCTGGAATTGGTGGGTTTAATGCCAATAACACAACCATGGGATCTTTTGCGTTGTGGTTAAAATCTGAAAACAGATTTTCCATTGGGAAACTTAATCAATTGACTGCAATTCCACCAGCTTTGGGAATTGTTTACGTTATTTTCACCTGCTTCGGTGCCGACATTACTCAAAAGCGGTTCTTAATGGTTATTTTTGCCCAACTTATGAACTTAATTGGGTGTGTTATCCTCACAGTATGGGACGTTGCACCAGCTGCAAAATGGTTTGCCTTCTATTTTGGGTATTGGTCTTGGGCTCAGTCTTCAGTATTTTATCCAATTTTAAATGATATCTTGAGACATGATGCTAACCTTAAGGCTATTGAATGGCAAGCTAATTACTTGATAGGTCAACAATCGTATGCCTGGATATCTAGAATCATATGGCCCACTACTGATGCTCCAAGATTCAAAAATGGGTTTTTGGTGGCAGGTCTAATGGGTATGATCCAAGCAGTCTTTATGGCAATAGGGTATTTCTTCTATAAAAGAGATGAAAGAAGTAGGGCAGCTTCAGAAGGAATTGTGGTTTATAACTCTGCTAAGGGCGAATTACACCCTGCCACCAATATCAATAGTGGCTCAGATTCAGAAGAGATTAATGATGAGAAACATTTAGAAAAAGTTGCTGTCTCCGAAACTAAAAGCGATCAACTCAATACCACCCATTAAATCTTGATACAATGAATGGTGAAGTCCAAGAATCAAAGGGTTCGACTTCAATTCTTCTATTTAACTAGTGATGAGAGAATGGGTGTGTATGCAACGATTACATTTACAATTGTTTACTTTCCCGTAGGATGTGTACACCCCACATCGAAATTCATTTGTAGAAAGAGATAATTGTTAAAACAGCCACAATTTACAGAAATTCTACCCGGGCCGAAGATCTAATAAAATTCCCCAATTTAGCTTGAAAGATAAAGTTCTTTTTGATCTGCAGTTGTCAATTGTAAAATTTCACTGCCGTCCAATAAGAAGTGAAAAGTCACCGTTGAGCACTTCTTTCGGAAACGCCACAATAATACCCTAATTTTGATTGGACTCATTTGAAGAATTTTAGAAGGAATAATTATGTTTGACAACCACCTATGGTGGTGTATGAGAAGTTCCCAGTTGGAACAACACTATCGAAGCTCCTCTATGATTATTTTTTATACAAAATGTTTTGTTTGTGGTCCTCTATCATCAACCTTCATTGAACTGTCAATTTATTTAGTTTCCGAGCGCCACGATTGCAACACAATAAAAATGGTTGCGAATAATTTTTTAAATTCCATTTCCAGCTAGACCCAAAACCCCAACCCCTGCAGTTAAATATAAAAAGGCAGGTGGAAATCCAGTTGATATGATGAATCGCTATTGAACAGATAAAAGCAGATATGGTCAGTCTTCCCTGGTGGATACCGCATGAGCGTATAGTGCCTGAAACAAAGGAAGAAATTGAAGCCGCCTTCAAAACACATAGAATTGGAAATGAAATTATCATTAATGAGTACAGAGATGAAGCTCTGCGACCATGGTGGAAATTCTTTGATGAATTTGAATATCGTAGAGATGTCCCCAAATGGAGTTGGCTCGGTACTGGGTCATCACCACAGGAAAGGAAACTTCTTCTTAAACTTGATGCCCACATTGTCATTTATGCTATGTTGGGTTATTGGTGTAAATTCCTTGATTCAGCAAATCTTACCAATGCATATGTTTCTGGAATGAAGGAAGATATAGGCATGGTTGGGAACGATTTAATCAATACTCAAGTGCTACAACTGACTGCAAGTATTCTATTTGGACTACCATTTTTATATCTTGTTCCGCGTTATCCTACAAATTATCTCTTATTCATAAGTGAAATGTTATGGTCATTGTTCACCTTGGTCTCATACGTTGCGCCCAATGTGGCTGGGCTTAAAGGAATCAGATTTATGGTTGGTGGGTTTGAAGCTGCCTATTTCCCCATTATTCATTACACACTCGGTATGTACTACAAACCTTCGGAGATTCTGTCTCGAGCAAGTATTTTCTACTGTGGGCAATATTTGGGTATTCTTACATCTGGGTTACTTCAATCTACTATTTTCGACCACCTCGATGGTGTTAACGGATTGGATGGGTGGAAATGGATGTTTATCATCGATGGTATCCTTTCTTTCTTTGTTGCATTCCTTGGGTTGTTTTTAATGCCTGGGAATCCATTTAAATGTTATTCAATTTTCTTAACAGATGATGAAATCAAACTCTGTAGAAAGAGAATGAGAGAAAATGGAACTGATGGAGGAGAAAATATTACAAATTTCTTCCATTGGCCAACTTGGAAGAAAATGGTTACTTCTTGGCACTTTTGGATCATGACAATTGCTGGTATTGGAGGTTATAACGCAAATAATACCACCATGGGTTCCTTTGCATTGTGGTTAAAATCTCAAAATAAATATTCAATTGGACAACTTAACAATTTAACGGCAATTCCACCAGCTTTGGGGATGGTTTACGTTATTTTTACCTGCTTCACTGCCGACATTACTCAAAAGCGGTTCTTAATGATTGTTTTTGCCCAACTTATGAACTTGATTGGGTGTGTTATCCTCACAGTATGGGATGTTCCACCAGCTGCAAAATGGTTTGCCTTCTATTTTGGGTATTGGTCTTGGGCTCAGTCTTCAGTATTTTATCCAGTTTTAAATGATATCTTGAGACATGATGCTAACCTTAAGGCTATTGAATGGCAGGTAAACTATTTACTTGGGTTCCAATCCTATGCATGGATTTCTAAACTCATTTGGCCCACGGTAGATGCTCCGCGATTCAAGAATGGGTTTATGGTGTCTGGTATCATGGGTATGGTGGAAGCAGTGTTTGTAATGATAGGTTATTTCTTCTACAAGAGGGATGAAAGAAATAGAGCTGCCTTGGAAGGTATTGTTTTGTATAACTCTGACAAGGGAGAAGAAGCTCCAGGTGTGATAACGGAAATTGTTACCGATTCAGATGATGGCGAAAAGGTTGAGAAGTTGGTACAATTACACGTTGTAACATCAGAAACTAAAAGCGAATGATTATATAGGAAAGACATATTCATTTAGATTAATATTTATTGTTCAATAAGATGCTTTTTTTGACTACATGCTCTAAATCATAATTGTTTATTGTTAATCTATTTAGGCTTGGCATATAAAGATTTTAATGAAGTTGCATTGTATTTGAATTTGATCTTTTCTTCATCATCTTCATTCAATGGAATTTCTTGGGTGTAAGTTGTTGGGAAGTACCCTTCATCAATCTTATCTTGAATTGCCTTAGGGTATTTCAATTGAGAGCTATACTTTGAGTTCCGAAGCCACAATCGAGCCACATGTCTTCTGTGATCTTTATCTTCTACAAACCCATGCCTTGAATGTTGAAGATAAAGATTATTCACATATTCGATGTCCCCTTTTTCAATTGGAATTGAGAGTGAATGTTTGTAACCGACCCAATGAAAAGCACCAAATGCATCCTTTTGCTTATCATTTAAAGGTGGGAACCTTTCATCTCTGGGTAAGTCGCCAAATCCAATGAAAACTCTGGTACTAAAGTAAGAAATATACTTGTTGTCTACATAATGAATCAAACTTCCCCCTTCCTTTGGCTTTGTTGGCCAGTCAAATTCGTCTTCATCGGCCAATAAACTGATGAGTTCAGGTCTGGTTTTGGCCAACTCATTATAAATGGTATACGACGACGTTATTAAAGACTCGCCTCCTGTCTTTGGTAAGTCCAATACAAACAACGATACGATATCGAGACCCACATCATTATGAAACATTTGAGCATCAGTTGTTTGTTGACTGACCACAATTGGGGCTCTTTTTTCCTTCGGTACATGAGCAATACTTTTGATATGAATCAAAGCTCGGTTGATTCCCTGAGCGTCTCGAATATCTCCGACGTAGGAGCTGATCCCCAAATATGCAATCACCCTCTGGCGTTCTGTATACTTGTCTACATCCAATCCTCTCACGAGCTTCAAACCGATCCCATTGTATATATCATTGGCAAACAGTTCAAGTCGAGGACCCAACTTGGGAAGTGGGAATGTTTCACTCACAACTTTATCAAGTTCTTGGCCCAGTTGGTCGAAACTTTTAATGGCCACATCTAATTCTTCTTTATCTTCTTCACTTAAAATGTATAAATATTTCTCAGGCGTTTTCTCCAAGTCAGATCCAGACCACACTAAGGGGCCCTCGAGCTGTTCTGGCCAACCATCTGGAAGCTTGTCATTTTCGGAAGGGACGTGCTTTGCATTTAGAAGTTCCCATTCGTCACCAGTGAGCAAATGTCCTGGAGAATCAGAATAGTAGCGGTAGTTTTGAATATGTTCGGGAATGACTGACATGTATCAATTGTATGTATATATATATATATAATGGATCAGCAAATTCAAAATCATAATTTGGAAAAAAGGATCCCCTTTTAAAGTCTATTTCAATGCATCCACAGTTTTTGCACCCAAAATTTGTGATTATGATAAAATCTGAAAATATTATGCCACAGTGTGAGCTAATGGAAAAGATATTTAATCTAAGATTTTAAGTAATTGTGATGAGCTGGAGTAATGGTGATAAGAAAAGGAACGTTCTGAATTATTTGATAGAGTTCATTCTACTTTATTTGATTAAAACGATGTATAGTCGTCGACACACGTGATAGCTATTAAATTGGTATTTTATTTGGGAGAGTGATCCGAGACACCATGCCAAGACTTGAAAAAACTCATATTAGAAAATATATATACATCACTTTACATTCTTCTCCTCGTCAAGTTAAACATGAATCATATCTCACTTCTTATAATATAATTATAATTTTTGAAAGGAGGAAACTCCCATTTGTATGTTTTTTTTAATTCCGTCAAGCTGCAGTAACTTTTAACTTACAAATTATTTAAATGTCATGTGAATGCTTTCCCACAATAAATATGATATAGATATACTAAAAGCAAAACAAACTATAAATCTATATACTTTTTTTAATAACACGAAAGTAGATATATTATAGACCAATCTAATAAGATCTTATGCAGCTTTGATGCTGTTATTTCTCTGTACTAACAAACTCCAAATCTCCAGCTCTCCTCTTTCTCTCAATTTATTGTTTACCATCCGTACACCACATCATTATAGCCCACTTACACAAAGCCTCTAAATATAGACAACAGGATTCTTATACATAAAATCCAACTATTGTCACTATTATTTTTTCTCTTTTCCACCTACATCGGTTTGTGCCTCACTAGCAAGTCAGTTCACTGCGTGGGGGAGATCATACATTCATTAACGAGAATAAAAAAAAATTAAAAAGTCTCAGAGCAGGCTCTTAAAAATTAAAAAGGAGAAGTCAACATCAATATCAACCCCATACATTAAACCAGATACCCTGATTGTAGTTGGATATGACCCAACAACGCTACCAACGGCTCGATGGCTCACAGCCCATGCACCCTCCTCTATACGACGAGATCCAGCCGACCCCGCCGATGGAGCAGTTTGAAATAGAAGACGGAGAATCATCGTCAAATCTCCATCTGTCGAATACGCGCCACCGTTTACTTGGTAGAGCATCACTGATCACCAAGAAATTTGCATCTAATATCAACCGAGGAGTGATCCGCCCGGTCACACAGATGATAGACCCAATCTACGAGGGATACAAATACTTCAACATGCAATACGAACAAGCTATTTTGAAATTAGGTAACCCCCTTGTGGTGAAACGTCTTCTTTACGTGTTTTTCATAATGCTGTTCATTTTCTTTCTTACCAAGTATAACGTGGATGGCAGCGGACAAAGTTCTGGCGGAGCCTTCTCGCTGGGGAAACTCTATGACATTGAAAAACTTGCCGAATCGTTTGAATCCATGGTTGATGTCAAGACCATGAAAGAGCATTTGGAATATTTTCTGTCGATGCCTCACTTAGCTGGGACTAAGGGAGACTTGGCTTTGGCCCGCTACATGGAGTCGTATATGAAAAACAATGGGATACGGACCATTGACTTTAATGAAATTGGAAGCTTTGTGAATTATCCTTCCAATTATGATCATACTTATGTTCGATTGAATGATGGGTCATTCCAAGCACAACTACTGGAGAAGCCCGAAGGAGCGGCCAATGATGCCATGCAGTATCATTCGTATAATCCAAATGCAATGAATACCAATGGAGAGATCCGCGGTCAATACATCTATGCCAATTATGGTACCGAAGAAGATTTCCAGAAATTGAAAGATGGTGCCATTGATTTGGCAGAGAAGATATTATTGGTGAGATATGGAGGTTCTATCCCCAACTCTAACAAGGTAAAATTAGGGAAAAAATACGGAGCAGCTGCGATTATTTTCATTTCGAATTCGTTTGAAACTGGTGATGGTGTGGTACATGATGATATTATTGAAAGAGTCAATGTAGGACTTGAAAGATTCAGTACTGGAGACGTACTCACCCCTGGCTGGTCTTCAGGAGAAGGATACGTTATCAGATTGCCTTGGTTCAAAAGTGAAACCACTGCCAAGATTCCAACAGTACCTATTTCTTATAAAGATGGACAAGAACTCTTGAAGAGACTCAAAAAGGGAGTTAAATTTGGAAAGCAATATTCTGGAGCGTCTGAAGAAATTCAGATTGCTATGAAGATTACCAACGAACAACGGGAAGTGCATCCGATTTGGAATGTGGTTGGTTCCATTGAAGGACGCGAACAACCTGAAAAGGGCCTTATTATTGGTGCATCCAGAGATTCGACGTGTTTTGGCACCATGGGTACCAACACAGGGCTGGTTATATTGATGGAGTTGATTAAGATTTTTACTGCTCTCCAAAGGAAATTCAATTGGTCCCCTTCGAGATCAATTTATTTTGCTTCATTCGATGGTTCAGAGTATAACTTGGCTGGACTGACAGAATGGATTGAGAGTAGACAAGAGCAATTGAAAAGACAAGGCTTTGCATACATTGATTTGAGTGATTTAGTCACGGGTGATATTCTTGAAGTGAAATCACATCCATTCTTAAAGAAAATGATTAAAGATGTATTGGGGAAAGTGAGCAATGGAGACTCTAAATCTCTCTTGGATTTATTGAAATCTCAAAATTCTGGGAATGAATTTATATCCAATAACTTTGTAGAACTGAAGAATTACATCCCATTTATCAATCTTCTTAACATTCCTGCCATTGAAGTGAAGTTTTCAGGAACAAAACCGTATCCTAAGAGTTCTTGTATGGATAATTTCCAACATTTTGAAAAGGCTAAAATTGACCCTGATATGAAGAATCATAAACTTATAGTTCAAGTTTTGTCGAGATTGATTTTGGAATTAGCAGAACAACCATTGATCCCATACAATATTAATGATTTGGCTACTGATATGATGTCATATATTAAGGATATTGAGAATTATACTAATGAGGTGTTTGGAAATGATGAGAAGTCCGACAAACCAGCAATGGAATTTGTAAGGTTAGAAAATTCAATCCAGACCCTCATGTCAGCAGCAGAAAGATTTCAACAATGGAGCTCCCGTTGGAAGCTGTTTGTTGTTGAATCTGGTGATGTTGAGCCATCTCTTTTGGCAATGAATAGATGGAAAGAGAACGACAATTTGGTTGACTTTAATTCTAAGTTTATTAGTGATTATCCACAAAAATACCGTCCTGGATATGTGAACCTTTTGTTTGGAGTTTCATTCGGGGCACCTGAAAGTGTCGAAAAGGGTGATACTAGACAATGGAATACATTCCCAAGTATTAGGGACTACCTTGATACCAAACAATATACAAGAGCGCTGAATGATTTGAGAACATTAAGTAACTTAATGGAGGAAGCTGCCTCGGAGATATTGAGACCCTGATCATTTATGTATATAGAAAATAGTACACCAAGAAATAATACTTATGTCTAGATAAAAATGTAAGCATTGTATAAGAATATAGCTAAGTAGTTTGAATTCAGGGTTTAGGAGTTGGGGCATAATTCCCAAAAAATCCACAATTATTGCGAGTAATTCAATTATCAATAAAACATATTTTTCCTCCATTAATAGGGTTAAAACTTATCATGAAGATCAGAATTTAATTCTAAATCTATTAAAGTATATAATATCATACTATAGAGTAAAACAAGAGATGAAATCAATAAAATTTCAAAACATTTTGCCCAAAATATGATCTCGTAGAACCGAAAAAAAACTGAACTTTCGAAAATCCTCTTGGTGGCCAAGCTGGCTAAGGCGCGAGACTGTAATGATTTACCTCAAAGTAATCTTGAGATCGGGTGTTCGACTCACCCCCAGGAGATTTTCTTTTTTTTGTATTTTCTACATACCTCAATTTTTTTTTATTTGTACAATTCTACATTTTCAATGAATTGGGTAATCTATTAATCTATTAATTTATTTGAGTTGTTTAACTCTCTTTGAAAGCTCTTCTAAATAAAAGTCCCTTACTTCATTTTCTGGACCTAATTGTCTAACTGAATCGCAAAGTTTGAACAAATACTCAGAATTTGGACCACTTGGACCTACACTATTTCCAATCACATATGCAGTACGCTCGATATCTTCTGGTCCTATGAATGATTCGTTGTCTATTGTACCAATATAAATACTTGATTCGAGAAAAGTATCGCTCTTTGATGTAACAGGGAGGGATGAGTCATGATCTGGGAGTTTACTGGTGATGTGGAAAGGGACATTATGTAATGTGTATCCGTCTTGTTCTCTTACATCAAGATATTGTCTCACTTTGTCAGCATTTTCTGGTGCGACATAATATGCGCATCCCCATACTTTAAGATCATCTGGTGTAAGTTCATCCACCTTACGATCTTGGCTAGTGTTGAACTGATAGGTTTGGAGATCATTATGGAATCTGGAATTGTCTTGCAAGTCCTGGAGTGAAATCAAAGTCACAACTCGTCCGGGACTCTCGGGAGTGCCTCTATGATCTGACGAACTTTGCCAAAATCTACGAACATACCCTTTGATGTAACCTTCGACCCGGAACTCGGTGTAAGGAGGAGGCTTGAAAATGAGCGAGCCGTAACCAATGACCCAAATTCCTACAGTCATCTTTATATATTAGTGAACGGAAATAATGTAAACAGAGAGGAGTTAAATAAAAAAAAAATAATAAAGATAGATGAAACGGTTTGGCGTTATCAAGAACATCCACAGTGAAACGTTCACGTGCACAGTCCAGATAAAAAGTATTATGTAAGTTTTTAGTTTATGTTTTCTTTTTTTTAAAAGTCATAAAAGAAAGAAGAAAAAAAAAAATAAGTCTCCTGCACCACATACTCTACCTAGTGTTCTATGGTGTTCATACAGGACTAGCTGGAATTTGTTCTTGGCGCTCATTATTATTTTTGTTATCTACAAAGAAAGAGAGAAAAAAAAGTTTTAGTACTTTTACGGATTAAGAATCGACTAGGGTATTCAGTACTGACGACTTAAGAATATGGTGTGGTCTCAGCTAGAGGTATGTATTCGACCCTAATGATGGGTTTCTAGATAGCGGCTCTTGGATCCGCAAGTTGTGGTTGCAAACCCCCCTCCTCAATCAAGGGCTCTGTCCGGGGTATAGTTCTTTGAGGTGGGCTAGCAAGTATGCTAAAAATATCGAGATTTTGAATTGGGGGTGAATATGTTTAGTGAATCAATGCTTTATGGATGTGGTGGATACACATGGTTGGAGTGGATCCAGAAGAGTTCCCATCGTTTCATGGAGATGAGTAGATGGAAAGACCACAAGGGGTGAAGTAAAAATATAAATTTACAAGCCTGGTTTACAAGCCCGGTTGATTCGTCTTGATAGACGAGGTCCAGACTCCACCAGTATCAGCATTCTTCAGAATATCCTTTTCACCATAAGACTCTTTCCATAGAACCATTTATCCATGAAGTGGCTGAGCCCCCTCCCCCCTCACATAGAGGACTTGATATTATTTTTGATCTTTCAAAATTTTTTTCTTTCTTGTTTTTTTTACTAACAAACTTGTAGCTAGAGAAAGCCCACATTGCTTATGCCTGTGTAGGAATATTCAGCACTATCTTCTCCTTGGTTTCTCTTTTTGTAAAGGAGAAACTTTATATTGGGGAAGCTACCGTTGCCACCATTGCCGGGTTGATCCTTGGACCGCATTGTTTGGACTGGTTCAACCCTGTATCATGGGGGAATACCGATCATATCACCTTGGAAATCTCCAGAATTGTGCTTTGTATACAGATTGTTGCGGTGGCAGTAGAATTGCCCCGTAAATACATGAAGAAACATTGGGTATCAGTAGCAATTTTACTTTTACCCGTGATGACTTGTGGTTGGCTCATTGTAGGGTTATTTATTTGGGTATTGATTCCTCATTTTGACTTTCCATCTGCTTTGCTTGTGTCTGCATGTGTCACTGCCACCGATCCTGTGTTGGCAGCTGCCGTTGTTGGTAAGGGTAAGTTTGCCGAAAGAGTTCCAGGACATTTAAGAAACTTATTATCTGCAGAATCAGGATGTAATGATGGGATGGCATTTCCATTTATTTTCCTTTCCTTAAACCTTATTATCCACCCACATAATGGAGGAGAAGTGGTTAAAGATTGGATTCTAATCACCATTTTATACGAATGTATTTTTGGATGTATCTTGGGGGTTGCCTTGGGATTTTTATTGAAAAGAGCAGTAGCCTTTGCCGAACTGAAGAAACTTATTGATCGTGAATCCTTTTTAGCAATTTTTGTCTTTTTAGCGTTCAATTCCGCAGGAATTGGATCCATGTTAGGAGTTGATGATTTATTGGTATCATTTGCTGCTGGAACTGCGTTTGGATGGAATGGAGATTTTGCTAAAAAGACTGAAGAATCTCATGTTTCTACCGTTATTGATTTATTATTGAATTTATCATTTTTCGTTTATTTTGGAGCAATTATCCCATGGCCACAATTTAATAATGCAGAATTGGGATTGAATTGTTGGAGATTGATTATTTTAGCCATTGTGATTATCTTTTTAAGAAGAATGCCTGCTGTGTTGGCCTTGAAAGTAGTAACACCAGATATTAAATCTTGGAGAGAAGCTTTATTTTGTGGTCATTTTGGACCAATTGGTGTAGGGGCAATTTTCGCAGCTATTCTTGCTAGAAAGGATCTTGAAGCTCATTATAGTACTGAAGAAACTCCATTAGCTCATTTACCATCTGAAGATTTCCCTCATTATCAATTATTAGCAACCATTTGGCCCATTGTTTGTTTTATCATTTTAACCTCAATTATCGTTCATGGATCATCGGTTGCAGTTTTAACCTTGGGTAAAAGACTTAATAGAATGGCAATTACCATGTCGTTTACCACCACAAACACCAAAGATCAAGGATCTTCTTGGATGTCAAGATTACAAAAATTGGACAAGGCTTCGACTTCATTTTCCTTACATAGAATTGATACCATGCAAGTACCAGAAGAAGATGAAAAGAAGGCAGCGCAACAACAAGAAGAAAGATTGGCACATGCTAATACCATTGAAACCAGTGGAATTAAGGTTAGACCTGCCGGTGGTGCCAAGAGAAGAAAGCACAAGAAGAAGAAGAAGAGATCTACTCCTGGTGACAGACTTAAGAAGACTCTTTCCAGAGTTACATCTAGAGATGATGAAAATGGAGCTGTTGATGAAAACATTGGTCGTAGAGATAGACCACAAACTGAATTCTTACAACTTGGTAGAACCGTTTCTCAAGCAGTTGTTAGGGATGATGAAGATGAAGAAGGTCAAGATACCCTTGGTAATAACGCAACCATTGTTAATAAGGAAGATTCCACGGGAGGGTCTGAATTTTCATCTGGATCTAGTAATGGTGAAAAGCGGGAAGAACTTCAACTTCCTCCACCTGATCTTTTACACATCAAAGATGATCAAGTCCCAACCACTGCATTTAAAGAAGGTGATAAGGTTATTATTGAAGACCAACATGGAGAAGTTTTGGATACAGTTTCAATGAGTGAAATGAAAAAGTCAAAGAAGAAGGATCGTGATGATGATATGAGTATTCACTCTATGGAATCATTACGTCGTAAATTGACTCAATATTCCGAAGAAAGTGAAGAATCTGATGATGATGATGGCGCCTATAATGAAGATTTGTCGCCAACTAACACTAGAAGCCGTAGAAGAAGAAGTATTTCTCCACTGAGATTGAAGGGTAAGAAGGCATTCTATAAGAAGGATGATCCTAAGCATAGAAAGGTGTTTGCCCATCAAATCGATAATATGATTGTTATTGAAAATGCCGATGGTGAAATCATTCGGAGATACAAGGTTAGTAAACATCCATCAGTTAGTGGAGCCACCTCAGCGGGAGGCCCTGGAACAAGAGTAAGATCTTCATCTATAGTTGGTAAGGCTTTATCACTTGTCGGAATCAAGGGAGGTGCAGGAACATCAAGTGCAAATAATGATTCTGTTAATGCAGTAACAAGTGCTGGATCATCTCAAGCAAGTGGCGGAAAAGTACCAGTTTTGATAAAGACTCAAGATAGTAAGGATCCAAAGTCACCATTGCGTGATTCGGATCTTGAATCAAGATTGGAGAAGAAAATCACCACGATTTTGAGTGGAAGATCAGATGATCCTAGACAACGTAACCCATCAATTGTGGTTGAACATCCTGCAGATATCTCGGAAGAGGACTCAGAAGAGGTGAATTCCGATATCTCTGAAGATTCAGAAGAGGAGGATGAAGATGAAGATGAAGACTTGAGAGAGACCGAGGTCGAAAAGAGACGCCGTTTAGCTGCCTTGGGACAAATCAGGGGACAAAGACGAGATGATGATGACGAAGAAGAAGTTTAAGTTGCATTGTCTGTGAAGCAAAAAATTACTAATACCATTTATATACCAACAGAGATTTATTTATAAAGAAAGGGAGGGAGTTAATGTAGATGACAAGAAAATGATTAGTCTTGGACTTCTTGGCAGGAGTTAAAAAAAAAACACGCATGCACAAAAAAAATCCAAACATAGAGAGATAATAGAGCATAAGTTCGTGGGACATTACGAGCGTTGGTACGGTTTAGAAGAGATCGTACTATAAATTGTAGATAGGAAACTGACTCTTTCAGATTAGTCTATACACAAATTTGTGTATCTTGATTTTCTCACAAAATGCAGAGAGGCTAAAAATTGTATGCCCCACTAATAGTCAAGGGTGCAAAAACAAGTAGAATAAATCAATCTCTCTAATACTAAATACTTTGTAGAATGATGTATTGGACTTGTATAGTGGAGTGAATTCATTAGTATATTTCTCCTTGTATAATAAATTGTGGGGTAATTGTTCTACATTGAAATACCAAACCTATTTTTTATTTTTATTTTACCGAGGCATTGCCTGTTACTATGTACTATTAATTAATGGGCAGTCTTTGGGGCATTTGGCAATTTGTCCAAAGATTGTCTGATAGAGTCAACACCCTTCAATAAATCTTCCTTGGAGATCACCAATGGTGGGGCCAATCTGATGATGTGGTCATGAGTTGGCTTGGCCAAGACACCATGGTCTTTCATCAACATACACAAGTCCCAAGCGGATCTACCGTTGGTCTTGGTATCATCAATGACAATGGCACTGAGTAAACCTTTACCTCTAACCTCAGAAATGATTCCATTAGATTCATCTTTCAATTTGGTCAATTCATTGTACAAAAAGTCACCCAATTCTTGAGATCTTTGAACCAATTTTTCATCCTTAACAACTTCCAAGGCAGCAACGGCAACTCTACAGGCCAATGGGTTACCACCATAAGTGGAACCATGAGAACCTGGTTCCAAGCACAACATGATTTCCTTTGAAGAAAGAGCACAAGAAACTGGCATAACCCCACCAGAAATGGCCTTACCTAAAAGAACAATGTCTGGCTTAACATTGGCAGAATGTTCATAACACAACATCTTACCGGTTCTGGCAATCCCAGTTTGGATTTCATCACAGATCAACAAGACATTATGCTTTTTACAAAGTTCTTGAACTTTGGTAAGATATCCTTCAGGTGGGACAACAATACCGGCTTCACCTTGGATTGGTTCCAAAAGAATAGCAGCAATCTTATCACCAGCATTGGCAAAGGCCCTTTCAACATCTTCAATGACCCCATATCTCAAGAGAGTACCCTTTGGTTCACCTGGGATTTGTGGACCAACCCCAGCCAAATAAGGACCAAAATTATCAGTAGCATCTGGATCAGTAGACATTGAAATAATTCCTAAAGTTCTACCATGGAAATTATCAACAGCAGACAAAATGATGGCTTCACCTTCTGGAATTCCCTTCTTAACATACCCCCATCTTCTAGCGAGCTTCAATCCAGTTTCAACCGCTTCAGCACCGGTGTTCATTGGAAGAACCATTTCATAGTTGAAATATTCGGTGATATATTTGGCAAACACACCAAAGACATCAGAAGAAAAGGCTCTGGAACACAAGGTCAACTTTGAGGCTTGATCAACAAGAGCTTCAATGATCTTTGGATGACAATGACCTTGGTTAACCGCAGAGTAGGCAGAAAGGAAATCCAAATATTTCTTTCCTTCAGGGTCCCAAACATGAGCACCTTCAGCCTTGGTGAATACCACTGGGAGTGGATGATAATTGTGAGCAGAATATTGTTGTTCGTATTGAACAGCAGTTTCCGAAGAAACGTTAAATTGTGGACCAGTAGACATGATTAATAAGATAGTTTATGGAGTGGTGTAAAAAAATCAAAATTTGAAAGCAATAGGTGGCCTATAAGTAGTGGAGATCCAACGCGATTGCTTGCCGATAGCGCAACGTGGAAAACGGGGTGTGCATATAGTCCGCTGTGACTTAACTATAGAGGTTTATAAATGTGATGAGATTTGATTTAGGAAGGAGTGTGCGAGGGAAAAATAGCCGCAAATTTATCGACAAAGTGGTGGGGGGAATACCAACTCCGATGCCGTGAAAAAGAATGATTAGAAAAGAAGAGAGGAAATTCATTGGAGGAGATGTATTTTAAGGAAAGTGTGAAATAGAAGAAATGGGGAGAAGTTGGGGAAATGTTTTTTGGGTGTGGGGGTTACACATTGATCAGCAATGAGTATGAGTATGTAGACTATCGTAAGACAAAATGGATTTGATCAGTAGGAAAAAAAAACCAAGAAAATGACAAATGAATCATTATTGGAAAGTTCAATATATATGTATATAGAGGAGCTAGGCTCCACGCCAGTGGCTCTCCCCGGGTAGGGGCCAGCGGAGCGGCTTGGAGACCCCGTAGGGTAGTGCTTACTTCCTTCCCTGCGGGGCTTTAAGCCGCTCCGCTGGCACTCCGTGGGCCACTAGCCGTGGAGGCCTTGTTCCTCTACCGAGGAAGATGTAGCTTTAAGAGACTCTCCTCGAAGAGGAGCTAGGCCCCACGCCAGTGGCTCTCCCCGAGTAGGGGCCAGCGGAGCGGCTTGGAGACCCCGTAGGGTAGTACTTACTTCCTTCCCTGCGGGGCTTTAAGCCGCTCCGCTGGCACTCCGTGGGCCACTAGCCGTGGAGGCCTTGTTCCTCTATCGAGGAATTGGCTGTAAGAGTCTCCTCGTAGAGGAGCTAGGCCCCACGCAGTGGCTCTCCCCGAGTAGGGGCCAGCGGAGCGGCTTACATGAAGGGTCTAGAACACACAGAGGTACAGTAGTGTGGGTACGGACATATGTAGGTATTGTAGGTATTGTAGGCATTGTAGGGAGACAGTAGAGGTGACATTAGAAGAGACAGAGGGGTAGACAGTAGAGGAGACATTAGATATACAGTATGGAGACTCAACGTAGTAACTTTCATAGAGATGCATTTACGCCCATGTGGCGGTTATATATATATATATATACACTTATTTATGATGCAAACTATAACTCACCATCCTAAAGTGTTGTCTTCTCATGACTCGCACTGCATATTCATTTTGTGTAGTCATGTGTTTATTTATGTTTCGCATAGTCATTGCTGATGAATATTCAAAAATTTAAATTTTTTTTCACTTTTACTGCATATTTGCGCGTCAGGTGACCGGGTGTGTTTTGATAATTACACAAAGGGTAATGTAGCAAAGGGTTGTAAAAGTCTTTTAGTCACTCATTGAAAAGAACAGTGATATAACTTTGAAGAAAATTCTTATTTTATATATTTATTGATACACAATATAAGATGAGTTTCCAAAACAAGAGACAAATGAACTACAGGCTGGAACCTGTTCAACAAGATATTAATCCAGATATTGCTGCGTTGAGTACCATTGGTATGAGAATCCGTAAGGCCGTTGCTGATGGTTACAGCACTCCAAGTGCCAGTCATTATAGCTATGGCTATAACTTTGAAGAACAACCAAGAAGAGTTCCATTACCAATGGGAATGGACCAACCTCCATCATTGATGGGTTCTGGGTCAACTGTAGGTACTTGTTCCAACTTGTCCGAATGGGACAACGCAGCACAAAAACCACTTGTAACTATTCCAGACTACAATAGTGGTATGACCAAGAGAAAGTTCCAACAGGAATCCGGGGATGCCGAATACACCAGATACAGAGAAGAAGTTGATTACGCCAAGAAATACGGTAACCTTCTGTTCAATGAGGAGTTCTAAGTAGATAAATTGTATAAAAAAAAAGGGGGGTAAGGTGTGGGAGTTGGAGAAAGTTTCGCAGGGTAAGATAACTTTTAAGGATTTATATGGATTTATCTGCCCAAACCACCTACGTTATCACTTTCTGGAAAGGTTTGTAGGACATGTGTTTAGTATTTAGGTTATTATATTGAATTTATGTAAAAAAAAATAAAAAAAAAAAGAATAATGGATTTGAATTAATGAGATAAGGTGTAGAGAATCAATTGGAATAAACACTAAGTTGAGGGAGAGTGAGGGAGTCTTAGTGAAGGTAAATTCTAGTTAATCTAAATATCACACAGTTTTTAGATTTTATAGAAAAGCTTGACCTGTTTGTGATGGTGGTAAAAAAAATTAAATAATGGGTGAAATGGGTACTTGCAGCAACAAGGGGGGGGTGTGCCAAATTATGAAACAAGTGCTACAATATGTGGGTACTGATTAACAGCGATTAGATTCTAAATATAGAAGTTTGCTATATGTGTACTACTTTTTAAATTTCTTACAGACATCTTTACTTTGTACACCTAATCGTTCTTGATTCAATTTGATTTAGTTACCCACTGCTATGCGTTATCATGAGTTTCCCATTTATGAATATTTTTTTTTTTTAAATAGATTGGAGCTTGTGTGTGTGTATGATTTTTCTTTTTTCTTTACTTTTCTCATAATTTCATACTCTTTATCCTCTAGACCGACATTAAAGTACAGTCAAGCTTTGCTAGCTAGATAACGATGAAGAACCTTATCGACCCTATACTTTCGAGTCCAGGTCGAAATCTTCAAATCATTCGTTATGTCACATCTATTGTGGCAATGATACTTATTATATGTACATTAGTAGGTCCATCAATGTCCAGTAACAAATTTTATTTTTCTAAAATTAGTTGTGGACATCTTGATCTTTCTAATGGGATTTATAATTCGCTTAGAAATGCTGTTTCTGCCTCTTCAGTTGACCAGGGAAATAGTGATTATCCAGTGGATTTATCATTAACAAATTCAGAAATCACTATATTTTCTGAATATGCACAAGCTCAAGTGGCAAACACTCCTCAATATATTGTTGAATCGTTATGGCAATGGTGTTCCGGAGACTATGACGTGGTAACTACGAAAACCAAACTGGGCGGAACACGTACAAAGGATGAAAACTTTGAAGTGACATGTCATCGGAACAAAACAAATGCTTTCGATTATAGAAGTCAATTGGAATTTGTAGGATTAGAGGTGATTGTAGCATATGCATATCAAGGAGTGGAATCTAATGGGGATTCTACTTACGAAAGGAGTACCACCAGAAGAAGAAAATTGTACAAACTTGTACCGTCTGCACTTATATTTGCAGCTTGTTCACAATTTGTTACGGTTATATTTGCTTTAATATTATATGGGAACAAAGGAGTGCAACATGAATTGAACCAATTGAAGGCGTTCCTTGTTCATTTTCTTGCGGTATTTTCCGTTGCATCCTTCTGTAGTGTTGTGATTGCAGTCGCCATAATGACATATTTGGTTCATGACGTTCAAAAGGAAATTCAACAACAAATGGTTGATTTTGGAATTTCTGTTAGTTATGGATCGATATGGTTTCTGTTGATATGGTGTGGATTTGCAATGTCATTTCTAGCAATGCTTTCTTGGGCATTCCCACTTTGGTGTGCAAATCCAGTCTTGAAAGACGATAATGATGAAGATTCCATGGTATTAGGGAGACAAATGACTCAAAGAAGCATTCGAAGATCCAAAAAGGGTACCATGTCATCCCGTACAGTAGCAACCGCCACCTCTACCTCTAGAAGAGATGGTGAAGTCAGGGGACCATTATTGGATGATATGGAAGGTACAATTCCCTTTAATACGGAGTCACATGATCTTACCAGTGATGAAAATGTAGAATATAATGAACGACAACTAAATAGACTTCCGGGAGAAGAAGAATTTGGTGATGATGATGATGATTTATATCATACCGATCCTACTGCCATTCGAAATAGTGTTACTGGTGAACATGAATTAAGAAAATTAGGAGAATCAATTTCGAGGAAATCGTCAGTGAGACATCTTAATCGTAAAATTTCGTCCAAAAATAACAGTCTTTCCAGAACAAAAAGACTTCCAACTCCATTAGAATCAGACGTGTTGTTTGACGATGTATACCCTACAGTGGGGAGATCGGATAGTGCCCCATCGCAGCATTACCGGGAAGAAACTTACGATGGGTATAATAATATCCTCAATGTTGGTAGAACTGGTAGTGGTGGTGGTGGTTCCAACCCAAAAGCGGTCACACAAAAGAAACTATACGGGAAGGACTTATTCAATTCAGAAGGTGGCTACCAGAACAATTCCAACCCATTTGCTGCACAATCCGACCTTTTAAATGCATTTCAAAGAAATAAGAGAGAATCTACAGGTGAAGAATCATTCTTGAATGATGATGAAATGGAGTTTTTGGACTTTAATAATTATATAAATAGAGTTAACTAAATGAAATAGAATATCAGCCTATTTGCATATAAATTGTAACAACACAAATCCATTCTTAAAGATTCTTCCAATTTTGTTTTGTTATCTTCTCTGTTTTTTTTTTTCTTTTTTGCACCCAAATTTGCACCCAAATCTTTTTTGATGTTTATAACCTTTTTACATCTTTAAATGCAATCAAATAGTTTTGAACTTCTCAGTACAGGGGATGATGAGAAGGAGATAGATATTACTCAACCCCCGAGAACCAATCCAATTAGTAGAAAATTACCTTCTAAATATTGGGTTCTTCGATTGCTTTTAGCGACCTTATCCTTTTGTGTTGTGCAATTGAATGTAGCGTCCTTATTATCATGCAATGAGAATAGTATATATGGATGTACTCCTCAATTTCTGGTACAGACTTATGAAGACTCCAAGTTTTCCAATCTGTGTATCTCAATGATTCAAGATGCACTTTCATTGGTTTCTTTTGTTGCAACAGATTTCACTGGTGACAGCATGGATAATGATCTGAAGGTTGCAATAATCGACACCCTCTCTTCAGAAAACATCTTCAATGTCAATTTTAATGGATATTGTCGATTTAACTATGGAACAAAATTACAAAAATGTCATAAATCACACCTAGAAATAATCTCTTGTTGGACTCTCGATGTTGGATTACAATTGGGAGCGGTATCAAATAGATCAGAAATAGTGGGAGAATCGTTTGTCTCCACTTATGGAACTGTCTTGAGATCTTTAAATGATCTTTACATTCTGGGGCAAAAAGAAGAAGAAGACAATTCTTCTCAAGTCCTTGATATGTCTACACTACAAATGATTAGAATGTTGAATATAACTGATCTTTTCACTAAAATCCTATCAAGTATTTCAAAAATATCAGTTCATTTATCGTTTTTGGTGATGATATATTCCATTCTATTATTTATAAAACCGATTCAAACAATTATACTTCAACTACTAATTTTTTGTGACATTCTACTATGTCTTCAGATCATTCTAAACTCAGTAATGTGGATAAGTGTATTAATTTACATCAATAAATTTGAACAGATTTTCAATAGATTTGACTTTGCAACCATCAAGTTGTCCACTGGATTTATATTAACCATTCTTAACGCAATAATATTATTTATTTTGGTATTGCTTACGATAAAACTTCATCAAGAGAAATCAAAACGTCACCCCCACAATTGAGAAATATAAAACGGCTTTTTTTTAGCTTACTAATGTTCATTTGCTTATTAATTGTTTATTATTCTTTTCGTCTAGTACATAAATACATATATCTCCCCTATCGTTTAAGCTCCGTAAACTTCGTCAAAAGCTTGTTGGAAATCGTTAATAATATCGTCAATGAACTCGGTACCAACAGAAACTCTAACCAAGTCCTTGGTAACACCAGAGGCAAGCTTTTCCTCTTCGTTCAATTGTTGATGGGTGGTGTAGTATGGAGCAATGACCAAAGTCTTGGAGTCACCGACGTTGGCCAAGTTGGAGGCAACCTTCAAGTTGTCAACAACTCTAGGACTGGCTTCCTTGAATGGATCTTCCTGAGTCTCATTCAATGGCTTAAGACCGAATGACAAGGCACCACCATAAATTTCCTTGTTGTTCAAGTACTTCTTACTCAATTCGTGACTTTCATGAGATGGCAATCCCAAGTAGGAAACCCAGGCAACGTGTGGAGAAGCTTCCAAGAACTTGGCCAATTTCAAGGCGTTCTCAGATTGTCTGTCAACTCTTAAAGACAAGGTTTCCAAACCTTGGATCAACAAAAAGGCACCGAATGGGTTCAAGGATGGACCCAAATCTCTCAACAATTCAATTCTAACGTGGCCAATGTAAGCAGCGTTACCCAAGGCTTCACTCAAAACCAATCCATGGTAACCTTCAGAAGGCTTGGAGAATTGTGGGAATTTTTCTGGGTATTGAGTCCATGGGAACTTACCAGAGTCAACAATGACACCAGCAATAGTGGTACCGTGTCCACCAATCCACTTGGTAGCGGAATGGACAACAATGTCAGCACCATGGTCAATTGGACGAACCAAGTAACCACCAGCACCAAAGGTGTTGTCAACAACAACTGGGATACCGTTATCGTGGGCCAACTTGGTGATCTTTTCGAAATCTGGAATGTTATACTTTGGGTTACCAATTGATTCCAAATAGATGGCCTTGGTCTTATCATCGATAAGTTTAGCAAAATCTTCAGCCTTATCTCCGTTAACGAATCTGGCTTCAATTCCTAATCTCTTGAAGGCAACCTTGAATTGGTTGTAAGTACCACCATAAAGGTAAGAGGTGGAAAGAATGTTGTCACCAACATGGGCAAGACCAGCAAGGGCAAGGAATTGAGCAGATTGACCGGAGGAAGTTGCAACAGCTCCGATACCACCTTCAAGTGCAGCAATTCTTTGTTCAAAGACGTCATTGGTTGGGTTCATAATACGAGAGTAAATGTAACCTGGGGTTTCTAATCCGAAAAGTTGAGCACCATGCTTGGAGTCATTGAAGACATAAGAAGAGGTGGCATAGATTGGAGGAGCTCTAGCCTTGTGGGGAGCTTCTGGGGTTTGGCCAGCATGAAGCTGAAGAGTGTCGAAATGAGAAGGCATTGTTTAGAACAAACTTTTAATTATAAAAAGAATTCTTAAAGTAAGAAAAAGGAGAGTAAAATTAATATAATTGTGGCAATTGCAGTTGTTTAAGTAGAACAAGAGTGAAAAATATCTGGGTGATGCAACATTGTGCTGGAAATATGATAATCCCACGTGATTCGTGGATAAGGACCCAAAATACGATGCAGCACAATATTAAAAAGTCTCGCAGTGCCGAGTCGATTGGATCGAGAGAAAGGTCTGGTAATTTATGCAGTAATAAATACATTGGAAGTGAGCCACAGTTCGGAGTTTAACGATTTACTTTAGAGGAGAGTTTCGAACACCACAGTTTTGTCTTTTTTTTAATGTACGTCTCACGTTTATCAATTTTCTTACCCGACCCGGAATCCGACCCGAGCGCAATTTGTTAGTCACAAAATGGGGAAATCGAAAAAAAAAATACAAAAATAAAAAATAAAAAATTAAAAACAAGTTTGGAGTTTGTGTGTTGTCAAAAATGATCGAATCGATACGAGCTTAAAAAGCCCGAGGAAGATGATGACGGTGACACAATGTAGAGGAATAACCTTGAAGGGTGAGAGATGTAAACGGATGGCCAAGAATGGCTATTGTGCTCTGCATGCAGCGAGACCTAGCGGTACACTGCCTACTAAAGGTCGCTTTAATGGAGACCAACTCCCCCTATTAAGTGTCGAATCTCCAGATCAATTTGTTTATGCGAAAAAAAAATCACAATCTCCAAAACGCCACAGTTTCCGCTCGCCCATGCAACACATTTCAAACTTCCCACTTGCAGGGAATGCAATAAGTTCTTCAAAAACCAATCGAAAAAAGGATGGGTACATATATGTGTATACATATACGAAATTCATAGCACCATATATTGGAGATCCAGTTCAAGTTAATTCACCATACACAAAAAAGAATAAAAATGGAGATAAATGGGAAACTTATAACCCCAAAAAATCTGATTATACCTTAATTAAAGTTGGAATGACTACTAAATCCGTACAGGCGCGTATTAGCGAATGGGAAAAACAGTGTGGAATCAGTCTTACAAGTTTACAACCATTTGTAGATTATCACAATGCCAATTTTGTAGAGTGGTTCAAACAAAAATGTACCCTTACTCCGAATTTCTCCACATTCAAGGACAAGGGGTTTACATGTTCTAAAGTAGCCGCTGCAGAAGCTGAAATACATTCAATCCTTCGGCAAAAGTATGGCCATGGAAATCTATATTGTCCTGGTTGTAGAAAGGAAGATCAAAAGTTAGGTAGACATACTGAATGGTTTTATGTTAAAAAGAAGGACTTTCCTCTAATTTTCAAGACCATTGACAGTGTTTGCAAGAGGATAAACGGGGGGAAATGAGTTAGCATTAGCATTAGCATATAGAATATACAGAGTAAACACCATCCTAACTCGAGTACGAGCAGAGCGGCTTACACATAGCAGTGCTTGCATACAGCGTTATAAGCCTCTTCGCGCCCTGCTTGGGGAGAGCCAATGTGTGGAGCCTAGCTCCTCTACGAGGAGACCTCTAGTAGTTAGATCTTCCTCAGTAGAGGAACAGGAGCCCACACGGCTAATGGCCCACGGAGTTCCAGCGGAGAGGCTCGCAAACCCTGTAGGGCAACTAGTACTCGCTTCTTCCCTACGTGGGCTTGCCAAATATTTTGCAGCCATTTTCTCTACAGTTCTTACTACTTTAAAAAAAACTTTTTATTCAACTTTTTTTGTTTATACAACATATATATGAAACCATCTAGGTGTTCATGTAAGTAGATGGGTCAATACCTTCTTCTGGGAATTCGGTAATCTTAACATCGAATCTGGATTGAATCTTTTCCAAAACTTCTTCGTCTTCCTTAGATCCAACCAAAGAAATGGCCAAACCCTTGGTACCGAATCTACCAGCTCTACCAACTCTGTGCAAGTATTGGTCAGCTTCGTTTGGTAAATCGTAGTTAATGGCCAAGTTGATTCTTTCGATATCAATACCTCTACCGAAAACATCAGTAGAAACACAAATACGCTTGTTGAATTCCTTGAAAGATCTGTATCTTTCAATTCTTTCTTCTTGTGGCAAGCCGGAGTGGACAGCAATAGATGGGAAGTTACAAGCACACAATAACTTGTTCAATTCGTTAGCTCTTTGAGTAGACTTGACGAAAATGATAACTTGGTTAAATTCCAAGGAATCCAACAAGTCAGATAACTTTCTGTTCTTTTCCTTTTCTTCCAACTTGATGTAGTATTGTTGTAAACCGTGCAAGGTCAACTTAGCTTCATCATCAACGTAGATTTCTAATGGGTTTTGCATAAACTTCTTACAAACAGGACGGATTTCTTGGGATAAAGTGGCAGAAAACATCATAACTTGCTTTTGAAGAGGAGTGTTACGGAAAATGTCTTGGACATCTCTTCTCATGTCAATGGCTTCCAAAACCTTGTCACATTCATCAATAACAAAGGACTTAAGGTTGTTCAAACGAATGGCCTTTTCCTTAACCAAAGCGTGCAATCTACCTGGGGTAGCAACAACAATGTGAGGACAAGTGTCCTTGTTCTTCAACTTTTCCAAGTCTCTAGCAATTGGAATACCACCGTAGAAAACTTCAGTTCTAACATCTGGCATATACTTGGAGAAACGAGAGTATTCGTTACGGATTTGGTAAGCCAATTCACGGGTGTGACAGATAACCAAGGCGGAAATTTCACCTGGAACTGGGTCTAATTGTTGCAAAGTAGACAAGACAAAGACAGCAGTCTTACCCAAACCAGACTTGGCTTGACACAAAACATCAGTACCCAAAATAGATTGTGGGATACAGACTTGTTGAACTAGAATTATGTTAGTTTTTAGAAGAGATAGGGGGGGATGGGGAAAAATGGGGAGACATTTAGGAGGTTGGAGTTAATTTCGGTCCCTTGGCAAGGTCAATAAAATAATTCATTTTGTTTGATGTTTAAAAATTTGTTTCATCTTTATTATTTGATTGTGAGAGTAATCAATGTTGTCCTCTGTTGTCATGATAACGCAGGACGGTCAAAATCAATGCAACAGCGGCATAAGATATCCCTTGATTACTTATATTTCAAAAGGCTGGGACAATAAATCTATCGATTTAAGATTTGTTGATGGTGAAACACATGCATCGATTAAACTTTTTTGTTGTATCGATTGAGCATGTTTGCCGCATCGTTTGATTGCTTTACATTACGGCAATTATGGCCCTGGATTAAAGACCTTACCATTAACTATCCTCTTGTCATGTTAATGGAAAGAAGGATATGAGGGTCAAAATTAAACTCTGAAATTCCAATGGTCTCTAAAATATATACGAACCTTCAGAAGGATGTTCGAAACCACAGTCACCAATGGCTCTCAATAATTCAGGCTTCAATAAAAAGTCTCTGAAACCAGTGGCGTGGATACCAACATAAGAACCCTTTTTGTCAGCGTCCTTATCAGTGGCACCTTCGCCCTCGGTGGAGGCAGTTGGGGCGGTTGTGGATGGAACGGCAATTTCTTCAGAGTCGGAGTAGTCCAACAATTCTTCTTGACCTTCGGCAGACATGTTTATATTATTATTTATGAGGTGGTGGGTGTGATTACTGGGATAGAAATCTTCAACTCTATTATAGAGACGTGTTTACTTTGTGTGGGAAGTTTCAAGTTAATTTTCCGCAATGTTCGACAAGTTTGAGTTCGGACACGACCGTGTTATATCCTAAAAGGACCTTTTTTCTTGATAATTTGTTCTTCGTGTCCTTACCAATTATATATGGATTTTGTAAGGTTGGATATATATTAAGAGTATGAATGCGATCAATGTAGCAAACCAAATCAAACCCCCATTAGTGGCAATAAGATAAAACAGGGATTATACTTGTAAATAATTTTATATTTTTTTTTTTTCACCTTTCATTTTATCTTTTTTGTTTTTGTATATAGAGTGTTGATTTATTTAGAGCAAAATGTTGAGATTAGGAAGATTAGCAGCAGTTTCGTGCAAGAGAACATCCACAATCGTTGGTAGACTTTCCAAGGTTACCGTTCCATCTAGAACAGTTCCTTCAGGATTTGTTTCTATTAGAAAGTATTCTGACTATGCCCCTAATGATGACGAAACTCAAAGACTTAATAAACTTGTTACTGAGTTAAAAAGTAACCCGAAAATTTCCGAAGCATTGGAAGAATTGCAACAACTTCTTGTGCTGAAGGGATTTGATCCAAGCACAAAGCCTTCTATGATGAAGATGATGCTGATTCTCATGGATAAGGAGATCAAGGCATCCATCACTGCATTAAAGACACAATTGGAAGAGGCCAAAATAAGCTTCTCCAAGGAAGATGTCGATACATTTATGAAGTTATTCGGATTAAACATGAAATAAGTTTTATTTTTATAGATAATGATAAGCATAAATAAATATACAAGATGAGTTTAAAGTTTCAATTTCTAGGTTTATTTCTTCTTTCCTAAAGAAGTGGCAATGTTTGCTGCTTCTTCAACACCTCTAGCAATCCCACTTCTAACACCAGCATCTTCCATTTTCATTAAGCCACCAATGGTGGTACCCCCTGGGGTACACACCTTACTTCTCAAAACTGCTGGGTGTTCTCCAGTCTCTATCACCATCTTGGCAGTTCCTTCCATGACCTTTGCAGCACATTCCTTTGCTGCTGCAAATGGAATCCCCATACGAACACCACCATCGATCAAGGCTTCCATAACAAGCAAGCAGAACGCAGGTCCAGAACCGACCAAGGAAGTGGCTGCATCCATGTTCTTTTCTGGAAGTTTGATAGCCTTACCGACTGGATCGGTCAACTTCATCACCAAGTCTTGGTATTCTTCTTCAGCTTCTGGAGAAAAGGAAACAACAGCCATACCACATCCAAATTGAGCTGGGGTGTTGGTCATAACTCTGGCAATGTAAGGAGAAAATATTCTCAATTGTTCAATAGTCCAACCAGCAAGAAGAGAAATGACCAATTGCTTCCCAGTCAAAGAGTCCTTTACTTGGTTGTACACTTCTTCACACATGAATGGCTTACATCCCAAGATAATAACGTCGGCTCTTGCAACGGCCTTGTTGTTGGATTCCTTCCCGAAAGAAGTCTCTATTAAATCGCCACCGTCAAGCTTAGCAGTTAAGTTCTTGGCCAGAGTTTCGGATCCAGTACAACAGATAATTTTAGCTGGGTATGGATCAAATTTGGTCTTAAGAATTGCTGATGTCACAGCAGTTCCCATAACACCACATCCCAATACGGCAATTGTATAGTCCTTCATATCTAAGTATATTATTCAAAGTTAATAGAGTATTGTGAAAATTGTTGAAATCTACCTGTCTTTCAAAATTGATCTCCACTACTGTATCTTGGAGTCATTTCGCTTCATATAATCTGTAAATGGAAAGTTAACCCGAGGTCGTGCGAAGGTAAACTTCTTTAGATTGGGGGGGCTGATCTTCTGCATTTTGTGATATTACATTCATATTGATGAGCTTTAAGAAACTAGCAAAAAAAAAAAAAGAGGGCTATTATACACCCAAGTTCGAATATTCTATTTTCAACAACAGTATGTAGACAAATTGCATCCCGTAGCATAACTATACGATCATTCAACAACTAAATTCATACTTGTTTAAAACATATAATAAATTTCAAATGGAATATTCGCTTATTCGGTATTGACTGTAAACCCGTGCACCCATACTAAAATGAGGCTGCCTGCTTTTTTTTTTTTGTACGCTCCTAACCTTGAGTATGAAAATGAGACGATTGTGTGAGCGAAATTCAAATTATATCTTCTTACTGTAAGAAGCCAAGAGACTTTTAAGTATTGCTTATTGTTTCAAATTCTTGCTTTGACATAGACTCGCGAAGATTTTGTCTTGCTTTAATTGCTGCTAGACTCATATAACTACTGACAGCTCGCTAAACACATTACAAGGACTATTTTTCTTTGGGGGCTTTTTTTTTTCTTTGGTGCTCCCTGAATTGACTGCAAAGTTGTCCTACAGAGGGCTTTAACTATCAATAATTTTTTTTTTTTTAAAAAAAAATGACTTACGACAAAAGTCTTTTAATCCCTAGTCCGGTTCTATCACCTAGTAATGCGGAGTTTGAAGACCCTATGGCGTATCTTTCAAGGCCCGATATTGCCAAATTGGGCTCTCAGTACGGTATATTAAAGGTAATTCCACCACCAGGTTGGCAACCTCCATTTCTGCTTTCACCAACTTTTAAGTTCCATACAAGACTTCAAAGGCTAAGTGATCTAGGGCTCACTACTAGAAGTAGAGCATTCTTCAGGAAAAACATGAATAGGTTCCTTAAGATGAGAAACAAACGGTCGCTTCGATTGTACTTCCGAGCGGGTAAAGATCCTTTGGATTCTCTGGGAAGGAAAAAGACCAAAGTATACTACTATGACTTGTATGTAGCTGTAGATAAGTTTGGTGGTAGTGACAATATGAGTGAGAATGACTGGATGCAACTTAATGCCAAGTTTGGTGTAACACCATCTAACTGTCATGATTTGGAAGAAGAGTATAATACCCATATAAAGGCATATGCGACTTTCCTTGCTTCGAACAATATGAAACTGGACTCCTTGGATGTCGATGGTACCAATGAAGATGAAGATAATTGTATACTATGTGCTCAAAATGATCGACCTTCGGAAACCCTTTTGTGTGATCATTGCGATAATGCCTTTCATATGGATTGCTTGGAGCCTCCTTTGAAGGCTATACCGACAGGGATATGGTATTGTGATAAGTGTCTTATTGGTACTGGTGAATATGGCTTTGAAGAACAAGTTGATCTCAAATATACTTTGCCCGAGTTTTACAAGTTATGTCAAGAATTTGATGAAGATTTCAAGGCCAATTATAATAACGGAGAACCATTATCAGTCGATAGCATAGAGAAGAAGTTCTGGGAATTTGTAGATGAACAAAAGCTGGATTTAGAGGTTAAATATGGAGCTGATATTCATAATTTGGTGCCTGGAGAAATAAGTGGATTCCCCATGACAAATACCCCAGGTGTTAGCCTTGGGACCGGGGCTGAACTGGCTGAGTATTATACCAAACACCCTTTCAACTTGACCAGACTCCCATTTGCTAAGGGTTCACTCATGAAGTATATCAACACTTCAATCTCTGGTATGACTATTCCATGGATATATATTGGATCCCTTCTTTCGACATTTTGTTGGCATGTGGAGGACCACTACACCCTTTCCATAAATTATTGTCATTTTGGGGCTACTAAGAAATGGTATGGAATTCCTTCTTACCAAGCCGATCAATTCGAACTGTTAATGAAGGACTCTGCTCCTGATTTATTCCAACGTCAACCAGATTTACTTCATCAATTGGTTACATTATTATCACCTATGACTCTAGTCAAAAATAACATCAAATGTGTTTATGCTGATCAACAACCAAATGAGTTCATCATCACATATCCAAGAGTATATCATTCTGGGTTTAATTGTGGGTTCAATTTCAATGAAGCGGTTAATTTCACCTTAGAGCCATGGTTAGAATATGGAGAAAAGGCCGTTGAGGATTATCGATTGATTAAGAAGGAAAATGTTTTTAACCATTATCAATTGGTGGAGAACATTTTAAGAAGTTTTCTTGAACAAGATGCAAATCATACGGACTCCAAGTTTAGTCAAGACTTCATTCAACGTTGCTTATTAAGTTTTGATAAGTTTTACTCAACTCAAATTGATACGATAGCTAAACTTGACCATGAAAAATTCACCACAGAATTCAAACCTCCTAAAGTAAGAAAGGGAAGAGTATTGGAAGATGAACAAATGGGATTTTTTGCCGATGATGAGGATGAAGATGAAAAACTATGTGATGGATGTAAAACTCATATTGGATATCATTACTTTTTCTTGCCTAATAAGGAACATCAATATTCTCAAAAGAAGAAGGCTAAAGAAGCTAATGAATATGCCATCAAGAGAAGAAAGATCATTCCTGAAAATATTGGTTTACTTACACCACATGATTCCCCTCAAGATAAGATAAAGGAGGAACAAGAGACAGAAAAAATTGTAGATACAGTTTCATCACGTCGGATGTCACTTTTAACGGGTGGTGGAGATATTACCAAAGAACATTTGAAATTGAGTGAGGAAGAAGAATTTAGACAACTCATTCTGTCGGCAAAGAAAACAAATTCAGAAGAACCTGAATCTCTGAGTAAAAGACGTCGGTCTACACGGATTCAAAAACAAGAGAAATCTGAAATAGCTGCCATTGGTCGTTCCAAACGGTATGTCCCATTCAGCAATGAAAAGAAACAATTGAATTTATGCTTGGAATGTGTGAAAATCTATGATGAAGATCTTCCAATGGGGTCAGTTCTTGTATATGAATCATATCCAGAAAAAATCGTGGAACTTGTCAATTCAGTGAAGGAAAAGCTACTGACCAAGAATTAAATTTCTATTTCAATTGGAGATAGAGGAAAGGAATACAAGAAGATAACTTAGACAGGGATGAAATAAGGGGAAGGAATACCTCTTTTTTGATAGGTACTATTATATATATAGTTTAAATTAATGATAAGATGAATGACAACTATGTAAAATAAAGTTGACAAATAATTGCACCCAATAGTATATAGGTTGTGTATGTATATACAGTCCTGGCCTGTCGTAGTTAAGAACCACCACTCGGAATTTAATAATGACCCGGAACCTGCAGAAAAAATATTGTTCCTGTGTGTGCCGCCTCCGGGTAACATGCGAATTCACCAATAAAATTTCGAAATCGTGCCGGAGGCTCTACCTGGGGAATTGAGCGCTCTAATTGGCGAGTTCTCAAAATTCGTGCGCAAACCGATTCCTTCGGAAGTGCGACTTTCCAACATAATAAGAGGTCAAATCTACAAATGCTATACCCTCTCTCTTACTTAGTAGTTACGAATACTTTAGTGTTGGAGTCATCATGGTTCTTCCTAGATTGTTTAACACCGCCTCGCGCAGTGCTTTCACTGCCGCTAAGCGCAATGTTCTTCTCAACAGAGGCTTGGCCTCTGCTGCTCCTGTTCCAGGTAAAGTCAGGTATGTAAAATGAATACGAATTTCCAAAGGTAGTTTTGAGGATTACTACTGTCAGTAGGATGTCAATAAATCTCGGTGACGGTGACCTTGTTAGCAGAACACTTCTATCTCGAGGATATACTTTAGATTGCCAATTGATTGGAGGTTCTTGTCGAGAAACAACTAGTGGATTTTCTCCCGAGTCCTTCCGAATTTAATTGTTACATTTTTTAATATATCTCCTACTTTGAATTATCTACATTCAAATGGCACCTATAGGGGCACATTACAATCGTGGGCCACAATCCATTACGTTATTCCCAAGGTTGATTATCCTGATTGCTGGCCAATAGTGACGCCCCTACTACCGCACCTTTTTTTTTCATTGTGAATTCCGGGATTTTGTCCGGCACACAGCGCGTCTCGTCCAATGAAATTTTTCATATTCGGTCGAAATTCGTTGCGAACAAATTTCCAAAGTTTCCATATTTGATCTATCGAATTTATACTAACATATTTATAGAGCCGTTATCGGTGCCGTCGTCGATGTTCAATTCGAACAAGGTAACCTTCCAGCTATCTTGAACGCTTTAACCTTGAAGAATGGTGAAAGAGACTTGGTTTTAGAAGTCGCTCAACATTTGGGTGAAAACACCGTCAGAGCTATTGCTATGGATGGTACTGAAGGTTTGGTTAGAGGTGCCCCAGTCACTGACACCGGTGCCCCAATTTCTGTCCCAGTCGGTCGTGGTACCTTGGGTAGAATTATCAACGTTACTGGTGACCCAATTGATGAAAGAGGTCCAATCGAATGTAAGCAAAGAAACCCAATTCACGCTGACCCACCATCGTTCGTTGAACAATCCACTGCTGCTGAAGTTTTGGAAACCGGTATTAAGGTTGTCGACTTGCTCGCTCCTTACGCTAGAGGTGGTAAGATTGGTTTGTTCGGTGGTGCCGGTGTCGGTAAGACCGTTTTCATCCAAGAGTTGATTAACAACATTGCCAAGGCCCATGGTGGTTTCTCCGTTTTCACCGGTGTCGGTGAACGTACCAGAGAAGGTAACGATTTGTACCGTGAAATGAAGGAAACTGGTGTCATCAACTTGGAAGGTGACTCCAAGGTCGCCTTGGTTTTCGGTCAAATGAACGAACCACCTGGAGCTAGAGCTAGAGTTGCCTTGACCGGTTTGACTATTGCCGAATACTTCAGAGATGAAGAAGGTCAAGATGTCTTGTTGTTCGTTGACAACATTTTCAGATTCACCCAAGCTGGTTCTGAAGTGTCTGCTTTGTTAGGTCGTATTCCATCCGCTGTCGGTTATCAACCAACTTTGGCCACCGATATGGGTTTGTTGCAAGAACGTATTACCACCACCAAGAAGGGTTCCGTCACTTCTGTCCAAGCCGTTTACGTGCCAGCCGATGATTTGACTGATCCTGCTCCAGCCACCACTTTCGCTCACTTGGATGCTACCACTGTCTTGTCCAGAGGTATCTCTGAATTGGGTATCTACCCAGCTGTCGATCCATTGGATTCCAAGTCTAGATTGTTGGATGTTGCCGTTGTTGGTCAAGAACATTACGATGTTGCCACCAACGTTCAACAAACCTTGCAAGCTTACAAGTCTTTGCAAGATATCATTGCCATTTTGGGTATGGATGAATTGTCTGAACAAGATAAGTTGACCGTCGAAAGAGCCCGTAAGATCCAAAGATTCTTGTCTCAACCATTCGCTGTCGCTGAAGTTTTCACTGGTATTTCCGGTAGATTGGTCAGATTGCAAGACACTGTTAAGTCTTTCAAGGAAGTCTTGGAAGGTAAGTACGATCACTTGCCAGAAAACGCCTTCTACATGGTTGGTGGTATCGAAGACGTCATTGCCAAGGCTGAAAAGTTGGCTGCTGAAGCTAAATAAATGCCTTTGCATGGAAACGATATGAGCTAATATGTATAGATTAGTCTGTTATTAAATTTTACGTTAGAATCGAAGAATAGTTGTAAGTATTGTATTAACTTTTATGAAATGTTGTTCGCAGGTGTCCTAGAAAGAGCCTTTGCAAAAGTGTGTGGTTCGGTGGTCACATTTCCTACTCCAAGTACCCTTCCAATCACCCTTTTGTTACATAGAAAGCTTGAATTTATATATACTTCGTACTTCTTTAAAAAATACCTTCTTACTACCCTCTAATAGTCCATTTTGATGTCTTACATACTCTCAATGTAGATTCTCTCTCTCTCTCTCTATGTATTCAGCTGTTTTCTATATAGAGAACTCAAACGCGCGCACTTCCAAGCGGGGGGGCGCGCATACTCTAAATGAACAAAATGGCAAGAAAAGAATTGAACACATACCCTCTTTTCTTTTACAAATTACAACCATGTTTTCATTAGGAAGTGTATGTACTACTCAATCGATTTAACAATGGCCCTCTAGGAAACAATCTTACTAACAAGCAGACTTTGTCGTTTCTCGACAACCCAAACATCCCATGGAAGTCAATTATCATTGCCCTCTCTGTGGGACAATTTGCGTTTGAAAAATATCTTGACTATCGTCAATACCAAGTCTTAAAACGTACATCTCCTCCAAAGACCTTGAAGAAGGAAGTCAGCCAGGAAACTTTTGACAAGTCTCAAGATTACTCGCGTGCCAAGGCCAAGTTTGGTTTCTTCTCCGATACCATCTCTTTGGTTCAAAACTTTGTCTTTATCAAGTATGATTTATTGCCAAAGTTTTGGAACTTTAGTGGCTCCTTGATGTCTAAGGCCTTGCCATATTTGCCAAAGTTTATGGGTGGAGTCATCACTCAATCCTTGTTTTTCATCTTTGTTTTCCAAGTTGTTTCTACTGTCTTATCCATGCCATTGCTGTACTACTCCACTTTTGTTTTAGAAGAAAAATATGGCTTCAACAAGCTGACTGTTGGTCTTTGGCTTAGTGACACTGTAAAGGGATTTGGTCTTCTTGTTGTTCTTGGTTTCCCTGCAATTGCTGGTTTCTTGAAGATCATTGATCATTTCGGTGATTCCTTCATTTTATACACTTGTGGATTTGTCTTGGTAGTTCAATTGGCAGCAATGACCATTTTCCCAACTTTAATTCAACCTCTTTTCAACAAGTTTACTCCTTTGAAAGAAGGTGAATTGAAGACTGCTATTGAAAAATTGGCCGTTGAACAAGAATTCCCATTGACTAAATTATTTGTCATTGATGGATCTAAGAGATCATCGCATTCCAATGCATACTTCACTGGATTGCCTTGGAGTAAGCAAATTGTTCTCTTTGACACTTTGATCGATCATTCCTCCGTTGCTGAAACCGTTGCTGTCTTGGCTCATGAAATTGGTCACTGGAAATTGCTGCACTTGCCTCGTGTTTTACTCTTTGCTCAAGCTCATATGTTTGCTGTTTTCACCATGTTCTCAGCCTTCTTGACCAACAAATCTTTGTACAACTCCTTTGGCTTTTACTCTGTTCAACCAGCCATGATTGGGTTCTTGTTGTTCAATGATCTCTTCCAACCATTCGAATGTGTTTCTCAATTCGCCATGAACTTATTATCTAGAAAGCATGAATTTGAAGCTGATGCCTACGCCAAGAAGTGTGGATATTCAGAAGATTTGGCTCGTTCTTTAATCAAGCTTTTAAGTAAAAACTTGTCTACCATGGATGCCGATTGGTTATACTCATCTTACCACCATTCTCACCCTATTTTAGCTGAAAGATTAGGTGCAATTGGTTACATTTCTAAGGAGAAGATCTCCAAGGAGGAAAAATTGGAAAAGGAAGATTAGGTTAAACGGTTATTTATATTACATAAATATTCTATAAAATACAACTACAAAATTATTAGTTCCATATTTTTGATATTTGATAGAGTGTTGGTAGATCACTCTAGTAGAACCAACGAAGTAGTTTATGTTGAGGATCGCCCCACCCAGTGGGTCCTCCTTTTAGCGGTATTGAGGAAATTTGAAAAAGTTGGTCTCCATTTCAGATAGCCCTTCCTAGCTCTTGGTATGAGTTGACCATTCCTATAGTATATATATTTAGGTAAATGATCATCCCCTCTCTCCCACATCATATATATGGATTTTTTGTACAACATCCACTAATAAGCCTTAAACTTTGAATGTAATTCAGCATATGCCCCTCTCATTTGAACGAATCCTAAGTGAATCTTCCCAATGAAATGGTCTGCCAACCGTCTATCACTGTCTAAGCGGGACAAGTATGCCCCACATTGCTCACAGACTTGGAGCTTCTGTTGTGAAGACTGACCCACATTTTCTGCAATGTTTCTTGCAGTTTCAGCAAGTGTCTCTCTTTCCTTATAGAGATCATTGAGTTTGGCACTTTCAGAAAGTCCCTTGAGGTTTTGGTTGGCCTCCACCAAACAATCAATTTCTTGCGTCATGAGCCCAATCTTGGCATCCAAGTTGTCCAATTCCTTCGTTACAGTGGCAATCTTGGCCTTCTCCTCGGGCGTGTGCTCTAATCGACGTACTGCAGTTTCTATGGTTCGATCAATCTCCTTGATATATTTTTGAAGATTCTGGTAGTAGTCATATTCAAGATCAGGGAACTTTTCACCCTTTTTCTTCGTTCGAAACTCGTACTCAAGTTTATGTTTCTCCAAGTGAAGCTGTGGACACTTACCTATGTCTTGTTTGGTTCCTGCAAACAAATCATGTGGACATGTTCCCACTAGAAAACTCTTGCAGACTCTATGGTCTGTCATTGCAGGTTCTCTTCGCTTTAATACGGGGGAAATCAACGCATCTTTCCCCATTAGTTGCTCTAATAGCCTTCTTTGATCCTCGGCCATTTCTTCCCTAAATTTATATATATATAAGTCGAGTCCTTTGCAATAGATCGCTACTCTAACTCTCTTCAATTCACTCATCTGTAAACTAAGTAAATGTTCTGGACTGCAGGTAATCCAAACTATTCAAAAATAGGAAGGTGACTTTTTAGCGGCTACAAAATTGACCGAAAAGAATATGATATCAGCATTAAAATGAAAAGAATATTCATAATTGACCAAGCATTCATAATAATATATATATATATATAAAGTAGTCACCGGTCTTTTGATGTCTGGAGGGATTGAAAATGGTCTTTGGTATATAATTATATGCATCCTGTTGGCTTTACAACACCCTTTATCTGAGGCGGTCGGCCGCTCACCCCAGATGCAGTCCCCGACATTTACGTCTCATTGTTATCTCCAAACAAGCCACACATTTTACTTTTGACAGAAAAGTTCCATAACATTTATCAATTGAAGGTTCTCATCAAATAGTCTTAGATCAGTGATTACTGTATATCCAATCTCGCCTCATACCGCAGCCATTTTATCTTTTGTGCACCACCAATGAAAAAGTACCAACTTATTGGTCGAAGGAAGGCCCTACTGAGTCAACTGTCCAAGGAGATTAGGTACCCTGCAGCACATTTGCACCTGTTGCCATTTGAAATCCTTCTTGAAGTATTGCAGCATCTAACAGATGATATCAATAACTTACTTCTGATGGCCCTAGTGTGTCACAAATTCAATTCAATAATAAACAAAGCGTTCTTGTACAATACAGTTACACTCAATGGATCACGTAAATTCTCCAAGTTTGCTATTTCCCATATCCCAACGGTAAGATCATTGGCCAAGAAGTTCTCACTGCAAGTTGAAGCTAGTTCTAAAGTGAACTTGATCCAGACTTTGATATTGATAAATCCCCCCACCAAGGAAACACAACAATCAAAAACTAAAATTGCTGGCACATATGACATTGAAAGTATGTCACGTCGGGGTCAAGATACTGAATATGACTCATATGTAACTTCCTTGACAAACTTCTGTAAAGAATCATATTCTCTCAAGAATTTAATATTGAGTGAGTTACCCCCACAATTTGCCTTCCCCATAGACCTGGATGAAGGATCATCCAACAGTAGCGGTTCTAATGGTGGACTTTTTTCAAGTTGGAAACGTGAAAAGCCTAAAAGAACCCTTTCCACTCTAGTCTTAAAGGCACAAAGTGGGTGGTCAATGCCGTTCAAATATAGTCATATATCCACTATTATAAGTGTTTATGACCAAATCAATGAACTCATACTTCAGAACTTTATTGTTGATGAGGGTAGACTTCTGTCCTACCAAACCACGCAAAACATCGAAATTGAGACTTTAACCCTAAAATCTTGTGCATACACAAACAGGCCAACAAAGCGTGTTCCTTCATTCATTTTCAAGAATGTCAACCATTTAAAACTCTTAAACGTCTCCTCTGTAAAAGATTTGTCAGTAATCGATTTTGTCAAGTCTAATAACAATTTGAACAAACTTACCATTGATTTTAACTCCTCAGTATTTTATGAATCAACCCCTAATTTTGAAAGGGCCTTTAATTTTACTCGCTTCAATTCCTTTTTCAAACTACTTTGTTCAGGTAGTGGGTCATATTCCAATTTAAATGAAATTGAACTAGTAAATTTCTCCTTATGGGATGAACATGGTCATCGTCACAATATAGATGAGGTGTCGAAAGATAGTGACCAAGATGATTGGGTTGCTCCTCTGACTGATACCTTTGAAACTTTATTATCGTATTTGTCCAATATTCCAAGCTTAAGGATCATGCTAAAGGATAGAACTATGGAGACATCATGTATTAAATGTGGAGCCATCCAATCTCCGGGTATTTTAGAAACCTTGGGCTATTGCTCATGGGAAAGGTTACTTCTGCCAGTGATCAAGGCGAATGAAAAGTGCAAAATTAGACTATTATCCTTCTCAGGAAATGTTCTATTTGTAAGAGATACTACAGCTCCAATAAAGTAAGGTAATATTTTTATTCTATCAGCAGCTTCTATCACCAAATATGTGTGAAGATCAAAAGGAGAATTTTGAGACTCATTGCAATTCTACTACTAGCTAGAGGTTAGTATATCTGGAATTAACTGTGATGAGATAACCGGTGCACAAAGTCTGAAACCTTGTTTATTATAATCGAAAATGGGTTTGAAGATTCTCCAGTATCATCTTCATCCGTATATTCTTCCGTGTCTTCTTCAGTCTCATTATAGTCGTCATCTATAACTTCATCGCCAAATTTTTCATTGTCAATTTCATCATACGTACAGTTTTGAAACCCCCCTGCTCTATTTTTACCTTTCACTTCCAGCCCACTCATATGATCGTTTACCCTCAATATATTATGATCTATTTGATAAACTTCACCATTGGATTTGGAATACCCAAATTTCGTGTGCAATTGGCTGTCTGAAATCTCAACAAACTTCCCTATATGTACATCTACACCTCTTTCAATAAGATTATCAGCAATGCTTGGAGGAACTCCTTTTGATATATCTAAATTGTCATACGTCTGCTGACATTGAGGTTGTGGGTATTTCTGAGTTTTTGCCTTTGCTTGAAGCTCTTTGGAGTTCATACGCATATTTATTGCAATTCGTTGATAATCTATGTCTGGTATAGATTGATATTGAGACTTCAATGCAAAATAATCTGGTAGCAATTGCACGTTACCGTTGTCCTCTATTTGAATGAGACCATAATTGTTTGGTTCCTGGGTGAATTCATAAATCAAACCTCCGCTGAATACATCAACCATGTCGTTGGAGTAAAGAGTCTGAACTTCACCAAAAGATCGAGGGGTAACTTCATTGCAACCATATCTGTTTTTAACGTTAGTAATTCATTTGAAAAAGTACAAAATATAAGTATAAAATATAATGCAAACATACTCTGAAAAGAAAACAGGTCTACTGTAGGTACTATAATCATCAACGAGAACATTGTAGCCACTGGTATAGAAAGTTTGCTCTCCGCACCATTGGTAAGAGTTGACTCCATAAAAGTCAACCGACTCATTGGGGTTTTTATCGATACATTCAAGGTAATCGGATAGAGAAATTCTATATTGTAAATCATCTGCCGCAGAATACCCGACTGGGATAGTACGAGGAGAATTATATTCAATATACGTTTTCATATCCCTAATGAGAGCCTTAATGTAAACTGTTGAATGCTATTGTTTTTCTGTTAGTATTTCATTCCCGGCAAAGTTTGTTAATTGTGGTTAAACTTACTTTCGCTGATACCCTATCATTAATAATTTCATTTCCTGCAAAATATCCAAGAGTATTGTTATAGTAAGAAAACTGTTCAACCACTTTAAAAACATGTTCTAGGTACGATTCAGTGTAGGTTGAGGAGGGATCGTACCGATTTAAATGTTGGTTAGGTTGAGGGGAGTTTACATCAAGTACCAAGTATATATCTGCTGCAGCAAGAATTGACATACAAATGTCATGATTCAAGTCTGGATTAATTGAGTATACCCTAATAGTCTATTTTGTTAGTATTTATATTCTCGTTTTCTCTTGTATCATCCAAGAAAATATTTACATACGTTTATTCCTAAATCTTGGAATAATAATGCATCTCTTGCACAAGTTAATGGGTCTGAAAGGGGATCGCTCAATTCTGAAACTCCCGAAGAGCCTCCTGGTTGATAGTCAACACCTTTAATATAGAACTATTATGGTTAATAATGGAAAAAAGAGACAAATCAATCGAAGATAATGAGAACGTACTGGTTTGTTTGTTACACTATCAACAAAATAATTACCACGGATAACTATGGGGTGGATGTATGCACTACATGATGTACTCAATAATAGAGTAAGAACCGTAATACTGAGAGCTTTCCTAAACATTGTAAGCTTTATTGGTAATTAGGGAGAAGATAAAGAAGATGGAAAGGAAATCAATACATATTTGGCTGCAAATTTCACAAATACTTTTTTTTTTTTCCACAAAGAGAACTCTTAAAAAAAAAATTAAAATTAGAATGTAAAAATTGATTTATAAGCTAGAGCTATTTTTATCTTTGTTGATGTACAGCAGATAACTGAGTTCATAAGCATTTAACGAATAAAATCATCTAGGATTTTAATATGATCAATTATCTTTGCTATGTATTAGTGGATGTAATATACGTGAGATAAGGTAATTTAAGATTTCTTGCAGAATGATCTCCAAAAAGGTGAAATTACGGGTGTGCAGATGTACAATACATACAATAGATTGACGAATTTATTCTAACTATTATCAATTTGGAATAGTTCACTGGGTTAACAGTATCTGAAATGAAACCAAGACTCATACTTTTTGAGTAACGATGTACCCCTATTAATAATATTCAACGTGGGGACTCTCTTATTTATCCATATTCTGATTGCATGATAATTTTATAATTTAAAGTACACAATGTTGTAATCTGCAGCCACAGTGGCTCAGAGAGAACTATATATAGTGAGCTTATAAATTGAATTGATTGATTAAAGTGATTCATTAATAAACTATATAATAAAGATGCTGGAACAAAAAGACATTGATATCAAGTATAATCTCAGACCATTTGAAGATCCTCCTGTTACAAAAATCGATGTTCAAGCATTGAGGTTGCAATCGTTAGATTTATCACTTTTCAAAGATGGAGACGAATTCCTTGAACAAAGAAAGGAACTTGCAAACTTATTAGAAAAGGGGATATCAACTTCAGGATTTTTCAATTTGGTTAATTTTGGTATTGAGCCAAAGCAAATTGAACGTCTTCGTTCAATTGCTCAAAGTATTTTAGAACTTCCAGAATCTGTGCAACATAAGTATTTAGCAGGCGCAATCAAGAAGGAAGACGAAGATCCTAATGTATCTATTGGTGCTGAAAGAGCCCAAGGGTTCAAGCCAAAGGGATATTGGCCTATCAAGGACGGTGTTCGTGACAGTATTGTCTTTTATAATTTCAGAGACATTACTAAAGAAAACACTGAGGAGGAAATAAAACGTCATCCTGAAATCATTCAAGAATACTTTGAAGAAATTGGAAATTATTATAAAACTCTTAGAAATGTAGTTCAACCAAAGCTCCTTAGACTATGTGATCTCATATTACAAATTCCTGAAGGTTCATTACAAAAATATTTTGATTCTTCAGAAAATAATGAAGATAGAGCAGGTAGTAGAGGAAGATTTATGATGTACCAACCATACGAAAACGAGAATCTTGCTAAGCAGGCAGATAGTACATTTTTAAGAGGACATTCAGACCTTGGTGGGTTTACATATATTACTTCGCAGCCAGTGTTATCGCTTCAAATTAAGGATTATTTTACCGGTGACTGGAAATATGTTGATCATGTACCAGGATCCTTAATTGTAAACGTCGGGGATGCCTTGGAATTTATCTCAGGGGGGTTATTCAAGGCCTGTATTCACCGGGTAGTTCAACCTCCATTGGATCAAAGAAACTCCAATAGATTGGTGCTCATTTATTTTTGCAGTCCAAATGAAAACAGTCCATTATATCCACATGATTTGAATTCCCCAAGACTTAAAGAGCTTGGATTAACCAAGGAAGATAAATTAAAAGATTGGGAAGATATTCAGTTCAAACATTGGAATGATATCAAGGGTAAAGTCTTAGGAAGAAGAGATGCAGGTACAAAGAATTTGTTGAAATTCCATGGAAGATCAATTGAAAGATGGCATCACATAGCAAATGATTCTGCAAAATCTACAACCTCAGTTTAAATATGTATGTCCTTTTATAGTATATTGATTTATATTCTCATTTACGAGTCGGTGGCGTTTTGCAACAATTGCTATTATTTTTTACCGCCGATGTAGCACGATCCCTTGACAACATCTTACATATTAGAGATTGAGTGCAAATGGAATAGTGCTTCTTAGTTGGTATAAATCTAGAAATGCATTGAACTCGGCATTATTCAAAAATAGCCCTGTCCCCAATATAGGCGCCTTCATCGAGAAAAGGTTCTAGAACTGATAAGAGAAAACAAAAATCTAAATTTAAGAAGTACACAGACAAGTGTAATTCGAAAATATTAATATACAAGAAGCATATCCATATACATCACTTGTGGGCAATATAGAAGCATAAGAAGAAGAAGTAGTAGTACAGTAAATAATCATACAAAAAAAGAGAAGGAGATAGAAATGTTGGCCAATGATCAATCTACGTTGGCAGATCAAAGTTCATTTGAAAGATTTGAATTCAACTTTCCAAGTATGATGGAGTTAGAAATACATGAAGAAGATATGGTGGGAGAATGTCTGGTTAATACCAAGTTTAGAATTCCACCGTTTAAAACGTGTATGAGATATACCATAAAAGGAAGAATAGTGCCGTTTCCTGACCTATTGATGAACTTTCTCTCGGATTTAAGATATGAGTTTGAAACGAATGAAGTTACGCTTGCACGAGACATGATATATAAGACTAGGATGAGTCTAACTGGTGAAGCATCAGAATGGTTTATGGAGAACATGGCAAGGCTTAGAAACATGGGCTGGATGGGAGTTCCTTGGTATCTTTGTTGAGAACGAATTGGGTATTGGTTTTATAGAAAAAGTTTTACACGAGTTAGAAAATCTTAAACAAATTAAAGAAGTGAAATTATACAATCTGCAATTCAGAAGATTGAGAAGATAACTTAAATGTCTTCAACCTACACCAAATCAAGCGTTTGTGCGATGGTACGCAGCTGGGCTCTACTGACTTTCCAGAGGAGGCAAATTGCGGGACTTTGGCTCATGTTGATCTCAAACAATTAATGGCCAACTTAGAACGGCAAGAAGCATGTGTTTTTGGACTCGACCAGAGAGGTAATTCGAAGACTGGATATCAAATGGCCATGGGTGATAATGTGATTTAGAGTCGGATGTTTTTAATGACGAATTAGAAAGCGTTTCGAGTATGGCCAGTCATGAGAAAAGAGATTTGGATATTAAGGAAGATGAAATTAATATTTATTCCCATAATACGCCACTAGCAGGGCAAGAAGAGGCTTTGAGTATTACTGAGACGAAAAGTAATGAACCAATTTCCGAGACAATTGTGTCAATAACGGAAGATACCACTCAAATAATTAAAAATATCACACTTGATATTAAAATTCATGCAACTCTGGAAGTTAATGACATTGTGCTTGATGTAACAAATAATGAGGTAGTTCAAATAAAGAAGAGCTATAGTGAAGATGTAACAAATGAAATTATGAAACATGAAGATAAAACAGCAGAAAGTAATTCCCAAGTTGCAGATAATGAGGATGATCATCAAATGAATAATGAGAATTATTATGACGAAGAAAAGAGGAACTCTAGAGATTGTACTCAGTTACAAGACCTATATGATATTAGAGAATGTTTACACTGTGGAAAATTTGGAAGTCATAATTGCGATATGTCATTAAGGAAGAAAGAAAATGAAGAGAGTCATGAACTGATGGTTTTGCGTATCGCACCGAACGCTAATTTCACACTCAATGAAAGAGCGTTTCCAAGACAATGTACCAAATGTGGAAGGCGTAATCATTATACTTCTGACTGCCGTGGACCTAAAAAACGAAAATATGACGATGCAGCAGCCGTAGAGAGACGTCTTTCGAGAAATTGAAAGTATACAACTTGCATAAAGGCGAACAATTAAGGATAATCATTTTATTAACTCATTTAAAAAGAGGTACAACCTTTACAGTACTTATGGCGAGTTATCCCAATGTATAATATTACTTTTGTACCAAGTTACTCTCGAGTCCGACCCTGGTTTGAACTTGATAAGACTATCGTAATCACATATTACGTGTGAAGACATCAGCATGTCCCCACCAGAGGTGGATATAAACAAAATACATCGAATATATAGATAAGTGTGCGGAGCTTATTATACTTCAATAAGACGTACACAGGCTATATGAATACAGTTACAGTTTTAGCCACAAACCTTCTATATTATAATGCTTTGTCCATTATTGTATGAGACATGACTTAACTAATAAAGTTCAATAGAGGAAACTTATAATTTTAAATTTACAATTGCAAAATAATATAACATATATTTCTTCTAAGTTAATAGAATCATGTAGTCATTCTGCATATATTAAACTGTGATATAGGATGAAAGTGACCACCCGACGTCTAGAAAATTAAATGATTTTGCGGCGATACGTTTATGTATTTAGAATATTTTCAAATGGGCCAGTAATCTAACAAATGAAAACGAACTTTTTTAATGATATGTGATCTTGTAAATATTATGTTTACTATTTAAGAGCCTCAGTAGATTCTTTTTTTAATACCCATCTCTAATTTCAAATTCTCCGTGTTTGAAAGTGGCATTCTTTCTTGTTTCATAGTTTTGAGTGTCATGATAGTTCTTTACCCTACTTCTGACATACTCAGTACCACTGATTGGATCTACTTTTCGGTACAACCCTAATCTCTTCAAAAGTGGTGAGTCAACTACTTCAATTTTACTCAGCGGTCTGACAAAGTAGAAAGTTCCAATTCTTGGTGCACCTACTTGATCTGCTGGAGGTCTGACCACTCTATGAATAGTGGTTTTAAAGTACCCTCCACTCCAAAATGAAAGAGTGTCACCTATGTTGCAAATTATTCCGCCGTGGACTGGTTTTACATATTTCCACAGTCCGTCAGCAAGTTGAATCTGGAGTCCTGCCACTACTTGATTGTATAACAAAGTCAAACTACCAAAATCTGTATGTCCTCTCGCCCACACATTATCAACTTTTCTGTCATCTTCCTCACTACGTGGGTGGTACTTCATAAATCTAACATGATCGTCACTTGGAACGTCATACAAATGTCTCTCGACAAAGTAGTTTTCGTTAAGCTCCAAGATTAACGCAAATATTACAAGAAGTTTTCTAGCTACTTCCCATGATCTTCGAGAAATTATTTCAAGTTGTTCACGGTGGTCGTGGATGTATTTTTGCTTGTAGTACTTTTCAAAATCCCCACCTTTCGTAAATTTTGCAATGTTCAATGTTTCAACATTATCTCTTACATCAGTTCCAAAAACAGTCTTAATATCCTTAGGTTTGTACCCAAAATAGTTTCCAGCTGGGAAATCAACCTCTTGACTACGTTTATCCTCAAGTGGATATTCATCAAAGAATCGCAGTCCCAAGGCAAATTGTTCGTTAATCTCATCTTGTGAAATTCCGGTCCCCACTACAGCCCAAAAACCGTCCTTTTGAACTGCATCACGAAGATCTTCAACCAATTCTTCCCTTGCAGTATCGAATTTGCTCAAATCAATAACATTTAAGTCTGCCCAATCGAGGTCATGCTTAGTTTCTTCAGGTGCAATCCATTTTTTGCTCTCAACAGTCATTGTTTTAATATAAGAGACTCCCTCACTGCATGAACTATATTCGAGGTATCATACATCGTGAAAAGATATACCCCTTAAATACAGTAGAAGAATTCAATTGTGGCGATTTGAAATTGTGTGGCTGCAAATCGTAACACGATCTGCAGTACCCAGTAACATTCAAAATCGAAAAAGAATACAATGTTGTATAAGGATATGAGGGATGTCACTTTCAAATGCCCTCGATATATATTTCGATGTATATTCGATAACTTGTTGATATATTAAGTTCAATATAAGAAGGTAAATAATTATAGGTAATTCATGAAACAATAGTATTATTCTGTTAATATGTGCATAGAAAAATGAAAATTAATACTTCATTTCCTTTTTCCACAAATTTGAGTGAAACTATTTTATTGATGTATTTAGTGTCCAATTCAAGATCGCCAGGAACAAACAGCCAATACAGCCCACTTAAGAATACATATTAGATATGATTCACTGCATTACAAGCATTTTGGAAATAGTTTGGACATGACCCATTCTATCTTTAACTATGGGGAATTTCTACCATTTGGTTGGAACATAAAATAATTTTCTTTAAAGGTAAACAATACCTTAATAAGGTACTGACATTATATATATACTTCTTTTAGCAGGTTATAGCCTACATTTGGGGCCAATTTAAGACATAGAACTTTAACATCCGCACACCCAGCTATTTTAGAAAAATTCTGACTAGAAAATCTGCAGAAATTTTAAGGTATACAAGATGCCTGCGTAGCGTAATGGTTAACGCGTTTGACTTCTAATCAAAAGATTGCGAGTTCGACTCTCGCCGTGGGTTCTTTAATGCGGTTTTAGCTCAGTTGGGAGAGCGTCAGACTGAAGTAAAAACTTCGGTCCAGTTAATCTGAAGGTCCTGTGTTCGATCCACAGAAATCGCATTTTTTTTTTGCCGTAACAGCCTATGTTTTATCCAGACGGGGTATGTTACGGTATTCTTTTTATATTTCTACTGTAAATATTCCATTTGTATGTAATTTCAAAAACCTTACAGATAAAATTTTCATAATAAATCAATTATTGTATTAGTATCGACTAGAGTTAAATTATATCTCAACAGATCTAGAGACAGAGACTAACCCCTTCTCCCTGTTTGCCCAAGAAACGTAATTAGGACTGTAATGCATCAATTCTTTGTATACTGGAATAGTGTCATGAACTTGTCCATTCTTATCAGTTGAACTACCCAAATCACCCCAAAAACATTGGATTTCTACCCCAAGTTTGTTAATCTTTGCGCTTGCCTCGACATCCATTTCAATGAAATTTGGTACCCATTGGAATCCAATATGGTATGGCTTGTTCCAATCCAATTTGTTTAATTGCAAAGTTTCAATGCCATCCAAATCTTTGAATATGTAGTTTCCATTTGTATCCTTAGAAAATCCTTTAGGAATTCCGCTCAGATCAACACCTCTTTCCACTTGAGTAACGTTACTTTTCTTATCCTCATAAACAATTACTGTTTTAACTGGTGAGCTCTTCAGGATTGATGATTCAACTTTTGAATCAGTGAGATGGAAGTTTAAGGTGCATAACCTATTTTTTGGAACATTAATTTTAATTTCCCCGGTAAGAAGACCAAAGGGAATATTATCATTCAGGGAATTTTTCAAAACTTCCACATTGATATAGTCCTTCAAGTGCTTTACATCAGGAACAAGTGTTGGAACCTGTGTGGTATTATACGAACATACTTCCATACCATCTCCGATAGAGCTACAGACAAGCAGCTCACCAGATTCTTTCAAGGAAGGAATATCTTTCAAGACGTTTTCCATTGGAGATCCAATTCTTCCATATACATTAACCAAGTCCAGTTCCTTATCTAAATCAATTGATTGAATAAATCTTAATTTCAATGGGTTCAGTTCATCAAATGCATCAGTTGTTCCAATACGGAAAACTCCTTGCACTGCAAAGACAGCCAATATTAACACAAAGAATTTGTTAAATTTAAAGACAAATGGAAGGAATGGGACTACCCAAGCAACTGCAAACAATTGAATGAATTTATTAATCAATTCTTCTGAATGTAAAGATTCTTGAATAGATTTGTTTAAACCATCTAAAATTAAAGTACCAGCATTGTAGATTAAAAATGATGATAACGGTACAATAAGAAGAAATTGAAGAGACCAGCCATAATTGAGAGACTTCTTTTCTTTCAAATCTTCTTCACTTGCATTTACCAAGGACGAAGAGAGGGAGAACGAAGAAGATGTAGAGCCCGGACGGTCAGCTCCATCTTGCTCAGTACCGTAGTTTTCTGAAGATGAACCAATCAATGGTTGTTGTTCTTCTTCACGCACAAACTTGATATCGTAGTTTCTCTTAGATTTTTTGAAACTCCAAGACAAAAGGCCGATAAAGCCAGCAACTGATTGAATAATCAAAAGAACAGTTAATGGATATTCACCAGTATGATCTTTTCCAATTCTATTGAATGATAAACCCACACTGGAAATTATAAGTAAGATCCAATAAACAAATGAAGATTGGAGAATAGTAATCAATTTTTCATCATGATTGACCACTTTATAATTATAGAAGATCAAGTTAATCAAGTTCAAAATAAGATAATTAAGGAGTAACAAGATGGAAAATAATGTACTGACAAGAAGGAAGTAATTGGAATTAGCCAAAAATGGGTTGATTCCAAAAAGGAACTTGCTAATTAAGTCAGCTGCAGAAAGAGAAAGTTGGAAGGCAACTGGAACCTTGATAAAATTGATAAAAGTAACAGACCAACTTTTTTTGTAATAGATGATTGCTAAAAGCGGGATACTTACAAATGGAACAATCACCAAGATGACAATATTAAAAATCACTAATTTGGATACCGGGAGAGCAAAGAAGTAGTTAAGAAAACTTCCGAATGAAGCAAACTCGTACGAAGTATCGCCTTCAGTAATACTTCCCAACAGCTTCTTCACATCCTCATCTACTGGTACATCGTCATCCAAATCAAGTGGTTCAGACATGATTTTCACATAGTCTAACGAGTTCGATAACATGTGCCATAACGCATTGATGTCAATGTTTTTAATACTATCACCAGCAGTATGATAGAAATCTCTTGGCTTATAAAAGGCCAAGTCAATTCCTCTCAACCCACCATCTTCTTTATAAATCTTGTAATCAGTTTCAGAGTGGATTAATCTATTGTTGAAGCCTTGCTGGAAGAGGGACGTACCAAATGGATAACGGACCAGCTTGAAGTATTTAGTAACCCCATAATCAGTCCCACGGAATAAAACACATTTACCTCCTGCTCCGGTACCTTCCAAGTTCAAGAAATAAGCGACATTCTTTGACCAAGGATGTGAAAGGAAACTGGTGGCTCCATAAAGTCCAAATTCTTCATTATTATTGAAATTGAAAACAATAGTACGAGTAGGTTGCTTTGAACTACTATAATGGTCAAGGAGACCAAGCATTGATGCAATTCCCATACCATCATCTGTGACACCAAAGGAAGAAGGCACTGAGTCAAAATGAGCACTTACAAGTAAAGCGGGAAGTTTAGGGTTTGTACCATTGATACGAACAACTATGTTGTTACTCTCGTAGTAGTGAACAGTACCAGATGCACCATACATAATGTTATTGGTGTAATTCAAGTCATTATCGAATTCAAAGTATGAAGGTGCGAGGGATACGAGTTTACTAATCTTAGATTCCAAGAAATCATGAACAAAATCATTACCACGAGACGCATATGGGTGTTCAAAGCGTCCAATTTCCTGTAAGTCAGACCAAGCTGACTCAAGTACCGCAGTCTCATGTTTGGATGTAGGAAGGCTTACAGTAAAGTCTAAGCTTGAGTCCAAGAGGAATAACACATATGTAGCCACTAAAGTCACAGCGGTGAGGAGAGTAAGGGTAGTTTTCCGGTAACCGAAAATAGAGCTGAAAAATCGAACAATTGACCACGAAGAGGATTGTGAATTTGATGGGGAAGAACCTGATTGCCCATGGGTACGAGCGGTGTTGGTTGCAGAATCACTAGATACGGCACCATTTTCACGGCCTTCACCACCAAATGTGCTATATTGCTGCTTTCTAGGCGATCCTACGGATGCACCTTCATTAACAGACATGATTAGACGTTTGAATGTAGAAGTGTGGGAAGGTAGGACTATGGTAGAGATAAGAATAGTGTATCACATCCTTTGTAGATTGCTGAGAGGCGTGGCTGGCTCAAAAAGTTGTGGGTGGTGAGAACGTGCCAAACGAGCACATCCGACCAAGACTATGCGAGATCCGGCCGGATTTCCTCTATGGGTTTGGGAAAAAAAGATACCCTAACGTATCTATAGCCCACTCCACCATCTTCCCTTTCATATTTAACACGCAAAAAGATGCCTGAATTTGCTAAGTTAAAGAACGACCTCATTCTCAGAGCCGCTCTCGGTGAGAAGGTTGAAAGACCACCTATTTGGATCATGGTATGTATTGATCAGTTACCCGCTTTTTTTTTTTTTTCAAACATTTTTTGCTAACCATTTTAGAGACAAGCTGGACGTTATCTTCCTGAATATCATGAAGTCAAGGCTGGTCGTGACTTCTTTGAAACCTGTAGAGATGCTGAAACTGCGTCTGCTATTACAATTCAACCAGTTGATCGATATGATGGATTGATTGACGCCGCAATTATTTTCAGTGACATTTTGGTGATCCCACAAGCCATGGGGTTTAAGATCGATATGATTGATGGAAAGGGTCCTGTCTTTGTTGACCCATTGCGCAGTGTAGAAGACCTTCAACGTGTGAACTTCAAGCCAGACATCAAGAAGGAATTAGCTTGGGCTTTTGAAGCTATCACTCTCACCAGAAAGAAGTTGGATGGACGTGTACCACTTCTTGGGTTCGTTGGTGCCCCTTGGACTCTCTTGGTTTACATGACCGAAGGCCAAGGTTCCAAGATGTTCCGTTTTGCCAAGCAATGGATCTACGAGTACACTGCAGAAGCTCACAAGCTTTTACAAGCAACCACTGACGCTTGTATTGAGTTTTTGGCTCAACAAGTTGTTGCTGGTGCCCAAATGTTGCAAATATTTGAATCTTGGGCCGGAGAATTGGGACCATTAGAATTTGACGAGTTCTGTTTGCCGTACTTGCGTCAAATTGCTGCCAAGTTGCCAGCTAGATTGGCTGAATTGGGAGTCACTGAACGCATCCCACTTACCGTGTTTGCCAAGGGCGCTTGGTACGCCTTGGACAAGTTGTGTGATTCTGGATACGATACCGTCTCTTTGGATTGGCTTTACCCACCACAAGAAGCAGTCAAGACTGTCAATGGTAGACGTATCACCTTGCAAGGTAACTTGGACCCGGGTATCATGTACGGTTCCGATGAAGTGATCAGTAAGAAGGTTGAAGAAATGATTCATGGCTTTGGTGGTGGTAAGCAAAACTACATTGTTAACTTTGGTCATGGAACTCATCCATTTATGAAGCCAGAAAAAATCGAACATTTCTTGAAGGAATGTCACAGATTTGGCTCTAAATAAAATTAATAGTATGTATATAATTCACAAGTAGAGAGAGAAAAGGTCATTTGTAGTACATTAAGAGGGAATATTTGCTAGTTATTATATAGAACTATCGAAGGTCGATGAATGAGAGTAGTATATTTTTATTTGTGGAACCATTGATTCGAATGAATATACATATTCAACTATTACAGAAAAAATCGACATTCATAAAAAAAGATTGCTTTACAAAATTTCGTCTTCGTATCCCACCATAATTCAAACATGATCAAACGTATCTCTAGTGACAAATTTAGTGACAAATATGGTGACAAAGGTAGTGACTAATGTATGGTGGCAAATATGTGTGCTCTTTCTATGACTAACTAAATGGATGCGAAAACCAAAAATAGACAGACAAAGCAAGAAAAAAGAAAAAGTATTTAATCAAGCAAGGGTTACGTTCTTTCATAGTACGGCTACTAATTTAATATACTTAGCTATAACTGAAATGTCGACAACAGCACCTGCGAAGCCGCCTGCAGTGGAGAATCTCTACTTGTACAACCTCCAACCCAAGATTGCAGAGTCATTGGAATTGATGTACTTTGACTCGTCCGTAAGTGTAGTTGTGCAACCATCCAATGAAAATAGTAAGGAGGTCAGTCCAAGCCCAGAGAATATCGTAAAGCCGGGCCATGCATCTACATGTACTTCCTGTGCAGTAGAGATCACATCACCGGAAGAAAGAAGGAATCATTACAAGTCTGATTTTCATCGATTTAATATCAAGAGATCAATTGAGAAATTGGACCCAGTTTCGGAGGAGGAGTTCGAAAATCTTATTGAAGGCCAATCAATAGAAAGTTTGTCAGGGTCAGATGCTCTGTCCGACGAGGAAAACGATGAAGAAGAAGAAAGGGAAGACAAATTAGCAAATGCTTTAGAAGGGTTGGACTTGCAAGGAGATGACGATGAAGAAAATGTTGTCAGTCATTTAAATACCAAATCTGCATTCATGTACTTACGTTCATCGGTGCTTAGTTCTGGTAAAGTTTTTGGGATCTATAAGTGTCTCTTCAGCCCTCAACAACTCTTAAACCTGCCAATGGAATCCCTTTTAACATTGTCCCAGCCCCCTGTGAAATCTAAGAAGTCAGCTCTTTTCATGATTGGTGGTGGTCATTTCGCTGGGGCAATCATCTCTCACATAGCCAAGAATACTAGAGGCAACCCTCCACATGCCAAGGAGACGAGACAGGAGCAAGCGGTGAATGTGATCGTATCGAAGACTTTCCATAGGTACACGACCAGAAGGAAACAAGGTGGATCTCAGAGTGCAAATGATAATGGAAAAGGTAAAGCAGTATCTGCTGGTTCAAGTATTCGTAGATACAATGAGCAGGCGTTAATTAAAGATGTTCGTGAGTTACTCACGACTTGGAAACAGCATTTAAGTGAATGTGAGTTTATATTTATTCGTGCCAATGGTCCTTCCAATCGTAAGATTATGGTTGGATATGAAGGTTGTGAAATAACGAACAATGATCCGAGACTTAGAACATTTCCTTTTACCACAAAGAGAGCCACAGCAACTGAACTTAAGAGAGCATGGGCCGAGCTTTCTTACTTGCATGTTGTGGATACGCCGAAGGAAGACGCCAGAGAAAAGAGACGTCTTCAACAAAGACAAGAGCAATTGAAAAACTCTCAAGTTCAGCATAAGAAGGAGGCAGAGGCAGTGATTTCGCCTCAAGAAAAGCATACTTCGGAAATTATTAGCATTCTCAAGAAGTCTAAGGCTCCACTTTTGATAAATTACTTGAAGAAAAACAAACTTTCACCAGATTTTCCTCTTGAACCAAAGTCACAATATATACACAACCCCACACTTACTCATTATGCCGCAGCTCATGGTTTGACGCATATGGTACAAATTCTCTTGGTGAATTTAAAGGCAGACCCAACTATTGAGAGTGAATCTCATAAGACTCCAGCAGAATTATCCGCGAACCCTGCGACCAGGAAAGCATTCCAGATTGCAAGATATTCTCTTGGTGAAGATTATTGTGACTGGAAGGCTGCAAAGGTTGGCGCAGCCAAGTCCAAGGAAGAATTTTTGAAGGAGGAGCAAGCGGAACAAGATCTTGTCAGCCAGGAAAAGAAGAGACTTATTCAAGAGGAGTTGGCGAAGAAGACTGAACTTGAATTAAAGGCCCCTCGTGTCTTTGGTGGTGGGATACTCGGTGGAAGCATTACGCAATCCGCTGATATGAACAAGCTCAGCGACCAACAAAAGATGAGAATAATGAGAGAGCAACGTGCACGCGCTGCCGAAGCTAGGTTGAAGGGCAATTAGAGTATTTAGATAATACAATTATAGAGAAATCATTAACCTAGTTATTTTCAGGATTGTAGGGAAGTTAGATTCATCAATCATATTATTATATTTATATTCTATTCTATTAAAATACTTTACCCCATGCTTTACTGGATATCCATATTTATTCTTTCTCTAAAATTATTTCTTCTCGATTACTTTTTGTTAACAAATAAGTCAATGGGCAATCAGAGGAGTTTCTTATTATTGCGTCGACTATTGGATCCCCACATTCAGTAAGTTTATCATAACAAGCTGGATCATAATGGTTGTATTCAACTAATGCATTCCTGATACTTGCCTTTTTTTTGATTCCAGTTTTATCATCTTGTTTGTAATTTAATGCGGACATCCACCCACCTCCCTGAGAAGAGTATTGATCAGAAATAGTTTCTTCTTCTTCTTCTTCTTCTTCAGCATCCGCGTTATCTTCATCAACTTCTTCTCCATCTTCTTCGGCCAAATCTTCCCCAATTCCACAACAATCACATTCAAGTAGATCGTGAGTGTTACTCTTGGTCTCACTGACGGTGAAAAGATCCTTTAGATCGCTCATTTCAAAAACATCTGTCTTTGAATCAGATTTGTTATCAACAAAAGTATCACTCAAACTATTTTTCATCAATTGTCTCTGGAATATCTTTTCATCTATACACCCAGTAGTCATCAATCTGTAGATAAACACTGGTTTCTTCTGTCCATCTCGATGTATCCGTGCCATAGCTTGAAGATCTACAGCTGGATTCCAATCATTATCAAAAAGGACTAATCTTGATCCGCCAATTAAATTTAATCCAACCCCACCAGATTTGGCTGAAAGAAGAAAGACTGAGTTAGAGGAAATTGGTAAGGTATTGAAATCAGACACTAGTTTATCTCTGCTTTTGTTTGGAGTTGATCCATCCAATCGAAGAAAAGATATATTTAGTTTGTTTAAGACGTCCTCAAGTAAATCCAATGTTTGTGTATAATTAGAAATGATAACTGTCTTTTCATCCCCTTTCCTTCGTATTTCAAGAAGTAATGGGATCAATACATTTATTTTACTACTTATTTTCTCCAAGGGGAGCTGCTTATAATTCAAAGATTGAAAGATTTTATCCAGCAGTAACAACGATGGTGAGTTACAAATTTTCTTGAATAAGGTTATCATTGCCAAAGAGTCGTTAGAATTGGTCCCATTTGAGTTGGATATTAACCGTTTAAATTTTTGTGTGTTGAAAATGAATTTGAAGAGTTCCACTTGTTGCTTTGTTGGTGGACAGAAGAGAACGAGATCTGTCTTGGAAGTTAAATAATTGGAAAGAATTGCACTGGTTCTTCTTAATGTAAAGTCTTTAGTTAGTTCTACAAGTTGCTTGGACTTGGATTCCCCTCGTTGTATAGTTTCTTGGTTAATACAATTGACCTCTCTAGATCGAAGGATGGGCTTTAGATAATCTCGCTGAAAGGATGCAAAGGTGCCCAAAACACCCGGATTGATAAAGTTCACAATATTGAAAAACTCCACAAGATCATTTTGCATTGGAGTTCCTGTAAGGAGAACTTTTCGTTTAATATTGAGTCCATTGAAAACTTGCACTGCCTTATTACTACTGTTCTTGAGCCTATGGCCTTCATCACAAACCAATAAGTCAAACTGGGTACTTTTTAACTCCTCTTGACAACTAGTAATCTTTTCGTAACTCATAATGAGCACCTGGTAAACTCTAGTTTTACCAAAGTTCTTCACATCTTGTTTATCTTTAATAGCTGTCTGTTTACTATTTAAAGTCAACACACTGACTCGATTCATACCCAACCATTTTTTGAATTCACGTTTCCAATTTCCAAGGAGTGTTACTGGACAAGCAATAAGAATCTTCTTACATATAGGTGACCTATCCGATGGGTATGGAGTTTGACGTAATAGAGTCCATAATAACGATATTGTCATTAAAGTCTTCCCCAAACCCATTTCATCAGCAAGTAATGCTCCATAATAGCCCAGACGTCTCATCCCCATTACACACTCATAAAGAAATCGAATTCCTTCCTGTTGATGAGGTCTTAATGCCTTCGAAAGAATAGGATCAACTACAACATCAATAGAGTCTTCTTGTATTTTTTTCATTACAAGGGAATCAGGACCATTAGGATCATGTACAGATTGGCGAGGAGATAACAGACTAATCTCACCCCCATTATTAGTATCATTATCACTAAGAGTATTTTCGATAACCTTGGTAGGTATCATTTTTTTATATTGTGATTGAACTGACATCACTTTTTCTGTGGTTGCAGCGAGATTTGGTTGTTTCACCGTTTCTAACGGCCCGGTTAATTCTTCCAACTCTCTTTGATCTTTGATCTCGTAATCCACCTCAATCTCATACGAACCTATGGATATAATTCCGTCAATATTCTTCCTCGGAACACTCCCCATGGCTCTATATTGTCGTGTTCCCTTAACATCGCACTTGAATGTTATTGATGATCCATTGAAGACAATGTACCCATCACCATCCCAAGTTTTGTTCTTTTTCGTGGTTTTCTTTCTCCATTGAACTATGTAGAATTGTTTCCCTTCTACCTTCTGTCTCTTGGCCGGATTTGTCCCATCAAAGTGAGAAGTTGAACTCTGAGAAGATCCAGATGAATGGGTCTTGGTTGCCGTTTTATTGGGAATTGATCCGACAATTTTTGGTTTTGGGGCCACCACTGGACTGCTACTGGGTGCCAGGATTTGCAGTGACAGCACACCAAGCGGTCGTGGTGCCTTGAACGGTGCCCGGGGTCCACTTCTATACATGGTTTGCTGGGTTTCAAATTGGAAAAAGAAAGAGTTGTTTTGATTAATCGCGCGAAACATAAACATACAACATGGAATATTGACATATAAATTCATTGATAATATAAAGTATACAAGATGAGCACGAGGTGCAGTCCACTATGAAGTGGTATTAAGTGTGCAAATGATGAGGTGAGACCCAGATTTCTATCCTTCCTAAGGACAAGATCAAAGTGGAGAATTCGAGTGAAGATTGTGAGGTGACGCGTTACCAGGAGGACACGCAGATGAGGAACATCAGAAGGGTAAATTACACTTGCTCAGATCCGTACAAGTAGTAGTATCCTCTCGAGCCCACGAAGATGAGTTGTCCTGGAACGTAACTGAAAAGTCCGTAGCCCACAAAGAGGAAGAACGAGATAAGGAAGAAGTCTGTTTGTAATGATGTTAGTAGTAGCTCGGGTAAATGTTGAAGAATGTACATCAAATTCAGTGAGTAGACCACAACATGACTAGTTGAGAGCCTGGTTTACCACAGTCATGTTCATATTGGAAAATAACAGATTCACTAGCATGGAGATATCCAAATTATACATACGCAACATTACACTCTCAGTCTTTGTCAACATGTAATGTGGGAAATGGTGGTAGTACGCTTGGTACATATGTTGTATAGAGTTGGCCATGTTGTGCGGGGAGAACGGTGACTTGTCACTAGACTTTATATATAGATTTTGGAAGGCTCTAAGGTCGTCGTTGTCGAGTCGAAGAATTCAGTTGGTGGAGTGCTTTTCGTACTTGGGGTTGGTGAGGAAATATCAGGCCGTACTGCACATACCGCGCTTTGTTTGTGTGAGGTTTATCTTAGATACGCTTCGAATAGGGGAAGAGTAAGTTTCCTTTTGGAACATTATTTTGTAGTGAAAAGTCTTTTTTAATAACCTTTTCTATTTCTAATTTATACACTTTTTCTTTGTAAGAGCTTCTATGAATACTTCTTTCGGAGTGATTTCGTTGTTCTCCTCTGCTCGTCCTTTCTCATTTTATTTTTTTATTTTTTCATTTTTCATTTTTTATTTTTTATTTTTTTTATTCTTTGTGAATAATTTGCAATATCTCAAAACCATCTGGAACACCTTTTCAGGTAGACACATTTACCGTTACAACAAGAGAGATGGCAGTCTCAAACGAGGATTTAGTACAGCTCAAACAGCGTCTTATCCGAACACGCCCACAAGAATTTGTAGCAGGGCTTGAGTCTGGGGACATCTGGCCGTACTCGACTCTCTACAATACACTTGTAGACGTTGAAGGCATAGACTCTGCTCGAGTGCTCACGTGCGATGTTCTCTCGATCTGGCTTCTTAGGTACACCCAGACGTTTAAGGTAGTATCAAAGGATTTACACACCGTTTCTCAAGAAATCGCATTAACTAAAGATGCAGTAGACAATCTTTTCCAATACATTACAGATTTTTTGGAACACAAGTCTGGACCATTTGTCAATGCCTTGAGTGGATTGTTAACTAAACTTGTAGAGTTGGTAAAGAACTGCTTTGTTACCGAAGAGACAGCGTTGATATTTCACGGATGGGTTGACGTAGCAATGGACTTGTCAATCACCTCAAGAACAATCTATCAATTAACTGAAGTTCTCGCTAAGAACATTGATCTGCAGTACATTTTGACCAAGTATCCAACCTTTGCTACAAACTGCATATCAATGATGTGGTCCGGTGCTCTTGCCAACGCCGCTAGCAAGGCTATTGCCGCAGTCTACTGTGGTGTATACACGAGAGGAAATGAAGCCCAATGGCTCGACTGTTGGCTGGATATTGTGGGCGAAGGTCTTAAAAACTTGGAGTTGAGGAAAAATATTCAAACTTACCTTCTTCCTTCCTTATTCACCATATCTGCGGAATCTTATCCTTTATATATGAAGAGACTTCAATCATCAAACTTGGCCACCGGTGGTACTACTGCTGAGGATCTCGATTTACTCGTTGGGGTTGCTAAAATCGGACAAGATTTGGCCATTTCAGTAGAGCCTTTTGCTGGTGATGAGCCAGTTATCTCCATGAAATTGCTTATTAATATGTTGACCCATAGAGCTCCACATTATCGGATTGGATCATTTTCACTTCTCGTTGGGTCGCCTAAGAGTTCTCAACCTATCCCACAATATATCTACAATACATTGATAAACTACAATGTGATCGAATCCTTCTTTATGGATCATGATGAAACAGACATCCGTAACGACTTTTATTCAATCTTGAGGCATTTCTTAATAAGGGTCAAAGACTCTTCATATTCTCTTAATAGAGATATGCAGAAGTTAATTAAGGGAAATCGTGACGAGGTCAAACAACAACAATTGAAAGCCTTCATTGAATCCAACCATAGATTTATGAACTGGTTTGTCGGATTACTCCAGGAAAGTATTACTCCAGGCTCGACCTACCCACAAGTGTCATTAGGACTTCAGCTTTTGGATGTACTTGTCTCGTTAGGAGTAGACTCATCAGTAGACTTAACTGGCTCTTCTCTTAAACACTCCAAGGCTATGAGTAAGAGCATAAACAGTAAAATGAATTTCCCTTTTTCTATTGACTTATTTAACCCAACAATGGTGAGGTTATTGGCAGATAATGTCACCAATAATTATGAAGATATTAGAGATTCAAGTGTGAACATTTTATTGGCGTGCCCTAATGAAAAACTTACCAAATTACTTTCCAGTCCTATTTTATCTAAGAGCATGGTCATATTATTCGACTTAAAGGGTAGAAAGAGCGAGGGGGGAGCCAGAGTATTCCAATTTTTGGCACAGGCTTATGACAGAGTCCATGATGAATCTAAAATCCATCGCCTCTGTGATGCTCTCATGGAAAGAATCGAATCTGCTCTGGATCTGATTATAGACGAAAATATCCAACCTGAAAACCGAGTACAAGGTGTATTCACAGCATTGAGGCTCGTATTATCAGGAATACGAAAGGAAAACTTCACTCACGAATATTGGACTCCACTTTTCAATCAATTGATTGGAAAGTATTTCCCCAAGTTTTGGCACAGTGTTAAACCTATTTTATCAAATGTTGCTGAAGAATTAAATGAAGTAGATGATAAACTTGTATTGAGTTACAGTTGGAAGCTTGTTAAAGAGTCAACCGCCTTATTACAAACCATTCTCAACATCAGCAACGGTCACCTCGATAATACAAAATTCGTTCTCGCAGTGGATATGGTGATCGACCAACTCTCTTCAGTCCATCACCGTGGTGCATTTTCCTCAGTATACCCAACATTTGTCACTTGCTGTGAATTATGCTTTAGACTGAAAGATAATACCGAACTTCCAGTTAAATGGTTGAAAAATAACGTTCAATTGATCGAAGAGAAGACCCAATTTATTAGTAGAAGATCAGGTGGATTGCCATATTTGATCACCGGTATCCTCACTGCGAACAAGAATGTAAACAAGAAGAAGACCAGTGATGGATGCAGTGAATTAATGAAGTACTCCATGTCAGAATTACTCCGAATCGCCAGTATTCCATATAACCAGAATGCTGACGAAAAGATGGATATTCCTCAAGTTCATGCATTCAATAGTATGAAGCATATTTTCATCGACTCACAGTTGTCCGATGAATGCATCTATTTTGTTCAAGAGGCATTGACCTTATCTTTGTTGAACTGTAATTCGCCCACATGGGCCATTAGAAACTGTGCTGTTATGCTTTTCACTGCTTTACAGAACAGACTTTTTGGTACCAAAAAGTTGGGTGAGATCCTCCCTACTGTTAGTGCCAAGTTGTTTTTTGTCAAGTATCCAGGTGTATCTGATATTTTATACACGAATTTGGTAGATCAATCTACTAATATGGAGGCTGTTTTCCCCGTTCTCACCATCTTAATGCGACTTGAAGAAACTTCTGTTGAAAAACCTTTATTATGGAGATACGAACCATTATTACACAACTTTTTGGAACATAAATTGTGGAAGATTCGTGAAATGGCTGCTCGTGCATTGGCGGCAATTATAAAGCCGAACCAACTTAGTGAATATAGTTGCAAGCTAGTCAGCGATTGTGATAATGGATCGTTGAATAGAAGACACGGAAGCTTGTTGACAATTTTGGAGATATTCAAAAGAATCAAGTTAAGGCTTCCAGATGTGGAGGTCTCTTCTTCCACTATTGATATGTTGAATGAGAGAATTAACTTGTTCATTCCAAAGAGGGCTAGCACCTTCAGTTGGGCACCTGGTAAAGTTTTCGTCGATATCTTATTAGCTGTGCAACCACGAGAACTTCCAATACTGACTATGAATGTATTAGGAACTTACATTTTAGATACTCTCAATTCACCAGAAAGAATTGAAGGTGCTAGACAATTACTTTTAGCAGACTCAATCGAACTTGTATTGAATCAACAATTCATTCAAGAATCTTTCACTGATGCCATGGACTTGTCAAGATTATGTATTCTTTCTGATGGAATCTATGAAGCACAATTGACTGCGATTTCATTGTGCAAGAAAAATCTTATTGAAATATCAAAACACGTTGATTCATTGGAAGTTTTGGACTTGTATGAAGATACTTGGAAGATTGTTAGTGATGAATCATGTTGGAGTTTAGTGAGGTCGACGGCATTGGGATTGTTAAAGTCGCTCTTACATTACAAAGAATTACAACCAAACGAAGTGGTACCCGTGATTGAAACTTTGTTTGCATTTACTGACAAGGAAATGTATAGTGAAGATGTTAATTCTATGGCACTTGAGACTTTGGGTCCTTTAGTTACCGACGTGGTAGGAACTGGACAACAAATCATGGTTTCCAAATTTTTGAATCTCGTTTCTGGGTTTTCTCACGATGAAAGACCTTTTACTGTTAGAATTGCAGCCATCAAGGCAGCCATCTCATTCCTTCTCAAAATGGGTAATGATACATCTAAATATACAGCGGAAGCCTCATTCCTAGTGTATACTGCATTGAGTGACGACGATGGTGATATTAGAGATATTGCGGCAGATTATTTTTCTTCAAAGTTTCAATTTCAATTTAATTCAAATAATGTTTCCATTACAAAGACTTTCTGTGAATCGTACACAGAAATCTATAAGGAAAGTTCTGAATCAGTTCTTATTCTGAAATTCTGTGGAAATCCAACAATTTCATCCAATTTGTCCTTGATTTCAACGAAGGAGAAGGATATAGATTCTCTCTTTGACATTGAAAGTGTGAATTTGTATAGAAATGATGCCAAGCAACATAAGCAAATATGTGAGATGATTACAAGCTTGAACAATTCAGAAGAATCAATCCAAAAGTTAGAGTCAAGGGTCTTGGAAGATTTGAAGGATGTTCTTAAATTTGTAGACACTCATCAACAAGATGGATACATTGGATGGACTAGAAACGATCTTACATATACATGTGTACTTAATTGCTTGGTTAGCTTACAAATGATGGGAAAGATGCAAAATACAAAACTTTGGAAGGATTCATTAAATGAATTCAAACATGTCAGTACTAGATTAAATATCCATCCATTATTGGAAACTTTTATAGACTATTAGACTACTAGATAATATTTATCGTGATTATTAGATGATGTAACAAAAGATGATTTGGCTGCGAAAACTTGCCCTAACATTTTCTTCTCAAAAAAAAAAAACACTTCCAAACCCTACTTCAATAATTAGTCGTGCACAAAACATCCGGGTAACCTTGAAAATTTTTGAAGTATAAAAGAAAACTGACGCAGACTATTAAAAAAAATTCTTACACTTAACGATTATTGATAATTTGGGAGCCTATTTGGCGAACCAATGAGTATGTGAACATTAAATAATACTCAATCGTATTCGCTGATGAACAAATAATAACTACGAATTTCTTCACCTGAACCACCGTGTAGAACAAAAATTATCAGAGCTTTTTAACCCTGAGACTACGATTGATTATAATACTTATTTTATTTAAACCAATTTACTAACAAAATTAGAATGTCAAAAAACAACTAATATTGATAATCAATACATGACTAATGAATGAAATAAAGCCTGTAGAAAGAAAGAAAATTGTAGAAAGAGTATGTAACTGGAGATTCTGTTAAGCTCTAGGTCAAACTCTACGTTTACGGTTATTACAACTGCTCTATATATATATCTTTTCGTTATTTATATGTTTGATAATTAACTTTACAATCATCATAACAGTATATCTTAATTCATAAAATTTATAGTTCCATCTTTATATATGATGGGAGCCTTAAAAAAAGAGAGAGAAATGCCATATACTAAATTATCCTGCATACACAGCAATACAGATAAAGGTATCAAAAGGTCATCAATTAAAATAGAGACTAGGTTCAAATATATAAATGGTTGTTAATTTTTGAATAGAAAGAGGTTGATGTCAGAAACTTATGTTGTACTAGGTATTAAGAAAGCTATGAAAGATTTACTAACAAATTCCAGAGAAGAATTTCCAGCTATTTGCAGTCGTTGTCTAGGGAGTGATGCTCATGTGAAGATGATTAGACAAGCCAATGGTGCTGAATGTAAGACTTGTACTCGACCATTTACAGTTTTCATGTGGAAGCCCGACAGGACCACGAAACGACACCTGAAGACTATAGTGTGCCTTACGTGTGCACGATCCCGGAATTGTTGCCAAGCATGTATGTGTGACATTACATATGGGATTCCACTTGACATTCGAGATGCTGCTCTCAAAATGGCAGGGATTAATCCTGATCAACGTGGATTAGCGGGAGCTACCACAAAGAACCGTGAGGTAAAGGCAATCATGGCAGATAAGCAAGAAGCCAAGTTCCAGAAACAGGACGAGGATGGCGACGACAGTAGGAATGAAATGGCTCACGATATACTTGTTAAATTATCACAGAGACTAGATGCGTCTAATAACCCAACTTTCAAAAAGAGTGCTGCTAGAGACACAAAGAACTCATTAGATGTGAAAAAGGTGGATATATCTAAAATATTGGCAAGACTACCATTTGGTGGGGTGATTAGCCCACCACCAAGTGACGAATCAATTGCCTCATTCTTCATATTCGGTATAAACGATGATGTTCCACAGTATGCAATTTCCGATTATTTATCACAATTTGGTAGGGTAAAGAACATATCGGTAATACATAAGGCAAGAGCAGGGTTTGTCAGTTTCACCACAAGACAAGCTGCTGAGGCATTTGCCGCTTCCATCGATTCGAATGGTCTCAACGAAAACAAAACCACTCCAGGGTTACTTATACTAGAGGGGAAGCATGTGATGCGAGTAAGTTGGGGTAAACCAAAGAGTCTTGGGGTCACTAAAGAGGAACATGGTAAGCTTAGTTTGGTGGTGGCGAAAGTTTTGAAACAATTGGCTGACAAAGACCAAGCTTCCACCAAGAAACACACACAAGAAACTAAGACCAAGACCAAGCCGAAGAAGGCTCTAACTACAAAGAAAAATGATACACAAGAGTATAAAAGTCTTAGTGCCGATTATGAGTTGTAAATGAGAAGAATTTGTATAATATATAGAGATAGATGACCTTTCATGATATAGAAAATAAATTAAAAAGGTGATGTATGTTTGTATCAGGGCGGGGATCACTTTCGTGCATTGCGCGTTTGTATAAACTTTAATATTTATTTACCAACACTGAACATGTTTTTTTGTACTTGCAAGTAACCAGATGAACGTAGAAACTAAATTGGTGATAAAGGTAGCCCTTGGGTTACTCCCCATTTTTGCCTTAGTGATAAGGCTCTTGGTCATTTTACCCTGTCTTCAAGATGAAACCTCGCGCAAAGCATTGGATGTCCTACCTCCCCAAAGTGAAGGTTCAAGTGTAATGGTACTTCTTGGATCAGGCGGACATACTGGAGAAATGATTCGAATTCTTGGTAATGTCCAGTTGGCCCATTTTAACCGAATCTGGGTGACCTCTTCAGGGGACAGCACATCATTATTGAAGTGTAAGGACTATGAACTGCTGATTGGTGAGAATCAATACAATGCCACGTTTATGACTCTCCATCGTGCCCGGAGTGTAGGCGAACCATTGATACTGTCGATAAAAAGCACTGTGACTTCTTTTGGATCTACCGTGAAACAGTTGGCCTCCTTACCGGAGTTACCATCTGTACTTTTAATTAATGGTCCTGGTACATGTGTACCATTGGCATATATATTATTTGGTATGAAATTTTTCGGACTTTGTCAAACCAGAATTGTGTACATCGAGAGTTTAGCACGAGTGAATCTGCTCAGTCTCTCTGGTAAATTGGTACTACCAGTTGCCGACCGGTTCCTAGTACAATGGGAACCATTACTGCATCAATACAAGAGGGTAGAATACCACGGAATACTTATATAGAATAATAATACAGAAGGATACCATAGGCCCTAAATGTAGGAGGGAAGTTTACGATCTGCATGAATAATATACTTTTAATCCACTTGTAACAATTCATATACTTAGTTTAGAAAAATAGCACTCTGTAGAATCCATCTCCTTATAGTTTATATGAATGATCGCACTTTTATATCAAACTCCGCACATAGTTCTTAAAGAAAAGTTTCATTTTTAAGAACCTAGAACTGGAATACAAGTCCTTGGATACTCTTCTATATGGCCGGATATAGTTTTGGAGGTCTAATACACGAGATTCCTGGCTTGGGGATCGACAAGTTCAATACTGGGGCGTCTGTATTTCTCTTGACACATTCCCATTCCGATCATTTGGCGGGTCTAGACAATTTAAGCTTTGGGGGAATAGTGTATTGTTCCAAGGCTACAAAAGAACTTCTTGCAACCGATAAGGGCCTCCACCAGAATATACACCGAGTTAAAGGGTTAGATTTGGACCGACAGTATGATATAGAGGTTCAGAATCAGACTATCAAATTGACTTTGATAGATGCATATCATTGTCCTGGCGCCGTATTATTTTTGATAGAAACTGGAACAGTGTCTATTCTTTGTACTGGAGATCTTAGGGCAGAAAAGTGGTGGCTAGATTCGATTGGGAAGAATCCATATTTGTTCCCATACACCACGAACTTGAAGACATTGGACACGATATATCTAGATACGACGTTTGGATATAGAGGTGAACCTTACATAGAGATGCCCAGCAACAATGATGGTATACGTGTTGCTATTCTGTTGCTAGATGCATATCCTAAAGATGATCCAGAGCTTGAATTCTGGTTTGTAGATACTGTTCTCGGGTTTGAGGAGGCATGGGTGCAAATAGCTAAAAGTTTTGGAGGAAGAATACAATTACAAGATAAGAAGCTCATCAGAAGAATGGAATGTTTAGGGGGCGTTTATGAAGATATAATGCAATCTATGGATAGTTCACAACGTCTGGAAGTACCGTCACCTCCAATCTTCCATGTAGGCAGGCCCTCAAACCATCATTCAATATTTCCTATTCGTATCAAACAGTGTATCGATTTTAATGCAGTTGACTTCACAGGAGTTTTTTGCCCTATACTGCTCGATTGTTTGGACGAAGAGGAGATAAGTAAGAGTATGGAGCTTCTTCATACGACGAGTCTTGGCCACGAAGTGTACCGATTTCGGGGGCGAACCTGGATTCTTCCATTAAACTCTCGGGAACTTCTTCCTACAGAAATCAAATTAATATTTTCGAGACATTCATCATATTCTGAATGTGTTGAACTAGTCTCCAAGTTTAGACCGAGACAAGTTTATCCATGTACAGACTCCAGAAACATGTGGCAAAGAGGATTTCAAATGCTGCGGGTATTTGGTAAATGGTGTGAGACTAAAGTGCAACCACCAACCCCACAACAATTCAGATATGATACCGAGAGACTTATAGAGTGGGGGCCACCTGCAGCTGGAATTCAAGAGAGACAAGTCAAGTGTATTGATCGGTGGGACTTGGAAAGTTGTAAAAAGGAGATGCAAATAGTTCAGGAAATTATCAATGATCCCTTCCCACTACATATAAGAGGTCAACATTGGACATCAAAGTTTGGGAACCCTCACTATTCCGAGGATGATAGGAAGGTTAACTTTGCTAGGAAGAAGGACTTCCAACTACAGAATATTGTCATTGGTAGGGGTGAAAGGGCATACCGACGGATCATTGAAGATTTGCAAAACGTTTATCGGAATGTGAACTTGGATAAGGGAAAAGATTACATTACCCAGGAAGCGGAAAACATCGATGTGGATATTCATGAAGTCGACTATGATGTAAAGGTTGCAAAATTAGGAGGATTGGACAATTATAATTATGACAAGAGTAGTAAGAGCAGTAACAGCAGTAACAGCAGTAGTTGCGACTACCTGCAAGACGACACCGATGTTGACGATGAGGATGACGAGTATCAAGATGTCAATAACGGGGGAATTCTACCACCTTCTCAGGGGATAATGGTGGGGAGTCTCACTCTCAAACGCCGAGCAACATTTTCTGCTGGACCTCTGCTTCAACGACGAAGGACAAATGAGATCTCATTTTCCGATACATGTAAGATCTTATCTACATTTGGTTCCATGGAGACATCGTTTTCGATTCAATTTGAAGAATCTAGAACAAAGGAGACCCAAGAAATCAAACCAGAAACTGAGAAGGTGATAGAAAAAGTTTCGGAGACTTTGAGAGAAAACTCCATAACTTGGATAGGTATGGGATTGAAGTCAATACAAAGGGCAAATTTATCGTGAGAAAGTAAACTCAATGACTAATCAAGGGAGAAAAAAATAGATATATTCACATCATACAGATCAGATGCCTACAGAACAAACATATCAATTAACACCTTTTATTGCGGCTCTATAGTACAAAGTATATATACAAATGAACGTCTGGTAACACCATTAGTTCTCTCTCCATTGGTGGGAACATTTCACACACTTGTAGAAAGTTGTCATTGGTTCATCCGCAGAACGGATTTGCAACTGGAAGAAATAAGCCTTATCTCCACCACAGGAGTCGATCGGACATTGGGCTGCAGTTTGATCGACAAGATCCCAAGCACCATCTCCACCTAACACATCATCAACTTCCTTACGGGACAAGTTCTTTCTGTCATACATTTGAAACCCGTTGATCTTGAACTCATATGGGCATGTTGGACAATAGAAACGGTTACAGCCGTCATCCGCCGGAGAGATCAACAACATGTTCGCGCAGTACGGACAGAAGGAAAGCATCTTGGTCTTCTTGGTCTTAGTCTGCTGAGAGAGTTCAGTAAAGGGCACACGCTTTTTGCGAAGAGGTGTATCTCATCAAAAATCCCCCAAAATGGCATCGGATCTCGAAATTCGCATGAGAGGTCCCGTGCAGGAGAAAGCGTTGTTATGGATATTTAGTGCTTGATTCAAAATAGAGTACAAATCATAAGAGTGATACAACAGTGATATGAGTTCACCAGTAGAGACCGGAGAACATGTCGAGGAGTCTCCTGGCAAGAGACGGGTTATGGACTCACCCATTTTTGGAACCCCATCTAGGAAACGTGCTGGCTTGTTGACATTGACATCTCCAACCAAGCGTGGGGAATCACCAATGAAACGAGGAATCATCAAGTTAGAGTGGGAGGTTGAAAGTGGGCCGGGGACTCCCAGAACTCCGAACGGACGTGCAGGGCTTCGGTCGCCACAAAAGAGAAGTATAATGGACTTAGATCAAAGTGCACGGAAGCGTGCAAATCAAACTTCTTATTCGAGATTAATGGATGAAGACAATAGTGACGATGACCAGGATGCATTGGATAGACAAGACCAGAGTTTAGCAGAGGCTATTATTCGACAATCTAGAGGTGCTCAATCAACAGAAGAAGATCACTCAAGAGCGTATGGAAGCGATGTAGAACTGGAATTGGATTTGACAGTGAAGAAACGAGGACGACCAAAAAAGGGTGAACAACAAAAGCCAGTAGTGATAGAACCAATAGTGAGACCTAAAAGAAATGTTAGGAATAAGAAGGTTGTAATTAGTGACGATGATGAAGCTGGTCTAATCTCCCTGGATGATAGTGCAGAGGAAATGGAGTTTTCATCTGATGAAGAGTATATCAAACCCAAACGTCAACGCCAGGCTAAATCGGCAACTGCAACCCCAAAATCATCGCCACGGAAACCACGACGCACAGAAAATGGCTCCCCAATGCTGTCGCCATTCATAGGGGAATCACCCAAGAGGAAGGTTGGAAGACCAAGTAAAGCGAACGAAGTCATTGCGAAGATCAAGAGTATTTTCCAGCAAGATGACGAAGAATTCTTCACTGAAAATAAACGAACTACCAATTCTACAAAGAAAAAGGTTGAAACTGCACCGGAAAACAAACCAGATGATTTTGATATATATACTCTTGGCTCGATAACCAACGGGGGGTACATTCCTATTATAAGTGGAGTTCAAACTGAAACTGTCCCTGAACCTACACATATCCCCACTAAATTTGAGCCTATGCCAATTCCAAAACTTAATGAAGATGGAACAATCCAAGATAAAGAATTCATAACAAAATATCTCACCACGAACTCTTCCTCAATACAATCGCTGGCCATTTTGACTGATGATGGGGCAATTTTCTTAGAAGGAACTGAAGGATATTTTGAGCAACACTCTGTGCGAGCCAAGCCAAGTGGTCATTCGCTTTCTCAATTAGCTCCCACTGTGGAATATCTGGACTATATCCCATACATTCAAATGGGTCTGTTGTTCAAACACCAAGAAAAGCGATTGCTACACAAGATGCACAGTAGGTTCTATCATCAATGGTGTTTTGAGATGTCACAGGGGTTCAACTTGAACTTTTATGGGGTAGGGTCCAAACGTCTTGTGATGCTCGACTTCTTGGAGAATTATTTCTTTCAATGGTATCATGAACATTGGAGCAAAACAGAAACCCCACAAGTTCTTGTTGTAAATGGATACAATCCTTCCGTTAAATTTAAGCAAATTGTAGGTGATATTGTTTCAGTATTTATACCACAAGATAAGAGAAAGAAGGATAATATTCTGTTCCCCAAGCATGTACTGGAAACAGTACCATTTCTTGTCAAGTACATCGATAATTGTCGTGCAAAGAATTCACGACGTATATTTCCGAAAGTGGTGCTAGCAATACATAGTATAGATGGTACCAGTATTCGCGATGAAAAGACTCAATCACTTCTTTCCCAACTATGTCTGATTCCAGAAATTTGGCTTTTATCTTCATCAGACAATATCAACGTTTCACTACTCTGGGATCTTCATAAATTGAAAAACTTTAACTTCGTGTTCCATGACCTTACAACCTATGATAACTTTAGCACAGAAGTATCGTTCAAGGATATTTTGAATATGGGTAGGTCTACTAAATTCAATGGTAATAAGGGTGCTAAATATGTTTTGAGTTCTTTGACCAAAAATGCCAAGAACTTGTACCGTACTTTACTTGAGAAGCAATTAGCAGTGATGCGTGACAATTATAGTGGGTCTTCTGCCGCCAGAACGAGTATCAAGAGTTCTATAAAGTTTGGAATTGAGTTTAAACAGTTTTACACGGCATGTCTAGAAGAGTTCATTACATCGAATGAAATCAATTTCCGGACAATGCTTGGTGAGTTCATGGAGCATAAGATGTGTAGTTTGGTGAAGGACGATTCTGGAACAGAAATTCTCTTTGTTCCGTTTACATATGGTGAAATGGAGAAGCTTATGGGAGAGGAATTTTGAGGTACGGGGGATAGGCATTGATCTTGGCACTAGGAGTGGTACCTCATGAATTGGCAGAAGATACCAGAAGTTGATGATTTACTTTAATTGCCTGGATGATTCTATAAGAATAATAATAAAAACAAAATAGATTATAGACAAAAAAAAAAACTCCACAGGGTATAGAGGAGTAACATAGAAGTAGAATACATAAACATATAGTTGAAATATAAAACACATAACTTCTTTATACGTTTATAAGATTGAAAATATTAATGATTTATTGTAATTGAGTGACGACCTGACTTGAAGTTTGCAGCCATTTAATCTCTCAACCCCTTTAAAAACTAAATCTACCAAGCAAAATAAATGAGGAAGTATAATTCAGGAAACAATAAAAAAACAAGGAAACAAAGAAAACAAACAAGAAAGCCTCCATTCTTTAGTTGGCTCGTACTTACCGTGAACAAGAAGGACCCAAGAACAAGAACTACCTATTCCTTGGTTAGTGTTGGTCACATAATTGATTTACATTCTTACTGCGGTCAAAAACCATATTTTCCTGTATATAGCCAAATCACACAATGATGGCAATTTTGGAACATTTTGGAGATTTGCGATAGTTGGCCCCTGTGGCCAAAGTGCGGGTCCTACTTGATTCAAGACCGGTTACCGAGATTGAAGAGAAATTGAGTCCTAAAGACAACCATGGGCAACTTTGCGAAACTTGCAGAGGGAACTCAGCTTCCTGTAGGCAGCCACCAGGTTACTGTGCTCAAATACCTTTCTGAGGGGGGCTTTGCGCACATTTACAAGGTGCACATTGAACCCCCTGAACAAGACTCGGACATTGCGTGTTTGAAACGAGTGATTGTTCCCGACAAGGCCGGATTGAACCAGCTCAGACGCGAGGTTGATGTGATGAAGACACTTGCTAAGGGGAGAAACATTGTCAAGTACTACGACTCGCATGCGGAACGGTTGGCAGACGGTACTTATCAAGTACTTGTTCTTATGGAATTGTGTCCCAACAAATCTCTCTTAGATTATATGAATGCTAAGATCAAGACCAAGCTCAATGAGCAGGAAATCTTGACAATCATATTTGACATTGGCTTGGGGATTTATGAAATGCATTTGTTACAATTGGTCCACCGTGATATTAAGATTGAAAACGTGTTAATTGATGCACACCATCGGTTTAAACTATGTGATTTTGGACTGACCCTGTCACCGGTATTACCACCTCAAACCCCGCAGGAATTCCAAGCCATTAGCCATGATATTTTGTACCAAACCACACCGCAATACCGGTCTCCGGAGATGTTGGACTTGTATCGTGGCTTCCCTATTAATGAAAAGTCTGACATTTGGGCTTTTGGATGTTTCTTGTACAAGCTTTGTTATTACACCACCCCATTTGAAGCTAATGGAGATGCTGCTATTTTGCATGCTTCATTCCATTTCCCTCCCAAACCTGAATATCTGGGTGATTTGAAGAACTTAATTATTATAATGTTACAAGAGAATCCATTATTCCGTCCGAACGTGGTTCAGGTATTGATGTTGGTTAGCAAATTAAGAGGCATTGATTGGAAAGAAGTGAAGGTTGATGATATATATAAGGCTGGCGAGTATAATTTCAAAGCCTTACATGCATATCAACAACAAAGGTACGAAGAGCAACAACTACAACAACAACAACAACAACAACAACAACAACAACAACAACAACAACAACAACAACAACAACAACAACAACAACAACAACAACAACAACAACAACAACAACAACAACAACAACAACAACAACAACAACAACAACAACAACAACAACAACAACAACAACAACAACAACAACAACAACAACAACAACAACAACAACAACAACAACAACAACAACAACAACAACAACAACAACAACAACAACAACAACAACAACAACAACAACAACAACAACAACAACAACAACAACAACAACAACAACAACAACAACAACAACAACAACAACAACAACAACAACAACAACAACAACAACAACAACAACAACAACAACAACAACAACAACAACAACAACAGCAACAACAACAGCAAAAACAACAACAATATCATCAGCAACGTCAACTGGCCCCAGTATCCAACATCCCGACCCCTGTACAACCCGGGGCTCCAGCAATCGCTGCTGGTGGTCCTTCAATTCACCCTGGCGCGCCAGCTTCTCTTCACCCAGGTGGAAAGGCTATGGCTATTTCAACAAGTAGATCTTCTTCACTTCATCTGGAATCAAGAGTTTCAGGAGGTTCTGCTACCGCGGGTGCTCCTTCAGCAAATGCCCCCAGAGAACTCTCTAGAAACCCAAGTAATACCAATCTTCCTCCATCCTATTATCCTGATTTAGACGACTTGGAAAATGTTGAAGAGAGATACCCATCACTTGAAAACTTGTCAATCCAACCAAAATCAACACTGGTCCATCCTTCAGTATCATCTCCCGAACCCCAAGAATTTGCATTTGCTCAACCCGTAGCACCACCACCACCACCCCGGATAAATATACAACCACCACCAGTCTTAAGCCCAATAGAACTCAAGAAGCTTTCTACAGAACAACTTCAAGCGTATAATTATCAACATCAAGCGTATCAATATGAGGTGAACCGCATCCAACAAGACTATCAACGTCAATTCCAACAATATCAACAACAATACCAACTGTATAACCAGCCAGAACCCGCAAGACAATCATTTGATAAGAAGGAAGCGTGGGAAACCCAAGGAACGGTCATAAATGGTGATACTGAGAAATTGGTTAGTGATATCTTCGGTGCTGCTCCTTCTACATCAGGATCAACAACTGGTGAAGAAGAGTCCAGACAACTTACTAGATCGCACACACATCAAAGCATAAAATCGGAAAGAAGTCAAGTAGGCGAATTCGACAAAGAAAAGGATAAGGAAGTGTCTAAGGAAGACTTAAGAGGTAATGAAGAATCTTTGGAAGATGACGTGCAGAACCAAGAAGACGTTTTACAATCAGACAACGATATACCATTAGGTAGTGACTTGGATGATGAAGATTTGATTGACTTTGAGAAGCAATTCCCCGAAGCTGAAGATCATAAGATCAATTTTGAAGAAAATGTGAAGATTGAACCACGAGTTGAGAAGACTGACCGTAGCGAATTGGTGGACAAATCTGATCAAATTGAGAAATTGGATAAACTTGACGATGTTGAATCAAATCAGAAAGAGTCAATAAAGGGCAATGATATCCCCAAAGCAAAAAATCCATTTCCAAGGGATGAAAAAATTTCTCCTCCTTCTGAGACTGTGATTCCTAAAAGTGCCAATCCATGGGGTCAATATACTAAGAAAACAGATAATAATGTTCTTTCTCTGCCATCAGTCTCTAATTCACCATCGATGAGTAAGATTGGAACTCTTCCAGTCCCTGTTTCTCTCTCAGACCACAATTCAGCAAACAAAATGAAACCACCTGCAATTCCTTCTTCACTTTCAACTTCTCCTTCTGTGAAAGCAGGACACCCCCCAACCCCTTCACCTCCAGTTCATCAGACTTCTCAGGACACAAAGAGTACTCCTTCTATTTTAGGAACGTTTAACGTACCTCCACCTGCAAGTTCGAATCATTTCACTTATCCCGTGGGAAGACCTGAAGGAGTAAACGAGGAAATTCCACCACAACTTCCTTCTAGAAATGAAAAGCCCCCTATCAGAACCGAGGCAAGCCCACAAGTGGCAGCTACTGTTGAAACTCAAGCAAACCCACCTGTTATGAACTTGATAGATTTGGAAGTTGGTTTAGAATCTACATCTGCATCAGGCTCATCTACTCCTGCTTTGAACCCTAAAAAGTTGTACTCCTTGGAACAAGAAGAATCATTATTGGATTTAAATATAGAAGAAGATATGCCTCGTTCGTATAAAAAGAGGATCTCTTCTGGGGCACAAATCCCATCAAATTTAAACTTTCAAGAGGAAGTTATCGACTTTGCTTCTGATGATGAAAATCCCGAGAATAGTTCTAAGATGAATAGGTTGTCTATTCGTCATTCTTTGAAGAAACCTACAAGACGATCAGGAGGAAGCGACCGAAGATCAGGGGAACATAAGCGCAGCGAGAGTAGCGGGGGTGAGAATAGAAAGAGATTGTCATTATTTCACTCTCAATAGAGATTACACATTTAGATAATTTATGTTTTATGAGTATAGGCATCAACTTGTAGATATTTAAGAAAACAGAAATAAAAATTGGACATTATAAATTCCTGTAAAGTTGCAACCTTCTCGAAGGTTGTGGAACACGCGAAGATGTGTAGAAAAATTTAAAGACTGCATAGCGACTTGCGATCGATATGTAAAAATTTTAGTAAGTTGCAACCTTTGTAAATAGAATCAAACGTTATCTTAGCAATGGAAGCTTCTCGGAAACAGTTGAGGGAGTTGCTTGCACAGCTTGTGCTCTCACTTCCATCAGAGAATTTTTCAAGTGAATTTCCAGGTCTGTTACCTGTTTTAACGCTTCTTCAAGGTCAATATTCGAAAGTTTTACAGAGCGAAGACTATTTAACATTAGTGTTCAATGACGAAACCAGAGAAATCTTGGGTGCATACCCAGGCCAAGGATTGGTGGATGTGTTAAAGTCCTTTGTAGAGACTGTGAGCAAGAACTTCAGATCCAAATATGGCAATGATGAACTTGCTGCCTTCCATTTGCATCTTGTGGCTATCGCATTACTTCAACTGTTCATCCAAATCAATTTCACTGGACCAGCTTTGGAGAACAATGCACGCGAAGACTTTTTCCCAGGAGTAGATGACAAGCTCTTGCACACAGAAGCAATCCAAGTGCTTAGTGTCACCGGACAACAAGCTTATGAATTGATGGAAGGACCTTTGTATTTCATCATTGCCGCATTAATATTTGAAAAGTTGGTGGGTAGTGAGATCTCTTTGTTACAAGATGACTTCAATGTTGCTGAAATTACTGAATATTATGGCTCTTTAGAATCTGTTTCAACGGAAGAACCTGTGAGAGCTTCTGTACAATGGTGGATGGCTAGGGCTGTACAAGTCCACACCTCGTTATTATCAGAACCAGCTAGTGTTCTTTCTACAGTATCTTCACTTCTTTTAAACCCTTCTGTTGCTAATACTTTGTGTCCAGCAGTAGATGGTAATGTGGAACTCCAACGTAACGTGCAATGCGCATACTTTTTGGAATGTGCTAGAAGTGGTATCCATAGTCAAACCGAATACTTATCCATTCCACTTCTTGGAAAGGCAAGAAAGGTATCCAATTTTACCTTTGTCTTATCTGGTGCTAAGGCCAAGAGAACCAAGTTTCAAAAGTTCCATACATCTGCATTGATTGTACTTGCCAAGAGTGAAACTGCCAATTTATATTCCATTAAAGAAGGCGGTCAAGAAGTTCCAGAAAGTTTTGAATTAAATTCTGATTTATTATTGGAAAGACCCCAATTCGAATCTTTGGAGGATATTGAATTCACAGACGATAAGGATTCTGGAAAGAAGAGAATAAAGCTTGATTTAAGTTTACAATCTGGTGAAGTTTATAACGAAGAAATTGACGATGAAGAAGAAAAGCTTTTACCAATTGCTCTTAGAAAGGAAAACATTCCAGAAGAATTACAAAATGTTGACCCTAATGACCAGCCTGGCCTTTCCGACCTAGACAATGTCCAATTACTTTTACGTCTTGCTACTTTAAGACAGACTTCTCCGGCTGGAAATGCTTTAGTTGAAGAAGAACTTCTTGCTTTGGTTAGTAGAGTTTTGTACACAACTAAAGATGTAAACTGGGCAGTTTTCTCAAGAGCCCTTTGGGAAAGATCTGTTTTGGAAACAACAAAGGCTAGAACAATTGAAAGAGGTATATTACAAATGACATCCCTTGTTGAAGAAATGGGTATTAAAATTAAGACTAGAATGATCCCTCAAGTAGCTGAAGAAGAGGATAAGGTTATTCTTGCTTCTGCCTCTAGATTAAGATTTATTCACCAACTTCCATTGATGCCTCAATGGCAAATGGATTCAAAGTTGGCTGAAAAGTTCATGAGTCTTGGTGTTTTCCGTTCTGCCGTTGAAATCTATGAAAGACTTGGAATGGTTTGTGAAGCCGCGTTATGTTATGCTGCCGTTGGTGATGATAAGGAAGCAGAAAACATATTGATCGAAAGAATTAATACTCATCCTCGTGACGCAAGAGCAATCTCCATTTTGGGTGATGTAAGACAAGACCCTGAGTTATGGCAGAAAGCCTGGGATGTAGGTAAGTACTACAAGGCTCAAGGCTCATTGTCGCACTACTACTATAGTCCACCAAGAGAATCTGGAATCGCTAAGAATGTGGACTTGGCCATTAAACACATGAACTTGTGTTTGAGTATCAATCCCCTTAGTTATGAGAATTGGTTCTTCTATGGATGTTGCGGATTAGAAACTGAACAATATGACTTATCATCTGAAGCGTTCACTAGATGTGTTTCTCTTGATGACACAAACTCCCACGCATGGTCCAATTTGGCTACATCACTTTTGAGAACAGACAAGGTTAGACCAGCTTTTAATGCCTTGAAGAAGGCTATTAGATGTGCAGGCGAATCTAAGACTACCTGGAGAATTTATGAGAACTATTTGGTTGTCGCCGCTAAGTTGAACGAATGGAGTGATGTTTTGATCGCCGCAAGAGAATTGGTTAACTTACGCGGAAATGGATCCGGCGAAGATTCTATTGATATTCCTGTTGTGGAAAAGCTTGTTGAAATTTTAGTTGCAACAGAATTTCCAACTGGAGATGGCGCCAAAATGACATTTTATCAAACTTCCTGTGTGGACTTCATTTGTAATTTACTCCCTACTGTTATTACTACCTCTGCTAGAGCATGGAGAATTGTTTCTAGAGTAGAAATATGGAGACGCAGACCATGGTCGGCATTGGAATGTCACGAAAAGGCTTACAGAGCTTTATCCCATAGACCAGAGTTGGAACATGACGAAACTGCATGGAACGAAGCAGTTGACGCTTGTGCTGACTTGATAGCAGCTTACGAATCATTGGGTGAATTACCTGGGAAGCATGATGCAGATGATCTTGTTTGTAAGGATTGGAAGTACAAGGCAAGATCTACTGTAAGATCCTTAATGTCCAAGGGTAAGCAGATGTGGGAAGATTCCGAAGGTTGGGAAAAGTTACAAGAGATGAAGGAAGAGTTAAGAAATTAGAATGACCGATTTATTACTGTATTTATAGAACTAGAATAATTACTAAGAAATGATATATAAAACTGTAATTGTGTAAGCATAATTCTTTATTCACTAATTATATCAAATATATATTCAAACTCTTCGGATTCCGATGATTCAATAGATTCCAATTCATCTTTGTATATGTCAATACCTGTTTCTACCTCAATTACATCTACCTCTTCGTTTTCATCGCTTTCATCCAATTCATTCTCAATTTTTTGGTTCCCTTCCTTTGCTAAGGCAGACAATTGAACTAAAGAAGGGACGAAAATATTACAAAATTCTTCAAATCGTATCCAATTGTCCAAAACACTTAATGGTGCATTTGCTTTCACAAGACCAGCATGAATCAACATCAACGCATTATGAAATGCAATTCTGCATGATTCTGATGACTCCATTCTTAAGCCGAAAACGAATATATACAAAAGAAATTTGTACATATGCCCTGTGGCGATTGATTCACGAAGATAAATTGCAACCACCGCTATATCTGCTTTTGCGGCAATTATTAGTAAAGGATACTCCAAGCAGTTCAAAAGCGGACCTGCAGCTACCATTACTTGGGTATTCTTAAAGATATCCCTTGATAATAAGTCTGATAAATTCATAAATGAATATATAGAAAAGGAACATAACTTGAGGATATTTGGCTCACTTGTGGCAACTAATATGGCCATGACTAAAAGATGGGTGTTTTCTGATCTTAAAACGGTGGAGAATGGGAGTTCAGGGGAGTTCGAACTGGACCATTGTCGGGATAACAATAATGTATGACGATATACCACTAGTGCATAAGTAAGCATCGTTGAATAACTGGCCAAGTTATAGCCAGTTGTGTAGTTCATGCCATAGAATGAAGAGTATGTCTGGGTTAAAGTCCCGCTAATTGTGGCCATATGTGCAAGAATCCATAAGTTCCTTAATGAAACCAAAGATTTTAAATGAACGATATACGGTTTCAAACAGGTTGAGGAATACTTTCTAGTTAATCTGGTAGTTGAAGTAAATAGGTAATTTAATGATTGTGGTCTAGAAATATGAATACTGGAAAAGTCTATCTTGCCCAAGTACCACGAAACAAAAGAAGTAAATGCTCGGAGTTCTGGGATAGAGTTCAATATCTTCTCCCATGTCTCTCTGGGCTTGACAGGCTTTACTAATACCATGATAGCAGAATAATGATAATAAGAAAAGATAAAAGCGACATAAAAACTATTTTGCAACCAAAGTTAGAAAATGTACATTATTAGAACTAAACACAAATAAAAGTGCCACAAGAAAAATGATATTTACAAATGCAATACAATGTGATCTAGTTGAAGTATATCCGAGGTATGGGCAGATATATATATTTTTTGGGAGTAGGACTGTATATTTTAGCTCTCAGTCTTGTTTCAGAATGTGTAGATCTGTTCGTGTGTGGGTGTGCTTTTAAATAATTTTTAGTATCGTGACATCACAACCATTTCATCTAAATAAACTTTTAGTAAATTATGATACACCACTACTCCCCTCACGATTTTTATTTTTTTTTCAAAAGATAACAGTATGACGGCATTAATTTAAAGAAATTCCAATTCATACCTTATCCTTTCTCATCTACACTACTTGGTATGTCCCATTTTCTTAATACTCTCTACATTGCTGAAACCCTTTTTTCAATATGTTCCGCACTGCCCCGTGCGGCGGGGATCTTTTCATTTCCTATCCTAGAAATCAAGTTTCTGCACGACTTCGCGTTCTAAATATGGGATTTGAACGCCAGGTGGTCTCCAAGTTTAAAGTGTTCTTCAACTGATCTTGCATCAAAGCACTCGTTCCATAACAGTCATCTGATTGGCAATAACCTACCCTAGCTTCTATACTACTTCAAGAACTAGCAGTGAAAAAAAAAAATTTATTTATTTCCGAAAGATTTCAAACAACTCAAACGGAAAGTCTCAAAAACTAAACTTCCATAGAAAAGAAAACAAAACAATCAACACATAAAATATGCTTTCATCTGTTGTGGATGACAAGTATATCGGATTGGCGTTGGCCATGTCGTCGTCACTCGCGATTGGTACATCCTTTATAATCACTAAAAAGGGTCTCATGGACGCCTCAGCAAGGAATGGAGGTGGTGCAGTCCAAGGACATGAATACCTTCAAAATCCAATTTGGTGGGCTGGTATTCTCACTATGGCAGTTGGAGAAATTGCCAACTTTGCTGCTTATACTTTTGCACCTGCCATCCTTGTGACGCCATTGGGGGCCCTCTCTGTTATTATTGGTGCTGTTTTGGCAGCAATTTTCCTCAAGGAAGAATTGGGAACCTTAGGTAAAATGGGCTGTGCCATTTGTCTTATGGGTTCAGTCATTATTGTTTTACATGCTCCTCCTGACAAGGAAATTGACACAGTTGATGAAATCTTGGGGTATGCTACAAAGCCAGGATTCCTCTTTTATTGTGTTGCTGTCGCTGCCTACTCTCTCTTTATGATTTACAAGATTGTCCCTAAATATGGACACACCAACCCAATGATTTACATTTCTATTTGTTCCCTGGTTGGTTCTATTTCTGTTATGTCCATCAAGGCTTTCGGAATTGCCTTGAAGTTGACCTTAGGGGGTAACAATCAATTCACCCACCCTTCAACTTATTTATTCTTAATTGTTGTTGCCTTGTGTATTATTACACAAATGAATTATTTTAACAAGGCACTTGACCAATTCGACACTTCTCTCGTTAACCCGTTATATTATGTTACCTTCACCACTTTCACATTGGTGGCTTCGTTCATCTTATTCCGTGGTTTCAACACTGCCTCTGCCGTCAATATCATTTCTCTTTTAATCGGATTCCTTATAATCTTTAGTGGAGTTTATTTGTTGAATATCTCGAGAAAGGAGAATGAAGGACGTTCTAGAGAGCTCTTTGGAGTCCATAACGGGAAAGACATGGCTCCATTGGATAATGGAGTTGGTGGATTTTCCTCCATGAGAAGATCAATGCAAGCATCTCGTGTTGAACATGATGAGGAAGAAACTGTTGGTTTGAGAAGATTTGATAGTTTTGAATTAGGAAGTGATGATGAAGATATAGATGGTCGTCGGAGATGAGTTTAGAGGTTAGAAGGAGAGAAAAGTGATATGGTAATAGGGACAAATAGACGTTGTATACCAATAAATTGTATAAGAATTGTATTAGAATTGTATTGGAATTGTAGTAATGCTATACATTCATCTCAATATTCGTACATGTTGTCGATGTTAATGTAGGGTCCAAACCCTAAGTTTGAAAAACAATACAAGATAAAAAAAAGATACTGAGTTGCTCTCTTAGAAGCATCAAAGAATCAACATACATAGTCTAATATGGAAATCTACATTGTCCCTGAACCAGGAACTTCGCCATAGTGTATTTTAAACCTTTTGGAACATCATAGTTATTGTATCGCTGTATGTATTATCTCTAAATATCATCAATGTCCAAGTCGTCATCCTCTTCATCATCATCATCAGAATCTTCAGCTCCGAACTCGAAGTTGACATCTTCATCTTCATCAGCACCAAAGGTGTCAGTTTCGTTAATCTTGGCATTTTCTGGCAATTCACCAACATTCTTCAAAGTTCTGGCCTCATCAGAGTTGTACTTGTGAACAACATCACATTGTTCGTCTTGGAAATCTCTCAAGGAAACCAAAATGATGTCACCTTGACCCATCCAGACCTTCTTTCTCAACTTACCTCTGATGTGTCCCATTCTCTTGATGCTATCGAAACAAGCAACTTCAATTCTACCGTTACCCAACATCTTGGTGATTTGAGCGTACTCTTGGCCATCTTCCTTGTAGATTAATTCTCTCTTTTGACCACCGTTGTCGTTCTTTCCTCTTCTTCTGTTTCTACCACCTTTTCCTTTACCTGATTTACCCATTTTTGTTGGTTCTTTGTTGGAATAATGTCTTAAGAATTTCAAAAAGATTTCAAATTTGATTAAAAAAATAGACAGCAAAAAAAAAAGTTAATAAAAATTTTGCTGGTTAGCTAATAGCTTATATAATCCCTATATGTATGATAGAGTTAATGTTATATATGCATACAATATTCATTTGATATTAATTAATCACATTTATTTATATAATTCTGCCCATTATGGATCCATTTGAAGCAAGTACGCAGTTTTCTCAGATTCTTAGGTCTTTGACTCCTTCAATTCAAAACTTAACCAGAGCTGCACATTTTGCATTAAAGAATTATCAAGCTGAAGATTATCTTTCACATTCTATCTTGGAGGTTGTTCAAGACCCTAAAATTGATCTTAATACCAAATCAACCATATTTCAATTTATAGAGGTACTTGTGCATGAACTGAGAGTTATATCTGAACAACCCAAGTCCCCATATAATTATCCATATGTAACTGTACTCAAGGAATCTCTTCCTAAAGTTTTACTTCAAACATTACCTGGTTCAAATTGCTCATCATTGTACAATGTTTATTGTAGTCTCAAGAATATTTCACGTACTTTGAGCTTTTCATATGACGAATTAGATGTTCAATTCAACTCTATTCCTGAAACTTTCACTGTGGATGATGTTCAAAATATTGCCGCAAACATTGCCTTCCCTGAAGTAACTGAAGATGAAGAACCAGAAACTCAAGATAGATTGGTCACTTGTTGGAAACTCTTGATTAAGAAAAAGAAGCAAAGTCAATATGAAAGATTAAGACAACTTGAACATAAGCCAATGGTGACAGAAAAAGCCGTAGACGAAGAAGAAATGTTTAATCTTCGTATGAGCAGACAAGACCAAGCACTTGTGGATGGCCAACCACTGCCACAACCTAACCTTTTATCAAAAAGACAAATACTTGCCCGTATGGAAGACGATAGAGAAACACACAAAAGATCCAAGGAAACTCTATGGGTAGTTAACAGACCAAGAGAGGCCAATGCAATTACAGAAGATGAATTTCTCACTAGTTATTGGAATAAGCAAACTGTGTTAAGTCCTGAGGAAGATCAAGTGTTCTTGAATGAACTCGAAGAATTGAATAGCTTGGTTGCTCTTAGTTATAAGGATAGTCAAGTGTAGTCTTAAAAGAATCGCGTCAGGTATTCCAGACTCAATAACATATGACTACCTCGACGTTCTTTTAGACTTTTGCATATATATATATTTGTACAATAGAAAATTTAGGTGGTATATACATACTACATTCATATCAACTCATAATCCATTAATTCAATATCTGTCTACATACATCTATTAACTTTTAACCTTGGCCAACAATCCTAACAATTCATTTTTACCGGCAACACCGTAAGCTGCAGATGTTCTCAGTTCTGCTTCAGATCCAAGAACAGCCACTGTAAGAACATTTTCAATCTCGCCACTTTGTTTGAGTTCCTTTGCATATTCAAACCCAGGTTCATCAATAAGGGTGGACCCTCCAGCAATTAACAACGAAGTAACAGCCTTGTCTAACTTATCGGTATCGGAAAGTTTCAAATCTTCCAGTGAGATCTTGGACATTGGTTGGGAACTACTTATCTTCTTCACCTGGAAATCTTCAATTAAGTCATGAGACTGGATTCCCTTTTCTACCTGAGTGTAATATGATAATACGAATTTGAGGGCTTTAAGAGTAAGTTGATTTTGCTGGACAATAACAACATTACGAATAAGAGTAGCATGCACTCCATCCTTTTCACTAAAGACTTCATTAATATGTTGGATACAGTCACCCATAACATCCATACTTCTGTTATGATCTTCGAGGAAGGCACGCCCAGGATGGAACCTAATTGTACAATCCTCCACCTCTATATGCGAACCAGGAAGTCTTTCCACCTTAGAAGCGATAAGCTTAGTCACTTGAGGCATCCAGCTCAGGGTTTCTTTCTCATCCACGATGGATACCCAAGATTTGGAACCAATAAGTTTGATGTATCCACCATTTTCAGCAATAAGCCCCAAGTTAGCACTAGTACGATATAATATATCCAAGTCTGCACGCTTGAGGAATGTAATAAGATAAACATGATTGAGTGGATCGAGTAACAAGTCACTCAATAAATTTGCAATTCTAGATGGTTCTGAGAAGGAATCAGTCTTACCAGCGGCTGGAGTCTTTCCTGAACTTGAAGAAGTGTCATAAATGGCAGAGATAGCCAGTGGAGTTTCCAAGTTGAGGAAAATAAGACGTTTCCCTGAGTTTGTAGGTTGGTTATAGAACTTATCTAATACCGCCTTAGTAAACATTTCAATATTGTTACGTGATTTCCTTTGATCATAGCTCCAAGCTTCTCTAATACTTTGAAGACACTTGGTAATCCAATTATTTGAATCTTGATCAAGAACAATTTGGTAACAATTCTTCCATCTTAACTCTTTCTCTTCCTTGGACATATTCAACAGTTTTTCAAATGAATCGGTAAGACCTCTTAAATCCCAAGGGTTAATGAGGAGAGCACCCTTTCCATTACATTCGAGCAATGGGGATGACCCAGTGAATTCACTGAGAACCAATGGAGATTTCTTTTCACTGGTAGCGACAATAAATTCATGACATGTCAAATTGAGACCCTCACGCATCGATGAGACCACAAACACGTCTGCTTCACATTGCAATGCCAAATATTGTTCGAATTCAATATCTTGTTGCAAAAAAATCACCGGTTGACTGATCGAAATGTTTTCTGGTAACGAATTAATTCTTGCAACAATTTTCATGATCTCGGCTTCATAGTCGGGATCTTGTGATGATCCAATACAAATTTGAATCAACACCGTATTGTCCACATATTCAGGATGTTTCTTTAACAATTTTTCATATGCCAACAACTTTGGCTTAATACCTCTAAGCTTGTCAAGTTTATCTCTACTTACAAGAAGTCTTTGGTCTCCCCAACGTTCCCTGATCAACAGGCGCCATTCTTGAACAACATCTGTAGTGAGTTGTTTCTTTACCGATGGTGCATCGATACCTACTGGAATTGTATTGGCTAAAATAAACCTTCCCTCATAGGAAATACCCATTTCATTTGTATCAGCCAAAAGCAATCTACTACAAGTTTGAAGGAAATGTCTAACGTACTCATCAGTTTGAAATGAGATGCAGTTGGCACCAAGCATACCTTCAAGAAGTTCCTTTCTAAAAGCAAACACTCTAAATACTTCACTTGAAGGGAATGATACATGAAGGAAAAATCCAATCTTGACATTTGGCAACTTCTTTCTAATCATATTAGGAACAAGCATAAGGTGATAGTCATGAACCCAAATAATGTTATTTGGATCATCGAATGAGGAGTCACCGTTTTCACGAAGATATACCTCAACAGCCTTGTCGGCCATCATTTGGTTAAGAAGTTTATACTGATCCCAAGAGTGTGCCTCGAATGCCTTTGATTTAGGGTCATCTGGGATTTGGTAATGAAGGGTTGGCCACAAAATTTGCTTACAATAAGACTTATAATGGCCCTGGAAAGTGTCATCATTTGGAAAGATGGCATCAGAGTTATAGTCAGCACTCAAAGTATGGGCAATATCGTCAATGACCTTACTTGAAACATAGTCACTTGGCATGGAAAGAGTACCAACCCATTTCCGGTTCTCGATGATCCCTTGTTCAGTTGCAAGTTTTACAGCTTTGGTAAGTGATCCATTTCCCTGATCTGTAAACGTCACCTTCCAAGGAGCAGTATCAAAAATGTTTTGACATGAAAGTAAGTCACTTTCAATACCTGGGTTGGAAAATCCTCCAAAGGGAGCCAATTTTGTGGCAGCACGTCCATGAACCATGTCATTGAATTGGTGCGACCAATCGTCGGCATCGATTTCTTGGAATGCTTCGGTCAGCTCTGATTGGGAAGTTGGCAACTTCACCTGGAGTTTACCCGAAGAATTGTTTGCAACATGATCAGATTCCTCATCTTCACTCAACACCTCTGTTAATGAACCTGTGCTCAAGTTGTGCAAGTTAAACATCGGTTTAGAAGATTTGCTCAACAGAGAACGTGCTCTATTTGGTGGTGGAGCGACTCCAGAGGTTCCGCTACCCATAGACAAAAGATTCACAGCTGAAGTACTAGATGAATTCGCTAAATTGGTAGAAGAACGATTCACTTTCAAAGAAGGTGGTAAGCCAACTTCTTCGCTGCGTTTCTTTAAATCTACAACTGATGAATTTGGTTGCAAAACGACTCTTGGTTTGGGTTGGATCAATTGCAGACCCAATTTCTCTTGGAGATTGTCAGTAAGAGTATCAGAAGCATTTGGTTTTTTGATAGGATGACGTTTATAGAAAAACTCTTCGGCGGCAGAGTTGGATATATCCAAGCCAGCAGGTCCAGGAGTGCCAGGTCCCACGGATCCGCCTAATGGGGTTCCGAAAGGCGAGTCTGTGGAAAGTTTCCGGGGGTGTGGCGAGCCTGATTTAGGGGTTTCCACGCTACTTAAAGTTGGTAAAATAGACAGAGCGTTTGACGTTGGGGTTGAAAACGCGGCTTGAGGCTTTGCTGGAGCATCAGGAGCAACTTCCTGAGGACCAACCTCGAATTTGACCGTATAAGGAAGAAATCTATAAATGGTTAGTAAGAGTAATTTAGAGGTAAATTAGGGGGATTCTTCCATTTATCAATGGGCAAATAAAATGATGGAGCGTAATGAATCAATGGGCCAGTCAGAAATTGTCTTCAGTTCGGAGCCCAGAAAGTTAAACCAATTGAATAGACCAATTAACCCTCTATCAATTCCTTGGCTTATAAAGTATATTGATTAATTGATCTATCGAATATATTGGTAGTCGATGGCTCTCGAGAGAACTTATCTAATCGTGATTTTCAATCCACAACTCTTCGCAACCAATTCCCCATAATATATATTGTATGTATCAATCACCTCTATTGTCTCATTGATTAACAAACTGCAACTCAAGAGAGTACAATTGCAACTCATATTCATATTGAAAACATATACATCTCGGGCTAACCCCTTGAATTGCTTTTATTGAACTGGTGGAAGAATCCATCTCTCTTACACAATCTGACTCTTGAGTCAATTCATCTCATCGACATTCCTCTAAACTGACCTCAAAATGGCCCAACGATATTCCTCGAGGTTTATACATACAATGATGCTACTATTACAGTCATGGAGCCTTAATCTATACAAATGAAAGTATCACCTAAATGCAACGCAACTAAAAGCAAACCCACATTGCGCTTTTGGACTCAGGTGGTGTAAGCAATATAGCAAGATACACTGTGCAGGTCGCGCCCCACGGTGTATAAGAGATACATGCGGCCTCTTTTTCCCCTACGGAAATGTACCAAGAACTGCCGCGAACATGAAAAGGGAATGTAAAACTCACCTAGGCTATTAACAATTGAATTGATTTTGATATCTGGGTTCATTGTGGTTACTCGAACCCTAGAACTTTTATTATTTTCTTCTGGTTTATTAGGAACAAAGGGGGGGGTGACATATAGTTTCTTTCTAATTATATTTCTATAGTTATCTCTCACTTTGTTTTATTCTATATGGATTTACATTCACTTTCTGATAGTCATTGTCATGTGGGGATTGCTTGTACATATTCGACTTCAAATGAGGTGATTGAATCTCTTTCTAAAGATTCCAGGCTTAAAAATTATGCCCTTATGTCCACAAACCATATCGATATAGATTATGTGGACATGATATCTCGGTCATTGGAAGGTGTGGTGGTTCCATTTTATGGGATTCATCCTTGGTATGTACATCTTTTCTATGTAGGAGATGGTGATGAAGATGAATATATTGAAATGGATCATCCTAATGCAAATTCATTCAAATTTGCTCATTACCATAAAGTTTTACATCCAGCACCACTGGATGAATTACTTGAAGTATTACCACATCCAATAAATTTGGAAGTACATAATAAGAAGATTCAAGTGTTGGCAATTAATAATAATGAGAGTCAATTCGTTGGGATAGGAGAAATTGGACTCGATAAACCGTTTAGAATCCCTAGTAATGGATATTTTGGTAATCAAACGGTAAATATAGCAGAATCAGGGCCAAAACTTTCTAATTGTAGAGTTACCATAACACATCAACGATTAGTTTTGGAATCACAACTTGAAATTGCACAATCACTCCAATTGGCAGTATCTTTACACTGTGTTAAGGCACATGGAGCCTTATATGACACAGTCTCCAAGTACAATATCCCTTCGATAATCCTTCATTCATTTTCTGGTTCAAGTGATCAGGCAAAGATTTGGTGTAAGAACTTTGCCAATAAAGTTTTCTTTCTGTTATCCAATTGGATTAATGGGACCGAATCTAAACTTCAAATGTTTTCAGAGTTACTACATGTTTTAGGAGATATGAATATATTGATTGAAACAGATCTAAGTATTGATAGTATGGATAAAGATGAGTATCTTGGACATTTACAAGGAATCTTCCATAAGATTTCCAATGAAAGAGGTTGGACAGAACAAGAAACTGAAAAGATTTTACAAGATAATTGGGAGAGATGTTTGAGAAAACATAATAATTAACAATATGTTGATCCTTTTTTAATTACATATAGATTCACATATATCTCATTTATTTAATAAATTTACAATCTAGACTTAATAATGTCAACAAATTCTGGCTTCAAAGAAGCACCACCGACCAAGAACCCGTCAACGTCAGCCTTGTCCTTGAATTCCTTGGCGTTCTTACCGTTGACAGAACCACCGTATAAGATTCTGACAGCAGCAGCTTGTTCTTCACCAATGGTCTTGGCCAAGTGAGCTCTGATACCCTTGTGGGTTTCTTGAGCATCTTCTGGGGTAGCGGCTAAACCGGTACCAATGGCCCAGACTGGTTCGTAAGCAACAACAATGTTAGTCCAGTCCTTGATGATCTTGGAGGCAGCGTCCAATTGTCTGGCACAAACATCCAAAGTGACGTTGGCCTTTCTTTCTTCAAGAGTTTCACCGATACACAAGATAACGGAAAGACCTTGTTCCAAAGCAAACTTGGTCTTGTCAGCGACGAATTCGTCAGATTCCTTGATGATGGTTCTTCTTTCAGAGTGACCAGTCAAAGTCCAGGTGGCACCCAAGTCCTTGACTTGAGCTGGGGAGATTTCACCAGTGTAAGCACCAGAAGCCTTGTCAAAGACGTTTTGGGCAGAGATGGCAACGGTCTTTTGCTTGTTTTCGGCAACAGCAAGACCCAAGTATGGGGCTGGTGGAGCAATGACAACTTCAACTTGGGATGGTAATTCCTCAGAGTTCAAGTTGGCAATGATTTGAGCAACGGACTCCTTGGTACCGTTCATTTTGAAGTTTCCTCCGACGAAGAATTGACGAGCCATTTTATAATATTTTAGTTGTATTAGGGGGTAGCAGTGATAAACTGATGAGGAAAAGAGTATTGAATCAAAGGAGTAGAGAATTAAGCGGTACTTTATAGTCCATGGACGGCTTTGTGTTCGCTTTGCATCACGAGACTCGTGGGATTATGAACACGCGGAAGGGTCAGTTCCGAGGTGTGGGGTGACGAAAAAAATAAAGGGCCAAATTTTTTGCAAGGGTAAAAAAAAAGAAGAATAATCATACAAGAGACAAACATATGAAGAATACAAATCCATTGAAGCGTGTTAATATTCTGTATATATTTTGTAAGTCTTCTTTTGAATGCGAGTGATGTAAGGGTAAATATTGCTAGAGTAAGTCAAGAATAACAAAGTGATTTGGTTTGGTAGTGGTGTAATGGCTTTTTAGCAGCCTTTTGTTTTTTCGCATGAGCGGAACAAATATTAGTTTGCAACAATAAGTCCCGGAGAATTACAAATATGGCAATTCCATTGATTTAAAATGTGACAAAGGTTAGTAGATCATTGGGAGGATCTATAGATTGTAGGACGTAAATTTATATATACAAGTGCTATATTCATGTACTCTAAAATATTTAGTTAATTGGATGATACAATTTATTCTACATATGAACTACTTAAACTTTAATTATAAAAATATAATATTATCTCCCATTACTATCAATATGACAATTGTCTCCAACATTCTCTAAACTTTGAACTGCACTTTGGTTTTCCATTTCAAACCTACCCGGATTTATTCTTCCCTTTTCAAATTGCTCTTTGATCAACTTATCCTTGATCCGTTGATTCCGAATCACATCCTGTTGTGCTCGGATAATCCCATCTATGTCCATATCTTGCGGATTGGCCAACTTGTTCTTCAGATTGAAACAAACTTCGTCACGGGTCTCTCGTGTGACCTCTTCATCGACCTCATCATCGGGTAAATCATCCCAGGTCATTAAAGGTGTCTTAAGACAAAATTTATTTGTTTCATCCATTTTCTTCATGATTAAATATTGACAATGAGGAATGTTTCTCAACAGTTCAAATTCCTCATAACTCCATCTAAACCATTTCATCAAAAACACTCTTGCCCAAATCCCATGGGTAACAAGAACCAACACGTTGGGGAAGTCATCTTGTTGGAACTGTCTATATAAAGTTTCATTGAACAGTGCTACTCTATCATACACATCAGCGGCACTTTCCCCATGAGGAATTCTATAAAAAAAATGTCCATAATGTGCTCTTTCTTGCCAAATCTCCTCCATTTCTTCTGGAGTACTTTGGAAGTTCCCAAAATCTTGTTCTCTTAGTCTAGGCTCTTCTAACGTAGAATGTGATATTCCTTCTACATCTTCTATTCCTGATATTATATCTCGACAGGTTTCTCGTGCTCGAAGATATGGAGAGGTATAGAAAAGAACTGACCGTTTATTTCCTTCAAAGCATTTTTGTTCAAGAAAATGCTTTAGAACTTGTCCTGCTTGTTCTGCTTGTTCATGACCTCTTTGAGTTAATGGAACCTTATGATTTGGTGTAAATCTATTGACAGATTTGTCACAATTTCCTTCTGATTCTCCATGTCTTACAAGAAGAATATACTAGACAATGTTAGTAATTTGCACCATTTGTATATAATTTTTTAGATGACTACTACTAGTCCGAACCCAGTCTTCAAAATTTAATGTGAGGCTTAAAAATGAATCAACATCTGTTCTAAAGACTTGGGTGTTACTACTTGAAGTACCCATCATTCATGAAATGTTCTATGACTGTGAGAAATAACAAGAGAAGTATGGACAATGAGAGACTGGAGGCTTAAACATTCGAGTCTCAAACTTTATTCCATTCCAACAAGTTGTCCATCCTTCTCCTAATTATATCTTGTACATCGTACCTTTTACATACCTTTGGTTTAGCCATGTGTTTTTTCTATTATTCTATTCTTCTTTTATGGCTAATTTTAAAGAAACATCTCCTTAGTAATGCTTCTCCCTTTACTGGTGCAAGATCAGCCAAATACGGTGATAAGAACGATCACGTGGTGTGTGTGTGTGTGTGTGTTTTTTGTTTGTTTCTTTTTTCTTGTCATTGTTTCAAACTATGCATTCAAAACATATCTGTTTTATAATGATCAGGAATTATATATTGTAAGGGTATTTTCCAACATATAAGTGATAAACAAAGGATAAAATATGAAAAATAAAATATTATAAAATAAAATAAACATTCATAGTTATTCTCTAGAAAATACTTGATCCCAATAAAAAATTATATGGGCCTATATGTCTCTTTACACTAGGTGTACTCAATTTTACTTACAATCATCTTCTCTTATCTTTTTCTTTCCCTATTCTCCTATTCTTTATAAAATTTGCAACCAAACTGGCAACTAAAAGTTCTACTATCTCACTACAAATTCGCTTTCAAATACACAAGTTAACTAAACACCTATAAAGTTCAGCTTTTCGGAAACTCGCCCCTAAAACCAGGGCCAATCTATTCTAATGCTCAATGAGAAATGGACATCTCGATGTACATCTCTCGAAATACTTCTTTCTCTCTCTCTCTTTCTCTTTCTCTCCACTCCTATCTTCTAATTCGATTTATTTATTCGTTGACCAACTTTCTTTCAATAGCAAAGCTCTTGGTTAACTCTTCGTCACACTTCTTCAAAATGTCATCAGCCAAAACGTCTATGGCGTGGGAATGCAACATGTTGTTGTATCTAGAAGGTTCACCTGGCAATCTGAATATAGTTTCCCATTCTTGAGTGTCAAGTTCTTCTTCGCCTCTCTTGGCTCTTTCCAAGTTGTCTACCTTTCTTTGTTGTTTCCATTGGGTGATCTTACTGTTTTCCTTTTGGAGTTGTCTTTGGTAGTAGTTAAAGTTGTTTTGATCGTAATTGTACGAGTCAACTTGGGAGTAGAGGGATTCCAAAAGTTGTGCAGTAGCGTTTTGGTTAGATGAAAGGTTAAGAATGTCAAATTCAGAAGAGTTGACAGATTCATCACCAGATTCACCAGCCAAATACAAGCTAACAAGTTGTTGGTTGTGAATGGTTACTTCAATTTCATCAAAGATATTCAAGTAAGATAAACGGTTGGATTGTAAATCCTTTGAACGCCACTTACCACTCAAGTAAGTGTTAACAAAGCTTTCGGACAAACGCAAGGCCTTCAAGTCAAGTTCCTTACCGATGGAGGCCATGTTGTGAACCAAAATGAATGCATTCTTGTTGGTAAGTTGTTGTTGAACCAAGGCATCAACCAATTGGGTGGTGACAAAGTTACCACTGACAGTAGATTGGAACCAACCTTGGAAATCAATTCCGTAACCCAAGGTTCTGAGAGAAGACAAAATATCTTGTTGGTATTGAGCACCACTCTTAGAACGAAGAGATCCACCTTCGTATTGATCTGGGTAAGGGAATGGGTAGGCGTGGGTAACATCTACGGAACCTTCATCGTCTTCAAACCCAAGAAGAGCACCAGAGTACAAGGCTGGGTAGTTTTCAGAAGTGTGTCTGATGAGAGACAAGAGGACAGATGCCTCGATTTCAATGGTAGTAGCTGTTGGAGCTTGGTAAGATTTTCTGTTTGTTAGTAATGAAAAATGAAGAGTAAAATGTGACAATTTAGACTAGATTTTCTCCACATTAATTTTGCAAGTGGATTTATACTTTGCGGGTACATTCAGTAGTTCCAAAATCGAATGAGAAGTCTTCTTCTTGGTTCTTTGATCCTTGACTGTAATTGTTTCGTACAAAGGGAGATCGTCTACTTCACGATTGTGGCTCTATCTCACGCAGTTAAAATTAAATGAAATGAAATAAGAGAGTTTGTCTCCCCGAAAGTCGAACCGATATCAATACCTTCTTCTTACTCTCATGTATGCTGTAGTTGATAGCCGTCTATCTATAGCGTTACCATTCACTTATCTTCGAAAAAGGATCAACTGCTCCCTTCAGACTTTGATTCAAAAAAAGAAGACGCCCACTTCTTCCCTTCGTCAAATTAAACCCCCTTGCAATGTTTATCCTCCACATGTCCATCTGGTCATCTAGAAATATATTACATACCCTTTACTGGCCATTGTTCTGTTGTATGATTTCTCCACCTATGTATCACTCTCTCTCTTTGCTTCATAACTCTTTTTTTTCACAAACTGATGGACACGTCTTACATAAAAGATTAGGTAATCTTCTAAAAAAAAATCAAGAACAAATTTTTTTTTTTTTTTTTTTCCCTTTTTTTTTCTCATTGAGTGTGAAGTTCGCGCAAGTCGTCGCTCAAAGAGTCCGAAGAGTCACAAAAGATTGAAGAAAAATTAACTTGACTTCATTGAAAGCCTGTTTCTTTTTTTCTTTATATCGTCAATAAGAATACAGAATGAGTGCCCCAACTGTCGAAGAGGTCACTGAGCAGGTCCAAAAGACCTACTTGGATGACATTACCGGTGAACAAGTCTCCAAGACCGAGCTCAAGAAGCGTCAAAAGCAAAGAGCCAATGAAGCCAAGAAGGCTGAAAAGGCTGCTAGAGGTGCTGCCACTGCTCCAAAACTCGCCAAGAAGAAGGATGACATGGCTGACTTGACTCCTAACCAATACTTCGAGCTCAGATCCAGACAAATCGAAGAATTGAGAGCTGGTCATGAAGCTGACCCAACTGCTTTCAACCCATACCCACACAAGTTCGATGTGTCCATGTCTTTACCTGAATTCACTGCCAAATACAAGGACTTGAAGAAGGGTGACACCTTGACCGACGTTGAAGTCAAGGTCACCGGTAGAATCATGCGTAAGAGAGAATCTGGTTCCAAGTTGAAGTTTTACTCCTTGAAGGGTGAAGGTGTTGAATTGCAAATCATGGCTCAAGCTCAAGATGTCAAGGAAGGGGTTGAAGTGTACGAAAAGATGCACGAATACCTCAGAAGAGGTGACATCATCGGTATCACCGGTTACCCAGGTAGAACCAACCCTGCCAAGGGTGGTGAAGGTGAAGTTTCCGTCTTTGCTACTTCCATCCAATTGTTGACCCCATGTCTTCACATGCTTCCAACTGAAAGATACGGTTTCAAGGACCAAGAAGCTCGTTACAGAAAGCGTTACTTGGATCTTATCATGAACGAATCCACCAGAGATCGTTTCAAGGTCCGTTCCAAGATCATCACTTATATCCGTAAGTTTTTGGACAACAGAGATTTCGTTGAAGTTGAAACTCCAATGATGAACGTTATTGCTGGTGGTGCCACCGCCAAGCCTTTCATCACCCACCACAACGACTTGAACATGGACATGTACATGAGAATTGCTCCAGAATTGTTCTTGAAGGAATTGGTTGTCGGTGGTATGGACAGAGTCTATGAAATTGGTCGTCAATTCAGAAACGAAGGTATCGACATGACCCACAACCCTGAGTTCACCACCTGTGAATTCTATCAAGCTTACGCTGATGTCTATGACTTGATGGATACCACTGAATTGTTGTTCTCTGAAATGGTAAAGGAAATCACCGGTGACTACAAGGTTAAGTACCACCCAGATGGTCCAGAAGGTGAAGAACTCACCTTGGACTTTGCCCGTCCATGGAAGCGTATCAATATGATTGAAGAATTGGAAAAGGTCTTCGATGTCAAGTTCCCTGCTGGTGACCAATTGCACACCGAAGAAACCGGTGTCTTCCTTAAGAACATCTTGATCAAGCACAAGTTGGATTGTTCTCCTCCATTGACCAACGCCCGTATGTTGGACAAGCTTGTTGGTGAATTGGAAGATGTTTCCATCAACCCTACCTTCATCTTTGGTCACCCAAAGATGATGTCTCCATTGGCCAAGACCGACAGAAACCAAAACGGTTTGTGTGAAAGATTCGAAGTATTCGTTGCCACCAAGGAAATCTGTAACGCTTACACCGAATTGAACGATCCATTCGAACAAAGACAAAGATTCGAAGAACAAGCCAGACAAAAGGCTCAAGGTGACGATGAAGCACAAATGGTTGACGAAACCTTCTGTAACGCTTTGGAATACGGTTTGCCACCTACCGCCGGTTGGGGATGTGGTATTGACAGATTGGCCATGTTCTTGACCAACTCCAATACCATTAGAGAAGTTTTGTTGTTCCCAACCTTGAAGCCAGATGTTACCAACTAGTTAGATTTGATATTAAGATAACAATGAGATAATACAAATAGAAAAGTTGTAGATTTTACAAAAAGAATATTGTTTGTTTCCTTTATCGGACTTTACTTTCGATATCTCTTCTATATTATATTACTAATGTACAATTGATCTATTAACCAGCGATTGTTTTATCCATGGAAGTAGAATTAACGTCTCACCATTTCACCTCTTCTCTTCATCTCTAATGCCTTCTTGTAAGGAGGTGCGGTGGGCATTTGCACAGGGTCTAACGCAACCTTACGTGGTACTGCACCATCCAAAGAGTAAGTAGCATCTGAATCCACATCGTTCAAGTCTCCACAGGCAACAAATGTTGCTATTTCACGTTCTTCTGGATCGGGGAGTTCTAATTCTTCTAAATTGTCACTTCTTCCGATATTAGCACCTTCGAAGAATTCTTCAGTTGACTTGTTGAGATCAAGTTGTGGGGTCCAACCAGTGGTTGGAGGACGATATCCCAAGCAAACAACAAATGCCTCCAAGGAAGTTCCTCTAGAAGATCTTGGCTTGGCACATACCACACGATCAAATAAGTATCCAAGTTGGGCGTATAAAAGATCAATATCTCTACCACGGAAAATTTTGGCAACAAATGCTCCACCGGGTTTTAAAAGACAAGTGGTAAGTTGAAGAGCAGACAAAATAAGTTGTGCTTGAAGATATTCGTCCAAGTCATGAAGTCCAGTGACATCAGGAGCCCCATCAGAACAAACAAAGTCAGCCGGTTCACCTCCAAAGATTTCCATAATCTTTTGAAGAGTCTTTGGATGGGTAATATCAGCTTGAAGAGTAGTAACCCCGTCAATAGGAGTCATGGGTTGAAGATCGACAGAGACGATTTTAGTCTCTTCGTCAGTACCTTCACTGTTCTTTTTAAGTTCTCTAGATAACACTTGAGACCATGAACCTGGTGCAGCACATAAATCAACCACTCTTTTGAGATCTTTGAAAAGATGAAATTGTTCATTAAGTTGAAGAAGTTTGAAAGCTGAACGGGCTCTCCAACCTTCTTCCTTTGCCCTACGGTAGTAGAGGTCTCGTTTATCCTTACTGGACTTACCCATATTGCAAGTGTGATGGTATGACTCAGTGGTGTGATGGAGAGGTGTCTTTGATGCATCTTCATTTGAAGATTTTGTGTTCCTGTATAGGCTCATATTAAATTTTGTCGTGTTCGTGCCAATTGTTCTGTGGTAGTATCAAAATTTTGGTGGTGAATCTCACTGAAAAAAATCAGACTGAGGTGCCCATCATTCCAAAAGAAGAGACTAATAGTACATTAGCAACATGATGTTCAGAGGCTGTTCCAGGATCGGTGTACGTGGCAGCAGCTTGATGCTGTTTGGTGCCAGATACAACAGTAGCGCGGCCACCACCCCATCCACTAAATCATTTCTTTCACCAGAACAATTCATGGAAAAGACCAAGCAACAACAGCTTGAAGAAGAACAATATAAGCAAGAGCTCTTGAGTCCTAACTTTGAATATTCTCCTCAACTTGTTTCCAAGGACCAAGTCGATCCTATTTCCAAGAGACCTGTGCCCATCAACGTCGAACTTCTCCAATACAAACCAATCAAGCTTGCCAAAACCCATGGTCATAAGGTAGCCCTGATCACCATTCATGGGTATGAGCGTGAAGAACTTGACCGTGCAGCAGAGTTTGCCGCTAGAGCCGCCTTCTACTTGGGGATTCCATGTGGTTCTCCAACCAACTTGAGAGTTAAGGAAAAGCTCTTTACTGTCATTAGATCGCCTTTCGCTCAAGCCAAGTCGAAGGAAAATTTCAAGAAATACACCTATGGACGTAAAATCGTTGCATATGATGCCACTTCCGAAGTGGTGGACGTGTGGTTGTCCTTCATCAACAAGCACAAGCTTGAAGGTTTACAATACAAGTCATTCATGTACTCTCGTGAACCTTTGGACTTTGCCAAGCAACTTGAAGGTTTGACTGCTGAAGACATGCAAATGCCAGCTGCCTTTGAAGGTGTCGATGATCCAGTATCTCAAAAGGTTCAAGAATTATTGAAATCCGATACTTTCAAGAAATACTTCGATGAAAAATAATTAATCTTAAACGACCAACCATACTACTCACCCAACTCATGTATATATGAAATAAACAGAATTAGAATACAGATGTAGTGAAAAGCTTACCCCAATATCTTTTTCCTCTACATCCAACACTTTTGTCTCTCATTATTTAACTTTGTTTTGGTCTAATTCTTCTCATATCTATACTTTAACTAGTAGCTTTTCATCCATAGACATCCCAATCTTCTTCCTCTTCTTCATCATCTTCTTCACGGGCCTTTCGAAGTTCTTCTTCCAATTTTTCCTTCCTCTTCTGTTCTGCTGCAACCACATCAAACCGACATAATGGACAAGTAGAATTCATTTTCAACCAAGGTGCCACACACTCCAAATCAAAAATATGTCCCTTGGCCTTGATACCACTGGCATGTTGTACTTTGCAAGGTAATCTGACAATCAATGGATATTCATTATCAACAAATCGATTGGTACAAATGGGACAATCGGCAGTGTCATTATTGGGCACTTTATTGAGTGGGACTCTTTCAAGAGAGTCTAAAAATTCATCTGAAACTCCACCTTTATGACCTTTTCCAATTTCGCCATTCTCGTCGCCAATGCTTTGCAATTCACCTTGGTTAATGGAATTTAAAAGTTGAAGGGCTAATTCAGAACCTTCCTCGGTTGCCAATAAGTCAAGTGCCCTTTCAAAGGAAGCTTGGGTCGAGTTATTGGACGTGTCCTGGGTAAGAAAGTTATCAATTGCAGATGAAAGAGTTTGATGTTGTCTTGCCGAATCTCGTGGTACTGATCTTCTTTGAGTATTTATATTATGGTCATCTAAAGAAACGTGTTAGTAAAGAAACTAATGTAGACAATAATAATCCGCTTTGCCTTACATACCTTCATAAGTAGACATTTTGGGTATACAATACAATGTGAGTGAATGATAGTTGGGGGCGGGCCTCACAATTGATCTCTTTTAAAAAAAAAGTGGTGGCGACTTTCGCATAAAAAGGGTTGCAAAGAATTTTGGCACCAGCAACGGACAATCTTATCTACCGTATTCCCTAGATTTCTCTACAACTTCTCTCTCTACAAGTCTCTTAGTCTAACTCTACTACAAATTATCACCATTTATTCGATATTTGTATTTATCCCATTCATAACCTATTTATATTTTATTATTTTGTACTATTCCTCTCTATCCATGTCCTCATCAAGCTCTTCTGTCATATCAAAGTACTCTTGGTTTTGACTATTCAAATACAAGGGCGTCATGGGTGCATCTTCAGTTGGTGTTTGTACAGGAATTAATATGGGTGAAGAATTACTTGGTCTTTTACTCAGGGTTATGTAATTAGAAGTGTCAGGAATCATTATTGGTCGTTGACCATTTGAATGTCCATTTTGAGCCCCAGTCAGTGGCTGTTGTTGTTGCTGCTGTTGTTGTTGTTGTTGTTGCAAGTAGAACATGTGCCTTGAACTCGAGTTAAGAGAAGTGCCCAATGATCTTGGTGGTGTTTGTGAAGAAAGCCAAAATCTTGACGGGGAACCTCCCAATGAAGTTGGATCCAAATTAGGAGAGTCTGGGACTCTCATCTGTTGTTGTATAGGTATGCTTTGTGTGGTTGAATGAAGTGAATGTTGTAACTGCGTGTGTATTTGTGGCTGGGATGGTACTATACCAAAACCTCCAGTGGCAGTGTTTGGCATTCGTTGTTGATGTAAATGTGTAAGTGATTGGCGAGATGCAATGTTGTTGTATGACCCCTTCCGGTCTATGGCGTAGTTGTGTTGTTGTTGTGGTGGTGGTGGTGGTGGTGGTGCTTGGTCTGATAACTGATGCTGAGGTTCTGGGGACAAGGTCTTTGGTGGATGGAACCCCGTTGTGATCATTGGTGCCGTGTCCGGTTGCACTGACAAGCTCAATAAACTTATGGTGGACGACGAAGGAATCATCCGGCCATCCATCTCCTTCCCCACCGACGACGCCAAAAGCTCCGGCTCCGGGTGATCGTCTGTATATGGGCCCTTGTCTATCGGATATGGCGAGGAATCGTCGAGAAAAAATGACCCTCCAGCGCCGTTTGCCCTTCTGCTGGAAGCCAACTCACGAGAAAGAAGGGACTTAGACTTTTGCTCCTGGATCGACAAGTTGTCGAACTGGTGATCGAGCTCCCCCATGTCGTCAAAGGAGAGTACTTAGTCGGGATATAAAGGTAAATAAACCGGTCAATGACTCGTTAGTTGAAATCGTCTTGGATCTTTTTTTTATCGCCTCACGCAAAAAAAAAAAAAAAAAAGTCTGGTGAAAAAAAAAAAAAATTATATCGGGAAACAGGTACGACAATGATTATGAACTCCGTTCAACGAATGCGATAATAAATCTTTAGGGGGTCCTTAAAAATGACACACTCGCTGTAACTAGGTGCAAGATAAGATAAGAAATAATTCAGTGATGTGGCAAACCACACTCGATGCAGACTTCTCCACTATGTGAATTCCTTGTTTTGTTCTTTGCCCCTATTCGTCACCGGTGCCATGCCAATTTATTTGTGGTATAAACCTCCTATCTCGTTCTGTCGTTTGATCGCTATCGCGGACCTTGTCCTGCACTACTCACTTTTTTTTTTCTCAATTTATTATTTTTTTTCTTGTCCGATAACGTAGCAAACAAGAGAATCGTCACAGATACATGAAAATATTTCTTTTCCCCTTTCAATTAGGGAAACGGATCCCCGAGAATCAATTCGTAAAAAGTTAAACTTCTTAACCGGTGCTGTAGTCAGGTTTCTCGTTAAATTTTAGAAATTCGTATTGTTATTCAGTAGCTTATTTTTTATGTGTACATCACAACTTTTTCACACTCCTTGAAAATATTGTGTCTTCCCCACCTCTATCCATTTCCCGTTGCGGAGATTGAGGAGTTCCTTTATTGTGAATGATTTCCAACAATGTATGACGTTTTTTTTAAAATTTAACACTTTCATATGTTATCAAGAGAAGCTACAGGTATTTTCTACAAAAAAGATGCCATTGGTTTACTTCTTTTCACCCTCTCTTCATCTCTAATAGGCCCTTCGTATCGTTGTTAATATAAATTATTCTGAATATTATTATTCGGCTATATTTCTTGGTCATGTTTTAGTTTTGGGTGCAAATTTTTATTATTATTATTCTATATCTATCTAATAATTACTTTTATCTTCTGGATCAATCTTAAATATCTTATCTGGATTAAGTAATCTTTTCGGATCCATGGCAAATTTGAGCTTTCTCATTAAATTAATTGTATCTTCTCCAAGTTCCATTTCAAGAAAATGACGCTTACCATTCCCAATCCCATGTTCTCCACTGGAAGTCCCTTCATTCAGAAGTCCAAGTTCCATCATTTGATTCACAACCCGTTCACATTTCTCCTTTTCATCGGGTCGATAATATAAATCTGCATGGAAATTCCCATCTCCAACATGTCCAACAATAATATATTGAAGTCCAGAATTAACAATAAGTTTATGAACATCTTCAAGAACTGGTGAAAGTTTCGAAAGTGGTACAGCTATATCAGTGACCCAAAGTGAAACATCTTCATGAATTTCATTCTTACCATATTCAAGAAGTGAATAAAAAATGTTTTTACGAGCACTGAAAAGTTCTTCTCCTTCTTCCTTATCTTTGGCAATGACAAGGGCCAGACAATTATTCTCCAAGGAAATCCTTTCTAATTCCTTTGAATATTCATCTACAACTTGTTCATTGATTCCTCCAAGTTTGAAAAAAAGAGTAGGAACTTCAAGCCATTCTTTGGTGGTATATCCACTATAATTAATACAATGCATCGAATGTTTATCGAGAAGTTCAATTGCTGAAGGTTGAATTCCCTGTTGGAACAATTGAGTCACAGCATTGGTTGAATCAAGAATGGTTGGGAATTGTCCAACAATAACTCTTTCATACTTGGGCTTAACATGAAGCTTAACCGTAGCTTCGGTAATTATCCCCAAGGTCCCTTCACTACCAATAAACAAGTGTGTCAAGTTGTAACCTGCACTTGACTTTCTTGGACGTTGTTTCGTCTTTACAATCGTACCATCTGCCAACACAGCAGTGACAGAAATCACATTATGGATCATTGCTCCATACATGGTAGCATTGATCCCCAGAGCATTGGTATTGACCATCCCACTTATCTTGGCATTTGGCCCGCAATCACACCCCATGATAAGCCCAGCACCTTGTAATTGATCATTCAATTCAACCCAATTGACTCCCGCTTGAACCACACAATCCAAATCATCTTCATGTACGGCCAAAACCTTGTTCATTTTAGAGGTATCAAGCACTATACATGGTTGACGAGTTGAAAAAAAATGACCTTCCAATGAAGTACCTCCACAATATGGCACCACGGGAACATTATATTTATGGACAACTTTCATCACTTGAGACACTTCCTCGGTGGAATTCGGGTACACTATATACAGTGGTGTTTGTCCTGGTAAAGGTTTATGAGTGTTGAATCCATTGTCTGTATGAGCATCAAGCTCAACTTTTGATGATTTCACACTCCCAATGGGAAGACATTTCTCAATTTCCTTGATCGCCTGTGAAAGCTCTTCATTCGTAGCATACACTGGAGGGGAAATCTTTGATAATGGGGTACTTGAACTAGTTGGGAATGCATCTTCTGGAAGATTTTCCAACGTTTTAGCTCTTGTGTATGAATAGGTGCTATAAGCTACGACAGATCCGATTGCGAGTGATCCAGCGGCAATTAAAGTCCATGGAGTCCTTCCTGCCACTGGTGGGTTGGTGTGAATGGTTCTAGCATGCTTCCAACTACTAGATACCCGCTTACAGAGCAGATTTCGAGGTATTCTATACATTGTCGTAGTTTAGATCTTCATTAGAGATTATGACTATTAATCGTTTTTGGGGCCTTTTTTTTTTTTGAATTTTTCACAGTGGTCGTGCGGAAATTCAGCACGTCACCAAACTGTGGATCCTGATAATGCATGATTTAGAGATAAGCTAAAAATACGAATAAACAAGATTGAAGTAAATGAAATTAAAAAATGAATGGGTACAATTGGTGTCATATACATCAATGAGATTACATAGACTCATTATTTTTTTAAAAACAATTTAAATGGTTCAAGGTAATTAGGAGGAAGAATATATTTTTAAGGGCTGCTCATTGGCTCATTGGGTCTGTGTATAGGTGTACGGATGTGAGGTAAAATTGTAGTAGATATGAATTTTTGCAGCTTTATTTATTGAGTTTTAAAAGGTTAAAAGGTGGTAATAGTTGTGAATATCAGTAAAGTATGGTGTAATGGTTCAATTTTCAAGTTTTTTTGTAAATTTTAATATATGTCAAGTGTTTCTTAGTACAGGATTGATTAATTATTCAGAATTTTATATATATTTCTAATATTTTTGTTAGCACCATATCTTCTTCAGTGAAAGTATGTTTAGTGCTCAAGAAGAACCAGAACCACTTTTAAATAATCTTAGAATCTATTAAGAACGAGGTGGTATATTTCTCACCATTTTAGAACAGTATTATCTTTGTTAAACTGAATGCATTGTAGAAGTAATTTTGGCAGAAAATTACCTTAATACTACTTTTTACTAGGACAAAAAATCACTTTCTAACATACATATATTCATCCTGGAAATAACCTGTCAAATGAACTTCTATATACTAAAGATATTTATGTATTTAATCATGTTTTGGCAATATTTCAGGAGGGTCGTGCCCCTACCAAAATATTCCCAAACCACCAAGCAGAGCGCGAGAAAAAAAATAAAAATTCGAAAACAAGCCTGCGTAGCGTAATGGTTAACGCGTTTGACTTCTAATCAAAAGATTGCGAGTTCGACTCTCGCCGTGGGTTTTCTTTGCGGTTTTAGCTCAGTTGGGAGAGCGTCAGACTGAAGTAAAAACTTCGGTCCAGTTAATCTGAAGGTCCTGTGTTCGATCCACAGAAATCGCATATTTTTTTTGCAGATTCTGCATCTCTTCTTTCTTTTTAACAACTGTTAGCAAGTAAAGAATGTCTAAATAATAAATAGTTAAGCAAACATCATATTTTAATTATCCTTATTCTTTAATAATGTAGCCTATATCTTATCTTAATATCCTTAGTTTCTAATTAAAAGCTTATAATTTTTTTTTTTACATCCAAAATTGTATGTTTCTCATTTTTTTTGCAACACAACAAATCATTTCTTATTGTATTGTCTACTTATATTTTTTAACTATATACCTTATACCCTAATGTAGAAGTCTTCTTCCCGATCATCGTATGATTCGTTTTTGAGGACTCCACTATAATCATCTTCTAGTTCATAATTACCAATACTGGTAATGTGTGGAATTTCAAACCCAACGAAAACTGCATTTTCAACAAGCTTGAGTTTGGTTATATAATTGTCTTCATTGGCTTCTTTATTCAAGTTCAATTGAAGACTCTCACGTATTTGATTGTGTTCTAATTGTTCCATATCAAGAGATTTCCGGTTATTGATTGGTAAACGGTTCAGTAATGATTCATGATGTTCATCTATGAGTTTAACAAATTCACCAATATTATTTAAATTGTTTGTACGACCAATTGTTTGCTTTTGATAGTTTAAGAATTTATCTTCAACTTCTTCTTCATAACCAAATTCAAAATCATTATCAATGTAAATGGATGCCAGATCCAAAAGTGGATCATAAATGTTTTCAGTGTCAGGAGTATAAGGAGAATAAGTTGGAGGACTATCAATGGAATCAGAGTCATAAATTGAAGCCTTATCAGATATTTCGTCGGGAAGAATATCTATAGGAGGAGTAGAATTTGCCGATTGGGATAAATTTGTTAAGTTGAAATGAAGAGCTGACATTGGAAGCATGGAGTGTCTTTTCAAATGTGGTTCACTAGATCTGGTTTTAAGTTTATGATGATGATGATGATTGGAAGAATGGTTATTATTATTGGTGGCTGTGGTGGTGGAAATTCTTGTAGTTGAACTTGATGATTTTATTGGTTGAAGTGAATAATGATTAACTTTAGACAGTTGGTTTAAGTTTTCTTTATTCTCTGAACCTCCTCTCTGTCTTGCTACTGTCGAGGTATATGAAGTTTTCTTAGAGTCAATGCTATCGTTATATCTTTGACTAAGATTAAGGGATGAGATTGATTGTGAAAGTGGTCTATGTTTACGGAGATTATCTGATGATTTCTTCTCTTGAACAGATTTTTTAGACCGGAACCCTTGAAATATACCACTTTTCCGTTCATTCAAGTTTGATATACTTTGACTTCGTAACATGTTGTAATGTGAACAATATAGAAAAGGGGGATAAAACTTGGTTGTGGAGTAGTGATGTTCTTCAGGGTAGAATGTCTGTGAGGTAAAAAAATCTTATTATTCTTACACAGAATAATTATTATTATTTTTTTTTTTTAAAACAAAAAAATAAATAATCCACTCTGGAAAAAGGGGGTGTTTATGGGTTGTGAGTTTAGTCGCGTGGGTTTTGTTTTGATTAGATCTCAAGTTATTGTGGTGACAGAAAGTGTAGAAAGTGTAAAGAATTTGTCTTTCAATATGAAACTTGTGAGAAGTTGAAAAGAGAATTCTTAATTATTTTTTTAAAGTATCCCTTGGATAATATATACCGTGGAATACCATTAACACTTAAAACATTTCCGCGATCACAGTCGACTATCATAATCGCGTTGACCGTTTCATATTGTTGACACCCCAAGACGGAAACGGTTAGTGGCACCTTTTGTGCGTCGTAAACATCTGCAATAGGAATGAGTGCGCATATTTTCCACTGCACAAGCAACAAAACGCGAAAAATTTACACTGTCATTACTTAAATTGAACTGGGGGAGGGCCCCACAAACGCACGCAAGGAAATTGAAAACAATAAACAAACAATGAACAGATAACCCAAGTACTTAAAGAAAATCCTGGGGAACCATAACCTAGGGTGGTCTTCTGTCTCCTATGAAGAAGCTTCTTCCTTACAATTGTACACGCTTCGGGAATGACACGGTTTGCAAAATTTCACACCCTTCCCATCCCTGAAAGTATAATGGAAAGCAGATCGCGCTTTACATTTCTTTTCCTGCAACTTTAACCCGTGGGGCGCGGCCGAAATCGAATATGTGATCTTTCTAAAACAAAAATACAACATTTTTAGATAGTTAGATTTCTATCCGATTCTCACCCCGCCTGGGTAAGATAATAATTGGCCAAATTGGTATTGTTTACTTCGCCGAGCCCACAATTACGGGTATTATTTTTTTCTATTTATTTGTTTTATTATCGGTAATTAATTACATACATCGACATGTGCATGATCGATGGAAATTTTTTGGGCAGTAGCGTACATCCAGAAATCTTCCCAACCGAGCCCAAAATGGATACGATCATAGAATGTGTTAACTTTAGGATACAACGGAGCCAGATCTGTAAGTAAGTAACTAAAGTGAGTTAAAAAAATGGAGACACTACAATTAAATCATAAAAAATACTTTTTTCATTTGTTATATTTACAACTCAATCCAGTAATGATCCAGAACTTTATCTGGATGAATTTCAGTTTCTTCGGACGATAAGTTATTCGTCATTTCATTACAATAGTCGCGCGTGAAATCTGCCAATTGTGCGTCTTCAATGTTTGAAGGAATTCTCACTAGACGACTGTGAAATACTTCTCCGGTATAGGGATGAACTTCCTTAGTTCCCTTTGTGATCCAATGTTCTCTTTTCAATGGATTTCCCTTTTTATCACGTCCCAGTAATGTCTTTGCAATGTACTTCATGATTGGTCGGCGAATAACTGCTTCAGCTCCCTGAGGCAAGTATACTGTAAATGGCTTTGTAGAAGATTTACCACCAACAGGTTTAATATTCACATAGCCGACATTCTTAATAACTAAATCTATTGTTCCGTAAAATGGAGGAATTGTATACTTGACCAAATTCTCCATTAATGCAGCGTCAGAATTGACGATAAACTGTTTACTTACAGCCTTGTTCGAATCTTTAGATCTACAGACTTCTGTGGCTCTTTCAACGTCTTTAAACACCATAAGTTCAGCATTAATACAATTCCGAACTTGAACCATAGCATTTTCAGGAATTGTCAAATAAAATAATCCTCCAACTGTAGTACATTGATTGGATTTAACGGTGACATATTTGGATTCATGGGTTCCTCTTTTATAAATGTTGACACCTTTGGTCACTTGTTTAATCTCTGCCGGTTGTAACCATTTAAGAATTCCATGATCTTGAACCCCAAACCCTGGAACATCAAATACAACATTACCTGAATGTGGCAATTCAAAACGAATATTTCCTCTAGTGAAGGCAGGCATCGGAGAGGTCCCTGGACCATTAAGGGCTTTAAATTGAGTCTCATATTTCAATTCTCGCTTTTTAGATGCAAAGGTGGGTTTTATGATTGGTTGTGAAGAATTTATAAGTAAATCTTCATTTTTTTCAGAATTAATTCTTTCTCTTGTCAGTTGAAGTCTACGTTTTTCTTTCAACAGAAGTTTTTCATCTCCATATAAAAGAGATGTAATTAAAGTAGATTTCCCAGAATTCACATCTCCCAAGAAATGTGCATTGACTGGGAGTCTGTTGATAAGTTCACGAATATTCCAATCCACTTTCCCAGAAGTGACAAATATATTCTGAGGAGGTATTCCATACTTCCTACCGAAATAATCTCGGAAAAATCTTGCACCATATCTATTTGAAGTCGAAGAAGTGGCAAAAAGAAGATCACATTTCGTCACCACAACAAATATTTCATTTACATCTCGGTATTGAAAGACCAGAGGATTCACAGAAAGTGGGAAATCATAGGCATTCACCACGTGAACAACACTAGCCAAGGGCCCAACGTTGGAAAGAATGGATTCATTGGAGAACACTGGATGTTCTTTCAAATCGATGTCTCGTCTATAGAGGACATCTCTACAACGGATACATTGAATTCCATTTGGATCAAGTTTTGTTGGACCAGATTCTGGAAGATATGGATGTTTTAATGAAGGAGCAGAAGGGAGGGGTGCAACCGGTGTCGACAGTTCATTTAGAAGAAGCTTACGATCTTCTTCTGATAATTCCAGTTGATATTTTTCAAATATCTTATCCGAGGAACGAGCCTTTTTCTTTGGGTTAGCTTTATCTGTTGGAGGAAGATAAAACCCTGGAGATTTACGATCTGTCGATTGAAGAACTATCCCACAAGATGAACATGAAGGAACAAGACTTCCAAAGATGGAAGACGCCGTTGAATTCAATGACGACGATGACGAGTTTGTTGAATGAAATTTGATTTGATTACGTTGGCCTGTCAATACTCCTTGAGCGAGCCTTCCCGTTCGGTATGCATGACGAAGTAGACTAGGAGTTATTCGTATGCATGTTCTAATCATAATTTTTCTCTTTATATGTTTGTCTCAACCGAAATGTATGTGGGTTGCATTCCTGTTATATACATTGCGATGCCATAGAAAATATGGGACTGCATACAACAAAATTATATATATGGGAAAAAAAAAAAAGAAGAATGAAAATCACCAATGTCTTTATATATTACACAAAGATCTGGAAATTTCTAGCAAAATTAATCAACGGCAAATGTGTTCGCGTTCCCGTGACTTTGGTTTAACTTCTTACATTTTTTTTTTAATTTTTTAATTTTTAATTTTTTTAATTTTATTTTCAATAAAAGTTTTGTGAGAGGGAAAGTTTTGGACCTGCATTGCATTTATAAATGGTATTTTTATTTTTTTTTAGAAAGGTTATGATCGATATGCATGTATGCACCATGCACATATAAGAGTGCGTCAAAGGCTTATTATTTTTAAAATCACCATGCATGTGAACGTAGCGTCTCACCGACTTGATCTTTAAAACAAGCGCCTCACAGCCCGAAAGGGCAAGAAAAAAAAAAGTGACAAGAAATATTTTACCATCCACTTAAATTGTACAACACCAACACGAATGGATGTATGAATTGAAATTTTAAAGTATCATTCAAGTTTCAGAGGGCGGTGCGTAGGCCGAAGTTAAACAAAACAGTAGAAATAGGAGGCGAGGAAACGTCTGATTCAGGATCAAATATACTAAACGTATGGGGAATGAACCCGGAGAAATAAGGGGGTGTGCGTGTCAAGGGGGACTCGGAAACCATAGCCGGAAATATACATTATATAATATAAGGTTATGGTTGAAAGAGAATGGGCTCAGTCTAAATACTTGATGGGACACACACAGAACTCTTGGCTCACACCGTACTGCTACTGCTCCCCTATTGTGGTCGTGTGTATAATATTGTACAGATTGTAATCTGATGGTACGACTTGACGATACGTGCATATTAGAGCTGTACAGTAGGTTTTGAAACAATTTTAGGGTACATAGAAAAACGTACCTTTCAGAACACAAAGCCGGCAATTCTGTACTTATTACTGGAGAGTAAAACTGCACTTAAATTGACACACACACACACAACCCTACGTATTTAGGCGAAATTATACCCTTGTCATCCATAACAATGAACAGGGTTTATACATTGTAATTCACACTTTCCGCCCTCAGTTGTTTAAACAATCTTTTATTTTCTATTTAAAACAATCGACCCTTTATTAAGTCATAAATGGATTAATTTTATACGATAAGTTAATTCCGGAATGTAATGTATGATAATATGTAACACGCATGCAATTACTCGTTTACGTGCGCGCCACGTCAACATTACATTTTTATCGTGCGTCGGATTCGGATATTATTCATTATGTCTTCTGATTTATTTCCGAAGGAATACACCAACAAACAATACGTAACAAAAACAATATATAACACCAAAGTACCCTTTTTATAACCAATGCTTCAAAATAAAAATAAAAAAATATAAAAAGAGAAAGAGAGAGAGAGAGAGAGAGAGAAACAGAGATTCTGGTGGGATATTTGACTACGAGGAACTTGAAATGGGGGTGAAGAAAAATTCCTCATTTCTGTCCGTGTATGCACCTCGGAGTGTTTTCGGAAAATAATCCCCATCTGATGCCTTACACCAGATGTCCACGGAAACGCCCGCATTAAACATTTTGGATTTCAACCTTCTATGCGCTGGTTAGGTGGGTTTCCTACATATAGGCCGAATTTTGCCTTACCTCATGTGCTTCCAATGATTCTATAATGGGATGATTTCAATGGTGCGGCGCCATGCACGTGTGCGTCCTTTTATTTACTATGACACACATTATCTGCATAATACGCCCATAGCCAGGATACAGTTTACGAGAGGATGCGGCATGATGCAGAATCTTGCGTCGAACACAGTTTAGCACCGTAGTTGCCATGCGTGGCGGATAGTTTGCGATGTGGGAGGTTTATTTTTATTTGAGGTGGGAAATGAGGTAGATCCTGTTGCAAGTAGTTGTGTAGAATCTGAAACTTTAAAAGTGTAAGACCTGTAAAGGTGGTAAATGTAGGGGAGAGAAAAAAAATGGGATTGAATAAAATAAAATTATGAGGGTCACTTGGGGTAAAGTAAAATAAGAAAATAAATAACAAAAAAAAAATTTAAAAGCATATTGTATACTTTTTTTTTTCTGGAGGGTTGCACGGTACTGGATGCAGTGCTGCAAGTGCATCTGGATGCAGTATCAAGTCTTCCCCTCATGGAATGGAAGGCTGATTTGGACGGGGGCAGGAGGGAGGGGGGGGGAGGCATGCATCAACATGAGAAAAGATGTATTTTTATTTTGTCGGACATTATTCTGGTATACAAATTCTTGTGTCACTTGGGTGTGGTATGTATGTGGCCCGCCCGGCAAACACATTTACAACCAGTTTTAATACTAAAGGTATCGTCGTCACTTTATTCTATTTTATTTTATTTTCTGATTGTTTTTCAAGGTGAGAAAAAAAAAAATATAATAATTATTCTGATTTATTTTTTGTATACACCTACGTATATAATTTACTTATTGTGGGATTGTTGGCAAAACGGACCCAATTAATTCGCCTCCCCTTCCGTGTTACTCCTTACATCAGGCTTCCGCATACGCCGACGCGGGTGAATGCAATGCCGTGCATGGCGCATCTGCGCGCGAGCATATTTGCTAGTGCATATTTTCTTTGTATCCAACCGCTTTTTTTCACAAATAGATCATGTAGTGTTTCGTTAAATAGTTAATTGGCGGCATGAAAGGTAATTCTTGCTGAAACTGCGTTCCCTTGCTTTTCACCGAATTCGAATTCGTGACGCTTTTCCTTTTTCTTTTCTAAACTATTACCCATCTTCTTTTCTAATAACTATTAATTTAATAAAGCATTTTTTTTTTCCCTTGAGGGTAGAGATAGGATCATTTACTAGGAAAGTTTGAATAGATAGATTTGAGGGTAAATTTTCTCTTATAGATAAAAGTGAGACCGAGACCAGAATTTCTGATTAATATAAAACACGGTAGATCTTAGCGAGAGAGGTTTAAATAACAACTAGAGCTCGCCAACAGCTTCTTAATTAGTGCCCACTACCACCCACTACTACCACCCATCATGTCCAAACGTTCATTCTCCTCAATAACATCACCAGTAAATGGATCAATCAAAAAACATCATGGTCAATCCCCACCATTATCCAATTATGAAATAGCAGCCACTGAAACATGGATTTCTATTGGGAACTGCGCCACCACGTTAGGTCTTATCATGCCAGCCATTAGATCATTTGAAGCTGCCATCCATCATGAACCTTCGAATTCTCAAGCTCTTTGTGGATTGCTGGCTTCACTTCGAGCCAATGATATTAATTTAAATGAAACATTTGGATCTCAACGTTCGATTGATCAACTTTCTAAACTGCTTGATCAATTTCCTGAACTTGCCAAATCTCTGTTGATCTTCAAGGAGTTGGCTGAATGTTATCTTTTGATTGGATTGAATGATCAAGCCCATCAATCCATTCAAACAGCTATTCAATTAACTCCTCATGATCCTTCATTATGGCTTTTGAGTGCTCAAACTTTGATTCGAGCTGGTGCTCGTAGTCATGCTGCTGGTTCACTTACTCATTGTTTATCAATACTTCCTGATTCTCTTAATCAATTTTCCTCGACAGATATTGAAACTGCAAGAGCTGCTCATGCTGAATTAGCTGCCATTCTGGCAGCTGATGGTAATATTGAACTTTCTATTGCTGAACTTACTGCAACTTTACTGTTACCAGCACCACCAATTTCAAGAATTGAAGAACATGTTGCCCTTTGGTGTGCTCTTGCCACGGCCAAGGAAAGAGCTGATGATGTTCAAGGGGCTCTTCAAGCATGTGAAGGTGCAGAACGAGCCGTCGGGGATTCTCCTCGTATTCTTATGACTCATGCATACTTGTTATTGTTGAGTAATGAGAAACAATCTGCTCATCAGGCAACCATTTTATTGGAGAAAGTTTTAGCATTGGAAAGAAAGGCAAATAAACCAAAGGGTGAACAAGCTACAGAAGGGTCAGCAACAACTTCTGCTGAAGTTTCTTCTTCAGCTGATGAAGAACCAAGTGTTGAAGGAGATTTCCTTCCCTGGTATCTTCTTGGGAAGGCATACTCTTTACTTGATTCTCCACGTGCTGCGTATGATTCATATCAAGTTGCTCTTCGTAGAGCTTCTGCTTCCCCTATCACTTGGCTTGCGGTGGGGAAACTTTATTTGGAATTGAAACAACTTCCAGATGCTCTTGCTGCATATTCACAAGCTCTTCGTTTACAAGTCGATGAAGGTTCACCAGGAACTGCCACCGCTTGGGAGGGACTTTCATGTGTTTATGAAAGATGTGACGATCAATTGATGGATGCATCTGATGCTTGTCAACGATCTGCCACTTGTTTCAGAGCCATTGGTGACGTCAAGAGTGCACAAGAACTTGAACAAAGAGCAGAAACCTTGGCGACAGAACTGAAGAAGGAAGGGTCAGGGCAGGCCCCTGTCTTGCGTGACCCACCAGATGTACCAAGCATGATGTTGAGAGATTTGGTTGCCTTGTTGCCTCATGAAAGAATTGTATATGTACAAGGACGGTCCAAGGAACAAGAGAGAGAACAACAAAAACAACAGCAACAAGCACATGATCAGGCTCAAGCACAACAAGCTGAACAACAAGCTCACCAAGCTCAACAGGCTCATGCACATGCTCAACATCAAGCGGAACAGCAAGCCCAAGCACAAGCGCAAGCACAAGCACAAGCCCACGCCCAAGCACAAGCACAAGCTCAAGCACAAGCTCAACAACATGCCCAAGCACAAGCTCAACAACACGCCCAAGCACAAGCACAAGCCCAAGCCCAAGCTCAACAACACGCCCAAGCACAAGCTCAAGCCCAAGCTCAACAACATGCACAAGCCCAAGCACAAGCCCACGCCCAAGCCCACGCCCAAGCCCAAGCACAAGCACAGGCTCAACATGCACATACTCATGGCCAACCACCACATCATACTCCTACACCACTTCATACTATTGTAAACGGTGGACTGCCACGCGGAATCCCCCCCAATGCATCGCCAGTGTATTATCAATCAGGCCCAGCACATGTATATCATTCTTCAAAATCCCCAAGACCGGGAATGACCCTGCTCCCTTCAACACAATATTTCTACCAGGGACCACCTCTCCCACCACCACCACCACCACCTCCTCCTCCACAACATGGAGGACAGCCAGAAGGTCCTCCACACTTGCGTAGCCCACAACACCTCCACCAGTCTCCACACTTGCATCAACGTCATCCACAAGGTGGGTACTATCCAGGAGCGCAACCTGGCGGCGGTCCACCAGGCCCACCAGGTCCACCAGGTCCACCAGGAGGCCCAGGAGGTCCACCGGGTCCACCACCACCAGGATATACCTACGGACAGTACGTTCCTGTACAAGGAGCAGCACAATATGCCCCTCCTGTGAATTCATGGAGAAGATAACTACATAAGTATCCATAAACCTTTAAACTTTAGCATCCAAGACCAAGCGAACTTTATAGATTGGAGTTACATACAAAGCATACCTTTATAATATATTTATTAAAAAAAAAAATCAATCTATATGAGTGTAGTGAGAGTTATCTCTTGTTTATATAATTTAAGACTTCTATCCATGAATCAGTTTCATAAAGAACTTTACTATCCAAAAGTTTAGGATCGCATGGATTAACTACAGACAATTCAAGTATTGGGATCCCCAATTTCTTGGCTTTAATACTAGCAGATCCTCCCTTAATAATGATTCCAAAATCACATTGAATCATTGCCAAGAGATCGGTTCGGCTATCTCCGATATACAAGACATCTTTACCAAGTTGAAATTGTTGTTGTATAATTTTTAACTTGTCAAATCCAGTTCTAAGAGATGGTAGATTCAGATCAAACTCTCCCGTGCACACGTGATTCGTATCAAACTTAAACTCATTAACAATAATCAGAAGATTTACACCATCTACTGAATGGCCGTGCATTTCGAGCACTGCTCGTATTATGTGCAGAGTCCAATTCACACTGAGAACGGTCACGGGAATGTGCAGCCGTCTACATTCCTTAAGAAAGTCCCAAAATCCTGGTCTAATTACAACCTTTGATGCTTGTTGTTCAAAATCTTTAATAGACACTTGAGTGAATAGTTTCCTATCTACAATCTCATTGATGGATGTTAGTTCAACTTGTTTGAGTTCTTGTTGGTAAGAGATCTCTTGCTTTATTGCGGTCCATGCGTCCGCGCTTTCTATTGTTGTCATTGGCATTGCAGATGCAACACCAGCGGCACAATACGAAGTCGATTCTTCGTTGAAGGTGTAACTCTTCTCAAACTTGTTGTAGGCACGAAGATACACATCTGTGAAATGCGCGAATAAAGGAGTAAAGTCTGGTTTCCGTTTGTATGCGGCTTGGGCAACAAGTTTAATTGTATCCTCGGCAGTAATGGTCTCATCCCAATCACAAACCACTCGGGAGATGGTAGACCCAGACCCAGACCCAGACCTAGATCCTGATCCTGATCCTGATCCAGACTTGGAGAGGGACACCCCCTTCTTACATACTGATCTATACATCTACTACTAGAACTTACTCAACCTACACAGCCGAGACCAAGTGCGAAATTCTAACACATCGGCTCATATAAAAGTACAAAATGTGGGAAAGGCAGTCAAAATTTAAAAATAAGAGAGAAAAAAAAAAAAAGGAAAAAACCAAAAAAAAAAAAAAAATAAATCCCTTTTTTTATTTTTTACCTTCTATTTTTATTTTTCATTGTTAGAAAATATTTGATTATTTTTTACCTTCACAATTGTCTTTTTAATATTATTTTGTATTTTTATTTCATGCGATTGTGCATTAAAATATTCTAAAATTTAAGCAATCTGTGATATAGTTTTGCTATTTTGTTGTAATTCGTATATAGATGGGGGAAGTTGAAGCGATATCTCGGGAGATTATGAATGGGAGAGAAAAAGTGGGGAAATGGTAGTTGATGAAATGAGAGAAGTACTGAAGTTGTGGATGTTGACGATTGACGAACTTCCAAAAAGAAGGTTCATTTATCGTATATAGAGTAGAGTAGAGTAGAGTAGATATAGCATGAAGGTATATAATATGGATCTTGATAGAGGATCTCGATAGAGAGGAATAGATTTGGAATAAAAATTGATACTTTTGGAAGAAATTTGGAAGGACCCTTAACGGTTGAAAGTTGCGGGAATTCAATGGTGCCAAATTCATACTACATAATCAATCCATATACTATTGAAGTAGGAAAGCAAGGAATATGCTGCAGAAGAAGAAGAAGAGTAGACATATTTCATACTTCTTAACCAATCGAGGTTAATTGTAGGGTATGTTAAATGTGACTTGATGTGGTCATTTCAATTCACCTTTTTGCAACCAAGTTACTTATTAAAAAAGAAATGATAACCATTAACTAGTTGTCATGCAGATATTTAAACTCTTTTCTAAGCTTGTACATACACGAGTGAATTGAGCTGAGATATAGTGTAGTAGTTGATTATGAACTTTCACCATACATTCCAACAAATGAACATTTTAGAATCAATCGACTCAATTAAATCTATAATTAATCATCCACTCCACTCTCTGGTTCAAATAGAGTGATACTATCACCTATATAGACACAGTTAAGCTGGTACAAGATCGTTTATCCTGACAAAAATGACAAATATCCACATAAACTCTAAGACTTCAACTCCTTGCCCATGATTAATTTTTCCCTTGAAATGATTTCTTCCCTCCTTTTTATATCAATTCCTCATATTTCTATTCTTTTCATTAAAGAATACCCGTTATAAGTTGAATATATAAAACTTAAATCTATAACTTCTTCCCTCACGCACATGACCACCATCACATGATCAACAAATTGAATAATTGAATAAATGAATAATTCTAAAAATATTCAGTTTTGTGTCACTATCGATTTTTTTTTTTCTCACTCTCTGTCTCGTTATATCGACAAATCTTTAAACTTTTGAATTTGAATGATCTATCTATAGACAAGTATCTGATCATGTTTGGACTTACATCGTTTAGAAGTGCTTCCGTTTTGGGGAACCTTTTTAGAAGCACCCCCCTTGCCTCTTCTATGGCTGCTGTACCATCAGTAACCTCCACTCTTTTCAAAAGATACAAGCATGAGTATGCCCCAAGATATAAAAGAGTTAGAAAGCAGTTCAAAGGTGACGTCAGTGTAAGAACCGGTGGTTCTATCAAGGGTAACTCTCTTGAATTTGGACTGTATGGTTTAAGATTAAAGTCCAGAGGTGTTCGTATGACTGCCACTCAACTTCAAGAAGCGGATAAGGTTATTCGTAGAGAAATCAGACCAAGTAACGGGAAGCTTGTTACCAGATTTGTATGTAACATTGCTGTCTGTGTGAAGGGTAACCAAACCAGAATGGGTAAAGGTAAGGGTGCCTTCAGTCACTGGGCTTGTAGAGTTTCCACTGGTAAAGTTTTATTTGAAATTGATGGTAACATGCACGAAAAGGTTGCCAAGGAAAGTTTGAGAAAGGCTGCTGCCAAATTACCTGGTATTTTTGAAATTATTGATAAAAACTCCAAGGTTAGAGTCAGTATCACCGATTGTATAGATAAGCCAGAGCCAATCAATTACGTTGATTTATTGAACAAGAACCCAACCAAAAAATGGGCCAACTTGACTGCTTCTAAGGACCCTATGTACAAGTTGTACAGAGGTCGTTAGGAAAAATTGGATGTTTGGAGAGGTTGCTCCATCCATACCATCATGTATATATAGAATAAACATACTATTAGGTAGAATTTTGTAGTGAATTTTGTAGAAATGACTTTAAACTGTGTTATTTTTACACAAGATGTGTATATGAGAGGAAAGACTATAGGAGAGGGGAGTAATTGAAGAGTAATCTCTATCAAATATTCTTAGTCCCCCATCTTTATTTGAAACTGACCATAACTCCACAACTCAACTTTATACAACTTTCTACAACTTTTCCATAATGCGAACTATTTGTATTGTTTTCTTGATTTACCCTTCTTTTTGATTAGAACTCCCGATATCATGTCATACCTGCGTGATACCCCTAGACTTATCCATAATTCATTGAATCTTGTGTCACAGATTGTAGAGTCCGACACAGAAGTCTCAGTGATTGACTTGAATTTGCTTGAAAACCTTAATACAAATCAATCATTAAATTATATCAAGTTGGAACAATCTTTAGTCACGTTGGAAAAGAATGCCCAAATCCAAGAGAATCAAAGTATGTATAGTATTAGCCCAATGTAATAATAGTCCCCATTTACTAACGTCAGAATCTATTCTAGAAGGATATACAACTAAAATCGATCAATTAGAAGATCTGATTGGAAAACTTGAAGAAGTGACAGGAGAACTTGATCAATGGTCTAAAGAACTTGAATTAAAGGTAAAGAACACCAATTGAGCCAATTTATGAATATTAAATACCTCTAGAAGAGGATTTATAAGTTGAATTCCCTGCTTTCAAAAGAATAGAGAATAAAAAATTACCCCACTATCAACTATATTATAAATTATGTCATTGATCAAACCAGTTCAATACCGAGGGTTACATTATTAATGTCCATACATATAAACACCCTTCGATTCACTTCCATGCTGCCTCATTTATATTTCAATTATGACGGTACTTTCCAGAAAACCACCCTTTAAAAGTCTAACCATTCCAAGTTATGAGAATACACTCACCTACAATTACAACCCTCACAAGTTTTTTAGACATTATTTGCCACTCCAACTTTCTTTACTGGTAGCTCGAAGTATATGCAATAAGGTTACATTAATCCATTATAATAATATTTTTTTGTATTTGTGGTTATTCAAGTTTTACAAATACATTTTTGTTTGTACTTGTTATAATCATATATACTTATTTATTATATCTTCTCAACTTTCCCCTGTATTTATCCCCTTACCAATTCAAAAATAATGTTACCAAGAAAGATTATTATTTCAATCTTAGTTGTTGTGGTGCCATTAGCTCGTGCTGATGATTTTGTTCAAAATCTTTTAGAATTTGTTGTTAAGGATTTACTGGGGGAAAGTATTCAAATTACTGTCCCTGAAACCAACCATGTTACAAATGAATTACATGTTACTAATCAAGCAGCTCCAGTGGAAATCGACCCTTCAAATCTTATCTCCCCTGATGAAGTAAAGCAAGCAGACTTTAGAATTGAAACAGGATTATTTTTTGATCTTAATAAAGATCCAGATGATTGTGAAGAAGAAAAGAAGGAAGATGATTGTGGAGAAGGATGGTGGTTCTGGCCCTTTGCTACTACAAATTCTACAGAAACAACCCCAAAGAATGAGGAAATCCCAATGGTTCAAGTCCCCAGTAATTTGGTGTTGGGACAAGCTTTTGAAGATTCACATGGATTATATTCCAGTGATAATATAGAGGATTATAAGAATAAGGTATTGAATGGGAGTCACAAGGCATTGCCCTCTGAAGTTATTCAAAAAAGAAGAAATAGAACGTTTGCTACCCGTACTTCTTCAATATCTTCTAGTTCTCCATTGAATACAACGATCGCCTATTCTGATTTAAACCAAACTAACACTACATTGCATAATACAACAAATTTTGGAAATAATACAAAGCAATCGTCACCCAAGAAAATATTTACAGAAGAAAACGAAGATGAAGTAGAAGACGAGGATGAAGAAATTTCAAATGCGGGAAAATTAACCCTAGATTATTCAATTTTATTATTGATTTTATGCTTTATATTCTAATGAAAATATGTAATGAAAGAAGATCTAATATACATTGTATGTATTAGGAGTAGACAAAATTTTTTTTAAAACTATCTCTACTGAATAGGTGACCATTGTCTAACTTTATAAAGTTTCTTTAATTCTGCAAAGCCTTTAATCTTTCTCTCATTTCATCCAAGGCTTCATAATCATCTTCTTCCAAAGCTTCTGGCTCTTGCTCGTGCACCGGTTCTTCAACCTCGAGCCTGCTCTTCGGCACTTCGTTCCCAATCTTGCTGAACTTATCTTCAGTAAGACTCTGGATGATTTTGTTGACTTCATCTTGGGATTCATCTTCCAATTCATCATCTTCCATTTCCAAGTCAACCATGTCATCCATCATCTCGTTTATGATCCCGGCCTTCATGAGCTCACGCAGCAACTCTTGCATGGTGCCCTGCACCATACCCAAGTTTATGAGCAGATTGACATCCTTCATAACTCCAGTCAGCACTTGGAGTGAGTTTGTAAGTTTGGCCATCTGCCATTGTTCATTGACAGCCATGGCTATGGAGTCCACTCTGGTCTTGGACGTATGAAGTTTATTATACTGTTTGGTTATGTTGATAAGCTCACGTGCATATATTTTGGCAGATTTATAGTCCTTATCTTTGGCCGCTCTTTTGATTAATCCTTCTGTCTTTTTCTTAAGGGGTTGGAGTTGGTTTAGAGACCGGTCAAGTTCTCTTTTATTTTTCCGAAGAAGTTGGTTAATCTTGCGCATTTGTTCCTTGGGGTCTGGACCCCATATTGCCTTTTTGATGAAGTCCATTGATGTATAATGTTTTTGAATATATGTATCAGGTACCTTTTCTTTTTTCTCCATTTTATTGATAGGTTCTTCTTACAAGCCATACTGATACGACATTCGCGACATTTCATACAAAAAAAGAAAGAGTGAGATACGGGGGCAATGCGACATTCAAGATATGAGGGTCCCATTTAATATAACACAATTATTTTAGTTTGCCACCATTTATCACCTTTACCCAGTCTTCAATACTGATCTACAAACTAGAACTACTGTATCATGCCAGACTTAGAGAACCAAAACCTGATTTCAAGAAGCCAATCAACGGTGATATTGGCCATCATGGCGTTCATTCTTCCTCCATTGCCAATCTTTTTATTGACCGGACCAAACTACACGGTATTCACAAAGGAGATTTTGATCTCGGTTATCTTGACCTTGTTTGGGCACGTCCCAGGGATAATATTCAGTTTGTATGTCATTTTCCTTCAATACAACCGGAGCCGTGATGGATATGATTCGATTGATGGTGATGCTTTGTTAGGAAGACAACCAGCAACCAACAATCACGTTGAAAGTCATGACAGTAGCCATCATCATCATCATGATGGAACTCCACAATCAATTGCTCCACAAGTCCATCAACCTTACCACGATGATGTCGCTCACGAAGAACCTCCTCATTATACAGAAGTTGCATCCGGGTCCACCAAGCATAACACTAGAGATACAAAGGGTGTCGACAACAAGGTTCAACATTAGTTAGTCTTTTCTTCTTCTCCCCCACCCCCTCCCTTTCTATTTTATACCACACTAAATATGACATACACACAAAGTAAAAAAAAAAAGGAGACCAGATTATTATTTTAAATTACATATCACTTTTCTAAAGCTACCATGACCTTTGCAGTAAACCCTTCTAAATGGAAGATACTCTTTTGTCCCAAACTCAATCTTTCATCAAAAGTTGCGGCTATCAGAACCAATTCCGTTGCCATGGATGGTTTAACCTCGGAAATCAAACAAAACAAAAGCTTTTTCAAGATCACCCGTGGTGGTATGCAATGTGATAAGAGTTCGTAAAACACCACTCTTGCCTTGGCCAAGTTGGCAACCGTTCTGTTCCCGGCAATAGATTTAGCCAAATTTTCAATAATCACTTCCCAGTCTAGTTTGATAATTGAGGTAGAATCATTACTTACATTGATTTGTGCAGTTTGCATGGCAATTGTCTCAAAGCAAAGTAAGGATTTACGCAAGTTACATTCACAATTGTTCGCCACTGCTTCAAAAAATGGTTCTGTATTTGAATCGGTGAACTTGACCGATTCCTTCTTTGAGATATGGGCCAATACTGACGCCACTTCAGCAGAGGAAGGAGCAGGGATCCTCACTAAAAGAGTTCTTGACTTGATGGGTGGAATGATATTGGAAGTGGTATTACTGATCATGATAAGTCTGATGTTGGAGGAGTATTTTTCCATTGTTCTTCTGAGTGCTGCTTGCGCGTCTCTACTAAGAGAGTCCGCCTCATTGATGATCACCACTTTAAACCGATGTCTAGTTGGCCCACCATGGCCACCAGACCCATTGCCAGCACCATTGGTAAAGTCCACTTGTTCAGTGGACGCCACGTCCTTTAAAAGATCCTGTATGACGACTCTATCGTTATTGCCCATGTCAGAAGGAGTGATTTCAAGATGATAAGGAGAACTTAAAACATTGAATTCAAGCTTTCTGTTTGAAGAAGTGGTGAAAGTCTTCACGTCGATCTTAAGCTTTTCCACCAGAGGTCCAAATAGTTCATGTAAAGTGGCATAGATTCTGGTTTTCTTCCCACTACCAGTTGGTCCATACACCAAAAGATGGGGGAAGTCCCCGGTACTGGCAAGGGCCTTGAGGTTCTGTGTGATGGATGGATGGAAAGAGAGTTGATCAAGCAGTCTTGGTCTGTACTTATCTACCCAGAGCGACATTTTTTTTATGTGATTATTAGTGGTAATTGAGCTAAATGACGGGTCTTATAACTCTCAAGTTTTTCTTTTTTTCTTTTTGAACTAACGCGTTTTTCATATAGAAAGGGTCTGCACAGACATCTCTGTAAAACACAATCAGGTGGATCAGTAGTCATAAAATGGATCTAACACATTACATACATCCAAACTACTCAAGTACTTACAATTATCCACTTTTCAATTGTTGGCTCTTGCCATCTAAATATTATTAATACTATACATTTTGAGATTTCTCTCCTATTTTAAAACCCTCTATCATATTTTTGGAGTCTTTCTCAAAAAATGGGTTGGACATTCATATCCACCAGGATTCTTATCCAAATATTGTTGGTGATATAACTCAGCATCATACCAAATCTTGATTGGCTCGATGATCGTCACAATCTTATGGTTTGGATACCAATCCCGTTGGGCATCTTCCTTTGACTTCCAAGCCTCGTCATGTTGATCGTCTGTGTGGGTCATGATCGCAGATCTATATTGTTGTCCCACATCAGGTCCTTGGGCATCAAGCGTGGTTGGATCGTGGATACGGAAAAAATAGTCTAAAAGTTCCAGCACTGAAACTTCTGAAGGCTCATACGAAATCTGTACTCCTTCAATAAATGCTGTAGAACCAGTGCAAACCATCTCGTAGTTCACGTTACCCAAGGTTGGGATCCCATTGGCATAACCACATTTGAGATCAACAATTCCCTTGTTTTTGAAATTTCTTTGAAACACCCTTTCTACTCCCCAGAAACATCCGGCAGCTACTGTGATGAGTTTTGACGTGGGCGTCACCTTTAAAGTCGGGGATACGGACACTGACATTATGTATGATTATGAGTTTCAGGAATAAGTTTCTGAAGGAAAAATGAAGTAGATGTAATTGACAGGTATTTTTTTATTTCATGGAGTTTTTGAAAAATTCCGTCCTTAATATTCCGATCCTCAAAATATGACTAACTGGAAAATCTGAGCGGTTTTTTTTTTGGGAAACTAGTTTTGTGTTCGTTTCGGTGTAGCTGGTACAAATGATCTTTGTACGTCTCTATGTTTGTTGGCGTATGAGAAAAATAATAGTATTCAAGTGGTGGTGAATAAGTAAAGCTATCCCTTTAGTTTATATATATATATAGATAGTTTTGCAAAGATTAGAATGAGTAATCACAAAAAGCCGTTCCTAAAAAACTGTGGTGTTTTATTCGCTTATCAGGTAAAATGACTTGTTCACGTGATTTAGCGTCATATTTTCAAGTAAGCTGCATATCACGCTTCATGATGGAAAGTGTTTTCTAAGGATATGTTGATTATCGTCAAAACATGTAGTATCATATGAACAGATATTAAGAATCAAGTGAACTTATGGACTTTTATGTTACGATTGGGTGAAATTGCAAATGTGATTTCTTATTGTTTGTTGTTTTGATTAAAGTTTCTTTTATTTTTGCAACCATCTCAATGCGGCAAATATTTCCCATCATTCTAAAAAAAGAATAGAATAGAAATTGGAAATATTGTGATGATAGATCTTCGAAAGATGCTCAAGGTCCTCATTTTCTAAAACTATGGGACACTTTAAAGAAAATCTACAGGAAACTAATCTAGTATAATGCCGATATTCTCACCACCATCAATTCTAGGAGATGACATGAAATCATTCCTTGTATTTAGTTTAACTTCTACTCTACTTCCTTTTAAACCCAAATATACTTTTCCTTCTTTCACCATCACCATTCTCACCCTTAGCTTCCTTTTCCTTCGGATCCTTTCTCTTCAACCCCCATGATGATTTCTTATCTGACTTTTTAACAATTGGTTTATCAATAGATGAAGCTCTTGAAGTTGTACTCGAAGCATCTTCAGAGAAACTATCAAGTTTAAAATTCTTCTTGAAGAGAGAACCTTTCTTAAGTGTATCATTCTTAGTATCTAAAGTATCTGCGTGTGAAGATGCCGCTGAAAGTTTCTGACCAGGACCCAATGGAGATATATGATCATTTTCATGAAGATTTTCAACATTCGATGCATGACTGTGTTGCAAATCAACTTCTTCTGCTAATGGCGATGAAGAGGATTTCTTTTCAGGTATTACTTCCAGAGCCAAATAATCTTCCCCATGATACATATCATCCATATTAAATCCAAAATCAATAACGTCCGTATCAGTTGTATCGTTGGTGGTACATTTCCGATAAAACAATATATATGCACTCGCCAATCCTGGACCATCACCGAAAAACCTCATAACGTATGAATCATCCACAATTTCAACAGTCTCATCATCGAAAAGTAACCATAACAGTGCCTTAACTTTACATAGGGCAACGTAATGTCCGTGCATTGGACCTCCACCAATATGAACCACCAAGGCATATAATTCAAATAAATTGAAGTCATCATCACCTCCAATCTTTCTACCACCATGACCATCCAATCCATTTTTCCCCTCGTTATCATCCTCACCATCCTCATTCTCTTCATGATTCTTATTACTACTCTTTGTATTGAATAATCGGAGTCTGTGCAGATATGAAATCGAATCAAAGAGTTTAACCAATCTATCGACTTTTTCATCATATTTAAACCGTTTGAAATTGATAACCAAGACTTCGGGGACTTTCTTGATCTTAATTGTCTTTGTTGCCTCTTGAAGTGACAGACATGTATTACAATAAAATTTATTTTGATGAGAAAGTCTTTCCAGTTTCGAAAAATTGTTAAGTGAATAAGTCAATGAATATGAAGACTCACCGGGTGGGATATCAATAGAAAGATCTAAAAAGGATTCCTCTTTCGAAGTGATCGTTTCACAAGAAAGACATTTGGTTTCATTTGTGATCAGTCCTTTAAAAATATCATTACACCAATTCCGCAGTAAACTTTCATGATCAAGACATTCAATAATTTCATTTATAAGATAGTTACAAAACTCATGTGCATCATGATGCATATTGTTTTGACGGAACAAATAGTTTTTTTCCTTTAATTTAGTAATAAACCAATTGGGTGACACTACTCCAATTTGTGATTTGTTTTCTAGCATACTTTCAAAGATATCACGGAGGGCGTACAACAATGAGGAGTTCTCGGATTGTTCCGATGGGAGTTGTAATGAACTATCCAAATTGATTATCGGTCCATTGATCAATGCGGCACGTTTCCGTTGATCAGGAGAAGGATTTGGTATGAAATTGGTCAATGCATCAGGGTAGGGAATCCCCACCACCACTATACTTCCAGGCGAGACAGAGTTGTTCAGCAGTATAGATGAAGAGCTAGTGGCATTTCCATTACTAGAACTATTATTATTGTTATTATGATTGTTATTGTTATTATTATTATCCTTGTTTAATAACATAGACAGGGACTGTGAATAGTCCATCTTTTCTGTGGAATTTTGAGTTCCTGAATTTCTTGTGACAAGAAGTGACAAATTATGAAAGTCTGGATTTTTTTTAATTAAAAGTTGTTGTTCCACAGTGAGTGAATCACAATCTTTAGCATCCATTACTGTCTTTCTATTACCTAAATTAGATATTGATGTTGATTGTCCACCTCCAATGGCATTAACACTGTTTCCATAATTGAATTTGATTCCGAAAATCGATCCTCTTTTAGCGGGTTTATCGCCTGCACTGCCACCACCACTGATAGTTCCAGTGGTTGTAGGTCTATTGTCGGTATGTCCAGCATATCCATTAGAAGATCCACTGGATGGTGGTTCTTCTCCACTCCCATTGGTCATGGCACTCACAAAACTTCCCGATTTCCCCTGATCCTTAAGTTTCTTGGCTACCAATTGCTCGTACTTGGCTGTAAACCCATGGACCTTTACCCCGGGGACTGTTAATTTTGCCGGGTGATCGGTTCGATTATGCGATACTAAATTGGTTCGGAATTGATCGGTATAATATAAGCATTGTAAGATGGAATTGCAATAACATGTGTTACCAAAGTTCTCCATCCCAAAGATCTTGCTAGAACCATCCCCATAAGGTAACTTATCGACAGTCATACTTTTATTTTCAAATACCTTGATCTTTCCTCTTTAAAATTTCACTCTTTATAATGCAAACTCACTTCCCTCTCCTTTTCTTTGAATGATAACGTTTCCCCATAGTTACACAAACATAATCAGCATAAAATGCTTGCATACACTTATTCCTGTGTACAGGATCTGGCTTTTAGTTCTTCTTTCTAATTGTGGTTGCAAAAAGAACAGCAAAAAAAAAAAACAGATTAGTGTGAATTCACATAAGAGTACAACTGTTAATTTTATTGAACCCCGACAAGTCCTTATATTAATATAATTTTAATTATTATGATGTAATTCTACAGTTTAAAGAAAGAAAGAAAAAGTAAAAGAAAAAAGAATGCTTTGTTGGTTTAGAACTAAAGAATTTTCATCCTCTCTTAATTACTACTTTCATTCTAAATAGATATAATTGTTCATGAATGCAAGAATCTGGTAATTTTCATTTGCAATAAATGAAAATCAACCCTATGTGTTAAACTTTGTTCGTGGGTTGTTTTTCAGTTTACTCGGAAATAAGAATAGAATTGGTATGTCCTGTATACAGGGATTTAAAAATTTTATATTTCCGCAAAATTCGTAAATGACAATTTTCTTCTTAATCTCGAAAATGACAGGGGTTTGTTCCCCATCAGGAAAATGTTTGCAATTATAAAGGCAAACACAATTTTATCCAGATATCTCTTTGAGTACACATATAGAAGAATTTCTATGAGGTATAAAATTCTCTCACCTTACAGTTGTACAATTTCAATTTTGCCGTCATATTCATTCTAGGTTGAAGCACATACTCCGGAGTTAACAAATTGACAGGTTCTCGGATCCGAAATTTAGTTTCATGACCGGAGCTAAATAATATTTTTCCCCTCCAAGAAAAACACCAACTTTGTTGGGCCCCTTCTTTACAACGCCAAATGTCCTTGAACTAAGGATCATAAGACTGTTCAGACTCTGATCCCGACGTAGAAAGTACATCTAGTTCTATGACTGAAAAAACATCCCCCGTGTCGCATTATTTTGCACGGATTTTGTCCGGAGATACCAAGCGGCTGGAGTTAAATGTTCGGAGATCTAATATTTTTTTGTCATAGTACGGCGGAGATGACACACCAAACTCTATTTTTACACGACTGTACACGTATTTCTAGAATACATAAATAACTGTACTTCTCCTCTTTAGGTAGCCATTTTTAGTTTGGTAATTATTTCAAAATGTCCCTGGATGATACTACTATTCGTGCCTTGTCCAACCCCGTGGTTGTAGATAAGAAAGTTTTCATTGAAAGTGACGCTGGTGATGGAACCAAGCGTGAAGACCAATATCTTCATGGAGCAAATTTGACTCTTTGTTTACTCTCGTTGTTTCTTTCATTGTTCCTTGTCGCCCTTGATCAAACCATTATTATCACTCTTTTAAGTGACGTCGGTAACAAGTTCAATGCCCTCGATAAAGTTGGCTGGTTGGCTTCAGGTTTTCTTCTTGCCATGGCGGTGTTTGTTGCTACTTGGGGTAAGGCCTCTGTTATTTTTGGCCGTAAAATTGCCATGTATGTTGCCATTGTCTTGTTTGAAGCAGGCTCGCTTATGTGTGCCTTGTCAAACTCTATGAATGTATTGATTGGTGGCCGTGTCCTTGCTGGGGTTGGGGGTGGTGGTATCCAATCTTTGGTCTTTATCATCATCACCGAAATTGTCCCCATTGAAAAGAGACCTTCAACTATGGCATTTATTGGTTGTGTTTTCGCAGTGGCATCTGTATTGGGACCATTGATCGGTGGGGCCTTCACATCTAATGTCAGTTGGAGATGGTGTTTCTACATCAACTTACCAGTTGGTGCTGTTGCCCTTGTCTTTTTATTCTTTGCCTTTAATCCTCCTAAAACTCAAGGTAATTTTACTAAAAAATTGAAAATGATTGATTATGTTGGAACGTTCTTGTTGACTTCTGGTTGTGTGATCTTTCTTTTGGCCCTTACCTTTGGCGCCTCAACTTATTCATGGGACTCTGCTGCAGTTATTTGTTGCTTTATCTTTGGTGTCGTGATGCTTATTGCCTTTGGTGTATGGAACTTTAAATATTCCAAGCTGCAAATTCTTGCCACTGAAGTTATTGTTATTCCTCAGATTGTTGCGGCAACTGTTACAATGTTTTGCATGTTTGCCTATTTCATGGCTTCAACTTTGTACTCTTCAGTTTATTTCCAAGTCATTTGGGGTGCTGATGCTTGGCATTCGGGATTACATTTACTTCCAACCATTATTCCCGTGGTGATTGCATCGATTGCTGGTGGTGTCACCATCAACAAGACGCGTTGGGTTAAACCATTCCTGATTGCCGCAGGTGTCTTGGGTCCTATTGGATGTGGTCTTCTTTCCATACTTGATGTTGATTCTTCTAGAAGTGCTCGTATTGGCCTTTTAATTGTGGTTGGGTTCTCATGCGGGTTGCACATGCAAAGTTGCATTATCTCAGCCCAAATCCCTGCCCCAAAAACCCCCGGTGGAACCATTATGGCCACCACCTTAATTAACTTGGGTAGAGGTCTTGGAGGAGCTGTTGGTGCTGCTCTTGCAGACGCTGTGTACAACTCGTCGTTCAAAAATGAATACAGGGCCAATTTGAAGAAACTTACTGACCAATCCATATTAGAACAATTGGATAAAATCAATATTTCACAACTCACTACATCTTCCACAATTCTTAATACACTTACTCCCGATGCCAGGTTGTTTGTCAAGAAGCAAATCATGGCAGGTATCCGTAATGTGTTCTATATGTGTCTCGGGTTTGCTTGTTTGGCATTCCTCGCTGGTTTATTCATGACAAATAAACGCTTACCACAAGCCAGTGCTGGAGCAACTGCAGTCGCAGAAGAAACGACTCCAAGAAATGATAGCAATAAAGACGATTCGGAAGAATCTAGTTCCACTGATGGTGAAAGAAGGGATTTTGAACAGGAAAAGGTTACAGTATGAGCCAGTTTCGAAGTTTTTATGAATAGACTGTAAATAATATATATATACATACATATATAGCTATGATATGAGTAATAAAATTAATGATTAACTTATTGTTGTATATTTCAAAATTATTTAAATTAAACTGGGTTCAAACCCTTTTGAACTTCAGGCAAGGCATCGATACTATCAAACCATTTACTGACCAATGGCCATTGCTTGATATCAACCCCGAGTCTTTCCAAACCTCTAGCCCATGTGAAAATGGCAATGTCGGCAATAGTGACACGGTCCCCGACCAAATAAAGTCCGTTTTCCTTATTTCTTTCCAAGTACAATTCAACTACACTATATAATCTCTTTGTTTCAGCACCATATCTTTCAATTCCATATGGAACCTTTTCTTGGGCGAAAATAGAGAAATGTCCAAATTGACCTTGCATAGGACCAACTCCAGCCATTTGGAAAAGAAGCACCTCCAATTGCTTGTAGTAAAGACTGGATCCATAAGGGTAGGAGAACTTGTGTTCTTTATCGTAGGTGTCGACAAGATATTGCAAAATGGCACCACTTTCTGAAAGAGTGGTGTTTGTGGAAGAGTCCACCAAGGTTGGAATACGGCCATTTGGGTTCAAGGCAAGGAACCAGTCCTCCTTTTGCACGTTGGTACGGATGTCCACGCTATGGTACTCATATTTGAGCCCCAATAATTCCAAGAGAACTGAAACTTTCAATCCATTTGGAGTTGGGAAGGCGTATAATTTGAGAGCTGACATATTAGTATGGTTGAATGAAGGGGGAATACAAATAATTGACCCACATACTCATATTTTAGATATTTTTAATAATTGAAATGAATTGAATTCGTGGAATAAAGTAGAGAGTAAATTTCAATTGAATTCCAACCCGAGAGTATTTATAGTTTGATTATTAGTAGCACGCAAGGCTTGTAATGGATTAGTAATTGATCATAGGGGTCAAGACTGCATGGAGAAAAAAGCAACCAAGGTTAGAGATACTGAAAGATTGAGATGGATGTATATATTGCAATATGGGTATATTTATATATATGTTCTACAAGTCACTTTGGGCGATTGAGAGTACTTAGAGTTTGCCTTTCGGTAACTACAATACTTGTGTCCTTCGATGAAAGTCTATTTTAAATGAATAACTGTGGCCAAGGTTTGACCTCTTGTGGCACATCCGCACACCACAAACTCCGAACATAGAAATTTATTCACTAATGGACTTGGATGGTGGCTTTTAAATAAATGCCAGATATATAACACAGCAGTAATAATTTCAACCGCTCTACTTTCCTCCTTCATAATTTGACATATGACTAAAAAAATAACGTAGTAAGTTGTTTCGGCGTAATGGGTTATTTTGCAGTGTTCACAAATATATCTGTTTATTGACACATGTAATTAGGTGATCAGGGATATATAAACCTTATTCTCTAGAATACTTGAATTTATATTGGTGCCTTTCATTGTGTGTAGTCTACCAATAATGACTTAATTTGTAACTTATACACTTACCCCAGATTTCATTCTTTCTCTCCAGACCGCCTGCACATAGAAACTACATATAATAGATCATTGAACAATGGTGAAGACTTTTGTTAATATTGAAATCATATATTGAGCTGAAATTTGGTAATATATGTCTTATAAACAAGAACGGGGCTCAGGGAATGTCACATATACCAGGAGACGCCGTGCTTCCAAAGTGAACCGATGTACGAGTTGTCGGAAACTTAAAATCAAAGTGAGTAGTAGTTCATGGAACACTTTGCCTCTCAGGTTTGATTGGCTATCATTTTTATAATACTAACATTATCTTTGTAGTGTGATGAAGGGCTACCTAAATGTGAATATTGTCAGCATACAAATCGAGAGTGTGTATATGTGCCTCTTGATGAAAAAGTAGTCAATAATATTCCAATGTCGTCGTCACTTGTCCATGCATCGGTTTCAAATATGAATTCTCCAATTTCACAGCTCCATATCTCTAAATTTGAATACAGATTATTGCATTATTTCCAAGAGGTGTACCTTCGACAGCACCTGGGGACCCAGAGCCCTCAACTTGAACACATTTGGCATGTAGAAGTTCCAAAACTATGGCAACATTCCGATCTTGTTAGGCAGAGTATATTCCTGTTGAGTGCCATGATTTTATGGAACGTTTGTGATCTTGAATTGATGTTCAGGGCCGATTATGGGTATTATGACGGAAGAGCACATTATAATGGCATTGGAAGGTCTGATTTCAACTCTGTAGCTATAGGAAGAGACTTGATTGAGGAAGGGGATGAATTTCTAAGTTTGGGCAGACAAACTCATGATGAAATTAAATTGCTTTTATTTGAAAAAAGTACTGAATATTTTACCAAATGTCTTTCAAGAACATATGATACCATGGATAGAGTCAGAAGACAAGATTTGGCTGTGACTTCGATGTTTCAGGCTGCAGAAATCGTTATATCTGGAGTACTACTTTTCAGTTTTCTTGCCCTTGAACCACATGGATTGGTTCCACTTGTATCATTCAATCCTGAAGTAACCGATCTATTATCAATGTGTAAAGGAATGAAGATTTCTATGGGACAATCGTTCCCATTGTTGTATGTGTCCCCATATTCAGGGTTATTCCATGATAGTGAATACTTAAATCCTCCTACTATCACCGACGAAGACGTATATCCCTTGGTGGAATGTTTAAAATTGGCCCTAGAGGAGTATATAAGATGCAATAATTTAATGGAAACTTCGCAAATGACCATATCTTATCGAGAGGCCATTCGAGTATTCGAAATAGTAATTCATTTATCAGTCAAGGGTAAATATGCTCTCCCAATATTCAGATATATATTTTTGATTGATATTGAAATTTATGATTATATCAGATTGAATCGTGACGAATTTGGCTTAAAATTATTGTTTTTTTATTGTTGTATGGGATGTATGACCAAATTTCGACTATTCACTGATTCAAACATATGGATTGAATATGTAACTTGGTATAAGAAACACAATTTCAAGACTCATGGGGATTGGAAGTATCCAGAAGATAAGTCACTTTATGGGTTAGTGGTAGAAAAGAGATTGGAAGTGAAAGATGACGATTTCAGTGTGTTACAGACATTTAATCCCATGACATTTGAAGATTTCGAAGAGATGGCGTTGGACTAAATTGGGTATAATGGTAATTGAAAGTGCCTAACTAGACTTACATTTAAGGTGTCGATCCATATTTCCATGATAAATAGAGTGGGGACAATTTCGCAGCTATTTATGGTTGCAAATTATTGTCCATCACAAATCAGTCTTTGTTACAAGGTTTTTGTGGTAATCATCATCCCCATTTATGGCACAACTAATCGTTATAAGTAAGACCTTAACTCTATCTCTTTTTATGTACAATGTGAAGAATTAACGATTGATATGGAGTAAAATAAAGAAGTGGGATGAGTTTAAATTTTTTAAAGAGATTACTCAATCAAATCGTAATGTATGCTTATTTAAAACGCTTGGCAAAGCTCAAATTCAATCTATATCCCCTAAGAGTTTATCCATTCACCTCCAACTTACTTATCCATTAGTTTTGCAGCACAGGGACAAGATATAAATTGAAAGAGAATGCGGATGCAGATTTCGCGTGATGATCAGCAAACAACCTATAACAATATATCTCCAGAGCTTTTTACCCTCCCTTATATAAAGAAGATTCTCGTATTTATATATATATATATATATATGTGTGTGTGTACTTATGTGATACAGATGTGAATAATCTTCTCTCTAATCTAATCTAGCGAAATCTCTCTAAAACAAAATATACTTATTATTCCTTTTCTAATAACAACTAAATTCTCTTCTAAAATTCAGATTCAAACAGTCATCCCTCTTCAATATCAATATACTCTAGTAATTGCCACACAAATCTAGAAGAAAATGGTGAAACATTCAATATGAATTACCTTCTCTCCATTAGAAGATGTAGCCTCCTACACATAAAAACGCGTATTCTCCAAAGACTGCAATTAACCAACCTACCATGAAAAAAAACACGCCCAGCAACAGATAGACCAACCTACCGACATATAGTATCCAACTCGTTTCAATGGTAGTTAAAAGCAAACCTGTCTCTACCGCGGTGGTCCCAGACCACCCTGCGAACGATGTTTCTATTCTCAAAAATGATCAGATCCAAGCCTTTGTCAAGCTTCAACCAATTTATATGCCCAACGATCAGATCGATGATGATCACCCTTTGCACGCTCTCCGGAACTCCTGGAAATATATTTACGTGATTAATTGGCTCTACCAATGCCGTGGATACGTGAGATTGCTGTCAGAGTACTTTGATGTCGACCTTTTTGAGTGTGAATTACTCAACATGGTGTATCCTCCACCCATTGATGATTCAGTTTTGTTTATCAATAAGCTAAAGATTGCTCTTTTATCCACCCTTCAAGGTAGTAAATGTCTGGCCAATAACTTTGAAAAAATCTTCAGAATATGGTTTGGTAGTGACACCCCACTTAAGGGCCCTGAGGAGAACACTGAAGATACCCAAATGGAACAAGAAGAAGAAGATCAATACAATGAATATCCCACATTTGACTCACTTCTTATTGAAGATAAATTTGAGATTCTTTATTTGTTAATGGATTATATAACAGGATACCCCCAGTTCAGAACATTTTTAGATAAGGCAGGGACTGTTGTTTCCGATACTTTAAGAATTAACCCGTTAGTCAGTGAACCAATTGACGATCATACAACAGAATCCTTGTGTTTATTATTTGACTGTTCTAGGATTTACAAGAGGAAAGTCACCGTACCAACCTTGGTTATCCCCAAGAAGAGAAAGCTTGCACCTGCAGACCCAGAATCATACTACGAACCGGATCAATTTGATATTGAGGGAACCGTTCAATATGAATTATTGGCCAAAGGATTATATCAGATCGATAAGTATTTAGTAGACCTTTCGAAGAAGAAGAATAAAAAGGCAAAGGAGCAATTATCTGCTCTTAAGACCGCTGCTAACATCGAATCTCTTTATGTTGCAGAGACAAAGAAGCGTAAATTTATGGCCAGCAGAAGAAAGGAACTCCAATTGTCTAATTTGCTTGCTACTAGAAAGAGATCCTCAAGATTGGAAGCAAAGGAAAAGCAAAGACAAGAAGAATTGAGACAAGCTCGTATCGAAGAAGAAGAGGAATTAAGAATAGCTGCCGAGAAGAGAATGGAGAGAAGAAGACTAGCAAGAAACGAAGAAGCTATAGGACTGGGAATGACTAGAGAAGAGAGATTGAGAATGAGAAGAGAGCCTACTGAAACTCCCGAGGCCCAGCAACTGGATGCCACCATTGGTGATGATTCCACTCCAATTACTCCTGCCACTCCAGTTGGGTCACAAAATGGCATGGATGTTTCTACTCTTGACACTCTGCAAGCTTCAGTTGCCACAGGTATCACACAGACGCTACCACCCACTTTTGGATCAGTATCAGCTGTACCAGTGCCAATTTCGTCTATAGAAGCTACAGAACAGACCACCGAGGGCAGCACACACGCCATACCACCAACACTATCAGAACCCGCTACTGAGATCACCCAAACCCTGGCCCCTACAGCCGAAACAGTCTCTGAAGTGCCAATTCCAGTTTCTTCTGCCGAAACAGCATCAAACATTCCAGAAACATCTACTGCCGAAATCACCCAAACTCTCCCACCAACTTCGGACACAATCTCAGAAATTCCAATACCAGTTGCTACAATTGAAGCTACGGATCCTCAAACTAACCCATCTACATCAGACTAAGTGTCAGCCGTGCGCGCGAACGCCACTGAGGGCCACGAGAGCTTGATAGCCTTTACTTAAAACACCCACTTCTCTCGACTACTTGTATAATACGCACTTGTTACCTTTAAAAAACTATCATACACTCTAGATATACACATATATAAATAAATAAAAATTTAAATTGAAGTTACTGAGTAATAACGAAAACTGTGGCTAAAAACTGTTGACTCATCTTTCTCCACATTTAGTTTCTCAGGATAAAAAAGCCCCACCACCTCAAAGAGGCACCAACTTTGAATCACATAATATCCGCCATTGATATGTCATCTCGCTTTGCAAAAACTCCCAAGACCCCATACTATGTTGTGACTTTCACCTCACAGAGAACAGAATCACATCAGAAAGAATATGACGAAATAAGTGACATTATGGAATCACTCGCAGAAAAACAACCTGGCTACCTCGGTGTGGAGTCCGCAAGAGATTCTAGTGGATTGGGTATTACATTGTCTTATTGGAAGGATAGAGAATCGATTCTCAATTGGAAGAGAAACACTGATCATCTCTTAGCCCAAAAGTTAGGTAAAGAAAAGTTTTACGAAAACTACTCAACAAGAGTGGCAAAGGTTGAACATGCTTACGAACTTTAATCTACCGCGCCTTTTATTGGATAGCTTCTTATTAACATACTACTGGATTATTCTAATGTATAAGTATATATGTGTATGTATATATATATCCTCCCTATAAATTCAAATCATTTAATATTTCTCCAGCCAAAGTCTTGTAGTTCCAAGTGTTACCAAAAACCTTTTTAAATTGAACACCATAAAGTCCTACAAGTGGAACCTTAACCACGAGAATTTCAAACTTAAGTGGTGATGGTCTTCTTGAAGATATAGGTGTTTGTCCTCCAGCTGAAAGACTCCCACCTCCGCTTGCACTTGCATTACTGGCAGAACTGGCAGAATGCTGGTGACGGGCGCGATGTTCAAGTCGGGATGAAACTAACATATCACTACCGCCTCCAATCAACATGCCATTCATGGAGTCCACAGAATCACCATCGCCTCCATAATGTCTTGAAGTATCCGCATCATCGTCATCTTCAGCATCATCCAGGTATCGAATGACTTTCGTGGCAGCTGGGGTATTTGGAGGCATGGCTACTTGTGAACCATTCTTCTTACGGTATGAAGTCAAAATGGACTGACCGATCGAAAACTTTCTTCTATGCCCACTGCCACCCCCAATGGAGTTGCTAGATCTATGTGTCTTGACATCAGGACTAAGAGCACGAGAGTCAAAGTTTACCGATGGTTGTCTACCAAGTGATTGAGTAGGCTTATGCGTAGATAATCCCTCTGTTGGTGGGGTATTAATTCTAGGTGGATTTATACTATCAGATCCAGAACTTTTCTTCTCAATTGAAGAAGATGTCGATTTAAAAGCATCTCCATATAATTCCTTTTCTTCATTAGATCCCCATCTTTCCTTTCTATCGGAGCTTGGTGCAGCCAATTCCAATGATGCATTATGTGAACATATAAATCCACCCTTTACTTCTTGAAATTTGACTCCCAATTTGCTCAAGACACTAATAATGTTGTAACGGATGACCGGCAAAGGTTTAGTCGATGTGGTTTGTACACTGAAGAATCCCTTGAGGAACAAGGTCTTAGGGTATTCAATCGAAGGCATACTATTAGGCATAGCACGATTGAATTGCTCAATGATTTGATCTTCGGTCAATGCAGGAACTTCGTGGTGATAATCATCATCCAATGTTACGTCGTCAAAGTATGCATCAATAATCTCATCACTATTTTGAGAAGCCAAAGCATTGGGCAATGGAGGATGATGTGCTGTATTTGAAGTATCAATACGTGGTGGCCTTTGCAGGTATGATTCCTTACGTAAATGTCCACCAACAGATTTAGCTCTCGCGGTAGGGTGCAACTTCTTCTCAGGATGACTGTTAATCTTATTACCGACATATGCCGCTGTATTAATGTTAGGCAATGGTGGAAGATATTCCACAGGAACAAATCCATGAAATTTGTTGGAAGGATGAGTCGCTGACGTCGAAGAAGCCCTGCCGTGCGTAGGTGGTACACCAAGTGTAGGAGGAGATGTGGTGGGGGTAAGGGAATTTTTCTGTGTGGTCGCTGAATTTTCTGGAGGTGGTACCCTCTTTGGTGATGAAGTTGATTTTTGTGGTGAAGCTTGAAGATTAACTCTTGAGCCAGAAGACTTTTCCTTTGCAGTAATTTTCATACTGACACCACGACGAACCATTGGGTCAAGTCTACCGCCATTGTTGGATTGGTGGGGAGTGAGTCTGTCTTCCTTCCCAGGCAGAGGACCTGTGCTGTTAGGGAAGTTATATTCGGACGAGCCTGGCAGGGAAACTTGCTTCCCAGGAGATGCAGGTGCTTTGTACTTTGAAGAAAATCTTCTGAGCAAGGAATTGAAACCAGAAGATTTCCCAGAATTTGGGTCCAAGGTTTCTGGAGTGGTGGTAGAATTCCTGGGACTTTGGGGTTGCTGTTCTGGGAGCGTGGATTCCGCCGTACCAGTGTTTTTTGGTGTTCCGGATCCTCCATCGATATGCGTGGTGTGTGCTGCTTCCGGGAAAGGTAATGCAACAACAGGTGGTGTAGATGATCTTTCTGGGGATCGTAACGGCGAGGATGTCGTTGGTTGAACAGGCTGTGGCAATTGAAGTGGTGATTGAAGAGTAGCTGGGGGCTTGTTCAGATCTGTGTGTTGAACTGTAACCAGTGGTGAGACTAAAGGTTGTTGTGGGAGTGAAGCAGTCTGTTCTTGTTGTTGTTGCTGCTGTTGCTGTTGCTGTTGCTTTTGTTCTCTTTCTCTCAAGGCCATTTCCTTATTTCTCTTTCTCTTTCTCATTTCATCAATTAAAAAATAAATACTTATCAACGGATGGAATCCCGCAGTAGGATCTGGTAAGATATGAGCATTAGTCGCAGAATTGTAATCTCGACCTTGCTTTGCCATTTTATACCAATTTTCGCAACTCATTTGATATTCAACACTACTTAATATACTGGTCAATTCACTGGTAATGGCTTGTTCAGTCCCCAAGTCAAATGACAGTATATTCTTGATAATGGCTGGATCCAAAGGTAATTGCAACGGAACTCTATTCGGCACGTAGTTGCTGGGTACATGATCATACCCACGATTCATCCATGGATGTTGTATAATCTCATATAAAGTGGCTCTCTTCAAAGGGTCCACAACAAGCATTCTTGAAAGTAAGGAAACACATTCTTTAGAGAGAAACTCGGGGTATTCTACATTCCCACGCTTAATCTTTTCATGCAATACAGAAACTGATTTGTCATCAAAGGGAACCTTCCCACAGACCAACACGTACAAGACAACCCCAAATGACCATATATCAACCTCTGGGCCGGTATAAGGTTTGGCAGAAAGTAACTCAGGTGCTGCAAAGTATAGGGATCCACAATATGTCTTGAGGACGGTTTTAGGGGAATATAAGTTTGATAATCCAAAATCAATAATTTTGATATCTCCCTTTTGATTGATCATGATGTTTTCAATCTTCAAATCTCTATGAACAACACTATTCTTGTGGCAGTAGTCTAATGCCAGGGCAATTCCTCGGACAAACTTCCGGGCATTCTTTTCTTTGAGAGATCCATGTGACACAATGTAATCCAACATTTGACCACCTTCTACATATTCAAATAACATGTAGTAATGGTTGGTCATGGGAACCATTTCATATAGTCTACAGATGAACGGATGGAATAAGAGCCTTCCCAAGGCTGCTTCACGGATGGTTCTTTTATCTCGGGCAACCTCCTTTTCAAATTCCTTTTGTCTTTGGGCAGCCGCCTGCGGGTTGAGTACTGGCGGGTCATTGGCATGAGCTCTTTGGAACAATTTGGCGGCACGGGGAACAATCTTCACCGCACACACCTCACCGGTCGAATTGTGTTGTGCCAACTTGACTTTACCCATGGATCCCGCTCCGATCGTTTTGATGAAGTCCCAGTCACCAATGGACTTACGATGGAATTGTTGTGCTGGTTGGTTCTGTTGCTGTGAGTGTTGATGTTGCGCTTGCGGCTGCTGTTGTGAAGGCTGTACATCTGGAGAGTTGATGGCAGCAGGGGGGAGCAACTCTGGCTTCTTCTTGGGCGCGTTCACTGACGGCAGTCTATTTATACTTGGGGTTCTGGAGTGGCCAGACGGAACAAGATGGGCGGGTGGCTGTTGCAGCTGCTGCTGCTGTTGTTGCTGCTGCTGAAATCCCTTCATCAATTGTTGCTGTAATTCCTTTTCTCTTTCTCGTTGTGCATCTTCATTCAAGTTGATGTCAGTTCTAGAGTTCTTTAGTGAGCCACTGACGTTCCGGAGCATGCGTGGAGTGGCAGGCTGTCCCGAAGACTGGTGTGTCGAGGTATCGTGCACACGGCTCGTGTCAAACGGATCCATGACGTGCTAGTAAAGGAAACCTGGATCGTGGAAGGTGGGGAGGGGGGCAATCAATTTTTTTTTTCTTGCAAGTTTTTAAATCAGCAACTTTCAGTTGACGGCAAACAAAACAATTGGAGGAAAAGATACTGAACAAAAACCGGTATTGTGTCTCAAACTTGAACAAACGTCTGAATGAGCAAGAGCCGGATTATGTGGTGAACAATGGTTAATTAAAAATAGTTTGTGTGTTGGCCTAGCCTATCTTACAAAACAATTACAAAAGGGAAGTTGTGCGAAAATCAAATTTTACAGAGCAAGGCCCAGTACAGGGACCAAGTTCCCAGGAGAGAGTGGGGGGCCATCCCTAGAAGGTTTGCATTGGGTTTTCAGGACATATGCAACGCAAGTTCTGTCTGTGTGGACGGCTACAGTGGAATCCGGGCTGGTCGGCCCTGCTAGAGGTCCCGCAAATAACGATTACATGGTTTGTACTCAGCGTAAGTCTGGAATGTTGAATGTTTTCGAGGCTGGCTCAACTACCATAAATGCGTGAAAATTAATACGGTAGTTAAGCACTCTTGCGATCTTTTTTTTTTTGCCATTTATTTTTGTCAGGGGGGGGGAGGCCTAGTCAGGTACGCTAAGCGATAAAATCGATATAAATAGAAGATCAATAGAAGGTTACGGAAGTAGAGAGCAGATCATTCCAATGCAAGATGAGGGTTTCATATTCCAGGAGACTCTAGGTTGGACAATGCGACATTCTCCACTAGTTCCACTAGTTCCATCGTAGATTAGAATAATTATTATTTATAATATTGACGATATAGAAGCTTTACATACATTTCCCCGTCTCTATTTTTTTTTTCCCTCCTTCATTCACTGTATATCACTACATTGTATAATTATGTGTTCAATGTACAATAATCGTCTTCATTGAGATTAGATTTAAGACATTTTATTGGTGATATTCTTTGCCATTATTTGTTTTTGTGTGTTACATTAATTGTAAACCATTGTACATCCACTAATATTCCTTCTCTACATTCTACAATATGAAAAGTTCTCTTTCTAACGTTTTATTCTTTACATACCATTTAGTGGTCCTTGTGGTGCTTCAAGTGAGATTGGTATTCCCAAGTGTAACCCAAAATGACAACAGCGAGAACCAAGTGAACCAATGGCTTACCGGAAGCGTTGTCGCCATCAAAGTAAGCAGCCTTGTACTTACCCCATGGAGTAAGAGAAGCCTTTGGAGCTGGGGCTGGGCCGGTTGGCAACTTCTTGTAGAAGGAAACCACTTCAGCCATTCTCTTGGCGTTAGGGTTAGAGCCAATGTTCTAGTAGTAGGTTAGTAAACAGAAAAAAGGAATAAAGGAGGGGAGAAAATATATCGTGTTCATTGAGACTGTCAATAATACGTTGTATTCTTTTCGGATGATATGTCATTACATTGGTTTCAACCCATCCCCATATGAGGGGAAAGACCGACCGGTCATGCCGTCGTTCTCGGATCGTCCAAGCCCATTAAACACATGAATTCTCAAAATCACAGTCTCTACATCTTTGTGCTCAATAAGAACTATCCAGCTTCAGTTGTGTGTGTGTCAATCTTTAGAAACATTTGACGATCATAGGAATAGGGGAGTCACTCCATCACAACGACATATCCAATTCACCTCCGGGGTGCCGTGTCCTGTGTACATACCTTGGCAGACGCAATCTTTGGAGGAATCAAAGTCGACAACTGTCTTCTAATAATAAATGACATCTTCGGGGTTTTATTACTATTCAGATGGTCTTTATGAATACTCTTTACTTTTTGTAATTTTTGTTCACACTGTGTGCGAGATTCCGAATTGGTTGGGAGTTTCTCATTCGCTGAAACAATTACACAAAACTCGCGGTCTGCATACAAGCAACAATTGAATGATAGAGTAGTTTCTTTCTTACTATACAATTCACTATATAGGAATTGTCTTACATATTATTTGAAAACGTATCTATGTATTATTTTTAATTTATTTATTTATGTTCCTTAATCGTACAATTTGTATTGTTTTATTGTTTTTTTCATCACATACTCTTATTCTTCGCTAATGTACAACACTGATTAATGTTAGTAAAAATAAAAAATCTTAGGAAAAAAAAATAAATAAATTCCTATACGTGTGAACTTGTACACAGGATCAGTAGCTTTTACTTATTGACCCCATTAGATTCTTCACGTTGTCATATGAATAAATTTAATTAGGTGAAGCATCATATATTGTACATACCATTGTTTCCTCTGATGAAAACATCACCATAGTTCTTGTTCAGGGGCTTTCCACCAACAAATTCTTTGGTTTCGTCCAAAACAATGTTCATGTACCCATCTATGCTTTGCAAGTTTCCTAAGTACTCAACACCATTATGAAGCTTAACACTCACGGTGCTGCCAATTATATTACTTAAAAACTTAGAAGGGTCTGTCTTGATGACAGATTCACTTGTTGCAGACATTCTTTTCGATTATACAAGGGAATATAATGCAGCAATTATCTCTTTTGTAATCTAAACCATTTTTGAAATTTGATTTTCATATCTCTGGTCGTGTAAGGACCAATTTTGTGGTTATGGTTCTACAATAAAGAAAAAGGAAATGAATAGTAAAACCATTTCAAAATATTAATTAATTGGGGTCAAAATATGTATAATGTAGGATTGGTAAGAAGAATGTATGAATTAGTTTTCCTTTTTCTTGTTTAGCCAAGACTAAAAAAAAGTGCTATAACACTACTTCCTCAAAAAGAGAAAATACATGTTTAAGAATTAAAAAAAAAAGATCTCCGCGACGGGGAATTGAACCCCGGTCTACCACGCGACAAGCGGTAATTCTAGCCACTAAACTATCACGGACTTTATTGTTTTTTAATATTAAGTACTTTTAATAAATGTTCTTATTTGCACATATTACATTTTGGCCAAATTTGAGCTCTGTAGCTCTATTATAGTGTCAAATACATATTCAGGCTAGCATTCTTACACGTACTCTCCTTATGCACCATAATTCAGTCAACATTTTTGATATTGGGATGTAGATATTGATATGGACCTGTCATTTGACTTTTTTTTTTTCTTATTCTCAAGCAGATGATCTATGTGGTGGGAGTGGCTCCCGGTGTACTCAAAATACATACTTTCTTGGATGTTTATCAGCACATTGTGTTTGATTCTCTCTCTCTGACATTCTATTCAATTCACAGTTCTAGAAGAATAAAAGAAATAGAATAATCGCAGTTTGCGAATGGTAATATACTAATTTCGCAGCCAAAACTTACAGAATTTTAAATAATATACATATAATATTTCGAAACTAAGATGGACCTCTTTTTTTGGTATTTTTGTACATACTAGGGTATAGAAAGGTGGCCATTAAAAACCGGAATAATAGTTTGAATAACTCAAACTATTGAAAGACAAAGGAAATCGCAGTGATTCCACGAAGAAAACAAAATTGAATTTATTAGTATGGAAGGTTGATAGAAGTTCATGCTAACATCTGGAACTCAAGGGGGGTACCACGACTCCTATTCAATTCATACTGTCAAATGAAGCTGAGAAGTTACGGCGAACATTACCAGTGGCAGGGCATCCATCAGGTTCGTTGTCAAAGCTAAATACATGATCCATTATTGATATGGTACCAGTTGGACCATTTGCAGTTAACGACAACAGGATTGGACCACCCTTGTTGCTGTATACAATCTTGATAGGGTAGTATACACCTCCACCAAAGGATATTGTTCTGGAATCTTTTCCTAAAAGTTGTTTTTGTTCATCCCAGTGAGCAAACATCGCATCTCTATTACCAATGCAATTAGTGTTACAACAAGAGAATGCCAGACCAGCTCCAACTAAAACCACAGCTGCATCTTTTACAGAGAGTTCAAAATCATAAGATCCCCCAGCTGGCGCCTTGAAATACCCAGTAAGTTCGACCAAGAAGCTTTTTGCGACAGATCTACTATTTTCACTCAATTGCAAGTTGGAAATGTGAGGTATAGATGCCAAACTAGTCAACTTTTTGTATCCACCAGTCATGAATCCAAGGCTTTTCAGCGTGTCATCATCGCCATAGGTATATGGATAGAAAACAGCACCAAGACCTGGTGTACCTACAGACGATGGCAGGCAAGCAGTTGGATTAGCCGTGGGCCCACATGGATAATCAGACGTAGACGAACTGGAAGACATTGAACTAGATGACAAGGAAGAACTAACACTTTCCGAAGAATAATCTGATGAACTTACAGAAATCGAGGAAGACATAAATGGGTCAACTGTACTGGATATTGAACTTGAGAGGATGTCAGAATTGGAAGTAGCATCAGTTGAGGTCACAGATGAAGATCTTGATTCAGTTGAGAAAGAATCACTTGGACTAACAGATGCTGACGAGGGGTCACTAGGGTTGACGGAGCCTGATGATGAGTCAGAAGCTGCGCTACTTGGGTTGACGGAACCAGAGGCTGACTCAGAAGTTGAGCCCGAAGTAGAGTTGCTTGGATTGACGGAACCGGAAGCTGAGCCAGAGGCAGAGCTGCTTGGGTTTATGGAACCAGAGGCAGAAGCGGAAGTTGAGTCATAAGCAGAGCTACTTGGGTTGACGGAACCGGAGGCAGAACCGGAAGTTGAGCCAGAAGCAGTGTTGCTTGGGTTGACTGAACCGGAGGCAGACTCAGATGTTGAACCAGAGGCAGAGTCACTTGGGTTGACGGAACCGGAAGCTGAGCCAGAGGCAGAGCTGCTTGGGTTTATGGAACCAGAGGCAGAACCGGAAGTTGAGTCATAAGCAGAGTCACTTGGTTTGACGGAACCGGAAGCTGAGCCAGAGGCAGAGCTATTTGGGTTTATGGAACCAGAGGCAGAAGCGGAAGTTGAGCCAGAAGCAGAGTCACTTGGGTTGACGGAACCAGAGGCAGAAGCGGAAGTTGAGTCAGATGGGTTCACGGAACCGGAGGCAGACTCAGATGCTGAGCCAGAAGCAGAGTCACTTGGGTTGACGGAGCCGGAGGCAGAACCGGATATTGAGCCAGAAGCAGAGCCAGAAGTTGAGTCAGAACCTGATTCACTTGGGTTGACGGATCTGGAATCAGAACCCGAGGCAGAACCAGAAGTAGAGCCGGATGGGTTAACCGAGTGAGATGCAGAACCTGAGGCAGATGAGTTCACAGAGCCAGAGGCAGAATCACTTGGGCCAAGGGAGCCAGAAGAAGTACCAGAAGTAGCGCCAGAATTAGTGTCAGAAGAAGTGCCAGAAGTAGTGGAGTTACTTGGGTGGATGGAACCTGAACTAGAGGCAGTGTTAGATGGGTTAATTGAGCTAGATGCTGAGCTTGATACTGATCTGGAAGTGGTGTCAGACGAGGTGCTCGATTCGGATGAAGAATCAGAATTACTTGGATTAGTAGAGCTTGAGGTGGAGCTGGAAGCAGAGTTGGTTGGTATAGAATCAGATGAGGCGGAACTGTTAGAATTTGGGGAAGTGGTAGAGCTTGATGCATAAGATGATGAAGGTTCCATACTGGATGAATCGGTTGAGCGATCGTTTGAACTTGTCAAGGAGCTGGACAGAGCTACGGAGCTTGATGAACTACTAGGACATTGTGTGGTTGGAATATATGTCGTTTCACAAGTAGAAGTTACAATGTATGATGTTTCACAGCTGTTGTCTGGGATGTCTGTTGTTGTCCATGTAGTTGTTGGCATAACTGTGGTTTCACAGCTAGACGTAAAGTAAGTAGTTGTCTCACAAACACTCTTCACGGGCTTTGGCCAACAATAGATAGACCAATCTTTATTGGCATCACAGCCAAAATCATATTTGTAGTCATATGAGAAAAACCAAGAATTACATAAGGTAGAATGAGCATTGAATACACACCACTGTACCAGGACCAGAAGGCTTGGTAAACAAATCTTATCACCATAATCTACACATTTGGCTTCAAAATTGAATGTCCAATCTTTAGGGTTTGGAACTAAATCAATATTTTTGGAAACATCGTAAAGTGTATGTTTCACGCCACCACAATCGATATTTAACTCTTCCAAATGTTCCTTATCAAATCCTTGATCGGACTTCATTCCAAGTGTCACAGAATAAGTATGATCGCTGATTAATTTTACATCCTTGAGATTAAATTGTGCCGCAGGACTTTTCAGAGATCGAAGCTTTCGTGTAAATTGATCAGTGGGACAAAGAGGGGTAGGTGTATAGGTTTCAGTCGAGCAACTTGTAGAGGGAATTAAAGTAGTGGTGCAAATAGTAGTTGTGATGGAAGAAACAACGGGAACGCTGGATTGAACATCTGAAGATTGACAAATAAATGTTGGAATCGTTGTTGATACACATGCAGTGACCGGGATACTAGTGATAGGACAGTCATCGGATGGCCCGGTAGAACTGACAGGAGTATCACTCGTTATTTCGGAATTGCTAGTGGGTTCAAATCCACTGGTAGGACTAGAATTGCTTGGACCCACATTACTGGAAGTATCAGGGGGACTTGTCTTATCAGATGAAGAAGCATCGGCACTTGAACTAGTAGATTCAACACTAGAGAACTGCATCCCGGAACTAGTAGCACTAGAGAATATCATCCCAGAACTAGTGGATTCAATAGTACCAGAAGAAAGAATTGAACTTGTTGGATCAACCATAGGTGGTATATCTTTACATACAACACATCCAGTGTGAGGAGTCGATCCCTCGGGAATCGGTCCATAGTACCTAACACCTGCATTGTAAATACTTTTACCAAGGAAACCACCAAAGTCTACAGTTTGAACAACGAACTTCTTAGGATCATAACCGGTACCGATTTTGAAGTATTGGTTAAAATATAATGGTGGTAATCCTGTCATAAGGTTCATGATACCAGTCTTTTCATCATAATGAAACTTTGTAATGGATACAGTAAGACCGATTACATTATTGTTACCAAATCCAGCAACCTTATAAGTTTGAGCTCTCCCAAGTGATTCAACTTTGAAACTAGAAGAGGAGTGGGAGAGATAAACTGTTTGTTCAGCATCAAAGTCTATAAGAGAATTGAAGTACCAGAAGTTGGAATTCATACCAACTTCGATACACCCAGAGCCTTTGATTGGAGTATTTGAAAGCCAAGCATGGTTTCTGATACATATTTGACCATCGTTGACGATTGTTCTTCCTATTCTACCCAAAAGAGCATATCCATTGGCTCTCTTATCTTGGTAAAGATGAATAGAACCAGACTTGGCATTAGTCCAATTGGGAGCAGCAATAATGTAAATGGATTGAAGGACATTGCCAGCAGCAGAAAAGTAGATTTCACCAGTATTGTGAAATGTACCCACAACGAAAGAGTATATAGGAGCAACACCGGATCTAATGGAGTCTAAGCAAATTACACCTGAATTATTAAATTCTTTAAGGGTTGCAGATGTAAGGGAAAGCGAGAAAGGGTATCTATCAATGTTCACGAAAAAGCGACCTTTGATAATAATCTTACCGAAAAACGTCTCCACAAGAGCATTGTAGATTCTCCAAGTTGCACCAGCATCAACCACCACATCACCGAGCATTAAAACTGATGAATGATCAGTCCTATCTGATGTGATGTGCTGTCCAAGAACCGGTGTCAATGCGAGTGCGGCTGTCGCGACCAACTTTAATTTTGGTCCAAAACGCATTCGAAGTCTGAGATATTTGAATTAGAAAGGGTTGAGTTGTTTTAAATATGAATGTTGGGTGTATCCGAAGCTCTTTATATGCTAACACCGATTAATTTTTTTGTGTGGTTTTGACCTTTCGATACTTTTCAATTAAGTTTTTCTCTGACCTATCCACTTTCGCAGCCAAAATTTACGACGTGCATACCACGAAGTGCATATACTAATGAGGTACAAGAGAACACATAGAAAAATTGCCATTTTAGAAGTTGTTCCTAGTTCCGTGTACCCACATCGCCATCGAACGGTACCACTGGTCCACATATAAGCAAAAAGATCAGACTATGTGCAATGTTAAAGAAAGTTCTATTTTATTGGGCGCAACTATCGGCTATGGTACTAGTTAGCGAGAAATGATTTTGGAGGTCATGGCTCACGTTCTAATATCACTTGAGGCGGGAAATTTCAAATGGGTTGTAGGAGAGAATTAAAGAAGAGGGGAAATTGAAAATTTCATTCAACTGCACTTTCGTGTAATTCACTCATTTAGTTCACTGTCCCCCCTGAGCTTCTGAGATAGAGTATACCTTGGCGTATTGAAATGACAAAACACCAACCGACATAGGGTAGAATGCCAACATCGCTAGACTGGTGCACTTCTCTTCTCGGATGTCAAGTGATGTATATCTACTTACTTCCATTATCCTGGGGAGCTGTAGTAGTGTTGGTGGCGCAGGTGATTCGAAATGGTGTTTCGAATACAAATGCAATATTCGCTCACTTTCCTTGTTTCAACCCATCAATTGAACAGCGATACTTTCATAGCACAGTGAATATTGTTTACTAACATCAACTTTAGCGCTTGGCAGTTCTCGCTTCAGGGTTCTCGTCTATATCTGTACCTGAAATTCATGCCGACCGTGATGCGTGTGAAACTGTGAATTGTTCCATGCGGCTTGAATTTTTAGGTTCCGTTATTCTCTTCCATTTTCCAGTAAATATAGGTGTAGTAAAAATATCAACTCAACTTGTATAAGAAGTTTATCGAGATTCTTGTCAATTGATTATCAAGGGTTTCTCCCAATACCCGAAGTTTCTATCTTTACTCTTTCCCAAGTAAAGATCATCATTCTCAAACTTCTATTGAAATTTTGCATGTGTGGGCTCACAAACGCCGCAAGTCGGCAGAACCAGCGTCTGTAGGCGATTCATAAAATTACCACCATAAACCACATATCTATTGACTAGCCCAAAATAGTTTTTAATACGTATTTGCAATACGCGCATTGTAGCCAAGTTTCACACAACACGTTTCCGCTGGATTAAACAATAGTATACCCATATAGAGTGCGATGGAATACAAATTTCAGGATACTATAACGATGAAATAGCAAAATTTGTAAAATTTGTAAATTCTTCTATTCGCCCCCAATTTTATGAATACATCTAAATTGTCTAAAGAGCCAGGAGATGTCCCATATTGGGTCAGAATATCGGAATTGTAAAATACTGTTTATTGCTACACGATATTCCGTACTCGGTAAAGAAATGAAATTGTGATAACACGCGCACCTAAATAACTCAAACGAGGCATACCGATTGATTTTATTGTCATAGACTCTTTGCTTGAAAATTTTGAGTTACACTTTCCTCTAGATTGTGCGTGAGATCGATTTCATAACATTTCAGGGCTGATATCATAATTAGTACGATTTAAAATCTTTCTCCGTACTATTGTCGAAAAATTATTCAATTTTAGGCCATTAATCCGTAGATACAATCCATAAAAGAATCCATAGGAACAGTTATAATCTGAAATTGTTATAGATATTTCTCTTCCCCCGGAGGGGGCTATTCTCAAACATTTGCTTTATTGTTATTTTCTATTGTCTACAGTTTCTAAAATGTCATGGTGCTTCATTTATCTGTTTGGTGAAGGAGGATAAACGCGTACAAAGAGAAGATATAAGGTTGACATACATTAGGAACGAACCACGCAGGGGCTTTGTATTTCCCATTCTAACCAGCTTTCTAAGTCTGAGCTGATACGGGACTTCAGATCGACCCCTTCAGAAATGCATGCATTTGTAAGATGAAATTTCCAACTACATTGGTCAACCATTTAGATTCTTAAGGTGTAGTCGATTTTTTATCATTGCGCGATAATTATGTGCAAGGCATTTGAATCCCAATAATATCAAAGATTGTGAGACGCTCTTGTATCCAACATACTCTTGAAACGATGATCAGGGGTAGACACCTTACCACTCTCTTCCAGAGGTCTTTTTCATCCACCGCTGCGATATTTGACATTCCTACGTATCATGTTGCGATAGTAGGAACGGGACCAGCAGGGTTCTACACTGCTCATGAACTTCTTCAGAAATCACCAAGTACAGACAAATATCGTATATGTCTTGACTTTTTCGAGAAATCCCCCACTCCGTATGGACTCAGCCGATATGGAGTAGCACCCGACCACCCCGAGGTGAAAAACTGCGAAGAATACCTTGATAATATAATGAAGAAATTCCATCGTGGTGACCAACAAGAAGATTCGCATTCTGTGCGCTTCTTTGGTAATACTGAAATAGGTCGTGATGTCTCACTTCAAGAGCTTGAGCAGAGATACCATTCTGTAGTGTTATCCTATGGGTGTACAAGTGCTGATAATAAGCTTGATATTCCTGGTTCTGATCTTCCAGGAGTTATTTCAGCGCGTCAATTCGTCAATTGGTACAATGGTCATCCTGACTATCATTCACAAAACTCAACATTTGTACCCCCTCCATTGGACAAAATAGAAAGTGTAACAATTGTGGGTAATGGAAATGTTGCATTGGATGTTGCCAGAGTCCTTTTGGCTGATCCAGAGACTCGTTGGCTGAACACAGACATTTCAACCACCGCTTTGGGTATGTTGAGGCAAAGTACGGTGAAGAAAGTTCAAATTGTGGCTCGTAGAGGACTTTTAGAATCATCCTTTTCTAATAAAGAAATCAGAGAATTGCTTGAACTTTCCAATGACAAGCTCCGGTTCATCCCAATTGACGAAAACATATTAGAACCAATTAGACCAATTGCGAAAAAATTGGGTAGAATAGAGAAAAGAAGATTTTCCCTATTAGAAAAGTATTCTAAATTATCCGAATCAAAAGAGAACGAATCCTTTTCCAAGTCTTGGACGTTAAAGTACTTACGAACTCCATTAGAGATTATTAAACTGGAGAGCAATGACCGATTGGTTTCAGAAATGAAGGTTGGTGTCAATGCCATCGAAGACTCTAAAATTAAATCTACACTGGAAGTTGAACTGATTAAGAATGATTTGATTATTTTATCTATTGGCTACCAAGGAGCACCATTACAGGAATTTAAAGATCTTGGAATATGTTTTAATAGAAACAAAATTTTGAACAAGGAGGGGAGAATATTGACTACTAAGGAGTCGGAAGTGGTATTACCTGGTTGGTATACTTCTGGCTGGATCAAAAACGGCCCCAAAGGTGTAATTGCCACTACAATGATGGAATCATTCGAAACAGCTGATTGTGTCATTGAGGATTTAAGTAGGGACGTTTTCACGAGGGGAGATGTCAACGATAAGGTGGGAATTGATGACAAATTGCTCAAGAAATCTGTCACATGGGATCAATGGGTTCATATAAACAATCGTGAAAGGGAGTTGGGTGAAAAGACCGGTAAAATCGATTCTAGAACAAAGTTGGAAAGTATTGAAAGTCTTCTAGAAGTTGCTCGTCAACAACAATAATAATATTTGTATATAGTAATTATATTTAATTAATCTTTAAGGTCATCACATCCTGTAATTCGAGTGATATAATGCTTATGTTCATATTTACCGAAAAATTCTGGCCATATCTTCAGAGGAGTACGCTCTAAAAAGGCTGAATCGTCCGAATCGGCTAATTGGGCACGTTCGAAATCCTCCTTATAATGTGGACTCTCAGTTTTGGTGATTGTATAACGTACACCGCTATGTTTGAAATAGCCCGGAGGTGGGAGTAATGGAACAATGTCTCCATCGTGAGCAACTCTTATATATCCCTTGGTAATACATCCATCTTCAGATATTCTATATTTGGTAGTCCCAGTTTCAAATATTTTATTGATATACTTGGCTAATCCTCCATTCCCTATTCTTGGACTCCCAAATGATATCACCAACGGATCGTCTCCCAATAGTTGTAGCTCTACACCTGCGAGTAGGGTTAGGGCTGCCCCCAATGAGTGGCCCGTGACAACCAATTTATAATCAGGGTTATCTTGTATTAACCCATGGGCTCTTAGAATTATCTCCATACAGTTCTCTCTTAAAAAGTTATAGAATCCTTTATGGACAGTACAGTCGTCACATCTGGGTCCCACTGAAATAGGCTCGTAAACTATAGGAATAAATTCAAGATTACCAATCCAATCTCGACTAGATGCTGTACCTCTAAACACTAGAACTATTCTTTTACCTAATTCATCGAGAGCCAAATATCCAGATCCTACACCACCCCAATCGTTGAAATTAAAGGTTTCCACAATTTCAATATCTTTATGTGCTCTGGTATTACATTTGTCAATAGCACAGCTGTCACTTAGCTTTCCTGGTTTTAATCCTTTCTTTAAACAATATGCTATTGCTGAAAACTCCGCATAATCACGAAGAGTATTGTACTCCTTTTCTGTGATTTCTGATACCCCCAACTTTGCCCAAAAGACAATTACAAATAATATATACTCAACCAACCTCATATGTAGTTTCTGGCCATAGAATAGAACAATTTACAAAGAAGATTTCCAAACATTACTCTTATCATTATTTAAGGATTTTCCATTTTAATTTAAAAGATTTGCAGCCAAATTTAGGAAACTATAAAACTGTCCTTTCTTGATCTGCTTCTTAAAATTACTATATATAATTTGGGCAAAAATGATAAGTATTGTATTAAATTGTGCAATTACCCTAGTTACACTAAGGCAAGATTGTTCTTGATTAAATGGGAAGCACTTTAAGAGTGCAAAATGGGTATATATATATAAAACAAATTAAACGAGGGAAAACCGTAAAAAAAAAAATATTCAGGGTACAGCAAAATTCTTTGTTGCACCATGTAGAAGTTGCTAGAACTTTTTAAATAGATTGAAACAACCCCACAATTTCTCCCATAAGACCGATGTATTCCTCCACAAACGAATTAAACACCCACCAATTACCAAAACTGCTCTGCAGTTGTATTTGTTGTTGTAATTGTTGTTTTGAGTAGATATGCTTGAGTAAATCATTTAGAATGCAACTAATGAAATTGTGGTAAACAAGAATTGGATATCTTGACTTAAAATGAACCGAAAGTAACCGATCATGCAAGAGGCGGATTAAAGACGTCACTGTACGATATTCTTGATTGGTCAACAAATTTGTCCAGATAAGACCAGCTTCTTCTCCAATCTGGCTGGAGGCAACCAGCGGATCTGCACTAAGAAAACCAACGAGATCTACCTTGAAAAATTTCTCAATTAAACTGGCTTCTTCTCTTACAAATTTCAAGGATACGGCCGAGCTTTGTGTATCAGAACCAGAACCAGATGAGCTCTTATCGGCTGCATTATAATTGTAGCCCATTAAACTGAAAATAAGATCATTTTGAACTATATCTTCTTTAAAATTAAATCGTATTTCATTATTTTCAAACGAAAGCGATGGTGATGGTGATATTAAATAATTCTGAATATCCAATGTCATACTTGAGCGAGTACTTGGAAATCCTTCATCTTTCATTATTAATTTAATAAATGTAATAAGTAAATCATTTACATTGATGAGTTTCTTCAATATAATGCAGAAAATGGTGGCATGCGTATGTGGGAATTGAATGTTATATGACGATAAGCTGTCAGTGTAGTTGTTAATAAATTGGATTAGGCTTGATCGGAGGGTCTGTAAGAAACTGCTATGATTATCAGATCCAGAAGATGTCAATAGAAGCAAGTAGGGAAGAAGTTTGACAATTACTATAAGGTAGATACGAAGATCAATATTCTCATGAATATTATTTTCTCCACCAGAGTGTGGGACCATAATTCTCGTCAAGAAATTGGTCAATAATGACGATTCTAAGTTTTCATTTGCTTCCAACTCATCAATAAATATAGATTGAACCATATCAATAATCGAGGTAATTTCTTCTTCTTCATCCATTAAAAATACGTTATCTAAAACTGCAGCTTGTTCTCTTGCAACATTATCAAACCAACTTTCACCACTTTCCGGCACAAGCAGAAAGTCTTCAAAGGTGGGGAACTTAAGGAATGGTTTAATAAATGAAAGTTGTGGTGCGAATGTAACATCAGTTGCGGAGCTTGATAACGTGGAAGGAATAGTGACATCTCCAGTGTCATCCAATGGCAATGTTCCCGCATTGATGCTTGAAGAAGTTCCTTCTATGAGGGACGCAATGGGCTTGTTACCACTTACTGTTCGTTTTCTCGATGCCCTCCCTCCAGAAGGCTTCCTCTTTGTTTGTTTACCCATTCTAATCTTTTTCAGCATGAAATAATTTGTTAAATCAGGTAGTTCATTATTTTCACAAAGTTGACGGGTGTCTTCGTGAACTATTTGGTCATTCCATACAACCCCAAGATAGTTATATTTGGATTCACCACGACTACCCAACCGCTTAATACGTAGATTGGGGTACACCAATTTGATAAGTTTCCCCAATTTAGATTGTCCAAGGATAATCTTCTGTTGCTCACTCACAGTGTTCGAGGAGGATGGATACAGAGAGATTAATTTCTGACAGATAATATAGTACGTTTTATAGATTGAGAGTCTTGGGATGGTATGATCCAATTCAACACTAGATTCCGGGAGTTGAATGAGAATATCAGAAAGAATTTTCACTGCCAAGAACGTTCTTAAAAGTTCATGATAATTCACTGAGGTAAGTTTAACCTCTGAAGGGTTGATATTAGCGACAAATGTACCCAAAGATTGAGGGTTTTTAAACACACCAAGCACCAGAGATATGGTGTAAGACGAAGTGTTAACCACATTGGGCAAGGCGTATACAGTTTCATCAATTTTTTCCACTTGACCAAGTTTATTCAGAACATCTTCAGAATTATAAAGAATGTTATAAAATTCGTCTAATGGAATTTGATTTTGAATCTTATGTAATATATCCAATAGATATGAATTGATAGTCATACCATCGACATTGGGGAGTTGCGAAAGTAAGGACAGTACGATGTCCGATTTCAATGGCGGGTACAATGTAGACCCCGAGCCAAAGAAATTGGGCAGTGGTAATAGTTCATGAGACAGTTGATGACGGTGAATTGGTTGTTGCAGCAGAATCAGCAGGTGCAGCAGGTGCAGATGGAGTGGTTGTTCTTGTGAAGGTTGCGGCTGGCTTTGCTGTTGAAGTTGATGCGGATGTTGGAGTAACGGCTGTTGTTGTTGTTGTTGTTGTTGTTGTTGTGCAAGTCTTTGCAGAATACTAATGTTAGGATCATACTCTTCCTTAAGGTTGAAAAGATTAAAATGAGAAGAAATTGAAAGATTGTTTTTAGAATGCTGGATGCGTTGCTTGGTGGGCAGAATTCTTGCTGGCGATGAAGGATAAGTAAAGTCTGATACCACTGGTATCAGCGGAGCAGATGCATGTTTAGGAAATGCAAACGAAGGCTGTTGGAAGTCAGCAGATGCAGTATGCGAGTGTTGTCCCGACGAGGTTCCTGTACCAGTTGTTGCAGACACAGGGACAGGTAATGATCCACCTGTCATTGCCGGAGCATTGGGGTTATAGATAGGGGCAGGCGGGTGCATTGTGTAAGCCGACGGGTCCTGAGGATACGCAAAATGTTGTGGATACGATGCATTGGTGAACGTTGGTGAGGAATGTGCGGACAGAGGATCAAGAGCATGTGTAGGCTCTGGTGGGAATGCATAGGGGGTTTGGGCAGCGTATGTGTCATGAATTGGAGAATGCCCAGTCGAATGACGGATAGGCTCGGCAAATGCGTGTGAGGGAGATGAATGCGGATGTATTTGTTGACGTTGTACTTGTGTCTGTTGTAGTTGGTGTTGTTGTTGTTGTTGTTGTTGCTGCTGCTGCTGCTGCTGTTCATGTAATGGAGAGGTTTGGCCCTGAGGTACCCCAGGGGGAAAAAAGTAATTTATGCTCAGAGTAGACGACTTCTGTCGCTTGTGTGATCTGTGAGTATGGTTCTCTGACATAATTCGAGCATGTGTGAGGGGAGGGATATGAGCGGTGGGGTTTCCTAAAGGTTGACGCACGATGAAAGTGGGTATAAGGGGGGGATTGACCAACAGCTGATGGAGAAGATAACGTCTCTGATTTGTATGATGACCAGCACACAAAAAAATTTAAATTTTACACCAAATAAAATTAGGGATCAAGCGTGATCGATAGATATCACTCACAATAATTTAGGGAGACAGATCTGATTTAAGGTACCAGAGAAAGAAATCTCGAGGTAATAACACCAATAATGAACTAGGGCACGAATTAAAGCCGTTTGCAAGGGAGGCTATGGGACCGAAGGAGTGACCGGGGGATGCTCAGCACTAGCCAAACAGTCAATCGGGGTTGAAGGATCGCCCGAATTGCTTTTACTTTGGATCAACAGAAAAAAAAGGTGGGATCCCAAAAATGACTTCAAGCTCAGTGTTTAGAGAAGCCGCAGGTGTGAACCTTTTAGGGTTTTTCGCACTATAAATAAAAATAGTGACAAGGGAAAGAAACACAAAGTAGGACCCCTTATACGTGGGGAAGAACTTTTGACGAGGGTTGGTGGGGCAGGTAAGGATCCAAGACGTGGGAAATGAGCAATGCCAGTATAGATGGGGCAAAAAAAGGAGTGAATTGAAGTTGGTAGGATTCTTCACGGGTAAAGTTAAACGGAGTTTCAGTAAGCTTGTATTATTTTTTTCCCTTTCTGATGCTGTTTCGGTTTTATTTACGTTTTCTTTTTTTTTTATTATTTTTCCTTCCTTCTTAAATAATTCTTGGTTTATGTATCTTTTACAAATCAGAGAACAACCTTGTGACTGAGAAAAAATCGATAAGGGGTATGGAAATATTTGGCGTGGATGTTTCAAAAACAATGGACTGAACTGGATGTCGGGAATTTAACTGCAGTGTTGACAGGCGCTAGTACAAGGAGATGGCCGAGACACTAGAAGAATGGGGATACAACAAACCGTATGGATTGATATATATATGTATACAATTTTCCTATGTTTCCGTTTCGCTACAAGGTCAGCGGTTTTATATCCTTTTTAGAGTTTTTGCAATTCTTCTCTTGATAATTTACAAAAAAAAAAAAAAAAGATTTCTTTTTCCCTTATTTTATAAATACAAGAGGATTCAAGAGCGTCTTAAAGGAGAAGCAATTTGTTGGTTATTGGGCAGTTTAAGTGAGTTCTCTGCAGAATGCCCCCGTACTGCTACATACCACACAGGAAAAGACTACAATATGGTCATGACAGAGTGATTAGGCTATCCCGTAATGTGCCACATTGTATAGGAAATGGTGTATTTTAATTTCCCTTACTTTCCATTATCGCCTTTTTTCTTAGATTTATTGACGGAATGTTGCAGAATGCAAACAAATATTTTTAAATTACGCACTAATCAGGAAATTGAATTTAGACGAGGAGTGCATTCAGGGGATTTTGGAGTATTCAGACTTTGCAACAACCTCAGCCTCACTATATTAAAGTTAGCAAGTTTATGAAATCGGTGATCACCTTATATATAAATCAGGGCGGATGTGGGCATTAGCGATAATGCGAGATACGAGCAATAATATTTTATTAGCTTTATGACCACAATAATAGTTAAATTTTGGATTCTATTTCTTTATTTACACCTCCTGAGTAAAATGATAACTCGAATTATATTTGCATAGGAATAAGAGGAAAGGGATACGACAGTATACGACGCGATACATACGCGTGGGTGTAGATTATGGTGTATACTAGGATTTCTTACATGTACCCACCTGGCAGGTAAAATCCCTCCCCAAAGAAATTAAAGTGGGAAAAATGAGGACCACCGGTTAACTGAGTAAAATATCACGTAGTCACACACACTGCCTTTAAAGTAAATACCCGCGTAATTAATTCTACAATAAAACAAAGTTTTAGACGACTTCCATGATTAGTTACCCAATTTAGATTTCGTAATGGTAAACTACGCTATACATTTAAATGACGATATGTAACAATACATATTGAGATACTTCTTCTATTGTCTTGAATCATTCACTTGCTTTGGAATTAGTAATTACACACATTTAAAAAATATATTCTTATTGCTTGATTTTTAATAAATAATAATAAATGATAATATATAACTGCTCTACAATTTGGCTTTTGGAGGTAAGGAAGTCTTCAATACATCCTTCATTTGATTGGCAGATTCAGTAAGATACCATTTCAAGTGATCGGATCTTAACCCATTACCCTTCTTACATGAAATATGTACATGGATCCATTCAGAGTTGATCATGTAAGCCAAACCATATCCATCATCAATAACTTGAGACCAACCCCAAGATTGGAAATATTCAGATGGAATTTGAGATGAAGAAAGGTACCAAGTAGCAGAATAAGCAAATACTGGATCAGTAAAGATTTCTGGGATTTCTTCACCAGATTGTAACATATTCTTTAAACCGAAAAAGTGACGATCAACACCCTTACCATTAGCAGCATCACTCAAATAGGCAACATGTTGCTTACAAGCGGCTTGGAATGTAGCAATTTTTTCTTCGTTAGTACTATCTAAGGAAGTCCAAGTTTCAACAAACTTCTTAGATTCATTAGAAACGGTCCGGCCAGTTTCAGTTCTACCCTTCAAGAATTTTCTTGTTGCAGCACTTTCATAAGTAGGTCTAATTTTACCAGTAGTCTTATAATAGGCCAATTGCATCAACATTTGAACATAAGCATCCGGTGAAACCTTAAATTGCTTAATCAAATTCTTACCATAACCTTGATATTGGAAGATTTCTTCATCATGTGATTCAATAGTTTTTTGAAATTTAACAATAGCTTGATTAATTTCTTCTCTTACATAAGGATTGATATCAAATGAAAGGATTTTTGGAAGGGATTGAACTGGGAGAGAACTTAACAGTTCAACAGAACTATCAATTTCCTTTACGAGGGCCTTTGAATCTTCTTGGAAAAGTTTTGAAACAATAAAGTTATTCAATTGAACGGTTGGAGTGGCATCCATTCTAGAATGTTCACCAAGGAATCCAGAGTTACCATTAGCACTTACAAAGAATTGTAATGGCTTATCAAAGTAACGGTTTTGACCATCTCCGTGCCAGCAGTTCTTACTCTTTTCTTCAATAGTGACAGGAGAGTTTGAGTCCAAGGCAATGAGGAAAGAGGAGGCATGAATAGCATCCAATGAAGCCTTATTTGATGGCAGTTTAATCAATTGAGTGTACAGAGATAACCATTCATCTCTGTTTAAAGAGGTCAAGGCACCCAATGGAGTTGCCTTACCAAACTTTTGAACATCTTGAGTGATATGTTCAAGTTGTTTATAAAGTTGAGCCTTAGACAAAGGTTCTCCAGAAGTGGAATGATGATAAACCTTGTAAAAATGGTTTTGAATGGCAACTACGAAATATGGATGTTCAGCACCATCATAAATTTCAGTAATATCGGCTCCTTCAGCAGGAACACGAGAATTGCTAAACATATACTTGAAGGCATTCATACAGTATGGATTACCCTTAATAATTTCAGGTTCCAAAGTTTCATTTTGAACTTCAATCATAAATTGTGTGGTATAATAGGCAATAAGAGTTGCCTTCAATAATTGATCCTTACCAACAAGGGTTGGAACATCTTTGTGAGAAAAGAAATATGAGACATATGGCAGTACTGGGTCTCTATAAGACATGTACGCATAATCATCCCACCATTCAGCGAGCCAATTGTCAACCTTTGGATTGGCAGCAAATTGTTCAAGACGAGCTTGTAATTTTTCACCAATTCCTCCAGATTTAATAAAATCTTGAACTTTAGCAGTAGTTGATTGAAATTGAGATTCGTTCAAAAGAGGTTGTACCGAAGAAAGGTACTTTGCGGCAGATTCTTGAAGAGTTGGAACTGGGAGCTTTGGAAGTTCCTTTTGGTATCTGTAAAGGTCACCCTTCAAGGCTGAAGTTGAAAACTGCTTAATGGAAGGCATAATAGATGGGAATTTAGTACGAAGTGAAGATTTGAGCATACTAATGTGTGTCACTTAATCAAATTGGAAATTAATAAAAGGAAATTAATTTCAAATTGATTATATAATAAAAACTTTAACCCAGTCTAATAGAAATGTAATACAGTAAATTTTGCGAATAAGCTCACAATATATAACAGTATGATGAACCAAAATAATATGAATAGTAAGAAGGGTGGTAAATATCTAAGCAAGTGTTTTTTTCAAACCGTCCAATTCTGGGGAACCATCTTTTATAGGGCACTTGAGATTTTGCGGGGGGGTCGTGTACCGAGGATCCGGTGATCCATCCTCGGGTTAAAAAAAAAAAAAAAAAAAAAAAAAAAATAAAACGGAGAAATAAATGCGCACCTTGTTGGGTAGAAATGTGGGGGTGATTGTAGATCAAACATGGAACAACGGAAGAGTCCACAGATGGAGATTATAATTGTAGAGTATCATTCTTGAGGAGTAGTTTATATATATATATAGTTGAAGGTAAGATTCTGTTTCAATTGAGTGTCTTTTAACGATTTAGTGTTGTTCTTTAAAAAAACTGATGGTGGCTCACAATGTGGTGAGTGGGCCGAGAATTTTCACATGTACGTTGTATAGAAAAATGACGTTTCACTGTCGTTAATTCGGAACGGATATATTGAATTTAATTAATTATTTTCACTGTGGTACATATTGTAATAAAGCCTATTTATACTTGATATTATAACATTATTCTTCTTGTTTTCTATATTACTGGTTCTCTACTACTTCTATTTATTATATGATTGTTTTGTCTTCTTTTACTCTGGGGCATTGTTAAATAAATAACTCACACTCTCACCATTATGTAAACGTCTAATAGCTTCTGCTAGCGTAGGACTGATATCAATTGTTTCCAAAATTGAACATTTTTCAAGACTATCTTTAAGAGGCATTGAATTTGTACAAATGATTTTATCAAGTTTAGAGTTATTAAGTTTTTCAATAGCATTTGAAGAAAAAATTCCATGTGTGATCATGGCAATAACTTTTTGTGCCCCATTTTCTAATAATACTTCTGCTGCCTTACATAATGTTCCACAAGTGTCTGCCATATCGTCTACCAATAAACAAACCTTGTTAGAAACATCTCCAACAAGCACCATCTTTGATACTTCATTGGCCTTTTGTCTTTCCTTATGGATCAAGGCAAAGTTAACATCGAGTTTATCAGCAATAGAAGCAACTCTCTTGGCTCCACCTGCATCAGGAGAAACAATAATAAGATCTTCTTGGTTAAAATTATCCTTAATATAACGTAAAACTGAAGGTTCAGCATATAAATTATCCACAGGAACTCTGAAAAACCCTTGGATTTGAGAAGCATGTAAATCCATGGTTATCACATGGTTACAACCAGCAGTTTGTAAAAGATTAGCAATCAATTTGGCAGTTATAGGAGCTCTAGATTTATCCTTCTTGTCTTGTCTTGCATATGGGAAGTTTGGAATCACAGCAGTTATTCTTCTTGCACTAGCGATTTTACAAGCATTAATGATGATTAAAAGTTCCATCAAGAATTGATTAATGGTTTGCTCACCACATCCAGTTTGAATAATGTACACATCTTCATCACGTACTGATTCTCCAACTGCAACTGCAGTCTCTTGATTGGTATATTGGAAGGCTCCAACTTTTGCCAATTTCACTCCGAGTTTGGCCGAAATCAACCGGGCAAGCTCTGGGTGTGAATTACCAGCAATAAGTTTCACAGAGTTCTGAGATGGAGTCATTTATAGAATATATATGTATGTATATTTAACTGATGGGTAAAAATTTACTCACTCACCTTTGTGGTGGGTTTTTCTTTTCTTTCTCTTGATTTTAATGATGAGGATACCATGCAGGATCCAATAAAAACCAATTATTAACCATTCAAGTTGTATTATAAATATTAATTGATTGAAGGGACAAGTAAGACATATGAGGGGATGACATATTCTCCTTCATTGTACAAAGCCATAGGTGAGACACTTTGAATCCTTCATGAATATTGTGTTAAAAGAAATTAATATGATATTCAAATTCATTTAATTCTATGCCGTAGGTCACGTGGTCCACCAAGAAATAGAATCATATCCGAGGACAACGTGTGTTGAAACAGTACTAATCATTAAAAAAATAGTTAATAATGAAGAAATACATATACTATTGATTTCAAATCCCATTACTTTCCCTCTATGCACTTTCCTGATCGAACCTAAAAAGGTAAATTTCTTTATTTTTTTTCCCCATGAAAACAAAAATTTGGGGTGAATTTGCCCTTTCCTTATCTTTTTTTAAACACATCTCAGTTCTAAATGCAGTTTGTTACATCTGACACTACATGCAAATAATCCACAACTATCACATCTGGTATACAGTGAATCTGATCCACAAATACAACATAATCTTAATTTTGGTTTAATGACAGATCTACCACTTGTCTTTTGTCGTTTGTTCGTTTGTGTATCACTTGCAGGATCCAATTCTTCTAAAAATTGATAATTCAAACTTAAAATGGAGTTAATTGAAAGTACATTCCTTTCTTCTTCAAAATACAGAGCAAGAGTTCTTCTAGCTGACAATATTTTCTTTGTTGATGGTGTATTACCTAACCTTGATTTTTTCTTGTCACCGGAAAGATTTCTTGAATCAGCAAAGTTTTTAGGCAATTCAAAGTTTGAATTACCTCCTCCATTTTCTTTATTAATTTCATTTAATCTTCTACTAATCAATCTTTCAAGTTGTATTTGTTGAGATGATTTTAATTGTCCCTGAGATACATTTGAATCATTTGCTTGAGTTTGAGCATTCATCAAGTATGTCAAGTTATAATTCACTTTAGGTCTATTTTTTGATAATCTATTTGCATTTTCATTCTTATTATTTGTACCATTGCCATTCTCAATGGTTGATTCTTGTGGTAAATCAATTTGTCGTTCATGAACTGGTGGTCTTGCCGTGAGATTTATCGATGATGAAAAATAGATGGTACTACCTTTATTGGCAGATGCCTTTGGTATCTCTTCAACTAGCATGGATGATATAGAGGATGTACAAATAGAAATGTATTGCCTCTAGTACAATTGTTTAGGTTTGGTTTGATAATTTAGAAAAATACATCAAATTCTACATACAGGCACTACCAAATACTTAAATGTGTTTTAACTTTTGTATTTCAAAAATATTTTTTATATTTATACTATTTACAGGGAGGTCAAGGATGAGATAAAGATGAATGAACATCATTAATAATTCCTCTATTCTAGGACCTCTTGGTTAAGCTTCTTTCTTTCTTTCTTATTTCTTATCATCTCCAGCGGCACTTTGTCTAATCTCTTCAGAGGTAAATGGCTGATCTTCTCTCGATTTGTCCAACATTGGTTTAATACTCTTGTTTGCCAAGGCTACGTTAATACATGTAGTATATTCATCCCAAAGTTCAGTACATTCATTTTCTAAAGATTTGCCCTTCAAAAACTTCTCGGAATACCAGTTATTGAAACATTCATCATACTTGTTCTTTGCAGGAGTACACTCAGGAGCAAATGATACAGACATTATGTTTCCCATATTATTTATTATATATATATTTTTTAAGATATAAATCTGTAGTATCAACTATAATTTATGTGTACCAACTTTATACACTTTGACCATTTCCATTCTTAAGAATGAGACCTGTTGTGGGTATGTGCAGGACATTACACAAACCCGTTCAATCTTGTATTGATAAATTCGCGTAGATGTATACACACACACACACACACACGTCAAAGTAAACATTAAAAAAGAAAAGGAATCAAGCAAGAATACCAGGATAACTTCAAATTAAGATGAAACGGTATTCTATTGCATCATCTTCTTCGAGAAGGAAATCTACCGCGAATCCTGGGTATAACAATAGGGATGATAATGGATCTATCAATAATCTCAATCATAATTCAAATGCTACCATCAATAATAATCAGAACAGTACGAATTCCAATAATTCTATGGAACCTGCGACCTTGGAATTGGAGAGACTTGAACAAGAAATCACTTTGGTACTTCAAGAAATCGACAAGAATCTTTCCAAGGCAAATGCTGTCATCAATGACAAGATTTATCCTGTGTTGAAGAATTATGGGAAGGCATCATCTAAAGTATGGAGTAATGTAAATTTTTGGAAGTTTTTCATGGAACAAGCAGCTAATGTTGAGCTCACCGGATATGAGGAGCCTGCTAATCCCAACACCGATAGTAATACTTTGAACAATGCAAGATCAAGCAACTTGCTTCTTCTGGAAGATGAAGACGATGAGGAGAACTTACCTCCACCAGCACCAACCAATAATGATAACCCCAACGATATAGATGGAACTAACAAAGAGACAGAAGGAGATCCTTTATCTACTTCATCGTTCAAAGTACCAATTGGTAGAACGTTCCATAACATAGAGGAAACACCTACTTGGTCTGTAGAACAGAAACAACAACCATCACAGGCACCACAGGGAAATTCTATTCATGCATCAACACCTCAAATGAAGAAAAGAACATCCATACTCCGTAGTACAACCAGTGGCGGAGGAAATGGTGGGAGTGCTAGGTTTGAATCAAGTGATAGTTTAAAGTTCCAACCCCCACCAACGCTAACTGAAGGAACTTCGAGTGCAAATAGCTCCCCAAAGATCACTCATACCATTAGACAATCGTTAGATAATTATCACAAGGTCTCCATATCACCAAGGAAGAATAATCCAAGAAATACTAGAACACCAATACGAGGTGGAGATGGTAGATCATCGATGATTCAGAATTTCATCGAATCATCTCCCACACTTCCTGAACCTCCAGTATTACTTTCTGAACTTAAAAATGGAGACAATGGTAAATCTGGTTCCCCTTCGACGTATGAGAAATTATCACCAGTGCATTTACCTGAACCAAGTCCAGATAGAAGAAAGTCATCAAATACAAATACTATACAACGATTCCCCACCACTCCTAAATATGGATCTTCTGCTGGAGATGTTGGAGTTGACATTATGAGAACACCAGTTGGAATTCGTGCAAAATATGGGAATGATGATAGTGATATTCCACCACCAAATTTTTCCAACATTGAACCTGAAAATGAACCGGCTTCAATTCATAATTCGGATTCACTGATTCCTCAGTTACAAACCGTAGAATTATCAAAGAAGAGAAATATTCAGGAGGTGGACCATGAGAATTCAAAGGAACAAACTGCCCAAGGTGATCATAATAATGAACAAGATGACAATGATGATGGCAAAGATCTGAATAGAAAAAGACAGAATATTCTTGATGATAACGAGGATAATGTATTTTTGGATAACTCCGCAAAACAAGGCGGAGGTGGGTCAGCGGCGTCCACTGTATACCATTCAGTTGTTTTGAAGCAATCGAATAATTCCACAAATCATTCTGCAACTTATAACCTATTCCAAGAGGTATTGGAAAACAGTGGGAATCTTTCCAAGAATAAGGAATCAGAGACTTCTCAGACAAAAGATTTATTTGGAGATGTATTACCAAAGGAAACAGGTGAAAATGAAGAAGATATTACGGGGAATTCAACAGGTGGTATGGGATCCTTCCTTGGAGAAAGATTCCGTAATTTTACTAAGTAAGATTAAAAATTGTACAATAGATATGTAAATTAGGCTAAATGAAGGAGAAATCCAAATGGTTGCAAATAAAATAATAGATGTAATATTTAAGTGAATAGAGATATGTAATGAAATAAATTTTCTGAATCGTCTACAAGAAAGTCCATGGAGATATTCATATATCACCATTGGGTATATATAGACTAAGCTACAGAGTATGCATTTAGGAATCATCAAATGTTACAAATTGTAAAACAATTTTCCATTGTATGAAATTTTCTACATTACGGACTTTCTATATTATGAAAATTATTTAATGATTATGTTAGATTTACTTCAGATTATTCATTTTATGAGGTTAAGCAAATAATAAATTAGTATGCATTCTTTGTAGTCAAATCATGTCACGTATATTACATATCATGACTAACATTAAATAATTGATGACTATACACCTGTATATGTCACACAAAAAATGGTACGGTATATTATGGTCAGCTAAGAAATACCAATGCTGACCAATTCAGTCAATACTATTGGACAGCGCATTTTTGAGCCTGCACATAAAAATACATGATGGTTGCAAACATCATTTATTAAAAAGTATATAAAGAGTATAGTATTAGTACAATATACCAAAATTTTAATAGAAATCATCAAACAAAGTATAAAGATCAACTTTATTCAAAGATATTCACTTAAAAATTAACAATTGAAATAATACATAATGGTTTGTCAAGCTGCTGAATGTGCCTGTGCTAAGAAGTCCACTTGTTCTTGTGGAGCCAAGCCAGCTTTGGAATGCAACTGTTCTAAGGCATCTACTGAAAACGTCAAGCCACCTGCCTCTGAAGCTTGTGCTTGTGGTAAGAGATTAAAGGACCAATGTTCCTGTGGTGCTCAAAGTTGTGCAACCAGAGAAGGTGAAACCGATTTCACTAACGCTTTGTAAGTTACAAATTCAACTAAAAATAGAACCAAAATAGGAAAATTTAGGGTACTCTGCAAGACAGAGTACGGTGTATATTAATATTAATAAAAGATAGAGATTATTCAAGAAGAAGTAAACAATTTTGTAGGATGTCAGATACATTCTCTATTACATCGAAATTCAATATAGTAACGTTGTAGTTTGCAAGCACTATATATAAACTTGGAGATTCAATACTGTAGAAAGCTTTTAGTGGATATGAAGTTTTGGTATGATATAGGATTCAGAACAATCTGGTATAAATTAGTAATTTCTATACAATAAAGAAAACAAATACTTTTTCTTTAATGTTAGTAGATTCTAAGTGATAATTTAAAGTACTCGAAAGGTTAATCTACGTATTTTCATCTTCATACTGTTTGATTGTCTTCGAATTTGGTTGCAATAAAATATACACTCCAAATCTCTCGATTCGGAAAATCTCGGTCCCGACATTGGAATCAGAATGCGCACATACTATAAATGAAATAAGTTTGTAACTTATTTTCCACCTCAACCCTGTCCCATCCTGCAACCTTATAGACCAACAAACTATGGCACGCCTTTCAGGAATACAAAAGGAAGTGATAAAACTCTACCGCACGTGCTTGCGTGGAGTTCGTGCCAAACCGGCCGAATATAGACCACACTGGAAAGCTTACGTGAAACTGGAGTTTGCAAAATATTCACACATCCAAAAGAAACAATTTAGTGTTGTTGAACACTTGCTACGCGTGGGCCGTAGAAGGTACGATATGTACCTGAATCCGAATATTAAGGATATCCATTAAACTCGCAAAATTTGAAACGATGCGTCACCATCCTTTTTCACGAAATTGCATTAACGATGACCATGACTTTGAAAACACACACACACACACAAACACGATCAGTCGTCTTCGTATATATTTATATATGTATATTATTCACTTCCATTGTACATATTCTTACGCCTATCACTTTGTATCGAATGCATTTATTTATAAACTATTTCTACTACTAACCTCCAATACTAAATATTTTCTGATAATTAGTCAACATCATATCTGTGACATCATTTCTATAGCCCATATCAATCATTTCCTTTTGTCCCAGTTCATCACGAGCCAAGGTAGGTGCAAATACAACTGATAAATTCTTGAAGCCCATACGGTTCACATTGGAATATTGATTCACCAAATGGAGATGCTTACACAACAAGCTCAACGCCAATCTGTTAGCCGAAGGAAGTCTTGAAATGACTGACCTTAAATCTTTAATACGTTTCTCTCTCTTTGTAGGAGAGTTGGCCAGACTAACTTTAATAAAATCATCATAAAGTGAATATGGGATAATTGGATCTGGAAGCTTTCTTAAGTACCGTTTAAGAGCTGAAGTCACTGCGTTGATATCTCCACCAATAGTGTCCTCAAGTTTCTGCATAGCCTTAGCATCTTTTGCAGCATTTGGTGGCAAGCTTGAGAAGGCATTTTCAATGGCAACAATGGCAGAGTTTCCTCCAGAAATACGATAAATACCTTCCATATCTAAACCTCTCTTTTCAACTTCTTCCACACATTTGGAGATAATTATAGGGAATGGTTCATTCTCATAAATAGCTCTTTCCTGAAGAGTAGAAGTGAACAATGGGACATTATCTTCAGGAAGGGACATATTTGAATTCCCATTCAAAAATGTATCCAAAATGTTTGTAGAACGTGATTTAGTGATAAAACCACCAAGTCCCTTTTTCTCAGTTTCTCCATTACTTCCATTGACCGTGAGACTATTATTACTATTGTTATGCACAGTATTGTTACCACTATTCGAGTTATTACCATTGCCATTGTTGGATTGAGGAATCTTTAGAGTATATGAAGAGTACGATTGGCTGATTGGCTTGTATGTTGAACCACTATTGTTCGAGTTCGAGTTATTGCTTTGTTGCAGCTGTTGCAGTTGGTGGGTTGTGTTGTTGCCATTAGTAGTATTATTACCATTCTGTTGCTGGCCAGGGTTTGTATCCTTACCATTGTAAGGGTGACCAAAGTTTTGTCCATTGAAACTATTTGTGGTGGTCATATTTGTAGATCCATTTGCCACTGGGCCTCCGGTAAGTCCCAACTTAGGCCGTCTCCAGAACTTCAATTTAGTAGCCTTATGAGTCTCACCATCATCGACGACATCTTCGGAATAAGGTGTACCACCGATTGAATTCAGTGAAGTATGTGTAAGATTGTTGTTATTATTGTTATTATTGTTATTGGTGCCATTGGAAACAAGAGTGCTTTGGTAATCGCTCAGAATGGTGTAATCCGAAGATCCAATCTTTTGAATAGGGGCCAGTGTCTGTGAATTTGCGCTGTTAACATTTGCAACAGCATGTGCTGCATTCATTGCCGCATTAGCAGCGTTGACAGCTCCAGTCAAACGTTGATTTTCTTCCAGTAAAGTTCCATTTTCAACAAATAATCTTCTTCTTTCTCTTTGCAATTCTTGAATTTCTTTACTCAATACTTCATAAACTTGAGTATCACTTGTAATTCTATCTTTCAAATCCTTATTACTTTGCGTTAACTTGGACTTTTCTTGAGTCAATTTCTTAACATCCGAGTTTAATAATTGCTTTTGACTATCTAATTGATAAATCTCAAGTTTAAGTGATCTCAATTCAAGGTCCGAACGAGCATATGGTGTAAGTTCATCAATAACCATTCCCAGGGCATCAGATGTCAGTCTCATATGATCTCTCTTGTAGCCTGGTCCGCCAGAGAAGGTAGCACCATGGTGAGGGGATGTCATAGGCAATGGAGGCGTAGAAAATGCAGATCCTTGATTATTAATGGATCCTTCAGAAACATGTCTAGAATGTGTGGATTGTCTAGAAGGAGTGGATATTGGATTTCCAGAATATTGAACTTGTTGTTCTTCCTTATTGCTACCCGACTTGAAGAATCCAAATTTACTTGAATTACCACCAGAAGTCGATCTTTTATGTTTTAAACTGCTTAATTTCGGAGTTCTAAGAATTGATCCCTTTCTACCTAATTCGGATTTAGATTCCTTTGATTGGGATTGTTTAGTTGAATCAGTGAGATTCTCGAGATTGGTAACCGCAGGGGTTGCCGCCGAACCAACAGTATTACTAGAGAAGCCACCAATACTTACTTCACTAGTAGGTCTATCCTTACCCTGTCTAGGTGACAGATATGCGTTAAGATAATCCCTATGCAGATCATAATAATCGATGCCTTCCAATCCAAGACCCTGTGGTTCACTACGAATTGTATCAGAAAGTCTAGTAATACTATCCTTAGCCAACCCATCTTTATTTTCACCGTCTTTCTTAACCGGAGTAGACGGTAATGGTAATCTAGGAGGTGGGGATGTGACTGTTTGTCTTTTCGAAATCGTTGAACTTTTCTTTGGAGTGGTTAATTCTGAATTCAATTCATCATCTTCTTTAATGGCACTATTGTTATTGTGATTGTAATCTTCAAAGTTAACATCTGCTTCAAACGCATCAGTTGATATGCTATCTCTGGTCTCTACGACTCTTGCCTGTCTATTCGCCTTGGCAAATGGAGAAGGACAAGCCGATCTGGATTTGTTTGTTTCACCATCAACAATCAAAGAGTTCAGTTTGACATTTTCATTGGAAAGATTATTAAGATTTTGATGTTGTTGTTGTTCTTCTGATGATCTAATCAGAAAATGGTCTGAAATTGGAGTTCTTTCAGTGGAATGAAATTCATTATCATGGTATTGATTAGGTGAGTATATGAGAAGGTTTTTCCCCCTAGGGTTACGGAGAGTATGTGTGGCACGAGTGGAAAGGGAAGAAGTAGACCCGGTAGTTCCATCATCGGCTGGTGGCGTAGAAAGATTTGTAGAAGTGGTTGAAGATACTGTAAAGTCTGCTGCTGGTTGTAAAGTCATATCTGGGGTTGCAGGCACCACTGGTGCAACTGAGGCAACTGGAGCAACGGGTCCACTTGGGGCCAATGTCTGTGGTACAGGAGGTGGAGTACTTCTTGCATTATATGAGGGAGATCTCTTACCCAATGATGGAGAATTATTCTTTAATTTTCTAGCTCTTTTCAAATTTAATTCATCATCACTATCATTAACTTCTTCTATGGCAAAATCATTTTCTGGAGTAAGAGGGAATGCTTGTGGTTGTTGTTCTAAGATTGTAGAGAAGGATTTCTGAGGTGGTTCTAATCTAGTTACTGGACCCTGTGGTATTGTTGGAGTTTCCAATCTAGCAACGGATTCATCAACAGGGGTAGAAAATTGAGAAGTACCAAATGAATTGAAAGATCCTTCAGTTTTATTTGAAAGGAGAGAGTCTCTTGATATAAGAGGTGGTGGTGCTGAACTTGAAAATGGTGCTGGTGGCGGTACAGGCGTGGTAGTGGCTGAGGCAGAAGTGGCTGAAACAGTACTAGAACCAGTACCGGAAGCAGATATGGCCGGTGAAGGAGGTCCTACTGCTTGAGGAGGTGGTGGAGGTAAGTTTTTATTTATACTACTCGTTGAACGATTCAGATTCACTTGATAAAGATAATTTGGTACTGTATCAGGAAGGGTTGCATTTGTTCCAATTGTTGATATTGAAGCCGGACGTTGTGGAATGGAGGCTGACTTCATGGTGGAGAAAGCTTGACTTGATGGTGGTTGACTCTGAAGATATTGAGCGTGTTGTTGCTCCAACTGTTGTAATTGTAATTGTTGTTGTTGCTGCTGTTGGGCCGCAAGTGCTTGTTTCTTTAAATCATGTTTCTTTTTCTTGGCCACCAATTTCTCATGACAATTCATACAAAAGAGACCCTTTGAAGTCCTTGCATATCTTAAATCTTCAATTTTTTCCTTACATGAACGACATTTAAAACATGACAGACAATATGCTTGGTCCCCAGTAAGGATGGCCAAATCGTCAATTTTCTTGTTACATTGCTTGCAATTGTAGGAACAAGTAGAGCAGATGAGAGAACCGTTCCCAAGCACCAAGAAGTTCAGGTTACACCCCAAGGACTGATTACATTTAGAACATTTAAAGCAAGGGATATGCCAACGATCGTCACCAAGTTCATACGCGTGGCCCTCATAAATTGGAAGCTCGCATTTTTTGCAGGTTTGCACGGGGGGAGCTTCTAGAAAGCCGTCCATCTTGCAATTCAAGGTCTGGGTTCAGAAGGAGGTGTATGGTGGGGCAACGTCCTGTAAGAGTTGCTTGTAAAATAAAACGGGTAAGGGGGATCGTCTGTATCGCTGTTCGAAACCCAAAAAAGTATCCCAAAGACAAAAAAAAAATAAAAAAAATAAAAAATTTGGAAATGGCAAATTATGAACGAACGCGAAATTAAATTTAGTGTGAGAGTTTCTAAGTAGTTGAGAACATAAAAAAAAATAATTAAAATAAAACAGTCAGTAGAGGGAATGTAGTGGGGGTGTAAGCAGGATATCGCTAGAGGTAGTGGGTAGAGTACGCGAATAGCCTTCTCCATTGGTGATAAATAGATTGCAAACGTTGTGAATGTGGTTATTTGCAAATATCATTTATGTAGTGGAAAACGCTCAAGAAAGTTCGGTACCAAGAAGTAGAAGCACAGCAGCAGGCCTCGAGTTGCAGTCAAGCCCAGTGAAAGAGTGGGAAAAAAAAATATGCACAAAATAAAAAAAAAAACAGTTATTCTATCCAGATTGTAGGAAAACGGCGTACGGGTAATGTATTCAAATTATCGTCTCAACCAGGAATGTACAATTAGAGACATGTGTCAGACTGAGAATAAATTCCGCAGTGCGACATTTCCTATGCAAATCTACAAAGGGCTTGGAGAATGGGTCCTTGTGGAAACAAGGGAATCGACAGATGTAGCCAGATACAATGACAATAGGAGAAATTCTCAAGTGTTAGATGGCTGGGCCCGGGTGCAGGGGGTGTCGTATACCTTTCAATGCTAGCCTTGTAGGAATTTCATTTCAAGGTATCGAATATAAAATAATTTTTGTCTATTGTGCCTGTGTTCCTGAACATAGTTTCCTAATGCGGAATAAATGTGAGATGGGTCTAGACGCAGGACGCAATCTTTTAAGGGTGTTGTACACACATGTAAATCACGAGACAATACAGAGATAATAGTAATACTAGTAGTATGGTTTCAGATTTGTATCAAATCTAATGTTATCAATTATGTATATTATCTAACGCCTTGCAGGAAAGTCTATATACTCCAGTCGTCCGTAGGCTTGTTTAAGCGACACACCTCATTTGATTTGGCGAGACTCTTCATATTTTCCTCCTTTTTATCCTGTACGTGGTGACTATCATATGCACAACAGATTAATTTCGTATTTACATTCGATCCTCAAATATCGTAGTCTATTTATAGAACATTCATTTTACATTCTATTTGAGGAAATTATCTCTATATATTTTTACTTTAGAATTTTTTATTTAGATTTACTCAGCTATAGATTCTATAGATGGACTTATTAGCTTTAATGTATCATCACATCATCATTGGCGCATCAGACTGTATACACCTTGGATAATTTATCAACACATTGATGTGTTTCACATACCGTAATAATGTAAACAATGCATTTAGGTGGTAGGTCTTGGTCTACATCTCTCCTATTCTTCTTGGCCTGCATGAAACATAAATAAGGTTGCAGATAGTCGCTGTCACGTACGCGAACGGGTCTGGTAGGGATTCAATTTGTGTTGCAATTGAAAAGCTTCTTCTACTGACCCCCACAACCTCCACCACAACCTCCTCCACACCCTCCTCCATCGCCACAACCACCATCGCTTCCTCCTCCGCATTGCAGTCCAGTCCCACTCCCCCCACAATTGGATGATCTATTCGTACCTCTTGGAAGTGTAACACATCCACTTCCGGCAATACAAAACCTGGCGGGTCCAGTACCTTCAAATGCAGGACATTGCATAATCTTTTCCTTAGTAGGGTCTTGTACATATATAATACCATTGTGTATCATTGTTTCAATTTGTACATTATCAGTATACCAGGGGAAATTACTCTTTGGAGGTGCTACTTTGTATTGTTTCATATTTTTCTGGTTCGCCATGGTTGCATCTTTCCCATCTACCCTTACGGCGTTGTGGGCCAGAATATGAGTAATATTCGTAATTTGAGTAGAATCAGTAATCTTGGAAAGTGGAATATGATTATTCTTTGAAACTTTCCCACCACTACTATTGAAAAGCTTAGAAGGTTTAGAATTTTTTCGGCTAGTAGTGCAATACCAACAGAAACATATCAGATATTCATCTCCATATTTCTTCTTATAAAGTCGTTGTGTATTTTCAAAACATGTGCTAAGCTTCAGTTCATTTACCTTATCGTCGTGATCAATCACATGACCATGGGTATACTTACGACAGTATTGCGAGTAGAATATAGTATTTAATTGATGAGTATGCCATACTAAATCTATGTCATTAGTTGGTACCAACATTGAAGTTGAAAAATTTTCACTCATCAATTGTAAGAATCTTCCATACCTAGAAACACTCTCTTGTACACTAATTGCAAGAAATGTTGACGAATGTAACCATTTATAGGCATTCATTTTAATCACAAATCGTTCTTGTCTACTTGTACAGGCAACTAGATCTTCATGTACTTCACATATATCATATGAAACTTGGTCAGGTATAGTTAAATGAATGAGATTCATATCATCATATTTACAAAATAATCGACTGGCAGCAACTGAAACAAGTGGCTTATTTGCAATATGTGACCTGAAATGCATATCCAGTATATATTTTCTAACGGTTTCAGATTTTTCCAATAGTTCTATTGTTTGGTTAATCACTATTTTCATTCTCCTATTCAAAACTCTACCGGCTTCCCATCCTTCATTGTTTTGTTGATTCTTCCCCAAGAAATCAGAATAATATTTGGTAATATTTGGCAATGTCACCGATTTTTTGATTACGTCTGAAATTAATTGTCTTTTCCTCAATTGCATATGATCAGTGGAAACATTGCCTGTAAATTCAATACATGCACATCTTTTCCCCTGCTGTAAACAGTTAAATCCCTTATCTGCAAACCCTTGACCACTTGAAGTGGTCAATGGGACTCTTTCATTTAAAATTTCGGAACATATTGGACATGTTACCGGAACTTGCATATGAATGTCAAAGCGATAAAAATATTCAAGTGACGTTAAATTGGTAAATTCATTACATGTCATCGAGTCTACATGAAATTGGAATGTTGTATCGTCTATCATGAATGTAATGGGGTACAATGGGAAGGGACAAAGTGTAAACTCCAAGAAATTATTCCTTACACCATTATCATGAAAAGACTTTGGATTTAAAGTAAATGAATGCCAAATCATTAAAACATCTAGTGGTGGTAGGCATCTCCAAATATAATTTGACACTTCCAATGCCTTCGATTTGGGGCCAAAAAATTCTCTCAATTGTTCCTCTTCTTCCAAATATGGCTTATTGGACTTGAATTTCCTTTTCAATGCAGACATATAGATAATAAATCTACGACAGGAATTAGTGAGATAAACTTGCCAATATTTGGCTTGAGATTTTGAAAATCCATGGAACTCTCCATCTCTATCAACGCTTTCCGGTGTCCCAACCACACTTACTTTCAATGTCTGGAACGCCCGTAAAAGCTTTAAATGTGCAATTACTTCTTCCACTGTGGGGAAATGTTCTGTAGCCGCACCACTTGTTTGATATCTCACTGATCCAAATTTTAATGTGTCTGCCTGCTCGAGCAAATCTTGATATGACATATTAATTATGAGGAGAGAATTGAAAAATAGACAGTGCTTCTCTTTAGAATTATAGGTTTACTAGTCAACTTCGATGACTCCCTCTATTATATATTTGATTCCATTCTTTAAAAAAAATATTTTAGTCGTCATCAATACACGATCGTTTTGGGAAATCTCTGAGATTATTTTTTGAGAGTTTAAATGTTTAAAGTGGAAGAGGAAAGACTATCCGATATTCTATCATCATTGTAAATAGGAGGAATTTGTTAGTATTGGGGCCGTTTTTTTTTTCTGTGCATAAACGATCGGAATTAACAGCTTCCAATTATTAGATAGAACAAACGGATCGTCGACTAGCAAGTATTATGCTTTGAATTATCTTTTTGACTACCTAATATGTAATCCGCCCCTTTTCTCTACATACCTAACCTGGTTTTCAAAATCTCTATCTCTATTTCCGTGATTTGTTACTCTCTATGTACATACCGTTCGCCATAATGCAGTTCTATTTGTTGTGTTTTAGTTTGCTTTTTTTCTATTTTTACAATTCTTCAGCAGTAAGATCTTGCTTTATTCTGAATGGTCTACCTCTCCAATCGATCTCATGACCAACTATCGCAGCCACCCAAATAGGAAGTGCCAACAATTCTCTCCCTAACCAAGCCAATGACCAATCAAAAAATGATCTTTTCAATGGAGGAAGTGACTTGGAATCCATCCATGCTGGGAGTAGTTCCAATTTATCACTGTGTACTGCACTATCTATAAGAACATAATATTGGATATAATCTGTAGTAATCCAAATACTCATATGAATAAGGAAAAGGGGCCAATAGAAATACTGATTATCCTTAGCTCCAAGTCCGAAAAGTGTTGTAATGGCAAAATTACCATATATCCCACTTAAAATAGATTCTGTAGCAGGTTCGAGTAAAGTGGCTGCAAGAACCATATACTTCCTCACTCTCAACCATCTGGTTCTTCTTTCAAAGTAATCATTAACCAGGTTGTCTTCTCCACTTAATGGTTGTACAACCACATCACCAGTCATTCCCGTTCTACCGAGAACATTTTCCCAGAGACAAATAGCAATCATATTGTCCTCACCGATATAACGCGAGAAGAATTTAATGGCATGTCCAGGGCCTAAAGAAGTGAAATGGAATGCATCTTTCAATACCTCAGGAGAATTAAAAAAGGCCGAGCTATGGCCTCTTTTAGGGATCTGACTTACCGCATGATCAAGATCAGAACGTCTATAAAGATTAGATTTCCCATTGACACATGGTGCCACGGAAAGATTATTAAATGATGTATAAAATTTGGCATGAGATGTTAATAAGAACATTTCATCAAGTTTAGCACCAAATTTCTTTAATATCCTTTTGTGATGTCCATTGCTACCTGAAGAAGCAAAATTACTACCACTAGATATAGGGCTTAAACTATACTCTGTATCTGCTACACTGATGGCCATTGGTGCATGATGGACCAATTTCACAGACCGTTTCCCATGCACTGGTCTACCATTATCAATGTTTTGTTGCATACACCTCACTGATCTTTTCAAAACGCGAGATGATGCCCATACATTAGAGTCCATAACCCATACAATATCGTACTTTGCGGCAAGGAACCCCTTCGCTAAATTATTCACTTTGGGGTTAGGTCCAAAATGTTCATCAGAAGTCCTCAGAACTTCGTTATAATTCTGCGAAACTAAGATTCTCGCACTAATATGTGAATGCTTCTTTAAAAGGCTCTCCACTATAGGAATACACGTATCATTAGGATCATCCACACAAAAGAGAATCTCAAATCGATCCAGTGGATAATCTTGAACAAATGAAGATTCAAGACACGAACTCATTTCCGGATCTATTCCCTTGAGAGGACGAATGATTGACACCCCTTCCAAGGATTCATTCATACCAATCTCCCGTTCTTGTCTGGTTTTCTTGCCCTTCAGATATCTGAAGTTGAGCATTATTTGCCAGACTCCATTGTACGCGACCCCTAGAATGACAAGGTACGTCACAAACAACACACACGCCAAGAGGTACCGTGCCGTCGAGACAGAGGAAGCGCTGTCAATAGCTTCAGAATTCACCATGGTCTAGCTCCTTGTACCGAATGAAGAAAAAAAATAAAACAGGGTTCAATCAAGCGAAGCATTAATAGCTTGACACATAGCCTTGAAAGCGAGGTGAAATGTATACACGCGAAAAATTGAAAATATAACCTCCAAAAAAAAAAAAAAAAATTGTTCCATTGAAATTCCAACGGTAAATGCGCATCGACATCCCGGGGATGCCGTGGTGATGCCGACGTGATCCGAGAGGATTACGATGAGACAATAAAGGCTCAATCATCAGCGACTGGCCGTGATTGTGCCGTGGTTACGCCGAAGAAAAAGCACCCGATTTCCTGGAAAAATGAACATCCGTGAGAACTTACTATTGAATTAGTATGCAAAGCGCTAACAGCGGTTTATCTCCGTGATTTAATCATTTCCGACCCGAGATCTTACTAAGCAAAAGAATACACTACAAGTCAGAATAAAATTCATGTATACATATTCCATTATCCGTGATTAAACCCGTCTCCTAAATTCCTCTATACCATTTCTACCTCCTTTGCATCCACATAAAACCAATTGACTCCCAAGCTAAGCAGGAACGGATTTTTGGTGCGATCATCTTTATTTTCCTCCGAAACCACATGCTCCGTGATTTCTTCAATTCGACCCACCATCCAATCTTTACTAGCCAATTCATGTATATTACCCAGATTGTTAGTTACACGTAAGAAATAATGAGGTGAACCAAAATTGAATGCTGCCCAAGGTTGGAAATTCTCATCTATTTCATCCATTCGATCGATTCTAGTAGGGAGGAAAAGAACCAAATCATTTACTTGGAAATCATTCATAGATATCTTGGTACTCAATTTATTGGTAAGTTTAGTGATTTCATTTGCTTTTGAACGATTTTCCTTTGTCAATTTCTTAGCAAATCCTTCTACATCTCCAAAACGTTTGGCAATTGCAGATACAAATGCACTGTTTCCTTCAGTGAACAATTGATCATCTTTAGGTTCAGCTGAAAATCTCAATTCTCTTAACATATTTTCATACTTGGATGACTCAAAATTTTCTCTGATCTGTTTAATTAATTCATCACCTTGTTCCTGTGTTTTGCTATCAACTGAAGGGTACCTCGTTACAATATCAGTAATTGGTTCTTGTGTCTGTGGTACTTCTTGTGCAAGGTTTGGTGTGGAAGGTATACTTTCTTCTTCATCTATCGCTAAATGGTCAACATCGAGATCAGTTATCACTTTAAGTAACCCGGATATCTGTTCAAGTACCTTAGATGTAGGTCTCAATGGGGTAGAAATTTCATGGTCGTCGAGTAATTGTGTGCCTCCCTTTTCCTTTTCTCTTTCCTTTTCCTTTTTAGACCTCAATCCCTTAACTCTAACTATCTTGAGCTCATCATTGGCATCTCTAATAAGTAACAACCCCATCGATTCCAAAACAAGACAAAAATCTGAATAGAAATCAAACGATAACTTGACTTGTTCCTTAATTTTCAGAACTAATTTAACCACTACATCCTTCAACTCGGTTATAAGGTGCTCGTTGGTGGTTTGCTTGGTTTGTGTGAGTTCCATTAAATCTTCATAATCATCAGTAATCTCATCAATCCGTTGCTTTAAACCTTTGATCTCCTCCATAAATCTATTTCTTTCTTGTGTGATTTCAGTCTCCTTTGCCGACATATTTGAAAGAAGATCATTTTTCATTCCAGTAGAATCTCTCAATTCTACTCGAATACTTTCTAAAGCTGTATTCATTTTCATGATTTCTTCGTACTTTTGATGGTTCATACCAATATATTTACTGATTTCTTCTTGAAGTGTTGCCACTGTTTCTTCCTTTTCTTTCCCCAATTCAGTAACAATATCGTCTTGTCGTTTCCTAAGAATTTCATTTTCCTGTTCTAATAATCTTAGATTATTATTTTGCAGGTCTAGATCATTCTTTAAAAGTTGCAAATCTCTCTTGTTAATTTCAATCTCTTCGTCCTTTAATTTCAATTTTTCTTCGTGTTCTTCCTTCAACAATAAGATTTCATTCCGAAGTTTATTTGCAGTATCTTCTAGAGATGTATTTATGTTGGAAAGTCGTTTGTTTTCACCCATCAATTCAGTATTTTCCTTTCTTAATCGGATATTATCCAAATGTTTATCAATTGTTGTTGAAGCGTCAAGGATTTTTGATGAATTTGAATTTATAGCGTGAGTTCCATCATGTCCATTTGTGCTCTTATGACCAGCACCATTACCACTAAAAGATGGACTTGATCTTGGGTTGTTTGGTGATGGTGGTGTCACCACTCCAGTAGTCACTCTTTTCAGTAAAAACAGAGTAGGATCGGAAACTCCACGTTTTTCAACAATCAAACTCATCTTTGCACCCTCTCCATCGTGTGATTCATTCCCCACAGGCCTAGTAACCGGCCATTGTGAAAGATTTCTATATTGTTGCTGATGTAGTAAATTCTCCAACTTCTTGATTCGCGACTTTAATCCTGTAATTACATTTAAATCCATATCATCCAGAACTTCTGTTCCATCACCTAAAGATTCATTATGATGTCCTTCAACCCCAGATTTAAGTTTGTTCTGATATTTTAACAGTCCATGTTGAGAAATTGCTCCCATGAAATTGTCCATCTTGGAAGCTTTTGAGTCATTACTTGATGGTGATGTTAATGTTGATAATGAAGCTACAATCTTAGTAACTTTCTTCATATTCCCAGTACATTTCACCAAATCATCAAAGTTTTTCTCCAAAAGACCAGCAAAATTTTGACTACTAGGAGATATACTAACTGATAATTCCAGATACTTCTTAATGCTTTTAATATATTCCAAAATATCATTGCGCCCCACTTGAATATTACTCAATAAAGGTCCGCCAATATCTTCCAAATTAGCAGTGTTATTTACCAAAGTAACGTCAATAGTTGGAAGTCGTGGACGTTGTTGATAAGCAATTCCATTTTCATCAAATCGTGATTCCAATAATCCCAAGAATCCTCCAAACTTTTTAAGCCAGAGTTTCCGGAATAACCGTTCATGATCAATCATCACACTAAGTTGTTCACTTATGTTTTTCACAATACCCTTTGAATAAAAATCAAACCATTCATATTGTCTTCTTTTTTCAATCATCATAAATCCAAACAAGAGTGGCAAGTCAATGGCCAACGAAAGGTAATCTTCATGTGCCTTGATCTTATTGATAGTTTCAAATCCAATATCTTTCCCACCATTGGGACTTGTGAGACTTTTTAAATCTTCCTTAAGATTGACCATCCTCATCTGTAAATTGGCAATATTTATAAACACTGCTAAACTTTCAGAACTAAGTCTTCTTTTAAAGGTCTGAATGTTTTGCAATTTATCATACAAGTTTGATACGGATTTATAAATCTGTGGTGATAATTTCTCAATATGAGTCTGATGTATCGTATCAAGAGTTTGAGTTGAGGTTGAGTTCGAATTTGCTCGGATATTCTCCAAGTCTTGACTGATGATCTTTACAATTTGATGAACTTCAGTAGTGTATTTGCTACCATTATTGTTATTCTCTGAGAATTCATCCCCTTTGAACATATCTATTGATTCATTTCGTAATTTCTCAATACTACTATCAATGCTAATTTTATCCTCATTGACAGAATTAATCACAATAGACATATCATTGAACCGTTGAACGACTTTAGGGAGGTTCTCAGAAATGTACAAAGCACTTGTCTCCAATTGGGTAGAATGTAACATATTGGACAAGTTTATTGTATGTTCATGATTATCGAAATCATTCACTTTGAAGGGGCTCATATTCTGCTTGAGATTTCGATAATATTTGTTCCACGAACGATGAAGGGTTTTCATGTTGGTGAGCTTAATATAATTAAAATAATTATTAAAAGATTTTTCAATCCCACTAACAAAGTTCGACCCAAACAGGAACACAATGTTAAGGCATTTGAAAAGTATGTTAATCTGACGTACCAAATTTCTGATCTGCTGGTCCATACCTCTACTATCTTGCAAAAGAGCTCTAGCCCAACTCTCATTGATTTTAATATTTGAAGATAGATTCTTTATTGTTGTCAGCAGAGAATTTATCACCACTGGACTTTGTCTAGGTTTAGATATTTGTGAAAGTTGTAATGGACCTTGAGATACATCCAGCGTATTATTCTCAGGTTCATTCTCACCTTGCATGGAATAACTTTCCAACAATTCGCCATTATTGCCATTAGAAAACAATCTCTTATCATAAACATAAACATCATTTAATTCATTTATCATATTAAAATTGAATTTAATACCAAATGAAGTTAAAAGAAATATATTCTCTGTTCCCCCTATTAAATAGTTTGTAAATGATTCATATATAAATGTTTTAAATGCTTGTAAAGTATGAAATCTAACAGGCTTTGGAACTTTCACGGTGTACCCATTGTGGGCATTTAAAATTGTTAAATGAGATGTCGATGGACCCGGTATCGTTGTTGCCTCTTTCTCAGGTGTAGCTTGAACATTTGAATTCAAACCTGTAGTATTAGACATTATAAGATCATATGGAAGGCGTCAGTTGGATGACACAAGCAGGGGGGCGGGGCAGATCTGACCTGATAAGAAGCAGAATGTACAAATTCAAAGAAGGGATATGAGTTTTGGTGCTGTATTTTTTTTTTGCCAAATAAGCAGTAATATTTCTAATAGTTATCAGATATATGTCTTAGAAAGTTTATTAATGTGTACTATAAAACCAATCTATAACCACAATTATCAAAATGATTAGAAACGATTATCAGGCAAGTCCTTTATAAATTTATTTTATTTTTGCCATTGTGTTATGCAGGTGTACGGGTTTTTCCATAACGGATATATGGAGTGGTTAGATCATGTGACCAGTTTATTGGAAGTAAGTATAGAGATGATTGGATTAGGTTGCGTAAGGTATGAGAGTACTTGTAGAGCGTTTAATGATTGAGAAAGGGAATGGTGGTGGTAATGCTATAAAAGGATAATAAATTAGGCTTGTTTTGGAAACGTTGAACTTTTTTTGCAACCACATAAAATGAAAAAAGGAGGTATGATTATGATTAAGAATAATTAAGAGAGAATAACTAATTCTCTGGTAAGAAGTATATACAATATTTTTAAAGATTTGAAGAGAGAAATCCGGTCAATTACTGATTTATAAACTTAAATAGAGTTGAATAGTGACAAAGGCAAATACATATAAATACGATTCTAATATTAATCAGGCTAGTTTATAATTCCCATTAGATTTTCTGTATAGATGTCTACTCCACAATTGCTCTACTTCACACTAAAAAAAAATATTGGTTGCTATAATCCCAGTGAAGAGGTACACAATTCCCACAATCACATGGCATTTTTCTATTTCTTTTTTTTTTTCTCTTATATTCAGCAGGAGAAATATAGCACGAATAATCTTGTTCTGACATTAAATAATATTTTAATTCACCCTATTCATATTGTCCCCAATAAGAGATCAATCATTATCTGTTTATACTTGAAAGAGGATCGTTTTGTTTTGGGGGAGAGTGCCTGCATATACACATACATATGGCGCTAAATGGTAAATTCGAGATTTAGTGAGGGAAAAAAATATGAGAATGATATTTACTTCTTAGCCGTTATTTAAAAGATAAAGATATATAAAATATGTTGGACGGGAGATCTTTAGAGATAATATCTCGGTTTAAAGAATCCTTACTTGTGAATGGTGGATCCAAAACCTCGGCGCCATATTCTCAAGATTTTGCTAATCGGAGCAATAAACTTATTTCATCACCCATGTCTGCGCTTTTGAATGATAATGTTTTAACAACAAAAGTGGTAGAATATGGGGGGTCGCATAGACTTGTCTTAACAAACGATGCTATAGAGCGCAGCAATTACCGTAGGAAGCGGAAATGGAGAGAAACGTATGGTGATAGTGTTGATATCGTTGATGGTAGTAACGATGATAGTACCACTGAAGGTAATGGGATTGTATCCAATGGGAATGGATACCATAAGGGCAACGGAGAAGAAGAAGACGAAGACGAAGAGGAGGAGGAAGAAGAAGAAGAAGAAGGAGGAGAATTGGAGGTCGATAATGAGGAAGAACAAGAATACCGGAAGAGTGCCAATGGATTCAATGTTGAAGATGAATCTGGAGAAGAGTCAGATTTTGATGCTGAAACTGATGACATCAATGATTCAAATCCTTTTAAAAGACTTAAGCTTACAGAGATCTTGGCCCCTCTTGTTCATCCTTCAGAAATAATTTCACATCCAGCCATTCTGAAAACATATAAACTGACAATCTTCAATAAACTTGCAAGTGAATTAATTGAATTGATTGAGATTGAACAAGTTAATTTGAATTGGTTAAATAAATTATTACAAGTTTTAAATGGAGAAGATTGGTTTTATTTACTTGAGGAGAATTTAGGTTTACCTACTTATGATCATGGATTGAATCAATTTAGTGATGATGATACATCCAATGGAGCTGTGACAGAAGAAGGTACCAAAGAAGATACCAAGTCAAAAGATCTGGAAGAATCCAAACCTGAAGAATCTACTGCTGCCACCACTACCGCTACCGAATCAGTAGAAGGAGAAGTTCAAGATTTACCTAAAAGAATTACTAGAACGGCTGCCAATGCACAAGAAGATAAGGATGAAGTTTCTGATCCATTTTTCGCACTTCCTGAAAGTCTTAAGACGTATGAATCATATCAAAGACAACAGATGGAAGATCCAAGCAGTGATGAACTTACATCGATACAAGAAGATTTGGTGAATTATCTTCAAGTTAGTATCCAAAGACAACATGAATATATTAAAAATTTGACCCAATTACGCAATGGGTTGGTTAGAACGGATAGATTGAAACAAGACTTGTATAAATGGGGAAAGGAAATGTATGAGAAAAAGAGTAATTGAAAAGATGGGACGAACAAGGAATGTCAGGTTTCAATCAGAAGTACTATACCACTTATATTATTGCTGCTGGCGGAAAGAAATCAAACAGGTAAAGATTGTATAATTAGAATAAATTGACTAAGAGTATTGAATTGTAGTGATAAGGGGTTAGAAGAAAATTATTTTGATTATAGAAGAATTCAGTTGAATAGTGTTATAAACAATTCTCCTATGCTCATCATATTAAACAAGGAAAAGGCATCTATCACATTTGGATCTTGAATTTAACTTTGCTCTAAATATTACTAACAATAAACTATAATTTAAGATCATTTGCTTTTCAAAATAATTGTCTACCTGTTTCTCTCTCTGAAAAAAAAAAAGAATAGATAAACGTCTCATTACTAGTATACTGTTAGTATACAAAGTTATATCTAATTTAGTATAGGTTCTAGACAATTAGTGCTCCTTCCTGGATTATATAAGTTTTGGGTGTTTCTTATATAAGCGACGCGTTTGCCTTCGTTTTATTAAGTGTCTGTATTATTTTTTTTTTTTTTAAAACGCGTACGTGTGCTACCTTTGGACTTCCAGTCAATAGAAAAAATTTAGAATCATTCAAACGTTTCTTCTTTTCTTTATTACTTTTAATAAAACTTATAAATAACATATATACATACAATGCTTGAAGGAAAATTTGATGAAGCCTCGCTTTTAAAGAAAATTGTTGACTCTATCAAGGATAGTGTCAAGTTGTGTAACTTCAATTGTACTGAACATGGTATTACTGTTCAAGCCGTTGATGATTCTCGTGTTTTGTTGGTGAGTTTGCTTGTTGGACAATCTGCATTCAGTGAATACCGTTGTGACAGAGACATCACTCTTGGAATTGATTTGGAATCATTCTCCAAGATCATCAAGTGTGGTAACAATGAAGATTACTTAACCTTGTTGGCTGAAGACTCTCCAGACAATGTCATGACCATTTTCGAAGATAAGAAGAAGGAAAGAGTCAGTGAATACTCTTTGAAGTTGATGGATATCGACTCCGAGTTCCTTAAGATTGATGACATGGACTATGATACCGTTATAAATATGCCAAGTGCTGAGTTTGCCAAGATTGTTCGTGATCTTAAGAACTTGAGTGAATCTTTAACCATCATTGTCACCAAGGACTCTGTTAAGTTTACATCTGAAGGTGAATCTGGAACTGGTTCCGTTGTCTTGAAGCCTTTCACTGACATGGACAAGCCAGAAGAAAGTGTCAAGGTTGCTTTGTCTATGCCAGTCAACTTGACTTTTGGTTTGAAATATTTGGGTGATATCATTAAGGCCACTGGCTTGTCTGGTGTTATTACCATCAAATTGGCTGACAAGACCCCAGCCTTGTTTGAATACAAGTTGGATGCTGGTGGTTACTTGAGATTCTACCTTGCTCCAAAGTTCGATGAAGATGATTAAATATGGTGATAGTTAATTATGGGGATGATGTATTTGTATGAATAGATAATAATAATAAATTAGAAAGAAATAAAATAAAAAGCAAGAAGCTACAGACGTTAATATGTAACTTGATTCTATATTAAGTGACTTCTTGGAGACGCGTATGGTGTATTAAGTCTCTGTGATAGTCTCTAGGTGGGAATAACTAAAGAAATATTGAGTTTTAGTCGACTCTCATATTCCTTTGGTTTTTTTTGTTTTTGATAGAGTATCCCAAAAGAGTAACCCAAGAACTACGGGATAGTGCCCACCTAGATAAGTATCCCCTTGTCAGATCAACATGGCTCCCCATGTGGGCTTTGGGAGAGTTCGATCTCAATATATATATCGATCTCTATATGTGGTAGGATCCCAATAATATTCCCATTCTATACAATTGGAGTTAAAAATGCAATTCTTTTCATTGACTTTTCTGTCACTGGTAAAATCAATCTGAAGGCATCATGAGTATTTAAATAATAACGATAAAGTCTTTTGGTTCTCATAAATCCTAAAGATTCATATAGTTTCAATGCCCCTTGATTTATCACTTCAGTCTCCAAGGTGATCTCATCGACATCATCACACTTGATCATTTTTTGTACGGTCATTTCAACCAATTTTGATGCATATCCTTTACCTCTATGCTTAGGATCTATTACAAGCATCCCAATATATCCTCTCATTCTAACATCTCTATGTGGTTCTACTTTGGAGATGATAACTCCAATAAGTTCCAGAGTATCCTCATCTCGCAACGTCAAACAATATTGTGGCCATGTGTTAAGAAAGAACCAATAGACGTATATAGAATATGGTTCACTCAAATGTGATGATATTAAATTCGAAATTTGTTGAAATTCTTCAGTTGTTTGATTGAACTCTGAATACTTCATATTAAATGCAAAACTAATCCTACTTTTTAACTACCACACAAATATTTTTAAAAATATTCTTTGAAAAAAAAAATTAAATGTTTAGTATAGATCGTCCTTTACGTAAATCAATCCAAACTGCTCAAATCAATTTTGACAATCTGTTAAGGACAAAAGATTTACCTCATAGTACTTGGCAGGAAATCTCACAAAATCGAATTGGGAAGTTCTCAATATTTTTATTATTTTTGGCTTTATTTTTTTTTTTCTGGTAGTCTTTCTCCTGCTAGGCCTGGTAAACGCATAATGTGGGGAGGTTTCTATCACCAAAGTTAAAAGGAACAAAATATTTTCGTCATGTCTTTAAGGGGATCACCGGAATAGAAATTCATATTTCAAAATTGCTAAACTGTAAATTTCCATAAAAACCTTGTTTGAATTATCAGTCCATAACTCAAGAATCAAAGCAAATACAATTCCCATTAATTTGGGTTCATAACAATGTTCTTTAAGATTCTATGATCTAGCAATTATTGACAAACAAAGTCACACGCTGCAATAATTTTTTTGCCTTATAATCAATTGGTGCATTTCGGAGTTTGTAGCCTCGCAAAAAAAATATGTACCTTCTGACGAGGGCCATAAGCCAAACACATCTGTTGCATTGCCAATGCTTTTACTGCTTCCTTTTTTTTGAAGTCTTTTTTTTTTACTCTCTTTTTTTTTTTTATTCGCTTAGAGAATCATCATACCACGGAGTTGGCCTCATAAGACGGAACCTGCACAAGATAAACAAGGTAGTAAGGACATCTTGAAATGGTGAAAACAAGGTAAAATATAATGTTGATTGGGATTCGGAGTGTTATAAATTTGTAGACCACATATAGTAGTGTAACGATAATACCCCAACTATTACATAGAACCTCTTAATTACCACTACACACGTTCCGAACATCGCCGGGCTCCGCAAGTCCGGAACCCCAAATATCTCCAAATTAAAACCTCACCACCTCCTGCATAACATCAGCAAAAACCCTTTGTGTAACCCGCACCACGCTCACCCGAGCTCAGGTGACGTAGCCCCGCGAGAGTATAAAGTCAACGCTACCGGGACATTTTTCAACAATGATTTAATCTTAAAACTATCACATTTTTAATAGATCTAATAGTCTACTAAATACCCCCAATTAAAACTACTAATACAAACTACTACAATGGCTTTAAACGTCCTTAAGACCAAGTCCGGTGTTATCTACGGTGACGATGTTCGTCAACTTTTCTTGTACGCTCAAGAAAAGAAGTTCGCTATCCCATCCATTAACGTTACTTCTTCCTCCACTGTTGTTGCTGCTTTGGAAGCCGCCAGAGATGCCAAGTCTCCAATCATCTTGCAAACCTCCCAAGGTGGTGCCGCTTACTTTGCTGGTAAGGGTGTTGCTAACAAGGACCAAGAAGCTTCTATTGCTGGTTCCATTGCTGCTGCTCACTACATCAGAGCCATTGCTCCAACTTACGGTATCCCAGTTGTTCTCCACACCGATCACTGTGCCAAGAAGCTTCTCCCATGGTTCGACGGTATGTTGAAGGCTGACGAAGAATTCTTTGCCGCCAACGGTACCCCACTTTTCTCCTCCCACATGTTGGATCTTTCTGAAGAAACTGACGAAGAAAACATTGCCACTTGTGTCAAGTACTTTGAAAGAATGACCAAGATGGGCCAATTCTTGGAAATGGAAATCGGTATTACCGGTGGTGAAGAAGATGGTGTTAACAACGAACACGTTGACAAGGAATCTCTTTACACTTCCCCAGAAACCGTCTTTGCTGTGCACAAGGCTCTTGCTCCAATCTCTCCAAACTTCTCCATTGCCGCTGCTTTCGGTAACGTCCACGGTGTCTACAAGCCAGGTAACGTTGTTTTGAGACCATCTATTCTTGGTGAACACCAAAAGTACGCTGTTGAACAAACTGGTTCTAACTCCCCACACCCACTTTTCCTTGTCTTCCACGGTGGTTCCGGTTCCACCCAAGCCGAATTCGACGAAGCCATCAAGAACGGTGTTGTCAAGGTCAACTTGGACACTGACTGTCAATTCGCTTACCTTGAAGGTATCCGTGACTACGTCTTGTCCAAGAAGGACTACTTGTTGACTCAAGTTGGTAACCCAGAAGGAGAAGACAAGCCAAACAAGAAGTACTTTGACCCAAGAGTCTGGGTTAGAGAAGGTGAAAAGACCATGTCTGCCAGAATTTCCCAAGCTTTGGACATTTTCCACACCAAGAACCAACTTTAAGTTTGACCTATAGTGTAAGTATAACGTAATAAGATGACTGATTAGATGATGAAGTATTTCAATGTAGTCATGAATTCATGAATGTAGTAGATAGCAGGAAATATAGAATTGTAGCTTAGACAGATCCTCATTTATATTTTATCGATGTGCTCGCCTGAGTGAAATACGTGTGGAACCTTGGGAAACTCACTGTACATTCACACGTTAAGGGTGGCCATAATTGTCATTCCAAATTAATATCTATTGCAAATAATTGGCTGAGTTATCATAAAAGATCACCATCAAACTCTATTAAAATCCTAAATGATATCCATAAATTTATTCGAACTAGTAATTCTCTCATTACTGTTGCTGAATGATCAACTATACTCTTTACTTGTTAATACTTCTCCCTTTTTACTTATCTTCTTCCTTCTACAATACTTCCTATCATGATCTATATTACATCGATAACTCATATATACACGTAAACCCACCAAATGGGTCATCATCTCCATTCCTTGTCTATTGTTGTTGGGTAATTTTTGCTCTAACACCTTGGTATTCTGGCATGCTATCATATGGAGTAAAGCCCTTGTTCTGTATATGAGTTCCAATAATGGTGTTGGCCTTCACATATTTGGAAACACATCTATCCACACAACATTGCTCTCCTGTATTGAGTTCATTTTCACCATACTCGCCGGGTATACACTTGTCTCTACATACTTGGATCACCTTATTGAATGTCGAAGACATGGCAGCATGCTGGATCTCGGCAATCTTAATCTTCTCAGGGTCTACCTGGGCATACAGATATTGTTGGCTGGCACCGATGAATAGAGACATGGTGTTTGCGTTTGTGTGTGTGTAAACTATTCAAATGACTTCTATGTTGAAACCTTTTTGGGTGTATTTTTTTATTTTTTTTTCTTTGTCTCAGTTACCGCAAATCCATAGTGGAGACAGAGAAAATGAGAATTTAGAGGAGAAATGGCAAAAAAAAAGAAAAAAAAAATTAATTTAATATACAATATCCACGGTGCAGGAAAGTTAACTATGGCGTAATGAGTATGGTAAGTCAAAGACATCTCTAGGATACTCTGTGTGTGAGGTAAGAAACTAATACAAACTTTAAAGAATGCACGTTCTTCTTACCAACGACGATGGACCCTTGGATGACAAGGCTTGTCCATACATGAAATATCTTGTGGATGAGATCATTAAGTCCACTGATTGGGAGCTTTCTATTGTGGTTCCAAACCAACAGAGATCATGGATCGGTAAGGCTCATTTTGCCGGGAAGAAATTAACATCTTCATACATTTACACTCAAAGATCGACTGAGTCAAAGTCCTTGGATATTAATGCCTTTGATGGACCTTATGAAACTCCTCAAGAAAGAGATTCTACTTTCCAAGAATGGTGTTTACTTGATAGTACCCCAGCAGCTTGTGCTGATATTGGATTACATCATCTTTATCGAGAAAAGCCACCAATTGATCTTGTTTTAAGTGGTCCAAACTTTGGTAAGAACTCTAGTAACTTGTACATCATGACTTCTGGTACCGTTGGAGCTGCCATAGAAGCCGTTACTCATGGAGCCAAGGCCATTGCCCTTTCGTATGCGTTCAATAACCTTGACCATGACTTTGATATTTTGAAAGAAGCTGCCAAAATTTCCGTCAAACTTGTTGCCAAGCTTTATAAAGAATTACAATTACAAAATGGTAAAGTAGACCTTTATTCAATTAATATCCCATTAATTGAATCCTTGAAATTGGGACAAACTAAAATCCATTACGCTCCAATTCTTGAAAACTATTGGAATTCAATTTATGAACCTTGTTCAGGAGAAAGAGGCCAACAACAATTCCTGTGGAATCCAGATTTCAAAAAAGTTCACAAGGATAGTTTGAAGGATACTCTGCATACTGATAGTAGAGTTTTACTTGATGAAGGAATTAGTGTAACTCCACTCAAGGCCACTTTCAATGTAGTTCAACCGAATGTTGGTGAGATTATTTTGGATGAAGAAGATGAAGAAGAAAGTAAAGATTTAGACATTTCTAAGCTTTCTCTTGATTCAACCATTCTTTTAATTACACTTCCAGAAGAAGCATATATTTCCCCAGCAATTAAACAAGCGTTTGAGAAACATTTCCCAAGGTGTTCAATCACCACAGATGCTAGTGTGTTGTCCAAAGTTCCAACAATGCCTACTCTTAAAGTATTCCATTATGGTGATTATGAAGAACTTGATATTGATCTTCTCTCAAGCCATCCTGATCAATACTTTGTATGTTCATATATTTATCGTAAGGCATTGATTAGAAAGCATTTCTTGGCCAATACCATTCATCATTATGTTGCCAAGAATCCGACACTGGCTTTAAAGACAGCAGTTCCTGAAAGTTATCAATTGGAAGTGGATTATGCTGAATTTTTAGATGATGCCTTGGATGATTGTTATGAACTTCGTGAAGAACTTGAAATGGGTGAAAAAACTTGGATTGTTAAACCAAGTATGTCTGATAAGGGACAAGGAATCCGTATTTTCAAAAGTGTTGAACAACTTCAAGCAATTTTTGACCTGTTTGAAGAAGATAATAGTGATGATGAAGATGTTGAAATAAATGAAGATGAAGATAATAATGGTGTGATTATTTCACAACTTCGTCATTTTGTTGTTCAAGAATATCAATCTAATCCACTTCTTCTTTCTCATTATGATAATAAGAAATTCCATTTGAGAACATATATTGTTTGTAATGGAGATTTAAAGGTATTTGTATACAAGAATATTTTATCATTATTTGCAGAATCATCATTTAAATCACCACAACCTGAAGATATAGATGTTGATGAAATCCCATTGACTGGCCATCTTACTAATACTTGCTTGCAAGAGGGTACCAGTCCTCTTGTAGTTCCCTTCTGGGACTTGCAAGGCTTATCCCAAGATGATAAGGAAAAGGTATTCAGGCAGGTTTGTCAAGTTACTGGAGAACTTTTTAAGGCTGCAGTTAACATTGATAAGATGAATTTCCAACCATTATCTAATGGATGTGAAGTATTTGGAATTGATTTCTTGGTTAGTGAGAACTTGGATGTTACCCTCTTGGAGGTTAACTCTTATCCGGATTTCAAGCAAACTGGTGATGACTTAAAGGGGTTGATTTTTGGGTTATTTGAACAAGTTTTCGGAGCCATTGGTGAACTAGTTGAAGGTAGGGACAATTTATATGATCCAAGTATTTTAGTTCCAGTATTAGAACAAGTATCTCATGGTTGGTAATCTATAGATAGAATAAAAAGATAGACATTTTAATGAAATATTTTACTACAAGAAGATTTAAATTGAGAGCTTTCATATCATGATGAGTAGATAGAACGTTACATTAGAGTAAAAGTAAAACAATACTCTGTCCTATAGCTGCAAATTGTTCCAGAATCTTCCTACGACACATTGCAAATCTTTGTTCTGTTTCAAAAAAAAAAAAAAAAAATAACACTACAACTCAGTACCCAATCTATATGTACATACTAAAACTGTTAGAAGTTTACCTTATCCAGTAAGTCCAAGCAACCAATAACTAAACACAAATACAGTCCAGCCCGAAACGAAAAGAACTAAAAAAAAAAAAAAAGTAAAGGAAGTCTAATAATGAAGGAAAGAAAATGCACTAATTTCCATCTTTTAAGTAGTTCTATAATCACATATCAATATTATCAATACAGTTTAATATTGCTGTTAAACTCTCGGAGAAAATCAATTACGACATTTATTTCGATATAATGCTTCCACTTTCGCTCAAAATGGAATATTTAGCCTGCATATACCCTTGTCGTGCACCCCCTCAATTCGAAAATTTTTCATTTTGTGCCACTATGCTGCAGTCACTGCTTCGACGAACGTTTCAATTTTTGAAGCCCAATCAAGAAAACCCTCCAATTGTCTTCTCAACAGAAGTATTCACTTTTTTTTTGACAGATAGATCGATTCCTTATTGACTCGAGACGCACACCTAGCGACTTACTTGATTGATTCATACGTAGAAGACAAAAGATTAAAAAAAAGGAATACTCCACATCTACAATTTCCACATACACGCGCCGCCGAAATGTCTACGTCACAGCAACAGCGAAAACCATATAAGAACCAATCCAAGAGATTCAATAATGCTTCAGGCAGCAGCAACGCCAACAACAGCTCGCAGCAGCTTACCAGCTTGAGCGAAATGTTTCCTGATTGGGAATCAGAAGATTTGGCCAGTTTGTTACAAGAACACCATCAAGATTTAGAGATTGTCATTGATTTGATCGTCAATAACAAGGTATCCAAGTGGGAACCTATTAAGAAAGAGCCTAAGCACAAGAAGAAGGAACTGAAGGAGGATGAAACATCTAATAACGTGCCAGTGGCAACATCCAACCAATCTAACTTTTCTTCTGAACAATCTTCACATGGTAACAAGCACAAACAACATAGAGAACAACACACCAGAGGAAATGGTACCAACAACAACAACAATGCTAGAGGTCAAAACAGAGACGGTAGATCCGAAAGACCACAAAGAAGAGCTGCTCCACAGAAGGATACATCTGCATCTTCCGCTGCTGCACCAGCCGCTAGTGGTGCTACTGCTTCTACTTCTAATTCTTCTTCCTCTGCATCTTCTACAACCACTACTCAAAGCCAAGCCTCTGCATCTTCCATCTCCGCCACACAAGTGCCGGCTCCAAACTCATGGGCCGCTGCTTTATCTAAGGATAAGCAAAGAGAAAGACCACAACCAGTTGTGGAAGAATCAGAACCAGTTGAAGAAGAAAAGACCGAAATTAACGATGCTACTCCAGTGGAAGACAATACTGCTGCTCCAGAAGCTTCAGAACCATCAGCTGAAACTGGTGTTTCTGACGTTTCTGAATCTACCTCTACTGCTGCTCCAGTTTTGAAGCAAGCATCTATTCCAACTCCTAAACAAGGTTCATGGGCATCTGCCATTGCTCCAAAGCCAAAGAAGGTTCAACCAAAGACTACGGCTGCTCCAAAGGTTGAAGCCGCTCCATCTACTGAAGAATCCACCGAAGCCGTTGTTGCTGAAACTCCAGAAGAATCAACCACCACTGAAGCTGCTGCTGCCCCATCTGTTGAAGAATCAAACACCACTGAAGCCCCAGCTGCTTCTGCTGCCCCAGCTTCCACTGAAGCCGCCCCAGCTCCACAAGTTGTCCTTCCAAACAACACTCAACAAACTAACGCTGTTGGTGTATCTTTTGGCTCTTTATCATTAGGTGATGAAGAAAAGGAAGCTCCAGCTCCAGTCGAGGAAAAGAAGGAAGAATCTACTGAACAACAATACGGTTACCAATCTGAATCTAACCAAAACAATCAATACAACCAACAATTCTACCAACAACAACAACCTCAACAACCTCAACAACAACAGCAACAAGATCAACAACAAACTCAAGCTCAACCACAATCTCAACAACAACAATACAATGCTAAGCAATACGGACAATCTAAGGCTCCACAACAAGGTCACCAAGCTCAGCAACAACAACAGTATGATTACTACAACCAATTCCAACAATCCCAACAATATGCTCAACAGAACCAAACTTTGGCTGGTGGACAATTCGGTGGATACCCAGGAATCGATTACTCTGCTTATGGTCAACAATCTGCTGCTGCTGTTGCTTCTCCAGCTGCTACTCACGCTAATGTTAGCTACTCTCAATATGGACAGGTTCCAGCTCAAGCTCCAGCTGCTTCTGCTGATGCCGCTACCCAATCTCCTGTCAACGGTCAAATCAACCCAAACACTTTGCAACAACAAATTCCAGGTGCTCCATACGGTTACCAAGTTCCATACTATAACTACTACTACAACAACCCATACTATGCTCAAGTTAATGGTTTAGGTGGTCAAAGTGCATTTGGTGCTGCCGGTGCTGCTACTGGTGTTGCCGGTGCTGCTGCTACTGGTTCTGCCAACTCTACCGGTTCTGGTAGTGCCCCAGTTGCCTCTGGTGCTAACAACGCTGGATTTGCTGTATCTGCTGGTGTCGCTGCCACTGGTGCTGGTTCTTCTCAATACTACGGTCAACCAAACCAATTCGGTAACAGATACCCAGGTTACAACCAATACCCAGTCCAAGCCCCACACCATGGTGCTCAACAAGGTGCTCAACAAGGTTCTCAACAACAACAACCAGTCCAAGGTTCTGATGTTGAAGGTGGTGCTGCCAACGGTGGTGCTCAAGCCCAAGCTGGTCAAGCTCAACCAGGTCAACAACAACAAGGTCAACCACAACAACCTGTTATCCCTCAATACGGTGGATACCAACAACAAATGTACCCACAATATAGCGGTTACCAAGAAACTAACCAGTACCGTGGATGGTACTAGGCATATTAGTAAATAGTTACGAGCGATTATGTTACATATGTAAGAAAAGGGATTTGAAATACGAAAGAATATTTACCATTGTAGAACAATTTATGTATAGAACGAAATAGTTTAATGACTAAATGTAAATTAAGCTGCAAGAGAATTACAAGAAAAGTAATAGAAGAAAATGAAAAAAAAAAAAATAATAGTGAAACAAACATGAGGTTTGCAATAAATGTCAAACATTCCATAGATAACGGTCATAGTCATAAATTTTTATTATTGCATTGCAGATTATAAGAGAGAGAGAAAAAAAAAAAAAAACACAAATTTACAGAGAAGACAGAAAGTGATGTTCTTGGAGTGTATCCAAAGTTCCAGACGGGACCAAAAAAGTATTACGTGTGTGCCCCGGCGAGCGCCTGCGCGCACGGGCTATTAAATTTCCTACAGTTCGAGGTTTTTGAGGAAATGGTTACGAAACCTAACCCTTACAGGGGGTGGCCCCTATTTTGAATAATTTCACAACAACCACACGTGATGCCAGTTTCCAGCAATTAATATCGATTCCTATCGAAAATAATTGACCAGAGTGTAATACATAGGATAAAGTGATGGTGTCCCTTATAGGGAGATAAAGATAAAATGCAGTAAATGTTACCGTACACTATTTCTCGCATTCTTCACTTTCCCTCCCCCTAAACTGAACTACAAGTGGGAACTGAAATTAATAGAATTATAAGTAATAAAATGTTCCACAAAATAGAATGAATTAAAAAATGTAAATAACAAAAACAAAAAAGTGTAGATACTCTAAAAGACGTAAGAGGTTATGTGCCATAATATAGAGAAATATCTATACACCCATAGTATAAGGAGAGCGAGGGGGGGTGCACATACATTTTACTTTTTGAATAATTATAATATTGGGGCGTGTGCGTGTGTGTGTGTGAATGTGTACTTGCGTAATCTACCGCACGGCTGCACGAGGGAGTGTAAATTTCAGCACTAACATTCTTGAGCATGGCAATAGTGCGAAAATCACCGTTTTCCTATATAAACCATATTCCCATACAAATTCCTTAGTACTAAAATACTCCTACTTGTTTCTTAGTACTAACAAATTTGTATGTATGACTGCACAGGCATAATGGTGCAAATAATTTCAAAATAATGAGAGAATAGAATTGATGTCTGACAAGTGAGACAATTGTTTGGTTCATCTGATAGGCTCATAGCTTCATACTGAGGAAGGTTTGTTTGTTGTTCTTGATGTTGTTGATAACAATTTTAAATTAGCTGGTAAAAATTTGGGGGTGGACCAACACACTAATAGTCTAGACAGGTTGCAAAAAGCGCGCACACCATCTGACCATTACTGTACCAACTTCCCCGAGTTTTTGGGCCCTATTTTACCTTGTTTATCACTATGCAAAGACTATTTATCTATACAAAATATATCAACCCCCACTCCTTTTTCAAGAGAGGGGGGAGTGGCGAGCAGCGATTATGGTTGTTTTTGAATTTTGGAAAATATATTTGTTCGACAATTAATTATTAATTTTTTTTTTTTTTACTTTTACTTTTACTTTTGCATTTTTCCTCACAATAGACACTTTGTGTCATGAACATTTTAATGCGTGGAATTTGGCCGTGGCCCAATAAAATGGAAAATGGCCCCCACCAAAATGCAGGAGGAAAAAATAATAATAACAACAACAAAAACAAAACAATCAAACGCGTTCTTGCTCAGTTACACGCTCTCATGAATTTAGTTTATTTTGACACACACTTTTGCTATTATTTATAAATAATAATTTTTTTCTTCCTTTCTTCTTTTTACTAACAATTTTTTAGAAATTATAATTAAAATGGCTGAAAGAAGAAAGACCGTAAGAAAGAAGAAGGACCCAGATGCACCAAAGAGATCTTTGTCTGCATACATGTTCTTTGCTAATGAAAACAGAGACATTGTCAGAGCTGAAAACCCAGGTATTTCCTTTGGTCAAGTCGGTAAGTTGTTAGGTGAAAAGTGGAAGGCTCTCACCAGTGACGACAAGGTTCCTTACGAAACTAAGGCTGAAACTGACAAGAAGAGATACGAAAAGGAAAAGGCTGAATATGCCAAGAAGAACGGTGCTTAAGCTCCTCTAACTTTTTGATATCTTGATGTCTTTTTGTACCATAGATTGTGACAATTACATTTTATTTTTTTGTTTATTGTGTTGTTATATTTAGCGAGCCTGTCGACTCATTCTGGTATTTGGTAATGTTTTTGTTTTGTTTATGAATATTTCGATTCTATTTTGGTGTATTATTTGTGGACATTTTTGAAACAAGAAAGAAAACTAATTTAGAAATTATCTGAGTTTGTTTTTATTTTTATTCTTTCTTGATTTTAATATGTCTATCGATCACCAATTTTTTATTGATATATTTTGTTTGTTATATCCTTGGCAGTGCCTAGGATAATTACCATTACCTATTATCTATGTGTTATTATTTTTGAAAAATGTATATGAACTGTTTTGTATTAAAAATGTTGTAAGTGATTGATTTCTGGTAGAGTGATTAATTAATAATAATAATAATTATCCTGTGTATATACAGTCGCGGAGAAAGTTGTTCCGATAATAAAAACTCTCCAACAGATCTATCTAATCTTTCTATAATCTAATCAATTAATCTTACAAAATGTCTGATCTTCCTTCTGTTTATTACAATGATAATCCAAAATCATTTGCTTACCCTACATGTCATAAAAGATGGCCAATCATTATTAAAGATGGGATTAGAGATGTTAAACTGAAATTTGATTCAAAAAATTCAATCACTGGGGAAGAAATTGTTAGTAAATTACAAACTCTCTTGGAATCTTTGAAAAATGATGAGATTGTAGTACCATTTACTGAGCAAGAAATTCAAAGAAATCCTGACCTTACTCATTATAATGATACTCTTGCTAAATTCAATAAATCTAAACCTGTTACTTGGTTAACAGGTCCATGGTTATTCCTTGAATGTTATATTTATCAATTAATTAATAATTTTATGTTGGAAACAAATGATTCATTCTGGTTAAATTTTGATCTTTTCGAAGAATTGAAAAATAATACTTTTAAACAATCAGAATTTGGAGTTTTAGAATTATGTAAACGTTATGAAGTTCTTAGTCAACAATTGAATACTCAATCAGTTGATTTAGATACTTTGAAGTTACTCTTTAATGAATTCATTGATATCTCTCTTTGGGGAAATGCCACAGATTTATCTTTGCTTGCTGGTAATGTGACTCTTGAAGATATTAAATCTGTACAAGGGGCAGAAGTTCGTAAGAAGAATGAAGAAAAAATTTTGATTAACGATTTACCAAACGCTTGGGAAAGATTAACTGGGAATAAATCAAATAAGTCTAAGCGTGTTGATGTTATTTTGGATAATTCTGGTTTTGAACTTTTCACTGATCTTGTATTGGGACTCTTTTTATTGGATTCAAAACTTATTGATGAATTCCATATCCATGTTAAAAGTATTCCTTGGTTTGTTAGTGACACTATGACTAAGGATTTCCATAATCTTCTTGAACAATTAATTGAACCTGAATTTTTCACTGATATTCATAAAATTGATGAAGATTCTCATGCAATTAAATTCTTACAATCTAAATTAGTTCATTATTTAAAGGAAGACAAAATCATTATTAATGAAGATAGATTCTGGACTTTAGATTATAATTATTGGGAAATTTCAACTAATCCAGCAGCAAAGAAATTGTATCAAGATTTACAAAAATCAGATTTAGTCATTTTTAAAGGTGATTTGAATTATCGTAAATTAACTGGGGATTTGATGTGGGATAGAACTACTCCTTTCCCAAAGGCTATTCAAAGTTTGGCTACCTCTGGATTGCCAGTCTTGAGTTTAAGAACTTGTAAGGCTGATGTTGTGGTTGGTTTGCCAAAGGGAGTCGATGAACAATTGATTGAAACCTACAAGGCTATGGGTAATGAAATTGGTGAGTTTTGGGCCTCTTCAGGTAAATGGGCTGTGATCAGTTTCAACCAATAATGCTTTATATTAAATTTATACACTACAATAGAATTACATGATCATTTGATTATTAATACTGTTATTTATGATTACTATGACATAATTATATATTTTTTTACTCTCTTTTCATTGCTTTTCTTCACTTCTCTAACATGTGTGTGTGTGTGTGTGTGTGTGTGTGTGTACCTATGATTCTCCGGCCTTTCTTGAGTTACATGCTACGATCTTAAACTTATCAACATTAATCTCGCTATCATTGCTATCATTACTTGAAACATCAGTCAATTTGATCAAAACGTTCTTAATGATAAATGTCCAGACATCATCACAAAAACGGTATGTGTGCAAGTCACCCTTAAATGTCAACTTTGACTTGGCAATTCCCAGTTCTGCCTTTAAAAGTTCAGAAATAATTCTATCAAAGTTGTGGAGAATCCGCATCGCCAATTGTGGTTGAATCTTTTCATCTGAAATCAATGTATCAAGCGCATCGGTCAACGTTGTGCCAAGTGTTGATCTTCTGTAGAGCTCGTAGTATGCTGGTGCGCTCATACTGAATATATACAACTAGTCAAGTAAATGATTATTGTAGTAAAAAAGGACAATTCCTTAACAATGATTTTTAAAATCCTTTACAATGTTTGTGAGAAATTCAAAAAAATCATATTGGTTGGTGTATACAGTCTTTGATTATAACCATGGCAAAAATAGTACACATATTCAATATCTTACTAAAACATTTACTGAACCTAAATAAATCATGTCGGACTCGGTGACATCAAGGTTCAGATCCTTTGTATCGGATTTTAATAAAATTCATGAATTGGGAAGAAAAGATAGTGGGAAATTTCAACTGAAGTTATCTTCACTACTTGTAAATCTTCAACAAATCCAATCTTTTGTACAAAGATTAGATTTATTCAGTGAAAATGAACCTCTTGATGAGGTAAATGCATTCTACATCCAATATTTGGCTCTTGATTACTATCTTGCCAATTTATATTCGATATATCTTCTCAAGTCTTCTAGTGAAGTGGCTACCTCTGACTTGATAAATCCAACAAAGTATAAATCTTCCAATTTGAAATTAGCTAAACAAAGTGCCCTTCAATTTTTGGTACTGTTACAAGGATATAAAAACATTCTTACTAAAGCTCAATCATCCAAACTCGACTCGTTCAAAGAAATTTTTAATCCAACTTACGATGAATTGGTTCTGTCATATTCATCTCCTCAAGATAAAAGAGCTGAAAAAATTGAAAATTATAAACTTGAAAAGCAACTCACCTCCAAATTGAATATCCTTAATGAATATTATAACGATGACGATCAAGTATTTGAAAAATTTGATGAGGAAACCATTCGTGCCATATATATTGATCAATTAAGACTTTTTTCCATCTCAGCTTTCAGTCTTTTAGAACTGATTGCAATGGAACTTGAAGTGCTATCTAAACAAGCAGAGTTTGAGAAAATGAGAGAAGATAGAGAATCAAATTCTTCTCCAACAGACTTAAAGCCTGAAAAATACGGGCCTGATAATGATTATGGATATACTACCAAAATAGAACAAAGTCATAGATCACTCCAAGGTTCACAGAAAATTCCACTGTTGATATCAAAGCAAGGGAAAATCTTACAACCATTCACCATCACTTCTGGGAGACAGGATATTCAAAAGAAAGTATTTGGTACAGGGCAAGTTCTTCCCTCAATGTCAGTGGAGGAGTACCTTGACTATGAGCTTGCCAATGGGAAAATGGCCAAGGAAGAAGTCAAGGACCCACTGAAAGATGAAGACGCAACTGATGACAGTGATGAAGAGTTGGAAAAGAGACAATGGGATGATTGGAAGGATGATAATCCAAAGGGAAGTGGAAATACTGGTGGAAATATTGGTTAAATCTGAGAATTGAATTTATAATAATGCATTGATTTATTTATATATATATATATTTATTTATAAATATTTTACTTTTCTTGATCATTCTAATATATTCTATAATCCCTTTATATTACCCTATAGGTATTAGATGTATTCCAATTTCATGTCTGTTTCAAGTTCCTTCAACCAAGCAGAGTATTCCTCCTTCAATTCTGATAATGTTATAACACATAAGGTTTCCAAATTTTGAGATTTTATAAGCCATTGATCTTCTTCATTTTCAAAGCTCTTCAAACAGTTCAAAATTATCATATATAGTTCTAAAATCTTCAATTTATATTGTTTCACATCTTCATCAACTTCCATACTCTCATTGTTAGTCAATAAGTTTTGTTCGTAACGGAATCTTGTAATAAAAATATACAAAGCTTCAGTAGCGCCTCTCTTGTCAGCCAAATTTATAGAAGAGTAATCCAGAGATCCACCAAATAATCTCCACGAGTAAAGATATTCATAATATTTTAATGAATTCGATAATGTAAGTTCATTATTGGCTAATCCGAGCAAAATAGAATCAATTAACAAATAAAACTCATAGAATAATTTCCTTGGGTGGGATGAACCAGTAGTTGATGGGAAAATAATAGATATGGATCTATTGGTGATCAAATTATTGATGAATTTAGTAAACAAATCTTTCAACTCAAATTTATCATTTGGATTTTTAACACTTGCAAGATAAGATAAAGCCTGATATACAAGATCATAATCTCCCAAGTTAAGAGCCATGTCAAATACATTAAGGTAATATTCCACAATTTTCCCTTCGACTTCGTCACTGGTTGGTAATTCCTGAAGAGAAAGAATTGCAGTCTGTTCAAACTTTAATGCGCCCTTGGTGAAGTCGGATTCAATTACCGCAGAAGTTGGGGAGCTTGCAAGGAATGTAGTTGCAATTGGCGTTATAAACTTCTGTGTGTATTGTCTCTGTGCTGTAGTAACTTGAGATGAGGCCAAGATTGAAAGTGAATGATAATAATTAGCCTTTTCCAATAATGGATCTTCCATATTATGATCAAATAATGAATTCAAAAATGTTTTAATATTTGAATTAGCTGTTAATGATTGTAAAATCTTATCTTGCAATTCTAGTTTAACCTTTGTATTAGAAAGGTCCATTTCCAGTTGAAATACTTCATAAAACTTAGTTGGATCATTGCTAATCAAATGAACAAATCCAATTAAAAATCTATCTACTGTGTTTGTAGAGTTAAGTTTATCAACAAAATTCAGTTTGATCAATTCACCTTCATCATGGTTGATAAGTTGAATGATAACATCTATAGTCATATTTTCGTAATCATTGACAATCTTATCAAATAAAATATTGTAAGCTTCAATGAATTCTCCATTCATAATACTTTTATGAAGTGTACTGCTTTTCAGAACAATTCCGGTCCAAAACAATGAATTTTCTATATTACTCAATTTATGACGTTCAACCTTCACATTTTTATGACTAGATTCAAAACTTGTGTCAAAAATAGCATTCAAAAGTTTATAAGTAGAAAGTCTTGAAGAAATTAAGTTGATGATTTCCAAAAGTGGATCATTTACTTCCATAATCAAAAGTAAAATTGCAAGACCAAGAAGAATAGATTCATGACAAGTTTTAATTTGTTTAAAAGAGGCAACGGCTGCTAATTTTGTTAAACTTCCAATTGATGTGCTTGTGGTTATATCAGAAATATCATTTGAGGATTTAAAAGTACTATCGCCGTTAACTAATCCATTGATAGCGTCAAGCATACCTGGAGTATTAACAAGTTCATTGATAATGGCATCACTCTCCTCTTTTGGGATTTTGGATTTAAGCAAGGAATTATAAATATCCGTCACTCCAGATTCAGAGAGTGATTGTGTTGAAACAAGTTGTTCATATACCTTAATATAAGTCTTGGTCAGTACTATTATTGACAATCTTTTTAAAACGGAAGCAAGAAGAACTTCAGGTGTGGATAGGAAAAATTGTTCATAAGTATGAGAAGGTCTCAAAATACTAACGCTATTAGAGTTTAAGATGAATCCATTCAGAGTGTTGGTTTCACCAAGACAAATTGCTAAGCATTCCTCACTGAGTTTTTTGAATTCCTCACATAATGAATCCAACTTGTACCATCCTAGTCTAGTATCATTTTCATGTTCTGGTACCTTCACTGCTTCTAAGATACTTTGGCGGAGCGATGCAGGAGGAATTCTATCTCCAAGACCAACATGTTCCCTGAAAATAGCCAATGAAGTTCTAACTGTGAGATCATCATATATTCCAGAATTAAGAATTTTATCACTATAGTAATTAGCAGAATGATACGCCGAAAAAGTCAGCAAAACATTAGAAGATGATGATGGAGTAGAAGTCGAATTGGTGGTGGATACGGCTGATAAAAATGGTGATGAAGACCAACTCACATTAGTAATATTGCCGAGAGAAAGATCAAGGGTGTATACGGATACTAAAGAAGATGTGTTTGTCTTCCATAATATATGGTATTCTATGGTGTTTTGATGTGTGATTCTAGCTTGGAAATCTTGCACTAACCAAGCAGGCAAGACAGTTGTAGATTTAGAGCTTGCCTGTGGGAAAGTAGGGTTGAAAGATAATGAATCTAAGGGAAAAAGGTCAATACCCCTCTCACCTTGGTCAACTATTTCCCATATTTTCAAAGCAAAGGTACTACCATTGATATCCTGCGGCTTCGTTGTATAGTAACAAGTTAAATAAGTCTTGTCTGTATATTTGTTTTTTACGATTTGAAGATGTCTTGTGACGGTAGCTGAAGTTGAAAGCCAATATGAAGTATCTCTTGGATTTTCTTTTAAATCAATTGCTTGTTGCACTTGTTGGTGGGTGTTTAAACTCCATATCTTCAACACTTTGTTGACACAGATTGTGACAATTGTATCGGCAGAGACTGGAATTACGTCAACCACTGAATTTGCAGAAACTCCACCAACTACAATGGATGCAGAGGAAGCTTCATTATCTGAATTGTTATCTTTCTTCCCCTTCCAAATTCCACTGATGAAGGAAAATGGTAACAAATTCATACTTGAAGACTCATTGAAATTGTGAACATCATAATCATTCAAAGGAGAATTCCGATGGAAATGAAGTAATCCTCCATCTTTCAAAGAAACAATCAAACTGTGTTCCGACACAGCCTTAAGGGAATAAGGAGGAGAGCGTAACTCAAAGGAATATGGAACCGAGATATGACCCCATTGGTTGAATTTATCCAATTGGAAAGGTTTAGGAGAAGATTTATTTTCAATTACAACAAAGTCATTCAACAGAATCTTTAAAGAAGTAAAAAGGTAGTTCTCGTCGATGACATCAAGAAGAAGGAATGAGTCGTCTTCTTCGGTCACGCCACGTTGAAGATAAACCGATAAGCAGTTGGCTGAGGACACTGGATGTGGGAGGTTTACTTCAAGTTGTTGGAACGATAAATCCAAACTATTAGCTTGAGTGATCAATGGGGTGAACTTGATGGTTCTAAAGTCATTGAGAATGGACCATGAAACCGCGTCAATAAAGGAGCCTGGGATGGAGTCCAAGGCAATGATCTGGCCGCTGTTGGCAAGATTCAAATGAAACTTTTCATTGTTATTATTGATATTGTTGTTTTTACTCAACGTGCCATACTTGAGCGGCAATCTGATCAGAAGGGTAGGCAAATGGTCCGCATAGCCTGTGACGGCCGTTTCTGTGTGCGACGTGACCATGCTGGTGTCTGGGAAAGATATTACAGCCTTGTGGAAGAATATAGACGTAGTTATATGCCACTCTTGCTCTGGTGCGTACCAAAACTGAACTCTTCCAAAAACAAATCGAATGCACTGCTTTTGATTTTTTTGGCTATTTTTTTTTTTGATTTCTGTTTTTTTTTTTCATCCAGGATGCAATACACAGGAGGAAAGCTAAGTAGTATACACTAAACAATTGTAGTAAGATTCAAAGTTGATTACGGATAAGTTTGAGTACATTAGACGACATATTAATATGTCATCAACAATTTTTTACAAGTTCCTTCATCAGAAGGTTCAATCTACAATCCATTTCGATGGTACAGGTATATCAGTATTTGATTTGAAACATGAAATTATTGTTCAAAACAATTTGGGAGTTGGTACAGACTTCAATCTCAGATTATATCATCTGGACCAACCAGATGCCGAGTATGATAACGATCAGGATGTAGTGCCACGTTCATCCTTTGTGTTAGCGCGGAGGTCACCAAGTTTGCTGAAGAATGGGAAATTTAATAATGCATCTCGATATGTTAGTGGTAAACCACGGATTCAAAGAAAGGCGAACCCAACGTTTGGACATGGCGCTGGAGCCAATGGTACCGCTCTGGGTGGAGCTGACTCTACTGGACAAGCTAAAAACGTTGATGAAAGTGTGTCTGAAGAGGACCGTATTAAGATGATGTTTGAAAACCAATCGAATGCTTGGGCTCAAACTCAAGATGAATTATCTACTCATAAAATGGTTTTCAGTAAACCAAATGCAACTGGGGTAAATCCCGAAGACCAACCACCTCCAGGGTATATGTGTTATAGATGTGGAGGTAAAGATCATTGGATTCGTAATTGTCCAACAAATACAGATCCAAACTATGAGGGGAAGAAAATTAAAAGAACTACTGGTATTCCAAGATCATATCTTAAAACGATATCTAAAGAAGCAGCCGAAAATAGTTCAAGTAATCCAGATAGTCAAATCACTACGAATGAAAATGGGGACTTGGTTGATGCTCAAGGTAATACATATATGGTGACAGACAGTGGAGAATATGTAATTGCTCTTGCTGATAGTAAGACATGGACAAATTATCAACAAAAGCAACAGAACGCTGCAAATAAAGCTAAACAAGAATTTGAACAAAAGATATTGGAATGTGTGGTGAAAGATCAGAGATTGGAATTTTTAGATCCACTTTCTGGAGAAACCAACAGGTTATTGGCACCTCCAATTGTAATGACACCATGTTGTCAAGATATATCAAAATTACAAAAACTTCGTAATTTCAATTACCATCAACCAGACTTGGAACAATTACTTATTGATAATGATTTCCATTGTCCTAATTGTAACTCAGAGGATGTATTTTTAGATGGACTTGTACGAAATAAGGAATTGGAAACACAATTGGAAGAATATAAAAAGGAAAAGGCTGCTGAATTGGGTATTGAAGACCCATCAGTGGAAGCAACAAAACGATCTGCAGAAGATAATGGTGGAGATGAAACTTCTAAACGTCAAAACACGGGACAATTGCCTATGGGAATGCCGCCTATGCCATTTATGCCAGGGATGCCACCAATGATGAACCCAATGGCATTTATGCCACCTCCTCCACCAAATTATCATCCACCTCAATAGATAAGATAGTTTTAATGAATCATAAAGAATAATTCAAAATATTTATTGTAAGATTTACGTATACTATAATTCAATATATACTACAAAATTCCACTATGTAACAAAGCTTTGTTTCTACAGTAGTTGCGACGGCAATATATTAAGATAAAATTTTGAAAATACATTGAAAAGTAATAAGATTATCTATTTACGGCCAAACTTTTAAGCAACATATATATTTCTTTAATTTTCTGCAAAGAATTCTGCTAAAATACATTTATATTCCAAAATTTACATAATGTTTAAGGAAAATATTTCAAATTACATAATATCAATTCCATTACACCAATATGTTAAGGCCAAGAAATAAACATAGTCATTACTCCCAACTCAGATTGATTATCTTATTATTAATCGTACTTCATACTCTATAATAATTGTTACTGTATGTAATAAAAGTGCAACATCCCTACATATAGAAAACTTACCCGGCCAATTAAAACCCTAAGAGAAAATTTTAAATTTTCTTGTATAAAAGAAAAAAGATTTTCTCAAAAAAACTGTCGAGATTCTTTCTTTTTTCTTTCAGTAGACAGTAACAGCTCTTGGAGTTTCTCTGGACTTCTAGAGCTTCTCTGGTCAAGAGCTGCTTTTAGAGCTGGACTCAGTCTGTGTATGTGGCCTCGAGAGACTATCCTAGCACCATCTACATGGAGCCATTCTAGTGATGATCCAAATAATCATTCAAACTAGAGTTTGTGACTATTCAGAATGATCACAACATTATTACTTCCTGACAGTTTGTTTCTGTGTTGGAAGGTGCTAGGGCTAACATCCCCTCAAAATGCCCTGTTACTAACATTATAGCGAAATGAGATTCTTTTTTCATTGCGATTTCAATTTTTTTTTAAATTTTTTTTAATATGTATGTACACATTTTACAATATTTCCTCCAAGGAATAACGAATGTCACGATGATGACTTAACAAAAACAAAGCTGGAATTACTGGCTGAAACTCTATGATTGATAAGTTTTTGCATAATACTGAGACTTCGTTTTTTCTTTGGAAATAAACAATTCTAATCAAATATTTGATTACTAACAATTTAGGTATGTGACTAAAACACAACAAGACAGTCTAATTTTTTTTTTAGAATGAGGAATTATTGCACTGGGCACTGAATATTTTATGAGTGACAACGCATATATGGTAGGCCTCAGAAACCTACCGAAACTGATTTACTGTTAATTTTTTTTTCATAATTTCCAAATTTTTCAGTTTTATGTACTAACTCGAATAGACAGATTTCAAATTCAAAAGCATTCAAACGTGCGTGTAAACACAACCCCCCCAAAATGTATGTATATCCAAGATATTTCAACAACAAAGATAGCCTGATGAACCTTTTAGATGACGAGTCAGATTTCGGGATTCCCGCTGATGACAACCTTTTTTTTTATACCATTCATGCTTTTCTGATATCTTTTAAAGAAATAATTACAAAGTGAATGAAAAATTGGTACTAACATTTTAGAAATTTTTGATTTTTTCTACATTTTTTTCTTTATGCCTTTTTTTACCATTTCTTTCTTTGAACAGCTTGTCTGGATGAGCGGTAATACACGATGAGGTTGAAAAAAAAAGACAAGCATATGTCTAAATCTTTAATGCAGATAAACTTTTTCATGTCTGATATTACCGTAACTCTTGCAGTTGCTCTAAGAACTGAAATTCAGAGGATTTTCTGTTTTTTAAAGTAACTGGTTTTAAAACCTTGAGATGAAGTACATGATGATTTCACCACATTCACGACGGTCTACTGCGTATTGGGACTTGTAATTCCTTTACCTTGATGAAACTTAAGGCCTTGACCGGCCGTGGTACCTGACACTTTATCTCAAGGTTTTAATTCGTGAGTTTTTTCCTATTAAGAGAGAGTGAGAATACGACAATAATATATTCAATTCAAGAAACCAAAATGTATGTATACCGATTTTTTTAATTCCTCTGTGATGATTTTTTTACGATTATAGAGATCCGTCAATGATACTCCAAATAAAAATTCGATTTGCATGTCAGTCTGAGAGGTGAGCAATTGTTCATGAATTAGCACTAACAAAGCAGGAAAATAATATAGAAGATAGATTAAATACAAGGTGTTTCATTTTCCATAATAGTTGATTTTTTTATTTGTAGTATTTTTAATTCTGGTTTGTAGTTTGTTATTGGAATGTCAGTACTGGGGAATAATTCTGGAGCCGCGGCGCTACTCACATAAAGGAAGAAGAATTTTATTAAAGGCGGGTATGAGTCCTTACATGTGCGGCTCATCACCAAATGGTGCGAAATCTTGCTTTGGGAAGATTAATCAAAAAAATCAAAGGGAAATCTTTATCAATTGATGAACCTCACAGCAATTATTTTAAGATATGCTGCACCCGTTGAGACCTGGATCGGCGTCGGGGACAAAATCTCCCTCTGACGAGCCTCCATCTTATGATTTTTCCGTCTCATCTTCAAATGCATCACTCTCTGATTTATCAAGACCAACATCCCCACCAATCTCTAGGATGAGTACTAGTAACATATTACGAGCAAGTAATGCACCATCCAAGGGAGCCAAAGGAAGTAAAGAGGGAATGGATATTAACCGGACTCCATATGTGCCATCTTCAGAACTTCAGAGTCAGATCGACTCTCTTTCTAGAAATAGCCCGTTATCAACCACAACCTCTCAAGGTGAATATTTTGATGTGCTTCCATCATTTCAAATGTTTCAATCTATTCTTAAGCGTGACAATAGCCAATTTAGTGAGAATTTATCTGTTGATCCACCAACCTATGGCGATGTCGAAAACACTTCACCAACTCCTCCTTCACTTTCCCCAGTGAATTCTCACGCTGGTCCAAGTTCTGGCAATGCATCCAATACTATGTTACCAAGTGAGTATAGTTTAGATGCTGTAATGGATAGTGTAGCAGACTATAATATCAATGATCTTGAATCAGGAGAAGTGGAGCATCGTGCTTATCATTCAGAAACGCAAGATACACCGAACTCAAACCCCAACTTTGCAACAACTCATGATACATATGGTCACACTGTACTTGATAATATTGATAGACTTCCTAAACTTCATAATTCTCCCCTTGAAATACAAATTTATGTTACCAAACAAGTTCCACACCCCCATACAGCACCAGAACTGGAGACAAGACTCAAGGAGTATTCAAGTGGGGACGTGGTAAATGGATACATCGTCATCACGAATAATTCTGATGCCCCCGTAGACTTTGGCCTTTTCATCGTGACATTGGAAGGTACCGTTAAGGCCACTGAACGAGTTACTGGTAATGATCAAGATGCTGGTAAGATAAAGAAGCTTTTGATGAAAAAGTTTCTCAAGATGTACGATTTGAATGCATCTTATGGATATGCCTACATTCCCAATAGTGCTGGTATAGAATATGAAGCATATTCTACCGATGAACATGATGGCTGTGTCTTGGGGATTCCAAGTGTAAGAATACTTCAACCTCATACCAAATATAAGAAATTTTTCACTTTCAAATTTCCAGAAAAATTACTTGACAACGTCTGTATGAATTCTGTATTGCCACATGTTTTACCTCCACCATCGATGGGGTTGGACAAAACATGTTTCTATGGCAGAGGCGCCACCATTTCGTTGAATAAAGCATTGGGATATGGATACCTTAACGCTAGAGGTACTCCTTTATTAACTAAGGATTATGCTTTTGAAGATGTTAGCGTTTCATACACAATTGAAGCTAAGTTTATTGATAAACTAAATGCAAAAGACCAGAAGAATCCTCTTTCTCATCAAGATATTAATGATCCGAACTCGGAAGAAGATTATGTTATCTCAAGTAATTCCCAATATTTCTTGAGGTATATTCCAAACTTAAATAAGCAGCTTGATTATTATAATCAAGATTTCCATTATGGAACTGATCTGTTCGCTAACATTGGAATTGATGGGAAACTTTTTCAAGGCTATCTTAACATGAATACTTGGCGTAGTTTTAATCAACTGAATTACCAAATTGAACGTGAAATTAATTCTTGTTTAAGTAAAGGGGAATTCACTGATGATGAACTTAAGAATCAAAATTTGATCTTAAAGAATTCTAAAAAGACAACTACAGAATTGCACAACTTTAATGTCAAAGATCAAATTCTTGACCAATTATTGCATACTCATGCTAAGGAATTGGATGTAGATGATAATTTATATTATCATGATTATAGAATGATTGGTACTACTAAATCTTTACCAATATATGGGAAGAAAAAGAAAAAGATTTTATCATCCTTGATTAAGATTGGGACTCTGAAAATGTTTTTAAGAGTTCCCAGTAAAGTTTTCCCTTATTCATCACCAAAGTTACTTATGAAGTATAATAATGGTAGTATGAGTAACCCTCCGACCCCGAATCTCACACCATCATCTTCTCGCCGAAGTTCATCTTTAGCTCCATCCAGATCTATCGATGCTGGTCTTATGTTGAGCCCTGTCAGTTCAAACGCTAATATCGAACAATTATATCATCACGAAAAGGAAGATTTAATTGACCATGTTCATATTACTCTTGTGTTTAAAGCAATAGATAATGCAACCACTCCGCCAAAGATTGACTATGTTGAATCCAATATAGTCGCCTGGTCATATAATACAGAGTATCCATTACCCATAGCTCTTGGATATGACTTCTTCTATTGTAACCCGCGTGAAGAGGCACTCCATACCAGTCACGATGATGTGGAGAATACAAGGGAGAATCTTCAACAATTGAAAGATCTGGCATTCGATTATCTTCATTTCTTGAAATCCAATAAAACTACTATTTCGCGTGACTCAGTACTTTACTTGGAGTCGTTGAAGACCCTTAGTGTTAAAAAGGATGTCATTAAGGAGTATTTTGCTACATGTACTCATACAACTCACGCAAATCTTCTCAACAATGAAGGTGATTGGAAGGCACTGCAGTCACGTACTACCCAGAGACTTCTTTGGACGAAGGAGTTAAAGATTCCTCTTAATGCTATTAACAAACACAACGTTACTTTACTCCCATCATTCCAAAGTTGTTTAGTGGGTCGTATCTACTGTTTACAGGTTCTCGTAAAGTACAAGGGCAGCGGGTCTGACCAGAAGGAATTTGCTGATAATATTGTCAAGGTTGATGTTCCGATTTTAATTGGTTAGAATATATACATATATAACATAGACGTTTGCATTTTTTTTATCATACAATACAAATACAATCATTCACTGTTATCATAGTAAGCAATATATTTAAACTACAGTTTTAACACACGTGACTGTGACTCATGGCCTAATCGGGTAACTCGTGTTAAGGCGAAAAAAATTAGCCGCGATTCGCTATCAGCTGGGACAGAGATCTGAAAACTTTTCCCAACTACTTTTTTTACTTCCCTTTTTCACCACCAAAGAAGAAAACAATTCAAAGATCTTGATATATCGAGAAAGAAACAGCTGCATACAATATACAGCCTGCATTTCTACCTCTAGTTTTGATTATTAACTCAAAGTATTCTATTTCAATTTTTATTTTTGCTGTACTAATTTAAAAAATGCTTAGACGTTTCCAACGTTCTCTCGCCACAACTGCTGGATTTGTTAACAAAACATCCCAGCTTGACAGAGCTACTCTTACCATTAAGGGTGGTCCAGTTTTTAGTGGTTATTCTTTTGGATCGAACAAGAATGTTTCTGGTGAAGCTGTTTTCACCACTTCTCTTGTTGGTTACCCTGAGTCAATGACTGACCCTTCTTACAAAGGACAAATTTTGTGCTTCACACAACCACTCATTGGTAACTATGGTGTTCCATCCTCAACTGCAAAGGATCAGTTTAATTTGTTAAAGTATATGGAATCTCCAAGTGTTCAATGTATTGGAATTGTTGTTGCTGATGTTGCTTTGGAATATTCTCATTGGACTGCTGTTGAATCTCTTCAACAATGGTGTCAAAGATCTGGTGTTGCTGCTATTTCTGGTGTGGACACCAGACAACTTGTTTCTTATTTGAGAGATAAGGGTTCTTCGTTAGCTAAGATCACTGTTGGAGAAGAATATGATGCTGATGAAGATGCTGCCTTTGAAGACCCTGGTTCAGTGAATTTGGTCCATAAGGTCACCACCAAGGCACCATTCCATATTGCTTGTCCACCAGAACATTCCAAGGGTATTCATATTGCTGTTTTGGATTGTGGTGCTAAGGAAAACATTTTGCGTTGTTTGGTTGAAAGAGGTGCCTCTTTGACTGTTTTCCCATACAACTACCCAATTGATAAGATTGCCAACAAGTTTGATGGTATATTTATCTCCAATGGTCCAGGTGACCCAACCCACTGTTCTAGTACCGTTGAAAGTTTGAAAGAAACTATGAAGAAGTACGATGAATTACCAATCTTTGGAATTTGTTTAGGTCATCAACTCTTAGCCTTGGCTAGTGGTGCAAAGACTGTTAAGATGAAGTATGGTAACAGAGCTCACAATATCCCAGCTCTTGATTTAATTACAGGCCAATGTCATATCACTTCCCAAAACCATGGTTACGCTGTTGATGCTTCTACTTTAAACAGTGACTGGGAACCATACTTTACTAATTTGAATGATTTATCTAACGAGGGAATGAAGCATAAGTACAAGCCAATTTTCTCCACTCAATTCCATCCAGAAGCTAAGGGTGGTCCATTGGATACTTCATACTTATTTGACAAGTTCTTTGACAACATCCACACCTACAGAGAAAACAACGGGTTACAAGTATCTAACGTTGATAACAGTCTATTAGTTGATATTTTGCCAAAGGCAAGAGTTCAATAAATAGACAGGGAGGACAAGAACACAAAAAAAATATACAATGTCTCCTATTTATGATTAGTCCTTTTTCTTAAACGAGAGAGAGATATGTGAGTTTATTATATAATACTTTTTAAATTGCCTAACTATTAGGTTTAGAAATGAATAACAAAAATTGAAATGAATTGAATGTGATACTTGTAGAGTCTAAACGATAGGCATTTGTCATTCATGATCGAAATGGCTGCGAATCGAAGAATAAGCTATACGATTCCCACTTGAGCAATTAAGATCGTATAGGCAAACACAAATGTAACTCCAAAATAAGGGAGTTCTCTTTTTTTGAACAATTAGACTTCTAACAATCACCCGTCAGAGTTTTCCATTCAAATAAATCTAACAAATATGGTGAAATCATATAATGAAACTTATAAAACGAGAATAAGCTCTACAGCATAAGAGCATATCCAAGTTCTAGTATGGATCCATCGCACCAGGTAAACGATCTCGCTCACAGGTGGTGCTTGTATACAGAAAATGAATGCATCAAATCGTAATATGCCTGACTTATTTTTTGTTATGGCCTGGTATGGTATGGTCTGGTCTGATCGGTCGTATAGCTCGTATACACTTCGTGCATAATATTTCGCGCGCACAAAAAAAAAAAACATCAAATATGGTCCTACCTGATGGTTCGTTTAGCGTTCACCTGCATGTCATCACACCACAAATGGCTGCAAGAGTGGACGAGACACCTGAGGTATAAAAGCAAATACAATACTCACATGTAATAAACTACTTTGATCGTTGTGACAAGAACTTACATCCGTTCTGTTCAAAGAGGTGTTCAACTTTCTCACATTATGAATTTCACAACCACCTCATCACTTGAGTATCTTGCACCCAAGCTTGCTTCTGCTTCTCCCTCATATTTGGAAGTTTTGCGTGGGTTAAACGCATCAACTGACCCTGTTGTACTTGCTTTAGGATCTTTTGAGAAGGTATGGGCTTCTTGGTATATTTACATGCAAAATGATATTCTTGCTACTGGTCTTCTTTTCTTCCTTACCCACGAATTGGTATACTTTGGTAGATGTCTTCCATGGATGATTATAGACAATATTCCTTATTTCAACAAATGGAAGATTCAAGCTAACAAAATTCCATCTAATAAGGAACAATGGGAATGTTTAAAGGCTGTTTTAAAATCTCATATTCTCGTGGAAGCACTTCCAATTTGGCTTTTCCATCCATTATGTGCCAATTTGAATATTGCATGGGATGTTCCATTCCCAAGTTATGGAGTTCAAATCATGCAAATTTGTATCTTCTTCGTATGTGAAGATTTTTGGCATTATTGGGCTCATCGTTTGTTCCACGTTGGTTGGTTCTACAGAAACATCCACAAACAACATCATAGATATGCCGCTCCTTTTGGATTAACTGCTGAATATGCCCATCCAGTCGAAGTAATGTCCTTAGGATTTGGTACAGTTGGATTCCCAATTATTTACGCTTACTTGTCAAAGACTAGACCAGATTGGAACATTCCTGAATTGCATTTATTCACTCTTACATTCTGGATTACTCTTCGTTTATTCCAAGCAGTTGATTCTCATTCAGGTTATGATTTCCCATGGTCTCTTCATCATTTCCTTCCAATCTGGGCCGGCGCAGAGCATCATGATGATCATCATCATTACTTTATTGGTAATTACGCAAGTTCTTTTAGATGGTTTGATTACTTTTTAAATACTGAAAGTGGCCAAATTGCCAAGTCCAAGAGAGAAAAAAAGATGAAGGAACATGCTGAAAAGGTTCAATAGGAGAAATAATAGAGTGTTGCAAAGTAATAGTAGATATTTAACAGTACATATACTGAAGTTTAGGCACATCAAATATATATGACATATATGAAAACTGGTAGAATTAACATAAATTGGTTATAATCAGAATTTCCTGAATCCCCCTTTATATTTAATATAAATAAATGAATGAATAGAGGTGATCTTTTGTAATTGCAACCAGTATCAGGTACGATGAATTTAATAATATATTATTTTAGGTTAGGGCTTAGCCCTTATAGAGCCCAATTCCGCGTGACCAACAACAATATCAGGTGACCTCGTGGACTAAAATTTCGCATTAAAATTTCTCAGTATTACAATTTACGGTGACTGTTTTTTTTCAATTTCTCACTACTTTGTGTAACTTTTGTTCAAATCCGTTCTGGTCCTGTTCGCACCTTACCAACCAAAAAAAAAATATAAGTGAAAAAGGTGTTTCGTTGAAAAAGAGCATATACTTGGAATATCAACAGCAAAGTAAGTGACCATCAAGACCATAGCTGTGTACAAGCTACGAGCAAAGACACCAGCGTTGGATAGAAGAGCCTATGATAAACGTTCCGAAAAGATAGTTGAAATCTATGTGTAGTAAAATGGATTTGACCGTACTGGTCAAGATGGATGATAATTTTCAATATTTGTTTCAATGGTGATATATCATCAATAGATATAACAAACTTATAATTATGAATATGTTATCACTTGATTAAGAACAGATTATTGTGGATAGTTCAAGGGAACAAACCCATCTTTCCCCATTGGATGAAATTTTGTTTAATTGATGAGCAAAATGAAAATTTTTGAGGAGTGAAAAATTTAAAATCTATTTTACATATTACATGTCAGTTATCTGCTAGGACTTTATTAAACTCAATTTAAAGTAATTATACTAACAAATTATAGAATGTCTAGATTAAACGAATATCAAGTTATCGGTCGTCGTCTCCCAACTGCTTCTGTTCCAGAACCAAAGTTGTACCGTATGAGAATCTTTGCTCCTAACGTCGTTGTTGCTAAGTCTCGTTACTGGTACTTTTTACAAAAATTGCACAAGGTCAAGAAGGCTTCCGGTGAAGTTGTTTCCGTTAACGTCATCTCCGAAGCTCACCCAACCAAGGTTAAGACTTTCGGTGTCTGGATCAGATACGACTCCAGATCTGGTATCCACAACATGTACAAGGAATACCGTGACGTTACCAGAGTTGGTGCCGTTGAAACCATGTACCAAGACTTGGCTGCTAGACACAGAGCTAGATTTAGATCTATCCACATCTTGAAGGTTGTCGAATTAGAAAAGACCGATGACGTCAAGAGACAATACGTCAAGCAATACTTGACCAAGGACTTGAAGTTCCCTCTTCCTCACAGAATTCAAAAATCCAAGAAGTTGTTCCAAGCCCACACTCCATCTACCTTCTACTAAGCGATGGGCCCACATTAATGTTTGCTGGTTGTAATTGTATATTTGGGATTTTTTGATTCTACACATGTAGTTTAGACTAGTCGAAATATATGTGTGATACTGAAATTTAAAGTATAGAAGTATTTTGTAGAGATGATGTAGTTTTTGATTAGATTTAGTGAAAATTTTATTATGGGTAGGCCATTATTTCTATTTTACATTTACCCTTGCTTATTAAGGAATTAAGCGCTGGGTGAGTGCCTAAATTTCATTTCCGCGAAAAAAGAGTTATCATTTCGTTATCGCATATAAACTGCGGGAATCGATCCCCAACTTCCAAATTGACCATTCGCGTGGAGGTGTATAAATAGTAACTTCAACGATTTATCTTTTAATTGGTTTGCTTTTATTCTTTATACACTAAATATATATATATATATATATTTCTCATAGATAGATATTTAATCTATTATAGAAGATAAATAGAAAATGTCATACGGTCCTAAAGCCGCAGAGAGATTATCTGGGAAGATTATCTTGATTACTGGTGCTTCAGCCGGTATCGGTGAATCTACTGCTAGAGAGTTTGCAGCTGCCGCTGCAGGCAATGTGAAGCTTATTCTCACTGCTAGAAGAGCAGAAAAGTTGTCGGCCTTGGCTGAGGACTTAAAGAAAGAATACTCCAACATTTCTGTTCATACTGCAACATTGGATGTGTCCAAGATTGATACTATTGGTAAATTTGTCACTGATCTTCCAACTGAATTTGCAGACATTGACATTTTGGTAAACAATGCCGGTTTGGCATTGGGCCGTGATAGTATCGGTACAATCATTGAACTGGACATCCAGGCGATGTTCAACACCAATGTATTGGGCCTTATCACCATGACTCAAGCCGTATTGCCAATCTTCAAGAAGAAGAATAGCGGAGACATTGTCAACTTGGGATCCATTGCTGGTAGAGATCCTTACCCTGGTGGAGGTATCTATTGCCCAACCAAGGCTGCAGTGAAATCGTTCTCCCACGTGTTGAGAAAGGAATTGATTAACACTAAAATTAGAGTATTCGAAGTTGATCCAGGTAATGTTGAGACAGAATTTTCAAACGTTAGATTTAAGGGAGACTTGGAAAAGGCAAAGCTGGTTTATTCTGGAACTGAACCATTGTTGGCTGAAGATATTGCAGAAATCATTGTCTTTGCCTGTTCTAGAAAGCAAAAGACTGTGATTGCCGAGACTCTTGTGTTCTCCACCAACCAGGCCAGTGCTACCCACTTATATAGAGACAGTTAGATATTGAAGCTATATTTGTCATCCATTGACTTTCCTTTAAACCATTCATCATGTGTAGCGCCACACTTTCGTGACATCATATTTGTCCAGTCATATGTCAAAAATGCGAATCATTATCATTGGAAAATTAGAATATATCCTTAAATAGAATTTCATATTCTTCTCCTTACAATTATCACCCAATCTATAGTCATGTCCTACGGAGCCAAAGCAGCAGAAAGGTTAGCTAACAAAATTATTCTCATTACCGGAGCCTCTTCTGGAATTGGTGAAGCTACGGCAAGAGAATTTGCAGCAGCTGCAAACGGTAACTTGAGACTTATCCTCACAGCAAGAAGACAAGAACGTCTTGCTGCCGTATCAGCCCTGTTGATCAAGTCATACCCAGCCATCAAGATCCATTCCGTTCAACTCGATGTTTCCAAAGCGGAAACCATCCAACCATTCGTTGATAATCTTCCAAGTGAATTTTCAGACATCGATGTCTTAGTTAACAATGCCGGTAAAGCTTTAGGTAAGGATAATATTGGTAACATTCTCGAGCTGGACATTGCAGACATGTTCCAAACCAATGTTTTAGGTCTTATTAATGTCACTCAAGCCGTGTTACCTATCTTCAAGAAGAAGAACTATGGTGATATCATCAACTTAGGATCCATTGCTGGTAGAGATCCATATCCAGGTGGAGGAATCTACTGTGCCACCAAGGCATCAGTCAAGTCATTCTCCCATGTATTAAGAAAGGAATTGATCAACACAAAAATCAGAGTGCTTGAAGTCGATCCAGGTGCAGTTGAAACTGAGTTCTCAGAAGTTAGATTCAAGGGTGATAAGGACTTGGCCAAGGCTACCTACACTGGTATGGAACCATTGATTGCTGAAGATATCGCAGAAATCATTGTCTTTGGCGTTACCAGAAGACAAAATACCGTTATTGCTGAGACTTTAGTTTTCCCATCGGCTCAAGCTAGTGCCACTCATGTCTACAAGGGTTAAACCGTATATAAATATGATTATTATTTTATTTTCGTTATTTAATATGTAGGGTCATTTCATTAAGGTCATATTGTTCTATTAAAAACTCAATTGCTCCAATGTCTTTGTAACTTTGGCAGCACCATCAACTGCATCGTTGTTCTCAATACTTACCTTGGCTCTGTTCATCTCCAATCCTGCTAACAAAACACATGCCTTACAAATCTTATTGGAAGATAAGTACCCACACTTTTCACATCTATTCCCATCCTTAAATTCCCTTTTAAGGTTGACAGATCCATCTGCATTAATTTCTTGTTCATCGGAAACCTTCTTTTTGTTTTTATATTGTTGAGTAGGTCTCTTTTTCTTTGGTGCCAAGGCTAAATGCTCTCCACTATAAATAATGTCCATAATACATGACGGTCTGACTGCCTCTAATGATTTGAGAAGTTCTCTGGCAGTACCTCTGAATGCCTCAGGTGCATATGTACATTCTGTTGAAAAATAGTCCAACTTCTTATAATGAGCATATAACACAATTTCCTTTTGATATGTATATTTGAATGGTTTGGATCTTTTAATAGGAGATCCAGATGATTGTGTTACAATTGTACATGATTTCTCTAATCTTGCGGTATCACCTCTAAGTAAATTCATAAGCACAGTCTCGGCCATATCATCAGCATTATGCCCCGTGACTACATGGTTGATCCCCAACTTGGCTGCACCTCTATCCAATGCTTGTCTTCTCAAAACCCCACAATAGGTACAAGAAGATCTAATACCAGCACATGACACAATTTCATCCATAGACCAGTTGTATAAATCCTTATATGAAACAATTTCCAACTCCATTTCATATTGGATTTGATTTCTCTTTACTGTAGCCAAGGAATCATCTCTATAACCTTTAATACCTTCATCGATCGATAAGAGAACTAATTCCAATCCATAGTTGTAACGTTCATTAAGAGTTTTGAGTACAGATGCCAATACTGTAGAGTCCTTACCCCCTGAAGCACCGATTGATACCCTATCTCCTGGCAGGAAAAGCTTCGCATCTGTGATAGTATTATGAATCTCTGTTTCAAATACTTTATAAAAACATTCCTTACAGAGCTTTTGAAGGTTCTTTGGTCTCTTCATAACAGCCTTACGACCATGACAAAGCTCACATAAACTGGTAACCTTGATTTTTTTAGGTACAGTGACCGCATCATTCAGCATAGTATCCGCGTTAGAAGCCATCCTACAAATTATGCTACTTAGTGATAGTCTACTATATGTTAATCTTTACCCTCTAGACAAGCATCGAAAGAAAAAGCAAAAAAAAACGCAAAAAAAAAAAAAGTAAAAAAAAGAAAAGACCAAAGAGAGACCACCGATATGAAAATATGGAGTATATAAAGAAGGTACAGTAGAAGACTTTTGCAAAAGCTCATACTGGATATCTCTTCTACTACTCTACCTGCCTTCTTCTCTACAATCCGATATTCTTTCTTAATGTGTATTTAAGTACGTATGTCTATAGACGAATCGCCGTAAGCAAACGGTAAAACAAGCCGCTTCCACAAGGAAGCGATGCAATGATAAAATTACAAGAAACAGAGTTTCCCTCATGATGGAAACCCTTATGTTTGGAATTCATCGTTGTTGGTGTTGACACTGGCATATCTGAATCTATTGTTTTCTTCTAGTTGCTGCTGTTCCTTTTGCTCCTTTTGTTGTTGCATTTGTTGTTGCAGCTTTCTTCCATGTCCATTGGCAGCGGTCTTTTCATTCTTCTCCGTCACAAGCTTAACCTTTTCATTCATAACAATGGCTAATTCTTGCAATCTAGTTCTTTGATGTTCTTCAGTTGTGAAGTCCATAAATTTACCAGATTCATCAATCTTGGCACTAATCTCTTCATTTTCAATCATCTTGTTCACTATTTCAACAACTGCTTCATTGTCAAGTGCAAACACAGTAGATAATTTGGCCAAAGACAACTTGGAAAAGAGAGACTTGTAAGTAAATATATACGTTCTCAACCCTTCAACTTGTAATTGATGCTTCATCATAGCCAACAAAGCTTCATTGTCAGGGAACAATTTCCAGATCTTGATGGACAGTAACAAGTCATAAGCCTTTGCCCAATCACCCTTTTGCAAGGCCTTGGAGGCATGTACAACATGATCCTTGATACTTTCTGGTGGACCAGTAAAGTATTGCTTGTCGTAGAATTCCAACTTACTCTTGAAAGACTTAATAGAAGTCTTACGCTTGGAGTCCTTAGAGTTGTCACTGGCAGCAGCAATTGCTGGGATTTCCAACAAGAAGGTACCAGTCATGTAGACACACTCAAGTAATTCCAAGTTAATGTGCATATGGAATGGAAGTAACTTTTGCTTTTCAGCTGTGGTTGCTTGGTTTGGATATTTTGTACTGAAACCTTGACCCAAAAGTTCCTTTAATCTTTGGGTGTTGGCAATTTCAGTCAAAGTTTGATGTGATTCTTCAATAGCACCAGCTCTGAAAGCACCCAATCCCAATTGAACCAAAGCTCTGTTGTACATCACTTGTAATGATGAATCAGACTTGTGAATGTGTGAGTAAAGTTGAGATCCCAAGAAAAGATCCTTAGCTTCGGTGTATTTGTTGTTAACCGCATTATAGTAGACAGTACAGAGTAAAGCCTTCTTCTTGTAAATGGAGTGTGCTTGGTTGGTCAAAAAGTCTGACAAAGAAGCCATTAATTCAGAAGGAGTGGCGGACTTGGATACAATAGAAGAGTCGGAGTCCTTGGAAATACCGTTCCAGGCATCTTGTTCGTTTGCAATGATCAATTGATCTGGCTTGTAGTAGACATGTTCCAATCTTCTACAAACAATTCTAGCTAATGGTTCAGCTTCAGGTTGAGTTCTGAGTTCAACTGGAGTGGTTGATTCAACGTACAATTGTCCTCTGACAATCAACTTGTAAATCTTAGATTCATCCTTCAAACGTTCAATATATTCGAGAGAATGAGGGTCGGCATTTTGCAAAGATCTAGTGAATTCATCATCCAAACGTTCAATGAGAGATGTGATGGAACCAAAAACAACCTTAACACCTTGTTCATTGGCGGTTGGTTCAATATCCAAGTCATCGGCAATGGTACCAAATTCGGAAACTTGGTAAGTCTTACCAGCTGGACCAGATAAAAGATCCAATAAATCATTGACATCATTTTCACTCTTGTTCCATTGATCAATAGACATGAAAACCAAGTTAGCAGAAGCGTCGAAACGGATTGACAACAACATGAGGGAAACAGAAATGATTTCGAAAATCTTGTCGGAACCACGGATCAGAGCAAGAAGATCTTCCAAAGTTTGAATTTGTTCCATACGGTCAACATTCTTCTTACCACGAGTTTCAGAGATTTGTCTAAGAGTTGTGAAAGTAGGAGAAAGTATTCTTTGAGAGGAACCAGCTTCACCAGATGCAGCATCAGTGGAGGAGACAGCTGGAATGATATGTTCATCCAAGGATTCTTCTTTATCAAAGAGTTCTGGTTGTTCTCTGAACAAGTCGATGTACTGTTGGTTTTCTTTGATTTGCTTTCTGACTCTTTGCTTGACAGTGTTAAAGGCTCTACCGACGGCAGCGTTCATCTTCTTGGTGGCTTCCTTTTCATTGGCAGTGGTTTCGACAATGTAATCATCAGTTTCAGCAAGACTCTTGATGTAAAAGTTTGGAATGCTGACGTTTTGTTGAGCAGCTCTGATGAGTTGACGGTTCAACTTGTCAAACTCGACCAAAACGGTGGACCAGTCACCGGAACGACGGGCAGAGGCAATTGCTTCGACATACGATCTCATTTCATCAAGCAATTTTTCCTTGGAAGACTTGACTACTCTTCTACCTTCATCTTCACTGTCCGAGTCGGAGTCTCCTCCAGAGCCCTTGAGGAAGGACTTCTTCAAGAAGTAAGCTGGACCAGTTGGGATCTCGCCATCAGAATCATCGGATGAATCATCATTATCATCGTCATCGTTATCAAATTCAGAGTCGGTGGAGAATTGATCATCAGACTGTTCACCTTCGGAAGAAGACGAAATAAGCTCATCGGAAGAACTGAGCAAGTCTTCCTCATCGGAACTCGAGTCGGAGTTGTAACCAGCGGCAAAGAAACGCGACATGGTGGTCAATAAGGCGTTAACTTCTAGTGTATACACTTAAAGTGATGATTGATATACCTGTGAAATCATTTTTTTCGTTGGAAAAAAAATTTCACATTCCTCGAATTACGCAGACGGGTCTCAGCGCGTAAGTGTGGGCACCAAAATTGATACTGAGAGGGAGTTGGCCACTACATAACTATTGTTTCCACCAAATGTTTTTAAGCAATTATTGAAATATATCAGTTATAGTATGGGTATTTCATTATATCTATTAGTCTATTAAACTTCCTCCTTTTTGTTTTATCTTCACCTATGTACTTCACCATCATCACTATAAAACCCTTCCCTGTAATACATATGTGCAGGAGACGACCCCATCAAGCATTTAATTAGTTTTTAACTATGGCTGCAATTTACTTATTTTAATATTTATATATCTATATATGTATTGCTTATATTAACTATTTCAATCAATTATCTACATTATATCTCCTAACTCTCAGAAATAAAAATGGTTTTTCATTTTTTAATGAAAAATCTGACTCTTCATCTTCCCAATCAGCTTCATCTCTAATCTTCTTCACTGTAAAATAACGTTTCCAAATCAATTTATTATGACGGAATGCAGGTCCCAGAGACTTTATTTGGAAATGATAATGGAAATTATAAATCAGCACTGAACCATCCGAAATTATAACATGTACTTCCCCTTCGGAATTGATTGTCCATTTCCCAGAATAAATCCGTCGTCCTTCTTTAGGAGAAGTATTATCATTACCGAGGGCATTTAAATCCTTTCTCAGAAGATGTGGAACCACTACATTGGGTTCTAAGTTGGAGAGCAACTTTATACATGTACCATCCGGATAAAATCGAAGATATCGATAATAGGTGATGATTCTTATTGGATTATTCCAACTACTAGAAAATCCAACTCCTCCCTCACTGTAGTAATTCACCACACTAATATAACACCCCAACATTTTAAGAAATGGCCTATCATTGAGCATTCTCTTCCAGGAATTCCCGTATTGCGGAACAATTAGATGTGGATCTCGTGGAATTGGAAGATTGTTTTCATTTATATCATCACCAAGAGTTCTATTGACTAAGAATAATTGATTTTCCTCGTAGTGTTGATTTGGATAGATCATGGTACATAATCTCTTCCATAATATACTTGATCTGAGCCCTAGAAAGGCATTCTTTCTACAGGTAATACTATAATTAAACCATGATTCAGGACTGGTAATCAATAAGATTTCGAAAATAGATACCCAAGTATCATTGGGGAGGCGAAGTAATGGTGACAGTTCCACGGCGACATTCTCTTCATTTGAACGTTGTTGGTCGTCTCCATCAATATTTTCTGTGTCTGAGTCGTCACCTTCTAATTCCTCGACTTTCAAATCTTCGACTACAGAAATGTTTAATCCTTCAAAACTGTCAAGTAAATCATCTACATTTATCTTTTTGATCTTCTCTTCATCCAACTTAACCGCGGAATTCTTTCCTCTATCATTCTTCAATTTCTCCACATTCTGTGGGACTTTATGTTTCCGATAAAGTAAATCAATTTGTTCATTTATCTTGAATGCCTTACGGTAATATTCAATGGCCTCAGACATAAGTCCATGACCTTCCTTTTCAACCGCCTGCTCAAAAAGCTTCATGGCTTGCACATCACGCGCGGCCAATTTCTCCTCAGCCGATGTACCTATGTTTGAATTCGCTGTAAGAGTCCCCCCACTCATCTTCTCTGGATCTATTATCTATATAAAGAAGTGTGTGAGTGAGAACTGTTTTTGGCTTAGTTATCTAATCAAATTTCTCAATCTCACATATTATTTTTTTTTTTTTGTCTTATCCCGATTTTGTGATATATCTAATCTAACAACGAATCAAGAAAGTCTTCATCTGTAGATGGAGGTGGGATACTTTTCGATATTATAGGTTTGGAATTTGCATGAGTCTTGTCTGTAATCTTGTCTTTATTCTCCTTGATTGAAAATCCTTGTAATAACGAATCGAGATCATTTTTTTCATTCAATGGATTTTGCAGCCTATTCGTTTCATAATCTTCTCCACTCCCTCCAATTAATTCCTCTAAATCATCATCATATCCATATTCTCTTCTGTTCTTATTTTCATTTCTTGCTGCCTTGGCCATTCTATCTTCTAATTTCTTAACTTGATCTTCATCTAATTCATTCAAATTATTAATTTCAAGTATTTTTTGTGGGGGTTTATCATTCCCTTCCTTCGTATCAAATCTTTTCTTAATTGATCGATAAAATGCTGCCAATTCAGCCTTTTTCTCTAATTCTCGTCCCTGTTCAATCTCCTTCTCTGTAAGTAGTCTTGAATCAGCTTTCTTATTACGATCAAGTCCTCTTGGTTTACCATTCAATGTACTTTCCCCAATCTTGAAATCAATAAGTTCTTCAGTCAGAATCTTAGAAAGAGGTCTATTCTGTTGTTTAGCTAAATAAACATCATTATAATCATCTTGGGTCTTTTTCAATGTATCAGCATATGAATCAATCCCATATTCATCTAATAAATTCTCACTTAATTTATTTTTTGGGAGTTTCCTATTGACTTTCTTGGCAGTTGAAATATCTTTTGAAACAAATTCTTCTAACGTTAATGGAGCAGGTTTATCTTCTTGTTCTTCATCTTCTGTTTGCTTAATGGTCCCTAAATATAACCCATCATCATATTTAGTGGCTTCTTCTTTCCTATGTAATAATTCTTCTTGCTTTTGTTCTTCTAACAATTGCTCCAAAATTTGTCCCTTCACCTTTTCCCTTTGTTCCTTGGTGAGTTCTGAGCTCCCCAACTGTGGAAACATTTCATTTAATACCTCTTCATCTTCTTCAGACCAATCACTATCCGATCCGATATCATCATTTTCTTTAATACTTGATTTATTCTTCCCACTCCATTTCGGTCCATGACCTTTTTTATCATTCAATTCTTCCCTTGGTTTAAGTAATCCATGTTTCTTCAAGTATTTGAACTTTGCCTGTTTATCCCATTTGGAATTTTTCAAAACCATCTTTATATATTTATATATATATCAATTAACTATTATATTTATTCATACTCTCTATGTCTCTCTTTCCTTAAAAAATTGGGTTTTCCTGCATGCTTAGTTTTTCGGGAATACGTCTTTAACAAAAGATACCCAAAAACTTAATAAATTTTAGAGCCTAAATATTCACAAGTTAAGAATGCCAGACGAAAGACCCAAGCCAGACCCAAAGTCCATTGAAGAGCTCCTTAAACTTCTCTCTATGGGAGGTGAACTCAATGAAGTTCAAAAGAAAGAAATGAAAGATTACAAGTTTTGGAAGACTCAACCAGTCCCTAAATTGGACGAAAAAATCCTTAATGAGGGTCCAATTGAAATTAAAAAACCTGAAGACGTCCCTGATACCCCATTACCGCTTCTTAAGGATTTTGAATGGAGTACCATCGATATAGAGGAAAAGGCTCAACTTGAAGAAGTTTATGATCTCTTGTATGAACATTACGTGGAAGATCAAGATGCTACTTTTAGATTCAAATATTCTCATGAATTTTTCAATTGGGCGTTAAAACCTCCTGGATGGCGTAAAGATTGGCATGCCGGTGTCCGTATCAAGCAAACTGGTAAGTTGGTTGGGTTCATTACTGCCACCCCTGTAACTCTTAAGTTAACAAAGTCTCAAACAATTATTCCCAGTGTTGAAATCAACTTTTTATGTATTCATAAAAAATTAAGATCAAAGAGATTAGCTCCTGTTTTAATCAAGGAGATTACTAGAAGAGTTAACAAATGTGATATATGGCAAGCCTTGTACACTGCAGGTGTTGTTTTACCCTCTCCAGTGACCACTTGTCGTTATACCCATCGTCCTATCAATTGGGCCAAACTTAATGACGTTGAATTTCTGCATTTACCTAGTGATCAAACTAGAGCCAGCATGGTTGCCAGATATTCCCTTCCTAATGCCACCAAGACTCCAGGATTGCGTCCTATGGAGGCTCGTGACATGGACCAAGTCTATGATTTATTAACTAGATTCCAAGAAAGATTTGAATTAGTTCAAACATTTGAAAAGAAAGAACTTTTCCATTGTCTCTTAGGAAGTGAATCAACTAATTCTAAAGTGATCAAATCTTTCGTAGTAGAATCTCCAGAAACTGGTAAAATCACCGACTTCTTTTCTTATTATCTTCTCCCATTCACAGTCTTAAATAATTCTCAACATAAGGAATTGGGTATTGCATACTTGTTTTACTATGCATCTGAATCTGCCTTTGGTGATGATTTACCTGCTTACAAGCAAAGATTGGCTTTATTAATGAATGATGCACTTGTCACTGCCAAGAAATTCAACGTCGATGTTTTCAATTGTTTAACTTCTCAAGATAATTCTTATTTCATTGAAAAGTGCAAATTTGGTTCTGGAGACGGGCTCTTAAACTATTACTTGTTCAATTACAAGACTTGGCCAATTTATGGTGGGTTTGACCCACAAACTAAAGAGGTTACTGAAGACAAGGCTAGTGGTGTTGGTGTTGTGTTGTTGTAGATAGAAAGTGATATAAACTAGAAAATGATGCGAGAAGTAGGAAGGTATACTGTTTATGAATGAAAAGAAAGAAACAAGAAGAAAAAAAAAAAAGATAATCACTTTTGTAGTGGAAACTCTTATTAGCTTACCATTTATATATACATCCATTTCTTTTTCTAATTGACTGCAAATTGATAATTTCTGTGTAGTCGCATTATTTAAAGTCTGCAGGAATTTCTCTTCATGAGTTTTTTTTTTTTAGTGCGATTCTGAAAGGTTGGAAAAAAAAAAGATTTACAAAGCTCATCTCTCACTCATCCTTCTCCTCCTCCCTACTACACCAATACAAGATGATTTCCTCAACCTGTTGGGTGCCTAGAGGCTACGCCTCCGAATTCCCTGAAAAGTACGAATTGGATGATGCCGAAATGGAAAGAATCACTGCCATGGCCAATTTGGAATTGAATGACAGAAGATTAGAAGACGAAGTTGAAGATGATGATGAAGAAGAATCAAAGCCATCATTGCAAGACCAAATAGAACAAGACGACGACTTGAAAGAGTACGACTTGGAAAACTATGACAATGAAAACAACGACGATGAAGAAGGTCAACAAGTAACGATGTTCCCAGGCTTATCCACCTCTGATGCTGCCATCCATGGTAAGGAAGGTGAAGATCAATATTTAACTTTACCAACCGATGAAGATTTGAAGGAAGAAAAATTGGAATCTCAAATCTATCCAACTGATAACTTGGTATTGGCAACCAGAACTGAAGATGATATCTCATACCTTGACGTTTATGTGTACGATGATGGTGCAGGTGCTCCAGATGGAGCTGATGAAGAAGAAGAAGATAAGTTTGATGCCGATGTGGCCAAGGGACTTGTAAGAGAATCCAACTTGTACGTTCATCACGATCTTATGTTGCCATCTTTCCCTTTGTGTGTCGAATGGATAAACTATAAGCCTGGTCAATCTGAAAATAATGATAACAACATAGGTAACTTTGCTGCCATTGGTACCTTTGATCCTCAAATTGAAGTTTGGAACTTGGACTGTATGGACAAGGCTTTCCCAGATTTGATTTTAGGTGAACCACATGAAAACTCTGCCGCTGGATTGAAAAAGAAGAGTAAGAAGAAGAAGAAGTCCAAGCAACACGTGACTACACACCATACTGACGCCGTTTTATCGTTGTCTCATAATAGAGTTCACCGTAATGTTCTTGCTTCCACATCTGCTGATCATACTGTCAAGTTGTGGGATTTGAACAATGGTACTGCTGTCAGATCTTTAGATACCATCCATGATCAAAAGACTGTCTCATCTTCTCAATGGCACGCTCAAGAAGCCTCCATTTTATTGACTGGTGGTTACGATGGTACTTGTGGATTGACCGATGTTAGAATCTCTGACGTTAGTCAAATGTCCAAGAACTATTCTGTTTCTAGAGGTGAAGAAATTGAAAACGTCAGATGGGGTCATTCGCTGCAACCAGAACTTTTCTATGCTGGTACTGACAATGGTAATGTGTACTGTTTCGATGTCAGATCTGTTGAAAAGCCAGTTTGGACTCTTCATGCCCACGACGTGGGTATCTCGTCTTTGGACGTAAACGCGCATATTCCAGGTATGATCACCACTGCTGCTATGGGTGAAAAGACTGTGAAACTTTGGAAATGTCCAACCGCTGGTGGTTCAGGAGGACCTTCCATGGTTTTATCCCGTGACTTTGGTGTTGGTAACGTTTTGACTTCATCCTTCGCTGGAGATATTGAAGTTGCTGGTAACTTGACCATTGGTGGTGTTAGTGGTGCATTGAAAATGTGGGATGTTTTATCCAATAGATCTGTTCGTCACACTTTCCGTAGTGAATTGAGAGACATGCAAAAGAAGGCCAGACAAGATGCCAAGGAAGCTGGACGTGCTTCTAGAATCGCTAGAAAATACGCCAATGATGCCTCTGGTGAAAACGTCATGACTGTTGAAGCTGGTGGATTGGAGGATGAAAGTGATTCCGATGAAGGAGAAGAACCTGTTGCCATGGACGATGATGAAGAAGAAGAAGAAGATTAGGTTACATTTCTTTAAACATGTACATTATTAGAGTATATAATACGTATACAAATAGCATTATAGTATGATGTGTTCCAATAGCAGAGGATTTTGTAGATCCAACTGTGTGATGAGACTCACTTTAAAGGAAAAAGACAAATTAATTTTGTTTTTCCTGTCACAATTTGCAGCCATTCAACTTAACTAACGACAGTGGTTTCATTCATAAAATTCAATATATTTTAGCACGATTTATATATATATATAGACATATATAGGTATGATGGATTAAAAGAACACATTTTTTGGTGATTAATATCTTTGAATGAAATAATATTATGTTCAAATGAATGTTTTAAATATGCTCAAGAAGAAAAGAAGGAAGGGTTTAATGATCGGCATCTTGGCCAGGATTGCAAGTTTCGTAATTCAAGAGTTTGAATACTTTCCAAATACCAAAAGAAATGAAAGATCCTAAGAAAGGTCCAACCCAGTATATCCAATGATAATCGTCAAAAGATGCGTTGGCGACACTGGATCCGAAAGATCTTGCAGGGTTCATACCAGCTCCAGTATAGTGAATTGCACTCAAGTGGCCCAAAAAGAGAGAAATACCAATGGTGAAAGGAGCCATAAATGTCGCCTTGTGTTTTTCAACAGCAACAAAGAGAACAGTAAGGCACAATTGTGTGGTGATGAAAGCTTCAATAAACACACCTCTAGCTTTGGAACAATCTCCTCCCAAAGCATTAGCAAATGCGATAGGTCCTGGGGTCATAGCGGACACGGCACCAGCTGCAGCCATACCGCCAACCATTTGGGCACCAAACATCAATGCACCTCTTACAGGAGGAACTGCACCCGCAAGTACAAGTGCTAAGGTTACTGCTGGGTTAAAATTACCACCCGAAACTCTAAAGAAGAGAAATACAGCCATCATGACACTGAATCCAAAACCGAATGCAATCATGAGAATTTGTTGTGGATCTGATCCTAAAGTACCAGCACTTTTGATATTAGGATCATGGTTTGCAACCTGAGCAACAGTATATCCTATCCACAAAAAGATAAATGTACCAAAAAATTCACCTAAAACTGCAACAAGATGATTTCTGACAGTATCACTGAACCTCTTCTTGTGCTCAATAGGTTCGATTGATTCCAGAAGTTTTGGAGGATCAGAAGAAGAATTGGATTCTCTGATATCGACGGTATGGGCTTGTTTGCTCATTGCTTATTGTAAATGGGTTGTTGATTAATATTCCAAATACTCAATCGAAGAGGGAAACTCATGTGCACTTTATATGTTGCAAATTGAGCTTGGAAGTGCCTTGGGATTCAAATTTGCATCAATTCGCAGCTAGTTAAACTTTGAAATACCACATGGGACCCCGAAAGCTTAATTATTTTTGAAACTTCATGAAACCAATTTCATTGGAAACACGGCTTATGTCTCGATGATGTCATGACTATAAATAATGTCCCCCTTGAAACTCATTGTTGTTCTCCAATTTTTCAACGCTGATTTCAAAATAATTCTTTGAATTCAGTATGTGAGACACTGCAAGAAAACGTCAATGATATTGCACTTCACATCTAGATGCAAAAAAACATGCGATATATCAGCTGATATGAAGACTTGTGAGTACATTGTATTACAGAAATACAAGACTGTTGTATTAACTACTGTTCTATGAATATAGGCGAGGCGAATATATCCAAATAGTCTAAATCCTCTACAAAAACTAAATATGCTTTGAAATAATGGGTCATTCCAAAGTTAAGGTACGAGTATCAACATGGAAACATATTTATTGTGTTCCAGTCAATATTCTCGTACCTTTGTATTAATTAGCAAGCTTTATGAACTAGAACGTTATTCAAAGTTACACATTCTTGTTTTCTAACACTTCTTCTCGCGGGCTAATCCGGATACCAGGCTATATAGTTTTACGATACCATATTATTTTTATAAAGTGCCTGGAGATAAGGCTGTCAGTTAAAAAATTAATCTATTTGGATTGTATTAAGGGATGATTGTAAATTTTAGACTTTGTAGCGGGACCCTTAAACCGACACAATAGCAGGGTTTTAGAAATATTAAGGTATAGTAGTACATATTCCATATCTTTGAATACTATTGTTACAAGTAATGCGTCTTCGGTGTCTTGATGTTCTTTCATTCGCTGTATTTTTTCTTTTATCCTTTTTATTTTTTGCAGCCTCGATATCTTCTGGCCGAGAGCACTTATGATAACGAAGATGAAATTGTGCATAATATCATTTTTAGGACAACTCCATTTACCAAAGGTATTATAACTTCATATTTATAAAGTTGTTTACCTTTACTATGACTAGAACTGTTTCTTGCGGTCCAAACCTTGAATAGAGTTGCAATTTGACTTGTTTGATACAAAAAAAAAAAGATAACTTGCGTGTTGCCCTTATTTTTGATAGTTGGAAAAAGAGTGGGGTATATTGTCATGTAGTACTTGCTTAACTTCGAAAAGCACGGTGCAAAGAACGCTTACTAATTCAATGGACCTGATTGGCTGTGTATTTTTCCGGTCAAACTTAAATTAAGCTTTGAAACTTTATGCTAAAATTATATGCGTCAAAATGTTGACCTGTACATGAATAAGGTTGCAATTCTAGTGTTACAGCTGACGATGTTGTAGATTTTTTTTAAATCTGATTGGAAAATCAGTAAGAGATACATATGGTCACTATTGATGCATAAATAGAATTAATTGAAAGAAACTCGAGATTGAGAATTCAATAATAAACCGGGCTATAAACATGAAACATTGCTATTTCAAATAGAAACAAACATCAACGTCACGAGGTAGAAACAGAGCGAGCTGTTATTGTATATTGGTTTTCATTTCATTGGGCATACTTAATATTCGCTCAGTCGCTCGTGTGCCTTTCTTTTAAATCCCTTCTTTTGCTTTTCGAGCATGGAGTTGAACATCTGCTAAGATGAAGTATCCAAATCTGAATATCACATATTTTGTAAGGTTTGGGATTTTAGTCAATGTTGAAAGAAAATATTGCTCCTTCAACTTTTATAGATGAACCCCATCAAACACCCAAAATAATGACAAAATAAACGTGTTGTTTCTACGACAGCTGACTGGGAACTCAAATGTTTGAGAAACAATTCTAGTGTCGTAGATTTTGAATTTAAACGAGCCAAGAGCATCAATCTTACGTTCGCGGTAGCGCACTTGTCAATTTTAACAATACAGAGAAGATTAGAATTGTCCTTGTATAAAGATGATATGCCTTACAAAAAGATTTACCATCTTACACTGCGGCATATTAAACAAAGATTCAAAAAATATATATTGGTCTAATTTTTCAAATTGGCAAGAAAATGAATGATCTGTACTTCCGATGTGGTTTTGAACAAATAAAATTCCAGATCAATAAATTCCTAATTTCTATAAGACTAATAAAGATATGACTAAAAATAGATGTATTGCAAGAAAACTAGCTTTGGGGTCCCTTCGCATTCTAGGGAAAAGTATGTATATCCAAAAGAAAGTCCTCCTAGGTGTAAATGTGGTACATAATTCATTTTATATTCATACCTTTACAACTTCCAGGAATGTCATACCCTTTTGACTCTTTATCTTTAAGAAGATGATTGTTATACAGCAAAGTCAGTATAGGAAGCACATAAACAATACTCGTGATCCATCACGTGCCCAAACCTCATTTGAAAAATATTATCGCCAGACCTAAAATACAAGTTTCAAATCCGGTCCCTTGGCCCAGTTGGTTAAGGCGTGGTGCTAATAACGCCAAGATCAGCAGTTCGATCCTGCTAGGGACCATTTTTCATTTTTTTATTCGACTTGATGTTATACCATAATGTCAGTGTGATACATTTTTTTTCCCATTTATCATTATATATTTATCGTCTTAAACCTATGAAAAACGTATCCAAATATGCATGTATTAGCCTAGAAGATTCTGTTAACTTGAAAATCGTCACGTGCTTTTCACGTGCACGAGACGTGATTGAAAAACATTATCACTAGACATAAAATCAGAATTTCGAAGACGGTCCCTTGGCCCAGTTGGTTAAGGCGTGGTGCTAATAACGCCAAGATCAGCAGTTCGATCCTGCTAGGGACCATTCTTTTTTAACTTTTTAAAATTAGTTATAATTTTTTGTTGAATAGCGTTGGATATTAATATGGTTTCTCTTGTTCTAGCTTATCCGAACACTTACCATACGCTAATAGAAATTTGCTACAAAAGATTGTTACATGATCAAATAAAAACAACTTCTTCATTCTCCTACTCATACCTCTATGATAAATAAAAATTAGTTATACAAAACAGAAACCAAAAAGATTGTGACATCTAAAGGACAACAGCAGATGCCAATTGCTTCTTGTAATCCAAGATGGAACCATTCCATCTGGTGGCAGTCTTGTTTTCAATGACGAAAATATCCTTGGCAACCTTGTCCAACAATCTGAAATCGTGCGAAACAACGACGACACCACCATTGAAAGAGTTGATAGCTTCAGCCAAAGAATCAATGGTAGACAAATCCAAACCGTTAGTAGGTTCATCCAACAAAATCAAGTTTGGAGCTTCCAAGGCCAACAAAGCGAAAACAACACGAGATCTTTGACCTTCGGACAAAGTAGCCATTTGAGAAGTTTGACCTTCACCAGTCAAACCATAACGACCCAATTGTTGTCTCCAGTATTGGAAATCTTGAGAAATGTGTGGGAATCTGTCACGGACAAACTCCAATGGAGTTTTGGTCAAGTCCAATTGATCTTGAGAATGTTGGGAGTAGACACCCAACTTGATGTGTGTATGTTGGATAACTCTACCCTTTTGTGGGATCAACTTACCTTGGAACAAGTTCAACAAGGTGGACTTACCCACACCGTTAGGACCGACAAGGGCAACTCTGGAGTCCATATCGATACCAATGTCCAAGTTTTCGTACAAGTTATCTTCTTCCTTACCGGAGTATGAGAAGGACATACCATCGAAAGCCAAGACTGGAGGTGGCAACTTTTCAACATCTGGGAACTTGAAGGAGAAAACCTTATCTGGGACAACAGCTGGAATCAAACCATCGGCTTCCATCTTATCCAAAATCTTTTGTCTAGACTTGGCTTGTCTAACCAAGTTAGCATAAGTACCAGCAGAGGCAATAAACTTCTTGATATGAGCAATTTCTTCTTGTTGCTTGTTGTAAGACTTCATTTGGTTAGTTTCTTGTTCAGAACGGGTCTTGACATAAGAGTCGTAGTTACCACCGTACAAGAGCAATTGCTTCATTCTCATATCGATCATGTTGGTACAGACACCGTTCAAGAAATCTTGAGAGTGGGAAACCAAAATCAAGATTCTGTCGAAACGCTTCAAGTATTCTTCTAACCACACACATGCGGCCAAATCCAAATGAGCAGTTGGGTCATCCAATAATAAAACAGTTGGCTTGACGAAAAGAGCCTTGGCCAAAGCCACACGCATTCTCCAACCACCAGACATGTCCTTGGTGTGCTTCTTGATGGTGACACCATTGAAACCCAAACCGGTCAAAATAACAGCAGCTCTGGATTCGAAAGTGGCAGGGTCCATGTCATCAATCTTTTCATAAAGACCTTCCAAGGATGGGTCTTCTGGACCGTTCTTAACAATGATATCTTCTACAAGGTCTTCCAAACGCTTAAGTTCATGTTCAGCTTCTCTGACAACGTATTCAATGGCAGAAAATTCAGTTGGTTCAGCTGGTTCATTCAACAAGTAAATATCAATGTGTTCTGGGATTGGGTATTCACCGGCAGCAATGGACTTCAAAAGGGTGGACTTACCACAACCGTTTTCACCAAGCAAACCGTATCTACGACCATAATTAAGTTCCAAAGTAGTATCAGAAATCAAAACCTTACCATGGAAAAGAAGAGACAAAGAAGAAATCTTAATATCTCTGGAGGTGGCAAGAGATTCAAGAACACCGGTGGTGACTCTGTCAGAAAGCCCGTGTTCATCGGTTTGCAACTTCAACTTGGCAATTTGAGTTTGGGCATCGTCGACTTCTTTTTCTTCAGCATCCTTAGCGGCTTGCTTCTTCGTCTTCTTGGTTCCAGTGACCTTACCTTCAGCCAACTTCTTGGCCTCCTTTTCCAAACGCTTTTGCTCTCTCTTAGCTTTTGATGCAGAAATAGACATTGTATGTACGTGAGTAAATAAAATCTAGTACTAAAACTTCTTACTAGAGCTAGAAAGAAAAAGTAAAAGTTGAAAATTGTCTTTTCGCTCAGTGTAAGATTGGAAGGTGCCCTGATCAGAAAAAAAATTAGAGAGTGTTGTATATGGAACACAAAGGTGCAGTTCATCGCGAAATTTTTTTTTGCCTTTTCTTTTTTGGCATTTATTATTTTCGTTGGCGGATAGGTGAGTGGTATGCAGTTTTTTTTTTTTTTTGTACAAATGTGTGTGCTCATGATCTAACTACGTAATAGTGTGTAGAACCGTAGCAATATACAGGCTCTATTCTCCCCTCTCTAAGACTTTCTGCATGATAAAGTAAAACCGACAATTAATGGAAGGCAATATACGGAGGCAAACTTATAGACATTTCAATTATATTTCAGAGGTTTAACTTTTATCTTTTTGAAGTAAAGAGATATAGATAGATATTAGTAGATTGACTGTGATAGTTTTCTGACATTGAATCTTAAAGGTTTTTCCCTTAGTTAGAAGGATTTACTATAGGAGTTTAGTTTTTTTTTGCGGAAGTAAGAATACTCATCATAGAGAGGAAAAAGATATTATAGAGAGGGTTAGTACCATTAATATTTTTTATTTTACCACTTCCCTTATTGATAGACATTTGTGATCTGAGTTTAGACATAGACTTGATCAATTGATTGAGATGACTCAAGATAACATTAGGGCACCAATTCCCAGGAAGCCATCAGCAGATCCACTTGAGAGATGCAATTCACTGTTTGAAACTGGACACGAGGAGAACTTGGCTGATGACAAAGCTGAACTTACGTCAGGGAATCTTGCCAACAAATCATCTTCGACTTTTGGTGCACCAGGTCATTTCCGGTCGTTTACGCCTAGCGAAACTTCGACGAATAGAACCAAGCAACCGCACTTACGGCATCAGTTGAGAAGACCATCTTATTGTAGTCTAGAACAAGCTAGAGAGCATCATTATAACCTTGATTATCCAGAGAATTGGGATGAAATAGAAAAACTTCAGCATGATCCAAACTCTCGGTTTTATGCTAGAAAGAGACCAAGAACACTTAATCTTCCTCGACTCTTACCGTATCAAACCGAGTCACCGAGTGACCAGGCTAAATTCTTAAGCCATATTGTGTCACACTTGTATATTTCCATTTGTACTTTAGATATTCAGGGATCACTCTCCGTTACCGTTAAAGATTTAGCGTCAGTGAAGGCGAATTTATCAGATGTTGATGTTGCATTGGAAACTAATTTGTTTGAAGCTACATCTGAAGCAGCAGCAGCAGCAGCAGCAGCAGTGGCAGCAACCACCTCCATGGGTGGCTCATCCGATCATATGGACGATGAAGCAAGTAATTACTTTTCTGTAGAAAACCTTGGTGGGGATTCAGATACGGAATATGACGATGAAGAGGAAGATGACGAAGATGATGAAGATGACGATGAGGACGATGATGACGAAGAAGATGGACAAGAATCTGCAATTCAACACAAAAAATCACCAAAATCTGCTGCAGTCGTTGGTGTGCGTATTTGGACACATGAACTCTTGGTATGGCTCAAGATGAAATACGAAATGCCAGTAAAATTGAGAATTGCTCTCGCGAGAGTTTATTATGCCATTTGCTTATCTCGTGGGCAACATATTAATTTGAGAACTTATGTGAAAACCTTCCAAGTGTTAACAAAGGACCAGCTCTTCTTGAAGGAACAAGGATTAAGTCTCCCATGGGAAGCCTTATGTAGTGAATTGGAAAGTCATTTACCTGCAATAGATGACGACCATGAACAGCTTGAAAAGAAAGAACAAAAGCTGCTTCTTAGACTCGCAGAGAAGGCATCACCATTTTTTGATAAAAGTGCATTACCCCAAATTTATTCTAGATTGGGAAGCAAGTTCTCTCTTGCAAATGTATCCAATGTTTTAGCATCTATGTCATTACTTCCAATTTCATTTACCGAAGGTGGAGTGGATGATCCATTTGACATTCGTCATTACATATCTTCATTTTTCTATATGTGGTCGAAGTTATATAAAAATTCTGCATTTTTTGGGGATTTACATCTTGCCTCAAGATTAGGAACGATTTCCATGGCTGCACTCACTGAAATGGCTCACCGTGAAAATAAAAAGGAACTTCAACTTGGTGCCGGAGTATTTTCAGCTGACCAAATGGATTATATTTTCAATACTTTGATGAATAGTTTGAGTATTATGAATGAGAAATATGCTTCAATGAAGGCTTCATTCTTCCATGGTTATTCCTCTGCAATTATCTTTTCCATTAAGGGACTGACTGCATTGGAAAGAGATGGTATTATCAAGAAACTTCAAGTTCTTCTCAATGCAATCGAAAGTTATATCCATCCTTCCAACAGTGGAGAATGGTCTCGTTCTATTTCGAAGTTAATCTTAAGTTTGATCTACCAGTTCCATAAACGTTACAACACAGAAGTTCAAGAATATGGTACTTTAAATTCTTTACCTGAAGAATTCAAGCTTGGTAGCGATGTGACCACAAAATTTGTAGAGGTGTTTTTACCACTCATTAGAATTGGTGTACAATCGAAAAGTGCAAAAGTCGCCGAAGATTATCAAACCAGTATGCATTTATTAGCGTATTTTAGACCAGAAATGGTACTTGAGACCATGTTGATCGACGTCTACGAGTCTCTCGAGGGAGTCATATCGACCCACCGGGTTACAGCCGCTCTTCGTACTTTGGAAGAGTTAGCTCGTTATTTTGCATCCACCCCAATTTATAGAGTTCATTTAACTAGATTGCTTCTGTTAGCATTACCTGGTATCGATTCAAATGATTTGGAAAAATCAACAATTACTTTGAACGGCTTTGCAGCCGTGGCCAACTTTGTACCATTCCACGATCTCACTGAAGGTGAAGGTGACCCTTCATTTGCAATTCAGTTCACACTGGAACATTTGGAATTTTTGCAGCAGAAATTACTTACCGGTAATGATTCGTCGATAACTTTTGATATTGATACCGAAACGGAAGTGATGGCTCTCAAATCATCTTCCAGTGCCTTTAAGCTTGTTGTGAAAACTCTTTTTGAAAGAGTTTTCTTGTTGGTTGAAAATATACCCGATCCATCCAAGAGTACAGGTATCGAGAAACATTTATCAGAAGCTTTGCCTAAGTTTTTGTACGTTGTTTTTGAAGCACTTTCAGATGATATATTCAAGATGGTTAGCGACCAATTATTTAAATTTATTTCTGAGAATACCTTCCATACCATTGCTGATGTTATTGCCGAAATTTGCGGAGGAATCATTAAACGTGAACCAAAGCTCTTCAAAAAGTTTGCATTGCATTTAATTGATAGGATCAAGGAAAGTATTGAAGAATATGGTGCCGGGGCTTCTAGAACAGGTATCGAAATTGTTCCAAGAGATCAACCGTTGTTTTGGAACCTTGTGATATTGAACGAATGTATTGGAAATGCAGGTGAGTATGTTGTTAATTTGTCTCTGGAATTGAAGGAATTATCCTTCTTCTTAATGGAACATGTCAAGGGACCTGCTGTATTTGCAAGTTCATACATGTTGAATCAAATGCTTCAATCTACAACTAAAATTAGAATAAAAGAAAGCAGGTTGATATCTCCATCATACCAATCACAAAATGGAATTGATGAGAGATGTTGGGGAGGTTTCCAATTTGATGAAATTAGATTTAAGCCTGAAAATGTGGAGTTTTCCTGGTTTATCCCATCAAAAAGAGAAATTAAATTTGCTGTTGATTGTTACAGTGAGCACGCTTCAAAGAGTTTAAATAATATTATGACTCTTATGAAGAAATTCTCCCAGAACAAATCAGATGATGCTAATGATTCTATTCATCTTACTGATGAACTTCGTCTGAATCTATTATACTTGGGCTATTCAGTAAGTGGGATCTCTTACTTGTTCGACCCATCTTTTGACGAAGATATCCCCAAACTTAGTCAACATCAAACTCAAACGATTCAACAAAGACTCGTCTTACTCAACCAAATTCGTCAAATGAAGAGCAGTGGAAATAAATCCAACCATGGCAAAGACGAATTAAGAATTGAAAATATACACGAAAATTTACAACGTATTGTCGAAGACTTAGACAACAATTCATCTCAGGTTGGGTTGGATTTTGAAAAACTAGAAGAAGAATTTAGCACAAGTAGAAATTTAGATGTTGCCAATGACAATAAAAGGTCCGAATTTGCTACTCCAGAACCATATAATAAATTGGATAATTCTGAAGACGTTGATATGCTACACACAAGACTGGACTCTTCTGGATCTTCGGTGGACGCTTCCGCACGAACAAGTCCAAAAATCGATAGTTTGGATATGTCAACTATGAATCCTGGTATTACTTTTAGAGATCAGAAACTCTACACATCGAATTATATTTTTGGAGATGATGTTGAAACCAGAAAATCCAGTGAATTATATTTGAAAGTCCACAGAATCCGTCACTTGATCGGTAAGAGTTTACATATAATTTGCAAGTTTCTTGTTGCTCATTTCAAGGAGAATACTAAACTTTTCAAACATTACTTATACGTGTTAAATATTTGGTTCTCAGACGTTGGGAGAGAAAGATTGTTAGACTTTAGTCATGCAAAGATCAATGTTGGATATGTTTCCGCCTTGCAACATATCAATAAGGTCAAAAAGCCATTTACGAGAATTGCAATTGGTGCCAGATTAGAAGCATATCACCTGTTAAGAGTTGTGCTTCATGCAACATCAAGAACCCAAACGGATCTTGACAAGATGTTGCTTGAAGATGTGGTTAAGTTGTGTTTTTCCACATACTCAGCAATTTCCAAGCCTGCCCAAGATGCTCTAGTAGACGCAATGAAGAGATTAAACGGCTCTTACAATGTACTTGTACGCTCTTCACTTAAGCTTCTTTCCAAAGCGGTGGACGAGAAAGACTTCAAAAAAATCGAAAGTGGTTTGCGAACATTTGGTATCAAGAGAATTAAGAATAAGATTCAGAATGATTATTTTAATATTCAAAGATACGTCGAACTATTACATAAGTGTTTGTTAGTGGACAATCTAGAAGTGAACGCATTGGCCCAAAAATTGTTCAAAGGAGTATACAACAACATCTCCCCGCCCAGCAGTGTTTGTATCGTTGATATGAGTGAGATTGATAGTATCAGACCTCCCGATGAATACATTGACTTGGAAATTAATGTTGTTAGATTGGCGAAGGAAACGAAGCGTAAGATCTACTTTGATAAACTTCAAAAATTTGAAAGAAGTGTACTTGAAAACGAAAAGACAAATTCACATTGGAAATCTACTTCTCTTAATTTATGTTTGCTTATCAATTTACAACTTGACTTGGAAATTCCTGTTAACAATGACGTGCTTCAAATTTTAGCCAAGGAGGCCTCAAATGATCATCCTATTATTGCAAGGTTGGCAATGAAGGGAGTTACAAATACAGTTAATAAGATCAAAAGATTACTGGACTTGAGTTATAACCTCCAAAATGCATATGACTTCAAGTTTGTATCTAATGACCATATGGTTGTTGATACAAGACCTAGGCGAGGTATTTCCTACTTTGAAACTTGGCGACAAGAATTAAAGTCAGATTCTCCCAACTACTTTATTGACCATAAACCTAATTCTGGATGGTTATTCTGGGACAAATCTATGATGGCTTTGAAGCCAGGGGCTAACAAGGTAGAGCCATTACGTATCAATGAGGTACGTGCATTGCAGGAGTTAGGAAAGTATATTACAAAGGATTGGTTCCTTGGTATAGTGAAATTGTGGGTAGCTGATAACGAATCAAATTCAGCTTTCCAAGCAGCAGATGTTTTCATTACCAGATCTTTAGTCCAATTAATGTCAATGGGATACGTGAAAAACTTCACTTTTACAGATTTATTATCAATAGTTCTGGAAATTTATGAGAAAGATGAGAAAAGTGCCCACATCGTTGTTTGTGAATTATTTGCTGGAATCTTAGTTGCATCTGGAAGTATGACTCCTGAAGTAGCTGAAATTCGTGATGAGTTTATCTGCAAATTCCTTGGTGATATCTTTGAGAATGATTTAACCCCAGATAATCGAGGTGTTTGGAATATCTTTTCATGGTGGCTCCCTTCTCATGTTGATGTCAAGAGGTTCCCAAAAATTATAGATCACATTTTCACAGACTTCCACGTCGAACAAGATTCGGATGCAGCCATCAAGACAGCAACTAGATTAAATTTCATTAAATCATTTGGTGCTGCCATTACTTGGTCGTTCCCAGATCCCGACAAGATTGCAAGTATGGCTCTTGAAAACATGAGTAATCGTTATCAAGTAATACGTGACCAGATTGGTTCATTGTTGGCCATTTTATCTTTTGTCTATTACACTGATTCAATTTCTAGCAGCGAAGAATTCTTGACTCAATGTAACAACGATGGAGGGTTAATATTTTATGAAAGGGCCAAAGAGAATAAAATTCATTCAGTCATCTCTACTCTCTTCGAAAGTGTGGAGACTTCTAGACTAGAAGTCGTGAATCTTTCTCCGCAGGAAATTTTATACTCAGATTATATTTATGCAACATCCACCATCTTGACATGGTTAGGACAGGTCATGGCGACAACAGCTGCTGGGTTATACCAAGAGTATGTTGATATTTATATTATTCCCTTCTTACTCAATTTGATTAACATGAAAGATGTCTGCCAACTTGGCAACCTTGATCCTGTCACTGTTTTCAAAAGGGTGTCTCAAATTCCATTCCATGTGAATACATTAGAAAGAATTATTGTGATGATTGAATCATACTCAAAATCGGACTCTCTCAATGTGATACAATCTATAATTATGGGTGAATTCACTGAGACATTCTACTTTAAGAATTTGTATGGATTCTCGAAATCTCAGAGACAAAGAATTATCAGTCTTACAAATAACTTGATATACCATAAAAATATTGAAGTTCGTGAAGCCGCGTCATCTACTTTATCTGGTTTGATTCATATTTCACCACCCGATACTGTGGATGAGTTGGTAATTAGATTAAGAAAGAAATACGCACATGATCTTGACTCTACTAGAAAGAAATACAGAAGTACAGGATATAAGAATTTTACTACCGCAGATACTATTACCCTTCACGCTGCCACATTAGGATTGGGCCTGTTAATCCATGCATTTCCATTCTTATCGCCACCACCAAAATGGGTTCCAAATTTGTTAACTATGGTTGCAAATAAAAGTTCTGGGATTCCTGGAATTGTTGGTAAGACCGCAAAGGAAACATTGGGTAAATTTAAAAAGAATAGACAGGACACTTGGCACCTTGATAGTAAGGTATTCAATGAAGATCAGATGCAAGATCTTGAAGGAGTTCTTTGGAAGAGTTACTTTATTTAGTTAGCATGATTAAAATAATATATACAAATTTTTAAAACATAGAACGTGCCTTTTAAGATGCTTTTATCTACTAATTATATTAAAAATCTTGGAATAGTAGCAAAAAAAAAGCTCCGCGACGGGGAATTGAACCCCGGTCTACCACGCGACAAGCGGTAATTCTAGCCACTAAACTATCACGGATGATTTCTGAAAAATAAAAATGTATTAGTGTTGACTCCTTTAAAATGCACAATATGCAGGACACGACCATTTTTCTTAACTACTATCCCTACGGCAACTATGAAATGGATATACAAGAGAAGGTCATATAGCCAATATGACCAAGAATTATATAGATATATTATAGGATAATAAACATTGAATGAAGAAAAAAAAAAAAAAATCCCCTGGTTGCAAGGAATCCCATAGTTTCATGCTTAAGACAAATTTCTTGCAAGCCTACCGAAGTTTGGCTTCTCCGACGTATATCCGAAATGCACAGTCAATCTGGAGAAATGTTACGTGATAATATTGGATAGAATTGATAGTTACAAATTTAACATTCTCAGTCGACTATCGTTTATGTCCACCGTAAGGATGGAAGAAGGGGAAGTCAGCGGGTGGGTATCGTGGTTCAAAGCTACTTGTCATGAGGAGTTTTAACCAATTGTTAGGTTGAGCTTTGTATTTGGAAAATTAAAATAGATAGGTAAGTGGTGACACTTACCCAAGTATTGGACCCGAAAGGGAACAAAGGGGTTTTTTATATAGGACTTATATAGTTGTATATAATAATGGAATTCCTCCCAGGTTTTCTTTAATAAAAGAAATAAATGTAAACCGTTACCTTCGAGATAGCATTCCAAGGTAGGACGATTTAACTATCTTAAACAATCATGCTATCGCTTTTTCGTTATGTTGCCCAAATTTCAAGTTAATTTGACATATGTGAGAGGGCTCCAGAGAGAGTATTTTCTTTTCCTCTTATTTAAAAAATGCCCATAATAAGGTAACAATTGAGCAGATATTGAAGAGAAGGTACGAAAAACTAACCGACTATTATGTAAACAAGCTATAGAATAATAAACAATTCTAGTATGTCCCGGAAAAAATAGCCTCTATTGATATAATAGCCAGCAAGTAATTGTATTCCGAACTTAATTGAAAAGCACCATAGGCGCCTTGTACTAACAGAGTCACACAAAACAGAGAGATGGACATGATTTGAATTCAACTTATGGAACAGCATTTCAATAAATAGCTCACCACCTGCGTTCCATAATAATTCAATGCTGTTCCTACTTCTTAGATTGATGTATAATGTACATCAGTTCAGAATATACCACATAATTAGTAGAGAAGCGAAATAGTTATTGGACCGAATACCGTCTTACTCAAATATCGTTTGACAAAAACCTAATACTAACTATTTGAAGACAACACAATACAAACCATAAGGGTACGCTAGACTAATCTAATATATTATCTACAAATCTCTTTTATTACCAAAATTACTCATTGAATGTGGTTTAGACTTCGTTAAGGAAACATAGAACAAAATTGCAGCCAATTCATCTTGCATTCTTCCTTCACCCGCCAAAAGTCGTGCGCGCCCATCCTGCATATACACCGATAAAGTACGTTGCATAAAAGTGGGAAAAATAAAGAATATAAAATTCCGATATAGTGTAACGGCTAGCACGGTTCGCTTTCACCGAGCAGACCCGGGTTCGACTCCCGGTATCGGAGCTTTCTTTTTTTGCTTTTTCCAATTATTGGAATAATAGGCTCCCTCCATTTTTTTTTTGCTGTGTCAGATAGTAGAAAGTGTTACTTAGCGAAAGAAGATCCCAAAAAAATCGTAGAGGAACCACTGCACGAAATTTAAAGTATTTTTTTAGAACAATTAATGTAACCTCGTTTATTAATTGCCTCAGTATGAGATTTGGCGAGATCTGAAGGGGGCTTGTACAAAATACACACGAATTAATGCTTACAAACATACTACTGAAGCTTTTTTTTAACTAAAAATATAAATATACTCCAATAACATTCGCATCCTCTCTACAGCTATCTACGTCATACGCATGTATTATTTTTGACCATTATAAATGTATAAGATCCTTATGGCAAGTTTGTAACCTCAAACAAAAATTCTTGAAAATTGATTGTAGCAACACCGGTTAAACCTTTATCATATTTTCTAAAAATTTCAGTTAATTTTCTTAAATAAACCAATAACTCTATAAAACCATCAAACTTGAGCTTTCCAATTGCCCCATTCAGCTCCCCAGAAGAAGTTTTAGCGGAGTATTTCAGGAATAAGTGTAGCACTAAGTCAACATCAAGTTTATATCTCATTTGCTCTAAGATTTTTTGAAATTCTCCAAATGAAACGTCCCCAGACTTATCGCTATCCGCACTGATGAAGAGCTTTTTGTAGGTGGAGAGATGCTTCCAAAGTTGGACGAATTGGTCGAAATTTAATGATCTCAGAGAATCACTATCAGGGGTCGTGAAAACTTTAATCATCAACAAAACCGTAGAGTCATTAAAGCGGGAATGATCAAAGTTGAGAAGGGCTGCCGAAAGTTCTTTTGGTGATATTTTCCCAGAATGATTAGAGTCTACTTTATCGAAAACAGATCTTAACTCATTTTCTAGTTTTTGCTTTGCAGAGATCTGTTGCGGAGGTGATTTTGAATATTCTAAAGATTCCTTTGACCTGTTGTTAGAATTTTTCGAGGATTGAATATATTGAATAGATTGTGAAGGTGGAGGCTTCTTTTGTGGATGTGATTGAGTTTGAGTTTGATCAGATACGCTATTGTAACGACTAGAGTGTTGTGATTGACTTGGTGGGGCATATTCTTGCTGATAGTGCTGCGACTGTTGTTGCTGTTGTTGTGGAGGTGGGACTTGCTGTTGATATTGCAGGTGCTGGGATTGCTGTTGTGGATGCATTGGTGGTGGTGGTAGTTGCTGCAGTTGTGGTTGTCCATAGCGGCTATTTGGCGATGTCCCTCCATAATAATTCTGTTGAGGAACAGGTAAGGGCTGTGCTTGCTGAATATGCCCAATATGTTGATGTTGCTGTTGATGTTGTTGTTGGGGAATTGCAACAGGTCCCTGGGGCTTTTGTTGATAGTAAGGCTGCTGGTAATACTGTTGCTGTGGAGGTTGTTGTTGAATTTGTACTGGCTGTGGGGGTGGTGGAGCCTGCTGATAAGACTGGTAGCTTTGTGGTTGTTGAGAATGTCCATACTTGCTTTTTCCTACGGATTGCAGCAGGGACGATTTGTATTGTCCTTGTTGTGGATGACTACTTTTACGTGGCGGGTCCATAATGTACGCCGCTTGTTGCGGCGTTGGATACAGTGGTAAGTCATCAACCGGCATCCCAATAATTCAATTTATGATAATAGGGCTATAGGAAATATAGATATAGGTATAGATATATAAATGTATATAAATATTTATCGAATAAAAGGGATCACATTAGAGTCCAGAACAATCATTCGGCTGTACAAAATTAACGTCATTTTGTCCTGCACAAAAGATCAGATCCCGTCAAAAGATTTACATGGCTGGCCTAATATCCTGATTAAATTGAAGGCTAAAACTTCCCCATTCCAAATGAGGTCTCATCTTCATATGGCGTTCAAGCTCACGTAATATTTTTAAGTCAGTTTTTTTACAGTCAAATTACGCTTATATTTCACATCTTTTTTTCAAGCATTGTTATCTGATAAATGTAATTTTTTTAATTATGATAGTATCACAAGTACGCCTCTCATGGAAAAGTTTGGACTTCAGATTGAATGCTTCAGTTGGTATTTAGTATTGAATCTGTAACAATTCTTTTACCACCAACGTACTAGCATCATTCTCTACTAAAACCATAAAAAAACTCAATCATTCGAGGGGGACTATCTATCTGTAATATCCAATTGGACTTTTCCACTGTTGAAATGAAAGCAGTATACCTTCTGGGAAGTTTTCGAATCCCAAAAATAGAACCGCTATGTTAGTTAAGGAGAGAATTATCGCCCTGATTTAAGTACCAGAGAAAATGGTAAGAATAAACTGGAAATCTGTTTTGTGCCCTATAATCTAGTATCGAGCTTCTAAGTATATCTATTTTTTTTTTAAAACACATATTGACTCGTATATAGAATATCCACAACATCTTTGTACATGGAAGCTCTTACACAAATTTAATATATATGGGAATACTTGATCAAAATTTATCACGCATCAATTCGTTTATGGTATTACATACTTAACAATAAATTAAATGGATTATTATAGGGAATACGTTTACGAGGAACATTGGATCTGATGTATGTATAAAATAATGAGTCCAGAATATGTCATGCCAGTGTTCAATGGAACTAATTGGTGCAGTAGCCCTAGGCTACAAATGGTAGCATTCAAGAATTGTTGCTAATGTTTGCAAGTATATGGTTGCCTGTGTGGTAGTTGATAATCAGATAAAAAGTTGTTTATCTACGAGTCGACTTTTAACACTGAGCATTTGACAAGATGTCTTACTCATTGATTTAACTTGTGTTTTATTAAAAAGAAATTTCGCTACATTGTTTTCTAGATGATTTAGTATACATGAAGTATTTTTGGAGAATGTTAGTGCCAAACAATCACTGTGATGTACAAGTTCATTCCAAAGAGTAGTATTTAGGTACATGCCTTTTCTTCGCGCCACGTGATCTGGCTGCAAAAATGCAATTTTGCAAAAGCCTATGGAACTCCTTTTCGGCACCGAAAATATCTGGAATGATATCCACTTCAGTTAAAAGTATCTGAGCTATATTTAAAGCCATGTTAACTTTAAAGTCTTATCCGCTCTTCTCGGGCAACAAAAATCTATCTTTTTTCAAAACATATCTATAAACATAGAAGAGATTTCTTTAATTCTCAGTCAGATATTGTTTAAGTTCCTTCCGACCCTGAAAGATCTGAAATACGCTTTAAGATATTTCTATTTCCATTAAAAGTTAAGTGTACATACAGTTTAATATTGTTGTCTATATTCAATATGGCCAGGAACAGAATGTTTTGAGTTATTCTCTGTCATTTCCCGCTAATCATTAACGGTGTGGTACACTCTATTGCAAAACAAACAGTAAGTGGAATTTAATATATTCTGAGGACTAATGGGGGCACTTCCGCTTATTCTCTCTACATCAATACCTAATCTCTATTCTTACAGTTAAGGGGCAATATTGTGCCACAAATCATAAATGAGTTTTTTGGTGCCTTCAAAGATAAATTCAAGAACTCGATACAGAATGACCATTTTCTATACATTTAGAGCATCATAAATGGAAAGGGGAATAATAAGACTTTTTTATGCGCAAGAGGACAATGGTGACAGTAAGAAGCAGTACGCTTAACTTGTACCTTTGGCCCGATTTGGAGCTAATGTTTTTCAAGGTTTTGAAAAATTGTTGCTTAGTGGATCATAATGACTGTTCACTATAATAGCAGGAAACAGGTTTGTATTCTCTGGCTCATAATAGCCACCCAAATAGAAGCCGTTCAGCTCGAAGTTTCCACCGTCTTGGATACAATACTAATAAAAGTCAATGATTGAGAGGTAAAGCTTGGATGTTGTTCATTTCTATGCTCAACTCTGAAAATTCTAAATCAAGAAGTATAATAGTTAGGAAGAATTATTGAACCAACACATTAAGCTCTTTAATACATTGCCAAACATAAGTATAATGGATTAATACACAGTGACAGAACACCACTACATTTTTTGCAGTACAGTCAATGTTAATGTAGTTTATTACCATTGTTAGTTTTGTATTCCCATTAATTGACCAAAAACATGCTTCATCTTTCCTTTAACACTACATTAATGTATCAATATCCCCTTTAATTCTTCTTCTACATTAAAATTTCTAACACGAACGTATTATTATTTACTACTAAAATACATCAGCAAGTTTAATCACGAGGAACTCTCTTTCTGTAAGAGTCGTTTGGACCTCTTCTTGGACCTCTGTTGAAAGTTTGTCTTTCAGCTGGAGCACCCTTCAATCTGGTCAAAGGTAAGATACCTTCTGGGATGTTTAATTCGGTTCTCAAGAACTCAACACCTTCGTCAGTCAAGGTGTAGTAGTAGTATTGCCACGAGAATTGGGTCTTGACGAAACCCTTAGAAGTCAAGGATTGGAGAGCCTTGATGACGTATAAGTTTCTGGTGTCAATTTCATCGTGCTTTGGTTGGTTGAAGTCCTTCTTGGCAACGACAACACCTTCTATAAATGAGTTAGTAAAACGAAAAATAAAAAAACACGGGTTGTGATTTGAAAAGTTATATCTCTAAGGGAGTGACTTGTGGCTTCTGAGTTGTTTTACGGATGAAATTCTCTGGTTGTTCGACGATTAGAATTAAAGTTTTTTTTTTACTCGTACTCCTTCATGGTACTGGAATTTATGGAGGGTACTGTAACAACTTTGCTGGTATGTTCGACAGGGGTAATCTCTTTCTCTTGATTCAAAGGGTTGATCTTCTCCTTTCTCTTGGATTTATTCGTTCGTTATTTCTGTGTTTATCATGATAAAAGTCGTCACAAAATGTCCATTCAAAATATAACTTTCCATTCACACTACAGAGCTCTAACCGCTCAAATCATTCATTACATACCTTGGAAGAGGTATTGGTGAATCTTCTTTCTTTCTTCTCTTGGAATAAGCATGTTTGATACGATGAAGTTACTATTACAACAAGTCTAACCAAATTATCAATTTTTTTTCACTATAATGAAAATTTCGAGTGTGAGAGTATGGAGGACGCACCCGTTGATGCTTGCGTAAGCAGGGAATAAGCAGGAAAATAATTTTGGTAGTGCGCAGGCGCAACAATATGAAAAACAACAGGAACAAAAAAATACGATATCCTAGGGCTCAGCCCTAGAACATTACATGCAGTATTGGTGAATTATTGAAGGAGCAGTCAACCACAATACATTGTAATCAAACCTGTTAAAAGGTAGTATATATCATGAATGATTAAGAAGGTTGAGATCTTAAGTTTGAGGATCATGGAAATTATTGTAATTAAATTGTAGACATGTTCCAAATTTTATTCTAATGAAGTTATTCTGTACCATACTATATTAATTTCTTCAATTGCAATGTGTAATGCCTTATAATCGGTTGCAAATCTTTAGTATGCAATTTTGGCAAATTAAAAGGCATCATTTAAGGTGTTTCTATTTTTACTTGTTCTAATATATGATACTATATACACTAAGACTATATGATAGTTTCTCTAGTAAGTAAGACTTGAATCACGAATATTAAACTACTACATATATATCAATGGAAGTCTTTTTGAAAGTCAAATTTTATAATATATTTTTAGAATTTTAACAGATTCACGGGATTAAATTTAGATCACTTTTTTATTAAATTTCTTCCACTATATTTGGTCCATTTGGTACAAATTTTAAGATCAATTTGAATCGATAAAAACACAATATGAAAGTCTATACATCTGTTTTATTGAGTCTGTTGAATAATAGCAATGATAGATCACAACTGAATTCTCTAACTTTGAAACATATGTAAGGAGGGAGTATCAATGCATTTTTGGCTTTTGTGCAATTTCTTGTTTTGTTCTCGTAAATTCCTAAAATAGCCCAAGTTTACTATCTGAAGCTGCAGATTCGGTGCGGAAGGACTGTAAACACGGATTTCTAGGTCATTATACAATTACATATCAGAATTCTGTGTGACAACAGTGTCTTTTTTTTTGACATACCTTCATGAATTGCATATATGCGGTCTTTTAGACGGAATCAGAAAAAGGGGGAGGTTCCTGGAACGGATGATCAACTAGATCATTATTATGAAGATCCCCATATGAATTTGACATCGAATGGACTGTTGAAGTCCTCGGGGAATTCCCCTAATTTATACCAAAATATGCAATTCACACCACCACAAGCTCAAACAAGTAGTTCCGGCGGGTCGGTATCTTCGCCCAAGAAGCTTCTTACCCCGATTCGGAATCTCTTTTCATCATCATCTCATTCTAAATCTCATGGGAATATCGTCGCAATTGGTGATAACTTAAATAATGCGTTGTATAATTCACCTTCGCATAGCAGCAAGCCATCTATCCACTCTCATTCTAGGAAATCGCACCGGAGAAGTACAAATTCAATAAGCTCACTACATGCGATTGAATTTGATTCACATCCACCTATTGCTCTTAAACAATTGCATTCACAGCCAAATCTACAAGAATTCAAAACAAATGGTACGGATTATTCACAGAGGGACAATGTATTGCATTATCCGAACCAGAAGTTTATTCTGAAAGCCCTACCACCACCAATTCAACCATATTCTGGCTCTAATCCGCGTCATTCTACAAAAATTAGTTCACAAGCATCACTTGTTTCACAATCTGCATCCCTTCATTCAGCAAGTAATCCATCGTCATCATCACATATAAATTTGGAAATGTCTCTGCGAAGTACAGAGACAGATGGATATACAACATTAAAACCGCCCATTCATTTGAAATCAAATACGACAGTTGAAAGTATAAGTGAGTCAGCATTCGATATCGACCCAAGGGAAAGTAATAGTTTGAACGAATCAGATGTATCACTCGTAAATAGTGAGAAACATTTCCAGACATCCAATAAAGTGCAATTCCATCCTGCAAGTGATCTAGTTCGGGAAGAGGAATCCCGTAGGATCGAATCTGGATCTTCAGATACAAATTCAGGGTCTGACCCTGACTCGGACACATCGTCTCAATTTTCATTTGTTAAAGATATGCGTCGTGGAAGAAATACATCTGTCAAGTACTACAAGAAGGCTAAACCTAAGGATGAATCTAAGAGTACTTTTGAAGATAATGAAATGGGATACGATGAAGAGTATTCTGATTATGATTTTGAAAATAATGGAGATTTCGACGACGAGGGAAGTGAAGAAGACGTTCGGTATAATACTGTTCTAGATGATGAAGCAGAGGAACTGGTAAATATTAACAAAACGGTAGGAGTATCAGATGGTGAGAATTCCGAAATGACCAGCCAATATGTCGATGATGAAGCAAATGATGAAAATGATCAAGATAGCGACATAGAATATGATAGTGACTATGTTATGAGAAATGAGATTGACCCAGAAGTTATTCACAATGATGACGATGACTATGGATATAAATACGAAGAAGAGGAAGACGAAGCAGAAGAGGAGGAGGAGGAAGACGATGACCAACAATCTTTTCAATTCAAGACTGGGATTGATATTGAAAATGGCGATGATCTACCAAATGAGTTTAACAAATATGATCATATCGCCATTCGGGGTAACGACATGGGTCTGGTCGAATCTCACGTACTGCTTCCTGAATCAGATGTTAATGCAGATGACATACTTGAAAGTTATTTGGATGCAAGTCTTCTGCCACCTACAACTAACAAGAATGGCTCAGGATCACGCACCAACCTATCGAATCTGTCACAGGAGGAGCAAATATGTGAATCACGAGAAAGGACACCGAAAATTCAATTTGAGCAGTATGATTCTTCGTCGCCATTAATTAATGGCTTAACAATCGGGAATAACTTGGGCCACCGTTTAGGTAGAGAACTTAATAAAGCATATGATAACAGAGACGGATTATCCATGAATCCTAACAATTCATTTATTCACAGGAATACATCTAATGAAACTGAAACATCACGAGATGGGGAGAGGGACATTTTCCATCAAAGAATGTACAAGAGCTTTCATGGATCAATAAGTGAGGATTTCGATCGCGTTATCACTTCTAAATTGGAAGACCATGATAACTTTACGCAAACGAGAGAAGATGATAAACCCGTCGACGTAGGTCTTGGAATTAGTTCTTTACTGGACAATATTAGTAAGATGGTTCCCGAGAAAAGATTAAGCATATCGAGAAGTTCAGTGGCCGATGTCTTGAATTTGTTGAAAAATATGGGGACCGAAGAAGACGCAGAAAAAGAAGAGTATGAAGGGGAAGATGAAGTAGATACTAAAGGAAATTTCAAGACACTCCAGAATAAGAGAAATTCAATTTTAGGCTTAATGGCAACCTTACAGAAGGTGGAAGAAGAATGCCCAACTAAATTAAGTGGTAAGCAGAGAGATTCTATTGCAGGTATGATGAATCTATTAGGTAGCCTTGAAACTCCCGAGCATTCTACAGCAAGTATCGAGCATGATACGCATGACAATTCCAACCTTCTTAAAAAAGAGAATAGGAGATCCATAAATGATATGATGAGTATATTAGCTGGTATCAATTTTGATACTGATTCAAAACCAGACCGAAATGATAATGATTCAAAGTCACGTAAGAAACTAACTAAAGTAAGCCGACTTCAAGACGCAAATACCAAAAAAAGATACTCGTGGTTTAATGACGATGAGAATAAAAATTTTGCTGCGAAAGGAAACAACGTTACTAAGTCAACCCAATCATCGGGATTGAGAAATGAAGTAACAGAAGAATATAATAGACGTCTGTGGAACGACGAGGGAAATTTTGTATTCGACGAATCTGTTATAGATGAAGCCAATCAACTACCTGAAGATTTTGATTTTGAAGAGTATCAAGACAAGTTGCAAACCCAAGTCAAAAGGCGTGGAGATCCAGGATTTTTCCGATCCAATTCATATAATAATAAACCAAACAAGGTTCCAGTTGACATTAAATTTCAATCGAATAAAATTGAAACATTGAACAAAACTGTCACCTTTTATAGAAGTGGTAGTCCCCAACACCTTGATATAAATAGAAGCAGAAGTGTTAGTAGAGCACCTTCTACAAGGTCCACGAATTCATTTGTATCCACGAATGATGATAATATAGTCATGGAAGAAGATGAAGAAGATGAATTAGCATACAGAGATAACTTCATTATTGAGGATAGTCCTAGCCCATATCACAAACACATATCCGACAGTTCCGAATCTGTTTCGAAGAGCAATGCATTGCTAGGAACAATATCCGAATCTTCATAAGTGTGCAATTATGACATTTATTGTATATATATTAAATATTATATTGTAAAGAATTTAAAGAACTAGTATCACTTATTTTTTTGTTTTATGTAGCTCTGGAAATCGTATGCAGATGTGTAGTCAAAGTTATGAGCCAGGTTTGAATGTGGTATTCTTGATGCCGACTTTTGGCGTTCAGATTGGTGTTTGAAAACTGGTGGCTGAATTCTTTGTGATTGGTACTTGCGCGTAGGAACAGGCTGAAGACTAGCTTCCAGCAGCCCAGTCCTCGAAGAGTCCAATAAACCAGCATTTTTAAGAATTGCCCGCCGAACTTCAATGGGGTTACGATTATTGGTAGCGATTGGTTTAACAGAGAGTCTACTTGAGGCTCCACTTTCATAAGAAGCCCCACTTGCAAAAGAAGCACCGGATGCTACCGAAGAAGTTGTAGAATTTGATCTGTAAACCCAGTTTCTTCTGTACTTAGAGTACAAGCTTTCTAATTCATCGTGTCCCATTTCATCATCATCTTCGACAAGAACAACTTCCACAGATTTACCCTCCTTTGTTCTCTCAGTAACCGACTTATAGGTTGTGACAGAATCGCTTCTCTGAACGGTACAAATGTCATATTTCTCCTCTGTAAGGTCAATAATGACACTTTCAGTATCCGAAGCCTTAGTAGAATCAGATCTTGCCGTCTTACTTGATTGGTAACTGGAAGTAGAAGAAGACTCATTTGAAGGTTCTGGCCTATTCAAGTTAAGAGAGTTGAGAGCTTTATTGATTTCATCATAATTGTATCTTCTATGTGTCATTGGTCCAATCTCATTCTCCGGGTTACTGCTCTTATTATCCCTAAAATCAACCGCATATTGTACTGGCATTGGAGGCTCTTCCACCACGAGTGTCTGAGTTGCAATTGGCGATTGCAGTACATCATCTACAGGCTGTGTAACCTGTTGTCCTTCGGTTGTTATGGTAAGATTTTCCTTTTCGAATGGTGTCATAGGTTGTGGCTTTGTTTTGATATAGTCCAAGTCCTTATAGTTGAAATCGATATTGACCATTGATTTATGACGTGAATGTCTGATTGGGGATGTTCTGGACACCACTGTTCTTGCCGAGCTGGTGCGAGTGGCACTAATACATGGGTTTGATTTAGATGTGGGTAATTTATAAGCTGTCCCAATAAAATCATTATTATCATCATTATCGTCATTATCGTCATTATCATCATTATCATCATGATCATCATCGTGATGTAATGTACCAAATTGACTTCTAACATATGCCTTAGCATCTTTACAAGGAACCCCAAGAGGCTCTAATTCTGTTTCTGTGGATGAAACTTTTGTCAACGGAGCCATGGCAAAACTTGTAAGACTTTCCGAATATGACCCTTCATGGTATTCAGTATCAAGATCTGGAATTTCAATTTGACCACTACTAGACATATAACTGACTCTAGAACTTGCCATCGATTTTGACTTCTTCAATTCAGATTGAACTTTATCACTGTTAGTGATATTGTACATACTATTAGGGAAACTAAATCTTTTCCCAGAACCTTCGTTGAAGCTACTATCCGAGTTTGAACCTGGGTCAAGAACCGACAGGGTCTCTAATTGTTTACTGTTCTCTTCTTCTTTGTCACTATCTTTTCCTTCTTGACCATGATCAACCAAATCGTTAATATCATATGTATAGTAGTCAGCAATATCGTTTTCTAACTCACTCATGCTTGGACCTTCAATATAGGAAAGTTCATCTAATTCAACGCAATTAGCTTTTGTTTTAGAAGAATTTATCTGCAGATTTGCATGATCATTATATTTAATGGAGTAAGTGCTTGGTAGAGGTGGTAATGCTTTTGACGCTTCCAGAGCAGCATCCAGATCCGACATCAATTTACCACTAGTGGCATCCGAGGCACTAGAGCTAGAGCTAGAGCCAGAACCCAATGTGGATAAAGATCTTTCAGAACGTAATGACCCCCCTCTAGATGTCATTGAACTAGTACTATCAATACTTCCTTGCTCATTCAATCTAACATTGACACTACTTTGAAGAGAATCCCAGGATTCCCCACTACTACTAGTTGTTGTATCAGAGAAAGTTGAGCTTGCACCGCTTACAGCTCTAGAAACTCCACCAACATTAGGAACTGATTGCAATTGAACTTCCTTACCGCAGACATAATTTGCAGTAATGATTCTTGCTAATGAGTTCTGTGTTTCGAAGGAAGAGATCAGGGAGTCACTGAAATCTCTAGTCTCAGGTGACAATGTTGTGTTATTAGAATTAGGACGAGTTTGGGACTCGATAATTCTAGATTGTTGAAGATGAAGTGGATTAGTATTCTTGACCGGGCCCGGTGAGCTATGAATAGTTGCTGGTGAGCCTAAACTTGGTTGATATGGTGATTTGGGAAGGTTCTTCTCTGGCAATGAAGACTTACGTATAGTAGATTGTCTAGAAATACTCTTTTCACTCATAACTTCGTTTATTACACTTAAAGCGTCGGGTGCAAGTCGTTTTGTGAAAAGAACTTTTGGCTTTGAATTATCCGACTTTGATGCCATTTTGATCCGCTCATTAATACTCTCAGTTGAATATGATTCATCATCATCTTCAGGATGTTCTAACTTCTCATAGCTTGAACCATTATAAACTAATTGCACAGGCTTTCTAACTGGAGATGAAGTTACCGAAGCTGATGGGGATGATGTCCGAGATGATATTGGGGTTCTGACCGGAGAAGGGGATCGCGAGGCTTCCAAGTCAGGTCTATTCACCGCACTAAGTTTTGGTGGCAATTGAAGAGTGAATGGAATGGGAATGACATATTTGCTATTAGCAGGAGACGTTGAGATGTGTAACTTCTTGGCTATAGGAGAAGCCGATAATGACTTGATCTGATCGGAAAACGACGACGAGTTCATAGACATCAAGTCATCCTCATCACACAATGCAGCTCTTGGTCCATCTTTGAAAAAGTCAGCAGGAAGTGAACGTCTATTTTTCACAGGAGAAGATGATCGAGTTCTTCTTTCATCTTTCAGCTTGGACTGTGGCCCCAAGTACAAATCATCCATTGATGTGAGCATGTGTATAAATTCTACGCTTTAATCGGAGATGGTACTCAATCCGTGATGCACTATAGGTATTGTTATCAGAAAGAAAAGTGCTAGCAAGTGTTCAACAAGAGGATTAGTATTTTGGAACGGAATGAATTGATCTCTTTGCTTTACTCAGGGAACATTTTAGTCGTATTCAATCTAGAATGGGCCATGTTTACCATTTCGCCTAAAGTGGATATTTGATATCTGCCACTTTCCTAATTAGGCCTAATGTGTTAATTTTAGTACTAAGAATCAAATTCCCTCACACCAAGGCGGACAATTATGACACTGGGCCCTGAAACAATGCATACGGCCATCAACTATTGTTTGTAATGTGGTGGGCACTTCTGGTACCGTAAACATCAGTTATTTAATGGTCGCAGGAAATAAGTATCATCGAAAAAAATTATTGATAGGAGAGAAAAGATAATAACATCACTCCAGAGAATGTAATCTAAGTTTAGATCTCAAAAGAATGTGACCATGCCTCCGCCCCCGCCATGCATTCCTTGTTTATGTGATACTTTCAAATTTGATTTATCACCTTAAACAAGAAACCTTCTCTTCGATCGATACGTGCGGCTTGTACCGTTATATTTTTAATTGTTTTTTTAATTTAAATTTTTATTTCTATTTTTTTTTTTTGGTTATTGATTTTTGTGATTTCTTATTTTTGAATTTTAAATTTGCAGCCACAAACAAGAAACAGAGGCAACAATTCAAAAATATGATATTGACGTTGATTATACATCTTTCAAGAATTAATTTTAAAAGGAGTTATGACCTCGAAAGTATTTCTGTCAGAAAATCTTCTTACCACGGAAGTGAATAGCATTTCAAGTATTTCCTTTGACAAGTTCTCTCCTATTAACATTCAACATGGCGATACCCTTGATCATGGCAACAATTCCAATCTTTTGAATTGTTACCAGACAGAAAAGGGAGTCAATTTAGATTTAGGTCTCCAGAATACCTATACTATTGATGAACTTGAAGATGTTCATGATATTGCACCATATAACGTCGATGTTAGCCCTATTGACAAGACTCCTGGATTAGAAGAAGATGATTCTATCCCTACTTCTCCAGAAGTTGAAATTTCTCAAGTCGGCTTAGGGTTACTTCCCAACCAGAAAAAGAATATAATTCGTAGAAAAGGAGCTAGTTTTACTATGATGGTAATTGGAGCTAGGGGAACTGGGAAGACAACATTCATCAATTCCTTATTTGGAGAAAATATTATAGTTGAGACTAGAAGGAAAACTTTTGATAACGAGTCCATTTTAATTCATAGAGCTGAATTAACCGAGAAGGGGTTTACATTAAAACTTACTGCAATTGAATCTTCAGGATTTGGAGATAGCGTAGACAACAGATTTGCATGGTCGCCTGCAGAAAAATTTATATCCGAGCAATTTAGATTATATTGTTACCAAGAAGAACAACCTGAGAGATCATCTTTACTTGATTCAAGAGTTCATTGTTGTTTATATTTTATTACCCCAACAAGAACAAACCTCTCTTCTCTTGATAAAAGGGCAATCAAGCAATTATCAGAATTGACAAACTTGATTCCTATCATTGCTAAAAGTGATACCTACACTAAAACTGATTTGAAAAGAATTAAATCAAATATTCATCAAACTATGAAGGATGAAAATATAAGTATATGCGAAGAATTATTAGATCAAAGTGTTACTGACAAAATCAATCGATTTATGCCATTTGCAATCATAAGTTCAAATGAAATTGAGCAAACAAATGATGGTAGAAATGTTCGTGGTAGAAAATATGATTGGGGTGTTGCAGAAATTGAAAACATTGAGCACTGTGATTTTGTTGTCTTGAGAGAGATCTTAATGGGAGAGAACATGTTAGATTTGATTTTTTCAACAGATTCAAATTATGAAAGTTTCAGACGTTCATGTTTAATTGAACGATTCAATGAAATTATTAAGAACGAAGGCAATGAATATAAAAATATTGAATATTACACTCCACAATTGAAACTTAGTGGTTTAGAAGAATACGAAATTTTTCATAAATTGAAAATCAGAAAATTAGAACTGAAGCTTCATGATACTGATCAAATATACATTGAAAAGGAAAAAGAAGCTAAATTGAATTTTGCAAATGTCATACAAGCACAAGAAAAGAGATTCAAAGAATGGAAACGAGGTCTTTTCGACAGACAAGAGCACTACAACAAAGGAATTGAAAAACTTCACCTTTGTATAATCAAGCTACAAGAGGAAATTGAAGCTTTAGAAACTGGTAGTGGAAGTTTAAACAATAGTTTAGGATCGCTTTCATTTAATTAGAGGTTGCAAAATTAGGGCTTTAAAAAATTATGGTGCTAACACGCAAAAGTCGTGTACGTCCCAATCAATAAATGTTACTTAAATAAATGCTCGTGAAAAATTTAATCTAAACTATTATTACTCTTTTACATCTTTAACTCTTTTCTAAATTACTTTCAACTATAAAGTTGATGACCTTTTAAATGGTATGTTCTCAAAGTTTAAGTGACTCATTTTACAAGGATAGTGATGAATATTTAGTTATTTATATGTTTTTTCTGGCATCTCTAATGTTAGGGCTTTTCAGCTCGATGAATTCAACTTTTGACACTATCTGATATATCCTTTGTACTTTAAAGAGTGCTTATTGTTACTGTCAGTGTTTTATGACACTGAAATTATGGCTTTCTGTTTCAATTCTAACAATTATAGTATTCAACCTTTTTTTTTTTACAATTTTCTTATACATAGTTATTGAATAATACGAAGTTCCACAAGCAACGAAGATGTAGATCGTAGTAGTATTTGTAGTCGACGATTTAGAGTAATATCATGAAATAGTATTAGGTGGGTGACAGGAGATTTCCGTGCATTGTCGAAGATAATTTTGAAAGGTTGGGCAGAGATATTGATCCTGTAAAAAAATGCCAAGTGCGAAATATCAATCCAAGAAAACAAAATTGTACAAAAGATAATCTAAAAATTAAGCCACTAAATTGATTTTATGAGCTATACTTGGTAGTTCAAGACTATGCCTTTACATCTGCTTGTTTCGGGTAGCGAGAAGGGTGAGGATAGCCATTATCATGACTTCGATGAATTAGCGGCTGAATATGCCACTCAAACAAACACTTCCCCCGAGACTGATTTGGATGGTGTTGAAGATAATGAAGTTATTACCGGGAATACTCGGAATATTAACTTTATTTTGGATCACTCAGCTTTCGTTCGTGGAATTGGTAATATTAAACGTTGGTTCAATGATGAATATATCCAATCCAACTTTGAGGCGAAGGCTGGTGAGAAGATTCAATTGAATATATATATCCCATCCTATACTTTACATGAGTTTGATTATGTCAAGAAAGGAAATACCATGATGGCTACTAATGCCAGAGAGGCCATTAAGTTTATTGATAAGTTTATTAGTGGGGAGGTTCATAACAAGAGACCAGTGAATGGAGGTTCTGGAGATAAAGGTTCAGATGGTGTAGATCTATCATGTTACCTCTACATTGAATCTTCACAAGAAGTTGGTCCTTCATGGAATGATTGTTTGAAATACAAGATCCATTCGCCGTTAGTTAAGGAATTCCCAAACTTGAAAACCATGTATGATTCAAATCTTATCGGACAAAATGTGGCATCACCATATGCCTCTGGCATGGAAGTTCAACATGAGGATATTGATCAAGGATTAGATCGATTCAAAAAAGTTCCTAACTTTAAATATAGCAGCAAATTGAACACCATTCAATATGAAAACTCTGAATCCTATCAACATGCGTTGGCTCATGCTGATGCGGAAGCAGAAATGCCTTATAGATTGAAATATTTGATTCGATCATGTGTTCAAAGGAAATACCGGAACAAGATTGACGGATTTAAGGCTCATCCAAGAAAAAGTGAGGAGTGGAGATTGGTAACGGAAGATCCTATATCCAAGATATGGGTAGCAAGTTTCGGTATTGAATGCTTGAATATTAATGAAGCCGAACTTATGATTTTTCAAAACTATGATATTAATCAACCGCGAGTTTCAGACCCTCATAAGAGATTTGATTCCGAAGGTGAAGAGGAAGAGCCATTTAGTATCTTGCAAAATACAATCGATACTACTGTTTATCTGTATTCACCCATGTTAAACAAACAGAAAAAACCCTTTTACAAATCTGGTAAGAAGGATGCAAAGCAGGGTACACACGCTAGAAAGCAAGAAAAACCTAAACCTTTTCCAACGGGAAAGAATTCGAAAAAGCCATTTAAAGGTGTTGTTCAAGAAGAGGGCACTGGCATTCACGGAGGTGTAGTTAAGAAAGAGAGGTTTGATGCAATTAACTTTGCACCAAGAGGGTCAGGAGAATTGTGGAGACCATAATACTGAATTATTAAACATAAAAACTAAAAAATATTCTACGTGCAATAATAATTGAATGATAATTAGGTTCAAATATCTCTTTCCCTAAGGAAGGTAGAATTTGATTTAACAATTCCTTTAGTTTGCTTCATATTACTATCTTTCAAATATGAAGGATGGAAAATGGCAATGATCTAGTGATATTTCAAACATTTTTTGGTCTTTTCTTGAAAAATTTGACTCGTAAGGTGTGATATATGAGAGTAATCGGAATTTTGAGAAAAACTCCGATCAGTACTAACAATCTGAATCTGAATGTGGTACAGTTTATTTAAAATACATCTTCATGTATCTTAAATAACTGGGAATTATTTATCAATTAATTTTTCCTGGAAGTATTTGTTTAGTTTTTGAATTGTCTTATTAGGTGATCTATATATCAAATTCTATTTTATTAGTAAACTATCATTGTAGTACAAAAACAAAACGCACAAAACAGAACAAAACAACACCCTTGTCCATTTAAGTACGGAGGACAATCCTGTGTATAAGCATACTAATTTTTAGTTATGGGCGCGAACTCTTTAAATAATCAAATTCACGTAAACACTATACAGTTGGAAGAGAAAGTATCCCTTCTCCTCATTATTGTTCAATGAATCGTCAATTTCTGAGAGAGGAGATTCAAAAGATTCTCCAGCGCTGGCACCAGTTAAAGGTACAGTTTGGAGACCAAGCTGTCAACGTTCCGGAGTTCACACACTTGAGCAAGATTATCAAGTTCCTTCAACAACAGAACCAACAGTCGCTTCAAAATGGGAGTGGACCTCAAGGGCCACAATCCGCGCAACCACACCAGTTACAGTCACACCAAGTGGGCCAACAATCACCTGCAATACAGCATTCACAGGTACCTCCACTGGTAACCCCATCACAACAACCGCAACAACAACAACAACAACAACAACAGTCGCACCAAATATCTCTGAACTCAATTAATGCTCCACAGGGTCAGAATCAGATGTACACATTCAACCAACAGCGAGGAAACGATGGTAGCACCAATGGTACTCCCGTACCTGCAAATTCCAATATGATAGAACCAATGGGTATGATGCATCAACAACATAGCCAGCCAGGAAATGCACTTCAACAAGGAATGCCCGCACAATCCAACTCGTTTCACACTAGTGGGATTAATGGCAATACTCCTACCGAGTTTGCACTGTCAAGTTCAGGGGCTGGCGCTGGCATAGTAACTGGGTCAGGGACAGGTCCTGGATCTCTACCAGGTCCCGAATCCGCTTTCACTGCCCTGCAATTTCAAATGCTTAAGGCGCAGTTCCAAACTATTAAATATCTTTTGAAGAACCCAGTTCCCGGCAGTCCTGCAATTCCGGAGAATTTAGTTCAATTTGTCACCAATGATCAAATGGTATTCCCTAATGAAGCAGGATACCTAGCTGCCCTGAACCCAATGGCGCCAAAGCCACAAGTAATTGGACAACAACAATCAATTCAGAAACCTCAACAGACTGCTCAAACTCCACACGCACCTGGAATGATGCCAAATGCTCAATCACCGGGACTTGCAATGAAGCCCAACCAATTTACTGCATCCCAACAGGCAATGCAAAGACAAGCACAGGCGCAAGCAGCGGCTGCAGCACAGGCGCAGGCCGCAGCACAAGCACAAGCAGCCGCACAAGCCCAAGTAGCCGCACAAGCCCAAGCAGCGGCACAAGCCCAAGCAGCAGCACAAGCACAGGTAGCAGCACAAGCACAAGCAGCAGCACAAGCGCAAGCGGCAGCAGCACAGGCACATGTACAAACTGTAGTTCCAAACCGAGGAGATGCACTGGCTCACGTTCCATCGAGAGACTTGCAGGGCCAACCCCAAATGTTGGGGGAATCAATGCCAATTGGACCTTACGGCGGATTAACGACGAAAGACACTTCAAGGCAATCCATTGGTAAAGGTGTAGATCAAACAGCATCAAACGGATCGAAGTACGTATTTATGAATCCAGAACCACCAGTTGAATTGGCCAAATTGCTTCCTGAAGAAGACTCAAAGAAATTGACTATCATTTCAGTCAATAAACCTCAGTATCAAGTCGATGCATTCGAAATTCCTCATTTAGTTGGCGATAACGTCAAGGACGTATCTTATGCCACCTTTCATGACTCACTGAGCAGATTAGAATTTCCTTCCTTATACCCAGAAGGCGTGAGTATGGATGAAGTTTACAGTAATTTGCAAATGGTTAGAAAATTGAAGATTGAAGAAGGTCTCGTCACCATGAGAGAACAACTTGAGAACCTTTCAAGTGAGGAGAGTGACCAGCAACGTGAATTGTTACAAACAGAAGTGGACAAGTTAGAATTATTACCATTTCAAAAGGCATTGAGAGGGAAGATATTATCACAATTATGGTTTAGCAAGTCTTTATTACCAAATTCACATCCCAACTTTCTTGCTAAGTTTAATACCTTGTCAGTAGACAATATCACTTCCACTCATGAATTATATAGACAACAAGTTTATTCATTGGTTCAAGCACAGAATAAGAGACATCAAAAGACTATCAGTGAAATTTTGACTAGTCAAAGAAAACGGAATGAGAAGATATTAAGCAAGAGAGAAAAGTTGACTAGATTCTCAAACAAGGTGGCAAGTTTCCACAGTCAAATTGCAAAGGAAGAACAGAAGAAGTTGGAAAGAATGGCCAAGCAACGTTTACAAGCTTTGAAGCTGAATGATGAAGAAGCTTACTTAAAGTTGTTAGACCACACTAAAGATACCAGAATTACTAGGTTATTGAAGCAAACTAATCAATTTTTGGATTCTTTAGCACAAGCTGTTCAATCGCAACAACGTCAAAGTCAAATTGACAAGAATATTGCTGAGCCAACTACCGAAGTAGGTGCTGATACCAATTTAACTGAAGATGAAAAGCGTGAAAAGACAGATTATTATCATGTTGCTCATAGAATTAAAGAAAAAGTTACCGAACAACCTTCTATCCTTGTCGGTGGTACCCTTAAAGAGTACCAATTGAAAGGGTTACAGTGGATGGTTTCTCTTTTCAATAATCATTTGAATGGTATCTTGGCAGATGAAATGGGTTTGGGTAAAACTATTCAAACAATTTCATTGATCACCTATTTGGTTGAAGTGAAAAAGATCAATGGTCCATTCTTGGTCATTGTTCCACTTTCTACTTTAACAAATTGGAATTTAGAATTTGAGAAATGGGCTCCAGCCATTAAAAAGATTACTTATAAGGGTACTCCAAATCAACGTAAGGTTTTGCAACAAGATGTTCGTACTGGTAACTTTCAAATATTATTAACTACATTTGAATATATTATTAAGGACAAAGCTTTACTATCAAAAACCAAATGGGTTCATATGATTATTGACGAAGGTCATCGTATGAAGAATGCTAATTCCAAACTTTCTGAAACCTTGACCCATAATTATCACAGTGATTTCCGTTTAATTTTAACCGGTACACCATTACAAAATAACTTGCCTGAATTGTGGGCATTATTGAATTTCGTTTTACCAAAGATTTTCAATTCTGTTAAATTTTTCGATGAATGGTTCAATACTCCATTTGCAAGTACGGGTGGACAGGATAAGATAGAGTTGAGCGAAGAAGAAACATTGTTGATTATTAGAAGATTGCATAAGGTCTTGAGACCTTTCCTTTTGAGAAGATTAAAGAAAGATGTCGAAAAGGATTTGCCAAACAAGGTCGAAAAAGTTGTCAAGTGTAAGATGTCATCCTTGCAATCAAAGTTGTACCAACAAATGCTTAAACATAACGTTATCTACGTTGGAGATCCAAATGATTCAAATAAGATGGTTAATGTCAAGGGTGCCAATAACCAGATTATGCAATTGAGAAAGATTTGTAACCATCCGTTTGTTTACGAAGAGGTTGAAAATTTAATTAACCCTACAGCTGAAACTAATGACCAAATTTGGAGAGTTGCAGGTAAGTTTGAACTTTTAGATAAGATTTTACCTAAGTTCAAGAAATCTGGACATAGAGTTCTTATCTTTTTCCAGATGACACAAATTATGAATATCATGGAGGACTTCTTAAGACTTCGTAACATGAAATATATGAGATTGGATGGTGGAACTAAAGCTGATGACAGAACTGGTTTATTGAAATTGTTTAATGCACCAGATTCAGATTATTTTTGCTTCTTATTGTCTACGAGAGCTGGTGGATTAGGTTTGAATTTACAAACAGCTGACACTGTTATTATTTTTGATACCGATTGGAATCCTCATCAAGATTTACAGGCTCAAGACAGAGCGCATCGTATTGGTCAAAAGAATGAAGTTAGAATTTTAAGACTTATCACTGAAGATTCTGTCGAAGAAATGATTTTAGAAAGAGCTCATGCAAAATTAGAAATTGATGGTAAGGTTATTCAGGCAGGTAAGTTTGACAACAAGTCTACTTCGGAAGAACAAGAAGCATTGTTGAGAGCTTTGCTTGAGAAAGAGGAAGAGCGAAAGGTCCATGGAGGAGATGAATCAGATGATGAATTGGATGATGATGAGCTTAATCAAGTTATTGCAAGAAATGATTCTGAATTGGTACTTTTCAGACAATTGGATGAAGAACGTATCGCGGAAACTAAAAGAGCTGATTATCCTAGTAGAATATACACAGAACAAGAGTTACCAGATATCTATAAGAAGGATCCAGCTATTCTCTTGAAGAAGGATGAAGATAACATGGAAGTGTATGGGCGTGGTAATAGAGAACGTAAATCAGCACTCTACGATGATAACCTTACAGAAGAACAATGGCTTAAAAAGATTGAAGGTGTTATTTCTGAGGACGACGACGAAGAAGAAGATCCCGATCAACTCCAAAAGCCAAAGAGAAGACGTAAGAAGCAAATCACCACCACTTTAGCCGATGAACAAGTTGGTGATGGTGAATACGGAGAAGATCGTTCCAGAGCAAGTTCTACTGCAGGAAAAAGGAAATTATTACCTGTAGAAGGTGATGAGGATGAAGAAAGTGCTTCTTCTAAACGGTCAAAATCAAATACTCCAAAACCTGGTAGACCTAGAGGAAAAACGAAGGGCAAAGTAGGAAAGCGTGTTAAGAAGGGACCCGCGTTGACGCGGGCAGTGCCTTCCATCGATCCTTTAATACCCGAAGCAAGAATGGAACTTGAAAATCAAATGAAGAAAATCTACGATATTTTATTGAAACATGTTAATGAACATGGTAGAGTGCTTAGTGAATTATTCTTGGTGAAACCATCAAGAAAGTTTTATCCAGATTACTACGTTCTTATCAAGAATCCAATTGCTCTCGATACTGTGAAGAAGAGAATCAATAACCATACGTATGTTTCAATCAGGGAATTTCTTGAAGATATCCATTTGATGTTTAGTAATGCCCGTATTTATAATGAGGAGGGTTCCATTGTATATCAAGACGCCAAAGAATTGGAAGAATTAGCAATTCTGCAGGTAGAGGAATTGTCCGGTTTTAGTGACGAAATAATAGATTTTACTGAATTTGACGCAACATATGCATTGAAGCCATTAATATTGAATGCCGCTGTGAAAAGACCAATCGAAGATGCACTTCAAAAAATTGATGACGGAGTTGAAAGTCCAAGTACTTTAACTGCAAACATTCTTGAAGACTCAAATGATACTCCAGGGTTGGAATTCTTTGAGCAATAGAATATGGAGATTATATAAAAGAAAAGGAAATACAAACCTTTTAGATCTTTAAACTTTAATAAATATTGAATATTTAAGAGATATACAACATTATGCAGAGTATTGTGGAAGTTCATCATCGATATCAACATTATGTACCACATCATTTATGATTAAATTAAGAATATTAATGAATTCAAATAATCCACCATCATTGAACATGATTGTACCTTTGAACCATTGATTTGTAGGAAATCCATCACTTGAGGAGCCACTATTAAAAAGGAATTCCCAATAATTCGCTCCAAACCAGGGAGATACTAATTTATGAGAAAATTGTAATGAGGGACTATTAGTGAGATCAATCAGAAATGAGTTAATATCACCACTAGATACAGTAACAAACACTATCCGTATAGTAGTTAGAAACACATAACCATCTTTGGCTTTAATATTTATTGTTCTTGAAGTAGAATCTTGTGAGGATATGGCAAGGGATTGTCGAGATGTACTTGTTCGAAAACGAATACTTTCTCCTTCATTAAGAAGAAATGGAATTTTTCCAGTTGATAATAGTAATTCATATCGTTCATCAAGAACTACCAGATTAATCGACATTGTTTGCAATATTGAATATTTAATTGTTTTAGTTTATTGTGATTATGAATTGCCTTCATAATGTGGGGGGGACATATATGTACCCGGTAGCAACACGACCAAATCAGTTGATCTATGAGATGGGTAAATGTTACATGTATAAGTCAGGAGTCCTCATTCATAGGAGGGAAAGATTCTAATATTGAAAACAAACCAAAGAAGAAATATTAGATCTTTGAACTGATTATCCAGCTTCGGTACATAAAAAAGTCGGATTTTATTTGCCAATACGAATAAACTTCAAAAATTTCTTCTGGTGAGAACTCAAAATGCAATCGTTTAAAGGGTTACGTTCCTTAAATCCAGCCTTAGCACCACTTATAGCCAAGACAGGGCCTCCAACGCATCAATATGGATTTAGAAATGTGGTGCGGCCACAACTGTGTCAGGACTTGATAGATAAACTAGATTTAAAGTCGAAATACCCCAACTCTGCGAACAACCTAGACATTATCGATGTTTTCCCAGGGTATGGACTTTTTTCCACCATGGTCAACTTTGAATTAAATCCACGAAAACATGTATTAATGGATACGAATAAACAATATGTTTCTATGTGGAGAAATAGAATAGATCACTTGAGAGAAAGGACAGGAAATTCGGAAAATTTTGTTCTTTATGAGAAGGATGGTTATACTTGGGAAACTTATAATGACTTAATTGAAAAGGATAAAATTATTCAACCCGAGACACGTCCAAGCTCTCAGATACACGATGAGCTCCTTATAATTGGGAACTTGACTCCTCTGAAGTTTGGTGAAGCATTGTTTGCTCAATGGCTCATGTGTTGTGCCTATGGGAATTGGATGCAAAAATATGGTAGAGTTCGTATGCTCTGCTTTGCCACTGATCATACAGCTGCAAAGTTTTGCGCACAGGAGAAGTTTACCAAGAGAAACAAATCTGGAATTAAGCGTGATACATTCACAGAAACTTCGGTAATTGCCGTAACGGAACTGAAAGAGTTGCTGGAACCAGATGGGTTTGGATTTGATCCTACGGTCTTGATAAAGGATCAACCTGTAATCCTTCCCATCAAGGCAGTACTTCCTGAGGGTAATCCAGTATCACTTCTTGAAGTAAATCCTCGTGACCTTTCAAAATTAGATATTGATGTTGACTTGTACGAGTATCTTCTTAAAATCCTTATGTTTAGATCGTCTTCATTGGTAATAGAAAGTCTTTCCCATTTGGCACCAGGTGCTGAAATTGATTTACCACCTAAAATACCCAATGAAATATTACAGAAGTCAACCAAGGAACTATCTGTGGAAGAAATTCTTACAGTTTATAACGTTTTCAATAATTGGGCATTCAAACCAAGTTTTGAAGAAATGGTTAGCATTAATGATGTTGAGAGTAGAAGATTTTAAGACCATATTATGTATGGAGATTAAAAACATTAATAGAATAAATACATGTACATACACATACAAACACGCAACTATGAAGTCACGTCAGTTTTGGCTGACGGGGCCCCCTGCTGGAAGCTAGGATCATATTGAGTAGGACTCTGTATATCGTTTTCCTGTACTGATTTAGTCGAATATGTAGAACCGGAATGTTTTATATCTGGACGAACATTCAACGAATGTGTTGTTGCCCATGACAGAGAATTGGTGTTTTGCAATGGAGACGCGAGTGATCCCGACACCCCTTGACTTGTTGCAAATACAGGTGCACTAAAACTCCTAGTATCGTTCTGAGGGGAAGGTGTAGATTTGAAGACACCGATTTTTGGAGGGGATCTTACCAAGACTGGTCCAGCATGTGTTAGATATGATGGAGGTATTGAAATACCTAGATTCGATCTGCAGATCTGTTTCATTGGATCAAGAGTATTTTCAGGCGGCGAGCTTTTTGACTCTTGAATCGGAGAAAGGTCATTCTTCATATTTACACTTGAATAGACACTAGATGTTGGAGAGATCTTAAAATCCTTAGTCTGTCTTCTAATTTCCCTTTCAGCCAAAATATATGAAACTTGTCGTTTAGCTCTATATATGTACCGAATACAACAAAATATTGAGATCAATAATTGTATCAAGTATGAAATACATATAAAATGTGACTTAAAGTTTGCCAACAATAGATCAATTCTTGCGGCAGTCAACAAATTTATAATAGAGAACGTCACCAGTGACAAAGCTCCCAAATGTATTCCGAATATTACTGCAAATGTTCCCCAATCTTTTTTTGGTTTACGATATTCATAGAAATTGGCAGCAGCGAAAAGTAACAATGTACTGAAAAGTAAACCACAATTTCCAATTTCGAGTAACCGAAAGTTGGAAGCAAGGTTACGACCCACATCATCAGAAAAATGGTGGAACGGGTCTAACGGAAAAATAAATCTTTCAATAAAGTTTGATACTTCATATTCGAACATTTTTGCAGCATTAGACTTTTGAAGCTTTTGTCGAAGTACACTTTCAATTGATAACAGTGGAAACACCGAGACCTTATGGGATGGGGACACAAAGAGGTAACCCTCTTTAAGCAGTAGTGTTAACAAGTATGATTTAACTGTCAACACAGGCTCAACCACAATAGTGCTATTGGCGAGAGTTTCAAGGTAAGTTGGTTCTAGCCTGAGATAGATATCTCGAAGTAGGTCAATCAAGATATTTGGCTTAGGGGACATTTGATTCTCTGGTTTAACAAGAACCTGAACAATATCAACCAATGGTAATGGGTAGCTGAACTCACTCAGATGCCAATAGTTTATGGCATTCACTAATACTAGAAGAAAGAGTGAAAGGGCGAATGGCCACATATTGACCTTTCTACTAAGTTTTGGCGTGGTAGTATTTTCCATTTCACTTCCTAGTATAATATGTCGTTTATCAATGATGTTTTACTATAACAGCAAACAATGTTACAATCAAAGTTTTTGTACTGGATAAGAAAATACAGAGGGCAGGCGCAAAAAAACAACAATGTTGCAACACATTTGCATTTTGGCGAATTTCGCAACCATGTGCACAAATACAACCAAAGCCTACATGGATAATAAAGTCAAAAATGGTGGGTGTATTACTATATCATTACATACTTATTCAACCCCTGGGATTTTGGGAAGATTGGAAAAGAGTTCCACTAATTTCCCGGCATCAAAAACTTGATCTTTAGGAGGACCAAAATACGAAGCGCTTGGTAAGGCTCTAAGTAAATTATATGTAGTGCTTCCCACAAATGGTTGAGTTCGAGCTTGTTGCTGTTGTGGTTGTTGTTCACTTGGCTGTAAAGTATTCCCGTTGACATTGCCAGCATTATTGTAACTTCCAGAAGTTGCTTGCTGGATTGTTTCCAAAGCTGGTAATTGAGATTCAGATGTTCCATTCGATTCACTCTTCACAATCTTTCTTCTCTTATTAGACGTCAAACCTTGTTCTTCTTCATCGACATCACTTAATCCCAAGTCATAGACGCGAATTACATCGACACTACCTGGATCTCTATACCTATCAACAAATAAATTTAAAGCATCATCATCTGGGAAATATTGTTCATATCTATTTTCCAAACTTCTTACTGCATTTAAATCACCATAGTTGGTTTCAAATTTGGAAAATTTTTTGAACATTTCCTTAATGCATTCTTTCTTTTCTTTAATATCTCTCTCTTTAACCTTTTCTTGCCATAATTGAGCTGGAGATTTGGAAGTAGTGTCGACTCCTTCACCTTCAGCCGTTATTTGTTTTAAAAGTGTGGTTAAACCTTGTTCAAATAAAACTCTCATATTTTCAACATCATTGATCATAATCATATAATCCAAATACTTTAATAAATATCTTCCATCTTCATTAAAAGATTTCATACCATGTGCAAAAATTTTGTTAGCAACAGACTTATTATCGGCATAGTATTCCATGAGTGCACTACTGACATAAAAATCATATCCAATTGCTGGGAAATTTTGACGACCAGTTCTGAAGATAATACGAGCCTCCTTAACACCACCAGTACGTTTGCATAAAATCATTAACTTTGTGTACACTAACGTGATTACTTTAATTAATTGTAATTGAGATTCTGTTAATTTAGCCATTCTTTCAACTTCATGTTGACTAAGTTTATGGATACCTGAGATTTGTGTAGGTTGATTTTCATCTTCATCATCTGGCTTATCAGAATTATCTCCTTCATTACTCTGTAGAGCAGTAGTATCCTTAGGGATATTTTCTTTGATACTATCAATTTGCTTTGTAACATTCTCATAATCACTCATTAAAATACGAATTAAATTGTCAAAAGTTTCAGTTGCTTTATTAACACTGTTGTCCTTCTCATATAATTCCGATAATTGAAATGTTAACAAACAACTTCTAGTATTCAAAACCAAACTTTCACTTAAAAGATCAATACATTTGTTAATATTAGCTTCTTCGTTACTACTGAGCCAAAATTTATTAAATTTAAACCACAATTCTGGTGCAAATGGTAAAGTTGTCACTGCTTGTTTATAGACATATTCTATTCTTTGCTGAACTAAAGAATCATCTTTTAACTCAAGTTTATTTTTCTTTTCAAGATCAATCCAAGCATACCAAAGTGAAAGTTGTTTTCTAACTAATTCTTTATTAACAATATCTTCATCGTTAAGAGAGTAAGGAACAATAGTTCTACGCAATTTTTTTTCAGTAATATTTGTCCATTCTGTGTACCATGATCTTGCCAACATATATTCAGCAGATTTTTCACCAATAAACTTTTTAGCAGTAATTGGATTAACTTCATTTTCCCAATTTGTATATATGGGCCATAATTTTTCTAATTTTTCAGTTGGTATCAGAAGAAGTCTCTTGTATACTTTTCTAATTAAATCATTCTTTTGTTGTTGTTCCCATGTTTGAGCTGGGGTCCAAGCTTTTAAAAATCCAAGATAATCTTCCCAAAGTTCACTACTTGCCAAATCAATGCCTACCCTTTTAACAGCAAATTCAAATGCTTGAATTACAATTCCTCTGGCAGAATCACCTCCTGTAATAACATCATTCACTCGACGTACATATGAAACATAAAGTCTACATAATGGAACATGTGTTGTTACTGCAAGACATTTTTTAAAAAGATCTTCAACTTTTGTAAACTCCCCTCGGTTAAGTTCATAATTAACATAATTACACCATTGATCCCCATCAAATTTAAAGATATTTAAATATTTTGTCATTACAGATCGTACTTGTTCTTCCTTATCCTTGGCAAGAACTTGTTTGATGAGCTTCGTCCATTTCCCATAATTCAATGGATCAGACTCAAGATCATCTTCAAGCTGACCTATAACATCAAGAGATAATCTTTTGTTCATATCTGATTGAATGAACATAATTGCTTACAAATGATTCTTTAATATTTGAAGTGGCAATTTCTCTACATTATATCTGATACACCATCAATCAATCTAAAGTAACTACTTTTTTCTTTGCTGTAATCTTTGCGCCGCGCACGACCAGCGAATATGGAAGTTCCCACACATCATAGAATGAATGGGTATAATTTTATAGATAGATTTAAAAATAAAAAAGAAAGAATGACTAAAGAATTACATGTATGGGGTAATGATGGTTCTATCTCTTTAATTTCCCCAGAATGTCTTGCATCCGCATGGATTTTAGCGTTAAATAATATTGATTTTACTATAATTACTTCGAATAATACAAATCTTTCACCAACAAATCAACTTCCAATCCTTATAGATAACGTTACAAACAAGATATATGATGGATATACATCTATTAATGGATTCATAAACGCCGGAAAATCACAGCTGTTGATTGATATGAGTTTAAGTACATATATTGCTTCAGAACTTAATCCAATCAATCAATATAATTTGTATATTAATACCAAAAATTATGAACATTACACCAGGAAACTTTTTGGCAAATACTTTCCATTCCCAATGATGTATAATCAACCGCTCAAGTTTTATTATGTTGCACAAGAATTGGTACGAACTGTGGGGTTAAATTCAAATAGCCCTGGATTTTTCAGTTTAAGTAATAGTTCTGTGGAAGTAGCTGAAACAGAAACTATTAATGATGATTCTATTGAAGTAGAACAACCAGCAGTATCTTCATTACATGAAAAGCAATTAATTGCAAAGTCTAAACAAAAACAAACTTTACAAGAATCAAGGTATACTCTTAAATGTTTACACTTATTGGGTCAATATATAAATCATATCGAAAATGTTTATAAGGAAAGTACCAATGGAAAGAAATGGACACCCATAACGGTAGCATCTGAATTACAAACTTCATATGTTCTCCTTGTTGCATACATCAAGACTTTAACTAGCGAAGAAATTCCAGATAGATTTATTGATACATATTTAGTGAATAATCATCCAGAATTGGTTGAATTTTGTTCACAAGAATGTGGAAAGTTAGACAAAATCTTACAAACTAAGACTTTTAGAGAGGCAAAAGATCATGAAATACCAAACTTATGGAATGAAGTAAAGTATATTACTGGTATGAAGAAATAATCAGTCTATGTCTATATGCATTTTACTTTTTTTTTTTTTTTTTGTAGTTTGACTAACAGTGAACATACTAAGAATGACGACCTCCTATACTTACCACAATTGAATCTTCATAAGGTATTTTATGTGAATATAGAAGTTTTTAATGGATTTATATTTTCAAAATCAAGTTTATATTGTAGTACCTAACAAATCAAATAATTTACCCGGATTTCGAATATTTTAGATATAAGAAGATTTTAAATCAAAATTTTATTACAAAGAATTTTTACAACAATATACTTCTTTTAAAAGAAGTTTGGCAATCTTAGCATAGTTTCATTTTATACTTTATTTCATGTATTCAATGATGGAATTTTCTTGCCATAGATCAACCGTTCATGTTTGTGGGTATCTTAGAGACTTTCAGTGGATCTAGAGTTTATTGCCTACGAGTAGAAGGAACATTTCTTTTCTCTATGTGTTTTTATTTTTTTTTTCAATTTTGTTTTTCTTTTTCATTTTAGTAGAAAGAGATGTAGTTCAGTAAATGAAGTAGGATCAAAATCAGGCTTGGAGGTGTTTCATATTCCATTTGAGTGTATGATATTTTCGTATTTTTTGTGCATAATCTTCATGATTGTTTGAAAATCTCGGCATTTTCGGTGTAAAAAGATCACGTAGCCATAGAAAAGAAAAGACTCGGGAAAAAAAAAAAATTTAAAAAAAAGGGAGTGCATTGAAAATATAAACATACAAAAATATCCGCAAACACCGGGAAGAAGTTGATTTAGATCAATATCCTTAAATAAGGTTGAAACTGTAAATAATGAAGTTGTCCGTGATACTCGCAACTGCCGCTTTGGTTGCCGAGGCTACATGTAGCGTGGCAACCATTACCGGGTCCCCATTGGAAAAGAGGGCAAGAAAGGTGATTGTTAACCCAGAATATAAGAAGATTCAAGAAGAAAAGGCCATGAAGGAAGCAGGTATAGAGCCCACTTCTACCGACGATTCTCCTAGGCCATGGAGGAGAACCATTTATGGAGACAAGGTTGAAATTGTTACACCTACTGTTATTGCTGGGGTTACCTTCTCTGCCAAACCTCCGATTCAAACCAATGGTATGGAACCATGGATTTCACTTCAAAAGAATGGATTACCCAAGACAATTAAACCTGAGTTAAAGAATGGGATTACCAAGAAACCATCTCCTACATATGGTACTTACTTTGCAATTGCCACTACTGTGACCTACAATAAGGAACAATTGAAAGCTCATAACATGGCAGATGATGAAGTGTTTACAGAAGTAGATCATATTCCTGAAGATACTACTTATCAATCTCTCAACCCACTTATTAGATGTACCCCTGATAGATACTTCAAAAAGGGGTTAGGTAAGGATATTGTATCTGAACCATTTTGTACTCCTCAAGATAACCAAGTATTAAAGATGGATCAAACTTATTTCGTTTCTTGGTATTCAAGATTCTTTAGTGATGATGTTACCAACGTTAAGATCCATCTCGCTCTTGTTGAAGAATCAGCTAGATACAAGGGTATGCGTAAGAGATCCGAAGTAATTGAGAATGGAGGTAAAGTTAAGAATGCTCTTTTTTCATCTGAATGGATAAGTAAAGATCAAGGTTATTTACCAATTACTATTCTTGAAGATTGGATAGGTGCAAATTATTTCACAAAGAAAATGTTGATTTCTATTCAAGCTGACAATATTGAAGATGAAGAATTTGAATTACTTGATAAGTATGTCGTTGTTGAAATTGCCAAAGGTACCAAGGTTGGTAAAGGACAACATCAAGATTTAAAGAAATTGGAAGAAAAGCAAAGAGCTCTTGCTATGGGATATGAGATTGAAGAAAGTATTTCTGAAAAATGGATGATTATGATGGCCATGCCCACTGCCGTAGCTATTACAGCCTTGGTGATGTACTTTTTCGTTATGATCAACAAGGGCAGTACTGATTTAAGTTTCCTTCGTAAGAAACGTGCACTTGGTAAGGATACCCATAATCGTCGTATCTTGTTCAAAGGTAAGAAGAAAGGAGCATACACTTCCTTGCCACAATTCCAAAAAGATATCGAATTAGAAGATGTGGGGAAAAAGGATTAAAGAATAGACATGGAAGAAACTCAATTATAGATAGGATTATTGGTAGTAATATTATTCAAATCCCAAGTAGTTGATATTCTGTAATTTGAACTGGTATTAAATTGGTTTACTATGTTAGGATATGTATATACAATAGCTTAATTTCGTCTACTTGGGGAAATATTTCTAAGAATGTTATAGAAAGTCCTTGGATCCTTGAGACAGAGTCTTCTACACAGGTGGGAAGCAACAGGACTATATATAGACGGATATCGTCTAGGCTTCTCTGACATATTTAATATAAACTCTTAAACACTGTCAAACACTTAACTCTTCTTAAGTACCGCAATACTTCTTCTTAGTCAAGTTCTAACACGGATACGCTAGTCAGTCAGCTTAATCCTATCTTGAAGTCACACAGTTAAAGTCAGTCTTAACTTGCTTACTTCGTCCTTTATCCGAGAATACCCTTGCGGGAATTCTCTCCTATGACTCTCACAGGAGTTGCCCAACCTCCATGTTACCAGCCCTGATCCTACCCGGATAAGGAACGGTCACATGAAGCCTGTCGGGTGATCAAGGTTAGGTGCAGGCTAGTTGTACAAACTCACATTGTATAACATTACACCCTTCCTTAAACAGCCTCCGATTCTTAAGCCGTAACCCAGCTTCAGACACTTCCCCTAAGCCGTACCCCAGCTTCTGAGCTCTCTTCATCCAAGTTTAAATTTTCTAATTTAAGAAATCTGTTTGGTTCTTGGGATATACGTCTCAACCACTTATGCGTAATGTGATCCCGTGATAAGGTAACCTTCCAGAGAACGTAACTTCCACCCAATCATCCTTCACACTCATTCCTCTCCTGTAGGCATACGTGCAAACTCCATATCCTAGTACACTTCTTCCGGATATGAGTACACTCCCCCGCCTCAAAAAAAAAGGTTGGATTCTCCCAGCATTAGCTCGCAAACCCATGTCACTCTGAGTTTTAGCCATACTGTCCCTGAGCTGTTCACATTCGATAAGAACCAATAATCGGTGCGTTAAACCTTATCTCTTTCGAGGGCTCAACTATTCCCCACCTTGAGCATGGATGCCTTTTAACGCTTACGCTAGGCGACTCCGTAGCACCAAGTTACTGATACCAACAGAGGATAGATGTAGGGAATGACCTCTACACTATAATCCATCTCAGGCGCGTCTTCACCGGTGATTCTAAATCAATTGTGAACACTTCACGTAACCTATGCAATAACCTTGTAAGTCCAGGTTTCCATGTGCTTCACATTGCCAACCCAGCACGCCAAGGCTCACTCGACGTTAATGATCTCCTCACCTCAGTAGAAACGACCATCCCAGCCATCACCCCTTCCCTCGAGCAGCTCAAGGGTGTACCCCACTCTTGAACTCTCGAATTGGGTGAATCAGGCTTGACGTTTCTCCCTGATCCAGTGATCCAGAAATCTTCCCCACGCGAGTGTTCCCTTCCAGGTCCAACGCCAGTGCCACAACCACCTGTTTCCCGCCTACGTCCCGGATCATGTTACCTCCGATTCTTCCTCAACCAACTCCTCACTGAGTTCGGCCAAGTCATACGACGCAATATCACTATTGCTCACCATCGTATCTCCATATGCACCCTTTGTATTAACGTCCCTGTTCCTAGGGGACCGCTCGAATCTGACGAATTTGTTCCCTGTGGGGCATTCCCTGTTGTCTTCTTCGGACATCCGTCCTTAAAATGGCCTTCTTCACCACAGTGAAAACAGGTTGCTCCTTGTCGTCTCCCGACTAAGGTGCCATTCGAAGCTGAACGACCTTCACTAGCGTACCCCGCAAGTGAACGTTCAAACCACTTCTGTTCCTGCCCCAGACCTCGGTTCCACGCGAACCGCTTCCTTTCTTCGCTTGGGCCTTTAGCCGATGATACAGAGCCTCATCTTCAACCCAAGTACCCAGGCTATTGCGAAATAATTAATAAAATACCTTAAACAATCTGGCCTTCATGAAAAGTCCGAAGTATTATGGAGATATATAAAACTTAATCTCAAATGGTAGTACACCAAGTCTACATAAATGTCACACAAAACTTAATCTAGATTGTAACCTGGTGATACCTTCTTCTTTTTTTTTTTTTTTGAATCTTCAATACATCCGGTATATAAAGTAACTACTGAGGTTGCAAAGATATGGAAACTGACGGCGTACTTAAGCAAGTACTTTTGGATATTAACAAATAATTCATAATAAGGGGTATAATACAGATTAAATATATCATAGAAGACTATGTTTGACCTCTCTAGTCTCAATCAAGGATGGTTTTTCACATTACTTTCTACATGCTTATGCGTGTTGGGTTGCTTCATTATTTATGTCGATGACTTGTACCATTTTCTATTACCAAGCTTTGTTACCAAGAGATATACTTTTGTATTGCGGGATAACTATGCGTTCATGAATGCTGCGCTTTCCTTCAGTTCCGGGTGCTTACTTTTTACAGCCCTCTACCGTTTACTTCCTGAGGGCGAATCATATTTAGAAAAGTCCAACCCTGAAGTTGGAGATTTCAAGAGATCACCCCAACGTCTAATGCTTTATTTATTTATATCGTATACTCTCGGTATGGCTATTTGCGGGACAATGAATGTTATGCTACACTTGTTAACTAGTGAATCTGTGGTTCATTGCAGTCATAGTGGTGGTCATGGCTCCGATGATCTGTTAAAGGATATTCACGATCATGCTCACGATCATGAACATACCCATCATGGCAATCATACGCAGCATAGTCATGTAGACCGTGGAGAAGCTGCTCATCGCCATGATGGTCATGTCCAAAATGAAGCAATCACTCACTCACATTCCCATTCCCATGGACATCAACACAGTTCATCACTGGAGTTTACAACATCGTCGGGAAAGATTGCTGTGGATGATATTGATATATACCAACCTTCAATTCATTCTCAGCCTGATGAAGTAACTCCATTAATCCCAACGCTTAAGAAATCTAAATCACTTCTTCATTATTTTAGTGCTAAGGATGAAGTTGGTGAATGCAAAGGTTATACATCTCCCGATGTTTATCTTTTTACGAATTCAAAAGTAGATGATGGATCTATTCAATCATGTCCTATAGATATGAATCTTATCAATATCAATTCAACGATCTCCACCCTGATTTTTCCTTCTCATACTGAAGCTGAAGATTTGGAGAGACATGCACATCATACTGATGACCATCATCATCATGTTTCCACCCCCATTTCTCACCTCCTCTTGATAGGAATTGAGACTACTCTTGCCATTACTCTTCATAAATTACCTGAAGGATTTATAACTTATATCACTTCAGAGACTAACAAAACTTTGGGAGTTCAAATATTTCTTAGTTTAATGTTGCATAATTTCACTGAAGGGTTCCTGATGTGCTTACCCTTATATTACCTGATGGCAGTATCTTCTCCAAATTACGCAAAACTCAAAGCAGTTGCAATCAGTGCAACTTTGGGTGGTCTTTCTCAACCATTGGGGGCCTTGGTGGGTTACGTATTTTTATCCTACAATAAGAAAGAAGATATTGATCTATTACAATTGAACTTTATTTTTGGTATTACAATGGCAGTTACAAGTGGATTTCTTACAGTAGTTGGATTATCAATGTTCAGTTCGGCAATTGCATTTAACCGAGGTTCACTGAACTTTGTGATGTCTTGGTGTTTAGTAGGAATGTGTTTAATCGGCTTCTCTGGGGTTTTGACTGCCAAATTACAATAATAGAGTATATAGATTTTTAACACATATCAATACAAAGAAGAGATTTTTTTAAAAAATATAGTGATCACAGGATATATGGTATTCTATTATTATTTTGTTGCCTTATCAACCAAGAGTAGACTCTGATTTCCAAATCCGGTTCATTGATTTAATTTGTCACAAAATTAGCGGTCCCAAAACTACTGCAAAATGTGGAAACGTGTGCGTAATTTGAGTTCCGGCACCCTGAACCGCATTTCTTTTGTAAATGTAAATGGCCATAACTGATAACTCTTTTTTGATTCTAAATCATACCATCAATAGTGTACCTTATATACTTTTTATGTCAGCCGTGATATAACCTAAACTTCAAGAATACTCATCATAAACTTTCTGTAAAAAATGATGGCCCACGAATTACCGTTAACCATACCCGTACCTCAATACGATGGACCACCCAAACCCAAACCTAATGGGAAAAAGCGTACCAATAAGGAAAAGATCTCTACAGTTCGGACCTTACCCACTGGAGAGCCTGTTGATTTTGGTAATAATAAGAAGAGTTCCAAGAAACTGCTGAATACAAAATCAACGTCTCCAACATTACCAGATGGATCAGCTCCAAACTTTTATAATGGTCAATCTTCCATTTCGAATACCAACTCTGCTCCTACTGGCTCTCGTAAGAAGAAGCAACAGCAAGACTCTCAAAGTCATCCTAACGGATCAAACAATAATGAATCGAAAAAATCGGAACAATCTTTGCCTAATGGGTCGAAACCAAATTTTAACCCAGGAGCTGAAAAACCTTCTAAAAAGACAGGAAAGCAAACATCTTCAAAAGGAGATAAGAAGAATCCTGCAAATGCTGTTGCAATGGAGGAAACTTATGCTGGTTCGTCGTTTCATTCTTCTCCTGCTGCTTTGAATTTGCCTAAACCATCGTTCAAGACATCTCCAAAGTCAAGAGTTGCTCAACAAACAGTGATTACTTCTCCTCAACAACAACTTGCTTCTCCTCAGCAACAACAGACGTTCACCTCACCTTTGCAAATGAGTGCTCCTCTTCAACAGTTCCCACACCCTATGCAACAACATCCAGCTGCTGGTCCTATGTACCCTGTTGCTCCATATGGACAAGGAAAATTGCCACCAGCATTTCCAAGTCCAAACCAAAATCCTATGATTTATCGTGGAAATCAATTTGTTCAACCAGGTTTTTCATACCAGCATTCTCCTCAAGGTTATATAACCTATCAGAATGGAATTCAAGGACATCCAAATAATACATCTGTTGGTGTACCAATGCATCATGCTGGACCACCACCACAACATATGTCTCATCCTCCACCACCTCCTCCTCCGGGAGCTTACATGCCTTATGTGCAACAACCAGTTCAACAATATCATGTTCCTGCTGCACAACTGGGCCAGAAGATTAGTTTTAACGACCTATTGGGATCTACTTCAAAGTAGATGATTATCCCAGAGAAATGTATAATCATTTCGCTACGAATCTGTTTTATTTGTTTTGATTGTTTTAATTGTTTTGATTGTTTTAATTGTTGTGATATTGCTACATATATTGTGGCCAAGGCCCTCAATTTCATATGAAATATATTGCTAGTGATATTTTAAACTAGCCGGTGCCAATCCTTGGGTTTATGTTGTTTTGTTATCTGTTATTTGTTATTTGTTATTATCTGCTGTGCTGCTGGCGGCCAATTTTTTATATGCATAATTATTGCCACAGCACGATGTTTCCCAAGTCCTTGCCTTGCTTCATATTGAAGCTACTAAGAGTACACCTCTGTTTACTGGCTTACTTTATTGTGACTTATTTGTTTTTATTATGGGAGACAAAGTTGTTTATTTGATTTTTATTTTTGTTTTATTTTTGTCCTGATTGATTTATCCAAAGTTTTTTTGTTTTACATTTTGTTCTTATATCATATATATAAGTTCATTATGTGAGCAGTTTTTTTGGTTTTCATGTTTTCCACTGAGTTTGAATTTTCTCAGTGACTTTCATGGTACTTTCCTGTTTCCTGCTTTAGTCTGCAGTGCATATTTTGTTATAGTTAATACAGAACGAGTAGACTTAGAAAAAAAAATAAGAGATTATGTGTAGAAACATAGAATCAAGTAATAATTTATTCGTATAGTTTTAGACTACGCAAGTGTGTGTGGAAATGGTGTGGAAATCCGTATGCGGGCCCCACCCTGTCAAATCAGAACAAAAAAATAATACAAAAATATATACTAAATTACGTAAGATGATACCAGTACAAATCCAAGCATTTTTGTGCAATATATCCTCCGACAAGCGGTTAATTGAACTACCTAAGAATGACCCTAATTTTTAGTCGCCCCCTAACCCAATATTTCTCGTAGTTGCGGGTAATCACTCTCTTACTTTAAAATTTGACAAAACTTGTACTTAAGAGGTTATGCATGAGAAAAAGAAAGACCGATCGAACTACCCATCGTCAAAGTAAGCTAATAGAAGTGTGTATCGAGGGTTTAATTTTCTTCTATAGTACACATCATATGTCCGTACTAAATCAAGCCATACTTCCCCGTTAGTTCCTTCCAAGGGGAACTTGTTCTTAATACCTTATATCTCGCCACAGTGAAATGAGCATAAAAATGTAAAAAAAAAAAAAAGGAATTAGTTAATATTGACGCATAATTGATAAATACGTAGATTTTGTGTAATAAGACTTGGTATCAAACGGAATTCTTTGATTATAAAAAAAAAAGTCACCATTGTCAAGATAAGTTTTTGATATAACTCCTATACTTGAGAAGATCTAAGAACTAGAAGTCATGGCTACTAGTAAGGAAATCCGTATCGTGGCTCTCTTGTTCCTCGACATTGTATTCTTTTTATTGGAGGCAATCGTCGGGTATGCAGTCCATTCCTTAGCCTTAGTGGCAGACTCTTTCCACATGTTAAACGATATCATATCTCTTTTCATTGCCCTTTGGGCTGTTAGGGTGAAGAATACAAAGCCTGCTGATGGTAAGTACACATATGGATGGCAAAGAGCTGAGATTTTAGGTGCACTTATTAATGCAGTCTTTCTCTTAGCCTTGTGTTTTACAATTGTTATCGAAGCCATTCAAAGATTTTTTGAACCAGCTGAAATTGCAAACCCTAAGCTTGTCTTAGTCGTTGGTATTGCTGGTTTGATTAGTAATGGTTTGGGTTTGGTATTATTCCATGAACATGGTCATTCTCATTCCCATGGTGGTGGTGGATCTTCTTCAGATCATAGTCATGACCATGGCCATTCTCATTCTGATATTGAAGCCCAACGTAACAGTGAACCAGTAGTCCGTAATAATTCAAATACCGATATCTCTGATTATCTTCCAGATAATTTTGTTGAAAGATATAATGAACGTACACCACTTGTTCAAGATGGTTCTGAAGAAACAATTGCTACAAAGATTAAGAAGAAGTCTATGAACATGGAAGGTGTATTCTTACATGTTCTTGGTGATGCATTAGGTAATGTTGGTGTTATTGCCACTGCACTTTTCATTTGGAAAACTGATTATTCATGGAGATTTTATAGTGATCCATTTGTATCACTTGTTATTACTCTTATCATCTTCTCTTCAGCCTTACCACTTTGTCGTAAAGCTTCAAAGATTTTACTTCAAGCTACTCCACCTGATATAGATTCAAATTCTATTTTGGCCGATATTATTAGATTAAATGAAGTTAAATCGGTTCATGATTTCCATATTTGGAACTTAAATGAAGATATTTTAATTGCTTCATTACATATAGAATTAAACCATTCTCCAAAATGTGATGAACTGGAAGAAGGCATGTTAGATAAAGAAGCCTTTGTAAAAGCTGTGACCCTGGTTCGTGAAATCTTACATAAATATGGGGTTCATAGTGCTACCATCCAACCAGAATTCCCACCAGTGGTGGCTGCTGTCGTCCCATCTACGTTGAATAAAAAGGCTAGTGCTTACGGGTCTACTAACCAAGCAAACTGTATAGTTGACGAAGCATCTGGTTGTGATAACGATTCTTGCTTGAAATAATTTAAATAATTAAAAAAAAGAGGATTATCATTATTCCTTTCCTTATAATGATTTTATTCCTCTGTGCTACATGTGTGAATACTTTTGAAAAATATTATATAAATGATATAAATTATACATACACCTTGAACTTTAAATACTATTCTCAAAAGAGTAATTGATTCATAACTAATGTTTTGAGTAATTGGTATCGGGATTAGCGGAAGCAACAGTATGTGAGTCTATGTATGCCTTACATGAAGGAGTTAAAAAATATTAATACTTTTAAAATAATAATTGAAGAAAGGTTTGTAGGGTTTATTAAGCAATAACACAATTCTCATCCAGTCTAGTCTTGGTAGTACCAGTAGTCATTTGACTAGCCATTGTTGTGCGTGAATTGATTTGTTGTAAATCAAGTTTTGGTCTTAACAATGTCATTGACATTCTTCTTTTATTTGAATTTGTTTCAATTGGAGTAGAAATAGAGTTTCTAGATGATACTCCTCTCATTTTCTTCCATGGAGCTTCAGTAACTTTTCTTTTGGGTTGCTCAGCAAATGAGTTTAAGAACATGTAAGCGTCTTCATCATCATCATCATCATCATCATCATCATCATCATCATCATCATCATCATCATCATCCATCACTTGTTCTTCTTCTTCGTCCTCTTCTTCTATTGAATTCTTATGATGATCTTCGAAATGGTAACCCCCATTATTTTGTATGGTTGATGAAGAATTCTCAGAAGCACTACTACATTCCTTGGAAGTAGTGATATCAGTTCGTATGCTTGCCACTGAAGAAACATCATCATTGGCCAACGAAAGTTGTGATGTAGTCGTCGACACTTCACTTGTACTTCGCTGCCAATTACGTGCTATTAAATAGGTGTTGTTATTGTTGTTGTTAAGATTACTCTCCACTTCATCGGATTCCCCTTTAAATTTCATATGAGGTTCTTCACCATGTTGCAAAATAAGGGTTATAACATCAGAATATAACCCAGACCATATCACTTCAATCTCACTTGAAAATCGATCTCTTCCAAGATTATGAAGCATTGTTTCCATCATACATTCCCCAAATATAGAATACTTATCTCTGTCTATATTATAAATTCTTGAATTTATCTTACTAACTTGAATCAACATCTGAACGTATAAATTTTGATTTTTAGCATGATGAAGTTCATGAAGTAATTGAACTGTAAATGCAAATAAATGAATTAATTGCAGCACTTGGAATTCTTCGGAAATAATTTCATGTTCCCATGGTAATATCTCAGTATCTCTCAGTAATTTGAAGAGATTCTTACAAAGTTCATCTTGAAATGTTTGAAGATTAAGCGAAGTCCATGTCTTTTTAATGATTCCAATATTAGCTTGATTAACAATTAATGGGTCAGGTGTAATCGGAACGTTTATACTGGGATTCATAGTATCGAAAATGACAATAGTTGTTATTATAAGATACAATAGAATTCAATATGTTATTAAATGTATTTGTGGCTCTCTCAATTTATCTTTTGAATGGTAACAACTTAGTATGCAAAGGAATGTTTTAACCTCGAGCTTTTTTTAAGAATGTCTAATGTAGATTGTTATAAAGAAACTAATGTATTATTATTTGAAAATAAAAGAATATGAATTGTCTCCCTTCTGGATGATTTTTTTTACGAACAATAAAAACTCTTTGTTAAATAATTTCGTATTTGCAATTATTTAAAAGATGGATATCGGGATATAAAATATCAATAAATGAATACCAAATGATGCAGGATTTGATGGATGGATGGGAGCGGCGTTGAGTAGACAGCGGGGTATCTAACCTACAGCAACCCCTCTCCTTACACATTTACAACATTCAACCGAATACATGCAGGGAATTGGACCGTAGTTACACTAGATGGCTGTGCCATTTCCCACTAATTGTGTATTTTTCCCTCTAAACCTTTTAGAGAAATAATATTTATAAAACCTGCATTCAGCGACCTTTACGTACATGAACAATCGGTTTGTACATTACAGAATGGAATCTGAATAAAGGCCCAATTTTTTGAGGTCGATAGATGCAGAATCGATGGTATGTGGTAGTTTCGCTTGCTGCAATACTTGTGGTGAAAACTTAGGTACAATATCCTATGTACATATAAAGAGATTTATTGTTATTTATAACTTGAGGTTAGAAAAGTGTCAAATTAATTTTATCATATTTTATTTTTTTTTGATACATTAACGCGTCCACATTAATATTTATCTTGGGAAATTTCCATGTGCATCGGCTTTAAATATTCAATATTAATTACCCAACGCGTACATTCAATCTAAAAAGTACCAAGAAATTTAACTCCTAGCAACGTTGACTTTGTGAGTATTTCTGAAAATATACGAGCATCCTACAAGAGAGATTTTTAATAGTCGACACGACACAAAGGTCATTAATATGCAAATCACCGCCATGGGTTTCACACGAATTAATTTTCAATTTTAATTTTATGCAAGATTACGGTGTAAGTCCTGCACGTTAAGCAGTTTTTCTTAACTTCGTCAATTCATTCGGAATTATACCTAATGGAGGTACTACCAGTTAAACACTAATGGTCCCATTTTCATGCATATGGGAGGTTCTTTTCTTGATTATAGTTTCTCTTGCTTCACTTGATGAATATTCCACACGAACACCTATTGTGTAAGCGGGTTTCAAGGGGCATTTAAGATTTCCAACTGAGATTTGTGGGGTATATGTGTTCATTTACACTGAAGTTCGTAGTTTTCGAATTCAAAAGAGTATATTTGGTAACATAATATTGCGAGACTTATTTCACAAGCTCTATATCTATACATACACTCCTTATTCAGTGATGCGTATGATTTGATGCTTGTCATTTCATGATGATGTAGGTACGTGGGTTACCACCAGCAGGTACGAATTCTCTTTTCGTTTATTTCTCGACTAATTCGTTCTCTTTTCGACTAATACATTCTCTTTTTTTTTTATTATTTTTATTACTATAATTTTTTTTTTTTTTTTCGATTATTTTTAGTAGAACTTTTTATTTTCCGAACTATAAACGAAATAACTAGAAAACAACAATCTTTTGATAATAAAGAAAACAATCAAAAGTGTTCACGAAATGGGGGGAGAAAATACTCTTTGGGTATTATATACGAGATGAATATGTAAATGATTAGTAAATTAGCCTTTTTTAGTATTTCTTAATGGTTTCTCTTTAGAATGCAGATCCAAACATACTGAATCTTGCACCCTTCACTCTATTGTACTTGTCAGTCTTACGAGAAGCTCTGGTATCAATCAGTTGTCTTCTAGTATCCAACAGAGCACGTCTGGTGGTGTTGCTACCAGTGCTACTAAAGAAGGAAAATCCTGAAAATGTAGAACTGCATGATTCATTGGACTTAATAGAGCACAAGTCTGAAGTCAGAGCTGATGCAAGTGAATTCTTTCTGGAAGACGATCTCGAAAGTCCCAATCTTTCCTTCAATGATCTCTTAACAGGGGTGTTATACACGACAACAGCTGGTTGCTTGGCCAGTTGCAAAGATGTTGTTGATCTGGTGGAAGATCTTCGAAGTTGAGGATGGGATCTTGGTTGTGAGATTGCCTTTTGTTGAGCAAATGGTGCAGCTGGTCTGGTAAGAGCAGGAACAGGTGCTTGCTTCTTGTTAGCGGTCACTGGAACAAACAGATTAATCAAGTCAAGGCAGTCATCCTCAGAGTCAGATTCCACAGGAGACGCAAGAGTTGGTAAAGAAACCTTAGGTTCTTCCTTAATCTGAGCCGGGATGACATCAACTACATTTTTAACAACTGGCGTAATTGTAGCAATTGTGGGTTGAGTAGTGCTTTGGACAGCAGGTGGAGCCTTCTGGGAAGCAATAGTTTGAGAATTCATAACTTGCAGCAAGATAAAACTACTCTTCATGAACCCAGCAGAAGCACGATATTTAGCTTGAGGCTTAGCGTAAGTTGTTCTTGGTTCTGGAATATCAAGTGGTTTCATATAACTTATTTCACTGGATTGAGAAGCTTGTCTTGGTTGGTGTGTCATTGTTGGTTTTCCACTTTGGAAAGGTGAGAAGTTTGGAGAAGAATTACCTGAAGAAATCGAGGATCTATAATCAGAATTATGCAATGACAAAGTAGACACACCAGAAGATACCTCATCATGGCTGCTTGATCTCTCGTAGGTGGAGGATGTGTTGTCTTGGATTGTCTCATTTTCACTATCATACTTTGAAGAAGCACAATCATCATCATATTCACGAATTGGAGCTAAACCATTTCCGTATGGGTGTTGATGCAGTTCAGATGAAACAGTTCTTTCAGGAATTTGAGTTGTCAATTGAATCAATTCTTCCATAAGGGAATTTTCTTCAGGATCAGATGTAGGACTCTCAAACGCAGATTCCAAATCTTCGTCTTCAACTACAGCTGGACGACTGGTAAATAATGGAGCAGTCGTAGTGTAGACAGACTCATCATCCCTTTCAACTTCACTTTCAACGGGTGTTTCCACTTGCTTTCTACGAAGTTTTCTAGGATCAAACGCTGGTCTCTTCACCATTGATTCTTCGTCAGAATCAGAATCATATTGGGCGGGAAGAGGTTTCTTAAATTGAAGTCTTCTTGGGTCTCTACCAGGATAAATTGGTGCAGTTTTTGGTGGTGGGGTAGGAGGATCCTGGAATTGTCCATCGAGCATTTCATCTTTTTCAACCACTGGAATGATATTTTGTATTGGTTCTGAGTCTTGGCGTACCTTAAACGTATTTGGTCTAAGTCTTCTTGGGTTGTATGCTGGAACTTCAATATCTTGTTCTTCTTCCTCTTCTTCAGAACTGACAGAGCTATACTTTGATTCTTCCTTGAATAAAGGTTTGGAGTTTCTTCTCAGCTTCCTTGGATCAAATGGAGTAGGACTGGCACTTGAAACTGGTGTAAGAGGAGTTTGGATAGGAGATGAAATCTTCATAGTGCTACCAGTAGTACTACGAGGTTGTTCGTAAGTTGGGACAGATGCTTCCAATTCCCTATCAGGCTCTTCATTAGCACTTCTTCTGAATCCTCTGTATTTCTCATTACTTGAAAGTTGAAACTTGACTTTAACAGGACCAAATTTAGGCTGTGGTGGCTCTTCCTTCTCCAGTTCAATACTCACCAATGAATGACCATCATTATCATTTGAACATTGTAAAAAGCTGTTTGCAAGATGCAAGTAAACCTTGACCCATAACCCTTCTAATTGCGGAGTGAACTTCCCTTTTGGTAAAAATTGATGAAAAGTTTGAATCAAAGAGATTCCCATAGGTTCAATATAGTGAATTCCATATCGAGATATACTAGAATTTTCTTCAACAAACAGTGACATGCACTCAGATAAAGTTTCTGGATCATCGATATAAGCAACTGTGAAGGAAAGCATTTCCCCAACAAGCGAGGCCTGCTCGCGAGCAATGGCTTCGCTGTGGAAAAGGGATTTGAGCTTCGGGTTTGAATTGATCATATTTGCGAATAACTTGTTCATGAAATCCTTTTGACCCAGCTTTTTTTTGGCTAACAAATTAGACCAAGTGAAGCGAACCATGAAAAGGTCATCTTCTTGAAGTGTAAGAGTCGACATATTTTCTCTTTCTTAATCTCGTTCAGCGACCAAGTAATGTGTTTTTCCGATCTGAATCCCAGTATGAATGTCAATAATTTAAAATAACTTCTAAGTTGGCGGGATGTATTGCTCGTTTAATCAGTAGATGGATATTTAGAGCAAAATAGGTGGATCTTAAATTATTACAGCATGCCTCGTCTTATATATGGAATTCACCCCCACTCTACTAAAATTTCCTTTCAAAGGAATATCTTCCTCCTTCCTAATACCGTAATTACTCAAAACAGAACTAAGCAAAACTTATTGATCAACTCTGTCAAATCCCTCGAAGGTGCAAAAAACTCGATGTCACACATTAGGCTTTCCGAATGCGGAAGTTTTTCTTAAACCTCAATTTACTAGTTTGGGAAATCTTTCTATGTTGCGAGCCCTGTTTAGATTTATCTGCACACTTTATCAATTTGCACTCACACATTGAGAATCACTTCGCAACCACAAGGGGCTTCCTAGTATAGGTGCACAGGTTACATTCCTTATACATCATGTTAGACCAACTAAATAATTTGGTAGTGTGGAAATCCACAAACTTAAAAAAAAAAAGAGGAGAAATACTTTTAAGGTATCTCTTGTAAAAGTAACTTAAAGGTTGATCTCCACTGGGTATGTTCCCCGTTATGGGCCGCTACATGCTCATCCTGGGAAAGGAAATAAGGAGGGGGGGTGGACATTCTCAGAAGATAATTTTCTAATGGAAGGGTTTCCATACTTGTATTTTTCTCGATGTTTAATTTTCTTTAGGTTACTTTTTCCAATTATATTGAAACCTCGAAGAGGGGAGTTCTCATTTAAGAAACGATGCCCCTCTTTTCATCTTAAAAATTGCACTTGTATATTACAACTGTTAATCTCACGCGATAGTATCAATAATTCTCAGTTAAATTTTAATATTCCCACATTATATTGATATAACTTGTAGTAATTCAAAAAAATAAAAAATTCTACATACTTTTCTATTACTCGTTAATTATTATTACAATTATATGCGGAAAATGTTCAGTTAATGTTTGTACTTGAAGCTAATTCCAGTTTCTCTGATATTGATGAGGGAGTGCTCTCGCCCGTTTCTTCTTTGTCTTCACTCTCTGCCTTCTCTCTTCCCTGATCATTCTCTTGTTGTTGTATTGAATTCTCGTCACCAGCGACCCATGCTTCAGCCTTTTCAAGTTGTTCATTGAATACTGTAGTCAACCGAGAGATCATATCTAAGGATTCCTTAGCAAATACCAATACCCTGTCATTGGCTTGTTGTGACCCATTTGCAGCTTGCTGTACGGTGGCTGGAAGAGTAAGAATAATATCTCTTATAGTAGATTTTAACTGGATATCAGCTGCCAGATCCGGTGATTCGCTTCTATTGTTTGTGGTTGGCGCATCATTTGTACTCAATGAAGAGGGTTTGAAATTTGAAATCAATTTAATGATTTTCTTCACCGTAGTTACAATTTCAGTCTTTGTTCTTTGTGCTTCTTCTTGTGTGGACTCAGAAATAATTGATTCAGCTGCTGCACGTTTCTCCTTGGCTTGTAATTCCTTACTAGCAACTCTTTGTTGTAATGTATTCACCAGATTATTGATATGATCGTTAGCTAATCTCAAGATATGTAAACAAAATTGCAATCTTTTCTTAGTTTCTATAGAAACATTATCTTGGGAATCTATCCGTCTCTTCTTTACTCCATTTGAACTCTTCTTACGAGCTTGACTAGCTTGGTATCTTGTATTCAAATTCACTTCAATTTTATTCACTACAGGAATAGCTGCTTTCTCCACAATTTCGGCAGCGTAATTGAAGGGGGCATAGTTACGTTTCGAGTAATCGTAGTATTTTACTGCGTTGGTAACAAGTGGATGTCTTGATACTTTATTTACCCGTGCAACCAATGGATGTTGATTATTGATGGTATCCGGTTGTAATGACATGTTAGAAAGTGGTGACGTGATATTCGAAGGATTCTGTGTTATCATCCCAGTAGGTGTCGAAACTCTGTTAATATTAGTCCCAGAGTTAGTTGGTACTTGTGTGAGTTGAGTGAGTGCTTCAGCTGCAGAAACAAGATCAGCCACATCTTCTTTCACTGCAAGTGGCTTACTAGATGTAGGAGGATTGCTACCTTCCCCCAACTTAGGAGTAACGGTCTCTATTTTCGATTCTTCGTTTCCAGTATCATAAATCTTCTGATATGGTGGAAGCGCTTCATATTCAGGTGGCCCTGAGGCCATGGAAGCTGATAGCTTTCGCTTAATAACTGCCATTTCTCAAATTTATTTATCAGTCGTGTATTTCCCTTAATAGTATGTATTTGTCTTATTAGATTTGAAAAGTGTGCTTATCTACTGGAGCCTTTACAAAGCAAAAAAAAAAAATTTGGGTCCTCTATCAATACCATGCTCCTCTTTCACAACAAAACTCGAAATCGCATGTGAAACATCGCAGTGATTTTCCGCTTTTTTTTTTTCCTGTTACACTGAAAATTTGTTGAGGTGGACAGATGTTTTTTTTTCCGACTCTGACATATGTAAACTTCATGTTGGGTTTACCTTAGACTACTACTTCTTTGTAATTTTGAAAGCCTTCAATTTGGCTAATATTGTGGTGGTTTTGGCCGTTTCATTCATTTCTCGATCATTACTAGGGAATCCACCATTTATACTTTTGAATTGGAATCCCGCACGGCGTTATCTGACACATACATAGGATCGTAATATTTTTAAAACCCTTATATCATATGCATGTCTTTTTATTCATTACAAATATCTATATATATTCTCAGCTCTCTGTAGCAATCTCATATCTTCACTCTATGGTGATCTTTTCTCAACTTCACTAGTTGTTCCATACTTTTTTTCTTCAATTTCAATGGTTTTTCTTGGAACCCAACCTCTCCCTGGAACAAAAATTCGCTTATAAGCTCTCCCTGATGAATCTTTTCTAGAAAGTTCATCATACCTAACAATTTTGGTATCCTTTTCTTTGATATTGGTGGCATCTTTCTTGACTTCCTTTCCCATTTTGTTAGTATTGATAGCCTTAAGAATGGATTCTTTAAAACTTGATTTAATTACATCGTTTGGGAGTATATTAATTTCTGAAGATTTCAAACTTCGTGATTTCACAAAGTTTGAGTTAGAAGTTTCGAAATTTTGATTGGTTTGGTTATCTGTAATATTCATAACTTTGCTTGTGGAATATTTATATTTTTCATCATAACTTTTCCATACTTCTGCTGGGGATGACATTTTATTTTCATCATTAAATTCGCTTGCACTACCTGTAACAATTGAGGAGCTTCTAATTTCAATTCCAATTCCAGTTCCATCATTCGATTTGTTATATGATGGTGGAATCAATGCAGTTGTTATACTCTTTCCAGAAAATAAACAATAATTCACTTTATCTAAACTTTCCTTTAAATTTTTTGTTGAGTTGGACAACAAGTCAATTTCTCTTCTGACATCCCCACCTCTATTAAGTCTACCTTGAACATTCTTGGTTTCTGAATTCATTTTTAATGTTAAGTCCTCTAACTCTTGTTCAATTCTAATGTATCTTTCATTTAAAAGGTCAAAATTATTCGATAACTTTTGATAATTTGATTTCACCTTGGAATCTTCTTGATCTACGAACATGTAACCAACAATTTGTTGAATTGCCACAAATCCTTGAATAACGAGACTAGTGGTAATTCCAATGACTACCCATATACTAGTTTTTGGGCTCTTCTTATTGAATTCAAGTGCTCTATCGAGAATATCTGCCTGATGGAAACATGTCTGAATATTTAATAATAGAGCTAAATCATTTGCCTTAAATGTGGCCATATCCAAACATCTATTATATATGTTAGTAAACGTTCAATTTTAAGGTTTTAAATCATATTAACTCAAACAACATACGTTTCAACGTGGCGTTGGGTTAAAGGGGATAATGCCAGTCCTGCGTCTTTTATCAAATCAACACGATACTTGCGCAAGCATTCTATTCCATCGCCAATATCACTACACTGGACAATATTCTTGAAAGCACTTGAGTTTGGTAACTGGAAATGTGGTTCACCAACCCTGAATCGTTGTGTATTCAAAACCGCTAACATGAGTATGGCTCCGCTTATCAAAGTTAAAGAGAGAAAGGATATTGGACGCAGGCTAAAGTATTTAATAAGACCAAAGGTCGTATCTTTCTTATCTTTGTGAATTACCTTTGTCATCATGAAATTTACTGCTTTTATAAACATGTTTATGGGGTTACATTAGCAGCACAATTATTTACAAAGTTCGCAAATGGGGTGGGGGGGTTTTGCAACCATTCCCATGATTTTTATTTACGCGAAATGTACACAAACTCAAAGTGGCCAAAAATTGAAGTAATAGTGAGTAGGGTAAGTTAAAAGGCTCTAATTGAAGATTGTACTGGCCTTGTTCAGTTTAAATTTCAATCGAATTAAATATTAATCATATGAATAGATTTCTGCTATTCACACTATAAAGAATAGTAAAAGTGTTTTTTTGCCATTAAATTTTGAATTTCCTATACAATTTCTACTTTTAAGAATAATTATATATTATATGAAAAACAACTTCCAACACAGTGAAAAAGGCATCCCCATTCATAATAAATTGTAAGTTATACCCCACACTACTACATTTGCATCTCTATCTTAAAATCTCTATTAAACAGGAATATACTATAAACAATAACTTTAAAAGTACAAACTATGACTGGGAATGCAGGGAAACTATGTTTGAATAATTTATTCGTCCTTACCGTGCTTTTGGACGTATTCGGCAGCCTTAGCCTTAACACGAGCACATTCTTGCTCAGAACCCCTTTCTTCTTCAAATGCAAGCCACTTGCTGAAGAAAAACTTGGCTTGCTTACGTGACAACTTTTTGGTTATCACTCTTTCGAACAAGTCTTCAACCTTCTTCTTATCACCTTGCTTGGTTTCTTGATCAATGTAGACATTCCACAAGTCAATTCTCTTTGGAGCATCAGAAACCAATCCTTCAAAGAGAGATCTACCTTGTTCTGGGTCACCCTTGGAGAATTCAAGTTGGGCGAATTTACGAACAACTTCAATGTGTTCCTTCTTTGGCAAAATTTGCAATGCCTTAGCCAAAACTTCACGAGCTTCAGCGTTTAAATGACGGTCAAGCAATGAAGAGCCATATTGAACCCAAACAGAAATGTGTTTACCAAACTTCTTGGTCATGGTCTTGTACAAAGCATCAGCCTTGTCGAACTTTTCAGACATCAGGTAGATACCAACAAGCTTTTGATGCATGGTTAAAGATTCCATATATTGACAAGAACGCTTAAACACATCTTCCAAAGTTTCTTCGGTACCGAAAGTATTTTCCAAATTCAATAAGGCAATCCAGATGTTCATCTTTTCTTGTTCTTCTCTATAGTTGATAGTCTTCAATGCACGTTCACCAATTTCACGAGCCTTCTCAATTTCACTCAATTGAAGTTGGAAAGACATGTAGTTCATCCACATAATGGATGAGTTAGGACTACCAATCAATAAACGTTCAAAATCAGAAACAGATTGAGGAGCTCTAGTATTAAGCTCAGCAGTCTTGTCATCAGTATGAGTCTTAGACCTCTTCTTCTTCTTCTTTTCTTGAGTGAAATCTTCATCTTCAGATTCAGAAGAGTCTTCAGCTTGGTCCAAAATAGATGCAGTCCAGTCGAAACCATTGGTAGATAAACCTTCCATCTTGGTTCCTTCAGTTTCAGATGATTCATCATCTTCAGAATCAGAGTCAGAAGAATCATGGTCTTCAACATCAACCATAATATCATCTTCATCTTCATCTTCAGCTTCTTCATTTTCACCTTCACTATCTTCTTCATCTTCAACATCTTCAGCATCTTCCATTTCAACATCTTCAGATTCATCGTTATCTTCTTGAGATTCACTGAAGTAAGAAGCCTTCATACCCAAAGATAATTGCTTCTTTTCGTTATCAACAGCCAAGACCTTAACCTTAACACGGTCACCTTCACCGAATAATGCGGTGACATTTTCAACCTTGTTGTCAGCAATCTCAGAGTGGTGACACAAACCACTGATGTTAACAGTTCCATCTAACTTGACGAAAACACCAAAGTCAGTGGCTCTTCTAACAGTACCTTCGAAAATTTCACCAACTTCCAAGTCTTCAAACTTCTTCAAAATGTTTAATTCACCGTTAACTTCACTTTCCTTGAGGGTCATCAAGATACGTCCTTCTTCCTTACAAGCAGAAATCTTACCGACGACCGGTTGATATGGCTTGAAGTATTTCTTCCATTCCTTCAAGTAAGCATCAGATAAGTCACTAATACGGACCAAGGCATGAACAGATCTACCCAAAGCAACGTAGACACCATTGTTAGAAACGTTCTTAACAAAACCATGAACAATATCACCTCTAGTCAAATCTTCAATACTGTTGATAGATTTGTCCTTAGCATCTTCGGTACGCAAAGAGACAGCAATCTTTTCAGCATCAGAATCAATTTCAACGACAGTGGCAGTGACAAAGTCATTAGTGTGGAAAACGGATTCAAGCTTGTCAGAATAGTTGTTCAAAGCATCAGTGATGTAAGCAGATGCGACAACATTAGATCCAAGTTCAACAAGGACAAAGGTTTCCTTGACCTTAAGGACTCTAGCTGGATATCTTTGACCAACCTTAACATCCTTGAAAGATGAGACTACCTTACTTCTACCAGCTAAGATTACGGAGTTGTGTTCAGTGTCAACTTCCTTGGCAACAACTTGGATGGCGGAACCAACTGGCAAGTTGTTTTCCAAGTCGTCGAAGACTGAAACATCATCATTAAGTTCCATAAAAGAAATACGTCCCTTAACAGAAGGAGAAATAGAAGCCCAAGCATATCCATCAGCAACGTTGTTAACGTAAGCAATCCACTTAGAACCGGCGGTGACATTGGCCAAGTGCAAGATTTCACTACCAGATCTGAGAGAGAATTCTAAGATAACATTCTTGTTGTTTCTGTGAGTAACAGGTAAGAATCTATGTGTCTTGGCATCATGGTAACCGATAATAGTACCTTCGATCTCTTGACCACGGTGGAATTGAGATAATGGTTGCTTCTTATCCTTAATTTCATCCCAAGAGTTGAAACATTGAGTGACGTCAACTCTACCTTGGAGGTTGTCAGCAAGTTGAAGGTTCAATTGGGTACCACGAATGGACTTAATGATAGCCTTAGTAACAACACCTGGAACGTATTCGTTGGTGAATTTCTTGGACTTATCAACTGGGTTAATAGTAGGAATGTCAGAGCCTTCTTCGGCACCTTTACGTTCTTTCAAAGACAACAAGAATCTCTTGTTTTCGGTGTCAATTCTAACAACACGACAGGCAACGGATTGATATTTGTAGAATTTCTTTTCTAATTGTTCACCGGCCTTGTCAGTAGCATATTTAGCCAATACTAAACCAGTTAAACGACCTGCAAAAGAAACAAACAAACCCATGCTAGTAACAGACTTAACGTAACCATGTAACATTCTGTTGTCCATTTGAATATCCTTAAAATGAGCAGGAATACCTTCAGCATATCCCTTAGCTTCAGTGATTAAAGATTCCTTCATGGTTAAGATGGCAGTTCTAGCCTTCATGTCCTTTTCCAAGACAAGAGCTTCAACCTTACTACCAACTGGTAACTTCTTGAATTGGACTCTGTTTTGTTCGTAGTTTCCATCGGAAAGGTGACCAGTAAAGATAACACCACGCAAGTTGTTTCCGCTAAGTTCAACAATAACAGATTCGTTGGTCTTTTCAACAACAGTAGCATCAACGATAGACTTACCTGGGATCAAGTCAGCAATGGCAGTCTTTTGAGCGCCACTTAATTCAGTGGATTGTCTCAAAGTAACCAAAATTCTCTTAGCTTGTTCATCAATACGCAAAACCTTGACATTGACGGTCTGTCCAAGTTTCAAATAATCACTAGCATCATTAACGAAAGTTTCGGATATTTCATTCTTTGGCAAGTAAGCACTTAAGTTACCAAAGAAGGCAACAAGAGCACCATTGTGCACAAACTTAACAACTGTGGCTGGGGACTTCATACCAACCTTGGCGTTGTCAAATTCAGTCAAAATTTCATCATCCTCAGCATTGACCAAGGATTTACGTAAGGTGACTTGAAGAGTTTTTCCAAGCTTCTTCAAAACTCTACCTCTGACCTTTCCACCAACCTTGAATTTTCTTTCAGGGTAAACCAATCTGACATCAGACATATGTTCTCTAGGAACAAATGCTTCAATGCTACCGAAAATCTTCAATACGATACCACCTGATTCTGGCAATACCTTGACGATTTCACATCCGGTGACAACTTCACCGATCGGCACATCACCAGAAGATAAGTATTTGACGTTGATTTGCTTTGGATCCAAAGTTAAGACCAATAAACCTTCGACAGAGTTAAATCCAGTGACTCTAGCCTTATGTTTAGAACCTACAGTGTACGATTCCACGGTCAGATCTGAGCCAATTTTGGAATTGTGGACTTCACCAAGTAAAGTAGATGAACCGAAACTGACATAGATGTAGTTTGGATCGGATCCTTTAACTTCAACTTCATCAAAGACATGTCCAATTGGGAAGGATTCCAATGCTTCAGCCTTGTTGCTGTCACCCAAAGCTATTATATGTGGCAATTGAGATAAAATCAATCTTTTAGTACCAGCCTTAAGCAAAACGGCAATGACTCTAGCCTTGACATTGTTACCAATAGTGTACTTGTGTTTCAATGCATTAAGATCGTACATGTTCAAGTGAGGCAAGTTGAAAGTGGCATCGACTAAACCGAAAACCTTACAAACAACACCATTCTTGGTGACATCAGAAACTAAGGCATCAACAAGCATACCTGGTTGGATGGCATCAATGGATGAAATGGAGGTAACGACAGACTTCTTGGATGCAGATTGAGCTGGTCTCAAGGTGATGGTACGGGAGGAACCTGGCTTGGAAACAATGCTCATGAGAAGAACTGAACCAATCTTAACAAGATCAGCTTCTTCACCCAATTCCTTATTGGAGACAAATCCAGACAAACCAGATTTACCAGTGTTCATGATTATACCATGATCTTCGACAGATTTGACGGAACATTGTAACAAGTTACCAGGCATCAAGTCTTCTTGTTCGATGGAGGAATTGACGGCTTCTGGTTCAATTGTGAATTGGATTCTCTTCTTATTGTTCTTGGAGTTATCAGTGGATGGCTTAACAACCTTAGCTCTTAACCATTGACCAACTCTGAAACGACCATCCAAGGTTGGCAATTCCAAAGTAGGTTTGTGTTTTATAGTGGTAACACCTTCTTCAGAGTCAGATTCTTCTTCACTATCTTCTTCTTGTTGGTTTTCAAAATCTTCAATTTCTTGAACAATTTCATCACTGATGGAAGTTAAAGGAACAAAACCAACCAAATTATCACCTACAGCCAAAGTTAAGTCCATTTTGTTGATGGAAGAAATCTGAGCAAGAACTAAAGTTTCTGGAATCAAATTCTTGTAGGAGAAGTTTTCAATTTGTACTGAGGACTTTTCTTCTTCAGTCTCATCCTTCGATGAGGCCAGTTTTTTCTTTTGAGATTTTTTCATCTTCTTTGCTACTTGCTCAGACTTGGAACCATTGGATCTCTTGTTGTTGGTTCCAGCAGAAGCTTCGAAAAGAACATCACTAGTGACTTCATTAGAAATTTCCTTGACTTCAAGTGGAGTCAAGGCAGTGGCTCCACCTCTAGGGAATGCCACTTCACTACTGCTTATAACAGAGCTACTGTTACGAGATTCAGCACCACTATTTTCCATGGTGACTATCCTCTCTCAATCAGTAAAAATGATACAAATATATATATGGCAGTATATCTCGGTATCTATCACTGACAAGCCAAACAAAAAATGAAGTCTTTACAACTAATTTTTTTTTCTTTCAGCTTCGATGGCGGACTGCAGATGGGGTATAATGATCCTCTTGTTAAAAAAAAAAAAAAAAAGAATTAAATGAGAAGAGATGATTATATGTATGATTTATTACGTATTTTCATTTTTGTGACATTAATATTTACAACCTCTATGGGGATTTGCAACTAAACGTCGTTCCTTCATAATTTCAGCAGCCCGACCTGGACCATATTTTCTTGCCAATTTAGAGAAAAATAGCCCACAAGCATTACACAATGTTTGTTTCCCTTCAGGACCTCTTCTCCATTCTGGAGATTTTTCAGATCCGCAATGACGACACTTTAATGGTTTTGCAGCAACACTTAACTCATTATGGAGTCCACAAGATGGAGTGGTCACAGGATTTTGAACCGATGCAATCGCATCTACACTAGCAACAAGTTTATTTGCATCAATATTTATATCGACTAGATCTCCACTTGGTCCAGATATAGATTGCCGACGGCTCGAACGTGTACAGATTGACATTGTTGAACCACGTTGTTTCAAATGCTTTCGACTACACTTACCAGTTTGTTGCATCCGCCCAGGACTTGATTCAACTTTTCTATGAAAGAACATCGTTGGTCCTTTTGGTTTAGGGTCTATCGATTTTTTCTTAATTGGAGCAGCTGTTAAATCTTTATTTACAACTTCGGGAGGTTGCAGCCACCAACAACCACCACGAAACTGTTCAACTTGTTTAAAAATCAGTATAAATTGAGGAAGATCTTGTTTCAAAGTATCCAAAGGCATTCTTTTAACAAAATAACGAAAATCAAGCTTTAGAATAAAGTGTAAATTACCATAGGGAAGAAATTCCAAACCTGGAGGTTTTGAGGTACGAAGCAATGATTGAAACTCGCAATCCAACTCAAACATCAACCTATGGATTTTTCGACACTGGTGTAACACATATCCCAACGAGTTTAAGACAATAATCTCCTGAGGCTTGCAATTGGAATCAACTGTTGTTGACAGTTTCACCAGTTTCTCGGGCATTTTACGGGGAAACTGAAAGTCTTGAGGATATGTTTCTTGACACACAACTTCACAGGGATACCCCAAAACTGTCTTCCCACCATTTGTCACATCTATATCCTTACAATTTAAATGTTTTGTTAGCTCACCGAATGAAGGTAATTTGAAGCTATTTGTTGGTTGTTGTGAATATTCTAATCTCGTTTCAAAGTAGGTCATTTTTTTATTCTTCTTGCGGTGTCCTAGAGCTGTGTTAAACACACGGACATACAAATCTATTTCAATCCCTTTTTATATTTACCTTCCTTTTTGAAAAAATAATTAGTAGCTACTATATATATATATTAATTTTTATAGTTACCTTCATGGAATGGGCTGAGACGCAAGTCGAAGCACATCTACGCCGTATAGAAATCCTACCACATCAATAACTACCTCATTTCTTTCCCTTGCGTCTAGACTTAGATGAACTCAGTGGCTTATGCATGATTACTTGTCCCTCCTTATCGGCATCTGACTTATCTTTGAATTTCTCTTGCGTTTCCAAGAAAAACATTAAATCTTTAACTTGTTCTGAAAGATCATCGTTTTGTGTTTGCATTTCTTTGTTTGAATTTGTAAGAAAATCAATTTTATCCGATAATGCTTCATTAAGTGTATTAGAATCATTCAATTCTCTTGAAAGTATGGATATTCTTTCATCTTTTTCCTTTAACTTTTTCTCTAATTTTGGGATTGATATTTCTGTTAGAGATTTTAATTTCTCTGCAAGTTCTTCTACTTTAGATTCAAGATCTGGTTTAGAGGATCCTCTACGTGATTTACTTGCAGCTCCTTCTTGTAGTAAATCTTCATAATATTCTCGTTGACTGGCCAATTGACTGATAAGAAGTTGTGAATATTCGAATCCAACTTCATCAACTTTATCAAAATTCCCACTATTACCATTAATTTCATATGAATTCGTTCCAAGTTTAGAATTATTTATGTTCAGTGGTCCATTAGTATTACTTCCAAAACCATCAAATATCCCCATTCCTTGTCCTGGATTAGAAAAGCTTGCAGTTGTCTTTTCAGGAAGTTCAACAAGTTTACCATCAGATTCATTGGCAATAAGTCTGTGAACATAATTATCCCCTGCATAATCCCAAACTCTTGAAGTGTCTAATTCCATGGCAAAACAATGCCCCGTAGATACAAAATGATTAAGTGAATGATGTTGTGGAGCATATCGATCACAACCTAAATTCCCACAAATTAAACAAATCCATAATTTTTCCAGAATAGTACATTCAGAACAATGTTCAGATGCAACAGTGCTAGTAGGAATGGTTGCAGCTATCGATGATAAAGTTGCTCCAGAGGCATTACTCCCACCACTACCATCACCAACAACCGAGAAATTTCCAGTAGATGATGGTCTCCGGAAAAACAGTAAACGTCGTACCGATCGACGAACCTTTTGATTTGAAACATTAATTGAATATCGACAAATTGGACATGTATCATCCTTCCATTTGGTAAGACATTGGCAATGGAAGGTATGCTGGCAAGGAATAGTCAATAATCCTGTAACAGAGGAATCCATACGCTCAAGACAAACAGGACAAGTGGGTAATTCCACTAATCTTTGCAGCTCAATCTCCTTATCTATTGGAATATGTTCTTTGGTCGTAAATGGATCATTCAATAGGAATGGGATAAGTTCATCCTCTTGGTTATACACAGCTTCTTGGTCGATACTCACTGATTTGACAAATACCACATGACAAGTTTCCGGTTCCATTGAATTAAATGCCCTTCCATTGAATGCTTTTTGAAATTGTGCCGTTTTTAAAATGTCTTTAAACTTAATAAGTACAAGAAACCGATTGGGCTTGTCACTCTTCAAGATACGGATATGTGTGATACTATCAATATACGTATTTCCTATATATCCAAGTAAATCAGTAGCTGTGAAATATGTTGGGACTGCTACAATGCATACCATGGTATCATCCCCGGGTATCACTTGAGCCAGTAATGGTTCAGACCGGCTCAACTCATCATCTTCTGGTTCAAATTCTCGATATAAGCGAATAGTACCTTCTCCCAAAGACACAGCTTTGATTGGCTCTGAAGAATGGCCCATATTGATGGCTGATGGGTTTGGAATATCAGTAACTTCTATAGGTGAGGTTCTATAATCGTGGAAAGTATTTGATGTAGATTTATTTAAAGGACTTTGCTGTCGAAGTTCAATATAAACACGATAATTTTCAGTTCCAAGCATCAAGTAACGAAATGGAGGAACCAATAACTATAGTTTTAGTTATACAATGTTGTTTTGTATAAGCCCCAACAGCCCGAACTTTCCACCCTAACTCCCACTCATATATTCTGTGCACACAACCAATCCGCGCTAAAAACCAAAGTGGCAAGGCAGGGTCCCAACCTTACACATATTAATAAAATACTGAATATATATAAAACGCATATATATAATCATAGGGATAGACATACTGTACATGCTTGAATTATATAGATTCTCTACACGTTTGTCATTATAGAAATATAAATCATTGAACCATAAAAAAGGTGTAAAATTATCGTTACTAGATCTAAGCACTAGAATCACCATTACCGGCACCACCAGCACCACCAGCACCACCACCCATGAATTGGTTGGCCATGCTCTTCAACATTGGGTTGTTCATTAACTCAGAAAGATCTGGACCATTTTCGCCACCCAAACCCATGTTTTGGGCCATGTTACGAACTTGTGGGTTGTTCATCAAACCTTGCAAGGCACCTGGGTTAGACATAAGATCTTGAGCAGCCTTCATGATTTGAGGGTTGTTCATCATTTCAGACAAGTTTGGCATACCACCGGATCCTCCAAACATGCTGCTGAAATCAGGCATACCACCAGCACCAGCACCGGCACCAGCACCAGCATCTGCAGCTGGAGCTTCACGAGTTTGAACAGAGTCACTTGGGATAGACTTCTCGAGGTCTTCTTCAACTCTACGACGAGCGGTTTCGAAACCCTTGCTCATAGCTTCAGACTTGGTGTCACCTTCAACTTCCAAACCTTGCTTGTAGGCTTCCATAGCACCCTTGGCATCACCATTGGCATATCTGGCCAATCCTAATCTAGAGTAAGCCTTAGAGAACTTGGAATCCAACTTAATGGCATCTTCTGCATCTTTAATAGCCTTCTCGTAATCAGCAGCTTGAGAGTAAGCGGCAGCTCTGTTAGATAAATAGACAACATTAGTTGGGTTCAACTTAATAGCAGCAGTGTACTTAGCAATAGCTTCTTGGAAGTCCTTAACAGCCATAGCCTTGTTACCTTCAGCCTTCAATTTATCGGCAGCAGCTTGATCTTCAGCAGAAGGAGCAGCAGTGGAAGCGGAAGAAGTTGAAGCAGCGGATTCAGAAGCAGACGAAGCGCTCAAGGCAGATTGAACTAACTCGCCCAAAGACTTACCGTTGAACTTGGATTCAACAATTTTAGAGTCATCATCCTTGTTGACTTCAAAGGCATCAGCGATACAGTCAATGGCGACGTCCATTGATTCAGCATAATCCTCAGCAATAGCATTGTTAGAAACAGACTTCTTCAAGAAGTGTATGATGGACAAGGCAATATCTTTATTAGATGTGCTCATTTTATATATATATAGATTATTAGTATTAATTCTACGACTGGAGTGATCGATAAAATCTATTCAAACTTATCTATAAGTGCCAGCATGCTGCCAATTTAAACAACTTTGACCGCAAATAGTCTAGAATATTCTATACACACCGCGCACTAAAAAAAATCCCACCAAATAAAAAATTAGATTCGCCTCCTTGACACGCAGGTCACCCATAATCTTAGTCAATTTAGGCACATGCTGCAAAATGTTAAACTATATTAATTACCACTTACCTAATGTTTCAATTTGATATAGAGATTTTTGAAGTTCTGATTGCCTTTGAAATGCAATTCTAATACTCCTTTTCGTAAATATCTTTAAACTTAATGCCAAGAAGTCTGACTTGTATTTCAAAAAGGAGCTTATCTCTGCAGCCAATGTTTCATGTTCCATTTTAAGTTGAACATTTAAACTCATTATTTTCTTTATTTCTTCAGAATTTTGTAATACAAGCTTCTTATATCGAGTATGTTTACTTTCAATTAGACTTGAAAAGTTAAAGAATGATGATATAGAACTATCTTCATTAGTATGTGGCCGTTCATTAAGTCCACGTTCCCCCGTAATATTCTCATATTTCCGAAGTTCTGAATTATATTCATGAATTTGCCCATGTAATTGTTTCCAAGAATCGATTTTATCGATACATCTTTTGACATTTGCATTTAGTTCTGTAACAAATATATCAAGCGTTGACGTATATTTTAAGAGTTCACCATAAGCAGAATCGCTGCCACTGTCATGTAACGTAGTATGGTCTATAGCCTCATTATTAGAGTTCAATAAAGCAGAATGTAGAAGTATATCAGATAAGATACGACAATCTGATGTTTTCCAGTCCATAAGTGAGATGGCTCGGTTAAACTTATCTATAATCAATTGAAACTTCAATAAATCATTCATAGAGAAATTCAAGAAAAACTCAATCTCTTGAATTTTTAACATATCAAGTTTAACTTCTCCAATTTTTGCTTTCATATCATCTGCATCGGTTTTGATATCTTTTATTAACTCCAATGTCAGCTTTTGAGCACCAGCTTTGCTGAACATTTCCCAAATATTTGTTTCTTGCTTATACTTTGGATGATAGTTAAGACAAAGAAACATTATATTCAAATCTTCAACAATCCGATTAACCCGAAATTTATTAAATGATGGGAATACTATTTGACCCGCTGGGAAATTTTGAAAGAATGAATCCTTCAGTGGAATAACCGACAATGGGAACCGGAGTTTCATTAGGTACATATTCTGGGCAATATATTCAATAGATTCATGGAATGATGTGTAATTTATGTCTTCTGGGGATACTGGTTCAGATTCGATTCTTTCTCTAAAAAAGATTATCCAATCTTTATGAGTTGGATCATATTTCCCGGTTAATACCACAAGTTTATGTGGTGCACTTTCGCCATATTTTTCATCTATAATGTAATCAACCAATAACTTTTCTATGTCGATACTTGGCGCTACATTTTTTCCAGATAAGGATCGGAAGAGTCCACTCGAATAATCAAAAACGTTTAAAAAGTGAAGTTGATCTTCCTTTGTGAATTCAATTCTTGAATCCTTCAACAATTGCACCAAGTTCTCATACCGATTATACTTTACGTATAATGCCAAAGGAGTCAAGTTTTTGTTATTAAATTGATTGATATCAATGATATTATTAGAATTTGAAAGAATACCAGTACTTGCAATTTGTCGTTGAATAACATGAAGTAAAGTATTCCCATTCTTATCAATATGCTTATTAAGGTTTATCAAATGTTTGGGACCAATACCATATTTATTATTTATACACGAGAATGCCCGTTCCACTAAGTCCAGATAATTGACATGGTCATAACAGCGACATAAACTGAAAAGAGGTGTATGCGAATTCAAATCTTTCAATTCCCAATCCAAATAAGGTCCCACTATTTCAACAAGGTCTATGCTATGGTGAAGATAATGACCCACAGTTCTACCTAAATTATCAGGTAAATTGTAGTAGGCTATTATCTCTTCTTTAGTGCAACTACCTGCGATAATTTCGATCAAATCTTGTGCAATTTCTGGACATTCTTCAACGATAGATACCATCAATAAACTTTGGTTAGTTGTAGTATTCACATCAAAAAGAATGTCATCGATTGAGAACCAACATAAATTGAAATCAATCAATAACTTATAGATTAGAAAGTTCTTACTTTTAATTGCCATCATGAGGCAACTTTCTCCATCAATATTTCTACTCTTTAAAAAATGATTGTTTGGCAACACATTGCCTTCAATTTCTGTCAATAGTTTCTCTATTTCAGTATAATTTCCTTTCCTGATATAATTCCAAAATACTTCATTGGAAGTTGAAAACGTTTGAAGTTGCTTATTATTATCGTTAATAGATGATAAATGTAATAACACTGCATCGACGTTACTCAAAATATAACTTAGATATCCATCATCATGAACGTTGATGGAATTGAAATGCTTAATGTAATAAATATGTGCTTCGAGAGAGTCAATCTTAGAATGTATGATGACCATTATCAATAAACCAATAAGTGTATCTGCATCAACTAACAATCCATCTCCCGATGTATGTGACAATATTTGAATACTTTTAACTAGTATCTTTGTTTTTCCTTGCAGATTTACCACAGCTGTATCATCTAATTTCTTAAATTCTTTTATAGAATGCAGAACTCTTTTGTAAAGTTCATTAACATACCAAGGTTTCTCAACGGATATATCTAGTTGATTTAATGATAAATGTGACAATTCTTCATATATTTCACTTGTCAAAACTTTCCTTGAATCATTAAACTGGAAAATCAAATGTGACCATATCTTATCATATAAATTTAACTCAACGTATTCGTGGATTATCTTATTGAAGTCCAATCCAGGATATGATTTAAGGATGTTATTGATAAGATCAAATGTGGCTTCACTGTTAGGGGTATCTTCATCTACACTTTTCAGAATGATTTTGAACGAGTCTTCAAGGATTTGGTTAAATTCCTTTTCAATTTGCAGTAATTCTTTAATATTGTTCACTCTTAAAATTTGAAATTGGTAATTGTTATGATGGAAAAGTCGATAAAATTTATCAGACACTGCTTTTGACAAGAGTGGGAAACTTCTCAAAAGATTTTCAAATGTAATTGAATCTGCAGTATTCCTTTTTGGAATTTCTAAAGACTCTTTAGGATTCATTTCTGTTTTACTTTGGGAATCAGTTGGAATCAGTTGACTTTGTAAATTCCAATTCCAAATATTTATTCTTTCAACCTCAGGAATAAAACTACCAATAACTGAGTTATCAACATAAATAAGCATAAATCTTGACCCTAGAGGGAAATAACTTGCCTGGGAATAAAAATAATCCAATTTTAATATCTTTAGAGAAAGGGATTTACCAAAACCTTTACCTGGGAAAACAATCCCATTCTTTATCAATACTTGCTTTCCATTTAATGTATTGTAAATCACCAGTTGTTGCTTTGAAAATGCAGATTTTGACGAGTAGGGTTGAGAAGTGCGAACTATATGCGATCGAAGGAATGCATCATCAAAGTAGCACGATTCATGTAGTCTTGTCTTTGTAGAACTATATTCAGACGATGGGTCATAGTGGGTTCGAAGTATGGCAGTGGGTGGTACTAAGATAGCAAAGTCGTTATGCAGTCGTGATAGGGTAGTAAGTATTGATTTAATTGGCTCCTTCCTTGGATTGGAGCTATTGAATATCGAATCTAGAAATGGATTTAGTAGATGTGGAGTTGTGATTTTCTTCAATGAAGTATTTGTATTATGACCTTGAGGAATATTGGAATTCTCGAGTGTACCCCTCTCTATTAAATAATCCAGACTCGAATTTTGACCACTCTCCGTTGATGACATTATTTTTTGTCACCTTATCTAACCCTTGAATTTGAAATATCGCTTGCCTTCCCCATATAATCGTCACTCTAAATATAACTATTGTACATACATGAGAGATAACAATTTCCTGCATATAGACCCGTTACATGGTATTTTTATGATTAGTTTTATTTGCCAATGAATCTGTATCAAATTATAAATGGAAGCTGCTATGAGTATAATGGATACTGGGAATGTCATACAGTGATAATGAAGCCAAAAACAAGGGAAATCACCAAAAACGCTTCATCATGTGCCAAAGAGTTTTCAATAGAGGTAAAATTACACAAATGTAAAATGGGCGTGTGGCGTAGTTGGTAGCGCGTTTGCCTTGCAAGCAAAAGGTCACTGGTTCGATTCCTGTCTCGTCCAATTTTTTTATATTGCTAAATTCTTGCAAATCATTGTCTACATGGTACGATAGCCGTTTCATAAAATAGTTATCCTTCTCTATATTACAATAAAACACATTTTTTCGTATACCTCGTTCTTTCTTCGTTTGTACAAGAAGCTCTCGATGCCTCTTTGAAAACTTTTTTAACACCTTTCCCCGTTTTCGCAGAACATTCCATATATTTGACAGCACCAATGATTTCAGCAACTCTCTGTCCTTCATTACTACTTACAGGTTCCTTTTGATAAACTTTCAATTGCTCGATGGTCTTCGGGTCAAACCTTAAATCTGTTTTACATGCAATCAAGAGAATGGGAATGTTTTCACAATGATATTCAATTTCAGTAATCCATTTTTCTTGTACATTTTCTAGAGAATCGGGAGAATCAACTGCGAAGCATATCAATAGAACATCAACATGGACATACGATAATGGCCTTAATTTGTCATATTCTTCTTGAGCGACTGTGTCCCATAATGCCAATTCTACCGTGGAACCGTCAACATGTACTTCAGCAACATAACTTTCGAATACAGTGGGAATATATTCTACAGGGAAAATTCCTTTAGCGAATACAGTTAATAAACAAGTCTTACCACAGGCACCATCACCTACAATGACTAACTTCTTATGAATTCCTCGTTGTTTATATTTAGCCATTTGTTTTATTCTTTGTGTGCATGGTTTTGATTCGATCTCTTAATTTCTTCTGGTTAGGCTAAAAAAAAAAAATAATAGAGCAAGAAAATATTAACGACAAACTTATTTCAAAGAAAGGGTTCAACGATAACTTTATTTCAAATAAGAAGCGAACCGTATGGATTTCTTGGCCTCAATTTATTGATCATTACTTTTGAATGTGTTACTCGTTTGAAATTTACCCCACTTCTTTAAATCTGTCAGATCAATCGATGCACTTGTTATCACCGTTATTTCCATGTTGCTACAATTACTAATCTACGATGATTCTCACTATGTCGTCATGCTACATATTTTGAGCCATTAGTAAAATGTAGAGAATTAAAAATACAAAAAAAAAAAGAAAAAGCATAATAATCTCGTGTGCAGCGTGGAAAATGCTCACAATAGCGGTAGATCGATTCTGGAAGGTTATGTAAAGAAGAGAATTTTGGGGTATATTAGCAACGTTAACTGATAAGATTTTGAGCCTATGTAACACATACTACTGAAAAAAAGAATTGTTAAGAAATGTGGCTTGATAAAAAGTTGACACTGCCTCCTCAAACCTTGGCTCAAACCGCCGTTTCCGCTAATTTAGCACTTTTTTTGTCATGTTGGATGGCCAAGCCTTACTATCAAGGGGGGATGAAATCCGGAATAACACACAATTCTTTCAAACGCAATTTCAAGCAAGATATTTATTTATTTTTATATATATATATATATCCCTAGAACCCCATCAAAGCTTCAGTATTGTCTTGCAGACTCTAATTTTTAAAGTGTAGTCTATATTCTTGGGTTTATCTTTTTAAGATTGTGTATTTGCTATTTTTGTCTACCCGCATTTGCGTAATTTAACCCATCCCGGTAATACAATTAAAGTTCATTTTATCAGCGAGCGAGGTTTTTTGGATTTGTACTCTTCTCGTTCAGTGTTTGATCTTTGCTACAGAATTAAATAAACCACTCCTTGTTGGTTTTTGCATCCGAATCCGTAATATCCGGAATCAGCCAAACTTCACATTGCCGTCTGTTCCCTTGACGACAGAAGACGAGAAATCTTTACACACTAAAACGATTATCGGGAAACTTATAAATATATCGGAAATATAAAATTAGAGTAGAAATGATTTTTGGTATACCTACTCCATCGTTCATGAAGCGAAGCAACTCAAAACAGGGTCTTCTGAATTTAGGAACTCCTTCAACCTCAGCATCTTCTCGCTCTTCTTCCAATTCTGGAAACTTTAAGGGAAGTAAGTCTTCAATTTCAACGCCCCCCATGTCCGGATCCGGCCGGAATATAGCAAATGGTACACCACCTCCTCCACTTCCCAAACTCAATACAACACTTGCCAGCCCTACTTCTTCCGAAAAGGCTGCATTTGGATCAGGGGAATTTTCACCAAGGAAACAAAGGCAATTAAGTGAAAGGGTGAGATCAGCCCCATCATCCCTTGTACGACAACTGAGAAGTTATTCGAATTCTATTCACTCTATGGCTAATGGGGATGTACCTGACTCTCCAATTCGTACTTCTCTGAAGAAATTCCCTTCTTCAAACTCAATAACTGGTCAAGCTCTTTTAAATTCTAATAGAGCAGTCATGGATAATCTTCCTGCAGAATTATCACCAGTCGTTACTCTTATCAATGCTCAGAAACTTCGTACTTATGCTATTGGTACATTCCAAGTTCCTGGGCTTGATGAGTCTCATAATCGTGTTTGGGTGGAAGTTGAAGGTAAGCTCACTGGGAATGAATTAGCTATTTGGAGACCTTCCGAAGAAGAATATCAAGTGGAAACCGATGAATATAAACCTAAATATATAAACTTGACGGATTCAACATGGGAATGGGGAACCGACGAAAAATTTGATTTGAAAATCAGTCAAGGTTTTAATGATTCATTCCTCATTAAGTTCAATGAACCAGAAGATATTTTTAATTGGGTTGGTGCAATTTGTCTTTCAAATTTTGAATATACTTCCCTTAACGAAGCATTCACAGCATCTATTCTTTCTCTTAAAGGACCTAAATTATCCGACATTCATATATTATTGTCACAAAAGAAAAGATTCCAAAGATCGGAATGGTGTAATTTAAGACTTTCACAAATTTCTTCGAAATGGCTTAAAGTTTTCGTTGTAACAATCCCACTGGAGAATAAAAAGAAAAAGAATGGTAGAATTGAAATTTATTTGAATGATAAACCATCAAAGAAGAATTTGATATTATATGTCAATAGAGTTGATGATTTATACAACGTTTACCCAGAACAACCCAACATGATTGATTTCAACTCTATTATGAAGTTGGATGGTGAGATATACATAAATAAGAGTTTTGAGTCCTTGTTTGTTCATGATATACCCCTGTCTTTGCCATTCAATGGGTCTCAATTGACACATTCATCCAGTATGCTGGGACTTCTGAATCTTCGAAGCTCTTCATTTGCGTTTAAATCACATTCTAGAACCGGGTCTGCCAGCTCCCTCAGTTCCAATACTGGCCATAGAAATATTTCTGTCAATTCTGCATCTTCCTTTTTCGTCAATGCTCCTTCACCTAAACAACACGAAAATACTTCATCTATTTCAACTTCACCAAAGCAAGCTACTACAAGTTCACTCTCTTCTCAATTTTTCAAGAAGGAAGCTTTCCATTTTGTGAGCACTGATTATCTTTACTTGATGCCAGTACATCATCCAGGTGTTGCACCAGTGGAGACTATGATTCGTAATTTCATTGATATCGCTGACTCCTTTAAGTTGTACGGAAGACCTGATCACTTTGTATCGGACAAAAGAGAAACTGAAAGTATGTTGTTTGGACTTCCCTCTTTACCTCATTACAAGTACTTGTCTATGAGCGAGAGTGTCGCACTTGTAAAGGAAAATTATCTTTCATCATACCAAAACATGTGGAGCAGCTATGATTGGAGATGTGTTTTCAAGAATCACATTAGATCTAAACAAATTAAGAAGTCTGGTTATAAAGGAAGTGGAGATATCTTAAAATTGTACAAGTCTCTTGATCATTTGGAAATCGATGATCATGATTACGGAATTTCCAAGATTTTAGGTGCTTCTCCAAGAATTCAAATCCCTACAAATACGTCAGGTCTGCTTGATACTCTCAATGATAGTGTTGGCGCTGTTGGATCTTCTCTTAGTCCAAATTATGAATTATCGCACTCTGTCTCTACAAATGGATCAATTCCAGGTCAAACTGAAGGTACACCTTCATCTCTCGGATCTCCTCTCGGAGCCCCACTCGAGTTTGAGAAAAGTTCTAGATCTCCAGGTCCTCAAGGTAGTGAACATCCTTATTATTCATTTATGAATAATAATTCTGAATACGAATCTTTGAACCCATCTCCATTCGTTTCATCTCCCCTTCGTCCTAAAGTATAAGGACATTTTTATTGCATTTATACATTACACAATAAGCCACATAGAATTTAGATCTATTTGATTATTTCAAACTCCTACCCTGTTTTACTTAAGGAGTATTCATTTATATGTACATGTATTATAGAATTTACGTATAAAAGTTTATTGAATATTATGTAAGTTTAGTTTTAGTTTGTGGTGTCATAGTAGTGTACCACATTAAGAGAAAAAACCATACCTAATAACAAAAGAAATCTACTTACAAGAAAAGTGTAAAAAGTAGCTATAAAAGATAAAATAAATTATAGGGGCGGTTCCATGTACGAACATATCTTAGTCATGAGACAAGAGATTGCTGTTTATCTTGTTGTTTGTTATGACTATATCCCGAGTATCGCATATGCATAAATTGAGAAAAGAACTGCACATGTCCCTAGATATAACGCAAACACAGTGGATCACCAACTCAGTACACGTCCTATTTCTTAATTCGAATAAAGGCGTGAATGTAAACAAACCTAATTAAGGTGTTGTTTACATTTTGTATCTTATTCTTTTTTAATAAAAAAAAATCGATTTCCTAACGCGACAAGTTGCTGGCTAAGGCATAAGGGGGTTATATATGCGTTTTCAAGCATAAATCATATAGTAAAGGAACATTAAGTACATTGAAAATAACGAGAAATTTTCAGAATTCTTTGAATATACAGTTTTTCTATAACTATACGATTCATTGTTAACAATATTAACCAGAGAAGTGTGTAATTGTATCCATTTGATACTGGTCGTGCGTGCGCGAACGCGTCTAAAATTAAATAAAATTTTTTGTTGTTGTTGTTGTCCTCCATTGCGCATATACCTAAACCATCATAACGCGACGCGACACCAGGAGATGCAAACAATCGAGAGCCGTTTCGGAATTGCATCTACCTTCCAACTATATAAAGCAGCGCGTACCCTCATCATGGAATCAAATTGTTTATACTCTTTACACTTTAATAATTTAACTTTTAATAACTTTATCTTTCTTTTATAAATTCGTCACGTTTGTTCCAATTCGTCACTAAAAGAATAGAAGCCCTCCAGCGACAAAAGCAAGAAAAAAAAAATAATACTACACATTTACAATTTTAGTAAAACCCGCAAGTAAAAAAGTTTGCCTTTCAAATTTATTTTACTTTCATTCTACATATATAACATAATATCCAATGACTACAGAAACCCCAACCAGCGGATTAACCGGTAAGATTTCCTCCCTCGACATGTCTAACCTTAAGGGAAAGTCTCTCACTGATAAGTTGGCTGCTGAAGCTGAAGCTAAGGACCAAAACCAAACCGATCTTTTGGCTGTTAAGGCAGGCATTGAAGCACCAAAGGTCTCTGAAGCCGAAGCTGCTTCTGCTCTTGCCAAGATCGAGGCTTCCCACAAGTCTTTCTTGCACCAACACAAGGCTCATCGTCATCAACTCAAGGAGCTTGAAAAGGATGAACCTCTTCTTAAGGAAAACACCAAGAGATTTGTTCTTTTCCCAATCAAATACCATGAAATCTGGCAAATGTACAAGAAGGCTGAAGCTTCTTTCTGGACTGCCGAAGAAATCGATCTTGGTAAGGACACTCATGACTGGAACCACAAGTTGAATGACAACGAAAGATACTTTATCTCTAGAATTCTTGCCTTCTTTGCCGCTTCTGATGGTATTGTCAATGAAAACTTAGTTGAAAACTTTTCTGCTGAAGTTCAAGTTCCAGAAGCCAAGTGTTTCTATGGTTTCCAAATCATGATGGAAAACATTCACTCTGAAACTTACTCTTTATTGATTGACACTTATATTAAGGATCCAAAAGAAGCCGATTTCTTGTTCAATGCCATTGAAAACATTCCATGTATCAAGAAGAAGGCCGACTGGGCCTTGAGATGGATCTCTGATGATGATGCTCTCTTTGGTGAAAGATTGGTTGCCTTTGCTGCCGTTGAAGGTATTTTCTTCTCTGGTTCATTTGCTTCCATTTTCTGGTTGAAGAAGAGAGGTTTGATGCCTGGTTTAACTTTCTCTAACGAATTGATCTGTAGAGATGAAGGTTTACACACTGACTTCGCTTGTCTTTTGTTCTCCCACTTACAAAACAGACCAGACACCAAGATTGTTCAACAAATTATCACTGAAGCTGTTAACATTGAAAAGGAATTCTTCACTGATGCCTTGCCAATCTCTTTGTTGGGTATGAACTGTAACTTGATGTGTCAATACGTTGAATTCTGTGCTGATAGATTATTGGTTGCCTTGGGTAGCAAGAAGGTTTACAATGTTAACAACCCATTCGACTTTATGGAAAACATTTCTCTTGCTGGTAAGACTAACTTTTTCGAAAAGAGAGTTTCTGACTACCAAAAGGCTGGTGTTATGGCCAAGGCTAACGACAACAAGGTTGCTGAAAGCAACTTCTCCTTTGACGAAGACTTTTAATCCCCTCGCAAGTCTAATACAAAGGTGCATTTCTACACGAGATATTCGTGTTTGCATGATCAAACTCAAACTCATTACTTCAACTTTATTGTATATTATATTCCCCTAATAAAAAGGTTTCAAGAATTTCTAAATGTAAAAGTTATCTTCTATTTAATTACAAGGTTTCCAAGAGCATCATAAACCTCTTCTTCTTCTTCTTCTTCTTCTTCTTCTTCTTCTTCCTCACTGTCAGTATCGTCGCCTTCAGCATCGTCTATTTCGTTTCCAAGGTTATCATATCGCTTCTTACTGATAACATTTCCAAGGTTATCATACTCTACATCTTCGTCACTCTCTTCTCCTTCTTCTTCTTCTTCCTCTTCTTCACTTTCTTCTTCTCGGTTCACATTCCCCATCATCCATATGTCTTCGGTTTGTCCTTGTAACTTTCTATCCTTGTGTTCCTTCTCAATCTTTTCAAGCCATGCTTCTTGTGCAGCTTGTACCGAGTCAGAATCTGTACATTGCTGATATACCTCTATTAATTCCTTGTTAATTTTTAAAAATGCAGGCCCCCATGAAAAGTTATCAAGTAATTCAGTAGCCCAATCCAATCTACCTACAATGGCAAAACATGCAGCCAAAGCTTCTACACAATTCAATTTCCATGGTCTCCCATAGTTGACAGGATTAGCAGCAACAAGATATGGCAATAATCTTTCGTGTTTACCTCCAATTTTATTGAATGGAACTTCATCCAATCTTGCCCATGAACATTCTACAACTGCACTCCCATTACCTTCTACAACTTCCTTATCATCAGGACAAACAACACCTTTCCCATTTGGAGAAACAACCACACCAGAAAATTTTTGTCCAATTCTCAAGTTTTTAATGAGTCCTAATCTTTCAAGTTTTTTACCAGAACATCTTTTAGGATCACAATGATCAAAATCCCACATAGCAAGTTTTACTGGGAACTTATCACCAGATCCATCTGGTCCTCCATTAGCACCAGTCTCTTGTCTACCCTTTCTACTATGATGCTGTTTTGATTTGTGACCATTTGAAGTACGAGTCGCACGAGTATGATCTTCTGTAGTTTTATTTTTCCCCTTCGCCATTTTTATAGTTGATTCTTCAAATGTTGTAGTTGGGTATGTAAAAAAAATATTTGAGATGAGAATTGAGAATCAACAATCTATACCTTTAAATTCGATTCCTGTATGTATAGTTGAAGGACTCATATATGGGGAGGAGATACACATATATCTTATTTTCACTCTTTAAATGGTCTAGAATAATGATTCATTCATTGAGTTTCTCAGATAGTAAAAATGCAAAACTCCCCAGATTATACTTGTTAAAATGTCAACATTATTCAAAGATTCATCCATTATTTTCATATGTGTGTGGGATGTATTGTGTTCAAGTAGCCTTGACATTACTTGAAACTGATTCAATTGAAACCACCATATCACAATTAATCGAATACCTTGAAAGAGTGAAGAAAAACCTAAAGGTATTGGATGGTGAAGGTGGGGGTAGCTTCCAAATAAGGAAAGCAATGTGCACGGTTCTTGATAAAAAGTATAAACATTTAACATCGATTTTACAACAAACTACTGATTCAGGTAGTATTAATTTTGGACAAATTGTGGAACTATTACTCGAGTTAGCCCTTTTGTATGATGTTACAAGAGGACTATACCCATTAGAGGAATTCAAAGATGAACAAGAAAAGGGAAAATTGTCTGATATTATCTCAGATATGGAGATTGAGTATAGGATACATTATTGTAGAACACAATCTTCAACCATTTTATCCGTAATTAAGCTGGGACAAAATATTGCAGACTATATGGATCAGTTGAGTTTGGTTCCAACATCTGAAGATGATAATGATGAAGGAGCTGAAGGGATCAGTAAAGAAGCTGTGAACGACATGATTAAACATGTTATGAGTTTGCCTGATGAAGCATTTGATGAAATTGACCATCAGGAAGAAGAGCATGAAGGTATAGCTGATGATGATATCACTGATATTGAAGGAGATAATACTGAAGAAGAGGAAGGAGAAAAAGTACTAAAATCAAACACCAGTAAATTGAAGCTGGCTCTTCAATTACCTAACGTCCCCAAGGAGAATGAGTTAGGTATAAAAAGCTCCTTGGAAGATAATGATGTTAAAGACACTGGAACTGATGATAATATGGGAGCAAGGGATTCCCCATTACCAAGCGTCAATAATCATAAAGTTGAAAACAATACTAATAATAAAAATATACCACGTTTTCAACATAAGACGCCTCGAGACTATACTAAAGAGGAACTCAGTAAGCTTTTAGAAGACGGTGAACTTCTTGAATCAGCTGCCAAAGATGCAAAATATGCCGTATCTGCTTTGAACTACGAGGATTGTGATACAGCATTAAGCAAGTTGGAAGATGCAATTAGACTTATTAAAGAGTATCAATTAAGGACCTCCAAATAGAGCTACTGATAATGATCAACTAAGTTCCTTTCAGTGGTCTCATCAAGAAATATTGTACAACTTTGTCGTTGTATATAGATATAGATATATATGAATCCTGCATTTACCACTATATGTATATTATATGATAAACCCCATATTTTAAGATTTGGTAATCTACTGAACAACATTCAATTATGATATGACAACACCACTTCATACAAATCTAAAAGAACCGAAGAATTTTAACCCTGACCCACATTTCAGCTTTCTTGTCAATGAACTTTTTGCGAAAGTCGATGATGTTACAAAGGAGAGGTTAGGTGGATTCGCTTCCATTACAGCAAAGAAACTGTTTATCATTGAGGAGTTCATTAAAGCATGGAAACACTATGTAGGTCTCAATATATTTCCTGCTACAAGACTCATATTTCCCAATAGAGATGGGAGATTATATTTCATGAGGGACGTTGGATTGGCAAGGTTAGTTACAAAAATGTGCAAGATTCCCAAGAATTCTGCTGATTATAAACGAGTTAATGATTGGAAGAAGAACTATCATGATTACAAGAGACAAAATCACGATAAAAGGAAATTGAGAGCTTTATCGTACATTCTTGCTCAGCAAGTATCGGAACGAAGAGACTTACAACCCAAGGGAGATGATGTGACTATTGCAGAAATCAACGATGTGTTGGATAATCTTGGAATGGATGAACTAGGGAAGGCGGAAAAACAAATTGAACTTCTTAGACCAATTATTGATCGACTTAGTACAGAAGAATTACGTTGGTTTTTCCAAATAATACTAAAGGATTCGATGATAGCACCTATGGAGACTTTTTTCTTCTTGGCTTGGCATCCTGATGCCCCAGCTTATTCCAACGTGGTAAACAACTTAAAAGCTGTATTTTGGAGATTGACAGACGAAACCGAACGCTTACACGAGGATGAGTTGAAAGTCCACCTAATGTACCCATTTCTCCCACAATTAGCTGCCAAACCAAAATTGAGCTATGAAGAACTTGCACTGAAAATGGAGCATAATTTTTACATTGAGGAAAAGATCGATGGTGATCGAATGTTAATGCATATGCAGCGGAATCCAGATGATAAAAATGATATGCGATTCAAGTACTATACCAGAAGATGCAGGGACTACTCCTTGCTCTATGGAGAAGATCTTAAATATGGAGCTATTAGTAAATATTTAAGGCACGCATTCAACGAAGGGGTCACCAGTGTGGTATTAGATGGTGAAATGGTAGCGTGGGATTATAGAAGAAACGTTATTTTACCATTTGGAACCTTAAAGGCTTCAGCAGTCCAAGAAGCAGTGAGACATTTCACTACCGAGGATGCGTTTGCTGATCAATCTGCCTGGCCATTATATATCATTTATGATATATTATACTTAAATGGAATTCATCTTGAGGCGACCAAACTCATCGATCGTAGAGCAGCTCTCAGACGACTCGTCAACGAGATTCCACATCGATTTGAAGTGTTGGATACCCCCATAGGACATAGCGCACAAGATATAGAGGATGCGATCAGGAAAACTGTACTGGAAAGAAGTGAAGGTGTCATGCTAAAAAATATCAACCTGAAATATAAAATAGCTCTGAGAGACAACTCTTGGGTAAAGATTAAACCTGAATATCTTGAACAATTTGGAGAAAATTTGGATTTAGTAGTGATTGGGGTTATAAAAGGAGTGAAAAATGCATACATGTGTGCATTGAAAGATGCTACAGATGGCGTATATAAATCATTTTGTACAGTAGCTAATGGATTTTCAGAAAAGGAGTATGACGAAATATCAAGAATCACAGCTACAAAATGGCATGTCTTCAAGACTGAGCCTCCACCCCCAGAAAGAGTCATTTTCGGATCAAGGAAGCCGGATCTTTGGATATATCCTGAAGATTCGCTTGTATTAGAAATCAAGGCGAGATCTATTGATGCTTCACCTTTGGCAACATATGCTGTGGGTACCACTCTCCATAATTTATATTGTCGACAAATTAGAGACGATAAGTCTTTCGAAGAATGTATTACTGTTCAAGAATACCGAGAAATGAAAAGATTACATTCCACTGATAATACACACAAGCAAGATGTTATCAAGGAAAAGAAAAAATCATCTAGAAGGGCCCTCCTTGAATCATTCTCTGAGAATACAGTTACTATTAAAGCGGAATCTACACTTTTCAACTCATTCTCATTCATGATACTTTCTGGAAAAGTAGACAATAGGACAGGAGAACGAATTGCGGATACGGATATAGCTAAAGTTATTAAAAAATATGGAGGTACAATCACTCAGAGTATTAATGAAGAGGCAGCCGCAAGTGGAAGATTTATCTGTATTAGTGAAATTATGACCATTAAAGCTAGACAGATACATCAACGTGGTATAGATCTAATTAAACCGAAGTGGATATTTCAATGTGTACGATATGCATCGATTATTCCCTTGGAACCGCCATTAATATTTAAAGGGTCAAATACATTGATAGAGAGGGCCAAACGTCGTTTGGATTCCTACGGTGATAGTTATATCTTACACCCCGAATTATCAATTGACCAGTATGTTGGTGATTTGAATCCGGTACCACCTTTACAGCCTAGAGAACTCAAACGTTTCCGATCTGAGATAATTACTGATATCAATGATGGTGATGAAGATTCTCCATTGGCATATTTATTTGCAGATATCCAAGTATACATAGTAGCTCTGACATCCACCCCACACTGGCAGAGAGAAGGGCTACAAAGAAGCATCGAAAGATACCAGGGCATCATAACAAAAGAATTGACTCTAGCAACATTTATAATAATCATGGACTACGATAGATTTGATTTTAAGATAAGTCAAGAGATAGAGAAAAAGGTCAACAAAATTTCAAAAGATATAGCGGGTCAATTAAAATTGGAGAAGAAAGATATAATTAGAGTTAAAATACCTAATATAGTACGTCAATCTTTCATCTTGGAAAGTATTCATAATAAAGTGTTGGTCGATCCGCAAGATCATAAATTCTGAAAGAAGAAAAAATAAAAAAAAAAAAAGAGACTCACGAATAAACACAAACTTCTGTGATTTACCTTCAGTAACTAGGAGCAACCGCAACTTATCGTAATCTGCAATAAATAAATATAATATAGCACATGTGTAATCAAATAAAAAACACATGCTTAGATTACCAACACGGAATTTCTATTTCATCTCTTGTGGGTGAATACTTGATTCGGAATTTGGAACAATATAGTAGACAAAAAAGAAAGTAAAAAATTAATATGGAAAAAAAATAAAAAATGAAGGAAAAAAGACCCAATCTATCTTATCTTCCTCACGGCAATAAAAACCGGCGCGCCGGTTTTCCTCGCGTTCTGCCGTAATTGCTGTAGAGAATATTTTTCTTTATGATACCAACTGGAGATATACAAATGGGGGGTTGAATGACACAATAGCAACGGAGATATACTTGGATCGGTGTTCCAAAGTAATGGAATGTTGCTTTATCGACTGTTTATTTCTTTTAGTTCGGTTTTGAATTACTTATATAGATACTGAAATGCATCGAATTTTTGCTGCAATTTGAATTTCTTCTATTTAATTGATTCTTTTTTTTGCCCTACAAAGTATTTTGGATCAAGCGCCGTATCTTTTTGATCCCCCTTCCATTAAAAAAAAATTGATAGTTATTCAAGAGGTTTTAAGGTCCTTTAGTTGAGTTTGAAACTGCAGAATGACTCTTACTACGCCTCATAGTGTGACATCGAGCTTGGCATGGGCAACAGCGATTGCATGCTTGAGTACACTCCAGTTTGGATTTCATTTGGCTGAACTTAATGCCCCAGAAGCTTTACTTTCATGTAACTTTCATAGAAATGGCCCATTACCAACATACGAAGATACCCTTTGGTCGCAATATGGAAGGAAACAATGTATACCTATGTCAGGGACTGGCATTGCCACTATCACAACCATGTTTACAATTGGTGGGTTTATAGCATCTGTTCTTGTGGGATCAAGTGAATTATCATCGTCTGTTGGGCGTAGATCTATGAGTAAACTCACTTCTGGAATCTATTTCTTAGGTTCCATAATTATGGCAGTATCCAATTCATTTTGGTTGTTCAACATTGGTAGGTTTATCACCGGGGTTGCAGCTGGTCTCTCATTGGTGGTGTCACCAATTTGGGTTAATGAACTTACACCAATAAACCATAGAGGTTTGCTTGGATCTTGCTTACAGTTGGCCGTAGCTATGGGTATCCTCTTAGCTCAGCTTGTTGGGTATTTATGGTCCAATGACCAACAATGGAGAAATATCTTTGTATTCTCTGCATGTATTGGGCTTCTTCAATTTGTGGTTTTATTCACTACTATTGAATCTCCTAAATGGTTAATTATAAATAGAGGTGATATTCATGGAGCAAAGAGAATTCTTAAAAATTTGAGAACTGATCATGGTGCTGCAGAATATGAAATTAATCATTGGAGAAGATTATCAATCAATGTACCTTCAAAGCCAGTTAATAAGAATGAAACGTCTGCATTGTTGGCCGATATAAATAACTCGCTGAGAGTAGACGTTACAGATTCGTTTCTTCCTCTTACAAGAACCGTTTCGCGTAGAGGTTCCATTGACCCTACCAGTATTACTATTGGTGAGTTTCTTACCAATAAGAAATTTATTTTAGAACGTACAAGTGTATTTGCCATTATGACAGGGCTGCAATTGTGTGGAATTAATGCAATTACATTTTATGGGGTCCGAATCTTAAAGGATATTGTACCAAAGGGAACTAACGTGTTGGTCATAACTTGTTCACTTTCTGTGTGCAATGTAATTGCAGCAATTTTAGTGTCACCTTTAGTTGATAAACTCGGACGTAAACCATTGTTATTAACTTCAGTTGGGGTTATGGCATTCTGCAGTTTAACCATTGCATTAGGTCTTACCCATGATTGGGATTATGTTGTTGCTGGTTCCAGTTTTGGCTTTATTATTGGATATTCCATGGGATTAGCACCAATTCCATTCTTAATGATATCTGAACTTGCTAGCCATGAATCTCTCGGATCTGCTCAATCTGTGGGGACTGCACTCAATTGGGCTTCTAATGTTACCGTTGCGTTTAGTTTTCCTATCCTACAAGATCTTATTGGAGGATATGTATTCTATGGGTTCTTCGTTATATGTACATCGTATGCGATATTTTTCTACAAATTCCTTCCTGAAACTAAAGGATTTCATAGTGCCGAAGAAGTTTGGAGAAATTTCAAAAACTAACGAAGAAGAAAGTGAGAGAGAAAGAGCATATTTAATTACATTTAATCAAAACAAGTCTTTTGATGTACCTTATTTATTTAGTATCATTTTTTTTTAAAATAAATTTATAATGCATAGAACAAGGTTTAGAGTGGGGAATGGAAATAGATGATATGACTAAAAACGGTATAACTGTATGTAACTCTTTTATGGTTAGTTCAAAATGTTGAAATTGGGTCTGAGCCCTGTTTTCATGCACAGAACATTTGTGTGCGGCGGTAAGGGACGAGGACGTGGGTTAATAATATTAAATTAGACATTTCTTGGACTATGCAATAGGTGGGGAAGGTTTGACTCCTTAAATTTATCCTGGAGATACTCACTACCAGCTATAAGTGAAAGACAAAGTATAGATGAAAAAAAAAAAGATGAAAGATGACATTGTATCTACTAATATCCTATGAAGTTGAGCAAGTGTGAGAAATAAAAAGAGGCTGAAAATTTTGGTGTCGCAATGCATTGTACTGTACAATTACTCCAAATGCTATCGGTCACGGCACTTCGCGTTCATCAATGCACAGGAATAACCGCTCTCTTGATAAAGCAAACAATAATCAATAAACTTGAAAATTTTAATCCTTTCTTTCTTCTTTAGTATATACACAATCCGTTTATTACTTATATTTCTTTGCTAGCTATGGTTCAATTATCTCAATGGATGAAGGAGGTCAATGATGACACTCCAATCTCAAAATTATCAATTCCAGGTACTCACAATGCAGCTGCTTGTCACACTGCTCTTCCATCAGTTCAATGCCAAGGTGAATCTGTTACCGACCAACTTGAGCATGGTGTTCGTTTCCTTGATATCAGAGCTGCTAAGCAATTCTTGAAAGAAGGAGACGATGCATTGAACCTTCAAGTTATTCATGGTAAGTTCCCAGTTAGAATCCCATTCCCACTCATGCTTTCATCAGTTCTTGATGAAGTTTATGACTTTTTAAGAAACAACCGTTCTGAAACCGTTATTGTTTCAATTAAACAAGAAGGCCCTGACAATTGGAACAATGATCAAGATGAGTTCCCAAACTGTATCTGGGACCGTTATGTTAACAAGAATAAGGACAAGTGGTATTTGGGTGACCGTACTCCAAATCTTGGAGATGCTAGAGGTAAAGTTATCCTTTTCCGTAGATTCGGTGTAAGAAATGAAGATCGTGCAAGAGAATTTGGTTTCAATGCTTCTTCATGGAAATACAATTGTACCGAAGATGACCGCGGTACCTTTTGTGTTCAAGATTACTGTGAAATGGAAAGTGCTGATGATGTTCAGAAGAAGGTTCAATATGTTAAGGACCTTGCTAAGAAGGCCAATGAATACAATTCTACCAATTCTGATCCAAAGTTGTTTGTTAACTTTTGTTCTGGTTCCAACTTTTTCAACCATGACTGTTGGCCACAACAAGTCGCCACAGCTGTTTCCAAGGCTGAAATTGATAGATCTTTTGCTAAAGGTGTTGGTATTATTGTTTTGGATTATGCTGAGGCCGATGATTGGAAATTGGTCAAGACTTTAGTTAACAAAAACTTCTAGATTTTGGAATGAACATTAATGAATTCTTATTATTTTTTTTTTTAATTTCTTTCTATATCTTTAGATATACTATTTGTCTTTTGTTAATGAGTTGATTGATATCATGTTTAGATTTATTGTAGTTGTGTAAGTGGTTGCAATTACGTCCGAGATAGGAGTTTGATAGAATTTCGCGAGTAAGTTGGAAAAACTGTAAAAATTATATGGAGCATTTAAAGTTGAGTTTCATTGAATTTAAGAGTAGTATATGTATTTATTGAAGGGTTTGTCATGATTTGTCGAGGTAGAGTATCGGTCATAAGACAATTGGGCCATCTGGTTTCCAGTCGTCATATAATATTCACAAGATGGAATCATTCGAAGCGGGATCAAAGTGGGACTTTCCCAAGTAAAGTAGATTCAGTTAAATTTGAAGATAAGTTACAGAAAGTAATACAAGGTAACCCTTCTTATGAACACAGGAATAGAAGCTTAGATGATGAGAAGCTTCGAGAAATTATAGAAACATCGAATTTCCGTACGAGGAAAGACGAATCATCAAAGGAGGTAATAGATCGAAAACAACCCATCACCATATCAAGTGAAGGATCACCAACCAATTCTTCTCCTGTCACTAATTCTTTAGAAGATGATATTAAACTAGAAATTCCCGATCTTCCCTCAGATAAGGAGAAGAAAAGAAGTAAATTAGCCAAACGGTTAGAAATATATTTGGATTCGTTACAAGATACCATTTTCACAGCCACAAGAGCATTGAATGACGTGACAGGGTATTCGTCAATTGAAAAATTGAAAAAGAGTATCGATACATTGGAGACTGAATTGAAGGAGGCAAGAGATCGGGTGAAGTCTTGTAAAGAATTGTATTCCGAAGCCATTCATCGTCGATCTCAACTGCAGAAAGAGGTCAATGAATTATTAACGAGGAAACATGACTGGTCTCTGGAAGATTTGGAAAGATTCACCAACCTTTACCGTAATGATCATGCCAATGAACAGGGCGAACAAACGGCACATTCGGAATTAGAAAGTTCGGAAAAGAAGGTGGACAGCATTCAATTGAAGTTGACTCAACTGATCTTGACAAGATATCATGAAGAACAAATTTGGTCCGACAAGATCAGAAGAGCATCTACATGGGGGACCTGGATTATAATGGGTCTAAACATGTTATTATTCATAGTGGCTACATTTTTGGTTGAACCATGGAAAAGAAAAAGATTAGTGGGGTCTTTTGAAGATAAAGTGAAGTTGGCGTTATATGAAACGTCTGAACAACAAAACGGTAGGTTTGATGAAATGTTACAAAGACAATCTAAGAATGTTACACCTATAGAACCATCCACAAACTCCACCAATGGTGATGAACCTAGTGGATTATCTGGATGGTTTTTCAAATCGAAACCATCTGAATTATTGGATGTTTCTAAACCTCAAGTAATGCAGTTATCACTTGAGAGCTCATGGACAGGTAATATTAAACAAAACGTTGAAGAATTTCTTGCAGAAGAAACTAATGCTATTCAACTACAAAAGAATGAATTTGGTGTACTTATGGGGGTTCTGGCTGTTTTCGGATTAGTTCTAGGTGGCGCAATAACTTTTTTCTCAAAATAGACCAAATCCAAGATATATATATATATATATATATATATATATATATATATATATATATATATATACAAATATTTACACATATATAGAGATAGATACTAGTATTAAACTATACACATCATGGAAGCGTGTGTATAATTATTTAATCCTGCACTGTAATATGTTGTGTGTGTCTCTGTGTTGTGGAGAGTGTGCGCGCACCAATTTGAATTGCCACTGGTAGGATTACTATGAGATATATACGCCAACAGTTTGAACGATCAAGTTGCCATTAACAGATTTGAATCGATTAAATAAAGCCAGTCTTTGATCTTTTTTTTTTCTATATCTATTTCTGGTACGATTGCTAAAGACATATATCTGCCAAGATAGTATTATTGTATTAAACGAAAACAACCCCTTCATATATATCATATAAAATAATAGATATGGAAGAGCTTGGGATTATTGAAACACCAATTCAGTTTCCAAAAGCTGCCAACCTCAAGTCAGGAGCAGTTGATCCAGAGAATTCCGACGTTTACCTTCGTTTGAAGAAGTTGGAGAAGGAATTGGAATTGCTCTTACTTCAAGAAGATTATATCAAGGATGAACAACGATACTTGAAAAGAGAGTTAATCAGAGCTCAAGAAGAAGTTAAAAGAATTAAGTCAGTTCCATTGGTCATTGGTCAATTTTTGGAACCAATTGATGAAAATACTGGAATTGTATCTTCAACTACCGGCTCCAACTATGTGGTTAGAATATTATCCACCTTGGATAGAGAATTATTAAAGCCTTCATCTTCTGTTGCATTACATCGTCACTCCAACGCCTTGGTTGATATATTACCACCTGAAGCAGACTCTTCTATTTCCATTGTTGGTGACAATGAAAAGCTTGATGTGACTTACGCAGATGTTGGTGGTTTGGATATGCAAAAGCAAGAAATCAGAGAAGCTGTAGAATTACCTTTAACTCAAGGTGACTTATATTCCCAGATTGGTATTGACCCACCTCGTGGTGTTCTTCTTTATGGACCTCCAGGTACTGGTAAGACTATGTTGGTTAAAGCCGTGGCAAACTCTTCTACTGCATCGTTTATTAGAATCAATGGTTCTGAATTTGTTCAAAAATACTTGGGTGAAGGTCCAAGAATGGTTAGAGATGTTTTCAGATTAGCAAGAGAAAACTCTCCTGCTATCATTTTCATAGATGAAATTGATGCAATTGCAACAAAGAGATTTGATGCACAAACTGGTGCTGATAGAGAAGTGCAAAGAATCTTGTTGGAACTTTTAAACCAAATGGATGGGTTTGACCAAACATCAACTGTCAAGGTTATTATGGCCACTAACAGAGCTGATACACTTGATCCTGCTCTTTTAAGACCAGGTAGATTGGATAGAAAGATTGAATTCCCAAACCTTAAAGATAGAAGAGAGAGAAGATTGATTTTCTCCACCATTGCATCCAAAATGGCTTTAGCTCCTGAAGCTGACTTGGATTCGTTGATTGTTAGAAACGATCCATTGTCTGGTGCTGTCATTGCTGCTATTATGCAAGAAGCTGGTTTGAGGGCGGTGAGAAAGAATAGGTACATGATTCTTCAAAGTGATTTGGAAGAAGCCTACACATCACAAGTGAAGACAGGGAGTGAACACGATAAATTTGATTTCTATAAATGATTTAGTCATAATACAGGTAATTTTGAAAGAATGAACAAAAAAAGTTAGATGTAGCACTAACACTATAATAATTCGTAGATTCCTAATCCAGGCGTCAATGATCTGGTATCACTTACATCGATATGATCTAAATCCAAATGGGTTGTATAATTCCAAATTGCCTCATAATCATGCTTATTTTTCACGTCGATCAAATAGGATGAAATTGGAGTAACAAGATACACCTTTTCAAAGCCTGTAGATTTGAGTTCCTTTACTGTATCTAATACATGTTGATAGTCACTACCCATAGTATCTACTAAAACAGTTCCTTGTGTAGGGAGGGTATCCTTTGTAAGGTGTGAGGTGTGGGTAACTATTTGAAGTGAGGTACTACCCAACAACCAGGAAGGAGGAGAATAAGTACGCCACCAAACTTGAGCCATTGATGTATTTTCTTTTTGGGTTTCATGGAAGTAATCCAAAGCTGGAAGCACCCCTCCTTGGTGGAATGTACCCATTAAGAATGCAAGTATAATATTGAAACCATACCAAAGAGTCATTAAAAAAGTCATAAGTTTTGGAGATTGTGTTGGAGATGTACCAATTTCAGAGAATTTCTCTAAATCAAAGCAGCAACATAACAATGGCACAATAGGAATTAAGAATCTTAACTCTTGGTGAGGAACTATGGAAAGGAATACCACCCCACTGACTGCCGTTAAGAATGGAATTGTTGTATAGTACTTATTCCTCTTGTAGAATAAGAAGATTAACCCAGCAGGACCAACTAATTGTGGTAGGTTAATCAAAAGGTGAGTGTAATATGGATGAATTCCATGAATAGCTAAATTTGAGGCATTTGTGTTATATACCAAGCTATTCCAAGGAGTGATCACATAGTTGGTAAATTGTAATGGGTCAGACAAAACTCTATCTAAATGACCAAACCCAATAGTGTCTATCAAAATAAATAACAGAGTGGGTAAGATAAACCCAATTAAGCCCAGTAAGATTGATCTGATGATACTTTTAGAATACCAAATGAACTTTACCACAAAATATGATGGGATAATAAGGAAAGCTGGGAATGTTATTCTATTAAAGATTCCAAATGACACTAAACCTCCCAAGAGTCCTAAAAGTATATTGGCTTGAGTTGGTACCTCAAAATTGGTATGATATCTCAATTCTTCTATTATCAAGACACACAAGATCAATACCAAAGTTTCAACACTATTGCTGAAACAGTGGGACTGATAGACAGAGACCACATACGATGTCAGAACGAAAAATATACCCTTTATACGTTCTGGGCGTGTAGGTAAAAGTTTATGAATTGAAATATCAATCACCAACCAACTGACAACGAGGAAAATGATTCGGAAAAGATACATAATTTGAAGTGGGGAGAATTGTAAGCCAAAGACCTTGATTGCGTATAATACCGGTCCATAAATTAAATACAAAGGTCCCAAACTTCTAGCAGGAGAATCGGAGGTGAATTCCCATGGAATACTCGTGGAGAATCCCAAAATACGATGAGTTATAACTTCGAAATTTTGGAAATGCTCATCAGGATGGATATATGAATTAGAAAGTGCCAATATGAACCGAAGTCCAATGGATACAAAATATGTGTATCTCCAATTGAACGACATTTATCTTTCCTAACCCTTCTACTTGCAACCAACTTACGTTCTTAGTTTTCCAGATAGCCATATTTTCTACATTGAAAGCTACTCGCTCACGTGCACTCGATTTCAAGAGGAAAAATAAGTTCTAAAAAAAAGATCATCTTTTACTTTCTATATTAATCTACTATTTATCTAGTCTATATTATTTCCGCTTCTTCAAATTCTTGATATGGGCCTTAACTTTTAAATCGGCAGCTTTTTCTTCTTCTTCTTCTTCATCATCTAATAAGTCATTTTGAACTTCAATTTCAACGTCACTATAACCTTCTTCATCTTCTGGAACTTCTAATTCTAAAGCGTTTGCGGTTTTACCATCGAATTCTTCTTCTTCTTCATCTTCATCTTCTTCTTCGTCATCCTCATTGTCTTCTTCATCTTCACCCTCCATATCGGAATCTTCATAATCATCATGCATGTCCATGTCATCATCCGAAATGTCACCGTTAAATTGAGCATCTTCAAGTTCTTCAATGTACTCAACATCACTTTCTTCTTCTTCTTGGTCGACGTCATCTTCGATGATTTCACGTTTAAGTTCGGTTTGTTGGTATAACAAGTTCAAACGACCTTGTAATTCCAATAATCTTGGTAAAACATCAGCTTTCTTCAGTAAAATAGCATGCAAGTTTGATAATTTAGAATTTAAATTTGGTAAACTAGTCAAAATACCACCATGAATTATAATAATCCATTTCAACCAGAAGTTTAATTGATCAAATCTTGAAGTCTGTCTAGCAATACGTTCAGCTAAACGATCCAATAAAACTACTGCAAGTCCAGAATCAAGCTTAGAAATGGTATTTTGAATAACAGTCGGATCACGATTAGATAAAACAGTTTCTAACAAAGAATGATCATTGTTCTTTAATGCTTGCGAAAGAATGATAGTTAAAGTAGCTGTGACATTACTACCCACACCAAACTTCTTTCTTTCAGTACTCTTCTTCGATTTTTGTGCTTGTTCGGTAGACAATTTATCTAATTTTTCTGCCAAGGATTCTTCTTCTTCTTCATCATCTTCTTCATCTGAATCTTTTTGAAGGTCTCTTAAATTTGATCCGTCGGAAACAATAGCATTACCTTCGTTGTAATGTTTGGTTGCCGCTACATCATGACCATATTGAGAATGAACTGTAGATGTAAAATCTGGCTTTGACTTTTCAATTGATTTGTTAGAAGTAATACAAAGTCCCTTGGATGAATCCAACCAATGAACAACTTCGAAGTATGGTAAACTTGCATTTTCTAACCAAGTCAAAACGATGGTTTCTCCACTAACAGTAATGGCGGTAACGTTCAAGTTATCGGTTGCTCTAGCTTCCTTTGCTGGTCTAGTGATTTGAAGGGTACCATCTGAAGTACGAGATTGTGCTTGTCTTCTCTTCTTTCTACTTGGTGTAGAAGTTGTACTGGCTTGTTCTACAAGAGGATCGTTGAAAACCTCAACTTTTCCATCTTCAGTTATGGCAGACAAAACAGTATGATCACCACCATTCCCACCAAATGCAACGGATATCACAGGAGCTTCAGTGACAAAGATCAGAGTGGTAGCCACCTTGGAAATGGAGTATAAATTAATAAAACGATCATTAATGGCACTGGTGAAAAACAAGTCTGGGTTTGATTGGATTGGTTGAAGGGTATTTACAGGTTGAATATGAGCTGGGAAAGTCTTTACTACTTGTCTTTCGGTAATATTGACAAGATAGACGGAGTGAGTAGCAACCAACAAATGTGGGACTTGTTCATATTTGACAGTAGAAATCTTTGAAATTGGTTCTGAATTTTCAACCAAGAAATCATTAATGCTAAAGGTTTGCACCAAAGAAAATGTTGATAAGTCCCATTCATGAATATTTCCACCAATGTCACAAGACCATCCTGTACTGGTGGCTTTAGAGTAATGGAAATCAGTGATTGATAAGTTTGCTGGTGTTACTAATTCAGCAAGAACTTCATTGGAGAATGGAGAATATATTTGAATTGTTCCTGAAGAAAGCCCAAGAGCAATAAATTCATTCTCAATTGATTCTCTTGAACCAGAGAGAAACCCCCAGCTCATCAGAGTAAGCTTTGAAGAAAGTTTGAAAGCGGTGTTAAGAGATGATTGTGCTGCATTGATGGATTGAACTCTGATCTTGTGAGAGTCAAGTTCCACGATAGCGGATGCTAAGTATGTGTTGGTGGGGTCATATTGTGCGTACAACAATGGAGAAGTCATTGTAAAAGATGTATAATAATAGTAATGATAATTCTTTTATGGTGTATGAAATGCAAAAATGGTGATTCTAGAGTAGAATTGGATTGGATGTGGCCGAACAACTATGTCGTGTACTTTTGTGCTGGTTCTCCTATTTATTTCTAGTGCCTTGTCAGCTGGCCCTCAATTATGTGTGTTTTAGTCAGTCGGTTGTATCACCTCCTATAAATCCCTAACTACTAATTTAATAGAAGATATCTTGAAATGTTTTAGCGATGCCTGTGTCTACACAGTGATGAGGCACACTACAAATTTTTTTCCGCATATTTGGTTTTGTGATCATATTGAATAATACGCTAATTTTTTTTTTTTTTTTTTTTTCGATGTATTTTTTTTTTGTCAGTTATTTTTCTTTTTTGGTTATGTCAATCGGGAGAATTTTAGCAACATGACTTCATTCTTAAATCAGTATTTGTAGGTTCCAATTTTATTTTTTTTGGCCTCTATGTCTACAATTTGTATCATTGGAACTACATCGATATATAGACGTGTAATTCACTAATTCTCCTTCTTAATCTTTTCACAGTTCAGAATCTTTTTTAAAAAAAAATTATTCGACAAACAACAACAACAACAACAAAAATACTAATTTAAAATTATTCATCCAAATAATATGCAGTCTCTAAAATCCAATTGCATAAAATGAGATGAATTCGCACTCTCCTTGATCAAAAGAATGAATTACCCCATTCGGGAGGCTGATAACTTGTGTTGCACGAATTTCAAGAAATATTGTTATCAACCACCAAATTGTTTTAATTGTTGATTGTTTTTTTTTTTTACCAGGGGGTGTTATCTAGTTTTATTTTATAAACAGTTTGTTTTTTGCAAATACAATCCAAATATGTCTGATTATCCAGGAGGAACTGGAGGAGAAGATCTTTCTCTCCCAAAGGCAACCGTACAAAAAATAATAGGAGAAATCTTACCATCAGATATTGCTATATCAAAGGAAGCTCGAGAAGCCATTACAGAATGTAGCATTGAATTCATCATGATTTTATCCACACAACTGAATGATATTGCTGAAAAGGAGGCTAAGAAAACAATTGCTTCTGATCATGTTGTGAAGGCATTGGAAGAATTAGGATTTCAAAATTACCTTGAAATTGTAAACAAAATTCTAGATGAACATAAAGAATTACTCAAGGGTAAAGAAAAGAAGAATAATAAATTCCAAAATTCTGGTATGACTGAAGAAGAATTGTTACGGAAACAAGAAGAATTGTTTAGAAAGTCAAGAGATCGATTACAAAACACTGGTAGTGGAGATGTTAAGAACGAATCGGAAGAAACTGTATAATAGAATTGTAATAGCGGGAGAAGATGTAATATATTTGTCATGTAGCACAATTGAAGTTAGTGCGAAATTTATGTATACAATTGATGTAGAAATGTTTAGACAACCAAATTATTGATATATGTCATACTTCTACATTACTCTAAACGATAATGTGTATTTTTTTTTTCACACCTAAATAATATACATAGTATTTGAAAAGACTTTCAAATACATTTCCTATCTATCTTAACCCATGAATTTACGTCTAACCTAAGACTAATTCATACAAAATAACCACCACATTCACACAAATCAAAGGCAATCGCATAAGGGTTCTCACTGCTCCAATAAGATTTATAAGTCTACTCTTGATGGATGCGTCACCTCCGTTGGTGGATTGCATTCCTGAAAATTGCAGGTAATGTTGGTTACTGGCTGCTGGCGAAGAAGAACCCCAGCCAATTCTATTCAAGAACCGGTCTTCACTAAGCACAGCCAAACCGTTCACGGTAAGGAGCACTACATATAGCAATTTGCCAAGTCCAAACATTATTAGTATGTGTGATTGTTTGTGGGACTTATTGGTTAAATTTATTCCAATGGACACCTCTTAACTTTTTTTGATATGTTTCGATTTTGTACTCTTTTTTATTTGCCCTTGTGGTAATTGTTTATAAATTCCTGTAGATACGCAAGTTTCTAGCAAGGGTGTGGTACAGGGCTCCCAACGTGGATTATGATTTTCTCTGCTAACTTTTGTTTACCTTTAAATCAAACCTATAGGTTTGATTGAAATAATAGGTATTATATATTTAAGAGAATAACCTAAATGTATAATTCAAAACGTCAAGGACGTAAAAAGGACTCTATAGAGCTGTTCATTGGTTCAAACCAACAGTTTCTTGAAAATGGATTATCACAATTAAGATACATGATTCTTATCGAAGGGTTGAGTATCCCACCTGGATATGATCAATGTCCATATAGAGGTAACGTGTGGTCGATTCTCTGTAGAGTTGCTCCACTTCCAACTAGCTCATACTACAAGATGTTGGCCTCGGTTCCGACCTCATTATCCAAACCATTGTATGATAAGATTAAAAATGATACATTTCGAACACTCATGAATGATTCAAATTTCCATCTGAAAGTATCTGAAGAAAGTTTGGTAAGGGTTCTAAGCTTGGTGGCTATGACCGCAGGTAACAAGGTTGGGTATGTACAAGGAATGAATGTATTACTTGCACCTATCATGTATGCCTGTCACAAAAGTGAACCACAAGCATTTGCATTATTCCATCATTTAACAACAAAGCAAATTCCTCTATATGTTACCCCTAATGTTGACGGTGTACATACTGGTTTGAGTTTGGTTGATGTTGCTCTCAACTACATTGATCCAGTACTTAGTCAATATCTTGACTCAAAATTCTTAAAGGCACAAATATATGCATTTCCTTCATGTTTGACTCTTTGTGCCTGTACGCCCCCTCTCAAATCAGTACTTAAGTTATGGGACTTTCTTTTCGCCTACGGAACTCATATGAATATTTTGTTTATTGTTGCTCAACTCATTATTAACAGATCTGCATTATTAAAATCTCCACAACCAATGAAAATCTTACGAAGTTTACCGAATTTGGAAGAGAATGAAATAATTAAATTAAGTTTGAGTTTCATTCCTGAATTACCTAAACCATTCTATTCATTGATCGTAAGACATGGTTACGATCCAGCTGTTCCTCAAGAATTGAAGCAATTTTTAAATGAGAATAAGTAAGCGATACAATCTAACTAAATGCAAATCAGATCTGGTTGAATTAAAGCAACCCATTTTTAAAATCTTCATGGTTGTGGAATGCACAAAGAACTGTCCTGTCATTGTACATTCGTCCGGCAAGACCCATGATGGCATCCAATGCCAGTTGTTCATCCAGAAATTCAACATATACTTTCCCCAACCCAGGTTGAGTGAATTGACTAATTCCAGGAGTATAATCGTTTGCAGGTCTAGGGATTTTCACACTGATAACTTCACCAAATGTCCGACATTCTTGAAGGATATCTTGATATATAAATTTGAAATTATCATCTTCCACCAAATCCTTTGGTGTAACCAAGTTAATTAACTCAATCACTCTCAGCTTTGGATGATTAGTAACATATTCACCCTTGGCTAATGCCTTGAGTGAATTGAAATCCATAGGACAATCTTCAATTCCTGTTTTCCCAGGAATCACACAAGACAAAAATGCATTCTTAATAACTTCTTCTCTTTGAAGACTGTCAATTATATTTTGAATTGCTGGAATCACCTTGATTGTATTTTTAAAGGCAGATGGATCAAAATAGAATTCTGCAAATGCAATCCCAATGGAGTTTTTAGTACCTGTTTCACGTAATAATTGAAATGATTTAACCGGGGCTCTTGCCTTCAAAATGTCTAATAATTCTGTATCTGTAGTATCTTCGTTAACCAAAATGGTAATTTTGCGGGGATTATCAATCACAACTTCTTCTATTTCATCCAATTTTATTTCCTTATAAGGTGGTAAACATTGAGTAACATATTCTCCTGGTCTTACAATTTCAAATTGAGCTTCTTCAATGGTGGTAGATGTTTCGGCTAATTCCTTATCATCTTCTTCTTCGTCGGGAGTGGACTGTTGCTTGATTTGATCATATGATATCACTGCTCCATTCAATGCCAAACATATCGTGGCACATGTATTGTTTTTGAATTCTATAATTAAACTTTTATCTCCTTTGGTTTTTCTTTTCGATTCAATATTTTGTAAAGATGTTTCAGGTATATCTATCTTTGCTAAAAATTTATTAAAATAATCAGCAACTTTCAAATGATCCGCTTTTTCGAAATCAATACCGCTAATAATTAGTATTTTGGCATTTCTAGAATCTAATGGATCTATTCTATACCTTTCATTTAAAATATCATCTGAGTTACTAAGTTTATCTTTAAGTAAACCTTCAAGTTTCGTAAAATCAACCGGTCTAGGATATCCTGGAAGTGGGAACAATCCTGATAATTTTGCTCTTTGTACTGTCACATTTTCAAATCCTTTTGGTTTGATACCCCATTGTGAATCAATAATACTAAATTCTTCAATTGGTGTGACTTTTTTCATCGTTAAAAGCTTCTTCTCATATTGTGCTATAAGTTCTTCTCTTGGGATGTTTTCTTCTTCAACTTTATTCTTACTTGGAGTGGTGAGTGGACTTCCCCTTCTATTTGATTGGGGATTAGAACCATTATTAAAATTATTTTGATTATTATCGTCATATCTTCGGTATGAATCTGAATTTCTTGGCCGTTGATTATTACGATAATTATTGCCTGAAGGTCTTGAATAACCTCCAAAGTCTCTGGGATCTCGCTCTGTGTTTCCCTGGGTTCTAACTCTTGCTCGATCTCTATATTCATCGCCTCGATAATCTTGATTATATGATCTATACCCACCATGACCACCACGTTGGTCCCTATCAAATTCACCTCTTCTGAAGTCTCCTCCTTGGTTACCCCCTCTTCTCGGGTCGTTCCTCAGTCTTGCATCTTCTCTCGGTCTAGACAGAGTATCATCCCTCCTAGGACGATACTCATCATACCGGCTTGGATTTTCGTCTTGCCTATATCCACTACGATCCCTTCTCACAGGTCTGTACAGTTCTCTATTGGAACCATCTCCCAGACTACCTAATTATTTGTTAGTAACCATTTCTCTATATCTCCTCCAATATGCCCCACCCATTATTTAGTGGAGTTAGTTTGTACATACTTCCATTGTAGTTCATCTTGTTTGATTGTAGTGGGTTCTTTGTTGGTATGACTTCTGTCTGCGAAGATGTACTTCTTCTACAGACTCTTTAAAGAATTTTGGTTTCCTGCACCCAGAGTTCCTGATTCACATTGAAATAAAAAGCACACACCATGCCAATCTAATTAATAAATTTCTTATTAGGTTTGCCTTTCTTCCACTCATACATAGTTTATTCTTGTACTTGTTGGTTTGCCTCCTCCCGTACACTCTACAATAAATGATAAAGTAAATTAAATAATTCTAACTATATATTTGTATGTATGAAATTTGATATAGATGTCTATGGCACACACTCTATTGGTATTACAACTCATCGTGGTTCACTTCGGTCTCGGAGGCATCCTCGATTGTGAAAGTTGAAGATGAAGTTTGAGTGGTTGATCCTGTTCCAGCATTTAATTCCTCTTCATCGTCCTCCAACTCACCTTCACGATCTACTTCTTCTTCTTCTTCCGCAGTCTCCTCCTTTTTAGCCTTGGCTTGTTCCTCTTTCAACTTATCTCTAAGTTCCTTCTTTGTCTTTCTGTCCTTCAACAACTTGAATTTGCTTTCAAATGACGCAATTCTTTGCTTATGGTTTAATTCCACATCTTGAATATCGCTTAACATGTCAACAACACTCAGAGAAATCTTATCATAAACTTCGAAAAGTTCCTCCTTAGTTAATTTGTTGAATTGCTTCACCTTCATGCCAACAATTTCACCAACTTCAGTTAAAAGGTTTTTATAATCAGCAAGGTTCTTATCCAAACTTAACATCTTATCCTTTCCGCCACTCTTTGATAAAAGTTGATACTTGATTTTATCATTTTCTTTATCAAAATCAAATCCTTCATTTTCAAACTTTTCTCTGAGTTCACGAATGGCTTCACCGTATTCGATCAAGAATCCTTGGATTGCCATAACCATGTTAGAACCTTCTTCGTAGATTTTCTTCATTCCATCGAATGATAAATCAGTGTTTTTCATTTCTAACACTCTATCCAATTCCTTCTTTTTCGTGTTGACATCCTTAATCTTGCTACGGATATCTTCAATGGAAGATCCATCACTGTCAAATTCAAGCCATTCAACAAGCTCAGATACAAAGGAAGTATAACTGGAAACATCAGAAATTTCAGATTCAAAAGTTTCTTCATTGTCATCAATGAAAGAACGTAATTCATACAATTGACCTTCTAAAAGATTCTTAATTTGATCCAATTCAAAACGAGCTTCATCTAAGTTATTCCACAACGCTAACTTCTTACCAATTCTATCTCTAACAGTATTGGATAATGGTTTCACATGAGCATACTCAGGCTTTGGAACAATAACATTAACTGACTTGGATCTTAAGATGGTTGACGTCTTTGGCTTGGCTTTATTAGAAGTCTTATTGGTTCCATTGTTATCAGCTCCAGAAACTGTGTCGTTGTCGGCTTCTTCTTCTTCCTCGGCGATAACTTCTTCAACTTCCTCAACTTCTTCAACTTCCTTCTTCAACAAGTTTTTAAATAAACCTCCTTTCTTTGGAGCAGCCAAACATCCAAGTTCTAAACTATTTAAGCTGAAAATTTTGTTATGATTCAAGCTGAAAGTCCCATAAAGTTGTTGAGTTTCATCTTTTTTACACTTCAACTTTTCTGCTTTTTTAGTTAACCCATCAATGTTAAATGTACTAAGTAATTTGCCATCTTCAAGTAAGCTAATAGAATAGTCCTTAGTGGCCTTAGAATTGGATAAATTGCTTAAATTGATCTTGGTTGAGTTGCCAATAGTGGCACCAACGGGGAAAACTAATGATTCAACTCCATTAACGTTAATTTCAAAGTTATGGAAAGATTTATCAATTACTTTAATATCCTTGGCCTTCTCTAAATGAGTCTTCCATTTAAATCCTCTTGCTGTAGTACCCAAGGCACAACTTTCATCAGCATTAACATTTTTAGAAATCTTTTCTTCTCCAACTAAGGTAATTAAATGCTTTTGAACAAATGGAACTCTAGTGGATCCACCAGATAAAACGATAGATTTAAGGTCTGAAACTAAAACATGACCTTCAACTGCGTCAAAAATTGGAGTGGTAATTCTCTTCAAAAGATCAGAATTGAATTCTTCAAATTCTTCTCTTGATACTGTGGTCTTGAAATCCTTTTCATTATAAATGGATTCAAGCAGAACATGATAATCAGCATTCACAGAAAGGACAATCTTAGCCTTTTCTGCAACTTCGAATAAACGAGCTCTAACTTTAGCTGGAAGTTCAGTATCAACAGGTAATCCAAACTTAAGAAGGAATTTTTCTAAAATTATAGTATAGATGGACTTTGTGAAAAGTTGACCCCCAAATGATTCATCATATCCAATTGCTTCAATTTCTAAATTGATAGTTCCATTGGCAAATGGAGTATAAGAGAAAAGAGTTGCCTTGGTTGAACCTGCACCCATGTCATAAGCAAGGTGGTACTCCTTGGTTTCAGAGTAATCTTCATCAGTAAACTTTTTATTGGAAACATAGTTAAGTGCTACGGCAGTACCTTCATCAACAAGACCCAAAATATTTGAGAAATTGGCAAGTTTCAATGAGTCAAGATATGCTTGTCTAGTTTGTTGGGTGGCAAATGGAGGAATTGAAATGGCAACATCATCGACAATTGCCTTTGCACGTGGGTTATCTTCAAGATCATTAAGGGCTCTTTGTTTAATGTCACCAAGTGCCATAGCAATGACTTCTTCTACGGTGAAATTCTCACCATCAATGCCAACATCAACTTTAATGGCATTTGAGCGCAGCTCATCAGGTAAAAGTTTAACAAAGTTCAGGTGAAGATGACTAGCTACTGCTGGATCATCAATTGACTTCCCAATAAGTGCCTTGGTATTCAAAATACAAGATTGTGGAAATCTGGTGCAAAGGGATCCAGTGGCAGATCCATACACTCTTTCGAGTTCTCCCTTTGCATCAGGGTGTGGGCGTACTGAAAGTCCAGAAAGATCTTTACGCTTCCCTTCGTCAGTCAAGACAAGTTCAAATTGAACACCAGGTGCAAGAAGTACAGCCTTGGTGAACTGTTGACCAAAATCAATACCCAAAATGGCAGCAGATACTGCCGCCATTAGGTATACGAGTGCAAACTTCATTGTGGCAAAGAAAGTATTCGTAAAACTTTTAAATTAAAATAGGTATTTAAGATATAAAAGGTCTATTGAAAAGTAGTGAACACGAAACCGAAAACTCACCTATGTTAGAACATATTCCTCCATTAAGAAATGTACTGTATACACGAGTTGGTGGTGCATGTAAGTGGAAAGTTGCAAACTCCTCAACGTCACGTTACATGTTGCAGGTCTTTCCCACAAGGGTACGAGCGTGGGGTATGCCAAGACAATATTATCACAAATATATCATGCCAATGTTACTAAGAATTTGATACAAGGTGATTCTTGCTATACCTTATGTTTTTGTCCCTCGTAATGAATGTTGTTGTCGTTTGTTTTTTTTTTTTTTTTTATGGGATTATTCTCACTTTTACTGGGACCTTAAAAAGTATCGTTGCCCCTCAATTGAGCAATATGCGGGTTTAACTGCACATGGAAAATTAAGCTTTCCATTTACCATACAATGAACAAATTTCACTTCTGTTGTCACAACAAGAACACGTAAATAAATACAACCGCTTGTGAAATAATTTATTTCGGGATACGTAACAGATAACGGTAAATCGCTTCTCGGTGTTAATGTGGGAGTTACTTGTTTGTTTGTTTTTTTCGCCTACTGCAGATCTTCATAATTCAAATAAATTTTACAATTACCGTTGTTGCACCCACAATATTTGCAACAAGTAAATTCAACATCTCTTTAAAAGCTGTAGGATTAGTACGTTGTACGTATAGCATAGAGACTAAATTAGTATACTCTAACTGATCGTTCTAGAAGAAAAACTTTTCTCTGATACTGGCTTGTTATCTTACTGGCTAAGATAACAAATGCCGGTATTGTTCATTTTGTAACAATGATTTACAAATTTTAAATCCGAAATTGATATAGAATTTTGGTGATATTCTTTGTTTGGTAAAGCCTCTTATCATAAACGAGTACCGAAACATCTCATCCTAAATACGCGTCTTGTTCTTGTAAATGTGCTGATTCTACCTGCTTTGAAATTCCTATTTAACAAATATATGAAAGTCCATAGACGTAACAATAGACTCAATTGTGCTACACAATAGAAGAACGCGGTGGAAGCATTTCACAATAAGGATCTTTTCCAAAAGTTGACTTGGTGCATAAAACCGGGGGGCATATTTCACTGAACTTTATCCGAAAATAAAACAATGAAGCCGATTTACATGCTTACTTCCATTTTGGAAATAATCGCGCTGAATGTAGAAACGATTCTCAGATTTAACGTCTTTAGCTGCAAAAGTAAGTTCCATTGGTGACGTAAAACAAAAAAAACCCTATACTTCCAACCAATGAATGTCCACCAATCCAAGATTGGTATCGTATATATATATCTTGTTGAACGTGGTTGTTCTCGAAGCTTGGGTTCATAACAAATTTGGTATATTGGTGAATTTCACCTGTGGAAGATTCTATTGTCCCGGATTATTAAATGGCATTGTTCTATCGTTGTACAATAAGTATTTTCAACAGAGCCTAATACACAAATAGCTTAGATAACAGGACCAGTTACTGTGGATTGGTAATGGATTTGTTGATACCAGACAAGGTTTCGTCATCCTTTCTTAGGTGAAATTGATTACTCATACCCTGTTATCATATTGATTCAGTCATGCGAGATTAGCAGATTATATTGGAATGGGAAAAGTATATAAACATGTTGCAACTCCAAAGAAATTTCCATTTTCTTCTTCTTTCTTTAATATCAATATCAATCTTTATTACTATTCTCTAACTTTAGTCACTCACTATGAAATTCTTCTCCTCCACTACTTCGACTGTCACTGTTGCAGTCTGTTTGATGTCTGCCTCTGCCATGGCAAGTCTTAACCCACTTTTCGGCTCATTTGTTGACCTTGTTCCAAATGTCACCGCTTCTTCTTACTCCAACCTCACCATTTTCAAAGCTGTTTCTCCTTCAAAGAAAAGAAACACCAGAGCTGACGTTGAAAAGAAAGATCTTCAAGCGCTCGTTGATGACGTTCTCAAGGCCACTTTTGTACTCTCGGATGTTGTTCCCGTTGTTGATGACGTTTTCAAGATTGTTGGTAACTTTGAAACCGTTGCTGCTGGTTTAATTAATACTACCCTTGGGCCACTCTTGCAAAGTATTGAAGTTATTGGTACTGGTCTTGATAATGAAATTTTAACTCTTACTTCAGATGTTCTCCATACTATTGACAACATTGCTCAATTTTCATTTGCTGTTAACGTTAAAGCTCAAAAGCAAGAAGGTAAGAACGTATACTGTTTACCAGACACTTTTGGAATTAAGTATGTCTGGTCTTTGAGTGATGAATTGGATGATGCTGTCTTGGGTCTCTTAAAGGGTGTTCTTTCTGCTACTTCCGTTTACAATGTGATCAGTACTGTTGATCTGATTTTGACTCCTCTTGACCTTGGTGGACTCTTGGATTTCAAAAGAGAGGATTCTATGGATGTTTCCAAGAGACTTGACATTACTGACGGTTTGGTTTCTCAATTGAAGGGCTTAACCACAAAAGATTCCAGTATTTCAAACTACTGTTTCTCTAGTTAAACACCTTTGAATTTTGCAACCAATTTTTTCAAGGAATCATGTGCAACACTGCACATTGAGACTTTGTGAAACTTTTCTGTTGAATGTTTTTGTTTTATTTCATTTTTCAATTTTTTTACCCTGTATGCGCAATACAGCGCGGACCTCCGCGGACCATATCTAATCTTTAATATTCATTTTATTAAACCAACAAGAATTCTTATGGTCATATTGCTTGTGTATATATGGATCTTTTCGAATATATCCATTCCGTTTACATACCTCTCTCTTTGTGAGAAAGAAATGGTATATACTATATACTACAAATATATGCTTTTTACCTTGATTTCACAGCTCCATTGTAACATAAATTCTGGTAAACGGATTTTACATCCCGATGTGTGTCTTTTTTTTTTTTTTTTTTGGGAGTTCCGGTCGCAATCAAAACGTTTGCGCCGCATATTTTTTGGACATTCCGACCAGTCTAGTGTCCCTGTGTAAACTATAAAACCGCCCACAATCCCCTTGGAAATAGTTTTAAGTCTTTGGAAAATGGAGAGGTATATTTGGAAGAAAAGAGCTTTGGATTTCCCCTAACGGAAAATACTTAGTCTACTTGTGAATCAACCCTCCCATCTCAACCCTGAGCCTTAACCTGACGTAGCCTACAAGGAAAAAACGTTCGGCAATTTGATTTTCAATTCTTTTTTTTTTTTTTTCTCTTTCCGGTTTGAGTGCATCCATTTTTTTGCTCTTCTCATTTAACCAACTAGTCGTTACATACACCTTTTATCTCGGAATCGACAACTAGCTGTCTCCCCACAAACCAAGAATTTAAAGATGGATACTGGTGATATTGAAGCCACTAAGATGTACATTTCGTACAACAATGTACACCAACTTTGTCAAGAAGCTGCTGACAAAATTAAGCAATTCAAGCCAGACCTCATCATTGCCATTGGTGGTGGTGGATTCATTCCAGCTAGAATGTTGCGTACATTCCTTAAGGAACCAGGTCAAGCTAACGTCCGTATTATGGCCATCATCCTCTCTCTTTACGAGGACATTGGAACTGTTGGAACCCAAGCTGAAGCCGTTGGTACCAAGGTTGTTAGAACCCAATGGATTGACTATGCTCAATCTAAAATTGATTTGGTTGGAAAGAACGTTTTGATTATTGATGAAGTCGATGATACCAGAACCACCCTTCATTATGCCGTTTCTGAGCTTAAGAAGGATGTTGAAGAACAAGCCAAGGCTAAGAATGCAGACCCAAACTCCACCAAGTTTGGTATTTTCGTTTTACACGATAAGATAAAGACTAAGCGTGCTGACCTCCCAGATGACATCATGAAGACTGGGAACTACTTTGCCTGCAGAACCGTTCCAGACTGCTGGATTGCATACCCATGGGAATCCGCTGACATTGTTTACCATCAAAAGAGAGCCGTAGAACAAGACAACGATGTTTTCCTTCCATCAACAACTATATAGAGAAAGAATAACTAATATGTATGTATAGAGATATATATACATTTTCACATATGTATTTTAAGAATTTACGTGTATTAAGAATAAAAACCCCAATGAACTATGTATTTAATCTATTTCAATGTAATCATCAGGACTTCTTGAATGATTTTTAAGTGGGGTATGGACAGTACTTTTATCCTTTCTCTTTTTACTCTGTCTAAGAGATTGACCACTCCCACTGAATGCATTCAATTTTTCTTTATTTTTAGAATCCTCTTCTTCAGTTTCTTCTGGTGTTGGTAATATGACTGGGAATCCGAAAAAAAGTTGATTTGATGGTAAAATTAATGGAACTGGATCAGCATCAACTGCTAAATCATCAATTGAATATTGAATTTTTTCCTTTTCTTCAACTTTTTTATTACTCAATTTAACACCAGTACCTTTAAAAGTATCAACTTTACCACTTTCTGCAACCAAATTGGCATAATCAATGGATCTTGCCATGCTTCCTGAACCGGCACCTCTGTTGACACTAGATGGGTTTATAGATGTCGTAGTGGGTGCTGAAACTGCCTTGGGTTTGTACTCAGGTTCAACGTATCCCACTGGTGGTGCAAAGTCTGTTTCCAAATCTGTTTCCACCACACAAATCCCATGATTTTTAGATTCTGGTTTAACTTCAAGAACTTTAATTCCATAAATAGAATCATTGTAATTCACTTCAATGATATCATTTACAGTCAAAGTGGAAAACTTTCTCAAAACATTTTCTAATACTGCCTTTGGATCAGATATATCCAAGAAATCAACCGATTGTGGTTCAATTTTAACAAAATTACCCAAGGGAATATCACATGACGAGATCTTTAAAAGCAGCCCAACAGATAATTCTAATGTTGCCATCATCCATTGTGGGAGATATGCTCTACCTTCTTCTGCCACAAACTCTAAAACACCACTGTGAGATTGTTTCTGGTTACTTTCGTTAACCAACACGAAAAGCATGGGATATCGAATATGAAGCATTGTAAGCTTATTAAGAGCCGATGGTGGTAAGAATATCTTCCCACCAAAGTTGGCATCATCCTTCCTAATGTTATCGGGCATCATAGCAATCGGATAACAACGGAAATAATCTTCAAAGTTGGAGGACATGGGGACTCCAAATGATCCACCAAATGCCCCTGATCCAAATCCAGAGAACATTTTCTATGTGATGTAATTCTTTTCTTTTATTTTTAGTGGCTAGTTCCTATTCCTTCGTATATAGGAATTGTAATGATTATGAAAAGTACTTTTTTTTGCCTTGGTTAATCAATGATATGTCTGTATTTGGAGCGCTTTATAACCAAGTTCACTCTGATGGCAATAATTATTTGTACCAGTATGTAAGTGCCTGCAGATAATATAAGAGGAGACATTCTTTTTTTTTTTTTGGTATCTTTTAGTATCGCTCCCTGTAATTGACTAGTGGCTGCAAAAATAAAATATTACACACTCTTTTGATACTGATGTTAATACTTAATTCTATATGTAGAAAATAGTTTAAGGTCAACAAGAAAAAGTCATACCTACTTAGACAATAAGAGTCTACATGTGTGTTTTTTTGGTTTTTTTTATTTTTTTTTTCTCAATTAAATATAAAAGCTATTCAGACCTACCTAGCGTATCCAGTATAATACTTGGTGCGATCTCCTCTGTAACGAGATTTCCTATGATTATCCCTAAAATGACGAAGATAAGCTGTCAATGGCTTATCTATGGTGGCCTTAGAGCATTCAGTTTCAACAACTTCATAACAAATCGGACAAACAACCCCAGTGTGTTCCTGCTCATGAGCATGGGTCTTTCTACCATCAAGATTCTTATCCTTTTTCGTCAAATAATCTCCATAATGTGAAGGATTAGGCGTCAAATAATTATCAGTATGGATACCATGATGTAACTGATAATGTTGAAGAAAAGTGGATGTTTTAAAGTTCCTGAAATGGCATTCCTCACAATATGCACATAATCCACATCTAGTTGAATTCAATGCTAATCCATTTTCAGGATCAACTAAATAACAAATAAATTCCGGTTCATATGGTCTATCAATTCCAAAACATGGATTATATTCAAACCGCATGTTTGGGATCAATCCTTCAAGGTATGAAATATCGCCCCGGATATATCTTGTTCTGGGGATACGTGTGACTCGCTCCTCGTCCTCGGGCTTCAATCTTATTAATACATTTGCAATGAGCTTTTCAATTGGTACCAGTGTCTCCAACCTTGCCCTATTAATAAGAGATTCTTCTTCAACCTTAATGAATTGAGCATCTTGAACTATTCCAAAATCATAATTTCTCCTTTGAGCTTGAAATTGACTTCCAGGTCCAGGTCTTAATTTTCCAATACGCTTTCCACTTGATTTTGCGCCAGTATAAACTCCATCGCTAACTTCTCCACCCTTTGCTACCTTTCCGTAAACTTTAGGCGCTACATTATTCTGGATTAAATGTCTGGGCACGCTGTCGATTATGTTGAGATTCTTGCTAATATGAGATTGTGCTATCTCATATGAATTGTCATCAACAGGTTCCAATTTAACCTTATTATACATTTCAATATCAGCATTTGTACAATTGTTAAGGTTGATGATGTCAGAGTTGGCGTGTGCTTGGATATTTTGCATATAATTATCAACCCCAAGAGGTTCATAACAATTCATGGAACTATTGTTATTCAATAGAGGATTTGGTAAGGTATATTGTGGCTGATTGTAACCATATCCAGTTTCATTCACGTTATATGATGTAGGGAATTGGATGAATTGCTCAAAAAAATCAATATTCAATGGTACGTGAGTAAGACTTCCATCATTCACGACTGTCACATAATTGTGGTCAAAGGCTGGACAGCTAGGTACATCCAATTTAATACTCTCGAACTCTTTCTTGATGGGGTCTGTTTGCGTCCCTACTTGAACCTTCTCTCTGAAATAATTACTTCCCAATGGGAACTTTAAGTTGTCTGCACTAGTTAAATCTCCAACTAAATAATTGGGTTGGATTTTTAAATCAAACTTATCTTCAACATCAGTATCTGAAGTTTCAAGGCTATGTGGATTGGAGGGCAAAATCCCATCTGCATACTTAGCACGGTCACCTGATACACCTTGTTGAATTGCCATGGTTTCTGGCTCACAGATGGTTTCTTGGGACAGTGTCTTGTGAATGAATTCAAGTTGTGTTGGAATAGTTCTCAATTCAAATTCTTGTAATGCTTGCATTCCGTTTGATTGCAAAGGGTTCACTTTCCCATATTGTCCATATGACAGCCTCCTAGAGGTGACATTAGTTAGCGTAGAGTCCATAAATAGCAGATAATCGAGCTGTTCGGTTTGCAGATCAATTGATGGTTCAATTGAAAATTCTTTAGCAATATTCGTAGCAATGGGTTCAATTTGCACTAGCAGCTGGTCAAATTGAGTATCAATTGAACCTAATAGATTTGTATCCAATAGATGAAGTGGGTCTTTTTCTAAAGAATCTATATCAAGGTTCAAATACTCTTCCACAGAAAGGTCATACGTTAGTTTGTCGCAATACATTGTCACAAATGGAAATTTTTCGAATGAAAATGAATATACTAATAATGTAAGTATAAGACAAATATTTTTAGAAGGAGAAGAGTTATTCCTTAAATCAGTTGACGTGAGGTTCCGTTATGCTTAATATTTAGTGCAATTGCAACATCTACAAAAACGTTCATGCATTATCAAAAGAGGCACCTATTGCAGCAGTTTGGCTGCAAATTTTAAAGATTAAAGCTGTTCAAGTTTCCATATTTGGGTCTATTTACGTCCGACATGTTCGTTTACGTTGATATGTTGCAACGTTGGTATGTCAGATATTTTAGGAATCTCGTGGTACATTTGGCTGCAAATACTATTTACTGTACAGGCAAGTAGGCTCATAATTACCATAAATGTTATTGAATGAAATTCAGTTCGTTTATTGTACACTCCCACTTCAGTTAAGAACTTTGTGTTCGTCACTTTAAATATATACTTTAATTTTCAATCTATAGTGGCCATTCGTATTCTTTTATAGATAGATCTATCAATATCATTCTACATGAAAAAAGAATTAAAAAAAAACTAAATATATTGTTGATCCTTTTTATACTCTATATCACCTAATGCTATTAAAAGCCAGCTTTCAGATGTTGTTGGCTAACTTCGAGAACCTTGTTGACAATCGCGAGTTGTTGTTCGTCTAAGTCCCCAAAGATTGCCTTGTACTTTTGATTGTTCTGTTGTAAAAGAATTATTTTGTTAGTGAAGACTTCAAATACATGAACTCCATCAATTGGAGTTTGCTTCAAAGCTTCTAACTCGGCTTCGTCGGCCTCGTATTCATCTCCTCCACCGTATGCACCACTGTATTCGTCTTCATCTTCGTCTTCATCATCACCACCTAAACCATCTCCCATTTGTCTTACGCTACTTTCTTTGGCCAAGATTTCTTGTTTAGCTCTGATAGCATGTGGTAATGTTTCCAAGTTTGAAACCAACAAGTCCACTAGTTCACGGACAGTATCTGGTTCTTGTTCAAACATACTCCAGTCAGCATCACACAAGATTGACAAACCAGCAAGAATTTGAAGTTTGCATCCATAGACACTTTGGAAACTATCAGAATATTTGATCCATAATTGGAAAATTCCTGCAGTAAATTGTCTTCCTTGTAAAAATTGTAATGTAGTTGTTGGATCAATGTAGAAACAAGCGAAGAAAATCTTCAAGATAGACAAGTGATGTAACATATGTCCATCAAAAGCTTCTTGAGCTTCAAGCAGGCTGAAAACGTCAAAGATTTCTGGTAAGAAACGAGGAAGGAATGGTACAAATCTAGCATTCATACTAAGAATAGTCATCTCAATAAGTTCAAATGCACAATCACCAAAGATTGGATCAAATGCTTCGCTACGAAGAATGTTGAAACAAACACCAATCAAAGCTTGAACATGTGGGGATTCGATAGTTTCATTAGGATCACTAAATCCGATATTGATAACACTTTCAAAGAATGGCTGGTAAGTGTCAAAGTATTCCAATGCATAGGTTTCAAATGAATCAATGCAAGCTTGATATAATCCCCACATAATTGGAGAGATTCTTTGAGTGGAAAAGGTAACAGATTCTAAAATTTCCACAATTTCAGGTAAAAATGAAACCATGGCATTTTCAAGAACAAACTTGATCATATCTTGTAAAACTTCCTCTAATGAGCTAGCAACTTGTGGGGAAGAGTTCATAGCAATGACTAAAGTGGTCAAAGTAGTCAAGATACCAGCAGCTTGGTATTCCTTTTCAATATCAGTATTATTACTGCCACTAGTTGATTGTTGTTCTAATATATCAGAAGCCAACTTAATAAATTGTTCAGTCAATCTTAAGGCTAACTCATTTGCATATGGTTCCAAGTTTTTAGCGAATTTTTCAACAAAAGCATCCATAACACTAGTAAGAATATCAGACTCAAACTTCTTGGACATATCCAAAAGGGTACCCATCAATTGAGGAGCTTGACCTGCAATATGTTCTGCAACAAGTTCTTCTTCAACAAGAGTTCTCAAGGCATCTACTGCAGTTATTTGAATAGGAAGGTGTTCTTGAGTTTGGAAACAAACAACGATACCTTGGAAGATATCTTGCAAGATTTGTTGATCACGATATTTGTTGACAAACATGGCGATGGTATCACATGCACGTGCGGTTAAAAATGGAGTTGATTGAATTGTCTTTGGAGATAATTCTGGATATACAAAAGTATGTAATATCGTATCAATTTTACCAGCTACTGGTGAATACTTCTTGTCCAACTTATGAGATAAGGTGGATAAGATTCTGAAAGCACCTTCAACTTCCATGGCAGTAGCTAAATCATCTCTATCAGGAGAAGCTCTTCTACTCATAACATCGTTAATAATGGTTAAAAGTAAGTTAATGGTGGACTTGAATCTTTTACTAGAAAGACGGAAAACAAAGTTAATGGATGCCACGTCGGAAGTATTACTTTCTCTGTTGATATCAAAGAATCTTCTAATATATTCTTCAGGTTCATCTTCATATAATTCAACAGTTTCAGAGTTGGCATTCAATGTAGGCAATAATACATGACGAACAATAGCTTCCAACTTATCTTCAATCAATGGCCAAGCTGGTGTATCAATGAGTTGTTCCAAGAATGAAATCATTTGATAAAGTGAACCTTCTGAAATCCAAATCTTTTTGGAAGACCAATTTTCAATAATGGTCCAATAAACACTCAAGATTTCTGGTACAAAAGTTTGCATAAATTGTGTAGCAAATTCTGAAGTTTTATCACCAGTTGCATGACCACCACCATGACGACTCAATAAACGATGGAGATTACCAAAACACCATTTGACTGCCTTGATACGTGGGTGTTGAGTTCTTGCTTCGAGAGATTCTTCATTCATCACGGATTGAGGTAAAGGTTTGTTGATAATAAGGATATGGTAATGACACCAAGCACCCAACTTAGAAGGATTTTCCTTGAAATATGAAGGAAGGGTTGAAAAAGTAATATATTTGAAAATCTTAACGATTAAATATAACATTTCATCTTGAATAAGAGAGCTTTCATCAGTACTTTCAATCAAAGAGTTGACAAGAGGTTCCAAAATTGGGAAAACCTCGGTAGTTATTTCTTCAAATACTGGGTTACCAGATCCAGTTTCAAGAGAAGTCCATCTATAACACTTGGAATATTCGAAGAGACATAACAAACCAGTGTAAATGCTATCCACATTAGAGGAGTCTGAAAGTAAAGTCTTAATGACAGAGAGAAGCTCTTCCCACTTTTCTGAGTTTAAGATCTTTTGAAGAGCAGTAGTAAGTTGAAGCTTCAATTGATGAGCTCTGTAAGTGCGCATCAATGTTTGGATTAACTTCTCCTTGATAGCAGATTTCTCAAATGCTTGGATGTAGACAGGAGACCCAGCCTTATCTTCAGGGGCCAACCAATAGTTGGACACTCTATTCTTGAAGAAAATGGCCCCAGATATTTGGATACCTAAGGGAACACCATCTTCTACGATAAGATCAAGAAGATATGAAGTGAATCCAGGTTGTTTTTCAAACACATGCAACAGTTGTTCGGATTCTCTTCTAGTGTGAGGATTGGCATCCAATGTGCCTGCAAGAGCCTTGAGAAGTGTATCCTTGTCCATATTGTCTAAGCAATGGTTCCAGTTAGGTTAGCAAGATCCTTGGAAAAAAAAAATTTAAAAGAACACAACCTATTCAATTTTTGAGACCCTGGGGTTTGAACTCCCTCCCATTGATCAGATCTATTGTCATACCAGTGCGAGTGCTTGAAAATTTTAAAATGTAACACAAACACAAAGAAAGAAAAGAAAATTTTTGAGAATGTGGTGTATGTTGCAGCAATAAGTGCAGGACAACATTAAATAGAGTTTCTTTTAGATGTTATATGTCGATATGGTGGTTGAGATGTTAACATCATTCTATTTAGAAATCCGCAATATTTTCCACTTGATGTAATTCTATCCATGTGTATCTATTCTAGTTTTAAAACTATTAAAATATATTCTTAAAATAAACAGTTGTACTGTCGTAAAATTGTTGCTTTAAGAGAAAAAAGGAAAAAATAAAAAAGAAAAGCTGATGATTCTTTCACGAAATTGTGAGTAGAAAAAATAATTGTATAAAGTGTGACATACAAAATGTTACACAACTTTCCCTTGAGCTAATAGAGTCTAGACTATACCTACAAATGTATGAAAAAATAAAAATAATATTCATAATAACAAAAAAAAAAATCATACCAATTAATGCACTACAAAGAAATTGAAGAATCACACCTTATCAAAAAAAATAGTTCCAAGTCTTACATTAAAAACAGGTCGTGCGTGTACCCATCCATCCAATCCATCTCAACCTAAAAAAAAACCTTGAGTGGAGTAAGTAAGATGTATATAGAGTGAATAGTAAATTTATAATCGACGGGATATATCAATAAGGATGGGTATAACAGAAATCAAGGACTTTCAAGTCTTACCTGTAGAAGTCACTGGGTCTACATCTCCACATTATATTTATTTCAAAAAGCATACTGTGAAGGGATCTTCCAATGAAAACAGATCGATTTTCTTTTTCAATTTACCAATTCAAACGTCAACTCCTGTATTCAAAAAGTACCTTCAATCGGTAGCTATTGGTGCTACGTTAGAGTCATTCACTCCTAGTTTCTTGACTGACTATCCAGAAGATATTTGGATTGATTTGACCAAACTTACATCCGATTTAGAACTTGAACTGAATGAACAGTTACAAGAACAACTTCAAGGAGCCAAACTTCCGAAGCATTGTGGTGTAGTTTCCTTTGTTGATAAATCTGCCTTCCAGTTGGCATTCTCATCGTTGAAAAAACTTTCGATTGCATCTACCATTTCTCAATGGCCCATTCCATCCTTTGGATCTTCGTTCTTTCTTGAAAAATATCATAACCAAATCTTAGACCTGGAAGACTTATCCAACGCAGTGTCTCAAGCTCTTGTAGAGTTTGATGCTGCTGAACAACAATCCATGAATGAAATTCAAAGCCAAACCCAACTTGTAGATGAGGATGGGTTCACTTTGGTGGTGGGTTCTCATAGAAAGACAAAGGCAGGTATAATGGGTAAGCAAAAGCTTGCGTCTACTGTGGAAGCTGAAAAGGCACAATCTAAGCTTAAAAAGAAGGAAAAGGAAGACTTCTACCGTTTCCAAATGAGACAAAAGAAGAAGGATGAAATGAATGACTTGTTAAGAAAGTTTAAGGAAGATCAAGAAAGAGTGAGAGTGATGACGGAAAAGAAGAGATTCAGACCGTATTAAATCTATGAACCAATAACAATAATGATTCAAACCTCAAAGCAAACAACAACTTTCCTTGTTTCTTATTATGACAATTCCTCACTCTCTAACTTCAGAGAGAAATTAGTCCTCAAGACTGCTCGCATTTAAAGGTCCCATACCTTCCCCGTGTACATATATATTAGTACTCATAATAGCATGTAATATAAACCTAGACCTAATAATATAGACCTCGTAGCCATGATTATATGTGTAAACAGTTTGTGCGGTTTTCATGAAGGGAGAAAATTAATATTCCAAGGATGATCAACATTACTTTATATCGACGTATACTCTATATTTAATCACTAATTTCAATGACAGATTCATCGGAAAATGAACGCATTTCCTTGGTGGCAAATCATCTTAGTCAGTATATAAGTTCAGAGTATAATCCTGGAAATGTTGACTTCAACATCCTCTCCACCATCAGATATGATCCCAACATCACAAAACTCCCACCATTGACCGTCGAAGACATTTCCATGGTCAACTTCTTTCTCCTTGACGAACATTATCATAGACTATTGTACACACTTCGGTATTTCACAGCTCAAGAGGGACAAGAACTTCAATTTGAAGTCACTAAAGAGTTTTTATTTGAGAAATTGGTGGATGCCATAAAAGCGTCTGATTTACAAGTATTCCAACCCATGAAGGTACGATTATTGGTATCATTGAAAGGTGAAATAACCATTGAATTGTATGAAATACCTTATCGTCAAAATTTGCTAGATGGGATTGTTGATAGTAACATAAGTGAACCTGTAGTGTGGGATGTTCGTGTGGACTCCAAGGAGACTTTGATTTCTCCCTTCACATCGTTTAAGACGACACATCGAGCAGTCTACACCGATGCAAGAGAAAGAGGGATCCCAGGAATTAATCCTGGTCGAGAAGAGGTTCTTTTGGTTAACACTCTGGGTCAATTAATGGAAGGATCCATAACAAATGTCGCCGTAAAGAGAGTTTCCGATGGTGTCTGGGTTACCCCTGTTCTAACATCTGGATGTTTGTGTGGGGTTATGAGAAACTACTTGATCCGTGAAGGTTATGTCGAAGAAGACGTTATTCGAGCTCTGGACGTAACTCCAGGTTCGGATGTGCTACTTTTCAATGGTATCATGGGTGTGGTCAAGGGGAAAGTGGTGGAACGTACATAAACATTATATACTATCAAAATGCAATGAAAGGAAAAAAAAATTATAATAAATCACATTCAAACGTATCATTATCTATCTAGTTTTTCTATTTACTGGTCAATTCTTTGATCTTTTCGTCGTTGAATCCCATAATGTACAAGATATCCTGTAAGGACTTTGTGTTTAAACAACATGGTGCTAAGAGTTGGACCTTTGGCTTGGCGTTCCAAGCAACCCCGAATCCACCAGCTGCCATCATGTTGAGATCATTGGCACCATCTCCAACAGCAACGGCATCCTTAGGATCGACATCATGTTTAGTGGCAATTTCAAGTAATAATTCTGCCTTTTTGTCTCCGTTAACAATGACTCCTCTAGTGGTACCATCCAAAATTCCCTCGGAAGTGGTACCTAATTGGTTGGCATACGCATAGTCCAAACCTAACTCAGTCTTGACATGTTCGGCCAATGGGATGAATCCTCCAGAACAAACAGCCATGACACATCCCAACTTCTTCAAGGCTTGACATAATTCACGAGCACCATTGGTAATGACAATCTTGTGTTTTAATTCTTCCCAAATACTGGTGGCATCAATACCCTTCAACAACAACACTCTTTCTCTTAAAGATTCATTGAAGTCCAATTCTCCATTCATGGCTCTTTCTGTAATTTCTGCAACCTTATCTTCAATTCCAGCGTATGCTGCAATCAATTCAATTACTTCTTGATAGATCAATGTGGAATCCATATCAAATACAAAGAGTCTCTTGTTATCTCTAGTGTCTCTCTTTTGGAAAATTATATCATAGCCAGATGATGGAGAGTCTTGAAGGAGTTCTAACTTGACTTGTTGGTTAACATTTTCTGGAGTTTCCGCTCTAACGTGGTAATCAATGACTCGGTTATTGGATCCCAATACCTCTTTGGTCAACGTGGTCACCTTCCATTTGGGGAAAAGCATTTCCTCCACATATTTGATCTGCTCTTCTGAAAGCTTGTCTGCGTGAGATATCACCGTCAAGGTGTATTGATGAGAGATATGAATCATATTTACAATTACAACTCAATATACTTGTAAATTAATCAATCGCATACTTTATTAATTTTAACTCTGATACTCACTCACCAATGAAAAAAAAAAAAAATTTAATTGTATATGAGTCAAGACAAGTCAAATATTTTGGATTCCCTATGACGGATCCAAATAAATAGTCTATAGAATATATGATTTCTACTATCTCTAGGTTGTGTTGCTTGTATCAGAGCAGTAGAAATTCTCTGAGCCAAGTCTATGTATGAAGTCTTACTCTGTTTGCTCTAAACGTAAATGGTACTCACTAAGTCCAATTTCCGAATTTAAGCGTTCAAAATTGTCCATATATATAGCATGTTTCTTTTCTGCAATCACATTCATTTCCTTCCAATATATGTCATGAATATATTCAAAATCCAACATCCCATTGAATTCCTTATCTAATTGTTCACGGGGTACAAAGTTTTCAAATGGTTGATCATAAATGGTCTTCAGTCTTGTATATGGATCAATAAATGGTCCAACAACTTTGAAAAATGTGTAACCAATCCATGGGATATTGGTGAAAAGACCTCTCCCTAATCTCTCAGGATAATGATTTTGAAGAATATGAAGAACTTGTTTGGAAATTGAAAGTGATGGGAATTTCGATGAAAGATTCAAATGTGCTGGTGCAGCCTTAAAATCAATAAGTAACGCTAAACCATCTTGTCCTGGGGGCATATATTGTATCACTCTTTCAAGCATGAATACTAAATGTTGCACTTGTTTAATTGATGGGCTTGTATTCTGATATCCATTTCTTAAATAAAGACATGGTCTGTTATCATTATCGTATCCTACAATCAAATTCTTCCCAGTTAAGTTTTCTGCCTCTACAAGTTCAGCGGTTAATAATTTGGACTCATCCGTATGACCTGGTACATTCACTACTCCAAATGTTCTTCTCCATACAATGGTATCTTCAATACGTTGGATAGCAGCGTCTTCTTTCCATTTGGTGGCTCTAAGGTATCGTAAAAAGCATTCTTTTGTCAACCATGCCCGTTCTTCAATTAAAACAGGATGAGTTGCAGCACCAGATGTCAGATTAACAGGAATATCCTTCTTAATATATTCTTTAAAATGTGCAAGAACATGGTCATATTTGGCTTGTTGCTCTTCAGTCAAGTCAAATGTTGGCTCCTTGAGTGGATTGACCGGTTGTTCAAATGGTGTATGACATTTGATATACTTCCCATTTTTAGCGCCCCCACTGCTACCAGTAGTGCTAGCTGGGGAACTACCGTTGGTAGACTTGGATGATACAGAAGCAGTATCGTTTGGTGTACTGTCACCACTCTCCTTCTTTCTGAAAAAGTTCATTCTTGACTTTCTTGAGCTTAAAGTTGTAAAGTAGATTGTACTTTGTTTATCACTAAGCGAGAAACGGAGAGGGAATAAAAAAAGACTACTAAAAATAAAAAAAATAAAAATACACACGAAACAACACACATTTAATCTTTTACGCGACACCCCCCCTCCGTATTTCATTTAAAGATAGTGAGTTCATATACATCAAACCATTTAAATTTGCTGGACAATGCTGGTCACCGTCACTAAAACTTCTCCATGCGAGGAGAGTCCTGTTAGCGCCCCATATTTACAGAAATTACTTGAAGATTATATCTCAAATGGTGATTATGATAACAAGGAAATAATAAAGTATATCCTTGAAAATATTCAGAAAAAGAGTTCAAAGCATAAATTCATGGTACAAGTGACACGAATAGATTCTAAAGGTGATCTCAATGCAACCACAAGTTTTGGTGCGATTTGGGAAAATTCAAGAGATGGATATGTTTCTTTAGAAGTACAGGGTAAAGAAAATTCATGTGTTTCCATGGTCACCGTATATTGGATTTATATATAAATAGTTGTACATAAATAGAATCAAAAACTTTGATCTAACTCATTATAAAGATGTTCCAATTTCTCGTTTAATTCGCTAATTTTTATTGTATTTTTAGTAATACTACCAATATGTTTTTGGAGTGCTGTTAAGATTAAACTCGTATCTGGATCATCATCTGGTTTAAAAGTGGATATCTTCATTGGTTGAATTCTAATATCATCATTTACTGAATTGTCGTCATTCGAATTCAAATCAAGTTTCTCTCGTTTACTTACAATTTCTCTTCTTATTCTCTTGGAATTCCCCTCTGAAGTCTTCCTTAATTCTTTCAAGTAATTCAAGTCCAGCTTATATACCAATTCAAGATTATTATAATTATTTTCCAATTCATGTAATTGTTTCAATTCTGCCAGCAAATAAGTTTCTAAATATGTCTTTCTTCTTAAAAGCAGATCAAAGTTAAATTCATCAAATTCATGTTTAGATCTTTTTTGACCGGTAAGATGCATCAAATTTGTTGGAGGTAAGGGGGTTACCTTCATCCTGGATGCAAACGATTCTAGATTAGTTTCTGATATCCAGGAGTCATAAAGTATGGATTGGGCTTCAAGCATCTTTTCGCTAGGTTCTAAAGGATTTCGTTTACCACGTCCCTTACCACCTTTACTCGTACGTGGGATGTTTGGATGGGCATATCTTTCAATTGCCTGATTAATACACATATCAAGGATATTCACTACATCCTTGTATGATTCCGAACCCAAAGGTTCCCAAAATTTCTCAATCATCTTCCCACCCACTTTTCTTTTATGTGACTTTAAAGATATTGTTGAAGGATCCATAATAATATTTGAATCCACCATTTCTCTGGAGCGTTTATTACTACTCAGAACATTGGCATTTGCATCTCGAGTAGTTGTATCACCGTCTTGCATGGTGGTGTCTATATTATTCGATGGTTCTTCCTCATTTTCTACGTTGTCTCCAGGTGTCTTTTCTGTTTGTTCAGTATCATTATTTTCTCTATTATTTGAATCATCTTCTTCAATGTCTTTAGAAATATCACCAGTCTGTGGGTCATCTATATTCGTGGGTATTTCATTATCTGATACCTCTGGGGCCAAGTCAGTACTCCCTATCGATATAGCGCCAATCCTTGCAGGTTCTCCGTCTACAGAATTATCCTCTGAGTCAACCATCTCTATTAATTTCTAATCATCAAGTTATATCTTAGTGTTTGTTTATAGTTTACAATAGATATCTGTGTTTTCCTGCAGTTAACAATAATATATTTTTTCTATACAATACAAAAAAATTTCAAAGGTTTCAAAGTTGCAGCCAAACAAATATCTAAAATGAATAAGGTATAATTATGAATTCTAATAAGAAATATTAATAAGAAGGATGATTTTCTTAAATTATAACAACTTCGACATAGGGTTTTTTTACCCCCATCATGCATATATTAGATTTCCCTTTTTCAATATTTTGTTATTTTCTACTTATTTCTTGTTTTTTACAATTTCTTCACTAATATTATTTTTGTTGTAAATTCACAACATATATCAATAAAGATCCAACCCAATTTTACGACTTAGTAAGGTATTATATAGTGTATTTTAATAATATTTCTCCCAATAATCAAAGAAAAGTAATCCCCTATTGAGTCTATTAATTTATTAACTTCTCTATCTATGAATTTCTATTTATTTACCCTCCCTCCTTGATAACATCCAGCACTAATACTTCTACCCCATTATAACACATTTCTAATAATTTCTTTGTAACTCCAAATTCTCCACTTAATTTTTCAGTAAGATGATTCTCTACCGAATTAATATCACTAACAAGAACTTTTTTAATTTGTGGCTTATACCCACTAAAAACTTGATCTATGCTAAAATCTTCTTGATTCTTTTCATTTTCCAGATCAAGGGTTCTTTTACCCGATGATGCATATTCTTCTTGACCAATGTTAAAAATTTGAAATAATCTTTTATCCATCATTGAAAGTTCTTCCATTTCTTCTTGTCCAACTTCTTCAAGATCATGATCATCCCGGATAATGTTAAACGTTTTATTCTTCTTTGGGACCAAGTTGGCATATATCCATTGACAATATCGATTAATCTTTTTATCAGACCAATTAAGAATATCTTCTTCATCTATCCCACTTTGAGGTACGGGGAATTCATGATTAAGTTCATATTGAGTTAAATTATTGAGCCAAGTTGTTGGATCTATTTTACATTCAGCACCCACTGTATTATACACAAAATATACCTTGATGGTTAAGATAACGAGTGCAACTACTTGGAGTTCCGAGAATTTCAACAATTTTGAATTTGCAACAGTTTTCCTTCTTTTGGATTTAGATTTAGATTTAGATTCTTCTTGTAATTTAATCTCGGGGATTTGAAGCTTTTCAGTTATTGCAACCCATAAAAGGAATATTTCTGGTGCATCAGGTAGTAAAAGAGTCTTTGATATGATTTTGAATGCTAATGGATAATAATAATCCATAGGTACTTGAATTAAATCTGGACAAACTCTAGATGAAATCTTGAATATAGTTTCATATATTTCATTTGATAATGGTAATTTTGTTGGTTCAAATAGTTTAATATAATATGATGGTAATTTTTTAACATAATCTCTTGGAAGTAGATGTAAGCATCGCATATATGGAATTGTATTTTGCTTGAGAGCTGCCACCAAGTCATGTACGTACACTGGGTATCTGAGCACCAATAGAGATAAATAGATGATACATATGAGATCCAAAGTGGTTGGAAGGTGTAAGTCAGGATGGTTGAAATCAATATCTACTTCTTCATTTTCATCTTCCTTTTGTCCCAATTCAGATTTATCATTATCGGGTAATAAACTTGCCTGCAAGTTTCTAAGCCAAAACAATTTTACTACTGGGAGTAGTTCAAGTTCTGCATCCAGACTTGTTTCATTGAAGAAGATCTTGATAATAATCTTGAGCTGCTTTTGAAGTACAACTTGAAGTGAAAGAAGGTAATGTTCCTTAGCAGCCTGACCATAAAGTTTACCCTCTTTTCCATGGGTTGCATATCCTCTTGCACTTGATTGCGACAGGAAATCACCCCCCAACCCTGTGAGTTGGATATTAAGTCTCTTTGTTTGTACAAAGTTGTCATCTTGATCATCATTGATCTCGATATTCCCATCCATCACATGTCCATATTGACATATTTTGAGCCCATCGGTGGACCTATAAAGCCTGGATGTACAGTTGTCCACTCCACATACGGGCCCTCTAACCCAAGTCTGTGACATAGTGAAGAATGATGGAAATTGAAGGAATTAGGTGTGGTTAAAGAGGTATAGTTGGAGAGATGCATATTGACTATAGGCGATGATTACTATGTGCAGAAAAGTAGAATATGCAGGATCTTGGAATCACTGTTTTTACCGAGGTATAGAGATACGGATTTAGTAGAGGTTTTTAGGAGTATGAATAGAAATAGTACATCGATACTACTAATATATATATAGAGTTCCATTCGATAAAAACCAAACAGATATTACTAATCAATTTCCCATCAATGATAAGTAATGTAATAGACATCACGTGACACTGTTACTATTGAACGCCGAGTGTTTGTTCTTGTTGAGAGAATATATAAAATTTGCAACCTTCTAGTACTTGTTTGCTGTTTCGTAGATGTGAATTTTGAATAATGATAAGTAGAATATGATCAGAAAGTAATATATATATATATATATAGGAAAACATAACTAATACACCCATTGCTTTCATTAGCTACGAATAAACACACTAGAGAAAAACGTACAGTTTTTAATCTGGGTAGGACCACACCCTCCACTGTATGAATTAAAAGACCCTCTTATACAGTTCTGAAGGCTCAATTGTACACCGAATTGTGGGAAAATTAATAGGAATCCTACTTGGCTCTATTGGAGTATCTACTGCTTGAAGTTAAGATATATATGCACAGAAACAGTTCAAATGAGGCCAAAAAAAAAACAAAAAAAAATATGAATGAATTAAAATATAGCTCCTGTAACGCCGACACATCTAGATATATCAGCACTAGATATGTCAAGTGAAAAATTTGGCCTTGAAAACTCATAACATTCTTGGCTTACTAATATGTGAAGGGGCAACTTATTACATGGGATCCGACATATAATTCTTCTATGAAATTTATGTCGATCTCGGCTATTACTGCAGTTGTTGAATAGATAATTTGAAGTGAATAACACCCCTAGCTACAAATCTACCCAACCAAATGCTTTACGAACAAAAACTAAGTGGCGAAAAGTTGCCTATAGAAGAATTACCCTCATCAAAGTCATCGTAGTAGTCTCAATTTCGGACTTTATAACAATTTTTTTTTTGGAAAGGCACAATTACGTAACAGAGATTAGTGCACATGTATGAACACGGCGCCGTTATTAATTAAAAAAAAGTATTACGAAGGGAGGTAAGATATGGAAGATAGAGGAGTTCATCTAAACTCCAGACTATAGATCATTGTGAACTTGTTTTGTGGTATTTTTCATTCTTACATCCACCAATTGACGCCAAGTGGCCAATTCCCGAGAGTTCTTCGGTACAAATTCTCTCCACAACCCTTCTCTTCCGCCCCTCTTCTAAGGTGGACAGTTTTTTTTTTACTTGTGACAGATAAAACAGTTGGGCATTCTTTTCGCACTAAAACCCGAGACCGAAAACCAAAGTCCGTATTCTCGTGAGGGTTACCGAGTGGGGTCGTTGCATATTTTCACCACACTTTTTTTTCCCATATGGTTACCAATTTTCTTATCATTTCTAATTAAAAATTTTACATTGTAATACCTTGATAAAATATTTCTAGAAAATATGTCGAAAGAAAGAGATCCTCCATCTTTTGCTATCGGTTGGATTTTGGATTATTTCACATGAATTTGTAAAGTGTTATAGTAATTAAAAGACGGTTGGCCTTACATAAGCTAAATGCAGTATTATGTAATCTGATTCTCATGGCCCCGATTTTGCGGTCTTTAGGAACACCGAGCCGGTCTTTAGCCCCGCTTTACATACCTTCGAGGGGAAAAGCACGTTGGGAACCCCACTCGAGAATTTCTTCAAGCAGTATTTAAGAAGTCGATAAGTTTCCAGTATATCGTAATAATGTAATCTTATTTATCTATACTTAGTATTTTATAAATAACCAAAATAATGTTGACTACTAAGATTAATAGAGTTGCTGCAAGAGCTGCATTTTACTCCATCAGGGCCTACTCATCCCTTCCTCTTTCGGTTACTATTAACCTCCCAAACGGTACCTCTTATGAACAACCAACTGGTCTTTTCATTAACAACGAGTTTGTGATTCCTAAGCAAAAGAAGACTTTCGAAGTTCTTTCCCCATCTACCGAAGAAGAAATCACCCACGTTTATGAAGCCAGAGAAGAAGATATCGATGCTGCTGTCGATGCCGCTCAAACTGCATTCAACTCTGACTGGTCTCACGGTGAACCAGCTCACAGAGTTGCTGTTCTTAACAAGTTGGCTGACTTGATTGAAGCCAACGCCGAAACTTTGGCTCACATTGAAAGTTTGGACAATGGTAAGTCTTTGATTTGTTCCAGAGGTGATGTTGCATTATCTGCCCAATGTATCAGATCTGCCGCTGGTTGGGCTGACAAGGTTGATGGTTCCGTTGTTGAAACTGGTTCCTCTCACTTTAACTACACCAGAAGAGAACCTCTTGGTGTTTGTGGTCAAATTATTCCATGGAACTTCCCACTTCTTATGTTTGCATGGAAGATTGCTCCAGCTTTAGCTACTGGTAACACCGTTGTCTTGAAGTCTGCCGAATCTACTCCTTTGTCCGCTTTGTACATGGCTACTTTGATCAAGGAAGCTGGTATTCCTGCAGGTGTCGTTAACATTGTCTCTGGTTTCGGTAAGATTGCCGGTGAAGCCATTGCCACCCATCAAAGAATCAAGAAGGTTGCCTTCACTGGTTCTACCGCTACTGGTCGTCATATCATGAAGGCTGCTGCTGAATCTAACTTGAAGAAGGTCACTTTGGAATTAGGTGGTAAGTCTCCAAACATCGTTTTCAATGATGCTGATGTTTCTAAGGCTGTTCAAAGTTTGGTTCTTGGTATCTTCTACAACACTGGTGAAGTTTGTTGTGCTGGTTCTAGAATTTACGTTCAAGAAGAAGTTTACGATGAAGTTCTTGCTGAATTCAAGAAGGCTGCTGAAAACATTAAGATTGGTAACCCATTCGAAAACGATACTTTCATGGGTGCTCAAGTTTCCGTTGCTCAAATGGACAAGATCTTGAAGTATGTTGAAATTGGTAAGAACCAAGGTGCTACTTTAGTTTCTGGTGGTGAAAGATTTGGTGACAAGGGTTACTTTATTAAGCCAACTATTTTCGGTGATGTTACTGATGACATGGCCATTGTTAAGGAAGAAATCTTTGGTCCAGTTGTTACCATTTCTAAGTTTAAGACTGTTGATGACGCTGTTACCATTGCCAACAACTCTAACTACGGTTTAGCTGCTGGTGTCCACACTACTGACATCAACAAGGCTATTAGTGTTTCTAACAGAATCAGAGCTGGTACTATCTGGGTTAACACTTACAACGATTTCCACCAAAATGTTCCATTCGGTGGATACGGAGAATCCGGATTCGGAAGAGAAATGGGTGCTGCTTCTTTGGACAACTACACCCAAGTTAAGGCTGTCAGAATCGCTCTTACCAAGACCAACTAAATGTATAGGTCCTTTGGGAGAGTTATATGTATGTACGACATCATGAGTAAAACAAAAAATATTTAAAATAAAATGTTATGAATAACAATAATCAGAGTGTAGTTTGAAGAGGGGTGTGTATCTAGAAGGATAAGAATTATATTTAGAATGTAGAATGAATATATGTTGATGTATTTTAGAAACATTTAGAGTCAGAATATTTGCAGCCAAACTTTTTATCTACCAATCAATATATCGGAATTATCAAAATTGTTGTATTAGATCCCCCACTTTCACCCGCACTCTTGTTAACTGCTGGTCTACCTTTACCCCCTCACCCCCACTTTTCTTGGATAATGGCTACACGTGACTGTGACTGCTTTTCGCGCGCATATCTATTTTGAAATTATTTGCAGTGCGAAAGTACCAATTCTACTTTTGTGTATTCGATAACATCAGCATTTGCTCAATCTTACGTCAGCAGGAAAATTTTCAGTCTGTGCACACCTTCCACTCAAGGTCAACTCTCACTTTAATGAAAGAATTTTCAAAGCTGGTTTTTAATATCACAGTACACAGATCAGACAAAATGGTATGTACATACATACTGATAGAGTTAGTGGAGGATGTTTAATGGACATGAGACGATGTACAACCAGTACGATGATATGTTAGAATAATAAAATTCGAGTGTTGTCGGATATCTTGACAAAAGGTCAGCCCTTGTAGTAGAAGCCAAAAATTGAAGAATAACACCAGAATTATAATATGTGGAATAATTAAATTACAATAGCTCACTTGAAACATGAAGTGTTGATGGTTTACACTTTGATAACGAACCCTTTACCAGTGGTATATTTTGAAAGTGAATATGAAATCCTTTTTTTTTGACTTTCTTAAACAAGCTTCAGGGAACCTAAGTACTTCTTTCAACAGTCCAATGAATTGGAATTGTTGTATTTGTTCCAAGTCTATAAATCTCCAAAGCCAAATCTATCAGTTTAACCGAAACAAATATTTGATAAAAAATTTTATACTAACAATTATAGAGTGACGCCGTTACTATCAGAACCAGAAAGGTTATTTCCAACCCATTATTGGCCAGAAGACAATTCGTCATTGACGTCTTGCACCCAAACAGAGCTAACGTCTCCAAGGATGAACTCCGTGAAAAGTTGGCTGAAATCTACAAGGCTGAAAAGGACGCTGTTTCCGTTTTCGGTTTCAGAACCGCTTTCGGTGGTGGTAAGTCTACCGGGTTCGGTTTGATCTACCAATCTGTCGCTGACGCCAAGAAGTTCGAACCATCTTACAGATTAGTCAGATACGGTTTGGCTGAAAAGGTCGAAAAGGCTTCCAGACAACAAAGAAAGCAAAAGAAGAACAGAGACAAGAAGATCTTTGGTACTCAAAAACGTGCTGCTAAGAGAGCTGCTAGAAGAAACGCTGATTAAGTTCATCAATATTATATTCTCAAATTTTTATATAGTATAATATTAATGTCGGTTAATTGAAGGAACATCTTTAATGAACAGAATTGTAATTTATATATCCTGTTATTGAAACAGTTTGTATTACTTAGGTTGTAGATAATTGTACTTATTTGAATTATTCTTGTGATAAATAAATGATATCAAGTCATAATAGTTTGTAGTAGGTAGTGCGTAGAAGATTTGAAGTTTGTTTAAAGTATTATATGGGGAAATCAATTAGATTTATCTCTTTTATCTACTTCCTTTTTCAAACTATATTTCTACATGTCTGAAAGAAAGGGGATAAACAAGTACTACCCGCCTGATTATGACCCATCGAAGGTCCCAAAGCGTCAAAAGGTCGGGAATCAGGACTTGAAGATCAGAATGATGGCTCCATATTCGATGAGATGCTTAAAGTGTAATGAATACATTGCAGAACGAAGAAAGTTTAACGCCAAGAAAGAGATCACCAAGGAGACATATATGAATGTAAAGATCATCCGATTTCATATTACATGTCCTAGATGTAACAATCTGATTACATTTAAAACCAGTCCACAGACTGCAGGGTATGTACCTGAAAGTGGAGCAGTAAGAAATTATGAACCAATGAAGAAGGTTGCCGATATAGTCCCCAAAGATAGAGCTGAAACGGAGGATGAGATCTTGGAAAGATTGGAGAAGGAGGAATTAGAAGATCAATCGTATCAAATGATTAAGGAGAAGAGGAAACGAAATCCATTTTGGCAGAAAGATGAAGGATTAAAAGGAGGTGATGGTGATATTATGGCTAACCTTGAGAAGAAATTACAACAACAACAGAAAGAACATGAAATAAATGAACATTTAGAGCAACTTCAAGCTCGTCAGGAACACATAAGACAACAAGGTGGGGATGAAAATGTTGTATCAACGGCACAAGAAAGAATTACCAATGAGATTGCCCAATTGGAGAAGTCTAAAAATGAAATTTTTGATAAAGAAGATTCCGAATTAGCTAAAAGAGCCTTTGCTAATTTTAGAAATGAAAGAGATTCAAGTCCAAGTACAGTTGATGCATCTAATTTAGAAAAATCTAGCGATGAAACTAATGATAAAAGTCCAACCATTGTGGTCGAAGAAGAAGAAGAAGATGTGGTGTCAGAATTACCAGAGACGCAAAAAATTCAATTTAAACCAAAGATTATCATAAAGAAGAAGAAATTGGGTTCATTGACCCCAAGACAGCCCTCAACTGAGCCAACTAAGGAATCCGAACCGAATAATCTTTCAAACATTAAAGAGAAGATTGTCACTCCTTCCCAAACAAATAATATTACCGCATTAAACGGGTACTCATCTTCTTCAGATGAAGAATAATTTACTTTTGCATTTATCTAGCATTTACAAGATGCTTTTTAACATATACTTATATTCAATCTACTGTACAATATATATTTTACCCTAATTATAATAAAATTCATTCAAAGTTCCTGTAATTTGTGGTGGTGGTGTTACATTTGCATGATACGTCCGTTGGATATCTTCAAGAACAGGGATAAGTATGTTGACTTGTGCCTTATCCATATCCTTTCTACAAAGACAAATACCTCTGATATATTCAACTGAGCAGAAGTAAAATGAACCCAAGATTTCATTCTCCCACATTTGAGGGATGAAATTTAATGGATCATCACAAGTTGCTAAATCACCCAAGAATTCAATTGCTCTTAAACTATTCAACAAATATGCCGAATCACGACGTGTAAATAATGACTCCAATCCTCCATACAAAAGGGTAACATCCCTTCCAACTCCTTCGCTGAATGACTTGAATTTCTTGGTGGCAGTGGGGTCAACTTTTTTCGCTTTTCCATTAAGGATATTTTGATATCCAATGCGAATATATGAAGCAATGAATGCATCCAACAAGAGTGCAAAAGTGCACAGATAAATGTCATATGATGCATATCCACGAAGATCTTGCATGTATTCATAAATAGTCTCAAGCACTTGTTGAACCATACTTGGTTCTTCTGGATTTTGTTTATCATCATACCATTCTTTAGTAAATACTTTTGATAATGCAGGGTACAAGTCATTAGTAATTATATCTATGATTGCACGGATAACTTGTCCGTTAAGTTCTGTACTTGGTGTGACAGTATCTTCAAATGCTTCTTGAATAACACCTTGGTAACTCGAATGTACCTTATTCTTGTATGTAACTAAAAATTTATCTTGGAGTCTATCCGTATTAATTTCATATGTGTTACCCAAGGCAGTTAAATACTCGATAAGACCAGGCTTTGAAATAGCTGCCAATTCGTCAGGACTCATATTTTCAATATCAAACAATGGCTCTTCAGGTTTCAGTTTCTTGAAGAATCTCATTCTAGAACTTGTCAGGGTGATGAATCTATCATTATTGTAGACAGACATATACTTTTCAAATTCATCTTCAATAATTAATTTGTAATTTACAATTCTTTTGACATAACATCTAGACCAATTTTGAATGACACCAACTAAGATACTTCCATATCCAGAGTCGGCTGCAACATCTGCCTGTTCCTTGAGCATTGTCAATGGAGTCTTGAAATCAGGTAAGACAAATACATCCGATTCCACTTCCAAGGTGATAGTTTGATCGTTTGCAGCCTCATCATCAAATGCCTGTTTATATGTGTAAGTTTCTGGTGGAGAATCTCTTTGAACAAAGTCTTCAGATTCCTGTCTGATTAAATTGTCGTTCCATTCTTCCATTTTACTAATAATCACCTTCAAGTAATCATCAAGAACAACCTTTTTTAATTCTTCACCAACAATTGACTTGATTTCCTTCTTAGATTTTCCAGTAGTATCAGCTTCTGCCTGTAATGAAGTTATGAACTTACCATAATGTGTGTCATATGCGAGGATTCTCAACAATTCTTCAGCTGATGGGTCTGTCTTGATGACATCCATTGTGAAATTATGCAATTTATTGTAATATACATCTTGAATGAATCCATTGAGATCCCAACGGGCAGGGAAAATAGGTGCCAATGTATCGGCTACAAAAACCAATTCATCTTCAAGCCAACCCAAATTGTCATACACCAACAATCTATCTTCTGCAAAATGTTCAACACACTGGTCAAACGTTTCCACTAAACTTTCTTCCAACTTATTATAGAAAAACTTCATATAGTTACGTTTAGAGCTACGGAATTGTGAGTAATTAGTAGTGACCGGATTTAATGTTTCTGAAAGATGAAGTTTTTGCTTAAGCACAACTTTCAAATCTTCATTATTTTCATGTTCAATGATTCTAATGAGTTTAAAAGCCATCTGGGTATTTCCATCTTTAACGGCTTCAGTTAAACTAATAATAACTTCTTTCAAAAGTTCGTCGAACATTCTTACGGCAGGTTTTACTGGCAGTAATAACCTAGCAATAATTGACTGTAAATCATCCGAGAATTTGAATGAAGGGACAAGTAAAAAGTCACTAAAGTTCCGAATTTGTGTTAAATTATAGTGAATCTCAAAGATATTATCAAGCGGATAAGATATGTCACGCCCCACTATTTCAATTTCAGCTTCGGTCATTTTCTTTAACCGATTGACAAAGTCTCTAAATCCTGAAATATCTCGACAAAGGTTGTTGGTTTGGGTGAGAAATTGATTCAAGGCGGTAACCTTTTTAATCAGTTCATAATCTGGTATACCAGTTGACTCATCATACACAGATCCAATCTTATTCAAACTATGCTTGATTTCATTAAGAGAGGTAGCCGATTCATTCAATTTGTACATGTTCGAAGTTATCGATTCAATCTGTTGTTGAACAGTAGTGTTCAATTTCACATCAATTGACGATTTTTCCTTGGTAAATTGTTGCCTCAATGTAGGTATTTTCACCAAATCATCCTCTAATTTGATAAGATTAGCTATCCTTGATAAGGCGGCATCACTCATGATAGCAAGAATATTGTTCGTTCAATCCCTATTAATTAGTATCGGTATTTATTTTGTTATAACGTTTCAAAATCTCTATATGGATTTAGTATGTACTGCACAACTCGTTAAGATCAACAAACCTCTCCTCGCTCACGTGACATAATCATAGTAATCCACAAGAACATTCCTACAATATGTTTGTATACCTTGTTTAAAGATACAATAATACCCCACCTCATTACAATACGTTTTACTCTAATCCTTTCTGTTTTTTTATCTCTTTTTTTTTTTGCTTTTTACTTACCTACCTAAATCTACTAAGTTTGAAAAAGTAAAAATAATAAATTGGCTCATTTAGGTCAATTTCTTATCAAAAGGATTGACCTAGATAGCCAATCCTTCGATTATTCTGCACCATTACGAGCCTTTTTTCCAGATCCAGTAGGTGCATTGTGGTTGTTATTTGCAATCTTCCTTCCTCCATTTTGATAATTTGGTGCAGCATTTCCACTATGTTTACTAGGATTATTTGAGTTACCATCAGCACCGTTACTTCCTGGATTGAATTGTGTTGGACTCATCACTATTTGTCCATTTACAGGACTACCGGGACCAACAAAATTACCAGGAGCTCCTCCCATAAACCCACCTGGTGGGAGGAATGCTGGCTCTCCATTAGGTCCATACATTTGCATGTGTGGTTGACCCGGAGGAATTCCACCACCAAATTGTTGCTGTTGATGTTGTTGTTGATACATCATTGCAGCTTGAAATTGTTGTTGTTGGAAATGAGCAGCTGCCATTGCAGCAGCAGCAACTTGTTGCTGATGTTGTTGTTGTGGAGACATTGGGAATTTTCCAGGACTTCCTGGATAACCACCCATCATATTTCCAGGATTTCCATTAGGAGCACCCATCATTGGACCAGGCAAATATGGTAAAGTAGGCGCGCCAGGTATCACTGGTGTAGGTGGATTGGCACCATTGGGAGATGGGAATAATCTATCATGGGTTTCATCAACGGTAGATTCCCATGTAGGTGGTGTAATGAAAGTCCTTTCAAACAAAACTGGACCGGTCTTTTCTTCCGATTTTTCCTTTACAGTGAAGAACATATTGAATGCAAGTTTGAAATCTTTAACTTTTTTCTCTTGTCCTTTCTTTGTGGGGACTTTATCAGCACCACCAAAAAAGTCAGAGGCTGAAATATGATGATGACGTTTAGTACTCATTAATGACCCGCTACTGGTATTACCTGAATATGGCCTTTGATGGTTGATTCTAGGGGATGGATTATTAGGAGACTTGTTATAATTGGAAGATGGAGGTGCTGGTGCCAATTGAGTTTTAGATGGAGTAAAAGATGCAGCATTTGGATTCAATTTGAAAGCAGGCTTGGTAGGATCCATCTTTTTTCTAGGAGCAGGAGTGGAAGATGGTACAGGTGTCACCGATGCCAGAGACTTACCACTGTTCTGTTGTTCCTTCTTCAATAACTCATCCTTCTTCGCTTGTTCTTCCACTTGCTTCTTTACAATTTCATCTTGCTTCAACTTATCTTTCGATAAAATTGGTAATAAATCTTGTGGAAGTTTGTGAGGAATTTTAAAGTTTGCACTAAATTCACGCAATGAATTGATTTCACTTTGTGCATTCAATCGGAAAGATTCATTCACTTGACCAACTTGAGGTTTAGCAGGAATTGAGTCTGGTTTGTTTGCCTTGGAAGACTCGTGATCCTTGTTCTTTTGAATGGTAGCTGAACTTGCAATAATAGCTGGATCATCATGATATTGGGCCGCTCTTTGTCTTGGAGGGACATATTTACCTGGCCCTCTTTCAACTTCTGATCCTTTACTAATGCTTGCATTTCTTAAAGCAGCCATTAATTCATCACCTCTTCTATCAACTCCCGAATATTTATCTTCTTCATCAACCCCACTATCATCAACTTCAATTCCTCTTTCTTCCAACATATGCGGATCACTAGTCACTTGTCCTTCGATTTCCTTAGCAAGTCTTTCAGCGTACTTCAATTTGTCTTGATAATCTGGAGCTGATGTATCAATTCTAGTGGTATACAAATGTTCGTCATAAGTTGATTCAACCCCAAATTTTTCTTCATTTACTTTGAATTGATCCCAATGTCCACCATCATCTTCCAATGTCAACATAGCGGAGTCATCGTCAGGAACCCACCTTTGAAGTTCACGTTCCTTAACTCTACCTTTACCGGATATATCAGTGTCTGTTTTGAACTTGGAAGAAGTTGCAGTTGAATTTGAAGTTGTTGAAGTTCCAGATTTTAAAGATAAATCAACATCTTGAACTTCCAAATCCATTAAGTCCTTAGATTGGATAATCAATTTTTCAGGAAGACTATCTACTTTATTTGGTTCATCAATCAATGCCTTTGAAAAAAGACGAGGATTTTGAATGATCACAGATAAGGGGGATGGACTACCTCCCTGGATTGCTGGATCTGAAGATGACAAATCAGCACTGAGAAGAAGTCCCAAGTATCTAGCACCAGATGTAACGGTTACAATGCATGGACGACCAACCGAATTCGCCACCAAATGAACTAATTTGTCATTAATCAGCTTTTCAGATTCATTGGCATGCTGTTGCCTAGAGAAACTGTTGTTGACACTTCCAGTACTACTAGTGGCACTACCGGAGCCACCACGTTGACCAGTTCTACGTTGGCCTCCATTGGTGGAGTTCTGTCTATGAGGACGAGATGAATTTGGCTTCATTTTATCCCTTGTTAACTTTTAATTTAATAAAGTTCAATAAATTTATCAAATGTTTTTTTTTCTTTTTTCAAAAACAAATTGTACTTGTAGGCCAAGACTTTTACCAGAAAACACACAAACACTAAGGGAATACCCAATGCCTGTATCTATAAACTAGTAGAAGTATAATCAATACACGGAGGGGGAAACTATAACAGTATTCCAATTAACCGCGAATAAAATCTATACTTGTGTTAGAAATACCTTCCAACAATTTCAACAATCAATTCTAGACCAATGCCAATTCACAACGAATAAAGTTGTGTACTCTAATTCAATCCACCTGCGTAGATCCAGGGTCCTCCTCTGCTGTTGTCGTAGAGGTGCTAAATTAACTTAGCTTTGGGTAGGGGTTTCAATTCAAAATCTATATGTTTGGACGTTGGTGTGTACGTTCATCTTTGTCGTAGTGTGTGTATTGCCACGGTTTGTATCCGGGTAATGCGCGCAAAATAGTAAATCTCATAATACGCGATATTCGGATTAAAATGCGGTTAGATGTCAGAAATTTGTCCCGCATATCACTAAATAGCGGAAACATGTTTCAAAATAATTTCAATATCCAAAGTAGAATGTACACTATATACTTACAGTCCTTTCTTTTTTTCTTTTTTTATTGTTTTTTTTTCTGTTTTAATTACTATAGATTCCTAGATTTACAGTCCATGCCTTTTCATGTATTCCGTAAGATTTTAGCTTAAATATTTAACAACAAATTCCCAGAATTCCTAATCCTACTTCAACAGAATCGACCAATTCTCCCCAGTATAAAAGCACAAATTCTTTAACAAATTCAATATCTTCATGAGAATATGGATCTAATTCCATATCCACAATATCTTGATAAGTAAGTTCAAGCTTTAATTTTGGACCTTCAATCAATGTTTCGTTTTCCCCATTAACTAATTGAACTCTATTTTCTTCAACTTGTTCAAGTACAATTTCATTAACTAAATAAAACCATTTTTTAGTTAACTTGTGAAATTTATCAACAATTTCAACCAATTCTAAAAATCTAGTCTTTAATTCTTCATCATTTCTTTCATCATTTCTTTGATCATATTCAATATTATTGTCTTCGATATTATTTTCTCCATTGCTAACGGTTCCTGCACTAGCAAACCAAGAAAATGCTGACCAGATATATTCTCTCCAAGACATTGGAGATGTGGCAGACTCAAGCCACCATAATGGTTCTTCTATATCATCTTTATGATTGGAATCATTTGAATCAAATTTATTGAGAAATTGTGCTCCAAATCTTTGTGAAAATGTAGAACTTTTAGTTTTAATAGATGCTTGATCATCCAGATTAGGCACTTGATCTTTATTATTATTATTATTCTTATTATTATTATGATTGAAAAATTCTTTATATACAAGTTTAAACTTGTAATAATCTTTTAAAGTAGCTTTCAAACTTGAATCTAATGGTGTAGGAGTATGTCCATGATTTGAAGCTAATATTGAAGATGATACAATAAAAGGATCCTTTATTTCATCATTGGGTAACATTACTGCATAGTCGAATATATTTGATTGGTACATTAAGATGGCATCATTAGTACTCCCGATACATGAAGTAGATCCAATCAATTCTCCTTCTAAATCATGTAATCCAACGTTATAAATTGGTTGAGAATAAAGAATATATTCTTGATTATGTCTCAACCCTCCAATTAATGATTCAACCCCCTTTGGTACCACTGATAATAATGAAAGAATATATGAAAATGCACCTGAATCCAAATTTGTCACTTTAGAATGATTTTGATTAAAGAAAAGTATACGTTTACGAAGTAATGCTTGTTTATACAAACAAAACACTAAAGGACCTAAAGTTTGTAACATACATGGAAGTCGATGAAGTAAATGATTTTCAATGCCTGATTTTAATGGGATTGGTTTCTTTTGTTGTAACGAATTGAATAAAGTTTTCAAAATATCAAAATCATCCAAATTTGATTGTTTAACAAATGATTCTAGAGTAGACGAAACGTCATCCATATATTCCCATCCATTACTGGAAAACTCATTGGGTTTCCATTGTAAAGTAGAATCAATTGATGGATCACACAATATACCCAAGGAGAACATTTTAACATCTTTACGATTAACTGATTGATTTGTTGCAAGTTGAGAATCATTTTGTGAAAATTTAGTGTAACCATAATATTTTTTAGTTCCAATAGAATGAGTTAATAGGACAGTGTCTGATGATGTTTCATGTAACCCCGAAGGTAAACTTTTATATTCTAATCCTTCGAGATTGATACCTGGATTACATTTGGACCAAGCAAGCGTATAACCAATAGTTGTATCAAACTTAACTAAAAACACTGCCACCACTTTAGGTGCACTATATCCCAAATCTTCCAATGGAGTATCACCACTATTCATTGTATTTTCGGTCATTTCAAATAAATACACTTTAACTAATATATGTTGAAACTGAGTATCTTTTATACCCCAACCTACTTAATTTATTAATACGTATCTCTCTCTTTTTATTTACTTATTTAATTTTTTTTTTTTTGACTTTATGATTAAATCTTAGGAGGTTCCGAGCCCGGCGACTCATATACTTTTAGCCACTGTTACCAAGATACAAAACTGGGAAGAAAGAGATTAGTATAATCAACATAATATTATATTGCTCCAAGTAATGAATAGTCATGTACGACAATTGTACAAGACTCTTCTATACATGGGTAAGGAATACCCTGAGAAACTGGGAGGGTATGCCAAATTTCGGAAAGTATTAAAGAAAAACTTTCAAAGCACACCAATCTCAAATCCACAAGAATTAAAAGAGGCATTAAATAAGGGGAAATTTGTAGAAAAGGGTAGGTAGAAATTTAACAGTTTTTTATTTATAAATTAAAACAAAATACTAACAAATTAAAGAATTAGAAGCATTATATTTTTTATCAAGATATAGAGATATGAAAAGAAAATATTACTAGAATAGATAACTTAATTATTAATATATTCCCCAATTGTAGAAGTACAAAATATCAATAATAAATTTAAATTGATTTATATCATTATTATTATTATTATTATTATTATTATGGATATGTCTTGTATAGTTATTTACATATTTGAAGACAAATGAGATAATAAGCTAGAAGAACTGAAAAGATATTCTGCTAGGGATTAATCTAGTTCTGTTTTGGAATACTTAAGCTCTGATTCTTAAGATGAAGTTAACAACAACAGCAATTAACAAGAAGAAACATAACATGGTTGGACCAAATCTGTCATCATATGGACCAGAACCTCTCATTCTGATGGCCTTTGCTCTCCAGTGGTAAGTGACCAAGGCATAGACCATGGTAAGCATGGCAATGAATGTAAAAAGACCAGCAGAAATTCTTCCAACTGAATCACCAAAGTTAAGCAAACCAACACCAAGGGAACCCAAAATAACGGTAAAGTTTAACCAAGAAAGGAAAGTACGTTCATTAGCAAAGAACACTTTTGGTTCCACACGAGCTGGCAAGGCAATTCTTTTATTAGCAGACATCTTGTATAAATTATTAGCTTAGATGTATATCAGTGAATTGAGTTGAACTGAATAATCCTTACAAGTATTAAATGGAAAAAAAAAAGTATTGAGTAAGGAAATTAGATGATGTATTAACTACTAAAATCTTCCAAAAATCTTTCCCAGTATAAATGGTTGGCCGTATCTTTGTAAAGATTTAATTGACATAATCAGAGGTGTATGCAGTATCCACGTGGGCATTGATGAACTAATTCTCTTTTAATCAATTGTGCAGGAAGAGGGCGAGTCACGAGGCAAGCAAATAATTAAAAATTAAACCCAAAAAAAAAAAAATAGAAAATAGAAAATAACTAGACGACCCTTTTTTTAAAAATTTATAATCGAAGTATCACACGACCAATGGCTTACAACGGAATTTAGTAGGCTTAAATAATTTAAACATCATAATACTAATTAATAATAAAATTAAACTTATTCATAAGAAATGAATTGATAAAAAGTTTCGGTAATAAATACTTCTCACACGTAAGACTTTGTAAACTAAGACTTTGTAAGTTGAATTGGATAGGCTGTAAAGTACGAGTTTGTAGAATTTGCAGTACCAGCAAAAGCATTATAAAACCCTAAAAATGCCGTAATGACTCCCACAACACCACCTGCACGAGTCACTTTGATTTCACCAGAAAAATCACCAGCGGCTAATAGAATAAATGTTAAAGTCAAACAACCAAAAAGTGCGGCAAATGCAACTGTTGATTTCATTGTGCATAAAAATAACATAAATGTGAATAACGCCCAAGCCAAAAGGAAAAATGCCACTGCTTGTTTCATTTGTGCTTTATCAGCACCATAAGCAGCAGCAATTCCAAAGGCCTTAACATTGATTGCGGCATACAGAAGCCAAAATGCCCCGTAAGAAGATAAAGCAGTAGCTGCAAAAGTATTACCAACAACCATTTCCCAAACACCAGCCAAAAATTGTACAGCACCACCATAAAATGCAGCAAGTCCAACAACCATATTTGGAGTTTCGATACCCATAGCTTGGGCATTGTACATAGATAACACAAATGTAGTGAGAGCAAATGCTGAAAGACCAAGTGGAGATGGGTTAGCAAATTGATGTACTGGTGGAGGTGCAAGACCTGGGTTCAACGTACCACCAAAGGCTTGCATAAGTTCATGTCTATAGAACTTTTGGTTCCCAATTACGACAAATTCATTACCTTCACCAGCATGTTGTATGTTGGAAGGTGGTGGGAGTTCGTCTGAATGGCGTTCTTTAGAACCTGCAGAAGAATGGCTTTCAGACATGATAATGGTTTTCAATATAAAGTAAAGTAAGATTAGCTTTGACTTTAAAGAAACTGAAACGAATTGAAATCTGGGGAAATTCCTCCCAATTTAAATAAAGGCTACATGTATCAAAACAGGGCGCCAACCAAAGCCCTTTTCCCCACAATTCAAATGAATAGTGACTATTTTCGCGCGAAGGACTACGGAGTTCTCTCCAAAAAAACCTCTGAGTAGCGTGCGGCGCGCGCCCACTAAAAAAAGACTCGCCAAAGCCGCCTTCCTCCCCTCTTTCAATTTTACAACCAATTTGCCACTCTTCTAAATATATGAATATCTATTTCAAGCCAACACAATGGGATGTGATTACACAAACAAGAGTCTTACAAAATCTGAAGGCAAGCATACAAAAAAAACATACGAATACTACCCAACAGTGATTTGAATTACGTCGACTAATAAGGTATTGTTTTGTTATTTTAGGTTTCACATTATTTTATTTCCTTCTTTTCGTTGAACTCCGAAAAAATAAAAAATAAAATGGTGTGGTGGGGTTTTTATTACTTTTGTTTATGTAATTCGTTTACACACGGCTTACAACAAATTTGCCCCCATTTGCATCACTATTCAGATTGAATACACAAGCTAGATGAAAATGGTAGTACTTTATACAAATTTTTGATTTAAGTTTTGGCTTTTTTTGAGCTCTCCTTAAAGATTATTACAGCGACTATCTTTAGTTTAGTTGCATTGTTCGGAGTCAGTATAACATTTTCCTCAGGTTTCGAAAAAATAATTGTGGGGGAGCAGCCAAGAAACTTTATTTTATTCAGTTTTGTCTTTTTTTTTTATTATTTCCCGTTGGTCCTTTCTCAATTAACTCCTTGATATTGGTGGACCCCGGCAAACCAGCCCGGGCTTACTGTAATGGTTTGGACCTGATTAGAAAAATAAAACCAGGTCACTTTCGAAACACCACTGAAGAGCCAAGAATTTCAATGTGTAAAAACATATAGATTCCAAGAGCCAACACTTTTAAACAGAAAGCGAGATTGCCGTGATCTCAAATTTCACAATTTACAATTTTAAACTTTTATGAAGTTAGAAAATGTGATTGTATTCATGTAAATTAATCTAAATATTAAACCCCTTGAACAGTAGAGTCTCTTAAATTCTTAAAAATCTTTCTGCTACCTAGTTGTCCCTTCTTTGTAATTCTCTTGTAAATTCTTGCCAACGCTGGGAACCACCATTTTTCTCCAATTAACATAATCGTCAAGTTAATCCCCGCACAAATTACAATAAACCAATACCACTCACGAGGCATATCAGTCAATTGCATAAAGTCGCCCCACCAAGAGTCTTGTGAAATTAAAAAGATAGAACCTGAAAGTAAACATGAGAAAAGAACGTTAATCAAAAATGGAATATTTTTGGTCATAGGTTCTCTATAAGGAGGTCCAGTACTTAAGACAATGGCTATCAATATATACTGGAAGTTTGTGTATAAGAACAAAACTGTATTATCTGAGGATTGAACCGCATCATCAGTTCCTGGAATTGGTTTGATATACCATGGTTGATTATGAACAATCAACCATAAAAATACTTGGAAAATTAGAATAATGGTAATATGACAACATAATGGGATAAGAACCTTTGGAGAAACCAAGTTAGCAGTAGGACGCTTTATTACCAATTTACCAAAGGGTTTACTCCAAGACATGAAGATAGCCAATGGAAGAATTAAACACATATCAATGTATAAAAACTGGAAATCTCCTAAGTTAGTTCCTGTTTTATATAAAATGGAAACAGTGATAAATTGAATTGCAGAGTATAAGGACATATACTTGAAACAGGAAAAACTGGTAACTAAACTTGATCTACCTTCTTTAATAACATCGATAACACATGATATTTCAAAAAGGCGGGAGGTAAATGGTGCTGCAACGGATGCTTCGGCTTCAGAAAGTGAAATACCAACATCTGCTGCCTTAAGAGCACCACAATCATTTGCACCATCACCACAAAATCCAACAGTGTAATCAATGTTTTGTAATTGTTCAACCAATTCATGCTTTTCATCAGGAGACATACGGGCAAATATGTCACATGACATCAAGATACGTTGCATAACACTATCATTCTTTACTTCAGTAAGTAAGTATCTAAAGACGTCACCAGTAATTGCAAGACGGTAACTGTCAGGTCCATGATCATTTGTCAAAGAAATTGGCTTCAATGTAATTGAATCTAATCTGTTCTCTGAATTGTCAACATCTGACCATACAAGATTGGTTTCATTTGCACCTTCCTCGTATGTTGGTACATATACAGTCTTTGCTGTAATCAATTCACATTCTCTGGCAACACTTATAGCTGTCAAGATATTATCACCTGTACACATCACTGTTCTAATTTTAGCTTCGTTTAATGACCTAAGAGTAGGTTTGGTAGATTTTTTAAGCTTATTCTCAAAAATAATAAATCCAGCAAATGTCATTCCAGATTCGACTGATTCACGCTCAGGATATTCTCTACCAACCTTTCCAATATTCTTATAAGCACAAGCTATGACTCTATAACCATTATGCGTGTACCTATGTAAAAGTTCTTCATACAGAGCTGGTAAGGTTTCTGGAAGACAAATGTCAAACATAACTTCGGGTGCACCTTTAGTGTAAACAATTGTATCTTGAGACTTGTGACTAGCAGCTTCTCTGACAAGAACAGACATACGTCTTAACGAAGAAATAAATTCATATTCCTTTACAGTAACAAATCCTTCGGTGCTTGCATTTGGATAAACACGAGAATATGAAGCTCCTGATGAAGTAACATAATCTTCTTCAAAATTCCAATTTGCGAATTCAAACATTTTAGCATCAAGTGGATCACCGAGTAATTCATCGTCGATCAATCTTAAAGAATGACATGAAGCCATACATGATAATAAATAAGTGTTATTGTTGGTAGAGTATTTGTCAATGGTTTTACCCTTTTCAAGGTCCTTAACCTTCGATACCATATCTTCGAAAACCATTTCTTTCCGTCCTTGGGCATTATTCGAAACATGAACACCTAAGATATCTAATCCATCTTCAGTCAAAGTACCGGTTTTATCAAAACACATGACATCCAATTTCCCACCAATATTTACTCTAGTAGGAGCAATACAGAAAATATTCTTTCCTTTCAATCTATTAATTGCAAAAGTAGTTCCAATGGTTAAAGTTGCGGGCAAGGCTGGTGGAACAACAATGGTGATAATATCTAAAGCTCTTAAAACCATAGTTTTAGTATCCAAACCAATTTGAATGAAATTGTAAGTGGAATAAATAAATCCAATTGCTGCAATAATTGTCATAAATCCAATATATTTGAAGGAATCTTCGTAAAATTTGAACCCAGTTGGTTTAGGGAATAACATTGATCTCACTAAAGACCCCTTGGTCGTATTGAATCCTGTCTTCACTACCATAGCAGTCACTGGTTCTTCATTGGAAGATTTCATCTTCAAAAGTTTAGTACCATTGTATAAGAATGATCTTGCTAAAAATGGAGAAGTAAAATTTTCTGGTAAAAGGGCGACTGTCTCATGGGTTGCTTCAACTTTAGTTACTGGAACACTCTCACCGGTAAGCATCGACTCGTTGATAACACATTCACCATTAATCAAAAGAGCATCACAGGGAAGTAAATTCAATGAAGGATCGACTTCGAATACATCCCCTGGAACCAATTCATTGGAATCTATTTGTTTCCAGAAATTGTTACGCCATACTCTCACTTCACAGTTGAATCTTGAAACTTCCTTTAAACGGTTAATGGTAGATTTTGTTTCAGCTAAAGTATTGGCGATAGAAACAACAGAAATGATAAAAATACAGGTTGCATAATAATAATAATTATCAGCAAGCCACAAAAAGATGGAAAATACTTGGAATACATAAAATGGATGTAACACTTCATCCATCATCAATTGAAAGATAGACTTTTCTTCAATTTCAATATTGTTTTCTCCAAAGATTGCCAATCTTTGAGAATGAAGCTTTTGCAGAACCCCATCTCCAGTATGTTTCATACTTAACCAATTGTTATCGTACCAGTTTGAATTAGTTCTAAACATATCTTCCACAGGACTATAGAAAAACTTGATATATCTGTAGGTGAATGAATGCATATATGTGATCGTAGGGTCATGTTCTGAAGCATCTACTACATCATCATATTTTCCCTGTCCATCACCTTCGACCTCTTCCTTTTCCGAAGTAAGAACCAAAAAGCTAGATAATCTATCCTCGATACGTTGTTTTGAAATGTTTACAATAACCAATTCACCAAATTCATTTTCAATGACAACCCAATCAGAAAGCCCCAATGGAGTTCTATCGCCGAGGAGACCAACTCTATATTTGGGGACCCATCTAAAGATAAGATATCCCAAACCTAAAGTTGCAAAGCAAATGAAATAATAACAAAATTGTTTCCAAAACTTTGTTTTATAACCTGCAATACCAATAACCAAATCTTCTTCAGCCAAATAATATCTTTGATATTCTGAAATTGCTGAAAATGAATGGGTTTCATCTCTGCCTTGTTTTCCAAATGAAGAGGTGTTGCTTGTCCGTTCAAGTAAACTCTTGTCGGATTCATCGGAAAGACGTCTATTATTTCTACGATCAAATCTGACTGAAGATGAATCAAATGATCCATAACTATTATCATCTTGGTTCTGAGGAGAATGACCTGGTTGGAAGTTATTATGACTACCAACATCGAGGGCAATTGAAACTTTATCCTGTTCATCTTCATCGTATTTCCCAATGGAATAATCCCAATTTGTGTTATAATCAACTGGATCTTCTGGATTTTCTAAAGTAGATCCACCAGGGGCCATTTCAATTTCATCTACAGAAAAGAAACGGAACCCACCAGCTGTAGAATGACCATTGGTATCAACAGAACCTCTTGTCGAATTGGATTTCACTGAATATAAATCATTTCCCTCAGCAGCTAATTGTTGTGGCAGCTGATAATATTGTTGATCGGTGGTTGGTGCCAAAAGTGGAGATGCTTCAGCAGAAATACTTGAATTTTGTCTACTACTAAAGCGACCAAAATGGTGAGGGTAATGAAGTGAAGTGATAGAAGATGGAATAACTTCAGAAGCTGCACCTGAATACATTTCATTACTATTTTCCTCTGCAAGATACGAAGATGACTCTTGCGAGGCAATCGAGTTCCGCCGATATCGATCTATTGACGAAGAACGTCTGCTTCTTGAAGCATGGTTTGACCTCAGAACCATGGTATCAATGACCCTTCAAGACGTAGCTAACTTGTTTCTCTTTCGACAAACTGTGAAAAAAAAAGCTGTGAAAAAGCAATTGCCCGCTTGTAATATAGATCTATAGATAATTTTTTTTTTTCCTGACTTAACTTTTCTGTTTGATATCGATAACGCGAGTTATAGTGGAAAAAAAATATATACAAAGGAAAATTACAACTGGTAGGAGACAACTTCAAAGTAGTGCCTTGGGTAGTTGGAAGAACACAGACAATATGGCCTTCAAACTTAAATTGAAAGTTCCTTCTAATGGTGGTGGGACACCTAAGGAGTCTAGTAAATCCACAGGAGGTCCTAAATTAAAGATCAAACCGCCACTGGGAGGACCAAAGTTAAAGATTAAAGAACCAACAGCAGGAATTTCTAAAAAGAAACAAAAGCTGCTGAAGGAAAAGGAAAAGGAAAAAGAGAAACCTAAGAAGTTAAAGATTAATCTAGGTGGATTATCAAAGGATAAGGTAAAGGTGGAACCAATGAAATTGAAGCTTAATCCTGGTTCTTCATCTTCATCTTCATCATTAAAAACCAAAATGTCATCAGAAGTTCCTTCACTTATCCAACCAACAGTTAAATCTATCCCTAAAGTTAGAGTGAAACCAACTAGAGTTCCTGGGGAAGGGTACGATTCCGAGGCTCCAGATTTGGAAGATGATCCATTAATTGAACAAGGATTCATTGTACGATTTCTTGATGATGCAAATTTGGATCTTGTACATAATGCCGTTGATTCAGGAGATTTATCAGATATCAATATTAAATGGATCACGAAAGATTGTGCTATTGTGAATATAAGGAGTACATTATATCTGGCAAGATTACTTGATCTTCCAACTGTTACCGAGTTGTATAAGACAGTTGATAAGAAGAGTATATTTAAAACAATGGATGTATGTCAGATTCTTCTTGTTCTTCGAATGGTTGACCCCACTGATTTGAACATGGAAAGAGATTTTGAGCTCAGTGCTGATAAAACATGCATTCATCCATTGTACAAGATCCCACAATCAGAAATAAAACCATCAAGAACTGTTTATCGAGATGGGTTGATTTATCCATATGAAGATGTATATAGAAGATTTCGACAACGTAAGGTTGATCATCGTGTTCTTGAAGATATTCAACTGAGAGTAGATGAATTGATTCGAATGGATGAAGAAGCTGAAGAATGCCATTTTGAAGTGATTGATTTGAAGAAACAGAAATTAGCTCAACAACAACAACAACAACAACAACAACAATCATTCGATCGTTCGAACATTTCTACTCCAAGAGAAGGCATGACACCTACATATGTTGAAAAGAGTGGTGGAAGTGCACAAGGTATGGATATCGATGATGAGGAGGGAATTGAAGATGAAGAAGAAGTGGTGGAAGAAGAAGAGGAAGAAGAAGATGCTGATTTGGAAGAAGAATTGGCCAAGGCATTGGAAGGTGGAGATGATGAAATGAATCTTGGAGCGGACGAAGGAGGTGAAGCGGTGCAAGATGAAGAGGATGAAGATGATGAAGATGATGACGATGATGACGATGATGATGACGATGATGAAGAGGAGGAGGAAGAAGATGACGATGGTTCGAAGGCAGATAAGCAACATGCAAAGATGTTGGAAGAAGAAATCAATGATTTGGAGAAGGTGGTGGAGAAGCATAGAGTTGGTCTTGAGACTGCAACCCATAAGATGATGAAGATGAAGTTCCAGGCCAGTTATAAGACTTTGAAGGCATCATTGGATGCCAAGAAGGCCGAATTAGCCAAGATTGTGAGCGAACAACAACATACACAACAAAAACAAACCCAAGCTATGGACTCACATCATCATGAAATCCCTGCGGAACAAGTGAAAGATCGGAATAAGAGTCAACATGTGGACCAAGACGACCAGGAACAAGATCAGGATCAGGATCAAGATCAGGACCAGGACCAAAATGATGAAGACTCAGATAATATTGATGACATGGATGATCTTTTCTAAAGAACTAAAATAACAAGAAAATGTAAATAATTTTGAAGTTTAATCCATATAATTGGAGGATCCCACTCTTTTAGTATACATACTACATATAATGGATTTTCTCCACTAAATCTCAAGGATCGATTAATTTAAATTAAGTAGGGGAAGAAAAAAATAATCAATTCAATAAAATAAATCATCTCGCCTGCATGTAGTCTTAAAAATTTCGAACATGCCATTGGCAACCCACGAGCATTACTCCTCAATTGAAAGAAATAACTTCACATACAAGTAGGATTAAAAGGATATTACGGCAGTACTTAGTTGTAAATAATTTCAAGAACACATTTGTGTAACCTACTTCTTGCTACCCTCCGTCTGAACAAAAAAAAAAGAAACAGCAAGCTTTCCGTTTCTTTTCTTCAACTAACAAGAAAAATAGATCCGAGTCATCGAGGTCTCCAGAAACAAAACACTTACAACATACACACATACATATAGTTACAGATGTCTACCAACTCCATTAAGCTTCTTGCGAGTGATGTGCACCGTGGCTTGGCTGAATTAGTGGCCAAGAGACTTGGGTTAAGATTGACCCCTTCTGAATTGAACAGAGATTCCACTGGGGAAGTTCAATTTTCTATTGGTGAATCTGTTAGAGATGAAGATATTTTTATCATTTGTCAAATTGGTTCTGGTGTTGTCAATGACCGTGTGATAGAACTTCTTATCATGATTAATGCCTGTAAGACTGCCAGTGCTAGAAGAATCACTGTTATTCTTCCAAACTTTCCTTATGCTAGACAAGATAGAAAGGATAAATCTAGAGCTCCTATCACTGCCAAGTTAATGGCCGATATGTTGACCACCGCTGGTTGTAATCATGTGATCACCATGGACTTACATGCATCTCAAATCCAAGGTTTTTTCGATGTTCCAGTGGACAATTTGTATGCTGAACCATCTGTAGTGAGGTATATTAAGGAAACCATTAACTACAAGGAAGCTATTATTATTTCTCCAGATGCTGGTGGAGCCAAGAGAGCTGCCGGATTAGCTGACAGATTGGATTTGAACTTTGCCCTTATTCATAAGGAACGTGCCAGAGCCAATGAAGTGTCTAGAATGGTTCTTGTAGGAGATGTCACCAACAAGGTGTGTGTTATCGTTGACGATATGGCAGACACTTGTGGTACCCTTGCCAAAGCTGCTGAAGTTTTGCTTGATAATGGTGCTAAGGAAGTCATTGCTATCGTCACCCACGGGATTTTATCTGGAAATGCCATTAAGAACATTAACAACTCCAAATTAACCAAGGTTGTTTGTACTAACACCGTTCCTTTTGAAGAAAAACTTGAACTTTGTCCAAAATTGGCAGCCATTGATGTTTCTGCTGTTTTGGCTGAGGCCATCAGAAGATTACACAATGGTGAAAGTATTTCGTATTTATTTAAGAACGCTCCTTTGTAAGCAAAAGAAAAAGGGAAATAAACAACTATAAATTGTGTTTATCTACATTTAGAATGAATTTATTGTTATAGAATTGGGAATAAACTTGTAAAAAATTAGAATGATATATATGAAAATACATTCGTTTGAATCAGTTTCTCAACTTTCTATATACTTTTTTTTTCTTTTTTTTTTTACCTTTTTGTCTTTTTAGTTTGGGATTTTGAGGAGAAATTGGTTAATATTTATATAGAGTTAATAAAAGACGGGTATATATGTGTTAATTTTAAAATATATTTTTAAAATGACAGTGTAAGTATAAAATAAATAGGAATTTATACATTTTAGATCAAGTTTTACTAACCTTAAGTACTATCAAAGCATGTCTTTTTGGTATGTTCAGACCTTTAAATCAATTTGGAATCGATATAATATTAACAATTTTTAGACATGGATGGACTCCTTTTAGATACTGAATCAAAGTACACAAAGGTAACTAATGATGTGCTTGCTGATTTTAAAGTTGGTAGAACATTAACTTGGGACGTTAAAATTAAACTTCAAGGACGTCCAGGACCTGAAGCTAGTGCTATTCTTATTAAGGAATATAATCTCCCAGTTACCCCAGAAGAACTTATGGAAATTTGTTTTAAGAAACAAGAAGAAGAATGGCCACAATCTAAATTTCTTCCTGGTGCATTAGAATTAATTAATTATTTACATTCTAAAAAAATTCCAATTGCACTTGGAACTTCATCTCATTCATTAAATTTTAAAAAGAAGACTGATCATCTTCAAGAAGGATTCAAACTTTTCGATGGGCATATTGTAACTGGAGATGATTCTCGTATTCCTCCAGGTAGAGGTAAACCACATCCAGACATTTGGGCCGCATGTTTAGCTTCTATTAATAATGATCGTCAAGATAAAATTCTTCCTCATGAATGTATTGTATTCGAAGATGGTCTTCCTGGAGTGGAAGCAGGAAAGGCCTTTGGAGCTCATTTAGTTTGGATTCCTGATGAAAATGCTCTTAAAGTTCTTGAAGGTAAAGAAAATGAGATCATTGGAACAAATGGAGTGATTTTAAAATCTTTACTCGACTTTAAAGTTAAAGATTATGGTCTTTAAAATTTATTTATTTATTAGAATATAGAATATAGATGTTTTTTAATGTGAACAATAAATGACTCCCCAAAAATTTTATTACAAGCCAAGAACAATTTTAAAATGAGGGGCTTGAGTCAAGAGAAGCTATTGATTGTATTAGGAGTTCTAAATGTGGGATATTTACGACGAGGCAAAAGGTGGGGGTATGCGTAAAAACATAAATGAGCCTCACGCCGGAGTGTACATCTCATTATCCGATAAAAATATACGGATCTGTTTCCGCGAAATATTTCAAAACTCCGCATTATCCCGTAGAATACCCGGAGTTTGGTGTGGTGGATATTATAAATATCTAGTTGTAGAACCAAAACCCATTCGAGGTTTTGAAACCGTAGACTAGGAAAGTTTCACAAAGTAAATATGTTTAGGCCTCATGTTTTAAGAACGATTTCTAGGATTGGGAAACAATCACGGATGTATTCATCTGGGATAAACCCATCAGCATCAAGGACTAAAATTGCTACTCAAGCATTAATTTTCAGTGCTGGTGCAATTTTTGGGGCAACATTATTACAATATGAATCTAACCCTAAAAAAAGTTTTGAAACTCCTAATAATAATGAAGATATTTCATCCACATTATCATTAGAAAAATTGCCTTCTCCAACATATGCAAATGATGAAGAAATTGAATTGGCAATTAAGGAAATCAGAAATATTATAGAGCCAGTCAAAGTTGAAAGTGCTCAAGAATTGATTACAAATTCAAAAGAACAACTTGATTCTCATTCTGATACTTATTTTAATTCTCATCATCCATCTCCTGAAGAAAGACCAAAATATGTTGTTTATCCACAACTGACTGAACATGTTTCTAAAATTTTAGCTATTTGTCATAAATATCGAGTTCCAATTGTTCCAATTTCTGGGGCATCTTCATTAGAAGGTCACTTCATTCCAACTAGAGGTGGAATTTCTTTAGATTTAACTAGTATGGATCAAATCATTCAATTGAATAAAGATGATCTTGATATGACGGTGCAAACTGGAGTTGGTTGGGAAGGATTGGCTGATTATTTAGAGCCATATAACCTTATGTTTGGACCAGACCCAGGTCCTGGTGCAACCATTGGAGGTATGTGTGCAACTAATTGTTCAGGTACTAATGCTTCAAGATATGGTGAATGTTACAAAAATATTCTTAGTTTAACGGTTGTTTTAGCTGATGGGACCATTGTTAAGACTCGTCAAAGACCCAAGAAATCACTGGCTGGCTATAACTTAACCTCATTGTTTATTGGAAGTGAAGGAACTTTAGGTGTTATTACTGAGGCTACTCTCAAGTTATATGTTAAACCAATACATGAAAGTGTAGCAGTGGTTCCATTTTCAAGTATTGAAAATGCTGCTAGTGCTGTGAACTCTATTTTGCATACAGGGATTCAATTGAATGCCGTTGAGCTTTTGGATGATAAAATGATGAAATGTATCAATGATAGTGGAGAAACTTCAAGAAAATGGACAGAAAGTCCAACTCTTTTCCTTAAGATAGGTGGTTCAAATCAACTTGTAGTTGATAGTTTAGTTCAACAATTGAAGTCAATCGTTAAATCTTTTGATAATGAAGATTTTATCTTTGCTTCTAGTGAAGATGAAAAGACTGAATTATGGTCTGCAAGAAAAGTTGCCCTTTGGTCAACCATCAACCAAGGTAAACAACAAAATGAAAATATTCAACTTTGGACTACCGATGCAGCGGTTCCAATATCAAAACTTCCTCAATTTTTACATGAAACCAAGGCTGATATTGATCTGCACAATCTTCAAAATACTTTGGTAGCACATATTGGAGACGGGAATGCACACAGTTTTATCTTGTATGAACCATCCCAACGTGATATTGCTGAGAAAGTGGTTAATAATATGGTTAGAAGGGCCATTAAGTTCGAAGGTACGTGTACTGGTGAACATGGTGTTGGGTTTGGTAAGAGAGACTTCTTACTTGAAGAAATTGGAGTCATTCCAGTTGATTTAATGAGAAGAATCAAATTAAGTCTTGATCCATTGAGAATCTTAAATCCTGATAAGATTTTCAAAATTGATCCTAATGAGCCACCTGAAAAGCATGATCATGGAGATATCGAGCATGGTGAAGTTAAAACCAAAATGTAAGAATTTCAAAAATATAGATATATAGATTAAAATATATTTATTCTTTTAAAAAGAGTTTTATGGGTGCAAAATAAAATTATTTCCAAAAAAAACAAATTGGAAACAAAGAGATAAAAACAAGAGAAGAGACAGTGGTAAAAGTGTAGGAGACTTGACCTTCTATTATTCAATTATTTCAACACAACTGTCTCTTGTCAGTTAGATAGAACTTTTTCCCGCAATCTAAATGTATTCTTGTAAGTGATATCTTTCTCAAAGATACTCATAGTACAATTTTGTGATATCAAAAAATGTACGCGAATCGTACTTATAATAAAACCCAAACATTCAATATTATCCTATTTCTCCCCGCAGTGTATCATTATTATCGAAAACCTCTTGCAAGATGGACTCCGGAAAGAGTATCCCTATAAATACAATTGCAAGGTTGTTCCAAACAGTATCTTTTCAGGAAGAAAATACTCGGATTACTGGGAAAGCCTTACAACTTTCAGCAGAATACATTCGTCTTTTCACCGAAGAAGCGATATTACGAGCTTTACAAGAACAAGAGGCAGAAGAATCGCTTACCAAAGTAGATGGGATCGATAATATTAACAGTCAAAAACTTCTCGAAAGTCAGCATGAAGGAACAGAGGCAAAAGTTGTTGATTCACAAAGTGATGAAGAAATGGATGCACTTGAAGAAGATACTCAACGTGGAGTAAATGCATATAATTCAGAAGTGGATTTGGGAAATGATGTTCTTGATACAAGACATTTGGCAAAGGTTGCCGGGATATTGGTTTTAGATTTTTAGGGTAATGAAATTATACAATGTTACTAAATTTGTGTTTATATGTTTAAAATAATAAATAAGGGAAGAAGAATTAAATTGTATGAGATCCCAAGCTAAGGACACTCCAAAAAGTATATTTAATTGGTTTATCTTGTAACAAGGTCTCTACTGTGAAATTTACAGGAATTCGAAGATCAGAAATAGTTCCTTGACCGGTCAAGGAATATTTCAATGGAATCAGACACCAGTTTTCATTCTGTTCAAAGTTTGAATCGATGTTATCGTCGTCAAAGGATTCATCTATATCAAGTGAGATATCTGGGTTAGATCTAGACAGTTTAGATCCAGTTCTAAGAAGTAGTTCTGCTCTTGAAGTGGCAGTCTTTTCAGTTAAAAATGCAGTTGGAATGGATTTTAATATTGCATCCTTCTTAGATGATTCTTGCTTAGCACCTATATTGACCTTCATTATCGGGAAACGGGTTGAAATTTTGGAGAATGAACCACCAGTTAAAAATTGGTCAGGAACTTCTGATAATGTTGAGACCAGTACTGTTTGAGAACAACTATGTGGATTTATGATACTAATTAGGGCAGTCAACTGTCTCAGAAACGTTGGATTATCAACTTTAGAAACCTTTATTCTTGGAATCAAATCCATTGCATTCCATTTGATTGGAAATTTAAGCAGAATTGGTGATGGTTCTGGCAATAAAAGTTGAAATTTACATTTCCCACAATTGAATGATTTCTTTACTATGAGAAGTTTTGGATTAGGAAGATCTTTAAATAAGATGTTGGATTGCCTTTGATGAATAGATTGGAATGTAGATAGTTTAGTAGTATTGGAAATAATCTCTGCATTCTTTACATCATCCGTTTCCACCATTGAAATTGGTTTTATATCTTCAATTTTGGAATTAAGAGAATCAGATTCACTCATATTTGGAGCAGCGTACTTCATACTGAGATTACTTAGATTTAGATCATTTAACTTTGATATGAGATCAGCAGAAAGTCTGTTACGACGACGGCGCAGTTTCTGAGCTTCAGTTGTTAAATTTTGGAGGGCATTGATATTTTTATATTTTTCAAGGAATGTATTAAATGGATCTATCATTTGTTGTTTAGATTGTTCCGATTCAAGGATTTTGAGCAATGATTTTGGTTTATCAATTGCAGAAGATGAGTAAATATACTCACAATATGTACATGAAAACTTGAAGATTTTAGCCTTTGTCAGAGTTGTAGTTGAACTTATAACAAGATGTGACGAGCATTTGGGACAAGAAAAGCAATTTTTGGTACAATATATCGAATCTGAGTTCGAATGATCTGCCATACAATTTGGGCAATACTTGGATTCAATGGTAAAAGATGTGCAATTGTTACATTTGTGGGATTTACACTGAGGACAAAAGTAAAGATCAGCTAACGAATGAAGTTGAAATGAGTGTCTCTCCTCAAACAACCAGGCTCTACTTTTCCCCTCCGAAACACTCACAGGATACGAATCACAGGTACATATTAGCCAAGTGTTGGTGTAGATCTGGGTCATTGACAATTGCAACAAAAAAAAAATAAACAAAACAAAACACCAAAAATAAAGTAGAACATTTGATGATCACGATACCCACTCATATTAAATTTGGGTTATATTGTGATGCGCACCGAATCAAAAGATACAAGTGGAACCTGGTTACAATTTTACAACCACCAAAAAAACCCCATGTTGGGTGCTTGGAAGGTCATGGATACTACGAGGACTGCTCGGGTGGATGGTGGGAAGGTTGTATGATTTTCTACATATTGAGTATCAAGGAACAACTAGGGAGTGATTGGTGGTGATTTATCTGATGTTCTAGAAATTGTACATTTATATTTAGAAATGTGAGATACACACTCGTTTATTCAATGACGTCAACCGAGAATTTCATTTTCAATAGCTCCACATGTCGCTAGGTGGACTTCAAGTTGATGAAACAAGAGTATCAATCAGTTTTATCTACATTGTATGTCCGTAAATTTGCGGTTTCATGCAGCAGCTGATTAGATTTTCCCACGTGGATCACCAACAAGGTGGAATTTGAAGAAATATCATACTTCTAATATATATAAATAGACTTGACTACGGTGCTGATTGTAAGTAGGATAACATTATTCAACTGTTCATACAAACATGAAACTATCTTACTTTACCCTCAGTTTTTTTTTGACTGCACTTGCGTCGGCTAAGTCTGGTACAAGCCCTGATATCTTTAAAAAAGATAAGCCACCATCCAAGTATGACTCTAAGAAGGGATTTTTCAAACAGAGCGACGACTCAACTGATGAAACTACATTTGATGTAATCACTGAAAATTTTGGACTTGAAGATGGAGTTACTTGGGACCAAGTCATTAAGTATGTTAATGATAAGAACAAGGAACATTATGATGATGGTGAGGCTTACAAATTATTTTTCCTCGGCAGACATGGAGAAGGATATCATAACATTGCACCATTGGAATACTCCACCACAGATTGGACTTGTTATTGGCAAATTAGAGATGGTAACGGGAACATTTCGTGGTTTGATGCTGAATTGACTGATAAGGGGATCGGACAAGCTAAGAATCTTTCCATTGCATGGCAAGATCAATTAGCCCACAATCTGGCCCCATTACCCCAATCATATTATGTTTCACCATTGAGAAGAACTTGTCAAACTTTCAACTATACTTGGGCACCAATTACCAACTATTCAGATGTTGAAAAATATGCCCCAACTGTAAAAGAGTTAGCAAGAGAAACTTATGGGATTGGAACTGAAAGTGAAAGACATACCAAGAGTTTTATTCATTCTAATTGGCCACAATTTGTGTTTGAGGATGTATTTACTGAAGCTGACGAACTCTGGACCAAAGAACAACACGAATCCAAGCAACACCGTAACTACCGTGCAAATGTTTTACTTAATGACATCTTTAGCAATGACCCAAACACCGTGATTTCAGTCACCACACATCATGGATTTATTAACAGCATTTTAAAGACAGCAAACCACCGTAAGTTTGTTGTAGGAACTGGCCAAATGATTCCAGTGGTTATCAAGGCAAGTGCATCTAAAAAGTTCGATACACCAACGTTGACAAAACCTTGGGTTGAATACTCTTCGGAATGTGCCACTTTCAACCCATCTCAATAGACCTAGACTCCAAATGGACTCATGGGTTCACCTTTTAGTATATAGCTCTACATTCAATTAGAAAGAAATATCTACAAAATAGAAATCTACAAAATCGAACATTATAGTTTAAGAGTTCTCTTGATTACCACCACCCTCTATAAAATCTCCTCTAGAATTACATAAAGTCATCGTCACCAAAGTTGTCGAAGTTGTCATCCATGTCTTCGAAGACATCCTTCTTGAATGAACTGTTGACGTTGGTCTTGACAGCAGGCTTAGCCTTCTTCTTACCAGCACCACCGGTAGCAGTACCACCAGCCTTCTTCAATCTGGCAAGTCTTTCGGCCTTTTCCTTGTCCTTAATAACAATGTTCAAAGTGGATATAACCTTTCTTACATTTTCCAAGGATAAAGGTTCAGCAATATCTCTAATAAGATCGACGGCCAAACCAGAAGAATAGTTCATCAAGGAGTCTTGAGCCAAGTCAATCAAAACTGGAGCCAAAGTCTTTCTCAACTTAACAAATTCTTCTTTGTTAGTTGGTTGGAAGACAGGATGTGTTTCAATTGGGGTATCCTTGGTCATTCTAGCTGGAGCTTGGACTGGGGCCTTAGCGGCAGCGGCTCTTTCTCTTGGGTGTGCGGTAAGATCAAATTCTTCATCTCCAGCAACTCCCAAACCACCGAATAAGTCAGCAGCGTTGTTTAAATCAGATGTCATTTGAGCTCTCTTTAATGCTTCAGCTCTGGCATCTTCATCCATAAGATCAACATCAAGAAGAACAGGTTCACCCTTGTTCTTGCCTGCAAGCTTCTTAGCCTTAGCTTCATCTTGCTTCTTCTTGAGAGCTTCCTTTTCAGCCTTCTTGGCAGCTTCAGCTTCAGCCTTCTTACGCTTTACTTCATATTCATCAACGTCCCATGATTCTTCCAAAAGTGGTTCGTCATCTTCTTCGTCTTCCCAAGAAGCAGCGGCAGCTGGGGCAGCCTTAGAAGGGATATCAAAGTCTTCGTCGTCCCAAGACATATTGTGTTCTAAATTATTTACAGTGTACAACTAGTTATCTGACCAAACTGTTTGACTGTCTTCCTTTTTTTTTTCCTCTCCTGTCCTTCTTTATATTTTGTGTAATTTTCTTTTTTTTTTGGTTGTGACGTACTTTGTAGACACTAGATCATTATAGAGGCAAGATGATAAAACTATTGATATAATATACTTCCATATTATTAGTATACATATATAGGACCTTTACAGCATAGTATTTGCAAAACCTACATGTTGATAGATCAGAACTGTTCAATTCCAGGGGTTAAAAGTAATTCAAAATTTGAATTATGGCTAACTAAGAATGATAGGATTAGTAGTAGAAATGTGGTGGTTAAGGAAAGTTGTCTTGGAGGTATAGGATTGTTTTATAAGCAAGGTGAGCTGAATAACGATGAAGATATCGGTGAAAGAGTTATACTTCGTATCAAAGGATTTTGGTATGATTATATGACTCTTATGAAAGATCTTGAAAAATTGCAGCCAGAAAATTCTAAAATTGTTAAACTTGTATTAAAGGCAATTGAACCAACTTCTGAGACATCTATTCTCAAATCTTATTTCATTGCCTTTAAGATATGTATGACACTTAACAAAACTGTAAAGGATTTATATCTTGATGATATTATTCCTTATGTAGATGTTTTATCAAACACGTCTATTGGTAAGTTTGATATTGATATAGGGAACATCTCTCAATCTAAAGGATTTGAATCAGGATATTTATTAGAATCTAAACTTAAATATGAAATGGAATTTGAAAAATATCAGCAACTTTTAAAGGAATTGGGAAATGAATTAGATAAACCATTTGAATATTTACAAAATGAAGTTTTTGATTTTACAACTTTTTACCAAATTGGTGCTGCAGTTAGATCAAGAGTTTTAGAAATTCCATATGAAGATGAAGAAGAAGATAAAAATGATTCAAAATCTTCTACTTATTATACTAACATTACTCTTGTACCATTTTTAGATTTTGCTAATCATTCAAATGTTAAGCAAATGAATGCATTTTTTGATGTTGATAGGAATAATGGAGATATATTATTAAAACTAGATTCAGATGAATTGAAAGATGGAGAAGAAATTACCATTTGTTATTCTCCTGATGAAAACATTCAATCAATGATTACTACATATGGATTTATCCCCCAAAACTATCATGATTCCACTCAAACATTTGAAATTAAGATTTCACATGAATGGTTAAATCAATATATTGATCAATTACATGGAACAAAGAATATTGAATATTCACTGATCTGTAAATGGTTAGATATAAGTGTCAACTTCAAAATGATGATTACTGGTGATGATGTAGTAGTAACATATCAATCAGAAACTTTACCAATAATATTTGCCAAAAACTTGGAATATGATCTAAATTGGAAAAATAAATTATTTGAAGTTAAGGATGGGCCATTTAGTTCAATTGTTGAAGTTGAAGAACAATTAGAAATTGTACATCTTATTGAAAATCTGAAATTAATATCTGATTATTTTCCTGGATTACCACCAATTGCCGTGTTAGTGAAAGGTAAATCATATTCTTACAATGATCTTTTCGAGGCTTTAGGTATAGAAACAGAGGATAACTTATACAATTTAAAGAGATTAGTACTGGAAATGATCCATCAATATTGTTTAGAATGCATTACAAATGATAATAATGAATTAATGAAAAACTTGTCATTACAAAATAATAATGATGTTAATTTACAATTTCAATATATTCAAACTGAGATAAATATACTTGAAAAATTTGAAAAAGCATACGAAAGAAACCCTGAACTGGTCATCCCAATCTACGAAGAAGTCTGACAAATATTTATACAAATAGACTTTTGAAACTAGTCATTCAATTCATAAAGAAGTCATGAAGTAGTGGTAGTAATAGTATATTCAACCGATCTTTCTAGTAGATTCTATTCAAATTATTAATACAATCATATATACAGTTTTGTAAGCTTACAATTCAACATTAGCAAAACCATTTTCCTACATATAAACATTTGTAAGCGAATCTTGGCCTAGAAATGAGGGAAAACTATTTAACCACGTCCAAAGTAATAAATTTGAGAAAATCCCAAAAATATATTAGTTTTAAAGTCTACTTTTAATCAATTAATTAATACAATACATAATGGTTGCCACTATTACTTCCAAGCAAGAATTCACCGATGCTCTTTCCCACGAGGGTTTGGTTGTTGTCGACTTCTTTGCCACCTGGTGTGGTCCTTGTAAGATGATTGCTCCATTGTTGGACAAATTCTCTAATGAATACCCAACCGCCAAGTTCATTAAGGTTGATGTTGATGACTTTGGTGACATTGCTCAAGAATACGAAATTTCTTCCATGCCAACTGTTCTTTTCTTCAAGGGAGGTAAGATCATTAACAAGGTTATTGGTGCTAACCCAGGTGCTTTGAAGCAATTCATTGCTGCTAACGCTTAAATGTATAGTACTATAATATAAGTAATAGAGATACGATAAAAAATTACCATTGTAGTTTAATATAATAATTATAAATTGTGTTCCATGAATTGTACCCTTACAAATATTCTAATCTTTCATAAACCTACAATAAAATTAATTATTTTCTTTTATTATAAATACTATTATTAATCTGTTTTCCCAATTTGTTTTAAACCTTTCCATTTTATTTTTGTATATTTCTCTTTAATCGTTATTTCTTTCATATCCCCTTATTAAAAACCAGTTAGTTTCTTTCATTTTCTTTCGTTAGTTTTGAATTCTTCAATGAATTTATTAATAATATTCATATTATTAAAATTATTCCATTGACATGATTCAGGTATATCACCTCCTTTAGCTTTATAGTATTTGCTTCTCAAAAAGATTAACCCAAGATCATAAATTAAAACATATTGTCTTAATGTTTGAACCATGGAAACTCTTTGCTTTCTAAACCGATCAACCGTAGAAAAAATTAAATTATCCATATTAAATTCATCATTTTTGTTAATGGTATCAATTACTGTATCAGTGGCACACAAGACCCCTGTTCTACCACATCCAGCAGAGCAATGGACCAACACTGGGACATTCGAATTGATCAGTTTCATCACATAATCCTTTAATAAAACAATTGAAAGTAAATCTTTTGGATTCATAATCAATTCCATATCTGGCCATGATAACACATGAATTTGAAGAACTTTATGTTTATATTTATCATCAATAATAATTTCAAAACTTCTCAACACAATTGATTGTGAAGTGTTCGAATTTGAATGAGTATCTCCAGTAACAACAGTTTCACAATCTAAAAGTTTAACTTCAACTTTATTTTCATTTGACATGTATTCTCCTGAATTCCAATATGGAGAACATTTCACAATTCCATTTTCTGTTTCTCTTGTTAACGAAATAATTATTGGAACTTTTTCGTTTACGACACATTTCCAAAAATCTCCGATAGTTTGTGAAAGTGGACCTTGAGTGGCAATATACTTGGTGGTTGCACCAGTAATATATGATGCATTTATATAGTCACACTTTTGCGTAGTTTCAATATCACGAAGTTTTACTCTTGAATGTTCATAAAGGAATATATCCTTATATCTGTTTTTATATCCATATTCAATTCCTGAACTGATTGTTGGAGGTGGTGAAGTTATTGAATCAACTTCTATAAATGGGTTCCTATTATCAAGATTCTCTTTATTTATATTCAATGCATTTGTCAATCGATTTTGTTCCAATTTTTCCAAATAATTAAATTCATCACAAATTTCATTCGATGTCTTCTTTACCCATCCCGGTAATTTATTTTGTTCAGTAGTTGATAATCCTCTATAATCAAGTAAGACATTGAAGTTCTCGGTAGCTTTCGTAACAATCTCTTCATTATGGCGGATTTTGAAGACTGGCTTTGCTTCTGGAAGTACAAACCTTGAAAGTACTGGAGTATTGCTAGATCCTCCTCCCAATGGAATATTCCCAAGTGATAAAGTTCTCATAGCTCTAGGTTGTGAATTGGAATTAGAGGAATTTAAATTCACACCCGAATCTGAATCTGAATTATTCTCCTTACATGATACTCCAAAGTCAATATTGTTTTCAAAATTTGTGGAAAATTCTTGATACCCATTTTGTAAGACAAAGATATTAACATTAGACCAATCCTGAATAAACTTTTGACACATATTGGATATGTTTTGACTATTATTATCTCCCAACCCAGTGGAATAATTATCATATAAAACCAAATTTGGACGGGTTTCACGATCCCCCATTGAATTCATTTCATTAAATTTTGTTAAAACAGATTTCTCATAATCTGGTAATGAATTAATACATTTATCAATTCTAAAGTTTTGTCTCTTCAACAAAGTCGAAGGGAGGCAAACATTAATGGAGTTTGTAATATGTGACTTAACATAATCATTAAATGGTCTAATATCAACGATTAACAATTCATCATTAATAGAGTTCTGTCCCATCATTGTTGAAAGTTTCGATGATACCAATGGTACCACATTTTCAGGAAGTGTGGCATTCAAATCTTTTTTCAAAACAGATGAAGAATTGGGGTTATATTTTAATTTGAACATTTGTTTCTGTTGAATGCTATTGAAGTCCTGAGAAAAATTAAAGGATGGGAGTGTCTGTTGTTTCCGAAGTATAGGTGGGTCTTGTTTCAAAACCAGTGGTATATTAGTGGCCAGAAATGAAGTAAATTCTTCAGTGGGTACTTGTGGCAGTGGTCTTGTGTTATATTTCTTAGGGGTAGATCCAGAATTAAGACCAAAATTAAATGAAGTTTCCATGGCAGAAGTTGCATTTCTTTGATTACCAAACAGTTCATCCATACTAGTTGATTTGCCACTAAATACCAGTTGATCAGAGTTAACAGAATGATTATGATTATGTTTGGAGAAACTTCCTCCGGCTGATATAGAAAGATTCATCAAGTTTTTCAGATTTAAACTAACAGTATGCTTTGAGTTTTCATCTATAAGGGTATCAGTTGACATAATAGAATCAGTTCTTCTTGAAATAGGTCCTCTTTTCGGACAGTCAGTAACCACAGTTTGATCTGAGCCTATGGAAGAGATAGAGTTTGTAGCCTTAGAATGGGAAGAGCTACTAGAAGCTCTCACCTGATGAGAACTAATTTGACGTGCTGTCCTAGCAATACTAAAATAATCAAATGTATCTTCCTTAGAAGGCGATGGGTTGGATGTAGCGGGGAATACAAAGTTTGGAGATGCACATATCGTTGGAGAAGAGCTCATGGCTAGGATATATACTCTGACGAAAAAGTAAAGGAGAAATTTGGCTTAAAATCTTTGATGGAAACCTAAATTCTCTTTATGTGAAACAAAATACTTATAGTATCAAACTTTCTCAAACTCTCTCGAGTAATCCAGACTTTGAGGAAGATGAGCTGGTTGAATGGATAACGCGTGAGTTGTAAAAGTTCCTTCCAATCAACAGGGTCTAAAGAGGGTATGTTCTTTATTTCTAACCTTAGCGGAATGATAAAAAAATATAAAAATGTATACTTTTCCTTTCAAGACTAAAATTAAGTAACAAAAAAAAAAAAGATTAAATAGAAAGGTTTGGATTTGAAATATGACGTAATAAAATGTTAGAGGGATTATGTTACCCTTATATTTAAACTTTAGCGTAAAAGGGAAATGAACGATAATTTTCTTAAAAATGAATATAGAGAAGGGGCAAATTAAGTCATGTCTTTGGACAAAAGGAATTATAGTATCGGATCCAAGTCATTTTGCTTGCATGAAGTGCAATAGTGGGTGTTTTAGAAGTAAGTGTGAGCCTCGTCGTTGCGACGCAGATGAAAATTTAAGAAAAAAACGGAAATTAAATGGAGGCAAAAAACCAAAAAAAAAACAGGACGAAAAAACAAATGCAAGAAAAAGAAAGAACAAGGAAAGCGACATTCAAAAAAAAAAAAAACAATCTATTTTTAAGAATAATGAGTCGAGGCAAAGTGGTAGATAGGTTCATTTATGGGAGATAATTCCAATCACACTCAATTTAATATTTAGCAAAGATCCTTTAGGTGGTGTAAACGAATCCCATAGTAATCCCTCAAAAAAATTCTTGTGTCTGGTTGGGATTGGTAGGGCGCCCTCCCAAGAAAAACACAAACCCGCTGTGCATGAGCCAGATACATGGGCATTTTCTTGCCACCAAAATGAAGTGCGGCGCAATAAAAAGCGTTCAGAACTTGTTGCACAGGGAAATTTAATTTCCTATTGTTTATGGAGTCAGGGCAAGCCAAGATTAGATGTTCTATGACATAGTCGCGTATGAACACGCTTAACAGGTTTTGATACCGCTAATTGTAGATGATAATGAAGAGACTGGGTCTTTTGACCTAAACGATGTTTAATGGCAATGCGCGCAAATACGAGCCACATGCAATGTATGTTCATTGTTTCATGTCACATCGACTCGAAATATTGGTCTAGACTTTTCTTTTGACACACAAGGACTAAATAGACCGTTTTGCGTACCCGCATTTATTTCGTCATGTATCCTTTCAAATCCCGAGGTAACATCATTACAAAAAGTCACACATAGAAGTTATATCAAGATAATAGCTATCATTATCTATTTTTACCATACTACACCCCCCCCCCCCCCCCCCCCTAAATATTCACAATTCTTAGGTATACTCGTTTATTTTAATCACGATTCATTAATATACATGATGTGTACCTTAAGTCCATATGATACACATTACTGACGATCTGAAATATCCAATTTTGTTCTGTTTACTGGCTAGAACAGGGCAACAATTGCCGTTGTAGCATGATAATAGGTTTTTATTTAAACAGTTTACAGCTTTTTACTCAAAAAGCAAAAAAAAAGAACTATCCCATTCTATAACTGACTTCGGCCACCTCCTAACCGTCTACAATACTACCAATATGATATCTCTACTTAATTCGGTATTTTCTTGAAATGAATTATTTTCCCTACTATTGGAAACTCTGTCACTTCTTATTATCCGCATCTAATTAGTACACGTCGTATTTTCCATTCTACCCTAATTAAATGCACATTTTCTAATATTAACAATTTATATATCAACATTTGAGTCCAGCATGATTCTAGACGTCTCTCATCCTACAAATATTAAATAGTGTTATAAAGGGCCATTCTATAATACTCCCTTACACATGAGCGCACATTCGAATTTTCTGAGTGCATGAAATTTTACGCACGTCATACTGTATTTTCATTTTAACACAATCTATGTCAAACGTTGAATAACCCCCGAAAATATCCCTTTCGTCTGTCTTGTGATAAAGACTATACTACCATCATTCCCAATATCTAACAGCTCTCCTACTTGACCTTATTCTCAGATGTAACTCTCGGGTATATATTATCGAACGTATCACATATATATGCACTATGTACACGTACATTTAGATCGCGTTATGCCATGCTCTTCTAGATCATCAGTCCTTTTGTTTTCACAATGTCAATATTTTTTTTTTTCACGTGTTTCTGTTATTGCTACACAGCCCTTGAGACAATACACTCCTTAAATGATTACAAAAATAGAACATTTTAAAGTAAACTAATATTGAACCCTTCACTTAAGTGTCAACGGTGGCGTAAGATCGACCCCCTGATATATTTTTAGAAACTCTTTTTTGTGTCTCACTACGATTTTTGTATACTACACCTATTCTTTCGTGCCCTTTTTTTTTGTTCATTTGATCTATCAATCTATATATATATAACACCTATAATACCTGATTATAAAAAGTTATACACGTTTCAATTTGAGTTTCAATTTTGGTAAAACCGTAGAGTTTTTATTATTCTTTTTTGAAAACTTTCCTGGTTTAGATATACCTACTCCACTACGACTTTTACGTCGTTGTCGTTGATTATCGTATTCATAAGTTTCTTCCACGGTGGATTTCTTTTCTTCATTTATAACTTCGTCAGTAATTTCTTCCTCCTCTCCAGCGAAAAGGTGTGAATTCTTAACTTCACTCATAGTCTCATTAATAAGTGTGTCATACTCATCTTTTGTATTCGTTATTCCCTTTTCCATTAACTTTTTCATTAAATGATTATGTCTACCATTTTCTGGTTTGGGGAGTTGATCTTTTTGGCCATCCATTTGTTCTGATTTAACATCTTGTTCAATTTCAATTGGTTCTATACTATCAAATTTTTCGTCAGGTGATACTCCTAATGTCCCGACATCAAATGTACATTTTTCAACACCATCGTTATGTCCACCACTTAATGAGGTACTTAATCCATTGAAATATATTTCATTAACATTTAAATGTTTATTTGCATCCAAATTCTTTAATTTGAGGTTTTGTAAACTGGTTAATCCTTCTTCATCTTGTTCTTCTTCTGGTAAGATTTCACCACATGTTAAAGCTGCTGCATCTTGTGAAGTATACTCTTTAGAATGTGCAATTCTACTATGATTTAAGAACCCTTGAGCAGATGAAAAATTGCTACGAAGACAATTAGGACATGTGAGTTTGACAATGATTCCATCAGTTCTTCTATACAAACATCCCATAGTACCTTTGCGTGATGATTGTGAACTACTAGGTCTTAATGATGATGTGGTCGATCGAGTACGGTATGAATGGGTTGGTAAGTTCATATCTTCAGTGTTATAGGATATGGAACCATGTGACGATGATGGACCCAGTGAATACCCTGACACTGATAATTTAGATACGTTTTCATAATTCACTGATAATGCTTTATTCAAAAGTGCTGAATATTTATGAGTAAATCCATTTGGTTCATTATCAAAGTTAACGTTTGATGGAATCTTAAAGAATTTACGTAATGTTATCATCTGCGATTCACATTTTCCTATTTCTTCTTCAGTGAGGGCAAGCTCCTTATGTTTAAGTCTGATTTCAAGATCTATTTGGTTCGTTATAATTGATTTGAGCTTATCTATAGGCATCTCTGCAAGCTTCTTCATTAGTATCTCCTTGTTATCTTCATATCCATCTCTTTCAGGAGACAAAGCTTCAGATTCTGGAGTTTTGAATATGGGTTCACTATCGCTAGCCATGTTTAATGTTTTGTAGGTTTGAGGAGAGTTCCCTCTTATCTTTAAGTGGGATATTATCAAGATTTATTTGTGTTTTTGTCTTGTCGTTCCGTATTTTGCCACACACATATTAAAGTGTATGTCGTGCATGACCCAATATATATCTTGGAATCCGGGTAATTCAAATTAATTAGAACTCTGTCTTTTTTTTTTTTTGGTTGCAAAATGTAAATTTCTTGGTATGACTACCTCCTCCTTGTTTTTTTTTGTATTAGTTAGTTATTTCTTAAGCAAATTAATTGGATCATCACCAATTTCACACAACTCTAATAGTTCTTTTTTCGTGTATTTCTTGGTGGTAATTTTTAGCATTTCTAATACAACCAATGGTGACTGGATTCTTTTCTTTAAAATACTCTTTAACATGGATTTAGGCTTTCGTTTACTATGCTTATCATTACCATCAAAGAGGACAGTAGCTTGTAAATTATTATCTATATTGTTGACTGGTCTGGGCTCTTTTGATAAACCTTTTGTTGAATTTGATATAATTTCTTTTTTTGCAACAATTGGAGATTTAGTCATTTCTACAGGTAATTCAATATTGATATTTTTAGTATCTCTACTATTAGGTATTTCCTCAAGACTCTGGATTATTTCAACTTCATTATCAGATATGATCATTGAAGCCATTGGGGTTGATGTACCTTGGAAACTCGTACCTGCAATTTTACCAGTAATTGTATTTGATACTGGTAGCTTCACATTTGTTTGTATGTTCTCTCTTTGTTTTCTTCTAGGTTCACTACCAAAAATTTCCCTCAAGTTATTTAATGACCCATTTCGATGTATTTTCTTCTGATTCAGTTTTCTTTCTATCCTTTCTTCCCTTTCATCGGTTTTTGCTTTTTCTTTTAACCGGTTACCTCGTTGTTGCCTTTTATGTTTCAGAGTTGAAGAATCTATCATTAGTAAGAAGATTAAAATTATAAATCTTTCCCTTAAAAAAATCGCTAAATTCATATACACATACCAAGAATATCTCTATATATTTCAAACCTCTTTTTTTTCATGATGGTTACTAATCATATACTTTAACAACTGATCGGTGTTTGCAATAATTTTGATTTTTAACAAACTCAATTTTTTTTTTCTGGACTGTATGAGTGAATCGCGCCAATGTATCATAAATCATTATATTATTAACATTTGTTGTATTTATCTTTAAATCACAATCTAAAGTTTGACCCTTTCTTTCTTTATATACTGTCATGTCAGATAATATAATACTTCCTTCTATAGGCTCATTAGCATTATCCAGTCTGCAAGACTCTGGGTTTGGCTACAACCCTGCAGTGGGGGCCAATTCTAACGCTATATCAGAAGAAACTTCAGCATTACTTTTAAGTAAAAAGACAATTAATGTTAGCATACTATCATCAAGTACCATATATGAACGAAATATTAGTAAGAAAGGAACTGAAATAAATTTATCTTCATTATCATTTTTATTCTGTGAAATAGTTAGCTGGGCTCAAAGTAAATCTAAAGGTATCCAAGATTTGGAAGCAAGATTGAATGGATTAGGTTATCAAATAGGTCAAAAATATTTAGAATTAACTAAATTAAGAGAAGGTTTAAAATATGGGAAAAGAGAAACTAAAATTATTGATATATTACAATTTATACATGGACCAATATGGAAAACAATCTTTGGTAAAATTGCTAATGAATTGGAAAAATCTCAAGATCTTGAAAATGAATATATGATCATTGATAATATTCCACTTGTTTCAAAATTTATAAGCGTACCTAAGGATTATGGGAATCTTAACGTGTCTGCATTTGTGGCTGGAATCATAGAAGGGGCATTAGACTCAGCATATTTCCCTGCTGAAGTATCTGCACATTCAGTCCCTAAAGAGGGATTCCCTCTTAGAACAGTTTTTCTTATAAAATTCGATCAAAGTGTATTAGATAGAGATGAAATTAGAAGATAAATAAAAGTCATATACCATGAAAATATGTTATGTAGAGTTTCGTTTTCACCCCCTCCCTCCACAATTACTGCTGCTTTTTTGTTGCCACATTATTAATTCTGTTGAGCCTTACCTGCAGTCCGCTACGATTTCAACAAGAGTCCAAAAATTATGTCGAAAAAGATGTTGCCAATAGGAAATCTATAAAAAAAACAACATAGTAGAGTTCTTTCTATTGTATCTAACCATTATAATATATTAAACAACATGGGAATAACGATCAGAAGGGCCACTATTAATGACATACAGGCTATGCAAAATGCTAACCTTCACAATTTACCAGAGAATTATCTTTTAAAATATTATATGTACCATATATTATCTTGGCCACAAGCGTCATATGTTGCCACCACATATGATGAGATAGTACATGATGAAGATGCACCAATAGAAGATCCTAAGGGAGACACCGCATACATAAACAAGGGAGAAAAAATTGTAGGATACGTTTTGGGTAAGATGGAAGATGATCCAGCTGCTGATGATAAAACTCCTCATGGTCATATTACATCACTTTCAGTCATGAGAACTTATAGAAGAATGGGTATTGCTGAGAAGTTGATGCGCCAAGCTCTTTATGCTATGTGTGAATGCTTTGATGCTGAATATGTTTCCTTGCACGTTCGTAAGTCAAACCGTGCTGCTTTGCATTTATATCGTGATTCACTTCAATTTGAAGTCACTTCAAATGAAAAATCTTATTATCAAGATGGTGAAGATGCATATGCAATGAAAAAGGTATTGAAGTTGGATGAACTTATCCCTGGATTGATGCAAAAATCTGAAGAAATAGATGACTTAACTTCAGATTTATTAGACGATTTGTAAATACAATACATATAAATATATACAAGAAAACTACAACTACAAAATGTACCGAACTTCCTTAATCTTTTATTATTATACAATGGTGTGGGTGGAAGAGAGATAGAGGAGGAATAGGAGGAGGACCATAAACTATAAATGTGTATATTAATAATGCAAAATCAATAACGTTCCTTCATTCTAGAAGCAACGGTACGCAAGTTCCCATAGACCTTTCCTGGAGGAGAACCCAAAATTAATGAGACAACCGCTTCTCTGGCCATTCTAATATGAGTGAACCCACCTAAAATATGAATCTTTGAGTCAGCAAGGACAATTCTTGTTCTAGTAGCATTTTCAATGGCAAACTTGGTCTTACCATCCTTACCGGCAATACGACCAATGGCTCTGGATAAATGGTCACCATTCAAAGTTTTAACATCCTTAATTTCGAAGGTTTCAATATATAAGTCATCCAATCTTAAAAGGGCAATGGCATCATCTACATCAAACCCTAATGTGAAAGCCTTAACGAAATCAGCACCCTTTTGTAAGGCACCTTGGTCGGTGGTGTTTTTGTTGGTCTTCAATTCTACGGTTCTTGTCTTCAAGTTCATTCTAACTTGAAGCTTTAAATGGTCTACAAGTGGTGGGTAAATTTTTGGCCATGTGTTCTTCAATGGGGTCATTCTGTGTGGAGGAACTGGAACTTTTCTACTTTCCAATTTGACCTTCATTCCAGCCTTTGATGCAGCGGAAAACTTAGGCTTTCCTGATTCGTCCAATACCATTGCGTCGGACTCTATAGTCTTTTTAGTTTCATTCAGTTCTTCTTCAATGACTGGGACAGTGGAAGCATCGATGAGAATTTCATCTTCATCTTCTTGTATTGGGGTCACTTCCTTGGTAGGAAGGTTCTTGATGGCAGTAGGTGCGGCCATTCTTATTATGATTTATGCTGGTAGGTTGGAAACAAAAATAAAAATAGTATAGCTTTGATGTATATAGTTGTTTGATTTAGTTATCAAGTTTTCCTCATCGCTATCAAAATTTTTTTTTTTTTTAATAAAAAGAACTAAATAAAAAAAAAAAAGAAAGTGAAAAAATGAATAGATTTGGGAAAGACGTCACGTGAAAACATTGAATGGGAGATATATCGAGATCTACTCCACAAAGGGTATATTGATATAATTTTAAACGAGAAATAGTAGAAATTGTGAGGGATATATCTGTATGTATCTTTAACACTGAGCTAGTGAGAAGAGAAGCCCTCCAAAATGTTTTATTATCAAGTTCTTTCATATCAAGCCAATCAAAAGACGAGTACTGTTTATGAGTACTTTTTACGACTATATCTCATGTAATTCATAGACTTAATAGGATACACATTTGAACTTTGTTACATGTAATTGTCCCTCTATACCCCATTATAACACGTTATTTACCTGTATCACACAAATATGGAGATAATATTTCTAAATGGTGTTACCGAGTAAAATGCAGGAATCCACAAAAAATAAATTTTGAAAATTGTATAGCAACAAAATACTCCTGAAACTAATTTGAGGCAAGCAACCAAAGAGCCCTATTTTTAATTATTAATTGATAAGACGTACCTATAACTATGCCTCATCTACACCGCATGTTACCCCCCCATTTATATGAACTGATTAATGACTACCCCTATATAAATTCAACATCAATTCTCTCTCTCCTTTATTCATTTTGCATGTCACACTTTTTGATTTTGCATTTTGACTCCCTGTAACTGGAGAAAGATTTATCTTTCTTTCTTTTTTTTTTTTATTTTTTTTTATTTTTTTCTATAGGCGCAGAAAATTTGTATCTGTGCAAAAAAAATAGTTAAGCGGGATTTTATAAATACACCATCTATTTTCACTTTGGTTTACAATAAGATATATTAACAGTATTTATATACTACCTTTTTTTTCATTAGGACTACTTACATTCTGCTCAACCGGATGTTCCGCATAGCCTTTGGATTACCTTCTGTGAGGACTGGGTTCATCACCCGAGGAGTCCGTCCTGGAATTATCCATTCAAGTCCCCAGAACATATATCAATACAGTAAGATAACATCAGGGATTATATTAAATAGGAGGTTATTTCATGTTTCCCAACCACAACACAACATACCCCCATCATCAAATGAATTCAAAAATTTACTGAACAAATCAAGCACAAATACCATTAAACAACCATCTACCCCAGATTCTATCAAGAAACCAGAAATTACTAAAAGTTTATTACTTGCACAAACTTCAAATGGACTTTCTAGGTTACTTATCCATATTAAATGGCCCTTGACCAGAAATAATAGACCCTTTTCCGCTGATGATTTTTCAGCATTTGCATCTTGGGTAGTGATGGGGAATTTACTTTGGATTATTCTTGGTACAACTACATTTGTACTTTTCGGTATGTATTTAGTTGATATGGTAAAGAATGTTTGGGAATTATTCCAGAAGGATAATCAAAATAGCGAAACTAAGACCGAAAATATTGATGATAGTTTCCTTGGAAGAATAACTGGATCAATTTTATCCAATGGATTAGGACTCAAGGTAGAGTTTCAAAATGGAAGTGTATTGCCTGAGCTTCATGATGGGATGTTAAGATTTAGAAACATAAACGTTAGCACTATTGAAACATCAAATGATGGAGAAGAAGAAGATGAAACTAGTCGAGTTCTACTGATGAAGGCAAATATCGATCAAATGGATGTATCACTTTCATTTGGGAAATGGTATGAAGGTAAGGGGTTAATTGAAGATCTTGAACTTTATGGAATGAACTGTAAAGTGTACAAGCAAAGCCTGAAGGTTGATGGAGAAGAGGTTCCAATGACAAATAATTTAGTTTCTTCTTCATCAGTATGGAATTTTGGTAGATATAATGAAAGTGCAAATTTCCATATTAGTGATGATTTGGATCAAGAAACTCAACTTTTAAAAGACGAAACGAAACCACCTGTACATAGAAAGTTTCATATTGATCCAGATTATACATTAAATCATTTCAAGATTCATGATTCATTTATTGAAATATTTGATACAGAACCTAAGAAATCTCCCTTAAGAGTTACAATTTTTAATTGTGATTTACCTGGTTTAAGAGGTAATAGACTTTTAATTGATTTCTTCAATGCAAACAATGTTACAGGAGCGATTAATGATTCCATGTTTACCATTCATAAACATCAAAAATTATATAATAATTCACCTGAAGAGGAAGATACTTCTGACAAAATGGTGCGGTTTAAGTTGGATGGTATAGATTTGGGGTCTATATCAAGAACAAACCCACTGCTGAAATTTAATTGGATTGTCAATGGAAGAGCTCAAATCATTGCTGATATTGTTCTCCCACAAGATAAAATGGAACCAAATTTCAATTTTGGTAATGAATACAAGAAGTTCACCAATATGTTTTCTGAAGCAATTAATGAACTTACCACTATCACAACCTCTCATTCAGATAATACTGACCATGGTATTGGATCTGAACCATCACATATAGATGAGAATATTGTCGATAAGAAACTTCTTAAGAGTGCATTAGCTGCACTTTATGATACTTTCCAACCAGAAAGAGAAGAAGGAGTTGATTCAATATCTGAATATGTGGTGGTAAATTTCAAAATCAAATTATATGATTTAAAGGCTTCATTACCGCAACAACTTCCATGTGCATCTACCACTTCATCTCCATTTATATCACTTCACAACTTGAGAACACTTATTGCATTTGTGAATCATTATTTTGACTCAGAAAACAAACCTCCAATCACCATAAAGACCACTGTTATTGAGAAATTGTCTGAATTGTCCCATGCATCAAATCTTTCAGAAACAAAAATTCTTGATTTAATTTTCAGTGATATTTATGAAGATTTAAATAAAATGGTTCAAATGGAAGAAAAGCGAATCATAAATGAAAGATCTTCCATGTGGTCACACTCACTTGCAAGTCAACTATTGTTGCTTGGATTAGGTGTAATTGCATAATTATAATGACTTAATGTATATTTATTTATCAGAAAGAAAATAGATTATAATCTATTCAACTTACATGTAGAATTTACCTCTAGATTGTATTTCTTTCCTTTATTAATATCTATCTCGTATAAATAAAATCTTCTCGCTTTATTATTCGTATCATTATTATTTTTATTTCATTATTGTTTTATCAATTCTCCAGATTTTTTGTCTCTTTTAACAAGTGGAACTCCAATTGAATCACCCCTTTTCCCCATTAAGTCCAGCATTAATTCATTTTCTACTTTTTGTGCACCTATACCGAGAAGCTCACCCCTTTTCCGTTTTTCAACGTTATCCAAATTTGGGTTCGGTTTAACTTTTTTATTAGGTTTCCAACCCATTCCTCGAAGTAATGCAGCACCAAATTGTTCAACTGGAACTTTATTATATTGGTCTTCATCATCTTCCTGATCTTCGATGTCATTATCTACCGATTGAGGTCTTTTAATAGTAAGTCCTTCAGAAGAAGGTATCAGATCTCCTGAGATCAACGATTGTCGGATGATTTGATCTTCAGTTAATATTTGATCTTTGGAGTCAGATATTGACTCGTTTACATCTTGATCAGTTGCAGACTTTTCAGTTCTTCTTTGTTTACTATCAGGAATTTTAATCACAAGCACTTCCTTTTTAGGCTCAGCACTTACAGATATGTTCCCATTTCTAGCACCACCTTTCCGTTGATCAAATGAATCTATGGAAACTATCTTCTCATCATCATCATCCTCAGAATCGGAATTTGCCAAAGTTACCGTCTTATTTATAGGTTTCTTAGGTATATTTTTCTTAAGAGAAAACCCAATTTTAGGTGAAGGGGTTCCTGCCCCTTTACTGCCTTTTAAATTTAATTTGAACCCTGACATATCTCAAATTTGAATATTCATTATATTTATAATTGTATTCTTAGTACAATCATCATAATAACCTTTTCTCATTATCATACTCAGTCACGTGATATAGTCTAGCTGCTTTTTGAAGGAGAAAGAAAAGAAAAAAAGAGAGTCAACAACTCCTCAATTAAAAAATACTGTTGACGATTTAAAATAACTACCTCTAAAGTCACTAATTTTCGATTATGAGTTCATATTTCTTTCTTCATTTTTACAAACTAACAATTAACATGTGAAGCAGAAGCACTTCTTGAGTGGTGTTGTAGTTATTGTTAAGAATTTGAGTCGATCTAAATTTTGTTTGTATGCGAAAACCCCGTATGCAGTCCAACGCGTATTTTTATATATTGTAGGATGCAACAAAACAGACAAGTAAGTGGTACAATTCGACTTGAATAGCATCACTGTTTGATAATTTATAAGGGTGGAAGCTCTTTTAAAAGATCTGGCATTTCAATATCCACATTTGAAGGAACAAATATACCATAGTTGATAATTTACTTTCCAAATTTTAACCTTCCATAACAATACGAGAACCGAATCAGAGCGTGACTACAATCATAAAGTGGTACATTGAAATCCATAACCATAATAATTTATACATAAAAAGTGGCTATGGATCCATTTTTACAAACCGCAATTGCTGGCCAAACCCTTCCCAATGAATTAGAAGATAGCCCAACGCATATAAATGTTACTGGTGTATCATCTAGAACGGAAAGTCCAACAGATATAACTGATGTTGATGAGATTACCAATCCAAAGCCAATTATAACTAAAAAATCATCAGATCGTCCAAATTCCTTGCTATCATTACTCTCTGGTAAACAAAAGACCAAAAAACGGAAGGTGGTAAAAAAGTCCGAAGTGGAAGATGTTGGTAGTATCCCAACATTATCACAGCCATCTGAAGATTTAACCGAAGGAGAATCATTTGATTCTTCTTTTACAGAAATTCAAAGTAATGATTTACGTAAAGAATACGATGTTATAGAGCTCGAGAAGCGAATTTATTCAGATCGGAAGTCAAGGGCAGTTTCAGCTAAAGACTTTCTTGGAAAGAGGGCCAAACCAGTTGAATCCACTTCAATATCGATAGAGGAATCTGATACAGTAATAGAGATAGAAAGTGAAGAAGAAATAGTAATAGAAACGGATGATAAAAGTAAATCGATCGAAGACAAGATCTATGGAGTACGAGATGTGAAGAGAACATCAGCAAAGGATTTGTTAGGGTCTTATAAGAAGAATAAAGTGTTACCTAAACAGCCAAGTGAGATCGTCTTGGAAGCAAATTCAACTTCCAAGAAGAATGGATCTCAGAATAGAAACTTCAATGTCACTTTAAAAGTGTCACCAGATCGATTACGTGAAGTTGAGAAAGCTCTTAATAATCCATTTTTCACCAAGGGATCAACAACGGGCAATTCTTCCAAATCAAATGCATCTAGTGTATTCAAAACAATGATGTCTCATTCTCATATGAATACGCCCAAACTAACACCACTACAAAAACTTAAAGAATTGTACCCCAAAGATCTTACTAGAGAGCAATTTCATGTCATACCCACTGAACCATCCCCTGAAATCGATGAAAACTACACTTTTCCACTTCAAAGAAAACCTAAACTTAATATTCCAGTTGAAGGCTTATTGAATGGTACCAACTTTTTCCAACATTTACCATTGAATAGAGATGTATCACAAAATATTTATGCCATTACAAACCAAAAAGTCACTGAAGACACCCCAAAATCATACGAAAACAAAGCTTTACAAAGAATATACGACGAGTTCGTGGTCAATGTGGAAGAAGAAGAAGAAGAAATTAGAGAGATTGCTACAGACTCTCAATTATGGACAGAAATCTTTAAACCCATCAAAACAGATCAACTTTTGATTGAAAAGAGTGCCATCAATCATATCAAGAATTGGATAAACAATTCATTTGAACGATTGAAGGCCCAGGCATTGTCAACACCAAGAAATGAATTGATAAAAAAGAGAAAGCAGCAACAACAACAGAAGTTGCTGTCAAGTCTTCTTGATGGATTTATTGTAGATGAATTTGAAGATGAAGGGGACACCGAATCAGACCAGGAAGTATTTGTACCTGTTTTGATTATAAATGGTTCAACAGGTACAGGAAAATCTGCATCAGTCTATGCGGCCATGGAAGAGATCCATGGATACGTACATGAAGTTAATTCCGGGCAAGCCAGATCCAGAAGAGACCTTTTCAGTACATTAAAAGAACTCTGCACCACTCAATTAGTGCACCAAAAAGGAGATAAAAATGAATTTCAAAAGGGTATTATATTATTTGAAGATACAGATGTATTGTTTGAACAAGACAAAACGTTCTGGACAGTTGTTCAGGATATGATTAATATTTCAAGAAGACCAATCGTCATTACATGTACGGATATTTCTACAATACCGAAAAACATTGTGGATTTTGCTTCTGAAGAGAATGCAATTGTAAATATTGATCTTGAAGTAACATTGTGTACAAGAAATGAAATGGTGGATTATTTAAAATTGTGCTGTCAAAGTAAAGGTTTTCACTTGGATAGAGATGTTATTGAAAGCGTTGTTGATCAATGCGCCTCGAAGACAACTTTTGATTTACGTAAATCTCTCATGTCTTTGCAAATATTATGTCAAGGCAGATGTACGAAAAATCATATCAGTTTCAATACTGATATAGAAGCAGCAAGCCCACAACATACCGATGATATAAATGAACTTTCTAAAAAACTCGATATTCTTTCAATATCAGACCTTATCTCAAATAACACCCATTCGCTCATCAAGACGCACGAACAACATAATGAGTTACTTGATTTGTATATCATTGACGAAAGTTTACTCCTCAAGCAAGCTACATTACCATACGAATTAGATATAGGGAAAAACCTAAACAAAACATTAAATTTACCTCAAAAGGAAATCTTGCATAAACAAACATTCAACGGAGTTAGAAGAGCTATTACGGACTATACTGGTTCAAGATCAAAAAAATTATCAAAATTCATCTTGGAAGCTACTAATTCATTTCAAAGAAGATCAACTAGGTCATCTGCAAATCTGGAATCATCCTCACAGAATGAGTTAGAATGGCAGCCAGATACGACTGGTACACCAGATTCATCAATATGCCATTACCTTTCACCAACGCCTTATTTATTGGAATTGGCGCCAATTTGTAGAAATTGGGCAAGGTTTCAAGTTTCTTTAGATAAGGCGGAGATAGACACCTACAATAAACACAAGGTAAGTGTTAAGAAATTTTTGGAATGGAGACAGTTCCAAGGTAATCACAATGATGTAACAAATACATTCAACTAATCTATAGAGAATAAAAATAAATGATATATGCATTGTAGAGTCTTTCCATCTTCTTCATATTACTTCCACCCCAAGCCTTAAATGAGTCTCGTCCTGGATTTTAACATTCCACCACCAAAACTACGCGTAGCCTTATGTTTGAAATCGATATTTTGCAACCTTCTCCAAGCTTCTTCTATATGATATGGTAATAAAGGCTTAGCAAGTTCATCTGGTTTATCGAAGAGATACTTCCTCTTTCTTTTAGCTAATTCTTTATTCAAACTCCCAGATTTCAGTAACAGTTTTTGTATGAGTTTCTCTTCGGCATTTCTAATATTGATGCTTTCTTCGGTCAACGAGCAGACAATCTCAAATGTCAAGAAGCCTAATATATCAATGACATCATCATGTGGTCTAGAATCACATAATTGTGGAATCAGAGCCCATTCACGGAATCTCTTTGCCTTTCTGAATGTGAATGATGCTTGTCTACATTCAGACCAATGGACATATTCCTCCTTTGTCATATTACGAGTTCTATCATCGGCCATTTTCAAACGCTTTAAAGAAGCAACCGTTGCTTCTCTTTCATCATCATCGATTTGTTCTGCTTCTTCAGCCGTTTCAAGATGAAGTTCTGAAAACATAAATTGTAATTCCCAAGGAAGTCGTATTTTCAGCTTCTTGTAACGTGAGAGCATTTTTGAAGAGTCATTGACTTGACTGGCAGGTGCAGCAGACCCACCACCAGAAGGTGCACCAGCTCCGTCACCTTCTATTAATGCTTCTGTTCCTCCACCTTCTTGATCTTTTGCATTCTTTCTTACATCTTTCCAAGATAAATATGACCTTAATCTATTTACTTTGGCCTTATCATTACGAATTAAAAAGATCACATCTTCTGGTGCTATAGATTTCGTTCCTCTCAAGGTAGCAGTCTTGCTGGATTCGACTAATATTTCTATAACTTGTCCTCGTACTATATCTTCCACTAATGATGTAGTTTCTACTGGAGGATCATTGGTCTCCCCCAGTACAAACATCATCTGTTGAATTTCAACACGATACTTATATTTACTATCAGCCATATCGTTTCAATTGGGAAGATTCGAAAATTTTCACAATTAAAAGTTGATTTAATTCCTTACCCCAACCTTTCTAGTGTATCAATTAATCTTCACAAATGTCTCTCTTGTTAAACCCTCACAAATATAATATGCATAACAATATTCCAATATCCGGGTAAATTTATTTTTTTCAAACTATATAAACAACTCAAATTCCTCATATGTTGTTCATTTTTTTTCATCTCATCAGTGCGAATCTTTTTTATAGATTATATTACTCTCTATCTAATCATACTAGGGTGGCTCATAAGGGCTACAGTCTTAGTTGAGACTGAACTTTTATGAGTCTGCACATATATATCTTCTTTTATGAACTTTGAAGCGGGTTTTTAATGATGACTCTGAGTGCATTTGGCTCGAGACTTTTTGTCGGTGTGGAAAAAACCAAGCTACCTTATTTTTTTTTGTCTGATAATTATCCAATTCAAAGTTTTGAAAGTTTGATATATTAAACTAGTATGATTTTTATAGATTAATATATTTTATAATTCAGAAATCCATGACCTGTAGAAGATGAATGTAATTGTTTTTAAAGTTAAAGCTTAGCTTTGTATTGATAGAAATTTCTTTTAATACTGATTCTCTGTTAAATTTTAACTTATTCTTACATTTTGATTATTCTGTAATTTAAATGTATTTATATGCGGTTAGATTATAAAACGATAAGTAATACCAACAAGACACAAAGTGCCACAACTAGTAACACTATACAACAATCACTTGCTCGTTCCTTATTCTTCTCAATGACGTATGCTACTCGTTTCAATCCTCTTTGTAATTTACCTCCAACTACATCCATCTCTTGATCTAAATCATCCAACATAAACCCTTGTTCTTCTAATTCTTCTCCCATCATCATGGCTTGTTGGTTTAAATTATGCATAGTTTGATGAATTGAATCTAATTGTAAATCTTGATTTTGGGTCATTTCTTGTTGTTGAAACTGTTGAAATTCATCGTTTACTCTATTGGTATCTGAAAATGGATTTTCATTATGTGAAGTATCTTGTGAAATTCGATTTGACATAGTGGTGACTTGTCTTTGCCTTCTTGGATTGTTACAAATATCTCTCCAATTCGTTACCACCTTGTCAAGTTCATTTTTCAACTGTGCCACTATTCGTCTTCGTTCTGATATATCCGAGCTACTAAGGTTAAATTGTTCAGGATTAGATTCTGAAATGCTGATTGCTTGTTCTAAATCTTGTAATATTTCTTGTAATTCCAGATATGTATTATCAAAATCAATCTTTGAGTTTTCAGTTATATGATTCCCAGAAAATCCTTTAAGGATATCTAATTGCAGTATAGCATCCTTTAGAACTTCATCAAATGGATCCATTTTTACGAGGGCGTTGTGTATCGTTATTCTAAATGTACCCACATACACTTCCTCTTTAATTAAAAGTAATTGCTTGTTGTTATGTCATGTATATAAGTTTGTTGGTTTGTGTACAGTAAACTAAACCCATGAGAAAAAGTCAAGACAAGTAAATACAAATCTTATCTATCATACATATTATCCATTATGGAGGCAAACGATTTGAAAAGAAGTAGTTCAGTAGAAGTGCCTGAGGTCAAAAGAACTAAGGGTTCTTCTACACCCCCTATTCACGAAATGGTTGGTGGTTCATCAGTTAGGCAATATTTAAATCAACATCTCACTCAACACTTACTTGCAGGATTGAAAGAAATTGGCAATACCAAACCAGAAGATCCATTGAGATGGTTAGGAGAATACTTAATAAAGAAATCTGACGAGGAGAAATCAACCAAAACTGAAGACTTAAAGGAAGAAGAAGAAGAAGAAGAAGTAAAATCAACTGAAATATAATAACTATTTCATTCAACCTCAGATTAGACCATACAAAGAAAAGCGTATGTCAGTGAGTATCCATAGACGATCTCATAATATATAGAGAAAAAGACTGAGGCAAGTCGGGACTTGGACAGCTCTTTTACAAAAGTTACCATAAAATGATCTCTCTTATACAATTAATATATATCAGTAAGATAGGTGGTTGCATTAGCTTGCTGTAGTGTAGGTGTATGGATGTACGAACTACTCAGGTTAAGATTCTTTTTCTTTTTTTTTTTATATATACATATTTATTTTTTCCCTGTGTTTCTTTGTGCATGATCTTTTGAATATCAAGTGATATACTTTGTATACATTTGCCATTGAGCTTGCTATATTTCAAAAAAAAAAAAAGCACCAGACTTCATAACAAATGTCAAATACTTTACGACCATATTACGATCGTGATACGTTTGATGCCGGGTACTCGGTTTTCTTCAAACCTGGTGTTGGTTTGATAGATACTGATACAAATAAGCCAATAACTGCTTCCTTAGCGTCTTCTTTAGCGAAACAAACAGCAAAGAGATCTTTTAAAGCTGTCAATGGGATAGGGATATCAGGGTTTAATGGAGCAAATGCTTCCAATGCCTCAGATAAAAACTATGTATATGATCTTGAACTAAATGAATACTTTGATTTCAATAATGTTACTGAACTTTTAAAGAATTTGGTTTGGAGTTTTGTCAAAAATTATTGTAAAGTTTTACTTTCTCAACCACTTGAAATTGTTCGTTTGGTTTTACAAGTTGGATATTTCCCAGAACTTGATAATGTTAAACAATCTAAAAAACGTGGGAAGGTATATTCTCGCTTACTTGATGAATCAACTGTAATTGATACAGATGGAGAACCAGTAGAATATGAATTGGATGAAGAAGAGATTGGTGAGGATGATGATGAAGATGAAGTGATCAATTATTTTGAGACTCCAGGAGAGTCTTTGATAAGACCCACTTCAACTACAAGCGCTAGTAAGAGAGTGTCTACTGTTAAGCAACTGAGATCTATTAAGAAGAATCGTAGAAAGATCCATCCAATTTCTAAACATACCGTTGATATCATGTCATCTCTCGTTGCCAAAGATGGACCATTTGCTCTTTTCCGTGGTATTAATGCCGCTTTTATACATCAGACTTTGTCCCATACAATTGAAGCATGGATCACGGGATTTATATCACCATTTTTGGGAATACCAGATCCCTTTTTCTTGGAATTAACTCGTCTGACTGATCCTTGGAAATCTCTTTGGTTATCAGTACTGGCATGTGTCTTAACTGGATTGATCTTAATGCCATTGGATTTGATTAAAATTAGATTGATGATCACTCAATTTAATAAAGGTCCAAGTACAAGTAGTATTACTTCCAGTACCGCTACTAGTGATGATGAAGATACTTCAATAAGTCCTACTACTGATTCTTCTAATTATCTGGGGATTAATACTAGATCAATTCGTGATTCTATTCGTAATTATCCATTATCAGTACTTTTACGTCCACCTCCAACAATTACCATGTTGACTATCTTGTATCAATTTTCAACTACAATTTTCCGTAAAACTGCACCATACATTCTTTATATTAAGTTTAATGTTGATTCATATCTGTCACCAAAACTTTACACTATGGTTAATTTATTACTGTTGATTATGGAATTCTTTGTCAAACTTCCATTGGAAAATCTTTTACGTAAGGAACAAGTTAGATTCCTTGTGAAGGATAAGGGAGTATTTGAAGATGAACAAAAAGTTGTCACTATTGAAGATCCAGATAAAGATTTAATTGTAGAATTTAATGATGGATGGAAGGATGATGAAGATCCTGATTCGGTCAGTTTGATTGAAAGAGTTAAAAGACTTGGACTTTTCAATGGATGGAGAGTTGGTGTTTTAAACGTTGTTGGATTCTGGGGTTATAACATGATCAAAAATAATGGGATTGATTTAACTGAAGAAAGACTTTAAATGTATGTATGAATAGAGCAATAGATGATGAGTGAATGTTATTTACAAATGTAGTAACTGAGAGTGAAAAAGAAGAGAGGAAAAGAAAAGTGAATAATAAAAGGGAAGCAAAGGGGTAGTTCTAGTCACTGGTAAAGTTTATCAAGTTTCATTATACGATATTTGTAGGGGAATATATGATTGATTGCCTCTAATTTTGCTGCAAAATGTTTTTAATTTCGCAGTTTACGCCTTTGTGTAAATTTTGGGTTATCAATTTCAATAAAGTGTGTGGATTATGTTGATTTGAGATTTAATAAGGAATTCAAAAACTTGTCATATAAAGTAAACTTAACCCCATAATATATCATAAGAATGGCTTCGGCGGTACCATTTAATCCAGATGATTTTGAGAATAACAATCCCTTTGCGGAACCTGTGAATTTTGCTTCTGAGTCAATTGTTGGTGGCAATTCTTTATTCAACAATGAACCTGAGGCACCAGAAGCTGATGAAGAACAAGAACAACAAGAAGAAAATGTTACAGACGATGTAGAGACATATACATCCCATCAAGATGTGACACAACGACATGAGAACGAAAATATCAATGAAATTGAACCAGAGTCTGGTGCCATTTCATCACAATTGGATGAAAAAGTATTAAGAAAATTGATTCCAGAAAGATTTACTAAAAAGTTTCTGATAAAGATAACTTTGAAAAGTCTTGAGAGTAATAAAGCGGGGAACCCTATTCTTAACTTTGATGTTACTGTGACTGGATTACAGAGATTTAGACAAACTGTTTATAAAGAGGTTCGTAGAACTTACAATGAAGTTCAAAAATTTAACAAGTACCTCATGGTTTCAAATTTAGAAGTTTGTGTGCCAGTAATTCCTCTGGCTATTACATCATTTCCCACTGGAGGTACAGATGAAGTTAAACAACTTTTGTACGTTTGGCAAGAATGGTTTGATAGAATCACTAGTAATCCTATTTTAATTTTAGATGAAGAATTTGTGTTTTTCATTGAAAATGATTTTGGATATTCAGTGATTAATAGTAATCGTAAGACTGCAATTGCTAGTGGACTTGTTAGAAAGACTTTGAAACAATTACAAGTACCTTACGATCCATATGAAGAATTGGCAGAATTTAGACCATTGATTAAATCTGCTTATTTGACTTGTCAAAAACTTCATAAAGTATTGGATAAAAAGAGTAAAACTGATAAACAATTATCAATATATATAAGTGAATTAGCACAAAAGCTTAATCAATTATCTGAATTTGAAATGATTCATCCCGGTATGAAGAATATGTGGGAAAAACTTGCAAAAATCACATCAATTCAATCAGATTTAATATTAATTGAACTGGTTAATGAAATGGGGAACCTTGGAGATGGAATCCAAGCATTTATTGATGATTTTTATCAAATTAAGGAGGCATTAACTAATCGTCATTTAGTTATGAGAGAGTATGCAACTGCTGAAAAGGATACAAAGGCTAAGCATGTGCAGGCCACAAAGATTAAAAATAAATCTTCTTTGGATCCTTTAAAGGTTGATGAAGCAATTAGATCACTTGAATATGCAACCAAGACTGAAGAATCATTAAACTTGCAATTAAAACGTATTTCTGGAGAAATGCTTTTTGAAAAAAAGGAAATTATAAATCATACAGAAAAGAAACTTTGTAGAATGCTTCAAGGTTTTACATTACATAAGGTGGATCATCATCGTAAAATCTTGAAACATTTAGAGAATATTCGTTTAGATATTCGAATTGTTGATGAAAAGGGAGGTTTATCAAGATTAAATCGAGAAAATTTATCAAATCTTAAACATAATTTGACTCAATCACAAGCTGCTAATGGAGATTCATGGTCTCATAGAACCTTTAGATCATTGAATGCAAAGACTAATGATCCAGATCATGAAGAATATGAAGTTGAAAATGCAAATCCTGTTGATGCTAAACATGCTGCTAGTTTATTAGGAGTAGCTACATTTTAATATATTCTGTCTAGCATTTTTGACATTGCTAAATATGTTTTTTAACCATATGTATTAATATATTTCATGTATTTTCATTATATACTTAGTTAACCAAGAATCTCTTTTCAGCTTCCTTCCAGTTGATAACATTCCAGATAGCCTTAAAGTAATCAACCTTAACATTTTGGTATTGCAAGTAGTAAGCATGTTCCCAAGCATCAATGGCAACCAATGGGACCAATGGACCGGTGACAGTGTCTTGGTTGTAAGTGGTAACAATGTCCAACTTGTCACCGTTTTCCTTGTTCTTAACAATAAAAGCCCAACCTGAACCTTGAATACCAGCCAATTTAGCATTGGTTAAAGCCTTCAAGTTGTCAAGAGAACCATATTGTTCAGCAATCTTCTTGGCAAATTCAGAATCAGCTGCAGGAGGTTCACCACTACCTTGCTTTTCTGGGGCCAAGTTCTTCCAAAAGAGACAATGGTTAGTGTAACCACCACCGTGGAACTTGATGTTTTGTTGGAGTTCAATGGTCTTCTTAACTTCACCCTTAGCCTTGGCTTCGGCCAATTGTTCAATGGCAGTGTTGTAACCATTAACATAAGTTTGGTGGTGCTTGGTGTAATGTAATTCATTAATTTGACCAGAAATGTGTGGCTCAAGAGCAGCAAAATCCCAGTCAAGATCTGGAAGAGAAACCTTGGTTCTGACAGCGGTAACAAATCCGGAAGCGGATCTACGGGAAGCGATTCTAGCAGCGGTGGAAAGCATTATTATATCAATTGATCAATTTTAGAATAAAGAAACAGAAAATTAGTAGATTAAGATCTCTTATTAATCATTAAGGGAGTGTAGGTATTTTAATATAGAGCAATAGTAATTCCTAATTGGATAGCGCACGCATTTCCATTTGTAATAAACGGTGTTTGTCGGATACGACAAGCTTAACAATAATTTTTAAATAATTAGCAGGTTTTTGACCTCAAGACATTGACACATGAATCTATAAGTCTGTGAAACTACTAAGCGTCGACCCTTTGATATAACAGAGTTTATAGCGTATATTGCAACCAAATTCATCTTATTCATATAGCGAGTGTAAATGATTGGTTGGTCTAAAAGTGTGCACATACAATCCTAATACACAAAACACACGCTAAATGAGTAATCGATTGGATGGCTCAAAATCAATCATATCATCACTCTGATTGGCTCGTCGAACTTTAACTCATTCATTCAAATATTTTATATATCTAAAGAGAAGAAAACATAGTGCCTGATTTTTTTTTTTACATATGCAATTCATTTCAAGCATTTATTAAAGTCGTCAAATCCCTAAAGTAAGAATTAAAAGAAGGCAATAAAAAAAAAAAAGAAATTAAAATAAAATAAAAAAAAAAAAATTTAGCCTCAGAATAAGAGAAGAAACCTTCTAATGATCTGCACTAAATCCCACCTTAACGAGCTTTTTGATAAACATTTATCCGAGGCATAACCTCGGTGGTTTAATTATTTTTTTTTACTTGGCAAGGGTAGCGACAAGCGAGTGTCATTTACCACATTATCAGCTTAGTAGCTGTGTATATTTGCATCAAAGTATTTTGAAAACTGATGTAAGACTGAAAAAAAAAATAATAGTGTTAACATCGGGTTGAGTTGCTTTCGAGAAAAAAGCACTCTAAAATCAAGTAAATACAAATTTCCTATTAATTAACTTTTCTTTCCTATATCGCCGGTACCGGCCTGATCGTATTTCTTATTTTAACCCCACCCCAACCATTCTCGCTTGACTTCAACTTTCTATGCAAGTACCGGCAATAATTTCCGATGTCAACAATTGATAAGAGCCTGAAGCAACCATCTATAGGTCTAATCATTAACGTGATACGGCGAATTTAATGCATCTTGGCAATCCACCATAGCCATCGACGAGAATGAAGATATGTTTGATCTATATTTGGAACATGTATTGTGCCGGGCACAGTATTTGCAACCACTGCATAGAACTATCGATTTTTAGTGGAAGGAAGACGCACCATACCACCACAATTCGATCTTACGTGTAATGGCTAAACCGGAAAAACAAATTACATCAATTTCAATATGTACATTTTACTTTAGAACAAACATCTCAATGTACTTGAATCAAATTAAAAAGGGGTAAGGTATGTACGAAGTGCTATTATCCTCTTTTACACCGTAAATCATCAAAATTACACTTGTAACATCAGGTGATGACCTTTCCACCATTAAAGTTTAAATAAAATAATAAAATAATAAAATAATAATACGAGTAGTTAAAATAATTATGTATTTTGTAAAATTATGTACTGCTCGCTTGTAATTGCTTGTCAATCCTGCAGCCGTTACTCTAGTCGTGTATGATCAACGCCGCGACATACTTATTAGTAAAATTAACTTAATGCTGACACACAATGTAAGGGTCCATTCTTTTAATGTAAAACTTGTATAGAATGCACAATATTTATTCAGGAGCATTTATATATCAAACGAAATCTACTTCCTTGAGGATAAATTCAAACCCTAAATTAACAACGTCATTCTTTACAACGACACAAACTAATTCTATCAGCCCATCCGAACGGTAATTAAGGTCTATACTTGCATACAACTCATATCGGTTGTACAAAAATAAAATTAAAAGTTTTTTTAGTCAAACAGATTCAAAGAACGTGAGATTAGACCAAACTTGGTATAGTTTTTCCATTTGATCTCCCACCTTAATTAAATTGTTTTATTCTTTTTTTTTTTTTTTTTTAGCATTATATTTTATTTGGGGGGTCCTTCTAGGAATAGAGTACAGCCCTGAACATATAGATTAATCAGAGAAAAACAAAAAAACAAGAATAGAACAGGGAATTAGAGAACTGGACAACTAGTAGTGGGATTGATTGGAAATAGAAAAGAGCTAGACATTAAGTATGTCATCTCAGAAACCCAAGAAGAATAGCAGGGTAAAGCAAGCTTGTGATTTCTGTAGATCGAGAAAGGCAAAATGTGATGGGAAAGAACCAGTGTGTTCTGCTTGTGTGAGTAACCCTGGCGGTTGTACCTACACAAATTCACATAAGAGAAGAGGATTACCGAGTGGTTATACCCATGATCTTGAACGTAAGGTACTTGTATTTCAAGCTGTATTTGCTGATATTCTTTGTGATGGAAATGAGATTGCTAAATTTCTCAAGGGTAAGCTCGAGAATTGCTTGTTACCTAATTCAAAAGATAACATTATAACAAGGTTTGGAATGCTACAAACTAAGTGGGACCAAACAGAATCTTCAAAATTAGTTGATATGTTTGTGATTCAGAACAGTAGTGTCATTCAAACTGCAAAGAAATCAACCAAGGGCTTAACTCCACATGAAGCGTTGGAGGGCTATAAATCTTCCCTAGAGGCGATCACCCCACCAAAACACGTTGAGCATCCACAGCGACCCTTAAAACAGGAAAATACCACCCACGTGGATATACCGACAAATGGTGGTGCTAATATTCCAATGAATAATTCAATGATACCTATGTCAAATTCACAACTTGTTACAAATACCCCTGGTACCTTGTCTAGCACCACCAATGTTGCCCCTGGTACCTCCACCAATAAATCAACTGGAATTGTATCTACATCTGGAAATGTATCTGCGACTTCCCAGGCATTTAATTCCCTCTTGAGTAACCCACTCTTCAATGTCAGTAATGGATCACTTGTGCAAGATTACAACTTGTTAAATGACCCTTCATTTTTCTTGAAAGATGACATCTTCCAATTTATCACTGATGAATTGGACACTGCCAAGGATAATTGGGAACCTATTGCATTACAATACCATGGAGTATCGTCGCTTATACTGGGATTCACCTCAAGATCTATCCAACAATACAACAACACTCTTACTTTTTCTTCTAAAAAGCCATTCAGAGTTGGATCAATCTTCAATATCTCATCATCAGCCATTACAGCAGCTATAGAAAATACCATCAAATTACCCTTGGAGATTTTTGAGTTCCCTGAAGATATTAAAACTCTTGTTGATCGTTATTTTGTCATTTACCATCCCTGGTTCCCCATGCTTAATCGACTTTCAATCATGAGACAAGTTCAACATTTACAATCCCTTCGAATGAATTCATCATCTTCACCCACTTTCCAGGCATCAGATTGTAATCTTATTGCCTTAGTGTGGGCAATTATGGCGTTGGGTAAAATGGGGTCTTCACCTCAAGATACTTCAAGTACTGTTTGTGCTTCTTTTGCTAAAAATTGTATTAAAGCTTTGGAAAACTCACCCACTTCCACTATTGAAACTATTCAAACCATGGTTATTCTTGGATTATTTTATTATCAATCTGGTGATTGGGATTATTCTTGGGTCCTTATATCATCTGGTACTAGAATGGCCATCGATGTACGACTTATGTCTCGAGCAGTAAGTGATGAACAATTAAATAACCCCACATCTTCTCAAAAATTCGATCTGGCTTCATTGAATAATATCAATCGTGAAAGGACCTGGTCTTGTATTTATATGCTAAATACTTTACTTTCTTCTAGAATGGGTCGTTCACCCTTGGTGAGAGCGATGGATTGGCCAATTCCTAAAGTTAGTGAAGATGGTTGGGAAGAATGGGAAGCATGGAATTCATATCATTCACCAAATGTTTTAAAGTTGGATTGTGGTAGATGTTTACTGACATTTAATCAACTTATTAAAGTCGTTTCCATTTGGAATCTTGCCCTTACAAGTACCATAGATATGTCGGAACATACATTGGTTGATGATCAAGATGAAACTGAGATTTATAAGATTCCTAGACCAGAAAGTAAGGCAAGAAAACTTGGTCATAATACTCATACCTTGGCTTATTTCCAGAAAAGATTGTCCGATTGGCTTAAAGATTTACCTGATTATTGTTTACTTGAACATTATCTGGATATGAGTAAAGTTCCTCCATTTGTGGCATTTTTACATCTTGCCTATGCCACTACTTGGTGTATACTTGCTGTACGGTTGAGTGAACTTAGAAAGAGTCTTTCCAACTCTGTTAAAGAACAGGTTATTGAAATCAGAGACCAACAATATTCTATGGCTATATTATTAATAAAGCGAATCATTACCAAGGCTTCTTTCAATAATCTTAAAGATTATCCATTTATGGATTACTTTTTAATCTTGGGATTTTCATTTCCTAAAATGATGAAATTCGAAGGCGTTGATACAACCACTCATATTCGAGATTTCAAAAAGCTTCTCACACATGGATCCACATTGACTGTTCCATGTATGATAGCCTTGAATGTGTACAATATAATGATTGATGATGACTCAGGGGTAGTCACATCCACCTCGAATAAAAAAAGACGTTTAGAAATAGACTTTAAAGAATCTGAATTGAAAAATCAGAAACTTTCAAGAACATACAAAAGAACAAATCCTCAAAGTACAGCTGGCTTTTCCCAATCCAGTTCTATATCTTCTCCTATGAGTATAACATATGGTGGATCTGCCAATTCTTCTTCGGTCAACACTCCTTTCAACTTACTTCTGAAAGGTGGATCCCCAATGCATACTTTTGAATATCGACGCAATTTGGACACTTTTATGATTGATCTTAACCCCAAATGTCTCCCGCGTAGACAACAACAATTCCAACAAAACTTGGGTTATTTGTTTTCCAATGAGGTAAAAATTGAAAATCAAGACTCCTTTGATATTCCCCAATCTCATATGGGGGGCGGTGAAATATTGGCCCAAAACCTTGTTATTCCTTCTCGAATGCAACCAATACCTCAAGTGTTCCCGAAAAATAATGCTTATGTTACAAAGGCTATGACAGGACAACACAACCAATTTCAACATCAATAAATGATGCTACATAATATTCAATTGTGTGTGTAATCATATATATATTTATTTATATATAAAAGAATTTAACGTTTTCAATGACACTCCAAATTTTAAAATTGTAATTTTTCTAACCAAAGAGACCATCCTCCATGGAATTGGGGACTGGTTTATCACCATATACTCCTAACCAACTTACTGGTCGTATCCAATTCATTGTAGAGGATACGTCTAAAGTTTGAGAAAGTTCATTCGCTAACAATTCAGCATCATTGAAGTTATCACCTTCGTATACGTGTGAGACTAATGCTTGAATATCTACCGTGGAGGCACTTGAATTTAATGCGTTAATTAGTTCCAAAACATACTTTGAATATTGGTACGGAGATGTGAGTGGGAGTTGGGTTTTTTGAGAAATCTTGAGAGTTTCTAAAGACTTGTTCAACAAATCCTCATTGGTATAAAGTTCAATCGTCTTAGCATCCAGCTGCTCAAGAAGACCTGCATCTGCAGAGTCGAGTATAATCACCTTATTGAATGATACGTCAGAGATCAACTTCAAGATCACTTCTGAAACAAATTGTTTGGTGAAACTCCCTATGATTGGAGATCTTTGTTGTATAACCGTGATATTGTTCTTAGTACTATAATAAATTTCAGCAGCATTAGAAATTCCATTTGCAGATTTGGTAGGCAGCACATCGACAGGTGATGAGAATGGATGAAGATAAATATCATCCAAGACTCCAACACTTACAAAATCCCTAGTGTGGAGCAACAAGTCAACTGTTAGTTGAGGAATATTCCCAAGGGATATAGCAGGGATGATAAGAGTCGAGTCTTTCAACTTTTCCAAGGACCAGCCAGTATTGAAGTGGGCCATTGTAATTTTTGAGTATGTGTGTGGTAGGTACAAAGATATAGTTTCGTACAAATGATTAAAACTACATGACGGCAAAAAGTTCAAATGGAAATCTGAAATAAAAAATGCGAGCCAAAAAAAATTAAAGTACAAAAAAATGAATGGCCGCAAATTTAAGTGGTGATTGCAACCAACCAAGAAGTCGTTTTAGTAAATAGATTAAATAAATTAGCTATTCTAATATTATATATTGTGTAGGGTTACCAACCAGTGTAGCCCATGTTGAGGATATTTCCAATGCTATTTGCGTTTGGTGTAGTGTGTGAATTATGACTATTTGGTGATGTTAAACCAACTCCATGACTTGGAGCATTACTTAGTTTGAATTCGTTTAAGTTAGAAGAATTTGTTGTTTGTGAGTTCCGGCCATTAGAAACTGGGGTCATAAGAAGGTGAGATGGGTTCAAGGTTGTGTTTGTAGTGGTGATATTATTTATTGGTGGAACAAGCGACGAGTTCAAATTGTAGCTGTTAACATTATTGTTACCACCACCATTGGTACTGAATACATTCCCAATTGTATTATTAGAAGAATTATTCCCATTCAGTGAAGATCCACCAAAATTGGAAATATTAAGCAAGGTGGGTGATAATGATAGTTGATTTTGAATGGAAGTGAAAGAGGGAAGCTGTTGACTTTGATTCTGGGAAATTGTAGGTATCCCGACATATGAATTATTTGCATTCATTTGTAAATTAATCCCTGGGAGATGAGTCAAGTTTTCAATAGAATTCCCATGACCAGAGCTAGTATATTCAGGCTCACTATCATTTAATAATGGAGAAAGAGGGATAAGATTTGCACTTGGATTAGGGGTACTATTTGATTGCGGCTGGGACATCCAAATTTTGGATTCTTGTTGATCTAATGATCCCTTGTAATCAGCAAGAACTTGGTTTATTAATGATCTAACCATACCACTTTTCTCAGATTCGCTAAACTCCTTATTTTGCATTATATTTAGCGTGACATATTTATTAAGTTTCTTGCGAATATCAAGAACAACTTCTTCGCTTGATGGTCTGTAAGTGTGCAGTGGGGTAATTAGTGGCTTATTCCCATTCAATTTTGAGTATTTTCCAATAATATTCTTATGTTTTCTTTGTATTGGATGATCTGTTGGTTCAACTGGTACATTTTGTTCTTCTTGTTCAACCAGTGGGCCCCGTTCAACTCGCTCAACTTGTTCAACTTGTTCAACTTGTTCAACTTGTTCAACTTGTTCAATTTGTTCCACTTGCTGTTTGAGAGTATTGCGTCGCTCCAGTTGTTTATGTAACATTTGTTCCACATTCATCCGTTGTAATACTTGTTGTACATCATCACGTACAATAGACTTATCTCTATAATCTTCATGTATAGACGTCAAACTACTAGGAGATAAACCAGTGGGTATTAATTGGAACCCATTGGGGGAGCCTTTCACAGAGGAAGTAGTAGAATTATTTTCAAATACCTCATGATTATGTGTATCATTAATTACCACCAAAGACCATGTACCACTACGGACAGATCGATTTGCTCTGACTCTGAATGGACATGAAAGTTGTCGTCTTTTTTGTTTCAGGTCATCTACCTCAATTTTGCTTGTTTTGTTTCTACATCGAAATATAATCTTACCAGAATCTGATCTTTCTATCACAATCTTGATTCCTTTTCTCTCAAGAGCCCCCAGCAACCAAGGCTTTATATCATCTTTAATAGTGAATCTTTTTTTCTCAAGATCAAATTCTTGAAGGGAATATTCATACATTGACATCGAATCATATGGATTACCGGGTGAGTTTATGTATTCCGACTTGTTGTCCTGCAATAAGTCTTTGATTTTATCAATACCTATATAAATAAATGTTATACATCATTCATATATCAGTTCGCGGAGTACCAAGAGGGTTGTGCTAAAAAAAAAAAGAAAGAGGTCCCATATATAATTCTCCCTTACCAAAGGCTTCCCTTTTGTTTTCATTATATCTTGGTACTCGGAATAGGGGGGTAAACGAAGAATGTATCGGAATAATCTATCCTCGTATGCACAAGATTCCAGAAGATCATCAAAGGTCTTTAATGACACACCAGCATACCAACAAAGACTAACTTCACAATTGGATAGAATTGCTCAATTGAAAATAGAATTAGTACCATATCTAAACTCCAATGAAAAGCAAAGGGCTGTATCGGGGGCTTTGAAGACTATCAAACTGCTTGTTGAACAACTTTTAGAACATGGAGAAGTATCAAATCGTACTGTTCAGGCAATTGATGAATATATCTGTGCCTTATCTAATTTGAATCAAATTACTCCACTCAAACAATCTCATAAACGAACTTCATCATTTCAAATGCCTGAATATGGGATATTTCAAGATCGAATTTCTAATCTTTCACCGTCAGTGTCAACAAAATCAATGTATGAAGTACATCCAACGTCGCAAGATGATGAGGATGATGATGATGATAGTGAATTTGAAGATGAAGAGAAACTGCATTTACATCTACCTGTGGACCAACCACAATTGAAACAATTGGCTATTGGTCAAAGTAGGACATCCTTACCGTTCAATAGAACATCTCCAGGACTCCCATATATAAACACTCCTACAAGGCTCCCTTATCACCAACACCTACTCAATCAACAAACACCAGAATTCCCAGAGTTTAAACGCAATGTCAGCCGGTTTGACACTGCCAGATCTGGGAAACAGCTTAGTATCCGCCCATCTATGCGACCAATATAGTTATACTATAAAATTATTTAGACTTTTATATATTTTCTTACATTAATAATCAAAGAAACGTTTTTTACAGTTTATTGTTGTATATACAAGATTTATACTAGTTTATGATACCTATTCCAAAGTAACCTTGGCACCCAAACCTTCCAAAGTGGCCTTAATCTTTTCGGCATCTTCCTTGGCAACGTTGTCCTTCAAAACCTTTGGCGCAGCCTCAACAAACTTCTTGGATTCGACCAAGGAAAGACCTAACAAACCCTTAACTTCCTTAATGATCTTTGGCTTAGACTTGGCATCAAAAGATTCCAACTTGATAGCGAAAATGGTCTTTTCTTCCACTTCTTCCTTAATTTCTTCTTCTACAGGAGCTGCTGGGGCGGCAGCTTGGCCGGCACCAGCGGCTGGGAATGCGATATCAGGAATGTTCAATCTGTCCTTTAATTCGGCAACAAGAGCAGAAGTTTCCAATAAAGTCAAGGTAGAAATTTGGTCTACAATGGCGGAGATTTTGGCGTCAACTGGGGCCTTTTCAGCTACAGCAGCAGTGGAGTTGAAACGGATGCCAACTGGGGCCACGACTCTCTGGGAAACGAGTCTCAAGGATCTTCTGGCAGATACACGCAATAAGGACATGGTAACGGTGTTTTATGTGTATGAAGGTATGACGTACTCTCCTCTATATCAACCTCTTGTATTTGTTGATTTGAAAATTTTGAGCTTTCCCAATTTTTTGTGTAGGGCACGTCCTACTACTATTTTTTTTTTCTTCTTCCCGCCATTTATTTTTTGTTTTACCATTATTATTATTTATCGATATAAATCCTGTGTATGAACTTTTGTGTTAGTATGGCAAAGCTGTAACACTGTTCGACAATTTAACTAAGTATCGATAAAGATACGCTTTTCAACAGGACATTTACATTAAATAAACACTGAAAGATGGCCTCGTTCAGATTTTGTGCCGAGTGCAACAATATGTTGTATCCTAAGGAGGATAAAGATAATGCTCGTCTTTTATATTCATGTCGTAATTGTGATTACACAGAATTGGCTGAAAATCCAAAAGTTTACCGTCATGAACTTATTTCAAACATTGGTGAAACTGCTGGTGTTGTCCAAGATATAGGGAATGATCCTACTTTACCTCGTTCCAATAAGGAATGTCCATCTTGTCATAATGCTGATTGTGTGTTTTTCCAATCTCAACAACGTAGAAAGGATACCTCGATGGTTTTATTTTATGTTTGTTTACATTGTAAAACAACATTTCAAGCGCTGTAAATATTTATTTAAAGCGTACGGGTTTCAACCCAACTCTGTACTATATATCATAAAGGAAAGTATAAATAAAAGAATAATGATGAAATAAAAACCATAACAATTTGAGAAATTCTTATGATAAAGTAGTTGTAATCTTGTAGTATTGGTGATGTAGAACTAGTTTAATGTTGTAGTAAAATCTAGCATATTATCTCGAGTACGTGTATTTATATGGTTAAAAACAATCTTTATAATTAAAAAAAACGTAAGTCCTTTCAATTAATTTGAAATTATGAAAAATTTAATTAAAAGTCCACAAAGAAATGTCCATATGGATCGTCTCCAATGGACCCATAATCTAATTGCTCCTCAGCGTAGTGATCAAACAATGACGAATCACCAACACCAGCAGTGATTGGGGGTTCATAAGGAGTCTCGATATCTTTAGCCAACAACTTCTCCCAGATAACTTCTTGAAACCAAGGATGATTTCTAATGTCAGCTGGTCCATTACTCAAGTTTCCTAATCTTCTAGTTAAATCGGCAGTTATAAGTCTTGACAATAAATCTTGAACGTCTGGTCCAAAAAAACTTGGGAAATGAATTTTTCCCGATAAAATCTTTTCATATGTTTTCATTGGAGTTGAATCATAAAATGGAGTATAACCTGCGAGCATTTCGAATATAAGTACCCCTAAAGACCACCAATCAACAGATTTATTATATGGCTTGGTGGTAATAACCTCGGGTGCAATATAATCAGGAGTACCACACAATGTCCATGTGACAGTACTAACTTCCTTTGCAAACCCAAAATCAGTGATTTTAATATGTCCATTACGATCAAGTAATATATTTTCAGGTTTTAAATCACGATAGATGATATCATGAGAGTGTAAATATTCTAATGCCAACGTAACCTCTGCAGCATAAAACTTTGCCACTGGATTAGGGAATCTTTGAGATTTTCTTAATAATGAGAAAAGTTCACCACCTTCAATATAATCCATAACCATGAAAAGGTTTCTTGAATCTTGGAAAGTTCCCCACATTCTAATAAGAAATGGATGTTCAACCAATTTCAACATTCTTCTTTCGTCATTTGTGTGTTCAATTTGTTTCATTTTAATCACTTGAGCCTTCTTCAACACTTTGATCGCATAGTATCTCCCATTGTGTACAGATCGAACAAGATGAACTCTTCCGAAGGATCCAGTACCAAGAGTACGCATGATATGGAAATCAGTAAGCGAATATTTACCCTTTGATACGGTTGAACGCTCAGGTAACAACGATCTTTGGATAGCATCATTTGTACGCTGTTGTTCGGCAGTCAATTGAGTAGGAACCTGTGGTACCACTCCTTGACTCATTTGCGCAGGAACATGTTGTTGTTGGTGCTGTTGTTGTTGTTGTTGTTGTTGTTGTTGTTGTTGTTGTTGTTGTTGTTGTTGTTGTTGTTGTTGTTGTTGTTGTTGTTGTTGTTGTTGTTGTTGTTGTTGTTGTTGTTGTTGTTGTTGTTGTTGTTGTTGTTGTTGTTGTTGTTGTTGTTGTTGTTGTTGTTGTTGTTGTTGTTGTTGTTGTTGTTGTTGTTGCTGTTGATCTTGTGATGGTAAGGTTTGGTGGCTCATTTGATACTCCATCTTTTCTTGCGAATTCAAATTGTCTACGCAAAGATCGGCTGGATGGCTATTTTCTGGTGTTGTTTGGGTGGAGCTATTGCTATGGTTCAGTTTCGTAATATGAAGCTTCTTGAGAAGATTGGAAGTCATCAATTGAAAACGCTACTAGCTAACATGTAGATACACGGCGTATGCAATATCCCAAATAAATAACTAACGGGGACACAGAAATGGTGGGCAATGAAAATTGGTCTGTCAATCGCCTACTCTAATATTATAGAAAGTTAAACGTCGCTTCTAATGGTTTCTATTGCAGTATTTTAATTCTAAACAATCTTTCAATTCTATCAAGTTGATTGTGAGAAATTGGTCAATTGAGTAAAATTTATGATCGATTGATGGTTATTCTATAGTTTGAAATGTAAATAATTATTATTCTGATTCAAACCTATTCCTTTATTTACTATTTTGTTCTTTTTCTTGCTTATACAACGTTTGTATACAATTGAATACCCTTTCTATTCTAATTACGTTTGCTCTATCTCAGGGTTAAGAAAGGGTCATTATGTGTTGTGCACGACCCCCCTCCGCAGTTATTTGGGAGAAATTAAATTATATAGTAATAAATGAATCGGAAAGAAAAAAAAAAAATTATTATCAAATGAAAAACGGTCGGCCAACATATTTGTATCCGAGGATATATAATATTTGAAACTGAAGATAGAAGTATACGTCTCACTAGTTTGATCTATAAGACTCTACCCCTAAAACTATATAGAATGTAATCGTTAGTACTTTCTATTATATTACCCATTTGTTTTTTTCTGACTTTTTACATTGTGTACTTATCTTATCATTATATTGTATTTCCACGCGGATCTTTGTGTTATTAACCACAGAAAAAGATATCAACACGTACTCCAAGTTTCAAATATTTATATTTATATTCATCGATATGTACATCTAAAGATTGATTAGAGTAATACCACGTAGAATCTTAAACTAAACAAGAATGTATTTAAGAAAAAGAAGAAAAAAAGAAAAAAAAAATCCTCCCTGACAAGGTGTAGTATCTCTCTCTAAGCTAATCCATTCATTGCCATATCAACGATTGCGTAGACGTTCAATACAGAGATGAAAATCCAGATAAGTACTGCAAAAATAGTTGTGATCCAATTGTTGCACATGTACTTATATTTTGTAGTTTCAGTTTGCATTTCCTTTGGCAACTCAATTTTCATAATTGATTTCTTACAAGTGAAATAAATCAATGGAGCAGTCAATGGAGGTAAAAGAATTGAAATGACCACTTGGGAAATGTTCAAAGCATCTGAAAGACCATTTCTACCAATACAGAGTGTGATGATAAGACATGGTACAATGGAAATAGCACGAGTGACTAAACGACGAATCCATGGTTTTAAAGTCCAGTTAATGTGTCCTTCGGAAACAATTTGACCGGCTATGGTACATACAATCCCAGCGGATTGACCACTGAATAAAAGTGCCAACATGAACACGGTACCAACAACAGGAGCCAATGTTGTGGATAATAAACTATGGATGGTGTATAAATCAGCATCGACAGCTTCTGGAGTATTGTTTAAAGTGGCACCTGCAACGATTAAAATGGCAGCATTGACGAAAAGGGCAACTGTGAATAAGGTAAGAGCAAGTTCAATAATTGAATATTTAAGTGAATAATTGATAGCATGATAAGATGGTTTATAATCATTGTAGAAATAGTTTGCCTCTCTTTCTCTTTGAAGTCTTTGGACCATCTTTTCCCGTACTGAATCGGTGATACTACTTGAGTCACTTTTTTCATTTTCTTGTACTTCGATTTGATCATCTTTTTCATCATTGACAATTTCATTTAATTTTACATATCCATTTTGAACATCAAATTCACGAAGTCTTGGTTGAACTAATCCTGACCCTAAGAACAAAGAATGGATCATGACAGTAGCACCAATGATGGAAATAGCAATAGTCATACCACTTCCATCAAACATTTCCTTTGAAGGGGCAAAGCCTCTGAAAATTTCACGAACAGTTTTAATTCCTTCAGTTGGAATATTTGCTAACTCTACTGCAAAGCAAACACATACTGCTAAAACTAAACTTGCAACAGCATATTCGAAAATTCGAACAAATTTAGCAGAAGATGAATCATTTCTATATGCCATTAAAACGAATAATACATCAACAATAGTGATCACAACACCAGCAGGAAGTGGAACTTTGATTAAGATGTTCAAAGCAATGGCAGAACCAATAACTTCAGCCACATCAGTGGCAATTATGGCACATTCAGCCAATACCCACAAAATGAGGTTTAACCATCTAGGAAGGTTTTCACGACAACATCTTGCAAGATCATAACCAGTGACAGAACCAAGTTTAATACATAAACTCTGAAGGAAAATAGCGATAATATTGGATATTAACACGAAAAATAAAAGGGTATATTTATTCAGAGCACCAGCAGTAACACCAGTTGCATAATTACCTGGATCCATATAAGCCACTGAAACCATTAACCCAGGTCCAATAAACGACGCGAATTTCCTAAGTACTTGTTTCGTTCTATCCAATCTACCTTTAGTTTCAGGGTATGGAACTGACATCGGCACAGATTCATCGTCAGAGGATGCAAATGATATTCTAGTCAGTGCAGGAGCAGGTGCTGATCTGTTCACATTTCTTGATCTAGCATGAGACCATTCTTCCGATTCATCCACAGGAGAAGCACCAGTTGTGTTATCAGTGGAAGGTGGTGGTTGCAAAGACGTTGATAAAGAAGTCGACATCTTATATGAATATCTAATGTTAACTCTTACTCCACTGTACTAGTTTTGATGTTCGCGTACTCCACTCCTATATATATATATATACATAAAAAAAAGATGGAACCAAATAATGAAAAAAAAAAAATGTGACAATAAATATTTTTAAAAACTCTTTTTTTTTTTTTTTATGCAATGAAACTTCGTAACTTACGCCTTTCATAATTGATGAAAGACATGTATAAAGTCTAAAATAGGGGAGAGGCGTGGATTTTGATGTAGTGGCTCATATAAATCTCTTGGCAAAGGCTTTTAGCATGCCGTTTATGCACAATCTGTAAAGCTAACATACACACAATTTATGACTTTGCATTGTTTCTGTGCTGAATATCAGGTGCAGCCTGCAGAAGACCTCACCCCATATCTATCATTGGCTAAAAATGGCTTAGGTATAGATGTGTTAAAAATATTTTATGTGAAAGAGATATTTTTTTGAGTGATTTGCATTCTAATATTATTATTATTCCAATTATGAATTGGGTAGAGTCAATATAAACCCCTATTTGATTAGTAGATGGTACTGGAATGAATCTAGAATGATTCATAGATCTAAATATGTACCCCGAAAGACAGATTCTATGAATGTCTCTATGGTTAATTTATGTTTGTTAATTATATTCTATTTACTTTCTTTTAATCTATTATCAAATGCTAATTATCTATTCCATCAACTCTTGTTATTTAACACTTCTACTTAATATTTCTTCTTGATTTCTCTATTCTATTTATATCTCTATTCCAGGTTCGATATCTATAATTCTCTCATTTCATTCTAAATCTCATCTAATTATATTCTACTTTCTATTTGCTTGAATCTAAATTATTCTTTATTCTCTAGTTCAATTTCTATTCATTATCTATTTATTTTCAATAAATTCATTAATGTTCTCACCATCAGCTTCAACAATTTTAATAACTTTTTCAGAAATGTCTTTAAAACTATCGAATTCAGTGTAAGGAATATTCTCTCTAATACAATATTTAATGAGATCTTTTCCATGTTTGGCAAATAAAAGATTAGTTTCCTTTGCAGCTGATAAATCTGAAACCCCATCACCACAATAGAATAAAATTGGATTACCTTTGTCTTCCAAACTAGTAGTATTAGTAGAATAGTTATGTTTAGCTAAATATTCTTTAATGGAATTGGACTTATCATGACCAAATGAACTTTCAGGATCTTTATAAACAATTTCCCATTTTTGAGTTTCTGGATCAATTTTAACTTCATTGGAAATAATTTCAATATTTTTAATTGCTTCATCTCCAACCAAATTTTTTAAAAGTTCGTAAATAATTGGTTTCATTCCAGATGAAACTACAATAATGGGGATACCTTGAGATTCACACCATTTATAGAATGTTAAAAATCCTGGATCTAATTGAATATGTTTCAATAAATATTCAATGCATTCAGGAAATGAAACTGGAATTGATTCTAACATTTCTCTGAATCCATCACGGAATGATATCTTTTCATTTAAAATGTCATCATTAATTTCTAATCGACGTGGTTTACCAAATCCAAGATTTTCAGTAAGATAATCGTTGGAATCTTGAAGGGTGACAGTACCATCCCAATCAGTGAAGACAATTGCTTTTGGAGACATATTCAAGAAGAAAGTAAATGCAAGATATAAAAGTAGAGCAATAGAAAAAGAAGTAACAACGATCTTTGGATAGCATCATTTGTACGCTGTTGTTCGGCAGTCAATTGAGTAGGAACCTGTGGTACCACTCCTTGACTCATTTGCGCAGGAACATGTTGTTGTTGGTGCTGTTGTTGTTGTTGTTGTTGTTGTTGTTGTTGTTGTTGTTGTTGTTGTTGTTGTTGTTGTTGTTGTTGTTGTTGTTGTTGTTGTTGTTGTTGTTGTTGTTGTTGTTGTTGTTGTTGTTGTTGTTGTTGTTGTTGTTGTTGTTGTTGTTGTTGTTGTTGTTGTTGTTGCTGTTGATCTTGTGATGGTAAGGTTTGGTGGCTCATTTGATACTCCATCTTTTCTTGCGAATTCAAATTGTCTACGCAAAGATCGGCTGGATGGCTATTTTCTGGTGTTGTTTGGGTGGAGCTATTGCTATGGTTCAGTTTCGTAATATGAAGCTTCTTGAGAAGATTGGAAGTCATCAATTGAAAACGCTACTAGCTAACATGTAGATACACGGCGTATGCAATATCCCAAATAAATAACTAACGGGGACACAGAAATGGTGGGCAATGAAAATTGGTCTGTCAATCGCCTACTCTAATATTATAGAAAGTTAAACGTCGCTTCTAATGGTTTCTATTGCAGTATTTTAATTCTAAACAATCTTTCAATTCTATCAAGTTGATTGTGAGAAATTGGTCAATTGAGTAAAATTTATGATCGATTGATGGTTATTCTATAGTTTGAAATGTAAATAATTATTATTCTGATTCAAACCTATTCCTTTATTTACTATTTTGTTCTTTTTCTTGCTTATACAACGTTTGTATACAATTGAATACCCTTTCTATTCTAATTACGTTTGCTCTATCTCAGGGTTAAGAAAGGGTCATTATGTGTTGTGCACGACCCCCCTCCGCAGTTATTTGGGAGAAATTAAATTATATAGTAATAAATGAATCGGAAAGAAAAAAAAAAAAATTATTATCAAATGAAAAACGGTCGGCCAACATATTTGTATCCGAGGATATATAATATTTGAAACTGAAGATAGAAGTATACGTCTCACTAGTTTGATCTATAAGACTCTACCCCTAAAACTATATAGAATGTAATCGTTAGTACTTTCTATTATATTACCCATTTGTTTTTTTCTGACTTTTTACATTGTGTACTTATCTTATCATTATATTGTATTTCCACGCGGATCTTTGTGTTATTAACCACAGAAAAAGATATCAACACGTACTCCAAGTTTCAAATATTTATATTTATATTCATCGATATGTACATCTAAAGATTGATTAGAGTAATACCACGTAGAATCTTAAACTAAACAAGAATGTATTTAAGAAAAAGAAGAAAAAAAGAAAAAAAAAATCCTCCCTGACAAGGTGTAGTATCTCTCTCTAAGCTAATCCATTCATTGCCATATCAACGATTGCGTAGACGTTCAATACAGAGATGAAAATCCAGATAAGTACTGCAAAAATAGTTGTGATCCAATTGTTGCACATGTACTTATATTTTGTAGTTTCAGTTTGCATTTCCTTTGGCAACTCAATTTTCATAATTGATTTCTTACAAGTGAAATAAATCAATGGAGCAGTCAATGGAGGTAAAAGAATTGAAATGACCACTTGGGAAATGTTCAAAGCATCTGAAAGACCATTTCTACCAATACAGAGTGTGATGATAAGACATGGTACAATGGAAATAGCACGAGTGACTAAACGACGAATCCATGGTTTTAAAGTCCAGTTAATGTGTCCTTCGGAAACAATTTGACCGGCTATGGTACATACAATCCCAGCGGATTGACCACTGAATAAAAGTGCCAACATGAACACGGTACCAACAACAGGAGCCAATGTTGTGGATAATAAACTATGGATGGTGTATAAATCAGCATCGACAGCTTCTGGAGTATTGTTTAAAGTGGCACCTGCAACGATTAAAATGGCAGCATTGACGAAAAGGGCAACTGTGAATAAGGTAAGAGCAAGTTCAATAATTGAATATTTAAGTGAATAATTGATAGCATGATAAGATGGTTTATAATCATTGTAGAAATAGTTTGCCTCTCTTTCTCTTTGAAGTCTTTGGACCATCTTTTCCCGTACTGAATCGGTGATACTACTTGAGTCACTTTTTTCATTTTCTTGTACTTCGATTTGATCATCTTTTTCATCATTGACAATTTCATTTAATTTTACATATCCATTTTGAACATCAAATTCACGAAGTCTTGGTTGAACTAATCCTGACCCTAAGAACAAAGAATGGATCATGACAGTAGCACCAATGATGGAAATAGCAATAGTCATACCACTTCCATCAAACATTTCCTTTGAAGGGGCAAAGCCTCTGAAAATTTCACGAACAGTTTTAATTCCTTCAGTTGGAATATTTGCTAACTCTACTGCAAAGCAAACACATACTGCTAAAACTAAACTTGCAACAGCATATTCGAAAATTCGAACAAATTTAGCAGAAGATGAATCATTTCTATATGCCATTAAAACGAATAATACATCAACAATAGTGATCACAACACCAGCAGGAAGTGGAACTTTGATTAAGATGTTCAAAGCAATGGCAGAACCAATAACTTCAGCCACATCAGTGGCAATTATGGCACATTCAGCCAATACCCACAAAATGAGGTTTAACCATCTAGGAAGGTTTTCACGACAACATCTTGCAAGATCATAACCAGTGACAGAACCAAGTTTAATACATAAACTCTGAAGGAAAATAGCGATAATATTGGATATTAACACGAAAAATAAAAGGGTATATTTATTCAGAGCACCAGCAGTAACACCAGTTGCATAATTACCTGGATCCATATAAGCCACTGAAACCATTAACCCAGGTCCAATAAACGACGCGAATTTCCTAAGTACTTGTTTCGTTCTATCCAATCTACCTTTAGTTTCAGGGTATGGAACTGACATCGGCACAGATTCATCGTCAGAGGATGCAAATGATATTCTAGTCAGTGCAGGAGCAGGTGCTGATCTGTTCACATTTCTTGATCTAGCATGAGACCATTCTTCCGATTCATCCACAGGAGAAGCACCAGTTGTGTTATCAGTGGAAGGTGGTGGTTGCAAAGACGTTGATAAAGAAGTCGACATCTTATATGAATATCTAATGTTAACTCTTACTCCACTGTACTAGTTTTGATGTTCGCGTACTCCACTCCTATATATATATATATACATAAAAAAAAGATGGAACCAAATAATGAAAAAAAAAAAATGTGACAATAAATATTTTTAAAAACTCTTTTTTTTTTTTTTATGCAATGAAACTTCGTAACTTACGCCTTTCATAATTGATGAAAGACATGTATAAAGTCTAAAATAGGGGAGAGGCGTGGATTTTGATGTAGTGGCTCATATAAATCTCTTGGCAAAGGCTTTTAGCATGCCGTTTATGCACAATCTGTAAAGCTAACATACACACAATTTATGACTTTGCATTGTTTCTGTGCTGAATATCAGGTGCAGCCTGCAGAAGACCTCACCCCATATCTATCATTGGCTAAAAATGGCTTAGGTATAGATGTGTTAAAAATATTTTATGTGAAAGAGATATTTTTTTGAGTGATTTGCATTCTAATATTATTATTATTCCAATTATGAATTGGGTAGAGTCAATATAAACCCCTATTTGATTAGTAGATGGTACTGGAATGAATCTAGAATGATTCATAGATCTAAATATGTACCCCGAAAGACAGATTCTATGAATGTCTCTATGGTTAATTTATGTTTGTTAATTATATTCTATTTACTTTCTTTTAATCTATTATCAAATGCTAATTATCTATTCCATCAACTCTTGTTATTTAACACTTCTACTTAATATTTCTTCTTGATTTCTCTATTCTATTTATATCTCTATTCCAGGTTCGATATCTATAATTCTCTCATTTCATTCTAAATCTCATCTAATTATATTCTACTTTCTATTTGCTTGAATCTAAATTATTCTTTATTCTCTAGTTCAATTTCTATTCATTATCTATTTATTTTCAATAAATTCATTAATGTTCTCACCATCAGCTTCAACAATTTTAATAACTTTTTCAGAAATGTCTTTAAAACTATCGAATTCAGTGTAAGGAATATTCTCTCTAATACAATATTTAATGAGATCTTTTCCATGTTTGGCAAATAAAAGATTAGTTTCCTTTGCAGCTGATAAATCTGAAACCCCATCACCACAATAGAATAAAATTGGATTACCTTTGTCTTCCAAACTAGTAGTATTAGTAGAATAGTTATGTTTAGCTAAATATTCTTTAATGGAATTGGACTTATCATGACCAAATGAACTTTCAGGATCTTTATAAACAATTTCCCATTTTTGAGTTTCTGGATCAATTTTAACTTCATTGGAAATAATTTCAATATTTTTAATTGCTTCATCTCCAACCAAATTTTTTAAAAGTTCGTAAATAATTGGTTTCATTCCAGATGAAACTACAATAATGGGGATACCTTGAGATTCACACCATTTATAGAATGTTAAAAATCCTGGATCTAATTGAATATGTTTCAATAAATATTCAATGCATTCAGGAAATGAAACTGGAATTGATTCTAACATTTCTCTGAATCCATCACGGAATGATATCTTTTCATTTAAAATGTCATCATTAATTTCTAATCGACGTGGTTTACCAAATCCAAGATTTTCAGTAAGATAATCGTTGGAATCTTGAAGGGTGACAGTACCATCCCAATCAGTGAAGACAATTGCTTTTGGAGACATATTCAAGAAGAAAGTAAATGCAAGATATAAAAGTAGAGCAATAGAAAAAGAAGTATGTTTGGAAGTATTTGTTTTTTATAATGGTAACCTTCTGATGTTTAATTGCGCGTTCACAAGTGCACGCCCCCACCCCTAAATGGTGGGGTTGGGTTGTATCTTTATATGAAGTGCGCGCACACAGAATTTACTTTGTGATAGTTTTGTGTGTAATTTTGATTTATCACTTTGTGTAGAATTAGTACTACTTATAAAAAAAATGTAAATTTCATGTCAATGTATGATCAATAAATAAGTTTTGGTAACATATTAGTGATGAATGTTGTACTTTACAAGCAAGTGATAGGCTTTAAATTCTCTAAATATATACTTTTTCCCTATTATTTTTCATTTGTATTTTTTTTGTCATAATATATTTACTTGATATTTTTTGAGAAATGATTGAATAAATACTTGGGAAACTTCACATTTAGTAACTATTTTATTTTATTTTACACTAGCCACATATTTATTGTTTGAGAATAAAACTTCAGATTATAACGTTTCAATATATTATGAGCACTTTCAAGATGAAACTATCCCATTACAAAATCAATATACATATATTTGAAAGATTAAACGATGTCCACTAATTACCTTGTGTGTACAGACTCTTTTCCAGTTTATCCGGTAATTTCTTCAATCTCTATATTATTATTATCATCAGTCAAAATAATAAATATTATGATTCTTATTATTACGACATCTTTTCCGGCTTGTGTCAAGTTGCGAATTTGTCACCTTAAATTTCTGCAAGCAACCATAATAGCTTGCTCCTTAGCCATTCATGAAAAAAAAAAAGGAATAAAAAAAGATATCTATACTTTCCATTCTCTCAGCCTCATATCAACGCATTCTTTCTCATATATTTACATATATATTAATCTAATTTCGTTCATCCACACATATAACGAATTCCTTACCCCTATAACAAATCGTTTGATCAATTTGGACATTCTTGTATTACGGAATTAATCGCAAACATCCTGTGAGAGTTTATTTTTAATTTTGCTTTTCTCGCATATTCGATCCCCCAATTTCAAATATTACAACACTCTCTTTTCATTCATCATATTCCATAGGACCCTTGACCCTTTTAGAACTTGGAATTGGGAACCCTATTGAATATTCGTCACTGTTGCCCCTGGATAACATCTTGCTCAAAATTTATACACACTTGTCCCGGATAAAAAAACCACAACCAAAAAAAGAAAGCATTTTTGCCAGCCACACGTTAATTTAATAAAGAAGAATCTTTTCAATTCATACACCACTAATAAATAATAATAATAATATATAATAATAATGTTTGAAAACTTGAAGGCGTTTATCAGACATGGTAAGCAAGCAAATGAATTGAAAATGAAACCTTTAGAAATTGGTAATCCAACCTTGGTTGATTCTGGTGCACTTGATTTTCTGAGCTTGTCCAATTTGCCTTCTTTATCTGATGGGTTGGATAATGTTAGCCAATACCAACAGTCTCCACCACCTCCAGAATATCAACAACAACAAAAACAACAACAACAATTAGCTGACCAACACGCCACATATGAACAACCTCAACAAGTGTATCAAGAGCCAATAATTGAGGTTCAACCTGATGTAACTGAGAAATCAGGGGCTGAACAAAAGCAACAAAATTATGGAAATTATGATGCAGCCACCCAAATTGTCGAACAGGAAAACCTTCAAAAGCAAAAGGGTAAAAAATATCCAAACTTGGATAAATATACCATTTTAGAACAAATGGGTGAAGGTGCATTTTCTGTTGTTTATAAAGCTCAAAATAATACTTCAGGAGAATTGGTAGCAATTAAGATTTTGAGGAAATTTCAAATGGATCAAGCTCAAAAGCAATCTGTTCTTAAAGAAGTTACTATTATGAGACAATTATTACATGAAAATATTGTTAAATTCATTGAATTTATTGATTCTGATCAATATTATTATATTGTTCAAGAATTGGCAGTTGGAGGAGAAATTTTCACTGCTATTGTGAATTATACTTATCTTAGTGAAGATTTATCTAGACATGTTATTCGTCAAGTTGGTCAAGCTATAAGGTATTTACACGAAGAAGTTGGGATTGTTCATCGTGATATTAAACCAGAAAATGTTTTATTTAAACCAATTGAGGTGAAACCTTCCAGTAATCCAGCTTCCAAATTGAGAAAGTCAGATGATGCTAATACCAAACGTGATGAAGGAGAATTTATTCCTGGTATTGGTGGAGGAGGTATTGGAACGGTACAATTGGCCGATTTTGGATTATCTAAACAAATATGGGAACATAATACTAAAACTCCATGTGGTACTGTTGGTTATACCGCTCCTGAAATTGTTAGAGACGAAAGATACTCTAAAGAAGTGGATATGTGGGCCATAGGTTGTGTATTGTATACCTTATTATGTGGGTTCCCACCATTTTATGATGAAAGAATTGAATCATTAACTGAAAAAGTTGCTAAAGGAGAATATACCTTTTTAGCACCATGGTGGGATGAAATATCCCCATTAGCCAAAAATTGTGTTTCAAAGCTTTTAACAGTAGATCCATCGAAAAGATATACCATTGATGATTTTTTGAATGATCCTTGGATTCAAATGGGTGAAACTGAAGCTGGAATTGCGAAAGATATTGTTGCACCACCAAAGAAGGTTGCAGCTGCTCCTACTCAAGATTTCTCACAAGCTAGTCGTCAAAGTAATGTTAGTACCACTCAAGCTGCTAGATATTCTAAAAAGTATATGAATAGTGACTTGTATTCACCAGCTGCAAATGCTTTGAGAGAAGCATTTGACATTTCTGCTGCAGTGCATAGAATGGGTGAAGAAGCTGCCTTATCCAATAGATTTGGTGGTTCTAACGATATCCAAGCTTTAGTTGAGGAAGAAGAGGAAGAAAATGAACATGAAGAAAATTCACAAGGAATTATTTTGCCTCAAAGTAATATTCCAGTCACTAAGAGGCAAGCTCCTAGATTCCAACAAAAAGTTGCTGGAGGTGCAGGAAATATGAATAGTGATATGTTTGATTTGAATTTGGGAGGTGCTTCAATTTTAGAAAGAAGGAAGCATAAACAAGTACCTGTTGGGATTTAATATAAATCGATAGAATAGATGAATAAACATGATACAAATAATTTTTTTTTTTTCTTTTTCTGTAAGTATGGTTAAGCCAGGTATATTTCTATTATACAAAAAACAAAAAGAATAACAACACTATTGTACTGAGGTCAAAGTACATAATGTATCGATATATCATTCATCTAGTACATTTTCTTTTTCCATCATTATTTTTCTTTTTTCTTTTAAATTTCAATTTGCAGCCACCTGCATACAACCATAATTGAGTATAGTACTGGAAAAAAAATTAGAAGTGAATATCAAACGATGAGCACAAAGGTAGAAAGTATCCAAATAATATATACATTCAATGTCTGCCGTTGGCTCTTTAATCTTCTGCACTTCCTGTGGTAACTTGTTGGACGCCAGCGGGTCCCAAAAAGCGTTGGACTGTAAGGTTTGCAGTGCTTCATACCCTGCCGACACATTTGCCAACCTTAAGGTTGTAACACAATCAGCTGAAGATGCTTTCCCATCCAAATTAAGAATGGATAGATCTGTTGTGAAGACTTCCTTGAAGAAAGATGAGCTTGACGAAGGTGCTACCATCAAGGAAAAATGTCCAAAGTGTGGTAACGAAGAGATGCTGTACCATACCTTACAACTTAGATCAGCTGATGAAGGTGCCACTGTTTTCTACACCTGTACTGGTTGTGGATACCGTTTCAGAACGAATAATTAGAGACACTTGAGCTTTCCTTGGATTGGTCTCGGCGCATTTATATATTGTACAATAGGTTAGAGGAATATATTTTTTTAGTATATCCATTTTGAAATGGGGTTGTAGAACAATAAAGAAAGTTATATGTGATGACAACTTGTTCATATTCATTAATCAGTTAATAAATCTACATCGATCAAATCTATTTATCTCATTATTATATATATATCAAACTCTAAATATTTATTTGATTGTGGCATATTCCATTTCATTGGAGTTTTCATATTCATACATGTCCAAAGCAACAACAGCGGAATCTCTAACCACTTGATCCTTATCGTTCAAGAAACTCTTCAATACTGGCAAACATTCATCAGTGGCAATGGAACCTAAGGCTTCGGCAGCTTCATGTCTAACCATGGCAGCTTGGGATTCATCTTTTAAAACCTTAACTAAAGATGGAACAGTCACAGGGTTACATAATTGACCGAAAACGTATGCGATTTCATGCTTGAACAAGGCAGATGGATCTTCGAACCCACTGGCCAAGGCAAGACATGCTTCATCAGTACCCAATTCTCTCAATCTAAACATGGCTCTATATCTTTCAAACAATGGCTTTTCTTGATCATTCAAAATATCCTTCATTTTTTCAACCTTGGCATTTTGTTCAGCTAATGGAGGAGCAGGGTCAATAGAAGTGTACATAGATTCCTTAAGGTTTTCAGTCTTTGGCTTTTCAGAATGTTCCCACTTAATTCTTTCAATGGCCAATTCACAAGTTTGTCTGATTTCAATCAGAGGATCATTCTTGAAGTAGGATTCCAACATGTCCAAGGATTCCTCGTCACCGATAGCACCCAAGGCTTCGGCAGCCTCATGTCTAACCATGATTTGTTGGGCATCACTGGCAAGTACTTTTCTAAGATGTGGAGCAGCGTACAACTTGTTAATTTGACCAAGAACATAAGCAACTTCATGCTTCAAAAGCTCAGAATCATCTTGGAAAGATTCAGCAATGTAGTCAATGGCCTTGTTAGCTTCTTCAGCGCTTTCAGATTCAGCACCAATGTTTTTCAAATTGAAAAGTGCTCTAAATCTGTTGGCAAGAGGAACATCTCCAGACTTGTTGACCAAGACGTCTCTTAATTGCTCTAATGTGGCAGTATCAATATTAATTTCAGACATTTTCCAAGAGATAAAGTAAATATATATGTGTAATATATAATTTTTTTATTGCTGCTTCTACAAAATTTTTTATATTTATATATATTCAAAAGTATAATAACATCATGCTATTCAATATCGAGAAGCTGTCTGGAACATCTCAAGAAAAAAAAAAAAAAAAAGAAAAAGCGAAGAAAAAGCGAGGCAAAACAAAAAAAAAAGAAATAAGAAAGCGAAAAAGAGAGAGCGAGAGAGAGAGAGTCTGGCAACACTTAACTTATTACTATAGTATAAAATATATATGTATATGAAATATGGAACCGAATCATATGAACACAATCTTGCATACCATAAAACTATAGTTTATATTACCTTTTTTTTCCATACTAATCTCTTGATGAATTACATAAGCCCATAAACAATCTCAAAATGAATCATATTAAATACAAAAAAAATATCAATTTTTCATTAAAGAATATCCCTTCTTCATTCTTAATGTGATGTACTTTTCCACTTATTCCATTTCCAACTCTCACTTAAACTTTAATACATCATTTGTATATATTTATTTATTTATAAGCTCTTATACACGTGACTGATTCTTTCAACTTTCTTTCATATTCTTTGTGCTATTTTTTAAAACGCGAACATTATGGAAAAATTGACAACGTTAAAAACGAAATCAAACAAAATTCATACAGAAGTCTTATTTGTTATATCAAATACATTTATAAATATTTAATATGGCAGCTCCTCCTCATGGCATGCCTATGCCTGATCTCTCGAACGCCATTGTTGCTCAAGATGAAATGGGAAGACCATTTATCATTGTCAGAGACCAAGGTAAGAAGACTAGAAAGCACGGGTTAGAGGCAACTAAATCACATATATTGGCCGCTAGATCTGTTGCATCTATTATCAAGACTTCTTTAGGTCCAAGAGGTTTAGACAAGATCTTGATCTCTCAAGATGGTGAAATTACCATTACTAACGATGGTGCTACCATCTTGTCACAAATGGATTTAGATAATCAAATCGCTAAACTTCTTGTAGAATTATCTAAATCTCAAGATGATGAAATTGGTGATGGTACTACTGGTGTGGTTGTCTTGGCTTCCTCATTACTTGATCAAGCTTTGGAATTAATTGAAAAGGGTATCCATCCAATTAAGATTGCCAATGGATTTGATGAAGCTTGTAAGATTGCCTGTAAGCAATTGGACTTGGTTGCAGATGAAATCGATGTTAAAAATGAATCAAATGATACAAACTTACTTAAGGCAGCAAAGACTTCCTTAGGTTCCAAGATTGTTTCTAAATCTCATAATCAATTTGCTCAAATGGCAGTAGATTCTGTGTTGGCAGTGGCAGATTTTGAAAGAAAAGACGTAGATTTTGAATTAATTAAGATGGAAAGTAAAGTTGGTGGAGCCTTGGAAGATTCTTCTTTGATTAAGGGGGTTATATTAGATAAGGAATTCTCTCACACTCAAATGCCAAAGAGTGTTGAAGATTGTAAAATCGCCATTTTAACATGTCCATTTGAACCACCAAAGCCAAAGACCAAACATAAGTTGGACATTTCTTCAGTTGAAGAATTTAAAGTGTTACAAGAATACGAACAAAAGAAGTTTCAAGAAATGATTGATCATGTTAAGAATTCTGGTGCTAATGTTGTAGCATGTCAATGGGGGTTTGATGATGAAGCAAACCATTTGTTACTTTCTAATAATTTACAAGCTATTAGATGGGTTGGCGGATCTGAATTGGAACTTTTGGCCATTGCCACCAATGGACGTATAGTACCAAGATTTGAAGATTTAACACCAGAAAAATTAGGACATGCTGGATCTATTCGTGAAATGGAATTCGGTACCACTAGAGATCGTATGTTGGTTATTGAAGACTGTTCAAATACCAAGGCTGTTACTTGTTTCATTAGAGGTTCCAATCAAATGATTGTTGATGAAGGTGTTAGAGCATTACATGATTCTATTTGTGTTGTCCGTAATTTGATTAGAGATAACAGAGTTGTTTATGGTGGTGGTGCTGCTGAATTGACTTGTTCTTTAGCTGTTTCTGAAGCTGCTGACAGACAAAAGGGTATTGATCAATATGCTTTCAGAGCCTTTGCACAAGCTTTAGATAAGATTCCAATGACTCTTGCTGAAAACTCTGGTTTAGATGCTATTGAAACTTTATCATCATTGAAATCTAAACAAGTGAATGAGAACTCTTCTCATTTGGGTGTTGATTGTTTAGGTAAGGGTACCAATGACATGAAGGAATTGTTTGTCATTGATCCATTGATCGGTAAGAAACAACAATTGTTGTTGGCTACTCAATTGACAAGAATGATTTTGAAAATTAATGATGTTATTATCAGTGGTAAGGATGAATATTAAGTGAGAGAAGGTGTATGTATTTAGTCTACAAGACATTATATAGAGATTATAATGAAGGTTATTATCGAAGAGGTACTAATGTAATTTTGTAAGACGGCGTGTCAAATAGTATGACAATTGACGAGAATTACATTTCATAGTAAATAACTTATAGGGGGAAAGTGGAGGGCGAATAGGAGAGAAATTGAGTAAATCTATTTTTTTTTTGTATATCGAATTTTGTCTTTTTTTCACCATACTGTTTCTTGAAATCCTTTCAACACTTTTTCCATCAACATAAATACATACATGATTGATTATATAGTGCTCATTTTGATGAACCTAGCATATGTGGTAGGTAACATAATCTCCAATATATAAGCGCCTGTATACAAAAAAGGTAGCGTGCGCACCAAATTATCCCTCAATAGAACAAAAGTTGGTGGGTGGTGATTACTTGTACAAAGTGAATTGAATATAAATCAATCAATTTCAGTTTAATCTACTAGAACTGGAGCAAACTTGACTAGATTGGAACATAACGTATACTTTTTCCATATACTCAAGTATTTGCCTTCAATTGGCGTTTCTATTTAACTTTTCATCAACGTATCTTTGCCCCCAAAATTTAGATTGAACCCCTACTCAAAATGGCTTCTATGGGAACACCGGCTGTGGTCATGGACAACGGTACTGGGTTAACCAAGTTGGGTTTTGCAGGCAATGACTCCCCATCTTTTGTTTTCCCAACCGCAATTGCTACTGCTTCCGCATCTTCGAAAACCACCAAGTCCAACAGTAGTAACAAGACTTCATTTTTATCATCAAAGAGAGGCTTAGAAGACTTGGATTTTTTCATTGGACATGAAGCTGTGAACGCTGCTAATGGTCCAAACTATAACTTGTCATACCCTATCAAGCATGGTCAGATTGAAAATTGGGATCATATGGAAAGATTTTGGGAAAATTCTATTTTCAAATATTTAAGATGTGAACCTGAAGATCATTATTTCTTACTTACTGAACCTCCATTGAATCCACCTGAAAACAGAGAAAGTACAGCTGAAATCATGTTTGAATCATTCAACTGTGCTGGGTTATATATTGCTGTACAAGCTGTATTGGCCCTTGCAGCTTCATGGACTTCTTCCAAGGTTCAAGATAGATCCTTAACTGGTACAGTTATTGATTCTGGTGATGGTGTCACCCATGTGATTCCTGTTGCAGAAGGGTATGTCATTGGTGCAGCAATTAAGAACATTCCTCTTGCTGGTAGAGATATCACCCTTTTCATACAATCTCTTCTTAGAGATCGTGGTGAAGCTGATACTTCATTACAAACTGCTGAAAAGATTAAACAACAATTTTGTTATGTTTGTCCAGATATTGTAAAAGAATTCAACAAGTTTGATCAATATCCACAAGAGAAATTTGCTCAATATATTGTTGAATATGCTGATAAAAATAAGAATAACGTTGTTGATGTTGGATATGAACGATTTTTAGCACCAGAAATTTTCTTTAACCCAGAAATTTGTCTGTCTGATTATTTGACTCCATTACCTACCGTTGTTGATCAAGTCATCCAAGCTTCTCCAATTGATGTACGTAAGAAGTTGTACAAGAATATTGTATTATCTGGTGGATCTACCATGTTTAAGGATTTTGGTAGAAGATTACAAAGAGATTTGAAAGATTTAGTGAAGGAAAGAATTGAATTAAGTGAAAGATTAAGTGGTGTGAAGAGTAGTGGTGTTGATGTTCAAGTTATCTCACATAAGAGACAAAGAAATGCAGTATGGTTTGGAGGTTCTTTATTAGCACAAACTGCTGAATTTAAGAGTTATTGTTACACTAAACAAGATTATGATGAATATGGACCAAGTATCGTTAGAAACTTTTCTTTGTTCTCTGTACCATAAATGAATTAAAAGAGATAAATATATAAACAAAAATTTAGAAATTTCATTTTTATAAAAAGATTTAGTTGTTTTGTTGTAGACTATTTAGTAAAACCCTTTCTCTATTAATTAACGTTTTGTTTGTTGATCATTCATTAAAAAGAGTACAGGCGCGAGCGTGCCGTGCACAAAACTGAAAAATCGATAAGCACCACCCAATACGAGTTTTGGCATAATTAATATAATAGATCACATAAACCTTTCAGACTATAACTTATCCGTTACTCTAGGATTATAGTCTAGACTAGTGACGCTACAACCTTACACACACCATGTCAGTGGTGACACAAGTACAGATTGTGGATGGAATGGCACTTCCTCAAATTCTTGGAGGATTACGTTCCACCAAAGAGGAGGAAAGAAATAGATATGCACTTGAATTGAGAACTTATTTAGCATCTATTGCAAGAGATCTTTCATCGGAGCAATTCAATCGCTACAATAATGATATCAACAAAAAGATTTTTGAACTCTTACATAGTTCCGAACTGGCAGAAAAATTAGGAGGAATTGCGGCCTTAAATTCTCTTATTGATTTTGATTCTGGTGTTGGTGAAGAAAATGCCACCAAAACTGCTAGATTCTCTAATTATTTGGGCTCACTCATTTTGTCAAATGATCTTACCATCATGAAACAGGCCACCAAAACATTGGGGAAGTTGGCAACTCCTGGAGGAACCTTGACGGTTGACTTTGTAGACTTTGAGGCTAAAAGAGCCATTGAATGGCTCCAAAGTGACACCAAACAACATGAAAATAGAAGACATGCTGCCATTTTGATTATTACTGCATTGGCCGATAACGCTCCTACGTTATTGTACCCTTTTATAAATCAAATTCTCGAACATTTATGGATTCCATTGAGAGACCATAAATTGATTATTCGAGTTGATGCCGCAGTAGCTCTTCAACGATGCATTGCCATTATATACGACAGAGATATCGATTCAAGGAGGTTCTGGATCAAGAACTTGATTGATCTGGCCAGTAAGGTATTGAATGAACGTCAACTTTCTGCCATTGGTTCTGGTAGCCATGATAATGGAGCACTGTCATATGATGACATGAATGAAACACCATTAGGAGTTGCAGCAAATACAGCATACAATTTGATAACTGCAACCACATCAGGACTTCAATCAAACGAGGCTATTCATGGTGCTCTTTTGGTGTATCGTGAACTTGTAAAGTATCATGAAGACACTTATATTCAAACCAAATTTGAATTGATCTTTGAAAGTACCATATTATACAAGAATAACAAAATTCCAACCATTAGACAAGAACTAACAAATATATTCCCATTACTTTGCAGAGTGAATGCTGCACATTATGTGGAAAACTACCTTCATCGTACACTTTTGTATTATTTATCACAATTGAAGAAGTATAAAAATCATCATAATGAAATTGCAAATGCTGATAAGAGTGCTATTTTCCGCAGTATAGGGTTAATTTCACTTGAAGTCGGCAATCAAATTGCCACGTATCTCGATGCGATCTTGGACAATATCAGAGAAGGATTGTCATATCCTGCAAACTCCAGTGTCCAACTGATCATTGTAAATGCTGTTACAGGAGGTAATGCAGGGGGAGTTGGTAATAATGGTGGAAATGGTAATGGAAATGGAGAAAATGGACTGCTTGGACCAAATGGAGGAGGAAATTCAAATGGTGGAATGAATGGAGGAGTTAATGGGAATGGAGGTGCTAATTCTAATGGAAATCATATTGGTACCAATGGAGGAGGATCTTCTGCTCTTTCTTCAATCTCCACCAGTGTTTCTGGGTCTGCTAAATATAGAACCAGTAGAAAAGATACAGAACCGGCCATATTTGACTGTATTGGAAAACTTTCCATTGCAGTTGGGCCAGCTCTAACCAAACATCTTCAACGTGATATTCTCGATATGATGTTTTCCAATTGTTCTTTATCCAAGCATATGCAAGATGTTCTTCAAACCCTTATTATCAATATTCCAACCCTCATTCCATTGATCAACATAAAATTGTTAAACTTGTTAAGTTTGGTGCTCTCTGGTAAAGTATTTCAACCTCCTGGATCTCCTTATGGAAGTATACGTATGAATGAATCTCTTGCTAGAGATTATAGACTTATAATGATTTCACGCGATACAGGACTTAGCATAAATAGCATTATGAACAATCATGACGGATATGATAGTTATGATAGTGGGATTTTAATCCAAGCACTTGAGATGCTTGCTTATTTCAAGTTTGAAAACTATCAGTTGAACGAATTTGTCCGTCATTGTACCATTTCTTACATGGAGCATAGTAACAAGCAAGTCAGACAGGTTGCCGCTGTAACATCATGTGAGATCTTCATTAGAGATCCAATTTGTCAACAAACTAGTGTAAATGCATTGAATGCAGTGAATGAAGTTTTAGATAAATTACTCTCACTTGCGATCACCGATCCAATCCCAGAAATTAGATTAGAAGTCCTTTCATGTTTGGGTCTGGCTGGCAGCTTCGATCCCCAACTCTCTCAAGCTACAAATGTTCGCCTACTTTTCATTGCACTCAATGATGAAATATTTGGAATCAGAAAGACAGCAATCAAAATTTTAGGAAGATTGTCTTCAATTAACCCTGCTTACATAGTACCATCGTTGAGAAAGACATTGATTCAACTTCTTTCACGATTAGATTATTCTACTGCTAGTAGAAAGAAGGAAGAGAGCGCAATTTTACTATCTTTATTGATTGCGAATTCGAAAGATCTTACGAGACCATATGTGAAACCGATCGTGGAAGCACTTTTACCAAAGGCTAAGGACTTGAGTCTGTCTGTAGCCCTGAGTGCGATCAACTGTCTTGGAGAACTTTCAGTAGTTGGAGGTGAAGATTTAAAACCATTTATTCCTGAATTAATGCCTTTAATTCTCGATACTTTCCAAGATCAAAGTTCGTCATACAAAAGAGATGCAGCTTTGAAAACACTTGGTCAATTGGCTAGTTCTTCTGGCTACGTGATTCAACCATTGCTTGACTACCCACAACTTTTAGGAATGTTAGTGGGTATTCTTAAACTGGAAACTTCACCACATATTAGAAGAGAGACAGTCAGACTTTTAGGTATTCTTGGTGCATTAGACCCTTACAAACATCGTGAGGTTGAACAAAATTCCAAGAGTATTCCCGTTGAGCAGAACGCTCCACCTATTGATGTTGCATTGTTGATGCAAGGTTTATCACCTTCAAATGATGAATACTATTCCACTGTGGCGATTAGTAATCTTATGCGTATTCTTAAAGATCCTTCACTTAGTAATCATCATAATAAGGTGATTCAAGCAATCATGTACATCTTCCAAACTTTGGGATTACGATGTGTTTCATTTCTTCCTCAAATCATACCCGGTATCATTAATGTCATGCATACCTGTCAACCTTCAATGCTTAAGTTTTATTTCCAACAATTGGGGGCTTTAATATTGATTGTTAAACAGCATGTTAGACCATTCCTCACCGAAATATTTGACGTGATCAAGGAATTTTTTGATATCAATTCACAATTAAACATCCAAGTTATTATTATAACATTGATTGAATCTATTCTGAAAGCACTTGAAGGTGAGTTCAAGATGTACTTACCAGAAATCTTGACTGTCCTCCTTAATGTTTTTGAAGAGGATAAATCGGTGAAAAGAGAACCATCAATATACGTACTTCGCAGTTTTGTTGTCTTTGGAAGTAACATCGAAGAATATGTACACATTATAGTTCCTGCTATAGTTCGTATGTTTGAAGTTGGTCCATTACACTTGCGTAAGGCAGCTATCGAAACAATTGGTAGACTTTCAAAAAATGTGATCTTAAATGATATGGTCTCTAGAGTAGTCCACCCAATTTTGCGTGTCTTGAGCCAGAACAACATCAATGATGAGTTAAAAAATGCTTGCATGAATACCTTGAGTGCTCTTTTGACAGTTTTAGGTGACGAATTTGGTGTATTTATTCCGGTCGTGAAGAAGGTGTTGCTCAGACAAAAAATACATTCTGTACAGTACGAGCTGTTAGTAGGAAAACTATTAAGCGGAGACCCACTCCCACCTAGCTCTTCATTAAACTATAAAGAGTTTGACACTCATATCAATAATTTTGACATGCCTGATGTGGATATGCCCTCGAAAAAATTGCCCGTTAACCAGGTTGCATTGAAGGCTGCCTGGGATTCTAGTCAAAGAAGATCGAAAGAAGATTGGCAAGAGTGGATTGGGCGATTAAGTAAAGAATTATTGAAACAGAGTCCTTCGCATGCAATTAGAGCTTGTGCTGGTCTTGCTTCTGATTATTATCCTTTGGCCAAAGATTTATTTAATGCAAGTTTTGCAAGTTGTTGGAATGAGTTGTATTCGCAACATCAAGAAGAATTAGTACAATCGTTTTGTATTGCTCTTTCTTCGCCCAATAATCCACCAGAAATCCATCAAATTTTGTTAAATTTGGCCGAATTTATGGAGCATGATGATAAATCATTACCAATTAGTATTTCTACTTTGGGGCAATATGCTCAAAGATGTCATGCTTACGCAAAAGCCCTTCACTACAAGGAATTGGAATTTTATGAAGAACCCACCACACCTACAATTGAATCTCTTATTAGTATTAATAATCAGCTTCAACAGTCGGACGCTGCGGTTGGTATATTGAAACACGCACAACTCCATCACGACCTTCAATTGAAGGAAACTTGGTACGAAAAACTTCAAAGATGGGATGACGCTCTTCGAGCATATAATGAGCGTGAAAGAACAGAACCAGATAATATGGAAATTACAATGGGTAAAATGAGATGTCTCCATGCATTGGGAGAATGGGAGCAGCTTTCTGAATTAGCTCAAAGCAAGTGGAATAACTCTAGTAGCGACATTAAGCGTAGTGTTGCCCCATTGGCCGCCGCGGCGTCTTGGGGTCTTGGGCAATGGGATAGAATGGATGCCTGTATTAAGGTGATGAAATCTGAATCTCCCGATAAAGCATTCTTTAACGCCATTTTATGTTTGCATCGTAACAATTTCGAAGATGCCTCAAATCATATTTTGAAAGCAAGAGATCTCTTAGTGACAGAAATTACTGCTCTTGTCAGCGAAAGTTATAATAGAGCATATGGTGTCGTGGTCAGAGTTCAGATGTTGGCGGAACTAGAGGAGATAATTAAATATAAATGCTTGCCTCAAGGTTCAGAGAAGAGAGTTGTCATGAGGAAAACGTGGAATACGAGATTACTAGGATGTCAAAGAAATGTTGATATCTGGCAAAGAATGCTTAAAGTTCGAGCTTTGGTTATTAAGCCAAAGCAAGATATGGATATGTGGATTAAGTTTGCAAACTTATGTCGGAAATCGGGTAGACTTAATCTTGCCGAAAAGTCTTTGAACTTCTTATTGGAAGAAGGATCTCCAGAGAACCCTTCACGTGCACCACCGCAAGTTGTTTATGCTCAATTGAAATACATGTGGGCTAAGGGCCAACAAAAGGAAGCATTGAGACATTTAGTTGATTTCACTACTAGAATGTCACAAGATTTAGGATTAAATCCAAATGACCTTATTACCCAACCATTACCATCGGAAGGACCTGGAATTCCGAAGCATGTTGAAGACTACACGAAGTTACTTTCAAGGTGTTTCTTAAAACAAGGTGAATGGCAAATCGCTTTAAATAGCAACTGGAGAACTGAAACTTCTGAAATTATTCTTGGGGCATATCTATTAGCCACACACTTTGATGATAAATGGTATAAGGCTTGGCACAATTGGGCATTGGCTAATTTTGAAGTCATTTCTCTTTACACGTCACTGAATCCAATCAATCATAATGGAGATACTACTGACATTCTGGATGATATAATGGAACAAAACGAATCAGTAAAGGTTGGAAATCCTGATGCTCACGATAATGTTGAAAATCAAGATGGACCACCACATCAAGCTTCAAATGTGATACCACTCGAAGCTGTACAGAGACACGTAGTTCCTTCCATAAAGGGATTTTTCCACTCTATTGCATTGTCGAATTCTAGTTCTTTGCAAGATACATTACGATTACTTACTCTTTGGTTCAAATTTGGAGGTATTCCAGAAGCAGCACATTCTATGACAGAAGGGTTCAATATGGTTAATATTGACAATTGGTTAGAAGTTGTTCCTCAATTAATTTCTCGTATTCACCAGCCAAACCAAATTGTCAGCAGGTCATTATTTGGTCTTTTGACTGATTTGGGTAGGGCCCATCCACAAGCTTTAGTTTATCCTTTGGCTGTTGCTGTTACATCCGAAAGTGTCAAGCGAAAGAAGGCTGCGATGTCGATTATCGAAAAAATGAGACTTCACTCGGCAGTTTTGGTGGATCAAGCTGAACTTGTAAGTCATGAATTGATCAGAGTTGCTGTGTTGTGGCATGAACAATGGTATGAAGGACTTGAAGATGCCTCACGTTTGTTTTTTGGCGAACATAACACAGAGAAAATGTTTGAGGTACTCGAGCCATTGCATAAGATGTTACAAAAGGGATCTGAAACCATGAGAGAGTCTTCATTCAATAGTGCCTTCGGAAGAGAGCTTTCCGATGCATATGAATGGGTTTTGAATTATAGACGTACAAGAGATATCACCAATTTGAATCAAGCTTGGGATATTTATTACATTGTTTTCCGCAGAATCAGTAGACAGTTACCACAACTCCAAAGTTTGGAGTTACAATATGTGTCACCTAAATTGGAAGAGGCACGGAACTTGGACTTGGCTGTTCCTGCGACTTATCAAGCAGGTAAGCCTATTATTAAGATCACCAAGTTTGATCCTACATTCTCTGTTATTTTGTCTAAACAGCGTCCTAGAAAGCTTTCATGTCGTGGAAGTGATGGTAAAGACTATCAATATTTATTGAAGGGACACGAAGACATCAGACAAGATAACTTAGTTATGCAACTTTTCGGATTAGTAAACACTTTGTTAGTTAATGATCCTGAATGTTTCAAGAGGCATTTAGATATCCAACAATACCCTGCAATCCCACTTTCGCCAAAGGTTGGTTTGTTGGGATGGGTACCAAATAGTGATACTTTCCATGTTTTGATTAGAGAATACAGAGAGTCGCGGAAGATCTTATTGAACATTGAACATCGTATTATGTTACAAATGGCTCCTGATTATGACAGCTTAACATTATTACAGAAGGTAGAAGTTTTTACTGGTGCATTAGACAACACCAGGGGACAAGATTTGTATAAAGTGTTGTGGCTTAAATCTAAGTCATCTGAAGCATGGCTTGATCGTCGTACTACTTATACAAGATCTTTGGCTGTTATGTCCATGGTTGGTTATATTTTAGGTCTTGGGGATAGACATCCATCTAATTTGATGCTCGATAAGATCACCGGTAAGGTGATTCATATTGATTTTGGTGATTGCTTTGAAGCAGCTATTTTACGTGAAAAGTATCCCGAAAAGGTTCCATTCCGATTGACAAGAATGCTTAATTATGCTATGGAAGTTAGTGGTATTGAAGGGTCATTCCGTATTACTTGTGAACATGTCATGCGTGTCTTGAGAGATAACAAAGAGTCATTAATGGCCATTTTGGAAGCATTCGCTTATGATCCATTGATCAATTGGGGGTTTGACTTTCCTACCAAGGCAGTGGCGGAAGCCACCGGTATTCAAGTACCTCAAATTAACATTCCCGAGTTATTGAAGAGTGGACAAATTGATGAACAAGAGGCAGTTAGACTTACCAAGCAAAATGAACTTGAAGTAAGAAATGCCAGAGCAGCTTTGGTTTTGAAGAGAATTACTGATAAATTAACTGGTAATGACATCAAAAGATTGAAGGGTCTTGATGTCCCAACACAAGTGGATAAATTAATCCAACAAGCCACCAGTGTTGAGAATTTGTGTCAACATTATATTGGTTGGTGTTCCTTTTGGTAGAGAAATAACAACAAATAAGTTATCTATAAATGTTAAAAATGTATTACGTATATTTAATTGTTAAAAGTGTAGGAACAATGTTTGATCTATAATGTACTTGATTATGCTATTTTCTTGGATGCACTTGTGAAACCAATACCCTTGACGGATGCCATCATGTAATCCTCATCGCCAGGAATAGGTTCGTCTGCGCAATCCTTTAAGTAAACTTCAGTGCCAAAAATGGCCTTAATATCTCTCAAGTACCACACAAAGTTTTCATCAATTTGTGACTTGTGGAGCTTAAGTCTTCCTATATCTTCTTTACCAATGGCCATGTAACATAAGGTTAAAAGGATTTGGTTACGTCCAAGTACACAACTGTTTGATAATTCATGTAATAATTGAAGGGCAACAGTTTCACCAAGATCTTCTGGAAGAGAACCAGCAGATCCAACTCCTTCAGCCAACACTCTCCAACCCTTTTTCAGTTCTGCAACAAGAGTTACACCGAACCCTGGTGATTTACCAGAGTTATCACCTCTCCATACATCAGCTGTGATGTTAACATCAGCTCCAGTTGGTCTCAATACATTTCTTGCGGCTTCAATCATTCTGTTAACGGTGGAAGGAGAAACACGAGTACAATAGGCAACACCACGAATGGCTGAGAATTTTGGAGTATCGGTGGAATGTAAAGTTAATGGGTTCGCAATAAGGGAGTTACACATCAAATGAACTTCACCACCTCCTAAAGGTGGAGAACCTCTCTTTAGTATATGAAGCGATATTTCTCTAACTCCGAATTTTTCCATTATTGGGAGTAACCCCCATTTTATAGCTTCAACTCCAGCATCTTTACCAGAGTCAGAAGCGGTAAGACCTTTGAAAACTATAGAGAATTTACTCTTTGAAAATGGAGCCAAATATAACATTGGCTCTATAAAGTAACCAACTGGCTTGGATGGAGGACAGTTGTGTGTGTGTTCCCCACCGATGATTATACCAGGTCTATAGATAACGGTTGTACCAGTGTATGAAATTTCAATTTGAGACCCATTGGTAACTGCTTCAAGTAAACGAAGGAAAGAGACTTCATAATCTTTCAAACCTGGGTTCATGTCATCTGATCTGATTTTGGTGATTTTCACAGGAGTACCAGCCAAAGTTGCAAGGACAAGACGAACCCTGAGATTTCTATGGCCCTCAAATGTCGTGATGGTGGACTTGGCCATTGTAAGGGGTATCTTTATGGGTTGGTTATGTGATGTTTATTGTACCCTTTTGTTTTAGAGATGGGCTACATTTTAATGCTCTTGGTTTTTTTTCCCAACCATCGCAGTGTGCATGTAGACATCTACACAGGAAAAAATGAGATTCAATATAAGCTAAGATAAATTCTACATGAAGTGAAGATATATAGTTTGTTTTTTTTTAGTAGTGATTTAGATCAATGTAGTGAAACCAATATCTCTAATGTGTAGAAGTGATAATTAGATTTAATATATATATATATATATATATATATATATATATGTGTTATTACCGATGATGTCTGTTACTCTTGTGATAAGTGCCACTTTTGATGTTCGCACGCCTCCTACTAGTGAGTATCGAATTTTGAAAAAGAAAAAAAATAAATAATAATGATGCGAACGGTCGTGAGAAATCGACCAGACTAAAATACGCTAACAAACAAAATTGTGGAAACACACACTTTAGTAAATTTAAAAGCTCAATTGCTATACACAATATATTGTTGGAAGTTAGCAATACGTAAGAATATCATTGCGGGAAGTCGTTCGTTACATATTGACGCCACACGATGTCTGATAATAAACGATTGGGCACGGAAATCTCTGACGGACTGGATCTAAAGAGACAGAAAACTTCTGTAAATGACAGTTTAGGTCCTGAACAGAGATCAAATATAAATGGGACTCATCAATCCACGCCTGGTTCTGGCTCCGTTTCTGCTTCTACGTCTGTTCCTGCGTCTGTTCCTGGCTCTGGTTCGACAACGGCTTCGGTTGCCCCTCAGGGGCCACTCCCCACCATAGGTAATGATCAATTAGATGCAATATTTAATGAACCAGTTCCAGAGCTCAACATAAAGCAAGAGCAAAGAAATGATATCAATATTGATTTTGATAGTTTGCCGGCAGATTTCCTCGATAACAACTCTCCGTTTGATTTACCGAGTGTTGGTTCAAACATAGGAACTCCTGATGCAACCTATCAATCAGTGGGCACTCCAAATCTTGCCACTGGGAATAAATCAATAACAAATCAACAGGGCATCAACACAGCCGTGAAAACTAGCGGCAGTTCAACGCCGGTACAAATATCAACACCTGTACCAAATGATTCTTCTTCCACCATGTATCAGAGCAACGTTCCACAAAATAATCCACGTAGTTATACGAATTCTCCAGCACCAATCAAACAACAAACTCAACCTCAATCTCAAACTTATCCTCAACAAGCACAACAACCACAACGTCCACCACAGGTACAAAATCAATCTCAAAATCAGCAACCAATCAACAATTCTACAAATAATAATCACAATAAATCAGGAGTAATAAATCAAAATTCACGTCCAATGATTTATAATCCTAAATCTGGATATATCACCACAGCTCCACCAATCAATAGAATGAATCCGTTGGTACAACAAGCCCAAGGTATCCAAGGATTGAATACTTCTAATATCGATGGAAGATCAGCACATTCTTCGGGAAATAGTAATACCCATAGTAGTAGTAGTAATACAACTGGTACTAATGGGAGCAAAGCATCTCAGCTTCATACAAATGACCCTTCAAAGTTGAACGATGCATTGGCAGCAGCTGGTGTTGATATTCAACAAGAAGAAGAGTTGCTTATGCAACAACATTCAAACCGGAATAATAGATATACTACACAACAACAACAGTATTTACAACGTCAAAGACAACAACAATTTCCTAGAACGTCACCATTTTTGAATCCATATCATTTATCATCGTTCATGCAAAGAGTTGCTAGAGAAAATGGGGTTCATCAAAATTTTCTTCAAGATTCTGAATTATTAGAATTAGTTTCTGCAGCATGTGAAAATTGGATATCAAATTTGACTACAAAGACAATTATACTTTCACGTCATAGACGTCGAGGAATTCCGACTCTTGTAGAAACCAAAAATGGATCTGGTAAAAAGGGGAATTCTACTACTACTCCATCAAGTCAACGTTCTGAACTTTCAAAGGAACTTCGAAATATTGCTGCCAGACAAAAGGAATTAGAAGAAAGAAGAGTTCAAAAAAGAATAGCATTAGGGTTAGAAAATGGTACTGCCAATGGAGGAGATTCTGAAAATGGGAAAGCTGGTGCTGAAGAAACTTTACATAGAGCGGCAAATGCTACAGCTGCAATGATGTCTTCAGGTCGTAAGAAATATTCTTGGATGACCCAAGGAGCTAATGCTGGTGGAGGTGCTGATGAAAGTAGTAAATCTGCAGAAGGTGATACTAAAAGTAAACAAAGTTCTCTCATTTCTATTAGAGGAGATAATGGATTAAGATTCCGTGAGATTAGATCGGGGAAAACTGTTACTATGAAAGATTTACTTGGAGCGTTAGAAGAGGAACGTATGGGAACAGAAAATGCCCTTATTAAGGGATACGCTAAGTTAAAGGATTAAATAGAATTTACATTAATAGCAAGCTTCACTCATGGGTATATTAGAGAATAAAGTAATAGTATGTATTATTCATATATAATGTCATCAAGTATGATCTAGTAAATAAAATAGCATAGGTCTATGTGCACTCCGAGATCAAAAGTGCATAACATCAAAACAAAAATACAAAACAATGATTTTATTTTATGAATTATTTATAAAACTTTTCCCCCCCTTTTTCCATATAACAAGGTCGTACCTTACTAAAGACAGGCTGACTAGACGTTATAGGATACTCCACAGTTCATACTAAGCCAAAATTGAGGAGATTCTAATGGATTTCAATCTATTGACATATTTTAACGCGTTCGATGCAGAGAAGGAGTATACTGCTGACTTCTCTGACATTGAAGCTAAACTTGAATCTGTGACGGAAACACTTGCACATAATCCAGAATCGATCTACCATAACCATGAGATTTTTGAAGAAATTCTCGAACTTTGTCAAGGATTCAAACTGCTTGAAGCAAAGCATCAGAAACAATTGGCATATTTGGTTGCCACTTCATTCAATAGTATTAACCACGTTGCATTGACAACTTTGGATGCTGGAGATTATGTCGAAAGCATTGAGAGTATCAAGAGATCCTTGGAACGATACGGATATTTGATATATGTACTTTTGATATTCCTTGGGAAGGAAGATTATACTGGTGGATCTAGATCAAGACAATCATCAACATCTGCTAACCAAAATCCAAAATGGAAATCAAATTGTACTCAAATTGAAAATTGTCTTGAATCGATATCAAACACTCTTAAAATAGATTTATCCAAGATATTCATCACAACTCCAGAGCGTGACTTGTACCTCGAGTTATTCATAAGACCAATTTTCCATATGATGGAAATACCTGAAAGAATGAAACATCCAGGAATTAAGATGTATATGTTTAAGATTATAGCAATGTCAGTGAAGAACCATGGACATGCAAGTTCAGTTGAGAATTTGATTCTTCAATCCTTAACATATTACGTTCATTTGCCTCATTATATGGCAGAACTCTTACATATAATATCAAATCTGTATGATTATAGTGTTTTAACGGAAGAAGTATTGAGAGAGATTTCACAGATTGAGTTCAATGCTAATGATAGTAATGGACCCAAATCCATTGCTGAATTCCTCATCAAATTATCTGAATTACTGCCTCGACTTATATTGAAACAGATGTCATCCGTGGCGCTCTTGTTGGACAATAGTAATATGACATTGAGATGTTCAGTTGTAGAAACGTGTGGTAATATCGTTGTTGATATTATCAAACACGATTCTGGTAGCGGAAGTGGAGATGTTGAAACAGATGAACATGGAAATAATGCTAACGGTTCTCAACAAATAAATGGACTTTTAGATTTACTTGAAGAAAGATTTCTTGATCAAAACCCATATGTCAGAACAAAGGCAATTCAAGCACTTACAAAGTTATGTACATTACAAGATAAATTTACTACTAGAAGACAAAAATTCATGTCATTGGCTGTTAGATCACTTGGTGATAAGAGTACCTTGGTTAGAAGGAATTCAGTGAAGCTCATGTCAAAGATTGTGTTGACACATCCATTTTCGTCTATTCATGGTACTCAACTTGGATACAATAAATGGAGAAAGAGATTAGATGATTCGGAGACTGAGTTGAAGGAATTGTTACCCACCAAAGAGGACTCACCAGTTCCTTCAGGAGATGAAATGGCTCTCGATGATATTTCGGAGAATGAAGATGAAGACGAAGATATGGAAGATGTAAACGAAAACGAAGTATCTGACAAGGAAGTAGAAGTTGAAGATGAAGATAGAGATGAAGAGGATGATGAAGAGGATGAAGAAGATGACGATGAAGAGTCTGGCAACAAACCAAATCAGAATATTCCAGATATTAACTCGTTCTATAAGCTTAGACTTACAATTAAATACTATCAAGATGCAATCGACTTTATAGAAGAAGTTGAGGAAGGTGTTAAGGTTGTATCACAACTTCTTTTTTCAAAGAATAGAAATGAAGTTCTTGAATCCATGGATTTCTTAGTCTTAACTGATGCTTATGAAATTCGTGGATCTAGTGACGGCATTCGTCGTATGCTTCATCTTGTTTGGATGAAGGGCTCATCAGATGAAGGTAAGTCAATTGCTTCTCATTTGATTGATTGTTATAAATCTTTATTTTTAACTGCACCAACTACTTTATCCAGAGTTCAACAAGCGGCTTTTATTGCTAAGAATTTGATGGAGTTAACTTCTGCCGCATCAGTTGCAGATTTGGCCTCTTTAGAAAAACTATTGTGTTTAATGCATGAAGGTGGTCTTATTGCTCCAGATGTCATACAAGTGTTGTGGCAAATCTATAACTTCACGGCTACAGATGAATGTTCCATTGAAGATACCAAGAGACAATGTAGACAAGCTATTATTATTTTAGGAATGTTAGCCCTTGCAGATAGCGAAATTGTTATTAAAGGATTGGATTCATTATTAAATGTTGGTCTTGGTGAAAGAGGTCTTAAAGATTTGATATTGGCAAAATACACTTGTATTGCCATTCAAAGAGTGGTACCCCTCAATAGTAAAAGTGGGCCAGAGGCTAGAATTGTAAGGGAAGCAGATGCTATTGCTAAATTAAAGCAAACTTTATTGACATACAGTGAAAACCCTGAATGGTATAGTATTGCCGAACAAGCGATTGGAGCAATTTATCAAGTTTCTAGTGAACCAGACCAAGTGGGATCTGATATTATCAAGGAGAAATCTATATTAGCATTCCAGCGTAATGATGCTGAGCCTAACCAATCTAGAGTAGTGTCACTCTCACAATTATTATTCATTGTTGGGCATATCGCAATTAAAACTATTGTATACTTGGAAAGACTTGAAGCTCAATTTAAAAAGAAGAAACATGATGCAGAAACCAATAAAAATAAGGATTCTAATAATGAAGAAGAAGAAGGAAATGAATTAGAAATGATTGGAGGAACATCAGAAGATGACTTTACTGATGCCGTTATATTCATTAAGGAACGACAATTATTATATGGTGAAGATGCTCTTTTATCAAAATTTGGACCGCTCGTGAAGGAGATTTGTTCCAATAATAAATTGTATGACAACGAAGGTTTACAAAGAGCAGCAGTTCTTTGTTTGGCGAAGCTTATGTGTGTGTCTTCGGCATATTGTGAAGAAAACTTACCATTGTTAATTACTATCATGGAGAAGTCTCCGGATCCAATTATTAGATGTAATTGTGTTCTTGGACTAGGTGATATGGCAGTCTGTTTCAATAATTTAGTTGATGAAAATACTGACTTCTTATACCGTCGACTTGCTGATGAAAACATCATGGTTCAACGTACCTGTTTAATGACGGTTACATTTTTGATTCTTGCAGGACAGGTCAAAGTCAAAGGACAATTATCTTCCATGGCCAAGTGTTTGGAAAACCCTGATCAAGGAATTAGTGATATGTGTCGTCTTTTCTTTACAGAATTGGCTACCAAGGATAATGCCATCTATAATGGATTTATTGACATTTTCAGTGGGTTATCCAATGATGAGACTTTATCTAAGGATTCAATGAAGAGAATTGTAAAGTTCTTAGTTGGATTTATTGAAAAGGAGAAACATCAAAAACAATTAGCTGAGAAATTATTAGCACGTTTAATCAAGTGCCAAGATGAATTACAATGGAATGATATTGCTTATGTTTTGAATGCCATTCCGTATAAATCCGAAGATATTACTCAGGCATTAGAAGGGGGGTTCAAAATGGTACTGGCCAGACAGTAGAATTTATAGAGCTATGTACATTAATATTTGCTATAAAAAGAAACAGAATTACTTTAAACAATAATCTTGGGAATTAAGCTTTTCGGAAATTGGTCTTGCCTTAGTCTCTTTTGTATATATCCTTTTTAATTTTTATATTATTATTTTTTTAGCATAATTTTATTTCCTTCCCCATTAATATGCGGATCCGTAAATGTCACAAAATATAATAGCAATTGACATCTAACTAGTTAATTATTAATTTTACAGTAATCAAATAGCCATGGGAATCCAAATCATTCAGGATGGGATTCTTAGACTCCATGAGTATACTTCATTGGATGAAGCGAGTCTCAAAGTGGTTATTTGTGCGTTATTATCCTACCCTTTTGGAGTGATATTCAAACGTTTACCTGATCGCCAATACACATTAAAGAACATATTTGTTGTCTTAGTGTCTTCCTTCTACATCTTTGGTGTATTGAACCTCTATGATGGACTCTATACGCTCTTAATTTCATCTTTAGGATGTTACTTTATTACCAGATACGTTCGTACATCTACAATGCCCTGGATCAATTTTTTGTTCTTGATGTCCCACTTGGCCTTTAATCATGTTCATAATCAATTCTTCCAAACCGCTGACTTCACAAAGATAGACATTACTGGTGCACAAATGGTCTTAGTTATGAAGTTATCTGCGTTTGGCTGGAGTGTGTACGATGCCAAACAACCTAAGGAACTGCTTTCTCTGTATAACAAATCTCGTGTCATCCGCAAGCATCCAAATATTTTACCATACCTTGGTTATGTGTTTTTCTTTGCATCGGTTTTAACTGGTCCTGCCTTTGACTATGCTGATTATGACAAGTTCATTCATTCCACTCTCTTTGATGACGTACCTGACTCTAAGAGACCAGGAAGAAAAGTCAAACGTAAGATTCCTAGAAGTGGACGTCAATCTATGTGGAAGTTGGCTCAAGGTATATTCTGGGCTGTTTGTCTTGTATTATCTTCCCGTTTTGTTTCACTTGATTATGTGTTCAATTCTGAATTTGTAACAAAGCATTACTTTGTATACCGTATTTTCTACCTCTGGGTACTTGGATTCAGCCATCGTTTGAAATACTACGCTATTTGGTTAATTGCTGAAGGTAGTTGTATCTTGTGTGGTATTGGATATAATGGATATGATGCTGAGACTGACTCATTCAAGTGGAATAGAGTACAAAACATTGATCCATATTCTTTTGAAACTGGTCAAAATGTTCATATTTGTTTGGAATCTTGGAATATGAATACTAACAAATGGTTGAAGAATTATGTTTACTTTAGAGTAGCCAAAGCAGGAAAGAAACCAGGATTTAAGAGTACTCTTTTCACCTTTGTTACTAGTGCCTTTTGGCATGGTACCAGACCAGGATATTACTTATCGTTTGTCATGGGTGCATTCCTTCAATCTCTTGGTAAAATATATCGTCGTAACTTCCGTCCAATGTTTTTGAACGCCGATGGATCCGCAAAGCCAACCAAGAAATTATATGATATTGTTTGTTATATTGTTACTCAATTGGCATTTGGATACATTGTTCAACCATTTGTGATTTTAGATTTTAAGAAATCTATTTGGTGTTGGTCTACCGTTTACTTCTACGTGAATTTTGTTATTGCTATCACTTTTTTCGCATTTAAAGGTCCATACGGCAAGCAAGTTACTGCATGGTGTAAATCTTACCATCCTGTTGTTGAAGTAAAGAAGGTAAAGGATGAAGAACCAACCAAGAAGAGAGTTCCATTAAGTGTTGAGGAAAGAGAGAAGGTTACCAAGTTGGTAGGTCATATTACTGTAAAGGAAGAGACAGAAGTTCCATCATTAGGTTTGCCACTGATTGAAGCATTCCAAGAAATGAATAAAGAAGAATTTGATCAAGATATGAAGGAGCTTGGAGAAGTTTGGACTTCATTCCGTGGAAGAAGAAAGTCAATTCATGACGATGACTTTGAAGGACTCAAAGATGCCTATAATAACTTCAAAGAAGAAATAAACGATATTTTCCAGGCACAAGTTGAAAAGAAAGAAGATTTAAAAGCTCTTAATAAGAAGAAAGAGAATTGATCAGCCGTTCACGTGATACGTTTCTATATCATTTCCATCAATATCTAAAGAGACATATATAAATTATTACTTTTAACATTTTTTTTTTTATTTTCCAAATATATTACTTTTTTCGTGAAACAATGTTTAAGGGTTTAGCATACTGAAGTAATTATCCTTTTTTTAAAAGAATATTTTTATTTCTATACGAAATGTATTGTATGATGCCATTTATTCTCGTATAGATTACTCTCATAAAGTGAAATTGTGTTGGCTTATTTTTTTTATGTGAAGGATCCTGAATATTAAGCTGAGTTATATGGAGGACAACCTACAGGAGGTATAATCTAGAGTCATCAATGCAATGCAATTAGCTGGGTGTGCTTGAAGCAGATACGGAAATGTCCAATGTATACGGTCTGTTAACGTAAGGCTCATGCCAACCCGAGGCGGGGGGTTAGGAGAAAAAGAAAAGTGCAAGAGATGAAGTCTACTCACTATAGCTATAAATTTAGATTGATTAATTGATTATATTAAAGAGAAGGAGAGGAAATATAGGGTATTTAGAGAGTATTAATCCTGCAATATGTAAAACAATTATTCACAACGAAGCTTAAGCGTTTAGAATATAAAATATAACAGATTTATCGCAGTACAGCATGACTCCCACCACATGCAGTCCTGTACAATTTTTTGAAAAAAAAAACTATTTCCTGTATATAGATGAGGTGGAGAACCATAGCAATACCTAGGATGAAAAGAACACTGAATGATCCAGATCAAGATTATTCAATATTTTTCATTAATATATATAAGAAGCTCCTTGCTTTTATTCAAGAGTAAACTCTTAATACTATATTTATTTTGCAATATGTTCAGTGCCACTATGCGTCGTAGCATTGGATTTGGATTAAGATTCAATTCCACTGTTAGCACTCGCAAGCCTACTGGAATTGTCTTTATGAATATGGGAGGTCCTTCAAAAGTAAGTGAAACTTATGACTTTTTACTCAGATTGTTTTCTGATAAAGATCTTATTCCATTACCGTTCCAGAAATATCTTGCTAAGTATATTGCTAAAAGAAGAACTCCATCTATAGAAAAGAATTATGAAGACATTGGTGGTGGGTCGCCAATCAGATATTGGTCAGAATACCAATGTCAACGTGTATGTTCCATTTTGGACAAAACAAACCCAGAATCTGCTCCACATAAACCTTATGTAGCCTTCCGTTATGCCAACCCGCTTACCGAAGATACCCTCCAACAAATGTTGAAAGATGGTGTTGAAAGAGCGGTGGCATTCTCTCAATACCCACAATTCCTGTATTCCACTACTGGTTCATCTATGAATGAACTTTATCGTAAAACTATTGAGTTAGATCCTAAAAGATCAATTCAATGGTCTTTCATTGATCGTTGGCCAAAACATCGTGGTTTGGTGAAGGCTTTCTCTCAACATATTGAAGATAAGCTTGCCGAATTCCCTGAAGAGGATCGTAAGGATATCTTACTTTTATTCTCAGCCCATTCACTCCCGATGGATATTGTTAACCGTGGTGATTCTTATCCAGCTGAAGTTGCTGCTACTGTGTACGCAATCATGGAAAATTTGGGCTTCTCCAATAAGTACCGGTTAGTTTGGCAATCACAAGTTGGTCCAAAGCCATGGCTTGGTGGACAAACCGCTAAAATTGTAGAAAAATTAGAAAAGAAGGATGAAGTCAAGGGAATCGTTTTAATTCCTGTTGCATTTACTTCTGACCATATTGAAACTTTACACGAATTGGATATTGAATTGAAAGATGAATGTGAATTTCCAGAAAAGATAAAGCGTGCTGAATCTTTGAACGGTAATCAAGAGTTTATAGAAGGACTTGCAGAACTTGTCCAGACCCATTTGAAGTCCGGTGAACCTTATTCCAAGCAATTGGAGTTAGATGTGTTGCTTGCAGGTGAGTATGCCTCGGATACATTCAAACATCCAAGTGAATTGTTCGGTGATCATAGAAAGTTATAATAAAAGTATTAGAATAGTTAAAATGATAAGTTGATTGTAGTATACATTATCTATATATTGTTTCTCTGTTAAATGAGAGTTCCCATTATTTCCCTCCAGAGGGGTTGATGGGCATCATGGTTTTGATATCCTTACATCTTTATCAATCAGAGAATTCGTCTTCAGGATCAAATAAGTCCAAATCAAGTACCTTTGGTTCCTCAACTGGTCTCTTTTCTTGGTGACCATGAACTTGGTGTCTTACTTCAGGAACTATTGGAGTTTCTTCTTCATCCACTTCCATATTTTCTTCCTCCTTTGGTTCAACGCTGGTTCCGCCCAATTCACTTTGTATAATCTCTTCACCTCGTAATGAGCTCACGGCTAACATACCTCTTCTCAAAGCATCTTCAGCTGGCCAGATATAATTATTTGGATGTACAGTTTGAAATGGTACGTCTGATGTACTCGGTGGGGCTTTAGTGAATTTGGAAAGTTTCATGGCATACTTGAGCACTTCTTTAACATCCACTATATTTCTATCATTATCAGATGATTTCTTCACCGTTGGTAACAGCGGAAGCTTTTTCAATTCAGCTCTATATTGAATGAATTTCCTTAAAGTATTTTTGGATGCCAAATCTAACTGCTTACGTTCTTCTTCCAATGATTTGATTTTCTTACCCAATATTTGGTGTTGCTCTACTCGCGAAATACCTTGGTAAATGGCATCATTAAGTGATATCAAAGTTTCTACAGATTTTAATATTCTATCATCTCTAAAGGAAGAGATATCAGATGAAAGTAAATTCAATTCTTTTTCAAACTGTGTAAGGTCTTGTACAATGGGTAATTTCTCGAAATCTTCCACTTCTTCATTAGTTTTGAAAGTACCACCTGACAATATTGGTGGGTTTCTAGTAGGATTTAAAGATGATGAAACGTAGGCGTTTGGAGTAGATGGAATGCTAGCATATGCATTAGGAGTGGCTGTTCCTTGTGATGACAATTGGTTCAATCTTGCAGATGAGCCTACTCGAGACACGGGGACCGATAGAAACGCTTGATTGTCTGTGGGCTTTCTATGTGGAAGCATCTTGAAATTGTAATTTGTCGTACTGTTCAATATTGGAAAGTAAATAAAAAAAATTATTTATATGTGTACAAAAATGAAAAGATTGATTTTGATACTCGCGATTTATACTCAAGAGATTGTATGTAGATTAAGATTGATTGAAGATAGAATTGAATATATATAACCGAAAGATGCAATGGGTAAGCATCGGAATGTATTTGGAGATGGCTCAGACACCGATAGTGAAGATGAAGTGCCTCAAGTGAGACGCAAACCTGTGGTTAAACACTTCTTTCTTCCTAAAGATGATATACCACTCAATAAGAAAGAGGAATCAAATTCAATGAATACAAGTATGAATGGACTTGAATCAGTTGAAATATCTGAAATTACTACAGTCGATGATCATCAACATTATATGGAATTTCCAATTGGACAAAATGTTACATCATCGATAAACACATCTTTATTCCAGTCAGATCATAAATCAGTAGGACTATCCATCATGGAAAAAATGGGGTTCAAAGTTGGCCAATCGTTGGGTCAAGATAATCTGAGAACAAATGCTATGTATGAGCCTATCACGGTTATCCCAAGAAAGTCTCGCATGGGTATTGGGGCTGCTCAATCCCTTGATGGTTTCATACAAGACAAACAAGTTACCAATAATGATATCGGTACTTATCGGGAACGTATTTCTGATCATAAAACGGAGGAAAAGAATCAAAAGGTTTGGAGAAAACTAATGAAATTATGCTATGAATTGAGTGGTGGTGAAGAAGATAGTGGTTCACAAGTTAATTCGCTTTGGAAAGTTTATGTTATGGAAATGAATCAACTTAACCTGGAAAAACGTCAAAGAACTCAAATTGTAAATATAGGAGATGACAAACAAAACGAAATACAAACTGATAAGCAAATCAATTCAGTGGACGATATCCTTTCAGTACCAATATACGATAGAATTGTAAACTTGTTGACTTATTTAAGAAGTAACTACAAATATTGTTATTATTGTGGATGCTTTTTTGAAGATATGCAAGATATGTCGAACAACTGTCCTGGCATGCTAGACGAGGAACATATAAACGCCACCGGTTAAAAAAGAAGTAAATCATTAGCATCGAGTTTAGCCTGGATGAATCTCCTGTTCAAGATGCCAATTGAAACAGGCTCACTAGGTTCAGAAGAACTTGATGATAATTTCTCTCTCTCCTCATCATTCAACTTGTTGAAAACTAGGTTTTTCTTACCAAATGTTCCATACTGAACTGGTGGTTCAGGTTCCCGTTTATAAATTTTAGAATTATTTGGCTGGAATGCAATTTTAGTGCCAGGTTTGGTGCTTTCGCTGATACCCCAGTTAAGCAACAATCTATGACCCTTTACTTCCATTTTATCGAATGCTATTATGGCCCTTTCCGCTGATATTCTATGATAGAATCGAATACTAGCTGTTTGTAAATCATCAGAAATGATGCAGTATACAATGTCGCCAAATGATGTAAATATTTCAAGTAAATCATATTCATTTAATTTTCCCGATATCCCCTGAATCAATATTGTAGTGTTAAACGGATCGGTATACTTATTAAGTGGGGGGTGGGTTTGTGGAAGATTATAGTTTACATTCAGAACCAGGTTGGTAGTATTTACTGTGTGAGACAAGGCGGGACTTTCGGACTTGGAAGCTGCCTGTGAATGACTACTAGCACCACCACCTGTGTGCACATGAGGCTGATGCGATTGGTCATTAGTTGTACTACCACCACCACCTCTGGATGCCAATGCTAATCTGATTGGTCTACCGCCAATATTGACACCATTCATCTCCTTGAGGGCCTGTTGTTGTGTTTGTAACGTTGTGAATCGTATAAACCCGAATCCTTTCGAATTATTGGTTGATGGATCTATCATAATTTTGGCCTGCTTAATTTGATTAGGATATTTTGTTTGAAATGCATTGTAAAGAATAGCTTCTGTTAAATCTGGAGCTAAATCTCCTACGAAAAGAGACGTTTGATCGTCAGCATGGGAGTTATTTGTATGATTGGGTTGAAAAGTATTTCTTTGTGGTACACTTCCAAATGAATCGTTATTATTATTATTGTTGTTGTTGTTGTTAGCACCTCCACTGGCCCAATTTAATTTGAAAACTTTACTCATTCCTGGGATTTGCTGCCCATTCTTTTGAATGGCCGATTTTACACCTTGTTGACTGGTGAAAGTTACAAAGCAATATGGTGGCTTATATGGATCACTTCTCAATATTTTAACAGCTGTTGGAGTTTCTCCCTGAGCAGTCCAAATATCTATAATGAACTTTTCATCCCATTTTGGGTCAAGATCTCCCATCCATATTTGTAATGAATCATTATTTGAGTATGCTGGTGATTGGCGTGCTGTATTTCTAGAGTTACCATTAGGATATCCTCCTCCGTGTCTGTATGAGCTACTGTTTTGATCGCCTAATGTATTATTGTTGTTGTAACTCTTATACCCCGAATTATAGTAGTTACCTTGATTGTTGTAATTGTTGCTATTGTTACCATACTTCTTGAAAGGACGCAGTTGTTGGCGGGATTGGTATCCTGAGCCTCCTGATCCAGGAGACCCGGATCGGTACCCATTATTATATGACATCTCTACTTTTCTTTTATTCTTCAAAATCGGTCGTTAGAGAATGCTTCTACATCATTGAAAAGAAGGTGGGATATACAATGTGTTACATGCAGTAGTTGTATTTTTTTTTTTATTATTATTATTATTATTATTAAGTATTAAACGTACTGCTAGCAAACATATTTGAAATAAAATCAAACAGTTAATGTATATATATATATTGTGTCTTTGAGAAGGGTGGACTTTTACTTGCTTGATTAAATCAAAGTACCGTGTTATATTTGAAATCAAATATTTTTATATTAATTATTTTTGTTTGTTTGTTAACATTAATGCAACTAATATAATATTCAAAATAAATATTTATTATAAAAACTAATACATTAATATTGTGTATCAAAAAGTTGATGGTCCCAATAACATATTAAGGTTAAGAACTGATGAAATTTTATTATTCATATACTTCTCATCTAATTATCTACAGTTCTTATAAAATTTGCAGCCTATCCATTATTTTATTGAATATCATATGTAGTAGGAAAAAGTACTAAAAATACAAATCTATTAGACACCTTTCTTCAATAAGTCTCTCCCCAATCACTAAAATCCATACATATAGAAAAAAAAACATACATCTATCATGTATTTCAAATTGATGGTTAACCATAGTATAAATTAGATCAAAAAATCACCCATTACCTGCATATATCAATATATATGTATAAATATTTTTGTGTCACCTCGTTTTGTGTTACCACTTTCAGATTATATTCAAACGGAAATTCATTGGACTATTGTCAATTGAAATATATATACAAATCATAGAATCATAGTCAACACTTTTTGTTAAATATCTATTCGCATAACAAACAAAATGTTGTCCAGAGCTACCAGAACATACACCCCATTGGTCTCTAAGAGATTCCAACATGCTTCTACCACCAGCACCACCAAGTCTACTTTCACAAACAAATACAACTTCGACTTGAGCCCCCCACAAACTCACAAATACTGGAACTTGTACAACTCCACCTTAGCATTCGGTATTGGGTTTGGTGTCTTTGCTACCAGTGACTACATATACGGATCTTACTTTGATGCTATAAGTACTGAATTCTCCCCATTGCGTAGACCTTTGGACAACTCTGCACCAGTTAGAGACGGCAAGTTTGCTTAATTCCCAGCATATGTATATTATACATCATAGAAAACAATACAAAGAACATGATATAACTCATCCTTACATTATTCTACCATGTAGCTCGATCTTTGATCGATGTATATTCTTGTTGTATTTTTATTTTTGTAGCTCTTTTTCAAAAAAAACATTAATTAATTTTCAATTGAAACAAATGAAATTAGCACCATTGTACTTTACGTCGAATATCTAGAGATACTACTCCAATCTATATATTTTTTACATTTCAAATACTTCCAAATTGTAGTACTATACCTTTTAAAGTCATTGTAAATCTATCTCTCTGCATTACATAAGCACTGACGAATGCTATATTTTAATTTTTTTTTGGGATTTTTTTTTATTAATTTGATTTTTTCTCTTTCGCTTTCATTGGCTATTGGCGTTTTTGCGATACACCACCAAACTATATACAAAAATAAAACCTGAATTTTGTATCCATACAAGGATAAGTTTAGAAATTGTATTGACACATTTATATCCTCCACACACATCCATATATCATGTTGTCTAGAGTAGGGTTGAACACTTTCAGAGTGGCACGCAGGAACGCTGCCCAAAACGCTCGTTTCTTAACCACCAAGAACTCCATTGTTGATCATACTAATGGTAAGGTTATCAAGTTGAGTGACCCAAACCATCCAGAATTAGGAGACTATCCTATCATTACTCCTGTATTGGCCCAAAGCAAGGATCCATACGCCAAGTACGATGATCAACAAAACAGAAGAAACAACAACGATCCTTTACATCATGATGAAGATATGTTGGATATGTGGTCTCCAGACTATTATCAATTTGTTTCTGACAAGACAGCATTAAAGCAAAACGGTATTTTCTTTGGTCTTTTCTTTGGATTTGGTGCCGTATTATATTACTTCCAATTGAACCCAGAAAAGCCAGCTATGCCAAGATCTTTCCCATACGGTGGTTTGGCTAAGGAATTAGGATCTGGTAGTGCTGAAGATGATGAATTCTATAGAGTAAAGCCTGACTTGACTGCCGAAACTGAGCTTGGTTTCTTGACCGCTTCTGAACAAATTGCCGAAAACAGAAAGGTTTATGAAAAGGCCAACGCTGAATTCCTCAGCTCATGAGCAAATTCGACCAACCTTTTAACTTCCCTGCTCGACAACTCCATCACACGACCATCTACACCTCCTACTGTACAACAATAGCATCTTATAAGAAATATACACATTCAAGAATTGAATTTACAAATTTCTGTTTACGTTTAACATAAAAAGAAAAAAAGAAAAACATAAAACAGACAACATTGTAGAATTTTATTTATATGTGGGAAACGTTATATGTAGATTATTTATAGAGATATATTGTAAATTATATTTCATTGAGTATGCCAATTTCTTGTATCAGATAAGATCTAAGACGAATTGAAATGTCTCCAGTGTCTTGTCTACTTACCTTCAAATAGTGTGTATGTGTATACAGCCTGTACACAATTTTTTTAAAAGAATAAATATGAACGCCTAAAAAAACAATTTGAAAACATTATCTGCACTCAGCTTGGAGTTAAACTTAAATTCAAAACTACACAAGTGTGACAGAACGGAAATAAATTGAAATATTATTTACTCTTTATTTTTTATTATTTAATAGCAGAGAAAAGTAGACACTGGGCTACCCATCTTTCTGACTCAGCTTCGCTTGTATATATATATAATGACCACTTCGAACTCCCGACGGTCGCGACGCATAAGTGCTCAAGAGTTAAGTGGTCTAGAAGTACCAGCTTACATTGATAACGCGCCACCTTCATCCAGAAATCGAAATCGAAGTACTCGAACGGCTAAGACCGAGGAGGATGAACCTGTGACACCACTGCACAAGAAGAGAAAGTTAAATACAGCGTCGGGTCCTCCTCAAGAGGTCGTAGCTAATTTGATGACAAAGCATAGCTTGTTGGTAAATGAATTATTCAACTTAAAGGAATACAAATCTGTAGTTTACTGGGATCCGGCTATTTATTCAAAGACTACAACCCCTCTTCCTGAAATATTTGAGGAATTTTGTAAAGCTCCCGAGTATCAATTAAATTGGAGCGAAAATGCTGAAGAAGAACAACGTGAATTGATCAGTGTACCATTAAGGCTTCAAAAGAAGATTATCGCTGAGCGTGAAACAAAAATCAATAAGACGTACCCGTTCAAACCGGCCGCAATAGAGAAGAGTATTGAGTTAGAAGAACAATACCTTAGGGCCATAGATAGTTCGACGAAAGGTGTTTCCATCGAAACAAAGGTTAAAAGCGGATCAAGCAATACGTCACTTAAGATAGAACCCATAGAATCGAAACCTTCCAGCACAAAAGTGAAACAAGATAGAATCACATCATCCAAGCCAAATGGAGAATCAAAGCAATCGTCAACTATAGCTCCACCCTCAACTAAGGGAAATACCAAAAGATCGAATAACAAAGCGGTTAGTACTATCAAAGAGGAAAATGAAACTCTCGAGGAACATGATCCGGATGTGGATACTAAGGTAGAACTGTCAGAGGAGGAAGAAATTAATACAAATTATAAAATTAAAGAAGTAAAGTTTTCAATTCCACCTCCATTGGTAACACATCCATCACACATCCCTTCTTGGATACCGAGTCTAGATGATAATATGAATAATAATAATAATGGTAATGAGAAGTCCGACACGATTCTAGAGTTTGATACCAAGCCAATTCAAGTACATGTTAATAGCAAGAGTCATGTATTAGAGCAACCAGAGATTCAAAGTAAGATCCAGAATTTCCTTCAAAATAGATATAAATCTGCAATCGTTGATGAATCTACGTTACCGGACTATAACAGTACTCCAGAAGAATACGAGGCTATAATGGAACAACAAGAAACACTTGTACGAAAATTATACCAAAAGATTCATATTGAAAGAAGGTTGGAGCTTAATGGTGAAAAAATTGAACCTAGAAAGACCTTTTTACCTCAAACCAATGCCAAAACAATTATAGATCCATTTAGAGCAAATGATCTTATTATTACAGCCAAGTCTGTACAAGGTACGGTACCTTCAGCCACACATCAAGATATACTATTGTCACAAGGTATGGCATTTTCTAAATTACACCAACAAGCAAGAAAGCAACATCAAGTACGGACAAGAAAAGTTGCACAAATGATAGAACTGTACTTCAAAAAGAAAAGAGGAGAAAAGGAAAGGCTTGCCCGTGAACGTGAACTTAACTTGAAAAAAATCAGTCGTTTGGCAGTTCAAGCTGTTAAGAGAAGATGGGTCCAAGCCAGTAAAGTTTACCGTCACTTACAACAAGAAGAGGAAGAAGAACTAAAGAGAATTAAAGGTAGAGAGCATCTTTCTCAGATGTTGGAGCACTCTACTCAGCTTTTAGAAGCCCAGCTTGCCAAGCCAGCCGAGGAGGAGAAGACAGGAGAAGAGGATGCATCAGGAGGTGATAGTGATGGGTCCAGTGACTCTGATGATCATCTCAGTTCTAGTTCGGATGAAGAGCTGGAGGAAGAATATGAAAGTGTCGCTATAGGCACTACTTCCGGTGATGAGAACCTCACAGTCGAAGAATTAAGATCTAAATATAAAGATTTAGGTGAAACAACAACCCCTATATCTTCACGCACAAACTCCGGATCAGACTCCGATGATGATTCTGACAGTGACATTGATGTAAATGATGGGTTGTCAGCGTTATATGGTGGCAAAAGTAAGACACCAGAAATAACGGGCGACACACCTATCTCTGTAGAATACACTGAGGAACAGAAGGAGATGATTGAATCAATTTCGAAGGATGACAATATATCTGTTCTTGACTCCAGTGATAGCAGCGATATGGATGAGAGCGATGACAGTTCCAACGATAGTTCAAGCGATGCAAGTGAATCAGAAGCTGAATCCAAGAGTGTAGGTTTATCTTCCTTATTCGCGAATGGTTCAGTTGAGGATGAAAACTCTGACGCGGATGTTGATGCAGATGTTGATGTTGACATGAATTCTGATAGTGATGATGATAATATGAGTATGACTACCGATGAAGATGACGAGCCAAAAACACCAAAAACCTCCGATTTATCATCAATAGACGAGAAAGGTGGAGAAGATATTGTCGAGGAAGAAATCAATGGATCAAAAGTCCGTGATGTTCCAATTCCTTCTTTACTCCGAGGAACACTCAGACCTTATCAAAAACAAGGATTGAACTGGATGGCCAGTTTGTACAACAATAATACAAATGGTATATTGGCCGATGAAATGGGTCTTGGAAAAACAATCCAAACCATCTCTTTATTATCTTATTTAGCATGTGAGCATCAAATATGGGGACCACACTTAATTGTTGTTCCAACTTCGGTCATGCTTAACTGGGAAATGGAATTCAAAAAATTTGCGCCTGGTTTCAAAGTTTTGACTTACTATGGATCTCCACAACAAAGAGCTGCAAAACGAAAGGGATGGAACAAACCAGATGCTTTCCACGTCTGCATCACATCTTATCAATTGGTTGTCCATGACCACCAGTCATTTAAGAGAAGAAGATGGAGATACATGATCTTAGACGAAGCTCACAATATCAAAAATTTTAGATCAACCCGTTGGAGAGCTTTGCTTAATTTCAATACAGAAAATAGACTTTTGCTTACCGGTACTCCTTTGCAAAATAATCTTATGGAATTGTGGTCCTTACTTTACTTTTTAATGCCTTCGTCAAAGGTCAACCAAGCAATGCCCGATGGATTCGCCAACTTGGAGGACTTCCAAACTTGGTTCGGAAAACCTGTTGATAGAATCTTAGAGCAAACATCAGCTGGAACTGCAAATCCCGATTTAATTGATGAATCCGAAAAAACTACCGCAAAATTGGATTCAGAAACAAGAAATACAGTGGCTAGATTGCATCAAGTTTTAAGACCTTACTTGCTTCGTAGATTAAAGAAGGACGTGGAAAAGCAAATGCCTGGAAAGTATGAACATATCGTATATTGTCGATTATCTAAAAGACAAAGATATTTATATGATGATTTCATGTCGCGAGCAAAAACTAAAGAAACTCTTGCATCTGGAAACTTCCTTTCAATTATCAATTGCTTGATGCAATTGAGAAAAGTCTGTAATCATCCGGATTTGTTTGAGGTGCGGCCAATCGTGACTTCGTTTGCCATGCCTCATTGCGTTTCAACCGATTATCAAGAGCATGAAGCTTCTATTCGTAGATGTCTTCGGGATGAATCTTTTAGAAATGATATATCTTTAAATGTTCTTAACCTCGATATTACTAGCTCAGATAATTTGAATTACTTCACCAGTAAATCTATCGAGCTACTTAAGGCATCAAAAGATCTAGAATCCCAGATCAAGGAACTTGATGTATTGATTGAAGCTTCTCTGGATTTCAAGCAACCAAAGTTAAATGATCATGTAGAATATTACAAGTTTCACAAACTTAGACTACAGATTGAAGTTCAAGAAAAGCTCAAGCAAATTTTGTATTTGAACAACTTGAGATGTAGCAGACAGCCATTATACGGGGAACAATTGTTGAAAAAACTCAAGCTTGATCTGGGTGTATTATCAGACATATATAATGATATTGTTTTGTCAATTGATCAACGAAGTGAATTGATGTCTGATACCATTGAAAAGTTTTCAGTGCTCACTCCAGCTGTTGTTACATTGGATATGAAAGATCAAATCATTCCATTATCTACACAATATAAGGTTATGGAAGAAGTATCGAAACAAACAATAGATAACCCATTCCATAAGTCACAAGTTAAACTTTCCATCGCATTCCCTGACAAATCGTTGTTACAATATGACTGTGGGAAATTACAGAAGTTGGCCCTGTTACTTCAAGAGTTGACTGCTGGTGGTCATAGGGCGTTGATTTTTACTCAAATGACCAAAGTGTTAGATATTCTTGAACAATTCCTTAATATCCATGGATATAGATATATGAGATTAGATGGGTCTACCAAGATTGAAGATCGTCAAATTTTAACAGAAAGTTTTAATAGAGATAACAAAATTCCTGTGTTCATCCTTTCAACACGTTCTGGTGGGTTAGGTATTAATTTAACTGGGGCTGATACAGTTATCTTTTATGATTCTGATTGGAATCCAGCTATGGACAAACAATGTCAAGACAGATGTCATAGAATTGGACAGAGTAGAGATGTCCATATCTATCGATTTGTTTCTGAATACACCATTGAATCTAATATTTTGCGGAAGGCTAACCAGAAGAGACAATTGGATAATGTTGTTATTCAAGATGGTGAGTTTACAACTGATTACTTTGGTAAATTTTCTGTTAAGGATTTAGTTGGTAATGCTGACATTGAGGGTGTAGCAGACAAGCCTATTGGAGCAGAAATTGGTAACGTTGACAGTGTCTTAGCTCAAGCTGAAGATGAAGACGATCGTGCAGCTGCTAATGCAGCCATGAAGGAAATTCAAGTAGATGACGAAGATTTCGATGAAGAAAACAAACCAACAACCACTGGTGGTACCCCTGCAAGCACCCCAGGTCCTACTCCGACGATGTCAGGTACTCCTGCGCCAGTACCAGAAGCTCATGTTAACCCCGACTTAGCTGATGTTGATTTTGAGGAAGGTGTTGGGCACGTCGATGAATATATGCTTAGGTTTATTGCAGATGGGAATTACTGGGATTAAAATGTATAATATAGAACTAATAAATTTATTAATAGTATTCAAAAGATGAAAGCAAAATGTATCAAAAGTTCGCAGCCAAAAATTGTAAAGTCAAAAAAATGCAGAAATTATGAGCCCCTTCAAACCTGCATATACCAAATGTGTCCGGCCAAATTTCGTCCCTTTTAATTAAGATAACAATATTGAAAGTTGTTTGATCAATTGAGACTTAATTCTACAACATAAATCTATCATTAAAATGTCTTCTGGAATCCAAGCCTTATTAAAGACCGAGAAAGACGCTGCTGAAATTGTCAATGAGGCAAGAAAGTACAGAACCAACCGTTTGAAGTCTGCTAAGGCTGACGCTCAAAAGGAAATCGACGAGTACAAGCAACAAAAGGAAGCTGAATTGAAGAAGTACGAAGACGAACATGCTGGATTAAACGAGTCTATCAGTAAGGATGCCGATGCCGAAGTTCAAAAGGAATTGGCTGATATCAAGGCCAAGTATGCTGAAAAGAAGACTGCTGTTGTAAAGTTGTTGGTTGACGCCACAACCAAGCCTACTCCTGAATTGCACATCAATGCTTAATAAGTATGCTTAAGAGACATTGACTGAAGAACTAGTCTGTTACTGGATTATATCAGACCATGGTTCTGAGTATTTTGGATTTTAGTTCATAAAACAAATAATTAGAAATTTCATATTATACGAGAATATTTTATCTATGTAAAGTAGTTTCTGTGATTTCCCCCAAACTTTATTAGCTTACAAGTAATAGCATAAGTATGTACCTAATTTAATATCTTACCTCTATATATAGTTCGAAATTGTTCTTGAATTATGGATCACGATATATAATCAACCACCACTTTTAGCTAACTTTTTGAATGCCTTGATAATATTCCATACTTTGAATTCGTAACCGGCACTGTTCAAGGCACTAACAAAGCCCCAAGCCTTCTTGCCATCTTGAATAGGATAGTCAATTACGGGTGGAATACTAGTAGCTAAACCAATGAGACGCAACAATGGCTTGTCCATAACAATAGACTTAGCCACACACAACCCCGTGAGCCCTTCTTCACCTCCAAATTTACCATAACCCGATTTCTTGATACCACCAAAAGGAAGTTGAGCTACATAGAAAGTGGCAAAATCGTTGATAGCAACATTACCACTCTTTAACTTGTTAGCGATATCACTACATTGATTGAAATCGTTACCAAAAATTGAAGCTCCTAAACCATATTCAGTACTATTAGCAAGAGATATGGCTTCGTCGACGGTACTAGCCTTCATCATGGTAAGAACAGGGCCAAATACTTCTTCATTTGCAATATTCATGCTGCTATCGACATCAACCAATAACGTTGGTTCAAAGTAATGTCCTTGTGGATAGTTTGGATGTTGGTATGCTTTCCCTCCAGCTATTAACTTTGCTCCCTTCAGTACAGCATCTCCAATCAATGCCTCAATTTGTGGGAATCTATTATCGGAAATCATTGCCCCCATATCAATTTCATCTAATTGGTCAATATCAGAACCAACTCTAAGGGACTTTACTCTTTTACTAAGGATGTCAACCAATTTCTCATAGGATTTTGGTAAACATATGACTCTTTCAATACCAATACAATTTTGACCAGCACTTTGAAAAGTTCCTCTCATAATAATAGATGAAAGACGATCTGCAGACTTAGCTACATCATCTAATACAATGAAAGAGTCTTTACCCCCGAGCTCTACGACGCAAGGAGTTAATTCCTTCGCTGCCGCTTGAACTACCTTGTGGGCAACTGGCTTCGAACCAATGAAGGTGATGTGCGATAATCCTGGGTGTGAGGTGAAATGATCCGCATCTTCAGGAAAGCAACAAGTTAATTGAACCAAATTTGGATCCAATTGCAACAGTTTCAATGCTGTATGAATAAGTTCTTCTACAAACCACTTAGATGACCAATAGACTTGCTCGGAACATTTAACGACAATTGCATTTCCCGTGAACAAGGCGGCAATAACGGGCCCCAAAAGATTGTGGAATGGATAGTTCCAAGATACTAATGCAGCAACCACTCCCATAGGTTCATATCTAACTTCACCATTTTTCATCATTCCAATAAGCAAATTGGCAGGCCCAGGACGTTGAGAAGGTCTCAACGCCTTTTCACCATGTGCAATTATCCAATTGATTTTCTCTAATGTAACCATAATCTCACCCATCAGAGCATCTACTTTGGTTTTCCCACTGTCTCTACAAGCGACACTTGCAATTTCCGCCTGATGTCCAACAATAAATGCATTTAAAGTACGCAAGAGCTTTCTTCTCAAGATGAACAGTGACTTAGCCCATTCGACCTGAGCCTTAGTTGCGTTGGCTATTTGCAAATCCATTCCATCTCTAGTCGTTGCTGGAAGTACTCCTAATGATTGTCCAGTGGCTGGACAGTAACATTGTATCTTTGTTGGATCTGATACTACACGAGTGGACAAATTTGGAGGATATAATCTTTTGCCCTTCCAATGTGGCTTGGCTTCTTCTGGAACAGGTACTTGTAATTTCATGGGTGCTTCTAGATTGTTGTATCTGTTTGGCTGCTTCGAAACATATCGTTCATACAAGTAGTACAACGAAGGAACAATTCCAAAGACAAAAAACGTTGTCAGAATCTGATATTGCCACTGCCATGTTTCAAACTTGAAATCAATGGCAATCATGACTAACTATACAAATTCTAGGATTTCTAAGAGTCAGGTAAATTGATCTACTTCGTCACAACTGATGTGTTATATATATGTGTATATCAACAAAAATCAAATACTAAACGAGATATATGCAGGAAATGGAAACATTGTATGATGTTAATTTTTAAAAGTTGCAAATTCTATACTTATCGGTTTCTACTTGATATGGAATTCTTTACCAGATAAAGTCCTCTATGTATGAATTGATTTTATATTTTATTTATATAAAACTTAATTCTCAGCTTCAGCCTCATCGCCTAACTCCAATTGATCTATAATATCGGCCAAATCATTTTCGCCAGCTGTTTGATTTTGTACAATTGCACCAAGTACATTTTGATCCACATAGTCAAATAATGAGTCTACCACATGTCCACCACTTACGCCAGTAAATTCGTTATAAGCGGAAGAGTTATCGTGTGGGGGGAGAATATCATATTCAAATACATCATCGCGAGCCCAAACTGATTCAGGAACCTTGGCCATAATTTTATTCTCACCAGATAAAATTGCAAATCTAACAAGATTAAATGGGATAGATTTATTTTCGTCTGATTTAGAAGATCCCCAAATTGAAGATAAAAATGAAGTACTTTCCTTATTTGGTACTTCAGAAAATAACTTCAATAATTCATCATGTAAGAATTCACGTTCACCCTGTTCTTTCCACAAAATTGCCGCACGTACAAGGTATGTTTCAGCAGCAAGTAAAGTTTCTTCGCTTGGGGTGAAGTTTTCATTACTTGGAAGTTTATATGGAAGTCCAATAACTTCTAAAAGTTTGAATGCAACATATCTATGTTTAGTGAAAGCTAATTTCAATTGTTTCTTTGCATTCTCTTGATCATTTCTACGGAGATGAGCTAAAACTGCAGAAAACGCCAACCCTGGAGTCAACCATTTGGAATAAGTGGTTACTAGTGGCGATTGAACTAATTGTAAAAGCCACGAATATTCTTCACTCATAATAGCATAGAAATCAACAAAATATCTAACACCAATTGGATCTTCTGCTGGACATAATGATAATAAGAATTTACAATAATTCAATGCAGTGAAGAATGTTGATCTTTCTCCAAGATTAATAATATAACGGAAAAGACATAAATGGAATTGTCTATTCATGAATCCTTCATATGGTAAGCGAACAAGTCCATTTTGACCTTCTGAAAGAGATTCATGGAATGATTTGTGAAAGCACCTGTCAAACACAAAGAGTGCCTTTTCAATCAAGGCATTACTGGTGGATTTGTCACTTCCTTGTCTAAGAAGTACCATTGCCACTTGAAGTAAAGTTTCAGCATGATATGGGAATTGTTGTAATAATTGCATAAGGGATTCTGGATCAGGAGTCATCACCACAGCCGCATAAAATCGAGAATTAGCAACTCTATCCTGAACAGAATTATTAAGTTTGGTGAAATGATAATATTTAACTCCCAATTTTGCCTCTCTGTTTATTTTCGCTGAGAGTTCGGCACTATCAGCAGTGTCCTCCTTATAAGACATATATTCTAACATATCTTTTGGCTTAATTTCTTCCATACCTAAAGGCTTCTGAGCAGTAGGCAACCAATCATCACGAATTCTGGAGAGTAGAAGTTTTCTGGTAGTACCAGGAACATTTCTACGATCTTTACCACCCCAACCTCTAGTAAGTCTTGCTAATCTCTTGAATTGTTGTAAAACCTCTGGTGAAATGGCCAATGATGTGGTTGTATTGGCATCCTCGATCGTATCAACTGATAACTTCCCAAACAAATTACGGAATTCTTGATCGGCATCTAAGTTCTTCACTGACTTGATGGATAATACAGAAAGTGATTTTTCTAATCTGGCACTAGTGAAGAATTTATAGTTTGAGTCATACTCCTTAACATCCTCTTCTTCATTGTATTCCCATTCATATTCATCTTCATCTTCCAGTTCAATCTCAGGTGTATTGCCGTTTGAGGCGGAGTATTTCTCTTGATCTTTTCTTTTCACTTCTGCAAGAAACTTATCCAACTCTTCATCACTATCCACTGTTTCTTTAGATTTCGATTTCTTCAGTTTCTTTGATTTTTTATTCTTCTTCACTTCTTGTTCTTTCTTAGGTTCCTGTGCTTTCGATGATTCAGCATCACTTACAGAATCCTCTTCATCGTTACTTTCTTCTTCACCATTCAAAAATGCAAACGCATTGAAAGACTTTTGTGGTGGTTCATAATCAGATTCAACTTCATTATCCAGAGGGGTTTCAGTATTTCCACCCAATTCTCCAAATTTCTGTCTTTCAAGTCTTCTCAATGCTCTAGAACTCATTTTCCAATTGTCTTTGGTTGAGAGTAATCTTCCTTACTTCCTTCTACTTGATATGCAACGAGCAACACAAATTTAGTCACTACTTGACTTTTCTTTTTCGATCTATTTTTTTTTTTCTCATATATTTTTGATTTTGCCTCTTTTTCCTTTCGTTTTGCGGACATTTTTCCTACTTTTGTATTCAGCTTGCAGCCATGTGTGGGTGCAAATATGATTTTTAAACTTGAGAAAAGGAAATATGTCTAATATTATTATTTATCCATGGAACCGGTCCCCAAATTAGTGTATGATCCTCTTCCTGCGAGGGCTAATTCGTACCCTAATATTGTCCAACAAAAGGTTCCAGACCTTTCTAATTCCAATATTACAAGATCAAATACAAATGGAACACTTTATAGAAATCCGTTGGTTACTGAACAAATATTGAATAACGGGAACAAGATAAATCTACTTGGAAATGATATACAATCCCCAACGTATAGCCTAGATGAAATTATGGATATTTATTTGCATTTACCTAAATCGAAGGAAGGTGAAAGTGATGATATTGCAATAATAGACAAAGAAGATAATGAGATAGATTTTTCTGAAAAAACTAGTTCGGAAATACAATCGCCAGTACCAATAATTTCGTTTTCTCCATTAGATAGAGAGTCGAGCCTTCGAAATATTAGAAGAGAGATGGCTATTGAGGAGCTAATTTCAAGTGAGACGACATATGTGAATTCTCTTCGATTGTTATTAAACTTTTACATTTTTCCATTGATATCTGTAAAAGAATGCAGTCAAACACTTAATCTCATAATGGGTTATATTGAGATGTTATATAAGAGTCATAGACATTTACTTGGCATAATGAGGACAATGGGATCTGAAGCAACACCAAGATCGAGCCAGCTGGCTACTTGTGTAGTTCTTTCAAATGTTGTATTGGAATATGGAATGTCTACACATTCATATGTTGAATATATAATACTATATGAAGATATACTAAAGCTAATGAATGATCCAATATTATCAGAAGCCCAAAGGCAAATAATAAGAGGATCAGAGAGTTATCTTGAAGCTACGCAGCCTATTACAACTCGAATGGATTTGTCATTTCTCTCGTTGTTACAAAGACCAGTCTCCCGCTTATCCAAGTATAGACTCATGTTGGAATCATTGTTGAAATATACTTCTATGATTGATTCAAATTATCACAATATTTCAAAAATGTCCACCTTAATACGTGAACGTCTTGAAGATATCAATAGGATGTCAAACGAGCGCAGAATGAAGGATACAGTTGACTCATTAAACAGAATAATAAATAGCAAAATCCCTATTCAATTTTTTGGAAAATGTCTACTAGCTGGCTCTCTACTCTGTGTATGGGTTGAATCTGAAAGTATTCGTGCAGAAACTTGTGGTGCTTTCTGTTTCAAATCCCACATAATTCTTGCAGCATTGGCGAAAAATAAACTACATGGTAAAGTGCACTTCATTATTCCACTTGTTGCATGCCAAATTATAATTCAATATATCGAGATGATCGATTTTGGGGGACTAACAACTGAATATCCATACTCCTTAAAATTGCTATTCGAAAGTAATTATGGGAAATATGAGATCATGCTCATTTCAATATCGGATCAAGAAAATAAAGTATGGGAAGAATATCTCGAGACATATATTTCACTTAATGGCCCTAGTAAAATGAATTATAGGTTCTCAAGAGATTGCAATATTAGTCCAATAGTAATGCAAATACCTGACCTGATTCGCCCCTATGACGTGAACATTTCCAAAGTATCTTCCCAAAGGCTAGTTCAATGTTATTTCTCCGAGTTGATGCGCATAGGAGTAATTCGATTTGGTGATAATCACTTCATTGAATCCAATAATGTTGAGCTAAAGGCTAATCATCGACTACAAAATGAAGCTATATTATCAAAAGTGTGGTCAATAGAAGTTCCCAAGATGAGGGATTCGCCAAGTAAAGCTTTTAAGGAGAAAAGTAAAACTTCAACTTGGTCTATCTGGAGCACTAAGGACACATACTCCAAAATCGATATTGATTCAACAGAGAAAAAGGATAATTCTTACGATGATAGTAGTATACAACATGGTCCAATCCAGGAGTTTGAACCAAAAAGAAACATTCGTACCAGGTCATTTACATTCTTAAATTTGTTCCATAAATAATTGTATATTTTCTTAGAATTGATCTTGATAATCAACAGTATTTAAAGTATGGAAATTCATAGCCACAAAAAGGGGATTCTAATTACCAGTGGCGCCAGCACCGATAGAGTCATTAGTAGATGAGCCACCTCTTTGGACGTTAGCAGCTCCGTTCTTTTCACCATCTTTCAAAATAGTCTTTATCACCTTATCAATGTCGGTGGTACCAAATTCGTTGGAAAGTTCGGATTTCGAAGCTTCATCGAGTACACCTTCAGATCCACCAGTTCTGTTTGTGAAGACTTTGTAAATTGAAAGGATGTCAATCAATGGAATGGTTGTGTCTCCCTTTTGGTACTTTTCAACTGAATCAGATTCTTCGATGAAAATTATGAAGTCATTGTCGGTACCCTTGTAAAAGATCTTTTGTGGAGCAGCCATTTTAGTATGTGTTTATTGTGTCGAGTATTATTATATGTATTGGAATTGATAATTAACCTTTATGGATAGTATAATAATGGAGGATGGGGATACTAGTCCAAGTATTTAAATAACCAATACTATCTCCACAATTCGCGACACGATTGCTATTTATGTCATCATGCATGGAACTCGTACAAGTGCGCATAATATTAGCAAGCAAAAGATCGGACGACCAGTGTGTTCGGAACATTGTCGCACGATATAGAAGCGTAAAGAAGTCTATTAAGGAGTTCGTAGCACTGATTGGGCAATAAATCTCTATTCTCATCCTGTATGATCAAGTGATTCACGGTTCACCACTATAATTGGAAAGCCAAGGATTTACACATCGAAACCGAATGCGGCAATAGGCTAAAAATAAAGAATTTACCAATAAATACAGTGCTCTACGTCTTTTATTTAAAGAATGGCACCATATCGCTTAGTACATTTGAATGTGCTCAGCTCAATCATTACCACTAATAAGAAGTATATATGGTGAAAGACAGAGTAAAAAGTGCAAAAAAAAGAAATTGATTCCATCGAGGATCGAACTCGAGGCCTTTTCTGAGTGAAAGAAACGTCATACCGCTAGACCATAGAACCGTATTTCTGTTTTTTTTAAAAAAAAGTGCCTTTTTGAAAACAAAATTTAAGCAAACTTTACAAAATTTTAGATTTACGACCCAATACGACCCCAATTTCACTTCAATTGTATATTGAAATGTACTTCTTGTAAAATATGCTTTAATTGGTGTGATAGGTTGTATTTCACTTGGCAGGAATTATGGTATATCCAACTAAAATAAAAATTTGTAATTGTCGGCCATTACTCCGGGTGTTCGTGTCCATCTTTACTAGCTTCGATTATTGATATTTATCTAAAGTTTAGATTGAAAATTAGATTAAATTATCATCTGGATGCTTGAATGTAATGAATTTTTTTTTATCCGTATCAAAATTTTGAATACTGATGGCCCAGTAACCAGCGAAAGTATTTCAAAACTCGCTAGTATAGATTGAGCTACTTCAAGGGATGATAAAACTTCATTCTATTGTTTGTGTGTTTAAATATCTACTAATGAAGTACGAAAAGACTTCGTCAGAGTTAAAATCTCTCAACTCCAGAGGTTGTAAATATGACAGCCAAAAAGAATTAGTTTGTTGTATTTTATTGTATTTTCAAATTCTGATAATACTTCTCTAGTGTTGATTTAATATAATTTTAAGAATTTCAATACGTAATTTACATGTATACTGGTCTAGAATCACATACTTAAAGACATAGCAATATAATTTGCAACTATTCGCTATGTCAAGTGCGGCACTAATTGGGTTGTCTGTTTCACAATTACCCACCAAAATTCCCCCGCGACTAAAATAATTAATTTTTGGGGTAGTGACACGCCCAAAGAACATTGGATCCTCTCGTGTCCTTAAATGTTGTAGAATTTACATGAACTATTCTTCTTTTTAAATATCCCGAACAAATAGTAAATACACAATGCCTTCCCAAGAATTCACTGACAAAGTATGTATTATGAGTTTGATTAGGTAATGGACTTTGAACTTCCGGATGAATGTACTTGTAAGTTCAAGGATATTAACGTTAATTTTAGGCTGCTGCCGTCCAATCCTTAACCAAACGTCCTTCTGATGACGAATTATTGAAGTTGTACGGTTTGTATAAGCAAACCACCGTTGGTGACAACGAAACTTCCAAGCCAGGTATGTTTGACTTGAAGGGTAAGTACAAGTGGCAATCTTGGGCTGACTTGAAGGGTACTTCTCAAGAAGATGCCGAAGCCCAATACATTGCCTTTGCTGACGAATTATTGGCTAAATACCAATAGATTACATAGTTATAATATATGCTTGATTATTGATTACGAATCCTATAAAGTTTTCTCCTTTATAACTAATTTCTTTAAAATTCTGTTCATAGAATCAATTAACATCACTAATGGGATTATAAAGTATGGAACATATAATCCAAATAAGCCCCAAACTTGTCCCAGTAATAATCCATGAGATTCACCTTCTGCAAGTACATAAACTAAGCATACCAAAGTTGTAAATGAAGCATTGAACCCATATATAACTAACCATGGATAAATGGTAATGTCATTGTTATACAATTTAAAAGCGCCGTAAACAAATAAAGGCAATTGGAAAACCAATTCTACAAAGCCAAAAACTTGTAACCATAATGGTAAAGTGTCAAGTAAGAAATCATTATTTGTAGCAATATGGAATTGTACGAGCGTCTTTTGAATATTGAATTGCCATGACGGAGGTACAATCAAGCATGAGTCAATAAGTACTGTTATAGGCACATGTATCACAAAGTACCAGAAGTAAAACCAGTCTAATTTACGATTAATTGACATAGTACAGAGTTTAACAAAATGATTCTTCTGTAAAGCTTTTTCAAAGTACAATGGATGTATTTTTTGGTTAAGGCTAAATATTAGTTTATTTTTATAATTTGTCGCACAACGTGAATTGGACTCGATGTAAGAAGATAATATGAAATTTATATATGATTTATTCACGTTTCATTATTTTATAAATTGAAGTTAGAACTGACGTTAATGTACAGAGTACTCCGTATTCCAAGACTAAATTCCTTAATTAAACCTTGCATTCCTTCATCCTTTAGAAATAACTATCCATTGCATATTTCATTCAGATCATCGATGTCTACCAATACTGAATCGGCTCCAAAAAGAGTAAAACTTAACCCAAGTGAAGAAGAATCTACTACTTTGCTCACTACACCTGTTGTGGAGCCTGTTGAAACGACTGGAGCTGGAGGTCAACTAGTGGACACCAAAGAAGTCTCAAAGGATGAATCACAAGAAAAGAAACAATCATCTGTGTGGAAACCGCTCGTTTGGGTTGATTGCGAAATGACCGGATTAAATGTGTACGAGGACAATATCATAGAGATATGTTGTCTTATCACAGATGGTCATCTCAACTTGATCGATGAAGTAGGTTACGAATCGACCATATATGTCCCAAAAGAAAAACTCGATGCCATGGATCAGTGGTGTCTCGATCACCATGGAGCCTCTGGATTGATTGAGAAAGTATTGACTCATAAGGAAAAGACTATAGAAGTGGTTCAAGACGAACTTATGGAATACTTGAAGAAACATATCGATCCAAATAAGGGTTTACTCTCTGGAAATTCCATCCATATGGATAAATTTTTCATGTATAGAGAAATGCCTAAAGTCATTGACTATTTACATTACAGAATTGTTGATGTGTCATCTCTTATGGAAATCGGGTTTAGACATAATCCTGCTCTTATGAAAAAGTTCCCTAAGAAGAAGGGTGCTCACACCGCAAGATCTGACATTATGGAAAGTATTGCACAATTAAGATGGTACACTGAGAACTACCTCGTCACTCCAACTGCCGATGAAGTAGATATCTCTGCAAAGAATGAAGATACAAAGAGTAATATTGAACAGGAGACTACCACAACGGAAATTCCTGTTGAAGAAAAAACTTTATAAGTAGAAATGCATTTACATATATAGACTATAAAGATTTAAATCCTTTAGCATCTATTATATAATCAACACTAGATAAAATCTAATCATGACTTCTCTGTATCGGATTCAATAGCCTCTTCATCTCCTGGATTCCTAGACATTGGACCCCAGTTACAAGAATGTGCTAAGCATGTACGAAGCATGTTTAAATCGATTGGTTTCTCAAGAACATCGTTAAAGCATCCAGTTTGTAAAGCCTCTTTAGCAAACCCCGTAATTGCAACAATTGTTGTATTGGCATTCAATCCTGTAGTGTATCTGATAAGTTTGACCGCGTCCGGCGCTTCCACTTTTGGTAACTTCAAAGCTGTGAAGATAATATCAAATTTTACTTGACTTGTAGCTCGGCGAACTAATTCATCACCATCTGACACAGTAACTACGATACAGCCCAATTTCTCTAAAAGTCTTGCAATTGAATGACGAACGATTGGAATTGGCTCACAATATAAGACATCAATCTCATGAAAAGTTGGTCGTGAAGTGTCTGCCAGCATTGAAAAGGAGCCAGGCGCTCTACTACTCTGTCTCCTCTTCCTAACACGTAGTAAGGCTGAAGACTTGCTGTCTTCTGTGTCGGAGCTTGATGGTGAAAAATCGTTGAGTGATTTGAGCACCTGTTTTGAGAGTGATGAGACTGACGATTTGTGTGCAATCCCACCAGTTATGCTGTTGCTTTCCGAACCAGTTTTATATAACTTACTGTTCTCACTGAGAGGAGAGCCCTTACTAAGTTCAAATGGAAATTCGTCACCAGAAGAATACATACTTGCAGCAGAACCCACCCGCTCGTGTTTCGTCCCAAAAATTTGAGGCGATGGAACTGCAACGTGCATTTCACCTTGCTTAGCAGGGGAAATCGCACGATTCTGTGGAGATACTGGCCTCTTGAAAGGGCTTCCAGGGCCAGTTCCCGTAAATCCTCTGGTTGCTGGATATGAAATAGATTCGGAGGATGATGATGAAAAACTATTTCTATGTTCAAGATGTTCAGTTTTTAATCGGTTGATCACGTCTTTGTTCGCCTTCTCCAAAACTGATAAATTCCTAAAATTGAAACTGCCAAACTCTGTTGGATCTGCCAATCTACTACCACGTCTTTCTCTTTTTGTTTGTGGTGCAGGCATCAAGGAACTATCGGAAATAGATGGTGATCCAAGCTCAGTTGTATTGATTGTGGAACTGATATTCGGCAGAGTTGTTCCAGCAGAGTATTTCTTACGCTCCTCGTCTTGGTAATTCTTCTCTTCATCTGAATCCTCCTTCGGAAATTGAGAAATATCTGCACCTCTGCTGTCGAAATAATCAGTTGACTCAGGGTTATCTGGGGTCGGAATGAAAGATGGGACTTCGGTAAACAAATTTTCCCAATTGATGCCCTTAAAGTAAGGATGGTTTTCAATTTCTTCTGCACCGTTAGATCCCAATCTTTCCTCGGGATTTAATACTAATAATTTTTGAATTAAATCCTTTGCGTCTGGCGGACAAATCTCTAATTCTTCTTCCGTTGAAAGTGGTGGCCAATCAATTTTCCCTGCTAAAATATTCTCGAATACCATTTCCGGGGTATCTGCATGAAATGGGGGATATCCAAATATGAACTCAAATAGCATACATCCAAGGGACCACCAATCGGATGCTTCTGATTGTCCTACACCACTAATAGTCTCTGGAGCTAAGTAATCTGGTGTACCGACGAATTTTTTCACATCTTCATTCTGAGGATCATACAATGCATATGACGTAATGTTTCCAGCATTTTGATGAGGGCTAACTTGGAAATCATCGTCAATAAGTGCAAATGATGTTTCAGATGAAGTTCTTGGCAAAGGTCTAAGTAATGGCGATTCAAGACCACCGCTCAAATTGGATCCTGATCTTCCTAATCTGAATGGTGGAGTATTTATCGATCCTGATCTTCCTACAGTGCCATTTCCTGCAATTGTACCTGCAGTGCTACTAGTTTCACCTAATATATTCGCACTTGAATTTGGAGAAGCGGAAAAAGAAGTGGAAAGCTTTATTTGATCCAAAGTAGGTGAAAGTGAAAACGGGGTAACAGAACTGGTTCTCTTATGGAAATCCAGAGAGTCGGATGTACTTCCAGTACTTCCAAATCCTGAAACTGTTACTAAGGGACTCAGTCCGGCTTGTGTTAAACTTTTGCGGAAAAACTCAATCGATTGGTCAGATGTACTACTTTTCCTATGAGTTCTAGTTTGTCGACCAATGACACCCATCCTAGATAAACCAAAATCTGTAAGTTTTAAATGGCCCTTACTGTCAATTAATAAGTTATCAGGTTTAAGATCTCTGTGGATGATACCTCTTCCGTGCAAGTCATCCACACCGACAATAACTTCAGCAATATATCGTTTTGCCCATTGATTTCCAAGAGTACCCAAAACACTTAAAAGTGTAGCACAGTCGCCTCCATTAAGATACTCCATAACAAGATACAAATAATCTTTAGTTTGAAAACTGCTGTATAGCTGTGCAACATAAGGAGAATCTGACTGACGCATCATTACTGCTCTCTCTGATTTGACATTGAGAATTTGATTCTTTGCAATCATATCAGTCTTCTTTAAACATTTAATCGCAACATAATCACCGGTCAATTTCCTTCTTGCCAAAAATACTGAGCCAAATGCACCTTTACTTATTGCTTTCAAAATATCATAATCTTTGATTGATCCACTAGAAGGTTTACTACTTGGTGTCAGTGACACAAGCAAAGGAGATAATGGAGGCTTTGACGTGGAAGATTTGGAACTTAAAGGTCCTAAATATGGTGCAGGATTTGAAAGACTTCCACCAGAGCTGACTCTCTTTTCTGGTAATGGAAAACCACTGCTATTATTTCCTCCGATACTTGCACTTCCAGTAACTATACTATCCCCAAGAACCTCGGAGTGTTGAATGGATGGTGATGACATGGGGGTGTTATTGTTTGTATCAAATCTAGAATTAGAATTCCGCTGGAAAGATGACATTGTTTGCTTCTCGACATACGGTGCTGGTGAAAGGTGGCGCCGTGGTGAGGAAATTGAAGAATTATTCGACATATTCTCCCTACCTCTTCTCTTTGGAATTTGATTTCCACTCACATCAAGGTCATTGAATGATTCTAACAATGTCAATTCTCTCGAATTGGTACGAACAGACAGGGAGGAAGAAGACAGGTTATTCTTTGAAATATCATATGGTAACCGTCCTCTCAATAAGAAATCTTTGGGAGTTATGGATTGACTCATAGTTGGCATTCCTGACGGTGAGGTGCTTCTAGGAGAGTCATATGCCTCTGAAAATAGCTTATTAGTAGGTGGGCTTCTTGTTCGTGATGGCTGTGGCGAATGAATTATTGTTTCAATAGGAGTACTTTGTATAGTTTGACTATCATCTAGAGAAACATCGGGCAGGCCCTGAACTATAAAATTTAATCCTTCAACTTTTTCCGATATTGTTTGGTCGTTAATGCTAGAGTCGTCATCAGCATCAGTTTGATATTCATTCTCATTCAAATTGGTTTGTTCCTTAATCTTACACACAGTTTCTCTTACTGTTTCCAAGACTAATTCATCCACTTCATTCTTTATTTTCTTGGAAAATTGTAAAACTGAAACAAGCCTTGATAAAGTTTCGATTTTATCTCGAGTTAATCTTTGAGTATCTTCAACCATTGTTCGAATTGCTAAATCATTCGTTTCAAACACTCTCCAATTGGCTACAGAAGTAATAGCTCTTTCTGTGTTGGGACTAAACTTAAAATCTTCTTTGACCCCTATTTCTTCTACTGGGTTTATTTGTAGGGCTTCATCGCACAATTGTACTAATCTCTGTAAAATACCGAAGGGGAATTTCTTCGTATTTAATAATGACAGTAGAATAGGTTGAGAAGTTTCATAAGCCAACAATGGTGGAAGTTTAATTCCCTTATAATCTTGAATCTGAGGAGCTGGAGAGCTTGGAGATCCTGGAAGTGATGATGTTGAAGAATTTGGGCTTCCAGCCAACGGTGACAGACCAGGAGGCGTAAGTGACCCTTCTTTGGAAGTCCGTTGTTGCTGTTGTTGCTGCTGATGTAATTGTTGCAACTGTTGCTGGTTCCAATAACTTTCAGTAATCTTTAATATAAGATCTCTTTGATCCGATATAAGGTCATGACATGCCTGTAAATCTTCATTGACTCGATGTTCAACGATACAAAGTTCGCTATGTCTCTCTATGAACCATACTGGGACATGCTGTTCACAAATTCTGCAAAGAATAGATTTGGGTTGAGGAACAGCCTCTTCATTTATGATCCCTAACTCCTTTAAATTAATTAAATAACCTTCAAAAAATTCAGATCCAAATCCTAATAAGTTGATCAATGACGGAGGGAGTTGTAAATCAAGATTAACCACAATGAATGGCTTTATGGTCCACATAGAATGAGTGGGTAACTTTGTTGCGTAGTCATGGATTAAGATACCTTGTGCTTCCAATTCAATAATCTCGCCATTGGTAGTCAAATCGGAATTATCAGTATTAGTGGAACTATTATCCAAACTTTCATGTTTACGATTCTTTCCCTCTTCTTCTTGTCTCTGCATCTCCACGGAACTAACTTTGGGATTATTATCTCCTTCCAATGTTGAGCTAAGATCTTCCAATGAATTATTAGGTGTAGTCTTTCCACTCGAATGAGTATTTATCAAGCTATTTTCACAAATCCGATCATTTGTAGGTGTAATAAACTTGACTTTATAACTCCCGTCATCACGAATCATTTGTTCAAGTGCTTTGTAAAACACCATATTATCTTCCTCGTGATTCCCAAGAATAATATTTGATATTGGTTTCCCTACAATTTTCTTAATGTTGGTTCCAACAATAATTTCCCAATTCTTACTGAGATGTCGTACGCATCCATTCATATCTAATTCTAACACTGCAGTGGGGTTATTTGATGAAGCCATTCTAAGATCAATTTGTTCTTGTATAACTTCAACAAAATTGGGGAAATCCATGTTAGGACCTCTACGTTTAGGTTTAGGAGGTACTACTTCATCCACTCCTTTCACTTCTACATCTTGTAGTTGTTCCCCTTGACCATGAATCTTGGATATCTCAAATGGGGAAACAGACCTTTCTAATTCTCTTAAATTATGTTGAGAGAGTTCGAAATGTGGGTTATTAAATATCCCGCTAGTTCCGGGGGAATAATTATCTGAATCATTTGATTCAATTCTAGTATCAGGCTCTCTAATCTCAGGAGTGGATCGTGAATCGTTATCAGGATCGTGACCTGGTTTCCATGTAGATCCCATTGGAATATATGTCAATGATTTAAAGCACCCTTCCTTTGAAAACAGAAAACCTCCCAGAAAAAGGTACGGATCTGGTTGTAAAAGATCCACCTAAGCTTTAGATATGGATAGAAGTTCTAAAGCAACGATATTTCTAGATGCTTAAATTCGTATTGGTATCACGTACAATAATTCTTTGTTTTGGATATTGAATTTGTTAGTTTTTTGTGCGCTCATATCAATACAATAAATAATTTGGTTGCCCTTTTCGCGATAACTAGATCTACAAAAAATGTTGGAGAAATCTACCAAGATAACTCAATCAACACAGAAGAAAATTATGGGGTTAATTAAATAGGACTATAGTAGAGTATATATGAATGTCTCTACTGATTCTATTACATATTTATTTACATAATTTGAAGAGGAACACTGGTTTAAGAGTAAGTAAAAAATAAAAAAAAGAATAAAAACCGTTAATAATTTACATCTAGTCGTAGTATTTGATTTAATTGGAGGGTGTAAGTTGATTACCTTGATGCATATGCATCAAGATATTCAAAAAATAAATTTGTGTTTATTCGTGTCATTGTATAAAAATAGTTAAAGGAAATATATGAAAGATAAATCAATCAAATTCCTTTTCTTCACAAAGTTTGTTGGAAACAATGTGAGTTTTTTCGTGTTGAAGAATTAAAATAGCTCGTTAAAGTGTTCTATAGATGTTCGTAAGTCAGCCCTTAGAGTTGGATCAAGGACTGGTCATTAAAAGTTGGATTTTAAATATAAAAGGGGGGGTTTGTTCCAATCAATTGTCAAGACAATTAATTGGTAAATTCGAAAACTGACGGAGAATTAATAGATCTCTTCTTAATATTTTCAAGTAAATCAGAGTTTTTTCTCTCATTCTGTTGTAATATCAAGTTCTTAAGACATTTATTTTCCATTTCAAGAGTTCTTAATCTCTTTTCAAGATTAGAAACATTCTCTTGAAGTTGCTTCGCCTTCTTCTCCATTTCTTGTTCCTTTTGCTTCTTCTTTATTCTGAATCTAGCAGAAGCGGCAGTGTTCTTTTTACGTTTATCATCGTTAGATGATGGTGGAGACACAGAAGAAGTGGACCAGTTGTTAGGAGAAGTATATGGGTACTTGGCAACAGTTTCAACATTGGTTGGAATGGAAATAGCTTGGTTTGCTTGGTGAGTGTTTTGGAAATCTAAAAACGAAGTATCAACTTGTTCTTGTTTCACAAATAATTCCTTGTTTACTTCAGAAGCATCCTTTGCAAACACATCAAGGTCAAAAAATTCAGAGTGTGCAAACACATCCAAATCACCACCAGCGTTTTCCGATACATTAGGAGAAAGTTCGAAATCGAGATTCAACTCACTCAAATAGTCTGTGGGTTGAAAGTTCATTTGGTTATGTGGGTATAATGTAAAATATGTAGAAGAAAGTAGTTACAAATTAAACAATTCAAAAAAAATTTTAACACCTCTCTAATTTGAGAAATAAAAACGTTGGCTATGAGTCAATTATATATTGGGGGCGTACAGAGAGAAAAAAAAAAAAGCAAAAAAAAAAAAAATTCAGAGAAAAAAATTTTATCCCACAAAATAGTCCTGCATCTCCTCGTAATCACTAATCAAGTTAAAGTATCCTTCCTGCAAGGTCACTTGTTTGTCAGCATCGCTATGTATTGGTGAAAACTATTCTTTTTACCACATTAATTAAGTGTCAATATCAATTGGCTCAAATGCTAATGTCGTATTGCTCTTCTAATCTGTAGAAATTTTGCTTGGTTTATCTTGAGATGAACCACTATATCTCTTTAAAGAACCACCCATAATACTTTGCTGTCAGGTGATAAATTGACTCGGATACGTCCGAAAAAGAAAGAAAAAAAAATTGATTTTGTGTAAGCCGATTAAAATTAACCCCTACCGGACCCGGCGTCTCACAAAAGAAATATTGAAGCCTTTTTTCCTTGATTTGTTTGTTTTGCCTTGAACGATTACGTTTCAAATCACAAAAAAAAGTCTCCTGCACGCACATGTTAATCTACTAATACTGAATATACTAGATACATGTAGTGGCATATTTTCTAAATTATATATATATATATATTTATTAAACTAAAGACAAAGTTCTAGCCCGAGTCATAAAGTAATCTTCTCCACATTCTATCCTTCCTTTTATGTAAAGCTTTTTAGCTTCTCCTGAAGCTTAATTCAATATTTTTTATCACTACAATTCCGCAATTTCAGCCACGCAACAAATATAACCAAGTAAACAATGTAATTTATATTGTGTAGTCTTATCAACCGCCTATCCTAACTTTATATATAGTGAAATACTCATTATACCCCGAGTCCGTTTCATCTCTTTATTTTATCTTGTTATACTGTTTTATATAGTCCCAAAAATTTATAGTAGTAAAAAAAATCCCTAACCCTTTCTACTTCGCAAACCCTCACCCATGTCTAATGATCAATTGAATCTACTAGTGACTTTAACACAAATGATTCATTCGTTGATGGATCTTCCCTATTTTCAAGTCCATTGAATTTACGTGGTATGACATCCATGAATCTAGATTGATCTGGCCCAGTATGCATTAACTGGTTGGACCCTACATGAGATTGTCTTCTTTCGGCATATGGATTGATCAAATTTTGATATGTCAAAGAATTTTGACGTTGTATCTGTGGCAAATTATTAGGAACTGATCCATTTCCAAATATTCCCTGGTTTAAATCTTGTCTAAATGTATCATTCATATGGATAGATCCAACCATATTTGAATGTAATTGTTGTTGTTGTTGTTGTTGTTGAAAATGTTGTGGATTCTGCATATTATAGCCTTGATGTCCATTTAATTTCTTATTTTGCAGCCCTGAATAAAATCCTCCATTTCCACTTGCACCTCCACCACCTTGTGTATAGGTATTATCATGTTGAGTGCTTGACTTTTGTGATAGTTGTTGTTTCTGCAGTTGGTTTTGTTGACCCGGTACATACGGAAGCCCAATTACTGCGCACATCCAGATTCTTGTCTTGTATATCCTGAACAATTCCCTCACCAAGTCTCTAAAATCAATTCTTTTTGAAGTTGAATAATAAAATATCAACTTCTTTCTATCAAACTGATATTCTGCATCAATCAACTTCATTTGTAGTAAATCTGACTGACCAATCGTGGTGGTATTTGATATTTTGGCCAAACATAATCTACAAGCCTTTTCTTCGTCTTGTTTCTTATTAGAAATTTGAGATATTTCATTTGGTTGAGCAAGTCCAATTATTGGTTTAGGGAAATGTAAAGTAGGAGGACTTGAATGATGTTGGATATTTTTAATTGATAATGCAGTATCAGTTGAAGAATTCGATTGAGAATCTAAATCTGATAATGCTGCTTGTTGTTCTTGAAATTGAAGTAATTTCATCAACCTTGCTTCATCAATCGAAATATTCAACTTAAATACTTTCCCTAAATCTCTACCTCTATCTGCTTCCACAATAACTAAATCCCCAATTTTGAGATCATTCATCCAACTCTCATTTTGACCCATTGGTAGATAGAAGACGTCGATTCTACCAGCTTTAAATCCAACCAATACGAGTTGATAATTTCTTAAAGAGTTTTCAACTGGGAAATTTGGCAATTGATAAGCATCTGTCAAATATTTCTCTTCTTCGAAAAACCGTTCATTAAGAAATTTCTTGGTTACTCTTACTCTTTCATGTGGATCAGATGTAAAATATTCATGAACGGCACTAACAGAATCTTGATCACATGTCTCACCTTCTTCTTCTTTTGAAGTATCGAGTGCTGCAGGTTGGAACCTTGGAGATATGTGATCCTTTTGATACATTTGTGAATCTCCAGCATATGAATGTCTACGAGAATTGAAATCAAATTGACTTCCCATATGACCCATATTAGTGTTGTTGTTATTGTGCGCTGTTTCATAAATATGCATGTCATACACTGGAGCGTGATCTGAGCTAAATGATACATCTCCAAATGATCTTCTGTTATTGGGAACAATATTAAAATTTGCTGCAGGTGTAGGATTATTGAAATTCGGACCATTCTTATTCCCTCCAAATACATCACCAATTGATCCAGCCGATGGTAATGATGTTCGATGTGGATAAGGTCCAGGATTGGCCCAAATAGATGGGACATTTGCCGACCCAGCTGTAGAGCCCCAGATGTTCATGGAATCTAAACTTGATGGTCTACGTTGTTGTTGTGGTGGTGATAATTGAGGTGGACCAGGTTGCCAAGGGTTTGTAAATTGATAATTTGATGGTGGCATATTACTATGAGTAATGTTATTATTATTCTGAACAAAATGTGTTTGAGGGCTTGAAAGATTTGGATTAGCCTGGGAATAATTTAATCCATTAAAATTCCCGCCTCCATAAATACTTTGCCCCATTTCGGATGAGGGTGGTGTTCTAGATGAAGGCTCAGTAACTTCTGGTGGTGGCGGTTCAAATGACTTTCCGCCAAAATTTCCCTCATTGGTATAGTTTGTAAACGACATTTCTAAATGCTTGATATTGTATATATTTGACTCCTTTTAAATTTAAATCAATCAATAAAACTCTGATACACGGCTGTAGTTGGAGACGCGCTAACGAGGATTTGAGGGACCCTTAAAAAGAGAAAATTGTATTAAATAAAATCTTTTGTGATTTATACTGCTATCAATGGGTATTTGAGCTTGAATTGTATACTTTTCAAGATTATCAATCTTAAATTATACTAAAACTCCAAGAGGGGAGTGGTGTGTTATAAAAAAAATAAAGGAAACAAGGGGGAGGTATGGATGTTTCACCTTTGTGTATAATTCGGTTTGTATATAGGTTACTTCTCTTCTTTGGGGGGGCTGGAGATGTACAAAAAAGTAAGTAAACTGGTTGAACTAACTTTTAGAATCTAATGTTATCTGGCTTATATATATTTATTCTCGGGAAGCTTTTATATTTGAAAAGAGAATCTACTAACTATTTTATGGTTTTAATTTACTTAGAGTGGCATTATTTTCTAAGTGAGGAAAGCAGTGACCAGATAATCACAGCAGCCTCACACCATGCAGGAACTCCGTATTTTGGTACGGGCACTTGACGTAATGCGTTGAATTCACACATCCTTTAGTACAGGGGTCAAATATTACCGCGAAAGGAGGGGATATTCTAGTATATGTTTTACTTTTTTCTATTCTTTTAGTGCATCATTGGAATTGTTTGTGTAAACCTATTCCTAGTCAAGTATTTTGGCATATACTTAAGTGGCTTTTCTCGTCCTCTTTTTCTACTTATCAAAGTCACGTTTCAATAATTTTCTAGTTAGAATTCTTTTTTTTTAGCCTTGTGGATCATCCAAACCAAATTTTTTAAAAAAAAAAAACATTTTGAACCCTTCAGGGGCATTTTGCTATTTTTTTTAAACTTTCGGACTACTTGCGGGGTTCGAAATCTTACATGATAATACATTTACAACTTTCTCAATCTTTTGCTATAGCATATGTGATACATATTATATTCTAACCACAATAGTATTATTTTGCTATGTAGAATACTAAAATCTAATGTTGTGGGTGTCATTCTGAAATGTTTGTGGTCCTCGGTAATTTCGAGAACAGAGTACAATCTCTCATTTTAACTATACAACAAAAAATACTTCATAATAATAATAATAATAATAATAAATTACAATTGAATTATATACTTAATGTACATATATTCACAAATAACAGAACAATCTGACAATTATAAATGAGAAGTGGTTCGTATCATATATTTTACCCTTCTTCTTCTCTCAAGAATTGTATAAATTAAACTACACCATAATAACCATGCCAATAAATTGTCTTTAAATCTATTGGTATTGCTGTTGATTAGGAATATTACCGTTCTGCATGTTGGAAAAGTACTGTTGATAAACATTTGGATCACTGAAAGACTGCGGTGGCAATGGCATACCACCATGAGGATGACCAGCTCCTGGGTATGGCATGCCGTGCTGAGGCAAGTGGGCTCCAGGTGGCAATTGTTGAACCTGAACTTGTTGAGCATGGCGATGGGCAGCAGCAGCAGCGGCAGCTTGTTGCTGTTGCTGTTGTTGCTGTTGTTGAGCAGCTGTTACTCCAGGGTGCTCGTGAGGTTGTGGTGGAGCCGGACTTTGTTCAGGCAGTTGTTCTTGTGAGTTATCATCCGATTGATCTCCTTGGTCATCTCCCAATCCTTCTTCAGGTGCATTCAAGCATGCTTGAATCAAATTCTTACCCTCAGACTTGGTAACCAATGGCTGTAACTTTGGAGTGGTAAAAGTATAAACTAAACCTGTTTCACTGACAACCAAAAGTAAAACTTGAGTACCAGTTAAAACTGAGAGTTCGTAAGCCTTCTTCATAATACCTGCCTTTCTCTTTGAAAAAGTAATGTGTCTTCTAGACTTATCCTGAATAAACTTAATCTCAATCTTTCTTCTTTCCTTTTGTTGCTTACCTCCAGTGGATGGTTCGTCATCATCATCGTCATCTCCTGGTGGGGCAGAAGTGGTGGAGAGATTGATGTTTTGTCCATCTCCCTGTTGGCCCAATCCTTCTTCGGATACTTCCAACTTTTGTTCAGTAGCTTCAGACATCTAGAGTGTTAGTAGGTGAAAATAAATAAACCAGAAAAATTAAAAATTAAAAATAAACAAGAGTTAAAACAAAAACATAAGAAGGATGAATAGATGATTATTTGGCTTCTATCTCAAATGATTGAATTTAAGTCTAGTAAGATATGCCTAGCAAGTTAATTGTTGGTAAACATTATCCATATCTGTTTTAATCTATCTCTACTTTTGTAAAAAAAAAATCAAAACAAATGATGCGGAGTCAACCAACCATAATAAAAAAATCTCTCCCTGGAAGTAATCAGTATCAACACTGGTAAGTAGTTCAACTGAATAACTACCGACATACTTTCTATTGAAGTACCAATGTCTTGGACTTTTGCTCATAACTATCCAATAGCTATGGGTGCAACCATCCATAATAGGAAATCGACTTTATCAGTCTCCCAATTGGGTACACAACATTATCATAACAACGGTGTCACTCATCTTCTATTCATTACCAACTTTATGCTCATGATTCAACATTAATGCGCTTACCTTGTCAGAAAGGTGTGTGCAATTTTATATGCTCTTCTTTACGTACCTTTACAAATTTGTACTACTTCTTAATTGAGTATTCTGAATGTGGAACAAGTACTATTTAGGGTAATTCCTCAAAGGTTTAAGAAAATGAGGATTTTGTCTCAACTTGGAAAGAGGTTAGGAGTGGCCAGGTAATTACGCATGCGCGATTAGAATGCCTATGCCGTGCGCGTATATCTCAGCCTGGTCTAATTTACGATATGGTATTATTAATTTTAATATTAATATAAAATTAAAGGCGTTGTTGGCTTCGTTTGTATGCAGTATTTCATTATGATGTTCTGATACACAAAACTCTTCAGTTTATCACTAAGATATGAAAACACATTCCTCTAATCATCGTAAATAATTATGTATAAAATTCAAATAATTTATCACCTTAACGAAAGTTAGACATTCTTATAAGAATAATTTAAAAATTATTACCGATTAGAATTTTTACTTGCATAGTGTGTGTGAACTCTTATTTTTCTTTTTTTTTTTTTTTGTTGCTTGGTACGTTCCCTCGTATATTCAATAAGGAATAGAATGGTATACTCTGTTTCTACTACAGTGAATTTCTTCTAAAACTGTATCTAATTTCTTTTTTCTATGTAAAACGCCTAATTTTGGCCATTTGCGTTGTCTTGTAAGACTTCTTTTTCTTCCTCTTTAACTTCAGGTTGATCTAATGGTAAGGATCCATTAGAATGAACCCCATTAGTATTCGTTTCAGGTGCAGGGGTGTTTACTCCAGTTGGTGTTGCGGTTGCGGTTGGTGTACCAACTGGTGTACCAGTAGACGGCCTTTCTAATTCCTCGAGTTCATTGGGACGAATTTCCAACTCAAACCATTTACCTAATAAACCTGATATTTGTCTTCTGATCTTGTCATGCTCAAATCTTTCTTTTGGTATTCTCAGAACAACGATAAGTAATTTATGTAAATTTCCAGCTTTAATTAAAGCAGTTGGAATTTGTAAAGATTTCAACTTATTTAATTCTTTTAATATTTCATCTTCATTGATTTTATCTTGAGAGAAGAGTAATTCTTGAAGTTTTAACTTCAGTTTTTGAACTTGATCTGACTTTAACCGATACTTTTCATTGATTTCTTGTGCACTTGGGAATTTGGATTCAAATTCAGCTTGTTCTGATAAATCTTCATATAATCTATTTCCAACATCATCTTCATAGTCGTCAACACCCCAATCAGAATCATATCCTTCGTATGGGTCAGCTTGTTTAACCTTTACAGGGGTGGGAGCAGATTGAACAGTGACGGTGGATTTCTTGCCTTTAGTGTTGGTTTTTGCTGTCTTGGTTGCTTTGGTTGTAGTACCCTTCTTTTTAGTGGCCGGCTTTGCTGCTACAGTCTTTTTCTTGGCTGGTGCTTTCTTTTGCTTTTTAGTAGGTGGTTCATCATAATCTTCTTCTTCTTCCAATGATTCACTTTCTTCTTCTTCTTCTTCTTCCTCTTCTTCTTCTTCTTCCTCTTCGACATCTATTTCTTCCTCGGCTTCCTTTATAGGTATATCAGGTTTACCCTTGGACCCATACTTAACGAAAACATCCATAGCTGGTGGATCATTGGCTAATTCATAAGCAGTCTTTAACAAGGTATCTTTTCTACGTTTATTGCCCTCTTTCACCAAATATTCTGATACCATCTCATTGGTTAATTCCTTTACATCGGACTCTTTGATCCATATGTATGTATCATCACTGAAAAACCTCACTGCGAGTACTTTAACTGGACTCTTTTTATTCTTTGGTTGTTTCACAGTTTTCGGTTTCTTCACCAATATATGTTCAGGAAGCAATTCTTCATCCAATACCATTGCCGGCCATGGTGGATACCCTTTTACTTTTGCAAGTACTAAAGATGTGGGTTTATAAGTCTCAACTACTTCCTCAATAGCTGATGAATTATTATTATCTTGGCTCATTATATCAATCGCGTTATTTCAATTTCTTCAAATTCAATACTATAAATAAATGGTAAAAATCACTATAGTCTTAAGTAATGGTGTACTATTAATAATTATATGAGTATAATGGGGTGATTTTCACTTCACCAATATAATCCAAAACAAATATCACTAACTCAATTGTTCGAAAAATATATCTGTATTATAAATATATATAAAGAGTGTGTTAACATATGTCAATACAAATTTAGATTTTTCGCGCTTTTGGTGGTTCGAAAAAAAAATCATACTCAAAATGATAAAACTTCAATCCTGCATTTATATCACATTATCCCAGATATGTATACTACCATCTCCACCAGAACTTACAAGTCTATTAGAACTTCTTGTAAACCCAATATTACTCAATATAGCCCCTTCTGCTTGTGAAGATGGAGAAGTCTTCAGTGTTTTAAATATTTGTGGTGAACGAGATTTTACTTTTCTCTCTAAAGACCAGATATTTAAACTACCGGTTTCGGAACCACTTACTAAATATTGTTTCTTATCAGAATGATAATCTTCAATTAATTTTGATGTAAACTTATGTTTTACTCTATTTTCTTGAATTTCTTGTACAATTGCCATGTTTCTTAAATCTCGAAGTTGAACTTTCCCATTTTCTAATGAAATAAGAATATAAGACTGGTATATTTCAACATCCAATATAGAAGTTGATACATCATCAATTTTCTCATTTTCTATAGTATCTATAATTACATCTGATCTCCGAAGATCATATGAATATAACCTACCATCTAATGAACCAGCACAAACAAAGTTGGTTTGAGGACAATAATCAAATGTCATTAATGCATCTTCTGCATGTTTTAAACTCCACACAGGCTTTCCTCCCTGTTTATTTTTTAAATCATGGAAATTTAATTGACAATTTGTACCACAAGACATTAAAATATCGCCATACACTTTAATATCCATTACATCATTATTTTGTGCAGATATACTATCAGTTCGAAATCGATTCAATTTGGTTTGTTTAACCATATCCCATTGTATAATAGTATCCAATGATCCTCCAGTAAAGATGGTTTCATCTACATGATCTATACTATTAATCGAACCACTATGTTCTTTTGGGAAATTAATGATCTCTCCATCAATATGTGAAAGTGCTAATCTTCCATCTGCACACCCGCTTAGAATATAATCGGTATTTTCAATTACTGACAATGCATTTACTGCTTGTTTATGTACTTGTAAATGTTTGTATTCCATTCCATATCACTAGAAGAGTATGGTTTCATTAAAAAAATATCCAGTGCAAAAAAAAAAAAAATAGAATAATATAAATGAAACATAAAAATAACTGAGTACAAAAAGATTGAAATTTAGAATTTATGATATTGCAACCCTTGAATAGTTAGTAAATGGTGTGATAAATGGTCATGTAAAACCATCCTCATTTCTTTTGACATTTATTGAGAGGAATGACATATTGCTAAAAGTTTTGTATATACCACATGTAATAATAAAATAAAATATTCACTTTATTGAATTCTAGATGTAGTTTGGAGTATAGCACATCTCTTATCAAGTATATAAACTATCAGATATTGTGTAATTCGCACCCACAATTTCCCCTTTCTTCTATACCTGTAACGAACAATACTACCCTCGATTGGGAAAGTGATTTCTTTGATAAGATTGCTGTTGGAAATTAAACCCAAAAAATATTAATAATATTTTTATTATATTTGTGATAGAGAAGGAGATTATTCTCGGTAATAAAGATCTCGGGATATTTACACCAACCTGCACTAAATTAATGGATAAATTTCATTTTACATTCTTTGAAATTAAAAAATTCAATTGACTACACTGCTCCGAAATGGGTATACAAACTCCTTTTTGTTCAATTATAACCCTTTCGTAAGACAAATGATTATGTAAATCCCCTATATGCTAATTTAAAATATATCCCACTATTTTGAAAAAAAAAAATAAAAAATAAATAAATAAAAAAAAAACCCATTTTAATTTCCTTTTCTTGTCTCGTCTTAATCATACCCCCCCACATTAAACCACATGTACCAGCTACGGATCAATTTTATATTCCATAATCCCAACAAATTATTCCCTATAATCATTCGTTTATTTCCAATGATTATCCGAGCATCTCCGACATCAAGATAGCCCCTTGTTTGGCCACTTCTAATCGATTACATTTGTATCCGGGCGAATATGCGGGAGAAAACGGGGTGATAATACTTCTCTCGCTTTCTGGGTGCAGGTAAATCCCCATCAGACCATTTCTAATTTTTGCAGCACAAAATTGTGATATTATTAAAACTGGAAGGGGCGGGACTTAAATGGTATTGGCATTGTGGAGGGTGAGTTATATATAAAAGTGCAATTGTTCAAAAGAATTTGGAGGTATATTTTTTTTTGAATAAATAGTCTCATTTATAATAATAGAATTAAGTTAAAAATGGGTGACTATTTAACTCCTTCAGATCTTCCCCAGCCAAAGCTTAAGAGAACTAATACCGGATTTACTCCAAACCAAATTATTGCTCTTGATGCTTCAATTCCCGAAGGTGCAAAGCATATTTGGCAAAAGTATACCAAATTAGATTCATTTAGTCAAAATGCTAAATCTGCAGTTGATAAGCTTGCACCAGTTGATGATCATGATACTTCTTCATTTGAAAAGAGCTTTGTTGGACATGTTGAATCAACATTAGCTAGAAATATGTATAATTGTGACAATTTGGCAGCTTATCAAGCATCATCGATTGCTATTAGAGATGAACTTATCACTGATTGGGCAAACACTCAACAACGTCAAACCATTCATGATGGTAAAAGAGTTTATTATCTCTCCCTTGAATTTCTTATGGGAAGAGCTTTAGATAATGCCCTTATTAATTTGAATAGCAGAAATAAAACTAAAAATGCCTTATCAAATTTGGGATTTAATTTGGAAGATGTTTTAGACCAAGAACCTGATGCTGCATTGGGTAATGGTGGATTGGGTAGATTGGCTGCATGCTTTGTTGATTCTCTTTCTTCTAAAAATTATTCTGGTTGGGGTTATGGTTTAAATTATCAATATGGTATTTTCAAGCAAAAAATTGTTGATGGTTATCAAGTTGAAACTCCTGATTATTGGTTAAAATTTTCTAATCCTTGGGAAATTTCTAGACATGAAATTCAAATTCCAATTGATTTTGGTGGATATGTTTACGAAACTCATGATGTTAATACTGGTGAACCAAAGAAAATTTGGCATGGTAGTGAAAGAGTTTTAGCAGTTGCTGTTGATTTCCCAATTCCAGGTTATAACACTACAAACACCAATAATTTAAGATTATGGAATGCTAAACCAACTACAGAATTTGATTTCACAAAGTTTAATTCTGGAGATTATCAACAATCTGTAGCTCAACAACAAAAGGCCGAAGCAATCACTTCTGTTTTGTATCCTAACGATAATTTTGATCAAGGGAAAGCCTTGAGATTGAAACAACAATATTTCTGGGTTTCTGCTTCTTTACATGATATTCTTCGTAGATTTAAGAAAAATCATCAAAACAATTGGGATAAATTTCCTGATCAAATTGCTATTCAATTGAATGATACCCATCCAACCTTAGCAATTGTTGAATTACAAAGAATCTTGGTTGATTTAGAAAACTTAAGTTGGGATAAGGCTTGGTCGATTGTGACCAAGGTATTTGCCTATACTAACCATACTGTAATGGCTGAAGCATTGGAAAAATGGCCAGTTGATTTAGTTGGAAGATTATTACCAAGACATTTAGAAATTATTTATGATATTAATTTCTTCTTTTTGAAGAATGTTGAACAGAGATTCCCTGGTGATCATGGATTATTAGGACGTGTTTCTATTATTGAAGAAAGCACACCTAAACAAGTTAGAATGGCTTTTTTGGCAATTGTTGGTTCTCATAGAGTTAACGGTGTTGCTGAATTACATTCAGAATTAATTAAGACTACCATTTTTAAAGACTTTGTTACAGTTTTCGGTGAAGACAAGTTTACAAATGTTACTAATGGTATTACTCCAAGAAGATGGTTAAAACAAGCTAACCCTGAATTGGCTAAATTAATCAGTGAAGCTTTAGAAGATCCAAACTATGAATATTTGACAAATTTGGGCAAATTAAAGAAATTGGAAAAGTTTGTTGATGATGATAAGTTTTTAACTAAATGGGATAATATCAAGTTTAATAATAAGGTTAAATTAGCTAATTTGATCAAGTCTGAAACTGGAATTGAAGTTGATCCAAGTGTAATGTTCGATATTCAAGTTAAGAGAATCCATGAATATAAAAGACAACAATTGAACATTTTTGCAATCATTTACCGTTATTTACACATCAAACAATTACTTGCTGAAGGTTTAAGTGTTGAAGATATTAAATTAAAGCATTATATTCCAAAATTGTCAGTATTTGGTGGTAAGGCTGCACCTGGTTATTACATGGCCAAAACCATTATTCATTTGATTAATATGGTTGCAGAAGTAGTTAACAATGATTCAGAAATTGGTAATTTATTGAAGGTTGTTTTCATTCCAGATTATAATGTTTCCAAGGCAGAAATTATTTGTCCTGCTTCTGACTTATCTAACCATATTTCAACTGCTGGTACTGAGGCATCTGGTACATCGAATATGAAATTTGCCTTGAATGGTGGATTAATCATTGGTACCGTTGATGGTGCCAACGTTGAAATTACTCGTGAAATTGGTGAAGATAATATTTTCTTGTTTGGTAATTTGGCTGAATCAGTTGAAGAATTAAGACACGAGCATATTTATCATGGTGTTCAAGTTCCAGACACTTTAAGAAGAGTATTTGAAGCCATTGAATCTGGACAATTCGGAAACCCGGATGAATACCGTAGTTTACTCGATAGTATTAGATCCCATGGAGATTACTATTTGGTGACAGATGATTTCGAATTATTTTTAGAAACTCATCATAAATTAGAAAAAGTTTATGGTCACCATGGAGGTGATGCAAATGATTCTACTCACTTACATAACTGGGTTAAGAAGTCATTATTGAGTGTTGCAAACATGGGATTCTTTAGTAGTGACAGATGCATTGATGAATATGCAGAGAATATTTGGGAAGTTGAACCACTTAATCAATAGATGTGAGTTAGTTAGTATATGAATTTTTTTAGAATATATATATGAAAAAAAAAAATAATGTGAATAGGTTTAAACATGTAGTGTGTGTAAATGTGTAAGTTTCATAGTAACCCTTTTATATTCCCATGCACTCCTGTATGCAGCAACCTGCATAGTCTGAAATCAAATAAAAGAAACGAGAATGACGGGACAAGGGGAGGAGAGGAACAGGTTTCATTCCTTGTCCTAAATATATACAACTTTGGGGATATCATTTTTCCTGCCTTAAATTCTTTAAAGCTAGGTATATACTACAGAGAGAAAGCTCTTCAGTTTGGGTAGAAGAGTTTAGTTCCCATAGCATATATGAACCTGAATCCAGGGTATTCATAAACTAATCTATACATATCATCTTGGAGTAATTTCTAGAAGGGTCTTGATCTCATACTACACAATAAGGAAAATATTTTGGAATGAAATTGATATACTATTTTATTACTGCAATTTGCCAGATCTTAACTGTATCTGCACTCGTTACTAAGAGAGGTACCAGTGCCAAGGATGAATATCTTGTAACGAGCCTCCCTGGGTTATTTCATAACATCCCGCAAGAGGAAATTCCCTTGATGTTTTCAGGTCAACTTGAACTTTATCCAGAGAATAAGACCCATTATTATTTCTGGAAGTATGTTGATAATCATAAAGTTGAAAAGGCTAAGGGAAAAACGATTTTTTGGCTCAACGGCGGCCCCGGATGTTCATCTATGGATGGTGCACTTATGGAAGCAGGTCCATTTAGAGTCAACAAACAGGGAGAAGTCACATATAATAATGGCTCGTGGCACAAGGCTGGAGATATAGTATTTGTAGACCAACCGGCGGGTACGGGATTTAGTTACTCAGATGACTATGATGAAACTTTAGCTGCTGTAGTTCATCATTTCATCAGATTCTTGGAGAAATACTATGAATTATTTCCTGAAGATTCTGAAAATGAGATTATTCTTGCTGGTGAAAGTTATGCCGGTCAATATATTCCGTATATTGCGGAAGGTATTTTAAATCGAAACAAGGATAGTCAAGATGAATCATCAAAGTTTAACTTGAAGGGACTTCTTATTGGGAATGGATGGATAGCTCCTAACGAACAAAGTTTATCATATTTACCTTATTCAGTTCAAGCAGGAATCTTGAAAAAGGAGAATCCCAACTGGACTTCAGTCATGCATCAACATGAAAAATGTCAAAATATTGTAAATCAGATTAATGGAGGCACCTTAGAAGAAGGTGTAAATGCCAATGATGTTGTTTCTCGTGAATGTGAACAAGTATTGAATTTAATTTTGAAGGTAACTTTAGATAATGATGCTGCTAAAAATCAACAATGTGTCAATATGTATGATTTTACTTTGAAAGATAGTTACCCATCTTGTGGTATGAATTGGCCGCCAGATTTAGAGTATGTCAACCCCTTTTTGAATGATAAATCTGTTTTAAATCAGTTAAACGTGAAACTGCACCAGCTGTGGAGTGAATGTTCGGGACCAGTTGGAAGACATTTAAGAAATAAGAATACAGAACCAGCTGTTTCACTCTTACCGGGAATTCTTGAAAAAATACCAATCATATTATTTAATGGTAATAGAGATATCATTTGCAATTATATTGGTACTGAAAATTTCATTAAAAATTTAGAATGGAATGGAGCAAAGGGATTCCCTGAGGAAGCGAAAGCTCAGGATTGGAAATATGAAGATGAAATTGTTGGATATATTCGTAGTGCAAGAAACCTTACTTTTGTAAATGTATTTGATGCATCTCATATGGTTCCATTTGATAAGCCACATGTTTCTAGAAGTATCATTGATCTCCTTCTTGGTGAATATGATGAAAAAGTGGATGAAAAGGATGATGACAAGAAGATTATTGAAACTTACCCGCTTGGATATAAGAAGGAAGAAGAACAAGACGAACAAGAAAATGGTTCTAAACCTAGCGTGGGTGTAACCAAACCAGATGAAGGTGAAGACGATACCGATAGTGAATCTGATGATGATTCTGATGATGATTCTAAGAATGAAACTGATGAACTGTCACTGACCAATAAGAACCCTGAAATATCCAACACTACAAGTCGTGTCACCCGCTTGATTCAACTTTTAGTTATTTGTATTATTATTTGGGGGGTATATATTCTCTACCTGTCATACAGGGCACGCCCATCTTCCATTATAAAGTCTGGTCCATCGAGTAAAAAGAAAAACGTTCAATGGGCTGATCAATTGCGTATGTTCCAAGATGAAGATGCGGTCAATAGACAAGATAATTCCAACTTTTTATCGAAGGCATACAATAAGATTACAGGACATTCAGATGCTAAAGTAAGATATACACCAACTCCTTCAGAAGACATTGAAATGGGGAGCGCAACTACTGGTCCAGACCCTGTTGAATTTGTCATTAACAGTGATGATGAAGAAGAATATCAAGTACGTCAAGAAGCTCCTTTGCCGGAACTTCCATTGCCAGAACTTCCTTTACCAGACCTCCCTTCTGAAGAAGGTTCAAAGGGACCCGTTCTGAAATGAATACAGTATAATTAAGCATAAAATTTAAAAAAAAATACATATATATATTCATTATAACTAATTGTAAAGTGGGTTTTTTTAGTGTAGTCATGGCTATTGTTGATGATTATATGGCAGTTTATATTATAAGTACGTTAAAACTTACAAAAAGCTGAAAAAAAGGAAATACAAATTTGTGTAACAAGGTACCTAATGCAAAACTACTAATTAAAAATAATCAGGAGAGGTTCGTGTTAGACATATTTTTAATGTCATACCTAATCTTTGGGCTTTTACAAACAATTACCAATCTAGTCTCTAATAAGTATATGTAGTGCAGTAGTTTGGCCCTCTTTTTTAACTTTTTCTTATTTGCAACCAAAATATGGATGCGTGCATTTACCAAACAATTCGCTTTTTTTTACAAACGCTCAATATGAAAATCGAAGATGTGTAGACAAAGACAAATTATCATAATTCTATAGGATATCGATACCACAGGATGATGTTGAGATCTATTCGTCATATGGCTACAGAGGCATCTGCCTTTAAAGTGGTAGCTCCACCAAAATATACCTTGGCTTCCTTGCGTAGTTTCCCTTCCCTCGAACCACACTCCTTCGTTCCATTGCCAGCTAGTTTCTTTGATGCACCACTCAGAAGAGATATCTTATGGAGTGCCGTTGTTTTCGAAGCCGATGCCTCAAGAGTTGGTTCTGGATTTGTTCCAACCAAGGGTGATAAACCGTTCTCCAACCGTAAGATCCAACCACAAAAGGGTACTGGTAATGCCAGAGTTGGTGACCGTAACTCCCCAATCAGAGATAATGGCTTAAAGGCATTTGGTAGAAAAGGTAATGTTGACTGGTCTACTGAATTACCAAAGAAAATTTATAACAGAGCCGTTCAAATAGCATTTTCTCAACAATATAGAGACGGTAAGGTTTTTATCATTGGTGGTGAAACCAAATCAAAAGATTCTGATGATTTGAAACTTGATTTCCAATTTGGTTACCCAAAGGCTACTGAATTATTTGTAAAACATCACAATCTTGAAAAGATGCACATGTTATTTGTTACCGATAGTCAAAGAGAAAACTTATTAACTTCAACTGATTTCGTGGGAACTAAAGCTGATGTTATTCCTAAGGAAGCTCTTCAAGTTAGAGATATCTTGAAGGCTAATCGTATTTACATTGAGGCACCTGCATTACAATGGCTTATTGGTAAGCACCAATAAGGATTCGATAGATCATGTACATAGAGCATCAGACGATAATAAATGAAAGAAGTAATAGAAAATTTGTAGAAACCTCCACGTATTGATTTAATATTCTATGAAAATAATCATTTATCAAATAATCATTTCTCAAGTGATATCTTATAAAAGAAGTATAGAAGCATCCTAGTTATACAGACACACAGAAACATCCCATTAATACGATTTATGTATAATCTATTGATTACTACAAATAGACTTGTTTTATGCAATTTTTTTGCTTATTATTTCCTTGATCATTAGGAGTATTAAATACTTCTACAGGCAATTTTTATTGCGATTATATGACATCTATTCAATGAATCAACGAATCAACCATTCAATTATATACTAATCCATATATCGTATGGATGTGGGGTTGTGCATACACACATACATATCGAGCCATCTACTTGAAATCACGTGCTGGAAATTTTCACATTTAGGGCTTTTACCCTAGAAGACTGCTTTCAAAAAAAAAATAGTTGAGGATGGGACGACTTCCGTATGAAGGATTCCTACTGTGGAAAAAATGAAAAACATATTGAAAAGTTAATACTAGTAGTAGCTCCTGTTTCCACACAAGTTCTGATACCGTACTATACGCCAATATGTCTTTAGTTATTCAGGAAGAAGGTTCTTTCCAACACATCTTACGGTATGTTATAGCACTGAAGATCGATATGTTTGAAACCTAGAAAATACAGAAGTCCAACGCCTTAAAAAAATTATATATGGTTTGGTCGACATCCAAGAAAAGTAAACCAACAGTACACAATGAAATTCATATTTAAAGCATCCAAAGAAGAAGTTCACCATTCCCTACATGTTCTACTAGAATATTTGTGACAAGAACGAGTTCATTTATTTTTTGACTTGCACTTGAAGAGTTTTTTCCGCTCTTCATTGTCTGGTAATGCTTGTGTACTATTGAACTCACTTGGACTTGTATATCTAGAGACTTCAACATATCTGATTTTTGATATTATTATTATTTCTTTGAACTATTTACTAACATTACAGTTTGTTGAACACCAACATTGATGGTAGAATCAAGATTATGTACGCCTTGACCAAGATCAGAGGTGTCGGTCGTCGTTACTCCAACTTGGTCTGTAAGAAGGCTGATGTTGATTTGAATAAGCGTGCCGGTGAATTGACTCAAGAAGAATTAGAAAGAATCGTCACCATCATGCAAAACCCAACCAACTACAAGATCCCAGCTTGGTTCTTGAACAGACAAAAGGACCAAATCGATGGTAAGGAATACCACGTCTTGGCCAACAACTTGGAATCCAAGTTGAGAGATGACTTGGAAAGATTGAAGAAGATCAGATCCCACCGTGGTATTAGACACTTCTGGGGTTTGAAGGTCAGAGGTCAACACACCAAGACCACCTCCCGTGGTCACTAAGTTATTTTACTTGGGTAGATTCTTTGGTAAACCTCGATCTTTATATTTCCATGTAATTTAATATTATACGCACAGAGAAAATATTGTAACATGTAGTTAGTAATGATTTAACCATTGTGAGTATTCGTAATGGGTTAGACTTAAGGTATATATATTTTTTCTTCAAAATCTTTCAAAAGTGTAGCCCTTAAATAGGGATTAGTAGTAGATTCTAATGGCAGGCACCCAAAATATTTCATTCTATTTTTTGTTTGGAAAACACGGTAAAAGAGAACCCAAAGATAATCAAAGTGAAAGTTTCAGTTAAAAGTGGTAATTTTTCACTTTGAAGAATATCAATTATTTTACAGGCAAGATAAATAATGTCGTTAATTCTCGTAATTCTATCTCTATATACATGTCCTTATCTATTTCCAGTTACCGGCTCTTAACGATAACAAGTTAACGATACATTCGTTTTCTCCAGTTTTCTTTACACTTTCAAGCTTTGCATTCACTTTATTTGGAACATTTACACTGAGTTCACTTAATGGCTTTCTTTCTGCTTGTTCCCTCTTTGGTGATTTAGTCTTTGCTGGTGCCAATTTGAAAGTCATTGTACTTGAGCTTCTTGAATTCAAGAAATTTGGTTGTTTCTTTTTGGTTTCATTTAAAACAAGTTGTTGATCAATTGGATTTTCCATTTCCATGTTTGGGGTACTACTTCTAAAGATCATCTTGTTTAAAAGTGGAGTGGAAGGAGGAAGTCTTGGAAGACAATTGGTAGAGAGGGATCTCTTTTGAATTGGTGAAGCTTGGATAACAGGTGGGGGGCTAACAAAAGACTGAGACTTTGTCAAGATAGGCTTGATTGGGGTAGATGCAGTTAAAATGGGTTCTGAGACTTGTGGAAGCTCTGTGACTTCCTTTTCAGAAGTTGAATGCTTTCTTAAAGATTGTCTCTTATTTTGAAACCAAATTTGAACTGCCTTTTCAGTCATCATAACCTTTTTAGATATTTCAATACGTCTGAGTTTGTTTGGAGTAGAGCCAGCTTCAAACTCCTTGTTTAAAATCGATAATTCATTAGGGGATGTTCTTCTTCTTTTTCTTCTTGCCAATGGTGCATTATCAATGGATGGTTCTTGATTTGGAAAAGTTGCAGGAGAATGACTAATGAATGCGTATGCTTTGGATTCAATTGGAGAACTGGTCTTTGACTGAGCAGCTGATTCAATAGGAGTAATATCAGTTTCACTATGGTCCATACTAGAATTGGCAAAGCTGAAATTGGCATTTGATGATGAGCTGCTAACCTTGGAAGGTGTAGCTAATGTAAGATTTGCAGATCCCATTGGATGATATGTGGAATGTCCAAATTGACTATTGAACTTTGTTGATGAAATTGGAGTTGTAAATGTATCTATAGATGGGAGTCTATTACCACCATTGTATGGTGTAGCCATTGCCTCTTTCTTTAAAATAGATGATAATGGTGGAAGACTTGTCTTGCAATATGTGCTAGGGGTAGCAGGGAGATTTGGTCTCTTAGGTGTTTGCATGAAGTGAGACATGATGAAGTGAAATAAAAATGGATATGATTATAATAGGATGAATATAAACAACAATGACCAATAGGGGTAAGAAGTAATGAATGTAGTGGAACGATATGTTACTTTCTAAAAAAGGAAATGGCCGATCCAAATATGATATGCAAAATAGTTATTTGATAACTAATTATATAAAAGAGAGAAAAAATGATCTAAGCTCATTTATGAAAGAAATAGCACACTTATAAATATAAACGTACACAATTAATCTTGAATGGTAAGGGACATGAAACCATAGAAGCTTGTCCAGCAGATAGCAGCATCAAACGCGTTTTGTATGCATCTCATTAGTGCGGTGTTTACAAAACAAACATAATAAAGGAGTAACCGAGCATTTCGCTCCCGCAGGAAAAAAATTTTGAAAAAAAAAAAAAAAAAACATTCAAAAACTTTAATATTATCACACCTATAATTCTTTCAATTTTGCTACACAAAGAGGTGGGGAATGGTATGCCAAAGGGTAATTTTTTAATTCACATAAAGGTTTGCGTTGCATACAGTAAGAGATAGGAGAACACGATTCTGGGTTGTAAGGTATAATTTGTAGATAAAAGTAAATGTTGTTGTCCAAATGTAGTCATATCGGGTCTACATAATGTTCTGATAGATTACCTAATTCGTATTATTGAACGCGAAACGCGAATATATAATCTCCATACAATATTCTCTAATGCACAGATGAGGAAATTTTCTGATCTTTTCGATCTGCGCCTTAAATTTATATGCGTTCAATTCACGCTATTTGGTATTTTAGCGTATGTTGAAGGGAGCAACGGTCTACCGTGGTTTGTGCTATGTCACACATTTGTTTTCCTTTGTTTTCAATCTAGTTTAATTAGCTAAAATTGAGGCAACAATCAGCATGTTATATAAAGTTACCCAAAATTGATAAAACACACAAAATTATATGTTAACACACAGAATCTTGAAACATTGACCAACCAATTCCATTTCGATGGAATGAATGTCAAATGTTTATTTACATCTAATACACTACATTCTTCCTTTTGGCTGGATGTGACTTTCAATGGTAATGACATAACATCACTATACAATATGTTATGAGAATTCCGCAGGTGATGTTCCCCTATTGATTCATATTTTTCCTTTGTTGTTGTTTTTTTTTGGGTTTACTTGCCAGCTGTTTTTCGCGGCTGAGATTCAAATATGCAAGGTACATTAATTTAGTTTATTTTTACCATTTGACTTGTTTTGGCGTAAAGGAGCGAATCAACGAAAAAAACAAATTACAAATTCGTGTAATGAAATTCGTAAAATACGTTATTTAATATATGTAGTTGGGGTATTTAATAATGGGAGCTACTTTGCAGGTGAATCGTATATATATTTTTTATCATCTCTGAGGATTATTTTGCCTCAAGGACACGTATTGTACTCCATTTGTAGGACCGTGAATTGGAACCATAGTATTCTGCATAGCGCTTGGTCCTTGCAAATGTGTAGGTTGGTAATGGAAATTGGGTAAATTCATTGGTTGCATGTAGTAGTTAGGATAATGTATTTGTGGTTGTTGTAAATACATAGGTGGCGTTGGAGGTTGTCGTGGTAAAAAATGTCCATTGACAACTGGTTGTTGTTTAAATTCACTGTTGATAAACTTTGGTTTCTTATCAATTAATTCAAATTTATTACCATCAAATTTCCTCTTTAATTTTCTATCGAGTTGTTTCAAATAATTTGCATCATTTGGGGTATCAGACTTAATATTGTTTGAATACCTTGCTACAACATCCGTAGATGCACTATGGATATAGTGCCAAAATACTCCATTCAGAATATCTTGAGTTACCGATGGTGCCCGATGTAAGAATAGAAGCGACTCAACAATATTGAATGGATCATCAAGAATCTTCGTCAAATTCACATCTTCCAAACCAGTCACAGTACGATCCTCTTTGATGGTCTTTTTTCTTGTAGATATTTTTTTGGCTTCTCTTGTATGGATTAAGAAGGAGTTATCTACTGTCGAAGAATGCCCATCATCTCCATTTATCAATAAATTCTCGTACGAAACCTCCAAGGATTCCCTGAGATGGGGATAAATATTGACATGTAATAAACTTTCCTCGGGAAAGTTCCCAGTTATAAGTCCACTGAATAATTCTTTCGGTTGAACAATCTTCGTTGTTATAGGTTTTACAAGAGAAAACTGAATGATTGACTTGATGGGGATCCTAGAAATCTTTTCGAACTTTGCAAGGTTCATTGGTTGGAAAACTGTTTTGTTTCTATGGAATTTACAAGTATTTCCCTCTTCAGTCTCACCAAATAAAACCCCATCTGAGATTGCGCAAGTTGCATGATATGCTCTAACGCACTTCGGATGTACACATTGGAAACATACGCCATGCTGAGGCTTTGATTTATCATTCCTTTTATTACAAACACCACATTTAAGGTTTCGTTGAGCTTGTGTTACGGAAGAAATCCCCTTAATTGTATGTCTTAGTATTAATCTGTTTGTTTTTTGAGGCTCAGGTTGATTCTTTGCAACTTTGTCCAAAGTGTCCTTTTGTTCTGTAATCGATAATCCGTTCAATTGTTCCGCACAAATCCTATGTGCTCGATAAGGTGTTGAATCAATGTCAATTAATTGGAATAATTTCATGTTCTGTAATATCTTTGGTAAATTATTAGGACATAAATGGCATTCAAAGTCTGGTTTGGTGACTTTTGGTAATTCGGGTGACTTAGATGACGACGGGGGTTTCCTATTTTGTTTCACTTTCTTCTTAGTAAGTTTGACTGTTGATTCTTTCTGATCTTCGATTGTTTCCTGCTCAACCACATCCAAGTTCGCATCTTCATTGTCTTCATTCTTTGATAAATGATGTTCGTATGGTATCCCCATAAACTTGCAGTACAAATGATCAACATTAATACCCACAGAATCATTAATACATTCACATTTCTTGGTGACTTTCCCATATTGAAACCAATCATCAAGAGCAAAATTGACGGATTCTGCAAGGTTATAACCAAAATTGAATCCAGAGTGGTATCCATATGGATATGTTATGATATATTCCCCTTCGTTATGTACAATTTTATTGCATTGAATTCCATGTTTGGCCAAATACGTGGGTGACATCATAAATGTTTTATGTCTTAGGAATTCCAGACACTGTCTACTATCTTCTGGAAATTCTTCTTTCATAAGTTCATAAAATTTTGAAGCTTGTTCTTGTGGAATGGAATACCATTGTTTGGGAGCTCCAAAATGTAAATAATTAATCGAATACAAATCTTGATCCTCAAGGTGCCATGAAAATGTGGCCTTCCAGAGGCCAGCGTATAAATATGCATCATTCACACCAGGAAGTCTAGTGTCCATAAGGTCCAATATATTAGGAAGATTTGCAACATTCCAGCTTTTAACATTAGACAGGAAAAGTGAACCCAAGGAGTCGGCTCCATACATAGGCTCCGCATAAGTAAGGGTCTTCCAGTACGCAGCCTCTAGTTGCTCGCATCTCTCTGGTGTAAATTCTGAAGTGTCTATATTATAATTCTTATGGAATGAGCCAGCAGCCTTTGTGGATGTCGCGCTTGTGGATGATGATCTTGATCTTTTGCCAATTTGAATGCCATGGTCCTTTACGTTCTTATGCAGTGTCTCTCTTACTTTACCCCTAGGTGCTGGTGGAAGATAATTGGAATGTTGTGATAGATCTTTCCATTGTTCCATACTATATGTCCTCGTCCTTTCAATATTTTGCAGCGAGTAAACTCCTGCACCTACACCGTTAATATGTTGTATGATGGGGTTTTTGATACGAATACTTTCAAGTTGCTTGTTTGTATACTTGGGTAATGCTCTTTTCCATTCCTGTGGGGGGATAATTTTCACAATCCCCAGTTGCATTCCGTATTTATTAATTGCTTTATTGAATGCATAAAAGTCCTTGAACTCGGCCATTGTTGGCATAAAGACGGGGATCCCCCCACTATAATGGTGAGGTTCTACAACCAACAGAGGGTCTGCTTGATATACCAGCGACATTATTGGAGGCAGTAGCTGATTGTTTTGGGAGTGTCTCTTTATGTATGTATAGAGTCGTAGATTTCTGTTTTTTGTTCTCTACTTTGCTTTCCCTTTCTTTATTAAACCATGAGATTTTAAGCGATTGTCTGATCATGCGCCTAAAATTCTTCCTTTTTTTTTATATTCCTAACATAAAGTTTTTGTGTATTTTGGCATTACGCATTTTAACTAAGATATGCCTTAATATTCTCATGTAAGGGTTTCTACTTAAAACTACAAATATTTCAATAATGGCTCCTTTGAAACCTAGAGCTCCCTCTGTTGAGGAAAGAGTATCAAAGAGTCGTGTTCTTAATGCTCTTTTGTTAACAGCTCTTTCCATTGTCTTCATAATTGTATGGGGTTACCATTCAGTATGGGCTGTGAAAGTCATGTTAAATAGAACTTATGGAGGTTTTATTAATAATTTAATCTATGGACCTGGAACATTTGTGGTGGATGTTGCTCTTGGCTTCAGATTTATCACATACTTAAACTTTGTATTGCTTGACGAAAAATTGGACGTAGATCACAAAAAGTACTTGTGAATCAATATTACTTTATTGGAATAGAATCGCCACCAGATCTTATAGAATGAATATTAAAAAAATATGATAACAGAGAATGAAACTTATAAAACTTAAATAAATATTTTCTTATTGCGTCCGAGTACTTATTTTATAATGGATAAATATATATACATCTATTTATCATCCTTGGCCAATGTTGTGACGATACCAGCATAATCACAATACTTCTCTAGAATATCTCTTTGAATCCTTATCCCGGATTCAGTTAACCAAGTTTGAAGAGTTCCAAGCACTATTGGTTCATAGCTAAGTACTTTATCATACCAATATTGATTGTCTCTAATAACTTTTGTAATCTTTTCGAATACACTTGATTCGACAACTTGTTGACTTAGTCCTACTTCAGTTACATTAACATGTGACGTAAGTTCATTTAATATCTCAACCATTTTGTCCTTTCCTCTTGTTGGTTTCAACCCCCAATCTAAAAAGATTTCTCTTAATTGAGTGGCATTCATAGATTGAAAGTCTCTTGATTCAATAGATGGTTTTTCTTTTAAATCTACGGAATCTGACATAATATCTCCTTCTCTTGGACTCGAAGGTACTTGTAAGATCGAAGTATTTGAGATATCTACGGTAGATTCTTTCTCCTTGTTTATAGCGTCATCTTCATCTGGAATCACCCGAGAAATCTCAATAATGCTTATACTGGTGTCTCCTTCAAATTGCCCTTCATCTTCTGAATCAGCAATTTCCTCTTCAGGATCAATCGGTACTTCTCTTCTTGTACCTATTTTCCGAATTTTGATGGCATTTTCAATTTCCAATTCTGATATTTCAACTGCTCCTGGTATTTCCACTAATGATGTTCTATATCGTTTCCTACTTTGTTTTGGTATTGCAATCAGTAGATCTTGACCAGAAGAAATTCTTGAAATCTGAGATCCTGGAACCAGCAGGATCAGATTTTGGAAAAACGTATTTGCTGTAGAATAAATAGATTCCGATATTGGTGATTCTTGCTGTAACTTAATAGGCGAGTCTTCTAGTTTAGAAATTTTGCTAGTGATACCAGCTCTTTTTGTAGGAGTTTTAAACACCCCTGGTAAAGATCTGACGGGTGATGAAATTATTTCTTCAATCACTATTGGTTTCATTTTCTTTTTTGGTGTATTTTTGTTTTCTTGTGAGAATGATGAAGAAAATATCTCTTCGTGATTATCTTCACCAATTTGTGAACTTGAACCTAATTCAATCGGTAAATTCTGTGTGCCTGCTTCCTTATTTCCAGAAATAGGAAGACTACCAATATTATCAAGTGAAAACATCGATTCTTGTTGGTGTGAAGATATAATAGGTGCAAAGTCACGGTCTGCAGTTTCCAGGATTTGAAGTTTGGGAGGAGTCTTAACAAGAACAAGTGGTGCTAATTCGGGTGATGAGTCTGAAATAACTTCAATATACTTATCATCCTCATTTGTCTTAACCTCAGATTTTGACTTATTTTCAATAAATGATTGACTATCTACTTTGAAATCTTGTTTGAATTCACAGTTAATATCATCCTTTAATCCCTCTTTTGACCCATGTTCATCCTCATCCTCTTCAATATCGGTATCTTGTTCTGCAAATGATCTCTTTGTCTCATTCATAACTTGTGACAAAGTTAATACAAATGGATTACTTTCTTGAAAGCTTTCTTCTATCTCTGAAAAACTCGTTACATTTCCCACATCCTCTGGAAGATCGTACAACCAGTTGATATCTTCAGAGTTTAATTCATCTGTCTCCGGGCACATTGAAGTTTGTGACCATATACTATTTTCTTGTAGTTTTTGAGAACTCTGTACCTTTCTAGTTAAATATTTCAAACTTCTTTTTGTCTTTGAAGAAAGATTAGGAAATCGAACTTTTATGTTTCGTAGAATCTCATTCCATTCGGTTTTAGAATATATAAATCGATCTTCATATGGTCCTGCCAACTTGAGTGAATTCGTATCGTTATTCTTTCTGGTCTCTGCTGTTTCAATCCGGTTAAGGATGTCATTTATTTTACGCTTCTTTCCTGAAAAATATTGAAGAATTGAAAGTTGGACCTTTTCTTCACTTTCTCCAGTTCTTTGAGATATCTCTTCCGTCGATAAACTATATTTATCGTTCATTAATGATGTAATACTCTTGATCTTCCTACGTTTGGAGTTTGGCTTTGCATTCTTGGTCTTCTCTTGTGTTATTTTCTCCTTACGATTGGTATTTATTGAAAATCTTTTGCCATCATAAATTGACTTATCATTCGTATTTTTAAATCTTTGTAGATTCAAAATTGAAAGCTTCTTCTCTTCTTCCTCTACAAGTTCCTCCTTCAACTCTTCATACCTCCCCTGCATTTGAGTAGATGCAAATTGAATCCCACTACTATCTTCATCACCCTGTGATTCCAGCATTGTACAATCTTTGATATAAAAATATTAGCATTTATCTATAGCACATATGTTACACTTTTTGTGTGTGTACATCTTGTATATAGCAAATAAAAATATACAGAAAATATCTACAGAAAAACAAAATTCTTGAAAGTAAGTCTTTTATTAATGGTGGTACTGGTACTGTATGATTATTTTCTATTTGTTATATAATATGTTATACTTGTTGTTTAGTTAAATTCTCTTTTAAATCTTTATTAATTTCCCAATTTCCTGATTTCTTATTATAAGAAGAAATATCTTGAATTGTATTTTTGATTATGCTTTTTGTAAATGATTTGAACTTCTTTTGGGCAATATCAACCAATGTACCAATTGTAAAATCATTATTCTCTTCAACAAATTTTATTAACTCAATTAAAATGTTTGTCTCAGTGATTTTGGGTTTATGTGGTATTAATACTTTTGGTGCTGCGATAGAACCTGTAGAATCGGTAGATACAGTTTTTTTAGTAGGAAGTCCAGATGTATCGGAAGTAGCAGTAGTATCAGTTTTCTCGGGTTTATCGGTTAAAGAAGGTGTAGAAGAGTCGTTGCAATTTTCATCGGTACTAGCAACATTACTTGTATTAGTACTGGTGTTGGTAGATACCTTGTCAGAAGTAGTGTTCGTTGATACAATTCGCAGCTTCGATTTAGAATAATCTCCATATGGGTCAATAGGGAATTCAACTGTAGACCTTATTGGCTCATATTTCATCAGAGAGAAGAATTCATCATCTGTTCCATCATTCCATAAACTTATAGATACCAATGGTCCAATAAATTTCTTCTTTCTCTTTTGTACATCATTACTATCAACAAAATCTTCAAATTCACTTTCATCTGCAATTTCCTCTTCTTCTTCATCATCATCTTCATTATCAATATCCTCTCCTTCTCCTTCTTCTCCCGAATCTTCATTCCATTCAAAATCTGAATCATATTCGTAATCCATACCGCTGATGGTTGTGTTGAATGGGTCTGTACATGGGATTCTAACCTTGATATGTTCATTGGAACACCAGGTCCCAATATATGGTGGTTTAGAGTTTTCATAAAATTGTAAGTATTTCACTGGAGAAATGTTTTGTACCATTTTTTGAATATGTTCTTCGGTACTACTTGAAGAGTTTAACGCATTGACAATTTCTTCTGGAGATACATGAACATCAGTTATATTTATGGATTTGGACTTCTTCATCGAATATGATTTCATTGTGGATTGAAAATCATTAATTAAATTTGAATTCTTTCCATCCATCTTGAACAAGTTATCAAATTCTAATACCGATTTGGTCAACTTTTCATTTGATAATTTAAACCCGTTTGATAATGATACATTAGTCTTTTGGAAAAATGGTAAAAAGACTCGATCATACGTATCCGATTCTAATTTCTTAGCACAAGTTTTGTTGTTATTTACAGTAAAGAATGATGAGATTTTCTTTTGACTTTTTTGCTTAGCTTCCTCTGCCTTCTTCTTAGCTTCTTCAGATTTCCTTTTTTCTTCTTCGTGTTTTCGTTTCTCTTCTTCAAGTCGTATTTTCTTCTCTAATCTTTGTTTTTCTTTCTCCTCTCTTTCAGCCAATTTCTTTAATCTTTCTTCTTCCTTTTTTCTATCTCGTTCTAATTTCTCTTCTTCAAGTTTTTTCCTTCTTAATTCCTTTTCTGCTTCTTTTTCGGCGAGTCTTTGCTTTCTTTCTTCTTCACGAACTCGTTTATCTTCTTCCTTTTGAATTCTTTCTTGTTCCTTTTTCAAATCTCTTTCTTGTTTCTCAATTTCTCTTTGCTTTTGACGTTCAATTTTTTCCAATTGTTTCTTTGTTAGTGGTTTTTCACCTTCGACTTGAGGTGGTGGTGATGATAATAATGGAGTAATTGGAGTAGTTGACGCGTCTTTTTCCTGTTGAGTTGTAGAATTATCCTTCTTCGTTACATTCTCTTCAATCTCTGGTGTTGGAGTATTAATATTTTCTGATACGGAGTTTACCAACGTATTCGTATTGTCTATTTTAGATCTTTTACTTGTTGGTATTTCATCGTTGTCAACATGAGATCTCTTTTTATCATCATCAATATTATCATTAGTTCTAGGTGTCCCATTTGGGGTTATAAACGCCAACTGGTTCGATTCTGGTAATAACTGTTGTGTCATTATCTCCAAACCATTCACAGGAGTTTCCATCCCTATAATTTCTTATCTTTTCTTTGTAGGAACCTACTTCAATCAAAAGTTTAAGTAAACGCGTCAAAAATTCCAAAAATAATATCCACAAAAACAATACAAAAAAAGCTCTGTACATTTAAAATTTCAAAAGCTTATGATCATTCCACATATCAAATTTACAGATGGAAATGTCTCTAAAATAAAATTTATAAATTATCCATTAAAATAAAGCGACTAAATAGTAATAAGAAGGAAATTAAATCGGAGGACACATGATGCAAATTAAATAAACACTAAGAATATTCAGGAATATCCAAGTGGAAAAATGGGGTATTGGTACCAACTGCTGCATAATATCCATCATCAGCACCAAATTCCAAATCATTGGAAGTTCCAATATTGACATACGCAGTCTCGCTTATTAATCCATCTTCTTCATAAGAGCCAAACCCAGAGTTGAGTAACGCTCTTCTAATCCATGGAGATAAAATTCCTGAGAAATGGAATTCAACCTCTCTATCAGCATAAGTATTCAAAGCCTTTCTAAGATCAACTAAGGCTTGGATAGAAGTGGCATCAATCGATGCAACAGAGCTAAAGTCGAAATGAATAATCCTCAAAATTGGTCTGTCATCAGCTTGAAATTCATGTTGTTTAGCAAACTTCTCTTTCCAGAAAGGGAAGTTCCATTTAATTGGACCTGGGTCATTCCAAGGTCTTGCTCCAGTTGGTAATTGATCATATGGCTTACCACGCTTAGTTAATCTCTTTGCTTCATCTGAAACTCTATCAACTTGCTTGGATGCATTGGGGTATGTAAATGATTCAATGGGTTTAAACACAAGAACACCAGGTGGAGGTGGCGAAACATGTAAATGTTTATTAATATTCTTATTATTCAATGGAACCCATCTTGTTTGGAATTTCAAATTAGGATTATTTTGAATCAAATTTTTGGCAGAAGTATTAACATTTAATTTTCCAACTTCTTTAACCTTATACTTATTAGAAGTAGCGGAATTGTAATTTGATCCATTACTTAAGACTTGATGGATTTCAATATCTTCATCAGAAGAGTTTGATGCTGAAACATTTTGAACTTCTTTGTTTTCACCATGAATACTAAAGTTACCTTCATCAGAAATGGCAATGCTTGGGTTAATGACTTCGGCAACACGAATTCTGCCCAAAAAGGTACCTTCAGGCATAGCAACACGGAACAACAAGACAGCTACTGAAGCACAGATAGCAAAGTAAATACCATTTTCAATGGAAGAAAAAACAGTAATGAATACAGCAACAATGAAAATACCAGCATCCAATGGCGCAACATTCCAGAAATTCCAAGTAGTTTTATAATTTGCAATCAAATCAGATACAGCATGAATAATAACGGCACACAAGGTTGCTTTTGGAATGTAGTAGAAAGCCTTTGTCAATGCATACAAGGCCAACAACACAACACCACCAGTGAAAATACCAGCAAGAGGGGTTCTAACACCACACTTGGCTTTCAAAGCTGATCTAGAAAATGAACCAGTAGCAGGATAAGCATTGAAGAAAGTACCGATTAAATTGTTAACACCAATAGCAATCAATTCTTGATCTGGTACAACCTTGTAATCGTTAACTCTACCAAAGGACTTGGCGATTGCGATATGTTCCAACAATAAAATAATGGTAGAAACTGGAATTTCAGATGCCATAGCACCAATAATTCCATGAGGAATCTTCATGACACCAACATCTCTCAAACCAGCTGGAACAGTACCAATGATACTGATAGATGGTTTGAACTTACCCTTACCATGGAAGTTAACCTTTTCAGGATGAACTACACCCCAAGCAATCAAAGTGGCAAAGACGATAATAACTGCATTTCTTAAATGTTGACCATAGAAGAACCAAGATTTGTATCTTGGCCATCTTTCCATACCATAGTTAGTTGTGAACTTCCAAGTATACAAAAGGAACAATGGGACCATACCAAATGCGGCATCGATGTTACCGTGTTTCAAGTTCTTCAAGGAATCGATAACAACTTTATAACTAGCTTGTCTAGTATTGACAAAGGAGTTAAAACCCAATAAACCCGGAATTTGACCAACGATAATACTGAAGGCAGAACCAGTCATAAACCCCATAATTGCTGGAATAGAAATAAATTCTAAAACAAAACCCAACCTCAAGATACCGATACCAGCGGCAATCCCACCACAAATCAACGAAAGGAATGTGGCAATTTCTGGAGCACTATATTGGGCACCATATTCACTTTGGACTTTGGCTACAACTTTACCAACTTGTAAAGACATAACGGCAACAGGACCAATCGAAACATCTTTTGAAGTTGCGAAAAAAGAGTAGATAAAGACACCAACAAATGAAGAATAAAGACCATATTGTGGAGCTAAACCTGCTAATTGTGCATATGACATAGATTGTGGAACCAATACAACCCCGACGGTAATACCAGCAATTAGATCACCATAAGCCCAAGTGGGATTATAATGTAAAATCCATTGTGCGATGGGAAAAAGAGAAATGAAATAATCTCTAATTCTTTGAAGAGGACTATTAAAATTATCTTTCGTCCAGTCAATAACTGTCACAGTTCTTTCATGATATTCAGGAACTGCTATATTTGAATTTTCATGATATGGTTGTTGTTCACCAAAATGATGGATTTGTTGCTCAGCGTCATGATGATCCTCAAAATGAGAGGCTTTCTGTAACAGAGGAATTTCTGATCTGATACTAGCCATTGTTGTTAGGTTACGGAATGAAAAATATGTTTTTCAAAATTGTATAATTAATACATGAAATTGTCTTGCTTTATATATGTAAATGGTTTCGACAACAATGATGATTTAGAATTTCAGCCGTGTATGCTTATGCAAAAAGGTTAAAAATATCAAGAAAAGTCTTTACCTATTGCAAACATAAGCTCTTAAAAGTAATGAAGCCATAGTATCAGCAATTTTGCATCCACAGTTAGCAATGCGCACGTGATCTGTATCCACAGCTGTCAGAATGATCACTTATTTATTTACGTAAAGAATGAAAAAAAAGATGCATGCATTAGCGTGTGGTATAGAAATTTTACCAGTATCAAAAGAACCACGTCTACGTAATTATATAGGATTTACAATAACTATTAGTGTATCATTTGTAGCAGATTAGATGGTAATTCAGAGCTTGAATTCAATGATGAATACAATGATTCCATGATGCAAATAGCACGTGCCGTGTTGCGACTTTCAAAATTTCTTTTTATTTTTGAATTGCTGCAAAAAATAAAGGTAGAAAGAGACACAATGTCATGTCACGTAATATTTGCTAGATTATTCTATGCATTTATAAAAGCATGAAAGACAGAAAACTGACACAAGACACATTTCATACAAAGTTGACTAACATTGAAAACAGTCCACTAAATATTTATCGAATATTCGCTTCTCATTTAGCGGTAGTAATTGTTTTCTTTTTCTTGACACAATTTCGAGAGATCAAGAGGCGGTGTAAATTAAGATTTCAGATGCCAAATTACCTATCGAGGTGCTTAATAATTTAATATTCGTCATTTTCCACACTAAATTTATTTTCCCCCCATATCAATATAGGCGTTTATGGGTTATACCTTATCTCATTTCCTTTGTGGAGCTAAAAAATAAATTAATGATGCATTGGTTGTTAAGTTAAACTTTATTCTGTATCCGCTCCCACACGCCCTTCTTTTTCTGTTCTTTTCTTTTCTTTTCTTTTTGTATTTCAATTCATGAAATCAACTTTTACAAATGATTAAATTTAATAATGTATATTTCAAAAATTCTAAACACAGTCTCGATAACTAAACTCTTAAACCTTTCAAGTTTTCCAATTCAACTTTATCAACCAAATCTCTATATTGTTGTTGTTGCTTGCATTGTTCTAAAAAGATTTCATATTTTGCACTCAACAACTTACGATCTGGATGGTGGGGATCAGAAGGAAGAATGACTTTCCCTGGACCGGTCATTTTTTCCATGATTTTCCAAAGTTTATCTCCAGCATTTGGTTCCTTTTCCTTTTTAGAATCTAAAGTTGATAATGGTTTCAAACCAAGTTTGTTCAACTTTTGTGACAATCCCTTTTGAACGTTAGATTTAGAGCCAAATGATAAAGTTTCTTCTTCGTCCAGTTCTTCTTCTTCAGAAGTAGTAGGTACCTTTGGTTTGTAAGTAGGTTGATTGAAGTAATCGACGTTCTCTTCAGCACCTTCATCCATTGGAGTCATTGAAAAGTGGTGACCAGCTGTTGGGTATACTAAAGCAGACATGTTGGTCGTAGAAGCAGTAGCAGATGGTGCCGTGTAAGGTGAATGTGGTTCTTCAACTGCTCCACCTCCACCATGCAAACTGGTTTGAGATTTTTGAGATACTAAAATAGACGATCTTCTAGATCTACCCTTTGTAGCTACATGTTCAGCTACAGATTCTTCAGCGGCAACAGCACCCAATAATGCAGATCCAAAAACAACAGCTGCATCAATATATCTTGGGATAATAACTGGCAATCCTGTACAATCAGCAAGTAATCTCATCAACAACCCATTTCTACATTGTCCTCCAGACATGAAAATACATGAAATATCATGACCACTCTTAGTCAATGATTCGACAATTTGTCTGGTTTGTTGTGCAATAAATTCACAAGCTCCAAAATATTGAATTGCCAAGTCGTTCACACTAGTATCCATGGATTGCCCAATGATAGATGCCTTCATACGAGGGTCTGCTACTGGAGATCTATTACCATGGAAGTCACCATAGAAAAACATATGTTTAGCCAAACTGACGACTGATCTACTCTTTGTATCAGTAACCAAATTTTCCAAAATCATATTCAAATAATCAAATTTGGACAAATTGGAAGCTTCTGATAAATGTGCTAATTCAGAATATGCTGGATGGATGGATAAAACATGAGCAAGCAAGGCACCAGTACAAGATTGTCCACCCTCTGCGAGCCAGTATCCAGGAGCCATTACATCCTTGTATGGACCCCAAACACCTTGCACAAAACATGGTTCCTTGGTCATGGCAATGTGACAAGTTGAAGTACCTGCAACAGCTGCCAATCTTCCACAAGCAGTACCAATTGAACCATCGGATTTCTCGGATAATTCTTGAAGCTTTGGAATGTCAACCTTACCAGCAACGGTACCGATCCATCCTGCGTATGCATCGATAACACCACTTCCAACAATACATTCTGTGGTTAAACCCAATTCTTCAGCTGATTGTGGAGTTAATTTACCAACAATATCACCAGCAGATAAATATGTACCATTTTTATTTGGAATACCACCAAGCTTACGGAAATCATCTTCACAAATTTCATCCAAATCAACTTGTTGTAAGAATTCCTTGGACCATCCAGTTGTAGAATCATCAACCCCAAGTGGGACGAAACCTTGTTTACAGACTGCTGAACAAAAGGATCTGGCTTCAGATCCTGTAGCTCTATGGGTGAGGTAATCTGGTAAGTCATAAAACTTAACATCGGAAATCCCACCTGGAAGGTGATGCTTCAACCACTTAATTTTAGGTAATTCCATCTCAATTGACATTTGCCCACCAACATATTTCAAACATTTGTCACCAGTTGCATTAATGGCATTGGTTTCATCAACAGCTCTATGATCCATCCATAAAATGATATTTTCCTTATTATCAGAAAAGTCTGGTCCAACTGCAACTGGTTGATCATTCAGCTCACTGATTGCTACCAAGGAACAGGTAGCATCGAAACCAATGCCAAAGATATCAGATGGGTCAACTCCTGAATCTCTAATACAATTTTTAACACAGAAGCAAATCGAATTCCAAATCTCAGTGGAGGATTGAGTGATGTGACTTGGCTTGAGTTCATGACGAGTGATTGGTCTTTCACTAAGTCCAAGAATGATACCATTAGTATCAATGATACATGCACGAGCTGATCCAGTACCAACGTCAACACCAACGTAGTACACATCTGGTTGTGGGGCTGGTTGGTGAAAGTTGAAAACGGATGACCTACGAGAGGCCAAACTTGTGTGGGACTTGGATAATGGTGGCATTCTTCTTTAGCTCTAGTAGTTGGTAGTAAGTTATACTAAATATTTCAAAAATTTTAAGAATAGTCTATTCTATTTTTGAATTTATTCGTTAAGGAAGAATTGCTGACAGTTTTGATTAGTGTGATATGTTTTTCTTATGAATGTGTTTTTTTTTTTCTTTGTTCTTCAACAATACCCTGTCAGTCTTTTAAATAGAATGCCGGGCCTATTTGCATTTACGAAATGAGGGGGAAGAACACAAAACAGATAAGCAACTAAAAAAAAACCCTATATGCAAAATCTGCCTGGTAAATTTGCCATATATGAGCGTTGACGGCAAAAAATTGACTGTAATGTTTAAAATAAATAGATATAATGACATTTTACCATGGAATTTTACAATTTTTAATCCAATTTTCTGGTAGAAATATACTTTTCAGTACTTTAGTTATCAATTGATTGAATTGACAATTGAAAAAGTTATATTAATATTCATGGCTTAGTCTATTGGTGGACTTTTTCTCGGTAAATCTGCATATAATCTAACCTGAATCCCGCCTGATATCATAATGCAGACCTCAGGCGTACCAAAGATCAAAAATTGCAGCACATGACTCTATAGGTTGATTTATTAAAAAAGAAAAAATATAACATTCTTCTAAACTATTATACATAGATGTTAGCTATTAAAGTATTTCCTTCATCCCAAAAATCATTCTCTTCAAGGGCCCCTAATCAATATAAAGACCCCCCTCTCTATTAACACACTCATCAAAAAATCAATAAACTTTTCAATTCTTCAAGGATGGATATTTTTCAACTGCATCTACAAGGAAATCAAATTGCTCGGTATTTTCTACGGCAGCTCGTACATGAGAAGCACCAATCCGGCGCACACCATTTTTTTTTGCTTCAACAACGGCTGCTTCAACAAGATTTGTCATGAAAATTTCTAATGCACGACCAACAACTACAGGCGTAGCTTGTGCAACCTTTCCTATATCTTCATCAGATTGCATTATCTTCTTGATTCTTGCAGCTGGAAAATGAGTCTTCAATTTTTCAAATGATGCTAGTATGGTCTCTTGTGGTACTCTGTCGTCAGACATGATAAAGTGTATGTCGTTTTCCTGTATATTAGTGGGTGAGGGTTTTTAAAATAAATTGTACTATGAGCCTTGACGGCCCGCTTGAATTCATGGAGGAATTTCTTTGCTACTTAAATACTTTCATCAAAAATTGCGATGGCCGTCATTGGTCGTGCGAAATTCAATATATTGAGAGACAACACAACACATCAAGTAAACATTTCAATTTATCAATTGGAAACTTGAATTTGTCAAGTTTTTACTGTAAGCTCTAGGTGAAAGGGCTAACAATGATTCTTCAACATTTCAATTAAATTGCTCTTAAATAATTTACATACATCGAAAGCCAACAAAATATTATGATGTAAGACTTACAATTAAATTATGAGCCAAAACGAAGTTTCAATGCAAGTTTTAAATTTAAAAAAAAACAAAGTAAAAAATAATGCCTTCAGCCAGATTCGAACTGACGATCTCCTCATTACTAGTGAGGTGCCTTACCAACTTGGCCATAAAGGCGGTTTTTACTTACAAAATTCTGTGGTTTGATAAGCTAAAAACTCATGAAAAAAGCGATTTTTTTTTTGTAAATTGTATATGATTGTAAATTAAATTAAAAAGATAAATCTGTATTTTAATCCCTGCTTCTACTGGGTATCCATCTCCTATATAATACTTCGGTCACTTTATACGACGAAAGGAGTGAATGGATGTCACCAGCTGAAGTCGTTTGTGATTCACTTGGCTCATCAACAAAGCATAGTACTAGGGATTTCTTAACACCACCAATCACTCTCGAAATTGAAGAGATCTCGATCCAGTCGAGTCTCAGTTTCGTAGAAACGATAAGTATTCCAAATTCTGCGTGACTGAAAGGAGGACCTCGCTTATAAAGAAGCATATCACACCCAAATTTTATCCCCGCCCTAACGCACCAACCAAGAGATCTATAATGGTGATAAACAACATAATCTAGAAGAAACTTTGGATTAAGTTTGCAGCATTCATAGAATACTTCACTTGTTGACAACAAATGATCATCTTTATAGATACTCAACGTATCAAGGGCAAATTGTAAAAAGAAAACCTCTACAACTTGTAATTGAAGATATTCCAAGTTCACACCTTCAGCAAGTAAAATCTCATCTTCTTCTCTCAAAATTAGGTCATTTACTTGATTGGAAGCCAGAATAGACTTTTGTTTAAAGTCATTTAATTCTTCCTTCAAGTCCAGTAATATGCTTTCTTCGCTGGGACTCAAAAGACCCTGTCTTTGTTTTAATTCTAAAGCTTCAACTTTAGCCCTCTCTGCCTTAAATCTCTTCCTCTCCTCTCTTCTTTGTTTAGTAATATCTTCACTAGAAATACCCGAATCATTATCTAAGCCCAATCTTCGACTGGTTCTTTCAACCCAAGAAGGATCGGAACGTGAGAGAGAACCTTTACCAAAGAAGCCATGACTCCATAACCTAGCCATATCCTTATCATTACAAACGGTAAATATTCCATTGGAATATTCAACCCTAACTTTATGCTCGGGTACAGGGCGTGATTGGATATAAAGATATGTACCTACAAAATAAATCCATGATAATGGATTATGTGGGTAGATGTCAGGCAAAGGACCATACACATCACTAGAGAGAGTTACTGGAAGGGCATTTGGATATAAATCCTTTAAATTCTTATTTCGTTTTCCCATATTCTAATACTTGTTAGTAATTTGTTGTTAGCAAAAATAAAATTAAAATACAATTTATCAAATTAAGTGTCAGATACCGTTGTAGTCTTGAGAAATCATGTGCTCACACTGATCCGAAGATCTTAAAGACACTAGTAGGTTTTGTCATCAGGAAATTAATCGATAGATTGATATTGTATATGTGTACATACTTGTTATCTAAACAATAAAAAGTAAACTTCAATTCATATTGAATTAAATTAAACTCTGTTAAGAAAGATGTTCAAAAAACTTTTCATGGGAAAGAAAATTGCGAACTTATATAGTGCATGTCCGGGTAAATCTGCCTGATAATTTTAAATAAGGGCCTTATTTTACAATCAACATAATTAAAATTGAATTGAAGTTTTGTTATCCAAATATGTCCTTAGTAATCAGTTAAGCTGTCAATACTTTATTTGAAGTGATAATTATATATAGTAGATCTATCTATTATAAAAAGTAATATTTTGTAGAGATATTATTTTTGCAACTTCATTATTATATTTTTTAAGGAAATGAATATGTTTAACAGAATAATAATAAAACAATATTGACATAACAATATACGATGCTATACCAAGTTTCTTCATCAATGATGTTAATACTAATAATTAGAAATACTAGAGAGGTAATTGTTAGTTATTGTCAAATTACTAACGTTTTTGAATGAATTAAAAAAATGCAAAAAAATAAATGCTGGTCCCAGGAATCGAACCTGGGTTTGTTCGGCCACAACGAACTGTACTAACCACTATACGAGACCAGCTGCTTTATATTCATTAAAAAATTCTAGGTTGATAATCGTGATAGGGTGAATCCAAGATAAAAATTTATTTAGCTCATATTGCCATTAATTCTTATGGTAATAAAACTAAAATATTTTGGAATGATTAATAAAAGTATTAAGTTATTACTGGCATATCAAATATGAAAGTATTATGAAAAAGGGAGCATAAAAAGAGAGTTTGTAGTTTTGGTGGGTGTAAGGATGTCTTCTCTATCTTGATACTCGAATGAAAAGGTTCTATTAGTCACATAGTATATGTACATCAAAACTACAGATATCCATTAGTAGAATAAGAAGATAATGAACAAGAAAGGAAATAAAGTTAGGTTTCGAGAATTAATATAGTAGTTTCATTAATTGTTTTTCTTGAATTGTTCAAATACATGGATACAATCTTGGATTTATATAGTTGCATATAATAATTGAATTCCTACAAGGGTTTTAAAAAAAAAAATCGATAAAGAAGCCATTGAAATTGTTGTGATCAAATAACAATATATATTTGTATCATACCACCCCCGGTACGCTGAAACCTCATTTATTCTGACTTTTAATTGTGTAAATTCTTAAAATTTGGGAACCAAAACAAGAACTAGACAACTCGAATTAGATAACCCTGCATATAATACAATCCATGGATTTATTTATCTATATGAATCCGGTTAGAGTTATGTTGTATAGATTTTAGTTTAAACAATTATCAATGTCAATTCAAGGAATAAATTGTCAAAGGTGCAATACACCTTTGAAAATAGATCAGTCTCTTATTGGTCTAAGTAATGCACAGCAGAAACTCCTTATTGGTAGAAAATCTGAAGATAATGAACATATTGCAGTAGAAGATGCTAATCAATTCATCCCCCCTGATCGGCTTCTATTATATAATAAAATCAATCAGAAAGGGAAAAAACCTATATTTGAGAGGAATTTTACAAGTCTAAGGAATAATACTGACACACATGACGAAGAAGAGAATGAAGATAACGATGGAGAAGAAGAAGAAGAAGAAGAAGATATTGGCGAGGAAGAAGCTGGTGACGATGATGAGTACAATCTGGGACTAGTAGACTCTAATTCATTTGTATTACTTCCAGCGAGCAATAAACATCCTGACCATGAGAATGAACAATTACTTCATGACCCTAAAACTATTTCTCAAAGAATAAACACATTGAATCGGATATTCGAAATTCTTTCTTCTAATCAAGATGTTGACCATCCTTTATGTTTAGAATGTTCTGACCTTCTTGTGGAAAATTTCAAACTTAAGTTTGATCAGAACCAAAAGGAAAAAGATAGCTTTTTAGGATTTTTGCGGAAACTCAAGAGTCAAGAGAATGCATTTGATGGACCAGAGCTTGATTCAAGATTAAGTACATCTGTTGAAGAATACCATGAACTTCGAGATATAGAAAAGGTAAAATTGGATGAGTTAAGGGATCTTGAAAGGACAAAGCTTGATCTTGATAAAGATTTATTACAACTTGAACGTGAATATGATCAATTAACTACAATAGAGTTACTGGATGTATTACGAATTAAAAATCAAACTGATTTAGATCTTGAATCAAAGACGAATGAACTTGAAAAGGCTAAGGCATCCTATCAAATGTCACTTGATCAACTTGATCGATTAAGAAATCTAAATATATATACGTCGGTATTTCTGATATCATTCGATAAGAATACGAATGATTATGGTACAATCAATGGATTCCGATTGGGATATAAGGTTCCTTGGGCAGAAAATAATGCAGCTCTTGGACAAACCGTATTATTACTTGTATTCTTATTGAATAGATTCGAGATTAATTTGATTGACTATAAGTTGATCCCTATGGGATCACAGTCACATATCATTAAAATATCCACCAGATCAGATGAGCCCGAACTGCATGTCAAACACAAATCGAAGACAATCCTTGATTTGTATACTACCAATGAATTTTCATTAGGGAAATTATTCAATTTTAATAAGCTTGATGTTTCAATGATTGCACTTTTAGATATCCTTTCACAAGTTATATCAAAATTATTAGAAGTTGATCCAGATATTGTTCTACCTTATCCCATTTCAGCCAAAAAGGATACCATTGGAGGGAAAAGTATACGAGTTACATCCAATAGTGAATGGACTCTAAGTTGTAAATTTCTATTAACCAATTTAAATTGGCTTCTTCTGTACTCAAGCGTGCATTAATATTATTTAGGCTGCATATAACATAAGGAAGGGTAACTACATAAAGTAAGTTGCAAAAATTAAATAAATCATGTGTCGTAAATAACATTTTAAGAGTCTTGTATTACTTTTGTACAACGTTATATGACTTTCGATTTATAATACAATGAGTTCCGACAATTCCCATGCCTCTATTGATTATGCAACTTTTCAATTTCCAACTTTTTCCAAAACAACAGATGATTTTATTTCATTTCGTCAAAATAGAAATTTTGGCAACATCCATGTTAGTGAATTAGATTCTTCCCCAGTGTCAAGATTCCCATATAAACAAATGTATTCTGATTTGGATCTTGATACAAGTAAATACACTATACTTGAGGATGATATAGAATTAAAAAATGGAACTACATCAAATAATTATAAACTACTTCCTGGTTTAGAAATTGGGTCTTGGGGTCATAAATTAAATAGAATTGGAAAAGGTCAAAAAAAAATAAAACACAGTAAGCAAGATCATGTATCTCAAGATGGATTCATTAATTTGCATAGATTTAAAATTATTAGGGCTAGAGTTCAAGATATGAAATTGAAAAGAGAACAAAAGGTATTTTTATGTCCTTCAAAGAAGTCACATTTTCAAATGTGTCTTGATAATATTGCATCAATAGAAACACCAGCTGGCAAGTCAAGGAGGGGGGTGCCCACCAAATTAGTGGGAGAAAATGGGGTGCGAGATTAGTGGAATGAATCTTGCAACCAAATGTGTTAAATGTTTTTGACTAGTGGATGTAGATGTATGTGTAATACAGTGCTAATCCCTATACATATATTTTATATATATAGATATAATTAATATCTACATATATCTGTATATAACAAGATATTTAATTATTATTCCCACAGAAAGTTGAATCTTTGAATACGTAGACGTTTCTCTATCTTTCATTTGTGTGTGCTTAACATATATTTTTTGTCACGCGTTTTAATTTGAGATTCGAGTGGGACACGTCCTTTCTCATTTTTCGAATTCAAATAAAACGAAGTTTATGCTTATGAGACACTTGTTATTAACCTTGTCTGCAGTTACTTGTAAATTCAATATTCATTGTGATCACAACTTGAAACAATGATGTTGTTTTATTCTCTCTTGACGACATTGGTGTTCCTTTCGGGGTTGGCTAATGCCTTTTATTTACCAGGGGTTGCTCCAACAAACTACAAAAAGGGTGACACCATTCCCTTATTTGTAAATCATTTGACTCCTTCTTTGAATCATTATTCTAATGCTGCTCATAAGAAGGTTAACACAAAGACATTTGTATACTCATATGATTACTATTACCCAAGATTTCACTTCTGTAAGCCAAATGGAGGTCCAAAGAAGCAACTGGAATCTTTAGGATCAATTGTTTTTGGTGACAGAATCTTTAATTCTCCATTTGATATCAAAATGTTGGAAGAAAAGTCATGTGAAAAGTTATGTTCTTCCACATACGGAAAGACGGATGCCATCTTTGTTAATAGAAATATTAGAGCTGGATATAGCCATAATTGGATTATTGATGGATTACCAGCTGCTAAACATATTTACGATCCCAAGACTAACTCTGAATTTTATGGTTCTGGATTTGGAATTGGTGAAGTTGATGAGCAAAACCTTGCTAACTTGTTTAATCATTTCGAAATTAAAATTGAATATCATAAGCGTGCTGAAGACACTTTTAGAGTTGTCGGAGTTACTGTATATCCAATGTCCTTTGATAGATCTAAGTTAGCTAAGGATGCTTCCAAGGATCAACTTTGTTCTTCAGAATTGAAGTCTATCAATTTGGATAAAGATGGTGAAACTGTGGTACTTTTCACATATGCAGTTACTTTTGAAGAATCTGACACCGTTTGGGCTACAAGATGGGATAAATATTTGCACGTATATGACCCAAAGATCCAATGGTTTTCCTTGATTAACTTTTCTTTAATTGTTATTATTTTGGGTATAATTATCGCCCATATTTTAACTAGAACATTAAAGAATGATATTTCAAAATATAATGAAGTTAACTTAGATGATGAAATTTCTGATGAAAGTGGATGGAAATTGGTTCACGGAGATGTTTTCAGACCTCCAAAGCAAAGAATGTTTTTGTCTGTTTTGGTTGGTAGTGGTGTTCAAATTTTCTTGATGATCCTTGTTACAATTGTTTTCGCCCTTTTTGGTTTATTATCCCCTTCAAACAGAGGAGCATTATCTACGTTTATGTTCATTCTTTACATTTGCTTCAGTATAGTGTCTTCATTTGTTTCTGGATACCTTTACCGTTTTTTCGGTGGAGAAAATTGGAAATGGAATATGATTTTAACTCCTGTTTTAGTACCAGGTTCATTATTTGGAATTTTTGTTTTGTTAAATTTCTTCTTAGTTTTTGTTAATTCATCTGGTGCTATTCCATTTGGTACTTTGGCTGCAATTGTTGTCATTTGGTTTGTTTTCTCAATCCCATTATCTATTGTTGGATCTATCTTGTCAGCTAAGAGACAATTGATCTCTGTTCCTGTCAGAACTAATCAAATCCCAAGACAAATTCCACCTCAGCCATGGTACTTGAGAACTATTCCAATTATGTTAATGTCCGGTATTTTCCCATTTGGATCCATTGCCGTCGAAATGTACTTCATTTACTCATCTTTATGGTTTAACAAAATCTTTTACATGTTTGGATTTTTGTTCTTTTGCTTCATTTTGATGCTTACAACGACATCTTTGATCTCAATTTTAATGATTTATTACACTTTATGTTCTGAAAACTTTAAGTGGCATTGGAAATCTCTCTTTGTGGGTGGAGGATGTGCAATTTATGTGTTCATTCACTCATTGTTCTTAACTCATGGAGAAACTCTTGCCGGCTTAACCTCATTCGTGTTGTATATTGGTTACTCCTTTGTTGTGTCATTACTAGTATTTATTTGTTGTGGTTCTGTTGGTTTCCTCAGTAGTTTGTTTTTCGTCAGAAAAATTTACTCTGAAATTAAAATCGATTAAGTGCGCAAGAATGATTTAAATAAAAAGGAAAGACTATCTGATCATTTTTTTATTCTGTTTTCAATGATTCTATTCAATGGTTGGATTTCTGTACGGAACATTTTGTAATAAAGGAAGTATATAAATAGAGAAATACAAAAACTATTCCAACGATATTATTAAATTGATATTACATAAACTTTTCTTTACCATTATTTAAAACCACCCTTCAATGTCTTCTTTTTCAATAAATTTCATTATTGAATTTGAATATTCATATTGCCATGAATCTATTCCGTAATTCATATTACCTGTAGAATCTGGGGATAAATGACCAAAATTCAAATCATATTGATCAATCTTGTTTTTGATCAATACGATTGCCGTTGATCCTAAAACGTGATGATGTGAATTCGAATCATTCGGAATTGTCACATATGTTGAATTCAAATCGCTGTTTAACAAGTTAAATGCAATTGATAAATCATTATTAATTTTGAGACAACGATTATTTAACTCCGAGTCATTGGATGTTTTAGTTAAGCTATCAATTATTAACTTCGACAACTTGATAAGTTTATAAGATTGGCCATATGAAACATTCAAAAGTGGAGATATCAATTCAAAGTTATTAACATTTTGTCTGTTACCATTTTGAATAATCATCATGTTGTTACTAGAATTGGAATGTGGGTTATTAATAGTTGAAATATAATTAGCCAAGTTAATTATTGACAGCGATAATCGTTTCACAAGTCTTCCAAGTTTCAATTGATGATCCCGAAGTATCTCTTCAATATCTTCCTTACATTTTTCATTTTTTGATTTTTGCAAAAAGGAAGATATTTCTTCCAAGTATCCTAATACTTCATGTTTATCATTAACCACATGTATAAAATGAGATGGGAAACTTGCTTGACCAATTGATTCATGAGGGAAACTAGACAGATATGTTTCTCCACATCTTTTTGAGTCTCGAAGTGATACCAATTTACCCAAAGTAGTACCAAGTTTTAAGTTAGTTATACCATTCATAAGAGAACATCCATCTTGAACTTTAGGAACCAATTTATCTACATTCTTATTAAGAATAATCACCATCTGGCTAAGAGGTATAGCTTTTTGAACTCCAAATGCCAACGAATAAATGGAATCAATCACACAAAGACAGTGATAAATCTTTGGAAGGAAAACAGTAATATTGTCTGGATCAGTCAGAGCTGGACTCAGTCTAATCCATGAAACAAACTTCTCTAGCGTTTTGAAATCATTGAGAATTGAAACAGTAATACTCAATCCCAATGAATAAATATCACCATTAAGTAGAATAGCGTAGTTTATCAAAGCTAATGACGAAAAGAAAAAGACCAAGACATTATCATTTGGTAAAATACCATGATTTGCAAATGGATAGATAGTTAGAGCTCTGTTTAAAATGTCAATATTATCCTTGATATTCTGAGTTTTGTAGTTATTGATACTACTCAATGCGAGGTGGAATAAGTCTAGTACATAACGGAACTGTACATCAGCTACCATACTGTCCACCATGGACTTTAAAAGGTTTTCATTAAAGGGAAGTATTGGAAAATTATCATGAAACTTTGCATAATACATGCTAATATTTTGTTCAATAGTATGAACTGGAAACTTGGGACCCTGCACTGCAAATGAAGAGGGTGGTTGTACGTACGAGCCACCAGAAGGTGGGAAGTGTGACTGCTGTATGAAGTGACCCGTAGGATCTACAGCTCCCGAATGCATAGGAATGAAAGCATAATTTGATTTTCCCACTTGTTGCTGTTGTGGTTGATATTGTCCGTAAGGGACTTGTGCACGTGGTTGGACTAGAATATGTTGTTGCTGTTGTTGTTGGACGCTTTGGATCTGCTGCTGCTGCTGCTGCTGCAATCCACCTTGTATTGGAGCTGGGGGTTGCAGCTGACCAATACCTAAGCTGGAATTAATTCTTCCATTCAAACTTGAAAGTGAACTGATGGAATTTCGTGGTGATAGTGATTGAGACAATGATGAATAAAAATCATCTTCACTATCAGAAACTCCAGTGTCACTAGCCGAAACGCTAGGTCTTAATGAAGGTAATCTAGATCGAGATACATTACTTACTCCACTAATGCTAGAGTTTGAAGAAGAAATCGAATCAACAGACGATCTTCGATTGTGATTGTTTGATGGCATTTCATATGGAACTTTCCAAAATGGGCCCTGGATTGGTGGACTTTTATTCTTAATCTGCAGAGGATGATTGAGAAGTGCGTTAAGTTGCCCATTATTGTGAGGGGAAGATGGGGAGGAATTCGAAGTTTTCACATCTTTTGTACCATTCCTGAAAGATGGAAGTACTTGCAGAAAGTTCCCAATCAAAGGTGGTAGTATTATTGGTGATGAACTTTGTTGATTCTTCGCATTGTTGCCCAGGCTACTCGTCAAATTGGGTGGTTGTGGTTGTGAAGTGGAAGAGGGTGGATGTGTAGATGCATGCACCGAAACATGTTTCGGAGCGGGAGCAGGTGGATGTGAGCCTGGATATGGAAGCGGTTGCAATTGTGTTGGTAAACCTTCTTTATTGTCCGTGGTTGACTGTAAAGATGGGTTTGATGGATTGGCGGCTGCAGACAGAAGTTTCCGGGGTCTAGTAGTATGCTCCAACTTCTCTTCCAAATCTCTGATATATCCTTTCGAAGGTCCACGTTTTAAAGGAACTCTAGAAAATGTACACGTCTCAGTGTTTTTCGTACAATTTGTACATTTTTTTGTGACAACGTTACTGGATGAAGAGAACTCTCCATCACAACGAACCTTCTTCCTTCTACAAGCATCACAAGCTCTAGAAACCTTAGATCGTTTTCTAGACGTTACAATCTCAGAGGTGGGCGATATGTCTCCACTCGTCATCAGCTGTTGTTAATTTTAAAAATTGTGAAGTGGGGGAGGGACCAGGATATTTACAAACAAATTCTTCTCTTGTAGTGTTGAACGGGACTAGTGATAGACCAAGGAAAATGGGCAATCTTGAGACTGATATTCTAAGATTAGTAAATGCAAAAGTAAACTGTGCTTCAGTTAGACGAATGTTTTTCAGTAGTCACGGATAAATTCGATGATATGTAAAGTATCAGCAACAATATCTAAAATTAAAAGTGGGGGAAAGATCAAAAAAAAAATACGCAGGATATTGCAGCTCCTATTTGTTACTCTTGAACAGTGAGGGGACTAGTTTGTAGTTATAGTAGTTGGTAGAATCAAGATCGTAATTTGTAAACGCAGCGTATACTGAAGTAGTTATAGTATGGTATTGAGTGGTAAAAAGAGTGATCACGAAATTTTCGTTTACGAAATCGCACTGGAGAAAGGGTTTCCAATGTGTAACTATTCAACTGGCTGTCTACAAAGTGGGCTTTTTTTCTGCCTTTTTTTCTTTTTTTTTTTTTTTTGAACTTACATATTTCTCTTATTTTTTATTCGTTCACTTAAAACCTGGAGTACTTTTATAATACTACAAACCTACACATTTCTTAAGGAAAAATCATATAGAACATTTACGTACCAATAATACTTGAGATAGCAAGTGAATCCTTCCAATTTAGAATCCCTTTTTGTCCTATCAGGGGCACGATATCAAAGATTTAAGCAAATTTCAATTACTCCACGGTTCCCCATGAATTCGGAAAAACTGACTAGTCCGGGGATGTCCCGAAAAGCCGGGCGAATGGCAGCATAAAGCGGGGCCAAGCGGCACCCGAATGTTTCCGGGACTGCACTCAATTGTTTCAACATCCACACACCCAGCATTCAGTCGCGCAAGGAGAAAATTTCATTGTAACGTACTTCACGTAGATGCGCATGTAATGTTCACATCTGACAAAAAATCAATGGCTTCAGGATAGATTACCTATTTCATGTGTTGCCGTAATTTATATACTTCCTCGATGTGGAATATTGATTTGTGCCTTTTTTAAGAATATTGTTACTCTCAAAGTATGGTGCTAGTAATGATTTATCATTAACCGAGATAGAGGGAGTTAGCAGATGAAGTAGAGTAGTTAATGGGTCTTTTTGGATGGACCAGACGGTTGTAAGGCGATTTTTTTTCAACAAAAAAAAAACCAGAATTATCGTATTTGGAACAATTTAGTGGTCGTGGGAGCTCACTTTATGATAAAAGTGAAAAAAAATTGAAGGAATTGACACAGACAGGAATCGAACCTGCAACCGTTCGATTTGGAATCGAAAACTCTACCATTGAGCCACTGCATCACCCTTGAAATCTTTAAAATAATAAGACGAACTCGTAATCAGAAGTGATCTATATACAGGACGACATTGTAGGACCTTTTGCCAGGATTGGAGACCCTGAGTAATTGACCCCCCTACTGGATGATCTTCTGGGCTAATATATATGTATTTATATACGTTTTTTGATGTTTAAATAGGTAGATATCCTTTTTATATGATAAATACATAGAGATAGTTGAAAAAAAAAAAGACATTAGTAACATTGTAGAAGGTTGAATGCCAACTACCTGTGGCATATTGAACCTCAAGTATAGTCCAAAAGTGTCCTTTTCTAAGCTCAATGGCGCTATTAGGATGGCTCAAATTTTGGCTGAAAGAATGGCTCGATCGTAATGAATGTAGCAACATTTCATCAAAAGTGAACATTTGTAGCAAGCGAAGGGTGTTTTGAAGTCCCGAGATAGCTCTCGGAGTTCCTGTAGCACGGAGTATCAGTGAGTTCTGATATTATAAATACCTATGTATGGTGGTTGTGGGGGAGTGTAGTAGATGAAGTTTGATTTTAAGACTTACCCTTGGTTTTCATACCCACCACTTGCACCTAGGCCACTGAGGTTGCTAGAAAAACTCAGTTTACAATTAGATCGTCGTAGGAAATAGAAACCCTAGATGTCCATTCTCTTGCTTGATGTCTGGCATACATGTTCATGAGTTCAAATCTAATAAATAACGATCTTATTTTGATAATTACTGTCTTGGCTGTGTTGAGAGAACACCAAAAAAAAAAAAAATACCAATTGTGCCTTTGTATTTTAGCATTGACTTAGAGGGAGGGAAATCACCCAATTTCAGGTTAAAGATTTACGCTTTTCAACAAACTTTAATACAATTTTGAAAAAATCTTTACCACTCTCTGAAAATTTTGCAGCAATAAATCCTAGTGTTTCCGCCTTGTTGTCCAACAAGAACCAAATATTAAAGAGGTGTTTTTTTTTTGATTAAAGAGGTAGCGATATGTACTAGGACCTACCTAGACCTATATTAAAACTAATATTCTTCTCTACGTTTACAATACATCATTACAGAACACTTCTTTCAAGTATTTATTCAAATACTACTACTGTTTAGATCGTATATTTGTAGCTATACGTTGTAGGCGGGGCCCGACAGCTTCCTTACAAAGATGGAAAGTTCTTGTCGTCAACAGCTGGCTTAGCAGCACCGGAGGAGGCTGGCTTTCTAGAAGAAGTAGCCTTACCACCTCTACCTCTGGCTGGTCTCTTGGATTCAAAAGTCTTCTTTGGAGCAGAAGAAGTTTCATCAGCAAACTTGGCATCAATGTCCAAGAACTTCTTTTCCTTTGGAGCCTTAGACTTAAGCTTCTTACCTTGGGTTGGTTGAATGAAAGCTTCTTGATCCTTGGTGATAGTTTCGGATTCAGTCCACTTGTCTTCAGCACCTTGGTTGGCCTTTCTAACAGTCTTAGAAGCAAATTCATCCTTCTTCAAAGCTAATTCAGCAAAGTAATCTTGCAAAGACTTCTTTTGAACAGCTGGAGATTCATCAACGGTGTTAGCTTCATCTTCAGCTTCAGCTTCAGCGTCAGCGGCAGCAGCGGATTCGTCAACATCTCTCTTGTCATCAGAACCCCAACCTTGCTTAAGCTTCTTGGCAGAGTCAGTCTTACCACTTCTGGAGTGACGGTCGAAAGACTTCTTGGAGTGCTTAGATGGAGTAGCGGATGGACCAGGAACGGTCTTGTTGTTGACCTTGTTCTTTAAGGCACCTTCGTTACCAGTAACCTTGGCCTTCTTCTTGGCCTTGGATGGGTCAGCGGAAGCTGGAGGAACATCAGCCTTCTTAGAAGAACCAGTGTTTCTCACAATTTCCTTTGGAGCTGGAGCTGGAGTGGTGTCATCCTCCACGTCGTTGCCCAATAAGTGGAACAAGTTCTATAAATATGTTAGTACTCGAATCTCAATTGAATTCAGAATGATAGAATGCTATTTCTGTTGGCAATTTATATTGTCGAATCAAATTCTATGTTGTATTGAACCGAAATTGATGGTGGTACTCTTCATATGATAATTGCCCGATAGAAGCTTCTGCTCAAATTCAAAGGTTCTACAATAATCGGCCACATTAATGTCCTACATAGTCACACATTAAATTTACATGTGACAACTCTTACACATACCTTGTTTTCAAAAGACATCTTAAGAGCTTGATATGAGTGATATAATTGGAAAAAAACTTGAAATATTTAACACCCGTATGACTTATGACCCCAAACGTCGACGAACAAATTTTTTCAGTGAGAAAGGCTTTTGTGTCACTTTTTCCACCTTGCGTAAAGTTTAGTATCGAGTGTAATTTTGAGTCTATATGGAGGTTCTTCAGTGAGTAGCAACATACCACTACGCAACTCCACACTTCTTGTGGCAGCACATCCTAGCCCAATTCATTTAGTGAATTAAAGTCATTTACTAAAGGCATTTTATTGCGACTTCTATTTTTAATTGTAAAATCACGTTTCATAGGTGTGGTGGTTACTATTATTAGCCTCTTGTTGCCAAGACATACTTATGTATAGGGCTGGAGTTGTTTGAACGTATCATAATCTCAAATTTCATTTTTAGAGCTGTAAAATTGTAGCTACAGTAGATAATTGGTGATAGAATTCCAAGTTGTAGAAACAATACAATTTTGGAAAAATATGCTGCCGAAGGTTTAAGAACTTTATGTATCACTAAGAGAACTCACTTGGAGTCAACATAATGAATGGAACAGTAAACACGTAGAAACTACATCACATCTTGATAAGAGAGAGGTCTATATTATTTATATATATAATTGAAGAATGGTGGATAGTTTTATTCTTTTGGATAAATGAAGGTATCTCCAACTCTAGCCAAAAATGTCTTAATGGCCAACTTTAGGTCAGGTGACAGACTTTTGGTCAATAGCCTCAAAGTTAACTTGTACATATCGGCGGAAAATTCCTCAAAATGGTCGTCATCTAGCTCAACGTAACCTTGGAATATCTCGACGATTACAGGTTTCCATGTAGCAATATTTCTCTGCTGATTAGTTTCATCGAAATCAGCATATCTTGAAGTGATTGAGTTACACAAGGGAATAATAGTATGGATAATTATCCGTTTCTCTTCATTTTTCGTCTTATCGTCATCACAGTACATTCTGAACATAATGTTAATGAAGACGGCCGACGAGCTTGACTCTTGCTTCAACAAATTTGGTAACCTTTCGATAACACCAGCATTCCATAATCTTACTCTTAGATCGTAGTCATCATTAAATTTACGAGCAAAATTGTAACTGTCTTCTAACAATTTTGACATTTTCATCGAATATTTATACGGGAGTGCCTCATAAAAGTCCTCATTTTCAAATAATTCAGATAAAGTTTCAATCATTAACAATTGAAGTACACATTTCACTACAATAGTCGACTTTTCCTTGGACTTTTTCAACCGAGCTTCCGTGTCACTGAAAACAGTTTGAGTCGATGGAGTCGTTGGAGACAGCGGAGATAATTCAAGAGTAGATTCAACATCTCCATTTTCATATTCACCTTGAATTTTTTGAGCTTCTTTCAATGGATCGGATGTAAACAATTCACGTGCAGTTGTCAATTCAAACAAATTAGAAAATGCATCCGATATCTGTTCCCATTGTTTATCGTCAAATTTTGTAGCATTATCAATTAAAAGTGAATGCAAGCAAGATCTACCAATTCTAGCTATGGTATCGTTTTCTTGACAAATGCACAGTATTAATAATGTCAAGTATCCATTTAATAAACGACTCAATGCATCAAAGTAATGGGTGAATAAAGATATCATATTTCTTAATGCTTGAATCAAAGTCGTTGAAAGCCAAACAGAGAGCTTATCATTGTCATCCACATTGTTCAACTCCCACTTATTACTTAACACGGAAAAGATAGGAAATAATAATTCATGACACACAAGGTCCCAAAAATCATATTCAAAATGATCACCATATTCCAACAACACCTGGAAAAGGTAGTTTAATGCCCTGGATCTAACTTCAAGCTCTCCACCTGTCATGATTATATCATGGAATCCAAAAAGCACTGGGAACCACAATTTAACAAGGCTTTCACTTTTATCTTGGATTTCATCGGAGTCTGAATTAACCACTAGCTTATCATATTTATTCAAACTAATGCTTGCGATTTGTTTGATCAACTTCAGAAGTACCTCCAAAGATAATAAACTTACCTTCTGGAATCTCTCATTCTTTGCCAATTCAGTAAAGCATACTACTAAATCCGAGAATGATTCTTGGGAACTAACAACATCTAAGTATTCCTTATTAATCCAGTTGGCCATCTTAAAACTTTTCTGCACAAGGCTTTCCTTGTTCTCTTTTGCCGCCGATATCAATGCCCCAAATATAGTTTTCCAACCAGATTTAATTTTACTTGCTTTTGCCAAAATCATATTGTTAAGGCATTCCAAAACCATATCCTTGACTTCTAACGATTCATTATGAAGCATAATATATTCGAATGGTTTCAAAAATTCCTTTTGAAATTTAAAATGTGATAATTCTTCAATCTCAAAGAATCTCATAGATAATTGTCTCAAAGAATCCAAGGCAAAAAAGGCAATAACTGGATTGGAGTGACTACCGACCTTCTTGAATGTTTCACCCATGATAGCCCAAAGTTGCGACCACTCAAGACGAATACGACTCATATTATAGTAGCAAATATCAACAAACTTTTGTAAGGAAAACATTCTTGGATTGGCACTTTGTCCAGATGATTCGATCTCTTCATTTGATACTTGTGATAACGCTTTAACAAATTCTGCAATACTATCTCTTGACATATTAGCACTATTAGTGAATACCTTATCCATTGCCACTTCCAATTCTGTTTGAGTAAGAAGTTGAGCAGCTTGATTGGTCAAGTGTTGGTTATGAAATTTGTTGGATGCAGCCTGAGATGCAGTGGGCAGTGAAGTAAACAGGCTAAAGAAACCACCCGTTGAAGTTGATAATCTAGTAGAACTGCTTTCAATTGATCCACGATTTGCCATTTTGGCAATCGAAACATCTGGAATTGAGTATTGATCAACTCCTTGGGCGATTAACTGCAATCGTTCTAATTGAGAAATTGAAGTTAATATTTGAATCCAAGAACCTTTCAAGTGATCCGACTCGGTTACTGCTAAATCTAACATGATGTAAATGGCATCAACGTTCTTTGGCTTCATTTCTTCGAAATTGTTTAAATTTGAAAATTGAACCAAAGCTCTAATGAATGACGTTCTAGCATAGTCCAACTCGAACATACAAGATATACGAATAGAGAGCTTAATACCTTCAAGGCACAATTGAGCAGTGTCAACATCATCGTATTCTTTGAATGGAGGTGTTAAGCCTGCTAAAATTGACATCCAAAGAGTGTCAAAAATGGATTTGACATGATGAACATGTGATGCGACATAGAACACTGCACTTGAAGTATCTTCAGCACCGCCTTTCAATTTTTTACCCAAATTCCGGACCAATTTTTCTGTCTTTGTTGACATTTCTTTCGACGCATGGATGTATGCCTCACGGTTCAAGTCACGACCTCCAAAAAATCCAGATGATGTTGAGTTTGGCACATTATTCAAGTCACCTGCTAATAAAGCCGCATGCTGTTCAGATTGTAATTTGATTTCATTGGTTTGAATTTCATCAAAAATTTCTTGTAAAAATTCACGGGGCAAACTCTTTCCATCATCAATTCCAACATTATTCATCACAAAGTTATCAATTGTCATTCTATTCTTTACTTGAGGAGAGTGTTGATCAGTGTTAAGCATAATAACCGAGTATGCTAAAATGTACGGAGCGTCAGCGTGGGAAAATACAGTTGGGTTGCCTAAAAGATAACGTTCAGCAAACTTCAACATGAACCTGTCAATTTTCTGAGCTTCACCGGGCAATCTGAACGATTGTAAAAACTTTCGAAGGGCATCAACAAATGGCAAGTTCGTGAAGTCCATTTCATCTACAAATGCATGCATTATGGCAACATTTTCTTCGTGTCCTTCTCCCAAATACTCACCAACTGATGCTTTATCCAAAGTGTCAGTTTCAAGCAAAAATAATGCAATGTCACGAGGGTCATTAGATTTTATGAAACCTTGCTCCAAAAAGTATGCGATACCCTTTTTAGGTTTGTGGTTAAATTGTTTAATTCCTTCTAAAAATGCCCTCTTTCTTTGCTTCAAAGTTTCAAATTGTTCGGGATCATCAGTTTCATTTGAGTCCGTAGTTGTACCACCAATAAAAGATGCTGATCTTGAATTCAAGTTAGTTGAGTTGTTAGAGTCTACAGTACCCGATCTATCTCTACTTGTTGGACCACCATTATTCATATTAAGAGAAACGTTCGATCCATTCCCTGCTTCAACCAAGGAAGAAGACAAGATTTTGTTGTTTCCAGTAATTCCCTTTTGGGCCCATGAGTATAATGATTTTAAAAATGCAACTGAACATCCAATAGACTCCATTCTTAAAGCATATTCCAATGGAAAATGGTGGTACACTTCCGGTTCAGGTGGCTTCGAAGACATCTTCCCACTAGCTAAATTAGCAGTCTTTCCAATATCATATACACTGATTCCATGTTTCTTGTTTTCTCTGTATGCCAACTTTTGTTGTTGAGTAACATCGACACGAATTAATGAAAGCTTCGTTAAATAGTCTATGATCTTTTCACAGATATTTGGCATTGAACTGTCACAATCATAATTAAGATAAAACTCAATGATACATCTTGAATCATTACATAACTTCTCAATAATTGATAAAAGATATCTCTTTTGATGTGGGGTAGAAGTTTTCATTTCTGCAACCGGCAAGTAAATTTCATCCCAGAACAATGGAATTTCTCTTTTGAAGTCAGATCTTAAATTAGAAATGATTAACCAAAAAATCTCTAACGAAAGTTCGAAAACTGGAGCTAATGGAGAAGCTGCATTTCTAGAAAGTGACAAACATAAATATTGTCTAACAGCGTTGATCAAACGTGTATTACTCTCATTTGCAGACGATGATAATATCACCACATCATGACTCAAGAATATCTCAATATGATCCTTAAGTATGGTGTGAATAATGTGGAGCGATAATAGTTTTGATCTTACAGAATGAGATCTCATATCAAGACTTTCAGATTCCAATGATTTAACTGATAATTTGCACATAGCTCTGAAGATCAAAAATGCATCTTTAACCACCAAATCTTCATCCTTTTCACTTGCCTGTTGTGCCTCATTAACTCTCTCGTCATCGTTTGCTGAATCATGAAGTTTCTCTAAATTTTGTAAAGTTAACTTTTCTGATCCATCAAGAGACGTAGTAGATCTCAAATTCGAAGTTGGAGTACTGGTACTCAGAGTTGGGTATGCACTTTTGTGTTGAGATTGCAGTTTCTTAAAAAATGGCGAATCATAAATGCGACTGAAAATTGCATTGATTACCTGATTAAGTGTCCCCTGTGCAATTAATTGGTTATCAGATGTGAGTGAAAAGATAAAGATATTATAAACTTGTCTTACAGCCTTAAGAAGTGAAGCACCGTGACAGGGCATAATTAAGATACTATTTGTAAGTGCACGGAGGACCTGTGTTTCCACCAACGGATCAGTTCCTTCTCCTTCAAAACAGGATGAAATCACTTCGACTGAGGCATCAGTAATCTCCACTATATCTGGTTCACCTTCAAAAATTCCATATTCAAAGGCCTTCGCAAAAACGTCCACAGCCTTAGCCTTGAGAGTGTTACTCGTTGTTTCACACGAGAGCTTAAGTACTTCGAAAAGAACATGAGCGTCAGGTTTAGAACTGTTGAGAGAATCAAGAGCCTTTTGAGCAGCACCTTTAAGTTCGGCATTTTTCTTAGATTCTTTATGGTCAAGTATTGAAGTTAAAGAAGAAACAAGGAAGTGACCATTGTGCTTTGCAGATAATGGGTCTACTTTAGCTACTTTATCTTGTTCTTCTTGCTCTTGAGTCACATCTTCTACCACGGCAGTTATCGTACCAGATTCATGATCTTCGGTTGCAGCTGGCTCAATTGAAGTTTCAATTGCTGCAGAATCAATGTCTACCTGTTCTTGAACATGGCCATTGGAAATGGCTTCAGATCTGACATTAGAATCCCCGTTTTCTTTTGCTTCTTCCACTTGTTCTTCCAGTGGCTCTTTAGCACTTTCCTCTGAACTTCCTTCATTTAAAATCGAGTCTTTGTTTATTGATACCTCGTCTTCGATCTCAACTTTAGGCAGTTTGTCTTCAGTTTCGACTAAGTTTGTTTCTTCTTCCTCGTCCACATCAGGATTAGGAGGAATAGACTGTCCGTTGATATCATTTTTCTCTTGTTTATCAACTCCACTCCCAGGCGGTATATCTATAGATCCACTCTGTGAAACGCCTTCTGTCATTCTTTTTCCAAATCTTAATGAATTCAATGGGTGTTCCACCTATAGTTATTATAGTATATAATCCACTTTGGAAACCCCGACACGGTTGCCCAAAACAAATGTCAGGGATAATCGATTTAGACACGACACAATATCGGGGCTGAGATTATCATTCAATTGACAGGATATAAACTTAAAAGGTACCAACCTAATTGTACACTTAAGGTAACGAATAATAAATCTGTTTAACCAGCTGAATGTAGCCCCCATTCATTGTATTTTACTATTTGTACCACTTGATCCTTATTACAACATGGTCATGATACACTATCTTTTTATCACCTAATGTACAATGCACATTGTGCAGTATCTCGGATCTAGTCGGTCTGGGCGATTTGAGAAATGAGATCAGATCTTTTTCAGATTGCATATTCAGTGTTGTACATACATTTACTGCGATTGTACATATTTACCTACAAGTGTTTTTTAAGTTCGTTTTAAATAATATTCAATTTCTACTTATAAACTATAATTCAAATTAAGCAAATTCACTCAAAGCAACAGCGGTAGCTTGGAAATCATCATGGGAAATGGAGACATTCACATTGACGATACCAGCAGCAGTAGCGGCTTCTTGGGCAGCACCTTGTAAGACAACTGTTGGAGCACCGTTGGAGTTTCTAACGATTTCGATGTCAATTAAAGAAGCACCAGCACCTTGGGATTTAACACCCATAGCCTTGAAGACAGCTTCCTTGGCAGACCAAGTTCCTGTGAAAGATGCTTGTGGGGAAGCACTTGATGAACAGTATTGACGTTCAGCCTGGGTAAAGTTTCTTTCCAAAAAGGTTTCATTTTCCAAGTTTAATGCAGAGAGCATTTCAACATCAACACCAACACCCTTAGAACCCTTGTTCAAGTTGGCCAAAGCATTGGCAGTGGACTTTGAAGCTTCACTGATATATTTACGTTCCTTAAGACCCTTGGAAGTGAAAGAATATTCATCCTTAGACTTTTCAACTCTTGCCAATGGGTCCAAGTAAACACTCTTTTCCAATTCTTCAACATATGGAGCATGTTCCTTGGCAACAAACATAGTATTTCTAGTGATAGCATTATGCATGTAACTGTAAGCACGCTTGTTACGAGAAGTAACTCTAACAGCATAGTCTTCATAAGTAGCTCTATCCAAAACACCAAACAAGTAGTCTGGGTGGACAATGATTGCTTGGGCACCCTTTTGACCGAAACCGAAAGAAGTGACCGAAACAGCCTTGATACCATCAGTTTGAATGCTTCTTGATGGGTACAAAACGTGTTCGAATTGTCTTAATTGTTCATCGATGTTGTCTGCGTTTCTGTTTCCTGGGATAAGACCAGTTTCCAAAATTTGAAGAGCACCGTTCAACATCCAAGCACCAGCAGCACCCTTAGGGTGACCAGTTAAGTACTTTTGGAAAACACCGAAGATTGGGTTACCTTCAGATCTACCCAAATGCTCCATCATTAAATTAAGAGTAGCAGATTCGTTCTTGTCATTAGCCTTAGTAGATGTACCGTGGAATGAAGCAACACCCAAATCATCAACGGTCAAGTTGAATGTAGCCAAAGCTCCTCTAAGTGGGGAAATTCTTGGATCGGACTTCCAGAAATCGTTACCCCATTGCTTCTTGGCATCAGCAACTTGCTTTTTAACTTCACGAGAGATTTCTTCGGTTCTCTCACGCAAGAACAATTCTGGTGAGAAGTCAGGACCAAATTCATACAGAGCTAATTCAACTTCTTCATTCAAGAATTCAACTTCGCCTTCTTCCCAAGACTTAATTTGAGCTAATCTCTTAGTCAATTGACGCTTTCTGTACTTGATGTTCAACATTGGTGTTGGGTACTTCAAGTCGTTGTGATGTTCACGACAAGTAGTCAAAATACCCTTACCTGGAGCTGGAACAGATCTACCGATCTTATCAGTGGCAGTTGCAGTCATGGCCAAAATACCATAGATTGGAACACCCATCTTAAGAGCCAAATCACCACTCATGATAACTTGAATACCAGAACCTTGAGCTTCCATGAAACCATTTCTAGAAGTAGTTGTTGGTCTGGACATTTCACTTGGAGATCTACCTTGATCATATTCAGACAAAGTGTTAGAAGTAGCATTCATGTTAGCAAATTCGTAGGAACCTTCTTCATTGAAATCATCGTAACCACCGACAATACAAATCTTAGCCTTACCAGACAACAAAGTTTCAATACCAATATCAACAGATTCAACAGCAGTGGCACAAGCACCGACAGGAGTCTTGATTGGACCGGAAGAAGACAATAACAACATGTTAACCCAGGCAGCCATGGTATTAATAAAGGATTCTTGTAAAATATCCTTTTGAATTGGCTTGTCGATAAAACGGTCTTTGTACATTCCTCTTAAAGCGGTAGCACCACCCATACCAGAACCAGAACAGTTACCAACTTCAGAAACGTGAACGTACTTGTAGAACTCATATGGATCAGTAATACCAGAAGATAACAATGCCTCAACGGTGGAGACCAAAACATACAAGGTAATCTTATCAACTTGGTTGATAGTATCTTCAGAAATACCGTAGGTACGAGCATCCCAACCAGTTGGAATTTGACCGGCAACAAGTCTGTCAAATTTCAAGGCCTTTGGAATAAACAATGTAGCTCCCTTCAATAATCTAACAACATATTCACCAGTTTCTGGAATTTCGGAAACTTCACACTTGTCACCATGTTGATGCTTATAGTTCTCAGCAATTTCCTTGGAGGTTTCAAAGCCATCCATGTCATTTTCAATAATAACTTCTTGCAACAAGGTCTTCTTCTTTGGATCATAATCGTTGAATAATTCAGGCTCAATGAGACGAATACCAGCATGGGCCAAAATTTCATCTTCATACTTAGACTTAATCTCCTTATCTTCAACAGGAGTTTGGGTTTTAGCATCAATCCAACCAGAGTATGGTTTACCCTTCAAGTTACCATTGTGGTACTTAATCAAACCCATAATCCAAGCCATTTCAATGGCACCTTCCAAAGAGAATTCTCCCTTGGCTTCCATTTCCCATCTAGTTCTGGCGTTACCCCATGGACCAACTTCAGCGAAACCAGTAACAACAATAGTGTTTTCCAAGTCAAGCATTCCTTCCATTTCAGGTGCAATGTTCTTGATTTCATCATAAGATTTCAAGGTTGGGAATTCAAACTTCATGTTAGCTCTTGGTTGAACGGTGACCTTAGAGTAGTTGGCATCTAATTTGTCACCACTGATAACCTTTTGTTCCATAGAAGTTTCAATGGCAACAGCTCTTCTAATTTCAGCAGATTGAGTTAAGTCACCTCTTAATCCAGAAGTAAATTCCTTCAAGTTCTTAATGAATTGCAAACCACCATTCAAGTCTGCCATGACTGGTTCCTCTTGACATAATTGAACCATTTCTGGAGTTAACAAACCCAAGATGTTGAAAGCCATTTCCTTTTGGGAGAAAGTTCTTACACCCAAGGATTCAATTCCTTCAGCAACAATGTTGTTGGCAGACATCAAACCGGTACCTCTGGTCCAACCAATAATAGCACCGCAAACAGTCAACTTAGTACCCCAATCTTCAGAGTACCATCTGTTGAATAAAGTTTCCAAAGAACTCTTAGATTCAGAGTACAAACCGTCGAAACCAAAAGTACCATGGTTTGGAGAAAGTGGCAAGATACATTGAGCTGGTCTGGTATCATTGGTCTTCATTTGCTTGACCTTACCCAATAATCTCAATAAGTTGGTCAACATGATTCTGTGGGCTAATTCATTCTTACCTTCGATACCATCAATACCAGCACCATTTTCTGGAATAGCGGCAAATGGAATGATAACATCCAAGTCCCAGCCTAAACCACCCTTCTTTGGGTCATTGTAGATGTACTCAATAAGAGCTTCAACATCTTGCTTGGAACCTTGGTTGAATGGAACAACGGTCAAAATAGATCCGGTTGCACCATAACGAGAATACATAGTTTGGTAGTACTCGGTAACCTTCTTGGAGAATCTGGAAGTAGTAACGATAACCTTAGCACCACCAGAAATTAAACCTTGCAAAATTTCAGCCCCAATAGAACCTGCACCAGCACCAGTGATCAAAACATACTTGTCCTTGAAGGACAAACCGTTGATAGCACCGCTTTCCAAACCATCCAAGTAAACAGAAGACAACTTACGGTCGAAGTTCCAGTGACCGTTCTTATCCTTTCTTTGTAAGTTCAAGAAAGGAATGGTTTGTGGAGGAATGGTAGAAGAAACTGGTTGTAAGATTGAAGTCTTGTCTGGTAAAGAGGCAATTTCGTCATCTTCAGAAGCAGTGGTTTCATCATCTTCAGTTGGAGTGGTTGCACCAGATTGAATAACAGCGGTAGCTGGTTGAGAAATTTCAATATCCTTAGATTCATTGACGTAGTTGATTAATTGTTCATACAATTGTTGAACTTCCAACTTAGTGGATTTGGTTAAGGAAGCTTGTTTAGAAATAGCCTTGTATGCCTTGGCCAAGTCTTCTTGGATAGTTGGTTCAGAAGTCTTGGAAAGCTTACCACCTTGAGCCATTTCATAAACATATTGTTCGAACTTTCTAACAGACTCCTTGTTAACTTCAGCATAGTTAATGTTACCCTTATGGTCAACAACAGTGGAAGGACCAGTGATTCTGCTGACATCCTTATAAACTGGGTCAACTGACATAGTTTGCTTACAGTTATCGATCAATTGTTGACCCAACTTTCTGGCCAATTCGTAAGTCTCACCCTTTTCAGTTGGAACATGATCAACATGGTATTGCATGAACTTTACTAAAGTAGGGTTGGCTCTGTTCATGATTTGAATACATTGAGAGATTGTCTCACGATCAATTGAGTTCAACTTACCGAAAATAATATCAAACCACATAGAAAGAACATCTTGTCTAGCCCAATTCCAGTAGGAGTCATAAGTTCTTGACTTTGCAGCGGAGAAAGAAGGCTTGATACCATTGGAGTAATCTTCACCGTGTTCAGCTTCAAAAAGATCGATTTGCTTTTGTAAAACGGCGGTAGCTTCCTTTTCCTTGACAAAGGATTTAGCACCACTATTCAAATCATATTGAAGGTATCTTGCCAAGACCTCCAATTGTTGTCTAGCCAACTTCTTGTTTTCAGCAGTAATTTCATCTAAAGCAGCACTGTCAATGACAGCACCACTAGCACCGCCAGCACCAGCACCAGCTGCAGCGGCAGAACTTAAGGAAATACCAGCAATACCGGCATACTTGGTAGCAGCAGAATCTAAGAATTCCTTGGCTTCAACTTCGGATGCCAATCTAGCTGATGGTTCTTGAGTTAACGCTAAAAGTAAAATAGAATCTTGTCTACCAGCACCCAATCCATATTTAGTTTGTAAATGCTTTCTAGCAACGGTGATAGAAAATCCACCGGGCATCTTGGAAGACATTAATCTACCAATTAAAGATGTGGATGTTTTACCCAAGGCACCAGAGAAGGTTTCTTGGAAAGTTTCAGCTAATTCTTCCAACGGGGTATCTTCTGGCTTTTCAGGGGTAGAACCAAATTCCTTACCTAAATCACCCAAGATTTCGTTTTGAACCGTAGATTTACCACCGACAAGATCTTTAATAGTTTTAGAAAGAGGAATAGCTTCAAGTGGCTTCTTTAATTTTTGAGCAACAAGAACGTGAATTAAATGAGATGCAGTGACTGGGGCATCTGGGATTTCAGCAGCGGCAGCAACTGGAGCAGCAGCGGCAACTGGGGCGGCAGCAACTGGGGCAGCAGCAGGAGCTGGAGTAGCAGCGGCAGGAGCTGGAGTTTCAGCGACAGGAGCTTCAGGAGCTGGAGCATCTTCCAAGTAATAAATTTCCTTAGCATCCTTAGAGTAGCATAAAACTTGACGTTGTAAACTCAACGCAGCATCATAACTTTCATATTTGGCCTTGATAGTTCTAGAAGCCATACCAGCCAAAGTTGGAGAAGGTCCAATTTCAATAACTCTCTCAGTGTTATGTTGTTGTAAGAAAACATCTTGAGTTTCAATCCAACGAACTGGAGAAGCAAATTGGTAAGCTAAAAGCTCGGTCAATAAAGTATGGGAAAGTTCCTGTTCAACTTCAGGTCTCATGGTTAGACAGTATTAAATATATGTAAGTAAAATTGAGTAGTTTATACCTCGATTTAACTATACTACAAGAAAATTATTAGAAAACTATGAATTGAACTTGATCCGTGAATATATACATATTAGAGAAGATGTTGCAAACGCGGCCCAACAATTTAACTCTCACAATTCTAACGTTGACGATGGGGCTCAAAACCGCGTCTAACAAATTTTATGGGCCAACAACCAACAAAGAGTTAATTGTTTTGGAAAAATTCGTTTCCAAAAACCAAAAGTCCGAACTTTTTGGTTGTGTTATATGTAGGTTTTGGTTGGGTTAATCCGACAAATACAAAAAAAAATGGTAAGACATACTAGGTTATGAATATTGATAAAAGGTTGTAGATTATTATTAACTAGAAATGATGTTAAAATGTAAAAAGTTTTAATATATAGATATTCAATATTCTGTATCAATCAAAGGAGTTTTTTAGTAATAGTAAAGTCAATAGTAGAGGTAAAAATGAAAAATTGACTGAGATTATAGATGATTTAAAGAAGAAGAACATATATAGAAGAAAGTTACATTAGTTGAAGATCAAATAATTGTAGGTATACCAAGCATTAAAACATGAAATGTATGAATGTTATAATTTAAATATTAAATATATTTTGAAAATATTGGTTGCAAAATTATAAAAATTATATAAAGTATTCAAAACTTTTGATGAATATTGATTTTGAGTAGTGAAAAAAGAATAGGTAATCTTCCCGATATGCTCTCTCACTTGTATGACTAGCCTTTTGTATAATTAGGTGTACATTAAATTTACATCATTGCCCTATAAAATTTACTATGGTATCCTTTACAAGTTACCCGGCACCCGACCTTTTTTTATTATTTTTTTTTTATTTTTTTCGCTCAGAATTTTTTTTTGGTTGTTTAATTAGAAACTTGTTTTTTTTCACACACAAGTTTACTTTCTTTTTTTTTCTCTTCTCTACATTATCAATTTATCTCTCTACATATAGATAATATACCACTACTTTTTACTAAATGTAGCTGGTATCCAAATGGGGATTCCGGACTACTCTATTCATTTTGTTTTCTCTTAATTTTTTTTAGCTTTATTGGCTCCCATTACGTTTTGCCTTCCGTCTGCCCTGGAATATTCGTTTATCTCCAGTTTAAAGTGGCAAAGGGGAAATTTTCGCGATGGAATAACAAATTACGATCCTCTCCACCCTATGTGCCACCACCTTGAGTGGACCAAAAATGGCATAATGGGACTATTTATGGATCGATATCTTTTTACACTCTATTATTTTTTTATTGTTTTATATTCCTCTGTATGCACTCTGAGGCTAGAACCAACATCTCTGGGTAATAAAGTTAATCAGTCACATATCCTGCAGACACGTGCATTTTTTCCCCCCACCCCTTATCTTATCAAACGAGGCCCTCTAGTTGCCTAAATGAAACAACGATACAAAAATAAAAGAAGTTGTACAGAAGTTGGGTAGACAATTGTACATCCTTCTATAACAACTCGTTCGATTTCTATTCTTTTTAACACAAGAAGGTTGACATCCTTCTTGATTCACAAATTTATTATACTTATCTGATCACTGTTAACTGCTATCACACTACTACTACTACTACTACTACTGCCACTTTATAAATTATTCCCAGTTATCCGATCATACCCTGATCGAATTGCAGAAGTTCATCCATTCAATCGTTTGTCAATTGGAACTGCTGGCAGGCCAATAGTTCGTTATTATGACAGAGTCTCAACTACAAGTAAATAGCCGTGTGAAGCTCAATAAAATGTACGTAACGTCGGATCAATAACAATGTTGCTTATTCTTCAATTTCTTCTCAATGAATCTTTATTCTTGCTACTAACCTTTATTTATTAGTCACTCAACTCCTAAGAAGGGATACAAGTTAGGTACTGCTTCTGCTACATGGAAGAAGATCAAACTGGCCGCGTATAATGGCGATAGTTTAGATCCTACCATTGAAAATGGTGGCGAGATTGCAGATACAATAATCGAAACTGGTCCTGATGGCGAGATACTCATATTATATCCTAAATCTTTTACCATCGAAGAATGGAGATTTGCAGACAAGACGCATCTTGGAGTGGATAAATCTGATTCAGCTCAACCACTTGACAGTGATATTGTTTATTTAATTAGTCAACAAAAGGTAGAAATGGATGAGGAATTGGAAGCAATTGTTGGATTTTCTATAATTAGAAAGCCTAAACCAGATGAATATCACCTTTTGATTCATTACAAAAAATTTAATGGAGAACATGTATTTGAATTACAAACATTATCACCAACTAGTCTTGTTTTCAATTTTGTTTTCAACTTGCCTGAGTTCATGGTTATAGAAAAGAAAAAAAGGGATGGGGAAGTTGGGTTCCGTCCAATTTCTTTCAAAGTTAAATCAAATGGTGATTTTACGGTGATTTCTAATAGTGAAGGTTATATTTGGTCAGCAAGGTACGATGGGACTTCATATTTCTATAATAATTCCAAATATGTCCCATATCTTTATAAGGAATTTTGTCAGCCACTTCTTAAAGAACAAATGAGAGATGAAGATATGTTTATTTTGAAAACCAGTTGTTTTAACAACACGCCAATATTTGATATTGTTGGAGATTGGTTAGTATATTCACCCACCAAGCAAGAATTTCAACATATGAAGGCTGTTGTGGATTGTAATGGCAAACCCCAAGTTCCTAAAAGAGATGAGCTTTTAGGGGATTCTTTAGAAGGATATGATGAAGAACCTTCTAAAGGGAAGAAAGATAAAGATAAGAAGAAGAATAAGACTTCATTTTTAACTCCTGCAAAGTTACCACCACCTGGTCCATTACTTAACCGGGTAATATCTTCACTTTCTAACACTGCCATTGATGGGATATTGAAATTATCTGAAGTAAGTACTAATAAGGTAAAATCATATTTGAATAACAATGGGGAACATACAAATGAAGATAAGAAGAATATGGTTAAGTCATTGAATAAATTGGGGAAGTCAATTACCAAGTCGTTATATAACACTGCATCTTCTACTGCTTCAACGATCACATCAAGACCAGAAGATAATCAACTCATTAAAATTGTTGATTTGAGAAATGATAAGGTATTGGCAGTCTTTAGACCCCCTGGAGGGGTTTCCAATCTATCATTATCACCATATGATCTTCAGCTTGTTCATTCAAATATCAGAGGGGATTCATTTTTTATGTGGGACTTGTATAAATTACCACTTGAAGTTTCACTTATTGGGAAATTCACTAGAGGTAAGACTTCTGCAACTATTCGGGATATATTTTGGTTTATAAATAACAATTATAGTCTGAATAGTGGTAATGATGTTACCCAAACCTCGACAGTTGATAATATTAGCGGAAATAACTATGGATTTGGATGTGTTACTAAATCAACTGGATCCGTTCATTGGTTCAATATCAATTATCTCTCAGGAAGTTTAAACAGTAACTATCCTAACATTTTAGGTAAGGAAAAGAAGAAAAGCAATGGAATGTCACAATCTTTTGGAAATGGAGAATTTTCAGATGCATGGATTCTATCATCAATGGATACAGTGAAACTATTGGCGTTACCAGATATTAAAAGCAACTCAATAAACCAATTGGCAATCCTAGACAAAAAGAATCAAATTAGGCTAATCTCTCCATTGAACGGTAAGACTACGTTTAAGTACATCCTTCCATATACTCCAGTCGGTGAAAAATTTGTTCCAACTAGAAATATAAATGAGGATAATGAACGAAAGAGTGAATTTAACAATTCAACTTCACAAATCAATCCATTATCACGTACAGAAATTGAAACTTGTGGACCATATCCTAATCTTTACAACAATAAAAATATTGAATTCTCAACTTATACAAGTTATGAAAATAGTGACTTGGACAACTTTTTGAAGATTTATGAAAACTTTGGACAAGGTATCGCTAATGAAACTTTAAAATTTGACAGGAAGGAATCAACTGAAAATATACCCGAATTCCAACACAAAGGTCTAGATCTCGATCAAGATGTTGAGACATCTAGCGAAACACTTGCAACTGAAATATAGAAATGTAAAAAAAAAAAAGAAACACATATCCATATAAGTAAATACATATATCTGAGCTGGGCTTTCATGCAAAATAAATAAATATTAAACAATGAAAAATATCAAGTAAAGTCTACTCCACATCAAATCATTAAAATGTACATTACTACTTAAAAGAAAAGATGCAAGATCTCCAAAATACCACCACCACAGACTAAGAATACAAGAGCATACACCCAATATTTGGAAACTGGGAACTCGAATCCAGACTTAGTTGACTTTGGTCTACCATGTTGCTTTTCGATCTTCTTGGACCACTTGGCATTAGCTGCTCTTTGTCTTGGAGTTTGTAAAGCCTATTGTTAGTATTGTTCGCTTATTTTAGATTGAAAGTAAGACTCACCATTGTATATTGTATAGGGTTCTTGTAAAGATGCTTGTTTGTATGATTAAATTGTAAAAATATCAAGTTCTCTTATCGCTACGTGTTCGCGTTGGTGGAACACAAAGATAAAAAAGACACCTTGTAAATCAAGGCGCGAAATTTCCAAAAAAAAACAATCAGCTTTAGCGCCGCCTGGTTTCGATCCAGGGACATCAGGGTTATGAGCCCTGCGCGCTTCCACTGCGCCACGGCGCTGATTTGTTGATATTTTTAAGCGGTGGTTTAATAGCAGAAGCATACCATAAAGGAGATCACGTGACCCATTCTGAGATAATATATTTATATGTTTAGATAAGTTTCTCGTGGTTTTTAAACCATAAATATATAATGATAGATAATAATTGATTTCCTCCTTAATAAACAATCTTTTCAAATTATTGTAACATCCCTCGAAGTGTATGTTTTGCTTACATCATGTGGATTGATAGTTTTCGAAAGAATGTGGTTGTTGAGCAACATTTTCTTCCAGAGGAGGTTTTGACACTGTGCAACCCTACAAGCATCGAACATCTATCCATATTTGTTTTTCAGTCTTAGTTTAGAGGAAGAATAAGTTGTAGCTTTCCAGAAACAATGTTTTTGGTTGTCTCTGAACATTTGGTCGGTCTTTTTTTTTTGCATTCCTGGAATTGAGTGACTAGTAAAGTTATATTTAGTCCCTTAAATGTTGCAATTTACGATTGGCAATTATCTCGAATAGCGACAAACTAATTTTAGCTTCACTGATCACAATCTGTTAGCATACACATAACTTAAATGAAAAAAAAAAGAATTTAGATATAAGTCTCTCCAATCTCTTTAACTTATGAAGATAACCAAGACAACTACCTGACTTGGTTACAAAATCGGAAGTAAACATGTCATAAGGAGTAAAGACTATTCGTGCCAACCATACCATTATTGAACTCACACATCAACTACTTCGAACTCGATAGGGAAAGCTAGTTGGATATTAGAGAGCCTTTAACATATTTCCATAATTGGCAGGAAAGACCCATATGCTGGCACTTTCTAAGATAACTAGTAGATTTTGGTTTGGACCATGTTCAAATAGATAACGGGTAATATGGAAAGTAGTAGTAACAGTTACTATATAGTTGAAAATATACAGGAATTCAAAAAAAAAAAAAAACGAATATATTGTTGAAATGAGAGCCGAATATTTTTATGGATCAACTCTAAATCCGGGGAGGGGAGAGGGAAGTACACATTTTTGCCAACCAAAATTCGGATATAATTTGGAGTAATTCAAAGCCAATAAAAAGGTATTTTAGCGACAATGGTCCTAGGATAATCAAAATACCCAAAACATACAAATTACTCTTCACTACAACTCTCTGACATAATTGTTCTGTATGAAATTGTAATTTCACCCTTCCTTAAATTGGAAAATGTTTCAGTGTATTGTATAAAAATGGAAAAAAAAAGGAGGAAAAAAAAAAAAAAAAAAACTAAATCACATTCACTCTGTACTCCACATCTCGGCTTCCAAGGATTATTACACAATTTGATGTATGGTGGAATATATTTCTAATAGTCAGGAGAATCTTACTTGTAGTATATTTCCGTGTGATATGCATGTCTCTTAAAATGGCACCATCAGCCTATACCCCAACAATAAAGGAGGTTACGGTAGTTGATTGTCATTAACCATTATTAGGGACTCTATTAAAGATACCGAATTATCTGCAGGAAATTCAATTCCCCACACAACCGACATACCGAGGATGCATCATGAATAAGCTCTATATTATAAAAATATATCAATATATATAAGATTAAGTCCGACCTGTGGGATTGTTTTTTTTAAATTTTAATTCTAAATATAAAAGACAGATAGCAGGTTCTATTCTTGATATTGTAGATTTTAAATAAAGATGTCTCTCGTTAATGAAAGTAGACAAAAGGTTCAGCAATTGCTTGAGAGCACACTCCCACTTGACCAATTATCCCTCAGCCATTCGGTCCCACTTCCAAATTCAGCTGAAGATGGATTTTCTCCAGTATACAGAAATGGGTTGGCAGTGAACGGATTGGCTGAAAGTATTCACCCATCGTTGAATACACTTTACAACACATTCAAGGCCACAGTTGAGTTGAAGCCCAACGCACCTGCGCTTGGGAGTAGAATTAGACAGCCAAATGGCTCATTCAGTGAGTATCAATGGGAATCTTATGCTACTGCTGACAAACGTCAAAAGAACTTTGGATCTGGATTATTTTTTATTCTTCAAAATAATCCATTCAAGACCAACTCAGAGGCTCACAACCGGATAGATCAACATGCGGCTACTGGTGATGCATCATTTATTGTTTCAATTTTTTCAGCCAACCGTGCTGATTGGGTCATTACTGATCTTGCTTGTATCAGTCATTCCCTTACAAATACTGCATTGTATGATACATTGGGTAAGGACACCTCAAGATATATTTTGAGCTTAACCGAATCTCCAGTTTTGGTTTGTTCCAAAGATAAATTGGAACTGATCATTTCTTTGAAGAGAGAATTTCCTGAAGATTTGGCAAGTTTGATATCTATAGTTTCTATGGACCCATTAGATGAATCTGAACAATCTTTGATTGCATCCGCTAGAGCTGCAGGATTGACAGTATTTGATATAGGTCAAGTTGAAAAATTGGGTGAAATTTACCCAGTTAGTGAAATCCCTCCAAAGCCAGAAACTCTCTATACAATTTCTTTCACTTCTGGTACCACCGGAGCCAATCCTAAGGGTGTTGTATTAACTCACAAGAATGCCGCTGCTGCCATGACATTCTGTGCCACTGTTGTTCCACGTCTTGACAACGCCAAGGTTATGTGCTTTTTACCTTTGGCTCATATTTATGAAAGAATGTCTTATTCGTACGCTTTGGCTCAAGCCCTGGCTATTGGATTCCCTCAAGGTCCTTCTCCATTGACATTATTAGATGATTTGAAGTCTTTGAAGCCTCATATTCTTGGATTGGTCCCTAGAGTCTACACCAAAATTGAAGCCGCTTTAAAGAGTCAAACAGTCAACAACGAAGAGAAGCCACTTTTGAGTAAGTTATTCACCAAGGCAATCAACCGTAAGATTGAATTACAATCAGTTGAAGACGGTGCTGATGGTAAACATTTGTTTTATGATGGTCTCATTAGTTTGGTTCGTTCCAAGATTGGGTTTGATAACGTTGTAATGGTTAGTTCTGGTTCTGCACCAATTTCTCCAGAAACCGTTTCATTTCTTAAGGCTGCATTAAACGTCGGATTTTCTCAAGGTTACGGATTAACAGAATCCTTTGCTGGCGTTTGTGCATCCCCAAGATACGAGGCAAACCCAGGCTCATGTGGAGCTATTTCAGTTACTACTGAAATGAGATTGAGAGAAATTCCAGAAATGAACTACTATGCCACCGATAAGGATGGCCCAAGAGGTGAATTACTTTTGAGAGGTCCACAAATTTTCAAGGAATATTACAAGAATGAAGAAGAAACCAAGAAGGCCATCGATGAAAATGGTTGGTTCTATACTGGTGATATTGCTAGAATTGATGCTACCTCTGGAAGATTATACATTATTGATAGAGTGAAGAATTTCTTCAAGTTAGCTCAAGGTGAATATATCACTCCAGAGAAGGTTGAAAACGCCTACCTCTCGTCTTGTCCATTGGTGGCTCAATTATATGCCCATGGTGACTCCTTCAAGACATTTTTAGTATCAATCGTTGGTATTGAAAAGGAAGGCACTAAGAATTGGTTAGTATCTAAGAATGGTGTTAATAGTTCGGACATTGAGTCGGATGAAGCCCTCGTAAAGAAAATCAATGAACCGGAATACAAAAAGGCTTTCTTGAACTACATGAATTCTAACGTTGGAGATTTCTTGAATGGATTTGAAAAAATTCATAACATTTATTTAGACATTGAACCATTGACAATTGACAGAAATGTGATTACACCAACATTGAAGATTAAGAGACCAATTGCCAAGAAATTCTTTGCTGAACAATTTGATGCCTTGTACAATGAAGGATCATTGATTAGAAGTGTTGAGACCAAATTGTAAAATCATTCATTTATATTAAATAGATTTATTTATTTTAAGCTTTGAGTATCATACAAAATAGTATTTATTGTCCAAATTTATTCAATTATATGTACTTGTAAGGGTTCATGATTCCATTTGGATCATAATGTTTCTTGAGATCTTTCATTAATTTGATTTCAACGTCATTTTTGGTATATCCAATGTAATTCTTCTTTTGGAAACCTAAACCATGTTCAGCAGAAATAGATCCCTTCTTTGATTGAATCCATTCATAAACAAAAGGTTCTAAAACTTGTTCAATTGTTTTCGAGTATTCACGAACAGCAACATTAAGATGTAAATTACCATCTCCAACATGTCCGTAACCAATAGCTTCAACAACTGGCTTAGATTCATCATCAAATCCAACCATATCAGCTTCAACAAGCTTCTCATTAACTGCTTCGACTAAACCATACAAGTCTTTTAATGGGAGGGAGACATCATATTTGTAAACACCTCCACCAATGGTAGAAGCTTCAGGAATGGATTCTCTCCATGCCCACAAGTTCTTTAATTGAGTTTCATCTTGAGCAATAATTCCATCATCAACTAAACCTTCTTCCATGGTATTGGCCAAGAAAGTTTCCAACTTTTCATCGTCATGTTCCTTATTAGAACCACTGGTTTCAATAAGAATATAGAATGGATATTCAGCACTTTCGATTGGATGGTCAATCTTTAAATGACGACCAGTTAAAAGTTGAGACTTACCATCCATAAATTCGAATGCAGATAAAATTTCAGAAAGTTCTTTACGAGCACCAACGAAAACCTTTTGAACTGCTTCATACGAAGAAACACCCAAAAGCGCAACGTTAAAGACTTGTGGTCTTGAAGGACATAAGATAGAAACACCAGTAATTATTCCCAATGAACCTTCAGATCCAATAAATAATTGCTTTAAATCATATCCAGTATTGTCCTTTCTTAAGGATTCCATAGAGTTATAAATAGTTCCATCAGGTAAGACAGCTTCCAAACCTAAAACACTTCCATGTAAAGATCCGTATTTTAACAATCTTAAACCACCAGCATTAGTGGCAACATTACCACCAACATGACATGAACCTTTAGCACCTAAATCCAATGGGAAAATGTAACCATGTTCAGCTAAATAATTATCAGCATTTTCCAAAATCAACCCAGCATCACACTTTAAGATACCTGAGACTTCATTGAATGATCTTATCTTATTTAATCCGGCCAAAGAAATAATGATTTCATCAAAAACAGGGTTAGAACCACCAACTAAACCGGTGTTACCACCTTGAGGAACAACCGCAAGTTTTTGGTCGTTACAGTACTTTAAGATTGACGAAACTTGTTCAGTAGATTTTGGTTTTAATACAAGCTGAGATTGACCTCTATATTTACGCATCCAATCTTCATTGTAGAAGAGAAGATCATCCTCACCAGTAATTAAACCATGAGGATCTTGAAGAATAGACAGGAAGTGTTGCAAGTCTTGTTCATCAAGTTTTTTGAAATTTGGATTTCTAGAAACTTTAGTCGAATATGTTTCGGCAGTCAATGGGACAGACTTTACAGCATATCCACGTTGAGCAGCAAGAAATACAGGTTTGGCACTAACCAATCTGTTTTGCAATGTTCTGAACATCTCAATATAGTATGGGGTAGAATTGAAGATTATCAGAATGAGTAATATTTAAACCGAGTCAAGAACTATATATATAAAAAAAAGAGAGAAAAAAAAAAAAGAATACCCAGCACACGTGATACCTGTCAGAGGGGAAAGTACAAACACTAGCGGGTACTTAAATATTAGAGGAGGAGCAGATGGGGGTTACCCAATGAAAGTATAATCGTTTTGATAAAATAGACTAAATATATATGTGAGTATGCGACAAAGTTTGATGCTTGTAGTAAATGTTTCTTGCAACCTATTTATGCTAATTCTTCAACAATGATTGATAAATGTTGATTCTCTATGACCCAGCTAGATCTCCAACAGATGTCGTTTTATGAAACCAAACAAATCTGTTATGAATGTTTATGCATAATGATTTAGGTTAAACCACTGAGGGGATATATATTTTGGAAACCCTGCACAAATGATTCGGATTGTAATAGTGACATTGTAGGCTACCCCAGAAATACAGTTCAATAGTGGGGGTAATTTTTATTACTCATTACTAATAAAAATCCCTCATTCAATTTGGTGTAATCAATATTTCGAATCACTGACTTTATTCCTCAATATTCGTCAAAATGATCCATCCCGTTTCCCAAGGAAAAGCTTTGTTTTGCGACTATTCCTAAGCCAATTAGATACATTTGGCATCATAGATCTTTTTCAAGTCAAAATCTAAAAAACGGCTGCAAATTTCAAATTCCAAATCAATCATGTCACTCAATTGAAGCATAATACAAGTTTCGAATTAAAATATATCCAGTTTTCAATTTCCAATCACTCACCATGCTCTGCCAATCCATTCCCTAACTTTTTTTATTGACTTATTCCTGGACTACCCCTTTTTCTTCTTGTTTTTTTGCTTACTTTCTACATACCCTCCAATTCTCAAGCTATCCAATCCACAATTAACAATATGTCTAAATCTAGATGGCCCAATAGAATTTCCATCCATCCATCTTGTAACTATTACTAAGACGTTTTCAACATTATTTTGAACAAGTGCTTGCTCTAACAATTTAATACCTGCACCACTTTCTCCATTATCGTTGAATCCTTGTACAAATTTTCCTACATCATCATTTTTATCTACAATTTTGCTTCTCCATGCGTAAATATGAGGATGACTTGCCCTTGTCAATTGTTTATTAGTCTTTAGTAATTCTTCAAGAATTCCAGAAATTTCATTTTCATGTTTAATTGAAACACATCGACCTTGAAACCTTGATTTCCTATCAATAATAACTTCAGACAGATTCCACAGAGATATGTTTCTAATAAACCTTTTGATCATGAAAAATATTTCCCAATTGTGTATTTAAATTTGTTATTTCTTCTTTCATTCACCTCTTCCCACCTGAAGTTCACGATACATATTCAAAAGACACACATGCAGGAATTTACCATGTCCCTTTTTTAATTTGGATTTTTTTTTTTTAATTTTAATTATTTTTTTTTTTAAATTCTCTTTGTAAAACAAAACAAACACGACAATTCTACGCGCAAACGACAAAAGTGAAATCGTTAGAATAAAAAATCCAATTATAATTAAAAAACTTCTTTATTATCGATCATTTAATCAAGTCCGCTATGTCTTATTCCTATTCGCATGATAATAATACTACTTCATCAGCCTTACGTAAACGTAAGACTTTAAAGAAATCAATCAATTTTTCCGTGATGATTGTTGGGGAATCTGGATCAGGTAGATCTACCCTTATTAATACTATTTGTGGTGGTAATTCAATTGTTCCTTGTTCACTGACAGTTAATGAAGATCCATTCACAAAGAAATTAACTCTTCGTCATGAAAATGTTGAATTGGAAGATAATGAAGGTCATAAAATCTCATTAAATATTATTGATACACCAAATTTTGCAAATCTGATTAATTGTGATGATGATTTTAAAGTTGTAGTTGACTTTTTAAGACATCAATATGATGAATTATTATTGGAAGAATCTAGAGTGAAACGTAACCCAAGATTCAAAGATGGTAGAATTCATTGTCTTATTTATATGATTAATCCAACTGGTCATGGATTATCAGAAATTGATGTTAAATTCATGCAACATGTTAATAATTTAGTTAACTTAATCCCAGTAATTGCCAAGGCAGATTCATTAACTCCTTCAGAATTAAAATTAAATAAATCTTTAATCTTGGAAGATTTGAAAAATTATTCAATTTCTTATTATAAATTTAATGAATATGAACATGAACAAGATTATATTGATGATGAAATTGTTGAATATAATAAATATTTAAATTCATTGGTACCATTCCTGATTATTGGTGCAAATGTTTATCAAGATGCTCAAGATGAAGAAGAAGATTTAATTAAATTAAGAATTTTAAATCCAAAATATATGAAACCAATTAATGTTGAAAATCCAGATATTAATGATTTTACAATCTTGAAAAATGTTTTATTAATTACTCATTTGCATGAATTTAAAGAGTTAACTCATGATGTCATGTATGAAAACTACAGAACTGAAGCATTATCTGGTAAACAATTCAAATACATAAGTAATGGAGATGATGCTGATAGAACTGGAATTTCAGATAAGACATATAATTCACAACTTTATCAACAAAATGGAGTTACTAGTTTAACTGGCACTGAAGTCGATCATGAATCTACATATCTTGTTAAGGAAGAACAAATTAAATTAGAAGAAGAAAGATTAAAGAAATTTGAAGAAAGAGTACATCAAGATTTGATCAATAAACGTAAGGAATTATTGGAACGTGAACAAGAATTGAAGGAAATTGAAAGAAGATTACTTGCTGAAGGATTGAAATTAACTGATGATGGTGATGTGGTAAAGATTGAAACGTAGACACTTACACAGTATACACATTGAAAGAAGTACATTAAAACTATTGTTTAATAAACGAAAAGATGAATTATTGATCAACTTGTAAAATTTTAATTTTAATTTTTTTTTATTTATCTGTTTTATATATTCCTATTACTATTTTACTAACTTTCTACTTTATATTTAGAAACAATTTCATCAAAAAGTTGATTCTTTTCCTTTAATTCAACCATTAATTGGTGATCTGGATCAACAGATGCTAACTCTTCTAAAAGTGGACCAACTTTACTTCCATTATTCATCAAATAATCAGCAGTGATTTGGTTGGCTATAAAGTCAGCATTAGGCTTTGGACTCAAAGATGCAATTTGAATAAGTAATTCTTGAGCTTCTGGATAATGCTTTAATTGAAGGGTAAGTACAAATACGGAAATTAAAAGTTTAAATTTACCTTCAGAATCATCGTCAAAATCTCCTGACAATAAATCATCATAAAAGTAATAAGCATTACTTATGTTATCAGATTCACCCTTGATGGAATGGATCCAAGATTCCAAGACCAGGTAAATGATAGAGTCACGAGCATCAGATGAAAACAGTTGGAAATCATTGAAAATCTTGAGAGCAGAAGTAAAGTTACCCTTAACCAAATAAAGTTGAACCAAGAGTAAAAATGGTTCAAGTTCAGAAGGATTACTATCAATATAAGTAGTTAAAATTTGAATGGCTTGGTCGATATTCTTACCAACTTTAACCAAATAAATGGCAGTTAATACAGCTTCAAGAGCAGTTGTTGGAGTTTCAACATCGTTGAAGTATGTACTGTCATCAGTTCCAAATGAATGCAAGTCATTCCAAGCTTGTAATAATTGGAAAAGAGCTTCACTTTCAGGAAACTTGGTCTTACCATCATCAATCAATGGTGATGCATCTTTACCAAGTGACACGGTGGATCTGATTTGAAATGATAAAACGCTCAATTGAACATTTTCAGAAAATTGGTCCAATGAGTACGCAATAACCTTTTGGTGTTGGTGCGAGTAGAATTGGTTCTTCAAAGTATACAACTCAGACTCAGTATGTTCCATGATGATATTTCTTGATATGAGTTTACAGTTATTATGTTGTAGTTCTCAAGTGCTTCATATTTGTTCAATTTTGGTGTTGTTTTGAGGACAAGTGGATATTTGGAACGCGACATAAATGCAGGAGAATGGGCTGTAAATCGGGAATAGTACATAAAAGTATTGGTATATGGAATGATATTGTAAGCAAGCTATAACGATAAATTATCACCTACAATATGGTGAAGAGAAACTGATATTTAAAATGTTTATTTTACTTGATTTTTTTACATTCTGCAACAATGTAGCAAAAAATAGTCGAACTTTAGTGATATGAGATTTGGACTTAACTAATTGAGATTGCTGAATTAATATGAATTAATATGTAGTATGGTTGATTAATACAAACTAGATTATCTTTTATTACACCCTACCATTTTCTTTTACTGGAGAATATAATTAACTCGTATCGGTATGACAACCTGTAGGTGTAAAATATAAATGACTATATAACTCTATTTTAATTTTATTCATATCTACAGGTATTTTTGTCAAAATCAATCGTCATACTCTTCTTATTTACACTTTACTCTAATCCTTTCCTTCTTTTCTAATTTTATCCCATGCGCTTCCATTGGAATCATGTTCTACATCTTTTTCTGATTTAAGATGAGCATCAATACCATTAGCCTTTCTTATTTGGTCCCACAGAGATCCTGCAGCAGCTCCAATTCCAATGGCGGATGTGAAATGGTCCCTTTCACCAACAGATGGATGGAATTGAACTTCATGTTCACTATAAGTTCTAGGATCCTTGATTATATAGGATGAATCACGACATGATTGCTTGTAATATAAGAAGAAAAGTCCAGCTTGATGATAATCCATGGTCTTCCATACATTAAGTTGACGAGTTTTTTCTGAATTTCCTTCAAGTTGTTGAATTTGGCTATTAAACTTCCATTTAGCCACCAGTTGATGGGCTACAATCATAGCAGCTAATCCCATCATAAATGAAACCATTGGCTTATGAATTATACCCACATTTTTCACTCCAGCAACCAAGGATGGTTTGTGCGTAAGCTTCCTATAGATTGTAGGAGACCCAAATGCAGCCATCCCAAGTCCATACCCGGCTACTGAAGACAGAGTAACGACTGCTTGAAGATCATCAGCAATACTTTCTCTTTCTGCGTTGTTCAACGCATGGTCGGCCTCATAAAAATTGACACTGGCTTGGAATTGGTCTGGTGTAAGTTTCTTTTGAAGTGGGTTAATCAATTGCTGTTGCTTATCCTGTGGCTGTTCTGTATTCTCGGTATAACTAGACATATTAAAGATTATTTTTAGTTAATAAAAATGGTAGTTTTAAAGAATAAGGTCGCAATCTTTGTCAGAATATCTATACCGATCATTCCTTAGGACTGTGTATAGTCGCATTTACATACATACCCAATCGGAACATCAAAGAAAGTTTGTTGAATAGAAAATATTCATATATAAAGAATTTTATAGTATTTCTATATATAAAGCATATGGATGTGATATATCAAATTAAATTGTATTATTTACTCTTACCATCTAAACAAGCTTGTTATCAGATCTCTTTTCTTCTCTCAATCTAATCAATTGTTGAACAACATCATCAAACTTAACCATGGCATTCTTACCTTGTTCTTCTTGAATGTCTCTGTTTCTGACATTGACAGACTTGTCTTCTTGTTCTTGTTCACCAACAATGAAAATGAAGTTGTATTGTAATAATTGACCAGATCTAACCTTCTTTTGTAAAGTGTTACCGGAAACATCAACATCAGCGTAGAAATCGAATTGCTTGTTCAACTTTTCCAGTAATTCTTGAGCATATTCAAAGTACTTGACACCAACTGGGACAACCAAAATTTGTCTTGGAGACAACCAGAATGGCCATTTACCCTTGTAATGTTCAGTCAAAATGGCAGTCATTCTTTCAACAGAACCCAAAATAGCTCTGTGAATCATAACTGGCTTAGCCATAGTGTTAACCTTTTCATTGGTTTCAGACTTGTATTCTAAACCAAATCTTTGTGGCAATTGGAAATCTAATTGAATAGTAGCACATTGGAACCATCTCTTCAAAGCATCACTAATAACAATGTCAATCTTTGGACCATAGAAGGCACCATCACCTGGGTTAACAACCCATTTACCTTCACCCAAGAACTTGTTCAATGCATTTTCCAAGTTCTTTTCAGCCTTGTTCCAAGTGGAGATTTCACCGACATAATTTTCAGGTCTAGTGGATAATTCCATCTTGAATTCAAATCCAAAAATTCCGTAAATCTTTTGTAAGAAATCGAATACACCACCAATTTCCTTTTCAATTTGATCTTCAGTACAGAAAATATGGGCATCATCTTGTTGGAAACGACGAACTCTAGTCAAACCAGACAAAGCACCAGAGAATTCATTTCTATGAATCACACCGAAATCGGCAACACGCCATGGCAATTCACGGTAAGATCTTTCTCTAGACTTGAAAAGCAAACAATGACCTGGACAGTTCATTGGCTTCAAACCATATGTTTCCTTTTCAACATCAACGGAGAACATGTTTTCCTTATAGTTACCCCAATGACCGGAAGTTTCCCATAATTTGGAGTTGTACATGTTTGGAGTAATAACTTCATCATAACCTCTTTGCTTGTATTCCTTTCTCATAAGGTCAACCAAAGTGTTGTAAATTCTAGTACCATGAGGTAACCAGAAAGCACTACCTGGGGACAATTCATTGAAGTAAAACAATTCTTGTTCTTTACCAATTCTTCTATGATCTCTTTCAGAGGCTTCCTTCAAGAATTTAAGATGTTCATCCATTAATTTCTTGTCTGGGAAAGAGATACCATAAACTCTTTGCATGGAGTCGTTGGTGGCATCACCCATGAAATAAGAAGAAGAGTTCTTCAAAACCTTGAAAGCCTTAATTCTACCGGTATGTGGAATATGAGGACCAGTACACAAATCAATCAATGGACCACATCTATAAACAGTGGTAGACGTTCCATCTGGAATCTTGTCTTGAATGAAGTGAACCTTATACTTGTTGTAACTGAACATCTTCAATAAATCTTCCTTAGACATTTCCAATCTAACAAACTTTTGCTTTTCCTTAATGGCCTTGGTAGAACATTTTTCCAAGTTACCAAAGTCACCTTGAGAAACAACACCTTCACCATTGTTGATAGACAAGTCATAGAAAAACCCGTCATCGGTTGGTGGACCATGAGACAAGTGACAACCGTAATGACCTTCACAAGCTTCACCCAAAACATGGGCAGAAGAATGCCAGAAAACCTTCTTACCTTCATCATTTTCAAAGTCCAAGAAATCTAATTGAACATCAGATTCCAAAGGTCTTTCCAAGTCCCAGTATTCACCATCAGCCTTGGCAACGATTTGTCTTTCAGCGAAAGACTTACCAATATCCTTAGCAATATCCATAGGAGAAGTTTCGTAAGCGGTACCTTCCTTGACATTACCATCCTTAAGGGTGATCTTGATTGGCTTACGTTCCTTGGCGGCGATCTCAGCATCGTACTTTGCCTTTAATTCGTCAAATAATTGGACACGAGATTGAATGAATTCAGGTTCTGGGTCAAGGAATAAGGTGTTGGATCCTGCAGAAGCAGCCTTCTTCTTGTCCTTTCTGGAAACCTTTTGTGGCTTAGCGTCACCAGAAGCTTCGGCCTTAGCTGGAGCAGCGGCAGCAGCAGGGGCCTTATCTTCAACAGATAAAGTCTCAACCTTCTTTTCTAATGGTTCAGACATATTTAAATGATTCTAAAGTGGTGATATGTAAAAGTTTTGAAGGTTTTGAAAGACGTGTTGAAGTAAATGAGAGTTTTAAAAAAAAAAAGATTTTTAAGTTTGCCGCACGACTCACAAATATGTGAGTCAATAAAAATAAACGGGTAAAGATATAGTGTTTTATGTGAGTAATCATGTATATGCTGCATGTATGAATTAGTAATCGGGTCAAATATCATTTATTTACTTCTACTTTATTTCTTCTGATCCCTTGGTTGAGAAATATGATAATTCTATTATAACTGCAAATCTTTTAGGTAGAGAACTGCATACATTTCGGAGAAATCGTTGTTTCAAAATTGTTGCAACTACCAACTACCACCAACTGTCAATGAAGCATGTGTTATATTTAGGATATCGACTTAAAGGAATTTGGCGAATTCAATATGAAATTCTTCTATATAACTATTAGCTTATTTTTCACTTTTATATTGATTGGGTGAAAATAAGATAATTAGCTTCTTTTAAAATCAATTGTTTTATTGTTGTTGTGATATTATAAATCTATCAGCTGAGTATACTTTGCTTTACCAAACCTGGAAGATATATGAACCATTTGTATTTTATAATTGACTCCATCTCTAAACTGTGGTATAATACTTAATCTTTAAACCCTACACCATCCCATAATTAAAAATCATAGCGTCTATCTGCATATAGTCTCAACATATACCTTAGCTTAGATCATTTTTATTGAAAAAATCCTTCTATACTTTCGTACTTCAACTTTGGGCACCATGCTTTCTCCCTTGGCATCAAGTGATGATGCATCCATACAAAAGCAAGTTACTGAGCTTCGATCGATGCTAATAGACAATCAATTATTAGCAGAGAAACACCTCGAGAACTTGTACGATTGTGCAGATAGAATTGATGTTAATTCAATCCAAAATACCCATACAGATATCTTTAATGATATGAATAATCAATTGAATGAGTTATTATATGTGTTTCGAAACAAACTAAATCAAAAGGAAGCCCAAAGTCCAATAAATAAACTAAATCAATTAAAATCGACAACCACCGATCCTACTTTACAACACCTACTTGATTCCGGTGGGAACTTGTTAAATTGTATTCAAGAAGAAGGACATATCCAAGGAGGTATCTTAAGTCTGGAACTTGCTGCCGATCTTGAAAACTGTACTCATGCATTCCAATCAAAAATATAGAATAGTCTTTTACATAATATTTCAATATTTACATCATCATTATATATATAATTTCTATTTACAATCTAAAAGGTCTTTGGAGCTAAAGTAGCAATTTTGCTATACTTCAAGTCTTTAAGTTCTTTAGCCACCACAGAGGAAACTCTGGTTCCGAGTGGATCACCATTTTTGTTGATCAACACACAAGCATTGTCATCGAATCTAACAACAGAACCATCGGGTCTTCTGAACGGAGACTTTGTTCTCACCACAATAGCACGGCATATATCTCTTCTCTTGACTCTATTATTGGCTGATGCACCTGTAATATCGGCATTCATAGGTCTAGCCTTTTGAATAACAACTGTGATTTCATCACCAACCTTGGCAAAGTTTTTAGGGTTATGACGTAAGACCTTAATACATTCTGCGAGCTGAGCTCCGGAGTTATCGATCACGTTAAGTACAGTCTTCAAGTAAATCATTATTCGTTAAATTAATTATAGTTAAGACTTTAGTTAATAAATGTTAATAATTAAAATTGAATTAAAAATTTCACCATCATAAATTTGACTCACGTGATCTACAAGATTGGTTTTTAGATTAATTTTTTTTTTGCTTATTTATTTTACTTATATTTTGTTTAAATTTATAGAGACAAGTAGAGTTGGTTAAAATTGGAACAAATAATATAGAAAATATGAACCACATGATCAAGACATCGATCATTTCATTCTAATATATTCCATTTATTCCTACAGGTAAATGTGTGAAACGAGAGATATTTGAATTCAATTCTTATACATGCCAAATTTATAAAAGTAAGGTACATAGGAGGTAGAAAAACCATTTGTCCAAAGAATAAACTAGAAAACGAGAAGAATTTCAAATTTCTATTCCTTAATTAGTTTCAAATCCTTTCTATTTCATTCTTAATCTGTATCTTTCCTATATTTTGCTTTTAGGAAAAGTAGTTAAGGAATTAAACTAATCAAGTAGTTCACATGTATTTTAAATAGTTTATTTTTCTCTATTGTATTTACTCGTCCCATCTCTTTTTCTTGGCAGTCTTCAATTTAGCCTTACTAACTCTTTCACTAGCAGGATAAAAGTATGTAGGGTAAGGAGCTGGTGTAGCCCAATTTACTGCAGAGATTGCAGTATAGTTCCAACCAGGAGTAATGGTTGAGTGAACATTTGGAGAAGGAGACGCAGATGTATAATAGGTAACAGCACTAGTAGGAAAACGTCTATTCCAAGTAGTAGCTGTGATTTCAGAACCTGGTTGAGTTTGCATTGGAGCATAACGAGTCTTTCCAGTTTGTAAAGTATAAGGAATAGTAAACCATTCTGACTTAATGGTGCCACCATTGGCACCACCAGCTTCCGACGTTTGAGCCAGCGGAGTATCACCATCATTACTGGCATCAATAGTGGTAGGGCCGGTCATACCAGACAATTTGACTCTTCCAGTGTAATGAATTGTTGTTGATTTATCTTTGAAAACAGTATATATTTGAAAGAAATAGAAACCATTAGGATAGGAAGATGATGGAATATCAGCTGTGAATTTTTTGCTTGGTTCAGTCTTCTGGGCCAATAATGGTTGATTTGTAGCACACTTAATGGAGGCCGCAGATCCATAACAGATCAAGACAGTATATGATTGGACATTACTTAATGAAAATGTGTCAGATGAATCATCAACATCATCAGTCCAAGAAATAGGAACTGATACAGTTCCCCCTGAAGCTGAAAATGAAGCACCATCTGTAGGGGATGTAACCGACACATCTGCGGATACTTGCTGAAGCAAGCTTATAGCGAATAATAGAACTATAGAAGCTCTGAAAAACATATTAATATATTATGATTATATTTCAGAATCTTAAAGTAGACTTTCGTTTGATCAACACTTTGTGATATTCAATTCGGTTGATGATCTCTATGAAGGGGTTTTAAGTGATTGTTGTTGGTGAGAATACAATGTTTGTATACTTGTCTATAATGGAGCAATCAAATCAATAGGATGCACCAAAGAATAACCTAGTGGACGATACTGGCAATCAAAAGTTGTTTATAAAAGGAAGTAAAGAGGAGATTACCTGTTTTTTTTTTCTTGGTCAGATCCCTTTTCGTTAAGCTTACAACACGCTAACTTCTTTGAATCCGCAACATAACAAGAAAAAAAAACCAAAAAGTAAAAAAAAAAAGAAAATCAAGTGTGAATGACAATAATAGAACATTTTAAATGGGAGACAATCTGATTTGGTAAATTCATTCTAGGAATTGATGAGGAGTTGCGCGTCTAGGCGGGACAAATATTAAGGTACGGGTCATAACAAAATGTAGGCAGTGCCAACAGTGTGCGCGAAAACAATATAGGAAAAAACAAAAAAAGAAATAGAGCTAACAATAGCCTAGACTTCCTTTTCAAGGCACATGTGAGGGAAAGTTGCCTTCTATGTTGACAAAAATTGAGAAATAAAAGGTACAACTTTTTTGAAGATTAATGGGTGAGAGAAATGCAAAAAAAAAAAAAACAAACCATACAAATAGGGTTGTATGAAAAAATCATAAGCCACAATTTAGAGCACATGCATTTTAACAACCCAAATGAAAACGGTACTAATGAATTATAATCATAAACCATGTATTTGTACTATCAAGTATCGAATGCAAAATCCTTTAATTACTCAATTCTATCGTATTTTATTCACATATTCGTCAAATTAGTCTTTCTGCTATTTGTACCCATTTATTGCAACCTACCGTGACTTTTCCCGCACAATGTAAAATCTGTATATTCATCTTTTGCCACCCTTTTTATGCCATTAATACTGTTCTTATCAGACCTTCTGCCAGTATAAAATCATCACTCAGGCTTCCACTTGTATGTCTTATGATAACATCAGGAGAATAGAAGGCAGGAAGGTGTGACGAATCTTGGGGATTGTTATTATTGTTGTATTGACTACTATGTGCCCTGCGATAATTATACCGAAGGGCTTGCAGAGAAGTAATTTGGTCAAGATTTCCTGTTCTTCTTGCTTCGGCACGATTTACAGTATCAGCACCCTTGGCACCATTCAGTGGCCAACAAGAATTATAGGAAGCATTAGGGTGGTTTGGGGGAGGCGTGGATGCCAAGGGAGATTCGGATCTCTTTCTTCCTTTGTCCCTAACTAATCCGAAAGTCCCGTAGGTTACAAGCTTTGACATTAAGTTGTGCATATCCATTTTGAAATGGATTTAACTTGGCATGTAATAATAAATAATTAAGAAAAATGAAAGTGATACAGTGTACACTTATAATAAAATGATTCTTTCTCTACCTAAGAATTATTATTTAACCTATACGCCTTCCTAGCCGTTTAGATTCCAATAGAGGGAAAAAAAATATTGCGTGGGTGTGTATATTGCCTGATTCAGCCGTGAATATGGGGAGAGAGGCTATACTATTTTTTTTCTCACCACAAACGATTACCTCTGTGATATATCTGAGATTCTGTCGTTACACAACTCAGAGAAAACAACAAGTGAATATAGTTGGGTTCGAATATTTAGGTATTAGAGAGAGAGAATAGGTTGCGGGAATATTGATGCAAGTTATACCATTTTATTGCGATGTGTTTAATGACTACCATTTTACTAAATTCACCCATTCATCGGAGTTAGGGTCGGGTTTTTACTGTACTTTTTACCGACCCGCATGATCGTTCGTCCGAGTGGAACTGCATATATTATTTACTGGTATAATGTCTTTCATTCATTTTCAGTGTATAATTAAAGAATACCGACCTCATTGTATTTTCCTTCCTATGCATATTATGAAGAGAAATGGCATCATTAATACTACTATATAGCGTAGATCTACAGTGCTTTTTCTTTAACTCCACCATATTTCCGAGTCTCAACATTCATGCATATGTTTCGGCCGTAAAGAAAAATAAAAGTTTTTTTTTCTTTTCTCGTACAGATCGTATAGAAATTTTCGGCTTACCTAATGAGCACAAAAAATTCTGTTCCTCGGAATTATTAATCTGTTAGCAGATATCTTCAGTATACCCTTCAACCCACAGGTTCGTTTTTTTTTGTTATAAAATTTCAACTTTGATGTCCCAAAAGTAATGTTTCTTACTTGATTTGTTGTTGTTAATTCCTCGATTTTTCTGATATGCACATAAATATTTTACATATCGACAATCATAAATACGATTGTGGTTGTACAGAAGAGCAAATTATACATTCTTACCTGGATTGATATTACGGATATCATTCACGTATTATCCCGTAAATCATACCGACTATGGCTAATATTATCAACATTGTACTGGTTTCATCAGATCTAGTCGATATATAATACTTCCTACAGCTGATACCTTGAATTTAGGTTAAAGTTTAAGGAGTATTTGTATCTTACTCCACTTCTCCTCTTTATGACTTTCTCCTCTCTATGAAGAACACTGATAGAATAGTAAAGAAATCTGTATATGTTGCTCAGATGTTTAAGTTTTGTTGTATTGTATTTTGTCATGTTATTGGTATCTAACTCAAATTCTTTGCAGCCAATATAAACAGTTAAATCGTGATTATGTGCACGTGCTATGCATTATTTTTCAATGTGGCCAGACCTATTTAGCGGATAACCTAATTTGGATAATAGCGCGCGGTTATCTGACTAACGTTAAATATGTCATCAGAATTAAAAGTTGAATAACTTTCCATAAAAGGACTTGCAATTGTGTAGATATAGAATTTTTTCTTCCAAAGTATTCAATTAAGTTCAATAATATGCCTATTACACTTAAAAACCCAGATCTTATTAGATCCAAACCATTTATTAACGGTCAATGGTTTGATTCCAAATCTACCGAAACTTTCAAGGTGATTGACCCAGCCACTGGTGATTTGATCATTGAATTACCTGATCAAACTCCAGAAGAAATAGATCATGCTATCCAGGTAACCCATGATGCTTTTGAGCTGTTTAAGAAGACATCTCCTTACGAAAGATCAAAGTTGTTGAGAACCATGTACAACCTAATGATGGAAAATGCTGAAGATTTAGCTAAGATTATTACTTGGGAAAATGGTAAATGTTTAGCTGATGCTATTGGAGAAGTAAAATATGCTGCAACTTACTTTGAATGGTTTTCCGAAGAAGCAAAGAGACTTTATGGTCACACAATCCAACCTACCAACCATAATAATAAAGTCCTTACTTATAAGCAACCAGTTGGCGTTGTCGGATTGTTGTGTCCTTTTAACTTTCCTTCAGCTATGGGAGCTCGTAAACTCTCTCCAGCTTTTGCTGTTGGGTGTACTGCAATTTTGAAGCCAGATGGCCAAACCCCATTATCTTCTCTTGCATTGGCATATTTGGCTGACAAGGCAGGCTTCCCAGCAGGTACCTTCAATGTAGTGCTTACATCTACTTCAAACACTCCAATGTGTGGATTGAAGTTTTGTGAATCGCCTCTTATTAAAAAGGTTTCATTTACCGGTTCTACTCAAGTAGGTAAGCTCTTAATGAAGCAATCTTCTTCAACTTTGAAGAAACTTTCAATGGAGCTTGGTGGTAATGCCCCAGTGATTGTCTTTGATGATGCCGATATTGATTTGGCTGTTAGTCAATCAATTGCTTCAAAGTTTAGATCTCTAGGTCAAACTTGTGTTTGTGCCAATAGATTATATATTCATTCCAAGATTTACGATGAATTTACAAAGAAATTTGTTGCTGAAGTCGAAAAATTTAAGATTGGTAATGGATTTGATGAAGGTGTTACCCATGGATGTTTGATTAACGAAAGAGCCATTGATAAGGTTGAAGACCATATTCAAGATGCTATATCTAAGGGTGCCAAAATCTTGTACAAAGGTGGTAAGTTACCAGATTTAGGAAAGCATTTCTATAAGCCATACGTCATTGGTGATGTTACTCAAGATATGAAGGTTATTAAGGAAGAGACTTTCGGACCTTTGGGTGCATTAGTAAAATTCACCGAAAGAGATGAAGTTTTGAAATGGTGTAATGAATCAGAACATGGTTTGGCTTCTTATGTTTTCACTGAAAATTTGAATAATGCATGGTATATGTCAGAATTCTTGGAATCCGGAATGGTTGCAGTTAATACCGGTCTTTTCACTGATGCTGCCATGCCATTCGGTGGTGTAAAGGAATCAGGATTTGGTAGAGAAGGATCTTTATATGGGGTTGACGACTACACAGTTATTAAATCTATTACTTTAGGTAATGTATATAATTAGATACGATTGAATTAGCGAAAGCGTAATAAGAGATTCCGTTTGATGTAGACCTAGATAATGAAAAAAGAAGTGCTCACTACAAGCAATGATCTTTTATTTTTTTTTTTTTTTTTTTTTGCAACCTTATTGTATATCGCAACCAGCTTCCTAATTGGGAATTGAGAGATATGGAAATATTAAAGGTGCAGCTCAATGGATGAAGTGTGATCGACGAACTCTTTTCAAGCACGATTTAAAATGAAATTATTAACAACTGGTATTAACATCATCTTACTGTTAAATCTCGTATATGGTCTGTGGATAGATGACGAAAATGGTGCAGTGAAAATTGATCAAGTTGAAGAATCGTTCATAGATTCAATTTATGGAGATTTGGTACAAACCTCGGAATCTTACGAATACAAATTGAAATTGTACAACGAGGGGAAATTAAAGGTTTACAAAGAAGAGGAATACAAGGAGAATGATCTAGAATTTATGTTAAATCAATTACTCGAATCTCAAGAATATAGTACATTTCTGGAATATCTTGAGAGTTCATCTTCAGTTAATTATGCAATTAATTCTCACAATGCTTTTCGTAAGTATAAGAGTAAAGCCAATTACCCTGATGATGATGATACATCAGATCTTTTGACTATAGATAAGTTTGGTGGTATATTAACTTTTGGACACTTCAAATATTTTAATTGTTTCAATCCAAAGCTGAACTCCAAAAAAATTGATATAGCAATTGTAGGTGCTCCATTCGACACTGGTGTTAGTTTTCGTCCTGGAGCAAGATTTGGCCCAGAAGCCATCAGACAAGCATCCAGAAGAGGATTTGGACGCACACCGGTCAGGGGTAATGGTAAGCCCAATTCTAAATTATCTAAGGTAGATCCTTATAACACTAGTCTTAGCATTATTGATTGCGGTAATATCCCAATGACTCCCTATGATAATAGAATTGCTTTAAATCAATTATATCGTGGAGAGAGAGCCATTCATAACCATGAACCTACCATTTCCGCAAACGGATCCCCAAAGATTATTACTATGGGAGGTGACCACACTATTACTTTAATGGCTTTAAAATCTGCGTATGAAAAATATGGAAAAGTATCTGTGTTACATTTTGACTCTCATATTGATACTTGGAATCCTAAAATTTTGGGAGGTGGTATAACAAACTATATGTCACTTAACCATGGAACTTTTCTTCATTACGCGGCAGAAAATGGCTATCTTAATACTTCAAGTTGCATGCATTTGGGATTAAGAGCTCCATATATTAGTGCAGAATATGATATCAAACATGACCATGAATGTGGATTTGAAACGATTACTGCTAGAGATTTTGACAATGTGGGAAGAGATGAGATTATTGAAAGAGTAAAAGAAAGAGTTGGAAACCTGCCAGTATACATATCTGTAGACATTGACGTTTTGGATCCTTCTAATGCACCAGGTACAGGTACTATGGAAGTTGGAGGATGGACTACTAGAGAATTACTTAGCGTGATAGATGGATTAGAAGGAATTAATTTAATTGGTGCAGATGTGGTTGAAGTAAGTCCCCCATTTGACACAAATTCTGAAATCACCAGTTTAGCAGCAACTGCAGTGATTGATTCATTTTTAGGTCTAATGATTGTACAAGATTTATAGTAATAAATGTTTTTGTTCACGTTTTTTGTTGATAATCAAGGTATTAATCAGTATAATTATCCGTTTCGGAGATTGGGAGCTACATGGTATTTCGGCCAATCGGTGTAAGGCAAGAAACTTTGGAAGTTATTTCCGAGCCGAAATCCGATATTTAGTACCGAAATATTCTAAACTCTTTATGAAAGAATTATATTCCAAATACGACCCTTTTTCCGATTTACCCGTTAGATCTGGCTGCTGATAGGCCTACAAAGATATACATTCTGTAAAGTTCCTGCATCCAATCCAAAGTATATCTTAGTATAGCTTTGGAGAGTCACTTCAAAATCATAATAACTTCCACTATGGAACAATAAGACAAACAACAACCAATGTCATCATTCCCCCGCTAAATTTCTTTCGAAAAATACTGTAGATAGTTATTTGTACTAGTTTATCACTTATCGTTATCAAGTGTAAGTAAGTGCGATTTTGTTTTGTTTCATACTTTTTGAGATTTTGTAATTTTCGCATGATATCAAAATAAATTTACATATTGTGGTTAATTAGAGACGAACATACTGAAGTTCAATTCTTTTATAGTATGTGTGGGGGAAGAATACAAGCCCCTGTATTACCGCTCTCTGTAACCCATGAGTACCATCAGTCTGAAAAGGGTCATTTGGTGAATCCAATTTCAAAGAAGGAATTAGCAATAAAGAGAGGTGTTGTAACTATTGGTGTTTTGGGTCTTTATCAACTATATAGGTATTATTACTAAATTAGGGCAACGGGTCATGTTAGAATAAAATTAATACAAACCATTTGGGTAGAAAGTGTAGAGAGTATGGTACCAATAGGAATTCTGTAGCAGGTGGCAGAGACTTCGATAAGCTTAGTGCAATTGTGCGTGGCTCAGTCAACCAAAAATATCTTGAATTGGGAATAAAATAGAGGGGATGTCCACATGTTTATAATTTAAAGTGGAGACTTTTATTCGAGAATGTTTCATAATCTTCGTTACTTAACTTGGTTGTAAAAAAAGAAAATTTTATTCAACAATTGGTCTATTTCCATTTCTAATGAATAAACTTTCACTATTTAATTCGTATATCGAGCTTTGTCACTTAACCGAATTGGTTGTACTATTCAACCTATCAATACAAACAAAGAATCTACATGCAGTGATTGATTTACATTTTTCGAAAACAAAAAATATAAAAAAGAAAAAAAAAAAAGAAGCACACTATGGATGATCTAGACCAACGCGAAACGCGACCCCAGATAATACGCTGCCATTAATTCTAGCCTAGAAAGCACATTTTAACTTTGGGACATAAACAAGTGAACTTAATATCTATTAGCCGATACTGGGATATTGTTGAAACTAACACTTGTATTTGGTGTAACTGAACTATATTTGCTATGTTTAGTCACCTCTTGTAGTTATCACTCTCTTACAAATATACATACCAAAACGATTTAGCTATAGTACTTACTCTAGTTTTAAATTTCTTTTTTTCTTGTTATTGTGAGAGTTTAACAAGGACCTAAATTATTTCCAATTCAGTAACGTTACTTCAGCATAAATAGCTTAACTACTCGTCAACTACGAGTTAGTAGTATCTCATTATAACTAGCTTCTATTTCCCCCATACTTATGCAAGGATGGAGTTAGGGTCAGCAAGGAAGGGTACTGTGCCCAGTTGAAGGAGTGTGTACCTTCTGCAGCCGGGCCTTTTTTTGGCGCGTTTCAGTAATATTTCTTTTTTTTTCTCTAACTTTTAAGATTTTGGAGATTTTTCGTGTACGGGTTGAGAATTTATCGTGTTACTGAAGGAGTTAACTATTACTAAATAATTTTAATAAAGAATCTTAATCATCTTTACAGACTTTTGATCTTTTTTTCTTCAGGGGGTTATTTGTGATTATATTATATTTTTCAAAGTGAGGATAACTAACGGACCTTGTGTATCCCACCTGTTCAGACATTCGTTCCCTTTTGTATTGTTTTGTTTCAATCGTTAAGAAATCAATTATATAAAAAAAAGTTTCTATAATTAGTAAAAGACGGTTAACTATCGAAATTTTTTATTAAGATCCACCATCACTACTTATATCCTTTCACACACAGAAAGGTCCTGATACCCATATAGAAATGATATCTAGATCAGTGATACAGTTTGCAGTTGCAGCTTTGGCATCATTGAATGTTGTTTCTGCTACCGGCTTAGGCTGTTATAGTTCAGTGAGCGTAGCCGATGACAAGGGGCAATATATGTATCAATCCTCGTCTTATTGTGTGGGACAATGTCCTGACTATGCGTTTGTTGCTACTAAGAATGGTAACGAATGTTATTGTTTGAATTCCTTCCCATCCGGCTCACAATCAAACTCTTGTAATATGCCATGTGTTGCATGGCAACAAGACAATTGTGGGGGTTCTAATTCCTATCAAGTCTATCAAGGCTCTGGTAGTATTGGAGCTAACTCCGCTTCTGGTTCTTCCTCTGCCGGCAATTCACCTGCAAGCACATCCACTAGTTCTTCAACTCAAACAACTACATCGAAGCCTACAACAGGTACTTCTTCATCGTCAACTTCAACTTCAACCACATCCAAGTCTTCATCCACTGAAGTACCATCAAGTGACACTTCGGAGCTGAAAACTTCCAGTGCTACCTCGACAGGTGCATCAGTAGTTACCAAAACAACAACAGCTGCTAATTCTTCTTCCACTTCCCTGGAAACATCAACTTCAAGTAGCAACAGTTCTCCAACTCCAGCAGCAACCAAAAAATCGTCTAATACTGGAGCGATTGTTGGAGGAGTAGTTGGAGGAGCAGCCGGATTGGCTATTATTGCTTTGTTGGTCTTCCTCTTTGTTCGTCATAGACGTAACGCGGATGATGAAGATGATGAAGAATTCTTTGAACCTCAAACTAAATCAGGTTCTACAAGAGCTGTTTCTAGAGGTGCTTCCAAGAAGCATGCTAATCCTTTAGAAATGCCTATGACCAATCCATTCACACATCCATCTGATGCTACAGTAGCAGCAGGAGGTGGTGGTTCTGCTGGAATGGTTGACCCGCGGTTAAACCCAATAATGATGGGAAGAAGACGTTTATCAGAGGGCTCGCTTGTTGACGAGGCTGATTATTCTAGAAAGATTCTCCTGGTAGCGAATCCAGATCATTAAATTATCGTTAGTTATGTAATTAGTTTGTTTTAAAAAGGTGTTATATTTAAAAGAGAAAGAAATGGAAAATGTAGATTGGGAATTACAGAATCGGAATATTTTATTAAGTAAAATAGGAGGAATGGTTATGGTTAGTTTGACGGTAAAACAAAGCGGAATTGAGAAACATTAATAATAATAATGTTACCCCGGAAACTTATCGATAATAATAAGAACTACATTATACTATACATTGGTATTAATACTAATAAAATTATTTCCTTACCCCATAATTTATTTAAAGCGGTCAATTAGTCTCTCTTATCATTTCATATTCGCTTACGGTAATTTGAAGCTTTTTTTTATTAATAATAGTACAAAAGGATGATCCCGGACTTACAATACCTTGTGTGCTTATATAAGCTGCCAACTACCAAACTGGCAATATTCCGCTAGAATATACCTCAACTTTTAAACTTAAAATAAAAAATCAGCCAATAAATCTTTATAAATGTAGTTTAATGAAAGTTAGTAAGGTATATATGGATAGGTATATAGTTTTATAGTTGTCTTGTTCTAAATATAAAATTTTTGTAATTGAATTGAGGGGGACTTGTTCGTTTTATTTTTTGCGATAAGTGTGACTTGTGGCCTCATTTGCGATTTATAGAACCCGGGGCCCGAATTTTGAATTTTCTATATATATAAAGTACAATTGATATACAACATAACACCTGTTATATATATATATGTATATATATATATATTTACTTATATATTTATATATTAACTAGTTTTACACGCATACAAATACTATGCCTAAACAAATTCCCTCGTTTGAGAAACCGCTCCATGACCAACTTAGTCAAATAAGAACATCCTTACTTGCTCTTAAAAATAATCGGACTAAATATATTTCGTCGAAACAAGTTTATACAATTTATGATGAATTCTTAGCACATCTACATGAATTATCCCTCACCAGAAAGGATGAAGAACTTAAAGGTATGACTTTGTCATTACCCAATGCCACAGATTCGATTGTTGATGATGTATGGTCGATACTTTCGTTATGTTTTGTCACTTGCGGATTAACTAAGTTTGCTCCAGCAACTTACCTGTCACTTTCGACCGTTTATAAATTATTGGAACATCTTGAGGTATGTCAAGTTTATACTATGGATGATTTAGACCCTATCCGAGAAAGATTGGAAGAAATTAAAGACATTATTAGACAATCTGAACAAGCAAAAGAAGATGAAGATGAAGAGATTGATGATTCAATGAATAACCATAATAAAGAGGAATCTTTACTTCTTAGAAATAAATGGAATAAATGTCAACAGTTACTTCTGAATCTTGAAAATTGTTTCAATGAAATCCCTAACGATTTAGAACCAATTTATTCCCAATTAGTATTAATGAGAAAGCAATTACTTAACTTCCTTACAAATGGCTCATCATCGAAATCTAATAGTGCAATAATCACCAAGAATACAACTGTTTCACCGGGTCAACTTGAATCAAAATTATTACAATTAAAAGATGAATTAAAAGAGATTAAACAAATGAGAAATCCCGAAGGTAAATTTCCAAGTGAAGCTCCTCAACTGCAACAATTAAAGGCGTCTATTGTTTTGAATGGATTACTTGATGATTGTAATAATTTCATTAATGATTTGTCCATTCAACAGGAAACTCCTGATATTTCAAACTTATTTAAAAATTTGTCAATAACTGAACTGGATCAACAAGCAGATCAGCAAGTGATTACAAATTATAGTAATTTGTATACTCAATTGATTGACATTAAATTAAAATTAGAAAATCTTTTAGTAACTAGAAGATGGACAATGAGAGAAACTGATTTATTTAATTATTCAAAGGCTTTAAAAGAAATTGATGACGAGAGATCATCTATGCAAGAAAGTACACAATCAAATGTTCAATTGAAAAAATTACATATGATTATCTTGTATCTTTTGAGAAGATGTTATTCACTTATTTATAAACTTTTAGAAAGTTCAGAACCTGTATCTGAATCCTTACAACCAATTCATAATCAACTTTCAACTGTTCATCGTTGCCTTCTTGAAATAAAAAGAATTGATGGATTAAATACTTTGAAAGATATCTATCCATATCAATTCAAACTCGCATCGCTTGATAATATGAGAGATGACGGTAAATTCATTGTCAATGGTGCAATTCCAGAAGGTCAGGGATTACTTAATGCATTACTTGCAGAATGTTTCGATATTTTGCATGAATTAAAAATCGAACTTGAAGAAAAGGAAGAAGCTGCAGGAATAGATGAAGAAGATGAAGTTGCCAATATTACCGATGATGAAGACATTCAACCTGATGATGAAGTTGAATTGAAAAGAAATAGATACATGGGATTTCATGAGGCTGATTATGACTTGGATTCTGATTCATGTGTTTCTGATCTTGAAAGTATTTCAGATTCTGAATACGAAGGGAACGATTATTATTAGGGGTGCTTGTATTTAGTTAAAATGATTGTATGATGTTTTGAAATTTTCGTCGATGTAGAAAGTAAACATTGGTAGTAATGAAAATCGTAAGATATATGGAGAAATATCACCATCAATACGATTAGTTCACCTATAATATTTCTTCTCTTGAGGGAAAATGAAAAAAAAAAAAAAATAATAACTTACGAATACTCAGTAAAGTTTTGACGGCAGCCAATTCTATTTCACAAGTCAATTTTGCATTTGGTTGGTGATTTATTCTGTGGCCCATGGATACTTGAAATTTGGCTCACTATGTACCTCTAACTTCATTCTACAATGAGCCCGCTACTACGTTGATCCCATCTTATAGTTTGTACTATTTCCCTAAATAAAATTTATTCTTTTTTCAACTAAAATGATGAAAAACAAATCACTTTCCAAAAAACTTCGTCCCATATATATTGCTTTTTTACAATTCTTTGAGCTCACAGCCACAGTTTCAAAGTGAATTTTTATCTTCCCTTTTCGCAAACCAGTTAATTAGTTCCTACATTATAATTGCCATTATTTATTCAAGTGGTAATTTGTTAGATTTTGTGTTTTTTGCAACATTCTCATTAAACATGACAAAAAGCAAAAAAAAGAAAATAATAGCAAAACGAAATAGGGACCCCTTTGTTTCTTCACACGACCTTCCAGAAAATTCATTTTTAAATTTTAGTGAAAATGTTGCCGTCAGTTTCAAATTCAAAGTTATATTCGGTTATCATTTATTTAGCATACATCCTGGTGACGTTTAACAGGCTTAGATACCAATACCCCAACGTAAGGCTACATATATTCTTTGATATAGCCAGCGAAGCAATCCGAACCACTCCATTTTGTTCGGTATACCTTAATTTTTAATTTATTTTTTTTAAGCCGCCACGAAGATTATTTATTGACGAGACGATGATATCTACTGGCTTTTCATGGGGTGACAAACCTACAGAAAGGTCTATGCCACCTCGCCCAACCCCCACTATGCATAACAACAACAACAACCCAAGAAAGAGACGACAACATGAAGAAGAATCTAACCGAGTTCATAAACCTACTACACGAAAGTCATTTCCAATTGTTCAAACAAAGATGAATAATATTAATCATAAGAGATTGAAAACTCCTAAAATTTTAGGTCAACAATTACCATTGAATCGAGTTATTGAAGTTTTAGATAAACCTGCATTACAAGAATTATTACAAAATCTTATAAAGCTTCACCCTGAAGTATCTGAAACTGTGACGAAATTAGCTCCCAAAGCCACCCTTGTAGATTCATTAAACCTCATTAAATCAAAATACGATTGCATTTTCAACCACTTACCATACAAATGTGACGTTGAATCAGATTATTCTTACTTGAGAATTAAGCCATATCTCAATGAGTTTTTCCATTGTTTAAGTGATTTTATATTGAATAATTTACCACCAATTGAATCAAATTCATCAAACTCTTTGAAATTTTTGGATAATATTACAAATTTGATTCATAACTTACCAAATTTTGTTAATAATGAATTTCAATATACTAAAATGATGGCATATGATCAAGTGGTTAATTGTTGGCTAATTATATTGAGTAGATATAATTTCGAAGATTCCGAAAGTTCAGAAACTAATTTGATTTCGATTATTAATGACTTGGATTTAAAGAATAAACTTGACCAACATAATTTACTCTCACAAGATAAATTTAAATCAGTGATTAGCTTTATTGATCTGGAAATTGAAAATTATGAAAAAGTGAATCATCAATTGAGCGGGAACTCTATCAATGATTTAATAACGGTGGACTATTCTAATTATTCCATAACTGCTAGAACCTCTCATTAGGTATTGCATGCATATATTTATATAAATATATATAGTATAAGATTGATTAATAAATAATAGTATCATATAAACAGAAGAAGGTGCAAAGTTAATATTTTCTTTATTCACTTGAAGTGGATAGTATTTACAATGCATCAAAGGTATGGGATCTCTCTGTATTCCTACTGGCAAATCTTCATTTATTTACATATTTCCCAACTAACGGCCAATTTCATCAACAATTCTTGAGCAAAAAATCTACCTCCATGTTTACAAGCGAACTTGTCATATATATGTATATGTTTAATATTTATTTAATTTGTTATATATCTATATATCAAAAAGTCTTTATTTGGTGGATTATGGCGTTCGAATTATGAACGTAGCCAGATTGGCTGCGAAAATATTTAAAACACTTTTGTGTACACAGACTAATTTATTTAGCTATTGTTTTTGCAACCAAAAGAACAAATGATCGATATTTGTTTTATAAAGGCTGTAATTGTATGGTTATCAGACTTTCCAGGATGTCCAATAGAGCCAACTGATAGTTACTTTAGACTTGCAGACCCTGCCATATTTTCTCAAATTCTTTCTGCGATTATTGGGGAAGATATCTCAACTAACTTTATTTCCAACACAATTGCAACACATTTACAATCAAAGGCCACCACCAAAAGAGTAACAACGATGCAACATTTACTTTCAAACTTAAACTTTGATGATTTGTTTCTTGAAAAAAATTTAAACTGTATAACTACAGCCTGTGAGCTACTATACCATATTGGCACGCATACTTCCAAATTTGCAAGTTTAGGAATTACATCATTGGGATTTCTTCGAGATTACGACAAGGATGCCATTGATTCTTATTTAGAAAGACTGGACCCCAATTTGATCCTAATTCAAGAGCTAGAGTCTTTAAGGATTCTTCTTGAAGATGAAGCTCCCCTGTTCCAATGTATCGAGCTAGTAAAACATTTGAAAGTATCAATGCAACAAGCTACTCCCAAGACGCAAGACTCAAATGTATCTTCATATATAGAAGAAACTTATATCGAGTCTCTTCTCTGGGAGAACTCTTTATTAGAAGATTTAGTTTATCAAATAATTTCATGATTACAATCCTTTCCACAATTCTATTAGAAATACTACTCATAAATAACGTAATATGCTATTCTGTACATTAAATGATGACAAGTCTATTTAAACCTGGCCAATGCAGGGCCCAAGAGATCCTTTTCTTCAGGAATTCCCTTGAAAGCGCGATGTCTCTTTTGTCTTAATTCCTTTTCCATCTTAAGGTTCTTTTCTATGCGCATCTTTCTCTGATCTATGACATTTTGCTTCTTCTTACGCAAATGACTACGAAGCTTGGAGTTTTGAGCCTTTACATCTGGTCTTATTGTCATTTTTGATTCAGCATCGGCTTCAGTTGGAGTCAATTCGTTGATTTCACCCTGCTTCAATCGTATGCTGCTGGCACGTTTATCAACAGTACCAATAACACTTGGATCCATCGAAATTGTGTCTGGAGAAAGTTTATTAAGAAGAGATCTGACTTCTTGCTCTTGTCTTTGCTTGGCAGATTCATAAGGATTAAGTTCAAGAGCATCATAATTGGCTTCGGCAGATCCAGGAACAATTATTGATGAAACACCCTTTTGATGACCAACACCTAAAATATCTTCAAATGGAACAAATTTATTCTTTTCCACTCTAGATCCAGGGTATTGATGGTTCATATAAGGCAGGGTCTGTTTTGTTTTCGTGACATCTTTCCATATGGTTACATTCGAACTCCAACTAACAGAAAGAAGTCCAGTATCGGAAAAGTCCAAAGAGGTAGCAGGGGCATGAGTATAATAACTATCAATCTCTTGAAACTTTCTCAAATCCCAAATCTTGATTTGTTTATCAGCTGAACTAACTGCCATATATTTCCCTTCTCTATCGATCGCAAGATCTCTAATTGGACCTCTTGAAGATTGTAATTTTGCTAATGGGGTGCTCATGTTTGGGGACCATAAAGACACAGTACCATTACCATGACCTAAATGCATGACAGCATTCCATGGGTTTTGTTTCATTGCTTGAGTTGGGCCCAATTTAGTACGATGTTCACTAATAAGAACCCCAGTGGATACATCATGAAATTTTAACCAACCAGTATTTCCTGCTGTGGCTAAAAGGAAATGATAAGGAAGGAAATCCAACAAAGTTGTGTCTATGTGTTGCTTTAATCTGTGAAGTTCCATACCAGTCTTATCATATATGAAGGTATATTTCTTTTGAGCTACTGCAAAATATTGATCATTATGAAGGGATTTAATGGCATTGACAGTTTCATTTAAGTGCAATTCACAATCAAGATTCCCAGTTCTCCAGTCAATAGAGGCTACATGACCCTTTTTACCAGCCAAGAGAAGTCCTCTACCATTTCTTGAGTAATCAATAGTATATGGGCCAAATTCTTCTAATTTCAAATCAAACTTCTTAGCTCCCATACTCACATCTACAGCCTCTACAATTTCATCTTGTTTGAATTTGAAGGTTTTTTCCATACCTTCAGCTTCCAAGAACCCAGCCTCTTCTTGGAGAAGAAGTTCTGTACCAGCAGCAGATCTGGTGGCTTCTTTATATTGACGATCAATTTTTTTCAATCCAGCATTTAATTTTTTATCTTTGGTATATTTTGCCTTTCTTTGTTGTTTAGCAGTTCCTCTTTCATACTTGGAAATGGTCAGCTGAGATGCTGAAGGAGCACTTGCTGATACAATATGACTCATCTTGTATAGTAGGGTAAATTATTAATCAAGGAAGAGTGAATGATACGAGATGAGATAATACTATAGTTCAAGGTTAGAAGATTTGGAGTTTGAGATGAGGTTTTTCATAGAGATGCGCGAAAAATTATGAATCACGTGAAATGTTCACGTGAAAAACTCAATACAAAATCTAGAGAAATCAAAAATATATGAGATAAGTTCAATTAAGAGTGATGAAGCATTGATCTATTAATTTAGGTATTGACACTATAGATCATGTTGGAGCTAACTTTATATAGATTTTATATAAATATATTAAAAAAGTATTTGATTTGAATAAATCAATAGGCGGATTCGGCTGGATTTGGAATTTTCCTATATACGTGATACTACGACAATTTGGTTATACTAAACCTTTTGTTTTTAAATCATATTCTTTGTACTTAATTGTGAAGTAGAACGAAGTGACCTGCTGTTTCTTTTATTCTTTTAGATGATACTATAATCACGTGACACATGCTTATAAGAGAATCTATTCTATATTGTTACTGCATATATTCCATCACCAGTTGAACATATATACTAATTTGATTAAAGTAATATATAACTAAGTGTTTGTTCCAAATCTTCTTTGTTTTTATTACAAGCAAGGGATATTCCAAGAGAATTCGGCCTCTTGAATTAGAAAATAAGAGTAGTCGGAAAAGAATGTTTAGAACTGCCTTTAAGAGATCCGGAATGAGAACCATTCAATCATCGTTCATTCCTCGTCCACTTTTGATTGGTGGAGGAGTTTTGGCTACTTTGGTTGGAGGACTTTACTGTTTTGATTCACGTTCTGCTATTCACGAATTTGTATTATGTCCTATAATTAGAGCTTGCACAGATGCTGAACAGGGTCATAAATTAGGAATCTTTTGTATGAAGTATGGATTGGTTCCTAAATTATTAGATGATCGTACAAACAACCCAAAGGAGTTAAATGTTAATGTGTGGGGTAAAAAATTGAACAACCCAATTGGTGTTGCTGCCGGTTTAGATAAAGAAGGTGAAGCTATCGACTCACTCTTTGATTTGGGATTTTCTTACGTTGAAATTGGGTCAGTTACTCCTGAACCACAACCAGGTAACCCTCAACCAAGATTTTTCAGATTATCAAGAGATGAAGCCGTTATTAATAGATATGGCTTTAATTCTTCTGGTCACTGGAATGTTGTTGCTAGACTTAAGTTGAGATTAAATAAATTGTTAGGGAAATTCGAAACTTCCAATTCTTCAGTTGAAGAACCTTTTGGAAATTCATTTCAAAATGGTAAACTTTTAGCTGTTAATTTGGGGAAAAATAAGTTTGGTGATGAAGTTGAAGACTATGTTAAGGGGGTCCATAGATTGGGACCATACGCAGACGTGTTGGTCATTAACGTATCCTCTCCAAATACCCCAGGATTAAGAGATTTACAAAATGAACTGAAGTTAACTAATTTATTGACCACTGTTGTTAAGGAAAGAAATGCTTTAGGTACCAATGCTTTAGGCTCTAAGCCGCCTGTTTTAGTTAAAGTTGCACCAGATCTCTCAGAAATAGAAATTGAATCAATTGCTAACTCTGCCAAATCTGCTAAAGTTGATGGTATAATTATTTCCAACACAACCATTCAACGTCCACGCGAACGTCTTTTAACTACTGATGATGAACTTATTTCTCAAACCGGTGGACTTTCTGGTGCTCCATTAAAACCTTTGTCATTGCAAGCACTTCGATACCTTCGTAAATATACCAAGGATTCAGATTTGGTGTTAATTGGATGTGGTGGTATTTCTTCAGGTAAAGATGCTTTAGAATTTGGTAAAGCTGGTGCAACTTTCATTCAATTATATACCGCATTTGCTTACAAGGGACCAGGTTTACCTGCAAAAATTAGAGATGAATTGACACTTGAATTAAGAAAAGAAGGTAAGACTTGGGAACAAATCATTGGCGAAGATGATAAATAGTCAAATTTAGAATGCATCAAATAGACAATGTATGACTTTTTCTCCAAGATTGTAAGCAAAGTGATGGTGTAATTTGTTTTCGAAAGAAATTCCAATGAAGTGCTTCCTCAGAAAAGTTTTACTGTATACTGTTTTAAGACTACTATAGTAGGTCGTCCTCTCTATTTAGTATACGGACTAATTGATTATCATTCACGTATCAATTTACATCTTTATGACTGTGGCTGTACTAAACCTCTGTAGGTTGTTAGCCGCTGTCGTATATGATTGGGTGATTAAGTGGATTTATTTTCTATGGACGAATTGATTCTCCCCACTTTCAATTGAGTACCACAAATAAATATGATCGTCAAAATACAAAATATTTAGGGTATAATCTACGCTCATTGTGAGATATGTGCTGGTGGATTATAGAGTGCAAAACCTTTTCCTATAATGAGATTACCTTTGAAAGATGCATATTCAAGAATATATTTATTCACTATTATGTGTCAAATTAGGGTGGTGGATATCTATATGCATTGCCTGCATTTAAACGTATTGATAAGAACACAAAAATGTATTGACAGCTACGAGTTGTTTATCAATCTAATTAGAGCTCAAGCTTGCTAGGATGCTATAGATTTGATACTTGTTGATATACCAGAAATGTGGCGCATTTAGCTTTGTATCCAGTTGCGAGAAGGAATTAGAGTTTGTACTACGAATTTAGGTAAAATAGGCAATTCACTTTTCTATAAAGTAATAATGTGAAGTGGATTCGATGGAGTATAAACACCCTGTAGATGAAAGAGAAGAGTCACACATTGTACAACACAAGTTACGGAGTACAGGTGTAAGTTCCGTTGATCTTCCGCAATGCGACTTAAAGTCCGTGTATCTTCCGAAATGCGAGGTAAAATCCGTAAATCTTCCTAAATGCGGAAAGTCCGTATATTTTCCAAGGTGCGAAAAGTGTGTATATCTTCCGAAGTACCGTAGTTACAACTAAGAACGAACGCCTATGTGAGATACAATTCAGATGTCATCGGTAGCAAGAAGTGGGTTTAAAGCATCCGTGCACCAAAAAATCGAAAGGTCTTAAACTTTACAGATAGCGCAAATTATTATATTACATACAAGAATGCCACCACACCCATAGTCTTATAAATAGAGAGCCAATTTGCACAAAATAATAAGTGTACAAAATAATACAAAGTATTTTTTTTTATAGATTCCAATATTCAATTAAAAGAAATATTGTATATAAGATGGCCCCTATATTAGTCACTGGTGGTACCGGGTACATTGGTACATTTTCCATAGTCGACCTTCTTGAAAAAGGATATGATGTCCGTACAACTGTGAGAAACCTTGGTAGAGTTGATGAATTGAAAAAGTCAATCCTCAAACTCACCCCTAAACTTACTAGTGCCCAACTTGAAGATAAGGTTTCTTTCTATAAGGCGGACCTTACTTCTGATGAAGGTTGGAATGAGGCTATCACTGGAGTTGAATATATTCTTCATGTTGCTTCTCCATTCCCAAATTATGAACCAAAGGATCCAAATGAATTGATTGTTCCTGCTAGGGAAGGTGCTCTTAGAGTATTACGTCATGCAAAGAAGCTTGGTGTCAAGCGTGTAGTTCTCACATCTTCTTATGCTGCTATCGGTTATGGACACCCTAATGGGTCTAAGATTTCTGAAAAGGATTGGACGAATGTTGAAAAGATGGGAAGTGCCTATGTCAAATCTAAGACACTTGCTGAAAAGGCTGCTTGGGATTTCATTAACGCTCAAGATCACGACTCTCATGCACTTGAATTGGTGGTTATCAACCCTACTGGTGTTTTTGGTCCAATCGTTCCAGGTTCAACCACTTCTTCCACTTCAACTGAGATAATCACAAAGCTTTTAGCTGGTGAGATGAAATACGGTGCCCCAAAAATCTCATTTGGGTTAATTGATGTTAGAGATGTGGCTAGAATACATGTTGAAGCTATAAAGAGTGAAAAGGCAAAGGGTGAAAGATTCATCTTGGTTGCTCCTCCAAAGGAAGTTACTTTACTTCAAATGGCTACCATTTTGAGACAAGGTCTTAAATCTAATGATCCACGTATCAACGACCTTCCAACGTGGGAACTCCCTACTTGGTTACTTCGCATTTTGCTGTACGTAGTTCCAGATATCAAGGCAATTATTGGCTTCATTGGTGTCTCCAACTATTACACCAGTGAAAAGGCTCAAAAGGTGTTCAATTGGACCCCAATTCCTCCAGAAAAAATTATTTTGGATACTGTTGCAAGTCTTGATGCTGAATCGAAGAAATAAATGTTAATAAACTATTGACTGCTAGTTGTGTTCCGAGATCGTTTGATTCTCCTGGATTTTTTTTTAGTTTGTTTATTAATTGAATGTGTGTTTAAATGACTGCAATTGCTGCTACCGCTACTGCTGCTGCCAGGGCAGCGATGGGTATTACGCCATGTCATCAGTTGAACTGGCAGCTCCATTTGTAGATTTAGTACTTGAACTGGTTTTTGTGGCATTAGACCTTCCTTAAGTTCCATCCCCCGTGGTAGTGGCTGCTGAAACATCATTGACTGCAAGTCTAGATCTATACCATGAAAAAGATTCAAGAGAAGTTACATTCATATTGTCAGATTCAATAACGGAAGCATAATCACAAACTGGTATAACTTTGAAGTTGTAATGCAACTTGTGTGAATTGTTTAAGAGCACTCGGTTGCTGTAAGATATAATTGTACGTTATCATTGACATTGGACTCGACGTCATCAACTAAACGAGAAATGAATGCAGCATCAGAAGAATCCATGGCAGAAATTGATGATTAAGTTGAGAACCAAGAGAAGAGGTTTTGGAAGTTTGTCATTATATGTTTATCCAGAAAGATCAAAGATGGAATTCGTATCTTCATATATAGGTACCTGGAGAGATGTTGACGATGGCAATAAAAAACAACCTTATATGCCTTGTCATAATCTTGGCACATTACCAAAGACATGGCTAAATGTGTTAGTGGCGCAGATCATAAAGAGTTATCACTCAGATGTATGATTCAAGCTGGCCTAGACAATCTATGTCCAACAATTAACCATTTTACATATGGGCCCAGGGTATCTAATCAGCTTAGCTTCATATATTAAAACCCATTAATCCTATATGGTCATATATTCTAAGTTTGAATTAGATTGGAATCTAGACACCGACTTACAGATAATGTGCAATCGGACATGGGAGAAGGAAATATTTTTTATTGTTTAATCACAATTATTCGAAGGGTTGCAAAATTGCCAAGATTGCAGCTACATCATCTACATAAGAATGATTACTGGTATATTATTACTTCATACTTCTTATACTATTCACAAGTTTGTCTTGAAATAGCTGTCACTGCTACTGGTGGTGTCGGATTTAAACAAGTGGACTTGTTGAAGGCATTATTGGATTCAGGTAAATCAAGCGCAGGATTTCTGTCAAAGAAATTACTGAAGGTGAATTTTGTGAGTTTCAATTGGCATAACTGGGAAATCTCCCACACGAGGGATCCCAACCAAGTATTCATTTCTGACATCATCTACACCGTTAGCCCAAGAACCCAAACCAGTATCAGATTGAGATTGGTTAGTGTGTGTCACCAGCTACGAAAAATTCATGATATTTGGTGACCAAACGGCTTCAATGGCAAACTTGTCTCTCTTAAGTTCTTGTCAGTTTTCTTTTCTTTTTAGCTCTGTCTGACACACACGTTCTTGCCACGATTTCAAACTTGGAATTGTTATATACATCCTGCATTCACATGCGTCATGATCAACTGTATTGTGTATGATATTCGTGTAATTTTCAGGTACACATGTGTATACCGGCAATACACATTGATTTACGCGTTTGTGCATGTCGCGAATGTGCGGCACTCTGCATGATGGAATCTCTACAATCAGCAATATCATAAACTTCACTACTGAAATAAAGAATAAAAGACAATTTCTTATTAGCTCATCATTTGAAGTTAAGTGGGAAGCATTAGTAGTATATCTACTATTATGCTTTTTAAATACATTGTATAAGATATTGATAAAGTCATATTCACTACACAATCTAGAGGATTATCTCATGTGTTGCTATCTATATTTGGCATTAAATGCAATTTGATGTTGATCCCCTTTCTCTCTTTTTTCTAACGTTATGATGTGATATTGAGCTAATACTAAAACAATAGTAAGATGTTTGTACCCGTGATTGATGCAAAAACCTTCAGAGTAATTTCACATGTGATTGAAAGAATATTTACAATTCTTGGACCAAATTCAAGCACCGCTACTGAAAAGCTATATTCGTAATAGTATTGTGCCATTATTGTTGATAATAACCACAAACTTGAATGATCAACAATCGAGCATCGTCTAAGCTCATGAAATTTATTTGAAATTGAAAGAAGTATTGCCCAGCTAATTCCTCTGCGATCAGGGGAAAAAAATATCGCATAATCGATCATCTGGTTGCATATTTTACGAATAAAATAAACTACGTGTACAAAATAATGACAAAGGAAGAAAAAACGGATACCAACCATCAAGTCGAAAACATGGTCAGATCTGGATAGTAACTGGATAGCATAAGGGTTTAACTATCCCAGGAATATGTCTTTCAATTCTTCCAATCATTTACACGAATTAAAAGACAAACCGTTTAAGGAACTAGCCATCCGCTTCGTGTATTCTGTGTGAAACGAAATTGAACTCCATGTGGGTGCGGCTTTAGGAGATATCATAATAGTTTCAGAGAAAGAGCTTCGTACCCCTCTGGAAGTGTTTGAATAAATATGAAGATTCTGGCACTGTAATAACTTCAAAGATATTTCAATCAAATCAAAATGCGAGTAATGTATCACCATATTCAGTTACTTTCTCTTTGTGGAATAATTTACACAAGTAAAGTATATGCAAATGATTCAATTACTTCAGCAAGCCCTCATGGGGCTGAAGGCGAAGCTCACGAGCTCGGGGAAGTATATAACTTCCGCGATGGGGTTGATACTGTCGCTCAAGGATCCGGTCTTAGAAGTGAAAACTTGGCACAACCAGGTTCTGCATCCGATACCTCATCGGAGCTTTTCACTGAATCTGTTGCAGCCAGCAGTTATTTTGAAGTCTATCCAACTTCAATAGACAGTGATGTTTCTACAGCGAGACGCAAAAGGAATTTTGGTGACACTGCATCCTCAGGTGGCGCATGCTCTCCTTCAGAGCAAGGGTCCAATGGATCGGTTGGATTCACGGCAAAGTTTTATGAATATATATATGATGACGATGACTCCCTGAGAAGCGTGTCTTGGTATCAAGGGGGATATAAAACTACCTTAATTGCAAGCACAAACGATGTTACTGATATCAACTTTGATATCGATCACTCTAGTGACCCAAGCGATATCATGGATGTATACGGTAAATCGGTTAGTCAAAATTTCGCTCTTGAACTTACTGGATATTTTTTGGCCACGGAGAGTGGGGCACATAATCTCCTGATAGTAGTTGATGACGGTGGAATGGTCACATTTGGCAATGGTGAAGCTTTTGAATGCTGCAATACAAAAAAGGCAAATAACGATGGTGGGTTTAGTGTTATGGCACATTGGCCAACAATGACACCTACTAATGCGACATACAGTCTTTCTCAAGGTTACTACTACCCAATAAAAATCGTCTACAATAATATGGGTGGACCAGCTTTCTTGAAGTTCTTTATGACGACACCTAGCGGAAAAATCATTGAAGATTTCACAAGTGTATATTCATTCCCTAACAAGCCAGAAGCTTGCCCTGTGGAAATAGTTACCACAACAATAGCTTGGGGAGAAGCAACAACTCTGACACTGACAATCACAGGTACTGAGACTCCAAGAACTGATACTATCGAAGTCTTAACCCCTGCACATGAAATTACTATAACAACCCCATGGAGTGAGACGTATACCTCGACACGGACAATAACCCCCACCAACTCGGATGGAACTACAACCATTGAAGTGTACACCCCTCCTCATGTAACAACCATGACAACCCCATGGAGTGAGACTTACACCTCGACACGGACAATAACCCCCACCAACTCGGATGGAACTACAACCATTGAAGTGTACACCCCTCCTCATGTAACAACCATGACAACCCCATGGAGTGAGACTTACACCTCGACACAGACAATAACCCCCACCGACTCGGATGGAACTACAACCATTGAAGTATACACCCCTCCTCATGTAACAACCATGACAACCCCATGGAGTGAGACTTACACCTCGACACAGACAATAACCCCCACCAACTCGGATGGAACTACAACCATTGAAGTGTACACCCCTCCTCATGTAACAACCATGACAACCCCATGGAGTGAGACTTACACCTCGACACAGACAATAACCCCCACCGACTCGGATGGAACTACAACCATTGAAGTGTACACCCCTCCTCATGTAACAACCATGACAACCCCATGGAGTGAGACTTATACCTCGACACAGACAATAACCCCCACCGACTCGGAAGGAACTACAACCATTGAAGTGTACACCCCCCATTACACGACTGAAATTTATAGCACAAGTAGCACAATCATCGTTTCAAGTCATTCTTGGTCTAATTGTACTACCTCAACGGATTCTAGCATTTCAAGCATGGAACCAACGATTTCTCTGCTCACAGAAAAGATTACTCTGACGGAAGTACTCACGGTTACATCCTGTACTGAATCATCTTCATCGTATACACCCGTGAGTCCATCAGAAACAAATTGTCATACAACTATTGAAACTTTCATTTCCACAATCACTAAAACAGTAACTATTCCGTGCACCGACATATTTACAACTACTCGTACTATGTGCTCTAAATGCGAAAGTAATCAAATTGTTGAAACGGTCACAATGACTCGTGCAACAATAGTCACAACTCTTTCCACAGCCACTTGCACAACAACTCGTACGTTGTATTCCAACCTGGCAGATAATTCAGATGCTGCAACGAAGCCTAGTTCTATAACGACGACTGCAATAATTCCACTCACCAAAATCAAGCCAACGCATACGGATGCCTCATACTCGTCTGGTAATACTACGAATTTTGAAACTGTATCTTATACTCTTACTGGACCCGAGTTTGATAGTACTGAAACAATGGAAACTGTGACTTTGAAGTCTTCATCTACTGTTTCCAGTTACAGTAATCGTATTAATCCAATTTCACCTACAATTGCTAGCCAATCCGAGGACAAAGCCACATCACTCAATATTTCAATTTTCTCCACATTGATTTCCATCTTTTTATGGTTATTGGTTTAACTGGGGCTGATGGATATTTGGATTATCTTCTTTTGTTTGACTCTTTCACTTTCTATACATGGAAAATATTATTTTGTGTGTATAAATATTAATTCAATATAATTTGAATGGTTTCTAAATGAAATGTAGCAATATGCTTTAAATTTCTCTTGTGTGACAATAGTAAATATACGCCCACAATGTATCACTCGCGATTTACTCAAATAATACACACGCATATATATATACACTCATTAGGTCATTTCAAAACACTTCTCCTGACCATAATGTGCATGTACGTATTACAAATAACTCTACAAGAGAGAGTTCTTGTCTACATAACATTCTTCCTTATGTCCTAACTCTTAGCAAGTTATTATTCTGCTAAATCTACCCCCTTCAATGTAGCTTTCTAAACGTAAACATCACTATATCTATAAAGCAATTGATAAAATCAGAAGCCATATAAAATTTTGCGACGACATCAATATGTGATGGTGATTAAATATGAAGTAAAAGCTTAAAGTTTACAATATAGTATTGCATGGATAGGTCACGTGTTGTAGTTACATATATATTTCTAAATTTAAAAACTCCGGTATGTAGAGACGCGATATTGATATCTTGAAATCAAAACAAAACGGAAAAGTAAATTGTTAGCCAAAATACGTAGTAAGTGGACTTAGCATTCTACCATAGGATACGGAAAAAGGAAATGTCTAGACCATCAACTCCAAAAAGAAGACGGCTGAACCGATCATCTGGGGTATTCAATATCCTCTCACAGTCACCCAAAGTACATTATCCGGTTGATCCAGATAATCTCCCATTGGAAACACAAACAAATACCGAGAGATTTGAGAAATTATCAGATTCAATGGAAGAATTAGAAGCTAATATGAGTGGATTACAACAGATTCATGAGTCTTTATCTAGTGAATTTAACGAGTCGTTTGCGAGCTTCTTGTATGGATTGCTGATGACCATGTGGTGTGTTCATTTTCCTGGCAGACCTTCGAGAGATCAATGGGAAAAGGTGCGACTTATTGAAGGGTTAGATGATCGAATTGATGAACTTCGAAGGAAGTTGAAAGTCAGCAAGGACGAGAATGATCGTTTAAGAAAGAAATTGACCGCGTCCACGGTGAGCCAACCACTGGCAACATCAGGGAACCCTTCAATACTAAACACTCGTCAATTAACGACACACATAGGATCTCAAACAAATGCGAGTTCTTCAGTACCCAAAAGTAGGAAATTACCTTCATCTGAGGATGATACAAACCTAACGAACGAATCATTTGTGGCGAACCCACTGACTCGAGTTTCGAAAATTCCGGTGAGAAGAGGAGGAATGACAGCAGATAACAACAAAAGTACAAGAATAGGTGGCCCAAATCTTAACCAACCGCCAAGATATATGCGGGGGCTTTTTGAAGGTACTAACAATACAACGAGAAATTCAAGAAGAATAGGATCAGGGCCAGGATCATTAAGAACTAGAGATGACGGGTCTCAAAGAAGGCAGAGACCACCATTTAGGTAGAAATATAATAGTCCAACTAAGAACAAATATAGAATAAGTCGGGCACATTCAGTTTAATAGGTAAGATATGATTAATACAAATGGGTTCTAATATTATAAATACAACTTTTATTACTTGTTCGAGGTTGTTAATAGAGATAGAATTTATGTATGCCAGCCACCACTTGCACGATATGGAATACGTTAACAGTATCTAGACATATATTCCGATACATTGTAGCATACCTTTGGCAATCATTCTTTGATAATGGTATGAATTTGTGTATGGTGAAAACCAGGCAGCTAACTGCGACTACCATCACTGTCTAAGAATTAATTATATATTGGTGTATAACCAAATATTACAATGTATGAAGCGAATTTCTTAAATAGCTAGTTATGTATACTACAGCTATCCTTCAATAAGTCTCAACATCAACTCATAACGAACTTGTTGCACAGACTTTTGTTGCTGACTGGCAATAATTAATAGATAATCTTTATTTTCCATGGAATTAAGGATGGTCTGTCGTCTCATTTGTTCTTGATATGGAATAGTATGGTTGATACCTGACATTGTTTAAAGGACTTTGTGAGGAGAATAATTAACTTAACAATACAAGTCATATACAATAAGGAAAGGGCGTGCATACCACTTTAATATATGGATTTTTTGCGATTTTGTGTCACTATGATCCGAGCAGGAAATAGACACCGACCAGAGTCATTGAAAGTATAAATGGATAACCTAGAGGAAACTATACGGTAGATAATTATTTACAAATGTCTGGTACTATTGATGCTGATGAGAAGAGACGTTTGCTCCGTGAGAGACGTCAAGCTAAAATGTCAAGTAAGGCATCTGACAGACTCAACACAATTTTGACTTCGGGATCTTCTGTCAAGGAAACTGTTACTTCTCCATTAGAGAAGAGAACAACGCTGCCTAGCCCTGTTCCAGAGAACTTTTCCAGTGCTACTAGTTCAGACGTAAAAATACCATTGCCTACGAACTCTGTAGGACATCACGATGATCCCGAGGATGTGGACATATCTGTGACTAAGACTGTGGGAACACCTTCTCAATTAAATGGTGCTGCTTCCAATGCAAATGCCCCAGAGGACATCGATGAGATGCTCAATCGATTATTTGGTGCTGGAGCCGCAGCTGGCAATGCAAATGGAGCTGGAAGTGCCGGCGAACCATTCCCTGCATTCGGCGCAGGGGCAACAGGTGGAGAAGACCCATTCAAGATGATGATGAACATGATGGGTGGAGGGGAAGGTTTTGGCGCCAATGGTGGAGTACCTGGGGCAATGGGAGACGAGTCTGCTGGATTTCCTGCCGCAGACCCATTCGCCGCTTACAATCTCCAACAACATCGTCAAACGAAATACTATTTCCTTATTATTCGATATGTTACCACATTTGTGAATTTCTTTTACCACTACTACCATCAATCTTCAGCATTGCAATCTGCATCACACTCTTATGTGCGTGGAATTAATTCACAAACTACGGGATTCTTTACTTGGTTTGCTACTTTGGAAGTACTCATTTTGGCCAGTTATTACGTAATCCTGGCACAACGCAAGTACATTGTCAATAATGGTCATTTTATCTTGAAGGGGTTGTCAATGCTTCTGATGGTACTTCCACAAGCCCAAAGGTACCAGCCATTGGTGGTTCAAGCCTTGGGATATTGGGATATTTTGGGAATGTTCATTGGAGACGTAGCTTTGGTAATCATTCTCTTTGGTTTCCTCTCCTGTTTAGGGTAGACATATCTAATATATAAGGACAATAAGAATGGTTCACTCGTAATGAGAGACAACTTTTTTTGAATGTTTTACATTTCACTGCCATATATCCTAATGTTTAATAGTATGTATCAAATATATTTACAAGAATTAAGTTATTTACACCTCAACAAGAATGAATGTGGACTTAAGCAAAAATTCCACACCCGGCACCCGTGAGAACTTCATTGTATAAGATTCAAAGCAGTTCAATGTATGTGTCTTGTTAAGAATATTGTAGTTGTGTGTGTCATGAATCAACCAACGGTATTGATTTATAATTCACCTACCAATTCTTCATATGCTTTCTCTTCGCTTCAATCATCTTTTCCGCTCCCTGAGCATTTCCCTTTTTGAGGATTGAATAAATTAATAAACCTCCACTAAACAACGAAAGCCCAAACCAAGTGACTAAATATTGCACATGATTATTTTTGAAATTTACCTTTGGAATAGTACCAATTGGAACCCCTTCTTTAGCAAATTCAAAGCCTTGATATTCCATAGTAGCATCTTGATGCTCAAAGTCAGACATATATCGGGCATTAGAAGTTCCTGATTCTTCCTTAGAGAAGAGATTAAGCCACTTACCTCCAGTTTTATTTGTTCCTTCGATTTCATTTGACTTTTCCTTACTTCTCCATTCTGGTTTATCAGTTAAGTCATATACTGCCTGACAGTAAACAGGCAAGGAACCACTTTGTTTAGCCATAGCCTCTACATCTGCAATGAAAAACTGTCTTGAACCTTCTTCATGAGAAAATTGGAAATATGATTTTGGAGGCATTACTCTTAACATAGCAATGACTTCAATTTCTCCCTTGGGGCGAGCCAAATGTTGTAAATAACCTCCGGATTCTCTACTTGATGGGATAACCTTCTCCTTCGAAATCCAACCTCTTTCTACCAAAATAGGTTCTCCACCATTCGACCGAATTAAAGGACAAACAACTAAATATCCCATTTCCCCATCTCTAAATCTTGGTCCCAAATACATCTCGTTGTCGTAATCAAAGTGTCCCCTGAGAACAACTTTGCGGTATTCATAATCTCCAATTAAGGAAGGATCGATATCTTTTGGTAATTCACCAGGCTTAAGTGCTATTGCATGTTCACATCTTGCAATGAGCTTAGTCTTCCAATCAAGTCTTTGTACTTGCCAGCAGCCTAACCCAAACGATACAACTGGCATAGCGATCATTAATCCAAGAAAAAACTTTCTAAGCCAGGGACTTCTCTCTTGAATTTCTTTAAGGGCCAAATTGGTAGTTTTAGATTTCATAGGTTTCCAATCAAGCGTGGAAGTTTTGACAGATCTCAGAAATCTGAGAGCTTTGGAACCATGAGCTCCATTTATTGGTAGTCTTAATGATATAGAGTTTATCTTAATCATATTCATCCTTTCTCTGTTCAAATCGAACGGTGATATTGTTAGATATTAATGACGTGAGATAGAAAAAACAGAACACCCATAAATCATATTGAGTGTGTCGTGTACGGGAGAATTTCTGACAGATTGTATTTAGCGCTTTGGGAAGAGAACCCCCTACCAATTGATTTTCTTGGATGGTGTCCTTCCAAGTATTGCGTTTCATATGTATTTATTCATTAGCATACCCATCTATCGATATCCATATCTGATAGAGATTTCTCCAAGTTCTTTGATTCTCATTTTTATTACTTGAGGAAAAAACAAATAGTTTCTCATTTTGATTTTGCAACCATTCCAAAGATGGGAAATATTTTGAATATCCGTCTGTCCATGGGTTATGAAACTCAATATCAAAGGTATATATATCATTGTTTGCAATACACCATATTTAATTGGATTATAGTAGACCGGAACTCACATCTATTGGTTTCCACAGGGTGTTTGGGTGTTTTTGTTTTCAACCATTCTGGCAAATATGCGAAGTTGGTATAAGCCTACATATTTTCGTTCATTACAATGTATTAGTTCTATATAGTCATTAAGCTTCACACACGTTAGTATATAATACTGTGTATTCTACTACTGCAGAGGTTCCATCCACTACAGTGGTAGTCGAGGATGTGCCCGTCGAATAGTAGGAGCCAGTTGGTTGTGTAGTACCGAACACTGGTACTTTAGTTGGAAATGGGGAGAATGAGCTAGATAACCCAGAGCCACTTGCCTTAGAACTGGAAGCAGTAGAGCTACTACTTGATACAGAAACAGCAGAAGATGATGCAATGAATTCATCCAGAGTAGCCGATGAAATCTGAGATGTAGTGGAGCTAATTTCTTCAGAAGTGGTACTAGCTGCATCGGAAGTAGTTTCGGTTGGTTGACTAGCCTCAACCGTGGTTGAACTTGTACCAGATGTGATTGTGGAATCGGCAGTAGTTAAAGTAGTGCTACCAATACTAGAAGTTTCAGGAATATAATCAAAAACAGAGCTAGTTCCAATTGTTGTTGAAGTAGTGAAACTTCCTTGCGAGTCAGTATAAACATAAACGGTTTGATAAACATCAGCAATATATCCCCTTGTAGCAGTCATAGTTACAGTTGGAGTAACAGTAACATCTACTGTTGTAGTCCCTTCAGTGTCATTCTCATCTGCCACAACATTCGAAAGCACCAGTGCTAGAATAAAAAGAAGTTTCCACATTGTATAATCGTCGTCAAGGTATAAAAGGAATGTAAGCAGTAAGTGCGGTTGTGGGAAATGTATCAGAAAGTTCTATCATTCCACATTCCGATTATTTCAATATGTATATATAGTTTACGCTCATTCCATCCATTGTTCCCATTGAATCGCTAGTCGTATCTTAAGCGCTGACACGGTTGCGCGTTTCGCAGCCAACCAGCATTTTCACCTTCCTATCTGGGAGAACTAGAGTCTAACTTGGACTTACCAAACTGTAGCTGGGTGTTGCCAATGCATAGATATGCACCATCACTGCCAATTCCATACATGTTGCAGTCAAACCGGTAGATTGATTCCTGATACATTACATATGACTTGCCAAAAACGTGTAGAAAGTGCTGGTTTCTTTGACCAGCCACTTTTGATTTTGCACCCAAAATGTGCGAAAATAGAACTTTTTCAGACATGAAGCGCAAAAAATATATATTCTCAGCTTTCTAGAAAAAAGGGCTTGTTCTACTACTTGGTGTTGAAGTTATCATACGTGACATTAACGGAAACGGAAGCATTGTTGATTCATATCATTAATCGGAGCCATTTAAATTACTGGTTGTAATTTCTATAATTGGGGTCAGAGCCAGCATCTGTGAAGAGACAAAAAAAAAAACGTTGTGTATAATTGTTACTGCACACATGCATATACGCGGTCAAGTACAATTGCATAGAAGGGGAGTGTATATTTGAATTGATATATAATTGCATAAACCACCCAGTCTGTCCAAGCGGTAAATTTTGTAGAGAATAATTCAAGACCCATCTCGGAGGAGCATGTACTATATATATACATATATACTGCATTAGTAATAGGGAAGAAAATCTATCCTTTCATAAGCCAAGGTGCTTTCATAGTGATTTGCCAAGACGACGACAACAATTGTTTCCCACTAGTTTAATTTACCCTTGCAAGCATCTGTAATACCAAGAAACTTAGACGATGTAATATCTCTCACATATATAACGTTTGATGTACTATAGCTTACCATATTCTTTAGTCATGACAATTCAAATTAATAGAACCGTCTAGTTTGGTTGTAAATAGTAAAAGGAAGGCAACCGAAATTTTCATACTTGATAATTGATTAGGCACTGTAATTACTTCGTCACTGATAAATGAATTACGCGTAGACGAATTAATTGAAGCCAGCACCAAATAATTCTTAACTAAGTCGAACTTGTTCTCTTCTTTATTTCTTCGATCTCTGGAGCAAGTCTTGGGAATTCTTGAGCTAGTTTAACCCCCAATACATCTCTAAGTTTTTCAAATCCTTTCATTCTTCCCTTCAATCGAGCATTACTTTTAGCAGTCAGTTCAACAAATTCACGAGTATAGATATCTGGATTTCTTCCATCCTCAATGTAGCTAACAACATCTATTGGGATTGGATATTGTTCTGTTGATTTATCTGTTTCTAATTCACCCAATTGTCCAATTAATTGATTGGTTTTATGAATAAGGGCTGTATGTGATTGGTTTGTACCTTGGTTGTCATGAACTAAGACTCCAAGCTCTATGAAATTTTCAATGAGACCTTGAAGCTTCTCCACTGTAACGCTCAAATTATCGCTAGAAGGAATACTGGCTGTAGTCATAACTTCTGGGTGTGGGTAGATGAATAATGAACTTTTTATGATAAAGTAATATAGTATTGTAATTAATTTATCCAGTATGTGCGAAAATGGTGTATTTAAAAAATTTTGTTGATTATCAGAACTTTTCTTTTTTTTTTGTTGCTAAAGGGCTGCTAAATATAAGACCAGATAGCACCATTGGAAAGGATGTCAAAGATAGTCTCCATACAATACAGCCCTCAGAGATGGCGCGAACTCTCACACGATAGACCTGATTTTAATACCACAGGACAATCATTTAATCGAATGACTCCAACTAAAATAGTTACGATTAAATTTGAATCTAGAGCAGCATCAAGAGAATCAAGATCTTCATCCCCAAGAAAGGAGGTAGTTCTGTCGGTCAATTTACAAAAAAAGGAAGATAGCAAGGAGCCTAGTCCTTCGGTTGGTAGCTTCAGTCGTAGTAGCTCACCCAATGTAGAAGATTCAATTCGAGCTATGTCCATGTATCAACAATTTTCATCGGATGGAAATGTAGAAGAGGTTGAACAACAATGGATAAATGACATCACACACGTTGCCAAAAGGCTACATTTTCTCAGGGAATCGTATAGAGTGGTACAAAGTATTCATAGGAAGAAAATTGCCGGTAAGGCAATTGAAGGAGAAGTAAATAATACAGAGGGTGAAGAAGTTGAACGAGAAAGACAATCAGGAAATATTGCAGATTTAAAGGCTACAACTGTTGATGAAGATGAAGATATTGGCCGTAGTGAAATTGCAGAACTTGCAGAAGAAGACGATGATGATATTTTACCGCCATCTAGCCAAGGTATTGTAGACATCGATACAACTGATACGGATACTCCACAATGAACACTTAATTGAAGCATGAAGAAAACAAATACAATATATATGCCATTTCTTTGGAAAAGAAATAGTTGTATAGTGAGAGATTATACCAGAGAGACTGAAGATTCAGACAATCAGGTGATTGATTCTCAATATGAGAAGTGACACCGTTATAATCTTAGACGGTACATACAAGTATCTTAGATTTATGTGAGCTTCACTTGACGTGAAAGGAGTAGTCAAACAATAATAAAATCATTCGAAAGCACAGGTCTAGTGTGTTACGACATTAAACAATGCAAGACAAAAAGAAGACGGCTACTAATTAATTAAAGAACTATAATACAATACATGATAATGACAGACTATAATTAACGGACATATAGATACATTGTTAAAGGAAGTGAATTATCCAGTTGTCGATTGAAAAACCTCAAGTAGTTCTTATATTCCAGTATAAAACTTCTTTTTTCTTTTTTATTAAATTTGGGATTTCAAAGAAATGTATATATGTCGTATGTATATTAACATTAGAAAATGAAAGAGAAACTGCACATATCCGAAACTTTACTTAATATAATGTGGTCATAAACATCTAGTACTTAGATTTAACTGAGAGGTTCCATTATCCTGTATATACATAAAGAAAACAAATATAACAACTTTAATAGTTAAAATGACACAAAAGGCCGACCTTTAATTTTATTATCCTTTAAACTCAAATTGACCGCTTAGAGATATATCAAAAGGAATCAAATATCAATTCCTTGAATAAACATAATGAAAGCTGTTGTATCTACCGGGAAGGCGTACTTCTGTACAATCTTGTCGTCATTTGCCGTTGTCATTTTGTCCTTTATTGGCTATCTTTTCAACATCGGCCATGAATCCATGATGGGTTCAACTGAAGACCCTGAGGATGGTAAGGCTGTTGCCAAGACCGTCTTTGGTGCTGTATTTGTATATTTGGCATTCCTTGTGTTTTGCGGTTTGCAAGTCGTATTGATTCAAAGACAGAACCGAATCCAGTTGAGCTGATCGACCATCCCTGTTCCGGATATCAGGGAGCTCTTTTCAATTCCTAAAATGACTTATATAGACATCACTACTTAATAGTAAGAATAAAGAAATTATAGTACTGATATGTAATATTCTAGATATGATCCTAAATACTTAATTGATTTTATGTTGTGGTCACAAGAGGAATTGTAGAAAGAATAAATACAACTAAAAAGTGTAAAAATGTCCCGCTGGTCGATTGAATATACGGAACTATTTGCTTTCTCTATATCTATCACTGAACTGCACTTACTGAGCTATTTAGAGTAAGATTCCTAATTGTTAGCATACAGTTGAGTAGTTATAAATCTCTTGCGTGTTACGATATAATATATATATATATATATGGATCGTTCTTAACCTTTATAATTTGGCAACAGAATCCTTACCATCTCTCCAAGTGACATTACCACTCCATTCACAGATATCAAATACCAATTGTCTAAGTTCTGATATTTCTTCCTTTGTGGCTCCAACATTGAGCGCTCCACGTAAATGTCCCTTCAATTGAGGATTAACGTCTTGCGGTATTAAACTGGCAACAATACACATTGAAGTTTCTCGTGCTGACAAAATGTCAGTGAAACTTAACAATGGTGCATAAGCGTGATGATAAGCATAATACCAGAGATCTGGGTATGCATTAAGCATTTGTTTCCGGATTCTCATATTTACCTTGGTAGAATAAATGGTGTTCCAAAATTCTGATCCGCGATGTAAATCCTTTTGAATTTGCTTTGTATCAATAGAGTCACGATTAATTGGTCCATCTATAGTGTCAGTAGTGGAGGACCCTGCTCCTTCATATGTCACATCTTCAAATCTAGTACCAGAGACATCTTCTTGTACAATCTCTGAAGAGGGAACTTGACCTGGATGAACTTGATATGGTCTAACTGGGGTACTACTTGGCAATAAAGTGGTTGGAGTCACTGTTTTTAAAATCATCAATGCATTGATGGCCTTTGGTAATCCTGCCAAAGCTATACTTTTGAGAACAACTTCACGCACTTTCGCAGCGACCAGTAATTGAGCATCATGTATATCTTCACCTTTAGAATATTTGAAGCCAAGTGGCAACTTATCATAATATGTATGAGGGAGAAGAATGTCCGGCAAATTTACCCCCACAGCGTTCATATCAATATATTTGCTGGCCAGTGATTCTGAATCGGCAGCAAGCTTTACTAGATATTGATCAGTTAAAAGTCTCTTGTCCTTTGCTGCACAATTCTCTAAAAGTTGTTGCCTAAGAGCAAAATGTAAAACTTTGGGAATTTCTTGTGGTTGATTGACTACCAGTAGACATGCACATGCTACAAGGTACCAAGTATCATGCAAATTTGGGTACTTGTATGCTAAACGCACAAGTCTTTCTGCATTTAAAACTGTCATTCTTCTTCAGTGGGAAATGATTCTTAACTCTAAATATATTTGATTCTATGAAGGAGTTTTGATGACGTTGTTTTTTTGTTATTTACCTTCAAAAAATCGTGGAATACCCTCACGGAATACTATATACTCTTCAATTTCACGCTACTAATTTCTAAGTATTCAACCTCAATTGAACTTTAGTTATGTTAAGTTGATGAACAAATGGAAAGAAAGGTTTTGTAATCAGCTAATAATTAAACAACCGCTTAAATGCGCATTCAAAATTTTCCTTTCTTTTTCCTGCAAAATCCGGGGTTAAATTATTGCTATATGCACTTCGTTTTATTGTCGTGGGGTAGTAGTTCATTCCGTGAGGCTATGGTCAATATAAGGGATCGAAATCAATCTTCATAAGCAAGAGTCTGGCTCTTGATATATTGATTTTAATATATTAGTAATTCTTATCCGTGGATATTTTACTATAGTGGGCCCATAGACATAGAAACATGATTTGCGGGGAGTCGGAATTTACGGACTCTCCGGCATTGTACGGCGAAAATATGGAAAAACTCTGATACCGAGTAAACTTTAAAAAAGTCCTATTGTTAGGGCTTGATATTCTTCAGTAGAGATTTTGTTTTCGAGTAAAATTGAAATTATATACGGAATATTTACACTCTTGACACATCAGTTTCACAATGTCTTTCTGTCTATTTGTATTTCTATTTATATCCCCTAGTACTTCCTTTGGATAGTAACCACTAACCCATTTTAAATATTTCAAGATCCATCCAATCATTCGTCTCTATTCCTAGATTGCATTGCTCTATTCATCTCAACTTCACTTTTTATTCCCGACCTTATCCATCTTTTTGCTATTTGATCTTGTAGCCTTTTCCCATTCAAAATAGTCCATGGACCTAGAGCCCAGAAGTGATGTTGTCCAAACCGAGGGGCTTCATCTTTATTAGTGATATCCTCGTTCTCTATACCACCTTGTGTCGAGAAATATTTATTTTGCGCATCCTCCCATGGTCTCATTGTTGAGTCTATAGGTACCCAAGTATTAGACTTCCACTGTTTACTACCAGTCATTTCTTTAATTCTCAGTACTGCTCTCTTGTAGGCAAATTTTTCGTCTTCTCCTGTGAAAGCAGTCGTATTCAGAAAATTACGAATCTTCGGAGTAGCTGATGAGGACTCGTCAAATTCTCGTGTATATTCTATAGCATTTGGCCTATATGGGCTTTCCATATCCATTACTGTTTTGGCAAACATTTCTTCTGCTTGTACTTGTAACGTAGATTCGGTTGATGCAACACTGTCCTCAGTGGAATCGGGGAAAAACAATTCATCGACAGGTACCTCGGTACGAATATAGAATTGACATTTAGATTCATAAATCGCATCAAGTAATGTAATAAATCTTCGAGCTTCATTCTTCATTTTCATGGTCATAATAGGTACATTGTCCAATATAATAACCTTGTACTGTGACGCCAAAGTTATGTAGTCAGAAGACGAATATAATCCTTGACATATGTACAGAAAATCAAGGAGACATATAGTGTCATTGCAATAACTTTTCGGAATTATGGTCGTTCGACCATATACTTTCAATGAGAAGCTATTATACTGATCAGGCAAACCATTTTTCTCCTCTAATGCATTTTTGATTAAATTAGCCCATTCTTTTCCATGATTCGAATTATTTGATTTCACAATAATGTTTGCCTCTCTATTTTCATTACTATCATTCATGAGAGTTCGGTAATCTATATCACTTCTCATATCTACGATGTTGCATCTTGTCCCCAATATTCCAACAAATCCTGTGAATGACTTCCTATTAAATTCATTGGAATAGAGATCTTGTGGAAGTTTATTAGATGTTGCAACTAAAACTCCCCCCAATTTAAAATAATAAGTTAATAATACTTTGACTACGTTTGCTGAGGCAACATCCGGGAGCATAAATTCATCCAACATAAGAACTGTACTTTTTTGGATCATTTTTTGCGCAACTTCAAAGAGAACGAACTCATTTTCAATTGTCAAATGTCTCGATTTCATCCCATTATAAACTATGGAAGTAAACCGGCGTTCTTGTTGAATTTGGTACATTTGATTATATACCCATAGAATGAAATTATTATAGTGCCATCTCATTTTCGATTCATGGGGCAATGCCTGAGCAAACATATCCATCAACATTGATTTCCCACATCCAACTTCTCCATTCAAAAGCAAACCCTGGGGCGATGATATAAGATATGCTTCATCTTCGTCTGAAAGTATACGTATCAATTCTTTCTTCTCCAGATCTGGATCCGATCGAAATAAATTACTTATCAAACTAAGTTTAGTGACAAGACTCTTATTTTTATGTGCAAGTTCTTCTGCTCGTCTTATTTCTAATTTTCGTAATATTATGCTAACCTTGATACTCAAATCGCTTGGAGGCCTGTAGTCTATCAATCTAAAGTAGAGCTTTTGAAATTCTTTCATGACTCGAAGCTGATATTCGTCCTTTGTAAGAATTCCTTGTGCTACATAATTCTGATATAATACAAACGGATCAGTAATTGTAGGCGAGAAATCATCCTTTGACCCGATGGAATTTAAGGGGAGTCTCCCATCGACTCCATGTGGCCCAGATCCATTAGCTCCAGTGTATACAGATCGAACATTTAATAGTGCTCTAGTATTAAATCGAATCATATTTAGGAATCAAAACCCAAGCATAAAGCATCTAGTTGAGATTATCTACTGGATATTTCCCCACGAATACTGTACATGGTTAGAACAGTGCGCACACATTATCGTACAAAGTGGCATTTACTTTTAGGTATTCCTTGAGATTCAAATTTGAATTGCAGTACAGAATGAATCTCTGTATAAAAATTCATACTTCATAATCTTATAAATATCACTAGTAATCTGTCTATTACAATCTCACTTATCCTACTCAATTTTTCTTTGTATTTATTTTTTGGCTCTACAAATATTTCTCTTGAATTATAATCTTTACAACATTGTTGCTCTCTATTATATCTATGCTACTTTCTGAATATTCATTCGTGCAAATTTCCTATCTAAGGAATTCGATAATCCATTCATTTCTTCATCTGATCTCCCATAAAGTTCAAACCACCACTTTATATCTGTGAAATTGAAGAATAAAACATTATCCTGGTCATTAGTCTTATACTGTTGATTAGTAAATTCTTGAGTTCTGGAATTGAAATAATCCCAAACGGAAACAGTATTATCTCTAAGTTTATAAACTTCAACCATCTCTCTTTCTGAGTCACACAAAAAGGTTCCATATTGACATGAATAATGATGATAAAACAACCGTTTCAAGAAGCGACTATTAAATTGAAAGCTTTCAGGATGTTGTCTTAATAACTGATAGACACAATCCAAAAATTGATGAAAAATAGGCGATTTCTCGTTGGAAGATCCAAGTGAGAGCTTTTCATCAAAATCAGGGGATGAAGCAGCAGCAGCTGCTGCTGTATTTTTTATATGAGTTGCTGCACGTTGGAAAAAGGAAGCTACTTTAGAACTAGGACTATTAGTATCATCGTAGGTTCCACCATTTGAAGGGTTAGTTATGTCTATATTTCCGGTAAGAGGGCCACTTGAGTTTATCAATTGATCCTCTTCATTAGTATAGGTTTCTCTTTCTCTATCTCTTTCTCTGTTAATCTTCGCTCCAATACAACCTCCATGATCTCCTCTAATCGAAAATTTGAATCCAAAACTAACCCATTCCTTCTCTATCAAGACCATGAACCCTTCTATAGTACGATAATATGGGTCTAAACAAAGCTGCAGTAATGCTGATACTTGAGAAGTTCGGTCCCATCCATCAGAACAGTGAATTAATATATTGGTATTGTTTAAATGAACTGATTTGGTAATTCGATCAACTGATTGAAGTATAATGGAGAGTCGGTGTAGCCATTGAGTTTTTGTCAATGATTGTTGAAGCATTGGTCCTGTATTGGAATTCTTATCTAATTCGTTTAAGATCGCGTTTAACTTATTTAACGAATCCCTCATAACATGAATATTATCAATGTTACAAAATATTTTATCAACATGTTGAGGAGATGAATCCTGATTGGAATCATCCACTGATTTCCCACGATAATTATCTATGTTCTCAGTACCTGCCCCTAAAGCATGCTGAGCCATTGCGTTGGTCAATGGTCTTAAATCTACTATAAGATTCCTTTGAGGTTGTTCCAGAAACGTTTCTATTTCTGCTCTCTCACTATTGCCTTCATCAGAGAAATTTTCAAACTTATTATCGACTGATCCTCTTTCTCTTTGCTGTGTTTCAAAAATTTCACCGATAAGTTTCTCATCCTGTAGCGACCTATTCTGAAGTTTTAAACCAACTAATGGTTGAGCACATCTTGCAATCACATTACCGTTCTTTCCAAACCTATGTCTATAAACAATTGCTGGTATTCTTTGTTTCAGTCTAAATTTCCCCGCATGTTTCAATACATTATCACTAATTGAAGAAGGAACAATTAAAACCCTTGGATATGAAGGACAAAAGGAATAATTTTCATTAATATTCGTGACTCTCCACCAATCAGAAATCAATCCCAATCGCTGATATTCTTTAGTAGCATCGTATATATTCCATCCATTAGTAGATAAATTTTGTTCTAATACATTTTTCCTGTAAGAATATGCATAAAAAAGTTGAATATCCGCTTTTGCTCTTGGAAGAGTAACCAACGTACTAAGCTTTTGAAATACCTCAGTACAAATTTTGTCATTAACAAAATCGAATGAATAATATGTAAAATCCTTACATTGAATTCTGATGTGTGACGAGGTGTAGTGATCGATTTGTCGAAGATTTGGCGATGATTGAGTAAGTGGGGATGACGTTCTAGGTGATGCGTTTCCTGGTAAAATTTCCAGACTTCCTAATTCTTGAGTAGCATCAGCTGGAGTTGGAGCTGGAACTGGACTACTTGAAAGACTTGTTGCAGGACGTACTGAAGAAGTTCTCGAAGATGTTATATTTTCACTTCCATTGATACTCATTTGTCCGTTCTGTCCATTAAGACCTTCACGACTCAACCTTCCGTTAACAAGATCATTTCCTTTTCCAACCCAAGATGACCCTCTGGCCTTGGAAATTCTTTCTATTATCGGATAACATATCCAAATCTCTCTTGGTGTTGCCGTACCACTACCTGTCCCGGCTATCTTCTGTATAAAGCTGAAAACAAGATGCTTTGGGGTCAATATCAAAGTGCCAGTAATATGATGCCCTCTTCTTGTTAGAGTGACTCCTTCCACGGTGGAAACCGTCTGTCCATCCATGGTATGGAAGCTTCTGAATTATAAATCAATGTCGATGATCACTATTCGTATCGTTGGTAATTTGTTTTTTCTTCCCTTAGATATGAAACACAGTTAGGGTGACGTCACGTGATGATAGGGAATTTGAGGGGTTGAGTGTATAGCAATTATGAATCGTGTGTACTGTTGTTTTAACATTAGATACAAGCTTCATTGATCTGAAGATTATGTTTGAAGAAGAAATTATTAATATAAAATAAATATTCAAAGGTTGTGTCACTCATTTTATACGTAGTATTTAAATTCCATCTTTTTTTTTGTGTATTTTTTATCCTTCTATTTTGCAGCCAACCTGGTTCAAGAACATAGTATCCAATGTCTTCATAGTCTAAGATTCTACAAATTACGTATACAGATAACTTCTTCTATTTTACAAATCATCAAATCTTCTAATACCATGTTCATGTTTTTGCATGTTTCTTATTTGTTTGGTTGACAATTGTTTGGCTTTCGGTTTTTTAGCAGCAGGTTCTTCAGCTTCTACTTCTGGGGTCTCTTTCTTAGCCGTGTTGAAATCGATGAGCTTCTTCTTTGGCTTTGGTTTAGATGCTTCGATTGGGAGGATTGTTCTCTTTCTACGAACAATTTGCACTGGTGCAGCATCTTCCACCTCTTCCAGTTTCGTGTCTGACATATCTGAACCTTCATTATCCGAGTTTTCAATGTCATTATCTTCCGCTTGTTCCTTCAGATTAACTTCATTCTCATCATCACTGGAGAAATCTGAAGGTCCAAGATCACTATCAGATGAACCCATCAGGTCTCCGTCCAATTCATTGTCACTATCACTTTCACCTTCTAAATCGGAGTCATCGCTATCAATTTCCGCATCGGATTTATCATCTCCTTCCCCATTAGACCATATCTTTAAGCTATCCATACCAGCACTAATCAATCTATATTCATAATCGATTTCCAATGCACCAACTTCATCGGCAGCTCCATGCTTCCCACTGACAGTTGAATGGACTCTAGTTTCTGCAACTTTACCACGTTTATAATTTATTCTGTGCAACAAACCTTCACTGTCACCACACCACACACTAGCGGCCATTTCATCATCGTCCATATTCATCGTTGGAATAATGGCATCGATGGAAGCACTTTGATTAACCTTAATTCTACTCAATTGGTCCATTAATCTGTTCTTTGAGTTCTTCCAGATTGTAACAATACCTTCACCGTGTGATACCAAAACAGTATCATTCTTTCCTTCGTTCATTTGATCAGTAGCAAAACACATAGATAAAAGTTCATCTTCTTGATCATCCGATTGAGTAATTATCCCCTTACGAATATCAATATGAGAAAGTGTAGTGGATCCAAGAGTCAAGTAATGATAGGCAGATACTTCTGGCATGGCGAGGATATAATTAATAGCATCATCATGGGCCTTCTCTACTTTAAACTTTAATTTATCATTCAAATCTTTACTGTTATAAACTAAAACATGTCCGTTTTCAGTTCCTGCAAGCAAAAATGGATGACTGGTGGAATGGCAAATCTTAGTAACAGCATCTTTTGGTTCAGAAAAATCTTCAACAACAGAGGTTTTAGATAACACTTTACCTGTTTCAGTTGATGCTTTTTTAATGATATGATCTGTCCCCACAGTGAAAATGCTTTCTCCTACACTACTTTCAAGTGGATCAAAAAGAACAGATCTACAAGATCCTTTATGACGTTTCGTTTTCCAAAGATTAACAACATTAGCGTTATTTATATTGGAATTGTCTTCAATGACAGTCCACCATTTCTTTTTAGTTTGTGAAACTGACTTGTTTACTGCAGCAATTTTCCCCTTTTTGAATGCCTCTCTTTCTAAAGTAGAAATCTCTTCTCTTTTCGCAGTTTGGGCCTCTTCTAAAGCTTCAGAATCATACTTTGTACAGTACACATGACCTGTAGCTAACCCAGAAAGTAATATAGGTTTGGTTGGATGAGCAGCCATAGAAAATAATGGATCCGAATAATTGATTTCTAAAATTGGAGATACAGTGGATTCAAGTACTCTTGCCGCGTTGGCAGAGTTCGACTTTCTCTTCCCCATCTTCTTTATGTATTTATATCTTGTATATGATAGTACCTATTATCCTATTTATCGAGAGCTCATCAAAATTTTGAGATGAGCATATCAATGAGATTAACGTGCAGGATGATTTACCTTAGTTAATAGCTGGACTTCTAAATATTATTGGAGATATAGGTCTACACCAAAATGTATGTTGGTGAGCTCTAAATGTATGTTGGTGTTCTCTTTTTTTTCGTAGATTGTGTTGCACCCACCACGACTCCGGGTAGGTTTCTCTTTAACCCTGTCAAATGCTCGTTTAGTAGGTGCTTTCAAAAAAAAAAAAAAAAAAGAGAAAAGGCTGATAATGTTTTACAATTCTACTATTAGCCAACCTTGGTTGAATCTTCTTGAGCCGGGTTTAAAGGCCATATAATTTGGAAATTAATAGAAATTATATCTATAGACAAATTGAAATAAAGTATAAATTTTAACAATACTCTCACATCCAATGGAATGGGTGCAAAAAAGAGAATGCTGGTAAATTCCAGCGACATACAATTACATACATTCCACAAGTATTATTTTGCATCTATCCGTGGCTTAATTTGAAACAAATATATCACACTATTTTACGTATGGGAGCCTTACAAGTTGTGAATGACTTATCACTTCATCTTCAATAAAAAAATCTCTTTAATAAATAAATTACTCATTTTCTCTTAATATAATCTTTCCAAACACCTCTTGAAACTTTGGCAAGCTCGTGTCTTCCATCCCATAAGGGGTAAATGGCGACTGCAATAAGAGCAAAGTATAACCAAATCACACTCACTGTCGTCCATCCAATGAAAAATGGTCGGCTCCATATCCAATCTCTATAGAGGGGCAATGGCCAAACAACCCATAACAAAAGTGTAGTGAAGATTGTCGATCCATAAGCTAACTTTATGTAAAGGCTAATTGTTCTTTCATTTTCAAGGGATTGCTTCTCATCTTGATTTTGAATCTCAACATCACTTAAAGATTCATTTCGAACCAATGTTTTCTCTTTGTCGGGAAGAGCATCCTTACTTCCGACAGTCAGACCAACTTCTGATACTGTTACTGATTCTTCTTCTTCGGCAATGATGATTTGTGCTTCTTTAAATTTTTCCCAATCAAATTTTTTTGGATTAATGGTGAGAGAAATAATCACCGTAAGAATTCCTGGTAACACTATCGTTGTAAGTCCACCATAAAGGCAAGGCAACTGTTGGCCAGTACTCTTAATAGTAACTTCTCCATAGAATTTATATGCTGTTGCAACCCATACAGAAATTCCAGCAATCATTCCTACAATTGGTGAGACAAATGCAGCTAACGTAGTCTGGCGATCCCACGTAATTGATAAGATCAAGGGGACAACCCCTGGACAAATAACCATGGAGTAGAAATAACTCATCCAAGTAAGATCCACACCAACAAAATGGAGCATGACTGAAAATCCAGCTGCAAAAAGTCCGAATACGACAACTCCGATATGAGAGACCCTGATTAAATGATGATTTTTGGCTTCAGGCTTGATATACTTCTTATATATATCAAACGAAATGATACTACTAACAGATATCATTTGTGCACTTACGGTCGAGGTAACGGCAAGATAAAGAATAAGAAGTAAAGATCCGAGGGCTTTATCACCTAATAATGCTTTCAAAACATACGGTAAACCAAACCCACTATTGACTTCATAGTCAGTCATTTTACGCGGGTAAGTTGGAAAGGATGGACTTCCCTCCAAAATAACATTAGCAAGCCCAACAATTGTTCCCAAAGACCACACGTTGGCAAAAATCATCACAGCTGCAAGAATATATGCTGGAACTGACGCCTTCAAATCAGCACTAAAACTTTTCTGCCAAAATGAACTATCCATAACGGTCAACCCTGTATCACCAATTGCATGAATAATAGCAAAAAATATGGCACCTTGGGATTTCCCAGTTAAATGAGATCCTTGATAGTTCCCCTCGATGTATCTGTCACCATCATGTTTAATGGCTAAATCATAGAGACCTCCAATACCACCAATCTGGTCACTTGTCAAAATTGAAGTGACAATATAACATAACACTATTATAAGAATAAATGAATGCACAAAATCGGTCAAGAAAGTTGACTTTAACCCACCAACTGTGGTATATAATAGTACACCAAATGGAATTAACATTGTGCTTGCAACAATATTTAAGTTTCCTGAAATTACAGAAATAGCACCAGAAGCACCCAAAATCATTGCAGAACATGATAGTAAATTGTTTACCAAACATAAGAACATGTAGAGTAAATGGCATGCTTTTCCATACCTCAATTCGATAATTTCAAGGCATGTATGACTTGCAGGGATTTTTTTCTTTGCTTCAATCCCAAGTACAGCCATAACACAGATTTGAACAGTGAGCCCAGCTCCAAACCAAAAAGCTGCCATTACACCATAGAGGTAAACCATAGTAACACACCATAAGAATTCAGTTGCCCAACTCCAAGACAGATAAACCGCACTAGTGGTTAATCCAGTTCCAACTGTTCGATTTGCAACCATGAACATTTCAGTTGAGTTCGCATTTTCATGTAAATATTTAGTCATAAGCTTTGTGGCAATTACTATACCAATGGCAAAGAATGCACCAACACCTACAAGAATACCGTATCCAGCTCCTTGTCCTAATAATTGTACCTCTTCGACTGCCATGATATATTCGTTGTGTATACGACACAAAATGAGATGTATTTCGTAAATAGCATGGAGTATTTATATAGATTTCCAGAAATATGCAAGATATAGTTTTAAGTCTAAAGATAGTAATGTCGGGTACCAACATAACCGAAGGATTAACAGTGGTCCGAACTATACCAAAAAGAAGGTTAGGTTTTCATGTACGTCATTGTAAATTATGCAATTGCGAAATTTTGATTAGCGATAAGATCGCCACACTGCGAAAATTAGCGAAAAAGCTGCGAAACGGTCGCGCAAAGATAGGTACAAAATTGATTTTTTGCAATCCCCTTAAAGTGTGGATACTAATATAACCATTCTAACATTCGCAAACTGCAACATACTCATAGAAGGATTCAGATTTTCTAAACTAGACTATCATACTTGAAACTGTTCTGAAAATAGTTGTTCACAAGGAATGTTTCTGTCACAGTTTATGTAGTTTGGTACTACAACATGCGAGTGCTGGATATTACGAAGAGTTCTTTAACTTATGTGGAAGCAATGCCTTTTAAATTCCCACTTTATAAGAAAGGGTCCTAAGGTGTGTGACATTTCGTTCCCAAAATTTTGACACGGTTTCGGGTCGGGTCGGTTATGAGACAATGATATTTGCAATTATTCAAAATGAAATTCCGACAATGGTTATAAACCTTGTACGCGCGCCACAACTTAATCAAAAATGAATATACCATTTTTCATTTTGTAAACCTAATTTAACTACCTTAAGAGTTATATAGCTACTACTACTATTATTGTGGCTATACAAAGTTAAGATTCCCCGCATCCATTCCACAAAAGAGTGAGTTTCCTACACAATAATAGTAATAATCAAGTAAGACTCGATGATGATGCAAACCACTCGAGAAATTATTTCTAAAAAATGGTTGCAACTCTGTTCCCCACTATTTTTACTTTTTATGGAATAAAATCTTCTTGAACATCGAAACAGAATACATAAGGGGAATCAGGATGGATTAAAGTATAAAGTAACATTTTATTGCCTCTGTAGGAGTAAGTCTATTGTAATAACTGCTGATAACCTTCAAACCTAGGCTTGAGAGTGTGCAAACGGATAATCTTCCAATCTTTGAACATATCTAATTTTTGGATACTATCAAGATATTCATGAATAAGTAATTTGGTACATTTCTTTTTTATTCGACAAAGTAACGGCCCATATTTTTATCTGCTAATGCCTGCCCTTGTTTCTATGTGGGCAGGTAATTACATCTCTTATAAAATATGATCACGTGCTTGCTCCATAATTTATTTTTCGCTTCTTTTTTTTTTTCAATAATTACACGTCGACGTGGCACAAAACCTTTTTCGAACACGAGTATTGAACTTTTTTACACCCACCGATAAAACTAGTTCTAATATTTTTCATTCCTTTTTCTTTTCTCGGACTAGCTTAACTTCTTACTGAATTACACCGTCACTTGATTGCGCCGGTTGGATATCATATATACCCTTAGAAGAGTTGAAATAAGCTGGAACACCAAAAGAAGTGACTCAAAAACATTTCACATAACCTTTAAATCAAGTTTACTTGTGAATCTAATTTACTTTTTTTCTAATCAATCGTTACCTTTTTTTCCATTCTAAAAACGACCATGTTGACTCCTGCTGAGATCATTGCTGCTAGATATTCAGCAGAACCGGAAGATGTTTCCCCAATTGCAATTGAACCAGTTGTAGAAGAAACTACTCAAAAATCACAATCGCTGAATCAATCTTCAAGAAAGATTTCTGATGAATCAGCTTTCCCAGCATTGGGTGGTGGATCTACCATCTCTAGTACTCCTAGCTGGGGACCTGGCTCGTCTGGAAATGGACAAACTTCTAATACTACTAGTTCTGGATCAGGTTCAAACTCTAGTGGATTCAGTCATACTTTAGGAAATGGTGCTAAGACTTCTTCCCCATCCTCAAGTAGATCTAATTCTAACTCTGGTATGAAATTTTCAACAATTCAAGATGCATTTTCTCTTTCTGTTGAAGATCAACTCCAAGTTACTCGTCCTGAGTTCATTAAGCTTTTAACGTCAATTAAGACCTCGACCAAGACTAATATTGAATGTACCACTTCTCAACATACTAAAAAGAGAACATTTTTGATTACTGGTAAACCGGAAGATGTTAGATTAGCCAAAAGGTTGGTAGTTAAGAAATTGACTCGTCCAGTTAAGATAACATTCTTGATTCCTGCCAATGTCAGATCAAAGGTTATTGGTGCTCAAGGTAGAGTTTTGAAACCAATTGTAAAGGAAAATGATGTCAATGTTGATATTGGTGAAGTTTCTGAACGTGAAGAAACTCCAGAAAGCAATGAAAACTCTGAAGATATCGTAGATGAAGATAATGATGATTCAGAGGAGATGGTTCAAATCACCATATCTGGTGATGTTGAAGGTTGCAAGCATGCAAAGGCTCAAATTCTTGCCATTGTGAAGGAAGAAACCAAAAATTTGACTACTAGAGTTCCAATTTCCGATTTTGTTAAACCATTTGCAACCTCTTCTTTGAATTCTATTGTTTCTGATTATCCTAATCTTGACATTATTATTCCTGATTACAAGTCTAATGCTTCATCAATCATTATTTCCGGTGCTAGAGAAGAAGTTTTGGAATCCAAGAAGCTTATCTTGAAGAAACTTTCTGATGTGGAAGCTTCCCTTTCAGTCGTTGAAGTTCCAATTCCAAAATTAAAGCATCAATTCCTTCCAATTGATGAAATCTTAGAAAACTTCAATGTTTTGATTAAATTATCTCAAACTAATGACGATGCCCCAGTCCAATTCATTGGTCCTAAGGGTAAGATTGGAGCTGCTCAAGAACAAGCAAGAAAGACTACATCTCAATACAAGGTTGAAGTATTGGAAATGTCAAAGGCCCACAGAGGTAACATTGCTCATGTTAAATCTGTTGCTGCTTTCTTGACTTCTGAAGGTACATTCCGTCGTATTGGTAAGGAACACAATGTCGTTGTTAATGCCCCAACCAAGAAACATCTTGAAAGCGAAGAAGCTCTGATTCCTATTGAAATTGTTGTTAAATCGGACGATGCTGATTCTGCTAAGCTTGTTAGAAAGAGTATTGTTTCTGTTGTCAATAAAATTAGTCCTGATTCTACAAGAATCATTGATGATATTGAAGAATTCTTAATTCCACGAGTACCATCAGCTATTGAATCTGTTTCTAAGGAAAACAAAGTTAAATTTGTTATCTTGGGTAATAAGGTTACTCTTTTCCAAGACGAAGGCATTGAAGGTAACGATGAAAGCGATGACTTTGATGACTTTTCTGACGATTCGATTGCTTCATTTGATGCTGTGAACAAGGCACTCGATTCTCTTAGAGAATTAGGAAAGACTTTGGACAGTAAGATCATCAAGCTCACCAGTGAAGAATCTGACCTTATTTTGGGTTCCAACAGAACCACTCTCAAGGTTATTTTGAGTCACGTTGAACCTGATTCTGTTATCGTCAAGGAATCTGAAGATAAAATTGTGCTTCACGGTACTAAGGCCGAAGTTTTGGCAGTTGAAAAGGAAATTAGAACTGCTTTAGCAGACTTCAAGGAATTCGGATCTGAATATTCAACTTCAATTGGCTTCCCTACTTTCATTTTATCAAGATTTATTGGTAGAAATGGTTCTAACTTAAATGCTTTACAGAAAGAATTTGGAGTTAAGATTGATGTTGAAAGCAAAGCTGGTGAAACTAATGCCGCTGAAGATAAAACTAGTAAGACTCCAATTCTGGTTATTGGTACTAAATCTAATGTTGAATCTTGTCAAGAAAAGATTGTGGACTTTGCTAAGAGATGGGCTGATGAAACCTTGGTTAGACTTCGTATCGAAGAGCAATATCACCGTAAGATTATTGGTGCCAACGGTATCTACATCAACAGATTGCAAGATAAGTACCATGTTAAGATTAGATTCCCAGCTGTTAACGGTGAACCTTCGAAGTTTGCTGACGCTCCAAAGAGCAAGGACGAAGTGACTATCAAGGGACCTTCTCGTGGTGTTGCTAAGGCTGAAGAAGAATTGAAAGAATTATACCAATTTGAAAAGGAAAATGGGTTCCAACAAACTATTAAGATTCCATCAAAGGCTATTTCGAGAGTTATTGGTAGAGCAGGTGAAACTATTAAAGATATTTCTGACGGTACTGGTGTGGAATACAAGTTTGATCGTGAAGGAGATGAAGTAGCCTTGGGTTACGTTGAACTCTTATTGACTGGTTCTAGAGCTGCATTGAAGAATGCTGTTGAAAAGATTAATGAAATCGTTCAAGAAGCTGAAAACTTCGTTGAACAAACCATTTCCATTGATAGAAAGCACCACCGTCATTTAATTGGCCCAGGTGGATCTGTTATGAGAGAAATTATCTCCAAGGCTGGCGGTGATGACGTTCAAAGAAACAAGTATAACCGTTTGTTGACTATCCCAGATGAAAAGTCTGGATCTGATGATATCCAATTAAGGGGTGATAAGTCCATCGTTGACAAGATTGTAGAACAAATACAAGCTATTGTTGCTCGTCGCGAGGCTTCTGTTATTGAGGAATATGATTTGGTCAAAGAAAAGCATCGTTTGATAATTGGTCCAGGTGGATCTATTCGTCAAGGACTTGTAGAAAAATATGGAGTTTCCATTGATGTTCCTAAATCCGGTTCTGAGTCTACGATTGTTAAATTAGAAGGTCTTCCTGAAGACGTTTCTAAGTTGAGGGTTGAATTGGATGAATTGACTAAAGATGACTGGAATGTTGAAATCGAAATCCCAGAAAAGTATCATCCATTAGTTTCAGAAAGAGGTGTCGTCTTCAATGTTTTGAAGTCCCAATATAATGTTGAAGTCCAACATGGTCCTACAAATGCAAGAGCATCAAAGTTATCTAAATCTAAGATTCCTACAATCCCAGAGGAAGCTCAAGCTGAAGGTAACAAATTTACTATTGTAAATGGTGTCGAACTTCCTGAAGGATCAAAGATTATCTTTTGGAGATTAAAGGGTACTGAAGCAGACACTGCCAAGGCCAAAAAGTATATTGAATCTCGTCTAAAGATTGCCGAAGCTGCTACTGCCACTGGTTGGTTCTACTTCCAAGACCCATCTGTTTTGCCAAAGATAATTGGTCCAAGAGGGTCCAAGTTAAATCAAATCAGAAAGAACTCTGGATGTTTCATTACCGCTCCAAGACAAGGAGAACAAAGTGAAAATGTCTTGTACTTGGTTGGTAGTGAAGATGGATTGGCTATTGCTAAAAAAGAAATTGAGCTGATTGTCAAAAAATAATTAAAGGGAATACAAAAGAGATTTTATTGTTTATAGTTTATAGTTCCTTAATAGAAAATTTGTTGGATAAAATTGAGTACCATGATTGAAGATAATCAGGTAATACATTCAGGTATGGTACTGACGAACCTAGTAGAAAATAATAAGGTATTTTTTAGACCTTCAAATATGGTTCAATTAAGCTTTTTGGGAAGAGGTAATATCCGAAAAGGTACACATTCTGAGATTCGGTCGTGCACCTCGGAACTGATCTTATGGGGTATCTTTCAATAGAAGTTTAATTGTGGTGGCTCGTCTTAAATTCTTGGTTGCAAGTTCGAAGCATTGTATCTACGGCAAGCGCTTAAAAAATTTTCTTAGGAGACGATGAGTACTACGGCATAACCCGAACATTTAGAGAAACATAACTTGACATCATGATCATCATCCCGCTTTCGGGATAGGAAAAAATAAAGCAGACGCCTGTACAGGAGACGAAAGCGATTTTGCAACTCTCCTCTTCCCATGGCACCCAATGACACCCATTGCACTTGATATCATCTGCCCAAAATTATTATGTAAGGAGAGTTCAACTACTTGTCATTTGACCCCTCTCTAGATTAATGCCGAGGGCATTAATTTTTCTTGATCTACAATGACCTTGTAGCCACAATTATTTGTGCCTCAAGCTTCTAAGAGATACTTGAAATTTTTACTAAGGCATTCTAATTTACCACAGTTACATAAAATAAGACTGTAAATAACACATTCTCTTATGCATCCATATTAGTAGTTATTGGAACAGCCGTCTCTAAATGCCCAATTGATTTTAAACGAGGAATCATTTAATAGGCTAGGTATATGGAAAAACTTTCGGTCACGTGCGATTTCGAAAAAAACCCTGGCTTAGCAAGATTAGAAAAAAAATACATGCATCAAAGAAAAAAAAACTTCTATGCTTATCCTCGGAAGTAAGAGTTAAAAAAAAATAATGTAAAATGTACATGAAAAAAAGAAACAATTGGATGTGAGATGACCTCAAATGAACTTAACTAGAAAAGGCCAATACTTGTGTAGAGATTCAAAGTAGACCCCTTCAACTTGTGAACACATGAGTGTTATCTGATATAGCTGCAACATTCATGATTCGTATATTCAACCAATAAGAAGCTTATGTGGCGTTTTGTTTCGCCGTGTCTCTGCCCAAGAGGGATGCTCTCCCTGAAAATATCATGCATAAAGTAACGGCGTTTTTGAATTCCGGTCACTATGCAGCAGTTCCGACCATTTTGCATTTGGTTCCAATATATTGAAAATCGGCGAAGAGCAGGAAACTATAAAGACCTCACAACTTGCTCCGTCTAACAATTATAGTATCAATATACACTTAAAAATATCCTTAATACTTTAATATCCTCAATTAATTTTAAAATGGGTATCAAGGACTTCTACAAGTCCGACAAATCCAATGGTGCTGTCACACCAGAGGTTGACAACTTCTCTCTTGGTTCTGAACAAGAAGCTGCTGTTGTTGAAGTTGATCAAAATAAGAAAGAAATTGGCTTTATTTCTGCGACTTCTTTATGTCTTAACAGAATGCTTGGTGCTGGTGTTTTCTCTACCGGTTCCACCATTTTTGCTCTTTCTGGGTCTGTTGGAACATCTCTTCTTATGTGGGCCGTCGGTTCATTAATCGCCTTTACTGGTCTTTATACTTATATTGAATTTGGTTCTGCCATTCCAAGAAATGGTGGTGAAAAGAATTATTTGGAATACGTTTTCAAAAAGCCTAAGTTTTTAATTACTGCCATGTATGCATCTTATGTATTCTTCCTCGGTTGGGCTGCTGGTAACTCTATTGTCGTTGGTGAATATCTTTTGAATGCTGCTGGTAAAGAAGTTAACCAATGGAACTCAAGAGGAATTGGTATTGCTGTCATTACTTTTGCCTTTTTAATTAATGGTGTTCATGTAAAAGCTGGTTTATTTTTAGGTAACATTTTGGGTCTTTTCAAGATTGTTATTGTTTTATTTATTAGTGTAACTGGATGGGTTGCCCTCGGTGGTGGTATCAAGGTTAACGATTTCCAATCAACTGGTAACTTTAGACATGCCTTTGAAGGTGAAAGTATAACGTTATTTGGTCGTATGTCGGTTATTCCAACGTTAACTATGCCCTTGGTGAAGTTAAGAACCCTCAAAAGGTTTTGAAATATGCAGCTCCAACTGCATTTTTTGCCCTTGTGGTTATTTACATGTTTGTTAACATTGCCTATTTTGCAGTTGTTCCAAAGGAAGAAATCGCATCTTCTGGAAGAATTTTGGCTGCTTCCTTTTTCCGTTACGCCTTTGGTAAGAAGGCTGAAACTGCTTCATCAGTGTTTGTTGCCTTGTCTGCTTTGGGTAATGTGTGTTCTGTCATCTTCTCCCAAGGTAGAATTATTCAATCTTTAGGTAGAGAAGGTACTTTGCCATTTTCTCGTTTCTTTGCCACTCAAAAGCCATTCAATTCTCCATTTGTTGGTTTGTTTCAACATTGGATTGTTTGTATTGTTACCATTGTTGCCCCACCTCCAGGTGACGCTTATAACTTTGTTATGAACTTGATTTCCTACCCATTGAATGTTGTCAACACTCTTGTTGCTGCTGGTCTTTTGTGGCTCCATTATCAAAACTACAGAGGAGTAAGAGAATGGAACCCACCTATCAGGGCTTCTGTTCCTGTGATTTTCTTTTTCTTCTTGTCATCTCTTTATTTGATTGTTGCTCCATATATTCCACCGACCCATGGCCAAACTGTTTATGAGCATTTACCATATTGGATCCACCCAGTTGTTACTTGGGGTATTTTTGGTGTAGGTTTACTCTACTGGATCATGTGGGTTAAGGTATTGCCTGCTATTGGTGGTTACAAACTTGTTGCAAAGGAAGTTCTTGGTGATGATGGTTTCTGGAGAAATAAGATTTACAAGATTTCAAACGAAGAAGCTAGTCAATTCACTAGTGATATTGAACCTCCAATTGCTACTAATGAGAAAGAATCCCTTTAGCTAGTCTAATTGGGACTTGAACCTTACACAGATTGTAAATTTGTATATTAGTGACATTTAATTTAATTTAATAATAATAATAATAATAATAATTTTGGTGCTAAGTATGGTTGCAAATTCTATCAATTCTGAGATTCAAGGGCAAATTAGTCGAAAACAGTATAAAAAGGACTACCACCAATTTTCTTATATATCTCGACTTTAATTCACCTTGTGCAATATATTGTTCTACCCTGAGTCTGTAATCTCTACATCCTCTAAAATTAACTCGCAAGTGACATTGACGTCACCTCTAGTTCAATACTACCTTAAAATAAACATCTTTACAAGGGCCCTAGTCTTAGATCAATGATCGTATCTCTTTGTGAAGTCTTGCAGATTCTCGCATTAGTAATGGTTTTTTTGTTTTTTTGGATCTTTATTTTCAGATTCACGTATATAGTTTATATTTCTCTCTAAATTTTGGAAATCTATTAAAAATGACTTTCTTATCCGTCATTGAACAGGTGGACAACTTTCCATATGTACTCTCTGAAGAATATTATTTTCTTGTGGCTAATGATATCAATTCCACTGTTCTAGGATATCTTTCTCCTGAGATTGCACAATTATTTTCATTTGAACAAGATTTCGAAGTTGACCATGTCAAGAAAACAGTTCAAATATCTTCAACTTTAGACACGTTTGAAAAGAGAAATGAATGTTTTGCAAAAGTGGCCTCCTCGTGGAGATCCAAACCACAATTCCTTGAAAATTTACATAAAGGTTGGAGAAATGAACTTTTTTGTGTTTATAATCCAACTAGTGTCCCATACCTTTTAGTGGAAAGATCATTTTCTGTGCTATTGGGAGTTCCAACTTATGGAGTTCATATCATGGGATATATTCCATCAAACAAGTCTAATAATGGGAAGCTAAAACTTTGGATTCCACGTCGTTCGTCAACAAAGCCAACTTATCCGGGGAAATTAGATAATACAGTAGCGGGTGGTTTAGGTTATCCTTATGGATTGTTTGACACAGTTATTAAGGAATGTGCTGAAGAAGCTGGGTTGGATGAAGAATATGTCCGCTCCCATGTCAAATCTCTGGGTGTTGTTCTGTATATGTATAAGCCCAACGAAAATGATTTGATTGTTCAACCAGAAATTGAATATACTTATGATTTGATTTTTGACAATGAAACGGATGTGGTACCTCACCCAGTAGATGGAGAAGCAGAATCATTCACATTGATGGATATTGATGAAGTACTTGAAAGAATACAAAATAACGAATTTAAACCGAACTGTGCTCTAATTACTATTGACTTTTTAATTAGACATGGATATATTACACCTGAAGATGACGAGAATTATTTGGAAATAGTTTCAAGATGTCATAGAAGAATCCCATTCCCAACAAAGTAAATAGTATATGACATAATATAATATAGATATATGAAATAACTCATATTCATATGGAATATAATTCCATACTTGGTTCTATTGAATAGTCATCCCCTTACTTACCATGACCATCGCTCTTCCAAGTTGCTTACAACCTTACAATAATTGTACTATACTATTTTTGTATGTTATTTGTTATATATATACATGACACCATTCATCATACACCCCTTTATATCTTATGTCTAGCATCCTTGGCAACGTGCATTGGAGACCAGATACCTCTTACAGACTCATTAATAGACAAAACCTTATGGTTCCACTTGAATAATTCGTTACCACTAGCTTGGGATAATTCATTAATCTTCTTCAAAACAAGACTTGAATCCATGTTCTTGACTTCAAGGTCCTTGACCGCATCGTTGTTATAGTGGAATTCAACAGATGGGTGACCAGATCTCTTTACGACTTCAAATAAGATGGATGGTTTCTTAGCAGCCAACTGGTTTATTTGTCCATCTTTGAGAAGTTCCCGTACTCCCTTTGAAGATCCACCCCAGTTGCAGTAGTTAATTTTTATTCTGTGACATGGAACAACAAATGCGCCTATACCATTACGGGCAATAGAAACTTTTGAAATGGCTTTAACTGGCATTATGTAGGGTTATATAAAGCTTTGAATAAAGTATTTGAAAAGGTCCTATTGCTTTACTTACACTTTTTTTTTCTCATTTCTATTTTGATGTGTTGAGAAAAATTTGAAAAATATGTCACAAACTCAATCATTGTAAAAATTGTTACCCCAAGGCTATTTTAAAGTATAATGAATTGGGAGTTATTTAATTCTAACACAAGAGTAATATTCAAAAAAGTTCTAACGTCAATTTTAGATAGTTTATATGTTTTATACCTTACTTTCTGTTTAACTTGCTTGTTTTTTTTCCCTTAAAAAAAAAACACATTTACTTCTAAAGTCTACACTGAAATATAGAAATGTTTATATTCATAAAGTCCTTAACATGTTGTTAAATAGCCTATTTCAAAACCTTACCGTCAGCAATTTCTCTGTTTTCACCGTTGTAAACAACTGGTTTGTCCCAAGCCAACATGTTGTCAACGAATTCACGGGTTTCTGGGGTGTCTTCCAACTTCTTGAAAGAGTAAGATTCCCAATCTGGAGCAACATCGAAAGCTGGTTCGTGTTCTTGACCTCTAACGAGGAAGAAACCGGTGATACCGTTGTTGTTGTTTTCACCGAAAACAACCATACAACCGAACATGTACTTAACGGAAGCAGACAAACGGTTGAAGAAACCACCAACCAAGTTGTTGGACATGAAAGTCATGGTTAATTCATCGTTGTACTTGTAGTCAACCTTCCAAAGAGACCATTCAGATGGGTCGTACATGTTCTTCCAGAACCATGGAATAGCAGTTTCTCTGGTTTCTTCGTTAGAGTATACTCTCTTCCACTCGTCAAGAGCTTGCTTTGGCTTACCAAGAGCTTCCAATGGATGCTTTGGCTTTGGAGCTGGAGCTGGTTCAGCTTCTTCAGCAGCCTTTGGAGCAGCTTCCTTCTTTGGAGCGGCTTCCTTCTTTGGAGCAGCCTTCTTTTCCTTCTTTGGAGGAACGAATTCAACTGGAGTGTCTCTGAACTTGTATTCACCAATGATAGCGTGCAAGATTGGGTGAGCAATCAAAGTCTTGAACCATCTGGTAACGTTAGGGTGAGCAGCTCTCCATTCCTTACCGAAAAGGAAGTCGAAACATCTAACGAAAAGAGAAGCAGCGTAAACATCAGCAAGGGTAAGTCTTTCACCAACAAGGAAGGTGAAGTTAAGAAGACGTTCTTCGAAAATAGCAACAACGGTTTCAAGAGCCTTAAGAGCATCATCAACAGCTCTCTTGTTGTATGGAGCATCACCGTTAAGAGGCTTGAAAGCAGAGGCACCGTTAGTGATAACTTCAGAGTTGGCAAGAGACATCCACTTAAGAACTTGGGCGTATTCTTGAGCGTTCTTACCAAGAAGCTTAGAAGAAGAGTCACCGAGGTTGACCAAGTAAATAGCAACAGCGATAGATTCGGACAACTTGAAACCCTTTGGACCAATGAAAGCTGGGATCTTGTTCAATGGAAAAGCAGTTTGGTAAGCCTTAGCATCCTTACCTTCAATGGAAACATCCAACTTGAAGTGCTTGGCAATGGCTTCAGCGGCAATACCACGGGCTTGCTTAGTAACGTATAAAGTACCTTGAGACATGATTGATATATAAAATACTTGACTGTATAACAAAAGGGACAATCAGGTTTATTAATTTCAAAAAAAAAATCGCACGAGGGTAACTGGAGAAAAAAAAAATTGAAAAAAATGTCGACGTGAAAAAAAAAAAAAAAAACTTTCGTAATACTAAAGATCCACACTTTTCTTCCGATCTAATTTAGTAATATACACCTGATATAACTAGTAGATTTTGGATATGAATTCAGAAACAGGTAGAATAATATTATTCTAAATAATACAAAATACGATTTTTGTAAGGGTATTAATGCTTTTTCAACCTCAAATTGGTTGTCCTGTATATAGTCGCGGTCTAGCACACAACTATCCTAGATTAATTTTATTGAAAATATTCCGATATAGTGTAATGGCTATCACTCGACACTCTCCATGTCGAAATCCGGGTTCGATTCCCGGTGTCGGAGGTTTTTTTTTCTTAAGCAGCATAATAAATTTTCTTACAAAATTTTCAGAAGGGTCCAAGATATGCAGAGATAACGTCAATTTTCTGTCAATTACTCAATGGATCAATAATATAGATAGTAGTGGTGTCGGATATTATCGGTACCTACTAGTTGCAGAGAATATGACAATTGAACTTCAAGTATTCTTGTAAAAAAAAACCCCCCCTGTAACTCATGATGATGAATTATAGTTTATTGTTGCTTTATCGCACCTAGTTGTTACGGATATTATTTTACTATATATTTTCAAACCTTAAATTCTTCTATTGTTTTATTTGACCCTTATATGGTGTTTATGTATATATCTATATATATATATATATATGTGTGTGTGTGTGTTGGCTTTGTAAGTTGTACAGGAGAAAGAATTCCTTTATTCATATACTGAACATTTCAGATGAGTGTTTGCGGTTGCACGGCGCCAAGCGCCATGCGAAAAGATTTCTTCGCGCCCAAAATCGTATGCTAGCGCGATAATTGTCCATTTATGGACAATTCGGTATTGATTTCCATGTACATCAAGATATATGCTTAGAAACATCAAATATGACGAAGAATGGTTTTAAAGTGACTATTGAAAAGTTTTTTAATATATTTATACCTTTCTTCTTCATCAAGACCTTTCTTTTGAACGCCTATCAGATCTGTTTGAGAAAAAAGAAAAAGAATAACTAAGAATGTCTTACAAAGCTTATCAACAAGTGCTAAACCTTAGTACACCTAAAGCCGCAACTCCCGTAACTAAACTGGAAACCCCAACTAAAAGAAGAACAAAGTCCGGATGTTTAACATGCCGTAAGAGAAAGAAGAAGTGTGATGAAGATGTAGTAGATGGAAAGTGTCAAGGTTGTACAAGAAATTTTTTGGAATGTTGTTGGCCAGAAAAGCCTGTACTGGCAGCAATTTCTACAACTCCATCTCCAAAGATCGAATTCAAAACTCCAAAGGCTCCAAAAACTCCTTTGATTCAAGCTGCTTATCCATCTCCAGAAATGTCACCTGTATTTGAAGGAAAGATTGAACATAACGAAATCCTGAAGTTGGAACTTTCAAAGTCTCATTACAAAGTAACAAAACCAAAAAAGCAGACAAAGCCTTCTACATCACCAAAGACTACATTTGTCATTACATCTTTTGATAAGAGAAATGCATTGGTACATGTGAAATAGATTCGAATATTTTACGTTTATTTGGTTGCGTATTATTTCTACGCTTTTATGGTTATGACGGTCCCGGTTAGGACCCTGGTTTATTTAATTCTAATGACTAATTTGTACAATACTTTTCATTGATATTTTAATGTAGTCGAGCTTGGTGAGGTATATATATATAAAAATAGAAGTGAAGTTGACAAATGCTATACATTTTATTGTGGTGTTGTTAAATGTCCCTTTCTTTATTTTCATTTTTTTGATTTTTTTTGATTTTTTTTTTTGATTCTTCCTTCCTTCTTTCGTTTTCTTGTTGATCGCCTTTTTGCAACACTTGCGGCTACAAGTCGCTATCGGCAGTTGATGCCGAAATTTGTTTTTGACTCATTTGTTTTTTCTCGCGTGACAATCCATTTTCGAACATGCCTAAATATGGGGTATAGATTACACAATATCAAAATAGAAGCTTTAAACTGTTCACAAGCGTTGAAATACGAAAAGGCTTAAAACAGTAACTATAAAGGAGAATCATTGCTACTTCAAGAAAAGTGATATTGTATATATATATATGATGAAGCAGAAGATAGTGTAAAAAAAAAAAAAGAAAGAAAAAATATTTGGATAAGATATAGCGTATGGGTACACATTAAAAACAGATATGACATCGAAAATTGATATGACTAGAAGCATTTTAGCCAATTAGTTGAGTGCATGTCGTGCTATAAACCTTGCACAAGTCGTACCATCTTTCGACTAATTATTTTCAAAGCAAACCATGAAATACAATGGCTACCTTCTCTGTTATCTCCGCCGATCGTTATTCGAACTGTGGCGTGCATATTTTTAAGCACCAAAAATGTTTCGCAATAATTGTGGCTTACTGACTAAGAATATGGCCAGATCTAAATCATAAATTACGACATATCAGGTGTCCAAAATAGGGTATATAATAGAGTAGTAAATGTGCCCTATCCCTGCTTTTGGATCTGTTTTCTCAGTCATTTATTATATTCCAAGTCTATAAAATGTCAAACGTCTACCATTCAGCAAACTATGATACTCACTTCGATAAGAATGTAGATGAAGTCACTGAAGATGGAATTCTTACTGTGAATAAAATTAACCGGGAGCAATCTAAGTTCCCCGATTTTCTCCCAACTTGGGATCCTAGTGAAAAATACCCTCCTTTAGCATTCTTTAAACATGAAGAACCAGGTGTAAGAGCAAATAAGGATCTTCCAAATTTATTTCCAGGTGGTAAAACTGCCCATAAATTAAAAGATATTACCCCAAAGTTAGGAACTGAAGTGTTTGATGTTCAATTATCCGAATTGGATGATTCTGGAAAGGATGAATTAGCTCTTTTCATTGCACAGAGAGGTGTTGTTGTGTTCAGAGATCAAGATTTTGCATCCAAGGGAGCTCAATTCGCCGTTGATTATGCTAGACATTTTGGTCGTTTGCACATCCACCCAACTTCTGGACATCCTAAGGACCACCCTGAACTTCACATTACTTATCGTAGAGCTGATAAGAATGAGTTCAAAAAGCAATTTGCTCTGAGACTTAATGCTATTGAATGGCATTCGGACGTTTCATACGAATTGCAGCCACCTGGAACAACTTTTTTCACTGTATTAGAAGGACCAGAAAGTGGTGGTGATACCATTTTTGCTGATACCGTTGAAGCATACAAACGGTTATCTCCAGAATTCCAAAAGAGACTTGCTGGACTTCATGTTTTACATACTTCTGAAGATCAGGCAAACAATGCAAGGGGCCATGGTGGGGTTGAGAGAAGAAAACCAGTTTCAAACATTCATCCATTGATCAGAACTCATCCTGCTACTGGTGAAAAATCCATCTTTTTAAACCGTCCATTTTCAAGAAAAATTGTCGAATTAAAAGAAGAAGAAAGTGACTATTTGTTAAATTTCTTGTACACTCATATTGAATCAGCACATGATTTACAATTGAGAGGAAGATGGGAACCAAACACAGTGGTTGCCTGGGATAATAGAAGAGTTGTGCACTCGGCTGTGATGGACTGGAACACTCCAATTTCAAGACATGCATTCAGATTAACTCCACAGGCAGAGAGACCAGTTGAAGACCTCAAGGATTTAAACCTGCAAGAATACGATGTTGGTGATGTTCAGGAAGCATTGAAACAATTGTTGATCTAAGATGGAGATCAATAAAATAAATATATGAATATGATAATGAAAGTTCAGGTAACTAATATATGTTTCTTAAAAAAAAAAAAGTAAAGAAGATCCGAGTGTAGAAGTACAAAAAATTTAAGACGTAAATAATTTAGCATTATCAAATATTCCTCACTGTATCATCTTGTAGGTGTTAAATTTCACTCTAGAGTGACTATTCTAACGTTACTTATCAGTTCCATTTCCAAAACTAACCTTTTGCTAACTACTTTTTATAAATTCTAATTTTATTATTAATTTTATATAAAAATAATTTCATACTATTGATTCTTAAAGATAATATGAATGCTTACCCTATATGTTTAACCGCAGCTGATGGTACTTGATTTACTTAGGATTTTATATATTCAAACATTATTTTAAATATATTTTTAGATTTATATTTCTTCTTTTATCAAAATAAATATCTTATTATTTATCTCTCCCACATTAATGTATTGTACCTTAGAAATATGCAATGCGATGTAAATGGCATAAATCATTCAATCTCGGAGAACTAATAAAACAATAATTGCATTTGTATCTAATAGAAAAAGATCTCTGACACTACCCAGAATCTAGGAGAATACTCCGAAGTTCCGAGATTGAGAAACAGAAGATAGGAATAAACTTTATTTGGCATATTTTTTGACATATGCAGGTGTTATAATATTGTTTTTGCAACCCAATATTTCATTCTATGATTCATTCTGAATATTGAAGTTGGTACTAAAGGGCGTTGATTCGGTATTTATATGTGGAGGTTCCATCGGAGCTCTTTGAATTGCCATTTTTTTTCCGAAGCGATGGTTAAATAAAATAGGAGAAGCATATAACGTTTGGACTCGTTTCAAAGATATTTCGGAAAAGACTAAGTTGGAACTTTTGGAAATGAGGCATGTATTCCAAGTACAAACAGCCAGTTAGTTGATGGATAAATTGAAAGAAAAAAGATTAGGTTCTGAACATCGCAGGATTCTTTATTGGTCTTGTACCGGTATTGGCCCATAAATTGATATAGTCTATGTAGTCTACCTGGCTGCAGCTGTTTTCGACCACTGTTATCTTATTTATAGGACTCTTTGGTTTCTGTGCCTGCTTGGCCTGATTTCTTTCCCTCCGAATGGTGTGATTTTCAGTAGATTTGTTCTCTATAGTATTTGCTATCTTTCATTGTATATACCAATTCACCGGAATGTGGAATGTAATGACCTACACTGGTATAACTATATGATTCTATGGTGGAGTGCTTCTATATAATCCAAAGACTATTCTTGAAGAAATCTATGATAAAGAGAACAAAAAATTTAATTAAGCGAATGAAGCAATATTGGGGAAGATCTTGATATGATAATTGTTAAATTATACTACGTTCTAGTTGATATTGATTTACTTTACTGATTGTATCACATAAGGTTCTTACTCACTCCAATCAAAATCCGTCAGTACTACTGATTCAAAAAAAAAAGTTTTTCTTACAATTTGGATGATATGATTACAAATATGGCAAATCCAACAACCTTTTTTAATTTTCTTCAATTTTGCTCATTATAGAAGTATTTACTAGAAGCCCTCGCAGAACTTTAGGAACTCTCGGTTAGTCCCACTTTGTACCACGGTTCGGGTAAGACAGAATCCCATCATAACCAAGCGTATTAATAAGAAAAGTTCGGGTACTGGAAAATTTATCGGTTCGGCTCGGGTCACATGCGATATGATGCAACAAATCGCGACAACTGTGGCTAAAATTGTGGTGGCTGCGAATTTAACGTGCTACTCAGTGATCTTGCCCATCTTCATATAAAGGGTCCTACTGACACCGCTTCTAAGAAAAACTATTTGGAAAGTAACTACTCACATATTCAGACAAAATGGCAACCAGTCACCGTTTTGGAAACTACGATATCCATTTCTTAGAAGGAAAGGATGAAATCGCCGAAGATGGCGTTCTTGTTATTAACGAAGAACAAAGAAAACTTGCTGAATACCCAGATTTCCTTCCAACTTGGGATCCACTGCAAAAGTATGCACTTCTTAAATTCTTCAAACACAACGAACCTGGTGCTAGAGCTGACAAGAATCTTCCAAACTTATTCCCTAAGGATAAGAAACATGAATTGAAGAATGTGACCCCCAAATTCGGAACTGAGGTTCATGGTATTCAGTTATCCGAACTCGACGATGCTGGAAAGGACGAAGTCGCTCTTTTCGTGGCTCAAAGAGGTGTCGTTATTTTCAGAGGTCAAGATTTTGCTAAGAAAGGTCCTGAATTTGCTGTAAAGTTTGGTCAACACTTTGGTAACTTACATATTCATCCAACTTCAGGTGCACCAAGAGATCACCCAGAACTTCACATAACTTATCGTAGAGCGGATAAGGGAGAATTTGACCGTGTCTTTTCTAAGCGTACCAATGCAATTGGTTGGCACTCCGACGTTTCATACGAATTACAACCACCAGGAACAACCTTTTTTTCTGTTTTGGAAGGACCAGAGAGTGGTGGTGATACAATCTTTGCTGACACATCTGAAGCTTACGATAGATTATCTCCAGAATTCCAAAAGAGACTTGCTGGACTTCATGTCTTGCATACATCTGAAGATCAAGCTAAGAATTCAAGAGGTCAAGGGGGTATTGAAAGAAGAAAGCCAGTTTCAAACATTCACCCATTGATTAGAACTCACCCTGCTACAGGAAGAAAGAGTATTTACCTTAATCGTCCATTCTCTAGAAAGATTGTTGAATTGAAGGAAGAAGAAAGTGACTACCTCTTGGCATTTTTGGCCAACCATATAGAACAAGCTCACGATTTGCAATTGAGAGCTAAATGGGAACCAAACTCGGTAGTGGTATGGGACAACAGACGTACTGTTCATTCTGCTGTTATTGATTGGGAATCACCAGTTTCTAGACACGCTTTCAGAATTACTCCACAAGCCGAAAGACCTGTCGAAGACCTCAAGGATTTGAATGATGAGAATTATGATTTAGGTGATGTTCAGGAAGCATTAAACCTGATTTTGAATTAGAGGGAAAGATTCTAGTTAGTTAGCTTTTCAAAAAATAAAAAGTTTGTATTTCATAATAAACTAATAAATTTAAATTAAATTGTATAAATCAAGCATTGTCCAATAAGTAATTTGTAGCAGCTTCCAAATCTCCACCTTCTCTATTCAAGGCTTCTGCTGCTGTCTTTTCATCAAAGCCCATTCCGACAAGCTCATCGATCAGACTCTGAAGAACGGATGAAGTTGCAGGCTGGGAAGCAACTGGAGGTGCCGCAGGAGTTGCAACAGGCTCGCTGGTGCCTGCATTACCGAATCCAGCAAATAATTGCTCCCATTCATCATCGCCACCATTGGACGATGAAGCTGCAACATTTGAACTGTCAGGAACTGTAGATGCAAAATCTGCAAAATTTGATTGATTGGTAAATTCTTCATCAAAATCAAATTTTTGACTCATAGCAAACTCGTCAACGTCATCTTCTGGGGCAGCTTCTTGCAACCCAGCAAACAAGTCTTCTTGTTCGGGTTGTTTAGTTTCTTGAGCCGTAGGTTCCAAATCATCAAAAGCAGAATCAAAATCAACTTCTGGAGCTGGAAGTTCGGCAGATACTGTAGGCTTGTTTGGTAAATTATCTACAGCATCATCAAACTTCTCTTGAGATTCATCATCGGATGAATCACTTTCATCGTAATCAAATTCCTTAATTGGTGGAAATTCTGTATCAATATTGGGCAGGATGTGTCCAGATTCATTACCGGTAGCCTTTTTACTTGTTTCAGAATAAGTTGGAGGTTCATGTGGTGAAATTTCTTCAGCATTTACCATTTCAAAGGATTCGACTCCAGAAGAAAACTTATCTGCGTCACTTTCTTCGGGATGAGTAGGGGGTGAAGCAAATTCATCCTTAACGGAGCGAGAAATTTCATTGTCGGCACTGTTTGGCAAAGTTCTTTCCGTGCCTTCAGTCACGTCTAAAGTTTCTCTATCACTCATTTCATCAATATTATCATCGCGTACAGATAAAGCAGCATTGTTTTGAACACTAGAAGTTAATGAGTCGGTACGTTGCACTCCTACAAGAACTCCTGGCATTCCAACCATTCCACCGACAATTCCAGCGTTGGTTCCTTGTGGAAATTGAAAGTCAGAATTGTTTGGAGAAGTTACGGGAGTTTCACCATCATTAAACTCAGTGAGTGAAGTTGTAGATGGGGCAGTAGTACTATCTGGGTGCTGTTCCAACTTGGGGAATGATGAAGAGAATTCATCATTGTCAAGGTCATCACCAGAGTCAAGTGGCTTGTCAACTTCTGTAGGGAATGCACCGGGAACATTGGCATCAACTTGGACTGCATGGTCGTCCAATGGGGTGGTAGTGTCAGTTTCGACGTGCAGTTCACCATCATTGGTTGGATTGTCAAATGATTTTCTCAGCTCAAGTGCATGAGATGGACCACCCGTATAGGTAGAGCTATTTAAATCATTAGATACGTGATCCGCGACTGGTTCCACGTCAACAGAATTGGCTTGAGGGACAATGTCCTTGGTATGACCTTTAGAAATTACGTCCTCATCAGAATGTTTCTCCTCAGAATGACTCAAACCAATCGCTCCTACGACAGCAGCGCCTACTGCACCCGCACCTGCAACGATTGCTGCAGGTACAACACTACTTGAATTTTCTGAATGTGTAGATGCGACAGGTGGTTCCTTTGAAACCCGTCTGCTAGCAGGTGGAGGTGGCTTACTTCTTTCAGCAGCAGCTGCTGCTGCTGCTGCATCAGACTTGGCTTTCTGTTCTCTTGTTGCTTTCTCTTCTTCAATTCTTCTCTTGTGTTCTTCTTGCACTCTGATTTCTTCCTCGTATCTACGTTGTTCCTCTGCTTGCTTCCTTTCTTCCTCTTCCTCTTTCCTATATCTTTCAGATAATTGTCTATTTTCTTCAGTCAATTCAGAAACCTTATTCTTCAATTCTTCACTTTTAACAATTGAAACTTGAACTTGGGATTTCTTCACTGACAATTGATTATTCAACCTTTGGTTCTCATTTGTCAATTGAGTCAATTGAGTTTCCAATTCTACAACTTCTGCGTTCAAGAATCCTAACTTTTCTTTTAATGTTGAGTTTTGCTTTTGCAAATCCTCCATAGCAACTTGTTTTTCGTTCAATTCAGTTGACAAATGGTTAAATTTGGCTTCAGAGATAGAAGCTTCGGATCTCAATGCTTCAGTTTCTTCACGTGCAACTACGAGGTTCTGTTCGACTTGATCAACTTGCTTAACTTCGTTTTCATACAGAGACCTCAATTGCTTCAACTTACCATCAATTTCGCGTTTTGTGGCAAGAATTTTAGCCAATTCTTGTTCTGCTCGTAATTTCTTATCGTGTAAGGAAGTAGTTTGAGTTGAGAGAGATTTAATTTGGTTGGACACATTCGCAATATCTGATGTTGCTTGTGAGAGTTGACCAGAAACAGCAGTGTCTGCAAGTAAATCGTTGTTATCTATAGGGGCAGAATAATTCCCAGTAGGTGCCCTAGTGTAGGAATTTTGACCAGTTGGGGCACTAGAAGCTTGTGGAGAGCCAAATTCTGTATTTGAAACTTCTCTTTGTTGCTTGCTTGGTGGTGGTGGTACACTACGTAATGCGTCATAATTAATTGACTTGGAAGTGCCAGAAGATGAACTAACTTCATTGGAAGCCGTAATAGGCTTAGGCTGGTCAGTAGAAACTGTAGAAGCAGATTGAGCGTGTGCGGGTGCACCAGTAGGATCCAGAGTATGATCATCTCCAAGCAAGTTTGGCTCTTCGTCATGCTTCAGAAGTAAACTTTGACCAAAAGTTGACGTAGGCTTGAACGAACCAGTCAAGTTTTTACGAACTTTTGGTAGGTCACCGGTACCTACCGGGGTTAGGTCACTTGATGATTGTCTCTTAGAAAGTTGAGGTTCGGGTTGTGGCATTGGTGGAGCTGATCCAAAAATGTCTACAAGATCATCTAAATTACTCTTTGGGGCTGAAGATGGAGATGATGCAGCAGCATTAGTGTTACTGGTTGCAACAGTATGCGGTGGTGCAAAACCTTGCGTAGAAGCTGTTGATACAGATCTTTCTGCTCCATTATGAACACTTTGATTACTTTGGATACTCTCAATCAATGCTGCCGGAACAATGTTAGGAAATGCCTCTCCAGCCAACCTTCTATTCACTAAATATAAGGCAATGGTGAACTCTAATTTAGTGAAAACCCCGGTATTTTGGATATCGGACAAATCCCAAACTGTAGCCAAATCCTCTTGATTCAATTTAGAAGACATAAGGACAGAAGCTACTTGGTCTGCACTTAAAGTGCCAGACTTGGACTTATCAAGATTATCAAAAATATGTTCGTACTGAGATTTAGCAGTGGGGGAGATAGACCAAGAAGATTGGGCTGCTGATCCACTAGATGGTTCACGCGAAGGAGAGTTAGGGTGTCTAACAGTCGTTTGTTGTGAATTGATCGACGAGTACGAAGATTGACGGTGGTTTGGAGACGAAATAGGTGACGCAGATGCGCCACCAGTAACACCTGGAGGTGCAAGACGGAACGATTGATCAGTTGGTGTTCTGAGAGGTCCGGCAGCTGGTGCTGGTACAGTCTGTTGGGAGACTGTACCAGTTTGAGAGCCACTAGAATTGGAGTTAGAGTTACCAGCTACACCATTTGAAATATCCCAAACACTTTCTGGCAAAAATGGAGGCAATTGACTAATCTTACCACTCAAAACCCCATGGATTAAATGCATTGCAATAACAAATGATTTCAAGTCTAATTTTCCCAAGTTATCCTTGTCAACAAGGTTCCAAATTTGACCCAAAGTAGCAGTAGGTAACTTAGCCTTCAAGAAAATATCCTTTGCTCTTGGGCCAGTTAATTCACCTTGAGCACTTCCAACCGTCTTAATAAACAACAGGCCAAAACGTTGATAGTCTGCTGACGAAATAGGACCAATAGGGTCTTGAGGTTGAGTGTTGTTGGTGGCTGTATTTTGCGGGATGATTGAAGATGGTTGGTGCAGCATAAACGAAGATGACGTTGATTGCGATTGGAGTGGAGCAACAGAGTTTGTAGAGATTGCATTGGTAGCCAATCCGGCAAACTTTGGAAGAGGTCCTGGAACTTCGGCCAAGGCTAAAGTTGGATGGCTACCCAGTTGAGCTCTACCAATTAAACGCATGGCCAAACAAAATCCAAATTGAGTTAAGAAACCCAAATTGTTGTGGTCGGCAATTTGCCAGATCTCGCCAAGAATGGTTGGGGGTAATCCAGATTTCTCGAATGTGGTGCGGGATTTCTCTCCCAGAACAATACCGGTACTTTCAGTATCGAGAGATTTAAAAAGTTGAGCATAAAGTTGCTTCTCCTCTTGAGTGAGGCCAACTTTGAAAGTCGGGGCTATGACGAGTTAGTAATACTATTTGTACATGGTTGCTAGGGACACACCAGATGAGAATATCTCAATTGTAACGCGGCCATCTACCTATAATTCATTGAACATACCCTGTGAAAAACTCATGATTGAAGAATCGGAAGGTAACTATTAAAGCAATATTATAAATATGATTTCAAGATCCGTTTTTACCGTTTAAATCAAAACATTTTTTCCCTCACTCCCTTGGAAGTTGAAGGATATGAGGCACAAGAGGTCACATGACTTGAATTGAAATAGGGGTACAGAATATATAAATGAAAAAAGGTATGAATAATTATATATAGAGAGTTAGTAAGGAGTAATGAGCTACCACAGGTTGAAATATCTCTAATAATTTTGGGGGTGGAAGTCTGAAATGATGATAAAATTAGTATACTTCCATTGATCAAAATGACAACTAAGCGAATGAATCCACACTTTTGGAGTGTGTGTAATAAATCTATTATGAGTATGGGGAAAGTTCATCGATGTGCAGGATTGCAACAGAGCTTATTACATACAGAATTTGGTTTAGTAATAAACCCAATATAGTATGTTAAAGACTTGAAATGTGAAGTATTCTAATTCTTTCTGGATATGAAAGTCTTTTAATCCTGATAGAAGATGGAGAAAGAAAAAAAAAAAAACGATATTTAAGATTTGATGATAATATATTTACAATTTGAAATTTACTTTATTGTGAAAAATTAAGATCTGATATTAAAATTATCAATCTACACAACAAAAGTATTGAAAGAGGCCGATACTATTATAACTCCAGCTCAATCTCTTCTCATACTACCAAATATTATTTTTTTATACCTTCAATTACGGCTACTTTCTCGCAAGATGGTTGTAAAATTTGCTGCAAAAACCAACACTGAGTACTAAATTTTCAGGCGGGCAAACTGCAGGAATAGCAAATATATCTACATACTCTGTAAGAAACCTAGACATATACAATATTTTAGTTTCCACTATCTTCCACCTCCACCTAGTAGAAAAGACAGTACCTAATCAACTAGTCCAACATATATACATATATAACCAACATCATTGATACTGTTTCTTTTTCTTTTATTTTTTTTTCTTCCATGTATTATTTTCATATGTATATTTTTACTACGACACGCTTACTTTTTATTGCAATTAAAGTATTATCAATAACGCATTTCAAAGTATCTACATCAGAAATAAATGTCTTTATCGTTAAATTTCTATAAAAATTCCATTCAATGCTATCAATTATTTACCCACTTATCAAAGATTTGAACTGTCTGTGCGTGCCACTTGTTCTGGTATGCACACCCCTTACACAAAACGACATCTCAATTTTTTACTTTTTCGATGAGGTGAAAATTTCAATACATTCAAAAATCTTTAAAACGACTCAAACCTTACCTTATCAACATAAATACACACAATGAACAGAGGTAGAGGCGGATTCAGAGGTGGCCGCGGTGGCAGAACCGGGCCTTCCCAATTTCAACAAGGTCCTCCAGACACTGTCTTGGAAATGGGTACTTTCATGCAAGCGTGCGAAGGAGATGTCGTTTGTCGTTCCATCAACTCTAAGATTCCTTACTTTAATGCTCCAATCTATTTGGAAAACAAGACTCAAATCGGTAAGGTTGACGAGATCTTGGGACCTCTTAACGAAGTTTTCTTCACCATCAAGCCATCTGAAGGTGTTCAAGCCGATTCTTTCAAGGATGGTGACAAGTTCTACATTGCCCCAGACAAGTTATTACCATTAGAAAGATTCTTGCCAAAGCCTCCTGTGGTAGGACCAAAGCCAAAGCGTAAGCCTGGTGCTGGTGGTGCCCGTGGTGGTAGAGGTGGCTTCGGTGGCCGTGGTGGTGGCCGTGGTGGTAGAGGTGGATTCGGTGACAGAGGCGGAAGAGGTGGATCCCGTGGTGGCTTCGGTGGCCGTGGTGGATTCGGTGGTGATAGAGGTGGAAGAGGCGGTAGAGGTGGCTTCGGTGGCCGTGGTGGCTTCGGTGGTGACAGAGGTGGAAGAGGTGGCCGTGGTGGATTCGGTGGTAGAGGTGGTCGTTTCTAAACTAACCAATCTGGCCATTAAAACATCAACAATGCACATACCATGGAGGGAATGTACCCTCATTGTACTGTAACATCATCATTTTTATTAAACATTTGTATATTGCTTCTATAATAAACGCATGAAAGAGAGAGATATAAGTTAAGATAGACCGATTTTTTTTTTTTTTTGATTTTTTTGAGGATATTTACAAGGGAAAGTTTTGACCTAGTAGCAGAAAGACGTCAGTTATAGATATAAATAATGAAGGTGTGTGTAGGTTACATAATAGTTGGGTGAACTAGAGAGAGAACAATCCATGCAGAAATAAGAAATAAGAAGCAACAAAAAAAAGAAGTAAGAAAAAAAAAAATAGATAAAACAATCGTTATCCATAGGAGGAATCAAAACGTATAGTTTAAAAAGCTATATCAAGTCGATCAATATTTGAGGAGTCGCCCAAAAAGCTTCTTCAATTTTTGAGTGAATATATCAGTACATGGTGGTTGGTATTTCCATTTGCTGCAAAAAAATTAAGAGAAAAAAAACACAAAAGAAAAGATACACACACCTTGGTAACGTTACACTTGATATTTATACCCGGTAATAACACAGGTGCAACTAAATACATATAAAATTACTTGATTAACGAAATTATCACTATTAGAGACAGTGATTTGATCTATTATTTACATGCTTTCGTTGTTTGGTAGTATATACAAGATTCACCCCATCACTCTCATTCGATAAATGTACGTCTTATAAAAACTTTTATTAGAGTGTACTAGTTCTACCACTTAGTCTACGTACAACTCTTTTTCTTCTCCCTTTATTTTTCTTGACATCTTCAACTTCAAGGTCTTCTAAAAATTGATCAGGATTAGCAGGGTCATAAGTATTTGTACCAACTTGCGACACTTTAATTTCATCAATTTTCTTAGAAGGTTCACTTTCTTCACTAACCAATCCACAACTTTGTAAAATGCTTACTCTTAATCCCATATATCCATATCTTTTGGGCACCACTTGAGATGCCACAGAATTATTGAAGAAAATTCTTGGTAAAGTGGCAACATCACGTAATTCTGCATCTTGAATAATCTTTTCAAAATGATTCAATATAGCTTCATTTGCACGATCTGCCATTTCAGCATTATTTATCCGTTCTTCTTTAGTTAATTTATCCAAATTTTTCAATGATAATATTTGTCTTGGAACTTTCAGTTTTATTACTTGGTCTAATTTAGTGAAAATCACATCAAATGAAATTCCTTGATCAATCAAAAGATCAATAATTTGATTGTCCAATTCTGAAAACCCCTTGACCCCATCTACCAAGACGTAGACTGCTCTTAAGACCTTTCTCTTTTCAATATATTCCATAACCGCAGTCCCCTGTGATGTTTCACCAAATTGTCCATATCCTGGAGTATCTATGATTCTCAATTTATTATTGACATTGAAACAATTAAGAGTTTTCGTGTAACCAGCACGTCTAGACACATATGCAAATTCAGTTGAAGCTCCATTTTTGGAAGATTGTTTATCTAAGAATAATGTATTTACCAATGTAGATTTTCCCACATTAGTATTTCCCAAGAAAAGAACTTCAGGTAAAGGTTTGAGAAGATCTGGCTTAATACCAAATGATTTTTTCGATATTTCAGGTCGATGATATGCCTCTCTCTTTTCATGAGCTATTTGTCGTTCTTGATCAAGTCGTTGATGCTTTACATCAGGAATGTCACTGTATTGATTATGGGTCCAATCAAGTTTAATTTTTGCAGAACCAAAGAAATTTTGAGATTGTGATATTTGTCTAGAACTTGGCTTTTGATAACCTTCATGATGGAAATGTGCAGTTAACACCTCTGGAGAAATTAATAACAGTAATGGATCACGAGGTGGGAGCTTGATTGGGCGATGAACTGTTGAAGTTGGCGCTGCTGCTACTACTTGTTCGACCGGCAAAGAAGAAAGTAAGTAATCTATAGACAGCTTCTTTACTCGTAGCACTCGGGAGCAAAACATGAGAGTGTTAGTGAAAAATGTTACCTTTTTATCAGTACTATATATTTATATATATAGATGTCTATATAAAAGAGATGGAGATGATTTAAGGTTATGAGCAAAATGCGAGAAACAGTGTAATTTTACCATTCAAGTACATAGGGATTAAAAAGGAAACAATTGTAACTTATAGAGGTATTTTACACAATACTGCATTTTGTAATCAGTGACTTAAACCTGGTTCATATAATGAATTGAACCCCTTGGAAAATTATTGAAAAGTGAAAACAAAATAAGTACCACAATTGGTACTCTTAACTATTTTCTTTATTTAACAATGGTGGCTATCAGGATACCTGTATTAATAAGTGAGTATAAAATTTAACTACAACATAAATATCTGTTTGATACTAATGTTCAGCATTTATTGTTTCCTTAATTGGTGCAGCTTATTTAGGGTTTGCCCTGATTCAACTCAATCATGACAAGTTAATTCATTTTGCTACATTTTTCATTTTAACCCTTGAATTCTACTTTGTGTTTGATACAAAACATAAGTCTCTTAAAACACTTCGTTGGATTACATTTATTACATGCACGGTAGTTGCTTCTGTATTACTGGAAGTGGTACAAACATTGGTCAATCTGCTGCGAGTATTTGACGTTTATGATATAGCCTGTAATGTCAGTGGAAGTGCATTGGGTTTAGCGTTAGGCTCAGGGTATGATGTATGGACTATAAGAAAATATAGACAAGCTAGATACAGGCAACTTAGATCGGACCTCACGAATGAAATTGAAGAAGATTACGTTTCAGTGAATATGGTTGATATATCTAAATGATATCTTCCAACTTAGATTTACATGATGTGGGGACCTTTATATAAATATGTACTTTAGTATCCCGGATTTCAATTCTACGCTTTTATCTTTAAATTTGGTATAGAAAATCTATGTTAAATCAAATTAAATCACTTACTTAGACATGAAGAGAAAATAAAAGTAAAGTTGATTATCATACTCTAGTTGAAGGATATTTCTCTTAATAAAACATTTAAATTATCCACTATTATAAAGATGATTCAACTAGTACTGCACTTCCATAGAATCAGAATGAATTTCCTTTCATGGTTATCAAGACTAGAAACTACTCAATAATTTTGCATTAGCAACTAAGCACTCCACAATATACATTACTAGGAAAAAATTAAAAATGCAATGATAATCAAAATAAAAATATAGAAAAGACTATTTAAAGAATACCCCCATCTTATAGTAATTCCATGCAATTACCTGTCATATCATTTACCATAAACTATTGCACTCTCTAATACATTGCTCTAATTCACTACTTGGTACTATTTGATATTACCCCTTTTTACATATGTCAGATTAATTTTTTCCTTTCTTTTTCTTCGTATTCTAATTTCGTTGTCTATGGCTAATTTCGTCAATTTTGGATTCCCATTCATGTGAAGAATACAAACATCCGGACACCAATATAGGAAATAGTAATCGGAATATTTTTTATTGAATTATAAGTGTCAGTCAATATTCAATATTAAGGTAACAATAATTAGAGTTCATCATACTAATTTAAAACTATTTCCATTTTCTGCCTTTCACTATATATACACAATTTATCAATATTATTGACGACCCGATCTGCATAATCCTTGCATTCTCGGCTTTAACTTCGAGCTCGACTTCCTGCATAAATCTCAATTGCTGTACCTGTTTATCTTTTAACCTTTTCATATTTGTGGTTGAAATACAGCTATTAAATACTATTAACCAAAGCTAGTAGGATACCATCAGTGTACTTCTATACATTTGAATACATTTGAACGACTTCGGCACATGCTCCTGGCAATTTTAGGAGATGGTGAAGCTTCCAATGGTGGCGAAAAACGTCATTCTAATGGTAAGGCGAGCCATCAAAAAGTCAACCTGAATGACCCGAAACCGGGTAAAGAGAATGATTTTACTGGTGAAGGAGAACCAGAGGAATTATCAGATGATTCAGAAGTACCACGTGGCCGTACTACCAAGGAAACACCCCAGGAAGACGCTCAAGATTCTAGCGGATTACTAGGATATTTAGGGTTTGGAGCGGGAGATACTTCACCCGATCCTCCTCCAAATTTAAGAGAACAAGAGGATGTAGGTGAAATTTATAGATCGATTTCTCGTGAAGGAGATGAAACCGGTAACTCCAGCTTTGGAAGAACGAAATCTTCGGGTTCTCGCAGACAAAAGAGTAAAGTTGCGTTCAATAGCGAAGATAAGATTGTGGGGAACTCTTGGTCTCCATTCAGTTGGTACAACGCGGATAAGAAGGAAAAGAGATACAGCGATAGCGAAGATGAAGATAGAGACAGGAATACCGAGCCTGAAGCTGGAACTCCTGAAGATGAATCACCAGTGGAAGATGACGTGGCAGATACCCCGCCACCTACTGGGGAAGACACCGAACCAGTTGAAGGAACCACCACAAAAAGACATGCATTTAGACCATTGTTTAACCGTAACCCTACTGGTAAGAGGTTAAATACGTCAGCAACGGTAGCGTCTGCTAACACAGCGCTCAAGCAAAGATTTTTTGGTAAAAACCGTTCTAAAAAGGGTAATACTAACTCTCGGAAACAATCGGTGTATTGTATTGAAGATGATTCGGATCCCGACTATTTCACTTCTATTAGAGCCCAGCAATTAGTTGGGTCTCTTGCTGCAGGGGCACCTGCCATCAACATTCTTGCCAGTTGTTTACTTGAAGATGAGCATGGAATAGGAAGGGCACCTTTATTGTTATCATTGTTGGGTATTAAGGTAAGTGACACTTCGCTAAGAGTAAACACCAAAAATCGTAAGTTTAAGATTGATTTAGAATATGGAGTGGGACAAGAAAGGCTCCAATGGTCAGTTGAAAGAACAGCAAAAGATCTATTCTACCTTCATTCAAAGTTTAAATTAGATAATTGGAGAAGTGAAGTAGTAAGAAATAAGAATACTGATTTACCGAAGTATCCAATTCCTCCACTGATGCAACGGAAAAGAAAGAAGAGAGGTACCAATACAGATGTATCAGAATATGGGCTTGTTCAATCTCCTGTAGAGAATGAAAGAGATGGCAGATTGGGAACCTTTCCGTCGAATGGTGCCGCGACTGATGCTCATGGCTCCAACGAAAAATCGAATGCAACAGCAAATGGGAAGTCAACAGCAAATGACAATCCTGATTACGGAATGAGTAATGCTGATGTCGATGAAAGTGAAGAATCGAGAAACCCCACTTACTTATCTCCCAATGTCGCAACCACTAATGTATCCAGATCTGCAAGTGGTGCCAACAGAGGAAATGGAGATTCAGCAGCTGTATCTGACCATGAATCGGTAATTAGTTCTCACACGATGCAGCATGTTAGATCACATTTTTCTTCTATTTCATCTTTCAATGAACAATCACCAGAGATTCTTAGATCAAAAATCCACCAAAATCAAGAATATATAAATCAGGTTGCTCGGTATTTGAATGACCTTATCAACAGTATCGCACTTACTCCCCAACTGAATCGTTTATTTCAATTTTTTGAAATTTCTCCAATTTCATCTCTTCTTAGTTATGAAACGGGATTCCAAGGTAAACAAGGTGTTATTCACGTAGGAGGGACAACAAAAGCACAGGGGTGGAGAGTTGGCCATTTCAAGGCAAATGATTTGAAGGAAATGATCGATAGAAGGTCTGAAAAATGGTTATTGATCAGAAACACGTACATTATGTATGTGAGTGATATCAATTCAACCTTGCCATTAGAGGTTTTTCTTGTCGATCCTAAGTTTGCTATTCGGTACAAACAACAATCTCTTCAACAACAACACAATAGAGAAGATGAAGAGTCCGATTATGATGACTCTTCTTTGGCAGCTCAAAAGGCTTATACCAGTGAGAAATTCACGTCACATCAACCAAATGTGTTTAAGCACCTCAAAATTACGTTAGAGAATTCAGAGAGACAGTTAGTACTCACTCCAAAATCTCAGAAGGAACAACGATTATGGATTAAGAGCTTAGAAGAAATGAAGAATCAAACTGTGTGGGCAGAGCCTCACAGATTTGATTCATTTGCACCAGTTCGTGATAATTGTTTTGCGCAATGGTTTGTAGATGGTCGTGATTACTTCTGGGCAGTCAGTTCAGCATTAGAAATGGCTAAGGATGTAATCTTCATTCATGATTGGTGGTTATCACCTGAACTTTATTTGAGAAGACCGGCCAATGGGAATCAACAATGGAGAATTGACCGTATTCTCCAACGTAAAGCCCAACAGGGGGTTAAGATTTTTGTCATTGTTTACAGAAATGTAGGAACCACAGTCGCAACCGACTCATTATACACAAAGCATTCGATTCTTCTGTTGAATGAGGAAAATATCCACGTCATTCGTTCACCCAACCAACTTTTACAAAACACTTATTTCTGGGCTCATCATGAGAAATTATGTATTGTTGATCAGACAGTTGCATTTATCGGTGGTATTGATTTATGTTATGGAAGATATGATACCCCAGATCATGTTTTGGTTGATGATTCGAAACAAACCTTTGATACTTTGTCTGAATCAGCAAGACAGACGACCGAAGAACATGTGAAGTTTCAAACATTCCCCGGCAAGGATTATTCCAACCCTAGAGTAAAGGACTTCTTTGGATTGGAAAAGCCATACGAATCAATGTACGACAGGCAACTGATCCCCAGAATGCCATGGCATGATGTCCACATGGTTACACTGGGTAAGATTGCTAGCGACTTAGCAAGACACTTTGTACAAAGATGGAATTACTTATTAAGACAAAAGCGTCCTAGTAGATTTACACCATTGTTGACTCCACCTCCTGATTTTACTGATGAAGAAGTTGCAGACATGGGTCTTGGAGGAACTTGTGAGGTTCAACTATTAAGATCCCTGGGTAACTGGTCATTAGGATTAAAGGAACCCGAGCATAGTATTCAAAATGCTTATTTGAGATTGATTGAAACTTCCGAACACTTGGTGTACATTGAAAATCAGTTTTTTGTTACAAGTTGCGTTGTCGATGGTACCGAAATTCGTAATAGGATTGGTGATGCTTTGGTTGATAGAATTATTAGAGCTCATCAGGAAGGTACACCATGGCGTGCAATCATTGTTATTCCATTGATGCCAGGGTTTGAATCACAGGTCGATGAACCAGAAGGAAGTTCTGTTCGTGTCATTATGCAATGTCAGTATATGAGTATCAGTAGAGGAGCAACTTCGATCTTTGCTAAATTGAAAAGGGCCGGAATTGAACCAGATGATTATATTCAATTCTTCTCCTTACGTAAGTGGGGTATTATTGGACCTGATAGAACCTTAGTGACTGAACAGTTGTATATTCATGCTAAAACTATGATCGTTGACGATAGAGCTGCAATTATTGGTAGTGCCAATATCAATGAGCGTTCTATGAGAGGTATCCGTGATTCTGAGATGGCCGCAATTGTTCGTGACAAGGAAACCATTCAAACGACGATGGCGGGCGAACCATATTTAGCTGGTAAATTTGCTCACACTTTGCGAATGAGATTAATGAGAGAACATCTTGGTGTTAATGTTGATATTCTTGATTTAATTGAAAGAAGGTTCAAAAAGGTTGAAATATATGCTGGAACTGAGGCTGGTATCAAGGCTGCGCCAAAGAAGTTTGCAAAACGTGAACATACAATATTAAGTGCAATGGTTGAATTGGCAAGTAGAGATATTCTAGGTCAAACTGAAGGTACACGTAATTGGAAAAAGCATCACGGCAAGGTAGCCACCGATGTACAAAACGAAATTCTTGCAGTGTTAGAAGAGTGCAATGAAGAGGAAGAAAACGACCCTAGCTTGAAACACCCAGCACCTCTTTCTTTGCCAATTTCATTCAACAACCGTACTGGTACTTATGAAGCGAATAAGGGTATACGTGATAAGAAGAAACATTCATACGATGCTAGAGTGCAACAGAGTCAAGAACATAAGAACGATGTCGCTGGTCACGGACCTGATAAGTTCAAATCAAAATTGGCTAGACGTGCGCGATTGAATAGTGCGAAATTTTTGAGAGAGTTAGCCCACAAGGCTATGTTAGAAAACTCCACAGGAATCTTCTTACCACCAGCAGAAGAGGTCGAAGAATTCTTAGCCGGAGACGACGAAGATGAACTGGAGGAAGTTATCACTGAACGCAATAAGGAAAGATGGCAATTATTAAAGAAAATCAGTTACATGCAACGATCTGCTGCCAAGGAAAAGGAACAAAGAGATGAAGAGCAAAAGAAGAGATGCGAAGCAGGGTTAGGTAAATTTGCGGAGGCTGGACAACAGAATGGTTTTGTTGGCACAGCAGCAGCAGCTGCTGCTGCCACATCTTCTCCACCAGTTTCGAGTGCAGCACCATCTGCTTCAAATGCGCCAGCGGCAGGAGTAAATAATTCCAGCACACCATCTGGAACTTCTCCTACTCAACATGTAGAAAAATTCATTGATAGCGAAGAGTTATCAAAGGTTGCACCTCCCATTCCTGATGATGATTTGGACTCTTCTGAGCAACATGACAACATCCCAATTGTGTCACTTTCTGAACAAGGAGTAGTGGACCTTATGCTGACAGTCAATCCTAAGCAATACGATAACTTTAGTACCTTTGTCGATCCATATGGCTTCGAAGATCCATTGGATGATGAGTTTTACGAAGATCTTTGGTTTGAGCATGCCAGAAGAAACACAGAAATCTATAGAATGATATTTCATACCCAGCCAGATGACTATGTATCAACATGGAAAGATTATAAGCGTTTTTCCAAATTACAGAGCGCTTTCTTGCTAGCTCAAAAGCAGGAAGCAAAGTACAGACAATCAAGTCGGTCACCCGATGATTCGATTCAAAGAGAGGAAGAAGAATTAAGAAGTGAAGCTTCTCTGGAAAGTCCTCTGAGACCTAGTATTTATCGTCAACAAAGTGTGAAAATGGATAACTTCCAAGATTTGGGAATTTTGGGCTACGCCCCTGGAGAAGCTAAGATGGAAGTTCACAAAAAGAAAAAGGGTGGAAGAGGAAGGTTCGGAAAAGATGTGATTGAAGAGACTCATAAAGAATACGAAAATGAAGAACAGGGAGCTGACGAAGAAGCCGACGATTATTCGTCAGCATCTGAAAATGTGGGGGATAAAGAAACCCAAAGTACACCACCTACTGTAAATGGTGGACCAACACCGCCACAATTCCCAAATAAAAATCGAAGAAGAAGAGGTGGTACGTTTTCGGCAAGAAGAAAGGCACTCACTGGCGATCGTATATATGACAGGGAGACTGCTGAAAGGATCTTGACGGAAATTCAAGGCCATCTTGTATTTTTCCCAGCAGATTGGTTGATGCGCGAGTTGGAAGGTGATAATTGGTTTTACAATACAGATAGAATCCCTCCGATTGAAATTTATGATTGATATAGAAATTAGAAATTTTGCATTACAATAAGAATAAACTTTGTAATTAAACGTAGAGTGGTCGTATCTGAAGATAGAGCAAGAGAAGCAGTTTAATTTCATGAACGAAGTACATGCGATATTAGTTACTGCCAAGTAAGACCGAAAATCTACAGAAGATATGCCAAGTATTACCCCGTACGGCTCGAAAGATATCCTTGGGGAGAGGAACGAATTGTTATCTGAACTTAATTTCCCCATTGTTTCACAGAATCATGAAAATGCCGTGCGGCGGGGCAACACGTCAAAAAATGTGATGTGTGTGAGACTGTGAATAGCTGAACGGCAGCAAAAATAAAAAGGTATTAACAACCGCAGTGCATCTACTATCAACAAAAGTGAATTAGAACCCGAGCTACTCGTTGCCTAATGTAACACAATCAGTCAATGTCGTGTGGCACGAGAAAGTGATATCTCCAAGTGGATTAATTTCTTTTTTATTTGACATGAGGATAAATGAATGTTCAATTCTAATCCTTCATCTTTTTGCTTTGCCAAGGGGTCTCTGGCGATATAAACAATTTTCCGAAATTTTTAACATAGGGGCTAATGTGTGAGAGGCTCGGCCAATCCGATGTCAGTTCGAAAGAAAGCCTCAGTTAGTTGTGGTTACATTTCCCAAATATCCTCTTGGCGCGCCCGGTGAAGATAAGACGTTTGGCTGCAATTTTTTTCTTGGCGAATTCAAATCAAGTGCAAACACCATAGTGATAATGAAACTATAGTGATCTACTCCTCATTGAATTACTATAAATTTGTGTGTATATGCTAAAGTTTCAGAAGAGAAGAATATGTAGGCATTTGTTCCATTATGAGTGAAACGGAAAAACTTCAAAACACCAGTGGAAGTGTCAATTCCATTGGAGAGCCAGAGTCTATTGCACTGACTAATGAATTGTACGATTTTGATGATCCAAATAACTACTTTTCTCAGTACAAGGATGAGCACAATCCAAAAGGTTTAAGAAAACCCACAACAGATGAAACAGGGTCACTCAGAAGGGTGCTTGAGCATGCACCTAAGGTTGCCTATCTTTTGTGTTTGGTCGAGCTAGCTGAAAGAGGGTCTTACTATGGTGTTACAGGTTCATTGAATAATTTTTTGCAAAGGCCTCTCCCTCCTGGCGGTAAAGCAACTGGTGCACCACCAGCAAATAGTGAGTTACAAGCTGGTGCACTCGGTTTGGGTTTGAAAACTTCTTCAGCAGTGACTACCCTGTTGACATTCATTGCCTACGTTGCTCCACTTTATGGTGGATTTGTTGCAGATGCTCAATTAGGTAAGTTTAAGACTATCTGGATTGGTGTTTTCATCTCTTTTATTAGTCACATATTGTTTATTATCGCTGCTATCCCCAGTGTTATTCTGGGTGGTAATGCTTTGGCACCTACTGTTCTAGCAGTTATAACATTGGCAGTCGGAACTGGATTCATCAAGCCAAATTTGTTACCGCTCTTGATGGACCAATATCCATTCGAGCAAGATGTTGTTAAGGTATTACCTTCCGGAGAAAAAGTTATAGTAGATCGTCAAAAATCGATTCAGAGAATGTCAATGGTGTTTTATTGGTCTATCAATATCGGTGCGTTTTTCCTGTTAGCTACTTCATACAGTGCAAGACGTGTTGGTTTTTATTTGGCATTTTTGGCTCCAGGCATCTTATTCATGTTGTTACCAATTGTACTTTGGTATTTAGAATCAAGAGTCAAGAAACAAGATCCCAAAGGAAGTGTCTTGGTGAATGCTTGGAGAATTTTCCGGGTTACCTTTAGTTCTGGATGGATTTCCCGTTGGAGAAAAAAAACACTTTGGGAATATGCCCGTCCAGGAAATGTTGTTGAAAGAATGGCACTGCTGGAAAAAGTACCAAAGTTCCCAGTTTCCTGGACTGACCAGTGGGTTTTGGATGTTAGACAAACTCTCTATTCGTGCTCAATCTTTGCTTGGTATCCAATCTTCCTTCTTTGTGATACCGGGATTGGATCTATTCAAAACTCTCAAGCAGGAACAATGACTACTAAAGGGGTTCCCAATGATTTATTTTCTAATTTCAACCCATTGACAATTATTGTTTTAATGCCAATTTTAGACTACGTTTTCTATCCAGCATTGCGAAAGTATAGAATTGAATTTAGACCTGTTTGGAGAGTTGCATTGGGGTTCGGCTTAGCTGCTTTATCTCAAGTAATTGGTGCTATTTTGCAATGGAGAATTTACAAGACCCTGCCTTGTGGATATAATGCTACCAATTGTCTGTATGATGGGATTGTTTCTCCAATATCTGCTTGGGCACAAGTTGTGTTGTATATTCTTCAAGCTTCTGGTGAATGTTTTGCCATGACTACTGGTTATGAATTAGCGTACATTAGAGCACCACCTAATTTGAAAGGTCTTGTGATGGCTATATTTTTGTTTATGTCAGCCATTTCATCAGCCATTTCTCTTGCAGTTTCTGGTGCATTGCTGGATCCAAATTTGATTTGGCCATTTGCAGCCATGGGGATTGCTGGTGCATTAGCCGTTGTAGGAATTCTCATCAAGTACAGAACACTTCACGTGGTGATGGAAGAAGAGAGAAAACTCAGAGATGGATATGTGAAGAACGAGGAACTCAATAGAGGTAATGTTTACACTGTTGGAGGTACTGAAGAGGAGAATTTAGAAGCAGTTACCTCAATTAAATCCACTGTTGGAAAATAAGAGGAAATTAGTGCAAAGTGATTAAAAAAAACTTGAAAATCAATTGCGAATAGAAAGATATATGAACAATAAGTATGTTTCTCTCTTGAATCAGAACTATTTAACAGCTTCGCTATTTACAAAGTTTATAATTTATCTAGGAATAATATCTTTTCAGTATTCAAATGTATGTGTACCACCTCCTTCACAAATCAAGTGAATAAGTTTGTTAACAATGACCAAATTATATGCACACCAACGCGTTTGCCTCACCAAGGGGCACACGGGATTCTTATATTTTTTTATTTGATTGTCAAGATCTACAATTAGAAACTACAGATAATCACAACCAAAATAGAAATGTTCCTTACAGCATTGTCTTTTGTAGGAGCAATCCTTGGGTTTGTCTTTCTTGTGCTATCCATCGCATCTGGTCTCTACTACGTATCCGAACTCGTAGAAGAGCATTCAGAGCCTACCAAACGGTTCCTCAAGAAGGTTATCTATACCATCATCGGATTATTTGTATTGTTATACTTGTTTGATTCTTTCCCATTGAAACTTTCCTTGTTCTCCATATTTTCATATTATGTTTATTTACAGAACTTGAACAAGTTTCCATACGTACAACTCACATCTCCGGTGTTCTTAGCATCTTGTATTTTGGTAGTGGCCAACCATTTCCTCTGGTTTAACCATTTCCATCATCCAGTGATCCCACCATTAGAGGTCAGATTGAGACATGATTACGTCCCACCACATATCCCATCTTTTGTGGAAGTATGTCTGTTCTTTGGAATATGTGTATGGTTTGTTCCATTTGCCTTGTTTGTCAGTTTGAGTGCACATGACAACTTGTTACCTCTGCATGACACAATGGCCCCTTCTCCTTCAAGTAAGAAGAAAAATAATGGATTGGCCAAGGTCGTAGTAGCGAAGGTAAGAGATTATGTATATAGTGCAGCAAGAACCGTTGGTTGGGAGTTGGATAAAGAGCATGGCCGTATTATATAGGCTTTAACAAAGTTGTATATTAACAATTAAAAAACGTACAAGTAGGTAATCATTCCCTTCTTCCACAATATTTACATTTACATGTAGTTATCACCATCACAACTTTTCATATATATATATACAACTTTGAAATCGATAACGTCCCTAAGACTTTACTCCCAGATTTCCCTCAAGGAAGTCCTTGATAGGAACTCCAATATGATCTAGTGACAACAAAAAGGTATCATGTCCGTAATTACTGACATCGTTACCCAATTCAAAATATCGTATATCACCACCTTTATTGGCATCTTTTAAAACATCTGCGATTTCTCTCTGTTGCCACACTGGGAAAAGTATATCAGATTCTACACCAACCACTAAAATGTCCTTATGGGCAATTCTGCTCATTCCACGACGAAGATCGTTCAACGATTCTTCTGCAGAAAGGGTATCCGAGTTCGATTTTTCCTCATATGGAATCGGAGGTACTGTTTCTGATCTAGTGGTAGTGCTTGCTCTTGTATGAGCTGCCCTCGCACGGTTTTGTTCACCCAAGTCGAACAAATCCATTGCCTTCAGTACGTATAACAAAGAATTGGCATCATATTCAAGGCAAAACTTTTCACCAGCATGGTCCAAATATGTTTCAACTAAGAAATCTGGACACAACGCTGGAGGTCTTGAACTATCAGCTCTGTTTCTACCGAACCGATATTCCCATTCAGGTCCTGATCTATATGTAACCGTGGCAATTTCTCTTGCCAACTTCATGCCAACGTGTGGTGGAACCTTCCCATAGTAAAATCCCCTGTTCCAATTAGGATCACTCATAAGAACTTGTCGTTGACAATGCCTAAGAGCAATTGAATATGGATGTGAACGCGAACAGCCAGAGATACTGACAACCTTTTCCACCTCATCGGGGAATTCCCAAGCATAAGCCAAACTCTGCATACCACCCATAGATGCTCCAACAGTAGCCCATACTTTGGAAACATTGAAACAGTTTTTAATCAATTCACGTTGAGCACGAACCATGTCATTAACTGTTATTATAGGAAATCTTGTAGCGTATGGTTTTCCATCAGCTGGATCTTTAGAAGAAGGTCCAGTGGATCCATAACATCCACCTAAAACATTTGTACAGACTATGAAATATTTGTTTGTATCCAAATATTTACCTGGTCCAATGAATCCTTCCCACCAGCCATTCTTGGTGTTATTAGGTTGCGATTTGGCATGCGAAGATGCTGAAAGTCCAGTATGAATCAAAATTAGATTATCTCTCTTGGAGTTCAATTGCCCCCATGTTTCATATGCAATCTCGTATTCTGGTAACACTCCTCCATGATCCAAATGAATAGGTTGCTTGGAATGGAAAATTTTAAAACCAGTTTGAACAAATGAATATGAAGGTTCCGGACCAGTTTCCAAGGTGTTGATATTTTCGTTATTTGATGAGGGTGTTGAGCAGCTTAATTGTTCATTTTTCTTCTCGAGTTTATCTAAACAGGGGAATAGTAATTGTGGATTTGAAGATACTATTTTGGAAGAAGACTTTGCAGCAATATTTCTTTCAGTGCTATAACATTTGGATAAAGCCTTATACGTATTTGAATTTGGTTTATAAGCGAGAACCCTCTTTACACCAGCTCTGAGCATCTTCCTCTTTGAAATATCTTGTAATCTGACCCTCTTATTTAATCGTTTTATCAGATTAAATTACCTGGGGTATTTTTAATCAATGATTTGAATGCATATAAAGAAATTGATTAGATATACTCAAGTCACGTGCAATGAGCGAACTGTCCAGAGGCGAATTTTGCATTCCAGTAAAAAATGAAGCGGATACTTAGTGACATATACAAGATCTCATTGAATAGATTATAAGTAAAAAAATGAATGAGAGGGTCATTATTTGGCAAAGAGCATTACTTCCCTTCTTTCTATATAATATTATCGATTGACATCATGATTATATAAATCCTAATGATTACAAATGACATACATAAATAACTCAAAAACTCAATTAAGTAGTACCTAAGTTTATCTGGCCATAATCTCAAGAAAAAAGCTACTGAAACCGTAGATTTGTAACAAAATTCGTCTCAAACACTCTCTATATCTCCTTACCAAGTTTTTGCAACTATATATTTTAAGCCCACATTAAAAAATCGCGCTACTAAGTAGAAAAATAAATGTAAAAACACTTCTTTGGGGGAGGGTTGACATATTAATGAAAAACACTATAATACTATTATTATGAGGAACCTTACCATGAATTTAGTTTCATCATGGATTCCTCACCTCATGTATGCAACGACTGTAATATTCGGGTCATTATTAGCTCCCTATTTCAAGCCATATGCAGATATCATATCCTCTAATCTGTTAGAAGCATTAATAAATCGAATTTTTGTTACTGAATATGGGTATATTGTATTTACCATTGTATATTTTACAAATGTCTACTTCAATGGGAAGAACAATAACCAAACTAAACGTATGCGCCTGTTGGTATATCTATTAAATACCATCATTGGTATTGGTATAGCTGTTTGGTTTTTCGGACCACTGATTTTTGATCGCATAGATGTGGTCTCAGGAGGTCATTGCGATGGAGCAATTCTTCCCCATCCACAGTGTGTGGATATATATAAATGGATTGTGGGGTTTGACTGCTCTGGACATACTTATATTCTAGTTTCAATGAGTTTATTGGTATGGCAAGTGATCCAACCTATCCCGAAATTCACTGAAAGAAGAAATGATTTGGAAAACTCATTAACAAGTACTACAGAATCCAAGGTAGCTACATATCTAAAGTGCATAACTACGATAATACTATTGATTTGGTACTCGATGTTAGTTATAACATGCTTATTTTTTCATACTTATGCAGAAAAGGTTGTGGGGTTGTTGGTGGGACTGGCACTACCTGCGTCTGTTATCATATTTCCAAGACAATAAATGCGGTAATTGTGCTGCTTGAGTGATTTGTGCGATGCAGGTCATCGTAGGCATATGGTCAGCCTCATGGTTATTTCTTATTAATAATCAAATATTATTTAGAAGATATATATCCATATATATAGATAGGAATTCCCATAGTTCTGTACACTTTTACCTAGTAGACCATCATTTGTGAACTCACATATTTAAAAATAAATTTTTTTATAAATATTTGCTCACTTCCGATTTCGGAGTCATCTCACTTAGTATATCCGAGACCCATTTTTAAAAAACTGATTTCTTCATAGTTCTTCACTCCTGATTGTTCAATATGGAGGTGCTTACCGTTCGTCTTGGAAATATCCATTGCGATGACTGTCGCATTGCGGTTGCAAATGCCCTTGCCAAACTGGGGATTAAGATTCAAGATAGTTCAAAAGATCATGTACCAAATTCCTACCATATCGAAGACAATAATGTGATCGTATATGGATCCAACCTACAACCAAAAACAATCATCAAAAATATCGTTAAGAATGGTTTTAAAGTGCTCTCCTGGGATGCGACAACTGAAGATGACGATACTAACGAAGAATTAAGTACCACTACAGTGATTCCTTCAACCTCATGGTGGTCCAAATTTCAGGACTCAAGACAAAAGCGCTCACACCTCAAACATTGTTCAAAGTGTAAAGAAGAACAAACCGATCAAGATTCTGAATTAACCGCTATTTCTCCCGTTGTTGAAAAGCAAGAGAGAGAGTTCAGAGTTGTATTCTCGGTGGAAGGTATGACATGTGCCAGTTGTGTCCATGATGTAGAAGAAAAAATTGGTACTATTCTTTCTGATGCTGGAGTGTCTTTAAATGATACTGACAAACAACCTAACTATTCTGTAAGCTTGATTCTGCACACTGCTGTTGTTGTTCTCCCCAATAAGCAACTCATCAATAAAATTGTCGATGGGGTTTATAACATTGGATTTGAATGCAAACTTGTGGAAGCATTGCCTGTTGAGAGATCCATCAACACAAAGATTGTTGCCATAATTGGGGGTATGACATGTGCTGCATGTTCTAATTCCATTCGACTGGCAGCCATTGAACTACCATTTGTATTAGAATGTGGTATTAACCTCGTTAGTAAGACTGGTCAATTTGTTATGGAATATGACCCCGAAAATTTAGAAAAACTAAAAGAAACAGTGGAGGAATGTGGTTTTGACTTTGAAGTTGTTACAACTGAACAAATCAATTACACGTCGACTAAGAAACGGTCGCGTACCATCAATGTTAGCGTTGATGGTATGTTCTGTTCTCATTGTCCAGAAATCGTCATGGATTACCTCAATTCGTATGGTGAAGCAGTTGTAATTGATGACCCAATTACTTTGGATCATCCATATATCAAATTTACATATTTACCTAATCCGGAATCAGGTATCCATATAAGAAAGTTTCTTGATGATATCAGTCACTTGGAAGCTGATTCTACTGATCCTTTGGGGTATAAAATTGACAAGAATAATGACGAATCGTCTTTTAAGGCCACATTGGTTCAACCAATTTCTATGGATGAACACCTTCGTGAGCTTTCGAAGAGAGAAGTTTTCAATATTGTTAGGCGGCTCATTTTGGCTACCGTGTTTGCCGTTCCTACATTTATTTTTGGAATTGTAGGTATGTCGCTTCTCCCAAAGTCCAACAATTTTAGAATATGGGTTGATGAACCCCTTTGGGTTGGTGCAGTTTCTAGAAGTACCTGGATTTTATTTATTTTGAGTACTCCAGTTTATTTTTTTGCTGCTGATATCTTTCACATTAAGGCATTAAAGGAGCTCAAAGCATTATGGTTTTATAAGAATTCCTTTCGGAAACGTTTATTTCGTTTTGGATCTATGAGTCTTTTGATGTGTTTGGGTACTTCCGTTTCATACTTTGCAAGTATTGTATTGTTAATTTTGAGTTCACAAAAGAAAAATGGCATGGATATGAGAGAGGGAATCACCATGTCCTATTTTGACCTGGTGGTATTCCTTACCTTCTTCTTGCTTATTGGGAGATTACTTGAAAGTTTTTCAAAGAGTAAGACTGCTGATGCTATTGCGAGTTTGAGTAAATTGAAAGTAACTCAAGCTCATTTAGTTGATAGAGACAATGACAATGACGAGGAAGATAAAGTAGTTGACGTCAAATTCCTAGAAGTGGGTGATCTCATAAGAGTTGTTTCTGGGGACTCCCCACCTGTTGACTGTACGGTTGTTGAAGGTCAATCCGAATTTGACGAGGCTGCTCTTACTGGTGAGTCCAAGCCAGTAAAGCATACGTCAGGACATCAAATATTTTCCGGGACCGTAAATGTAGGGAATGAGGCCATTATAGCTAAAATCACATCTTTGGAAGGTGATTCACTTCTTGACCAGATTGTGAACACAGTAAGAGATGGACAATTAAGAAAGGCACCAATTGCTAGAACAGCTGATCTTTTGACCGGGTATTTTGTTCCTGTTATTGTTTTCTTGGCAGTGCTTACTTGGGTCATTTGGATTTCACTTGGGTACAGTGGATCTCTCCCTGAGCATTATCTTGATACTGAGATTGGTGGCTGGGCTGTATGGTCTCTCGAATTCTGTATCGCAGTCTTTGTCATTGCATGTCCATGTGGTATTGGATTGGCTGCTCCAACTGCATTGTTTGTTGGTTCAGGTTTAGCAGCAAAATATGGTATACTTGCCAAAGGAGGAGGTATTGCATTCCAAGATGGAGCAAATACGAACGTCGTTTGTTTTGATAAGACTGGTACATTAACTTATGGAGAACTTCAGGTAACTGATTATTTATTTACCGATGATGAAGATATAGCAAGCAAGACATTTTCTCTTCAAGCAGCCAAGGATTTGGAATTGGTTTCTAAGCATCCATTGGCTAAGTCAGTGAAATCGTTTTTGAATAAGTATGGATTCCCCAAAAATAATATAACAGCAACTCAAAACAAAATCCCACAAGTTGAAAATGTACCTGGGAAGGGTCTTCGTGGTTATTTCGTTATAGAAGAAACTCAAGAAGAAGAAAACAGCATATGGACAAAATATTCTCCTTCAGAGGCACTTTTGGGAAATGAAGCATTACTCCATGATTACAACGTCGAGATTAGTACGAAGCAAAGTGAAATCTTGACTAGATGGAAATCCGAATGTAAGTCAGTTGTTCTCGTGGCAATTCGATGTAAGGATTTATATGGTGATGATCTCTATCACTTGTCCTTTATGATGGCATGTAGAGACCAGATCCGGGCTGAAACAAAAACTGTGGTTTCCTCTCTTCAGAAAAGTAATATTGAGTGCTGGATGATTACTGGAGACAATAAACTTACTGCCAAGGCAATCGGGAAAGAAATTGGAATTTCTGAAGATAGAATCGTTAGTGAAGTGTTACCGGACGAAAAACAAGCACAAGTGCAAAAGATTCAAAAGTTAAGTAAGGGGAAGCGGAATATTGTTGCAATGGTTGGTGATGGTATTAATGATGCACCAGCAATGGCTTCTGCAGATCTTGGTATTGCTTTGTCTTCTGGTGCCGATTTGGCAGTAACCCTGAGTGATTTTATTATACTTAATAGAGAGAATCCATTGGTCACCTTAGTGACTTTGTTAGATCTCTCTCGGACAATTTTCAGACGAGTAAAGTTTAATTTTGGCTGGAGTTTAGTATACAACATGATTGGTATCCCGGTTGCTGCTGGGGTAATATATCCTTACAATAACACACGTTTGAGTCCAGTCTGGGCCAGTGCAGCCATGGCACTCTCGTCAATCAGTGTGGTACTCAGTAGTTTGGCCTTGAAATTCTATACTCCACGCGTTAAGGCTGTAGAAGAATTGGAATTGGAAGAGGAAGAACCTAGAAAAGTTACGTTGCAAGAATAATAGCTTAATTTGTATATATATTTATGATTTGATAGCCAATAACATAACACCACTGTAGATTACAACTATTACGTTGATCCTTAATCACATTACCAATTTGAATACTTGACATTCAACAGCTATCTCAACGCTTACAATAAAGTATGTAAGGTTTTCTATATCCTAATGTCATATATCATACATGACTTGGATGTTCTATTCCTATATGTATATTATAGCATCCCAAATTATTTTTAATTCATTACTTTCTCATAAACGATACATAGTGAATGCGATAACATTGACCAATGTAGACTCTTTTACATAGGATGACCAATTGGAGATAACTAACTACTCAATCCAAGTTTCTGTACCGCGTGTCCCAATGCAAATACACTCTGATCGAACTTAACCACCATAATAGTAACATTATCAGTTGTTGAGTTGTCCATGGCCAATTGACATAATTTTTTAGCAGCTTGAGACACAGTAAGCCCATCATTTAATGCCTTCAGTACAAATTGAACAGCATGAAGGTCCAGAACTACATCCCAGAGTCCATCACAAGCCAAAATCATGAACTCATCATCGACCACTATTTCTGTGGCAGTGGTATATGGTTTCCCAATCACCAATTCTTTCATATAAGAGTCTCCCAATGATCGTGTCACTGCAAGAACACCATTGACTCTATTTTTCATAATGAGACCACCAGCGTCTCTAATCCGCGCAATCTCATGACGATCGCTAGCCTTATGGTCATACGAGAGTCTGTACGGTTGTCCCTTACGACACAATATAATCCGCAGGTCACCCACATTCGACGTATATAACATTCTACGATGATTTGAAGGGACAAAGTCAAAAGATTTCAGTGTTTCATTATCCAAGGGCAAATTCTTCGACAGCTCAGCAGACAGCAGTTTCAAATCCGTACTAGACAATTCTTCCCAACGTAACACTGCCACTGCAGCAGTACAGCCGGAATTTCCAGTTGGTTCTTTCAGGATCAATTCATCTGCTTTAACGAATGCTTTGCACATACTCTCACGCAAATCTACCTCACCTTCAGACGGCTCAGACACAATTTCTTGTTCTAATAAGGAATGTAAGTTATTACCACACCAACGCGCAGTTTGCTTACCTGCGTGTCCATCAAATATAGCAAAATAACCCCAATCCAATCTTTCAGCAAAGTTCGCCACATAGGTGTGCACGTCTTCCATAGTTGCTCTATAATTTACATTCTTGTTCTCAGCAACTCCGACTTGGAAGGAGAGTCCTTCAAATGGATTAGAAGTTGTTGTTTCGGTTGTTACTGGTGCTTCCCCAGTGGTTTTTGTCGCTGGTGTAGACTCAATTATGGGAGCAGTGGTTTCTACAGCTACCTTTGATGTATTAACCAGTGAGTCACCTGCTGGCCTTAAGTTTTTCTCATCTTGATTAGATGAACTATCGTTGTTCTCCACATCAACGAAACGATTTGGAGACGGCTGCACATTCTCCAACGTTTGACCTTGTTGCTTTTCTATTGGTTCTTTAGACCCCATCACATGTTTCACTTTATCTACACTCAGCATTTCTACAACCTATGTTGTTATACTGTTCAATTTGACAAAAAGTTATTTGTAATGTGTGAAGGTTTAAGTCTAACTTACACAGATCGTGCCACCAAAAAAGGGAAAAAAAGCCTAAAAAAAATAAAAAAGAAAGGATTGAAACAAAAAAAAAAAAGAAGGAACAAAAAGGCTGTACTTGACGTTTGTCACGTTTGACGAGGGGTATAATTTATAGAGAATGAACAAAAGTTAAATTTAGAACTATATAGAGTGTAACTAGGTGAAAAGAGGCGAAATCAACCGTATTGTTAAGTAGTGGGAGGTGTCTTTGGATCCGTGTGGCTCAAAACTTTTTAATACCACTTAGAATTTTACTTATTGTTTTACTTTTGTAAATCGGACGCGAATGGTTTACAAAATCTAGACATGTGAAGTAGAGTATAAATCACATGATATACAGGGACAATGATTGCTAGTGAACTTCACAATTTCAAAAATCAACTACTACTAGATGTATGATTTACGTATAGAAGTATATTGTGTCTATTTTATTTCCCCATGGAACAATAATGAAAACCAATCTCATATTAATAAGTAGACAATACTAGTACAATGGGCCCTGACGTAAGACCGCTACAAAAAAAATATTATTTGAAGGGCGGCTTTCATCGCAATAATCAATCAGCCGCAGGGGTACAACTTCGAAGTTCGCACTCCGCCCCATGTACTTCCTGGTAAAGAAGTAAGCCACAAGAGCAGAAATATTTATATGAATAGTTTAGATCAGAGGACCATAACCTTTACTCGGTTTTTTCTACACTTGTAACTTCGTTGGTGATTGACTCTTGAAAAAAATTCCTAGAAAATAAATTCAAGTCTATAAATTTGTGTATGTCACTGGAAAGGAGCACCTAATATTGGTTTTTTTGGCTCTCAATCAACTGATTATGTATTATTCTTGTAATACCCCTAAGAACTTTCTTCTTGGTCTTTATATTATTTTATCCTGTATATTGACGCGCAATCAAGATTTCTTGATAACGATTAATGAGAAAAATACAACGGTTCCTAAAAATAATTCCTTTCTTTACTTCCGAAATCTCATATAAAACTTCTTCAATGACCAATCATCTTGATGATGAAAGTATCAATGAGTTACCCATATCATTAGGGGGAACAAATCCTTACAACAGAGCTAGGCGTAGGTCAAGTTCTTTCCGTCCAACCTTTTTCTACCCAGCCACGACCAATAATGGGTATGGCATCGATAGGGTGAATAAACAGGCAATTACAAAGTCAAATACGAATAATTCACAGGTTAAGGATTTTGAATCTGTAATTGAAGATCTGATAATTTCACTAGAATCACTCCCTGTAGCTATTCTCACGCAAATATGCTCAAATCTTCGCACCAATGATTTACTTTCAGTATGTCGAAGTTCATTATATTTGTATTTACCTGCAACGATTCAACTCTATAATAAAATCATTGTTAGTTCAAACCCAAGAGCAATCCAGCTTGCTAGAACACAATTTCTGCACTCTTATTTGAATTTTGGAACTCTCATCTTATCAGATTCATTACCAAAACTATGTCGAGTTCTTATGGAAAACCCAAAACTTGCAGCTTATGTTAAAACACTTATATTAATTGGTAATATCAATTGGGATACTCATTATATGGGTACACATGCATGGAGTTTTGATCCATCTTACAGCTCTGTATCAGCTCCACTTAGAGCCTTTTTGGCACCTGTATTACAACTTCCACGAGTTCAATTGAATGAATTATATTTTCCATCTTGGTCATTGTCACAACCAAATGTACATGATTTTAGCAGAATTCAATGGCTTACTGTATCTTTAACTGGAATTAAGGAACTTCATGAGAAGGTTATTCTTCCAAGGCTAACAGGATTGAAAATATTGTATGAGAATAATTCTCTGCAACAAATAATATTGGAAAATTTTGCAGCCATTATTTTTCCGTCCTTAACACATTTATCCACCCTTCAATTCGAACGAGAAGAGCCAGACTCTTCTCAATTTCTTTTACAAACTTCTGTGGGAAATAAAACCACCCCTGCAATTTGGATCTCATTCCTTCAAGTTTTACGTAAATTGATTACTCAAAAATTAAAAATCTCACGATTATCACTTGATGGATTTCTTGGTAATACGGGTAATGTTGTTGCTTCAATATTAGGAGAAGTAACAGATTTGCACTTATTAAACTCGCTTCAACTCCATACTAGAGAACTCACTCATCAATTTGAGCCACATTCCGTTCATGTATCATCTCGAACGTCATTTCTTCGAAATCTTACAATGAAAACAACTTCTTTAATGCAACTTTCAATCACTCCGACACATGATTGTCTTTTCTGTCAAAATGAAAGTATCAAAATTACCTTAAGTGAGATATTACCAAATCAACTTGTTACTCTTCTGATTGTTTTAGATTCTCCTAACCTATTATACACTCAAAATATTAACCATGCCATTAATACTCATCAAAGAAAACTTATAAACCTCAAGTATCACGATAAACTGCAAGAAGTGTCAATAAGAAAGGCTCTTGGGAAGTTTTTACCTTCCGCTCAAGTTGATCTTTATGATAGAGCATCTCTTTCAGATTCGATACTTCAAACTACAATATATCGTAACTTTTTCTTGTACGATATTGAAAGTATATCAACTAGAAAACATGCTGCACTGAGGAGAAACAGTGTTGTGTTAAATGATTACATGGTTAAATTTATTATGGAAAATCACAATCAACTTGCCGAATTTCTTTGGTATGATGGCCCAGAAGATATTGTAATTAAGGAATTTGATTTCGTTCGTCATTTACCAAAACTTCAATATTTGTGCATGTTTGGTATCAATTTGTATATAAAGAATTCTGATCCTCGCAGAGTACAATTTATTACTAATGATGGATATGAATACATTGATGCATACGAGCAAGCAGTTCAATAGTAAGATATGAAAATAGAAGGTGTTTGGATCTGCTAGATTGACTACATACAGTTATAAACAACTTTGTTATTATCGTTGCAACTTCCTTTCCAACATCAGAAACAAGTAAATCTAAAGTTTGATATGTACAAAAATAAGACTAGGTTCAAATGGACAAGACAAATTTATTTTTTATCTGTAATAGCGTACGATTAGGCTCTAATATGTACACAAGTGCATACAATGTAAAAAAATATTAGTCAGGCGTATAGACCCATATCTACCCTCACCTACATATAATCTCCACAGTAATGATTTACTCCCCACTTCTCAACAAATCTCAAAATATTCCAAAAAAAAAAAAAAAATCTAACCGAGCTTGTAAATTAATAGTTACACTCACATTTATCAATATACTAAAACAGACATGGTTCAGATTCCATACACCGCCATCGGTGTACCCAAAGTTAGTTATGTAGAGCATAACGGTGCAAATTTCAAAATAGTCGAATGGGAACATGCAGGTGAATACAAGGGACAAATCCTCTACGTCCATGGTTTTGCCGAGGACTCAACTATTTACACAGAATTCTTTGATAAACTCTCCCAAAAAGGTTATAACATTTACTTCTTTGATCAACGTGGATCGGGAGAAACTTCCCCAGGTAAGCAAGTTGGTAAGACTGATGAGTTTCACACATTTAATGATTTAGACTTTATGTTGAAAAGACTTGTTGATGCTCAAACCAAGCCTGAACAATTGTACCTTTTTGGTCATTCAATGGGTGGTGGAATTATTCTCAACTATGCAATCCGTGGGAAATATCGTGACCATATAAGAGCAGTTGTTGCATCTGCACCAATGGTCACTTTGCACCCAAATACCCAACCAAACTTTATTGTTAGAGCTTTGAGTCCTGTAATTAATCGTTTGGCCCCTAATTTAAAAATTGATTCAAAACTTAATATCGATTATGTTACATCAAATAAGAAATGGCAACAATATATTCGTGAACATGATCAAAAGTTGATTGGTACTTCCAGACTATTTTTTGACATGTTTGCTCGTGGAGAAGCCCTTACGAAACCAGAATATGTTTCGAAGTTTCTGCCTGATATTGCCTTACTTTTGTTACATGGTACAGATGATAGTATTAATCATTATGATGGAAGTCGAAAGTTTTATTCTCTTTTGTCTGACAATGTCGACAAGGAATTTGTTGACGTAAAGGAGGCTAGACACTCATTATTCATCGAAAAGGACGAAATTTTGATTCCATTATTGGATAAGATATTGGATTTCTTGAGCAAGCACTAGTTGATCGTTGTTTTTTAATTATATTTGTTCGTATAGAAAATGAGGACGAGCTTTGGTTTAAAAAATAAAGTTGTAGAGAGATCAATTAATGGGATCGTAATATCAGTAGTAGTAGTAGTAGTAGGCTCATTATAGGTCTAGCGTATGGATCATTCAGGATAAACACTAGACATAGTTTTTATCACTAGAAATCAAAGACTTGCTATTTCCTCAAATTAAACATCTGTTGTTTTTTTAATTTTTTTAAAAAAATAAAGGAATATTATTTGCAAAGTGGAAAGTTAGATCAATAGCTCTAAAATCTCCCTGTTTTCTATTTATATTAATTCTATTACTTTGATACAATTCATGTTGTTGATTAATTGCTGCAAATAGATACTAGTTGTAAAAATTAAATGTTTGGGTGTTCTGATGTAGGTGTATGCACTCCCGAACACGTATATCAAAAGCTTCAACACGAAAAGAAACAAACCCTATATTTTATCTAGTTCTTGTGCAATACATCACATAATGACCAAGGCTACTGAAACTCTCCTTACCTTTTTCGCCGTATCCGCAGTATATTTTGCTCTTTATGCGGGTGTGATCCCTACTAGTGACAAGATTCACTCTGAAATCTTGCCATACCTCCCATGGTGGGCATTGGTTTCATTTGGTGCTTATGCGTTAGGTACTTTAGGTTGGGGTGTTTACACTTTCAAGGACAAGGAAGGTAAGTACAAGGAATTATTGGTCCAAATTGACGAAGCCAAGGATTTCTACAAGAAGAAGGGTGTTTCATTGGATTAAAGTTGTACATTAAATAAACGATAAAGTGATTGATATGAAATGAAAGTTGTAGTAGACTGTAGATGATAAACTCACAAAAAAAATTCATAAAGCTGTTAATTAGAGTTGTTACATTATGATCAATCTATTTATATTCTAATTTGAATCTAATCACCTTATATACTGAAATAGAATGAGAAATAAATATGCATATAAATACTCATCAAAGTGGGCGGGTAGTGTGTTATTTTCTGAATTATCTCTAATAAGGATACCCTAGTTGCAAGTATTGAGTGACTTTAAATGAAGTCTCCATGTTGATAAATTCATTTGGGACTTAACAACATAATTAATATATTGCAGATCAATTTAACCTGTGAAATTAACTGATCAACTACCAACTACTTGTATGTTCAACTAAATCTAGATAACTTCATATATGAACAAGTTCATGGAGATGTAGTTGCTTCTTGTTTTCTCTTTTGTTTCAATTTTCTTTCCATTTCAGCAAATACTTTAATAGTAACTGGAACTTCGCCCCATCCATCTTCCTTCTTTGATAAATCTTCCTGTTTCTTCTCGTCAGTAGCAATACTCCGAGGAAGGTTTTCTTTGTTTAATAAATATACAGGGGCATAGAAGTTCTCGGGCCATCTTCCTCCCTTCTTTACCAATTGTTTGGCAGCTTCAGCACGTTTACTTTTCCAATCTTTCAAATCATCATTGAATAATTCCCACACGCAATTGACACATCCGCTCATACAACAATTATCTGGTTCTATTGGCTTGGGAGGAACTTTCACACCTGCAATTGTAATCGGTTCTCCTCTAAGTATTCTACTTGATGAACGAGGTGATTCACCCTTTATTCTACCCCCAAAAATTTTGGCTATTCTTTCTTCCCCGCTAAGGCCATCTAATTGATAATTACCTTTGAATGAAGCCCTCTTGGTAGTCGAATCAAGAGCTCCTTCGCCATGCTTTTCACGTGCAAAGATGCTCTTCATGGCCTCCAATGGCTCAGAAGGATGTGAATATGTTGCTGCAACCAAATCATAAAATTTGTACTTATTAAGAACTACTTGAGATTTTCTAATCATGGTTATGTGTTAATGAATGAATGTATAAATAATGAATAATTCGTCTAGTTATCCTCTACTCTAATGGAACAGTTGAGCAGTATTAAAATAATAAAATAAAGTCAAGCTATTAAATGAGCTCTCACCCTTAATCTTCTCTGTAGTTCGGTTGTAAAGATATATTTAAAAATATTTAAATAGGTATGTATTATATAATCAAAATTGCTAGATTTGATTTGATAGCGGAAAAAGAAAAAAGAAAATAAGGTTCATGTAGGATTTGAACTAGAGGAATTGTACTAATAGATTGCAAATAAGTATACAACAAAAAATCCATAACATTAGTAAGATATTCTAAATGCAATTAGTTTATATATATATATATATATATATATTGGTCTATATTAGTCTATACTTGAACAGTAGTAACTTTTAATGCTTCATCGATACTTTTGAAAAATCCTGCGCCTAATCCAGCTGCTGATCCTTGTAAACCAGTATGTTCATTTATATTAGATACTGAAAAACTTTCATTTACCATTTCAGTAAGTCCCAGTCTGGAAAATTGACTTCTAACATCAATTGGTACTCTCAGAAAGCAAACAACAATACCTGTTTCAATGTACTTCTTTACAATTTCGCACAAAATTTGAATTGCTGCAGAATCTATTCTAATCATTCCTTTGCAATCAACAATTAAAAATTGGGTAGATTGGAAATCACGAGTTTGTGGTTGCAGTGGATGAACTAATACTGATCCATATTTCTCTATCCTAGCCAATCTATTTTGAAGGTCTCCAACATTGGCAAAATTAAGTGGTTCTGGGATCTTAATTATTAATACGCCTTCAATGTCTTCAATTTCAGAAACCAAATCAGATAATTTATCTGAAGAAGGTTTAAAATGAGAAAAACTCTCTTCAATAAGCTCGTCGGCATTTCTAAATACCGATGAGTTCGGGATACGGCCCAAAATTTGTATACGTGATTTACTACTCTCTTTAATAATTCGAACAATTGCTATACCAACTCCAAGAGTCACCCCAGATTGAGCACTCCAAAAAAGAGTGGCTGCAAAAATAATAATAAATGTTATAATTTCATCATAACCACGAACATTCCAAAAGAATAAAAGATCAGATGGGACTTCTTCTAACACGGTTATTCCAATGATAGTTGTACTAAGTGCAAGTACACATTCCGGTAAATAATAGAGATATGAAAGAAGATAAACAATGGCAAATATAGTAACAATTGCCATCACTATCCCAGACATTGGGGTAGTTGCACCAGCTAAAACGTTAATTTTAGATCTTCCCAACGCACCAAACGCAGGTATACCTCCAAATATACTTACTACAACATTTGTGACTCCAAGTGCAATAAGTTCACGATTAGATGAAACATTATAGTTGAATCTTGCCCCCAAATTCTTAGTAGCAATGACTGAATCAAAATATCCAAGTGTTGTACAAAGGAAAGCAGTGGAAAATGTTGACTTAAACAAATCCAGTCTCAGTTTAGTATATCCAACGTTTTTTGAACTAAGCTTTACCTTTTCCCAAATCCATTGTGAATTTATTGATGCACCACTTGACGAATTCAGTCCTACAATCTCCACCCCCAAACTTTCCCAATCGAACCACCAACTTAACAATGTAGCAAAAACAACCATCATTAATAGCTCCGGAATGTACACCGCGTTGCGGTTCTTTACCACCCATTTCCGTTTTAAAGACCTTATAATCAATACAAGCGTTAAAGTTATCACAGAAATCATCAATGTTGGAGTATTGGTCTCCCTATAAACATTAAGAATATGCGATATTTTTTCTAATGGACTCTTACCACCTGGCTGTACCCCCATTTCCACGGGTAATTCGCTAATAATCATGATAATACCCATAGCACCTAAAAATCCCTTGAGCAATGCTCTTGATAGCACACTCTCCAAAAACCCCAACCGGAAAATACCAGCAGATAGGAGAATTGCAGCAACTGAAGCAGAAACTGTGCATGCAATATCATGTGATGACCAACCATTGGCACCAGTATCTAAACTATCGATGAGTTGTCCATATAATAACGCCAGAGACGGAGCAGGACCCACAATCAATACGGGAACGCTTCCCAATACTGCGTAGATCAATGATCCAATTATAACACTGCAGAGCCCAGTTACTGGTGGTAGATGCGCAAGAGATGTCACGAAGGACATCACCAAGGGAATTTGAAAGCTAGCAATAGAAACACCGGCAAGAAAGTCGCCAATAAAAGATTCGGAAAACGAATAATTGGGTAGCCAGCGAAGAATTGGTACATAATATGCAATATATGAATATCTATCAAATTGTTGATTATTATCCAGTGAGATGATTTCTAATTCGTCAGTAAATCTATCAATTCCAGGATCATTCAAGCTTCGGAGTGAACGAATCGATGCAGAAGATGGAACGGTGAAAAGTGGAGGTCTCCTAGACGTTGCAGAAGGGCCAGCGATCGGTTGAAGTAGCCTTGAATTCTCCAGAAAAGATTGCGCTTGAAGCTTCAGCTTCAGAGGCAGTCTTTGTGGAGATGCAGACATTTATATACCACGAGGACTAGTCTATTTCAAACAGGGGATTAATGACACCAAAATTATGAATCATTACTTTGGGAACTCTTGACCCAATTTGATATGGTTTAGACACGTAGATAAAGGTTTGGGGTTGCTGTTATCAGTGCGCGGTAGTACTGATTGATATACACCACCACATCCAGTTATTGCCCTACAAAATCGACTAGTTGATTTTAATTAAAATACCGTATAGCAAAGTCACCTAGCAATATTAAGTCTATGGTGACTACGTATTGCCAAAATTACATTCTAGAGAAAAAAGAATTCACTTCCAAAACTTTCCGAAACCCAAATTAAAACATAGAGTTGACCTATCTGGTAAACATTCAGGCTGCAAAAAAGAGATCATTTCAAATTAACCAATAAATCTAACTTCCTATTGGCGTAGAAAAATATTTGCTGAATTATACATCAAATAAAAAAGCAATAAGCAATAGCAAGAGAATGGAGTGTACAACAATACAGTTCGGGAAGTTGGTCGTTAAAATCTATCAACTGGAATTCATATTTAGATCTCACATGAGTGTATCTAAAAGCTATTTGTGAATATGGTTAAATACGTACAATTAATTTAGTATATCTCTGATAATTATTTATATACTTTGATGGTGAGCGTAAACCATTTCTTTTGATATGTACATCGTATAACTTTCTGAATTACGAAAGGAGAAAATCTCAAAAGCGCTCAACGTCATAAAAGTTGAATAGGATGAAGTTCTCGTAAAGTCAAAGTCGAATGTAGTGATTAGTCACAATAGTTGATAGACAAAGTACAATAAGTTAATTAGAGGAACATATTCATAACACATGCAAGAGGCAATTAAACCTAGTATATTGGTGAATTGATACTCCTCACTTTTGAAAGATCCTTGAATGAGTTTACTAAGTTTTTCTTTATCACATTCCGCTAGTTAATGTAAAAAATAATGTACACCTTCAAATAGGATTTATTTTCATCCATGTTTTAGAATGTCCAAAGGCAAATTTGAAAGAAACATAAATATTGTCTCCTGAAGAAACTTTAATTTACTATGTAAGACAATAGTTTCACCGATATTACTTCATGCATTTATTTAAAAATATTTAGTGGTTTGGTTTAATATATTTGCACACGTTTCTACTAACTCACGTGTTGCTGCATTTAATATACCGTGAGTGCTACCCCGGAAAACTTACCCTTGATATTGCGGTATAGTGATATTGCATTTCCGAGTGTGACTTTTTTTTCTTTGCATCGTGGGCCCTTTGGCCGAGCCAAGAGCAATTGACATGCATATCGGCAGATGTTTTTTTAAACTTTGTGCAGAAGTGATCCAATGTCAAGTTACCTATACAAACAATAGATGCCCTTCATTTAACCCTCAGATCGTACGGCGTTCTCAGATACATAGACCAATATCGTAGTAGGTCACACAATTGGTTCTAAAGATAAGGTTTAATGTAGCCGCATCCAACAGACGATAAGCTAGAACTACGTAAATGAATAAAGTTGGCTTATAGGAGATACATTGCAGTACAAGCCATACATAGATAGAATATACATTACCGAATTCAAGGCCAATTCTCTAATTTTATACACTCTTCAAGCGCTTCTATAAAGCCAATTAGCCTAACAACACTACGCCACAAAGATCAAGTTTTCATGCCTTTACTCAGAATGTAGAATAGTCGAAAAAAAAAAAAAGAAAAGTTACACTACTTGGATTTGGGATTTGCTTAACTCAATTTTGTCCTCTTTCAAGTAAAAAAATCGAGATTACCACGTGGGATAAGCCGTTTAGAATAATTTCTATATTATCGCATGAAAATTGTCAGTAGTGTCTTTATTGGTTTCAGCCGTTCTTCCTGCAACATATTTTGTATTGCATATCTCACCCTAGTAGGCTTATCCTCTATTATCTAGTGATTATATGTTAATCCATCAAATGTTTGACTTCAAACAGTTGCAAATACTGATAAATGCTTGATAATTAGACCTCAAGCCCACGTTCCCCTAATATAACCGTCAATCAAACTTGCCAAGAGAACTTTACCTCATTCCAAGAAATTTATTTTCTTCTTAGAGACTCTCGCACATTTTTAAAAGTAATAAGTGCTGCATTTTGGTGCTGTCACTGCATCTAATCTACTGGGAGACACTTAGCTGCAAACTAATTTCGCAACCGGTCTTGGCTTTATTACAGTATCATTACTACTAGCCCTGATGTCTAATTTTCATATAAAAAATGCTTCAGATCCCATTCTATCAGTTCCATTACTACCAATTTTTTACTTCTTCACTAGTCAAATAGCATACTCCTCGAAAGCAATCACCTAATAACCCTTTCATAATGGTCGCTCTTCATCAGTTTGACTACATCTTTGCGATTTCGATGCTTACAGCATTTCTCGATGCCTGGAATATCGGTGCAAATGATGTTGCAAACTCTTTTGCATCTTCCGTCTCTTCCAGATCACTTAAATATTGGCAAGCAATGATTCTTGCTGGTTTGTGTGAATTCTTGGGTGCTGTCCTTGTTGGTAGTAGAGTCTCTGACACTATTAGATCCAAAATTGTTAACGTTGATATTTTCTCTGATGATCCAGCTGTTCTTATGCTTTCTATGGCATGTGCCCTTGTTGGATCTTCAATTTGGTTGACCATCGCTACTTCCATCGGAATGCCCGTTTCAACTACTCATTCCATTGTTGGGGGTACCATTGGAGCTTGTATTGCTGCTAAAGGTGCCACAAATGTCAATTGGAAATGGGGTGGTGTTTCTTCTATTATTGCATCTTGGTTCATTGCTCCACTTATTGCTGGATGTTTCTCAACTATCATTTTCCTTATCTCCAAATTTGGTGTTTTGGAAATCAAAACTGTGGAAAAGTCCCTTCGTAATGCTTTAATCTTGGTTCCTTGTATGGTTTTCATTACATTTGCCGTCTTAACTATGTTAATTGTTTGGAAGGGTGCCCCACAATTAAACTTGGATGAGTTATCACCACAAGCTATCGGTGGGTCCATTATTGGTGTTGGTGCTGTCGCTGCCTTACTCTTTATGCTCTTCTTCTACCCATACTACAGAAGAAAATTAATTCACAATGACTGGACCTTAAGATGGTACCATATTGCCATTGGACCTCTTTTTTTCTTCAAATCTACTGATGATATCCCACCAATGCCTGCGGGGCATGAATTGGTCATTGATTATTATGCTGGTAGAAGATATGACACTCCAGTTGTTCATTCTGCTGCTGCCGCTGATGATGTTGAACAAAACCCTAACCCTGTTGTCCCGGGTACTGCCTCTATCGACTCCTCTGGAAAGGAAGTCAAGACAGACATTGAGATTGAAGATGTTTCAACATCAGCTTCCCTTGCTCCATCAGGTCAAAAGAAGATCCCAACTAAGACTCTCTGGTTCAACCTCTTGAAGCAGGGTCCAATGAAGTGGCCACTTCTTATTTGGTTGGTTCTCACTCATGGTTTCAACCAAGATATCATTTCCTCGCAAGTCCAATCCAAGGATATGCTTGCTGGTGACCTTCAAGCCCTTCACACCAATGCCAAGTATTACGATAACAAAATTGAATTTTTGTACTCCTTTTTACAAGCTACTACAGCTGCCACTATGTCTTTTGCTCATGGTGCCAACGATATTGCCAATGCAGCTGGTCCATTGGCTACAATTTACCTTGTTTGGTCCACCAACACCACTGGTAGAAAAGCTGATGTCCCAATCTGGATTCTTTGTTACACTGCTGCTGCTCTTGTTATTGGTTGTTGGACTTTTGGTTACAGAATTATGGCCAACTTAGGAAATAAGCTTATTTTACAATCACCATCTAGAGGATTCTCTATTGAACTTGGTGCTGCAGTTACAGTTGTGATGGCTACTCAATTGGCAATTCCAGTTTCAACTACTCAATGTGCTGTTGGTTCTACTGTCTTTGTTGGTTTGTGTAACAAGGACTTACGTGCAGTTAATTGGAGAATGGTTATTTGGTGTTATCTTGGTTGGATGGTAACATTACCAGTTGCAGGTATTATTGCCGGTGTAGTATGTGGAATCATCCTTAATGCTCCAAGATTTGGAGGAGAATACATCTTAACTTGATGTCATTTATATAAAAATAATTAGTGAATTGATACAGAATTTAAAAATGAGTTGATATAGAGAGAACTTTATTAGTTACGAATGGAATAGTAGTATTACCAAGAATATTTCTATTTGTTGTCATTTCTATAATGCATCAAATAGTTATTTATTACTTGGCCAAAAATGTTCTACTCCGTTAGTTACATATAAAATACTTCTAACGTTGTTCTAAAATCATAATGATAGAATACCTCCATAGAATGTGGGGGATATTATTTATACGAGTTTGTATACAAACTTAGAGAGTGACCGTATTTGATTCTAATCTGGTCAGTCATTGTCATTGGTACAGATTGTGCGCGCGCCTCCTTATAAGCCGTACTTTGTTAACGCGGAAATTACATCATTATCGCTAAATAGATCTACATTGTGCAGTGGTAGTCATTTGAAGAATATTTAATTCAATGCAACACCCGTTTGAATATATTCTTAAGTCTATTTAGAATTAAATATCTAAAAGTCAATGCTTTTCCGAAGAAATAGAAAGAATGTTCAGGTAGTAAGTACTTACAATGAAGATGATCTTCATCTTATGCGTGAAGCGAATTTAAACTATGCGGCTCGTATGGAGGAAAGAAGACAAACTATTGCACTTCAACGAGCAACAAGACAGATACATCATGAAGAAGTTCTTTCACGGGATGAATACACTACAGTTGATAAGGAAATACCGCCGTATAGTGTGTTGCTTCATGAGTATCTAGATAGAGTCTCGTTTGACTCGAGATTTGCACCATGTTTACGAATAAATCGAAAACTTGTAAACTCAGAATTAGAACTTCAAATCTCCATTGAAGAATTTAAAAATTTTAATTTGTTACCAACATCAGTAAACCTTTGGGAAATTTCACATATAGATGATTTAGAATTTGATGATATGATTCCATATTTGATTCAAGAGAACAGTGAGATTGATATAACTGAATCTGAACCCACCTACATGCATATTCCCGAATCTTCATTATTTCCCTACAAAGATGAAATTATAGACAATCAAATCCAACCACCAGCATACCTGTATTAATACGATAAGATTCAAGATAATTGAATATAAATATAACAAAAATAAGAACAAATTTGTACATTTGTAGTGCTTATTGAACAAGATAAACAATTAAAGACTAAATATTATGAGCTTATATATACTCTAATAGTGAGAAAGATTATAAGAAGTGTGCTATTTTTTTTTGGATAAGAATCAGCTTCATCGAGGTAATCTTCAACTTACATTTGATAGCCCAGTAGTTGAATTGAGATCAAACCAATTAATTAAAAACACTATGTAGTCTTAAATAACAATGGCACACCGAAAGATAAAAAAAATTAAAAAAAAAAGAGAAAGAAAGTATAAGGAATTATAAGTCAATTACTAGATATGCAAATACTACGGAAAGTATACGACTGAATGAATTTCACCTATGATTTGTTTCCTATCATTCATTGTATTTGTCTCATTTTCAAATACACTGCAAAAAATCAAATTCAATCACGTGCCTATTATTTGCAGGACATTCAAACCTTGTGTCTTTTTGTGCGGAGCAAAGGGCCCGCCAAAGGAGTGTTAGCATAAAATCAATAATATTCTACAACTCATTGAAGTATAGCTATCATGTCGTATGATGCCAAGTTTGACGCATCTCTTGATCTTCTCCGAAGATTGGATCCACAGCGAGTCTCATCGCATTTAACAGATATTTGTACAATTGTCAATGATGACGAACTTTCTCAAGATCTCTTGTCTTCCGTTGATGTACCATTGAAGGTGTTGCGCTGTCCTAAAACAAGTAAGGATTTCCTTTGTTGTGATTATAATCGTGATGGAGATCTGTACCGTTCACCATGGTCAAACATTTACGTATCCGCCGATGGGACAGCTGAATCTTCCAACCAAAATGACGAGGATGACGAAGCTCCACCATTCCCACTGAACATCCTTAGACAGTTGGAAGTCAATGCCAATGATGCATTTGATGTGTACCGTGACTTGTATTACGAAGGTAGCGGTGTATCTTCTGTTTATCTTTGGGATACAGAAGACGATGAAACTTTAGATGCATTTGCTGGAGTTGTACTTTTTCAAAAGCAAACCGATGATGGTTCAGGTCGTTGGGATAGTGTCCATGTATTTGAAGTGACTGCCGAAGACAGTTCATCTGCGCTGTACAAGGTCACATCGTCTGTCATTTTGGACATGTCCAAGTCAGCACTTTCTCTTCTGGGACTGCTTACGCGACAATTGGAAGCATCTCAAAGTTTAACCGCAGGAGTTAATGTTGAAACTTCACACTTGATTAACTTGGGCCAACTTATTGAAAAGAGTGAATACAATTTGCGTAACCTTTTGCAGGACGTCTACTTTGACAAGTTGAAGGACGTGGTCATGAAAGACTTACGTTCCGATGTGAACGCCGGGGCGGAGCACGAGAGACAGTCAGAGGTGATCAAAGGGTTACAAGCTTTGTAGTATGTATAGAATAGAATGCACATGATGAAAATACGACATACACATTGTAAGGCTTTGCTTATTGTTTTGACAAACGAAGCATTATATATCGTGAACTGTATTCGCCCGTAATCTGTTCACAATTTAATATGGCCACTCAACAATTCCTTGGTGAGTCAGAAAATAAAAAAGAACATGTAGGCTAATACATCTTCTAACAATTCTTTCAATTACAATTCTTAATTTCTAATTATCTACAATTAAATTCTTACCATGTGTATCATTACCCTTAACCCTATTTATTCTGCGTGTAATTTCTTCCTTTGCGCATGTCTTTGCACCGGTTCTCTCTTTTCTTGTGAATGTTGAGAATGGAGAGAGGAGCGATGACCGTAATGTTGTTGTTGTTGTTGTTGTTGCAGTCTCTGTTGTTGTTCTCCCGTCCACCTAGAATTATTGACTCCATTTGGTAGAATAGCCGCACCTGTATCCAAATTGTATGTGAGATCTTGTTCATCACCCAAGGACAGAAGAACATTAGATCTCACATCGCTAACAAATGACCAAATAGACAGTGAAACTGTTTGAAGTTTTTCCTCATACGAAGTTGGTTGAAGGAAACCACGAGCTTCAGACACTGTATCATCCTCTAGTTCCTCTGGGAGTGTCGTGGTCGACTTCCCCTTCAATGGAGATGATACCACGCTTGCTCCCAGTTGGACACTGTCTAAGGACAGTCTCTTAGTCTCGGTAGATGTTCTCTTGTTGTCGTCAACCGAGAGCCTTTTATCATCTCTGGCAGGAATCAAGGACTTCTCAAACTCATTTTGGAGCATCGTATCAAACTGTTGAATGAGGTTTAGAGGTTTGGAGAGATTATTCCAAAGAGTTGACCCTGTCAGACTCTTAATGCTATCCCTTTCTGGTGACAAAGAAGCTGTTGCGGCTGAAGCTGCTGCAGACACTGCAGCCAAACTAGCCAGTACTCTTGAATTGCTATCCATTTGTCCATTTGAGGTGTCTGTTGTACTTATTTGAGGTACCTGCAGCACCTCTTGACTATTACTGTTTCTTTTACTTATACTTGCAGGTCTACTATTTCCTCCTAGAGATATGGTTCTTCTTCTACCTCCGCTTTTAGCAGTTTTAGCAGCAGTATCTCTAGGGTTGTCTGAACTAGTTGAATCAGTTTCTCCGCCATTAGCTGAGCTGTTAGCACTTCCATGTTTTGCTCCCAATACTCCGCCAGTACCAATTTCTTTGTATAAACTCCTTTGGATTACTTCACGAAGCTTATGAAGATCCTCTTCATTTCTACCAAGCTTTCTTTGCAAATTTGCCATGTGATCTTTAATTTCAACCACACACATTTCCTTCAATGCTAAAAGTCTAAGTTGTTCATCTATGTCCATAGATAATAGAGTCTCCAATTGAGGAAGCGGTACATCATATGCGACTGTTGATGGACTCTCTGCATCATTTCCAATGTTATTAAGTGCATTGTATGATTTCGAGTGATACGCAGAATCATGGTTAATAGGACTCATAGGATTGTCATTATTATTAGTATTATTATCGTTGTTGATACCTGATTCATTTAATGTTGTTATTGAACTCGTTCGTTCGTGATGGGTGTGTGGATGCTCGTTGTTAGTGGTGTTTGGGTGTTGGACACTCCTTCTGTATGATGATTGTTGTTGTAAACTTGGAGATGCTGGCAGAACGGCTATATTAAGACTTATTCCTCTTGACCGGCCCTTTTGGGGCGTGATGAAGTCTCCTCTACTAGATAAATGAAGCGATTGCCTTGTTGTGATAACTTTATTTCTCAGTACTGGAGTAGGGGTGGTGGATGGTATCGTATTATCCTCGGAAACATCAATTGATTCATTTTTTGAATCAACTATTAGGGGCTCTTCTGCCTGTGTTGGTGGAATGATCTCCCCCGGTATGTGTTCCATCATAGATTAAAAAGGAGGTTGAGCTAGACTATATTGTTCCTTGGAGAATAGATACCAACCTCGTTGGTTTCAATTCTTCTTTTTGATTTCAAGTCTAGTTCTGGAGTAGTGTGCAGGAATTAGGCGGAGATACGCGTGAAATCTGTCAGGGGGGGCGTCACTAAGGTATGATGATATATGGCATAGAACATAATAAAACAATGCGATCACTAAAACATCAATAAAGTAAACAAGAAGGTGTAGATGTTTAAGAGAGAGAATATTGATTGAGAAAAAAATTGATTATGAAATAAATATCTAAGAAATTTTACGTTATATATTGAAATACGTGAAAAAAAAAAACAAATGTGATTGTATCTCTTTAGACATATAGAGATTGTAGATTAACAACATCGCAATACTTATACAGGGAATACGTGGTGATAAAGATGATAATATAACATGTACTCCTATTTTATTTAGGGAAGGAATTCAAAGCGTTAAAAATCGCGGTAATTCTTTAAACCCCCTCCAAAATAGTTAAACCCCCTGGGATCAGAAATATTAACAAGAAGGAGTCTGTAAGCCAATTGGTATGCCATTTGGCTATATAGAACATTGAAACAAATTGCTCAATTGTTAACTTAAGTCCCATGAGAAACTTAAAAAAAAAAATAGACTAATGTGGTAGACATTTACTATTGTGGGGTTACTAGAAAACTCCTCCCCTCTGATACGATACTCCGGCCGAATGCTTCCCCACCTTCTAAAATCTCCTCATTGCGAACTTTCATTATTCACATAAAAGGAACAAGAAAGATCCCAAACAATATTATTCAGACAAGTGCGGGTGCGAACAATTTACCCCAGACAAATATCAATGGTGGATTCAAAAAAAGTTGCAATTAAATTTGTGGGGATAACTGCCGCGTTAGCTAAACTTAAAGCTCGCAGGCCAATTCTCTGGGCTGCATTTTTAACTCTTCATCCTGCCATCAAGGCTGTAATTTCTACACTTTCTGGTAGTGGTGGACCTTGTCAGAATCGTGTATCCAATGCAGCAAGTGCTATTTTGCTCTACTTGGCCTCACATGATAGTGTAGTGCCAAAGGATTATATCCTGTTATATTTTTGGATGTCGTACATTTTAGGATGGGCTGATAACCATAAACTGAATGCATTGAGGGAGAAATCACCCAATGGAGAACCATTGGTTCCAACCGTGAAAGCAGTGGCTGCCAATGCCAACGTTAATGAGGTTAACGCTACTACTGAAGAAATTAGTACGAAGTTAAAAGATCATGTTATTTTCACCCGTCAATCGTTGAGTAAAATTGCATATGCAACAATCTTTGGCCAACTTCTTTCTCAATATCTTTCCCCTACTCATTTCATGGGTAAGAAACATCTTAATGGTACAGTCAAGTCTCGTTTATTTGACCCTGTGTGGTTCCAAAGGACAAAATGTGGACAGTCATTAAATTGGAAAAGTGTGGGGAAGAATTATTTGGCTTATAACATTGTTCTTGCAACTGTGTTTGCACTTGCAAAGTTTAGATCTGTGAAAGAAAAAGTTGATCGTCAAAGGTCAGGAATCTTCCTTTCTCCAAATGAAGATCGAACACCAAGTAGTGATATCTGGAAATCATTTGCCCGCTCTGTAGTAGAGCGAGCAAATACTTTAACAAACCTTGTATTTGTACCAAATTTAATCGCTATTGGATTGGTTTCACTCTCTGGAGTTTCTCTACCATTCCCTGATAGCCGGAATTTCCCTAGAAAATGGTTTGTTAAGTTAGTTGGATTTCTGCTGGTTCTTCTTTCCTTCCTCTTAAACTCATTTGAGCCCGAATCGCTACAACTTGATCCAACTACCCTTCTGGTTGTCACAATGTATTTGTTTAGACTTGTCTTGTTACTGAAATGGCGTACCGCCAAGGACATTGTTTTGAAAGGACCCAATTGGAATGTCATTGAAACCGCCCTTATGTCATATGGTGTCTATACATACATGAACAAACAAGATGCCGGTGAAAAGGACTTGTTAGCCGGCTTGGTGGGTAAAATTATGTAGAATAAGTATAAAGTGATATATAAATACAAATGTATCAAGTGAATTCTATAGAATCGTAAGCTGCTTCTAATGGAAAAAGTCTCTAGTAAAATTCTCCTGGAATAGATCCCCTTTTTTTCAAGATCATATGCTCTTCATGGATTCTCTTTTCAACTACATCGTCGTAGTCCATGGGTTGGCCATCCTCACGCTTAAAAAGTGTACCATTGAGTGTATCAGGACCAATCTCAAATCCGAATACCAGCTTGCCTGCAGCTTGTACTAATTCCACGACCGCCGGAGCTACTCCGGGATATAGAAGATTACTGTATCTTTCAGTTTTCAGGCATCCTTCCACTGGTGGTTTATGCTCAAATCTATTTGTGATCCATGCAACTGCAGCAGGTGCCCCTAAAGCAGCTTCGGTGATATGTCTAGTTGTGTTCAGGATTGTCAATTCAAACAGCTTGATACCCATTTTACTCCATTGTTCGTACAAAATGTCAGCATTCACAGCAGGTACAATATTGTCTTTTCTGCCCTGGTATAGGAAAATCGGTATCTGAGGCATATCATCCTTGCTGACTCCCATGGTATTGTTGTATAATGCATTGACTACGTCGGGTTCGCGAAACACATCCAACCCAGTAGGAACCCAACGATTTTCACCTTGGAAAACTTTTGCATATGCCATATAAGCGCATGCTGGAAACAAACAAGCATCTGCAGCCATTCCAAAAACCCAATTGTATGCCTTGGGAAGTGCCTTTTTTATATACTGTTTTAAAATAGGGTATTGGCGACTCAAACCAGTGATTCCTGCTCCTAACATCCCGGCATACAAACTTCCATCAATTGCTAAAATAGTATGGGTAATGTTAGCTGGGAAACCTCCTAAACATGCCCCTAGAAGTTGTGGTGTGAGCTCTGGGGCGTATAATCTTTGAAGTCCGGCAGCCCATCCTGCTGCAAGTGAGCCTCCCAGGTATCCCCAGAAAACCACATCTGTCTTTTTCTTTAAGGTAACATCTTCAGTTTCGCCAACATGAATTGCTGCACGAAGCAGGTCCAACACTGCATGACCTGATAACCTACCGGCAGTAAACGCAGCCTCTGGGCCCTCGTAATCTGGCGTATTAACCCACCACCCTTGATTCAAAGCAATTTGAATCAAGTACATCTCAACTTGTGCAACTACCGTCAGCATGCTAGCACCATATTGAAAGGAATAACTGGCAGGACAGTCTATCAGTGAAGAATCCTGTGCAATCAGATATTGCACTAGCCGAGAATTGTTTGCATTGTAAGGCTCGATTAATGTCGTGACAGCATATGTTGCGTTCCCAGTGCCATCCGTAGTTCTGTACATCAACTGCCATGCAGTTTTAACGTTGATTTCAAGATAAATACTACGAAGTTTATGAGGAGAAAGTCTTTTCTTAATGACCTCTCCTGGTTTATACTCCGAGTAGTTGGCTGGTGGTTGATAGAATGGATCCTTTGAAGGGGGTAAAACAACTTGTGGGGCTGCTTCTACCCAGGCAAAGAATGTGGCTGCGAAAACCAAAAACGAAAGTAATGAACGCATTATCTGGTTAAAAAAAAGGGATATTAATTGAATGAATTCTTGTTCCAAAGAGGTGGTATATCATGGCTGCATTGGCTCTTATGTAGCCGGTATACCATGTTATTCTCGTTATTGAAAAAATGTATTTCTATGTAACAGGTTTCCTAAAGGGGAAGTTTGCAGTTTTAAAGATGCGTTGTCGCAAAAGTCTAAATCGTGCAGATGCATCAAATTGGTTAAAAGTAGGCACAGAGATCAATTAACATCGGCCACATATTGCAAAGAATGCGGGGCAATGCCATCAGTGATGGTTGTGAGATAATACGGTCTACTTGGTGACATGTATCGCCACAATGATCGATGCTCTGGGGATATGCGGCGTTCTCGAGGAACCACTGCAGCCGAATGCAGTGCGCAAGAACCTGTCAAATGTAGTTGACATCACACGTTAAGTAACCATCAAGCAATTGAATTTGTGAGATTGAGTTTGAGTTAAAATTGAGAGCCACCCCCCCTCTACTGAAAGAAAATACTGGTGCCTCACAAGACACAAGCTACTCAATGAAGGTATTGACTCTAACACCCGAGGACAAAAAGCCAAAATGAAAGACAAAATTGCGAAAGCCTAATTGTGAGTTAGAAGAAGCTTTTAGGGCCATAAAGGGAAATTCTCAAATTATCCCTCATTATATTCGAGAAAGTTTCACTATGAAAGTTTCAGAGAAATATCATCCATAGTATCAAATGCTAATTACCCTAAGTAGGAAGTGCACCTTTGTTGTAGTATTCAATTTTTTAACTTCGGCTGGTGCGGCCCTTTCTAAATAGCATAGCCAACCTGATTGGAGTAATGTATCTGTTATATATATAGTTTCGGACCGTACCGACTTCCTCGAAGGTTTCAAAAACAATTCATATGCTAATAGTCTTGTCATATGGGTACTCATTATCCAAACTTTACCATCTGCCTAATTTGTCAGTCATCTCGGCTAAAACGGATCCGTGAAAATCCTTGCCTTCTTTTCGTAGTAGTACACAGAGTAGGTGAGTATATTTGGGTAGTAAGTTCTTAATACAAGAAGAATAAAGGGTGAAGAGTATTTTGATATTAATTTTGTGACTTTTTCACGAATTAAAGATATCCTGTTAACAATTCCAATGGAGTTGGATAGTTTTACCTCGCAGACAATGTCTCTAAGTATAAATAGGACGTCCACAAACTGTTTGGAATAATCTTCACAAAGTAGGCATAGGTAGCTTTGTAGAGTCTTTTGTTGGATTTCACCTCACCTCACACTATGAGTTATGAGATAAAAAACATATCTCTATATTGTCTCAACCGTCTATCTACATGTAAGTTTGATTCTACGTTGATAATTTTGTATTTGTATTCTACCGCGCTTCCGACTATCCTGTAGGGCCACTATTGGTATCCACCAGCACCTGGAGCATTCTCCTTACCTTTCAACTTTTGTAAAAGACCCTTAAAACGAGTCTTGTCACGAGATCCATCAGTTTCACCTTCACCAACTTCACCAATCAATTCATTGACACGGTCCCATAATGTACCTTGGCCCAAAAATCCATCACGCTTTTCGATATGAGCTTCTTGTTCCTTCAATACTTCCTTCAGGTGTTGTTCCTTCTTATTGTTGTAATTGTCATAGAAGTCGTCAATGGTTTGTTGTGCCTTCTCCACGATAGTTTCCTTCTTACGAGCGTTGGCTTCTTCACGTGAGCTGATTTCAAGGTCACGACGTTCTTGCCAATCCTTCAAGTGTGAACTAGGTACTGAACGATCAACACCATTAGTAGTCTTACCATTGGTACTGTCTGAAGTCCCATTGCCAAAACCTTCAAATTCATCATCACTGACATGTGTAGCCTCTTCGGTTGTACCTTCAACATCTGGAAATTGTTCCTTGAATTCGCTGAATTCATCTTCACTCTCAGCCAATACTTGCTGATCTTCTTCTGTGGCGAATTCATTTCCAACTAACTCCTTCTCACGTGCAAGGAAGTCAGCATCTTCAGCTTCATCACCAGTAGTAGGAAGGTTCTTATCAATCTCGTCCAATGCAGGAAATTTGTCCGCCATTGTGTATGTTATATGTATGTAAGTAATTCGTCAAAAATTAGACTATCAAATTATTGAAGATCGATCCAATTCGAATTCGTGTTGTTTATCGTTGGATATTGAGGGGTAGTTTTTGTGTGATATAATGTGTGCAGGATTTTTAAATTCAGCCGGCATATTGTAAGTTTAATTTTATTGGAAGTTATTTGAAGACAGTACAACTATTAATGGATATATCAAAGAGTATGATAGTATTTTACCTTGTTAAACTCTCGAAGTTAGTTTCATGTAAAGCAGAATATTAATTATAAAAATAAGAAATGAAAAAAAAAAAAAAAAATCGGTGAAATCCTAATTTCTATTACGAAATGGGGATGGCTGCAAAATGGAGATCAAAGCTTTCTCTACAATGTCCAACTAGTTCTATCAAGTAATATTTATTCTATACAGCCCCTCACAGAGGACCCGGACTATTCCCTCTACTCTCCTGGTATCTATATGTTTTCTAGACGCAAACAGTATAAACTCTAACCGAAGTATCGGCAGATCCTACTGCCAATACTAATTCATCACCATGTCCAGCCCCCCATGCAACCTTCGCTACACGACCTGCAGGGGTAATAGTTGACTCGAATTCAACTACTGGTTCAACCTTCACTGTATCTGTTTGTACATTTGTACGGAAAACACTAATACCATCTTCCAGACCAATTGCCAAATAGTATTCCAGTCCTTTTTGGTAGGTTGCAACAGAACTAACTGGCAGTGAGAGTTTTTCTGTAGCTAAAAGCTCCACTCCTTCAGCTAATACCTTCCAGATTTTAATCAGCTTATCTCTAGAACCAGTAATAAAGTGAGTATTGTCAAGCCAGGCACAATCCCATACAATTCTACTATGTGCTTGTTGGAGTACAACGAGCTTGAAGTCTTTCCATAAACTCAATTGTCTGTCACGGGACACAGCAAGAAGATATTTGTTGTCAGGAGAAAATGCTAAACTTGTTACTGTGAGAGAATGTGCTTCCAAAACATGAGACATTTGGTAGTCAGTAGTTGTGAATACACGAATGGCTGCATGTCTGGTCGAGTTAGAACGACATGAGGAGGCAATGTGTGTAGGTGAAGTGGCACAGCTAGTTAATTCATACCCATGACCATAAAGTTTCTCAATCTCAGGGTAGAGAGTGTGACGTTGAAGAAGATCTTCATTAATATCAATCAATTCTTCGACTGATTCTGTAGATGAGGCTACAGTTTCATCTTTAGATGGCTTATCTTCCTGTTCATCTTCCTTCTCATTTTCTGTAGATTTCACTTCAGATTCTTCATTGTCCGCTTTATTTGACAATCCTAAAACTGGTAATGCTGCAGTCTCAGGTAATTTGCTTTCTCCTCTACCAACTTCAATTCCTTCTCTTTCTAAAACATCGGCGGTAGCACCTGTCATTTCGAAAACTCTCAAAACTTTTTCATCACCTCCAGAAACAAACTTTGTTCCGTCTAAATTGTCCATACAAATCATATCGTACCCATGGATTTGGGGTCTTGCAAGTTCTCTCCAACCTCTTGATTTCGATTTGGCAAAGAGTCTAGTGGTTTGGTCCAAGGAAGTCGCATAGAAGTAGTTACCATTTGGTGACCATACCAAGTCGGTGACTTCTTTAGATGGACCAGTAATTCCAAGTGAAACTGACCAGTTCATCTTGTCTGACCCTGATCCGTCTCTCTTATAAACTCTGAATGATCCAGTCTTACCGTTAGCCAAAATATATTGTTGACCACCTAATTCTTGTTCAATCCAAAGACACGACCAGAATCCACCAGATGACCCAGTGGCGGTGGAAGCTCCCTTGATGGACATTTCCCCTAATCGGGAAATACAACACCAGATTCCAGAAACAGTATCCATTTCCCAAATCATCAAGCCAGTATCGGCAGACAGTGAGAGAAGTTGACCTTCTTCTGGTCTCCAAACGAGTCCAGTGACCCAATCATCATGACCCATGATAAGAGCATCAAAGTAAATCTCTACTGAACAAGAAGATGTTTCTTCGTTACCCAATTTCATGTACTCCTTCTTGTTTGCAAGTAAGACTAATTTGGTTTCGTCCACTTGATCCTTTGGAGTTTCTCTGCAGACTCTCCATAAACGAATATATCTATCTTGACCTCCCAGAGCTAATAAATACCCTTGGTTGTCTTTGGTCCAGGCAAGACATTTAATCCAATCTTCATGACCTGAAAGTGCTACTCTGTTTTGAGTATCAGTGTTGACATCGTATAAATAGACTACTGACGAAGTTCCTCCTACGGCAAGCATAGTTTCACCATATACATCTTGAAGTGCCAAACATGTTGGGAAGAATCCTCTTTGAACAGTGAAAGATTTCAAGAGTTGAAGAGGAGTCTCTCCATCTTTTTCAGAAACCTTCCATATCACAACATTTCCATCAACACCACCAGTGACAACAAAGCCATGCGAGGTAGCTACAGCAGTGATCGATCCAACATGATGATTCAACGATTGTACAAGTTCGTACGTTGGAGGGGTGTTCGATTCCTCTACGCCTCTCCAGACAGCGATAAGTCCATCCTCGCCAGTACTGACCAAAAGATTAGTTCCTGGAACAAATTTTACACCAGTAACCTCCTTGGTATGAGCCTTTAACGTGGCATAAACTCCATTAGCACTGAATGGTCTCCACAAGGCGACTGTGGTGGATGCGCCAAATGCAGTAACCCCAGACTTTAAACTATAGTCCAGAGTATGCGCCTGCTTGTTTGCTCCTACAAAGACTGCCTCTTGCAATGCACTAGTCATTTTTCGATGTTCCTTTAAACTATTTGCTTTAGTTAATGGATGATGAGCTTAAAGCGATGCGATTGAATTTGAGAAAAAGTGTTTGATCAATGTGCGCGAACAGTACAAAGCGAAGACAAGAATCCTACAAAACCATCTACAAAGTATCACCCATTTTTTTTTTACTACAAGCCCAATATATTAGATCTCTTTGTCAGGGTTTGGATTTATTTGTTACATTCGGCCATTATTGAAATATATTGTCATATATGTCCATGATTTATTACTTTCTCTTTTTTGCCTTGTCAAACTATCATTTCACCAATTTGTGAACTGTTTTGCAACTCCTTTTTCTACTAATAATACCGCTATTTGTCCCCTTCCTCCTTTCGCCTACTATATACTTGAGTATGAAACCACGTTTCGGTGTCATAACAACTATGCCCTTACATATTTATTAAACATATTTTCAAGTACTAGTGTAGTCTCTGGTACTGCATGTACCTTGGATATGGAAACACAGTTTACTTGAATGTTCTTTTCAACTTACCCTTCAAGATATATTATCAGTATAATAGAGATATTATAATGGGTTCAGCGTATGTATTTCTTTGTGGCTGTGTATTTCACATTATTGGCTAATAGATTGTCAAATTTAGTTTGAATTATGACGATTGGGCCACAAGAACACCAAAAGTTATAAAGCCCTCCAAGTATACCATTACCTTTATTACTTCGTTACGATTACTAACTTTTAGTGTACTCCTTGTTGATGCATCGCCAGATACGATCATGCAATTCCATGATCAACTTGCCAATGAACTCCCGACTCTTCGTGGTAAGTGGAACTTCAATTTCAAGGTGTTTCGTAATAATCCGTTCTCGTTAACAAATGGGGTAGCAGAATCCAAATTTCTCCATACTCTTTCACTTTCATATCTTCCTGAGGTATGTCTTACATTGGTCAATAAGAAATCTGCCGGAGTTTTCAGTAATAATGCTGCCCAGGACGCTGGCGCCATGGGATTCCCAGATGAACATCTCCATCGTGGTGCAACTTCAGGCTTTAATGATCCATTTGACTCAATGGTAGCTCTGAAGTTACAAAGTCTTTGGCTACAGAAACAAGTGATCAAAGGTGACGGAGGACAAATCTATGAGCTTGAGAACGGGAACGTGACCATTCGGACATCCAACGTATTCCTTCATGGGATTTTCAAGGGATTACTCATCCAAGTAAATACCAATTCTTCCGACAATGTGGACGAAGTGATGAAAAAGTATGGCATACCGAAGGGTCATGTTTGTAAGGATACTGTTTGCACAGATACTCAAGATGAATATGGTGACTTATGTCTTCAATATGTGGAAATCCTCAACTTTTAATACATGTACATAAAAAGAAAACGGTAATTTATAGTAATTGTTAGAGATTATTAATAAAGAGGGGATGTTTGTAGGGTATTAGCATCTATAAAGAGTCTAAATAATGTTATTCGTTTTTATTTTTGTGTATATAATGCTAAGTACGAATCTAGATCGACGATGAATTGTATGGGGACTTCTCAATTGAAGTAAGTTTCCACCATAAGATGGGCAACATTAAGTCCCAAGCAGATGCTCAAAAGCCATGCGATAGCCAAAGCTGGTAGTACCCCCATCAATACAATTGTTTGAAGTTGTCTGGCACCAATACCCCCACTTACAAAGGGGAGCAGATTGTAGCCATAAAATGTGATCACAAAGTAATGGCCAATGGCGCCAAAATATAATGTGTTCCCGAAAAAGAGAGCTATAAATGAACGCTTCACGTTGAGGAGAGGAAGGAGGAAAAATTGAACAACATAAAGCAGACCCCATATAACAACAAAGGCATTACAATGAACGTCAAAGCAAAAACCCCAATCGATATAATTCACCCTAAGACGTGCGTGTGATTGCTGCGACAGTATTGGTAGCACCATGGCAAATGAGCCATTAAAGACTCTATTTGTAACAACCCACATAAGAGTTGCAATTACGGCCCCAGTGAGATAGAAATCAACCACCACCATGTATCCAACAAGCTTTATAACGTCAGCCATCCGTGGAGAGTATGCAAGTCCCCATGCGATTGCCAGTAGAGACAAAAATCCTGTTAGAAGAATAAGAAATGCTGGATCATCTCGAGTGTAGGAAGCCTTCCCTTGAAGTCTGTAATAATGAGAACGGTACATTTTCTTAGGGTTGAGAACAAGGTGAAATATTTCCCAAATAGCGGTCTCAAAATCAAGCGAAGATGGACGGAAAAGTCGGCGAAGGAACTTTTGAAGCCTTCTAATTGGTGAAGTTGCTGAGTTCGAAGCAGTAGCAGCAAATGCTGAGGATGAACTTGGGGTGGAGGTAGAATTATGGGCCATTCCGATTGTTCTACTACCGCCAAGAATACTAGAGGACCCAGCAACATTGTTGCCATTGCCAATGGGGGCCTTCGGAAATAAATCCTGGGCCGAATAGGGCAAACTTGAACGGTTCATCGGTGTAGATTGGTTCGTTAAATAGTTTTGTACACCTTTTCTGGTTGTGTGCCAAATGCTAACTATTATGGGGTCTGTTGATGTTTAGAGTGAAGGCGATTGTTACACAAAACTAGAATGGGCTGCATAGAATAAACTAAATATTTGCATCCATACACCCACTGTCTATGGCTGCGAAAGCTTACCAATTTTGGAAGCCTAGATACACCTTTCTTGAATTAATTAACTAATAAATTTAATACTCTGGACATATTTTGAACGAAGGGAAAGGTCCACTTATCCCAAATAATGTCTATCTCACTCATATAGGAATTTTTCAAGAAGCTCTAGACTGCCAGGTTGTATATTCAATTTAGTCTCTCTACATATGTTGATTCAAATACTTCAACCAGATTGTGTATTTTTACTTACTGATATATTAGAAAGTGTTCTTGTATTACCAGGAAAAGTTCCATGATGGTCTCATGCGTTATAGAGATTTGTGAAAGTTTATATGACGGAGTATTTACGATTCTGTTATTTTAAAATTGGTCCCAATTAGATATCAAGACTTTGATAGTTTTTTTTTTTTTTTTAAGACTAAATTTAAGGTAAGGGCATCTATTTTATTGTGGTGTTCTTTCTTTGAAATCACTCCCTGACAGTTTCTATATTGTTATATTCCAGATAAGAGATGAACACTTCGAGCCATTTCGGAAACACTTCTACTTCTTTCCATTCCTTCATCTTCAGATGTCATACCATTCAGTGAAAATGATGGTTCTAACGTCACTGAAGATTGAACAGATAGTGCTGCATTATCCTCTAAATATCCCGTATTTTCAAATACTTGCATCTCTGAGTTCCAAAGATCCAGAAGGTATTGGTCTTTATTTTCCTTGGTGATGTAGAAAGGTTGATTCGTATTGATTGATTGAGTTGTTGGTGATTCTGTGGTAGATGGTTGGTCACCATATCCATTCATTGAAGATGTGGAATTATTAGTGGTGCCCATAGAATTTTCACTACCTATAGATCGCTTAAGATAGCCTAATACACCCATATAACTGTTGGTGAATCTTAATCGTATTAAAGTGTATTGTGATATGATTGTTTCATTTTGCATTTTCATATTATAGTCAAGAGAATTATTCAGACTTGGTTTAAGTTCAGCAAGTTCCTTGTGGTCCAATATTTTTTGTTGCGTTCTACTTAAAGAGGACGTTGTAGGTGTTTGTATAGAATTATCTTCAGTACCTGGATCATTGGAATATTTTTGCACAAAATTATTCTGGAAATCCTGAATTTCAGCAAGTGCTTCCTTGATATCTTGAGGTGAGATTGTATTCTCTTTGATTGAATTATCCACTTGAGGATAGAACAAATAATCGTCTAATCGAGACGTTGTGGTGGTAGATGCCGCTTGCTCTCCATCTGCGGAATCTTCATCTGAATCATCATCCAGTTGACTTTGATAGGAAGATGGCATCTTTTGATATACACCCATCGGTACTAGTGAATGCATACTATTATGAGCAGCGCTAGATTGTGAACGGTTACTGTGGGTGTTGGTAGTTAGGCTGAGGCTGTGTGGATTGGAAGATATTGAATTATTTGAATGAGGGTGAACATGGGAATGCAAATGTGAATGTAAATGAAGCTGTGTAGATGAGGTGTAATTTGACCGATGTAATTGACTATTTTGGTGTTGGTGTGGTTGGTGATGTTGGTTTAAGTTTTGGCTTTCACTCTTTAGTTGATCATCAGAATGATTTCTTTTCGTTATATCAGTTGAAGTGTTCCATCGCTTCAAATGCAGAATCATTGGAATATTTTTATTCCTATATGAGACTCCACCATGGACATTATTGGATGAAATGGACCTCATTAATGACGGCTTCTTTTCAAATGCGTGCGAAGGAACACCATGACTCCCGTGACTCCCTTGACTACCTTGATGCTGATGATCTCGATATAAGCTTGAGCTACGCGAAGTACTACGTTGCATTTTAAACTCTTAGTAGAGTGATACTAGTAGAAAGAGAAAAATACAATAAAATACAACCGTGTGAAATCTACAAGAATAGTTAAACATGTATTTGATTTTTAACTCTAACAACAATTCCAAGAGATAATAGTGCCCGATATTTTTGGGCGCATTGATTACATTCAATCGCGCGCTTATCTAAAAGATAAGAAAATGTCCAATCAAACTTGGCACATCATCCGACCCGAGATAAAAATGTACATTATTACAATATTATCTACAACAATTGACAGAGTCTTTTTATCAAATTGAAAGTTGTACACTTTCTTATTTTAACCCCTTCTTGAATTATTGTTTTGGGGTTTTTCATTACATAGTGGATGATTTCTGAGCTAGCCGAGGGGAAGAGATAAGCTTTTCCTCCAGCATGTGCGATATTGGGACAAAAATTTCACACAAAGAAGAATCTTCTGGAAGGACTCACTACACGTAGAAAAGTGTATCTGTCAATATCTATTTGGTTTAGCTCTTCTATTAGATTCTGTAAATGTTAATATTCATTTCTACGACATAATGTATTAATCGGTCCGTTTATTTCCTTCGTTATATACATGCACCCTAATTTACCATTGTCATTTTCCGATACCTTGCAACTTTCACGAGAGTATTATAGGTCATGAACATCAATTACATCTATTCATTTTTCACTTTATTATATAGATGAGAGCCATACCCCCATAAAGATTTGATTATGTTGTGAATACCTTGTCAGCTTGCTGCTAATAGATAATGGATCAGTTTTCTCCTTCTTGGTAAATATCTACTCTTCTCTTGTTTCAAACTTGAGAAGTCCTTGTTGTAAGCCACTATATGCGCAATCAACTAATTTTGCCTGTCTCTGAGCAACCAAATTTGACAAATTAATAATTTCTTTCTTGTGTTTCATAATCAACTTGCTACTACTCTCGTTATTACGACGATCATTTATCTCTTCAAATATTCTTGATAAATCTTCAACCGTCTTATTGAGATAATCTTGCATCAGTTCAAAAATCTCAGCAAAGTTTGTTTTCAGAAGATAAAAGGCAAAACAATAAGTCCATTTAAGAGTCTTACGTCCATTGGTTAATTGTCTAATAGCATCATGTAAAAATTGCACATCAATCCATGAAAGCGACAGTCTATGAGACTGTTTTCCCTTTGTTGAACCTTTAGATTCCCCTTGTTTCTTCAGTTCCTCTAACATGTATTCTTTCATCTTATTGTCAACTCTATCTAAAGTGATTTGATCTCCTCTCATTGAAGATTCATGAACTGTAAATCTTTTATAAAAATGTAAATATCTTTGTAAGGATAACCTCTTCAGTTGTTGAAATTTTTTGATGCTATCAGCAGTTTTTGGATCAAATCTATTACATCTGTAATATTCTTGGCCATGTTCTTTCCAATCTTTTAAACAAATCCAACAAAAATCAAATTTACACTTTTTACAAGACATATGATTACAACCACCATTTTTTTCAATCTGTGCGGAACACTGAGGGCATGCTTGAGTGTTGGCTTGGATCCAAGATACAGTTTCGGAATCATCTTGACATTTTTTGATCCACAATTCAACTAACCAACATGGACATGGTAGATGGTTTTCATACAGACATGAATAGCAAAATTCATGATTTTGTGAACAAATCACAATTGGAACATTGGCTAGGTTCACATTAGAAGATTGTGGATGAAAATCTGGGTACTCAATTAGAGAAGGACAATCAGGTACTGGGCACCATTTATAGCGATTTTGCTGTTCGATAAAGAGTCGAGAGCACGCCACAAGTTGAACCAGTTGTTGATGATCTTGTGAAGCACTACTCTGTAAATCTCCAGATACTTTAGAATCTTCTGATTCTCTAGAATGTACATTAAAATTGGGTTTAAAAATTGAATTATTTGGTCCAACTTCAGAAATTGTGGAAAGTTTGGTACCAAAATTCGTGGAAATGTGAAGTTCATCAAATTTCCCATCTATTGGAAACTCTAATAAATTATTTTGGTTTTGGTCTTGCTTGTCACGTAACATAGTTTCAATGTCTCCATTCCCCAATGACATACTACACCCAGGACATCTTATGACGTTCCCGTCGTGTACAACCTCTCCTAAATATCTCACGTAGCATGCCACACAATATCTGTGACCACAGACTAATGAATACGTCTCAAGGTCACCTTCTTCGCAACATATTGGACACGTAAAATTTGCCATCGATTCAAAAGTTCCTGAATTCTTTCCCTCGGTCAGAAATCCACATTCTTTGAAAAATTCTTCTTTATTATCATAATATGCATTGATCACATTATCCTCTTGCCAATTCTTTACTTGTAGCATCACCAAGATCTCATCAAAATCACATTGAGGAAGTTGTTGATCTTGTAATCTGCGGCATTTGTCATAGAAATGTGTCCTTATAAAATCTTCCGTTGTCCATGCCCGGTACTTTACTGGTGAAAGAAATTCTTTTGAATCACTATCACTAATTATATTTCTACCATTGTCTTGGTCTCCTCTATTTGGTCCCAGAGTTTCTTCAAATACTTCCTCTTCAAACTGATCATCAGTACCCGATAGATACAGGTCATCCTCTTCATATTCAAAGTCTATATCGTCCGAGAAGCATTCTGATTCAGACATAACTATCTTCTTATAGAAGTCAAGTGAAGTTATTTGTTCTCTAATATTTATATATAGTTTAAAAACTATTTAAAGAATCCATATGGAGTGGTTGTAGTATACAAAATTTAAGTGCAGGCATGCGATAGAGGGCTATTTTATATAGACATATAATGATACTAGAGTTCCCATTTATTAAATTACGCGTCGCGATGCATACATCTACAGGGCACTAGCTGCCAATAACATCAAGCGAATTAACCACAGTTTTTTTCTGAAGAAAAAAGGTGGCATGATGATTTTTGAACTGTTCGGGGGTTTGTAGACATTCTACCTTCCTTTAAAAAAAATCTAGTATAGTAGCTAAATACGTAATCAAGATTGATTTTTAATAATATTTATTCTCTAATTTTGTCATATATACACCGTCTTTACCCCACCATTATTCAGTTGAAAATGAACATCCTCTAGACAAGATTTCCTTCTCTTGCTTCAACATAGTATAGATCATTCTCTTTTGCTCAGAAAGGTCCTTTTTATTGAGTAAAGCCTCATAGTCTGAACTAGTCAAATCATCCTTGTATCTATCTAATCTATCTTGACACCAAGAGGTGAATACCTTAAGAGTCTCAGAGTGTTCTCTATCCAAACTTTCTTGACGACGTTGATCAGCAGAAGTTGCATTAGGTAAGAGACGTTCAACAATTCTTCTAATGAGCTTCTTTTCACTGGCACAGTTGAGGAATTTAGCATTGAAAAGATTGAATGGGAGCAAAATGAGCTTGATGAGAGCATATGTTTGAGGGGTTGGAGATCCATCAAAGTTGACTCTAGGAGAAAGTTCCCATGATGTTGGTTCAGAAATAGATGGTTCAGATGGCTCACCACATCCTTCATCTCCACAATCATCTCCACATCCTTCATCTCCGCATTTCTTGTCTCCACATCCTTCATCACCACATTCTTTATCTCCGCATTCCTTATCTCCACATCCTTCATCCTCGCATCCTTCATCTCCACATTCACCCCCGTGTTTGTGATCATGTCCACTTTCGTCTTCTTGACATAATTCATTCACAATTTCAAAACCAACTTCTTCATACCATTGAAGTTTAACGTCCAATAACATTTTCTTTGGACCTTCAACCTTCTTCAAATAGGAAAACATTTGAACTGTGAGAGTACAAGAATCATTTTCATTATCTTCTTCGACAAACCCATATCTTTGAAGTAAATGAGCATTTGGCATATCTCCACAGTTGTTAAATTTCTTATCGTATTGGTAATTCAATGGAATAATATCACAACATTGAGCAGTGACTAATTGTTGGAAAAGGTCATCTCTTTCTCCTGATAAGTCTTCATCGTCCGAAAGAACAAGAGGAGAGTCGGCTTCGTCATCTTCCATTTCATCATCTTCTTCACCTTCACCTTCCTCTTCTTCACCTTCCTCTTCTTCACCTTCCTCTTCGTCTTCTTCATGCTCTTCTTCTTCTAATTCCTCTTCCATAGCAGTGATATATTCTGGTGTGATTTCAACAAGAACTTCTTCTTCAACTTCATTCTTCTCATCTTCATCATCTTCATCAATTTCCTTTCCATCATTTCCTACCATATCCTCCCCATCAGTATCATCACTATCTTCATCCTCTCCACTTTCTCCCTCTGTTTCCTCCAATTCCCATTCGGGTGCCCTTTCTGAATCTGAATAATCATCTCCAAATGAAACATCTCCAAATGTAATGTCTCCCTCTGTAATTTCAGGTCCCTCTTCATCGACATCCATTTCTTCATCATCTTCTCCTACTTCACCACTCTCTATTTCTAATCCTTCTTCATCATCTTCATCCACTACAATTTCTTCTTCTTCATCATCTTCTTCGTGTTCACATTCTTCCTCTCCACAAATTTCACAAACCTCTTCCTCTTTCACAAAGTCAATTTCAAACTTTGATCTATTGAACAAGTCAGCTCCAGGAACAAGAGCAAGTCCGTGGAAACCATCGATGTATAAACTCTTTGAAAATACAACTTGTAAAAACTTTCCAAATAATTCAAGCTTTTCCTGTTCTTGCTTCTTATGTTCAACTCTTTCAAACACTTCTGGAATATCAACGAATTCCTTATTACCTTCGGCAAACTTTCTACATTCTTCTAATAACCTCACCACATCTCCACCATCTAACATATGAAGTAAATCACATTCACTGTTGTACAACAATTTTTTATCTTCTTCTTTCCACATATTCAATGGCAATGGTTGTTCTTCCACTTCAATACTGGCAATGAATTCGTACCAAGGAGATTTGTTCCCCACAGAATGTTCATAAATAAGTGCCAATACCAAACTATGAACGTCTACATCTTTTAAATTCACTCTTTCATCGTCATCATCGTCATTATCATCATCAACATTTCCTTCCTCTTCTTGATCCATCATCTTATCAAGTTTGGCTAATAATTCAGATTCAGCCCAGTCCTCTAATAAGTTGTTTATAGAGGCGTTTTTAATTGATAAGATATTCCCCTTTGGAATTCTAAGTAACGGTCTATCATCTAAACCTTCAGCTTGAGGTGAAGGAACAACTTCTAACCCTTCTTCAGTAGCCTCTATTTCAACCACGTCGGTATTCCAAAAGGCATTTCTTGAAAGCCAGCTGTTAAGAAGTGTAGCTTTCTCCTCGTAGGTCAACATATTTATGTGTAATATCTCCTTCTATATGTCTCTATTGACGATAGTTTCTAGATCAATATTGAAATGACCTTATACTGGGGACTGCATAAAAAGTTGATGAGATGCCACAAGTAAACACTTAGACGAGGGAAAAAATTGTGATAGTATAAGCCAGGGTAATTACCTAGGTATTGATTATAACAAAGTGGAGTCATCCAACATGGTATGTGTATATTTTTGAAGGTGTCTATGTATGTAAATTATATTTTTATTGCTTTTTCTTTTCATTTCAATTCAACCTTTTTTTTAAGTTGGTTCTTAAAATTCACTCATTGGTTGCAAAAATGTCAGAAGAGCATTTCAAAAACATTTTGCAGTTGTTAACTTAACATTGACAAAATTTCATAAGTCAATTCTACTCAAGGGGAACCATATTGTATATTCAATTTGTTTATGGGTAGTCAGAGATGTAACAAGCAAACACAAATGAGTATTCTTTCTCGATTTTTTGATCTTTTATTATTTTACTTTTGAAATACAATATCAATTTTTAATACATATTATCAAAGAACCTTTCAACACACTGTATTATATAAATAATTTTATTCTAAATTTCATCCTTTCATATTGATTAAGCATTGGAAATGAATCCATCAAACTATGTTTTTGTAAATATTTCTACTTTTACTTCTCTTCTCTCAAGAAAATCACATTTTTGCAACCATTTATATTTACTTCAAAAATCAATAAAATATTTACAGTATTCCATAAGTTCTTTATAATCGCAAGATGTAGATCACTTCTCTTAGCTACAACAATTCTACTCATATACCTTATACATATCGAAATCTATATCTATATTAATTATCTACCTGAACTTTCACCTGCACATTGAATCGAATCCTCCTAGTAAATTTTAAAACCAGCCCTAAAATTTCTCATGCTCATAATTTGGGCCTATTTTTTTATTTTAATTTTTTTAAAACAAAAATTTTCACTTGTTACCCGGATACAGCGCACTATAAATACTAGACATTCCCCTTAGCTCCCTTTTTCTGCTCGATATCATCAGTAGTGGTTATACTATCTTATAGATATATAACTTGTGCTTTTAGCACAACTACATAGAGACCTTAGCGTGATCCTAAGTACACCACATTAGTGAGTGTGAACTGGGTCTCGTGTCAGCTAAGTGTTTTTTGACCTTTTTAACAGATTGGCCACAATCAACACTTCGTTTCCGGTCTTTTAGATCCATGCATACATGTATCGATTAGCTTTACGAGGTCTTCATAATCTCGTAGATAGAAGCATGATGCGACATCTATTTTAAATATTAGTAGAATTTTGTAGTTGGTCTCTTTCTTACATTCTTGTAGTGCAATGGAGATTTTATACCTGATTAATAGTATAAGTCCCATTTGTTAGCAACATAATTACTTTTTTCCTCTCAAATCCTAATATTCATCTTGAAACTTTTTTGAGTGTCACGTGAATAAATATTGGTTGACTTTTGATTCTCTGTACAATACAACAATGGTTAATAATCATTATCAAAAATCCTAATCTCAGAATGATTAAGAAAGTGAATGGACTTAGTTTAATACTCAATAAAGGAGTAAGGACCCTTTTACCTATTTTGAAACTATAATTAATTACCATATTCAACAACATTTACATAGGATATTTGTTGATTTTTTTTTTCCCCATAAAACAACATTACATATATTACATATGTGGCATAACCTTGATTCAAACGTACATTCAGAGCTGTGTATGTATCCTATACAACCAACACACAATGCTAAAAGGAATGTGATTAATATAGTACCTTTTTAAACTTTCATATTGAATTCACGTGATCCAATTTATTATTTTTTTTTTATTCATCCGATTTTCTTTTTCTTTTTTTTTTGTGGTGATTTAAAAACTATACCAAAACTTGATTAACGTTAAATTACCCATACCTATAAACTAAAACATATACAATGGCTCATAGACTTTTGGTTAACGTGATATTCACTGGTGCCTCCGTGTTTGGAAAGGCATTCACTGAAGCTTACAAGCAAGCTGCTAAGGCTACAGCTACTTCTTCCCAAGCTAAAGCCGCTGGCGCCACCAAATCAGCATCAGTTGGAGGTATTCAACTTGATGAAGCATGCAAAATCTTGGACTTGGAAAGAGCCGATTTAACTCTTGACAAGGTTGATGAAAAGTACAATTATTTATTCTCTGTGAATTCTAAAGAAAAGGGTAACTCATTCTATTTACAGAGTAAGGTATTTTATGCTATGGATACCTTGAAGAAAGAGTTGGAATATGCTGAAAAGGTGCGGAAAATGAAAGAGAGTAAGGGGGAAAGTGGCGGAGAAAGTGCATAGGTAGAGATAGATAAAGGTGGTTAACTTTTGTAGTGGACAGAAAGAACATGGACTAGCGTGACAGAGTATGTGAATTTAAACTGAAGTAAGTTGGTGGTAAAGCATATGATATTCATATAGAGGAAGTAACGATAATTAGCATAGATTTGGGGGAAGAAAAAAAGACGTATATTGATATCAAAAAATGGATGACACCAAAAAAATATTGTTCAAAATTATTGAAAAGCTAATTTCCAACCATTTTGAATTTATAAGACCTAACAATCTATCGTTATACATTAGATGGTTGGTTTGTCTATTATTCAATTTATATCCAGAATTCATTCATTTACATTTCCGTACCGTTTCCGTGAACTCAAACTTCCATATACACAACCTTATCCACAACTAATTCTATCCTTCACACCTTCTCTTGGCAACGATTTATCGATGCCCTGTATATATTATTCAATAAGATCTAATCAACGGACATGTAAGAGTGTATGTACCTGTAAGAGTTTGTTAGTTTGATGTACTGTACCTTCCATAGCGGGTTGGGTGAGTTTGGTGGCATAAAATATTTGACTATCCTCCACCTCGTATATTAAACGATCGTTTAAATTTACACAAAATTAATTTCATCTAAAACTATCAAAACAGTATACCTACTTCCGTTTTACACCTTCCAGACAATATCAGTCAACTCTACGACTTGTACTGTAGTGCTTGAATTCGTGTCAAAGAATCATACGGTAGCCCAAATCCTGACGATGCAGAAGTCTGAAGAGGAGCAGCTTTTGCAAGATGCATCAACCTTATTGATGTTTGCAAATGTAGCTGCCAAACAACAACAACGACCCCCGCCGGTTCCTACTACGCCACAACAACCGCAACCCGTACTTGTTCAGTCAGTGCCACCCATATCACATTTTCAGACTGCGCAGTCGGAACCACGACTACCTGAAGTTAAACAGGAAAACTTGCCACCAATAAAAACATACTATTTTCCACAGCCGCTGCATCTACCAAGAGAACAGCCGACTACAAGTCACCCAGTACAACAGGCATCAGTACATCCAACACACCAGGCTCCACAACTTCCACATACTTCACTCTCCCAGTCACCGCCAGTTTCTGGTCTGTTTATGTCCCCTGTTGGATCAGTAGGTTCCATGGGGTCTTCAAGTTCCTTAGGAGTACCACATTCAATAGTACCAGGAATCAACAGTGGAGCTCCGCAGAATCCAAGTGCTCCTATTGTGATTAATAGCAGTGCCCCACCAACCAGTGGCTCACCAAATCCACCACCTAATATCCCTAGCACTGTACCTTCTATGTCTTCTACCTTCATTCATAAAAGAACCGGCTCCGGTCAGTTCAGACATTCACCAGGTCCAGCAAATGCAGCTTTGGCAGGCGGAGTAACTGAAGGAGGTAAGCGGAACAACAATAATGCCATGGTTGCAGCTGCTGCATTAGCCGCAGCTGCAGATATGCCATTACCATTGTTAAAAAAGGAAGAAGTACAAGTAAACCCACAAAGTGGACCTACTACAACTACCCCTTCTCACAAGGTACCCCCTCCAACTGCCAGCGCTTCCAATGAAACTGAAGATGAAGATAATACTGATGACGAACCTGAAAAGAGTGACCCAACCCCGGTGGTTATTGAGAGTCGTATTACTCCAACAGAATCACTAGGTGAGCTGTTAATTGAAGAGCCAAAAGAAGTTCCCAAATCAAAATCAAGGTCTAAATCGCCTGGAACAATTAAGTCAGGTACCCCTGAGCCAGAAACCAAACTTCAACAAAAATCAAAACTGCAGTCCCCTCCACGCCAAGAACAAGAAGTAAATGAAAAGGAAGAAAAAGAAGAGACACCATCAGTGGTAGTAAAGAAACTCTCACCTTCGCCAAGCTTAAATGAAAACCCACCTTCGACTTCAACTCTTTCTTCAGTTGCAGTGCCACCACTTGCGTCATATCAAGTTGATCCAGATTCTGGATTAATTGGATGTATCTGTCAAATAGATGATGATGATGGGTTTACTGTCCAATGTGATATCTGTTACCGTTGGCAACATTGTCTTTGTATGAATTTCAAAACTAATGAAGAAATTCCTGATGAATACAAATGTTATTACTGTGATGAAGATAAATGGGGTAAGTTCGATCCTTTACAATGTAAAAAGAATACGTTGGAACGGTTAGATTCGGATAAGGTAACGGGAGAAGTTGAATCGTCCCCACCAATCCCGAAAAAGGAACTTAAACGGAAACATCTGGGAACAGGAACTAGTGGCTCGAGTATAGGAGCGGGAGATGGTGTGAAAAAGAGAAAGTCGCTGGACTCTAAAGGTAAAAGGAAAGATGATGAAGGATCTATTGTCACCGCCAGTTCCAGTAGTAATAAATCAAATAGTGCGGTATCCAACGACCACCATCATGCCAAGAATGATCTCCCACCACTTCCCAACAAGGATAATGATCTCCTTGATGGAGGGATATCTGCAGAGATATATCAAGGAACTTATTACAAATTGTATGATAATGATTATAAGACACAAGCGGTCAAACTGTATTTTGAAGACCTTGGTAAGAAATTCAAAGATTTCCCACCGACAGTTCAATATATGACCAAGAGTGAATATAAGAATCTTAGACTTAGTAAGATTATTTTACCTAAATGGGATAGTTTGAATGCAAAGAAAAGAAAGACAAATACAGGAGATACTACAGTGGAAGTGAAGTCGTATTCTGATAATCAGAAACAAAAGTTCAATGGCATATCTAAATTGGGATTATTTATTGGGTCTTCCGAAGTTAATAAAGTTATCCCAAGTGAAACTCCAGTCATTGAATATTTAGGTGAGATTGGATTATATTCTCAATATAAGGAGGATACCACCAATCAATACAATATTTGGGGAACTGTTAAACCTCGGGTGGTTAGGAGTGAAATTCCACTTGTTGAGGAAAGTGTTAAACTTGTGTCGGATGCCAGATTTGTAGGCAATGAAGCTAGGTTCATCAGAAAGGCATGTCCACTGGCGGCCAATTGTCGAATTCAACCAATATTTATTAAAGAGCTCCAAGCATTTAAGTTTTTCATCATCACCACGAAAGATATTCATTTATCTTCGGAATTCCCTGAAGAAGAACTCCGGTTAGAATGGCAATGGGATCTGAAACATCCAATAAATAAGATGTATGACCATGTTGATGAAGAAACGCATGAACAAGTGGAAGGGATCAAATTTGATCAATTTTCTGAACTGGAAAAGAGTATATTAATTTCAAGTGTGGATAACGTATTGAATTTTGTTGAATGTGCATGTACCACTGCAAATCTGAATTTATTACCAGGATATCAAGCGAATTGTGCCCTTTTCAAGATTAAAAAAGCTACTGCCTACCTTTTGAGATCTACCAGAAAGGCTCTACTGGTAAGTAGTCTTAACCTTTCGAAATCTAGGGACGTTTTAATCATGAATAAAAAGCCAAAGAAGTATATCTCATGGCAAGAAAGACTGGAAGAACGGGATCGTTTGATAGCCCTGGACTTACTTTTCGCTGGTGGAAAAGGTTTGGATGGTGATCAGAACAAGGAGGAGATAGAAGCAATGGAAATCGATAAAGATGATATTGCAGATGAAGTCGAACCAACTTCTGAAAATGAAAAGCCAATAATTTCAAGACCAATTCCATATCGAGATACCCTTATCGCCAAGAGTAGAGCACTTAATGATATTACAGTCAAAATTGATACTGAGAAATGTGATAATCGTTCACTTTTCGTACCACTCGTTCCAGAATTAGTGATCAAAATTCAAGGAGCAGTAAGTGAAAAGATTGAAGTTCCTAAGGTTGCAGCTATAGCATTTGAGCCAAAGAAAGAACCTGAACCTGAACCTGAAAAGGTTGCAGTGGTCGCTGAAACAGTTCCTGAGGTGGAGATTAAACCTCAAGTAGTTAAGAAACTTTCGTTTGCAGACTACAAAAAGAAGATGAAATGATTGAATATAGATTTTTATCAATGTACACTAATATAAGAAATCATAACAAGATTACCATTCTCTCAAATCAAAAATAATAATTTACACTCTAAAATAATAAGGAAAGTATGGATGTGGTAATTTTAATGAGTGATATCTAATCCAACTAATCACTTTGTAAATCATTATGTTTAGTTTTAATTTTTTTTTTTTGTAGGTTGGAAAAACTTCTCTAATCCTTATATTCAGTAGGATCCTTGTTACCCCAACATAAAACTTCATGCGATTCTGGTTTGTCCAAAGCTTGGAGAATTTCTTCTTCAAGATCAACCTTACCGAATGATTTTGTTTCTTCAAGTTGATCGTCTTCGACTTGACCATCTGGCAAGACACTCAAATTTTGCTTAATTCTCTCAAACTTTTCGGTCTTGGCCAACACAATAAATCCTTGAAGGTATGACCATTTGAGTAAGATTTCAACCTTTGGTACGCCAAACTTCTTTTCCAAAGAAAGAAGTTCTGGATCATTGAGCTTATGTCCTTGAGTAAGAGGCGAGTATGCTTCCAAGAGAATATCTTTGGATAAACAATACTTACGTAACTTCAAGTGTGGGAGCCATGGATGTAATTCAAGTTGATTTACAACTGGCTTAATTGAGAGCCCTTCCCAATTGAGAAGTTCTTCAATGTGTTCAATTCCGAAATTTGAGACCCCAATAGACTTAATTTGAAGGACGTCATTAGAAGGATCTGATACAAACTCTTGTAAAGCCTTCCAAGAGCCTAATCTCTTATCCTTAGAAGTCAATGGAGAATGGAGAAGGAATAAATCAACATATCCAATGTATGGCTTCACTTTATCGGCGGTCTTTTGAACACCTTTCTTTGTTTCTTCATATCCTTGGTCTTCATTCCAAATCTTTGTGGTGAACCAGATATCTTCACGAGAAACCTTTGGATAATCCTTTAAAAAGGCAGCAATTCCTTCAGCAGCTTCCTTTTCATTTCCATAAATGGCAGCAGAGTCGATATGACGATATCCGTCTTCTAAAGCTCTGTATACCAAATCCTTGGTGGTCTTGGAATCAAGTTGGTAGACACCATACCCAGCGATAGGAATAGATAATCCATTGTTGAGTTTGTATGTACTATTTCTAGTGAGTTGGATGGCAGTAGTGAGGTTCGACATGTCTATAAAATATGAGGTATGATCTTTTGTTTTGAAAAGAGAAGGGTGCTCTAAAGTTTGGATGTATTCAGGTTATATATGTTTTTCGCAGCAAGAAAAAACTATATATAGAGCAATCAAAGTTTAAGGGGAAAGCACAATTTGTTGGTTACGAGACTATGTGTGAGAAAAGCTCCAATTAATGGGAAAATCTGTTAAATTTATATGCGATCGATTACATGCATGAAGATTTTCGGATACAACGGGGTTGTTCAATTGCGAGGAGGATTCTTTGAAAAGTGCGTGGGGGAGTACCTAGGGGTTTATGTGGAGAATGGAGTGTATATAATATGGTGGCGTTTTCAATGAATAGTAGTTAATTTTTCATTGAGTCTTACAAGGTTGCTTAAAAGGTGCATGACATAAGGCGCTAGGAACTATTGAAGAAGATGTACATCATTGGCCATGTCGAAAACAAAAAAGGTATAAATCATGATTTTGAGTTGGAGCTAAACATCAATATTAATTGAAAGTTTGAGAGTTTTACCATATCGATTCGAGTTTTGAACGTGCGTACTTTTTGTTGGGAGACTGAGAACCGGATGTTTTGCCAACTGCAATTTAAATCAACTATTATATAGATATAGGTAGTATATACTGAGTGATTTTGTTTGATGATTCCTCAAAGAACTATTATCCAGACATCATGCTTTTTTTTGTATGACAGAAAATAGAAACCACAACTTATTTCTCCCTTCTTGGTTTGATAGTATGAACAAAGAGTTCGCTTTTTTTTTTTACATCCATTGCGGTAAATTTTACTACCCTCATAGATATCCATATTTTGTTATACTCTCTTTGTACACGATTTCAATACATCAATTACAAGATTTCCTAAATTCTTCTTATTTTTGCTCTTTTTTTGGATCATTTCCTTCTACAGGGTTGTAAATTTCTAATCTCCTCTTGACCTTTGTCAAACTATAAAAGAATGGTTGCAAAGGTAAATAAATATGGACTTTATTTCCAGATCTATTATATATTGCAAAAAGCAAATTATTAATTATTTTGGTAAATTTCCATCGTACATTATACTTACTAAAGCAAAACCAATCATATTATCAAACGTATAACTACAAATTCTCTTATAAATTGTTGTATACATTTACTTAATCTCATCTTTGTGTTTCATGGTCGAGACTGCATATATGTTTCCAAGTATGATGATTATCTCAATCACAACAAGTGCCGTCTTTTAGACGGGGGAGTTTTGATAAGTTCGGCTGATACATCTAAATATATATACGTGACACATATACGAAATGTCAGGTAGAAAGAAGACCCTTTTGAAGGTGATTATCCTTGGGGATTCCGGGGTAGGAAAGACATCTTTAATGCAACAATTTGTCAACTCAAAGTTCTCGCACCAATATAAGGCCACCATTGGAGCCGATTTCTTAACTAAGGAAATCACTGTGGATGGTGGTAAGCAAGTTACCTTACAAATCTGGGACACCGCTGGTCAGGAAAGGTTCCAATCACTTGGAGTGGCGTTTTACAGAGGTGCTGACTGTTGTGTCCTTTGTTACGATGTGACTAATGAGAAATCACTCAATAATCTTGCCTCTTGGAAGGATGAATTTCTCATTCAATCCAATGTAGCAAACCCAGCTGACTTCCCATTCATTATCATCGGTAACAAGATAGATGTAGATGAAAGCAAAAAGATTGCTAGTTTGCAAAAGAAGTTGAACAACGTAACCAGTAATCAATTAGGGGGTTTGAACTACCCAGTTTTTGAAACTAGTGCCAGAGATGCCATTAACGTTGAACCTGCATTTGAAGTTGTTGCCAAGATGGCTTTACAACAGGAGGAGTTGAACGAGGCTGGAAATGATGTGAGTGATGATTATAATGATGCTATCAATATTCACTTGGAAAGTGAAAGTAGTAGTTGTATGTGTTAAGACACTTGTATTCATTCTTTCATATATATCCCACATAGGGGCATATTAGTCCCGATACTTTGGTTGCTCTATAGATTTCGTTCCGTTACGACAAACGTTCTATTCACTTCATACGGTACATACATTGTTTAATACTATTTAATAACTTAATATTTGATGTAAAAGGAAAAGGAAGAAGAGTAATATACTACATAGCTCGTATGTTGATCCTCGGGTCATACTCATATCATACAAGAGTTCCAATATTATATTTCACCAGTCTTTTACTATTTCATTGTCTAATTATAAAGATTAACTACTTGCTGATACAAGCACAGAAGGCCTTCAACAACAAATCCACAAATTGGTTTCCAGTCTTGATATCGTTGGAACTTCCACCTTGTTGGTGTTGTTGTTGTTGTTGCTGTTGGTAGTGTGGTTGTTGTTGTTGTTGGTAGTGTGGTTGTTGTGATTGTTGTTGTTGTGGGGCGCCAGCGGTCCAGTGGTTTGGGATTTGGGATGTTTGGGCATTCTCCAAGTCAATAATCATCACACCAGTGTTCTTAGGATCAATCCGGTGTCTCAAATTACACTCGTCACATAGTTGGTCAATCGCTGGTTTCAACTTGGCAATCCCATTGGAGGAGTGGAGTCCCTTACCGACAATAACCCGCAAATGGGATTGGTTAGAGCGAATGGCAGCCCCAAGACGATTCTGTAAGATATACTCAGCTTCCTTGACATACAATCCATGCAAGTCAATTTCGTCTCCAGCACTGTCAGCATTATTTTCTCTGAAAACATACTCGGCAGCTTGGCGGTTGTAACCCTCTGCTTGCGAGAGAAACTTCTTGGACTCCTCACTAAGGTCATGGGCTCTCAGTTTATCTCCAGACTTGAACGCAGCTTGAGATTGTTGAGAAAGACTACTTCTCTTTTGGTAACATTCATCAGCCTTGGCACGAAGTCTTTTATACTCTGAGTCCGTGGCATGATTATAGTCATCTCCGCCAAGACGGGCTCCTCTATCTGCTGTAGACATATTGGTTATTTATTCGAGTTGAATTTTTGGTGTATTTCCAACAATCTCTAGCACAGCCCTGCGAATATTTTTTGTATCTTTCTGTTTTTGTTTTTCCTTTGACGTGAGAGAACAAAATTGTCCCCAACGTGGTAAGGTACTGCGTGCAAATTTAATGGTTCGTACTGATTGTGGCACGTGATGGCTGCAAAATAAAGAAAACACATATCATACAAACACTATATTAAACAACAATTCATTTTATGTTTTATTTTATATATACATGTCTACGTATGTATATCAAATAGTACTCTTAATGGTATAAATGAGAGAAGAGACCTTCTTGAATAGTGTACCCTCTTTCACCTGGAATAAAAGTGACATTTGTACCTGATCTACCTTGTTGTTTCTCACAATAGTCAAGGTTTTTAGGGTCTGACGATGGTGCACCATAATAATAAGCCCAAACATCATACTCTTTCCCATTATTATAAAAAGTAGGAACCCAAGTAGAATATCCGGCCTCAGGAGTGCAAAATAATGGTTGATGGTATTCCTTATTTGGTGGTAAGTATTGTTCAAGCCATTGGGCTGCATAATTTTTAATTAATCCAAACGATGCGTCAACAGTATAACGACCAATGTCTGTCCTTTCGCCAGTAACATCATCACGACACCATCCCTGCCAAACAGTGGATTTATTGTCAAGAGTTTCAACTAAATTACTAGAGAGTGTGTAGTTTCTTCCAGGGACCCATTCAAAGTCCAGTTGACAGGTAACACCAGGACCGGCATCGGCACCTGGATAGCAGAGGTGGTGACTAGTATAGGTACCTTCTCCGAAAACACTATAAGAAACTCTACCCTTTGGACCAGGGCGTGGTTGGAATCCAAAATAAGCAACTTTGGAATTTTGAAATTCGGTCAGAGTAGCCATAAATAAACCAGTAGTGTTACCATAATGCATATTAATTGTAGAAGAGATACCAGTGAACGACTTTTGAGTGTTATTAACTGGTAAATAAGCCCAAAATGGCTTCATTGTACCGGCAGAAGCAACGGAGTACAAAGTACAGAGATAGAGGAATACTGAAATTTTCATTGTAACAGTTTGATGATCTAATTACCAAGACATAAATAAATATGAGGATTTGATTACTACTTATATACGATCAAAGCCTGATTATTCAAGTTGTTCATATAAGCTACTACTACTACTACTTACAAGTTACGAACCTTGGGTGATTTTCTTCCAATTGGTCGTTTAACCGCTTTGTTTCAATTTGAGCCGCACGTAAGAATGATGCAAGTGGCAACCATACACAGAAATTGATGGCCATCATGAATTGGTTGTTAACAAGTATTTAGAAGTCAAGAAGCGTTTTGTATTTTTCTCTGCATTAATTATTAGAATCAGACATAATCGTATAATTGCTAAAAGAAATTAACTTCTAATTGGAAAACAATAATTCATGTTGCTTAAATGGAGAACATAATGTTTTCGCCTGTTTTCATTTGAGAGGCTTATCAATCTCTGTCAACGGAATTGGATCGAAGCTCTCGTGGTAGTCTTGAAGTCCATTTATTATGGTTATTTGAAGATTGAGTTCAAAGGCTAACCTTAATTATTTGCTATAATCTGTAGCGATAGAATTCTAATTTTAATGTTGTATAAACCAGCATCAAATTTCAAGTTTAATTACTTTTATGCATGAGTGTAATTCATTTTAATTTTCGGAAACGTATATACGTGAAAGGATTAGTTATAAGCTACATTGGTTTCAAGAAGACAAGTAGATGTGTGTTGTGCCGCATCGTAAAGAAGCACCATCTTGATCTACCCTAAAGAAATCAACGAAAGCTCTATCTGTGTAGTCCAATGTGCTTTCTTGCTATCCAGAATCGAGGTTACCTCAATTTATTGAGGTGTTGGTTTTGAATACATGATTTCATTCATGCACCTCTGTTGTCTTTCTAACCACTGGTTTTTCATCCGTGAAGGTGCGTTCGGGTTTAGGAAGTTTTAATTTTGTGATTGGGCAATTCTCGTAATCAATTACCGATCGTACATGTACTGAATACCATTACACACTTTTCGTAAACATTTATAATTTGATTCTAATAATAAGTTAAGGGAAGAAATCTGAAATTGACTGCTTAACAATGGTGACCTGATGTGATGCTCGCTTAATATGAATCGCAGAGAATAATATTCAGTGTGTTTATGCACTGGTTAACAATGATTTCACAATTGTAATTAAATTTGCCATGTATTGTTCTTAGAACACAGCGGAAAGTTCTGGTAACTTATTCACCGTGAAAGTAGACAGTAATAACTTTATTATTATTATTATTTTATAGCTAATCTGATTACATGAATTTCATTCTATATATAGAAACAGTCCACGGAAATCAAAGATTCTTCTCCATTGAACCAAAGTATATTAAACTTCCATTTGCAAATAATTCTTAATGCCAAATGCTTCACACTTACAATACCAAGGCAGATATAGGTTTATGCCCATTAAAATTGTGAAAAGTAAGAGTAAATGTGTAATAGTAAGACAAATTTCGACACTCTAGGTATATACCACTAAAATTTCTATAAGAGAGTGTAGGATATTGGTTAATCTCCTCCTCCACATCCGCCTCCTCCCCCGCTACTACTACCACATCCGCCTCCTCCCCCGCTACTACTACCACATCCTCCTCCCCCACCACTACTACTACCACATCCTCCTCCTCCTATACAATCACCTCCATTTCCTCCTCCTCCCCCAATTAATGAACCCTCATAGGTACTCCCATTTGGGCCCCCTCCTCCACCGCATCCACCCGAAGCACAAACAGCATGGGCACCACCATCGGACACAGTACAACAAGAGCCTGCACCCCATATGTCACTACATTGTTCAGAATATGGTGCATAAGGTGGAAACACGAAGACTCCACTTGCAGCAAAAAATACCATTTGGGAATCTCGCCATGGAAAGTTTTTAGAAGGACCCACTTGAAATTTTTTGTTAAGGTCTTCCTTATTCTCTTTGGCTACTACTCCGGGCCAAAATATACTGTTATGTGCCGAAATATGTGTAAGACTCGATTGACCTTCGTTTTCTGTGCATAGTGGTAGCTTCTGAAATCGTTCTTTCTCCTTAGATTCTGGCTTCAACTTTCGAAATAGCCTCTTGAATGAAGATTTTGACATAGATCTAACTTTCACACAGTACCAACAGAAGCACATTGAATATTCTTCTTTGTAAATTTCCTTATAAAGTCTTTGTGACCTGTAAAAACTTTTGGAAAGTCTAGTTTCATCTATTTTATCATCATGGTCTATCACACACATTGCTACACTTTGTTTGCAACCTTTAAAGTAGTAGTAAACAGAAAGTTGGTGAGTATGCCAAAATAAGTCAATATCTAATGTAGGTACAAGCATTTGATATTTCTTTAATCTCACGAGTAATCTGAAAAATTTCTGATATCTGTTACAAGATTCCAGCATACTTTCAAATACAAGAGAGGAATGTAACCAATCGATTTCATTCATTTTCTCAACAAATCTCTCTTGACGGAAAACACATCCAACGAGATCTTCCACTATCAATACCACATCTCTTTTAGGAACTGTTCGATGTATAAGATTCAGTAAAATGTATGCTTTATATATGCTTTTGGCTTCAAAGTTTCGTAATTGGTGATATTGTGAAATTATCAGAACAAGGTCTTCTTTAAGATGAGAGCATTGCTCCCCTATTATCAGTTTTACCCTTTCATCAGTTTTTACTGTTGTTCCATCTTCATACATTGTTCTTGTAATGACGTTGGAAAAAAGAGTAGAAATGTTTGGTAATTGGGCATCATTAATCAAATCAGCATAAACTTCTCTTCTTCTTAATTGATCATGATTAAGTTTACCCAAGAATTCGCATTCACATTCTACACTTTCACAAGAGAACCCTTCATCTGCAAATCCAGACAATGAACCATTGGTGTAGGGAATAGTAGATAATGTTGCACGACACACTGCACAATGAATATCGACTTGTGCTTGCATAATTGAATCAATTGAAGGTTCAACTTCCAATTCAACCTCATACAGTTTGATCAATAATCTGAAATTATCAAGTTGATCATTAGAAGGATTGAAACTAAAGGTTTCGTTGTCAATTGCTTCAGATATACGAAGCAAGGGGAATGGGAAATATGCAAAGTCTAGGATACGGTTTCTGGCACATGTATCATAAAACAGCTTGGGGTTCAATAAGAATGAATGCCAAACCATCAAGATATCCAACGGTGGGATCAAATCCTCGAGATAGTTGTATCTATGGCGAAATTCAAGTTCAATAACCTTAGTGGCGTATTCCTGTTCAGTCAATTCGTCGTCTAGTCTCCGAGCACGGTAAGCACTGACAAATATAATAAATCGCCTAACGGCATTTGTTACATATACTTGCCAAGTTTTGATAAGTTCATCTTGAGGAATACCATCAAGAACATATTTTTTGTGTTCTCCAAGTGCTTTAAGAAACTTTAAATGTGCAATACCTTCAACCACTGTGGGCATATGTGAGGTTCCTGTTGAATGAGTATACTCGAACTCGGCATATTGATCTGGTTTACAATTGGATAGTATTGATTGAAATAACAGCTTTTCCATGTTTTAAGTGGTACAACTCCCCACACACTCAATATTAACCGAGCACGTGTAATCTGTATAATACATTTTTTGAAGTAAAGCCCATTCCTTTATTGTTTGTTTGTTTTATGTGTGTGTAACTCACTTCTCACATGTCCCAATTATACTTATCAATGAAGTATTTATTTCGTTTAGGCTTTCCCATTGTGGTAAAACTGAATGTTCTCTGTAAGGCTTTCGGCCAAGATTAATCTGTTTTTACCGAGAAAATGGTTTTCTTCCCCAGGTGTATGCATATGCACTATGACGCAATGCATGATCTAAACAATAGTATCCCCCACTCTTCAAAATCCCCCACTCTTCAAAATATTCCTAAACATGAGTCAATCTTTATTTGGTCATCAATACTACCCTTTTAGTGTTTTAAGCATGATCATTAAAATAATGTGGAAGATAAATGGGTTGGTCGTAATACTACATTGTTTCATTTTCTCTCTACCAGTCTACACGGATAACTCTTCAAAACACATAACCAATTTGCAGCTTCTTATGAAGAGATTTCCCTTCGGTAGATCGTCTTGTCAGATAACTTACACGGAAGCATTCTTGTAGAGTGAAATGCTCTCTGGTCCTATAATTCAATTTCAAAAATTTTGTATGCATTTATTAATATTCATATACGTAGCTTCTTTAACTTGTTAATTACCTCCTCCTCCACATCCTCCTCCTCCTCCTCCACCACATCCTCCTCCTCCACATCCTCCTCCTCCTCCACATCCTCCTCCTCCTCCTCCTCCTCCACATCCACCGCCAAATCCTCCTGCTGCTCCACAAGTTGATCCACAATTTCCGTGTCCCCCACAATTTGATCCACAATTTCCACCTCCTCCTCCCCCACCTCCAGCAGCTCCAGGAGCATTTCCGCCATCACCCACTGTACAACACGTTCCTGCACCCCAAACACTTGCACATGCTAGTGATACGGGGGAATATGGTGCAAATACAAATAACCCCCCAGTATAATAGTATGCCATCAGGTTATCTCTCCAAGGGAAGTCACGAGAAGGTCCAACTTTGAATCGCTTCTCCATGTTTTCTCTACTCTGTGTGGCTTGATGGCTCTGCCAAAATATGCTATTATGGGCTGAAATGTGAGTGAGATTCGAATCTCCATTTTCAGAAAATAAGGACAGGTTGCTAAATTTTTTCTTCTTGGATTCTGATTTAAAGTTACCAAAGAGCTTCTTTAATTTCGATTTAGCAATCGACCTTGTTCTCACACAATACCAACAAAAGCATAATGAATATTCATCTCCGTACTGTCTCTTGTAGAGCTTTTGAGTTCTAACAAAACTTATTGAAAGTTTTGATTCATCTATCTTATCATTATGATCAATTATTCCATATTTACTGTATTTGCAAGAATTGAAATAAAAAACAACCGATAGTTGATGGGTATGCCAAAACAAATCAATATCCAATGTGGGTACAAGCATTTGCCTGAAACGAAAATCAAATAATAGGTTGAAAAACTTACCATATCTCTTACATGATTCCTTCATGGTATCTAAAACAAGATGTGATCTTAACCAATCGATTTCATTCATTTTCTCAACAAATCTTTCTTGTCGGAAAACACATCCAACAAGGTCTTCTGAAACTAAAACAACATCCTTTTTAGGAATAGTTCGATGGATAAGATTCATTAAGGTGTAATTCTTGATAACATTCTTAGTTTCTGATGTCAGTATGAGATTAGTAAATACAGAAAGCAACGAATATTCTTCCTTGAGAAGGTAGCTTTGTTTCTCAATATCCATTTTAATCGCCATATCAACTTCAGCAACCTTCTCATCTTCATATTTTGTCTTGCTTACAATATTTGAGTAGTATGCAGAAAGATAGGGTAGTTGAACTTGACTAATTATATCAGAATAAAGTTCTCTCCTTCTTAATTGATCATGTGTAAGCTTATCTGTAAAATTGCAGGGACATTGAAGAGGTTCAACTGAAAACCCTTCATCTGCAAACCCACTTAGTGATTCATTTGTGTAAGGAGTTGAGGCTAAACACTGTCCACACACTGCACAAAAGACATCTACCTTTGTCAGCAAAACCAACTCAATCGAAGGTTCAAAATCTAACTCAACCCCATACCTTCTAGTCAAGACATTAAACCCGTTAACATCAGACTTTCCTGGTTGGTATTTAAAAGTACCTTTATCAATTGCCTCTGTGACACGAAGTAAGGGGAAAGGAAAATATGCAAATTTTAAAATATTATTTCTAGCGCAAAAATCATAAAACAGTTTTGGATTTAATAAAAAGGAATGCCAAACCATTAAAATGTCAAGTGGTGGTAGCAAATGTTGTAGAGCATTGTATCTCTCCCGAAAATCAAGATCCGAAATTATTTCAGCATACTCTTGTTCCGTCAAATTATAATTCACTATCAGTTTCAGGAATGCACTCACAAACACAATAAAGCGCCTAACAGCATTCGTTACATATATCTGCCAAGATTTTATCTGTTGATCTTCCTGTACTCCATGGAGGATAGCTTTTTTATGCTCCCCAAGCACCTTAAGAAACAATAAATGAGCCACGCCTTCTTCCACCGTGGGTCGACGGTCAATTCCAACACCAGTCACGGTCAAGTACTTGTGCGATGCAAATTGATTTGGGTCGACATTTGTCAACAACGATTGAAATAGATATTTATCCATATTTTTATTTTCGTAAAATGGTTGCCTTCCTGTGATCTCTGTTCGTATTTGGTATATGTTCTATGATGATGTATATATATATATATATCCACGTGATATGTCACAGTATTCTCTTATCACTGTTATATGTGCGGCTTCTTATCTATTGTCTCGTTAATACCACACAAGGTTGGTTGGGGGAGAACTGGTTGAACGTGGTAAGTTTAGCCTAGTCCTACGTCAGTGTTATTCGAGTAATACGAAAAATATACGAGGGGCTGATTAAACTCTGTGCAGTATGACGTCATTGAGTCACTAATTGTATACTAGTTGAGAAAGATAATGAGTGTTGAATCGACACGTTGGGAAATTTCTCGGGAAATTATGCGGAAATCTACGGCTCATAAAATTATTGTATGTCTAAGCTCATTAATATTACTTGTTAGTTGCAAATTCTGGTTCTTTGTTCATTTTAATACTTTTTGAAGCCAAGAAATGTAAATTGCATTTTCCTGAGAAAGACTATTTCTTTCTGGACGATATTTCTTTTGTTTCCTTTCGCTTGAAATTCTAGATTTTGGCATAAAATGGAATTTTAACACGCTTGAACGGGTTATAACTTCTTTGTGCCCATACATTAATGGATTCCATACATCATGTACTTGTTCGAAAAAATACAGGAATGCGCTTTAACATATGTGTAGTTTACCTTCAGTGCGTTTGAGTAATCCAGATAATCAAGATAATCACCAATTGTCTTCGTCCTAGCCTTAGTTTCTCTAGAGGCAAAAAATTTAATTGAGTTAGGTTCCTTAATATATTTCTCAATTCTGTTTCAGAATCGAAATAATCATATTGTTTTCTTTAAGAATTTTTGAGGAGTTCAGAAACATTGTTGAGGCGTCCAGGGAGAGTATAGAAGTGTTATACAATGAGTGAAAGAATGAGAACTAGTGGTTGAAGCACTTTGTTTGATATTGTTGAAAAGAACTTAACATCCTAAGTCTTTCGATAATTTCACTAATTCCACTAATATTCTCAGTAAATGCTTATTAATTGCTTTAACTATTTCATCTTCATACTTTCCATTAGAAATGAAATCAAGAATTAATACATTGTAAAACTCTTACTTACAGCAATTAAATAAAAGTCTTATGATATCAATCGTATAATTTCAAACTCTTGAACACAAAAGTCCAGAGTGTCTTTCAAACTCCCTCTAGGGAGACTCAATCTTAGGCGTCTATAATTGATTTTTAAAATTAATAGAAGATCAAGATAATCAAGTTACATTACCATTCTCTTCTCTGTTCAATATTATAGTGTTAAATCATTAATTGAATAGTACCAGAATAACGTCAATCAATTTCTTTCCTAATAATCCCTTACAAGTCTAAAAATTTCTGGACCTCAACATGAGAGAATTGAAACCAAAAGAATTCACAATTTACTATATTTACAACAACTACAGGTACTTTTTTCTAGAAATATTTTAAATTTCATACATTAGTCAACTACAAAATAACGAACTAAGAAACTTATTTCTTAGCAGCCTTTTGAGCAGCCTTGGTAACCTTACCGGCCTTTTCAGACTTGTCAACAGACTTGATGACACCGACAGCGACGGTTTGTCTCATGTCTCTGACAGCGAATCTACCTAATGGTGGGTAGTCAGTGAAGGCTTCAACACACATTGGCTTGGTTGGGACCATCTTGACAATAGCAGCGTCACCAGACTTGATGAACTTTGGAGAGTCTTCCATCTTCTTACCAGTTCTTCTGTCAATCTTTTCGATCAATTCATCGAACTTACAAGCGATGTGGGCGGTGTGACAATCCAAAACTGGAGAGTAACCAGAAGAGATTTGACCAGGGTGGTTCAAGACAATAACTTGAGCGTTGAAAGAAGCAGCACCCTTTGGTGGGTCGACCTTGGAGTCACCACAGACGTTACCTCTTCTAATTTCCTTAACGGAAACGTTCTTGACGTTGAAACCAACGTTGTCACCTGGAACACCTTCAGCCAATTGTTCGTGATGCATTTCAACGGACTTGACTTCAGTGGTAACACCAGCTGGGGCAAAGGTAACAACCATACCGGCCTTGATAATACCGGTTTCAACTCTACCGACTGGCACAGTTCCGATACCACCAATCTTGTAGACATCTTGCAATGGCAATCTCAATGGCTTGTCAGTTGGTCTTTGAGGTGGTTCAATGGCGTCAATGGCATCCAAAAGGGTCTTACCAGTGGACTTACCAGCCTTGGTTTCCTTTTCCCAACCCTTGTACCATGGACAGTTGGTAGATGGTTCAATCATGTTGTCACCGTTCCAACCAGAGATTGGGACGAATGGAACAGTCTTTGGGTTGTAACCGACCTTCTTGACGAAGTTAGAAGTTTCCTTGATAATTTCTTCGAATCTGTTCTTGTCCCACTTGACGGAGTCCATCTTGTTGACAGCAACAATCAATTGCTTAACACCCAAGGTGTAGGCAAGCAAAGCGTGTTCTCTGGTTTGACCATCCTTAGAGATACCAGCTTCGAATTCACCGGTACCACCAGCAATAATCAAAATAGCACAATCAGCTTGGGAAGTACCAGTGATCATGTTCTTGATGAAATCTCTGTGACCTGGAGCATCAATGACGGTAACATTGTACTTTGGAGTTTCGAACTTCCACAAAGCGATATCAATGGTGATACCTCTTTCACGTTCAGCCTTAAGTTTGTCCAAAACCCAAGCGTACTTGAAAGAACCCTTACCCAATTCAGCGGCTTCCTTTTCGAACTTTTCGATAGTTCTCTTGTCAATACCACCACACTTGAAAATCAAGTGACCAGTGGTGGTAGACTTACCGGAATCGACGTGACCGATGACGACGACGTTAACGTGGTTCTTTTCCTTACCCATTTTAATAGATTTAGTTGTTATACAGAAAAAAAGTTAAAAAGAAAAAATTGTAGGAAAGTCTTTTTTTAAATTAAAACGATCGCGGAAGGTTGAACAGTCATCGGCAAAAAAAAAAAATTAAAATTTTCGGAGCAATTTGAGTGTATGCAGGCGCAGTCTCAGGGTTCAGCCCTAGATATTGTATGATGTTCACGTGTAAACATGGGTGTTATTGATGGCGGTGGCGGTGGCAATGGTATGACTCAATTGAGTTGATTTAAAGTTTAATATTGATAATGACTCATATTTTAAGGTAATTGGGTTAGGTTCATCATGATAACATGTGATTTAGTGGATGGTCTTATGGTATGGGTTACCTGCTAGTTGGAGGTATAATAGCCGATTTTTTACAACGTGCGAGCTAACTGTAGACGATATTGACACGTATGCAGGTTTGCAGCCAAAAAAAGTAGGGCTGAAGGCACTCAAAAATGAATATACAAGTGAAGTATTTAAAATAAATCATAAGTAAGTGGATGTAATAAGAAAGAATATGGATATAAATGTGAACCATGGAGGGTTTGTGTCTGGTAATTACGTAGTTTAAATATAATTGGTAGTTGGATAATGGGGATCTCTAAAAACTCAAACTCATTTGGCCCTCCTAACGTGGGTGTCTGGATGTAAAATAAAAGTATAACCATGAGTTTGTTTGTTTCCATTATTATTTTCAATTTTCTTCTATTAATTGGTCCATAAATTAGTATAATCGTGATTATTTCAATTGTTTATCTTAGGGGAGTCGAGGATCTTATTCAGTAAACTCAATTGTAACTATATCATCTTTATTTAAAAATCTGTTCCTTGTAGAATTGATATACAATATTGTTAACAATAACTCTAGATTAGTACAATTAATTATAAATAATAACAACTATTCTTTTTTCAACTCTCTCACAGTGATACCTTATAGATATTACACCCCAAGACAATTCATACCCACTCAAGTATTCTAAATAATAATCTTTTGGCTGCAAAAAGTTTGCTACACTTACCAATCTTTATTGTTTTTAAATAATCTTTATTCTCTATAAATTATTACAGGATTATTTTCGAGTACGCCTTTTCTTTTTAGGGAGCTCAACTTGCTCGGAAGCATAACCAACTGTAAATTCATCTTCTTCAAGGGTAATATCTTGATCTTGATGAGGTTGGATCGGTGGTATTATCTTTTGTGGACTTCGACCCGCAAGTCGTCCAAATTTTTGAGTTGATCCTTTTCGCGGAGATGGGAGTCGAGGTAATGAGCCGCTTTCCTTTGTAGGCGTACGCAGAGGCTGCTCTTCTTGATTTATAGCTTCCATACTTCTCATATAATCTATTAATGTTGTAGTTTTATTGTAGCCTCGAGGAACAAAAATACACCATTTGAGATCCAATATATCCGGCATAATAAGCAGTTTAGTCGGTGCTGAGAGAATAAGGGTTTCCCAAAGATATGCAATCGATAAAATAGGGATCTCCCAATTCTTAGCTGCATTAATTTTGTTCCTACTTGATACAAATGACACTCCAGTCAGATAAACGGGGCAATCTATCACATCTTGATATGTGTATTCCAAGAGCTTTGGAGACTTCTTGCTTATAGTTTCTCGGAAAAGATTGACATTAACTATTACAAGATCCCTATCTGATGTAAGTGATTCACAAAATTGGAACCCCATATAGTTTATAAGTTTTTGTATATGAAGTAATTCTATTCCTGTAAATCCAGTAATACAGATCTTAAGCTTTCTCAGTGGTAGAGTCAGTGATTTGGTAAGTGATAATAATCCTCGCAATGGTTTACCCCAGTTATCAAGTACACACTTTTCATAGTATACACTGCGCTCGACAAACCATTCCGTGACTACTTCAATCTCAGTTGAGTTTATTCGTTGCTTTATAGGGGTAGGAAGCATTTTTAGCACGGCAGAAGATTCACATCCACTTGCTGCTGGGATCACAATATGGGTAATTGAAGTATCGTTTAATTCAGTAGTTTCACCACCATTGGATTCAATGACTTTTTCTAGAACATTTTTTTGACTAAGTGAAAATCCTATTATGAGGAAGTTTAAACCAAGAAAGATTAATTTTGATTTCAGAATTGTATTGGGGTTTTCATTATTATTGTTATATTGTCCCAACTCTTCATTATCATCATCATTTTCGTCATCTTCATTCTCTTCCCATAAGTTTTCATCATGTGAACGTTTTTTACTTGGGGCATGATTAGTAGTCATAATAGAGTTCCATACCGAAGGAGTTCTACTTAATAATGGTCTCTCTGATTTTGGAGCCACGGAACTATTTAATTTAGCTTTATGCGCCACATCTGCTCCAACTGGTATAGTAGACCTTTTCATTGCCTTTGGACCTTGTCGAACTTGATCCCAAACCATACATCCTTGGTTGTATGGCTGTTGATCTTCTAAAGTATAATCCTCAAGTTTTAACGCGGCCATTCTTAAAAGTGAATCATATACCCAAATAGGATGAACAACTGGGATATTCCATTCAATTGCCTTCAGGAAACGTTTACCCTTTCTCTCAGTAGTAATGACACATGAGTTAGAAATTGTTAATGAGTCTGTCACTCTCCCACCATTTGCTTCAATGTATTTTGCCAATGCTTGAGATTCATAAATTTCCAAATGACTTAATGAAGTTGCTTGAATAGTTCCATCACGCCGGAATGACTCTTGAAATATCCGTTCATGAAGTGGTTTATTCTTAAATTCCACTCTTGACATACAAACTACCAATCCACTAAACACTGGTAGTAAATAGTTGTTTATATCCAAAAGATCATGCGATTCTTCACCTTTGAGCCAAAGTTCATAAACAGTTTGAATTGATTCTGGTCTAAGAAACTTTACATCATGTCTATGTTTGACACAATAGTTGTACTTGTCAGTTTTCCGATCTCCAACCACCAAATAATTTACATCACTCATAAGATCACTATAATGAGTTCCTCCCATACTGGTCAATTTCTGAGAGATTTCCTCCCGGAGTGTTGATGGTATGGAAGTACAGCAGAATGCCATCCCTTTAAATGGTTTATTCAGAGCGTCCATGTTGTGTAGGCCTGTATATCTCACCTATGAATAAGCGATACTTATAGTTATATAGTCTTTTGACCTGATGGTATTTTAATGTACAAAATATTTTATCTTATTTTATTTCTAGACAAACTACCACTTTTGTAATTCCTTGGTTCCTTAATACCCCACTAGAATCCAGTTGTATCTGAACTTGTCAATATCTCTTTTGACCATCAACTTTATTGATCTCACCTACATTATTACTACCTCATTCCTTATATTCATATCGCGTCTTTTGTGTAATTGTCCCAATTTATAACTAAAGGCAAAACTAAAACCATTTCAAAAGACATATATTTCTACAATATTGTTACATATATCACCCTTGATTGTTATGTTTAATCCAACAAGAAGTATAGGAAGACGATGTCTTTCAAACTTTGATAAAAAAGTTACAACTTCGACTTTTAAAGCTATCCCCAAGAAAACTACTACATTCGTTACGCGTAACTCTTCAACTACCACCCCTAAAAGTGTTAGTAGTACTACATCAAAAGAAAACTCTCCTGCGCCATCTTCAACTTTGAATTCTTCTTCAACAACTTCATTTACTCCTACGCAATCAACTCTTACGTCTTTGAAGGATGCTCCAGCAACACCAATTGGAACTTCAACAAACTTGCCAACTGAATCTATTAACTGGTCAGAATCATTCCATGGTCTTGGAACTGCACCATTTTCGAAAGAAGCAAGTGACGTCTTGCTAGCTCCTCTTGATAATGAAGATATTGAAATCAAACCCGATGGATTATTATATCTCCCTGAAATTAAATACCGTCGTATTCTCAACCGTGCATTTGGGCCAGGAGGTTGGGGACTTGCTCCTCGTACTGAATCTCTTATTACTCAGAAACTTATTACCAGGGAATATGCATTGATTTGTCATGGAAGATTGGTTAGTGTTGCACGTGGTGAACAAGATTATTTTGGAGGTGAGGATAGAATCCCTACAGCCTTAGAAGGATGCAAAAGTAATGCCTTGATGCGTTGTTGTAAGGACTTGGGGATTGCAAGTGAGCTTTGGGATCCTTCTTTTATTCGTAAGTGGAAGGCCAAGTATGCCGATGAAGTGTTTGCTGAACATGTAGTTACCAAGAAAAAGAAGAAGTTATGGAAGTTGAAGTCAAACAAGGTTTTTGATTATCCTTATAAGCAATGTTAGATGCAGAGAGATAAAATATGAGCTGGGCTTGGAACAGAGGAGATATTTGGCACTGCCATGCAATTAGAAGAGTGGTTATTGTAAATAGTTAATGATATTAGAAAATATTGTAAATGAATGAGAAGGAAAAGTAAGATTCATTAAAAGCATAGTGATAGAGTGAAAGAAAAATTACAACTAGCACTAGTGTATACTTAAATTGAACTCGGATAGGATGTACTAACGATTTGTTATAATGGGTCTACAATAGGAAGATGAAAAAAAAATTTTAACTTAGATTAATCTCCTCTTATAATTACTTTCTTAACTGTATATTGTTTATATGCTTATGGCTTCAAGAACCCACGACCTTCTCCCAATTGATCAACGGTTTGAGATAAAGGTCTTCTTTGCCAGACGTCCCAGAACTTTTGTTGAGGTAAGTCAGCGTCTGTGTTGGCCTTTTCGTAAGTGACATCAGTGTAGGCAGAAGAGGTAGATTGAGACCATCTAAAGTGGTCAACAAATGCAGCGGCGACAGCACCAGAAACACCAGTGAGGATCTTGTGCTTCAATGGCATGGACTTGAAGCCAACAGTCAACACGGTCAAGTTACCGGCGGCAACACCCCAAAGAGTGTTCCAACCATCGTTCTTTTCTCTTATGTTAGTGATCATAGCCTTGGCACCAGTAGCAACAGTGGCAAATGCAATGACAGTGGCAGGCAAACCCAACTTGAAGGTAGATCTTCTCCAGACGTACAACCAGGCGTAAGCACCTGCAGTGGTGTAGAAGGAGAACTTGAATACTTGAGAAGTTCTCTTTTTAGTGTCAACTGGAGTGAAAGGTGGGTACGCAGAAGCGTTACTCAAGTTACCGAACGGTCTTGGCCATTTGAATGTGGAGTCTGGGAACGCGCGGGCGGCGACAGTACCTTCTTCTGACATGATGTGTGTGTATATATGGGGGGTGCAGAAGATGTGGTGTGGTTAATCAACTATATCTTTTGAGGATGGTTGTAAAAATGATAAAATCATATTGAAAGCGCGCTAGCCAATCAACGAAGTTTATTTGGTAAAGTAGTGCATATTATAGACTAGTATTTTAAACGGGAGTAGGACTAATCACTGTAACTAATTTTTGTATGGTAGAATATAGAGATCTTTCTGATTCATAACTAGCGAATGTATTCACGATTATCGATTACTATTATTGGTTATATATTAGAATAATAATATGATGAGTAGTAATGTTTTTCTTGTATTAAATATATACAAGCAGGTAAAAGGAGAAAAATTAAAAGTAGTGTTGCAAAAAAGAATTAGGTTGACATTTCAAAGGCCAAATTGAAACCAAAGTATCATTAAAGCACCTTAACATATATAAATATATATTGATACCAAAACTCTTATAAGCATTAGAGGTACTTGCAACTGAAATTACTACACCTCAACATTACTACGATAATGGGTATATTCGTGGAATAAGTTGTATATATGTCTGTGTGGTGGTGTACATAATTTTTTTTTTTCACGCTTTGTGTAATCGCACCCGTTTGCTCTCTTTCTCTTTGAAGACGAACAAACTCAAACTCTTCAATGGATATATTTAATTGATTTACATCTTTGTTACAACAATCATGAGTAAAGCCTTGACTTTCACAGCGATTGCCGCCACCGCCCTTGTTGGGTACGCCGTATACTTTGACTACAGCCGTAGAAACTCTGCTGAATTCAGAAAGTCCTTGAAGAAGAAGGCCGTTAAGCACGAAAAGAATGCCGCTAAGAAGGATGAACAAAGTAAGAAATCTAAATTAGAACTTGTTAAATTGGCTCTTGCTGCCGATTTGGAAGCCAACCCAATCCCAACCGACTTGAGCGAAAAGGAAAACTTTTTCATGCAACAAGTTGCTCTTGGTGAACAATTAGGTTCTTTGCCAAACAAGAAGATTGATGCCGCCATTTGTTTCTACAAGGCCTTGGCTGTCTATCCTAACCCAACTGATATTCTTGGTATCTACCAAAGATCTGTTCCTGAAGATGTGTACGAGTTGGTTGTTATGATGATTGCCGTGCAACCACCTGCAGCTGTCACCAACATTTTGGGTGGCGGTGTTTCTGGTGCTTCTTCTGCCGCTGCTGCTGCCGCTGCTGCCAATGTTCCAGTTGAAGAACAAAAGCCTTCTGAAGAAGACTTGGATTAAATGACAAATAGACACACGTTAAGACGTTGAAGAAAAGACGTGTGATGAGTTAACCTAGGGGGCTAAGAGGGGGTTCTATTTTTTGGAGCAACTATAGACGAAAAGAAAACAAAACAAATGTTGCTGACTTGATGTTACTACTCTGTACATAAATAAATACTTTATACTTGATTGATATGGAGAGAGATATTCCTAGAAGGAATGTAGTAATAAAGCTCTTTGATTAAAGGAAGTGAAAGGAATAAGTACCTCTAAGGTAGTAGTACCATATATTGATGGTCAGCCACTTTCACAACTAGTGGCTGTCGATTGTTTGACATGTATCGTATCTTTGATACAAACTTAATGATGCTAAAAATAGGTTATAATTGACAGGGGGGGGGGGGGCAGCCTTTCCAAATAAAATTAAAAATCTTATAATATATGTAGACATATATACTTATATTTGGGGCAACAGAATCCATCAGTACACTGTCCATCTATTTATATTGACATACGAGTAAAATGAATCTAGTTTCATGATGTATACAATAGGTCATGATCCATAACTCTATTGGTTGCAATTCGCACCGCTAAAAATTTTAGAGTTTGAAAAAGTTGACATTGTTTACGACTTAGCTTAAAAAATCATTTAGGTAAATAGATTGTGTTCCTGCCTTATCCCTTGCCTATACAAACCATGTACACACCTATAACAACTAGATGGTGGCCATTATTTATACTTTTTTATAGCACCCTAGTGACCGCACTCCTTCAACAATCTGTGAATGCTGCATCGTTCAAGTACCGTGGGGTTGCACTTGGTGGATGGCTAGTACTTGAACCTTATATCACCCCGTCATTATTTCTACCCTTTAATAGCAGCGACATACCTGTAGATGAATACCATTTTTGTAAACAATTGGGTCCAGAGGAGGCTCTTAAGCAGTTGGAGACCCATTGGCAAACCTTCTATAATCAATCTGATTTTGAAAGAATTAAAGGTTATGGATTGAATATGGTTAGGATTCCAATTGGATATTGGGCATTTGAAAAGTTACCAGGAGATCCATATGTAATGGGAGCACAGAAATATCTTGATAAGGCAATCGAATGGGCGGCTGAAAATGATTTAAAAGTATGGGTTGATCTTCATGGAGTTCCAGGATCACAGAATGGATTTGATAATTCAGGATTAAGAAATATTGGATATCCTGGTTGGTTCAATCATACTGAGAATTTATCATTGACTCATAAAGTATTAAAACAAATTTATACAAAGTACGGTAATATCAACAATAGTTCAAGTACACTCTATCAAGAAACAGTCATCGCTATAGAAGTGGTTAATGAACCTTTGGGACCATTATTGGATATGAATAAAGTGAAACAATTTTATAGCGAGACATACAAAGACGCTCGTGAACTACAACTGATTAATAACACTATAGTATTTCATGATGCATTCCAACCAATGGGGTATTGGAATACATTTAAAAATCTCCCTCAAATAAGTAACAATATTACCAACACCACTCTCAAGAACTATAACATTCTTATAGATCATCATAGATATGAAGTATTTTCATCTGGTGCACTAAATGAAACTATCGCACAGCATCTTCTGCTGATTGAATCATTTGCACAAGATATTGGAGATGAACAGCTGCATCACCCCGCTGTGGTTGGAGAATGGCTGGCTGCACTTACAGATTGCACTCCATGGCTAAATGGGGTAGGGTTAGGATCAAGATATGAAGGACAAGAACCATATACAAACTCAAGAATTGGAGATTGTAGTAATATCAATAATTGGTCAAAATGGTCAAAGGAACAAAAGAAAAATTATAGAAAGTTTGTAGAGATGCAACTTGATCAATATTCTAATCATACCCAGGGATATATATTTTGGACATTTAAAACAGAAACTACTATCGAATGGGATTTTGAGCGATTGGTTCAATATGAAATCATGCCACAACCACTTGATTCCCGGAAATATATATTCAACGGAACAGATACCGATAAATCTAAGAGTAATGGGATTAGGATCCTGGCCAATGGGTGGTTAACATCAGTCTTGGTATTGATTTTGGTGTGTATTTAGAGTAAATAAAACTGTGCACTTTCGCAGCCATTTACATAGAAAAAAAAGAGGCATATCTTTTTCACTCTAATTTATTTATATGTACACATTTTTCACTGACGTAGAGATATAGTGGACCTAGGGCTATTTGGAGGATATAGTTAGAACTGTAAAGCTCCTTAATATCCATTACGATGGGATATTTTATGGCCATTGCTGTGATTCAATATCGAGAAAATGCTCTGTGTTGAGTTGGCCACGCCAATTTACTGTACATAATCGCACGCACGTAATCGCACAGTATGATTCATACAATTTCGACGGAACTTGACTGTGCTAAATTACTTTTCATCTTAAACTATAATTTTCATACCAAAATATGTCTAAATCTGTAAATGTTGCCATCATTGGATCCGGTGTTGTCGGATCTGCCTTTATTTCTCAATTGAAGAACTTGAAGACTTCTGTCGCTTTCAATGTTGTCTACTTGGCCCGTTCCTCCAAGGAAGCTCTTTTCTCTAAGGATTATCAACCAGTTGATTTGGCTACTTATAAGACTGCTACTGCCCAACCAGTTTTAAGCTTAGATGCTTTGACTACATACTTGACCGCTGCCTCTCGTCCAACTATTTTAATTGATAACACTTCTAACAGCACTCTTGCTGATTACTACCCAAAGTTTGTCTCTGCTGGAATTTCCATTGCTACACCAAACAAGAAGGCTTTCTCATCCGACTTGAAGACTTGGGATGCTATTTTCAAAGCTTCTGCTGCTCCAGGTGGTGGTCTCGTTTACCACGAAGCTACCGTGGGTGCTGGTTTGCCAATTTTGGGACCATTACGTGATCTTGTTACCACCGGTGATAAGGTTGATAAGATTGAAGGTATCTTCTCTGGTACTCTTTCTTACATCTTTAATGAATTCTCCACTACTGAAGAATCTAAGGTTAAGTTCTCTGATGTCGTCACTGTTGCCAAGAACTTGGGTTACACTGAACCAGATCCTCGTGATGACTTGAACGGTTTGGACGTTGCTAGAAAAGTTACCATCTTGGCCAGACTCTCTGGTTTTGAAGTCGAATCCCCTACTTCATTCCCAGTTGAATCCCTTATTCCTAAGGCTTTGGAGAGCGTTGAAAGTGCTGATGACTTCTTAGCTCAATTACCAAACTATGACGCTGATATTCAAAAGGTAAAGGACGAAGCTTTGGCTGAAGGTAAGGTTTTGCGTTTTGTAGGTCTGGTTGATTTCAAGGCTAACAAGGTTTCTGTTGGTATTGGTAAGTATGCTTTTGACCACCCATTTGCTGCCTTGAAGGGAAGTGACAATGTTGTTTCTATCAAGACTGAAAGATATCCAAACCCATTGATCATCCAAGGTGCTGGTGCTGGTGCTGAAGTTACCGCTCATGGTGTTTTGGCCGATGCTATTAAGATTGCTGAAAGAATCGCTAACTAGAAAGGTCAAAAAAATATAATTAGAGTAAAATACATGTATTGCAGGTTTCACATATTGTTCTTACCCGTTTTTTAAAATCAATACTCTCAAGGATATATGAATCCTAACTGTTGCTAATTGGTTGCGATGAATATATAGATAAAAAGGTTTACACATACACCATTGGCTCATTATATTCTATATTACACATAAAATGTCTATTATTCATCCTCTCTCGGAAGCATGTTTTGCTTCTACAAAAATTTCTCTCAAGCGTTTTTCACTTGTGCAAATTGATCTGAAATTAAGCATAACCTGTTGCGAACCCAGCGTCTGTAATTGAGTCTTGTCGTGGTCCAGCATCATGGCGAGAGATATCAGCAGCCTTACCAAATGAACGTTATTTGGGGCTAAAAACATGTTCCCACTATCCCTTAACTCAACGATATACATACCTGTGCGATGTATATATTGTGCATATTTGAAAATAGGCTTACCCCAACTGTATGAAATTTCAATATCATCTTTCAGGAAAAAGTTTGCTGACCGATTATCTAAAAAGAACCCAGACTTTCGTAAAAGATACAAATGGAAGTAGAATTTATTGTCCACAAGCTTTGGCGAGTCCTTGAATTCTGGATCAGTCCAAGGATTTAATACTAGTTTCAAATCCACAAATGAGTGGAAAGGGTTTGTTCTTGGAATCTCACAAAGTTCATTCCAAGGAGTTTCAACTAATTTCAAACCATGTCGTTCACAGAAACGTGCCCAACTTGTGATTGTCTCGTCTATGAATTTTGCAGTTGTGTTGAGCCACTGGAATCGGATATGATAACAATGGTCTGGGTTATGTACCTTATCGTAATGAACTGTGATAATCTCAGGCTTGAAAGACTTTTTGAGTGGATCAACATTATAACTAACTTGATTACTGAGAAAAAATTTCTTTTTCTTTGGTGGCGTCGTTGACGATGCTTTGTTTACTGTTGCTGCATCTTGACTGGTTGCCAATGACTCGGAATCAGATGTAGTTGGCGTTGTCGATTCTTGAGTAACACTCTTGTTCCTTTTGAACCATCCGTTGAGCAGTTGCAGTTGTTGTTGCTGCAGTTGGTTTGATGTCTTGTCAATATATTCACTTGAAAACTCATAGAAATAATATCCATCCAATAACCCATGTCTACTTTCCACGTGCTTGAACAATCCATTATCCATCAATTGCTGCCCAAAAGCAGCTGCATCTTCCCTACTGTCTATGTCTTCAAAATTTTCTATCAACCATGATACAAGCTCATTTCCCAAGAAACAATGATGATGCGTCTTGAAATGCCAAGTTCTATCAGCTAGAGTCAACCCATTAGAACTTTGTAATTCTTGAGCCAAATGAACTAATTTAATACTTTTGTTAAACTGTTCCCGATCACTGAGCAAACCTTCCTTAGATTTGTCAAAGTTTTCCAGCTCGCAAAGAAACTCGTATAAATTACCAGTGTAGAAACTAATTTCTGGTAATATTACTTCTTTTTTTCTTGATCCCGCCAGCAGTGGTACCAGACCAACCAGTCCACACTTCCCTCTTTCAATCATTGCAATCAACTTTCTAATACCCTCCACTCTGATTTCCTCATCGGATAACCGCTCATTCGAGATATAGAATGCATTCTTTGGGGTCGCTATGGGCATTACAACAAACTTCATCTTATGAAAATCTTTTTGATCATCTGGCATGATATCGTCAAGTCCTGCCAATAATTGGTCAAATTGATTCCAATTGTATTTCTTTGGCTTTGTATTAATTGCATCGATTTTAGCTGGAGAGTATTCATCGGCGTAACGAGTACGAATTAATGGTAGATAAGGATTTAGTTTATAGTTCCGTGCCCCAAGAGCAGTTGGAACTTCCTTCATTGCCTTATTATGTCTGTATAATTGAACACTCAAGTTTCCATTATAATCACACATAATTCTATGAATCTCATCATCTAAAGACATATAGACTATAGCCCCTAAACAGTCACCAGTTTGCGGGAAGTATTTAATCAAGTTCTCTGGACTACCACCACTCTGCCAACTAGCTTCTACTCGTTTCACTTCATCTCCAAAGCAAATTTGAAATCCTAAAAGTAGTCTTAATTGAATCATTTCTCTCATTAAATCCTTCGTTGATGCCAAATGAAGATCATTATCTGGACTCAATAAGACATCGTAAAGTTGGAATGTATATTCCAGTTCTAATTCTCTCACACTTGGAAAGTTCTTGGTAACTAATGGTAGAGCTGCAGGAGATTGGAATGATCTCCATTTTACTTGTTTACGTTTTATTTTTGGTGGAAAAACTCCATTCCAACGAGATAGTCTAAGGAATTCCAAAACATCTGTATGCATTTCCTTTGAAGGATTGGGTACATTTGTCCAGAGTGAATTTGTATGCGAGAGTTTTGGCCTATCGTCGGTGTTAGATAAGTGTCTACCTGACATACTTCCCAGATTACTAGATCTATCAAGGGGAACGTCACGACTGTTTTTGTCATTATCTCTTGGAACGTCTCTTTTATCGAGCATTTCCCTCTGAATATCTCTCATATCTCTCTTAGGACTTCTACTAAGTTCCAATTCTCCAATCATACGTGGTTGTGTAAACATTCTGGAACTTTTTATTGGGATTGGTGTATGGCTTCTACTAGAATTTGGAGTAGAACTTTCAGATCGAATAGCACGAGGAGCAAGAAGATTAAGGTTACTGTTACCATTGTTTGTCACATCAGAGTTTTTGTTCAATGTATACAAGGTAGTTAAGGCTGAAACATCACTACCAGTATTAGTGGTTCCTAGAGCTAATGAATTAGTGGTCAAAACATCAACAACCTTAGCAGAACTTAAAGGTTTTTTACTATTCCACATAAGTGAGAGGGACATATTATTTGGAGTTGTTGCTTCATTAGGAGTGGATGGTAATTCCTTAACTTCCTTCCCTCCGTCTCTTTTTTGAAGTTGTCCAATCAGCCCTACCCTACTACTTTTAATATCAACCGGTTGGAAAACTTCCTCATCATACATTTCCATCGCCTCCAAGGCACTTTTGGCATTTTTCAAATATAATCTTTCAATCTCCAACTCGTTTATTTCATTTTCCATAACTCCCATCATTTGTAACTCATAAATCTTACATCGAGGAATCCATTGACTTGATTTAAATCCCAGGTCTTTGAAAAATGAAATATCACACCAATTGGGCACACAATGAGCAATTTTCCCTCCGTTAGTTGGATCTTTATATCGGAAAAGTGGAACAATATGAAGTGGTGGTTGGCTTAGACATACAATATCCAATGCCACATCTATACTAGTCATTTTACGACTAGTCTCCACCATTAGATTATAATCGACATCAAATAATCCGGTACCCAGAGTTACAAGAACGAAATGATTAAGTGAATGTTTCAAGTCAGCATTGCGGAACCTATCACAAACTAAGGTGATAGCCAAATTAACCGCTTCCAAGATATTACCCTTGACAGACGGTAATGATTCTCCTTGGATTATATAGCCTTCACTATTTTTTTCTTGGTGAAGCATTATATCTCTTTTAAAATTAGCAAATTCTAATCTTAAATTTGCCATAATTCGATCCCAATGGAAAATATCAATCTGATCTACTGCCACTCTAAAGAAATCTCTTCGATTGCTTGGTTTTTCTCCTTGTCCAAGACTAGTCCAGGGAACGGTTGTTAAATCCACACTCGTAAATAAGACTATCGTTATGGAATGATGTGCTCCATTGTCTCTCCATTTCTGGAAAATCTTCGGAAATAGAGTATTGACTAATTTATGGAACATGATCTCACCATTTTCTTCAAAATGCCACATTTCTCTTGCCAAATGCACAAGAAAGACAAGCCTAGAAGATTCTGAACGGAAGTTCACTATTGTAGATTGACCGATATATCCGGAAAATATACTCTTCCCATCCTTATATATGTTTTTCACAGTACCACATCTTCCATTTAAATAAGTGAGTCTTTTCTGAGCATATACACAAGTGCCCACTAAAGTCAGGGAGAATGACCACATTGAATCTCTTGAAAGCGATATATCCTTGATAAATATCTCTACCGTATCTGCCTCGACGGACTGTAGTGGAACAACTCTTAAGACTGCTTGACTTCGAGGAGGCAAGTCCATTAATTTTTGTAATGGGTTAGATAAAAGGGAAATCTGATAATTTCCCTTTGGCGTAGTGGCATTATTATTATTATTATTATTGATATTCATTGATAAAGGTGCAACAGGATTAGAAGATGTAGGGATTGGGGTGGGAACTGAATTTCCCATATTATTCTGTGTTGCACTTCCTGGCGATACATTCGACAGATTTCCACTGGATACTTTAAATACAAATCTCTTTTTCTGTTCATGAAAAGAAGAAGTCAACTCACATATATCACCTTCTCGCACCCCTGGAACTGTCGCAGCATCTAAAACAACATCTTCCAGCGATGTTCTCACCTCATGGAACCATACTGTAATTGGAACAGGTTCAGTCAAACGATTTGAAGGTGTTGTGTACTGATCTTGAATGATATCTGATGATCCTGGAATTGTAGAAAGACTTGCCGAGGAACTACCGGTCCCTCCTACGCTATTCCCAAAACTGGTTATAAGGTTATGTCGGATGACTTTACCATTACTACTGACATTGTGGGGCCTTGAAGGATCTCTACGACCAATTGTCAAGGTGTTACCAATGGACGAAGTCGACCTCATGGAAGAGTGTGAACTGCTTCCACCACCAACAATCAAACTGGCTTGGTTAGCGGACATAGACACATTTCGCGCCCTATTATCGCCGTCACGCTTCCCCCCACCAGGATTGTACATGCGTGAGTGCTGCATTGATGATGCAATTGAATTCTTATCAGTACTGATTACAAGAAGATTTTGAGTATAATGCGTACAACTGCTTTTAATCTGGGGATTACATACAGGATAAGCCAAATAATTGGTATGATAGTACTACGATTTTGCAAAGAAAAGTTTTGATAAAATAAGGAACAACCTAATTGTTTATTAAAGATATCCGAGTACTCACACACATATATTATATTTAATATATATTTAATAGAACAATCAGTAAGGGAAGTGCGGGGCAGGAGAGCGGGGAGTTGAAAAGTAGTGAGTAATTGGTATAATTTTCGCAGCCATAAAATAATAGTTATCACTTCTATAGATAAATATATCTACATATATACATGTACAATCAAATCCCATAACAGATATGAAGCTAAGTACGACCGGCAAAACCATTTGAAACATTCAATTTGTTTGATGTTTCTTTTTCTTTGCTTTTAAAGGTACAGGACTTTTATCTTGGATTTATTTCAATCAACTATCTTTATAATCTATAAATTATTTCATCCCATGACTATCTATTTATCTTTTCTACTTTCCAGTCATAAACTCATTTAAAAACCATTCATGGAATCTGGTATCATCAGAAAGTTCAGGGTGGAATGAAGTACCCAATTTGGATCCTTGTCTCACTGCCACTATTAAACCATTATCCAATTGATGTAATATCTTCACTTCAGCAGGGTTAGAATATGAAGTATTAGTAGAATGTATGATTGACAGATCAGACTTCTCCAAAATTTCATTTTCATTTTCTAAAATTTTTTCAACTACAGGTGCACGAATAAATACTGTGGGGAAATCTGTTACACCAGGTACGAAACTTGAAAAATCAAGTGGAGCTTCAAAAGAGGCAAGTTGACGACCAAATGCATTCCTTCTAACAAGAATATCCATTCCACCAAGTAATTGTTGACCAATTCTTCCATCTGAAATTTGTTTAGAGAGAAATATAAGACCCGCACAAGTGCCCCACACTGGTTTCTCCGAGCGAACGTATTCCATCAACGGTTCTAATAGATGAGTTCTTTGAGCAATAAGAGCGATCGATGTACTTTCACCCCCTGGAATCACCAATCCATCACATACTGCTAATTCTTCCGCGGTACGTACTTCTATAAATGAAAAGTTTGTATTATGTATCTTACTAGCTTTTTCAAAATGTGAAATATGTTCAGCAAATGCACCTTGAAGTGCAAGAACTCCAACAATAATCGATTTTGTCATTATTAAATATATGGAAAAGAAAGATAGGTTAATTATTAATTGTAATATGTTATTATAAAATTAAACATAAATACAATGGATAAGAGTAGGTTCAAGATCAAAACCCAAATATTTCATTCCTCAAAATAAATCAAATATAAAGTTTAGGAGTCATAAGATAATTCGTGTCGGAAACACTTTCCCCATACGCTAATAATATGCACTTACCAGGAATTATTTTGCGTTATTTCAAATTGACTCTGAAAAAAAAGCCTTTATGACTAACTAATGTTTCAACTGGAGAAACCCCTATAGTTTAACACCAGAAACCTGCATATACACAATCCCGTATCGGAAATATATGCGGGCCGGCACTGCTCGCTGCACGTTTTAAAAATCCCCTCTTTCCCCGAGTCAAAAAAAAATGCGAATAGAAACGGTTGCATTCTGGCCGGCCAAGTACTAAACCTGAGCTGATCTAAATGACTCAATAGGGTGAATATTTATATAGGAATTTGAAATTTCAGTGAAGCAATACAACTTAAAATTTTCTTTTCATTTTCAATTCTAATTATCTTCTTATTCATTAACAAAAAGTATGTCTGATTTCAAGGTTAAAGCCGGTTTGGCCCAAATGCTCAAGGGTGGTGTCATCATGGACGTTGTTAATTCTGAACAGGCAAAGATTGCCGAAAAGGCTGGTGCTTGTGCTGTTATGGCATTAGAAAGAATTCCAGCTGATATGAGAAACTCTGGTCAAGTATGTAGAATGTCTGATCCAAAGATGATTAAGGAAATCATGGAAACTGTTTCTATCCCAGTGATGGCAAAGTGTAGAATTGGTCACTTTGTTGAAGCACAAATTCTTGAAGCTTTGGAAATCGATTACATTGATGAATCTGAAGTGTTGACACCTGCTGACAAGTTGCTTCACATTCAAAAGAATGATTTCAACGTTCCATTTGTATGTGGTGCTAGAAACCTTGGTGAAGCCTTGAGAAGAGTCAGTGAAGGTGCTGCTATGTTACGTACCAAGGGTGAAGCTGGTACTGGTGATATTTCTGAAGCAGTCAGCCACATTGCCTTGATCAAAAAGGAAATTGAACATGCTTTGTCATTGAAGACTGATTTAGAAGTTGCAGCTTATGCTAGTGAATTGAGAGTTCCTGTCGACGTCTTGAAGCTGTTCATTGCTGCCGGTGGTAAGTTCCCAGTCGTCAACTTTGCTGCTGGTGGTGTTGCCACTCCAGCAGATGCTGCCTTGTGTATGCAATTGGGTTGTGATGGTGTCTTTGTTGGATCTGGAATTTTCAAGTCCAAGAACCCACAAAAGTTAGCTACAGCAATTGTCAATGCTGTTACCCATTACAAGGACCCAAAGAAGGTTTTGGAATATTCCACAGACTTGGGTGAGTTGATGTTTGGTGTTGCCGTTGACGGATTGACCGATAAACAAAAGCTTTCCACTAGAGGTTGGTAAATCACCAAAGTGTTCCAACATGAAAATAGTTCGAAAAAAAAAGTAAGAAGATATATAAAGACAATTTAAATATACTAGACAGCGTTATTTTGTAACTACTACATATTGTACTCGTGTATGCCATTTATATATGTATTTGCAGTCACCGGCCCGCTTTTTTGTATACAAATTTCTTGAACTATCTGAAAAATAATGGCGATAATTGTTTGTAGAGTTGATCTTTATTTTGATCAAGGGTAACTATTTCCTTAACAAACTTGTCTATATCATGAGGGATATACTTGGAGATCCCCAAGTCATCACTACACACAAGGAGCATATCTGGCTTCAAATTCTTGAGAAGATTGAAGTATCCTTGTATGTTCAGACAGTTGAGTAACTTGTAGTTTGCAGTCATTGTCTTCGGCAAACCAACCGAAGAAGTTGTAGAAGAAGAAGAGGAGGAAGATTCTCCACGTGCTATATTGTATTCTAAATCATCAATCGAAAGGTTTGGAGGTAAAATAAATGTGACATTTTCAGAGTTGAGTAAAATCTCATTAAGTGGGAGTTGTGAGCTGAGGATTGAATGTGACAAGGTGAGTGCAATTGATTTGTTTGTATACTTCCTTGACTGTTTCCGCAGAATGACTGGTCTTTCTTGGCTCGTTATAGAGTCTTCTACGGGCTCGTCTTGGGTCGTATACGCGTTATAGACCAGAACCGACACCGCAATCACCGAAGTTGCTATCGCGGCTACCAACCAAGCTTTGGGGTTTTTCTGGATCTTTCGAAGTTGCGACATGTTAAGCAAGTATGGATAGTGATCGAAGAAAGCAAACAGGAGAAAGAAAGACGTAGAGAAGGAAAATTATTGATATTATTATTATTATTTGAAGTGACTATCAAATGATTCGAATCCTAACCTTCGCTAACCCAACGAATGGCGTTATGAGTGCGACCAAAAAGCTTAAACACACAAAATCCTTAAGTAAAAAAAAAAAAAGAAAAATAATAATACTTATTAAAAACATTCCACCAAGAGGTCAAAGAAAACATGACTTCTCTAGGATACACCATAATTGTGTTCTTTATCAATGCGTAAACCGGCATACTACATGGCAACTTTATATTAAGATTCATATCCTCGAAGCTTCCGCTTTATTTTTAAAAAAAGCTAACAAATCTGCTTATCTCCAACTATCTGGTTGTAATCAGATTGTATGTATTAGCATGGTAATCTTTTCAATGTGGGGAGGATGGTTTATGCGGGGGAGACAGACTAAAGTCGGAGATGAGATTTTTATTTTCTATCTCATACATAGTTCATATCCGAGCCTCGGAGCACGTGATTTCCCCTCCCATCTTGAATAGTTAAGGTTGCGAAATTACCCTCGGATCGATTGTCCCAACAATTATTTAAGTAAGAGTACTGGACAAAAGGCAGTTTTGTAGATAAGATCATATTGATGTATACAAAAAATTCTTAAATATTATGATTAATTATTATTATTATTATATATTTAGTATACATATTATAGTACAGTGTATTGGTCTGCAATGTGTCTTAAACAAATATTCATCTCATCCTCATCTAATGACCTCACATATAAACATTTAGACAATAATTCATTTTTAATTGGAATCTTGTAGTATGTAGACCATTCAATACATTGTGATAAAGATTTAACAATGTGCACGGACGTACGGAATCTTGAAAAATTAATAACTTTTTCCTCACCCAAAGTACCTGCTGTTGAAGTTGTTAAATCTGCACCTTCAACTGGTGGTGTAGTTTTAGGTGGTTTGATGAATGCAGGTCTTTCAGCATTAAAAATTAAATCTGAGAGATATAATCCAACGAAAGGAATACATCCTTTAGATGGCTTCATATGGTTAATACACAACCTTATATTAAGGAAGTTTTTCAATGGCGAAGCCAAGTCTTCCAAGTTCTTTAACATCAAAATATCCCCTGGTGGTAAGTTCTTCCATGTTTCTTTAAGTTTGGTAACTTTTTCAGAGGTTAACCCTAAAATAATTTGCATTAATGTGGAGAAATTCTGTAAAGCAAAACAATTTTGTGCAATATGAATAAACCTCGAGATTAAGTTTATTCTTTCAGTTTGAGTTTGTGTGAGTAAGATTTCAGATATAATCCAATTAACCATCAAATTGAATCTGGAAATAACTAGATTCACACCCTTATTTTGACTATAATAATTATCATTCACAATTATTTCAAGCCAACTGTTCACTGGTTGTAAATCCTTATTCCATTTCAATTCGATAAGTTCTTTCCAATCGATTTCTTGTAGAATATCTTGTTCAATAGCAGTGAAATGTTCAGCTAAAGTTTTAGAATCATAACTTAAAACGAATGATACATGAGAATTAGCTTGTAATACACTTTCCACTCGCAAACTTTCAGTGGTCATTGAATATGCATCCAAGATCGCCTTTGGCGATGGATAAGTCCTGTTAAGCATATTACTACTAGAATTAGTACCACCACTACGATTACCATCCATCAACATAAAATCTTGCTTTGGTGTTGAACTTCTTGGGATATCAATCGTAGAATTTTCAATGGCAGAAATTCGTTGACCCGGTGTTAAAGGTTCTTCTTCAGTAATATCAACGTCTGTTAATTCAATTACATCTTGAGTTTGAGCATTATTAATCTCATCCAAAATTTCCTGAGTATCATCTGGCATATTAGCAGATCTCAACTTGTTGCCCTTACCTTCCAATTTATATAATGCAAATTCAATTGGATCATTTGATCTGAAAGATTCATCTGGAATAGCCGCAAGCTCTTTTAAAACATAGTTACTTATTCCAGGAATGGCAACTGAATTCAGACCAGATGATGTATTGCTAATTCTGGCAGTTCTTGAAGCCTTTTTACATTTAATTGCCACCGAAAAAATCGAGCTATCTGCAACTTCCAGCAGCTTGACAGATTTAGTAGAATACTTTCGACTATGAGTGTTCACATTTGAAGTATTAGTACTGGTGACATCTGCCGCTGACAGTGAATCATCATAATTATTAAAAGGGAGCTCAGTAAGAGCACACAAAGTACTTAAACGAATACTTTTTCTTAATGAAGATGATCTAGATGGGTATGAACCAAAGGAGTTTCGCACTGGAACGGATTGGTTTGACGAAGAATCACGTTCACCCTTAATATTTCCTCTTAAATTATTATACCCGGTCTTTTTCCTTAAGAAACCACTATTATCAACTTTATTAGAGGTAGATCCATTAGATGAAGAAAAAACTGAATCATAACTGATATATGATTTGACAGAATCCCTTTTGAAGATTGAACTGGAAGATGTTCTAGATATAATGGAAAGTCTTTTTTGATTATAATTGATGTTGGCTTCATTGAATGAAATTCTTTTATGGGCATGTATCAGCAGCAGTGAATGCAATAATTGCGCTTGACTTTGATTCTGTTTTTGAGGACTAAGGACAATTCCCAAATCTGCAACATCTGCATCATACTGGGTAATGTTACTTGGGGTAGAAATAGAAGATCTAAATGATTGATCTGATTCAGTTGGTGATATGAAAGCCCCGTCTTCATTTTCAAATTCTGAACTTACATCAAAGTATTGGGTGCCAGATTTATTGGCCCTATCCTTACGTGGGGTGCGACAACTTTCAACGTCTTGGTGACCAGCATCGACGTGTTCAATATCGTCTTCCAACACGCTATTACTCAAACTGAGATCTTGACCATCTGAATGCTCAAATTCCAAGTTCCCTTCATCATTCCAGTTAATACTTGCAGGTCTTTGAAATGAGGATTCTTTCAGATCAATGTGCTCCTCCAAACTCTGATCTTCAGTACCCAACTCCTTATTTTCTTCGGTTTCAACTTGCATCTCCTCGCCTGGTTCAACATTCAATAAATTATCAATTTTCACAATATTCAAATCTGAAATATCATTGATATCTATATTGTGTTCAGGTAGTTCATCATTACTTCTCGTACTCTTACGTTTTTTGGACGGAGTACCAACAGCAATAGAATGTTCATTATCCAATTCATCATTATGATCTTCAAGAATTGTATTTGGTGATGCCTCATTCTTAATATAATAACGAATCAAATATTCCAATTCGTCGATGATCCTAGCACTCAAAATATCAACTCTATCACCAATACATGCTCGACGATCTTCTTCGGTCATGACGTTGATGGTTTTAGTGATAAGTGTATCCAAGTCATTGTTATCATTGGAAGTAGATGTACCAACAGAAGAAACTGGTTGTGCATGATGAAATGATTTCTTCCATCCATCAACCAATCGTTTAATAGAAGTCTTTCTCACCATTTCATTGTCTTCAGAAAGAACAGAATGGTGTGCATTAGGAGCTGGCATAGTTGAGATGTCATTCGTGAGATAATCGGATTTAATGGTATATTCCATTTTCTTTACCGGAGTTGGTGGAAGTATCGTTTCAACTTTAGATGATGGTAACTTAACATTCCCATTAGTGGAAAACCCAGTGTTCCCTTCATTGAATGAAGGGGAATCTGTGTGTCTCTTAGGTACAAATGATTTTTCCTTTTCTTCCCGTTCTTCCCGTTCTTCTTCTTCCTCTTCTGCTTCATCTTTCCCATCTTCTAACTCATCTTTGCTCCTGGTAGTCCTTTTCAATCCAACAGATGAATCTTGAAGATTGATATGATTATGCTTATTAGTGGTGGTTAATGGTTTCCTTTGTTTATGAGGTTCATCCTTCCTTGTCTTCAATTGCTGTAATTGATTGTTTAAAGAAGCTCTTGACAGTTTATGTTGTAACAATAAATTATTAATGGACATTTGTGGATTTTCATCATTACTAACATCATCAAATATTAAACATTTATGATGAACTTTTTGATCATAAAGTGAAAGCATTGCTGATCTTCTATAGGAAGGATTTGTATGGATTGACATATCAGTATTACTTTTAGATAATTTCTTTGGTTGTATGGCTGTAACTTCCGATATTAATGGTAATTTATATGGTAAAACAACCAGTGTAATTAATTCAATATCAATTTTTGTATTCCAAAATTCATTTATTGAATTTATCCAATGAATTTTCAAATCAGTGAATACTTTCCTTTCAAATATCATTTCCTCTTTATTTATAAAATCCAGTTCAATTGTAATTTCATTAATTAAGGTTGTAAATGTATCACAAATTGAAGAATTTGGTTCAAAATCATCAACAAAGTAATTCAATATCCAATGTCTTAGTACCACAAATGTTCTCAATAATACTAATTTACCAATTTTAACATTATTTGAATCATTACTATGAATATATTGAAGTGACCATATTAATCTAGTAAGTAATAAATTCATAACTTCAACACTTGAAACAAATGTTCTATAAGTTAAAAAGAAATCACAAATAAGATTATAATCAATAATTTCTGGTGATGTAAGTTGAACCATAAGTGCCTTCAAAGTAGCATGATTAATCAATTCAGGGTTGAGTTCATCAAATTTAACTACTGTACTATTAGTGTTTAAAGCAGGGAAAATATTCTCATCATCATAGATTGACTCATTATGGGCGTTATAAGGGAAATAATTATGAGGTTCAGAAGGTGATGTGATGCTAGGACTTTCAGGTTCAGCCTTGGGAATGGGTTCAGCTTCGATTTCCTCTGGTTTTACATTTGAGGTTGTATCATGCTGTTCAATAGTTGTAATTGGCACCGTTATTGTATTCGTTGTTGTTATTGTCTCAATGGAAGTTGGAAGTGGTGGTGCTTCAGTTGTAGGAGGTTGTGGGGGTGATGATGGTGATGTGGTTTGCTCGGAAGTTATCACAGTGGACTCTGAATGTGGCAACTCATCAATTACTTCTGGGTATTCATCATCACTTTCCTCATCACTAATTGTTGGTACAACATCGTCAAATTCTGCTGCACTAAAGTGTATTGGTGAACTTGTATACTTAGGAAGCTCAATATCCTGCGCAGACAGCAGCTCGATCTCCACCATGCTGACTAACTACTCTATTGCCTCGAGGAAGTTCTGATAGCTAATGAGAACTCTTGAAGTTGGGACAATTCTAAATCACTTTTAAAAAACTAACCAAAAAAATAACAGTGCTCGCGAAGCTCTTGCGTCGTCTTGTGGTACTCCAACTTTCGTATTGTTTTTGTTTTTGTTTACAACACGATATTGAAATTAACCTGCAGATACGCTGTGGTTGCGAGGGTTCTATTGTATATGGGCGTGGAATTACCCAGAACAATGGAATGTTGGTACAATTGCTGAATTTGTAAATGTACTGAGTCTAATAGAACTCCAATAAATGATCACACTAGAGATGTTCCAGAGAATTATTGTGACAAGTACAAGCTCTCTTCTTTATTTATATAATACTAAATTAAGCTATTTCTACTAGTTGTTTATTATGGGATTTTCTAGTGTTTTGGTTCGCATTTCGCATTGCATTGTGCATTTTGTGATGCTTGTAGTGTATATATTTTATAAATACTGAGGCGTTCTAAGTGACAAGGAATGCGGGTACTACAAACAGACGTGTTATTAAAGTCTAGTTCATAGATGAAGAATTTTAGAATGGCCATCATGACGCGTCACCGTTGTCATTTCGTGTCGTCGTTTTAGAATGGTCAGATGTTTGATTTAGTGACTTTAGCGTTGAATGGACAACTTATCTACTTTCGTCAGTTTCAATCATTCCGTCATATTGAAATCGTGTACGTATATTTTACGAATCTTTAAACTCTCTTTTTTTTTTCTCTCTTTAATAATGATTAGTACGAACTATTATCACTCTATATTTCTATCAAATGCTATATTTTCCTCGGTTCTTTATGGTATAACTACTATGGGGTTACATATCCCAGTTGTAAAGTAGCTTCATTGTGTAAACAATCCTGTTTGAAGAGTTTTCTCAGTAAAAAATAATTAGAAACAAAGTCACACTCGTTTTTTTCAAGACCTAGCCAAACTTATAGCATCGGATCCAATTGATCATTTCATTGTGATCATTATCGAAAAGATTATCTTTCCTTGACAGGAAAACACAGGTCAAAAAAAACCGTAACTCATATTTTTTTTTATTTTATTTCTCCTATGAAGGTTTTTGCACCCAAATTCAACATGTGGTATTCTAGTAATATATATTATTATATATTTATTTCAATTAAATAACATAATGCTCATTTCTACACCGATATACTCTTCCTTTTCAAGTATTGGATGACATTTAATGGACCAAGTATTGCCTTAATATACCATTTCCAACTCTACATAGCCCATTCACAGAAAATTCTTTGTGATGTAGCTTCTTCATTTGGAATGATCGGCTCGTCATTCCAGGGTCTAAAAGTTTAGTTGGGAGTACTGAGAACTGGAATGTCAGTATTTTATAATATGGTAGCAACAATTTTGGAATAACCAAGGCATTAGATCATAGGAATAATAAGAGCAAGTTAAAACTGGGATATTTTAGGTCATCTACTACATCGATACACCAGGATCTGCTTATCAAAATCCAGTAATGTTTTAATGAAATTGTTAATGGTTTTCTTCCATAGATAACTTATCAAGGTTTCAGACACGCTTCACTAACGATCTACATATCTCTAGAACTTGTGAACTCTTTATAATAAAAGTTGACACTTGTAGGTGCTCATTATCATGAAAGATACTCGAATTGAACTATACAAGGCACCAAATTCTATACCGGATTGCAGTAATAACACCTCAGAGAATACGATTACTTGAATCCAGGATTAATATTAAAGTGACTTTTCCTTTTTGTATAAATTAAGGAACTTTTTTCCCTAATCTGCAATTTTTAAAACTTAGCTGCATTCTATAAAATCATACACAGTTTATTCACAATAATAACGAGTTTGTAGATTTGATTAGTTTGATCTTGTTTATTTATATTATACATTGTAGGGGGGAATGCTATTCATCCTTACCTTCCACCAAACAGATATCATGGTGGAGAATATTCTCTCTTTTAAAATATCATTACTTTTGTAAATTTTGAGCAATTGCATCTTTCAAAGCAGCAAATGGAGAAGTTCTAAATTGAGGATTTTGTAAAACTTTTTGAAAGTTTTTATTTTCCTTTGATAAGATCTTGGAATGACCTGTACGTTTAGCAGCATTTGGTTGATTAAGATTTAATTTAGATGATTGTACAAATCCAGTAGGTTTTCTTTCAACAATTTTTGTAATAGTCAGAGGTTCATCTAAACTAGTAAGAAGTTCATTCATTTTAGGTTTTAATTCTTCTTTTTCCTTTCTTTTTCTTCTTCTCAATGATGATTTAGAAATACCTCCAGTTGTATTGGCACCAACTTGAACTTTTTTAACAAAAGTATTGGATTTTTCTGTTTGCTTATCCTTCTTTGATATTTTAGAAAGCTTTAAAAATGGATTTTCATGATATGTTTCATCATTTGATCCACCTGTTTGAAGTTCAGAAATTTTATTAGATAAATTCTGTTTAGAAGATGCCTTAGCAGACTTGTCTCGAAGTGTGGTACGTTTTTTCACAGCCTAGATACGTTAGTATATTGATCAAATATGGTCCATACTATTTCTTATACATACCATCTTTTATATTATGTTGTTGGATTCTTACAAATTATTTATATATACCTTATAGATCATTATACTAAAGATGAATATGCGATGGGAAAGAATATTATGGGTATTATATGCAGGAAATTGTATAAATACTTTATGGATGCAAAATTGAACAGTATAAAGTTGAATGATAGATTGGATAAAGCTTTAGAATGATTAAAAACAGTTCTTATGGTACTAGTGCTATTCTTGTATATGTTAAAAGAATATTAATGGTAAAGGTTATATTCTATTGGTATGTGTAGAGAGAGAGAGAGAGAGAGAGAGAGAGATTCCATATTAATAATTTCTAAATAGATTAAAAGAATCTTTTTGATATATATATTTCTTGAATATTCCTTAATAACGTATTTCTTTAATAGGATTGTTGGATGTAATTTTTAATAAAAGTGTAGGTTAAACATCCCAAATTTCTATCAAAATTAGTGCATGTACAACTATAAATATATATTTATTTCGAAATTCAATACTTGACATAAAATCTAAAATATTGAATTATTTATAAAGTAATACTCATTATTATATGCAATTATCTATATGACGTAAGTTTCTTTAAGCTGGAAATCAAATAGTACCCGGTACATACAAAATGAGCTTGTTTTAGAAATCTCAAGTATCCATTATGAAAAAAAAGTTATCTAAAAAAAATCAATCTTAATCATCACGCTCCTTATATCTATCTACTCTATTTTCTCTCAGTTAATTCAACCTTTTTGATTCCATTACAGCCATAGTTTTCATACTACCCTTTTCAAATCATTTTTTTTTTTTTTATTTAGTCAAATAAATTGCTGCATATTTCAAAAAAAGAAAAGGCCATCGGCGCACCTGCATATACCAAGCTCTCAAATTTAGTATGAACTGTTTGATATGAAAATCAACTGGAACCCTAATAAAACAAAACATCAATTGAAAGGCATACAAACTTGCAAGAAACAAGCCTATTTTTAGTGTACCAAAGAGTGCAAATCATCTGGATAAATCGGTTTGTCACTCAAAGTTTTTTCAAGAAAACCATCACTGAGTTGTACTTGACCCAAACTAGTAATTTATAATATCTTGGAGTCCACGATGAGTAGTGTGACATCCATGGGTACAGATACGTCCAAGTTAGATTCTGACCAGAGGGGCAAGCCTGTACATCTATCCGACCAACCACGGGGAAACTTGAACATCATGGATGGTAGATCTGATCGGATTGAATCACATGTAGCAGCTGATCATCAACTGCCTAAACTGACGATCCCTCATGATATTCAATTGAGTGTTGAAGAGGAAATGCGTAGAATATTGAGAGATGAGGATCCAATAGACTCCGCCGGATCCGGAGGACTTAGAGAGTCTGATGGATCTGGTGAACTGGATGAGCTTCATAACAATAATAATAATAATCATAGTAATAATAAATTGGAGGATCAAAATGAAGTATGCCCATTGGATAAACAAACAACTCCAGAGAGTCTGATAATACCCACAGAAGAGGCTGCTCTAGGGCCTAGTCAATCCGCCTCAGCCTCTGAAGACAAGGATACTTCCAAAATTTCTGCGTATGCAAGATTAGATTTTGAAAACTTTACATTTTTCGTTCAAACATTACAGGTAGTGCTAGGACGGAAGTCCAATGATGAACTTCTTCAATCATCACACCATGCAGTGGATGTTCACCTTTCATCGAAAAAGGCTATTTCCAGACGTCATGCTAAGATTTTTTATAATTTTGGTACTCAAAGATTTGAACTTTCTATAATGGGAAGAAACGGAGCATTTGTTGATGATTTATTTGTCGAAAAGGGTATTACAGTTCCATTATTGGATGGTAGTAAGATTCAAATAGGTGATATCCCATTTCTGTTTGTCTTACCATCTTTGGATCCATTCGAAGGAGAAGGTAATAACTCACTAACAGCCAAACCATTCAACCCTAGTGATGCTATTAATCTTAGATCGAGTTTATACAGTGGGACTGGGTCTGCTAGCGCCACAACTCCATCCACACCAAATAAAAAGATAGAGACCAAAAACAAGGAGGATGAGATACAGAAAGATCCAATAGACATAAATCGTCCCGATCTGAAATCGATCGACGAACCCATTGTTGACAACAAGACTTCACCACCAATTCAGAGAGATATTGAAGAATCAAGAAAATCAATTCAACGGAGAATGTCACTCTCTAGGAGGAAGTCACTTGCCACTGCATCCATTGAAGAAATAAATGACATTTTAAAAGAATTAGGACCCGAAATTGATGCAATTGACGAGGAAGGAGACGATAGTGACTTTTTAGATGCTCAGATTCAGGCCATCTTAGATGATCATGGAAGAAGAAAGACTCAACAATTGGACTTGGAAGACGATTCAGATTTAATGAAATTAACTCAATTTACGAAAGCAGAATTAAAAGATGAAGAAGATGAAATTGACCAGATGGTCAAACAACACAACCTTGAACAAGGTGTCAGGTTGGATGATGATGAAGATATTAAAGAAGATGGGGATTTGGCAGCAATTGATGAATTGGCTGGGGATTCTTCTGGAGTACAAGATTTAGATTTATCCGGCCTCGACCAGGAAATAGCAACTTTAGCGCCTTTGATTGATGCCCACCATCAGGAATTATTAACAAGTAACGATAAATTGGGATTTGTCAATGGTCTCCCAAAGAAGTCGGTAGCACCTCCTCCATTTACCATACACACTCCACCAGCTTCTACCCGAGGTACTCCTTTGATGGGGAAACCCGCGGCACCAAGAATGGGTCGTCCAGCTTCTATCCAACCCCCAGCTTCAAGACTATATGGAAGACCACTTTCGAAAACAAGCCCTCAACCCATGGGTGGTCTCTCGAAAGCACAGCTTGTTAATAATCGATTAACCACTACCACTTCTCCATTAGCTGGTCTTCCTACTCATTTAGTTGCTCTGCTGTCTGGATTACCATTAAAAGTTGCACATGGATCTAATATGATGTTGAATCATCATCATCATCACCTTGTGAAGCCAATGATGCCACCTAAACCCCCTCCTCCGATTTTAGAAGCGCCGGTTGTGAAATTGGCCAGTGACTACGGGAACAAGTTTCCTAAAGTCTCAACCATTGCAAGAGCAATTACAACTAGTGTGTCTCCAGTGAAAGTTCTCCCTGCATGCTATGCACCACCAGTGGAGGAATTAAATATTGCCCCTAAATACCCTAGAAAGCGCAAGGATCAACATCCAAGAAGGCCAGTTAAAAAGGTATATACTTTGGATGAAATTCCTGAACAATATCGTATTAAGCCTACTCTTTCATACCCACTCTTGATAAGTAACGTGCTTAGATCAAAAGGTGGAGAAAATGGCCTTACCACTACTGAAGTTGCTGAAAGTATTAAGGAAGCCTACCCCTACTATAAATATTGCGCTGATGGATGGCAATTTTCCATTAACCATAATTTGGCACTCAATCGAGTTTTTAAGAGGATTAACCAGAGAAATGATCAAGATAAAGAGTGGGTTTGGGGAATTGATGATGCATTTATTAACGATAGACAAAAAGTTAAAGTGAAACAACAGGAAATCGCGGCCGCTAAGGCCAAGGCAGCAGCTATACGGGCAGAAGAGATCAAACAAAAGCAAAGACTTGAAGTACAACAAGCAACCGCAGCAAGTATTGCCGGGAGACCAGGTGCATTCTCTCCTTACGCATTATCTACATTGAGTGGCAGGCTCCCACAATCACAATTTATTTCACAACTTCAACAAAGTGGTACCAATAAGCCAAAGACTATAGCTGAGCTTGCAAGTGAGATTAGAAGAGATGGGTTAGTTGGGTCAAAAGCTCCACTATACTTCAAACCGCAGGATTCTGCAAACACAGTCACAGGAAGTAGACCCGGTGGATACCCTCCATCGAGCTCCTCAACGCCTACTAATATCAAGGCCCAACTTGCAGCAAATAGAGCTTCGCCTATAAGCACTTCGGCGGCATCAACACCAATTAACAATGATACAAAAAAGTCACTTGCATACTTGCAGAAAGAGTTATTCACCCTTTATAAAGCACGTAAGCTCTCCTACAATACTGCCACCACAACCGAAATTATTACAAAGGCCTTAGCTACTACGATTGCACAAGTTAATGTTATTGGAGCTAAAGCCGGCTGTGGTGATAATGCTCTCAGTTTTTTGGTTGAAAAGGCTCCACAACAAGTCAGTAAAATTCTTGACATTGCTCTTAGCAAGTCAATTAAAGAGAAACAAGGAATACTTTCTTCTAGACCGACCAGTCGAAGTAGTACACCTGGCCCAGGGACTCCAAGCATTTCTAGTCCCAAGAAAACAATTTCATCTACTCTGCCACCACCTCCAACTACTTCAACTTCGAATGCTACAGCACCTTCACCTGCTTCAACTCCTACATCTTCGATGCCACTGAAAACTATTGCAGCACCCACACCAATTGCAGCAACACCTTATTCAAAACCTCAAGCAATGACTAAACCACCAAGTTCATCTAGTTATAACAATTCCTCATCAAATGGATTAGTTAAACCTCCACTGTTTAATTCTAAACCTCCAACATTTAACAAACAAGAACTGACATCATTGTCACGCCCACCCCAATTCACCAGTGCAAATTACTCAACTGGATCATCAACACTTTCAAGACCACCGCCACAATTTCTTTCCAACAAACCCCCTTCAAGACCTTCATTCCAAAGTAATAAAACGTACTCCGAAGGACCCAAACCACCAGCATTCTCAGGACCATCCCAACAATCAACAGATAAAAATATTGGAGAAAAGAGAGAACATTCAAATGATGAAGAGGAAAATCGAAAGAAGATTATTAAGATTGAATAAATTTATGAACGGTTATATAGAGACTACTTTTTCTAGAAGAAAGAGACGCATTACAAGAATCACCAATGTAGTTTTCATGAAGATATGGATTGTAAATGTAATGACTGTAAAAAAAACCTGTATACAGAGTTGCAACCAAATTCTAGAATTTTGTGTAATTCAATTGAGCGAACAAACTAAAAGGGTGGCAATATCAAACATCGTTATCAACATCATCCTTGTTATTAATAAAGTTGATAAAGAAACAAGAAAATTCACCACTATATTGTGACATTGGAATTAATTGTAGTACACTAGCACATACAACAATACGACAAGTTGTCTGGATCAAAAACATACACAAACATAGAAAATATCAATCAATAAGTAATTAGACTTAACTTACAATATGAACTCAATTGCGCAGAAATATACGCATTCCAACAACAACAGCATACTTAATGAGATTACTGCCACCAGAGATGGATTGGCTCAGAGCTCTGCCTTGGAATTGGCACCATCCATTCAACTCCCACCTATTTCACAACCAACTGACTTTTTGAGAGCTCATACAGATGATGACAGTAATCCAGATTGTAAGATCAAGATTGCCCATGGTACCACCACATTAGCATTTAGATTTCAAGGTGGTATTGTTGTTGCTGTGGATTCAAGAGCCACACAAGGTAACTGGATTGCCTCTCAAACCGTCAAGAAAGTCATTGAAATTAACCCATTCTTGTTGGGTACCATGGCTGGTGGTGCTGCCGATTGTCAATATTGGGAAACTTGGTTAGGTACTCAATGTAGATTGCATGAATTGAGAGAAAAGGAAAGAATTTCCGTTGCTGCTGCCTCAAAAATCTTGAGTAATTTGGTATATGGTTACAAGGGTATGGGATTATCTATGGGTACCATGGTTTGTGGTTACACCAAGAAGGAAGGTCCAACCATCTATTACGTTGATTCTGACGGAACTAGATTAAAGGGTGATTTGTTTTGTGTTGGATCCGGTCAAACTTTTGCCTACGGTGTTTTAGATTCAGAATACAAGTGGGATTTAACTGTAGAGGAAGCATTATATTTGGGTAAGAGAAGTATTCTTGCTGCTACTCATAGAGATGCATACTCTGGTGGTTCCGTCAACTTGTTCCATGTTACCGAACAAGGATGGGTATTCCATGGTAATCATAATGTTGGAGATATTTTCTATGATATTAAGGAAAAGGAACAATCTTTCAATAATGTTGATGGTTAGATAATAAAATAAATGATGAATAATTAAGGTATTGTAGAAATGAGTAGTAGAATATAAAATATCTATTGTATAAAAGTTTAATACATAATTAATATGAATATCATCTTAAATTCAAAACACTTTAATAATAATGATAAGGGTTCCATAATTATAATTTGTAACCTACGTTGTTAAATCATATTAGCATATCGTACTCTAGGGCTTTTGCCCTATATCACGTGCCGCAAATATCATCATATAAGCGTCGTGTATAATTGTCAATCTCACAATATCCTGCACATATACCCATTTTTTTTAATTTTTTTTTTTTTTCGTACCATCGTTACGGTCTCTCACTTTCGGTAGTATTGAAAAATTTTTAAAATCGGTGTGATTATTGATTTTCTATTTACAGCTCCTTAACGAAGAAATATAGCCAAGATGGTATGTGAAGATATGGAATAGAATAGGGAAGATGATGAGAGAGAATGAGATGGATACCCATGAGATGTAACATGGAGAGTAGTCCCATATTTCAAAACCATATACATTTTTTTATGTGGATTCAAAATTTAAAGAAATTTCAACCAAGTGGTATAACATTTAAATATAATCGTATTCAAGAGATGAAATGAAATACCCTGGGATAGAAAATCATTTGTTCCAACCCATAATTAATCAGGATAGATATTAAAAGGGTATACACAGTTTTGAGATTCTTCAATGTTCAATAAGTGGAACACATTTTTTATTATCATTCTTCCCCTATTACTATTATAATATAAGGAAACACAATTTAAAGAAGTCATTAATACTAACATTATCCAGTCTGCCAAAGCTCAAAACCCTATGCGTGATTTGCATATCGAGAAATTAGTCTTGAACATTTGTGTCGGTGAATCCGGTGACAGATTGACCAGAGCCGCCAAGGTTTTGGAACAATTGTCTGGTCAAACCCCAGTTCAATCCAAGGCTAGATACACCGTCAGATCTTTCGGTATCAGAAGAAACGAAAAGATTGCCGTTCACGTTACCATCAGAGGTCCAAAGGCTGAAGAAATCTTGGAAAGAGGTCTTAAGGTCAAGGAATACCAATTGAGAGCCAAGAACTTCTCTGCCACCGGTAACTTCGGTTTCGGTGTTGACGAACACATTGACTTGGGTATCAAGTACGACCCAGGTATCGGTATTTACGGTATGGATTTCTACGTTGTCATTGGTAGAGCCGGTAACAGAATTGCCAGAAGAAAGAGAGCTAGAGGTGTTGTTGGTAACTCCCACCAAACCACCAAGGAAGACACCATCCAATGGTTCAAGACCAGATACGATGCCGATGTTTTGGGTTCTAAATAAGTTATCTAACGTATTAAATTAATATAACATTGAGTCGCACAAAGTTTTTGTAATATTATTATTATTAAGTAATGATTGTAATTAATATTATTTACATAGGTTCTCCACCGTAAATGCACACTATACAATAATAATTATTTCCTGTGTGGAAATGGTTAAGATATTCTAGATGTGGTTAGTTTTGCTGGTATTGTATTGAAAAAGAAATTATTTTTTTAAAATTTCCGCTACCGCTACCGGAAACTTTAAGTTTTGTGTACTTGATGTAGTCATATAATTGTTTAGTAGAAATTTGAAGTATCCCCATTATTTTCTAGTAGCCAAAATTAACAGGGATAGTTTGTAGTGGGAGCTTCTTATTGATCGGCGAAAGAACCATAGATTAAGTATGGTGACGATTAATTATGAATCCTATGATCATTTAGCATGTATGTATCCAAATGAAGATGTGGGCCACTTTTAGAGAAAAGTTTCTTTTTTTTGCTATGGTGGGGAACGGGATATGAAATGAAGATACTAACGATATAGATTATGATCAGAGTAATGCAGAGGAAAGGGCAGAGGTGGAGAGGATGGTTAGACGGGAGCTTGGACAGTCTAACAATAATATGGACCCCAATGTGTTGCATCCAAGAGTAGATCAGATATTACCAATGTCAAACAACCACTTGACCACACCGGAGACAACACCAAGACTTTTACAAGAGATAGAACGGTACGAGGAGGAACATATAGAGGATACACATGAAGAAATGTTGGAGAATAACAACCATGGTCTTCCACAAATCGTACGTGGAGGGATAGATATGTCAAGATATTCTGAATTTACTGATTCAAATGGTCAGATTCAATATGATAATCTATATTCAACTCTTTCTTATGCTATCCTACAGGGCCGTAATTTGGATATGGTTTCAGATCACCAAGAGGATCTCTTGAGGGCACAACAATTGCATTTACAAAATCTTCAAGGCGTACAGGCCCAGGTGGAATCTACGCTTGAAAGGAAACGAGAACGAGTTGATGAAGTCAATGAGCAACGAAAAAGACGACAATTGGTGGATTTCAAACCAGTGAACGACTACTTGCAGGAAAGATGGAAGGATGGGATACGATCTGTCATTGATTTGGGTATTGAGGCTGGGAAATTGGATAAGTTATAAAGATACGATTTTATTAGAATTGTTTTATGAAATAATGTAGAATCTATGTAGTGATTAAAGAGGGACTTTCCCATACTAGGGTAATGGTAAAGAAACCATGATTATTATTAGGTAGGGTATACTATTGTATTAATTAATTATTAGATTAATTAAATTCTTTGCAAATCCAACATACTTTGAAAGCTTTACCCTCATCAGGTATGTCACCATGGTGAGGATTGTTGAACATAACCAGAATGCCAGAAATAAGTATGTCAAATATACAATCATAGTGAGTGGATGTACCCAATAACTATCAGCTGGAATATTGAAATGTTCTACTATCACATCTGAAAATTTATAGATTAAACTTGATTCCAGTAAATAGCAAGATGCGTGGATACCATCAGATAAACAAGTAACTGGGAGCAAACTTGCCTCCAATGAATTATATACAAGTTTTATGAAATTCCATGATATTAAGCTTGGAATTTCATTGTTATCAATTAAATAGTAGATCCAGCTTATTGCCGATTCATTCCCACTTATGAACATCTTTGTACGTAATTCCAAGAGGGCAGGTCTACCTCTTGCACAAAATGAGGACACATCAGATGCAAAATTAGATGAAAATGAAACTAAATTAAACAAAGTTGCAAATACATTGAATAAATGATACAAGTATGGACCAATGACTACCATGAATGTCAACACTCTCATAATGATAATAAGGTACCTAGTAATCATGGTGAATACCATGAGTAAGACGGTAAAGTCAATCTTTTGATATAACCTTTTGAAATTTATTATAGGGAATGGGATTTTATACCACCATTCTAAACGGAAAGTTTTTCTTTTCCTTCTACTTTGATCTCTTCGTGCTTGTGCAAGAAGATCATTCAATTGGTCTAACCATATGTTTCTTTCTTCTGGGGATACATTACGAAATAATTGTTGTACAAATCGAGTTCCTGCCTCATGAGCTTCATCATTATTACCATCCCTTCCGGTTGGGCCCACCATATTAATTAAAACTGAAGGATCATCTATAGCTGTTCTTAATAGTTGTATTGGAGAAACATCGCCTTGGTCTTCTTGATTCATATTATTTATCGGTCTGTACTACAATCAAATATTGGTAACCATATTAGTTTAAAATGTGGATAGATCGGTGTATATGTTAAGCCATCAGGGGAGTATCATGCAGGAAATGAAGATCAGATAAGTGCTAGTAAGTAATGATTAGATCTATTAATTTAAGTATTGATTAGGTCAAATTTGTTATATTGTACACTTTAATTAGACTAGAAAGCCGGATTGACTATTTAAGGTGGATATTTATAAAGTCTTACACTTCTAAAAAGAATGTACTTTTGTTTTTTTTTACTCCTCTCTCAAAGAACCGAAGATATAGTTGACAACGCCATGAAATGGAAATAACTCAAGGGATGTTCAAGATGTCTTATAATAGATTCAGAGTTTGAATAGACTTAACTTTATTTTGGATGACAGTATCAAATAGAATAATACGCTCGATAAAACATCCTGCGGTTAAAGTAGAGACCGGTAACATTTCAAATAGAACTAGAATTAATCTAACAATACTTTATGACTATGACAAGAACTATTAGATGATCATAAGTAAATTTGTAATGACCAACGTCCATTGATACCGTTACATTGTATTGTCATGGTTACTTGGCTGCAAAAAAGCAAAGTACCAAATAACTAAAACTCTGGAAGCAAATCAAAGTTTACTTACTCAGATTAATTATGAATATCAGAATGGTTCATAAAAACCGATCAATCTTCTCAAAATGACTTCTCCTTCTTTCTGCAATTAAGCTTTCTTCTCATTTCTTCTCTTATTAAATATCATATCACTTCTAGATGAACCTACATTAATAATCCGAGGACATCCTTCTCGATCCTTTTCCGAGCGGACACACTCCAAGCAATAGTACGCAGCAACACCTTCATCATATCCATTTCCGCAAAGAATACATTTTTTAGCAAGATGACCAAAAGAACATTCACTACAGAGTCGAACTTTGGTGGTAGGCTTGACGAGAGAGTCACAAACTGGACATTTACCATCGCATTGAGAACATACAAGTCCTACATTAGGACCTGTTTGCTTCATACACTGAACAAGATCATACTGATGGCGTGACATTGTAGACCCAGACTATACACTTAGCTTTTTCTTACAATCTGAGTATATTTTTTCTTTCTTTTTCTTCATCTATAATTATCTGCACTCCATTATCGGTAATTTATAAAATCCCTTGCACCTTTTTTTGGTGCAGCTCTGATATCTAAAAGATACTCATGATGATTTGCCACAGAGATCACAAAAAATTAAAATATTCAATAATATCTGGAAATTTACATATCATCACGCTACTTAAATTCCAAAGATCACTACTTCATCTATTCCAGTTTTGACGCACTTTTGTTCTTAAATTATCTGTTTTTAATTTTTTTTTGTTCCCGGGTGGAGATTAGAGACAAAGGACTAAAAGTACAAAAAGTGTACAAGACGCTAAAATTTGAAGTACTTTATTCAAAATTTACTTTAAAAATTAGAACAATACTAAATTTTTTTCTATGTCTTCACAATTGGAACCAAATGAATGTCCCATTTGTTTGGACCCAATAGTGGGAAAGGATTCTGTTGGAATTGTCCAAAAATGTGGCCATATATATCATGAAATGTGTATAACCACATGGTCTAGCCATTCTAATTCATGTCCCACATGTCGCAGATTATTTTACAAGATAGAATTTGCTACTTTGGAGACACCTCTGAAGATCACCAAGAGTATACTGGTACAGGACAAACTAGCACCCAATGATGCTATTAACGAAATTCCTTCTGAATTCATAAGGAATGAGAATACTCCAGGAAATGAACGAGTATCCACTCCCATTATTGATGGAACATGCTCTATATGTACAAGTTCTCAATACCAACCATCTCTAAGAATGGTTAATTGCACATCTTGCCTATCTCATTTCCATCTTAGATGTCTTGGGATCACGAGTGGATCCCAAGAAACTTGGTATTGTCCCATATGTGATAATATTTTGGATATACGACAAATTGATGATTCTAGAGGTTCTTCTAATAGGAGGCGCCCCGTTCAAAGACGGATACCATCTTTACGGTCACCAAGAACGTCCACACTATCTGAAACGCCATCGTCATCTTCTTCAAACTCTCGTATTACAGATGTAGTTTTCCGAAATCCGGCTGCTGCATCATCACTTTATAGTGGTCCATTAACATCATCAATATCATTTCAACAATTTGGTGATTCAACACCATTGACATCTAGTCACAGATCTAAACCAACTGGATTGGTGATCTTTAATAATAATAATGAATTGGATGATGAGTTTCTAGAGGAGATTGATGAGTCGGAAGAACCGATACAACTGCTGGTCATTAACGGTGGAATCCTTCTAAGAAGAGAGCTCAGAGAACGTCAACATCTTTCCCAGGAAGAAGCAAAATCATGGGATATTTTGAATTCTGTGCGAGGAACGACGCCCATAGGAGGACATGATGATATTAATCAAGTTCAGAATGATGAGAGAGTTAAGGAAGAATCCCCTCAAGGTATTGTTCCCGAGAGACGGCGTCGTCGAAGAACTAAGATGGAACTTAAATCAGGGATTAATACTACAACATCGTTGCAACCATCTATACCTACCTCAACTTCTACTACAGCATCGTCAACCATTTCTTCCTCACCCTCTACATCTTCCTCCTCTTCCATTTCAACTTCAACACCTTCAAGGATATCCATACTAATCAATCAAATGAAAACATCTAATAGACCAAGAGGGTATGGATTACTGAGTAATCACCAACCACCACAATTACTGGAAAGTCATTCCCCAAGTGATGGTTCTCCGATGGCACTTAGCCCAATCACCGTAGACAGTGATAGTCTATCTGAAGAAGAAGACTTATTGAGAAAGAGAACTTGCCAAAAGCTTGAACCAAAACCTCTCATTCGTGAATTAACACTTGAACAAAAGCGAGAGATTCAAGGTCATCTTCGTACTCATCTTCGCCCATTATATAAGCCTGGAGCACAACCGGAGAAGATGCAAAACAATTTCATCACTTCAGAGAAAGAGTATATTGATATAAACAAAAATATCTCACGGCAAATTTACAAGCACATTCTTTCTTTGGAATCACCCATAGATGTTTTCCTGGACAAAGATCACTTACATAGGATCATTGATGGATTTGTATCTAAAATTGTAAACTAGAGTGTATATTAATATAATTTCAATGATATCAAACGTAATTTGTAGAGTGGTATTTGGTAAAAAATGGGAGCAGATAATTGAGAAGAAAAGGGGTAGAAATATCTACAAAATTTTGTACAAGAGTAATGTCAAATTTTTATTAGATTGGATTTCTTTTATAATGACTAACGACGACGTGGACCTTTAGGTTTATTGAAACGTAAACCTCTAGTGGTGGTAGTCAGTTCCTGTTCATGGTCATCCAATTCTGAAATTTCTAATTCGTCAAGGTCTCCAACTTCCAAGTTCTTATCTATGGCAGCAGAAGACTCTGATTGTTGTAAGATGGAGTTGATATAAGTCACTAATGGCTTTTTATTTGAAGCATAAATCATTCTCTCCTTTACTTTGGATCCCAGAGGACACGAATACAAGAATGCAAATTTGTGTGGAGAATAATGGTAAAGAGCATATTGTGGATGTGGATCCAGTGGGGTTGTTGATTCTTCTAAAGTGGAAATTAAGGTGGCAGTGGATGTTTGCTTTGATGATGTCAACTTGACCCTTTCAGAAGCCAAATCAATGGCAAAAGTGATCAAAGAATGTACTGAAGACTGCCCTGCCTTTTGGAAATAGTCATCCAAATCCTCTTGAACTTTGAATAATAAACCAGAGCTATCATGCATGGAAACAAGCTGCTTTTTATAGGCAGGAGAACTTGATTTGGCAGAGGCTTCAGCAATAGAAAAGCTCTGTAAAGAATTGATTTGATCTAAAAGTTTTTCTTCTTCAGTCAATGGCTTCTCGGATACTTCAAAAGATCTGAGAAAATTCTTCATCGATACCTCTTCAATTTCGCTCCAGGCGAATTGATGTGATTTTTTAAAATTAGCTCCCAATTGAGATACTAAAGTGTTCTTAGTAGAAGCGTAAAGCATTTTTGAACGGATAGGCGCTTCATCTGGGATATAACTAGCGAATGCAAGATCCCCAGCTTCAGTAGGAATCACCAAATATGCTGGTTGTGGATGGGTTTCCAATAGATATGAACTAAGCGATTCGAAAACATCAGATATTCCAGTTGAACCCTTGAAAGAGGAATCTGGGATCAAACTTGTGCTATCTTCAGAAACCCGGATAATCATAGGTTCCCCATTGATAGAATTGAAAGAAGATAAGAGCTCTTTCGAGGCTGTGATTCCTGATTGTGTGGACATCACGAGTCGAAATGATAAATGATAACGGTTGAGGACTGGTAGGTATTTAGACTTTCAATTTCCTTTTATGAACGCACGATTGTTAAACAAACAAAAAAAAAAAAAAATATAAGATCGAGAGAACACAAAAGTTAGATCAGGTTTAAAACAAGTGCAGGGAGAGGGAGAGCTTAGATCACAGATTTGCAGCACTGGACGACCCAAAAGATCTCATATTTATCGATATGTTCAGTCTATGGTCCACACTGAAGTCCACAAAGACTCCATCGTATATACAAGGTGATGAAGAGGACTCAATCGATCTTCAAATCAAATCACTTCTTTATTGTTTCCGAAGATTAAGGATCAATCGTTTAAGTTCATTTTTAGGAATTAAAGAAGGACAAGAGAGAGAATATGAATTAAAATATGTCACTGGGTTCGGATCTTCTTCCAGTGATATGGAACTAGCTTCAGAATATTATCAGAAGTTGGATAATACCTACAATATTGCCGAGTTTCAAAAAATATTAATTGAAGATGAATACCGAGTGATGTGTGATTATATTAAAAATAAATTCAGATCATTTTGTATAGTGACGGAGATGCCAAGTAATAGTGTTTTAAAAGGAGATCATGAAAACCGAAGTTTCCCATCAATTGTGGATTATAAAGACCGGCCCGTAAAAAACTTTGGGTTTACAGTTCTTCCTTGTGAAAAGGTAAACACTGAAATCATTTGTGGGATTCTTTCACTGTCTTTTATTTATACTGAACATGTACTGATAGGGTTACCTACTCGATATCAATATGCCAAACAATGCATTGAATCTGTACTTCCTTTAGAGACGTTATCACTTTCGTCTTATAATATCACCAAGGATCAAAGAGCTAAGATAATTCAAGGATATCTCAAGAAAATGGCATTTAATGTTCAATTGAATAGGATTTATGAGGAATACATGAAGAAAAATGGCAACAGTTCACAATTACCATCTGCAGTTTTGATGCTGCCAACTCTGCAACGGTCTTCTTTTTCATCTTCTACAGCACTTCGAGCTTCAACTTCAATGTCTTCAACAACTTTGACCCCCTCTACAACTCCATCGAACCTCACTTCGAATAGTCTCACTAGATTTGATGCTCCTAAAATGTCTCCGAGCTCTTCAGAACGAAGCTTACTGAGATCACCGTCCCCAACTAGAAGATTAAATAAAAAACCTTCAATTTCAAAACTTAGACTTGGGGAACTTTATAACCCCGTGGTTTCACCGCAGTCTACTACTACAGATGTATCTCAAAAAAGAAATAATCCTGAAATTAGAATTGATGTATGGGATAAATGTAAACTAGCAGTTTCGGAAAGGCTTTCTCGAGAAAAGAAATTACTCTCAATGACATAGAAACTGCCATATAAGAACAATCCAGTATTCTATACACTATGATAACATTTGAATGTGTGTCACAATTATTGTCTTAGCATTCACAAGTCAACCACTAAATTGGTGCTATTCATGTTGTTTGAAAGAATTCATAATATAATACTTCAGTGGCTCCGGCGGGTATTTGCTAACTGAGCTCGATTGGGATGTGTGATTCAGCCTCAGAGACTTTGCCAAAACTCTAAATCTTTTGTATCAAGCTTAATTCCAAGATATGTAGCTTCTGGAATATCCCCATCGACATAAACATAGTCATCCATTATTCCATGATGGATTATCTCCGTGCGAGGGTGTATAAATGTAAATGGCTTACTACCAAGTCCTATGCTTAGCACCAGTATCCCAGAATTCGCCCGGGATCGTCCACCGTTTGTCGCTGGTGAGACTTGACCTGAAACATTGCTGGAAATTGTGTTAAATCGTCTTGTTTGAAGGTCCAACCATGGCATTGGGACCTTTCTTGTGTAACATTCTCTATATCCAACAGTACTGCTGCGGTTTCTACAGATAACTAAATTTGACATTCTGTAAGGTATACAATTAATTAAAACTATTCAATTTGTTTAGGATGTAACGGTTTATATAACCTCGGGAGATAATGATGATCTCCCAACAATTTTATATGCAATTACCGGCTCTCGGAGTTTCGGTATTTCTGTAGCCCCTTTTATTTTATTTATTTTTTTTCCCCAATGAAATGTATTTATCCATTGTGGAGGTGGGGAGATAAACAGTGGGTTGATCATTTTGCGGAGGTGAAATATGGGGAAATAATAAACATTGGAAAATTGAAGAGCGCACAAGATTCGAACCGGGGTTAGTGTTGATAAAAAAAAAAGCATTTATGATTCACAATAGTGGTACAAAAGATAGATATCAAAGAGAAAGATTATCTATCATTGAACATTCATCCACTTAATCCAAAATGTCACTCCGCTTTGCATATACTCGAGCAGCTTGTAACCTGAACTTGAAGTGCGGCTTGAATCGTAGCTTCAGTCACTCAGCAGTCAAATTGAACTTGTTTGGAGGATCCAAAACTATTCAGCCCAAGACTGGAAGTGGGAATCTTACGGCCCCAACGGGGAAGGGCGAATCGGCTCCAGATCCAGTGGATTTGATTAAGAGAAACGATATGTTGGCACATTCTCAGAAACCGAGAAATAATATTGAATCAGTGCGTGATAATGGCTTTCTACTCTCAAGTAACATCATTATCACTTCTCCTAATAAGAATGGAAATGTTCAAGGAACTCTTCTTCTTGAGAGTGATGCCTATGAAGTAGATTTGTCAAATGGGGGCTTCCAGATCATTAACGGTTTCATTGTAGAATTCAACGAAGAATCGGTGTTGCAGATCTTCAGTAAAATTCACCCTAAACCGGAAATCGTAGTCATCGGACTTGGAGAACGTTCAAGAATGCTAAGTGATAAGAATAGAAAATACTTCTCTAGCTTGGGTATACAGATTGAGGTATCTGATTCTAATAACGCTGCTCAGAATTTTGACTTATTGGCCACTGAAAGACCAAATGTTGTTGGTGCATTGTTGCTTCCTCCAAATGTGTAATCCAACCCTCTACAAATGTTTGCATTATATCATTTAGTGGTTTGTGGATAACCGCTATATTGATCTTCGTGTATATATATAAATATCTACTTAAACAATGAATATTTAAGATCTCCCCCTAGTTCACTATTAAATCTGATGGCCTCTGTTTAAACTTATGTTCATAATAACAACATTATGTCACTGTCTATAATCAGACTACAGTCGGTTCGTTCATACACTACATTGGCATTCCTAATATGGAACTCTAAGATTTATAACTCATTCATTAACTAGCAAATCTACTTCAACACCAAAGGTTCTACATCATCATATATCATTTCGTAGATTTATTGTTTATATCATAAAGGTGAAATGTTCAGCCCATCATCTTTCTTGTTCGCTATGGATTGTTGGTGACGAGAAAAATGTGCCTGGCTTTGAGGCACCAAGTCAATCCCTTGTGGATTCTCCTTGGGAAATGCAGCTTGTAATGCATGGTACGAAAAAGCAGTATACTGTCCATCTGCATTAGTTTCCGAGTTTGGAGATTGTTCATTATTAGATCCATACCCTGTGTAGTTCACTACATTTTGGTGTTGTGGAGTGCTCATGGTCATCATCATCACCGGTTGTTGTGCACCAGAAACCCCCATTTGTTGTTGTTGAGGCGGTGGTGGTGCCCTTGTGTTAGGTGGTGGCATATTACCATATACTGGTTGCATTGCATAGTACATTGGAGGCTGTACCTTCCCCTGTGGTGAAGGCTTATCAAACATTCTATCCAAGAAAAACTTGGAATTAGGCGTAGATGAAGTTCCTCCCAAATCAAACGAAGAATGATCAGTGGACATGTTTAAGTTGCTTGTGTTCATAGAGCTATTGTTCACTGATATTATGCTGTCTTTCGTAATGTTATGGTCTGTATATCCAAGTTCTGGTCCCTTGATTTCTGGAACCTTGAGCCCAGGCATACCTGCACTATGACTTATTGGTTCAGATACAACCCTCTTACTCTTGCCGTTATTACTATTACTACCGCTACCTCCGGAGCCATTTGTTTTTTTCTTATTCTTTCCGTTCATTAACGTATGCACATCCGTGAAAACAATTTGAAATTTACTCATGCCGGCTTGCATTTGGGCCTTATTCTTTGATTTTGTAACTTGGGGGTTAGAAGGAATATTACCTTTAAATGTTGTAGTAGTCTTTGGTTTTGACTTTCTTTCTGAAAAGACTCCCATTGCAGGTTTGAACCCATCACCATCAATGATCTGTTGGCATGGTGCTTTACTATTCATTTCCTTTTTGGGGGTAGGACTGGGTGGTACTACTGAAGCAGTTGAGATTGACTCTCGTCCTTGTCCTTCCCTAGTGGTACTAGACATAATGACAGTGGATGGAGATGATTGGGGAATTACATTCCCCTTTGGTGTTTCAAACTTATTTAATGGTGTTTGTGAAGCTTTTGACATATTAAAGTTTTTAGAAATATCCGTCAAAACTGATTTCGATGGGGTTTGCATGATATATTTTGAAGGAATGACATCATCTTCATCTTCATCTTCATCATCCTCATCATTTCCGACTTCTTTCTTATTCTCTTTCCCTATATTCATATTTTCTTTCTCGCCAACATCATCTTGTAATTCTGCGATTCCTTCCTTATTCTCTGGTCCATCATTTTCTTTATTCATAACTGATAAATTCGATAATTTATAAGGCTGACGAGGAGGAGTATCGACTTGAGTAATTGATCTTTTAGTACTATTATTCTTTGCATCTTGAAATATTAATTGTCTGACAGAATTTTTTTCTGTACTTTGTATTTTAAACTTTGATGGTGTAATAGTGTCCAAATCTCTAAGAGGAGTATGTCTAATTGGAGAATCCATAAAGAAATCGGTTAAATGCATTGATTTGTCATGAAATGGGGTATATTGACCATATCCTCCGGATGGTCCACCTCCCGATTGAAGGTTGTGGGTAAGAAATGGTGTTAAGCTAAGTCCTTGGGAATAATCAACTTCGGTACCACCAGCACCAGTGCCTGGTTGATACCATTTTCCATTGGGTGAATTACAAGAAATGAGTTGGTCATTAAACACTGTCTTGGATATTAATGGAGTCCAACCAGTAAAACCGGTGGAATAAAACTTTTGAGCAGAAGGGGGAACTGAACTAATGGCAGAATTCCCACCACCTCCATTACTATTAGTCCTTTCACCAGTATTATTTGGATTATTATTATTAATATGATTGTTATTGGAATTATTACTATTATTGTTGTTTTCTGCTATGTTTCCATCGGACCCCTTCTTCTTCTCACCATCAACAAACCCATACATGAGGGGATCAATAGTCAGTCGTGACGGCGACGAGTGTAAGAAGTTGGTCATCGGGCCTTGTTTAGTTGAAATTTGAACAGTTTACTCTGGAAGTACTACGACTGCTATTATACTTTGTATGTACAGATATCTCTCTTTCTTTTATAATATGTTGTTAGTTCTTGTTTCAAATTCTCGTTTTGAATCTGTTTTAAAAAATATCCCCTCCTTATTTTCTTTGTGATAATAATTCTAGCCAATGTAATAAGATCTAACAGAATCGGGTCCTATCTTCCGTTATGTCACTGCTAGCAAAGGGAGAAAAGTATGTTATACTAAGTCTTGCACAAAGAAAAGGATATATTAAAGAAAAAGCTTCTATTTACTTCACAATTCAATTCTAATGGCCGTGTATGTAAACAACAGCAATTGTATGGTAAACAAAAAATTTGGTTCTATAAAAAAACAAATCGCGTTTTTGTGTTACATAACATGTAAAGGTACATGTAACCCGTTTTAGCCGATGGTACATTTCATAATGAATCACGCTAATTGATCGAATTTTTATTATTCTATACAATGGTTGTTGCGCGGGCGTGTTCTTACAGGTAAATAGAATTGATCATGCAAGTGATATGAATGAACGATTTTTATGCCAATGTCCATTGATAAAAAAAATAATAACAAGATGTTCATACAATGCATTAGAATTTGTAAAAAAAAAACAATAACAAAAAGTATATAATAAGTATACAATGTATATATAGACAATGAGTGAATTGAGTTATTTAAACTTCTACTTTTTATTAATAAATAGATAGTTAATCATCCTTTCTCCACTGATGTTAAATCCTATTGATGACCACTAACTTAAAAAGAGATTGGCTAGATGTTTTTATATTATGAAGTAGTGAAAGACATCTTGAGTTGTGGACCTTTGTAGTATTACAAATTATATTCCGGTTACCATGGATTCGGTTATTTTACTTTTAAAATATAGACCAAACGGTAGACCTGAAATATTATTTGCTATTATTTTCTAGTTTGAGCAAAACTGTGTAGTATTTCTTATCCTAACCCACTGTATAACAATTTGTGGCTGCGAAAATGTAAGACACACTTACACCCTATATGATAATTTAACAACATGGATGTTAGATCATTTCTATTTGAAAGAATATCTGTTAATCATTAATAACCAGAGAAAGATTCTACATATACTAGACTCTTTTCAATTTTGATCTTTTTGATAAATTACCTTTCCCTCGACCCGTTACACTTAAAGTTTGTTCTTGAGATTTCCTTTGTTAAACCGATCTCTGTAACTTCTTTTCTCTAGTATACGAGGTATATTCTAGTTTAACTTACTATTGCAGATAAACTATGAAATCGCTTAAAAATATTCTATTTTAATCTGATTCTGTACTGACGAGAATATATCATCTTAATTTCAATAGCTCATTATTCTTCTTACACTATATTAAATCTACAATTAAAATAAAAACAAACTAATAATTTTATTGATACAAATAATATTAAAGAATAAAAGTTTCCTTTTAATATCTCTTCATTTTTTTCTTTGTCCTCATCATCTTTTCTACTACAACTTACATTAATCTACTACATTTAAGCAGTAGCCTTTTGTTCGTCTTCCCATTGTTGTTCGGTGACGTGCAAGTTTTCAGTTTCTTCAACCAAATCATCTTCTTCATAATCTTCATGAGCAGCCAAGGACAAAGTTGGTCTAACTACAGCAGAATCAAAAGTCCATGAAGCTAAAGCATTTTCAGCATCAATAATGATTTGCTTGGATGCTTCATAACCATCATAGGCTGGTCTAGTTTCACCTGGAGTAACTGGAGATTCATCGAGTAATTCCAACAAAGCCTTACCGTAACCAGCAATCAATGCGATTTTTTCAGCGTGTTCTCTAGTAGAGTCAAATTGATAGTTGAAAGCAGTCTTCAACTTTTCTCTAGTAATATTAGATAATTGAGCTTCAGCAACCAAAGATTCAGCTTCAGCTCTGACTAATTCTTGTTCTAAAACATTGATTTTTGGAGATTGAGGGTCCTTGTACTTAAGGTAAGCAATTTGGTCGGTAATCTTTTGCTTTCTTTCTCTTGATGGTTGAACAGAAGATTCAATATCTCTAATAGACTTGATAGTAATTCTGTATTGATCATATCTGTCAATGAATTGATCTTCCAATTCACCAATTTCATAGATTAAAACACCCAACTTGTCGGTAATATCAGAAATATCATCATCATTAGCTTCACCCCAAACAGATAATTGCTTAGCAACATCCTTTCTTTCTCTAGCGGTGATTTCAATGGATCTCATAAGATTCTTTTCCATCTTAATCAATTGAGCCAATTTTCTACTCAATTCAGGTCCCAAAGCACCAGCAGTGGACTTTCTGAAAGAGTGAGAAATTGAACCCTTACCGAAAAATCTAGACTTGGTAGAAGAAGTTGGTGGTGGTGGAGATTGCAATTGAGCGGCAGTTGGAGCCCTTTGGGATCTTAAGGAGTAAGTTCTGTGCATGTTTGTGGAATAATAATAATACTATGGAAGTGAAGAATTAAATATGAACGAAATAAAAAGAATATTTAAAAATTTTATGATGTAAATGTCGAACAACAAGGGGGGGGGGGGAATTCTGAGATTATATACGGCAAATTTAACACACTTTAAATTTTGAGTAATTAGCGGGCGCAATTTTAAAAAGTGGACAAAATAAAAAAAAATAATTAAAAAAATAAGGAATTAAAAATGAGACGGTGCAGAAATAAGTGGGGAGGTTTTTTGATGAAAGGAAGAATAATTCACTACATTAACAAAGGTTATGGTATAGAGCTTGAGTAAGTGATAATATTGAACATGAAGATGATGAATTCCATCTCAGATATTTCATATGGGTATTTTTTTTTATTTTAATATCGCTAGATTGCTTTTATAAATCATCTTGTTGCCGTCTAATATGAGTTTTCTAATCTTTCCTTGTATTTGGTTACTAAGGGGGAGAAGACGCGAAAGAATTCACAAATGGGGCTGGCTGGGACCAAACACGACCCCTTTATTATCACGCATAGTGCGCGTCAACATTTAAAAGGAATGAGCTCTCGAATCTCCATTTTATATGTAGGTGATTGATTGCTCGAAGTTAAATTTTCCTTGCGCCTTATCCGAAATTCAATTTATTCTTTTAGTACCGAAAAAAAAAAAAAGAGCCGCCTTGGAGTTATTTTACGTTATCGCGCGGATGTTGGAAAATGATTATTATAGAAGGAATTTTTTTGACTTGAAAGAGAACCTCAGTGCACGTGCCCGATCTCGTGGACTATGATTAAAATAGAAACTGAGATTGATTGATTATCAACGGTGGTAGATAACTCTTGATTGGATTGTTTCTAATGAAATTGGTATGACCGCAAGATCAGATGCCCGAGGACATGGAATCTATATTAGATTCTATCTAAGAAGTTGAGGTTGTAGCATATGGTCGAAATGCTGCCAATTTCTACAAATGAGTTCACCATACTAAACTGTGGTTAAAGCTATGGATTAAATCAACCAATACTACACATTTTAACTGTGGGCGGAGTATATTGATTAGACGACTAGTATTGGTGGGCTTCAATTCAAAATTCAACACATGAATTATGGGTATGTCTGTATGGCGCTTGTTGTTCTCTCTAACGAGATTTATATGCACTCTTTGGAATGTATTACACATTTTACCCCTAACAATCATTTCTAGTGAGTGAGTTCCAGGTATCTTGGTGGATACCATGAGGTTGTGTCTCTTATTCTCTAGTCAATGACTTTTCTTATGTGTTAAGCTTGAAACAGTTGAGATTTTCAAAATGAATTTTGTCTTCTTTTTTTAGATATTTCGGGTTATGTTGCCAATTTGAGGGTGAAAAAAAATGAATCAGTGTGGACTCGATTTTGTGTATATTTTCACTTTTTTTTTTTCTTATTTCTCTCTCCATTTCCGGAAATGGCTCACACATCAAATGAAAGGATTATACAAAACATTAGTCAATAAAATCTTCTTCTTCTTTTTCTCATCTTCTAGTGTGATACCCTTCCATATAACCTGTACATATCACCATGGTGTTCCATGCTTATAATAATCTCTTAAAGAGACATCCCTTTAAAACTAATATGATGTCCACGGGGATCCTTTTCGGTGCCGGAGACGGACTTGCCCAATGGATGTTCCCACATAGAGATCATGATGATCATGAAACAAGTTTTAATTATCAACGTACTGCTCGTGCTATGATTTATGGATCTATGTTCTTTGCGCCTTTGGCAGTTATGTGGTATGGTAAGAAACTTCCAACTTTGAAAAATCCATTTGTATCTCAGCGTGTAAGGGCTAGAATGTCACCATTTGGTGCAGAATTTAGTGACGTACTTTTCAGAGTCGGTATTGATCAATTATTTGTTCCTGGTCTTGTTTGGATTCCATTATATAATGTCGTTATGACGACTTTGGCCTTACATGAACATCCTCTTGATTTGGCATATGAAAAACTTTCTAATAATTGGTGGAATGTTTTAAGAGCTAGTTGGACAGTATGGCCTATTTTCCAACTTTTTTCATTTACCTTCATTCCAGTTCATCTTCGAATTGTGGCAGCAAACTTTTGGTCCATCGGTTGGAATTGTTTCTTGAGTTTTGTGCATAATACCCCTGGTCATGGTAAGGGTACTGGTAAGAAGTTAGAGGAACTTGTGGATATTGAAGATGATGCTGAAGAGCAAACAATGGTCTATTCGTAGTAGTCATATGGAGAAAGAAATGTTTAGAATTATTCAGAGTTTAATTATTTCCAATTCATTTCAAAAACTCATGATGGTGTTAAAATTAATCTTTTTCTGATTGACAAGGGGTTAATCTGAAGAAAGGTATTCTGGGAATACCTGTATGTAATAATTATAGATATGTTAATAGAGACAAGAAGTAATCTCGGTAGATATAGCCTATTAAGATATATTTATAAGGGGAACAGATCCAATGTAAGGTCCCAATTATAAGAGATACATGCAATGGTTATGAGAGATTGGTGGTTTAATGAGATCTGTGTTCATCCGTCAATTGCTGGTGACAATTTTTGTTAGTTATTCGGAAAAGTTAAGCTCTATTACACTCTAGTATCTAAGTATATCGTAGTCTCAAGTACGTTTGTATGGATGGCTGGTAGTTTACGAAATTCATTTTGCAGCCATTGTCAATAAAAACGGGGAAAACTGTATACTTTTAAGAAACTGAATGCATGTGGTTACACTCTATATACGTAGTGGATTCATTGCTCCTACATGCGATAGACAACAACATGAAGAGTATATATGTATATATATATATATATATATATTTGGAACAAATCTGGAAATTTGTTAAAGTCTTTTGTGCACTGTGCAAATAAATTTTTGTGATATGTTTTCATTTTTTCAAGTTGGTTATGAATTTCTTATCACTATCTCATTTTCTTTCAATCTTTCTTCTTTATAACTTTCCCTATTAAATTTGATACAAAGATATGTTTGCGGCGTATAATAGATTACTTCTTAGAAGACCAATTGTGACAAATATGGTCACCACAGGGTTCCTCTTTGGTGCAGGGGATTTATCTGCTCAGGCATTCTTCCCATCACAAGATCAAGCAAAATTTAATTTCAAGAGACTTGCAAGAACAATCATATTCGGGGGAGTTGTATTCGCACCAATTGGGGTCCGGTGGTACCTGTTATTAGGTAAGATCAATGTATTCCGGTCAACATTGGGTAATTCTCTTGTACGTGTAGCCGCAGATCAACTTATCTTTGCTCCATTCATAGGTATTCCATTATTCTATTCAGTGATGGCTTGCTTTGAATTAAATCCAAATCCTGTACAAGAAGCGCGAACAAAATTAGAAAAATACTGGTGGACAACTTTACGGAATAATTGGACTGTTTGGCCAGCGTTCCAATTGATAAATTTTGCACTTGTTCCAGCTCAATTCAAGCTTTTGGCTGTGAATTTATTTAGTATTGGTTGGAACTGTTACTTGAGCTATTTGTTAAATCTGTCTACAGGCACTGTTTTAAAAGAAGAGCCAGATCAAATCATGATGTAATAAGATTATGCAGCAAATTAATGAATTTTTATAGTGGAAAAACTTAAAAAATTAGTGCGTAATTTTGTTCCAGAGCCTAAAATTTTAGTGAGATAAATTGCAGTAAACGCAAATTAAGTGCTGGAAATCTGGTGCAAAATGGTAGCAACAACATTGAGAGGAGATTAGAACAATCTTTACTGTGATATAATATCCCACTTCAAGGTAATGAGCCTACTACAGCATGTTACATATATAGTTCTCAATACAATATTATAAATAGGAAACATAATTGAGTGTTTTTTATATATATATATATTTCCTCAAAGAGCTCACTAATTGATTTAGTGTACAAAAATCAGTTAGTCTTTATGGTTTGGCACCCTCTCCCAGAGTGAAAGAAGTAAAAAAAAATGTATTACCGCGCCCATTCTCACTATGCACTCTGCCACCTTCCAACTTACCTCCCGCACCTCAATAAATAAAAACAATAGCAATGATATTTTGATGAATTTGACCTACGATAGTGATCTTCAGGTTACCCTTTACCATTTTACTTCTCCAATATATCGATATACATATTTTTACCATTTATATATAGGCTTCTCTTATTCTTTAACCTATACACTTAGCAACATTTATCTCGTAACTGAACTTTTTGAAGTCTCCCCTTAAAATATTGGTCGTGCCCCGAACAATGAATTAGCCAAACAAATAAAGTGACCTGGCTTAACAAACCGTTGACGCGGTTCGACTACATCAATTCAACTTCAAAAAGACAACGTCTACACCTTCATCCACTCGCCCTTCTAGTAATCTTCCCCCAGAACTGTTTACTTCGAGTGACCCAGTCTGTTCTCTTGAGCCATTGAATCTCTTAGAATCGACACAAATCGTGAACGTCTCAGACTTCAATTTGAAACCTTTCAAGTGTTGTCGTCAATCCACTCCCAAGTACCCGGGCATCTATCACCATCCAGTTGTTCCAGAAAGTTTGTTCTGACTATTAACTTCTGGCCTTGTTTGTAAGAGCGTTTGAATATAACATTACCCAGTTGATCAATTTTAATTCAACCCCTCAATCTCTCTCACAACTGCCCCTTTCCGCCACCAAAGTCTTTTTGGACCCCGCCATAAACTCCTACTTTTTTTTAAAAAAAAAAATTCCCCAATTCAAGTCGTTGTCCCACCGCCCAATATGATGAAAGGATTTAAAAATAGACTTACCAGGAATAAGAGTCAGTCTACTGGAAAGAAACCTGAAAAGAAGCTGGAAAAGGAGTCCTCTACTTCGTCAACATCTTCCACAGCAAGTTCTCTCAAGGCTGACTCTTCTCCTTCTAGGAAGTCCGGACAATCTAAGTCTCCATCTGGAGGGAGTTTGACCTCTTCTCCAAGTCCTTCTAGAAATAATAGTTTGAAATCAGCAGGTTCTAATTCACCAGCCACTCCAACCCCAACAACAAATGGTCCAGGTTCAACAAATCCCTCTGGAACTGGTCCAAATCCTCAATCTTCTTCTTCTTCAACTTCTGCTGCTGCAGCTTCTGTCGGTGCTGGACCCTTATCATCCGGCCCTGAATCATCAGTAGGAATGAATGATGATTCTGGACGAACTTCAAATTCTTCTTCAGAAATGACTGTACCGGTAACAGTTGTTCATCCAATTCCTGATAATTCAACTCCCCAAATTCTTCTAGACAATGATCTTGAACCTCCAAGAACTCCTACCATTATTACACCAGTCACCCCAACTCCAACATCACCAATTACTGGCTCGAATAGTTCTGGATCCGGTATTGGTTCATCTCTTCATTCCACTCATGTTCCTCATGGATATCTGCTTGGTCCAAACATTGGTTCTCCCAATAACAAAGAAAACTTTGATATTGATCTCATTGTAACTCCAAAAAGACATTCTTCATCAAGATTTGAACCATCTACATCCGATCAATATCAAGAAATTGTTAAATTACCAAACTTCGATGAAGTATTACCAGAAGAACAAATTGCATTGTTTGTTCAAAAGATAGATCAATGTAATATAATGTTTGACTTTGGAGATCCAACATATGATATTCGTGGGAAGGAGATTAAAAGAATAACATTGCAAGAACTCATTGAGTTTATCCTGACCAATAGATTCACTTACACTGATGACATGTACAAGCATGTAGTCGTGATGTTCAAAAGAAACTTAATCAGACCAATTCCTCCACCGGTAAATCCTATTGGAGATTTGTATGATCCAGATGAAGATGAACCTGTAAGTGAATTAGCATGGCCACATATGCAAGTGATTTATGAATTCTTCTTGAGATTTATTGAATCACCAGACTTTAGTCCACAAATTGCAAAGCAATACATTGATCATGATTTCATATTAAGAATTTTGGAATTATTTGATAGTGAAGATCCAAGAGAAAGAGATTGTTTGAAAACCACTTTACATCGAATTTATGGTAAATTTTTGAGCTTAAGATCATTCATTAGAAAGTCTATCAATAATGTTTTCTTACAGTTTATTTATGAAACTGAAAGATTCAATGGAATTGCTGAATTATTGGAAATTTTAGGATCAATTATTAATGGGTTTGCCTTACCATTAAAGGAAGAACATAAAATCTTTTTAGTGAGAGTGCTTATTCCATTACATAAGGTGAAATGTTTGTCATTATATCATCCACAATTAGCATATTGTATTGTTCAATTCTTAGAAAAGGATCCTCTGTTAACTGAGGAAGTAATTATGGGATTATTAAGATTCTGGCCCAAAATTAACTCACCAAAGGAAGTTATGTTTTTGAATGAAATTGAAGATATTTTTGAAGTTATGGAACCAAGCGAATTCCTTAAAATTCAAATTCCACTTTTTGCTCAATTACTGAAATGTATATCATCACCACACTTCCAAGTTAGTGAAAAAGTCTTGTGTTTTTGGTCAAATGAGTATTTTTTGACTTTAATTACTGAAAATGCTGAAGTTGTATTGCCAATAATATTTGCTTCACTTTATGAATTGACCAATTCAACTCAACCAGGTGCTGCAAATGGAACAATCAAACAAAAGTTGGCGGAAAACCCAAATGCCACCATTGATGCTAATGGTAATACCATTGATAGTGGACTTATTTTGAAACAAATGAATGGTGATAAAGATCATAATATGCATGATATCACTGACGAAGAATATTATGATTCATTTTCTTCCCCTCATCAAGGAGGTATAGGAGGAGATTTGGATGATTTTGGTTCTTCCGGTAATCATATCCCACCTCATAATTCTGCTACTTCCAATTGGAATAGAACCATACATCTGTTGGCATATGGATCCTTAAAGGTATTTATGGATCACAATCCAATCCTTTATGATCATTGTACAATGTTATACCACCAATCATTAGAAGAACAAAAGGCTAGAGAATTGGCCAGAAAGGATGGATGGAAGAGAATTGAAGAATATGTCAAGCAAATTAAAGCAGGGCTGGACAGTCAACAGCATTTGAGTAGTGCAACAACTACAGGCACGGAAAAGGGAGCCAGTGTTGCTGGTCATTAGCTCTGCTCCTAGACTGGCTGAAATGAAGATGAAGATGATGAAGATGAAGAAATACAGGAAAGTAAAACAAGAAGATGATCTAAGTTTTCCTGTTTGAATCTATGTATGTATTGTAGAACACATTCCTTATATATATATATTGTGTATATAAACTATAAATTTGCTTTAGTCATAAATCTTGATGTAGCATCTTAAATAGAGTATTTCTTTCAAATCTCTAAACATAATTTGTTTTTCATTTTAAATCATATACCCAATAATTTTCACATTGAGAAACAATTATTCTTCAAATTGTGCTAACACATAATTTAATGTTTCAAAATTACGCAATCATATATAGCTAAGGACCCGTGTATGTATCCCCTATTAGTACCATTTATATTGAAAACGACTATTGGTTTAAACTTGTGCATCATCCTACAAATTATGCATTACTTGTAGGTAGGGTTGCAACATTTTTTTGGTTATGGATCGATTACCCGGACATACATATTGCTATAAAAGAATCAATTGAAAAACTTAAATAAAAAATTACAGTGAAATATTTCCTCATGATCCTTTTCTCTACTTTATTTATAAAGATATAAATGGTATGTTTCAATAGATCAACTTACCAAGCATTTGATGATGATTTCTAACCAGCCATTGGTCGGCCTCGGCAGGCGGATGGTCTTGATTTTTATGAAGAATTATTTAGAACCGCTACTCTGACAAATGCAAAACAACAGTTGAAAAAAAAAATTTTATACATATTGAAAATTTACTAACAAATTAGATTCCTAGTGAATAATTTAGGACAGTGTTAATGACTTATGATACTATATTGATCAAATAAACATATTCTCTAAATTGAATGGCAATTGTAGCGTATTTCCAGTAGCAAAAGTTTGAACGGGAATAGAGTTCGTACTTTCGGATATGAAAGTTTCCCATTATCTTATCATGGCTTAGAACTGTATGAATAGTAGTGCTACCACTTGATTCGACCTATGTGGTAGAATAAAGATCTACGAATAGTGTGTCCAGATGTCAAAGTAACAGCTTTCCTGCACACCATTCCATATTTCTTTAAGAAGATCCGCCACCCACTAAATAAGAACTCTACATTGACGGGGGGGGGGGGGGGGCATATGGAAGTAGATATTCATCTATAATGTACGAGTTTGTATAATCCGCTATGGATTTACCACCGATTTACTCAATAAAAATATGTATCTATGCTAATCAAATAAGAAACTAATAAGAGCCCGCGGGGTTCCGATACTGTATTTGTTATCTTTTGGGTTATCTATATCTCTAACAATTTAAGTTAACGTACAAGATAAACCAAGGAATCTTGGTATATTTTCAAAGATAATATCCCGCTCAGATAACACCTCATAACACAAGCGGTCATTAGGATTCATTTTGCTAATACATACATTTTTATGAATTTTAAGTTAATAAGAATAAATTTTAAGTATAACTTTTCAACTCGAAATAATACTTCTATTTAGAAATAAATTGAAAAATCTAAACGATCCCAAAGAACTAAATTATATTAATATAACAAACATAAATACTAATATATGTGTAAACTTGTATTTGCAATCATTAATTAATTATTAATTACTAAATTAAAAGCAAAAAATAAAAATAAGAATAAAAATCACATCTGCGTGCGGCTCAAAGTCCGTTAGTAAAGCAAAAAAATTTTCCTCTTCGCAGCTCAAGTATAAAAAGATCAGATTCCCAAACACCTTTAACTTTTTTCTTTCTTTTTTTGGCAAAGTTTGCCCCTTTGTATCTGGAATATATCGTAACCCCAGAAACTAGACAGACATTCTCTCTAAATTGTATTATAAAATGGTCTTGAACACTTCTGAAGCTACTGCTCACCTCAAAACCTACGCCGCTAAGGATGGTTTGGATGTCAAGTCTCTTATTGACTCTTCCAACTTTGGTGGTTTGACCTACAATGACTTTTTGGTCTTGCCAGGTTTGATCAACTTCCCATCTTCCAGTGTTGACTTGGACGTCAAGTTGACCAAGAAGATCACCTTGAAGGCTCCATTTGTTTCTTCTCCTATGGACACTGTCACTGAAGAAAACATGGCTATCCACATGGCTCTTTTGGGTGGTATTGGTATTATCCACCACAACTGTACTGCTGACGAACAAGCTGAAATGGTTAGAAAGGTCAAGAAGTACGAAAACGGTTTCATTAACGATCCAGTTGTCGTTTCCCCAGATGTCACTGTTGGCCAAGTTAAGGCTATGAAGCAAACCTTGGGTTTCACCACTTTCCCAGTTACTGGTATGTATAAACATCTATCTGATGTCTTATTAACATTTTTTCTTTCCTTTTTTTTCCTCGTCCCAACTTAAACACCAAAATGATGAACAACAAAATATTATTAACTTTCGTTCTACCGACGTACATCAAACGATGTTGGGGATAACTTGTTTCACTGATACAATTTGGAGACGGGCAAAAAAGATATTCAATCCTTCCTTGTTGGAAAGAAAATGTATTGATGTGCATCATCATCATCATCATCTATTCTCTTGATTTTGTTACTAACATCTAATAGACAACGGTAAAGTTGGAGGTAAATTAGTTGGTATTGTCACTTCTCGTGACGTCCAATTCCATGACAACAATGACTCTAAGATCTCTGAAGTCATGACTACTGAATTGGTCACTGGTGAAGAAGGTATTGACTTGGCCACTGGTAACGAAAAGTTGAGATCTTCCAAGAAGGGTAAGTTACCAATTGTAGACAAGAACGGTAACTTGGTCTCTTTGATCTCTTTGACTGACTTGCAAAAGAACCAAGACTACCCATTGGCTTCCAAGTCTTTCCACTCTAAGCAATTGTTGTGTGGTGCCGCCGTTGGTACTATCTTAGCTGACAGAGAAAGATTGGCCAAGTTGGTTGATGCTGGTTTGGATGTTGTCGTTTTGGACTCTTCTAACGGTTCTTCTATTTTCCAATTGGATATGATCAAGTGGATTAAGGAAACTTACCCAGAATTACAAATCATCGCTGGTAATGTTGTTACCAGAGAACAAGCTGCCCTCTTGATTGAGGCTGGTGCTGATGCTTTGAGAATTGGTATGGGTTCCGGTTCTATCTGTATCACTCAAGAAGTCATGGCCTGTGGTAGACCACAAGGTACTGCTGTTTACAATGTTACTGAATTTGCTAACCAATTCGGTGTTCCATGTATCGCTGATGGTGGTATTGGTAACATTGGTCACATCACCAAGGCTTTGGCCTTGGGTGCTTCTGCTGTCATGATGGGTGGTTTACTTGCTGGTACTGCTGAAACCCCAGGTGACTACTTCTACAGTGATGGTAAGAGATTGAAGACTTACCGTGGTATGGGTTCTATTGATGCTATGCAACAAACCTCCACCAACGCCAATGCTTCTACTTCCCGTTACTTCTCTGAATCTGACAAGGTTTTGGTTGCTCAAGGTGTTTCTGGTTCTGTGGTTGACAAGGGTTCTATCGTCAAGTTTGTTCCATATTTGTTCAACGGTTTGCAACACTCTTTGCAGGATATTGGTGTTAAATCCATTGACGATTTGAGAACTAACGTTGACAACGGATCCGTCAGATTTGAGTTCAGAACTGCTTCTGCTCAATTTGAAGGTGGTGTTCACGGTTTGCACTCCTACGAAAAGAGATTGCACAACTAGAGTGTATAACTGTTTATGAATAAAATATAATAAAATAATAAGAAATCCCAATGAACTATTAAAGTGTAAATTTCCTTGTAATTGCAAAAAAAAACTTTTGTTGGTTTCTTATATACACAACCCTCTATTTGATTATACTTGGTAGTAATCTTGACTTTTGATCTCAATCTACATATTTTTAAACATCGACTATGGAATATACTTACAATCAACAATCTAATCAACAAGCTTCAACCAATCTAGATCAAGACTTGAAAAATTCAAGAAATGAAAAATTTACTAGAGGAGAAGTTGAAGCAAGAGAATGGATATTTGAAGTATTGACAATCTTACCATCAGTGGCACAAGAACATAAACAACATGGTTCGGACCTTATAGATATCTTGAAAGATGGCAAAATCTTGTGTCAATTGGGTAACTTACTCAATCTTCCAGGTACCAATCCTTGTTCTAAATATAAGAACTCCAAAATGCCATTTGTTCAAATGGAGAATATATCGTTCTTTTTGAAAGCATGTGAAATGATTGGAGTACCTCATGATGAAATCTTTCAAACTGTGGACTTATTTGAAAGAAAAGATCCGTATCAGGTAATAGTCACATTGATTTCATTCTCTAGAAAAGCTCATGTGAATAATCCAAAGAATTTCCCGAAACCTGTAGGACCTAAAATCGTCAAGATTAAACCTCCAGTTCCAGTTAAACCTGTAAATTTAAGAAAGTAAGTATATGATTCTGTGTGCAAAAGGATAGGGAGAGTATAATTATGAAAGTATGTCCTTAGAGGGTGGTAGGGAGCTGAGTGGCGTACCAGTATATTGGGAAAATGCATACTACACATACATGAGATTGTCTTAAACAACTCTTCCTGGTCTGAGTATAAGGATATATTCCTACATCCATTATTGATTCTACCCCCTCTCAAAAATAGAATGTATTATGGGGTTGAAGAAGTAATGATGAAGAAGATGGAACTACCTGGTAAATTTTATTTGTGCAGTTCTAATCCTAAATACTAATAGTATTCTCCAAATAGTCAAGAATTAAATATCTACAGTACTAGAGTCATGGACAATACCATACCATCTGTTAGAATTGATGAATACACTGATAGAATTACATAAATAATATAGTATGTGCGGTTCTATTAATGGAATTAACCTTAACGAAACAGTTTAAATGAGTGTCTAACGGAATTCAATTGGACGTCTAGAGAAAGAAATATTATAAAATTGCGTACTATTGTCCGCGGGAATGCTCTTGAACAATACCCCGAGGACTTAGTTGCATGTCTTCGAGACGCAGCTGAATCCATTTGCAAGGCCATTCTCTCCCTCCGTACCACTCTATCAACCAATGGGTGCCAACTCATCAAGGAAGCTGCCATGCTTCTTCGTGGTCATTTCGATCCCTTGATTGACTCCTTTGTCCCCACACTCAGCAAACTTTGTCTGGCCACCAAAAATATTGCATCTACGAATGCTAACATTGGTCTCCTCTCCATATTCATAAATTGTACGTTCCAATACAAGTTACTTCAACGAGCGCAAGTCTGTGCCAATGAGAAGAACCATCAGCCCAGAGCATATAGTGGGACATGGATCCAAATCATTTTATACATAATTTTTTTTTACTTTCTTTTGTTCAAACCCGTTCTGATTGCCAAATGGACATATAATCATATTGGGTATATGTAGTGCATGTGAACGACGCAATTAGAAAGGATCCTAATTGTAAAGTAGTTGGTGATAATTCCTTTCTAGCAAAAATTGGATTCATATATGTTCAATATCGTAAGAGATTGTTATTGTTTAATTTACGTTTTCCTTAAATCATTGACACCATTAACGCTTTTATTTTCATCTTCTTTTCCGGAATTTTCAATCAACAGCAAGTTGTCTCTACTATTATAGCAGTTGTATATTTTATGTTAAATGCTGCGTTTACGTTTGCTCTCGCCATATCAACACCAGTACGAACATTAGATGAAAAGCTACAATTGTTCTTAACCTTCTACTTTGAAAGACCCACAACCACATGAGGGAAGAGAAAAGATAATGCATGAAAGTTAGCGTGGAAGAAATAATGCTATTTGTGTATAATAACAAACACTATAAAATAGTTCATCAATTGATATCCCTTATATGTATAACTGGTAATCCATATATGTATGCCTATGTTCTATAGTTTGCAAGATGTTGTTTGAAGAAATTGCACGTTACTAGCTCACTATTATGGAGTTGAATATATTGGAGATGCATTTAATTTTGCAACCTTTTATGCTGCGAGATTTTGCCCCAGCAAATATAATTCTTCCTAGGTTAAAAGAATATAGAATCATAAAATATTTTATAGATTACAAACAGCATAGTACTAGATCTTATTACTGAATAGACAAATACATCTCCATCAATTAGCCAATTATCCTGATTCTAAAATTGATCCCCTAGTCCACAAAGGGAAGGAAAAAAAAGAAAAGAAAAAATAAGAAGAAAACATCTTTATTTACATAATCACACACACTGGCTAAATAGCCACAAATTGAATCTTCTGCTGTAACAGACTACCCATTCCTATCTTAGAATAATTGTGCCATGATTTTAATTTTCTTAATCTCACCTCTTTCTTTAACTGTTATTCTCATTTCCACGAATAAATGTATGGACAATTACAATTTACTGTGGTGTTGTGAGCCCCGAGTGCTCTTCTTTAGTTTTTTATTCTTTTTTTTTTTTTCGAACCTCTTCTCATCGCGATACTTTTCACTTTGACAATTTATTTAGTGGAAACTTCATTCTATTCATTTTATTCAACGACCACCATTTGCGGCTAAAACAAAGCTGAAATCATATAGACAGCTAGCCCATATAAGCACATTCAGACAACCCCCCCTAATATAAACCCCTTGCATATACAACATCATCTGCCATGTCTGACGAAATCATTTGGCAGGTTATAAATAACCAATTCTGTGCATTCAAAATTAAAACTACCAAGGAGCAAAATTTCTGTAGAAACGAATATAATGTTTCCGGTTTATGCTCACGTCAATCCTGTCCTTTGGCCAATGCCAGATATGCCACTGTGAAAAACGTGGATGGAAAATTGTACTTGTACATGAAGACAGCTGAAAGAGCCCATATGCCATCTCGTATGTGGGAAAGAATTCGATTGCTGAAGAACTACAATAAGGCACTTAGTCAAATTGATGATCATTTACAATATTGGCAAAAGTTTTTGATCCACAAATGTAAACAAAGATTGACAAGATTGACACAAGTGGCTATCACTGAACGTAGACTTGCTTTACGTGAAGAAGAAAGACACTATGTGGGAGTAAAGCCAAAGGTGAAGAGAAGAGAAGAAAACAGAGAACGTAAGGCCTTGGCCGCCGCCAAAATTGAAAAGGCTATCGAAAAGGAATTGTTGGACAGATTAAAGAGTGGAGCCTATGGTGACAAGCCTCTTAATGTCGATGAAAGTATCTGGAAGAAGGTATTGGGTAAGGTTGGTGAAGAAGATGAATTAGACGAAGATGAAGAAGATGAAGACTTAGAAGACGAAGAATTGGATGAAGAAGAAAGTGATGAAGGAGAAGTCGAATATGTTGAAGATGATGGTGATGATGAATTGGTTGACTTGGAAGACTTGGAAAAATGGCTTGATGACTCCTCTGCATCTGAGCTGGAAGATGATGATGATGAAGATGACTCCGACGATGAAGCCTCGGGTAAGAGAAAGTCGTCTGCCGAAGACAACAAGAGAAAGAAGAGAAGAGCCCGCGTGGAAATCGAGTACGAGCAAGAACAAGAGCCACTCACCAACATTGCTGCCACATAGATTGTTACATAGATTGGAATACCATAGTCATTTTGAAAAAATGCATTGTAGGAAGTGACGTATTGTAGTTCTTAAATACTTCAATGTCTGTAGGTTGTACAATGAAGTTATGTCTCCCATATGGATTGAAATATAGATAAAACAGGGTGATTAAATGGTGTATATAATTTCTCAACTTCATACAGTGAAGTGCATAGAATTTTATATTGGAGCTACATACTTAGAGAGAATATTCAATCTATCGATTATACATTCAATAGGAAGAAAAAGTATAATACAATATTCTCTTGTCGTTAGAATGAACATTTTTCGCAACCACTTTTGGTATTTTGGCCAGGTACTATAAGGCACAACCATAATGCTACTATTGGGGTCGGCTTTTTTAAATATTACTTACTTCGAAAATTATTATTGACCTTGTATCATTTAAACTAAATACAACATTTCACTTTCTAATTTTCCATTCTTGTATATGTATTTGTGTATATCGAATGTTCACAAATAAAGACAAATAATATTTAACTTCTATCTTCCCCCATCAATGTTAGAAATATCTTTTGGTTTTTCCTTTTTCCAATTATTTATAGTTTGTTTCTCCTTCTATACTGCTTATAACCATGCTGCTATTAAACAACTTACCCTTTGCGTCAAAAGATGTTGAAGAGTGGTCTTCTGCTGAACTTCTTAAAAATGGACATATTACGAATACGTATGCTCGTGATGGTGTCTTAGGGTTCCATTCTCTCAAGATATGCAGCTCAAACGCCAAAATCCTTGCACAGTACTTTCAATTTTGTATGGGGTTCAAAGAAATAGCCTATAAAGGTCTAGAAACAGGAAACAGCTTCACTGCCTCACATGTAGTTCAGAATGGAAGTATTCTCATTGAAATTACCAACATTATTCGCGATCTTGAGGAAGATTCTGAAATGCAACCCAATTCTTGTTTCGAACCGCAAGTTAAGGATATTATTGATCACAAGATCGATAGTTTTGCAAAACGACACAGTATTGATGCTCCAACAATCAAATTATCAATCTTGAAACAATTTGCCATCAAATTGAAAACACATAGAGAGAACGAGAAGGAGCCTAAGTATCGAGAAATTTTGGCTGCGAAAAAACTCACGAGAGAGAAAATCGACATGATCACTTTTCAAGATTACATCTCAAAACATGGTGATGGAGTCTTAGATGTATCATTTCTAGTGGTTGATGTAGTCAAATCTTTTGAAAAGGCAATTTCTGCTGGAGCAGTCATGATTGAAGAGCCACATACTGAGACGGATAAATCTGGAAGTGTCAAAATTGCAATAATTGGAGTACCCAATACTGATATTCAACATACCATGATTCAAAATTTGGACTATAAGGGAAATTATCTCCCAGGGTATCAAGATACCGAAGTAGAAGAAGAAGATGGAGAAGAAATGAAAGGCCACAATGGTTTCAACTTTAAATATCTCTTGGAAAACTTACCCTCAGTGGACCTTGTCGAACTTGACCATTGTGTAGAAAATTATACTTGGGATGGAATGATGAAACATGCTATTTTTTATGCAAATGCATTTGGATTTCATAAATATTGGTCAGTAGATGAATCTGAAGTTTTTACTGGAAACACTTCATTGAAATCTATAGTTATGGCTTCCAGTAATGGCAAAGTAAAAATTCCCATAAATGAACCAGGAGAAGGTAAATTGAGAGGACAGATTGAAGAATTCTATGATTTCCATGAAGGACCAGGTATTCAACACATTGCTTTACGCACACATGATATTATTTCCACAATCAAGTCATTGGTAATTCGAGGGGTCCAATTTAATGACATGTCGGATGCATACTATGAAAATTTGAAAAATAGAATGAATACCGATGGAGTCAAAATTCATGAAAGTCTACTGGAGTTAAAGAAATTAAATATTCTTGTTGATTATGATCCACTGACAAGGAATAAACATACAAAATATTGCAACTATATACTTCAAATTTTCAGCAAACCTCTTTCGGACAGACCAACATTATTCATTGAAATTATTCAAAGAAGACATCATAATGGTTTTGGAAAGGGTACGTTCAAAGGACTATTTGAAACTATTGAGGCTCAACAGAAATTAAGAGGCACTCTTGTTAAATCTTCGCGAAATAGAAATATTTAAATTGCCATTTACCATGAGTAAGTAGATCCAAATACATATTTTGATTTTTACTATTCAATTTATAAGTGTAGTTTTAGGAAATGATTCCTGCGAACTATTTGTTTTAGACATATATGCATCCTTTGGGCTTGTATAGTCATCTAAAGTGGTTAAAGATTGGCCTGATTTGTGCGCCGAGGAAAACATAGAGGAGTCATCAACTGTTGTGGTCTCTGAACTTTCTATTGTACCAGTGGAATTATTTTGACTTTCCCAATTCTTCAAAGCAGATCCTTTCTTTTCAAAAAACTCTTTTATATTTTCAACAAACAAAGGAAATAACAACGTATCAACACCTTCATTTCTTGCAATTTCTGCTGCTCTTTCAAATGGAATCCACACTCCTTTTAATTTCATAGCACCAACCCTAACCACATATCTCGTGCGCTCGGTCTTTAAAATTCCATCACGTTTACCTCGGGACATTCCTGCAACATTCAATAGTTTTGTTCCATTCACAAAATTTGTATCTTGCCGACGAGAAACTAATACCCCATGTGCTTCGACTTGGTAGCAAATAGTCTTTTCATCTTCCCAGTAGGTTGTTGCCACACGTGGTTTCCTAGCATTTATGGCGGTTCTAGGACTTTCTCGAGTAGTTGAGTCCTTCAATAAACCTTTTGGAACTGTACCCTTAATTCTGTTAGAATTTTGGTAACTCAGGTCAGGGTACACGGATTGTTGTTGTTGAGTAATTTGGGAATTTTGAGCATAAAATACTTGGTATGGATGTTGTTGTGGAGGGGTGTGATGAAATGGGTGGAGCGGGTATGATGGCTGAGGAATATTAACCACCTGATCATAAACTCCTTCAGATCCATGAAAACTTGCCCTAGCTAGTGGATGTGATTCCTGATTCTGGTTAAAAGGTATATGGTGCGCATGTTGTTGTTGTTGTTGTTGTTGTTGTTGTTGTTGTTGAGGAGCCATATACTGGAAATGTTGGGTTGTCAGATCTTCAAATGTATAATTTGGAGGATTTGTGGTAGCCAACGCAGGAACAACCTGTTGAGGATAAATCTCAGAACCGTTTTGTTCACCAGAATAGTCTTGCTTGAAGAGACCTGCCTGGTTGGACATAGTTATGACGCGGAAGTTCAGTTCTAATTTTAAGGAGCAATAAGCAAAGCAAAATTTAATAGCAATACAATGGATACTGTTAGATAAAACCAGGTAGATTCTAAATATTTAAGAGGTTCCGAACAGATTGGACACTTAATATCACTCTTAATCTGGTGTGTTTGAATAATATTTACAAAAATAAAACAATTATAGAAACCACAGATTGATTTTGTACACAATGTAAGTTCATGCAAGATGATGTATATCTACGAAGACCGCACCAGTTAAAGTAACATACACCAATGCAAAGGGTCCCCGGAGATCAAAAATCACCAGCCTTTTTTCCCGAGTTGCTTCAAACAGATAGCATAAAAAATAATACATTCCATATATTTTGCAGCTATTCGTGAGGCTGATATGACTCAGGTTTATCTATCCATGTCAAGTAATGTCCCACACTGTGACTAGATTACAAAATGAAGGAAAGCCCCTGATGAGGCTCAAAAAGGCGTGATGTCCATCTAGCGTCGGAGAACAGGAAAATAGTATCATCTTCTATGTAAGTTGACGCAGGCATTCAAGGACCCTCACTAAGTTTTAGTGTTTTATAATCCTAAAGTTGTGTATTAGAATGATGAAGTGTTAAATTCACATGCAAAAATAAAGAAGTGGTAAGCCACAAGGCTAGAAGTTTTAGATTATTAAGCAAGCGCTGGACCTACCCTACTTTGTTATATGTGTGTCATGCTAAACTACATATAGGCTTTTATTTTCTCTCATCTTTTGTTGAAACGATCTGCCGTAGCCAAGAAACGTGTTAAAAAAACAACAACAATTATACTTCCGTCAGTGCTTTAACCGCCAGGCGGTGGCGGGTGGGGGCCAATAACTGCTGGGTAAAGTACAAGTAACCATACTAATGCATGTCCAGCTAAGTGCAGAATCCTTCCGTGCAGGGAACATGCATGCCACGATTGTAGTGAGGAGCCTAATCAAAAGAAAAATAGCTTTTTTTAACAAATGGAAGAAAAAATACAAAAAGAATTTTTTTATTCTAAAAAATAAAATGATATAGATAGTCTCTGACGAAAAGTAATGAAGTTTCTGTCATATTTAAACCGCCATACGTCAAACCCTACTCGTGTGCCTTTCCGGGGAAATGCACTGTTGCCCCGTATCAACGCCTATAGATGTACGATGTTTGCTAGTTTGGGCGTATCTGCAAGAAATACGTCGAGTTGAGGTACGCTATTCCCCTTGTCGGAAAACCTGTACTGGTATTGTCTAAATCCAGTATTATAAGACAACATTTATTGCATTTGGTTCCTGACAAGATGGGAAACGACCAATTATCTATATGCTTTATTTTTTCCACTTCCTACGTTATCTATTTCACAGTGTAGATTGTAGAATATACATGTTTTGGCCGCGAATGCAACGCTCGCAACTCTACCTCTATAATTATTTTCTAAAGTTTTTTTTTTTTATTATTTCGAATAGGTTATGAAATATTTTTAAATGTCACCATTTACGCCCTTACCGTAATTGAAGTGGAAAAAAAAAAGAGAACACAAGCGTATCCTATCGTATACAGTTACGGACCTAATATTATGTCTCCACCAAAGCAAACGGCTACACGGGAACGACGAACGTCTATTCTAGACGTTGGAGGGCCAAATTCAATTAACAACTTTGCGTCATCCTATTCGAGAGTACAGTCTTACATGAGTCATTGTTTAGATGATAGACGTAGCATCGATTTGGACGACGATCTTTCACCCGGTACCTCCCCGGTACAGGAATACGCATCTATAGAAGGAAACGAGGAAGAACTTGACTCAAATGCTATATTTTTAAACTCACCCGAAAGAAGCAGTGATGCTTCTGGCAGGGGTAGACACGGTCATGAAAGTTTGAAATCGTTCCAATTCCCCCATAATGATCTTGAATCATCTCCTTTATTACAACCTCGAGTGAGATCAGGGTCACAATCAAGCTCGAGATTTGCTGGCATTACAGGAGGATCAACTGCACCTCAGACAATCTTCAATTCGATCAATACTTTAATGGGAATAGGAATGCTTTCACTTCCATTTGGGTTTAAACTTACAGGATGGGTTCTTGGTACCTTCATCTTGGCTCTGTGTGCAATCACAACTAACTATACGGCCAAGATCTTGGGTCGAGTCTTGAAAAGACATCATGCATTGGGTAGCTATGGGGACATTGCCCAAGAGGCATACGGAAGCATTGCCAATGTTCTCGTTTCATCAGTATTTACCGCTGACCTTGTAGGTGCTACTGCATCACTTGTTATCCTCTTTGGAGATTCATTTGGAATTTTAATTCCTTCGGTAAGTCCTGCCATTTTCAAAACCATTATGATGTCCACTGTATTCATTTCTTCATTCTTACCATTACTGGCATTGTCTATGTTCAGTTTACTTGGCATTATCTGTACTTCTGGGGTAGTTGCAATCATCTTATATTGTGGATTAACCGTTTCTGGGTCTGGTTCTCTTTTAAACCCAGCACCTACGGAATTATGGCCATCAAACCCTTATCATGTTCTTTTGGCTCTTGGGATCTTTATGGCACCATGGGGTGGACACGTAGTATTTCCAGAACTTTATAGAGATATGAGACATCCAAAGAAGTTTGATACATGCGCAAATGTCACTTTTAATGCCACCTTTTTCATGGATTATGTAATTGCAGCAGTTGGATTTGTAATGTTTGGATCTAAATGTAAAGATTCATTTACAAAGAATTTAATGTTGGAACCAAACTTCCCTAATTGGGTCCCAACTGTCATTTGTTTGTTATTGGGAATTTTGGCAATGGTAAAGGCACCTCTTTTAATTAGACCAGTATTATCGGTCCTTGAACGTCTTGTTTCTACTGGCAATAGTCATACCACGAAGAATAATTTATCCATCAAAAAGGTGTTGATAAGATTTCTCTACTGTGGATTTCTTCTTTTCATATCACTTGTGGTAACCTCATTCGGTGGAATTATGGCCTTTTTGGGTAGCGCTATTTGTTTTACAATTTGTGTGATTCTTCCTTTGATGTTTTCCTTAACTTTATTCCGTGATGAACATTCAATTTTACAAAGAGTTCTCCTCCGTACTGGTATAGTCATAGGAATAATCTGCGCAGTCGGTGGTACTTATGCTGCGATAACTGTTGATACAGACTTTTAATAGATATTTACATAGCATCTGAGAACGTTTTACTTCTACATCTACCCTAATTTGATTCCTTCTATATGTACTTATCTTGTTAATACAAACACCTTTAACTTATATTTTATCATATTACCATATGTTGATATAACCTATCTAAAAAAATTTTTATCAATGTTTTCTTCTATATGTTCGCTTACCCCTATAATTGTATTCAATATCTTCTTCTGGGTCCATTCCTCCATTGAAAATAGCTGCCGCATAGAGCAAGTTTTCGTGTTGTGATTGAGCAAGATATTGTGCCATCACTTGAGATCCTGAAGTTCCATAAGGATTTTTCAATAAATGTGGCTGTGAGGAATAATGTGGAATTTGGCCATATGGAGTAGAAACATGTTGAGGAGGGAAAGTTTGTTGATGTTGTTGTTGCTGGTGATATCCATAATGTGGACCATTATTCAACCGCATTGGAGCAGAAGATGGCCTATAGTACATCAGTTGAGGTTGTGAATAGGGTGAATGAGTCTTTGCTTGAGAGTGTTGATATCCATTTTTTCCAAAATGAGTATTCAATGAAATATTAGAGGAATTCCGTGAATAATCTCTTTTTGGGAAAAAGGCTTCAGAGGAAGTACTTCTTGAAAGTGATTTTCTTGCACCATTTTTATTCTTCAGTTCATTTGAATCGGGTTTGGTTTCGCATACCATAGAACTGGAACCAGTGTCTGATCCTATAATAATAGAGACTTCATCATCATCCTCTTCATCTTCGTCATCTTCTTCTTCAACTTCATGTTCTTCCTCTAATTTTTCAGTCCCTTCGTTAACATTTTTCTCCAATTCACCCTTTTCATGGGTTGTTGATCTCTTTTGCAGATTAGCATCAACTATGTCCGATGAAGTCTCCAAGATATCATCATTGACGTCATCAAGAATATTATTGGTATCTTCTTCCTTCTTCAGACATTCGATGATACCAAATACTTTAGCAGCTTCTTCATTCAATGGTTCTTGTGGTGGACTGTTGTTTCTCAATTCCTCTTCAAGCCTTGAAGTCTCTCTTAATTCATTCACAATATCCACTTCATATAAATCGACATCTCTATAATTACTATGTTTGCCAGCTTTTGATCTCTTTCTAAAACTGAACTTTGCAGGATTCCCACAACGATCTTTTGCAAAATTGATTTTAAAACATTTATATTTCTCATAAAATTCTCCGGAATCTCCAACAATTCTTCTTATTTTTTCTTCGTTCTTCATTACAAAACAATCAACTAATTTGATGGCATCTGCAATATTTAAAAAGTTTAGGAACCCACAATCTTTATTATGATAAAAATTGATTTGTTCTAATTCACCAAATTTCAGGAAATCCAGACGCAATGTTTTCTCGTCTGGGATAACTGGTTTAGGTGCATCTGGTTCTACTTTATTAGGCGCAATTCCAATGTATACATTCCTTGAAGCTCCAGCAGTAACAGCCAATGAAATATCTCGATTGAGAGGACCTGAATGGTTTTTGGCCCAGCCAACAGTCACATCATACCCATGAATCACAAGTTGGTGCAATACTTGATGATTGAGGAAGAACTTTAATGCAATCGATGGGTCGATAAATGTGATGAAGCAAACCTTCTTCTCTGGATGATGTTTAATCAATTGAACAAGTCCTCCAGCACGAACATTATTTGCAATTTCCTCAATAGTGGTATGTGGATGTAAATTCCCCAAATAAATAGTTCTATTACCAACATTGAATGCATCAGAATTATATGATGGGTATCCCTTTTGTTGCATACCTGAATGAAGGGGCGGGAGAGAATGAGTAGACCCGCCGCCACCTCCTCCAAAGTAACCTCCCAGATAGACCAGTTGAGACGAAATATGTGGTTGGATTGGAGGATATGACTGGTGTTGGTTATGTTGTTGTGGTGGGTAATATGCTCCTTGATTTAAAGAAACAATGGAAGAGCTACGATCCAACCCATTGAATGATGAAGTACTGGAGTCTTGATCAAGATGGTCTCCATTTTTAGAAGAAGAGTCCAAAATTGACCCTTCATTATCTTCCATAATGATTTGCAGATTAAACTCACTGAACGTTTCACTGTTGTCTGATCCAAAAGAATCATCTTCCGGGATGCTTATAATACTTTCATTTGGTAAGAAATGATTATGTGGTCCAGATGCATTTGTAGTGCTTCGACGTGATATCACGGGGGAAGCGTTATTGGACCTGTGAACAATATTGTCAACGTGGGACTTGTCACACCTATCCTTATGAAATGAAATTCCAATTGGATTAAATGTACGAACAGTGGCGCTAGAGCCAGTTGCTGGTTTTCCATCAGCCTGAGTTGTCGATACCGAAGTCTTCTTTTCATCAACTTGGCGTTGTTGAAGTCTCTGTATACGCTTCGAGTAATAATCATATCCTTTGATTGCTGAGTCTATCGATGTGAAATGAACCCATGCAATGTATGGTTTTTCAAGCGATTCAGACTCTTGAGTTTTATCATCATCCTTCTTTGAAGATTCAGGCAGTTGATCTCTCAGATCATTTTCTTCCTTCAATTCAAACTTCTCAACCTCTCCAAATCTACCACATTGTTCTTTCAAATCCAGTTCAATCTCTTCAAATTTTTTAGTTTCGGTAAACTTTATCCGAAGACATCTTGTAGCACTAAAGTCCAATATATAATTCAAAGTTTTAAGTTTAATGAAATCTTGTTTATTGGCCATATGATGACCATTGGGACGATTAGTCAGGTCATTTAAAACAAGTTTCAAATGCTTCGAGTTCTTAAGAGCTGATCGTAATTTAGCCATGTTCTGTTTGTTCTTTGCATATTTATTGTGAAAATTTACCAGAATTTTCAGATTAAGGAAACTGATATAACAGTTCTGAACATTTTTAACATCTTCTAAATTAGGAAGTGCTTGTTTCTTGAATATCTTACAATACTCAATAGGTCCAAAGTCTATCGCGTCCAACACTTCAGTCAAAGTTACATCTTCCGATAAGTTTTTAAGAACTACAGTTCTCAGAAGACATAACTGATCCAAAGTGGAATCTTGGCTAGATACAGCGTATCCATTCCCATAAGGTGCGTGAGGATGATGGTGATGGTGATGTTGTTGCGACGAAGGGGGTACATATTGACGAAGATAGTTCATTGGAGGCTCTTGCTGTATAGGAGACATTGCAAACGAGTTCATAAAGTAAGGTGACCCGGCCAAAAGATTGGATGGTATCATCGATTGACTGTATGCCATATCCAAAGGTGTCATGGGGATATCGTAAGAAGGAGCGTGGTTTGGATAGTACATATTCTGTTGATGATGTGGGTACATCGCAGCAATTTTGTTGTAATCTCTATGGTATATAGTAATCTTCTTTGTTTAAAAAAACAAACTTTTGACGTTTTTATTGTAACTGCTACGTTCCTTAAAAGGGTCCAAAAAAATGCACGTAATTAGCGAGAAGAAATGTACACGGTGTTGTCTTGTACTCGGGGAGTTCGAAAGACAGGGAGATGTAGTTGGGTTCTCCAAGGAAAAAAAAAAAAGAGGGTTTATTTGGCTTGCTGCGTAGCACTGGCAATGTTGTTGCGTGGTGGTGGTGTGGGCAAAAACTAACCAGGTGAGGGAAAAATACAAACGAAAGTGGGTGTTATCTCTCTGGTCTAGAACTATGCACTGGTGGTTGTACCGAAAGGTCCTCTAGTTTGTGTTGTTTGTGCCTCTGGCTATTGGGGAAAGTACTCTAGTAAAGTATAGGTTTTATAAAAAGAAAAAAAAAACTTATATATTAAACGTGGAGGTAAAGTTAAAAGATGGAAAAACTAACCTAAAAAAAGAACTGGCCTTCTCCAATTTCTAGCGCGTAAATAAAAGTGTTGTGTGTCAGTGTGTGAAAGGATAAAAAAAAGATCGGAGATCAAAGAATCCGCCTAGCGCCGCATCGGGAAGTCTAGGCAAAATGCAGATGTTGGCGGTGCGCGACTTCCATGGCAATTCCATGCATCGTGGGAGGTTAGCACAAAAATTTCACACACGGAATTGGTAATGTTTCAGAATCAGGCAATTGATATTTTTTAGAAAAAGGGGGAATAAGTGGAGGAAGGCTAGCAAGGGGTGAGCAAACATTCTAGAGAATGGTATATATATACATATAGTAGAGTTTGAGGAACATTACCCTACAACAGTACTAAACATGTGACCTGTACGCAGGCACCGGAAACAATTTGAAGTGTGATGGGAAATGAATTGGTGGAATATTACCACTTTTACCACATCATCTTGAGATTATCCAAACGAAGTGGATACACACCATGATTCGAAATAATACTACATACTTTTATATATTATAAACCATACAAGTGTATTTTTCTTACTCTGTTTTGATCATTCATACACTTTGGGGTAACTTTTGGCCAGATTGACAAACAAAAAGCTTAAAAAAAAAAAAAAACTTGGTTTATCTGTACCTGTTTACATGTGTGGCAATAATATTTTTTTCAGATTATTTTTGTCTAAAAGGCGAACGAGATTCAGTTACTGTTTCCCGCCTTTTGCCACCCACACACACCCCTCCGAAAAATAGATATCAATTAATAAAATTAGTTAGTTAAAAAAAAAAAAGAATTGAAGTCAATTTGTGACGGACTGTATATAAAACTGAATGGCTAACGATTAGGACAGCCAGTTAGATACTGCCCAATGAGGAAGTCAAGTAGACGATGAAATCCATCAAAGAATGGTACCGGATTAGGCAGTCGACAAATTTTTCGATGAAAGCGTGTAAACACTGAGACGGCAATCATCAAGCCTTTGAGAAATCAAAAAACGCTCTTCCCTTCGATCTAATAACAACAAAAAAACATAATCAAAAATGGCTCAAGAAGTTCCAACTTTCAAGCTTGTTCTTGTCGGTGACGGTGGTACCGGTAAGGTATGTATTATTGATTGATTGGATCCAATATTGGATTCAAGGGGTAAAGAATGAAATTAATTGACAATTAATAAACAAATCAAGTGATAAATAATTTCATTCTTACAAGGGATATCGATCTATCCCACCCTTTGCCTTATTATATCTTATACTAACAATTATTTTAGACCACTTTCGTCAAGAGACATTTAACTGGTGAATTCGAAAAGAAGTACATCGCCACCCTTGGTGTTGAAGTCCACCCATTGGGTTTCCACACTAACTTCGGTGAATTGAAGTTCGATGTCTGGGATACTGCTGGTCAAGAAAAGTTCGGTGGTTTGAGAGACGGTTACTACATTAACGGTCAATGTGGTATCATCATGTTCGATGTTACTTCCAGAATCACCTACAAGAACGTTCCAAACTGGCACAGAGATTTGGTCAGAGTTTGTGAAAACATTCCAATCGTTCTTTGTGGTAACAAGGTTGATGTTAAGGAACGTAAGGTTAAGGCCAAGACTATCACTTTCCACAGAAAGAAGAACTTGCAATACTACGATATCTCCGCCAAGTCTAACTACAACTTTGAAAAGCCATTCTTGTGGTTGGCTAGAAAGTTGGTTGGTAACCCTCAATTGGAATTCGTTGCATCCCCAGCTTTGGCTCCAGCTGAAGTCCAAGTTGATGCCGACTTGATGCAAAAGTACCAACAAGAAATGGAAGAAGCTACCGCTTTGCCATTGCCAGATGAAGATGATGCTGATTTGTAAGGTCTTTGCACTTATTTAGTTTATAATATACATCTACAATTTAAAATACATTTGATTAGTTCATTATTAGTATATGCAGATGATATCGTGAGAGAGATATGAGGATTGAATTGTTGCTGGATAGGAGTCGTGTTAAAAGAAGATAATAACGAGGTCATCAAATATGTCATAGTACCGTGACCAAGACTCTTTTAACATTTCCTTTGAATTCTAAGATTAGAGTGTACTGTAGTTAAATCACGAGTAATTGCCTTCGAAGAGCCATCTGTGTTGTAAGAAAACTAAAGAATGAGGTGCGGATGCACATGTAATGTGGTTCCTTAAAATGAAAAGAGAATACACAACTAATAACCTCTTCTCTAGGCACATTCATTCTTGAAAGATTCTTTTGGGGACCCCAAATCAAGTCATATAGTGCTTCTACTTCTTCTTCTTATTCTTCTTTCTTCTTCTTCTTTTCTTCTTCTTCTTTTCTTCTTCTTCTTTTGGCAACCTTAATGTAACTCTGTATCTTTTGTGACTTGAATTTATCGCATTTCACTATCTAATACCAAGTGTTTTCGGTATCTTTACGTTTATGAAGTGCTATAGACTCTTTAACTTCTTCTGCCTCTCTTAGTATCGAAGGTGGAGGGTTTGGGAAAGTCGGTAAATTTGGAGGGGGAGGAAGAGAAAAGTTCTTTTGTGCACTATAGACATCAGCTGGAATATTGGATTTTTTAGAGGATTTTTCTTTGGGCACTCGTACACCCGGTGCTCCTTGGTTCAAATACAGCGTATCAATCTCATATGGGAGTTCCAGAGGTGTCCATATTCCGGTTTGCTTTGCCTTTTGTTCATAGTAATCGCAATAGTATTTGATATGATTTCTACCCATTAAATGGGATTTACGCACACTCATGGTATCATGTGTGAGGTATGACTTACAGTAGTCACAGTAATATTTGGGCATTTTCAGTAGTATAAATTAGTGATAAATATTCTAATCATTGGAGATTTCTTATTGATGATATCACTCTAAATCTAAGTCCTGTATGTGCATATGTAAATGGTAAGAAGGTACAAAAAAAAATAAAAAATTTTGAAAGGTAGGTCAGAAAGTGTAAAACTAAATATTAGTAAAAATTTTTGAACCAACTTAACTTTCAATCTATAGAGCAAAACAAACGAGGTTGAAACTAAATTATGTCAGATTCATTTTGAGAGTCTACACTAACTAAGAAATCTACTCTGTATTTTCAATATTTAGTAGTAGGTTGAATGTTTCCACGTGATAAATGTCTCGTGATGTACTCGCAAGCCAATCAGAAGTAAATAGTGCGAATTTTGTGTAATTTGTCCTTTATGGTAAAATAGTGAACGAAAAAGAGACTTGAGAGACATTCAATTCATCAGACTACAGTGTATCACCAGCTCCAGGATGTTCAGACAATCAGCCGTATGTATTCCCGACAGATGGGGCGTGTCCTACTCCTTGCTTGATTTGGATGTGTAGATTCAAGCATTGGAACGAACCATACGAGAAGTTCTGGTGATGATAAGCCGACCATCGGTGAAGGTTAAAATGGGAAATCGTGGAATTGACTATGGACCAATGTCATTGATTGAAATGATTGTGGTTATCATATTTCTATGGATTTCTTCTTTCCGGGTCGTTTTCCAACCCCTTCTACTTGCTATACCAAACATTTCCATGGTATTATTTTTTTTATTTATTTGAATTCGTACTAACAGAATTATAGCGCTTATTAGCCTCCAAGAGATTCTTCTCTGTCACTCCACAAAGATCTAACTTGATCTCTGACTTGTACGTCACCCAAATCAAGGCTTTCAAGCCAACCCCAGTATCCGAAAAGGAAGCTGCAAGTGCTGTTAAGGCTTTCCAATTGCCATCTAAGCCATCTGTCCCAGAAGCTGAAATCTCTGCTGATGCCTTGAACCAATACGAATCTTCTGAAGTTGAAACTGCTTCTGCTGGTTCCACTGGTTCCATTGCCGCTGAAGAAGACTGGTTCGTTTTCGAAGACGCCGAGGAAGCTGCCCACTAGACATGTTTATTTAATGATGTAGAAATCGAGAAAAGTATCTTTTTAATGATATTGTAGGGAAGATATGTAGAGCAGCAATTCCGAATTCTAATCAGAATTCTGACATTTCTGCTGTGTATAGAAATATTTACGACCTATGATAGGTATGGGAAATTGTGTGTTACATTTTAATTTTGAGCTGTACGAAAGATAATTAAGTAAACTGAATAGTACAGAATCAGAAAATTGAACTTCAATAACAGATGATATTAACTGACTTATGTATAATGATACTTTTTAAAAACTTATACCTACCTTTTATGGCAGAAAAGTGTGGTGTCTCACGTCACATACACCAAAAAATAAAAATTGGGCTCTGAGGGTAACAATTTGCAACCTAAAGGATCCACAGTTTTGCTGTATTTAAATATTGAAGTAAATCATCAATAGCCCATAAATGGTACATTATTAAATAATGACATTCCCCTTAATTGAAAATGTTGCTGTAATTGGTGCTGGGCCGGCGGGTCTTGCTGCTCTTTATGAATTTCTTCATCTTAATAAAGATGGATCTTCAACTGTAGGCTCAAACAAATCCGCCGATCCAATATTCAATGTTACAGTATTTGAACAGAAGGCTGTTCCTGGTGGAATATGGGCTCAAACGAATGATGTAGATTTACCCATACCGCCACAGAATATTTTGGAAACATCTGAATATAATAATCCAGATGTTATTCAAATAAACCAGCCAATTCCCAAAGAAGTTATTGGGAAAACTTACCAATCTCCTTATGTTAAGAAATTGAATCCAGAAAGACAATTGGAGTGGACTCATAGTGGTGTCTATCCAGATCTTTTCACTAATGTTGCCTGTAGATTCACTCGATTCTCATATCAACCTATTGAGCCAGAATATTGGGATGAAAAGAGACTGATCTATCCTTTTTTAACTCAAGAAGAGTTGAAATCCCGATTTCAAACATTTATTACAAAGGAAAATTTATCCGATTATATTAGATATAATTCAAGAGTACAAAATGTAATTAAAGATAAAGGCAAATGGATTTTAACTATTCGTGAATCAAATGAAGTTTTGAACAGAGAAAATTGGTATCAGCAAGAGTTCGATGCAATTGTAGTAGCTAATGGACATTATTCCATTCCAAATATTCCTGTTATTCAAGGATTGGCGGAATTTAATAAGCTGAACCCAGGAAAGGTAATTCATTCAAATGCATACCGTGATTCAAAAATTTTTCAAGGTAAAAGAGTTTTATTTGTTGGTGGGAGTATTTCTACAGCTAATTTGGTTCAATATGCATTTCCATTGGCAAATAAAGTGGTTGTTTCCAGAAGGGGGTCACATAAAGTGTTTCCATGGATAGATGAAGCGCTTAATTCTGATGGTATTATTGGTAAACCAGAAATTCAACAAATTGATCATGACGGTTCAGTTTTATTTATTGATGGAACGATAGAAAGCCGTTTTGATTTAATAGTTTTCACTACAGGTTATCATTTCCATTATCCATTTTTAAACGATTATTTGGAAGTGACTGAAAACTCAAATCTGAGTAGAGTTTCTGGTCTTTACCTTCAAACATTCTCAATAAAGGATCCAACATTAGCTCTTGCTGGAGCGGTTGTATCTGGTATCAACTTCTTAACCATTGAATCTTGTGTTGCAGCAATTGCAGGAGTATGGTCTGGGGTCAAACAACTCCCCTCGAAGGAAAAACAAGAAGATTGGGAGGTAGAAAGGGTTAAATTACGGGGTAATAATCTTTCATTTCACCACTACGCATACGAAACGATTAAGGAAGATTTAATAGATCCTTTATACTCGTATGCGGCTAATGAAAGAGCTAATCCACTAATGGAAGATGGGAATTTCCTTGATGAAGTTGCAATTGCTGGTATTTCTTTGAAAAAATTATTCTATAACTTAAAGGAAGAGAGATTGACAGTTAGTCAGACGAAAGGAATATGAATTTATTGGCGATCATCGTAGATACATTGCAATTATTCCATGCTCTGTTTGGTACTATTTACCTTCATCTTTCTTCTATATGTATACTTTTATGTGGTCTGTAAGTTTTCTATGCGTTAAATATCGTCACCACCTACTATACTTTACTGGCATTGAATCTCTTACATTGGTCTATAAAGGGTGAATGAATTCGGTGCTTTCATACATTTACTCGTACTCCATTAACATGTCTTCTCCCAGCTGAAATTTGGAATTATAAACTTAGAGGTGTATGAGTTACATTTCTTCATGCTCATTTGCTCACTTTTTGGACTTATGATTAGTTTTATTCTACCTATTGCAATGTCAGAAGTCAGTTGGAAGTTCTATTTTAATGCTGGTTATAATAGTATATTTCTTCCAATCGTTTATTTTGTTTGGGTTGAAGATAAAGGTGTTGCATTGGTGGAAGTCGATAATTTATTCTTAAAGGATCTTTCAAATGAAGTGTCTAGTGAAGTTCTGGTGGAGCAAGTTGATGTATTTCCTTAGTATATAGGTTTTTCTCGTATATTTTGCAACATATTTGATGGTTTATATTTTTTATTTTTCTGCATGAGCCGCGGCAAGTTAATTTCAAAAGTGCTTATTTTTTGCATCAATCAAGCCGTACTATCGGTTTGTAAATGGCTAATATTCATTAATAGCATACATAAATGATATAAGATTCTGAATGATGTGAAGAATCGGTTTAAACGCATTGAATCTCTTTTCACACATCTCTTTTCTATATGTATTTCATGTAAGTTTTGAAAAGGAGTCTTACACATGAATTACCAACATCAAACTCTTACCCTTGTCAAACACAGAATGACATCACGTAAGGTATCAGAAATGTTTGCATCAACATTCATTAGTATCCAAATTTTGTTTTGATCAATGGTAGAATTTTTTATTCAAAACTGTGAGCTAATTTTAAAAACTCTTTCCATTCTTTATCTTCTAAAATTGAATTTAGATGGATATTTGACTTTAATCCAGGTTCATTCATATGAATTTTAGGTAATGCATTCAAATTTTCCAATAAATTGTTAATTTGAGTAGGTTCAAATTTGGAATTTGTAGGATGAAGAGCTGAATGAAATAAAGGTTCTATAATAAGTAATCCAGAACTGGCAGATAAATGTGTACTTTGTAAACTTTTCAATATTGGTAGAGTTCTGGTTAATAATTCCATTCTAGTATCTTCCGGTGATAGTGGACGTATGATTATGATATCAAGAAGTAAATAAACACAAGCTGAAACGGAATGTTCCAAAGGTAACCAATATTTTCGATAATAAGATGGAATAGTACTATCAGTTATGTCTACTAAAATAGACATCGCCGAAGTTAGACATTCAAATCTTTCAGATTGTAGCCATTCTTTCTCGGGAATATAACTCAATAACATTCTATTAATCTCCATAATCTCATGAGTAAATTTAATCTTCAATAAAAACTTAGCAAAGCATTTTTCTTTATACCTATCAAGACTCTTATTCTTCAATGTGTATATTTCATGTCTGGCTAACTTAAGGCCAGATATTGATAAATCACTAACATCAATTTTAGTGTCATAATATAAATGTCTTCGAACATATGCATGGTCAACGAGAAATTTATTGTAAGTTATTTCAACAACCTCATCTGTTACCACAGCATAAGAATGTAAAAGATTTACTTCTGCGATATCTCTTGGCATTTTCGTGGTGAAATCACTTGGGGATAGTAAAGAATCTCGATTGTACACCTCCAACCAGTCAATAATAACAAGTACCCACCACATTCGCGAACCTAATTCATAATCTAAAACAGTCATTTTTTCAGGAACTAAACAATGTAAATTTAAGACTTTTGCAACATAAATTATCGCACTCAATAATGTATTTTGTAAATGAACACCTGAGAATCCATGGAAACATAATGCTAATATACAAAAGGCTTGAACAGATCTTATATTTGGATATCTTAAGAATTGTCCGCGATGTAAGCATTCTAATGAAGCAGTACTTGCGAGTCGGGCTAATTCAAAGGCTTCTTCTTCATTCATCCCTAAATCTTTTTCAAGTTGTTCATCCAATGTAAAAAATGATCCACTTAAAACTGCATACCAAATTGCACACCATAAATATTCATCAAGAGTACGATCTATTTCCAAAGTGATATGTTTTGGATTACTAGCATCATTCCAAAAGTCACTATGTTCTTGTTGAAAAGTTTCAGATTGTATAGAAAGATGGAAAAAGAGTAACTTTTCAAGATGGAAATTAACTAACTTTGTAGAAACATCTCGAGTTATTACAGTACTTAACTTGATATATGATTTCTTATCAAATGCAATAAACCCTTTAATATTTCTTGTATCAAAATAATGAGTTGCAACATGAATTGAATTAGAATAGAGGTCAATGTTTTTTTTTACAACTGCTTGATTCTGTTCAGCAAATTTTGATCTATCAAATGCAAGTTCTAAGTTTTTGGCTCTTTCTCTTAGGAGTTTATTTTCTATTTGTAATCTTTCGAGTTCATGTTCTTCCTTATTAAGAACCTCACCCCCCACCATTACTCTTTCTCGATAACATAAATCGGGTTTCCCCCGTCGAATACAAGTATCACATGGGATTTCTTTATTACACTTCACTCTTCTTTTAGAACATTGGAAACAAGATTTGGGTGGTCTTTGACTTCTTCTAATGAGATTATTATCCCCCATAATTTCATCCACAGTCAGAAAAAAAAAATTTTGAATTTACCACAACTTTCGGATATTAATCAATTTATATTCATATGTACCAAGTGTAAAAATAGTATACCATAAATGTTAGAGAGATAGGAGGGAGGTAAAAAAAAAGAATCCGTGGAAAAGGACGAGAAAGAAAAACATATATTGTGTGTATTAAGGTTTATTCAAAATTTCATTAGCCAACTTCCTAATTTGAATCTGTCCTGAAGTTAAACCAATTTCGTTTATATCAAAGTCCATAAACCCCATTGACCTTAATCCTGCATTGCTCAATATGTTGGAAATATTAGCCCCATGATCGTGATAATCACCCTCCTTTTGTTGAGGTTGAACAATACTTTGGAAATCTCTAGGAGTTTTAACCGCGCGGAAGCTTTCATTCATATGAAGTAAATTATCAATGTTATAGGGACAAAGGGGACTAATTCCGTAATATAATACTGAAGATTCATCAGGACCACTATGGACTTTTTCCACTTCATGTGCAAGATCACAATGCCAAAATACATAATCTCCAAAGTTTACGTTGGGGATTGCAAGTACAGTTTGTAAAGGTTTTAAATGTGGATGAAATTCTTCACTAATGAAAAATTGTCCAGATCCTTCTACAGCTCCGGGGAATTTAGGAGTTTCCAAATCAATCTCCCCATCATCTTTCCAGAAAAATGGTCTAAGCATGATATAAGCAGTGATAAGTTTGATATTTGGAAGTACACGAAGGGTTCCATCACCCTTTTGAGACTCAGACAATGATAACCATCCTTGTAAGGAACGGAATGCAGAGCATGCAGAGTTTCTTCCTTCAAGATGGGTATACAAGTCGGATCTGGCAAGTGAGCGTGCATCCAATTTAAACGGTTCATAATCTTCCCATCTACCTTCAAAAATGGCTTGGTAAACACTCCGATATCCAGGATCTTCCCACCGTTCAGTTGAACCAGAATCAAGATGTAAATCTAAAGATAAGGCCTTTCCTGGCTTCCTAATCCTGAAACTGTCAGCGTAAACTACTTGAGAATCAATATCAATTGGTAATGTTTCATCTTCAACATAGAATACATTTGAAATTATCTTCATCATTTCCAAGATTTCTGGGTGTGATCTTGCTTCAACTTGTGCTTTATTCCAGAATACAAACCAATTCACTGGTGGCAGTTGAAATCCACCTACTTCTGGATGTTTCTGAGTGAAATCTTTGAGTAGTTGTAACCAGCCTTGTGCTGTCTCAGTACTAACAACATTCCTCACTATTAACACACCTCTTTCTTTAAACTTGTCGGCAAGCTCACCTTTGAACTCAGTTCCCTTTAAATCTTTCCAATCAACTATCGGGATGTAGTCATCACTAATCTCATTTGTAAGCTTTTCAATTTCTTTCAATAATCTAATCCAAGAATGTTTTACTTTTTCAATATCCTCCTCCTTGATAATACTTTGTTTAAGCTTTGTAAACTTGACTTCATCATTCAAGTTTGGTGGTTCTACGACATTTTTCATTTCTATTGGTGACATTTGTGAAAATAAACCATATTATCAAGTAGAAGAATTAATTGTGGATTTCCCTTCATATTTGTAGTGACAAGTTCAAGCGCTGAACCTCCTTTTTATTAATTACAAGATTATGTCAAGAGGGCTAATGAATTAAATGTTGAGTAATTAATAATAATGGGAGGGTTAAATATATAGATTGCTTGTGTGGGACACCCTACATTGAGTGCAATATAAAGGTGATATCTTCTAAGAAAGCAGCCCTTACTGGATGGATTATAATTGAGTCAATCATGAAAGAGTGATTCCTCATTAATAAAGAGAAAAATATACTCATATATTATAATACTCATAAATGCAAATTCATGCTAAATGGACTATTTTCAATAAAAATGTTTAATTAAGGAAATTGTGGGTATATTGGGATATCTTCTTTGCTCCGAATTATTCTAAATAGTATCATTTGAATAGTTTCATTAAATAATATTTTCTTGGCCAAATAAACAATCTCATGTTGCAAAGATGGTCAAGTTCAATCCCGAAGTCTCACGAGTATGCGGTTACTTGGTTTCTGTATTTCCCTGGGTCGCACCTGAGAGCTGAGGGACCTGGGACATTAGAGCTCCCTTTACAATTGAACATTCGTTTCTACTACGTAACAAAGTGGAACAACATTCTCATATCAATCTTCGAAGTAGTTAACAAATTGGTCGTCTAATTACCTTCTTTTTCACAATGTATGTTGATGGAAAAAAAATATTTCTATACCTTAGTGGTTGCAAATTTTACAATTGCCAAGACTATAAATTGCCATGACATGATGCGAACTGTATTTATCCAAAGTTCTGCTTCTTCAAGGTGTCGCTGATAACCACTATTAATTGTTATTCTTTCTTGGCAGGCAGTATGTTCCCTATATAAGACTGATGTAAACTACGTAACAGATCCAAGGTTAACTAAAATATCAAAATGAAATCTTTTTCTATACTTTCTGCAACTCTACTCACTCTTTTATCAGTATCTGCCTTGAGCTCACCTGAGTTGATCGAGAGAGAAGATATCAAAGAAAATTCCATTGGTAATTGTCATTTTCATGATACAACTCAATTCTGCACTGATCTGCATGGAACAGAAGGTGAGATAATCCCTTCGCCAGAAAAGGACCAGGCTCCTACTAGTTATTCTGGTTGTCACCTGCATGATGATCAAACATTCTGTTTAGATCTGAATGGGAAAGAAATTGAGTTTGTTGCAGTTGAAAATGAAAAGGAAGATGAAGAAGAAGAATCTCATTCTCATGCCTCATATAACGTAACTGGCTGCCATTTCCATGGAGACGAACAACATTGTAAGCATGATGAGATTGAGGGAACGATTGTACCATCTCCAGAAAAGTCTGACGGTGCCCCAAAAAGCTATTCTAACTGCCATGCACATGGAGAAAAGACATTCTGTTTAAAAGAAGACGGAAAAGAAGTTGAATTTGTGGTCGAATCTACCAATTCAACAACTTCCTCTGCTGTTAGTTCTACAATGGGTATCACTTCCTCCGTCAAAACGTCATCCCTTAATGGAGCTATCAATGTGCAAGGTGCATTCTTTTTACAGTTTGTTGCTCTCGCACTTGCACTCATTTAAAAGTATGGATATATTGTGCACACATGGAACAGAATTTTTAGTCCTTGAAATCATCCTTTACTATATAGAGTAGAGTTAAAATAAATCTTATGACTTGAAAAAGTATATGTAAAGTGCTTAGTAAGATAGCCTTGGCTATTGTGCCAACTGATATGCATTATGGGCGGCTGTGTGACACTTTTCTTTTTTTAATAAAAACCTGATTAATGACACATATACTTGTAAATCATATTCATCCGTAAAACGAACTAGATTATTCTAAAGTAAGATGATGCATAGTGGGAGAAGATAATAGCTGTTAGTATTGATATTTCCAATTTTTTAAAAGAAAGAAACAAGAATACAATAAATCAAGCAATTTATACAATGGTGTTCAGAAGTTCTTTTAAACTAGTGAACTCTAGAGAACAAGCTGAAGGCGCCGGTTCCAGAGCCAGAAGATTAATTGGGACATCTGATGGGAGAAGTTTCAATATCTTTTGGACTTAAGAACAATTTAATATTAGAGTTTATGCTGGTTTCCCTGAACATGGACTTAATGGTCAAGTAACTTCACTTTTGGAGCTGTAGCAGATGAAGATTTTACTGGATCGCAAGGGATTTATACCCTGGAGATTTACAGTTTATGACTCCCGGAAAGGGTCTCGTTCATTCTGGCCGGTTCTCGAGCAAGATGGTAAGGTGGAGTTGGTAATCTCTGGAAAATCTTAAGTAGTGTAGTCAGTGCATACACCCCGGTTCAATTTTATTATGTCAAATCGAAGCCCGATGGTACTTTCAATCAAAAGGTTCCTGAAAATTAAATCTTCTTCTTGTAGATCCTTGAAGGAGACGAATTAGTAGTAAATAATGACACTGCCGTGCCTGTACTACTATCTCTTTCGAGAGAGATGTACAAGCTATCAACAAAGCTAGAAGAGATAGGGAAAATATTGAGTTTGTATTGATTGGTGGACAAGTATTGGGCCAGGAATTAGCTCATTATGGACCATTTGTTACCGGCTAGGAACAGGATTATGAGACATACACAATATGCCAAAATTGGATTCGAACAGAGAAAAACTTGGACATTAATTTCTAATGGTGTTATAAAGGATATGGTTGAGAACCAATTGAACGGTAACCTTGAAAAGGGAAAAGAGGCTGAACAAATGTTTTTGGAGGAGAAGGCTGGAAATTAAGATTTCGTGGATAGTTATATTAATTAGAACTAATTTTTTTATCTATATTCGCAGCATGTATCAAAATATATGGTGATTTTAGGAAAACCGAGAAACCAGTATTCTTAGTGGCTTCTAGCTTAGTGTATGTCTGTGTCGTTTGGATGTCACGAGTCGAGCTATCACATGCTTCAACATATAGTATCTACATTAGCTCGATAAACTATGCTGGTCCTTGAGCTGCACTCAAATATCTTTATAGATTACCAGAGAATTTCGTGGTGAAAAGGTTGCCAAGTTGGAAGAATGATTGTGCCTTTTGATCATATATAGAGCAAGCTAAAGAAGACCAAATATTGATATTGGATAGACATTGAGAATTGTAATATTTAACTCTTTTTTTCTTCACTATTGGATATTTTATCAGATAAATAATATAATAATGAGTAATAAAATAAAAATACGTCTATTATATGTCAACTATCTGTCCACTAATTATGAGAGTATCGGTGTTATCCATCAACATGACATGATATTTAGTGTGACAAAACTCTTTTTAAATATATCAGCAGGACAAAATTGATGGGGATACTATGCAAACAGTGTTAGTGCTGGTCATATATTAAAGTTCATCAAACCATGAGGTACTTCTGCGCCTCAAATAATATGGTTGTGGCTCAGTCCGATGTTTTCTGCATCGGAAATACGAAAGGGTTAGGAAGTTTTGTTCCTGCTACTCGTATTTTTTTATATCTTGCAACTATTGGGCTTCCTGTTGGATATTTTTATGCACGATAATGATAAGGTCGAAGAAACATTACCAATTTCGTATACCTTGATCTAAAAACATGTTTTCTCATTATTTGGTATATTTCTTCATTTTGTTTTAGACCATTAATTAGAGCAGATATGAATATTAAATTACATACGAAGTTTAAGTTTTGTACCTAGGACCAACAGTGGTTGCAATTTTCTATTTTTTTTTTAATATTATATAAAAGAAAAGTTTGAGGACATGAATAAAGTTTTATGATTACATTCAATGAATATTTATCCCCACAATTTCTCGATGAATTGGTGATATGGTCGGAATTATACCTTAGCGGGGAAATTCATTAAAAAATATGATATCGCATATGTACGCCTCAAGTGGCGAAATGTTTTTAGTCTTACGAAGATGATATTCTCTATTGAGGTCAAGATTGCAATGTTTTTAATATTAAATGAGATTTGAGATGCGATTTGCCATAATCATTCATATTAACATATTCTTTCAAGTAACATTTAAAATGTATTAAATTAGGGGTAGTCGATTCAATGAATCACATTTAATTTTTCTAATAAAAATATACTCAAACTGCAGTGTAAAACTAATCATGCAGAAGAAGTTTAATACTTCAAATTTGTTGAACACTTCGCATATGTCTTTTCTCATTTTTCGAAGGATTGGTATAAACAGCCGTATCAACAGTTCATTCGCCTAAAAAATATGAATCTATTTATACTTCTCCGCCTTCGATACCTATTATTGTGAAGGTTATGAGACCCGCATGCGCGTGTGTCAATATTAATAAATTTTAATTTCATGGTCTAGTTCACTGTGCATCAAACAATTGTATATTTTTTATCTAAAGTAGGAACCACTAGTTCCTTCCCAGTCCGTGGCCATGAAACCTTTCTCTCTACTGTATGTGTCTCTGGGTGCCCTTCTAATTGACCAATGAGCTACCCCCTCGTCCTCAATGAGGGCTTTCATCGGCAACCACAGAAGGTGGCATCTAATCTCCTGTTAGAAAGGATTTACTGACATTCATGTTGGAGTATATATAAGTGAGTTCCAGAATTCTTGTGCACAAATTCCTGGTTTAGGAATACGAGCATATGACTATTAATCCAATGAGAATGTTTTCTGGAAGATGATGATGATTGGACAATAATGGAATGTTAGACAGGGAGATTGGATTATAAGTAGAGAAAGATAGATAAATTAGAAAAAGAAGAGTTAGAAGAATGAAGAAAGTTAGTGGTTACTACCATAGCTTTCGATAACACATGACTTAAAGAACCTTGTTTCCTGTATATATCATTATTATGCTTCCTCTAACCCAAGCAATTACCCTTAACAATAATAGACTTTTGTTTCACCAAATAAGCAATTCTAAAATTAACGAGTAATTCAAAAGGTGCAAAATAGGAAGTGACGTTATGTTTTAGGACAGAATTATACTTCTTATGCTTGTTTCTATTAAGAAGAACTCCTATTATATTTCAATGAAAAAAAAAATAAAAAACAAGCTCTGGGGCGGGCATGCAACTATAATGCTGCAAATACGTAAACATCGAGAAATTTCATAGGTCAAACTTAAATTTTATCAATACAAGAGATAACGAGCTGTTACGGAAATAGAGTAACAACAAATTACAAGCGGAGATATTGAAAACCATGTGACAATATATTATTTACTCTAAGCTCAGTCAAACAAAGAGAGAGGTATAAAGAGGTGGGTATTGCTGTTATTTACTATGCTCTATATACCAAACCAAACAAAATGCAATTACTTTGGGTAATTATCTCTAACTTATTTCTCCATGTTATATTGGCGTCTCCTGTTACAGACTTTAATGTAAAAAGAGGCCTCCCAACACTACCATCAAATGATCCCTTTTATTCTCCTCCCCTAGGGTTCGAGTCACAACCTCTAGGTGCTATTTTAAAGAGCCGTAAACAAGAGCACCTATTTGGAATTGTTGTGATTCCAGAAAAGATTGAAGGTGCTTACCAATATTTAATCCGCTCGGAAGATACTTTTGGAAACCCTATTGCTGCTGTTGCCACCCTCTTCATTCCAAAGAATGCGGATCCCAACAAGTTATTATCTTATCAAGTAGCTGAAGATACATCAAATATTGATTGCTCTCCCTCATATGCATTGCAATTGGGGTCAAATCCAGATACTATTGTTACAGCTCAAATTGAACAATTATTGGTCCAAGGTGGATTAAATCAAGGTTGGTATGTTGTGGTGCCAGATCATGAAGGACCAAAATCCACCTTTGTTGCTGCACACTCTGCAGGTAAAATTGTATTGAACGCTATTAGGGCAGTTATTCAGACTGGAAGTACTACTGGACTCAGTAATAATCCAAGAATTGCACTTTGGGGATATTCTGGTGGATCATTGGGCACAGAATGGGGTGCTATGTATCATAAAACATATGCACCCGAACTTAACATTGTTGGCGCAGCACTTGGTGGTATCATTGTTGATATTGATCACATGGCTAGATACAATCTTGGAAAACTCTTTGCGGGATTTGTTGTAACAGCAATTAATGGATTGTCACATGAGTATCCTGCCTTGAACGATTATATCAACAATAATGTGTACGAATCAAAGCTTGATTATTTTAGAAAAACAAATACACTCTGTTTGCTAGGAAACCTTTTGACGTACCCATTTGCTAAACTTGAGCAATTTATTTCTGTTGGAATTAATTCTTTAAACGACCCAATAGTTAAGAATATCACCTCCTCAAACAATGCATTATTGAGTGAGCTTATCCCAGATATACCATTGTTTTTCTATGATTCCATCTATGATGAAATAGTCCCATCTTCTGATACTGACAAATTGTATGACAAATGGTGCGCTGCGGGAGTTCCTATTTCATATCGTCAAGATAGGATTGGTGGACATATTACCCAAGCGGTCTTAGGCTCTGGAGAAGCATTCAATTTTGTCAAAGCAAGATTGAATGGTGTCGCAGCCCCTCAAGGATGTAATAAGGTTATTGCTATTTCCAATGTTTTCTCCCCCACAGCTTTAAATGGGTTGGGAAGTATTATTTCTGCTGCTATCAAAACTATATTTTTAAAACCTCTTGGCCCATTTTGGATGCAATAAGGATCCTGAGCACGAACGATGAAATTCGTATGTAGTTGCTGAATATGTTGATATTGATAAAGATATTGAAATGTGAATATATGATTACATTTAACCTTTTTTTTACAGCGTAACATAAAAATTTGTTAATGTAGATTTTTCATTGTAGTAATTTATACAGACATTTGTACGGTATGGGTGTAT